GGTTGGTGCAAAAATCGTCATTGCTGAGGAAAAAAATACAAAAGGAAAAACATATTTCAAGGAATGTTATATAAATATAGAAATGTTTCTAGAAAATGTGTCGACCGTGTATTATTCCTGTTTGGGATTAATTATACCCCCTTTCTATTTTAGCCGAACCCGGTGTATAATTAAAAAAATATAATTAGATGGTGTACTATTGTCTATTGTCTCAGTGCGAAATGGTTCCAGCCATGTTACCCCAGGTAAACAATATTTCTCCTTTCAGCTTTTCTACGCGTTTTTTGGGAACCTGCGGCGGGTCTATTCTATAAAAATACGCGAGAATCACTGGTAGCACCCGAAAAAAGATTTTGAAATTTTTACAAGTTAGGCATCCAACCTGTAAAAGGTGTATATTCCAAACTGTAAAGTCAGGTCAATTTTGTATGAGGGTTAACAACTCAAGCTCTTTTACTATGGGAGCGTAACCTGTAAGGGTTAACAACTAGTACATTCGCACCAGAATCCAGGGTTAACAACTCGCGTTCTCAATTAGGCAGGTTGACAACTAAATCGCGAGTCCCACTCCTTAGCTACCAACACTGTCCTGCACACAATCTCTCCTCTGTTTATTCTAACTTTATTACAAATTATATCTGATATTCATACTATTTTATCTATATTTTTATAAAATTCATTAATCTTTCTACCAAATATATATTAATGTTTTACCTACAAATTTCGTTTGTTTCTCTGGTCACTATATACTCTACTCACTTCTTATACACCTTGTGTGTCAACGCATTGCTGTTGCTCCCTCGATCGTGTTGTACTACCTCTGATCAATCAGCATCTCCCTCTCGTTAGCCATCTTCTCCATCCCCGATTTCTTTCATGTCTACTCTCTCCGAGATCTCACTTACCTTCTATCTCCGAGATCTGGTATTCTCTCCATCTCCGAAATCTCGTATATTTTCTATCGCCGAGAACTACCATGCCAACTATCTCCGAGACGGTCTATATCCGCTCTTCCATTTTGGGTAACTCCGGTGCTCACTTTTCATCCACAGCCACATATTATTTTATCCATCTCATTGCCCACACAATGTCTACCCGTACTATTCACATTTAAATAGTGCTCCGTTCTAACTCACAGATCTACTGTTCTCGTAAAACATCCCTAATTACATAATATAGTAAACCGTACGAATTAACTGATCTTTGGTTGAGAAGATTATGTACATCCATTGTACCATATAACTGGTTGATGTGCATTAGTGATGTTCTAGTCTCAGTTTTTCTTGTGTATTTACATCCATTGTACAATATAACTGGTTTTTGTGCACTCATGATGTACTTGTCTCATGTTGTATCGTCTATGTACATCCATTGTACAATATAAATGAGTTGATATGCACTAATGATGTACTTGTCTCACTTTTTCTTGTGTATTTACATCCATTGTACAATATAAATGAGTTGATATGCACTAGTGATGTTCTTGGCTTAGTTTTTCTTATCTATTCACATCCATTGTGCCGTATAAATGAGTTGATATGCACTAGTGATGTTCTTGGCTTAGTTTTTCTTGTGTATTTACATCCATTGTGCCGTATAAATGAGTTGATATCCACTAATGATGTTCTTGGCTTCGTTTTTCTGATCTATTTACATCCATTTCACCATATAACTGAGTTGTTGTGCATTAGTGATGTTCTTATCTTGGGTTGTCTCGTCTATTTACAGTTTAGACGATGCAGAAACACTCGCTTAGTCATTGTTGATACTCTGCAATGACCTGCAGCTGCCTGTCGTCTAATCTATATATCCCTTATTCTATATTGACCAGAAAAATATTCCAGATTGAGACTTCTCGTCTGATCGATCCATCCCCTATTGTATTATCAATTTAAAAAATATTCCTAATTGACTCTAGTTTACATCTTCGTATTTTTCAAACACTGATTGGTTAAACTTTCCTTAACCTCGTCAAAATCGGCCCTGAAATTTCATCATCCCTGTTTCCCGTGTGCTATATATTCAATATCCATACAATTCCCGCCTGATCAGTTTCATATATGATAATATTTATCTACAAACTCCTACTTCACAAAATACATACCTTACTTTTTCCACAACTACTCAGCAACTTCAATTGTTTCTGCCCTCGCGCTAATGGCTTACTCCTTTTCCTAGATCTCTTTTGTTGTGTAATTGCCGCCTGCGGTGCTCTCAACATAACCGTGCTTTGTAACTCCTCATTAAATGCCTTGACTTTAGCATTCACTATTACCTTGTCTGTGCTGAAATTCACCACCTGAAGATTGTCAAGTCTGGTGGTTCTACTCAACGCCACATATGTCTGTCCAGCAGCAAACACCCCTCGTAAATCAACACAAACCTTGGCTAATGTCAACCCTTGAGATCGATGAATAGTCATTCCAAACCCAAGAATTAGACTAATCTGTGTTCTAGATGCAAGAACCTCTCCCTGGTCTTCATAGCAGAATCTATATGGTTGCATTATAACTTCTATCGTGGGCGTGTTGGGGTTCACAAACCTCACCAAGTCCAATATCCACAAACCGATGAAGTGTTGTCCCTCCCAATGGTATGGCACTCTTGCCAGTCATTGATGTGATAGCAAAGTCATTGCCATACTTTTCTTGCAACCGCCGTTTGATATGTATCAACGTCACACTCTTTCCTCCTCCGGCTGGAGAAGTGAAGAATGTCGAAAATCCATTTTCAATCGACGTTACTATCTCCTGTTGTTCTTTGCTTAGCTGAACATTTAGCTCGGGAACTACTTCATCATTAGTTTCTTCCTCACATTCAGCAACCAGCATCACTTGAGATGGTTCTAAATATAGTTCTTGTTGGTCCATGGTAAATAAAATGGCGTGGTTTATTTATACCGTCAACTATAAATAAACGAGAATTTTGCCTGCATTTATATCCTCCCACTTCTTTCACCAACATCTTTCACAAACAATGACTACATTAACACCAATCTCACAAATGCCTCATGCTCCCAATGGCATGCCAGTAGTGCAAACATACTACTCCGATATCTACTGGGTACTTGGCCTCACACGAGTACCAAATACAGGTGAGTATAGCGAGCGGGTGAAAGCCTTTTGTGTTGACTTTACTTCAAATCCCCAAGCTGTCGATCCTGAAGGAACTACTGTTTTCAATAATATTGAATTCCTGCCAGATCAAGTGTTTGAAGTTATTTTCTTTGCCACAGACTTTGATGAAATCATCACCTCCTACCAAAACTCATTCAAAGTGATGGTAAATTATGACCAGGTCAAGGATGCAATCACTAAACCAGGCACTGTATCAATAATGAACTGGTTCTTAATCATAAATCTGAGGTTGTTACATCGAGGATTTGATGACCATTTTGAATTCTTTGCCAAGAAGTATAAAGTTGCCACAATCAAGCTGGCTCGACCACTCATTGACAAGATCATCAAGTTCCTTCCCCACAATTACATTCAAAACAACTCCCATTATGCTGAATATGTGTTTCCAGAAAATATTCTTGTTAAATTTGGATTGACCTCGGCTGTAAGTTCAAGTAACCGTGTGGCTATTACGCTTCCGGACTCTTCCAATCCTGCAACCCCGGTTCGATCCAATCAAAGTTCAACAGTGGATTCTACTAAATTAAGCACTCCAGACCTTGCTGCTCTTCAGTCAGTTGCTCATGAAATTGGTATGTCATCGGCGAACATATTGAAATCCAGAAGCTCCCAGTCTCCTGATTCTTCCAATATATCCTTTTCCAGTGTCCCTGCATCCTCCCCCTTGCGCATATCAAAGAAACCCTGCGACAAAAAAAAATTCTCTGCCATCAAGAATATCAAGTTGACGAACTCCTCAAATGGTTTGAACCAGTATATAATAATCACTAAAAGCAATCCAGTGGATTGATCAGACTTGTGTCGCTATGACTATGCCAACAACAAACAATTAGCTACCCTGTTAACTTTGTTTATTGAATCAAACACTTTATGCACACAGTTGCCAGGGTAGAGACTTGAAGGATTTCTTGGCTTGCAATCTCAATTATGATTCAATCTCTTGATGTGATTTGCCATAGGTATTTCAACGAGTAAATATCATACTTGTTCAACAAACTTCCTCGAGGAAACTACTAAACCCCCTTGATGCACATCATAAATTTGTATCTAAATAACTATATGCGATAATTGGATCCTCACATAGATAGTTTATAAATTGGAACCTTGATGCAACCGCCAGGGTTGGTCTGCTGTAATTTTACACCATCAACTGTTCTCACTAGATACAATTCTGTGGTAGCAGGTATATACTTCATCAAGTCCATGTGTGGAAAACAAGTCACTTTAGTAGCCACGACCTTCCTAAATAGGTTCTTCATTTTTTTTTGGATTGGACTTAGTTTTCTAACTGATTTTCTGAAATCTTCTCTAGTCTGGCCGGCGTTGGTACTTTAATAAATGGGTATGGATTTCTGTTTCTGCCTTGGGTATGTATCAAAAGTCCTTCAACATAAGTATAAGTTTCTGATAATTTAACAACATCGAGATCGTAAGGTGATGCTGTGGCAGATCATAACTATTTGCAGTTTCTTCGACATCTTCTAATTCATCATCAAAAAGATCATGGGTTGGTGCAAAAATCGTCATTGCTAATAAAAAAATAAAAAAGGAAAAACATATTTCAGGGATTGTTATATAAATATGGAACTCTTTCTAGAAAATGTGTCGACCGTGTATTATTCCTGTTTGGAATTAATTTTACCCCTTTCTAATTTAACCGAACTCAGTGTATCGTTAAAAAATAATTAGACGGTGTACTATTGTTTGTGGTGTCTGTGCGAAATGGTTCCAGCCATGCTACGCCAGTAAACAAAATGACCCTTTTCAGCTTTATATGTTTTTTGGGAACTTGCGGCGGGTCCATTCTACCAAAATACGACAGAATCACTGCCACCACCCGAAAAAAGATTCTGGAATACTTTAGAAGTTACAAGTGCAACCTGTAAAATGTGTCTTTTCCAAACGGTAAAATCAGGTCAATTTTGTATGAGGGTTTACAACTAAATTGCGAGTTTCATTCCTTATTAGTTCCCCTTATACAAAACAGTTTATATTAACGTACAAAACTGTATAATAATAAATGTTAAAGTTATACCATAGCAAAGGAAACCGTGTTCCTTTTATAATATAGAAACATAAGACTAAATGAGTATGAAATTCCAAAAATAAAAACGAAAAATGTTTATCATAAAGATTGTTTGCATTAACACCAGCTTCAACTCATCAAAACAATTGCAAGTGTTGCAAGTAGAATAAAGGTGATTTTAAACGTGATCAAGTTAGATTCATTTGAATATTCAACATATATTTTAGGAATTTCTTCCTGCGTCTGAGTCCTTGTATACAGTGAAATCTTGAGGTTGGAATCGGGAGTAGTATACAATCCAATATTAGTCCGTTTTGAGGTTGACGTTGTTTTAGCAATGTCTGTATTACCAATAATAATTGTCAGAGTACACCATACTCCTTCGGAATTTGTAACGACCATCAATAAACAGTCTACTGTTTTCCCATATTTATCACAAATCTGAGTAGTGTACAGGGTCAGAACTACTGTGGTGGTAGATACAAATTGATTATCTGTTACTGATAATTCATCTTCCGTATGAGTGACAGTATCACTAGTTCTAGTTGTATGAGTGGTGGTATCATTATATGGTTCACTGGTTTCTGCATCATCAATATCTGTAGTAGTATCCACATTTTCGTGCGAGGAAACTTCATCCTCGCTAGTCTCTTCATCTTGAATTTCCGAAGTAGTATCTACTTCTTTTGAAGCACTGGTGGTGATTTCTTCTGTAGTGGTAGATTCATCTACTCTGCTGGTTTCCAGGTGGTCATCAGCAGTGGTTGATTCTGTTTCAATATCATCAAATGGAAAATCTTTGCAATTTTCAACGCTATACTCTGGAGCTTCTCTATTATACATGATAGCATGTCCATCTAGCATTACCTCAAATAATGTTGGATCATATCCTGTTCCAATAATAATGTGGTAATCACCACCAAAACCTTCTAACGTCAAAATACCTTGATTGACATCATAAACGAAATTACTTATACCATCTTCGACTATAAATGCGTTCCATTTACCAAAATTCATTACTTTGTACACGTTGGAATGACTTTCCATGAAAAATAAAATATATCCATTATTCATCACAAATGTTTGATTACATGAATACCGGGAATCGAGCTCCACAAGAGAATTGCTCCCAATTATAACACATCCATCCCCGATGATTGGTCCTGGCAGTTGCCTGTACCTTTGATTGCTTAACCTAATTATACCGTTGTTCGTTATGCTTGATGTCCCAAATGCAGATTTCCCTTGTAATCCTGGACTAGCTATGTCGATGGTTCCCTCATTCTCGAAAATATTTGATGTGAAATAATACTCCGTGACACCTCCGAATGAACCAAAATCTAACGATAATGTTCCATAATTAATAAAACTATTTAATGATACATTAAGATATGATGAAGGATAACCACGAATCCAAATATTAAAGTCTCCCATATTCAAGAAAGAGTGGGAAGTATCCCCAAACTCTATGTATAAATGTTCTCTTAACTTATATGCGTTCACTAAAAATTCTCCATAATTGGTGAAATCGCCAATTATTTTGATAAATTCCATATCTTGAAGCTGTAAACTTCCTGTGTCGGTAATATGACAGGTTTCATATACTTCAAAGCCTGCATTTGGAGGATTTGTATAGATCCGTGTATCATCAATTAGCAATTCTGCAATGATTACTTGTGCAAATACAATTAAACCGACTATCCGCATTTTAGTTTATAAGTAAACCAACTATCCTCATTTTAGTTTAGAAGTAACCCAATACATAACAACATGGGATTTGTGTTGATTAAAGTATTTCAGATCTGCGTCACCTCGGTAAATGAAATTGTCTTGGCATTACATGTTTTTGTCAAATAAAGTTTTTATCAACAGGCCAAGAAAATCTAAATGGAAGATTCTTTTAAGAATTTAACTTTAGAGTTGTTTCAAAAGATTTGCTCGCATATTCCATCACGTTTTATTTTTTTTTTCAGTAGAGGTAACAGAGCAAAAATGTGTCGTTTAGTAGAGAAGATATGACCAGTAGTATTTAATGTTTGAACGATTTCAATGAGTGTATCAATTAACCAGCATTAGTTTGTCAAAGAAATCTAGATAGTACACAATATTTTAAATATGTTTATACCTCTGTCAAAAATTGAGGGTTCATGATTTTACGAGAATTAAATAAGGTTGCAAACCCATGATAGATTCGCGAATGTATGAATGAAATGAACCTCTTTTATCTTTGTTGTGGTCAAATAATTACCAATATTGTGATTTTGCCCAGAAAAGGAATCTGCATGGTTTGAATTTTTTTAAAAGACGCGACACCAAAAACTTAATAGTTTATGTACTGCAAATCATATGCGCATGATTAACTAGGCTGTGGATGTACTAGGTAATCTTCTACTAAGTTTGTTTGAATTGACTGGTTACAAGAAGGTTTGGTGTCGTCCTGCTTTAGTATGTAATAAGTACATATTTTAGGACATAAGTTTTCTGAGAAAAAATGAGTAAATTTATTCCAATTATCAAGTAGCATATTTACTAGTTTTGAATAACCGCCATGTGTGTCTGACAATGAAAGAACTTCTGTCAAATATGTCCATATGACTAGAGCAGGAATAAATTGTACTCTTGTAGCACATATTCCCCACATATGATCTTTAGGTCGGGCATTGCTCAAACTCAGAGTTCATGACTTGCATTTTCCTAGTGGGTGATTGTTTACACGTAGAATTTCTTTGCAGTTCTAACAGAGAAGTTATCTTTTAAACTTTACGAAAATGTATCGGTTTTATTAGAGCTTCAGTTCATGTATTTCTCAATTGGTGATTTGTGAAATGTATGTTTGTCTGAAATAGATTTACTAATAATTTGGTAGTGACCAACAACCTACTATAACAAACAATATATAATTCACTCGATTCGTAAATGTATTCGTATTATTTCAAAGGTATATATTCCAATATTTGCATTGGACTCTGATCAGTATAATGACACGGGAATTCAATGCAAGAGAAAACTTCACATTCACGAGAGTTTAATCTTGATAACTTTTCATTACATGAAAATATTTCTCACTATCGCACCTGAAAATTAAACTGTATCAGAACTGATACTTCCTCACAAAGAAAAACCTCATACTAAACCAGTCTTTATAGACCAATTGAAATTAAATTTAGAAGCTCAAAAAGTATTAGATCAAATTCTTGGGGTGATTCATAGGCCGAATATAAACATGAATAGGTTTGATCTTGTTTATCGGAATAGTATTCATCTATGCTGAATCTATTAAAACACATCACATTATTACCGATAGAGAGTATTACGATGTATCAATGATAACCATTTCGTTTCCGCCAAAGGTTGTTTCATTGAGTCCAGACTTAATCTGTACATTCAAAATATTTTTCTCAATTAATCAAACACTTAATATATTTAAATTAGTAAACCTATTTGGTAGATAGAAAAATAGCAGCAAGAACATATAATTAATCTAAATCCACAAAAAGGGGATAAACATAGCTAAAGCAGCAAATATATCTATGAATATGCTATTGTTTGACCCATTTTCAAATTCAGTAATATATAGTTGTCCTGCACCAGGATTTGAGTTCACACTAGGGTTTGTAACAACGGTTGTACTATCATAGATACCAATATCCACGACTTTCGTATACTCTTTACAACCGTCTTGAGCACAATTAGCCAGCATCATAGTAGGAATGGATTTCCTATTACTGATAGTATTGTAGCTATCACCAGTTGTTTTGGAAATGGATTCTACTGTTGAGGAAATATGAAATTCATCAGATTGGCTTTTAATTTTTGCATCTGTAGTGACGGTTTTATTTATTCCACCCTCAATGAGAATTTGAGTAATAGTATCACTGGGATTTCCAAGGTCAGTTGATTGTAAGTCATCAAACTCTTCTATGGTATTAACAGGAGAATCATTGGAGGAAACAATAGTTACACCACTTTGATATATAGTTTCTTCAGTGGTAACTACAGTGACGGTTCCAGTTTCGATAACAATTGCTATGACCAGTTCAGTCATATATTGAGTTGATTCATTCCCAGTCTCGATAGCTGTAGAATTCGCAATACCAATTTGAGCTTCTCCAGTCTCTTTAGAATCAATTTGAACCTCAGATAAGCTTTTGTAATCTTCATTTGAATTTTCAAAAAGTACTTCCACATTCTTACATCCTTGACCTATACCATTAACATAAACCACTTGATCACAAACAGTAAATTCAACAAATCCACGTTTCATGGTTGGTTTAGATAAATCAAGTTTTCCTTGAACTATTGACCAAACTCTTGTTGCAAGTCGCAGTTCACTGGTAGCAATCATTTTACCACTTTCCAATACTCGAATATATTCTCCATCTGCTGTTAGCTCACCTCCTGCCTGAATCTCAAATAAAGAATATTTATGTTCGTCAACCACAATAATACCGTCTTTACTCAATGCGAAATACAAGTCTATTTGATTGTTCTCGACAAAAAGTTTAAAGGGTTTGGATGGGTCGACAAATGAACCTTGTTCAATAAAGCTTAGTTCAGTTTTTTCCTCGGTATTTTGTAATATATTGGAAGGTGAAATCATAGCGGGTAGTTGCTCACTATTTGATTCTTTGACTGGGTTTACTTGATTGGTTTCTTCTTGGACAGTTGGTTTTGCTGATTGATTCTTCTTATCTCCTTCAGCAGTAATAATTTCACCATCACTATTAAGTTGATCTTTTCCTTCATTTTCACTACTAGGTACTTTCAACTCATTTCCACTATCATACTTGTCAGTTGAATCAATTTCTGTAGCAGTACCTTCAAGTGGACCACCAGAAATTGCCACTTCTTCATTAGCACTATTATCACTAATATCGCCATTTTCAGGATTACCACTCTGTTCAACATGGTTACCATTTTGTACACTACCTTCAACCGTACCAACAGGAATTTCCACCTTATTTTCATCACCAGGAATTGATATTTCTTCATTACCATTCTCACTAATTACGGCTGTATCCTTGTTATTACCTCCTGTAATGTTTGCTACACCAGTGCCCTCTTTATGTTCACTATCTCCGGTATCACCCTTTTCATAATTATCTGTATCACTACTTGAGTTTCCAACCCCACCTTTGTCATCCACTAATTCTCCTTCACCATCCACTTGATTCATAGGTTTCTCAGTACCATCAGTAATAGCACCTGAGTTTTTATCATCTCCGTTTTCATTTTCATCCCATACATAAATTTCCCCTTGCACGATATAGACAGCTTCACCTTCAGTTTTATCGCCCTTGTCAATAATATCAACATTACCACCAATTGTAGAACCAACATTTGTATCCTTGTCATTACCTCCTGTACCATTTACCTCTTTATTTACATCTTCGCCTGTATTACTACCTGTATTGCTACCACTAAATTCGTGTTCACTACCTTCTCCATTGACTTGCAGTTCTCCTTCCTCGCCTTCTTGATTCGGAGATGCACCCGTGTTTCCGGGAACGCTTTCTGGATTTGTATTCTCTTCAATCACCGGTACTTGTAAATGTCCCTCATGTTCTTCCTTATTTTCAACATTAGGTACACTACCCTCGGGTTCCACATTACTGCTAGATCCACCAAGACCATTTTCATTAGTATTACCCACTCCTTCTTGGATAGAATTGTGCCCATTAGATTCTAATTGTGCTCCGTTGTTAGATATATTCTCATCACCGTTTCCATTAGGATCCTTTCCATTAACCCCATTCCCTATATCTTGATCATTGTTTTCACCTTCTTCAATTTGAGATCCGTTGATAGACCCTAAACTGGCATCATTTCCACCTGTCTGAATTCCATTAGATCCTAATATATCCTTATTATCATATTCACTCTCAGTTCCTTCTCCATTTGACTCATTTCCACCCTCGCCATCAGGACCCGATGGGGTTCCATCAGTAAAACCATCAGTGTTTACTCCATTAGATTCATTCATACCATCTGAAACTCCACTATTGGAACCCGGTGTACTTCCAGGTATGGAGCCATTAGATTCAGGTGGAGTTTCATTCTTGGATTCACTATTACTGTCTTTGTCGTTTGTTTCATTTGAAGTTTCTCTAATACCATCTGATCCATTATTCGTTTCTGCTAGCTTTTTCTCATCGGAATCATCGATGGAACCATTTCCCAATACATCACCGCCATAGTTCCCTTCACTAGTACTTCCTTTTGCACCATCAGGTACATGTGTGGACCCACTATTGGATTCAGGTGGAATACCATTGAATTCAGATGAGGGATCATTATTGGATGAATCACCGCTGTTATCTCCATTCGATACATTTTCTCCTTCTTCTGTTCCGTTTGATCCGCTCCCATCTGGCTGAGGTCCACTTTTGGATCCATCATCCCTGTCGCTTCCATTTGTTTCGGTTATTCCATCTTTAATTTCATTGGATCCACTGCCATCAACCTGATCTTTGCTATCGTCCCCATTGTTAATTTCATTAGAAGAACCTTCAGAAGTACTACCTGGAGTTTCTACTTCCTTATCATTACTTCCACCTTCAGCGATATCAGGAACTCCTTTTTCCTTATCAGCACCACCCCCAATGATATCAGGAAGTTCCACTTCGTTACTATCACTATTACCACCTCCTTCGGCAATACCAGGAAGTTCTACTTCACTATAATCACCAGGAACTTCTTCCTCTTTATTACCACCTTCATCGATACCACCAGGATTTTCTACTTCTTTATTGCCATTGCCACCTTCACCACTATCAGTAACTTCTCTCTCCTTATCAACACCACCTTCAGTGATACCAGCTGTGCTTTCTACTTCATTCTTCTCATTACCACCTCCATTTTCAACATCATTACCAGGAACTTCTACCTCATTTTTATTACTACCCTCGCCACCTTCAATGATACTAGGAAGCTCCATTTCGTTACTACCACTATTACCACCTCCTTCGGCAATACCAGGAAGTTCTACTTCATTATAGTCTACGGGAACTTCTTCCTCCTTATCACTACCTTCAGCGATACCACCAGGATTTTCTACTTCTTTATTGCCATTGCCACCTTCAGCGATATCAGGAACTTCTTTTTCCTTATCAGCACCACCTTCAGTGATATCAACAGTGCTTTCTACATCCTTACCATCATAACCACCTTCAACAATACCAGTGTTTTCTATTTCGCCCTTGTTACCGTCACTACCACTTTGACCACCAGGAACTTCAAGTTCATTTGTATCACTAGTACTACCACCTGGAATATTGAGATTAGTATCATCGCTATCATTTCCACCTTCAGGTATACCAGGTATTTCTATCTCATTATTATCTCCAATACCACCACTACCACCATCAGGAACTTCTACTTCTTTCTCGTCACCATTACCACCTTCAACGATACTAGGAACTTCTTCCTCCTTACCACTACCACTACCACCCACAACAGTTCCACCAACAACTTCTACCTCATTTTTTTCGCCATCATTCTCACCTTCAACTATACTAGGAGGTTCAAGTTCATTCTCATTGCTACTACCTCCACCATCTGTACCAGGCACTTCTACATCATTTTCATCTCCACTAGCACTGCCACCACTAGTCACTTCTACTTTATCACTATTACCACCTGCTTCAATGATACCAGGAACTTCTACTTCCTTATCACCACCACCTTCAACTATACTAGGTAATTCAAGTTCAATATCACCAACACCTTCAATACTACTGCCAGGTATCTCCACTTCATTCACATTATTATTACTACCTGCTTCCTCAGTACTAGGAGGGGCTTCAAGTTCATTGAGATCACTATTACTACCATCTGAAATATTTGCTTTATTACCATCAGCATCACTTCCACCTCCAATTATACCTACTACTTCAAGTTCATTCTCATTGATACTACCACCTTCAACGTTACCAGGAATTTGTACCTCCTTATCAACACCACCTTCATCAATACCGCCAGGATTTTCTACCTCGCTCTTGTCACTACCATCGCCATTTTCAACATTGTCACCAGGTGCTTCTACCTCATTTTCATTACCATCACTGTTAGCTTGAACAATATCAGGAACTTCTGCCTCATTTTTATTACTACCCTCGCCACTTTCAATGATACTAGGAAGTTCCATTTCGTTACTATCACTATTACCACCTCCTTCGGCAATACCAGGAAGTTCTACTTCACTATAATCACCAGGAACTTCTTCCTCTTTATTACCACCTTCATCGATACCACCAGGATTTTCTTCTTCTTTATTGCCATTGCCACCTTCAGCGATATCAGGAACTTCTTTTTCCTTATCAGCACCACCTTCAGTGATACCAGCTGTGCTTTCTACTTCATTCTTCTCATTACCACCTCCATTTTCAACATCATTACCAGGAACTTCTACCTCATTTTTATTACTACCCTCGCCACCTTCAATGATACTAGGAAGTTCCATTTCGTTACTATCACTATTACCACCTCCTTCGGCAATACCAGGAAGTTCTACTTCACTATAATCACCAGGAACTTCTTCCTCTTTATTACCACCTTCATCGATACCACCAGGATTTTCTTCTTCTTTATTTCCATTGCCACTACTACCTTCGATCGTACCAACAAGTTCAACTTCATTCTCATTACTACCACCAGGACTTGGAACTTTATTATTTTCACCACCACCCGCAACAGTTCCACCACTAACTTCTACTTCCTTATCATAACCTCCACCTATACTAGGAAGTCCAAGTTCATTCTCGTTTCTACCACCTCCACCAACTGTTCCAGGTACTTCTACCTCATTATTACCTCCACTGCCACTGCCACCAGCAGGAACTTCTGGGCACTTATTGTCCCCATTTTCATTACATACATAAAGTCCCACTTCCAGTAAATCAATAGCCTCCCCCTCTTTTGTTTCATTACTATCAACTGTTGGTGAATCACCATTTCCATCCGAAAATTCCTTGCACAGATCAGATATATTAGGTGGATCATCAATATAAGTGACATAACTGCCCTCTAATTTAAACTTATTTTCCCTATATCCCGGACCTATGAAAAAGTATTTTGTACTTCCCAGAAAGCTCATGAGAGTTAATAAACCTTTCTTGGAGTCATACGTCGGAGTATACAAACTCAGGTCCAACCCAATCTTATTTCCTCTGCCAAAATTTATAATATTATATTGACGAAAAATCAGTGAGAATCCCACCGATATAGTTGAATCTATTCCCATGACAAAATTCTGATCGTTGGATGTATACCATGAATTTAATCTCAAATAAGAATTTTGTTCGAGCACAATACAACCCACACCGTAGATATTACTAGCTGGCTGAGCATAGTAAAGGTTGTAAAGTTTAATAATTCCATTATTGGTAATAGGATGGTGAATCGGAAGCAACACACCAGACTCTTCTGACAGCATTTGAATAGTTCCTCTATTCAGTGAACCATCTCGAGCTATAATTGTTCCATGATTTTCCCAATTCTTGGTTCCTAGGATCTTCATATATGTGCCAGCAGATGATAAGCTATCCAACACTAATGTTCCCAGATTGATAAATTTTTGAAAATTAATTTCGAAATGGTTTTTATTGTCGCTGTTGGCTTCAACTGTATATGTTCCAGTATTCTTAAACACTGCCTTGGTATTTATATGCAAGACAGTCAATCCTTTTCCTGATTGTTTTGTTGTACCTAAGAATTCTCCCTGATTATCAAATGCTCCTGTGAGTCGAATGTATTCTTTTTCTTTAAAATGAAGTTTTCCCTCGCTGGTTATATATATAGATTCAGAAACCTCTATCCTGAATGGATCTCCCTTGAATTCTCGGAAGTCCAGGATGGTATCAGCTAAAATTAATGGAAACGATAAAATAAACCAAATTATTAACATTTCGTTGGGGAATAAAAAGTGTTAAACATTCTTTTACAAGGATTTTGACATTTATAAATATTAATGGGAATTGCAACATGCTCATCGCGACCTTCTTTTGAAGCTTCTGTTCTAGAAAATGTATCCTGGTTGTAAAATACTTGATATTTTTCTTGTCCTGGTAACAAAAATTGACATGGAAGGTTTGATTTTTCTTGGTAGAAAAAGCTTATACTAATAGGATAGCAACGGATCTGCTTGTTTGAATGATATTTTGGGTTTGGATCTAGCTTGATAACTTAAAGGTCACCCAGTTTGAAAGTGCATGTAATTGAGGAAGGGAGCTCTTTCTTCAATAATTTCGTCATGTTACAGTTTGGAAGGTCACCCCATGCGATTGATGAGAATTTATTTTGAAATGAGTTGTATCTATAATTCTCTTGATATTATGAAGGATTTGCTGCCAAGAAGTTGATACATGTTAACATAAAAATATACTACTGGGTTTCTTAAAAAGTGGTTAAAAATAAAGCTGGACGTTCCACTTACAGTTCAAATTATACTTCTATTACTATATAATATCAAAAAAAAACACAATTATTCCGACCAGCGAATATTAATCATCTTCATCAAGATCAGTTTCTAAATCACACATTGTCCGACAATTTGGACAATAAAATTGAGGATAACTCTTTATTATAATTGGTCTAATACATTTATAATGCCACGTATGAGAACAAGGACTAATGAATAATGCTTGACATGGTTCAATTTTCATAAGACATATAACACATTCAGTCATATCTTTACCTTCTTCAATAACTGTTTCGTCATTTAAATGCAATGATTTTAATTTCTTATGAATTTCTAAATTGAATTGGTTTACCTTTCTTTGCCAACTCTTGTTAAATTCACATCTCATTTTAACACATCGGTAAACTTCTTCAGTACCTCCTCGATAATCCATACCTAATTGAATAATATCACCATCGATTAATGGCATTAGAGTGGATTCTTGGGATGCTGGTGATAACCTAATATGATTTAAAAACGTTCCTGAACTTGATTTACAATCCTTTAAAAACCATTGACCGTCGCCGTTACATTGAAATAATGCATGAGTTCTTGAAACAACTTTACTTTTGAAAACAATTGGTGCTGAAGATCCTTGGGGAGCATGGGCTGCTGCTTTGTTTTTCTCGGTATATCTTCCAATTGAAATACTTGAATCAGGTTTAATTTTCCGAATAATGGGTGGGAAATATAATCCAGATGATGATGAGGAATGGTCAATAAGGGGGGTTAATCTGACCGAATAGAATCCATCCTTATCCATAGGACTATTCTTGTCTAGAGTATCTTCTAAATTAATGGCATCAGTACCAGAACTAGTAGTATTTGGATCAAATAAAGTATCCTGACGTCTCCGGCGTGGTGATTGTGGTTCTTCATCTCCTCCTTCTTCTTCGTGATCTCCATCGTTATCACTATTTTCTTCGGCAACTTCTTCATTAGTGGCAAGATGAATCGCTCCTCCATTAACAGGATGGAAATCTTCATGCAGGTATCCATTCAAGTTAGAAATAGTGGGACTGTTTGCCATTTCAGCAACGCCACCATTTCGTTCAGTAGAAGATAAACTATGAGATCTCATGCCAAATCCTGACAAGAAGTTCAAACCAAACCGGTTTCCTTGAGGTGAAGGAGTGATATTGTTGACGTTGTCATTACTAGACAGTTTGGTTAATTTGTTAGAGTTAGTTTTGGTTGGCAATGAAACAACGCGATTAGCGGTAGTAGTTGCTATCGGCGTTGACATCAGAGTTGGGGATTCCGGGATGCTTGATGACGATGATTCTTTAAAAACTTGACCATTCTTTTGTGGTAGTATTGTTTGTTCTTTTGCTAAAGTATTTGCTGATGAACTTTCTGGCATTATTATACTGGATGAAACCTATGATGCAATTGAGACAAATATGCTCGTCTATTAAAAAGGGGGGATGGTAAAAAATAAAACAATGTCAAAAGACAAAAAAAATTAGCTGGATGTAACTGTCAGCAGTTTGTATTAATGTATTGACTCAACCGGTGGCCTCTGGGTTAAGTTGTGTTGAAAAGTTGGTTGTAAATGACTGAACTAGTCGGTAAGTGTTATTTTTTCTTTTTTTTTTTTTACTTTAAAAAACTAACAGTTGTTTTTGTCGTAAAGTGGTGATTTTTTATTTTTTTTGTTGTTCTTCTGTGGTAGTGAAAGCTGGCTGGCTCGTTTGGTACTAATATGAAGGAAATAAAGGTATACAAAGTACAAATAACTAAAACAAAGCATGAATTTCACATACACAAAAATATATAGCTATGGCTCGACCTGGTACTGCTGTTTTCCTATTAATCTTAATAACAATTGCTGCAATTCTTTTCTACCAACAGCACTTCTCCAAATAAAATGACTACTGTTTTCAGCAATTACCCATTCATTCAATTTATCACTTCGTCTGGTAATTTCCCGTTGCCATTTCCCCCAATTTAACGATTTTTTAATCATGTAATCCGAAGATATCACCGATATTGGAATGTCAGTTATATCGGCATTTTGAACTTCATTCCACGAGAGTATACCAGAAGTCAATTGTTCCTGACATCTTGCACGAAGGTATTTGGATTGATAAATCATGTCTCTTCCGAAAATTCTACTCTTGCTAGAATATTTCATAGGATGGAAAAACCAATGGATATTTGTTATCAAGCCTAAGGGGGATACGAATCCTCGTAACCATAATTTAAATCCCATGATATTATCCATTAATTGAAGAGATCCTTTAAATACATTTGGATCCTCATTCTTCTTATTACCACCACTGAATGGCCATTTCTTCAACAAGTCAACTGACCAAGAATCAACAAATAATATCGAATGAATCTTGTGTTTGTTCTTACTAGCAAAGAGCGTGGCATATAATCCACCAATATCAAATGCCACAACTGAAAATGGTCCTTGAATATCTTCTTTTGCTAGTGCTTCGGTTAAGTATTCGGTAATAATTCCAACGGAGACCGGAGGCGGAGCAGAATCTGAAAATCCATACCCCGGTCTATCCCAAACACAAAATCTATCAAGTTTATTTAAATGATACAACTCTTCAATCCATTCTTGAAATTCTTCGCTTGAAGTCAGTTGGCCCCCTTCGACCAAGACAATTGGCTCGGTGCTATTACCGTAAACATCTCCATAACAAGCAAGGTGGATTCTATGACTGGAGTTGTTCACCGGTATTAACTTACCCCATGGTTTCTCATGAGCATCAAAACTTTGTAATAATAAAGTAACACTAATACACCAAATTAGCCATAATAGAAATAATTCAACAAGGACTTTTAAAAACATAATAACTAGTTCACCAACAGTTCGTCTCTTTTCAATTCTTCCAGTATATCTTATTTCTTGATAATGTCTTGCTTCCTCGACATAATAATCAATAATTGAATTTAAAAAGGAATTCAAACACGTCCATATAATTAATACTATTCCTAAGAATCCAGATCTTGTTCTAACCAGTGATACACATAAAATCACAAGCAAATCGATTAATAACAAACCTGATATCACATATCCGACGATTCTTTCGTAGTAAGCAGGCACAACGAAAAACAAGTTGTTAATGGAATTGATAATAAGACAAATTATTACCAAGTCAATTTCTAAAAATGATTTGCCTTTATTGGTTAACCAAGGAAGAGCAAAGAATTCACTGATAACTAGTAATACAAGGAGAAGCAAGTTTAAATATACCAATACTCTAACGACTGTTTTCAATATTTGGATATTTCGAAGGTTTAATGGTGATACCATGGGGTCATCGGGATCTAACAATGGTTGCTGTTCTTCAAGTTCCCCACTTGAAGACAGGGGCATTTCCGAACTTTCCACTGGAACTGGAGATACTCGTCGTATTGGTACTTGTTTATGATGATGATCATTGTGATTATTCTGACCGATTGAGCGGTTTTCCGTCGAATTGTAGTCAGTCATGATTATTGGTAACTGATAGCCAAAAAAAAAAAAAGAAAAATGTGGAGTTTCAAGTGTTTTTATACTGTGAACATTAAAGTTGCTGCTAATTTTTAACAAAGCAATGCAACAGAATTGTTGTTAAATATCTAGCAAAACTGATGTATAAACCGGTTATTGAATGATAGAGTGTGGTTAGATTGCATTTGGAAAGTTATAAAGATTATATTCACATTTCAATACAATTTTACACAAATTTTTGCTTAACTAGCTCAAAAATAGAATAAAAACAGAACCAACTATTGTATTGTTACAACAAGAATTATTTAATAAAAGCAATACAAGGTTATAAACTCTTCATGCTACTATATCTACTCTTGGGTTAATTGAAACGATTTGCAATCAATTGGGGTGTGTGTGTGCCGCAACCGGCGATAATCGGTTATTTTGCCACAATGGTAAATTAGTTCGGCTTAATTTAATAATTTTTTTTTCTTCGTAGCTTTTCAACACGTCAAACTACCCAAAGGCACTATGTCAGAAATAATAACTATTCCTAATGAAGTTGACATAGATGGTTATACATATTATCAAATATCTATCAAACTTCCATTAAGATCATATGTTATCAAGAAAAGATATTCCGAATTTGAATCATTAGTCATAAATTTATGCCACAGTTTAGGAATTAATACTAGAGACTTCCCATATCAACTTCCTGCAAAACGAATCAATTGGCTAAACAAGTCAGGAATCATTCACGAAAGAAAAGTTGAGTTGTGCAAATTCTTAAATGATGTCATTAGAGATACTTCTATTCAGAATAACCGTGAATTACTCGAATTTTTACAGTTACCTATAAATTTTAGATTTAATAATGACCTTTTCAAACAGGATTTACCAGCACTTACCGCAGATGCTTCTGCTATAACCCCAGATTCGTGGTTAGAAATATATCGCAAGCTCAAACTGGAGATTCAACAAAGTTTTACCAATTCGTCCATTCAAGAGAAAATACAATCTAGAGATAAAGTTAATAGAGTATATCAACCATTACTAAATGAATTATCACATTCACTTCGTAAGTTGAAGTTGGACAATTCCGAAATTCAAAGAAGACATGGGTTGCTTAGCCAATTACAAGGTAGTTTACAACAAATTTTAACAAATGATTTACATGGATCCACCATATCTAAACGAGTATTGGGTGGTCAAATACAAGCTGGTGAAACCAACCAAACCTTGGCATTATCAAACGAAGAACTTTTACAACAGCAGAAACAAGTTCATAAAACTCAGGATCAAGAATTAGAACAACTCCGACTACTCATTTCTAAGCAACGACAAATTGGAGAAATCATCAATACCGAAGTTGAAGAACAAAACAATATGTTGGATAAGTTTAACGAAGAAGTTGAAAACGCCAGTGATAAAGTAAAGAAAGCAAGAGCTAGGGCGAGAAATATAAATTAATATTCAGCTATATCTTCGGGCAACACCTCATTTAATCTATTAACTAATGTAATATTGTCTTGAATTGTGGTGGGAGCAACCGTTTGGTTTAAATATCCATTTTGAAGCTTTTCAAGGTGTGCTTCACCTTCTGGTCCATTCAATACTCGTTGTTCAAATGCCCCTTTAAGTCTATCGGGTATCTTCCAAAATCCACCAATATTATTGAAAAACGGATGAACTCCAATTCTTCTGGGTGGATAAGCTCGTCCATTGTTGCTTAGATTATATATACTTGGGAAATATTGCCAATAAAATAAACTTCCAACATAAGTTCCAATTAATGAACCACCTATAACATCTCTTAAAAAGTGTCGGTTATCACTGACTCTCGTACACGCAACAAACATGGCCAAGAATATTGGTAGAATGGTAAGAAATACCTTGAATGAGTTATTCCGACTATCAAATGTTTGCAACCTGGATGCTATATTTAACGAAGTTATTGTCATCCCACAAAACACTGCTGACAGATGTCCACTAGGGAATGATCTAAATCCTTCTTGTACCAAATTCCAATTTGGTTGTGTACATATGGCAACATTAGACAATTGAGTGACAGGGATATTCTGAAACATTGGCTCGCACCTATCGATCATATCTGGACGTGGTAATCCACAAATGTTCTTCAATATACACGTGGCTAGCAATTGTGTAGCCATTGCTCCCAATAAACACATGAATCCTGACATCAAATCCCAAAGTCTTCGTGAAATTGATAATCTAGGTTGAAATATGGCAAAGAAAATAAATTGTATAATTGGTATTCCTCCAGATATAAACACTAATAAAGGTATTGGTACCGCAGACTCGGCCTCAGTTCTATATGTATATCTCAATGAGATATCAAACAACAGGAACTCATGAAATCGTGGTGGAATTATAGTACCTAACGCTGCAGATAATGTAAATAACGTTGAATAAAATAATATATCAAATGTATATGATAGAACAGTTAGACCTGATAGAGTTATAGTTCTTAGTTTTATTGGCCAATCTCTTGTAAACAAATGCATTGTTTAGCCGCTAGCTTAGGGTTGGTTGCAAATTAAGTAAATAATTTTTTTTTTGCTTTGACCAACCAAATCCGGGTAAATCCTAGGAAGGTGATGAAGCAAAGAAAAAAAAATTTCTCTGCCAGCAAAAATTAAGTTTCTTACCACCTTCTTCTTTAGCTAAACAAAGGTATGTGAAAGTTTACTACATCCTTTAAATACTTATACTGATGATAAAGTTTCGCCTATATTCGATTTTAATGAGAATACAACAAACAATTACACCAAGATCTTCGCTGAACTTAGTACTTATAGGATTTGCTTTTTTTTTAATAGTTATACTAACTAATAGGATAAGAATACTTATCAAAGTTGAGAACTTTTTGTTCATCAGCAGTATAATTATGTTGGCATCTTGAACTTCCAGTTTTTCCTTTTTGTGAGACTAGGAACATCATTTTGGTTTCAAGGCGTTTACGTAAAGATCTGTGATATCAATGATACTCCAATTTCTCTTAACCTGTTCTAATTGGTAACTGTGATTCTATCGTATGAGAACTTTTTTATAAACCAGTTAGAATATGGTGCCCAAGTAAACATGGAATTCTTGTTTGTGATAATCTTCATTGATACAACTAGTTTACTGTTTTAGCTTACCATAATTCTTGTAGTCACCACAAAACATGTTAAACATGTTTCTCTATTTACCTCCAAAGCATTGTCTTCAGCCACAGAAAATATAACAATTTCCACAACTACTTAAGACACCCCTGCATGTCATTGTAAATTGTGGGATAATACTGGTTTTCTGGGGATTCATATTTTTTTGGCCATACCAAGGGTTGGCAAAATGAACTTCCTGTGCAAGTTTTAGCGAGAGTTGTTCTACGTTCTAAGCCAAATTTGTAAGAACCGACACCATGATCTCTTGATTGTTTGTTGAAGAAACAATTAAACTTATATACAAACTAGAGCTTTATGTTGAAACAACCAATCCTGTATAGTCCGGAGTTAAGCTTCAATAAATGCCACTTCATTGTTTATGGTTCTTAGTTGCCTTGAAAAATTTCATCTCACTTTACGGCTCATGTTTACACTTCTACAAGTGACTCATATGAACTCCACACACACAAAAAAAAATAAATCTAGATCTTTATAAGAAATGGTTTTGCAGCAATTGGTACAAGGAAAAACTATCATTTTACTACACCTATAATGTCGGAATCAACACCCAAATTGTCATTCCGTGAACAAATAAAGGGGTTCCCTCTATGGCAAATGGCTATTCTTAGTTGTATGCGATTTGCAGAACCTCTTGCATTGACATCTCCATTCCCCTATCTTTATTTCATGATTCGTGATTTCAAAATCGCCAAGACTCCTGGTGATATTGCCAAGTACTCTGGTTATTTGGCAGCATCATTTGCCTTGTTTGAATTCTTATGTTGTGCTCAATGGGGAACAATTTCTGATAAAGTAGGAAGAAAACCTATTTTGCTTTGTGGGTTAGGTGGAACGGCTGTTGCTATTATAATCTTTGGATTTTCCACTAATTTCTTTACTGCCATGTTTGCTAGATCACTTATGGGTTGTTTTAATGGTAACATTGCCGTATTGAGAACTGCAATTGGTGAAGTAGCTCACGAAAAGAAACACCAAGGTCTTGCATTTTCTTGGTATTCTTTATTATGGAATGTGGGTGCTGTACTTGGTCCCATGATTGGTGGATCAAAGTATTTGACTAGACCTAAAATAGATGGGGAAGAACCCAGCTTGGTCACATCAATCTTTATGACATCCAATGGAGATCTGGCTTATTGGGATTTCGTTAATAGTCACCCTTATGCATTATCTAATATAGCCATTGGTTTATTCTGTGGCTTTAGTTTCACTATTGGATTGTTATTTTTACAAGAACCTAATGAAAGATTTCAAAACAGAAGAGACTGGGGGTTAGAAATTGGAGATTTTATATTGAAAATTTTGGGATTTGAAATGCCTGTCAGACCATGGCAAAAGTCAGAAACTCAACCATCCGAAACTACGGCCTTAATTGGTGATTTAAATTCTTCAGTTTTTGATGAAACTTCCGTCAATGCTTATGCACCCGAATCAACTTATCCTGATGCTGTTGCAAGAAGATATTCTTCCGAACAATTGGGACCCGTGATTTCTCCAACAGCTTCAAATTCAGTTATAAGGACCAACATTGACCATTCATTCTCCAGAGAAATATTCACTCCTCCAGTTGTACAAACTACAATTGCAAATTTCTTGAGTGCATTCCATTATGTCATTTTCACAGAATTTCTTCCTGTTTTACTTGCTGGACAATTCATGCCTGAAAAATTAAAGTTTCCATTCACCATTTCAGGAGGGTTTGGATATGATAGTAATATGATTGGGAATTTACTTTCAAGCACCGGATTAATTGGAGCTGTTGGTATATTGTTTATCTTTCCATATCTTGATCGTAATTTCAAAACAATTACAACATTTAGAGTATCAACCATCATTACTCCTTTTGCATATGCTGTTTTACCATTCTTGATATTTACTAAGCATGATTTCGACTCAAGATATGCTCCATGGTTTACCAAAACTTTACTTTATATTTTATGTTGTTTGGAATCTTGTTCGTCATCGGTTGGATTCCCTAATTTGTTGATGTTAATCCATAGAGCTGCTCCTGCAAAACATAGAGCTTTTATTAATGGAACCAGTTTGAGTTTAAACTCTTTGGCAAGATGTCTTGGTCCTATTGGTTGGGGATATCTTATGACTTTCTGTGAAAATCACAATATGGTGGAATTATCATGGTTAATATTAGGATTATTGGCTTTCATTTGTTGTATACAATCATTTTATATGAAAGATTATGATGAGGAAGAGGAGTCTATCGAAGTTGGTAATCAGGAAGACGTTTAGTCATAAAGACATGAATATGTTATACAAGCAAGTACAAGCTACAGCCAGGCAAGAAATGTCAGGATTCTGAAAAGATATACTTGCAGCTCTTGATTCAATGGTGGTAGTATATTCTATAAGTCTATAAATATCTAGTACAATTCTGAATACTTTTCTTTAAGGACATCTCCCCATAGTTTGATACCTTCTTGTATCTCTTCTTTACTTAAAAAGCTAATACTTAATCTAACACAATTCTCCCCCCAGTGTCTTTCATCCCCAGTTACCTCAAAGTGTTCACCACCAGCGAGAATAACACTATGTTTCTTGGCAAGAATGTCGACAATTTCCTGATGATTGGTTATTGGTAATTCTACCCAAAGGAAATATCCACCGTCACCTCCAAAGACTTTGGTTCCTTGGGGTAAATACTTGGAAACACTATCTTTCAATACTTTGGCTCGCTCAGAATAAGTTTCAATGAACTTGGAAATGATCTTCTCAATTTCTCCAGTTTGGATTAAGTCCGCTACTACCAATGTAGATAATTGTGCAGGTGTACCTCCTGATTTATTAGCGCCTGTTTCAGCTAATTGAGCTACTAATTTTGGGGTAGCTGTTTCTTGCCAACCAACGCGTAATCCAGGAGCAATGATCTTGGAAAAAGTTGCATTGGAAATTGTGTTTCCGTAGGTATTGCAATTGGTTAAACTATCTCTATCAATATGATTGAATTTGGAAATCAATGGGACGTTGGTGTAGTCAAGCAATTCATACACGTCATCACTGATAATTAATAAGTCATATTTTCTGGCCAATTCTACAAGCTTAGTTCTAGTTTTCAAAGAATATGACAATCCGCCCGGGTTTGAAAATGTAGGCACAAGGTACATAACAAATCTATAATATTTCCTCTCGCCTCTATTAGGATCAGACACGACATTAGTTCTCTCGTTTACAGATTCCAAGCCTTCAGAGTATAATTCGAGTTGCTGTTCAAGGTATTTCAAATCAATTTCATATTCTTGACCATGGGTCTCATTAATACCAGTTAATTTCCCTTCATATCCTAAGTCGATAAACACATTATTAATCAAGAAATAAGTTGGAGCAACAATGAAAATTCTCTTGGTAATATTGACATTTGAAACTGATGTTAAAATATTAGCAATACCATATGAGGCACCAGAGGTTAAATTGATACAATCTGGATCTGAAGGAGTAGTTCTGTTGAACTTTTTATCTACCCATTTACTGATGGTTTCACGCACAGCAAGATTACCTGGGTCAGTTCCATATGTTAATGGATGTTGATTTGCAGGATCGGTATCATATTCAAGGTAGTCTGATGTGGTCAATATCTTTTGATATGATGCAGCAATTTCTTTAGCAGGGAGTAATTGTCTCGTGGGATGACCTTTAAAGAAGTTAATTACTTTCGACATTATATTCAAGTTTGCCAATTAGAAAGAAAACAAGTTGCTACTGTGGTTTTCTTGACATGAAAAATTAATTGTGGAGATAATTAGTTTTTTTTAGGTGTGGCAATGCGAACCTCCATTGGGAAATATTATGCGACAGTTGTTGCCGTTCAGGCAACGTAATATTTGGCTGTAGAAGACAATGTATAAATAGCTCATTTGGTTTCAAAAGACTAGACAAGTTTGTTCTACCATCTACAAAAGTTGACTCGTCTATAGAGGAACACGTAATTCTAACTTTTCTTTCTGGAATGTCGTTTCTTTCTTCACAACGGAACTTTCACTAAAAGAACACCATTTCACCACCACTAAAATATATACACTAGAATACAAATAACACTGTTCTAAACATCAACTTATGTGATTAATTCAATATTTGAACTAGTCTTGTTCACCATTTTTGCAGCTCTTTTTCTAGTATCTTTCTCCTGCATATAACATGATAGTCATACCGCACAACCAATTAAAAAAACCAAAAATGTAACTGAAAAAAAAAGAAAACTCTTCAGCTACACCTATACATAAACATACAATAACCAAGCATGCCATCTTTATCAGGATTCTTAGTTAGTTCATTCTTAGGAGCTGCTGCTAGAAAATTACAAGTTGAAATAATCGGTAAGGTCTACCCAAGATCGTTCAATCGTGTCATTCCATATTTATTATCCATTGGGGTATTCACTGGTGGTTATCTTGCCATTGACAGTATACTTGAACGTAATAATGAACTTTTACAAAGAAGATTAGCTGTGTTACGTGAACAACGTGCATTGACTGACAAATTTTTTGATTTTGAAACTGAAATCAGAGAAAAGAGTAAACACAATCTTGGTTCATTCTGGCAATACTATGATCAATTATCAGCTCCAAGAAAATAATCAATTAGCATAAGGTACAAATAATGTCGACTGGGTTTCTTTTATGTATTCTACAAAATAATATACAAAGTTATACAAGATCTTCCTCTTCTTCTTTTCCTTTATTGAACACTTCGTCTTCATCTTCGTTGTTGTCACTGTTGGCCCCGGCATCACTGTCAAATTCTTCATCAACTTCGCTTTCATCTTCATCTTGAAAGTCGGCATCTTCTTCCGAGTCATCGTCATCTACATTGATGACATTATTATTTTCGGTGGATGTAGTTGTTGCCACATCTCCTGCTTGAGCTGTATCTGATTTTGTGTCGGTCTTTTCTTTCAATTCCTCATTATAGCTGTCATCCTTGATATTATTCAACTTAATAAAGTCGTCGATAACTTGGAAAAATTGCTGATCAATCATGCTAAATTCAAGAGTTCTCTCCTCGTTTCGTTCGGTGACAACAATAAACATGACACTAAATGTAACTCTGGTGATGTTTGTATAACTTGCTTGTTTAATTTGGGAAATTTGGAAAATTAAAATGGGTTTTTTGAATCCAAAGATCAAATATGAAGAGTTGAGAAGAAGTACCCCGTCTTTTGCTCCCTTGTGACATTCAACCATGATTAATGAGGGTGTGTTTGTAACAGATAATGCAATAGCATTATCATGGTTCAATGTGAACTTGTTGTTGAAGAAGTCACAAGGTAAATAGTTAATCATATCAATTCCACATAACTTAAATTGTCTCTTGAAATAATCAATAATTCTTTCTTGAATTGGATTAAGGTTAAGGGCATTTTTGTCAAAAGTAAACTGTGATTCAATATCGGCTGGTAATTTCCCTTGCTTAATCATTTGTTTTTTAATAATATCTAAATTCAATTGACAAATTATTGGATCAAAATTGCCATCTGTTTGCCAAAAACATAATAATACAACCCCTTTCTTTTGTGGATTGGTTGAATTTCCAAGAATGGGTAAAATCATACATAATTTAATTGTCTGGCTTAAACTGAGAATAGACACTTCGGGTGTGTTTGTAGTTGGGTTGACTATTGAAAGTATTGGTTGTGGCTTGCCATCTTGCTCAATCAAATGAAATGTTAAATTCATTCGTTTCCTCACTGGAGATTGGAATGAAATTTGTTCAATCTCAAATATAATTGATTCAGCAGGAATAGCCAAACTGTCAGTAGAACCATTTTCTGATTGCAGTTGTTCTGGTTGTGGCTGTTGCTGTGGTGCTGGTTGTTCGCTAACTTTTCTTCTCTTTGTATCAAATTGATCAGATAAGTATTCAAATAAATTGTTGAAAATTTCTAAATTACCAGCATCTTTAGCTATAGATGCTTTGACCTTTTGTTTTAATGGAGTTGGTAATGTCAGAATCCATTGTGGTTCACTCATGATGCCTTTACATATACACCCTGTCTATGTTTGCGTTGATATTTATGTCAATTTTCTCAGTATTCTTTTTTTTCTTTGGATTTGACAGACTTTTAATCACAGTTCTTTTTTTTTTTATTCTTGTCGTATAGATAAATATGTCTTCAAACACAAGTGTACTACTCGAACCCAATGCAAAGCTAATCCACTTATTACCGTCGAATTTGCAAGATCTAATTCAATATGAAACAGTGTATGATATAATATTGCAGCTGTTGGATACACCCACTAGGTTAGAGGTTGATGTTACCTACTTAAAGAAGCAACTTCTTGAAAGGGAAGAAACCATAGACAAGTCGATATTAGAGTTGACTGTGGACGAAGATAAATCAGTAATATTGTCAATGTTGTATGGATCTACGTTCATACAAGCAATTGATATAGTATTGAATAAGTGCATAAAGTATGAATCTAAAGTTAACTTGCAGGACTATTTGCGCGACCCATTACAGTACAAAAACCTAGCCAAGTTTACTATAATTGACCAAACTGTAAGCGAAAGAACAATTACAAAGTTGCTACTTCTACTAGGCTTTAAATTACAAAACGGAATTCTAATGGAAGCTGATAGCACTGGAAGTGATTCACAAGATGCTCAAGGAATAGAACATAATATAGACTTGGACAATTGGTATTGTAATTGTAGCGAATATCAATTACAATATACGAGTAATATGAAGCCAATTGAAATAACTGAGAACCGAACGTTAATTGAAGGGTTTCTAAGTCACTCTGAGTCAATTGTGCTAGAGCCAATACCGTTGTGTTCACATATGTTAGCAATACTAATTATTCTTTATAATAAGGAAAAATTGTATAGCAGAATTCATAGATGAAATAATCACTGGACCTTCCTCTGAATAATAGAATGCGGTTGACGAAATTTTAACCGCATCACGTAATGACTTTCATATGATTACACCATCTATAATAAGTAGTATTCTTGTGAATATTACTGCGGTAACGATTGCTATTAGTAGCATGCCTTCGTAAAACATCCCTTCTCCCTTTGTTTATCACCACACTTTATAATAACTGCAAAAAAAAAAATTACATACACAATTTGCCATTTTGTGCCTCGTTGGCAAATATGAGCAAATGAAAAATTTTCTGATATAATCCGGACATTAGCACTGATGTTTGGATGGAACTCTAGAAAAAAATTATTTTTGCCGACATTGTAGCCTTTTTTTTTCTGTCTGAGTGGTGGGCAAAAGAAAAATGGAAGCTTAAAAAAAAAAAAAAAAAAAAAAGAAAAAAAATTGTTTTCAACATTTCAAATTAAAAGAAAATTGAGATTTTATACATTAGTCACACCCAAGACAGCCACTACTAGCTAACCAATATATCACCCAACACACTAACATACATCACTGTATAGTTAACTAACTGAAACAAAAAGTTTTTCCTCGTCATATTCTTGCATATTTAATCACTCACACTCAAGCCTAGTGTTTCTTTCTCGTATACCAAAAGAGAAGAAACAATTTTAATACCATAGCATAGCAACAGCATACAACTAGCTTAAAGCTTCTACTAATACATCATAGTTTTTCAACTATTACTTTACTAGTTACTTTATTACCATTTTGATTGAAACAATATCCAGCCAATCAAAATCACATCAATAGTACTTACTGCATTTCTACTATTGATCCACAATTCATGTTCTATTGATAACAAAGATTCCTTTTTTTTAATTCTAATAGCTTGTAACATATTTTAATACTTACCCACATATATTCTAATCACACAATGTCCACATCAAGACCAAGCCGTTTTCGTGGTGATGCCGCCAGCTTTTCTCCAAGTCAAAACCATCATTCATACCAACCATATCCACAGCAACAGCAACCAAATCAGCAACCACAGCAAGTCCCACCACACCAACCTATACCTGTTCAGTACTTGACTCCTCAACAGCAACAACAAATGTATATGCAGTATGCACAAAGTTATCCCATGATGATAAATCCAATGTATGCACCACCGCCCCTATATGTACCTATGTACCCTCAAGACATGTACTATCAACAACCTGCATATCCAATACCTCAACAACCTCATCCACAACCGTCAACAATTCCGTATTCACCAACATACCAACAGCGCAAACCAATTAATAACAAAAGAACCCAATCATATAATAAATTTGCATCGCCAATCAAGTCTTCTACTAACACTACCAAAGAACCAGAGTCTTCCACAGCCACCACTCCTTCACCAGTAGTTAAACAGGATGAAATAACTCCAACGGCTACTTCAACTTCGATATGTACTTCTCCAAGTTTAAGTACTCCAGAAGCCACCCCAGTCAAAACAAACACGGATAATACCACTAATGACCACGAAGAAATAGATAATAATGACACTAATGAAATCAAATATCCATTATGTATAAACACGACGTATGATGAATTTACAAACATGTATGGAATCACAAAGGAAACTAGATTGGTGGGTGAAATTGAAAAAAGTAATAGATTAAGAGTTGTATTTGAACACATCCATGACAGGTTAATTATTAATACTAATTTGATGGAGGTTATTGATTACAATAACAATACTACCGTGGTAACCAATGGAAGATTACAAGATTCTGGTGACCAAAAACTACAAGCCAAGGAAATAATTACTATTCCAACCGAGGAAAAGTCTACACCGGTACCAACTACATCTAATTGGGCTTCTTTTTTGCAAACCTCGGCACGCCCAGTTCCCAACGGAACTTCCACCAAGAAGCATACTAAATCCAAATCCATAACAAAACCAATTCCAAAACCAGCATCACCAGTAGCTCCTACTCCAGACTTCAACATTAATAACGAATCATCACAACCGTTGGGTATATTGTTATTAAGAATAATGTTTGATCCAAACTATTCCGTATTAAATTCTCAATTGCCTTTATTCAACACCAAGCCTAGAGGTTTAGCCAATACTGGTAACATATGTTATATGAATTCAATCTTACAAATTCTACTTTATTGTGAACCATTTAATAGATTATTAAAATTAATTCATGATAAATCCATTGGCAATTTAGGTGCATCACCGACCCCAATGTTGGATGCCACCATCAAGTTATTTAATCAATTCAAACCCGATGAAGAAAGTAAAACCCCAATCTCCCCTGATGAATTCTATAATAGTTTAACTGCCCAACCTAAATTCCTGCATTTAAAATGGGGTCAGCAAGAAGATGCTGAAGAGTTCTTGGGTTATTATCTTGATGGCTTGAACGAAGAGTTTTTGGGGGTATTAAAGAAATTGAATACCCCGATGATTGATTCTTTGATTCAACATTATTCCCTTGAGAACGGCGTTGAAACTGTTAACAAATTCAAATACAATGTTAAGACTACCATGAAGAAAGTAAGAAATGAATCCAAAGAAGAAAACGATGAAAGCGAAGACGATGATGATGAAGGGGAATGGAATGAAGTAGGTCCTAAAAAGAAAATTCATGTTAAACGTACGGTTGAGGTTGAGCCAACTCCTTTGAACATGATTTTTGGTGGACAATTCAAATCAGTGTTGACTATTCCAAAAAGCACAAATTCTTTTCAAAAATCAATCACATTTGATCCATTCCAACATGTTCAATTGGACATTAGTGAAGCTAGCACTATTGAAGGTGCTTTGGAACATTTAAATAAAGTAGAAGCTATCTCATATAAATCTTCCAATAAGGAAATACAGATCAAGAAACAAACTTTCTTGGACAAATTACCACCAGTGTTGATTATCCATTTGAAAAGATTCAGTTATTCAAATCAAGATGTTGCTATTGAAAAATTAAAAAAGAAGATTGACTATAATCATGATTTAATAATACCAAAAGATGTTCTCTCTACATCTGCAGAAATCAAATACCGATTAACTTCTGTTGTTTATCATCATGGTAGTTCAGCAGATGCTGGCCATTATACTACTGATGTTTTCAAATCTGATGATTCACAATGGTGGAGAATCGATGATGCAAATTTCAAAGAGATTAGTACTGATGATGTACAAAATCATGGCGGTGATGATATTAAGAATGCATATATATTGTTGTATAAAAAGGTGTGATTGTGTATATTTGTTTATATAGGTTAATAAGATATTGATAAATCTAGCATATACGAGACAGCCAATTTGTAAGTTTTATTTGTTTATAAAAAGCACACACCCACTTTACCAGATCGGGAAAGATAATTATTTTTTACGCTAGATTACTAATTTACGAACAAAAAAAAAAATTAAATAATGAAAAATTTTCATGTTGGCAAATAAAATCAAAATAGTCTACAATGATTATCTGGTAATGCGTATTGACACATGTTAAACATCACACCGATTACCACATCACAAACATATATTAGCATTGTATTTGTTAATATAACTAAGTACATTGTAGTAAGTAACCAAATCAATATTTTCAAAATGCTGGCCAACAATCCCCGAAAGGGTTCATAACCAGGAATCAAAAAAATAACTCTATTCTCTAAAGCGTTGAGAACGAAGATTGATTAAAATTACTCTTACAGTTATATCTTGAACATAGCCAAATCTATATCTATTCAAACTGGATCAACCGAATACTATTTGTAACCAAAAGAAGTAAAAAAAATTATGTATATATATATATAAATTAATAAACTTTAATCAGCTTATAATAAAGCAGCAGCAACAGCAGCGAAACCAGCGACGGCACCAGCAGCAACCTTACCAGCACCGTTTTCAGCAGTGGTGACATTAGAGTAGGTGCTAGTTGGACCAGCAGAAGAAGTAACGTAAGTGGTTGGTAAAGTACATGGACCAGTGATGGTTAAAGTGGTAGCTTCAGTGACAGTGATGGTCTTGTTGTTAACAACAACGGTGGTTGGTAATGGACAGTAAGTGGTGAAGTCAGTAACGACAACTTCGGTGGTGACGGTAACATTACCGGCAGCAGCAGCAGCAACTAAAGCAGTTGGAACGATAACTTTGGAGAATTGCATTGTATAAGCGAGTGTATTATTTAGAAGTGTTGTAAAGAGAAAAAGAAGAAAGGGACCAGAATATTTTAATTTCGATTTGGGAAATCTGCTGTTTATATACTTTTCTGAGTAAAGCTGGCTAAAATGTATAATTGGCGTCCAAAGCTTGGTATTAGCAAACACAAAAAAAAAGAAATTAATATTTTTTATATTGCTGGCGGATGACATGGACCGCTTAATCCGTAAAAAATATTTATTTGATATTTTAGGAAGGTTGCATACCAAATTGGGTTATGAGATCAACGAAAAGGGAAGTACTTCACAAAAAAGAAATTTTTTGAGCCATTCAATTTAATGGGCATTGTCTGAGATTAATAGGGGATTAGATCTTACGAGAGGTTACAAAAATAGAATATCTATTTTTAGAAGTGTAATTACGTCGTCAAATTAACAAGAGAATATCGCAACATGATAACACATTGGATTGCTTTTTTTATTGTTAATAGTTAGGGTTCAAGGAACACGTTGATCAGATGATTCGGTTATTTTTGACAGCAATGGAACAAACTTTTATCGTTCGCGAAAATTTTATGCATTGACTAAATTTTATTTCAGGAACAATGATTACTAAAATAGACGGACCAGCAAAATTTTTGACGGTATGAATACTCATTGTGATTCCAAATCACCTTCTGTAAACACTGTTATCTGAGTTAACTTTTGTTTAGTTATCTAGCCGGCAATTTATACCACGTGTAGTTTGAAATCAGGCTACCTCGAATATTCTATCACTGCCACGCCAATTCTGCAACTCGCTAACTTTTCGTGTTGTGAATTGAGTCTTGATACCACCTGACTGACGCGTGGGAAAAAAAAAATAGATCTCTGCAAGATGCAAAATTGATAAATCCGTGTCGTCAGGAGATGGAGTAACACGTTGAAAGGTTGTTGGTCCAGAATGGTGACTGCTTCGCTACAACAAATATTACAAATTATTACCATTAATTTATATAATTCCATATGCAAATTCTATCAAAAAAAAACAAGAACTAAAAAAATAAAAAAATTACCAACATTCATACCCACCATCAACAACTAAATTATGACCAGTAGTATAAGAAGAAGCAGAATCACTAGCCAAGTATAAAATTGAACCAACAAATTCCTTAGGTTCAGCCATTCTTTTCATTGGAATCTTTCCTTCCCAAGCATCTTTCATTTCTGTGTGACCACTGATAACATTTTTGGTCAATGGAGTCAAGATATAACCTGGGGATAAGGTGTTAACTCTAATGTTATACTTAGCCCATTCACAAGCTAAAGATCTGGCTAAATGAATGACGCCGGCTTTCGACATATTGTACATAGCTTGAGGTTGAGGATCGTTAACAATAGTACCAGACATGGAACCAATTAAGATAATAGAACCACGCTTCTTGTTTGCAATTAAAGGACGAGCAAATGATTGTGAAACATAAAAGGAACCTAATCCATTAACCTTCATTATGTTTTCAGCATTCTTAGCTGGGTATTCTTCAGCAGGGAAGTTTTCAGCATAACCAGCACTGTTGATTAATAAATCAGCAATTTTACCATGATGTTCGTTAATAGCAGTAAATGTTGCTTCAACAGATTCAGCATCAGCAATGTTACATGACCATGCAGAAACCTTACCGATAGGTGATTCATGAGCACCTTTAAGGGTTGCACCGGCCCATGCCAATACATCCTTGGCAGCTTGTTGAGTTCTTTCCAAGTTGATATCAATCAAGGCAACATCGGCACCTTGAGCAACTAATGCTCTGGAAACAACTGAGGCTAATCCACCGGATCCACCGGTGAGAATAGCTAATCTTCCATCTAATCTGAAATTAGGAACAACGTTTGAATAAGAGTCCATTATGAATATAATATTATTAAATATGTTTGAGGTTGTAACCAAGTCTATAAGTGAAGAAATACTTGATAGCAAAAGTTAAAATCAAGAGAAAATGGAAGGAATGGGTGCTATTTAAATCATGGAGATTAATATTTGCATGATGGAAATGCTTCCTCAAACTAACAACATTCCGCCGACTAAAAAAACGATGACCATAAAAAAATAATCACGGAGAAATACAACTAAACTAATGCAAGATGGCGAAACAAGAATGTATAGTGAGTTAAAGTGTCTCGGGAGAATTTGCCCCCACTATGATTTCGGTAGAACACTATATTCAGTGGAGTTGATGAATGGATGTAAAATAGTTGATTTTGCCAGCAGAAAAAAATCGGAGTGGTGATCGGAAGAACACATTGCGAGCACTCAAAATGCTGCAGATCCGAAAAAAAAAGAAAAGATCGACGGGAAGCCCGCCTGAAAAAAAAAAAATCTACACAATAGCTCCTTGTTTGTATGGGTTAATACATGGGAAGATAAACCTACTCTATTATAGGGGGCTTGCTCAAACATGGTTGTGCACGCTTTAGCATTTTCCCGATTTTCTATTATTAGTAATTTTTAATACGTTAATTTTTAATTATCGGAATAACTCTCTTGTGATCTAAAATAAAATATTTTGAATCAAAATCAGGAACCGTCCCCCACATTCTCCATGTCAAACTGTCAGACCCTAATATAGTATGGAATTTCAAGATATGGCTTACCTTACTTGTGTAGATATCTTGGCGTGAATGACAAATATGGATATTTAATTGTAGCAAGATATTTTCTTTTATCCGTAAGTACAGCCATGCAACTACGCAAAAGAAAAGTAGTTAAATGTTCACGTTCATTGGCTGCGAAATTGCCCATAATTTGAAACAGAGTGATATGACTTGTAGTATTGGGTGTGATGTATATATTTTGACTTGTTGAAAAAAAAACCTGTATGCCAGGATGATTTGATAAGTACTTCTAGGTATCTGTTTCTTCTATAGTTTTTGCAAAAATTCCCCGAAATTATGTTGCAATAATTAAATAAAAAACGATTAACAAACTTGATTTCTTCTAATTATACGAAGAATAAACAATATAAAACTCTTGGATTTTGCACTTCAGTTGGTGGTATGTAACGATCATTTTCAAAGAACGAAATACTTATTAGAAACAACACAGTTTTGAATGTTATAAATATTTTTTAAATTCAAGCAATTTGTTTAGCAGAAAGGTTAAATTCTTAACCATGCCTAAAGGCAATTAGAATTCTCTAGAACATCCGTATAATTACAAGTGACATCTTTAAGGAAATTTCATTTAATATTTAAACTATTTAGCTCACTTACAAAGTCACCATTAAATCAAATAAAACAAAGATCATCTTCAAGATAAGTTCAAATGGTTCAACTTTTTAAAAAAATGTTGGAAATTCAAAAAAAAAAACAAAAAAAATACTTGGAAAGTAGTTAAATGAAAGATTTAATATTTTCAACCTAGAAGGAATATGATTTATTTATATCCTATTCATTTGACAGTTGGATAAATCCAACTCAATGGATTTCTATCCAATTTACGTAACTCACGTGGCAGATAGCCAATCACGATAATTTCTATTCTTCAATCTTTCCCACCAAGCTCCGTTAAATTATCAAGCAGTTTATTATTCAATATTGCAAACTCATGTATATTACAATGTTACTATTAAACCCGATTTACTAACTTATGAATCATTTACGTTGGAAAATTTGTTATCTGCGTTCAATGATATTTCTAGATTTTATAACTTCTCAGGAAACGTAACATTCAACTAATCATCCAATTTATTATTTGAATATTTTATATTGTTAAGTTTGGGATGATTTTTTTAACCTTGAATCTTCCAACTTCTGTTGTATTTGGTTTACATCCATATCCAATAAATATAAAATTTTCAAATTAGGAATGGTTAAAATATCATGAAAATGGTAACCAGTGCAACCTTGTAATACTACCTCTAATTATTCCACTTGGCTAACTGTACTATTATAATATTCAAATATAGTATCAACATACTTATAATCTGGTTGTGAAATCACAAGAAGTAAACGTTTAGGAATAACAGCATGAAAACTTACCAAAAAAAAACTGAAACGTAGCCAAATGATTAAAAGTAATTAACTCACGTTTTGTAAACAGAGTGAAATAATTATACTCATTCAGCGACAAGATTTACTGAATAATGATATTAAGCTCTTTAGAAGAATAATGATCTGTGAGGAAATATTGAATCGTGTCATTATGGAAGTACATAAAGGACATAAGTTGATCAGCCGTGAGCGAGTCAAATATAAGGATTAAGATTTCATTGGGAGGGGGAGCGAGGTAAGTATTGATGAATGTAAATAGCCATCCACCCTGGTTGATTGGAATTGTGGTTGGTAAAGTAAATAATATTGTTTCCGATTTGAGACAATTGCACAATATTGTGACGAGCAGGTTCGATAGATTTTTTATACAACTGTGTTTTTCTCTTGTAGAATCAATCAAACTGGTTCAATTCTCTCTTATAGAAACCTTTCTTGTAGAAACAATCACTTCATTGATCACAGACGGTGACATGCTTTGTTGCAACCGAAGTTATCATCAGTGTAGATTCCTGTCATAGTTTAAGTTTTATATCCTGCATATAAACATACATAGTGCGATCCTTGTTTTGATTTTGTTTTCATCTTGTTACTTTGGCAACAGGCAACCACAGTTTTATTTTAGCCATCCTACGACTCAAACTGAGTATGAACTTTCTACGAAGATTGATTGGTACAACTACTACTGATGAGATTGCTCTGATTCCATCAGGGAAATTCTATTTAACTCGCTCCAAGAACTCACCCAAGGGGGCTTTAGAATGTCTATATAATGACGCCTTTGCCTCAATCAAGCAAACCACCACTCCTTTCTACTATCAATTGTTCATAAACCGTGTTTGTCAAGAAGGAGAAATCGATGATGTACAAAATTTTGCTGACTCTGAAGACGATGAAGAAAGTACCAGTTCAAGAAAGGATGATCCCAAGGATGAATGGGTTTTCCCTATTGAAGAAAATTTAAGGATTTATACTTATCATAAAGCAAATGGCACCAGGATTATGGTATGGAAGGATTTGAACGGGGATATTGGAGATAATTTTGAGTTTATTATTGATGAAGATGTTAGATTGAATGATATTGAAACGTTCATGTTTACTATTTACAAATGTATGTACGAGAACAAATACAGAACAAGTGCTCTAAGAATTAGAAATATGGACGAATTAAAAGAATTTATATATAATCCAAAACAAGAATCTTTAGGATTGGAAGGTTTGCAAGAAACATATGATTCCGAGGAAGAAGATGAAGAGGAACTTGATGACGTTTAGATTGTAAAAGGACATGAGGAATATAACGGGAACAAAAATCAGAACATGTCTATACAGATGAAAATGTTCAGTGTTACTCCATTCCAGCAAGACAAGGTGATATCAATGTTGACTCTAACAGACCAATTGGTCCTTCCAACAAAAAAATAAACCTCAGAGAAAAACAGTTGAATAGGTTATCCGATTTCCAATATGACTATTGATGCCTTTCAACTTTGCTGAAATAATTTATCAGAGTTCAATTCCACATTTGGTAACTTTCTGAAGTTTGCAACCACTAATATGTTACCATGTGTGTTGCAGTAAGAGGTAAGGAGTTAACATTCCTGCCACAGAAATCTCGTTCAATAACGCCTAGGACCAAATATAAGCACTCGCTTCCTCATACAACGAGGATGTGATAGTAAATTATACCCATTTACCCCATATGAGAGTAGTTAGCAGTAGAAATAGTAAGTTTAATCTTTTCGTATCTAATCAATTATAATTTAGCCTAATCATACATTCCTGCATATAGTCAATTAATTGTGATCCTTTTTTTTGGGGTCGTTTGTTTTTTTATTACAGTCATGAACTACGCAACGGCAAACGTAAATTACTCTACCATCAATTGCTTCCGAGTGCAGCCAATAAACATGAACTTTATTCGAAAATTCATTGGTACCACTCCAACTGATGAAATTGCTCTGATTCCATCAGGAAAGCTTTATTTAACCCGCTCCAAATATTCTCCTAAGGGCGCATTAGAATGTCTCTATAATGACGCATTTGCCGCCATCAAACAAACCACCACTCCTTTTTACTATCAATTGTTTATTAATCGTGTTTATCAAGAAGGAGAACTTGATGATGCTCAAAATTCAGAAGATTCTGAAAATGAAGACGAGTCAACCTCTTCTAGAAAAGACAGCCTTAAAGATGAATGGGTGTTCCCCATTGACCAAAATTTAAAACTCTATACCTATGAGAAATCCAATGGTAATCGGGTAATTGTTTGGACGGATCCAAATGGTGATGTAGGGGACAATTTTGAGTTTATTGTTGATGAAGAAGTCAGACTGACTAATGTTGATTCGTTTGTTCTTACTCTTTACAAGTGCATGTATGAAAACAAATACAGAGCAAGTTCGTTAGGATTTAATAGTTTGGATGATTTGAAGGATTTTATTTATGAGCCAAAACTGGAAGCTTTGGAATTGGAAGGATTGCAAAAAACGTCTGATTCAGAAGAATTGGACGAAGATGAAATTGAAGAAGTCTACTTTGAGGGTAGAGAAACTCACGATCATGGGGTGGATAAAGAACCCGAAGAAATCCAGAAGAAGGAACAAAAAGGTGAAGATTTTCATTACGACACTACTCCTGAACCTATGGGTGAAATCAAAGCTCAAACTCGCAATATTAGTTTACATTTGTATAATGCAACTACTGGAAGCTTTGTTACTAAATTAGAAGCACCAAACGTTGAATTAAAAATAATTGGTCTCGGAGCGTTTGAAAATACGTTGTTTATTCATAGTTTGGATCCATCTACCAAACTAAGAATTAACGCCCCTTTAAACAGAAGTATGAGTCCTACTTTCAATTATGAACATTTATCATTCATTTTCAACCACTATATTGTTGAAGGAAGTGAACTTTCCGGTTATTCTTGGTTAGTCAAGTTCCCAACTTTTAATGATTTATCAGATTTTCAACGCAAGTTTTTAGGATTGATGTATGAAACTTTGAATAAGAAGATATGGGGTGAAAAGAGTGAACAAGATTATTTCGTTAATGCATTCTCTGAGCTCACAGTCGATGATGCTGAAGATTTGACTTCTGAAGATAGGGCTGAATTGTTTGTCGATGAAAGTGAAAGTGAAGAAGACGATGAGGAAGAAGAACGTAAGGTTACTACCAAATACCAAGAAGATGAAGATTATTTTAAAACATGGCAAAGCTCCAAGGATAAGAATAGTGATTTAACAGTTGGGTTAAGCAAAGGACGTTCCTATGTCGTTAAGGGAGACAATTTAGGTGTATTTAATGAAGGTGACAAACAGTTATATTTCCAAACAACAATATCCAATTTAAAGGATTTACATGGTAACAAGTTCAATCCAGATAAAGTATTACTTCACCAACAAGATCAACATATGATTATGTCAAATCCAAAATTCAATGACAAGACTTTATACAAGATGGACTTAACCAGAGGTAAAATTGTTGAAGAATGGAAGGTTTCCAATGATATTCCAGTTGTTTCTTATGCTCCAAAGACAAAATTCTCCCAATTGACAGATGAACAAACCATTACAGGTATTTCATCCAATGGTCTATTCACAATTGATCCAAGATTACCTGGCAATAAACTTGTTAATGATCAAACTTATAAGTCTTACAAAACTAAGAACAACGGTTTCAGTACATTGGCAACAACCGAGAATGGTTATATCGCTTTAGGTAGTTCTAAAGGTGATATCAAACTTTTTGATAGATTGGGTGTTAATGCCAAGACTGCTTTACCTTCATTTGGAGATGCAATTCTTGGGTTGGACGTTTCCAAGGATGGTAGATGGCTATTGGTTACCTGTGCAACTTACTTACTATTGATTGATGCCAAGATTACTCCAGGGCAAAAGAATGAAGGTAAGCTTGGTTTTACTCATTACTTCGACAAGGAAAAGAAGCCAATTCCTAGAAGATTAACTATCAAGCCACAACATGAAGCATATATTACTAGAGAAAATGGAGGAAAAGCCTTGAAATTCACTCGTGCTTATTTTAACACTGGTGTAAATTCCAAAGAAATGAGTATTGTTACAGGTGTAGGTAGTTATTTGATTACCTGGTCAATGAATAAAGTATTAAAAAATGATGCCGATCCATATCTTATAAGAAAGTTCAAACAAAACATTGTTGCTGACAATTTTAAATTTGGTAGTAATAATGAAGTTATTATGGCCACTTCCAATGATGTTTCTATGATCAGCAAAAGGAAATTAGATAAAGCAAACAATATTTTTGGATGATCCGATCTCTTTATATAGTTAATAATATTTATTTTACATGAAAATTCGTTCCACTATAGCTATTTATATGAACCTTATTCTCCGACTTGACGAAGAATTAACTTGAACAATTTCTTCGGAGTCAACAAAAGAATGACTGCTTGAAATTATCACGCCATACGTGCAACAGCTATCTCTCATCAGAAATAATTGCCCGTGCAATTTGGACAACTGATGAAGGGCATATGAACAACTTTTGTTCTAGACCTTCCTGTATTAGCCCATTTACCAAAATTTAAAATTTCGTTTCATTTCGTCCAACCAAATTATTCTAAATGCATTAATCTTATGCCATCTTGTAGGTTTGTAAGTATGTACATCAAATTCCTTAACCTTGCTAGCCTCTGGGAATTCTTCTAGCTTTATTCTATTAATTTTTGCATGTACTTTCCGAACCCATCTGTGAAAACCGGGTGAATCCATTAATAGTCGGTATAGATATTCTTCTATTGATCTTGGTGGCGGTCTCATTTGCTTATCTAATAAGTAAGGATCATAGTTCTTGAGTTTTTTCTTTGCTATTAAATTTTTTTTTTTTGCTAACATAAAATTCAGTTTAAATAAAACTGCCGATGTGCAGAAGGATTACTTATGTTCAACAAAAGGATTATATGGATCCAGCAGAGTATATCCATTGAATACAGTTGAAGGGAAATAATAACACCCATATTCCCATGACTATGACGCAAGAATTCTCTAAATTCTTGTCAAAAGTCTCCACCACTTTTAATTGGTAGCAACTTGTTCCTCAGAATTTCCATTTTCGGACTTTTTGTAAACAACAATTAAACAACAAATTATCATACAAAATTCATGTTCTAATTGTGATGATTAAAAGGAACCAAGAGATTGCACACAAGAAATATAACAACACAATAATTACTTATTTTGCAGAAACACGTCTTTTTTTACATAATCAAATGAGCATGCAAATATCCAATATATCGAACGACACTATTATTCCTATTGACGAATTTCAGATTGACTATAGTGAGTTAATACAAGATGATGCACAAGACCATATAAATGAAGCAGAAGAATACAATCACACAGGCACATCTCTTCTGAGGATATCACTACCTCCAAACACGTCACATCATAACCAAGTCACGAATGAATTGTTTCAAGTTACCAATAGAGAAAGCTGGAATTCAACACTAAGATCCAGAGAAGGTATCAATAACTTCTTGTTTGGCTCTTCGGCATTGAAGAATGACAAAGTAAAAAAGATGATGCAAAACATCAGCAGTGAAAAGGAAAAACAATTAGAAGACAACGACTATGAATTGGATGATGTGGTTAGGGTGGGGTTCTATCGAGGGAATATCAGACGACAATTCAATGTCGATAATAACGAAAAAATAGATAAACATATGGATAACTATTTAGGTCCTTCTAAACAAATGAATCAAGAAAATAAAGAAAATCAATATCCTGAACCACTCAAAGCAAAACGAGGATTTAGTATAACCAAACCTTTATCCAATAGAAATTCTTCCATCCCAATCCTCAAACCAATACACCAAAATGCCAAAACCCAAAAACTTGAATCATTTCTTCGAAACAGCTTACTAAAATCTCCAAAAAGAATATGTTCTCCCAGTCACCGAATAATTGCACAACCGGGAAAGTCTGTGCTTAGACGGAATGGACCTGCGTTTGTGGTGGAATCACTGACAGGGCTAATTAATGAAGCTACCAAGTTTGGTACAGAATTGAATACAGCAAATTGTGAGGGGTTCCCATTTCCAGAAACTGAATCAGAGATTGTCCAAATTCCTACCAATGAGGACAATTTAAATAAAATGGCAATAATAAGAATGATTAAGAATAAACAAGCAACCAATAATGACAAAGTAAGACAAGACCGATCTGGGTTTTATAACGAATCAGAATTTAAAGAGTACAGGGAAAATCGTGCGCAAGCACTAAGTGAATCTACTGAAGGTGTGCAACTTGTTAGTCAGAATATAAACAGTATTCAACAAGATCGTCCGACATTTCAATTACAAAAAGGATCTAAACAATCTAAGAAATCCGTCAAATGGGCAGATAATCTAGAATGGTAAATAGACTAAAAAAACTTTTCAATATACAACGTTACATTGTAATTCAAAACGTCTGTATCTATTTTTTTTTTTTTTTAGGCTGTTGTTAAACGGTACCTTTGATAGTTACGCACGCGCAGTGATCTCCGCCAGCAAAACAAATCGAAATTTTCAACAAAATTAATTTGACACATTTCTTTATTGACGACTTAATTTTTATATACATACAATTGCGCCAACATGTCTACCTTCTTCGATGAAATGAAATTGTCCTTTGCCGACGTTAAAGTAACTGACGGTAAGATCGACACCAATGATTTCTTAATTGCTTCAGAATCCTTAATTAAATTGTTTGACCTTTTGGGTTCTTCTGCCTTTGCTGTAGTTCAAAATGATATGACTGGTAATGTCACCAAAGTTCGTGCTAAGTTATTAGCTGAACCAGCCAAGGCTGCCACTTTGCAAGATTTGATTTTATCTGAAGCTGGAACCAAGAACAAAACTGCTACTCAAGGTCTTTTATGGTTATCTCGTGGGTTACAATTTACTGCTCAAGCCATGAGAGAAACTGTCAACAACCCAACCTCCGAAATGACCACAACTTTCACTGATGCCTATGGTAAAACTTTATCTCAATATCATGGTATGTTGGTTAAGCCAATTTTCAGATTAGCTATGAAGGCTTGTCCTTATAGAAAGGATTTCTTTGCTAAATTGGGTGCTGATCAAGAAAAGGTTGAACAGCAATTAAAGACTTGGTTAGCTGCTTTAGAAGAAATTGTCAAGATTATTATGGATTTCTTCACTTCTGGAAATTATGGTAAGGGATTATAAGTTTATTAGACTAAATAGATATTTACATTGTCAGATGTACTGTTGCACACACACATTCTATATTTACTCTGTATGTTCGCCATCTTCATCAACTCTTTTCGCTGCTTTCATTAATTCATAAAGTTGTCCAATTTGGTCAGGGGACATTTTTTCCAAATCCTCATGTTTTAATTTATTATGTAACCAACTACCGTGATCTATTTGACGTAAATAATCTTGCCATTGGGTTAAAAATGCAACAATATGTAAAGGATTATCTATCTTCTTATGTGCTTTGAACTCATCCTTAACATAATGATCACCCAATGAACGTAGATCCTTGGGCAATTTATGAACATGTGCTCGTAATATACTACGGTATAATACTAATGGTGGAAGTAATGGAGATTCATTTCTTGTTGGACGGCGTTGTCTAACTAATCTTACAGCTGTTGAACGCATTGTTTGCTAGGTATATCCTATTTGGTCAAAATCATTCTCCAGAGTTTTAATTTTTTCAACAATTCTTTTTTTATTTTTTTTTGACATACATACAAAACTGCACGTGATTGGCAAACCTTGGATAACACATATCAAAACAGTTTCATAAGGCAAAGATACAGGTAAATAAACAAAAACAAAGGAAGAGGCTCCACAATGTCTATCATATAGGCTATTTCACTCAGAATGAGCGAACAATACAGGAATGTTGCTAAATTTAAAAATTTTCATATCCCATATCCGTTATATCCCCAAATGATTCTTCTATTTTAAGCCAAATTCTTGCCAAATTCTAATTATATCATCAACAACTCTTACCGAATTATTACCAAGTTCGATAAGTAACCATACATAATCCACATGTGCCTCCTGTTATAGGTATCTAACAATTCTATTCATAGAACAAAAAGTTTTCTCTTGGCTCTGCATTATACCCTAAAATTTCCCGATTGGGTGAGATCTCGTTTGGAACACCCGCACTTATTCCCCAATTGAGAAAAAAATTAATTTGCCCCAAGGAACTTTATTTACCGTAAATGGTGAAGTTTGCACCCATTAATGTTGCACTACTAAATATATTAGCACAGTTATATATGAAAGAATATACGTTAATTTCCTTTTTGTAATTCGTCTAGACAATCTTCGTTACTCATTTACCAGCTACACATTGACGAAAGGGAAGACAGCCCAAAATGAGAATAAAATCGCTAGCCGAATTGACGTTTATGTCAATATTGGTTTCAATTGCGAATGCCGAATTGAATAAACCAGTTATTGAAATTGATAGAAGATCTTTCCTTGGCGATTTGTTTGGCGTGAAAGCAAATGCAGCCGTCTCTGCACCAGCTGCAGCCGTAGATGTTCAAGCTCAAATATCAGTTAATCCATTAAACGCATTCAATTTTGTAAATGCATCCAGCTCAATTGTACCAGAGGGTGTACCATCTTCCACTGAAGCATCAACATCTATCATTGAAGTTTTGACGTCTTCCACTGAAGCATCAACATCTGCCATTGAAGTTTCGACGTCTTCCACTCAAGTTTCGACCTCATCCACTCAAATCTCAACTTCCGCTCAACCAAGTTCATCTAATGCCAACTTATTTCGAGTTTTGGGAGAGCCTAGCATTTCTTCAGATGAACCTGACAATCAGGTAGCTGCATTAGCAGCTGAAGCTGCCGATGCTACCGACTGTAACATTACTGATGAAGATTGTGAGTGCGAAGAGACAACTACCGAAGAATGCGACATATGTGAAACTGAACCTGAGGTACCAGAGCCCAGTACTACCAACAATGGTGGAAACCCAAATACCAATGACAATGAAAACGCTACTACTGATCCAATCATTGATCCCACTACTGATCCATTCATTGTACCCACCAGTGATCCATTCATCGACCCTACTAGTGATCCAATCATTGACTCCAATACGGACAACAGTAATACCGACGAGGGAAATTCTACCATTGATCCATTCATTGATCCAACTACTAACAATGGTGGTGATACCAATACTGAGGATAGTGGAAACCCTACTACAGATGCAGGTGTAAACACCAACACAGACCTAGATCCAACAGATACAGATGAATATACAGATGATTGTGAAGAAACTGGTTTCACTGACCCTGAAACCGACCCAAATGATCCGTCAGTTACTAACCCAGGAATCAACACTACTGGTATTGATCCTGTTGATCCTACTGATCCTGCGGTTAATACTAATACTGATGATGGTGCAAATTCCAACACTGATACTGGTGGTAATACCAATACAGACGATATAGGAAACAGTAGCATTGGTCCATTGATTAATCCCACTACTGATTCAGACCCAACTGATACTGATGATTATACTGATGACTGTGAAGAAACAGGGTTTACTGATCCTGAAACCAATACCAATGATCCTGGAGCTAATACTACAGATATTGATCCAATTGACCCTACTAATACTGTAGTTAATACTAATACAGACGATGGAGGAAACAGCAGCATTGGTCCATTGATTAACCCCACTACTGATGAGGGTGGGAACAATAGCACTGAAGATGAAGAAAGCCCTACAACGGGCACAGGTGCCAACCCCACTACTGATTCAGACCCAACTGATACTGATGATTATACTGATGACTGTGAAGAAACAGGGTTTACTGATCCTGAAACCAATACCAATGATCCTGGAGCTAATACTACAGATATTGATCCAATTGATCCTACTAATACTGTAGCTAATACCAATACAAGCAACGGAGAAGACTCCAGTATTGATCCATTCATTGACCCCACTACTAATGACGACGGAAATACCAATACTAGTAATGGAGAAAACACTGTTACTGATCCAAGTTCCAACACCAGTACTGATACCGATCCAACTGATACCGAGGACTATACATATGATTGTGAAGAAACAGATTTTACTGACTTCGAAACCAATACTAATGATCCTCCATATACTGACCCTGAAGCTAATACTAATACTGCAGATGGGGGTAACACTAACACAGGAAATGAAGGAAATACAGATACTGGTGCAAACCCAACTGACCCAAATCCAACTGGTGCAAACACTACCGATCCAACAGATCCAACCGGAACTGATGATGACTATACTGATGATTGTGAAACCGAAGAACCTACAGGAACTCCTACTGGAACTGGAGGAACTGCAGGACCTACCGGAAATGGAGGCACTAGAACTGTTGATCCTACTGGAACTGGAGAACCTACTGGAACATCCAAACCTACAGGAACTAGTAAAACTGAAACTGATGATGATTATACTGATGACTGTGAGACAGAAGAGCCTACAGAAGTACCTACAGGACCCACAGGAACCGTTGGACCCACAGGAACTGCTGGACCCACGGGACCCAATCAGCCTACCGGAACTGTTGCACCTACTGGAACCAGCAAAACAGGACCTGATGATGGTTATACTGATGACTGTGAAACAGAAGAACTTCCCGGAGGACCCGGTGGCCCTGGTGGACCCACGGGACCTAGTCAACCTACTGGAACTGGTGTGCCTACAGGACCCAATCAACCTACCATACCTACTGGATCAACAGGACCCAACCAAACAGTACCAGGTAATGGTTATACTGATGATTGTGAAACAGAAGAACCTAATGGAGGACTGAATGTTCCAGGAGGTAGCCCAGGAGGTAGCCCAGGAGGTAGCCCAGGAGGTAGCCCAGGAGGTAGCCCAGGAGGTAGCCCAGGAGGCAATGAAGGAGCTAATGGAGGAGGCACCAAGATTCCACAATCCTCTATTCAAACTGTTACTACTGGAGCTCAACCAAGTTCTGGAGGACAGCCTGGCACCGGAGAAAACCCTCAAACTGTCGTTGAAGGCGTTGGTTCTCGCACCAATATTAGAATGTTATGGAGTGTATTGACTTCCTTGGTTACATTGGTAATTGTATGAGAGGAGCGACTATACATTACCCGTTTGATTTTCGACTTTCGATTATTATATTTTATTTTAATACCACGATTTCTATATAGTTTATATTTATACATAATATGATTTTTTATTATTTGTGAAACTTCCCCTACTTATAATTTTTTTTTTTTTGTTCTTAACCCATAGTAAAACATAGATCTTATATTGCCACCTATTATTTTGATCTCCATAAACAACCACACACACCCAATACAACAACAATGGCGGTGGATAGACAAACTGCTTTCTTAATTATAATAATGATTATATTCATTCTAGTACCCACTGGTAATGATCAGCCACATTCGTCCATGGAACGACAGACCCTAACTACTTATCAAAACCAGTTACGAACATCAAGGGAGATAATGTTCAATTCTACTTATAAAGGTGGTTATGGTAATATTACAGGGTTTCAATTATCATATGATGATCACGTTCTGGGGAAAAAGACGAAGGATTGGCCCATTCACAAATTCACCGATAAATTAAAGTGGGAAGAAATTGAGAAATATTCGGTATTACCTAATGATGTAAGCGAACGAGTCCGATCGTTCTGGGGGAAGGATAGAGTAGAGGATACTGCAGGCAGTTATATGTTAAATATTTCGGGTAGAGCAGAAGGCGAGTTTAAAAATGTGAAAATTTCAAATGTTAAACCGGTCAATTTAGTTATTCCGCAGTATTTGAAGGATTATTATAGCTCCTACAATAGAGATATCCCCACAGATAATGGAAATAATGATGATACCATACCTGATAGAGACCAAAGTGACTATTTTGAAAGACCTGTTGACAGAGTAGGTAACATCACAACTGGCAATGGAATTATAAAGATGCATATTTCCGGATTTGATTACAATTTTAAAAATCCCGAGTTCTCCAAATTCATATACAATGAAACAACCGATAGAATTGACGATGCGGTTGTTGCCAAGATAGACCTTAATTTGCAAGATTATCCTGAAATTCAAAGTCATGGACTCCAATTACGTGGAGTCTATTTCCAAAAATTAGGCGCCATGGTAAGTGCCACTAACAGTGCTAAATTCTTTGGGGATTATGGGCTAAGTCATTTAACTATGACTAAAGAAAATTTTAAGATTGCCAATAAGCTAATGAGCCAATACAAGAATATAACTAATTTGGAAAGAGATATTCTAATGGATGATGTCCATGGTTCAATTATTCGAGCTCAAGAAAAATGTGAATTTATATCTTTTATTCAATTTGAGAAAACCGAATATACATTTGATGAATTGAGAATGATTGATGAAGAATTGCGAAGACCCACAGGAAGACCCATTCCACGAGATATACCACAAATTTCCGTGAAGGAATTCCTTCTTTATTCACCAGATTGTGGAATTATTTTGACAAATAAACCAAACACCTCATTTTCTGGTTTGCGTAACGAAGTTTGGATTTCTCAGTTAAGAGTTGGTTTAGTAGGATTATTAGTATTGGTGTTCTGCCAATTAATGTTATTCTTGAGACAAATGCAACAATCCAGAACTCCAGGACAATTATCACTCATTTCCAGCACGTCTTTGTTCCTTTTAGGATTTGAAGATTCTACATTAGCATTAATCTTCTTTTTCCTTGCATCTGTAAGTGAAGATTTGTTCTTGATTTTGATTGCTATTACTGTTGTTACATTTATCATGTGCGGTATTTTTGAAGTGAGATTTATGGTTTCTGTTTTAACCACACAAGCCAATGAACAAGGTGCGTCATGGTGGGAAATAATGAGAGGAGGAGTCAATGGACAAACTCGTTCTGAACCAACTGAAAATGATACCGGGCCTATATTGCCAATTGCTAATCCTCCCCCTGCCCCTGCCACACCTCAAGCCAACCAAGTACCACAAACAAATGCCGATTGGCAATCAAACGGAGCTTCAAGTTCAATACTTGGAGTAGGTATTACCTTTAGCATAATATTTATGTTCATTATATTCAATTCATTCACGTGGAGATTAACATATCGGAAGATCACTGAATATATTGGATTTATATTTATTAATTCTTATTGGTTGCCTCAATTTTTACGTAACACATTGAAGAATCGTCGAAAGGCATTTAGTTGGGAATTCGTGTTTGGAAGCAGTGTAATACGATTACTACCAATTTATTATGTTTGTTTATACCAAAACAACCCATTAAGACATAGATTTGATGGTAATTTAGTACTTGCTGTTACTGGTTGGGTATTATTCCAAATTATATTATTAATATTACAATATAATTTTGGACCTAGATTTTGGATCAATGAAAAATGGCTACCACAAGCATATGATTATCAACAAATTCTTTCACTTAAAGATTTGGAGACCAAATTTGCTAGTGATATTTTATCTAGTATTAAACCCCAAGATGAAAACAATGAAGATGGGATAATGGAATGTAAATCAGATTGTCCCGTTTGTATGAATGAAGTGACATTACCTATCTTGATAAAACCCGATAATAATGAAGCAATCAAGAAAATTGGTCAAATGAATAAAAAATATATGATTACACCCTGTCATCATATTTTCCATGATGAATGTTTAGAGAATTGGATGAAGTACAAATTACGTTGTCCAATTTGTCGTGAAAGTCTACCACCGATATAAGAATATATATAGTAGTGTACATAATTGGTATTGGAATTGTCATTGTATACTTTGCAATATGTAGAAAGATTGAAGGTTTGAACGCAAGACCTATTTCCTTGTAGATCTATTGTTCACTAAAAAAAACGTAATCAGTGCATTATCAGTTGCCAAGAAACCATTGACATGGACCTGAAAAATTATTAGTTGATTCATTTATGTACTACTGATTTATTTTAAGTTGGTAATTAAGATTTTAGTATAACGTTGACCTGGCAATTAAAAGACAATTTACTACAAGGTAAATATTCAGCCCTGCATGTTGCCTTGTTGCATTTCCGAATACGAGGCACATAAATAATAAACTGTTTAAAATATTGCCAAGAAAATTCGTACATTTGATTTGAGATATGGATCGCCAGAAAATATCGAAAATATGATTATTAGAACAAAAAAGAAATTTTAGTAGCACAATAAGTTTTCCCGAAACAGTTGAATATATTATATTAATCCTAATTAAATGATTGGTCCGTGTTTTGAGTCTAATACATGTATTAGCTTTGAAGAGCGGCAACGGTATGAAAAGTGTTTAAACATCTAACAAAAACCTGCTGCAAGTAATATTCCGTGTTAATGAGGAGGTGGTCTTCTCGATTCATGCATTTAAACCTTTCCAAGCTGGAAACTGGATAACTGACTCTAAAGTCAAAAAATGATAGTGAAGAAAACAACTTGTTGCTGTCGATAGTTCAAAATCAGAGAAATTGCAAATACCAAAGGAGAAATGACATGTCTCAAAGAAAACTAAAGTTGAAGGTGGTAATGAGTGGGAAAGATCCAAGGGTCATCCTTGATCTAAGTATCAATACTGCAAGTTTGGAATTAAAATAATTCACGGAGGAATTATCCATTCAAGTTGGACAAGAAAACAACAGCTGTATTGTTTCATGCTCAACATCGAATGATAATTTAATTCTATTCTTACCAGATCAAGCTCCTCATAAGACATTTGAATATCTCAACCAGTTTGATATAGTTTTGCTTCGGTAAGTTAATTTTAGATTCTACGAATTGGGAAAAATGAGACATTTTGAATCATTATATTAGAATGATAATAGGAATACTAGTATTATAGACAAAAATATTTACGTTCATTTTATTCTTTAATTTCACTTTGTTGAATAGAATCTATCAATTTGAACGAGTATGTTGTTTACCTGAGTTCAAATTGGTTAAGAAAATCGTGTTTCAAAATTAGAATTTGAACTTTTATGATTAATATATCATTAATTTGGAATATCCACATATCAGACCTCAGGAAGATTTCAATGTGGGTTCACCAAAAGTTTTCACTTTCAACAAGAGCGGTCTGTTGAACTTACGTAATAAATACTTACTTTATGCTATTAAGGATAACTCTTCAGTGATGAAATTGTCTACAGATGGTGCTTCTTTACAAGATAGCATTACCTTGTCCATGCGTACCGACTTTAAAGGAATTGGGTCATTTCAAATTAAATCTACAAACAAAGGTACATTTCTGAATTTTCTAACCAGCGCTGGGTGCCTTAATCTCAGAGAATTATCATTGGAACTTGCCGAATTTAGTAATGAAAAAGACTTCAAGGTTTCCAATCTAACTGAAATCAGATCGTTCAAATTAAACTTATTTATCTCATATAAAGAGTCTAGAGCTAGCTTGGAATCAATATTTTATTTACTATTAAATCAAATTCATTAATCAATTAGAGGAAATTTAATTGATCTTCGGGAAGTTGTCCAGCAATCAAAATTGAATGCTTTACAAACTATTTATGTTTATAGTTTGGGTAATTACCAATTCCTCAACAAAAAAACCAGCAACACACTTGGAAACTAGAAATATACTATAGAACAGTTCTCTTTTTTAGTGATATTCAAGGGGGAGTAATACCGATGCAATATGATGATATTAATTTGACAAAATTTTCAAATTTGTTGATAGAACCGGTCCAAAAGCATCTTGCAAAATTGCATTGAAATCTTGTCATACCCCAATATATAAAGCAACTCATACATATTGCTCTACTCATTTACAGCGTTCTCAATTTAAGGTGTTTAATGAGGTACCTGCCTCTTTGAAGATTGAAAACATCTTAGAAGTATTAAAAAGATATAGAGTTGCAAGGTGCGTTGTTGTTTCTGTTGTTGAACGCAAACTCTTTACTGCGAGTGGAAATAATCAGGAGAGGATAAATCATGTCACAGTTAATCAGTATATTACATCGATATTATCTAGAATGAATGGTATGACAAGATCAGTTCTTAGTTGTTGGTACAGGATTTTGCAACTTAATCTCAACTGACTTGTATGCAGGTTTATGTTTACCATGCGACATAAAAATTACAAAATGTCGGTATGTCGTCTTACCATTAAGGAGTTGTAGTAGCCATGACTCCCTCTTAAATCGTAACTAAGTGGTACAGATATCCTGTGATGAAGGTTTGATACCAAGAAAATTAGCGCGTGTATTAGCCACCCTATATCGTCAAAGAACTTTCATATGTTTTCTTATGGATGTGCTTTTCTTGTCTAGTCTTTTTCTTTTTGTTTGATATCAACACCCCCTTCTACAATAGGCTTAAATGGAAATATGCAACTTTATGACCCAGGCGACCATGTACTGCTGGAAGGCCAATCCGAAATAATTATAAATTATAATTGTTCGGCAATTTGATTGTGTTTACAACGAGAATGTGACACCTACAGAAGTGGTCATGTAAGAACCCTGAAATGACAAATAATATGTTTACGTAAGTTTGATGGATACCATGTAGGAATGGTGATGTAAAGGGGGCTCACCAGAATTAGGTCATACATTTCTACACTTCATTGTTGAACGTGAATTAATCAGAATTTCATCAACGTTACAGTAAAATATTTCAAATCAGATCTATCTTCTACTGCCTCTAGTTTATATCGTTCGTACAAAGCAAATTAATTAGGGGTCGCAAAATGGTTGTGGTAGGCATCCTGCATAGCAGCTACTTATCAGCTGTTTTTTCTTTTTTTTTTTTTTTTGCCCTTAATTTATTATATTTTTTTTTCCTCTATTTTGATTTTTCTTTTATATAGCGGAAATTAACCACAGCACCCGCAATTAAAACTTGATTGTTGCAAACGAGGGCTAAAAAGTGGCCTGATTTTTAGTTGAATCGTTTTTTTTTTCTTTTGCAATTTTCCGCGCCCAAAAATTGAGGAGACTACTCTACTTAATTGGTAATACACCTAGCCTGACAGGGCACGTTGACACATATAATACTAAATACTACTTCTTTTTGACGAAATTAAGGGAAATAACCGGGACCCATCATAAAAATTCATATCTGAACTACTACCATTTCGTCAGTTATTTCCGAATTTCCTTCCCAAGATTTTATTTTCTTCGGATTTGCTTCCGGAGTCTTACGTAGGGCGAAAAATATTATTTTGGCTGGGAGCCCCCCCTCCCATTCTGGAATTTCAAACTCTTTCAAAAAGTTAAAAACCCACACATACATACACATACACACATTCACCTTCTTTAGGAAAAGTTTGACTTTTGCCTTGCGCTATATATATCATTTTCTTTTTTTTTCCCTTTTTCTTTTATTACCATTGATTTTACTTTTTGGATTTTCATTTTTTAATTCTAATTCTGATTCTGTTTTTCTTTTTTACAACCCTTTTTCTTACCTAAGTTTTACAACAGTGTTTACTTACCTGCTATTGAACACATAAAGACAGGGTAATAACTCGTCTATCATATAAGTAGCACCAGCTTGAAATCTCATACATATATTCTCAAATTCAAACCGAACAAATTAATCTGAAATACAGTGGCGCCGGAAGCACAGTAAAAACAGACGGGAACGACAAGACGAATAAATTTTACACACACATTAATTTTAACAAATCAACGCCCAATCAATCTACGAAATGTCACATTTTGATACCGCATTCACTATGAATGCTCCTACTAACGACACTAATCTCATGAATGGTAGAAATGACGCCAACCAGCAAATGTACTTTAATTTTGACGATGCAGATGAATTTTTGGATGTCATTTCTGAAACGTACACCAGTAATCCATCTGATAACAACAACAACCTTAGTCAAGCTAATAGCAATGTCAATATAATAAATCCTACTATGTTCTCACCGTTGTCTGCAAGTGGTGACGAAGCAACTAGATACAACAACTACACCAATGGTCAAGCTAATACCAACTATTCTTCAGATAACAACTCTGTTGAGTGGAATGACTACATTAGTCCAGAATTAGGTGATAACAACGGACTCTTTAATGGCAGTGGTAGTGCTAGTGGGGCTGAAAATGATTTATCATTGGATCAAATATTATCTAACGATACTTCTAAGAGATCTAACTCCACTAGCTCATATTCTCATGATGAAATCACACCAATTACAAATCCTTCATTGGGTTCTTCAACTTATACTTCACCGGAACCCGTTATTAAACTGGAATATAGTCAAGATAGTTTAAAACCACCTACATCCAAATCCAAACCAAAGAAAGCGAATGGTATCACCAAACCTAAATCCAAAGATAAGAATTCTCATAATATGATTGAGAAGAAGTATAGAACCAATATTAACTCCAAGATTGTTCAACTTCGTGATGCAGTTCCATCTCTTAGAATAGCTGCAGGGAGCAATGATGTTTCCTTGGCTGACTTGGAAGGATTAACTCCTGCTTCTAAATTAAACAAAGCCAGTGTTCTTACCAAAGCTACAGAATATATTAAACATTTGGAAAACAAGAATGCTGTTTTAAAGGAACAAAACTTTAGGTTGCAAAGAATGATTCAAGAAGCAAATTTGAATCCACAATCTATGCCTAGAATGATACAGCAGCAACCAATCCCCCTTCCACCTCAACATCAACCACACCCACATCATCAACAACAACAACAACAACAACAACAAGCACCACAACAGCAAGGATTTGCCTTTTACCCTAATCAATCATTCAACACTTCTCCTCTGCAACAAGGATATCAATACTCACCCCCTCCACCACCACCCCAAAGCCAACCTCAGCAGCAATCGCAGCCTAATAGATTATTGTTGGGAGGTATGGCTGCAGTTATGGGTACTTCATTATTTGGAGGTTCTGGTGAGAATGATTTCCGTAGTTTGGGAGCTTTACCATTTTCTTATTTATTGCCTAATAGCATCCTCAACCCAAGTCCATTGACTATTCAATTATGGAACATGACCAAGTTATTATTAGTACTTGGAAGTGTAGCCAGTATTATAATACCCATCTTCAACCAAGTAAGGACTCCAGCCAAGAAGAATAATAACAAAAATAGCTCTTCGCATCCATTAATAGATTGGTTCTTGATAAGCTTTGGTATGAAACTTCCTAATAAATTATCTCCTGAAGAACGTACCCTGATCATTGGCCATTTACAAGGTTCGGCTAAAGGTAGTTGGTCCACTTTAGTTTCTGACTACTTTTATTTAAACACTTGTGAAATTAATTTTGAAAATTGTTTCTTGTCATTATTAATTGGAAGAATGTTGCAAAGCAAATACACCAAATTCACCCCAATTATTAACCATCAATTAATGATGAAGGCCGGGTTATTAATGAATCTTCACGATAAAAGTGATGATAAGTACTTGAAGAAATTGAACCAACTAGTTGGTAAGGTTGACGGTATTTCCATGTTTGCCAGTGAAGATTTAATTGCTCGTTTAACTAATGTATTTGAAGGTAAGCTAATTCATAACGGAATCACTGATGGTCAAAATCATATCAAATATGTTGAATTGTATCAGGAATTCCAAAATGATTATTATGGTATTGTTTTAAACTGGAGATTGTTGGAAATTATTCATCAATTGAATTTGACGTACCTTGAAGAATTGAATGAAGATCATGAACAAATTCTTAACGATGTACAAACCATTGAAAAGATTTTGGATCAGAAATCCAGCATTTACAAATACTTTGAATTATTTGTTACAATTATTGATTCTAAACGCTCCCCAAACTTGTATGCTTCATTAAGAGGAAAGGTCCAAAATTCATTAGATAGATTCAAAGCGGAAATTGAAGGCTTAGATTTAACTGATCATGAAATTTACAACACTTCAGACGAAGAAAATACCGAGCTTGAAGATGCTCCTCCAGCCCCACCAAAGGTTAAGCCTAGTTTACGTGCTCAAAGAAGTTTAGTTGCTTCTTTGGGATTAGTTGATGAAGAAGAGTTTATCATTTTAACCAGTTGTTTGATTTTATACTTTACTAGTCTTCAACAACCATCTCAAGCGCTGAGATTATTGTTTTACTTGAAGGATTCTAGTTCCAAACTCACTTTACTTGGATTCACTGCTTTGGTTACATTGATAAATAACTTGAAACCTACTGCTGATGAGGACTCGGAAGCATTGGACATTTTAGTAAAGAATTGCCGTGAATGGTTAAACGATACTAAATTAACTGACTTTATGGAAGTTGAATTACGATCCGAATTAACCAAGATTGTGGTTAATAAAGGTATGATTTTAAATGGAGTTGAGGATGAAACTGAGGATAATGTTGTTATAAATAAAGATTGAATAGAGTGAAGCCCATATGCTTTGTTAATGCTTTCGCTTGATTTTAATATGTTATATGTATAGTTTTCTTGTTTTTATATCATAAAATTTATAAATAGTATTTATTTCTTGTTAATACAGTTGTCATTCGTTAAGTGTTATTGTTGTAGAACTCGTCTTTAAAGAATATCAATTGTTTGTAACTTGAGCAATGTATCATAGAAGCTTGGCTAAGCGCATAACTTACAGCCGATTACTATACGAAGTTAATACTCCTTATCCGTAGCGACCGTAGTAGATTGCTATTTCAGTATGCACAACGATCTCACTCAAAGAGCATTTTAAATAGATACAATAGGGTCTAATTATAGACCCTTAAATGCGGGGAATCACACGAGTAAGACCGTATTGCTTTCGAAATGGGCAAGTGGGGCACTTGCCAGGTTTTTGTTTCAGTTTGACATTTGAAATGGGGCCATCCGTATTTACACGATGTCATTGTTCCAGCAGTTGAATTATAATCAATAGGGTCGTGTAGCAATGTGTAAATGTGTTGATGTCATTGCTTGCAGCAACGCACATGAAATTCCCGCATGGAGGTGTACACGGAACATGCATGTTCGCACAGCCCTCGAGCCACTACAAAATAAATTATTGTGGATAAAAAAAAAAAAAAAATTTTTTTTTTCACTAGTAAAAACTAACTGTTTCGGGTATTAATGAGGTCTGGGGCTAGTTTCGTTGTCATTACACCGGGGGGTTGCGGTAGGCTACAATAAGATCTGGGTAGACAATACATATTTGATAGGTTGCTAAATGCTGAGTGTGATAAAATGAACTAAGAGATATAAATCTTCGGCACTACCCCCGAAACCTTGGGGTTTATAATTAATTTTTAACGTTTCATCGTTACGTAACTCGTTGTACGTTCCAGCCCCCCTAGCTGCATTATTAATCTTGGATTTGTTCTATAATTCCAAAATTCATCTCAAACTATTTCATATTCATCTTGAATAATTTTTCAATATTTTTTCAGTCCAGGCATTATTTTTTCCCACCAATTAGGTAAATTTCATTGTACTGGTGCAGACAAGTAGAATTCGGTGCATGACCCGATCAGATTTTATTTTTTACTACAATTGTTTTCGCCCAGCTAATTAAGTTTCTTTTTTTATGGACAATTATTTGATATGCATGATCGTGCAGGAAATATGTGATTAATACAAATGACAAACTGCATATGAACGGCACTCCGTCGCCTTAAGATCATGGTAAATTAGTTAGCAATGTTAGTCCAAAAGTAAGTTCCTGCCGAGAGGAGGCGGTATTAAGGTGACACTGAACATGCGTGGTTGTTTGCAAACATGCACGAACCAAGAAAAAAAAATGCGACTCAACCCTTTGAATTATTTTTAACTCAGTTATAAATATTTATCAACTTCAACCACAAGATAGAAGAATGTGTGTACAACCACATGTTATCAATAGTATTGTAAATGCAAGAAGTCCGTCTCTTAAAGTAAAATCGACTATTGTTAGATTTTGTACACAGATAGTAATTACGTAATTTTAAAGTTGGATTATTTTTGCGAGATTGTTCAAATTTCATTGTTTCACCAATTCTACCGAGACCAGTGAAAAAATGAAATCTTGCTTCTAGAAATCCGCTTGTAGAGGGGGGGAGGAGGGATGAAAAATTTCAAGTGAATTTCAAAGGCGAACCAGGTTTTTTTCCTTTTTTGGGGAATAGCAAATGCCTTATGCTGTTTTATTCTTGCTCTTTGGGATCGGGAGGTTATTTGATAATTCCTGCATGCTTAGACAGTTCGTAAATAAGCACAACTTCTTTTATTTAACTCCCATGGCATATGTCAGAAATACATACGGCAAACTACCGGATTCACCGTGATTGTTTTGATCTTTTTAATTAGAGTTAAATGCGCTTTGGTTATCCGAATGTTATGGTTTCACTGGATAATCAGAGTAAATTATCCCACGGTTTAATAATTACCCACTAAGAATAATTTTTAAAGTTTAATTATTTTTTTTTAGAAAGGTTTTTTTTTATTTTGTGGTTTTGGATTATTTTTTACAACCTCTATTCAATATTTTTTATCGTCCTTTTTTTTCGTGTTATTGCTTGTAGGCATCGAACTGGTGATTTTCATGTAGCCTTGATTACGCCAACCCCAGGTTTGTTTAAGAAAGATAGTTTGCTAGGTCATTGGAAGAATTATGGAGTGGTAAGTAGAGTATCTGAAGACAATAGTGCGGAATGACTGGATGTGACAAGAAACAATCAATTATCTCGGCGCAGTTGGCGATGGATCCCATTTCCGGTCACGATTAGCATAGAGAACAAATAATTGTAAACACAAAAATACATCAAAGGTTGATCTTGGAAATTGGTTTTTTTTTTTTTCTGTAATTCTCGTAATCATAATTGAACTGAACAAAAAAAGAAATGTCATGATGGGATGTCATGGTCATCTTATGTTTTCATTTGCGTGTGACTAGCGGGCGGAAGAGGGTGTATGTACCTGATTTAGGTTTTCTTCGTAGTGATAGTGTTTCTCAATGACATAAAAACTTAAAAGTGTATATAAATCCAGTTAATTATTAATTTTTTTATTTTTTTTTAAAAATAAAAAAAACCTTGCATAAATCAAGTGCATCCATCACAAACTAAAAATTTATCAGTATTCTTTCTTGATTCATAATAAATACTGAGATATACCCCACCTGCAAGTTCTATTTATTAACACTTTCAACATAATCACTTTGGAAATAAAACGACTAGTTTATACTCTGTATAATCAGCTTTACAAGACATTTCCACAAAATCGAATTTTAGCCAGTGCCATATTTCCACGTTTATTTTTTTTGACGCAAAAAAAAAAAGACACTACGCTCTCCGATTTCACAACACCAACAAGTACACCCCGCTGTTTCCACTATACCCCCGAAACAACCATGATGTCCGATTCTGAAGACTCATCTTCAGATCCAAATGAGTACTCTATCGAAGATTACTATAAACTAGTGCGGCCATTATGGGCTGCAAGAAATATAAATGCCAATTATTTAAACAATCACAAATTGTTACGAACGTTGGTTGACTTCAGTCTATCCCATTCATTGCCACTTAAAAATTTACAAAAGAGAGAACTTGAACTCGGCGACATAATACCCACCAAGATCAACTATGTCGATACCCTAATTATAAAATCTAAAAACACAACCGATAATGAAGGTTTGTTCCAGTATAGTGGATGTTTCAGGCATCAATTTGTGGAATTTTGTCCGCATTTAGCGATATCGGCTTACTTGTTCAGTAGGTTCCACATACCAGATGAATATGGCTCGTTTGAGTTTATATTAAGCGATGCCACTAAAAGAATATCTCTAGAGGAAGTTAAGTTGCTAAAAGGTAATAACAAACTATCAGCAATCTCATATAGTCAACAACACAAATCTTCCATAAACGCTTTGAGTATAAGTGGGTTGAATTATAAAGATATAAACCTCACTAAGCTCCTATCAACTCAAGATTTCGAATACACTGAGAAGGCGGTACTGAGAACTTTGGATGGTTTACCCCACCAAATAATGTTGCAACTAGCCGGGTTTGACAGCTTCCAAAACTACAACATACCTCGTAACGCTATCGAACCTCATCAAGAACTACTTGATCTGATTTTTCCATTTGTAAACCAGATAACACCGGAGTTCTATAACGAAGACATGTTGAGAATTAAGGAATTGCTCATTATGCTACGCAGGAGTTTATGTCAAGATATGGTTGTAATTAAACAAAAGTATCCATTGAATCCATTGTCCAAGAGTGATATTTTCAATTCCCGCGAATTTGAGAAGTTTAGTAAACAAGTAGAAGATGCTGGTGAGTTAGATGGATGGGTTCATGATTCATGTTTCTCACCAAATGATACGAACGAGGACTTGCCTCATGATAATTGGCCAGTTTTTCAAGATCCTGACTCCAAGGCTGAATTGCAGCGTGTGATTGAATTTCAGATGTCTAAATTGAGAAGCTTAGATAATCAAGTGAGCTTATATGCGCAAGAACAGAGTCATATGTATTCGGTGCTTTCCAAGTTTATTGAGACCCAAAATGAAGTATTCCAAAGACAAAGTGAGTATATGCAAAGAGTTCAAAATTCTATAAATGGGTTAGTGATCTTAATGTCGTCGAAAAATAAAAATACCATTCCCCTTGCACAGCAAAGTCTTAACGAGACGCGGAATTTCATCAATACGGTAGAATCAACTAATCTCAAACAGGGATTAGACACAACCATTGAGTTGTTGGCGAAGTTGAACTCTAGCCAAATGCAACAGTATCAACTTCAACAACAGCAAGCTCATCAGCTTCAACAAACCCAGCCACATTCAAGTGTAATACCCATCACTAATAATCATCCTGTTTTCAACATACATGCTGCTACGTCGCCTTCCCTGAAGTCTCTTAGTCCAGACCCACAGCTGCAAACTCCAATGTCACCAGTTCAACTTGAACGTCAACGTGTATTGAATAGAAGATTATCAAGACAGGCAACTACATTGTTTGAAATGTGGGATGATTTCAAAGGATTAGAAAAGGAACTAAAGGACCATGAAATCACCGTTACTGAGTGGTTAAAGGTTCATGGTAGTTCTGAAAGACAATTTAGACATACAAGATTGAAGATTATCAAGTTTATTGAAGATGAAGCCCAGAGAAGAGGTACTACAGTTGAATATGTGAAGGAAAGATTGCATAACAAGATGCGGAACAGGTTGAGACCTTGGACTTTGGATGAAGTCCAAAGAATGTTGACTTCGGGGAAGAGAATTAATCTTGACGACAATAGATAAAGGCAAACTTAAAAAAAAAACAAAAAAAAGTTTTATAGTTTGGTTTTAAAAATCAAAAAGGTAAAATGGTATGGGAAACGAACATTAGGTATACAGGCGGAGGGGTTATCAGTAATTGGTTTCCCATGTAATATCTAGCTATTTATTTTATAATGTAATTGTATTATTTATTATTGAAACTTGCAAGACGTGGCAAGCTTTAGGATTTATGTTTAAACTTTTTCTAAAAATAACTTACACTTGGAGTCAATAGTTTATAACTGTAGGGCGTTTACCTTTTTGCTATAATTTTGCATATGAACCTAGTAAACGTTGAATTAGGTTTAGGTTTGTTTTTAGATTGGCTGCAAATTTAAGGTTTTGTGTTTTTTTAGTTCAAGAGTGACGGAAAAAAGTGTTAGATTTTGAGTTACAAAATATGTTTAACTACAAACATCGGTCAACTATCATCAGATTTCAGAATTTAAACCTTAAAACTGGTTAAGCGATTACGTTATACTTCATTTCACCTCGGTCTTTAGGATCGCATGTGAATGTGCCTATGAGTAATCGTTTAGAAAGAACTACGACTAAGCTTTTGTGATTTTTCGATTGTGCCGTCAATTCACGTAACTATAACTGCACTAGTCCAAGTATTATATGCAATAGGACAGGGGCTTCCATAGTTTAGTTGCACTTGTATAACTTTGATTCCAACTACTCCATTTGGGTTACTGTAAACTATATTGTAGTGAGTGTTGGATTGCTACCGCAAACTCTGGCTTAAGCACAATTATAGTTGGAATTTTTTTTTAAAAAAAACAAGATAGAACTGTTGAATAATATGAGTCGATTTAGCATCTAACAACTTTATTACAACCAATCCCAAAACAACCCACTTTAGCGGTTACGTAAATCCGATCGGGTTTATGCGCAAATATAACTTTTTCTTTTGTTGTTCCGCAATAATTTTTGTTCGGCTTTTCCCGTTTAAGAGTCACCAGAAAGCTATTGTTCGCCGGGATCACCATGCGGGGGTGACATTGATCAACCATTCCCACAAATGAAACACAAATGTACATCTGCTCTTTATAGACTTATTACATAACAGTATGAGTTCAAGTTCAGTACGAGACCAGCCATCCAAAGATGGCAACCCCTTTGAGGAGATGATAATCACGGAAGAACCAGTGGCCGTGAAATATTCAAATTTTTTGAAAACGATAGTGAGCAACCGATACGGAATCCAAGCTGTTCTCGCCGGGTTCTTGTGTAATTTCATGGTATTTGGTATTGGATTCTCCTACGGTGTGTTTCAGGAGTTTTATGGATCAAGTAAAGGTCCACTATACAATAAATCTGAATCAATGATTGCATTAGTGGGTACCGTGAGTACGGCGCTCACCTATATCTGTGGAATCTTCAATAAATCCCTAATGTTTTATTTGTGTCCTCGAAATGTAATGCTAATAGGGTGTGTGTTGCTGTCGCTTGGGTTGGTATTGACAGGGTTCGCCAAGGTATACTATCAGTTTATTCTCTGTTCCATTTTGCAAGGTATAGGAGGAGGGATTTTGTATTTACCACCAGTGGTGTGCGGACCAGTGTATTTCGACAAGCATAGAAGTTTGGCCAGTGGAGTGTTGTTTTCTGGGACTGGTGTAGGTGCATTCGCCATGGCTACCTTCTCCCGGTATTTGATTGAGCGAGTCGGTTGGCGATGGAGTTTACGGATTCTAGGATTGATGAATTTGGCAGTTTGCGGGTTTGCCAGTGTTCTTGTTGTTGAGCCCAAGATTCAAAATTTCAGAACCAATAATGCCTTGATTAATTTCAGTCAATTGAAATCGGGAAAGGTCGGACTACAACTACTTGGCTCGTTATTACAATCTGCCGGGTATTTGATGCCGTTAATTTTTATGTCGAAATACGCTGTGTCGCTAGGTTACACCAGTAGTCAAGGGGCATTGTTTATTGGTATAAGTAATGTCGTGAATGCCGGTTCTAAGGTGTTCACTGGTGTGATTGCAGATATGTTGGGGCGAATGAATACGCTCATGATATGCAGTATTATCAGTGCTATCGCCATATTTGCCCTTTGGCTACCTGGTATTCGTGAGACATTCATTAGCTTGGTGGTTGTGTATGGTGTCTTTTCAGGAGCGATCATATCTTTGCTACCACCATGTTTAATTGAATTGTTTGGTATTGCTTCATACACACAACTAAGTGGCATAATGTATTGCGCAAGAGGAATAGGAGTAATTATTGGGTCACCTATTGGTGCTTTATTAATCGAAGGAAATGGTGCATTACCCAAAGACTACATCAATGCTGCTATTTACAATGGTGTTCTACTCAGTGGCTCTTGTATTTGTCTAGGATACTTGTGGATACTTGCATTTAAAGATCGAGAATCACGATCGTGGAAGTTATAACCTCTAGATATAGACCTATATATCAATCTCTTTAAATGTAAATGGTTCATACACGTACCCTTCACCTTCAAAGAACTTCGACATGGCTTCAACCCAATGCAATCTCAATGAATGCAACATGGCTGACGTACCTTCCATCAACACCAAGATACATACCGTCAACAGGAACCACATGGCGAATAATACAACCACCATGATTATCCCTATTGTTTTATTTTTACTAGCACCAAACGCATTTTGAATTGTCATTGACCAAAGAACAGTAGATAATTGCGCGTGGGCTAATGACAAAGCCCATAATCTCAAATAGGAAGCAGTGTGACTTACACAATTCAAACAAAATTCAATAGTATGAATCACTTGGTGGATAACAATATCTCCAAAGTTAAACTTGTCGTGATCGTCACCATGGCCAGCAGCAGAATGAAACATTGGTTCGATATCATTAGGGAATCGGAACTCATCATCAGCCAAGAAACTATCATCATCATCATCATTTGGATCATTGTTTAATTCCTGTTCAAATTCAAGAGCTCGTTCTTCTTCGTGTAACTGGAACGAATGATGACGTTGAGAATGGACATCAGAGTATCCTAATTGTATTGCCTTGTCATTCTCACGTTTCAACGTTAATGGTTTGTAAATCAACAACCACGGAACACATACAAGAGCAATCAATACCAATACAATTTGGATGAATTTTTGGCCCGGATAAAGCTGTTCTTCAATTGTCCCTGGAGATAAAAACATATTAATCAACATGTTCAATAATCCTGGTGGTTGTCTACCAGTACCAAACCAATCCACGGTCCATTTGTAAAGAATAGTCAAGGAAAGATATCCAAAGATACTCTGCATAAACAAGAACCCGGGAATGAAATTCCCAATGATATCCACTTTCCTTTTGAAATATAAATAATTCACCAAACTAAACATAAGTGAATAATTCATATGGGTGTATCCCATAAGCACCGATAATTTCATCTTGTATGAATTAGTAAATAATAAATTGTTTTCTGTGCCATGCCAGGCCCAATCTAACCCAAACGGATATACTTTCCCCAGAATCTTTTCCGCAATTAAGGTAACTGCTCCATCTTTGGCGAAATCGTAGCCCTTAGGGAATGTCCATTTCCAACCAGAACTGAAGATTTGAATCGATTTCGAAAAGATATCATTGTAGATTAACCCAGTATATATGGAAAAGAATCCCATAAGTAAAATAATGTATCTTCCATTGAATGCCATTTCGAAAATTTCGTCTTTATTTCTCATGGCGCCAAACAGGATTTCATTTTTGATCAAGTAAAGTGCACCTAATAACACAATGAATCCATGACCCACATCACCAAACATAATGGCAAACATAAACGGGAAGGTGATGATTGTGGCTAACCCAGGGTTAACTTCTTGATAAGTGGCAATACCATAAGCGTCAATAATCAGTTGGAAAGCTGATGTAAATTTGTTGGTTCTATGGAAGGTGGGAGGAGTTCTATTGGTGGAAAGTTCATTAACAACCGCAATTAAAGTACCATAATCGTCTTCATCATCTTCATCGCCAATTTCAAATCTGGAAATGTCGTGATCACTGGTGGTGTCGTCAATGGCAAATAACGAAGTTTGAGTTTCAAGAGTTCCAGTCGATGAGAGTGCAACCGATTCATTACTAGAAGCAGTGAGTCCAGCATTAGCATGTCTTGTCTTTTCCTTGACCAAATTGCGTAATGTTGATTGAATTTTTGTAAACTCCGATTTTGGAATCCACCCTTCACCAACAAGACATCTTCTAGTAGAATCCTCATCAAACTTGTTCAATGTTTCAAATATCAATTTCTCTCGCTCAATTATGTAGCAATAATCGGGATATGATTCTTGGAAAATTTTCAATTCGGTAATTAATTGTTGTTTTGTGCTGACAACCACACTATTTAAGTCTTCAATCTTGTTATTCAATTCAATCAAGGTAGCCGATCTTGTATCTGCACCTCCGACAACATTATCAAATATAACACCATCCAAGGATTGAATGATTTTGCGTACTCTTGATTTCAAGAGATCCCCATGAATGAAAATAATAAACACATTCTTGTCAATCAATTCATCAGAGCTGTCATTGACAGGAAACTGTTCGTCAATTTGAATATCATGAAAGAATAAATTCCCACGAAGGGTTCTCCAAAGGATATTTCTTAAAATGGGTACTTTATCACGGGCGATTGTCCCTGCAATTGAATCAAATGCACCATCCTCCAAATCCGCTTCCTGTAATCCCAACTCTAAACTTTGATTTCTTCGTTGTTGGTCATTAAGCAAAGCAACACTATCATCTTCTATACTAGCACGATTTTCAAGTGAGTGACGTTCCACTTCAGTGACTAAGGATGACCGGTGGAAGTCATCCACTATATTGACAACATTTCTATTCTCCACCTGTCTGAGTTTCTGACGATTGAGGTTGTTGAAAGACAAATCCAAATGCTTGATTCTATCATGGAACTCGTCAAGTTTCTGTTTGAGATCATCCATGGCTGCCGCAGCAGGTAATGGTTTCAAATCAGCATGCAAGTAGGCTCCAACGAGATCAGTCTTTATTGTTTCGTGTCTCACCATAATCTGAAACAATTGGTGTAATTTTGTCGACATGATATCAATCGACTTCAAATCATTGACAAATGTCCGTTGAAACGGAGTTAATTTGGAGTTCAAATCTCGAAATTGAACATTGCCCAAATTCCCCAATGCCCATACCATATCTCTGGCTAATTCAATGGTGACGTAGAATTGCACTAATGTCATGGGTGCAGATCGGAAGATTGCTTCTTCCGGCGCTGTGTGTGCATTGAGTTTAAGAGGGGCTATGTTTGTATCTGAAGTCGTGGAACTAAAGAGTCGAAATGGAGACATCGTGGCTCGTGTATGTATATGTGTGTGTGCGTTTGCGAGGTCTATAAGCTTGTAATCTATCCGTACTATCTCCTTGACACTTGACCCCAGATGAATATGTATGTTTTAATGGTATGCTAGATTGTACAAGGTACTGGATCGAAATGGTTGGTTACCGGAGTAAAGTGTTAGCGCGGAATTATCCCAAAGGTGTGAAGGCGGTGAATTTTTTGGCCACATAACCGTCTTCGGTGGTGGGGGTGCTTTTGCAGTTTGGACTAACGTGCAAATGTGAAATGTTTGCACATTACGTGGCTGCTTCCTTATTTTTTTTTGCATGTTGCTTTCTAAGTTAAAGACTGACGTAGACCGATTTAACCATTGCTAACACCACATATCGCACAACTAACCACTATGAAGCTATACAATTTGCTATGGTGGTGTCTAGTATATGCATCACTAATACATGCTACACACTCCGGAGGACACAGCTACTATAAACAAGCTAAAGCTAAACTACAATCAATAAGCAAATCGTATACACGAAATACAATATACACCTTAGATAACATAGACGGCAACTTGTATATACCCCAATTCAACAACGAAACCAAAAACTATGACCAGAACATCTCATCCGAACTTAATCCTACCCCAATAGAACTAACTTCTGAAGTTGTTCCCTTGCTCGAACAAGCAATTTCCCTTAATCATACCCGAGCTATGGTAATGTTGGCTGACTTGTACTTGTTTGGTAATTATTCCATGCCCACCAATTACACCAGGGCCAAGGAATTATATCACCAGGCAGTTTCACTCTCTGCCAACGGCCATGCTTATTTCATGCTTGGATTCATATACTCCACAGGTTTATTTGGAGAATTTGAAGTCAATCAAAAGAAAGCCAACTTGTATTACCAGTTTGGGGTGGAAAATGGTGATCTCAATTCGCTTTCTGTCATGGCTTGGAGACATAACCGTGGCGTTGATGTTCCTCCCAACTGTGAGTTAGCATTGAATTATTATATCCATTTAGCAACTGTTGGTCTTGAATGGTTAAACGAACAACAAGGTCAAAGGGGGGTAAATTATGATATCCGAATATCCGATTTCAATGGTGGATTATATGGTGATAAAATGAGTGAGACACCATCCAGTATAGAAGTTCAATCGCGGGTGTATTCCGATTTGAAAAGTCAATTGGAAGAATATAGTGTCAATACCAATGATCAAGAATTTATGGCATATTATTTTCAAGGCTTGGAAGGTCTCAAGGGTGATTATTTCACACCTAGAAATTACACATGGGCATTTGAACAGTTTCTGGAATGTGTTCAATTGGGTGTTGATTTATATGAACACAAGAATACCCACATGAGTTCGGTTGTTCGTATGTTTCTCAGTTCTTGTCAAGCAAGGTTAGCAAAAATGTACCTTTTTGGAACTGGTGTGCCCCAGAATGTCACGAAAGCCAAGGAATTATATGATGAATCATTAAAAGTTCAATCTAATGCAGAAGCACTTAATGATTTGGGTGTTATTGCAGAGAGGGGGTTGCTTGGACCAGCAAATGAGACAGAAGCCGTCAACTATTATGTCAAAGCAGTGAAGAGCAAATCACATGAAGCCTACAGGAACCTTTCCCTCTTGTTATTGAAAATGAGTGGTGGAACCCCACACCTGAGTGAATTCAGAAAAGATATCTTTACTAATATGAAAGAAGCTGCCTATCTGGGCGACATCGAAGCTTTATTCCATTATGGAAACTATTTACAATCGGGATTATCAAAATATGCCGAACCAGATAGTGAGGTCACCTGTCCAGGTACCATTCAATACTACAAAATTTTTATTGAACGATTAACTCAATTCTTTGCCCCTCATTTGAAATATGCATTTGAAGAATTGATCTCGGGTAATTTCAAAAATGCCCTTGTGGGATACCTGATTGCTGCCGAACAGGGGTTTGAACCAGCACAAATATCAGCAGCATACTTACTTTATCAGCTTCAACCATTGTACTCACCAAGTGAAGCAAAAACGTTCAACCGTGATCGAGTCAACCTTGCGATAAGATATCTTGAACGAGCATCCAAACAGGGCAACGACGATGCTACTGTACTTTTAGGAGACTTGTTTTCCGGAAGTTATACTCACCCACCAAACATTCCATCTCCTATTGATCTCGATCATGAACGAGCTTTCAAATTTTATAGAATTGCTTCGGATCGTCATTCCAGTCATGGTGCATATAAACTAGGCGAAATGTACGAATACGGAGTCGGACCCAGCATCAACAATTCTATCGATTATTTTATGGCTAAACGATATTATGACTCCAGTTTACAATACAAGGAACGGTTTGATCTTGAGAAGCGAGCCACTGTTTCCAAATCGGATTTTGCTGGTTCGGGAGGGTATAGCAAAGCCCATATTAGTTTGGCGTTGTTAAGATTGAGAATTAAGTACGTTTTTAATAAGAGTGCATTCAAGGGGAACCATGAATCTGAAGGGGGGTGGTTGAATGCATTTAGAAAAGTCAAGAAGAATTCAAATGTTGCTTCAAAAGAACCGGTTTCGAAAGTCGATGCGCATGCCGAGGGGAAAACATATGTCAACGAACAAGGGGTTGAAAATTATGTCGAAGATTATGATATTGGTGATTATTTGGTGATTTCATTGACATGCATGTTCTTCATTATCTTCTTTGTCCAAAATATTATTCGTCTGATACGAAGAATGAGAAATAATAGACAGGGTAATGAAGACGAAGATGACGATGTTAACCAACCACGAAATAGAAACGGATGGAATGGCAACCAGTGGAATTTTAGAAGAGGTAATTTTGAAATTCATTTCTTTGCATTTTAGTATATACACGTCTATTTTGTAATATCATCAACTACATTCTTAAGAGTAGGATTTTTATGTAGAATACTGGTGATTGATACCTGACTCCGCCTTTGCTTCTTCGTGGGGCTTGAAAATGGTGTAGCTTGGAAATTATAAGTTGTTTGGGCTCCTGGTGGGAGAGTATAATACCAACCTTTAGAATCCAAGAAATCCATAAATGTCTTTGTGGTTTCTGTATTCAACAATGCTGCTCGTGATCCTAGGATAATAAGCTTTGATTTTGCTCTGGTAAGCGCCACATTCAATCGTCTCCATTCCTTGACCAAATCACCTGCTCGGTTTTCTTGGTTAGATCTAACAAGAGAGATAATAATGCATTCTTTATCACGACCCTGGTATTGATCGGCAGTAAGTATCTCAACCTCTGTTTTCGAACTAAGTAATCTTTTAAGTAATCGCAATTGGGCTTTATAAAATGACATTACTCCAATTTTATCCTGGTCAACTCCAGCAAGCACCAATGCCTCGACTATTTGGTAGATTAGTTTAGCTTCAGCGGAATTCTGGACAGTTTCTCCAACCACGCTTTCACTGGCATCTAGTTGATCGTGATCAAGAAACAACACTTTGTTCTTGGGATTGAAAATATTATCCATCCATCGTTGATTCACTGACCCACTTGTAAATTCGTCAATCGCATTCGCATTAGGAATTGTTAACGATTGATTAGCCACAGCGGAAGATCCACATTTCAATCGATTGTTATACACCAACACATTAGAAAGCAGCATGATGTCCTCACACATCCGATACTGATATGTCAATTCACACACGGATTCAGGATGGGTCTCCGCCAACAACTTGAATAATGAATGTGATAACCCTTGAACAATCTTTGGATCCCGATGTTGAACTAAAGGTGGGAGTTGGAAATGATCACCAACAAGAATAAACTTATCGCTGAATCTCAATGGTCCCAAATTGATAGGAAGTGATACCTGTGAAGCTTCATCGACTATACAGTAGTCGAACTTGCTTCGGAAATTGAATGTGATGTCGTTAATTCCAAGACATGTAGTGGCAACTACTAGGGGTTCCATGTATGTTTTGATAAATTGCTCCTGGGAGGTGATTCGTTCAGGAACAAATTCATGGAGTTTAGGATGAACTCGAGAAACATGTCCTATTCGAAGAAAGTTAACTCCAAAATCTTTGAGTTTAAGCAATATATTATCAACAGCGGAATTGGTGTATGACGCTAACAAAATAGTTTTACCCTGTTGAGCAAGAAAGCTAATCAAGGATGCAATCACTGTGGTTTTCCCTGTTCCTGGCATACCTAATATCAACATATAGTCTTTGGTCTTGAACACCTTATCAAATGCTTGAAGTTGATCACTGTTGAACTTTTCTTTATTAGACATTACCCATGAACTCAGCTGTAAATATGAAGGTTTCTCCAAATCAACTACAAGTCGTCTTGATTTGATATCTCCGCCAGGCAAAAACAAATTTAAAATGTTAAACCGAGCTAATCCTAATCCATAAAACATACTATCTTTATCGATACGGAATCGTTTACCGGTACCATAATCTAGATTTTGTGAGCTACGAAGAACACTTTTAAACACTTGGTTATTCACCTCGTTAAAATTGTGCAACTTGATATCCGAAGTGATAATTCTTCTCCTTGTTCTAATAAGTATAGCATCACTCGTAATTGCCCTTACATAACCAGTGGAAATAGCAAAATGACCAACCTCGTCACTGATAATCACCCGATCACTTAGATTAAACTGGGACGCAGCAAAACTTGAACCAGTCGATTCAGCTCGGGAAAATTTATATACAAACTCTTGTTGTGAAGGGCTGGTATCATCTGACTCAACAATTATCAAATTTCCTAAACAGTTCCCGGTACTTTCACGATCTTTCGAGGTCATGGTCCATAAATGCTTCACGGATCTATTCATCACCTTCTCCTCTTGGGCAAGTAGATTATCCCAATGGTTGAAAAATGTCTTATATGTCTTGTTGTTTAATATACCATGGGTTATCTCATCGTACCTTTCTGGATCAATCCCTGACTCTTCTTTGGTTCCATTTTCAGAAAAGTGGTTTATCGTCATACATGCACCTTGAACGTCACACCGATCACATTCAGAATTCTTGACCAAGGGCGGTAACTTGACATTATCTTTGAAATACTGAGAAATTCTATTTCTTAAATTAATTAATGCACGTAAATCCGACGTGCCGATATCACACTTTTTCGTTAGTTGTTCCTTGGTGTACATAAGCAAATATGAAAAAATATCCATGTCATATCTATCTTTAAACAACAATGCATACAATGAAGCCTGGCCTTGATGAGTTACATACTCTCTCCCGGTTTTCAATTCAATCGGAAGCAAGAATTTACCCAGGATGTTATTATTTAGAAGTTTGGAAGTGACCGTGACATCAACTTTACCCTTCATCCCAAACATCGGCGACCAGATATTCTCTTCAATATCCAAAGCTTCCTCCACGGAAAACATAACTCGTTCTCGTTTATTACCATCGTCAATATAATTCTTGGGACTAAGCGGTTGTTTATAATACTTGTTGAACCACGTTTCCAAATATGGTATATGTTTTTCTAACTCTGACCTGACTGCATCTGTATCCAAACCAATACTAAAAATGCTCAACAAATAGTCTTCAAGATAAGTCTCCATAAGTTCATTCATATACTTCCTAGTCCAATTCTCGGACACTATACATTCCTGGAATATTTGATGGGTGATTTCCCCCACGATCAACGGGACAGTGGATTCACCAGGAAATTTATATCTTGCCGGGATGATTGACTTCCTAGGACAGTTGATTTGCTGAGAGATTGTGGTTGCTGAAAGTAGAATATCAGGATTCCAAATCAAAAGATTATTCTTGTCGTCAATCAATCTTGGATTTGCTTCGTTTGTGATGATAATATGGATTATATCATTCTCTTGTAATTCCAACTCACAATATTCTCCCCGGATAATGAGTCTGGTAGAAAGCTGGTCACCATCTTTGACTTCAAGTATCAGTTGGCGTTGGTCGTTCCCATACGTTTGTGGGATAATTTTGGTAATGGCGTACCGTCGCAATGATGCTCGGTTATAGATCAACTTGGTGACATTTACGTCTTCTTTTTGATATGCGCGTTTCTCTTGTAGACTTTCAATCTTTTTGATTCCTTCCTGGAATGATTTAGTGAATTGGGATTTCAGGGGAGATTTGTGCTTGTTTTGGATTATGGCCATTAACTCTGAGTCATCGTCACTGAATGGGTCATCAGATTCAGTTCCAGGTGTAGTTAGCTTGTTTTCTTTAAGTGGTGCTGGATCATCGTCACTAAATGAATCATTTGAGTATTGTGTGGGTATTTTGTTTTGATCATTTGGTAAAAGGTTATTTTCTGCAGTATTATCACTGAAAGAATCATCGGGGTATTCAATGGGTTGTTTCGGTTTCTGTTGAGTTGCCTCTTCATCATTAAATGAGTCTGAAAAGTCTACATCTGGTACCTTTACTAACTCTGCTGTATTTGTCTCATATGTATCTTGCTTGCCATTGGCTGCTGAAACTGGTTTAGTTTGGGAAACGTTGTATATGCTATCGTCGTCTGTGAATGGGTCATCAGATTCCGGAGCAGGTTTTGACTGTTGTGATACTTTATGCAATAATGCTAACAATTCTTCATCATCGTCTGAAAATGGATCATCTGAATTTGACTCTTTGTCCTTTGAGGAAATTGAAGAAGTTGATCCGTTACTAGTAGATTTGTTTTCAAACTTGTCCATCCACGAACTAAGTGACTTCTTGAGTGATATCGAATCATGCAATTTGTCCACACCTAAAGAGTTACTTCTTTTCAACAGGCTATTTCGGCCCGTCTTGAATGTGAGTTCAGATTTTGTTTTAGTTATACGACGTGGAGTCAGAGAAAGTATTTTCACATCTCCGCCATATTTACTCAAGACTGTGTTCATAAACTGGTTGACTTCGTCTTTTTCTTTATCTGCCTGAGTGGACGGGTACGCGACATTCTTTAGTGGTGACGATGGTAACTTGTCGATATCTGGGGCTATTCGGACATGTTTGGGACTTTCTCTCCATCGTATCCCTTCATAACTATCATCAGAACTTTCAGGAAGAACTACAGAAGGGTTGCTATGACTTGGTGGTGTGATTTCAGAAATAGGCCGAATAGCACCATTGGTGAATGTACTGGGATCTAGAGGTTTGACGACGGGCTGTTTTTCTTTGGTTGGTTGTGATGGGTTGTTATTGGATTTGGGGTTTGTTAGTCGGTTCACTGGCATAAAGTATGTTGTTTTTCTAGGACGCTTAATCGGTTTAATGGCTTCAATGTTGGTTTCATTCGTGCCATGATGTCGTTTTGGGTCCATGATGGTTATGGAACTAAGTATAAGACACGCCTATTGTATTTATGGTTAGAACGCGTTTTGGATTAAGTGTGGGAAAAAGATTCAATCGGAGAAGAAAAAAAACCTTAAGGGGCAAATTTTGCAGCCCATTAAAAACTTGTTTAGCTATATCATAAGAGTTTCCAAACTCAATTAGGAGTACTTTCAAATGTCACTTTTTGGTTTGAAATGATCATACTAGATTAACATGGTGGAATTGTGTTGGTTTCATGTTGGAATGAATCTTGTATAATATTGTAAAATATTGGGCGAATTATCACGAAATAGTCAATGGCGGTAGAAAGTTTTATATATAAATACCAAAATGATGTTCCAACTCATATTCAATTAAATCTATATTGGCATTCAAGGGAAAATAATGTCTTTATGAAAGTATCGTGTTGTCATCAGATAATCTGTAAACGCTTTTTAGTTTATCCAAACTGGGATACCCATAATCCCAATCAAACTCAATCAAAGAGAATCATTGGGAAATTAATCTACCCTTCAAATCATCAAGTTCATAAGTTGAGCACCCTAAGATACATGTCAAATGCAGTCTAGGTAATTGATTGGGTTTCTGCACCAACAAGACTGGGTCAATTAACTCCTGAAAGAAGTCACTTTCAATTTTCAATTCTTGAAGTTTGAACAGCCTAGATAACAACTACATTAATCTCGTTTCAGAAACTTCGACGTATTCTACGTGTTCTATGTTTGATTCTTCAAAACTAAAGTTTATATCAAGACCATCCAACTCATATAGTTTGAACAATCTTTCTAGATCTGTAAAATTCCCGAACATAATTCTATGAAGATATTTTTAAGTTTTTTAATTTCAATAGGGGGAGAGGGGGGGGGGGGTTCATTATTGATTGTGAAAATAGCTAGACGCATTGCTTGAAGCTGGATTTCCTCAAGACATTTCAAATTAGTAACAGTATACAAGACATCCAGTTGTTCACCAAATTATAAAGCTCTTGTTTCAGTAGTTGTCCTCTATATGCAACTCTACAGAAAATAAATGGTAAAGACCAAGATTCCGGTCAAAGCTATAGCCGACATCTAGGTTAAAATGTTCTTCTCTAGAAACTTGAATTATGGGCCGTTGAGCAGAAATCCCACTACAAAATCCGTCCTCCTCTTGTCCTATTACTATTTTCGTAACAAGATCCATGTGTTTCATACAGAACAACACTGCAAGGTTCTTCTATTCGTTAATATTGGTCAACTTAAAGTTAAAGGTGGCATATACTCAGAAACTCAAAGCTAGATAACAACGGATAATACCTCTTCTATTCTGATTAACATCGATGGAACGGTACAATATCCTGATCCCAAACTGATATACTCATTTATTTGCGTGAATAACTACAAATACAAACGTTTTGGTCCAACAACGACAAGAAAGTTTACACAGTTACTCTCTGCACTTTCCACCACCATTACAATGGATGCAAATTAGGCAGGATAAAACCTGATTTCGTGAGAGGTTTGTCTGTTTATAATTATTCATCGCTATGGTTTGCGTCCTAACACCTAGTCAAGTCGTCTCTAACCACACACACACACATACACACACACTAGAACTCTCAACATTTGCAGCGAAAGGAAAAGCACTATACCCTGCCACACCAGTTTCTTCAAGTAATTTATCAATTCACTGATGAATTGTTCCAGAGTGGTATGGTACATACATATCTTCCACAACCTTACAGTAACATCCATGATAAGCTTGGGGTAGCCAGTGGTCATGTGACTCCTATCTGCAGGAGCGTCTCATCTCAATTTTTTTTTCGAACTTTTCAAAAATTGTTTTTCGCTCCAGCAGAGAAAAAAATTGCAGGAAAAAACTCATCTCAAACCCATACTTTACTTAACAAGTCCAAAACCCCAACCCCCCAAATAGATCATGGCTTACGTATTAACAGAAACCGCAGCAGGTTACGCCCTTCTTAAGGCTCTGGACAAGAAAATCCACAAATCTTCCACTTTGATCGAGGATCTCGATAGTGCCTCCAAGGTTGCATCCCAATTCAAGATTCATCGATTCGAAAAGTTTCAATCCGCCGCAAATGCCTTGGAAGAAGCCAATGCTATTATCGAAGGAAAAGTCAGTGACAACTTGCGTAAATTGTTAGAAGACGCCAAGTCAGACAAGAAGGCCACTTTGATTGTCAGTGAAGCCAAATTAGGTAATGCTATAAACAAGCTTGGTCTCAACTTTTCCGTTGTGTCTGATGCCGCTTCTCTCGACTTACATCGTGCCATCAAGCAATTCTTGCCAGAATTATTACCAGGTTTAGACGGTGCCGTATTGAACCAAATGTCTCTTGGTTTGGCCCATTCCCTTGGTCGTCACAAGTTGAAATTCTCCCCTGATAAGGTGGACACCATGATTATCCAAGCTATTGCCCTTTTAGACGACTTGGACAAAGAATTAAACACCTACGCCATGAGATGTAAGGAATGGTACGGATGGCACTTTCCTGAATTGGCCAAGATGATCACTGATTCCGTCGCTTACGCCAGAATCATCTTGACCATGGGTGTCAGATCCAACGCCCTGGAAACTGACTTGTCAGAAATCCTTCCTGAAGAAGTCGAAGAACAAGTCAAGACTGCCGCTGAAGTCAGTATGGGTACTGAAATCACCGAAGACGATTTAAACAACATCAAGGCCCTTGCTGAACAAATTGTTGACTTTGCCGCTTATAGAGAACAATTATCCAACTACTTGTCTTCCCGTATGAAGGCCATTGCTCCAAACTTGACCGCCATGGTTGGTGAATTAGTCGGTGCTCGTTTAATCGCCCACGCTGGTTCATTGACCTCGTTAGCCAAGGCTCCTGCATCCACCATCCAAATCTTGGGGGCTGAAAAGGCATTATTTAGAGCATTAAAGACCAAGCATGATACTCCAAAGTATGGTATCCTTTATAACGCATCCTTAGTCGGTCAAGCTTCTGGTAAGAACAAGGGTAGAATCGCCAGAGTGTTAGCTGCCAAGGCTGCTATTTCTTTAAGAATCGATTGTTTTGATGAAGAAAGAGATGACAGTGATGACTTCGGTTTGGAAAACAGAGCCAAGGTTGAAAGCAGATTGAGTCAATTAGAAGGTAGAGATATGAGAACTACCAGTAGAGTAGTCAAGGAACAATCTAAGATTGAAATCACTGAAGCCAGAGCTTACAATGCTGATGCCGATGCCGCTGCTGTTGAAGAAGACTCTGATGATGAAACTTCTGAAACTGAAGAAATTGTTGAAAAGAAGAAGGAAAAGAAGGAAAAGAAGGAGAAGAAAGACAAGAAAGATAAGAAGAGAAAGAGAGATGACGATGAAGAAGAAGAATCATCCAAGAAACTGAAGAAGGAAAAGAAGGAAAAGAAGGAAAAGAAAGACAAGAAGGAAAAGAAGGATAAGAAGGATAAGAAGAAGGAAAAGAAGTAGTCATTTGTATAAGAACCTCTTTTTGTAAATTATAAGTAAATTGATTTTTTTTATTAAACCTATTCTAATCTAAATCAGATGGCGGCTCTCTCATATCAACATCGGTGTCACCATTACTTCTGGATGAAGCATTGGTTGCGGAATTGGTAGTAGAATTCGCAGTAGTGTTACTACTAGTTCTATTTTGAACTCTAGTGCCAAACTCTTGTACAAAAACCCGAGCATTTGGATTATTATTAGCAAATGCACCAAGCATGCCTCTAACTCCCTCGGATATAACACCACCAATTCCTTCAGTCAAACTATCAGTAAAGAGTTGTGCCGGATTATCCAGATTTTGAGCAGTACTATTATTTATTCCACGATCTGTACCTTCGCGTCCCTGATTATCAAACATACTTCCAAGATCGTTCAACAAATCCCGAATCACTGGTCTTGGACTTCTATTATCAACTCCGGGTGGGGTATTCGCAGTACTATTGTTACCACTGGTGGTACTTGCAGTATTCAACGTGGTAGGAATAGTAGTAGTAGTGGTGGTGGTATTCAAAGGCTCGGTTCTTACTTGGGTAACTGTTGCAGTTTCCATCCCATTTCTTGCCATCATATTCTGTTGCACTTCCGGCGTAAGAATATTTGGTCTATTTGAATTGGCCCTTTCGGACATGGTGCGTAAATTTGAATCACGGTAAAGTGGCAAATAACTAAAATATTCCCGATCATCTTCTGGTCCTTGGGCACGTAAACGGGCAAGAATACGACGTACTTCTTGCACTACTTTTCGGATATCTTCTTCATATTCTAGTTGTTGATAGGCACGTTTTTCCGTCAATGCAATGGCTTGGTTAAGACGTTCAATGAATTGAGGAAGAATCGTTCTACATTTGTTATTCCTGTACTCTTCAATGAGCTCCGACTTGTCGCTGGTGAGATAAGGTGGAAGAATTTCACCAACACTTGATTTAAGAGAGCAAAGGTAACATTGGAGTGCAATGAGCCCATGTCCCATATACATGTGGCAATAACCCAACTGAGTCCAGGCAGGAGTGAATGATCTGTCCAAACGAAGAGCCATGTTTAAATCATCGATTGCTTCGGGAACACAATTAAGACCAATGAATGCAATTGCTCTATTGGTAAAAAGTTGAGGAAGCTCAGAAACAAACATAGTGGGGTGATGTTCTATAGCCTTGGTATACTGTTTAATAGCTTGGGCAAAACACATATTTGCCATTAAATTGTTCCCCTGTTCACGTAACTTGTTCAAAGTTTCCAAAGACTGGGTGAAGTTGACAGTTAAAGCCCATTGGAAGTTGACTATCTTGATGAATTCAATCATTAGCCAAATAGGTATTGCTGAGCCTGAGTTCGGAGGAAATGAATATTTTATTTCATTTAATGCCAAAGGATCATCTTTGAAAATGTTAACAACATAGTCCACCACATATGCCTTTAAAGCTTCATTTGAAGAACTGAATCCTGTATACTGCAAATGGGTTTCAACTGCCTGCTGTAAAAGCAAAACCAACTTTTCACCAGTATGTTTATTATGAAAACGGGAATCAAAAATATCATTTCTCATACTCTCATTCGGATCTTCAAGAATATCTTCAGTTGTAAAGCCATTGGGAAGATCAATCACATATTGAGAATCAGTCAAGATACCAGCAGCTTTGTTGATCTTGGGTATATCTTTCTTGCCGGAAACTATGGCACCATCATCTTCAATAGTAGCAACTTTGAAAAGTCGGCATGCTTCAAAATATAGTTTCTTACTTATAGTTTTGCATACACGTCCATTCAACTTCCCCAGTTGCTGTCCTGATTCTTGTTTGTCGACCCACAAATCGTCAAAGATGTACCACATGGCATGGGAAAATACAAATTGAGCCACGGGATCATCACTCAGTTCAAATAGAAGTGGAGCACTGCTCATGGTTGTTGATGGCAGTATGTATGGGGATTTGGAATAAAGACTTGCCGCCATAGTTTGCAAAACTGACAATCTTTTTTTTTTTTTGGGCTCTCCGTTGAAGAAGACAGTGGAATGTTCGATTAATAAATCTAGTCCAGGGAAAAGAAACAACGAATCGGTTTACATGCTAACTTGTAACAGATAATGGTCAACTACTTTTTCACATGTAATGTGGTTATCGCTTTGCAAGAGTTTATAGAGCATGGCTAATTAGATCCAACAATGTTAATGACCAAAGTGGTTATAGAGAAATCCTGCATGTTGATATCGGTTGTTAAATCTGATATCTGTCGTGTAAGGAAAGGCGTCGATTTAGATTCCTTGTACCTTTTTCCTTTAAAGGATTATATTTATTGTTCAAGGAGGAAGTCAGAAGATCCGTGTAGACTAAGGGAGACAATGTTTACAATGTTAATTTGCATGTGGTGACCTACTTGTAAGTTTTCTGTTTTGGTTTTGTCAGAAAATGTTTGCGTGTGTTTTTTATTTTTAAATACTTTGCTATTATAATTTAATCGTACTGTCTACCTGTATTATCTATCTGAATGTAAATCGAGGGTTTTTATTTGTAGAATCATATTGCTGAAGAGACGTTTAAGCATCCTTTTAGATTGGAGATTATAGGATGTCCAACTTTTAAAGCAATAGTAAATATCATTTAAAGCTTACAATATTTTCCAGCAGATCATTAAGGCACAACACCCCCCACCCACAGATTATATTCAACCAACAGTGGTAGTGAGGTTGACTGCTACTTATCAAGATTTTAGATGTTGATCCCATTATCGATTCCACGATTACAAGTACATCCGTTTCCTACACGAACCTATCCTAAGACATTTAAATTCCATCAAAAATCATTGTTATTCCAGACTGTAATTTTCGATATGTCAATTATATATAACCCGTTTCATATTCCCTTGTGTTTTAAACTCTAACAACATATTTAGCGAAGTAGATAATTGGATTTGGAATTGTGCATGGGTTAAGACCAGGATAGAAGAAGTTCTGCTTCATTTAACGGGAAAAGTACAAGCATAATTGTGGGTCATACTTCTAGACAGCCATTACTTTTTGTTTTGAATTGGTCAATTTATGATGCATTGTTTTATCTGTTTTTCAACTGGTATTTGTTACAAAGGGCATAATTAAGTCCAATCAGGAATATCACCCATCTCCACTGCACAGCCATTGCAGCATGTAAAATCTCCTTAGTCCATGTCTAATTTGATTGTTTGATAATGAGCAGAAGAGCATATATCTATTCTCCAGTTAGAACCATCTAGGTACAGTAGTAATAGAAACAGTAAATGTGGGTACGTCATTGTTCATAAACCGTTTAGTGTATCTTAAGTTATTTTCTAATAAACTGGAATATTTTCGAGAGACTTTCTTAACAATGTGTTGCAAAAAAAAAAAAGGACGGATCATGAACAATGGTTCTAGAGGGTACCTCTTTTAGGTACATATATTAAGGAAACGAAAAGGACCACTCCACCACTTGGGATTTCTAAATGTAACTTATTCTTCTACTTTAGAACAATTCATGAAATTTAAAAATCTGTCATTCGAGAAAAGAAACGGAAACCACACTTTATTCTTTTAACTTTTCAAGATCAAGACAAGGTCCAATGCTTGTTTGTGGATTGGATAATCAAGACGATGCTCTCAGAACAGCTATAGGAAAAGTAAATTTAATAGATCAAAGCTTGAGCCTTGTTGAACAACAACTACAAATTTATCAGAGAAATCTTTAATAAAGACAGGTAAACCAATTTCTTCAACACGAGGAACGAAGAAGGTGTTGCTCACATAACAAGCAATTCGTAAATAGTTTCACCCGGGTTTGGATTATATGATTTCTTATTTGTGATAGCACAATTTTCTGAACAGTTTATCAATCTAATATTGCTTGCCCGCTTAGAAACTCGTCCAAATTACATACAAGAATATCTTAACAAGCCATTTACCCAGTCTTGGTTTGATTACCCTAACAAATAGCCATCAGGGTGTGAATTTAACCATTTGTCAAGGCGACCATTTAAAGATTGCGAAAAAGACTTAATTAGTTAATCTAGCATGTATTCCAAGAGAATTTTTACGGTACAGAAAATTATTAGTTAGGATTAGAAGTTATAAATATTGTTCAAATAGTCTTTATTTATTTTGTTTGCTTTGCTTTTTTATTAATCGATAACCGTAATTTTGACATAGAACAACATGGTAACAATAAGGTAACCGATAATTATCAGTAACGAAACAAATTAGCGAGAATTGGTTATATTTGTAATTCCTATTTGAAACGGGTAAAAGCCCAATGAACTTATCAGTGAGATTAACTTGAGATACAAGTTCATACATTAATTTAGGTGCTCATGCATCAATGCAAATATATATTTAATAATTGTCTATTTATGATGAACCGCAGCTGCTGCTGCATATGCAAAGTTTGGAGTTGGAGTTGGTGCATTTGGCTCTGTCCTAGATAATGTCGATGTTTTCTTCGAGTTCTTCACTGGTCGTTTCAGTTCTACTTTTGGGTCTTTGTTGTCAGTTGTACTACTAGATTTACTAGATTTACCAGAATAATTGGAAACTGGACTTTCAGACCTGGTCAGGACCATTTCCTTTGCAATCATTAAACAATCTATCCAACCATACTTTTCCCCTAGCTTGACCAATTTACCTTTCTTATCCACCACTTCTAGTAATCCAGCAGCTGTTGCTTCGTGTGGTGCTAATCGTTTCAAGAATACCAAATCGCCTCCATTTTTCAAACATTCTATAATCAAGTATCCAAAATTATCTGCTACTTCTTGATTTCCTTCTTCTTCTTCCTCTTCATCATCTTCAAACTCATAATCATACATCAGGTAATCACATCCGTTATTTGCTTTCAAATCAATTTCTACCACGTTCAAGTCAGCATCTATGAAAAACACCCGGGCTTGATTAGTAATCACGGTGATGCAAATCAGTGATTCACGTTCCAATTTTTCTTGATGAGTCGATATCAATAAATCCAAGGTTGTATCATCGAGAACTGACGTCAGACGGAGTGATGCTGGAACAATCAGTTTGTAGATTTTATCAAGTTTGAGAATCTTTTCAGTTGGTAACAAAAGCAGAGCTATCTCGCGGAACGGGATTGTTGGCGGTGGTTTCGATTTAGGTGATTTGGTCTTTAGTGGACGTGTAGTGGAACTGGGAGTGCTAGAATTTGATTTAGCTCCAACGGCTGCGGCAGCGGCAGCTGCACTAGAAAATGTTCTAGGAATCTTTGGCTGAATTGGAGATGATTTTGGTGTGACCTTGGATGATGCTGCAGCCGCGGCACTGGCCGGTGGAGATAATTTCCGTTGTGGAACTGGTTGTTTAGGGACTAATTTCTTTTCTACTTTTACTTGTTGAGCACCTGCAAGAGCCAAGTAAGGATGGGTCTGTTTATGTGCCGGGGGTTGTATTGTTTCGTTGTGTTGTTGTTGTTGTTGTTGTTGTTGTTGCAGTTGCTTTTTCTGTTCTGGTATTTGTTGAGCTTGTGGTTGTTGCAGTCTTTGTAATTGTTTCTGTTTATTTGTGTTGTTTGGTTTAGATTTTGTCTCAGGCAATCTCGGAAGAGCAAAGCTAGAATTTTCTCTTCTCACCTGCATATTTTGGCTTGGAGAACCAGGAGTTTGATTAGACATTCTTGGCTCAAAATAAGTATGTGGAGGAGGAGGAGGGGGTGGTGGTGGTGCAGACATCATAATTGGTGACTTTTGTGGCTGCTGAATGGCCATGGATGAGGGTGGTATTTGTGTTGTAGTAGACGTTGCACTTGGTCTTGTTTGCTTATATTTGGAAGTGACCGCTGGAATAAAATAGTCTGATGATTGGATTTGAGATTGGAGGAGATGATACGAGTTCGACTTGCTTATACTTCTGTCTGACCCATTCTTGATTGAAGGTGGTGGGACCATTATTGGTTGCTCAGGGGAGTAGCTTTCAAACCTTGGAACTTTCCTATGCCAGATGTAATTCACATCATCCCATGGTATGTCCTGAAACCATCTAGATTGCATAATTTGAGGAATAGTTAATCTAGCCGCAGGTTGCGGTACTAATATAGCATCTACCAATTTGACTACTTCCCCAGGAAGTTGTTTTTGATAAGTATATTCTCCTTTGATGATTTTCTCAAATGTAAGATATTCAGTGGCTCCTTTGAATGGGGGGACTCCATGAAAGAATTGATATAATATACATCCCATTGCCCATACATCAGATTCAAAACCACTTTGATTATACTTGAGAAGTTCAGGAGGCACGTATTCTGCCGTGCCAACGAATGAACTTGCTCTTTCTCGGTTGTTATTTTTATTTACATCAACTTCTGCATCAGATACTGAATTGTAATCTATCTTTTCTTCGTTATTCTCATCATTATCTGGTCCAAGCAATCTTGCAGCACCAAAGTCAGTAATTTTCAAATTAAAATCATGTCCCACTAATATATTCTCCGGTTTTAAATCACGATGTATTACTCCCTTCAGATGGATAAACCGTACAGCATCCACAATTTGACACATGTAAAACCTGGATACGGGTTCACTCAAGCTACCAAATTTACGAATTATGCTTAATAATTCACCATATTCAGCAAAATCAAGAACAAAAAACAAACTTGACACATCTTGGAAGGTATAATACAACTGAACTATTCCCGGGTGCTGCTGTCCTAATCTATGCAATGTAGTTTTCTCAATGTTAACGTATTTGATTTTATCTTCCTTAACTATATGTCGTTTGGAAAGGACTTTAATTGCATATGTGCGTTGTGTATGGCGGTCTAATGCTGAGTAAACAGTTGAGTAAGATCCTTCACCAATCTTGGTTCCAAACTGATAGTCTCTTGCTGATCTACGCATAGTGCTAATGGATGTTGACGTGGTGTTAGGAGGGTTGGGGGAGCACGGGTATTGTTGTGGTCTTTGTTTTTGTTGAGGGGGTAGAATGGGTGGAGTGTATAGGTTTTGCAGGTTATTGTTTTGTGTCTGTTGGCTGGAAGTTATTAATAGGTCGTGAAAGTTGTCAATGCCAGACATGATAGAAGAAAAAACTGTCTGACGTTGGGGGGGATTGTCTGGTTCAGTCGTTGTAGTTGTAATTTTAAATTGTGCATACAAGGCAAAAAAAAAAAAATAAATCTTGGAAAAAGGAGTTTTCTGCTAATGAGTTGTTCACTACAGACAGACAAATACTAAAGTAATTGAAAATAATATATGTGTCCTCGATCATCTATTAAACCATACAACCAATGTTATCACACTATTTGCAGTTAACTGCATCGTGTCTAAACTTCCAAAGCAAAACTCAAGATCTCTGGAATTTCCATTAGATCACCGGACACAAAATTTCTATTGCTACTGGCATTTTGTATCATTTTTAGCAACAAACACATGTTTTTCGCAGACGAGAATATTTCGGTTTTAAGTCGTCCCCAACAAACAGGTACGATGTTCAAGTACTTAAAGTTAGGAACGCATGCACATCTGGGTAATTACGAACGACTATACCGTTACTTCATATTTATAGTGACATGACTACTATATATTTTTGATTCCTAATTCGTACTATGCAGTACAATCGCCTCAAATTCAATTAACAAACTAAATATTTTCTAACTTGTTTATGTTTGCAACAACCGGAAGCACGATATACACGTACTCAATATATCGATATGGCATACCCAAAAAACCCATATTCAAAATTTTTAAACGCAAAGAATTAACCATATATATGATCATGTTAAACTATACTGATCCAAATCAACAATTATAATACAGCATTCTATAATGCTTCATTTTACATGATGATTAAATACAACATTCTTTAGCAAAGCATAAAACTTCTATAGAAAGAAATTATGCATATTCGAAAAGAATTTTATTGTATTAGAGGTGTAGTTTTATATCCGTAAACTTCAAAATCTAAAATCCTATCAATTATGTGTTTGTTGGACGCAATACTTTTTGACATTTTCAATATTCTTAATCAAGGTCATATGTACTGAGTCTGCACTCTCCATGGCCAGCTATATCTATTGGGTAAGATTTAGTTATAATGATGTAGTTACCTTAATATATATATATGACACAGATATGCAAATTACACCTAGTATTTACACGCCGATTATTTTTACTAAATATACAATTGATAATAAACTCGATTTTAATAACTACTGCAGGGTTCTAATATTGATCTCGTAAAGTAGTAGGTGCTACAAGAGAGAGCTTTTAGAAGCGCAAAGTTTTTCATAGTCTTTTTCTCTGGATCGATATAATAATTGAATAACTTACTTTCTATACTATGGGTTCTATTATCAATACGTCTGTTGGTCGCCTCTTATGAGGTAAATCTAGCATATTGTCAATAATAAAGTTGGTATTTTGCACCTAAGAGTTGATCAGATTGTAGGTAATGTCAAAGTAATTGTGATCACAGATATTTTAACCAGTCAAGAACAGTCCTTGTCAAGAGGATACTTAGTATACTCGCCCTCGACCACACTGGTTTCTGGTGTTCTTGAGTTTGACAAACAAAAAGAAAATTCAAATATTTGCAATGTTTCACCTCATTTAGTAATCTAGATGTACAAGTTGGAAGTATTTGACGGACCATACTACTCTGTGACTACGTAACCTTTCACCTTTTTGCAATGTTAGAAATTATATTTTGTGGCAAATTTCCTAATCGGGAGAAGTAGTCACATGACTCAAAATTTTTCATTCAATCCTTTTTCTGATGGTTCTGGTTAGTTTATAGTTTTAACTTACTCCCTTGACAAGATAGAACGGGACTTTCACTACGACTAATATCTGGTTTTATCACGATGAGGCTAACAACACCAGTACTAAGGTATATCCAGCATAAACCAGCCTCATATCATGTGGCTAGGTATTTATCAAGCTTCACACCTAAATTAACCACTACAACTCCAGCATATACACATCTTCGTAAGGTATTTGATGATCAGAAATATTACAACAACTTCCTTAAATCAAGCTCAAGCGAAACATTTTTATCACCGCGATCCGGACTCTTTCGAAACAAATACTTGTCTACTCCTAACGGTCTTGTGGAATTTTCCAAGACTTCTCTAAAGAATGCAAAAGCACTTGTTGAAGAAATGGTGAATGACAAATCAAGCACCAGTGGTAAATTACAATATATTAAGAAACTTGACCAGCTTTCGGATTTACTTTGTCGAGTAATAGATATGGCGGAGTTTGTTAGAGTAGCTCACCCAGGACATAAGTGGGTAAATGCAGCTCAGCAAACACATGAGATTATGTATGAATTTATGAATCAGTTGAATACAAATGTTGAATTATACAGTATATTACGAGATATTCTCGAAGATCCAAGTATAGTCAGCCAGTTATCCGATGAAGAAGTGAAGGTTGGGGAATATTTGAGACAAGATTTCGAAAGATCGGGTATTCACATGGACCCAAAAACCAGAGACAATTTCGTTAAGATTACCCAACATATTTCGGTATTGGGATCTCATTTCAATAACGAAATGCAAAATTTGGATAATTATTGGTGTGCAGTTTCTACCGAAGAATTCGATAGTATTGAAGATGACCAATTAAAACGTGAGATCTTGGCATATCAGTCCAATCATACCAATATCAAAGAAAAAGATACTGTTTATATTCCAGTGGTATCGCATATTCCATATACAATACTAGGTAGTGTAAAACTGGAAAATATCAGACGCAAGATATGGGTTGCGTTGCATAGCTCACCTAGAGATCAAATAGATACCTTAGACAAGTTCATTACATATCGAGCTATTCTTGCCGAAATGTTGGGCTATCAAAGTTTTGCCCATTATCAATTAGAACACAAGATGGCCAAAACTCCTGAAAATGTCGTTGCATTTCTTTCAAATTTGCAAAAATCACTTTTGGAACATGGTGTTATTAAAGAATTAACTGAACTTTACCAGTGTAAACCTGATGCTAAACCTAATGCAACTGCTAATGAAATAATAGAGAGCGTGAAACCATGGGATCGAGATTACTTACTTACTTTACTCCAACAAAAACAACCAGATACCCACCCTAACGAAAATATTTCCGATTACTTGTCAATTGGAACTATAATTGCTGGTCTTAGTAAATTATTTGAATGTCTTTATCAAGTTGAATTTGTTCCAGTGGCTACTTCAAAGGATGAAACTTGGGATTACAATCAAGTTCGTAAACTTGAAGTTCGTGACCAGACTACAAAGCGCCCTCTAGGCTTCTTGTACCTTGATTTTTGGAGTAATAAGGTCCACCCATCCCATTTTACAATTGTTTGTCTGAGAAGGTTAAATAATGAACCCATTTCCGAAATGCTGAAGATTGTGCAATTAGATGGTGATTACCAACTTCCTGTTATTTCATTGATTTGTAACTTTCCTAAACCTTTCAAATCTACCATTGGAAGATTTGCAGGTATTGATAATTCTAAACCTACTTTGTTAAATTTAGATCAAGTTGACACCCTCTTTCACGAAATGGGACATGCCATGCATTCCATGTTAGGAAGAACTGAATTACATAATTTGTCAGGAACAAGGTGTGCCACTGACTTTGTGGAGCTTCCTTCAGTATTGATGGAATCATTTTCTAAAGATCCCCGTATTCTTTGTGAAATAGCAAGACATTACGAAACTGATAAACCATTGCCTCGTGATTTACTTGACCTGCAAGTTCAACGTAAGGGATTACTTGATGCCAGTGAAACCTATATGCAATCTAAAATGGCCATGCTTGATCAGAAATTACACCTGGCAGATATTCTTCAATCTACTGCCGATTATTCCAGTACTGAAGTATATCATAATTTAGAAGCACAATTAAAAGTATTCCTGGATCAAGAACTGACCTGGCATGGGAAGTTCCCCCACTTGTTCTCATATGGAGCAGTTTACTATTCCTATCTTTTAGATCGAGCCATTGCTGAGAAAATATGGAATGCATTGTTCAAAGAAGATCCATGGAGTCGTGCCGCAGGGGAGAAATTAAGAAACAGAGTGTTGAAATGGGGTGGGGTGAAAGATCCATGGGAATGTCTAGGTGACTTGTTGGATGATGACGACGTTAGAAAAGGGGATGAACGACTGATGGAAACAATTGCACGGGCTTAAGAAACTTTCCCCTCCACTATAGACGTGCCTCATTTATAACCAGAAAGATATAAGGCAAATTAAGCAACTTGACACCCTTCCCCACTTCGGTTGCCATCGCTTATTCCCCAATATGATCATGAATACGAATTAAAAAAAATATATATAACAAAAACCCTGTTCATGTCAAAAAATTTGCCGCATAGAAATTGAATTTCCCACACTTTTGTATATAGTATATATTATTTAAATTCAATATTATAACGCTAAATGTTAAAAATACTGGGGAGGTTACGTCAGCAAATCATAAGAACAATAGCTATTTCCAGGGTTGTTGAAAAATAATACTCCACCAGGGGCTGCATAAGGGCATATCATAATGGTGAGGCATTCTCCCAGACACTCCGAATGCCTTTGAACATCAGAGGCAGAAAAATAGAGAAGAGCATCCCATATGCAGGATTTTCCGATATGGAACACTACGGCGATATTTACATCATCGGTGCAATTGTGTTTGTAACATCACAACATAGATTTAAGCCAGGTTGGAAATTAAGGCGATATGTTTATATTAGGAGTTTATTCCCCGGAATCTGTCGTGTTTACATCAGGGGAACCCTGACCCGTCGGAGTTGCTATGCGTGATCCCTAACTTTTTCAAGCTAAAAAGAAATTAATATGGAGGACGGCTGACTCAGGGCACTTCACTGTCAAGAAAAAAAACAAAAAAAGAAATTCCGAGAACGCATCATCCGGATATGTAACCGAAATAATAATTTTTTTTTGTTAAATTTCTAAATGCCTTTTGGAATTTTGCAACACCAAATCGCCTTACGATTCATGCGGTCTATCGACGTTACGGAGTTTGATTGTTCAACCGATTCCTTTTTTTGCTTCCCCTCCGGTTTCGCCGTCAGCTTATGATTTGATAAGCACCATTCTATTGACAAATAAGAAAATTCTATTCGTGAAAATGAAAAAAAAAACCCCACTATCTCTTAGTCACAGGAACTGTCCTCATCCTTTGCCTCCCCGGCTTACAAATACAAAAGTAACATGATTTTGACATGCATAACGGTTTAAGTATTCTGTTTGACTAATCTTAGACCATTGTAAAGGGGATCGTACGTTAATTGAACAAGTAATCTAGATAAGCTATTGAGTCACAGCAAATAGGATAGCTTAGTATCATTTGACTGCTGTTATCTTTGTATGTGTGTGATTTCTTTTTCTATTTTCTTTTTTTTGTGTGTGTATTTTTTTATTAAGGTTGTATTCTTCCAGAGTGCCGTTAATATTTTTTTTTCTTTTTGGTTGAGTTTCTCCGTTTTTCCTTGCCATTTTGCATCAAATGATTTCTTTTTTATTTCCAGGCTTTTTTTTTGTATTTGGGGCAATACTTTCCCTAATATAAATATAATTTGAAATTCCTTGGGCTCATTTTGTAGATCTATATTGTATACTCTATTCGATATTCATATTTGCTTTTCATTCCAGTTAAAGGATTAAATTATAAAGTAGGAACAATTTGCAACCTTAATTAATAACACACAAAATTGAGCCTACAAAATGTCTGAAGAGATAAAATCAGTCAAATCGCAAGCAAAGTTTGACTCTGCTATCAAATATGACTCGTCCACTCCTTATATGACTTCTACCACTACTACTGTGGATGAAGAATTATCAGGATGGAAGAAGTTTAAACATTCATTTAAAAGACAAACAACTGATGATATCGCCGCTGGTAAACAATTGGCTAAGGGAATTTCTAAGCGTCATTTGATCCTTATGGCCCTTGTCACCGGTATCGGTACTGGTCTTCTTGTTGGTTCAGGTCAAGTTTTACACAAGGCTGGTCCTCTTTTTGTCTTGATTGGTTGGGCCATTGTCGGTTCCTTCGTTTATCCAACATTGCAAGCTGCTGGTGAAATGGCAGTTAACTACTCGGAATTATCCGGTGGGTATAATAATTATCCTAGAAGATTTATTGATGAATCATTAGCATTTGCCATTACTTGGAATTATTGTATTCAATGGTTGTCTGTCATTGCTATTGAATTGGTTACTGCTGCCATTACTATTCAATATTGGAATACCCTGGTTAACCCTGATGTTTGGGTTACTATCTTTTATATTGTTGTTTTAGTGATTAACTTTTTCGGGGCCAAGGGTTATGGTGAAGGTGAATTTGTTCTTGGAAGTTGTAAGATTATTATGGTTGTTGGGTTTATCATTATGGGTATTGTAGTTAACGTTGGTGGTGGTCCAGAAGGTGAATACATTGGTGGTAGATATTGGCATGATCCTGGTTTCGCTACCAACTTCAAGGGTCTTTGTTCTGTGTTTGTTACTGGTGCTTTCTCTTTGGGTCAATCTGAATTTGTTGCCTTGACTGCTGCTGAACAATCTAACCCAAGAAGAGCTATTCCAACCGCTTGTAAATTGATTATTTGGAGAGTCATTGTTTTATTCTTGGGTTCCTTAACCATTGTTGGTTTGTTAGTTCCATACAATTCTGACAGATTAATGGGCTCTCAAGGTGGTGGTTCTCATGCTTCTCCATTTGTTCTTGCTGCTGCTTTACATGGTGTTCGTGCTGTTCCATCTATTATCAACGCCGTCATTTTACTTTCTGTTACTTCTGTTGCATCTTCGTCGTTGTATTCTGCTTCCAGAACTTTGCAATCATTGGCTGAACAAGGATTTGCTCCATCATGGTTGAACTATATTGACAACGATGGTCGTCCATTACGTTCTCTTATTGTTTGTTCCATCTGTGGTCTTTTCTCGTTTATTGCTGCCTACAAGAATGAAGAAGCTGTCTTCAACTGGTTGCTTGCCATTTCTGGTCTTTCTCAAATTTTCACCTGGTTTGGTATTTGTCTTTCCCACGTTCGTTTCCGTGCTGCCTTGGCTTACAACAATATTTCCTTGGAATCATTAGGTTACGTTTCTCCAACCGGTGTTTGGGGTTCCTACTATGCTATCATTTGGTACATCTTGGTTTTGATTGCCCAATTTTGGATTGCTTTATACCCAGTTGGTTATGGTACTCCACAAGTTGAATCATTTTTCCAAAACTATCTTGGTGCTCTTGTTTTAATTGTGTTTTACTTTGGTCATAAGCTTTGGACCAGGAACTGGAAGTTGTGGTACAAACTTGAAGACATTGATATCAATCTTGATAGAACTATTTTTGATGAAGAAATTTTGAAATTGGAAAGGGAAGAAGAAAAGGAAAAATGGAATAGAACTGCTTGGTACATGAAGGCACTCAAGTTTATGTTTGTATAGTTTTATTTTTTTGTATTATTTATTTATAGAGAGTTTTATGATAATTCACGGTTATTAATTAGTCAAGACATTGTAGATATTTTGTAGACATGTGTTTGTCATTTCACTGAGCTTTATTTTGCACTGTGTTGTACTTTGTTGAACTGTTGATGTTGGTGCTCTTTTGTATTTTCTTTCCTTGCCTTGCCTTGCCTTGCCTTTCTTTTGCTGGTGGTTTCATGGCTAGTTTTTCTTTTTTGCTACATTTGCTTCTATTGGAGTACGCATCAACTGGTACTTCTAATTCGACCTAACTATGTGCGCACTTGCATAGTGGATATGTTTCTGATTTCCCTACAGCGAAATTGACTATATCGTCATTCCCAAAATACAAAAAAAAATAACTAAACACAGCTGAACTTGTGTTGAACTACATCGCAAGTTGGAATATATTAACAGAGTTTAAACCGTGACTTCGAACGCGCCCTCAAATACAGAGCAGTTAATAATCCACTATTTAAAAAACTACGCAACTACTTAGCATACGCTGTGAATCTTATAGTGATCATCCTTCTAATAACAGTTCTGATTCGATTTATAGTTCTAGTAATGTTAACCATTCACAATTTTCCTCCGCATATAATTTTTTTCTGTACTGATTTTAAGCCCACATCAAAAATTTTCCATACTTCATTATCACCATATTTGCACTGCAACCAATGTTTCGAATAATCCGTAAATATGCAACGGCAAAGAACTCAGATACACTTCTTCGTCCCCAACTCAACATCCCCGATATAATAGCCCGGTCTTCACTTTACAAGGAATCAGTCACTCGTCGTCAACTTCCACCAACATTACTCTCCGACATTGACTTCATTATTGAATCACGGCCATTACAACTGCAGACATATCAACAAATCAGTAAATTGAAACGGGAACGTCAACAATTGGCAAACATCCTTAAATCAAAACAAGACACTGATAACTGTAAAACGCGGCTCAAGGAAATCAAACTGGAGCTTAAACCATTGGAGAAATATGTCGATGACTTGCAAGAACAAATATACGCCAAGGCAGAAGCATTACCCAACCTCCTTGACGAAACCGTTCCATCAGATCCATTCAAAGAAGATGTGGTTCAAATGATCAACTGTTCCTCCCAAGAAGATGCAATTGCCAGACGTCCTGCCAGTGATCTATACGACCACAAGATAATCTGTGAAAACTTCAACATTGTCAACTTCAATACTGCATCTCGCATAGCCGGTAGTTCGTGGTACTACCTCATGAACGATGGGGCTTTGCTTGAACAAGCTCTTGTGCAGTATGCCCTTAGCAAGGCTAGACAACGAGGTTACACTATGGTAGCACCACCTTCGATTGTCAAGACTGAAATTGTCAGTGCATGTGGATTTAAACCTAATGATCAAAATAATGAGAAGCAAGTCTATCAATTGGAAGACGAAGGGAGATCACTTACCGGCACTGCTGAAATCCCACTTGGAGCTCTTCATTCATCTACTGTGTTCAAATCCGGTAATGAACTTCCTAAAAAATATGTTGGTGTATCCAGGTCATACCGTGCTGAAGCAGGTGCTAGTGGCAAGGATACTAGAGGGTTATATCGTGTTCATGAGTTTACTAAAGTCGAACTCTTTCATTTCACCAAGAGTGACTTGGCTGAGTGTGAACTTGAAGAAATCAAAGACTTCCAAGTTGAGATCTTTAATGAATTGGGCATACAAGCTAAGGTTATGAATATGCCAACTTCAGATTTGGGCTCTCCTGCCATGAAAAAGTATGACATTGAAGCATGGATGCCAGGAAGAGGTAAATGGGGAGAATTGAGCAGTTGTTCCAATTGTGGTGAATATCAAGCAAGAAGATTAGGTATCAGGTATGATAATCAACAAGACAAGTTACTTCATGTTAATACTCTTAATGGAACTTGCATGGCTGTTCCAAGAGTAATTGTTGCCCTTATTGAGCAAAACTACAATCCAGAAACAAATGAAATTTCAATTCCAAAAGTGCTACAACCGTTCATGGACGGTAAGACTAAAATCGTTCCAGTTTAGAATGTCATCTATAAAATGTATACATGTAAATAGTTTAAAATCCCTCATCGGAATTGTTGATGAAATCAGAGTCAGCCAGTCGTGGTACTGGCGTACTGGCAATTCTCTTTTGTTTAGCTGAAAAGTTTGTGGTGGGTGTACTGCTGTGAAATTGGCGTACTTTCTTTAATCGAGTCATGTCAGTAGGAACATCCAATGTTTCAATTTGCTTAACCAACGTTGTGTATTTTTCATTCAACTGTTGGTATTCGTGAAACTTTTGGGTATACGAATTACAAAGTGTTGAGTACTTGTTCTCTAAGTGAGATATTTTCAGTTCTAATTCTTGTTGTTTGTTTGTGAGTTCAATTTGTCGCTTGTTGTCTTGTTCCGCTCTTGTTTCTTCAAATTTAGATAGCTTGGAAAGGATCAAATTGAATTGTTCTTGGTAATTTTGTGGTTTCTCAAGTTGGGCTATCCTGTCCAATATTTTTTGAAGAGTGGCTTCGGAATTACTATTTAAAGATTTGATTTCTCGAACTATAGGATCGGAAATGTGTTCGACATTGGGTATCTTCTCAGTTAAGCTGTCCAATGTATCTTTATTCTTCTTGATTCCTGACTTCAACTCTTCTGAGATGTCTTTTATTCCAGATAAAGAAGCACCAATGTCGCCCACTTCGCATTGAAAAGACTGCTTTAACCCCAGATGGAATTCCTTCACTTCACGTACAGTATTTCCACCAACTTCCTTATATTGTTTATTCAAAGCCTCTAACAACCCTTTTACCATATTTGCAACCTCCCCGGTTTCCTCCTTCCCTACTGTCTCCAACTGTTCCAACTTGTCAAAGATCCGATTCATATCCGCCTTGGTAGCATTCCCCTCAGTCATCACCTCCTTGGAATAAGCAACGACATTTTCCAACAATCTATTCAAATTCTGGTTGTTATTCTTCAGCCGATCAAATAATTGTGCCAAGTCGACGCTTGTCTGGGTCGATTGGACTTCGATATTGTGAAGCTGGGCCTGGATTTCCTCCTGAGTAGTATGGATTAGGTCAAGATGATCATCGAGTGTAGGTGATTTCTGCTTGTTTATTGAAAGCTGCTTGAGTGCATTGGAAACAGCGTTTTCTTTATCCATATTCATGTCGCCAAGGTTATGGTCTTTCTTTGTGGGATCAGATCTGTTGGCTTTGTTTATGTTTATATTTTTCCTGTATATGGATTCGCCTATGGATCTAACCGAGGCGAAGGTTTTAATAACTACGTGGTAGCGCGATCGCTTACTTACTAACTGACCTTTGTTGGTAAATATTGACCTATATAAATATAAACCTCCCCTCACAACCCTACTTTACTCTTCAATGCCGAACTATAGAATGATTTCTTCTGATCAGCTAGTCCCTCAGTAACATTTTCAGTCACGGAATTAGCATAATCATTAAACGTCTCCTCCACCTGTTGTATTCCATCCTGGATCCGCCTCATAAACCCTTGACTGCCAACACCACCAGACCCAGCAGTCGATCTCCTCACGGGTGGATCATACGGTCTTTGTGTTTGCTGTTGTTGATTCTGGTGATGTTGCTGTTGCATTCCGTACCCACCATACCCCTGGGCTGTATTTGCCTCAGGTGAGATATTGAATGCCAATTCACTTTCTTTGGTTTTGGGGTGGCCTCGATTAGGTCCAGCAATCAAGGCAGTTAATTCCGCCGTGGTCATGTAACTGGCTTGACCCTTGGCCCACGAAAGCGCACTGGCAGTAGGACGTGGTGGGATGACAGCAGTAGCATTGAAAAGAAGATCTGTGGTGGAGTCACCGCCTTTGAACTTCACCTTCTCATATACTGATATGTAAACTGATTCAGTCTTGGATGACCGCACATATAATTCTCCTGTGGATAATAAATTCGACTGTTGGGCCAATCCAGATTCTAAAGACCCGCGTACTTGCAGATACACTTCTTTAGGCAATTTAATATCAACAATGTCTTGAAGAGCAGGCAACAGGCAAAACTTAACAAACCCAGATTTGACAAGAATGGCAAGAACAACTCCTTGGTCTCGGAAATTCACCACACTACATTTCAAACAGGAATCTTCCACCACCTTATGTGACAACTTGGTTTTTGGAAGCGACAAAACACGGACATCACGATCAGATGTGGTGATTACGTACCCCGGTATTCTGACTCCTTGACTTAACCTAGTGAAATTATCCATAGTTGCCACGGCTGAAGTTCCATCTTCGGAATTGATGGGGATTATTTCGGAAATGCATGATGCTTCAGCATTAGCCGGATCACTGGTTCTGTAATTCAATTGAATTGTTCTAGTAGCAAACACAACTTCAAACCCACCATTTCCCATTGGGTTGATCTTGAATACGAGAAGATTCCCACCGCAGTTGGTACCGACAAGTAATAAAATCGAAGAGTATCCATCATTACCGTATTCCATGATCGAGAATTCAATGGCAGTAGGGTAACAGTTTCCAGTGACGGTAGACAAGTGTTCTGAAACTCTCTCTAGATTGAGAATAACCGCAGGACCTCGACTGATATCACACACAACCAATCTCCCTGATTTGTAACCGATAGCAGCAAATCCAACTTTACTCATCTTCATCACGGAGATATTTTCACTAGGTTCAACCTGAAGCAAATTGGTAGGTAAGAATGACGCTGACAGGGTGATTGAACCCAGGATTCTCCCACTAATATCCAAAAGCTTGGCGTTCCCATTCTGGTGATGTATAGGGGTATCATGATAGTCCTTGCCCTGGGGTATGCCCGTCCCACGACTGGTGTTTTTGCCAAATTTACAAATGACAACTTCGCCACTGGCCAACCCAACCAACAATTCTCGATTCTGGAACGCACATGAAACAAACTTTACCCGAAGAGAACGTGGGTCACCATGGTCGTACAACGTTTCGCGAAGTCCCACTTGTACTATATTCTCCATTTGTTCTTGTTCTCCCTTGGTTACGTCGAGAATACGAACCAACCCATTTTCATGCCCTGTAATCAAAATGTTTCTGATTGAATCATTTGCACCTATGGGCTTGGGCAAGAAACCAATGTTTACCGATGCACCACCTATAAGCAATGATCTAACTTTGGAACTAGCACCAGTTGACTGGCGTGATGACACAATACTATACCAATCCATACGAAACACTTCTTCAAGATTATATGAAGTTAAAGGTGGATGCACAAATGAGACGGACGTGGGCAATACAACTCTTCCTAAATCAGTACTGCCTTGACCGCCAGCATTATCAGAAAACAAGACAAAGTAAATTTGACCCAAGTTGGAAACAAGGAGCAAATAAGCCGGATTATGTCCACCATGGAAATAAGGTAAACCGTTGTCGTTCATGGGTTGGATCAGGACAAGTTTCTCTTTTTCGTTTGTTTCATTCAAGTAGAAGGTAATAGGAATCATTCGTTGTCCTAATTGAGGCAGGGCGTAGAATTCCAGCTGTTTGTCATACGAGGTTAACGAATATTTTAAGGTGTATCCGAAATCAAGCACGTGAACCACATTAGTGCTGTGAGCATCACCACCACAGATGAGTAACTTGGTGTTTTCTGGGTCTTCCCCACAGACCCACTTCACGTCCTCAATGAGGTTAAACCCATCCGCGGGGATTGGTATTGGGTTACCAGGTTTGTGAATGTGAGTTTCAAACACGGTTCTTGCTTCTAATGGAGTGGGACTGGAGATATCCCAAAAGACAATGGAATTATCAATGTGGGTGGTGACAATATGTAACCCATTCGGATGGAAATGAGCCGATGTCAAGTCGGGAGTGATATCCTTGGAACTAGAAAACAACTTCTTCTTACCACCATGGAGGATATAGGATGAATATTCAAAAGCTCTGGCGCCTTTCTGTAACTGGTAGGTAAAAGTATTCTTGATTTCCCCCGACATTAACGAGTATATGATAGCACACTTGTCATAGGCAATCAAGAGCGTTCCTATATCACGGGGATGCCATTCAATCGCCACTACATGCGACATTTTCTCCTTGGGCAACACCTTTTTTTGTAAATTGTCGATTCTAAATGGGGTCAAATTCATGCGATCAACATCGTAAAACAACACACTACCGTTGTTCAATCCAAAAATCAAAAAGTCCAAGCTTGGATCAGCCTCAGCACAGGTAATTGCCCCGGAAAACAGATATGTTCCCAAGATTTTCTTTGAGTGTAACGACAAAATACTCAATCCTGATCCCGACGACCAACACACCAAGTACACACCCTTGATGAAACGAAGGAAGGTGATGGGATGCTTGAGGTTGAATTCAAACACGACTTCGACATTGACTTGGCCGTAGACTCTGACATCGTTGTTGGTGGTGGATATAGCTAAAAGTGATTGCACTGGATCATATGCGACGGCAACCACGGAGGATCGGGGGATACCCAATTGATTAATGACTTTGAGGTCAATGTTTTTCCCCTTGATTTCCTTTGGTGAAAGGTCCTTGGCTCCTGATGTTTTGATGACATTGGATACAGAACTGAGTGAAAGAGGAGCTTTCCTCAGTTTAAGTTTGGAGAACATTGGTGATTAACGAGAGTGAAACACACACAATATGAGCAAATTTTAAAATGGTGTAAATACACTGACCAATGTCGCATAGAAATTTAAACGAAGTGTCGCGACAATAAAAACACTGGTGGCGGTCGTGCGCAAGTGCCTAAAAGCAAAGGACACCAAAGTCGAGCAAACTTAAAACAAAAAGCTCCACGTATTAAATTGGAATCATACGTGTCTCTAAGAGAATAACTATACATTATGGTATGTCAATTACATTCACATCTATTTAGGTGATGGTGATACTAACAACTCTTGATAGGCCTTAGATAAGTTGATTGGTTTTGGTATGCTTGCAGTGGCCGCGTTTGTGTTTATTTACTACACAACCTGGGTGTTTGTTTTACCCTTTGTCGAAGCAGAAAGCTTTCTCAATTTATTATTCCTCTCCCGAGACTATGCCATTAAGATTCCCTTGTTCTTGTTGGCGATTGCCGGCTTGGGTATTGGAACCTTTGTTGGCAAAGTGTTGATCAAGAACCAACAAAAAAAGAGTAAGAAGAAGCAATAAGAGTGATGGTGGTGTACGTACGCTCGCTCGCTCGCTCGCTCTCTCTCTATTTACTGTACAGACTATTAACACTGAAACAAGAAAGAAGGAACTCTGGAGTAACAAACTCATCCAATTGAAATATGTGTATAGCAAACTACTACCCCTCCCATTTTATAGAATCGTCGTTCGTTATGATCTAATGATATAATTACCTGATTTAGTGATGTATTTAACACCCTTGTATGGCTTGACTGTATCGCCTAATCCCTTGGCACTTATGATCTTCAAATTATCCACTTTCAATCCACTGGGGACTGAACCCTTGTGCAAGTAATGTACTCGAATATACAGAGGTTTGGTGTATTTGGCTTGGGGCTTTTCCGGTGACTCTGACTTTTCTTCGCTGTCGTCTTGATCTTTATCTCCATCTTTATGGAGATCAGATATCACTGAACCATGGAACACGGGCAGAATTCCTGATTTTAACTGACGTAAATTCCATTCACCTTTGCCATTCCCTTTGAATCCGAAGTCACCATGGGTAATTCTATTCAATTTGATTTGGTCTTCTGGATCCTGACAAACGATTTCAACAGTTACTGACTCGACTTTTGTTACTTGCATTCCGAAATGCAATCTAATTTCAAACTCATTGGAATTTTCGCGGCATATGAAATCCACATCAATGGTGCTTTGTTTCAATAATCCCATCCTTTGCAGGTTCAGCGTATATTGCAGATCCAAGTCTATCTGATACTTCATTAATGTCGATTTCCCATCAGGAGGAATGAATGATAGCACCCCTCTTCTCTCTCTCCACGTGTCTAAATTCACACATCTGTGAAAGCTTGGAAACGTGATATCTTTGACCCCAAGCGTATTGAAAATCAACTGTAATAATGGAACACCAGTTAGACGACTAACAAAATTCACCTCACCGTCGATCGTCCCACTGATCATGTAATTCTCCTGCGCAGCTGCTGCCTTAGTAGTTGAGTAAAACGCAGAATCAAACTGTTGAGCGCCAACTTTTTTTGGAATCGGCTTGAGAATAACACTGACGGTTTCAATCACATCCACATACATCTCATTGTTGGTATGTCTCACATTGGATCTTCTCCATGGAATATCGCTTTCCTCTTTGGCCAGACTGATACCGGTTGTATCCTTTAATGCTGCCGTCGCCTTGGAGGCTGTAGAACTGGCACTGCTCAAAAATTTGGAAAGTAATGACTTGTATGCCACTAAATCACGCAATTTGTTGAAATCTGTATAGTAAGGAATAGTATCGTCTAACATCTGATAAAGCAAAAGTGTCAATGTGTCATTATTAGCCTCAATCTTACTGGGAGTCTTTAAATCTCCAAAGTAATCACGAATGGTTTCAATAAGACGACGAACAAAGATTGTAGGGAATAAAGGATTGACATCTTGGGAATATTGATGCAAGACGTAAAAGATCAACGATGATTCGTGATGGATGAGTAAATGGAACTTGCTGTTTAATGGGATGATATCGTTGGTTTGGTGGATGTCAGTGGAGCTAGTGGCTGCTGTAATTTTAGGAAGAAGAGTTTTGAATTGGGGAGATGTAAGGGAGTTGGAATACTCATACACTAGTGTATTTGTCGAGTCTGCTATATACAATGCCTCAATCATGGTGGGTGGTATTTATTACTGTGTAAGTTTATGTTGGTGGAAATCAGATTAAATTTTTCTTATTTTTGTCGCGAACTGAAAAGGTTGTCGCGACCTACAAATTTGTAGTCGATCAATGTGAATGTAATATATTTCGTTAATACCCCGAAGAGCTAAAGGATATATCAGTGTGAGCATTGCTGGCTCTATGAATTTGGGTTGTTTAAACGTTGTTTTAAACAAATTTACAACTTGGTTTGTTCTTAATTGTAATTTAGTAATAATTTGCTAGAATTTTATTGAAAACAGACCAAGAAGGAAAGGATATACGCTTGAGACAAAGTCTACTCCACACCAAATTTTCCTAACTATCAACACTTTTACCTTGAAAGCTATTATTTTGAGTTAATTTTTACCCGAAATTAGTCATTCAAACAAACCTTAAGCCAGTACTTTAACATTAGAGGGATATATCGCACAACCTAATTTGATCTACATTCCAGTCTGACGATCCGAAGCGTATTATCTAAATACCTCATCATTCTCGTTTTGCACTCTTGAGTGTTTCACCACCATTGTTGGCCTCAAGACTATGTTACAAAATTTTGCAACCATAGGAAAATACCGCGCAAATTTTAATCCCTGGAAAAATGTCCCGCGCCTTTATTCGCAATAATTTAACAGCAATTTTGTTTGTGGGGAAACTCCACATGATAGCAATATCAGATATGTCTTGAGGCATTTTGCCATCCCGAGAGAATATTGTCGACATAACACATACAAGGCGCTCTGCATAATCTTTTTAGTTAGAACAGTACACAAGAAGCAATATAAATATGATGTAGATTCTCGCTTTCTCTCGACTCAGATTTATTTCCCCAGTATCAAACACTACAAACAAACAAGCAAAACAAAAAAAAAAGAAAACGAAACATTATGACTAAGCCAAAGGTATTATTAGTTCTTTACGAAGGTGGTCATCACGCCAAGGAACAACCAAAGCTCTTGGGTGCCATCGAAAACGAACTTGGTCTCCGTAAGTTCATCGAAGACCACGGTTATGAATTGGTCCTGACCATCGACAAGGACCCAGAACCTCATTCCAAGGTCGACCAGGAGTTGCCCGATGCCGAAATTGTCATCTCCACTCCATTCTTCCCCTTGTACTTGACCCGTACCCGTATTGCCAAGTCTCCCAACTTGAAGATTGCCATCACTGCTGGTGTTGGATCTGACCATGTTGACCTTGATGCTGCAAATGAACGCAATATCTCCGTATTGGAAGTCACTGGGTCGAACGTCCAGTCTGTGGCTGAACATGCCATGATGACTATCTTGACATTGGTGAGAAACTTTGTTCCTGCCCATGATTATGCGGTTAATGGTAAGTGGGACATTGCTGCTATTGCTAGGGATGAGTACGATTTGGAAGACAAGGTTATTGCTACTGTTGGTGCAGGCCGTATCGGATACAGAATCTTGGAACGGTTGATTGCTTTTAACCCAAAGAAGTTGTTGTATTACGACTACCAAGAACTTCCAGCTGATGCAATCAAGAAGCTTAATGAAGCATCCAAACTTTTCAACGGTGTTGACAATATTGTTGAAAGAGTCGAGAACTTGGAAGATATGGTTTCTCAAGCTGATATTGTTACGATTAACTGTCCCCTTCATGACAACTCTCGTGGTTTGTTCAATAAGGACTTGATTGCCAAGATGAAGAAAGGTTCTTATTTAGTCAACACTGCCAGAGGTGCCATTTGCGTTGAGCAAGATGTCGCTGACGCCGTCAATTCCGGACATTTGGCAGGATACGGTGGTGATGTGTGGTACCCCCAACCAGCACCAAAGGACCATCCTTGGAGATCTATGAAGAATGCCAACGGTGGTGGTAATGCCATGACTCCTCATATCTCGGGGACTAGTTTAGACGCTCAAGCCAGATATGCTGCTGGTGTTAAGCAAATCTTGACCGAATACTTCAACAAGACTTACAAGTATCGTCCCCAGGATGTCATTTGTATTGATGGTGACTACGCTACTAAGGCTTATGGTCAAAGAGAGAAGAAGTAATCGTTATCTATTTCACAGTTTTTTTTTTTATTATTTTAAATATAATAACTAGTTTTTTTATATTATGAATAAGATGAAGTTTTCAATAAACGGGTTGTAGTATTAATATATAAATACAAACGGAGGGGTAGGGGGAATATTTCTATAAATAATAATAAAAAAAAAGTCATTAAGTCGAGTCATTTCAAGTACCTTTCATAAAATTGTTAATACAGCTTTGTACAAAAATGTCAAAACTGTTTCTCTGTTTGAATAAATGGTTAATTTGCAGGCTGGTCCAATGTATTCTTATCATCATTAGGCCTTCCTTCACACACACATATTCTTCATGACCATTATTCAAGCTTCAAAACAGCTTAACACATCATTCAATTAACTGAATTATTTGCTGGAAACACCAACACCAGAAGAGGAAGAATCTTGTTCTCCAACGTATTCCACATCGTCGTCTTCAATATCAACATCCAAGTCTCTGGCAACTCTTTGTTCAACATCCTTAACTTCAGCCATACCGTAAAAGGCAATAACAGTAAGACCTAAAACACCAGCAATACAAGAGAATACAAGGGCAACAATACCTCTGGCAGTGAAACCAGTTGGCAATCTGCTGTGTTGAACATTTTCACCAGTCAAAACAAGGAAGTCCTTGTTGTTACCAGCGGCATTACCTTCCCATGGAACACCAACCTTTTCACAAATTTGCTTGTGGTTATCGGTGATTTGTTGACGTGGGTCCTTTTGGATACCAATAGGATCTTCAACTAACAAGATGGCCAAACCTTGGTCCAAATGCCATTCAATATGACAATGGAACATCCAAACACCTGGATTATCAGCCTTGAATCTCAAAACCATGTAGGATTGTGGTTGAACGAAAACAGTATCTCTGATCATTGGGTGTTCTGGCCATTCGGCATGGTCGGATGCGTTGAAACCAACTGGTGGATCACTGTCATCAACAGCTTCATGTCTTTCAATAACTTGGAAAGCGTGACCATGCAAGTGGAATGGATGCTTACCGGTATCCAAGTTGTTGACCACAATATCAACAACATCATCAGGTTGCAAAACGAACGAGTTGGTGTTAGTACCGTAAACCAAACTGTTGGTGGCGTATTCACCAGAAGACAAAGCAGTCAACAAAGTTGGAACCTTTGGAGTAGTGTAGGAAATGTTGTTGAAGAAAGCATAGTTAACACCGTCACCCAAGTTGTCCATAATAACATCAACAGTAATGGTATAATCAGCATCGTCAAGCAAAGTAGTATTACTCAATGGTTTCAAGTAGAAATCGTCAAAGAAGTCATCAATGGAGTCAATGTCATAAGGACCTGGCATATCGGCTTCTTCGTTATAAACAATGTAGTTTGTACCATTCAATTGTAAATCGTCAGGAATGACATCCAACATATCAATATCAACACGGGTCATGAAAGCGTAGTTCTTGCTGGTATCACTCTTGGTGGTGACCAAAACACCATAACGTTGAGCAACAGTGATGTAAATCAAATCAGTGGCGTTCTTTTCCACATAAATACCATCAACTTCAACAATGGTGAACTCGTGGTCTTCCATCCAAAGATATTGGGAGACAAACATGCCAATGTTGACAATTCTCAAGAAATAAGTCTTGTTTGGTTCAACCTTCCAGGTAGCATTCATGGTGTTGTTGAACAAAAAGTTTTGTGGAATTGGTTCAGCACCAGTTGGATTGAATCTACTCATGAAACCAGGGTTCAATTGATCATAAGTTTCATGGTAAAGATCAGCCACAGACAAGACGACTTCTTCGTCGTATTCGTAAGGGAAATCATCGTCTTCGATAATGAAAACCCCTCTCATACCATCACCAAGTTGACCCATGGTATGCGAGTGGTACCAGAAAGTACCGACTTGGTCAGCAACAGTAAAGTTATACAAGAAAGTTTCACCAGGAGGAATTGGACATTGGGTAACCATTTCTGGCCCATCCATTTGTCCAGTACCATTTTGGAACATACCATGGAAATGCAACGAGGTATTACGATCATCGAAACCGTTGATTAAATATAAGTTAACAGTATCACCCTTCTTGACTCTAAGGGTAGGTAAGGGCCAGGACCCATTGAAACCAATCACGGGTCTTTCCTTGACACCATCTGGGTTGGCATTGACCCACCCGGTTTCAAAATACCAAGTGTGGGTTTCTGCTTGGATAAGTGACCATAGAAACGCGGTCAATAAAATAGGAACGAGTTTCATTTAGTATGTAGTTGAAATAACAGTTAGCTGGAAAAAAACTAGACAATTCACAGCCAAAATGAAATAAGAAAAATCCCCAAGGAAAGGAAAGGGAAACAAAACAGGCTTGAACATGTTGAGGGAATTCACAGGTTAATTTATACCCAATCTTAAATTAGATTGAATTTCACAAAAATTTGTAAATGGATGAAAATATTTTAAGGGAGCGGGTTTAAATTATAAAAATATTTTATTATTATTTTTTTTTTCCACCTTTTCAAAATCTGATAAAAATATTTTTTTTGTTGCTCCTTTGTGGCAAGTGTGCAAAAAAAAAGGGTACAAAAATAATTTATTATTTATGCATTTAGGATCAGATAAAAATTTCCTCTATTGTCTCACACTTCTGTGAAATCCCTCAACATGTAAAACTGAACTAGACCATGGATGTATTGTATTCAGAATACGAAATAACGGTTCTTGGGCTTTAATGTGGACTTTTACCAAGTGAATACTGCAAGTATAACCTCTCAGAATAAAATTCCAAGCCGCATTAGCGATCTGACGTACCTTACTTAAATTTCTTATCCGTGCCAAGCTTTGACACTTCGTTGCCAAGATCCCCGAATCGGATTTAACAGAATTGTTGCAAAATGCTCTTATATTTTATCCAATGATCAGAAGACCGCAAAAATGGTTAATTATCACTAATCATTTGCCATCTAAAGTGTAAATTGAACTGAAATGTTGATTGGTTATGTGTGACATCATCGGATCTATAGGTCCGGTTCTTATTGGTTTGAAAACGAAAAAAAAAAATTCTGCAAATTATACTGATGTAACAATGCAAAGGTAGTTTGAGCCGCGCATTATTTCACTCACGGGTGGCCCTGCCAAATTTACGAACTCATAGCAACCATATCAAGTAACCTGCAATTTCTGCACTCTGTACTAAATCAATATTCAATTATAATTATGCTAAATGAGTAATTTTCTACATCTAATGAACGGGCGATTAGTATATTAATCATAAATACATATCAATATGTAAAATAAGTGGGAATGTAAGGGGGGATTTCTATAAGTTAAATAAATATAAGTCATTAGTCGAGTCATTTCTAAAAAATACCTTTTTCATCACAACATTAATAAAAACACAAATTTCTGTAAATAAACTAGTATCAAACCGTCATTCTCTGAATAAATGGTTAATTCGCAGGTTGGTCCAATGTTAATATACCATCAATGAACCTTCCTTCACACACACATATTCTTCATGACCATCATTCAAAAAATTAAACAATTCAATATATCATCTATCTGGTGGAAGTAGCAGCATAAGAAGAGCAACTTTCTTCAGCATACTTGGTTTCAGAATCTTCAGATTCTTCCATATCCACATCGACATCCAAATCTTGAGCAACCTTCTCTTCGTTAACGTCGGACATACCATAAATGGCGATACAGGTAACACCCAAGATTCCAGCAATACAAGAGAATACAAGGGCAACAATACCTCTGGCAGTGAAACCAGCTGGTAATGGAGCATGTTGGACATTTTCACCAGTCAAAACAAGGAAATCCGTGTTGTTACCAGCAGCATTACCTTCCCATGGAACACCAGCCTTTTCACAAATTTGTTTACTGTTGTCATTGAGTTGTTGACGTGGATCGTTTTGGATACCAATAGGATCTTCAACTAACAAGATAGCTAACCCTTGATCCAAATGCCATTCTAAATGACAATGGAACATCCAAACACCTGGGTTGGTAGCTTTGAATCTCAAAACCATATATGATAGAGGCTCTAACCAAACTGTATCTCTATGCATAGGTTTTTCTGGCCATTCAGCATGATCAGAAGCATTGAAAGCAACATGTTCCTGATCGTCTGGAACTTCTGGGTGTCTTTCAATTAACTGGAACACATGTCCGTGCATATGGAATGGATGCCTACCGGTATCCTTATTGTTCACGACGACGTCGATAACATCATTCGGTTGCAAGACGAATGAGTTGGTGTTGGAACCATACACCATAGCGTTAGTAGCTAATTCACCAGCAGATAAAGCAGTCATCAAAGTTGGAACCTTTGGTTTGACATATGTAATATTGTTGAAGAAAGCATAATTGATACCATTACCCAAGTTATCCATAACAACATCCAAGGTAATAGTGTAGTCAGCATCATCAAGTATGGTAGTGTTATCCAAAGGTTTCAAGTAGAAATCGTCCAAGTAAGTATCAGGAGGTGGGAACGGTTTTGGTAAGTCAGCATCTTCGTTATAAACAATGTAGTTGGTAGTATTTAATTGTAACGCGTCAGGAATTAAATCCAACATAGTAGTATCAACAGCAGTCATAAAGGCATAATTTCTATCAGTTTCGTTTTTGGTGGTAATCAAAAGACCATAACGTTGAGCAACAGTGATGTAAATCATACTAGTTTCATTCTTTTCGACATAAATACCATCAGCTTCAACAACAGTGAAATTATGGTCTTCCATCCAAATATACTGAGAGACAAATCCACCAATGTTAAGAAGTCTCACGAAATAAGTCTTGTTTGGCTCAACTTTCCAGGTAGCATTCATGGTATCATTGAACAAAAAGTTTTGTGGAATTGGTTCAGCACCAGTTGGGTTGAATCTACTCATAAATAGTGGCATTAATTCGTCACTGGTTTTGTGGTAAAGATCGGCCACAGTCAAGATAACTTCTTCATCGTATTCGTAAGGGAAATCAGGGTCTTCAATAATGAAAACCCCTCTCATACCATCACCAGTTTGACCCATGGTATGTGAGTGGTACCAATATGTACCGACTTGATCAGTTACAGTAAAGTTATACAAGAAAGTTTCACCAGGAGGAATTGGACATTGGGTAACCATTTCTGGCCCATCCATTTGGCCGGTACCATTTTGGAACATCCCGTGGAAATGCAAAGTAGTGTTTTCGGTTTTGAAACCATTGGTCAAGTACAAATTAACGGTGTCACCCTTTTTAATTCTAAGGGTAGGCAAAGGCCAGGACCCATTGAAACCGATCATGAGTCTGTCCATGAGACCATCTGGGTTGGCATTGACCCATCCGGTTTCAAAGTACCAAGTGTGGGTTTCTGCTTGGATAAGCGACCATAGGAACGTAGTAACTAAAATTGAGATAAGGTTCATCTTAAAAGTGGTTGTAAAAATAAAACGAGCACACAAAAATGATAGTTATAAACTGCACGAATAACACTTATTTCCTCAAATGGCAGTTGTAAATCTTTGCAACTTCGTTTATTAGCACTTTGGTTTTTAGATAAAACAGATAACCTGTAAGAATATATTTTTTTTTACAGACAATCAAAATAAGCCCCGTCGAAACAATAAATTAAAAAGACACAACCATAATTAGGGAAGACAAAGACCATTTTATATCATTCTAGTTTGGTTGTACAAAAATTTTACTAGTTTCTAACTGGATAAAAAAACATGCATAATGAGTAAAAAAATAATCCCAAAAAAATCTTTTACTAGTAACAACTGATAATTTTTCTTAGTTCTAGAAAATATTATATTTTTTTATGCAGAAAAGGATCAGATAAATATTGCCCCGTCATCGGGAACCTTTTTTTTTTTTTTCATCGTCAGGGCTTTGAAAGGTGATGCCATATGTTCCGTGTATCCAATACTGCACCAACATGCTTGCGTACTTCAGGTATATTCAGATCAAATCTAAGATAAGAATTGTGTAGACAGGGATACCAAAATGGTTGTGGGGATGAATTTCAGCAAGTTCCCCTCTTGGTACGAGTTTTTGAGTTCGCGCAGGTTTATAATTGTAAGACATGTGAATTAAGGTTTTTTATTTTCGCCCACATTATCCCCTGGTTCTACTTACATACTAGGTAAAACACGGTTATGTAATTGAATGGTTTTAACAACCGTAAAGACGATTTCGCCAAGCAATGCCAAGACCATAGATGAGGGATTTACCACTAATAATCTCTTAAAAGTGCCCGAATTACATTCACAATAGCAAAACGCTTGTGCTTTTTGCCCTGACACTCGGTCTTTTGTAATACTTCAGGAGTACGTTAACCAATTGCCGTATTGATTGATTATTTGCCATGAAATATCGTCAAGGACGTAGCATTATGATTCATGGTTGCAAAACAAACACCAAGGAATAATGAATAATGATGAACGGAATTATCTTTTAGTTCTTACCCAATTTGGTAACTCCACGTTAATAAATGGTGTTAATGTACAATTCCGCACAGTAACGCCAGTTAGGAACAGTATTAACGCTGTAGCAAAATTTAGCAAGCAGGAACAATCAACTGGCTTGAGAAGGTTTCGCCTTTCGTACAATGTAAGGAATGTATGTTATGTGCCCTTTCACGATGAAATTATTTTTTTTTTCTGCTCGTCGACAAAAACTGGTAGAAAATAAATTATTATTTATGTGGGTAATAAACAATGGATGACGAGAAGCATTCTTTTTTTTTTTTTTAAGGAAGGATCTGATCATCGTACCATACCTCCAGATCAGTAACGCCTGAATCCAATTTAATTTTCAATTATATCAAGGTGCTGTTTGGTAATAATTTAGTTTATCCAGAATATTTATATCCCGAAGATCGGAAACCTATAGTCCTTTGGGAAGACAGCAACCCGCAACTAAGCACGGCTACTATTTTTTAAACTTTTTATCTTTTTCATCTGCAGTTTCTCATCGATTCCCCAAGTAGGACAAAAAAGACAAAAGGAAGTTCAAACCAGTAAACCATAAAATTATCTAAACCATCTGAGATGCACTAACAATGACGGACGACGTGGTTTGCGGCAGGAATACCCGGAATTTGCGTTTTGATTATCATAGGTCATCATAACAATAGAAACGAAAGAACAAAATTGGATGAATCTTTATCCGATTGGCTAGATTTTTGGTAACAATTAAGATTTTCAACAAAATAAATTTATTACAAAACACATCTGCATCTAGAATAATATTCAAATATAATCAGGTGTTGTGAACACAAAATACGACGAATGCATATAACTTGAACAGGAGATTTTGATATGATGAATCAGATAAAAATGCGAACGTCGGAAAATTAAAAAATATTTTTTTGGAGTGCATGGTTGCAGTTACGAAGTTTTCTCAACTCTAATTGGCCAGAAAGCGAAGCCTGTCAATTACTACCGCATTGAATTAACAGTGTCAAAGGTAAAAGTTTATTTGAATAATTCTAACCCACCTCGACAATTTCAGGTTAATTATACCTTGCCGTAGTGGCTTAGTTTGATTTATATTAATTTGGGAGGAAAGGCGATTATACGCTTGTTGTTTGAAGTTTTAATTAAACAATGTAGTTTGAAGCTAATAAGATCAATTTTTTTGTGTAGAATGACCCATATCTTGTAAACGAAGTTCAAACAATTTGGGAGGTTCGCTTATTGGCTCTGTCTAAGTTCAGTTGCTATCCGGGGTTATTCAATTCTAGTCTTGTGTGTGTGTTAAGCGAGGCGCTAGGAAGTTTCAACTGGAAATGCCCAAAAATGATTCTTCTAAGCCAACTTAGTAATGGTGCCATGCACCTTTATTTACCACAAAGCCGCCCACTGCAACTTGTGTGTAGCTTCTTCGTCTTTATTCAAAAAAGAGTTGTCTGACGTTGTGGCATTTCTTCCTGTCAAAATATTATAAAGCTGATAAATCCAACATGATCAACTTTTTCGTATAAGTAATCAGCGAAGATCCAAATCTACCAGAAATATACATTTGCATCAGGTGCTTTAGTTATAATGTGGACTATCCTTTGAATTTTGGGCAGTGGTGGCTTTTTGGCACAAGCAATACCGCTATGCATGTTGATGTGCTAATAGTATTAAAAGCTTGGCCGCCTTGATTCTTTGAATGCCTTGGGTTTCAATAAGCTTGGTATGGTAGTTTATGTGGGATTAAATAGTCTCATATTGATCAAGGAGGCACTAGTGTATGTGTGTTAACCTTGACACTATCAAGGTAAGTTTCAAGTTAATCAGTGAAATTACCAAATTGTGGTTGATCTATTCCATAGCGAACAATAGAAAGACTTTTATTTAATTACTAAGCTACCTAAAACCATGTCAACAGCAAGATAAATGCAGATATATTTATATTTACTATCTCATCTACCAGTTTCACTTATACTTGCTACACATAAACCAATACAAGCTATTTTATATTGCTCATAGGTCATGATTAATTTGCTCACAGGTTTAAAATTAATTTGCTCACACTAAAACAATAATTTGCTCATTATACCACAACAAGAAAAACACCCATATAAAAACCTTAATTGGAAATTTATTCATTGCAGTTATGTGTGTGTGTGGGAGGTGCCGACATAGATGATGTATCTTTATGTGCACTTGGACTCAGAATTTGACTTTGCTTGCAGTTATATGACATCTGCTTCTCCGATCTTGCAGAGATGCAAATGGTTCTTTTTCGAATGTGATGCAGTTACAGGTCAGGCAGATAATGGCATAAAGACATATTGAGATGACCGCAACTGTGGAGTTTTACATGGACATATTACAATCACATGAGATGTTGTGGATTGTGCCTGTACTTGAAATTTAATTTGGAGTAAAATCATAATCATATGTCTATAAATGGTATTGAAAAAATTTTCATTACTTGGCTTCAGTTAACATGATCTAGTTGAAAACAATAATGCTGTTATTATCACATTTCAAAATCCCTATCATGTATATGAATGCTGCTCTGTGAACTTTATGCCTATCAACTAGAGTTAATAAATCTAAATGCCTACACCTTGGATACTGCGAAGTTATTGTCCTAACTCTCCTTATTTTTGCTTTCACGAGTGGTTACTACATTTAGGTTCTCGTCCGACATTGTGAAACAACTCAAGTCCTTTGTAGGTGTATATCTTTTCATAAATGTAAGGGTAGTTGGTCGTGTGTACCTCTATTGCTTGACAACTGTTGGATCAGTTGCCATCTTCCGTCAAAGTTTGTACTTTGGGCTTCATTTTTATAAAGCTCTTCGTGGATAGGAAATTTGAATAAGCCAAGAACTTCGAGAAATGTGGTTCTGGCTAACTAGAGGTTAGGTCATCACGAAAAACATTTGGTCATCAATTTTAATGCAGCTTAGATTTAGCTTAGAATTAAGTACTTTTTATAAGTTAACTTAGCAAGAATAAATTAAGCCGACGTGAAACTATTTAGTAGGCATAGCACCGTATTGAATCAATAAGATGGCAGTAGTTTGCTAGAGAAAATCAATAACAGTAGTTGTAATGCGTATCGATTTTCCTTCAGTTATTGGTATCATTTCTTGACGAAAATTATATAATATTAAAAATGTTCCAGCAAATACACCAGATTTAACGAAACGCCCTTGCATCACACGTGAAAGATCTAACACTTTATTACTTCTATTCTCCAGGTATTTTCTAACCTAAGAGTTGAATATATTCAGAAAATAGGAATTCTCAGTAAATAACACTGGTGTCTGGTAGCGCTTAGTTAGATTTCATACGTTAGTCACTCAAACATAGATATTATCGACATTCTACAAATAATTTTTTAGCCCATATAGCTGAAAAAAAGTCTTTAAATGCTGTCAATGCAACATGCAACTGTTGGGTATATCTGGATACGATGCTTCAATTCTCTTACGAGTTTCACGTAACGACACGCTCCCAACAAAAAATTGCATCACGTGGTACAAAACTCAGGGTTTAGCCAATAACTCAAAAAAAAAAAAATAAAAAAAAAAGAAAATAAAAGTTTTTTGCAACGTAAATTTGTTACTCTGTTCTGTCTCCTCCCTCTCCCCCCCCCACACAAGTTAGATGAAGTAGCTATTTGACCATGAGCTATTCAGTTCAAACACGCCTCCTTTCTACCTCAGTGATACTTTCGAATAACTTAGTTGCTCTCAAGAAGTTTCCAACGACTGCAGCAGCCACCGCAACTGCCACCGCAACAACAGCCGATGGTCATACAGCACATGCATATAAGCGATCAACACATCCTACTTCGGTCCCACTTTCCAAATTATTCACCAACAGCTTTCCATTGTCGGTTCGTGAATCTCTTGAAGATTACGGATACCGTCATAACCCGTTGAAGTTCCAACACGACTTACTTTCTACCCTTCCATTTTACCCTCATCCAGACTCTAGTGGAACTGCAGCTAAAGTCCTCCAAACACCTATTGACGAACACGGAAATTTCATAAATGAGTTTGTCATTTCACCCCAGGGTAACTTCCAAGAACCAAACCACTTGATAATGATACATGGATATGGAGGTGGGCTTGGATTCTACCTCAAGAACTTTGAAGCATTAGCCAAGGAGAAGAACTGGTGTATTCACGCCATAGACCTATTAGGCTATGGATGCAGTTCACGACCAAAGTTCGTTGGCAAGAACTTGCAAGAGGTTGAAAACTGGTTTCATGATTCATACAGTGAATGGTTACGACTTCGCGGCCTTGATCAAGCCCGTGATAAAACATTAATCATGGCCCATTCCATGGGAGCATATCTCATGGGCACCTATGGAATAAACCGCGATCCTGACTTTTGCAAGAAATTACTCATGGTTTCGCCAGGTGCCATCATCAAGCATCGTAAGCAAGTTTTTGTTCCCAAGTATTTTGCCAAATTATGGGAACAAAACATATCTCCATTTTCACTTGTACGTGGCTCAGGTCCATTTGGGTCAAAGTTAGTGAGTATGTGGTCATCACGTCGTTTTGCAAAGTTATCATCCAACGAGTCAAGATTATTACATAAATACGCGTATGGAATCTTCAATAGTCCCGGGTCAGGAGAGTATATGTTGAATTTCCTTTTAGCCCCTGGTGCCGACGCAAGACATCCGTTGGTGGAGAGAGGGGTGCATAAATTGAAATGTAAATTGTCGTGGTGGTATGGTAAAGAAGATTGGATGGATCCTAAAGGTGGCGAATTGTGTTCTAATATCATTAACAATTTGCGTGGAGAGGTTGTCAGTGATGTCAAGTTGATTGAGGATAGTGGACATCACATTTACCTTGATAATATCACCAGATTCAACCTGATGTTGGTGAACGAGATGAGAGATATGGAGAAGGACGAAGCTACCTGATTCCTTGCGCCTTATAAAAATGTATATATGTACACCCTATTTATTAATAAATTCCGGATCTACTTCTGATCCTACAAATTCAACAAGAACCTTCATAGAAATAGGTAATTTGGGATCAGTAACCACAATCTCTTCACCAGGTGCTAACAAATCCGATAATTTCTTGGATAAATTAGTTCTCGTTAATTTCTCCAACTCTTCAGGATTACTCAAATACAAATATCGCAGTGATGTAGTCAACGAAGGTCTAGTCATTTGCACTTCTTGTTTGGTAGATAATTCTTCAATAAACTGATCAAGAGTCCACCATCTCTCAGCTTTGACCCATTTAGGCATGTTCCCACACACAGGACAATTATCCTTTTTAGCGTATGGATAGGTATATGTGAAAATCGATTCATCGCCAGAATACATCATGTAGTTATTCAATAATGGATTGGAGTTAGTGACAAACTTGAATGCTTCATTGCAGCAACTAGCAGCAATCACGGCATTTGTACTTGCAATTGCCGGAATGATATTCTTGACCACGCCCAATGTCAACAGTCTCGTTACTCCTTCAATCTTAAACTCATCCGCACGAGTTTTCGCCATCTGATACATCCAATCGACATCATCAGGGTTATCTGCATCAAACTTTCTATCGGGAAAATGTCTCGGCCATTGTAACTGATTTGCCCATTCGATGCAATGTTCTGGGAGTCGTGGCGTATTGGCAATGGTACATACGGGATATGTGACTTTTGGGGAGAGTAAATCCAATGAACACTCAAAACACAGGCTTATAGTGGGGAGTATCACCCTTGATTGGCCCCGTAACCCCTCAGTTCCTCCGTCTATCAACGGAACCAAGGTTTCTTCATCAACCAAGGCCATCAACGTAGCGTTAATCCACCGTCTTGCCTCAATGGAGTCCAATCCACTGATCACCACGCTGAATTGACGATAGTATTCCCTGGGTTTATCCTGGATCTTTCCGAAATACGGTGTTATTTTCAAGTTGTCATCCCCGATACGAGCAATGATGGCTCTGGCCGCCACTTCCGCTTTGCTTTTGCCTATATCCTCCGGCCGGAAGAGAAACTGTCGATTGAGGTTGGAGAGCTCAATAGTGTCCATGTCAATAACATGAATGTCCTTGAATCCCGTCAAGGCCAAGTTTTTGAGGATTTCACACCCCAATCCACCTGCACCAATGACGAGGATCTTGGTGGTAGCAAGGGATAGAAGCGAGTCATGGGGGTCATATTCTTCAGGGACTTCGTTGAAGGGTCCGGCTGTTTCCACTAGAGGTAGTATGGATGAGAGATCACGCATGATCTGAGTTGTGGTAATGGTTGGTATAGAGTTGGTATGTTGTGATCTCCTAGTGGGAAACTTCAAATTAAGAATTTCGTAAAGTGGTTTTTTTTTTAGTACGCGTTGATATGGAAACAATCGGAGAAGGGGGCATACAGATATGTCAAGGTTTTATTAGCTATATACTTTCTATGTAGGTGGTGGTGCGGATGGTGCTGGCACCACTGGTACTGTTGGCGGCGTTGTCGATGCAGTTTCTGTTCCATCTAAATGTAATCGCTTATTTTGAACTACACCCTGGGGCATCCCCACTCTTTTACCACCAACTCCACCATGTAAAGGACTGAAACTTCTACCGCCTCGTAAATGGTTCTGACTAGCACCATTACTACTTACGTCCAGTCTTTTAACAGGCACAGATTTTGTTGGATCTACCGTACGTCGAATATTAGGTGATACAAATTTTGGATCAAAGTGTGGGAGATTTGTAGTGGTAGGATTTGGCGATTGCTGGAGCAAGTTTGCACCTTTCGCACTAACAAATAATGCTGAAGCTGCCGAGTCTGGCGCAGTAGTATTAGTAGTTGAGTTTAAAGGTGGGCTATCTTCATCCATGTCATCGCTAAAGAGGAATGAATCATCGAAATCATCAAGTTGAGGATTATGGTCGATTACTTTGGACGGCAGTTTTGGAGTAACAAATTGTTGTTGTGGTGGCTGTTGAGGTTGTTGCTTTCCAGGAACTGGCTGGGGCGGAGGTAACTTTGGAGCAGGTTGCTGAGTTGGCAGTGGTTTAACTACCGGTTTAACTACCTGCTGGTTATACTGCGGGTGTGGAGGTTGGTAACGATTTTGCGGTTGTTGCGGTTGTTGCTGCTGCTGTTGCTGCTGCTGTTGCGGTTGATGAGATGGTGGCTGCTGCTGCTGTTTATTCTCGTTAACTGCCTCTTCCTGGTGTTGCTTTTCAATAATCCCCTTCTTGCGTTCTCTCTCCACTAACAAGGGATCTCTATGAAAATTATCATCCTGCAATTCTGCTGGTGGTAATTTAACTTTTTGCATTTTGGCAACAATTGTCTTGTCATACAAACAATTTCCCAAAACATTTCCAAAACATCTTAAACAACGTTTAACCCCATCAGTAAACGCTTCCTTCTTACACTTTTCAAACGCCATCGCTTTACTCTTGGCATTATCAATATATCCATACCCAAAATCTTCGTGGTACGTTCCATCCTTGACAGTGACGCGTACCACTACAGACAACCCCATGGAGAATCTACCCGTGTTTCCATGAGTATCGAAGTAATCCACCTGGGTCAGGATCAACTCCGAGTTCCAGCCATTAAAGCCAAAGATCTCATTAGCTAAGTTGAGTGCTTTCCAGCCTTCAATGTACAGAACTTTAGTACCATTGCCACCAGGCCGGAAACTCACGTACTCAGGACCAAGAACTTTGTTGAGCTGGGTCTGAATTCGCGTCTGTTCGTGTTGTGTGTATGGTGTTGGTTTGAAAGTACGCACTGCTGGCGGTTTAGCTGGTGGTGGTGCAGGCCGGGGGAACATGATCTGGTAATAGTAGAGTAAAGTAAAGTGGTTGTAAATGGTAATAAATTTTTACGCGCACTGACTGATAAATTTAACTACATCACGCTAGAGTAAGCAATAATCAACTGAGCTACATTGGTCAAATGAACAGTTCCACTACCCATCACTCCAAACATGTCAAAATACGACGGGACAAGTCTACATTCACAGTTAGTATTACTCTAGCTACCGATGCTCTTGAAGCTATCCGACTAGCCCAAGTCAAGGTGAAATCCCCCACCAAGAGGCAGCGCAATGCATCAACCCGTCTGAGTCAAATAGAGCAATATAACCAACTAGTTATGACCGAACAACGGAGATTACGATATACCAAGCGCATTCAAGGTATAGATCTCAGTCCTACAAAACCTTCAAAACATGTACGATTCACAATATAGTATTTATTTTTTTTGTTTCTATACATCCAAACTAGATATCAAAGTGATGTTGTCCCCCTTGAGTAATATTCGACCGAGCTCATCCTTGCGTCCTGTAACGGTCGATATCTCCACAGCATCGTCAATGACGATGTTCATAAATTCATCAAAACCACGGATTTTCCCCTGGATGCGCAGTTGTGTTTGTTCATAAAGCCATATGGTAACTTGAGACTGATGCTGGAGGAACTTGAATATGAGATTGATTGGCGGAAGCGTGGCCTTCTTTTGTTTGCTGGACATGATGTGTGTGTGTGTGTGTGTGTGTGTTTGTGTTTAACTTAGTATTGATAGTTAAAGGGTAAATTTTGTTGATGAGGTTTTTTTTATTTTTCCTGTATGGGATTGAGAGACTCCTCTTTGTTTACGTTTATAGAAACACTCCAAAAATGGACGACTACAAACACCTCTTTATACAATGGCTAGAAGAGGAAGCAATAGCAGCCACTAAGAAAGGTTCTAAATTGGCGTTACTCTACAATCGAGCGTTGGATCAAGTGCGTCGATATCCTAGTGAAATCACAACCCTTAAAACCCTCAGACTGATCAAGTTTGTTGGGGAAAAGACAGCCATTTCACTCAAACGGAAACTAATCCTGCATTGTCAAACTGAAGGAATAGAACTTCCAGAGTCATTTGATCCCGCACCGGAAGAAACAGGACATCCGACAAAGAAACAACGAGTCACCAAGCCAAGAAAATACATACCCAAGTATAGATCTGGAGGGTACGCGATACTAATAGCATTATACCACCATGACAAAGCCAACAGAGGTCTCTCCAAAGATTCAGTAATCGAATATGCAGCGAAGCACTGTGACAAGTCATTCACCAGCAATGCCGCAGCTTCTGATTTCTACTCGGCGTGGACCTCAGTGAAGACACTAATCACCCATGATTTGGTGAGCTGTACAGGTCGTTCTCCCAAATTGTATTTCCTCACTGAAGAAGGGAAAGAACTTGCCCAGAAGTTACGACTGACGCAAGATATATCGTCACCGGTAGCTTCCAGCCAACTGGAGATGTCGTTTGATAATGGGGTACGATACATGTCTTCGCCAATACCCAGGAAACCAGCAACTGTATACGATCACGATGTAAACAACAGAATATACAATGGTACCAAATATGAAATATGGCACAAGGGAGAGTATGAAATTATATTATGCTTGGATAATCGAGAAATCCGCTCCAAGCAAGACCGTGACTTCTTTCCTACAAGACTTGCTCAGTTAGATACAGAGTGTCAAGTGCGTGCACTTTCTGTCGGTGATGCAGTATGGATTGCCAAACATAAACAAACCAATAAGGAAGTGGTGCTTAATTATATCTGTGAACGGAAACGACTTGATGATTTAGCTAGCTCGCTCCGAGACGGACGGTTTCATGAACAAAAGTCGAGATTGAAGAAGACGGGAATGAAACACTACTACTATTTAGTTGAAGATATATCAGGAGTGTTTAACGAAATCAACGGAGAATCGTTGCAAACGGCAGTGTCAGCCACAATGACCACCTCAAGACTATATCTCCGTAGATTCAGAGATATTGATGAAACAACAGCATTTCTCGCTTCAACTACGAAGGTAATTGCGAATATCACGTCAACCCTCTTAGTTTTAAGGCCTGCCGATTTGAAAAACCAACAAGAGTACACAACGCTCTTGCAATTCTTTCGAGAAAAGTTTGAACCCAAGTATGAATGCGTGCATCAATTTCAAACTTTCCAAGATATGTTGGGTAAAACTAATGTTATGACTGTCCGAGAAATGTTTATTCTTATGTTAATGACAATAAGAGGGGTGTCTTTAGAACGAGCTATTGTAATTCAAAAGAGATTTTCTACGCCGAAACAGTTGATTGAATTTTATAGAGAAGGTGGGGATAAAGATCTGTTGATGAAAGAGATGGATTCACTTGGACTTGTAGGGAACAAAAAGATTGGAAAGGCTGTGCTGGAGCGAGTATTTGAAGTATGGGGGTGCAAACATACGTGACACTGTATAGACTAGGGTGGTCGTGCACCAAGCACAAAATCAACAAGTAAAATTTTTTTTTCTACTAACAAAAAAAAAAATTTTCCAGTATGGAAAATACCAAACACATATAGAATAATAAAAGTAGATTCAATCATGGGAAACAAGTTGTTGAAATATGGTGGGAAATCTGGTATCCTCCCCAAACACCGTCCTATATTTAAATCGCCAATTCGTCAGCCAACACCCTACGAATTAGCCGAACACGCCAAGATCGAACAAGGTATCGTTGAAGCTTTGCCTGTCCCTAAACACAAGAACGGTAAGGAGTTACAACGAGTCCAGCCATTCAAGAAAGTCATTACTGTTGATGAAAGAATCCAGCACATTATCGAACGTGCTGCCGAGAAAGATTCCAAGATTGATACTTCCAAGCTCACTGATGAACAAAAGTGGAAGTTGAAGCGAGACGCTATTCGTCGTGAATTCTTGCGTGAGGCTTATGTTCTTGAAGCCAAGAGATTAGAAGAGATTGATAGACGTAGTGAGAAATTGAGAATCAAAGAACAACAAAAGAAGGAAGCTGAAGAAAGAGAATTGCTTAAACAAGAAGAAGAAAATGCTAATGTGGGTATTCCAACCGTGGAAAAGTTATTGACTGAAGGTATGATGCGACCAAGAACCGAAGAAGAAAAGGAATTACTACAAGCCAAGAGAGTATTGAACTGTCATGCTAAGGAATTAATCCAAAAGGAAGCCAGAGCCAACAACTTGTTGGATTTATACCATGCTGCAGGAAATTTCATCACCACCGAAGCCGAATTAGATGAAGCTATTCACAAGGCATTCGAAGTCGATTTAGGTAAGTTTGTCACCAATGAAACCTCCATCGAAGCTAAATTACAAACTCCAAACCTTGCATACTTGACAGTCAAGATGAATGAACTGTTGATTACCGACCAAGTCTTGGGTGAAATCAACGGTAAACCGGGCTTGGACCAAGTCAAGGAGATTTTAAGTGGGGAGACCGAAAAGACCAAGAGAGAAGTTCAAATGAATTTAGATGTGTAAATAGTCATGTAAATAAAACAACCGTATTGTCAGCCTTGTAGACTTTGTGAACCTTGTGAACCTTGTCAACCTTGTGAACCTTGTCAACCTTTTAAACCTTGTCAACCTTTTAAACCCTGCAGTCTTTGCCAACCTTGTAAACCTTTCAAACCCTGTAAACCTTGCCAACCTTGCCAACTTTGCAATCTTCTTGTGGCACCTGATATTCGTGTCCTGCATACAGCATCACTACATCACAGGTCAAAAAATTTTGAATCCGAAAACATCCCAGACAACCACAACAACAACAACCACACCAACAATCTCAACCCCCTCAACCTCAAGTCCAGCCCCAATCATCATGGACAATACTAGTAAGATGAACAATTACCAGTATATCTTCACCAAGGTGATGAATAAACGATTAAAGTTTATTCTCAACATCAATATCATCATGGCCGTGATAATATCAATTACTTTACGATTACCTTGTGGGCAATTCTGGTGGAATTTAATCTGGACCTTTGCCATTAGGGGACCAGCGTTGTTCACAGCATTGAGTTTGATTAGACAGGCACGAAAGAAGTTTTCTACTGTCGACTACTCCGTACACAAATCATTGGGTTCCCAGATCTACCATAGTGTGTTTCTGATGACTTTTGTCAAGTACAGTTTGTTCTATGTCATTTCAAGTTATTTGATCCATGCTGTGTATATGTTTCAATTACCGTTTGCGTTTGATTACTACTTGCTTTCAAAAGAATATAGACAGAACCCATTGATCAATGACGAATGGGTATACTACTGGTACTGTCCTCTAGTAGTGGCTTTACTATACAGTAGTCATCATATCATATTTCAAAGAAACAGGTTGCAATTAGAGTATGGAAACAGCAAAAGAACCCCAGAGAAGTACTTGTTCAGTCGAATTCCTCAGTTAATCGGCCACTCCTTGGGTTTATCCATAATCATCGCCATCGTGACTCCATTATCGTACTACTTCTTCAAACCACTAATCTACAAAACCAACGTCTTGCTTATTCTTTTGCTTGGACTCGACCCATCCATTCCACCATCAGCTACATCGTTCAAGACATACTTGCACTTGGCATATGTTGCTTACACCACTTACTTGGGCTGGGAAATCGCTAATCATACCTTTGAAGTGTATGCCACAATTGGGTGTCTTGATGGAAACAAGCCAATCTCAACATATCTGGCTGACCCAATAAACTGTCTTCTTTCAGGATTACGCAACGTTGACCCGCAATATCTGTTGAGTAGAGTCACAGCATTTCAAGAATTAGCTTATATTTCCATGGCCAAGGATCCGGAAGGAATCAAGTTGAGAAATGCAATCTATAATGCCAGAAATAGAAAGGGATATCTCTGGCCAGCTATTTTCGATGAGTGTTCGTTAGTGATCAAGGAAATGACTGATCGAGTGAACTATAGAAGTATTAGTGATTTGAAGGCCTTAAAAGAAGGAAAACCCGATGGAACCGCGTTTGAATTCAGTAAAGATGACAATATTTTTGGAAATTCATTTATATCCAGTGTCAGGTCATCACCAGTCACCAACATAAAAGAGTACAAGAAGGAAGAACCCACCAAATCAAAGTATGACTTTATCTACACCATCCTTGCCAAGAACAAGATCCCCCTCCCAAAAATCACCAATCACAAGTTAATAACTGCCCTTAGGCAAAAGTATCAAATTGGATGCGACTACTATAATAAATTCAGCACCACACTTCTCAACACCTGGATTGGCGTTTTCTTCCGCACTACACTTAAGCGAGACACCGAATCACGAGTGATTAACCCGGTGAATTTCGGGAATGCCGTGATTGCAGTAGCCAACTTACTCATTCACTCAATTGAAGAAGACAAAAACAACACCATCACCGCCAACGACGTCTGTCAAGTATTAAACTTGTTTGAACGACCAATAAGGGCATGTTCAAATTATATCGATTATGTCCCCGCCTCAGTCTACGTCAACGACGACAGCAAGAACAATCTCGTAGGAATAGTTCACGATTTGACGATGCATGAATTCTACGAGTTATGTGTAAAGTTCAATGGGAAATTGAATGATTTGGTGTTAACTCCCAAAACGTACAAGTTGGCCAAATGGGTAATTGATGTCGCCATTGCCGAGCAACAAAAGAGAAAATAAGTTTTGATATATATTTAATAAAAAAGCTGTATAATTATACTTCCCCGTCTCTATTCTTGGGCAACGTATCCAACAAGACCGGTTTCAACACCTCCTCGTCAAATCTCGTAAACCACTTGGCATGCTCTTCGGCACTAAGGAATGCACCCAATACACCTGCCCCTCCATCAGATCGACTTCGGTTATGGTTAGGTAATGAAGGAGTAGGTGCTGTTATTAAATCATCAATGTCATTACTTAATAACTCACCATCATCGAACGCATCAAGCAAATCCGGGTGGGAGCTTACGCTGCTTGAAGAGTGGTTTCTATGCTGAACCACATCTTTATAGTGTGTAGATTGGCTCTGGTTCTTGCGGTGGCCCATCACGGGCGTGTTTGTGCTATTGGAAAGGGCTATTCTTGGCGCTTCGATTTCAAATTCGTCATCACTGTCAGCAGTTTCATCAACACACCCAACCTTAATGCCAAGGATTTCCAACATCAGCGCAGTGGTTCCTCCAAAGAGAATAACAGTTAACACAACAACCACCAACACAGTAGCTAACAAGGTCCACTTGGCTTCACCTTGGAATCCCATGGCTAATGCCACACCCACAGCCCCTCTTAACCCGGCCCAAAAAATCATCATTTGATAAGAATGGGAGATCTCATCTGGGATGGAATTGGCATTCATGCCGCTAAACTTTTCAAATCTGGTTCTAAACAAAAAGTTAAGGAAGTTAGATAAGGGGAACACAGCAGAGTATCGGGCCACACAAATCGAGGCAAAGGTGATAATAATGAGCAAGGGCTTGAATACAAGTTCCACTTCGGTGAACAAAGATAATCCGAGATAGATGAATATGAAATTTTCCAGGAGCTGGGCCAACAATTGAAACACATACTTTGTAGCGATCTGAGTACGACGGGACATGTTGAAATAAGCATAGTGCTTGAGGGTGATCCCACAAAATAACAACGAGACAATACCAGACATGTGGGCACCATTACTGAAAAAGTATGATTCATAGGCAAATAACAAAATTAAACAAGTTTCAATTTGAGGATACCTTCTGATATGTGAGTGTTTCAAGATCAAAGCCACGAAAATACCAATCAAGAATCCAATAATTGTGGAAATAGTGAATGTCATCAAGAACAATCCAATACCTTCAAAGAAGGACGAGAAATGGACAGGATGACCATGGAACTTCTGACATGTCTCAAACATAACAATGGAGATGGCATCATTCAACAAACTTTCTCCGAAAATAATAGTGTATAATTTTGGATCAACTTTGTAGGCATTGAAGATAGACAAGATAGTCACTGGATCAGTGGCAGACAACGTAGCACCTACTGCCAATGCATCCACAAACTCCAACTTAATCCCATCCAATCCCAATTTCGTCCAAATGTACAAGATTATCCCCACTACCAAGGCAGAGATGAAGGTTCCTGGGATGGCAAATGTCAAGATTGAGCCTATATTACGGAAGAAATTGGCCTGATGTAATTCGTACCCACTGTTTAAGATAATTGGCGGTAACAAAATGTTAAAGAAGTAACCGGGGTTGAATTTCACCGCGTCTTGAATGTAGTGGCCCGGTGACATTCTAATAATCAAACCGACAAACATCCCACAAAAGATCGACAACACAGTTTCATGCACTGCTTTGATTTTCCGTTGCTGTAAAAAGTATGATGACCAAAGGGCACTGCTAAGTAAGAATAGCAAGATGAACAAGGCCCATGAGGAAAAGATTTCATTTTCCACAGGGTTGGAATCTTCAAGATCTTCATCGGGAGTAGTCAAATCGGGTGTGTCATCATCCAAATCTAACGCTCGTTTAACGAGGTATTTGGCAGCATAAAGTGTTAGACTCGTCATGGTGTATCTGTAGTGTATAAAGTGTAAGTATGTGCAATTGGTATTGCTGATGTGTCAAGTTGGGTTGTATGGTGTTTTATGAAATCGGCCACGGTTTTTTTTCTCCTCCGAGGACAAGGATTATTTTTTTTTCTTATCACGCAAACGTTTAACGGTGGAGTGGTGTGTATGGCTGTAGACGGAAGCAGAGTTTGAAGAACGTGATAGCGACAACGTTTCCCGGTGTAGCATTATTGTCAGTAGAGATTACGAGCTTATAAGGTTGTAGGAAAGAGATGTCAACTGGTTTATAGATTTTCTCGTAAAATTTTTTTTAGCAAGATTAGTGCATCTAGAACTACAATAGATCTTAACGATTGTAAGCAGCATGATGTATATACGCATGTGGCACAAAGGCTCATAGGGACCAATTGAATAGACAAAACTCTTTGCCAATTAATCGGGAGCCAGGTATTAGTCACATAAAAAAATGCAAACGTTTGAGGAGAAAATTAGGGGGAACATGAAGGTTGGCCAACATCACTCATTGTACTGGATTGTGATTTCCAGTTCAATTGCTTAGTTAATGTAAGTGATGGACTTTTAACAGCACTATGATAAGCAATTCTAGGTCTCGTGCTTTCATGCGTACATCCGGCAACCTGATCAGTGACAGGTTGACATAGACTTATTCCAAAATCAATCATCACTCTAAAGGGCGTGCTGCTGCTTTGCAATGTCGGCTGCAGCAAAAGGATGCGATGTTAGACAGCCAAGAAAAACCAGGGATATCCCTACAAATGGTAAGATTTTCCGGAGTAGCCAATGCAACATAAACTGACAGGGTTGCTAACTGGGGCTAGGGTTCTAGAAAATATGTGAAATTGAATACTCACACGAGTGTAAAATACCTGATTATATCCGCCATAAACAATGGAGGTATCATAACATAGTTACAAGCCCATCCAGTTTCATTTAACATTGCATTGTACAAACAAATCAGACAATATTTTTTAGTAGATATCTGAGTGAAAGACCTTCCAAAATAAAAAAAAAGGGAGAGTAAATGTGCCATGTGTTATCTGAGGAACAATTCAATTGGATAGATACGACAAGGGGAGGGGGGTGTGAGAGAGGGAGAGTGGTGGATGATAACCAAGCCACAGATTGAGTTACCAACTAAAGATTTGACAAGATCGGTGCAAGGAACTAATGTCACAAAATATGCACGTCATAAGGTGCGACCCACCTCCTGTCAGCCACATGTGGTGCGCGTGTTACACAATAATTACCACCACTTTGTGGAGATCATACCCACGTGAGAGAACAATAGCAAGTAATTATCCAACATTCCCTTGTGATTCACGTTGGACCCATTGACTCCTTTTTCTAAATTAGGCTGGAAGGGGGTTATCTACGATGACCGCCCTTCCCCTGTATTGTCGTTAAACACACACTGTGTCAAAGAAGAATCGGTTCCTTGAATTTCTTTTTTGGTTTGACAATGGAAAAATAAAAAAGTTTATTTTATTTTTAGATAAAAAAAAAAATAAAAATGAAACTGATGGAAGTTTTTTTAGCAACAAAAAAATTTATTCTTTATGTTTCCACACATCTGATCTTGACTCCTTCTTCTTCTTCTTTCCAACATATAACCAACCACATTCGCTCATACTTTCCAACCAAATAGGTTTTACTTGAAAGAAAACCTTTAAAAAAGAAAACAATCTGTTAAATAGATAGAACCAGTTTCATCCACATCTAGCGCACGTTTTGTTTACCTGTCGTAAATCTCACGGTTATATTTAGCAAGAAATTTTATTTTAGCCCACGATGTATACCTCCAGACAGCAAAAGGTCGAAGCAATGAAGCAATCGTTCTATGCTTCCTCCCAAATCAACCCAAACTTCTCATCAACCAACTTGTCCAAAATTAATTCTCCTGCTCCCAATCGTACTAGTAGTTATGGCCCCACCCCTCCTTTATCAAGAAACTCCAGCATAGCTTCGTTCCAGCAGCAACTGTCCCCCAAGAGAGGATTCTCTCTTTTGAGTCCCCCAGTTTCAAAACCTTCATCTCCAGAACCAGTAAGAGGCACCGCCAATACCACCACAACCACCCCATCGAAATGGTCATGGCTACCTCCTATCGACTATAAAGTAACAGCCCTCTGTGTAGCATGGTACTTTACTTCCATCATATCCAGCAACTCCACCAAACTCATATTGACAAACTACCCTTATCCCGTAACATTAACACAGTTCCAGTTCTTGCTCAATTCATGTTTATGTATCGTCATGTTGGCCATACTAGGAGTCAAGCGCAACTGGGTTGAAAATTTACCATCGGGCGTCCTTCCAGAATCACTCGATATCAAATCTTTAATCACACCAACTTCCTTAATCATAAACACGACCTTACCCATGGGGTGTTTCCAATTCATTGGCCACTTAACCAGTCATAAAGCAACTTCATTAATTCCTGTATCATTAGTCCACACCATAAAATCATTAAGTCCAATCATGACCGTATTTATCTATCGCGCATTATACAACAAGAAATTCCCCCAGAGAACTTACATCACTTTACTTCCTTTGATCATGGGGATCATGATGACTTGTTATAAGCCATCTTCAACCAGCCATATCAGCGGTTACAGCACGGGTCTTTTATTTGCCTTGATGTCAATGATTATCTTTGTTAGTCAGAACATGTTTGCCAAAAAGAGATTGACTATTGAGCTGGACTTGCCCATGGCCAAACAAACTCAAAAGAAAGTGGACAAGTTGACTATTTTGTTTTACTGTTCCATGATTGGATTTGTTTTGACTAGTCCGATATACCTCATGTCGGAAGTATTTAACCAGTCTGTGTCCTTGTTCCAATTGGACTCATACGTCATCACAATGGTATTACTTAACGGAATCAGCCATTTCATTCAATCATTACTTGCATTTCAAATCTTGGGTATGATCAGTCCCATCAACTATTCCATCGCTAACATCCTCAAGAGAATCTTCATCATATTAGTTTCATTTATTTGGGAATCTAAACAATTTACATCTTTACAAAGCATCGGATTGTTAATCACCTTGTTTGGATTATATGCTTATGACAGATGGGGAACTCAGCGCTAGTGTGTGTGTATATATCTATCTATGTATCTATAATCTTTAATGACCATCTGCATTCAACATCTTTTTGAAAATATCTCCAAAGGCAACCATAAACACGGTTTGCCAGACACCTAACCCAATTCTTGGAGTGACACCCCTATACAACCCCTTTAATCCATGACCCTGGTAAATATACTTCATTGCACCAACCACGGATAAGTTCTTAGGTCTGTTTGGATCATTAGTCTTGGATTGCATCTCTACTCTAATGACTTCAATTGGTTGATTCCAGGCACTTAACCCACCACCAATGACACTACCAGCAATTTTTTCCCATGCAGACAACTTTTGGTTTTCCGATTTGCCTGAAAATTTTCTAATTGCTTCTTCAGCCAATCTTGAAAACCCGAATCTGGACCCCCAGTTAGTCATTTGTCTAATGGCCACGGCATTGACACCTTTATTGATCCCTCTGATACCCTCGTTCTTGTAAATCTCTTTAAACACTTGGAATGAAGTTTGGGTAGCAGCTCCAGTAGCCGCTTGCTTGGCACGTGTGATTTCTACGGTTTTCATACATGTGCAGAACCCCATTGTCAAGTATGCCTGGGCTAAACCACCTGTGATCCCACCTCCCATACCAGCAACAAACGGACTAACACCCATGGTCTTGAATCGGTACTCGGCTTCAGCAGACACGAAAAGCAACACGGCACCTTTAGTACTGGCTTCGATCCATGCCCAAGGGATCAAACCCTGGTAGAACCCCAACACACCACCACGCGACCACACGAATTTCACGGCTTGTGGCATGGTTAATGATCTGTTGGCGGCCATGGTGGTCTTGGTCACTTCCAATGGCTGTCCCAACGTAGTTACTTCAGCGAAGTTTAACCCGGCACCCAAAAGGATGTTGGAGAAGTTTACCGGTTGTTTCTTGATTTCTTGTGTCATAGTGGTATGTCCAAACTCAATTGCAGAAGAAAGAAACAGATAAAGCAATAGTCAAAAAAAATGTCAATTGGACAAAATTTAAACGTGTGAAAAAAAAAAAAATGTCTGTAATCTCATCCTGCATGTACTCCCATTGTTTAGCCGTCTTTAGTGGGGAGGGAGGGATGCGACCTAATCGGGCAACGGGAATGATAAGGTTTTCCCCGGGACAGGCCGAGACAGGCCCGTGACATTTGAACTCATAGTGACCTTCTGTCAGTTACTTGATGACATTGCATGACTAATAGTGCCAATTCAAACCAAGTGATATGTAACTAATACGCAATAATTAATTACAAAGTGTTACCTGGTGAATCAGAAAAGTATCGGCTCCGAGATAGGCTTGTATGACTCAGAGAAAAAAAAACGCCCTGCTAATTTGGTGCGACTCATCCGGAGATTTTAGGAACTGAGAGATCCAGGTGGAGAAATGTATGTTGTTGCAAATGAATGTGCTGCAAATCTAGTGGCTCTAGATAAATAATAATGGCTGAAATTGAAATTATCTATAGTGCTAATGCTATTTATTGAAAACCCCGGAACAATCTATAACCTAATCTGACTTGAGATCCGAAGTCATGACTCTTGTCAGTCTATTGCTAACAAATACTCCCTCATATACTGTAAATATTCTATATCATTATCATCCTTCATTTTGTACGGTTTCCTATTGGATTCAGTCCAAAACTGAAACCCATCCTTCTCATAATCATCCAAATGCGAATGTTCAGGAATATATTCCTCCCGATCTATAACATCTTCTCTACCAAGTATACTTGCAGCCAAATAAGTCCAACACTTTGCTACTTCTGTATGATTATACCCACCACCACCTAATATCATTGTTGAAACATCAAATTCGTCTAATACTGTTTTAATCACTTGGCAGAACCCAGAAATTGTCATATTCCATTCATGATGAACATCCGTAGCTAATCCATCACATCCAGCTTGAATCACTATACATTGCGGAGAAAACTTGTGCATAATGGGAATGACAATCTCGCGTATAATAAATAACATACTCTCATCACTTAGGCCATGTCGCGTGGGCACATTATACCTATACTTGTCTGAACTTTCAAGGCTACCTGTGCCAGGATAAAACCCTTTATCGTACCGATGTATCGAACATGTACCCACGTTTCTCGATTGAAAGTATCCCCTTTCAACCCCATCTCCATGGTGTAAATCCAAATCAAGGTAGAAAATCCGCTTATATGCTTGTCGAAGATGGCTTATTCCAAGTATGATATCATTTACATAACAAAATCCCGCTGCTTTCCGTTTCCCGCAATGATGACGACCCCCATAGTAATTCACGGCAACCGAGTTGGGATGAGTAATTAATTGTTGTGCGGTGGCTATTGTTGAGGATGCAGTGAGTATAATATAGTGGGACATGAATGGGAAGGGATAACAATCGTACATTAATCCATATTCTTCATCATTGAGTTCACCTTCACCTTCTATTTCCTCATCGGATTCTTCATCCAGTTGCTCATTTCGTCCAACCTTCTCAACTAATTCCAGTATTTCATGATACATATCACTACTGCAATCCAATTCATGTCTTTCTTTTAATAAACAAGCAGTGAAGTTCTGATCATGATAGTTGGTTACTTTGCGTGCATTTATTCGTCGAATAGGAATGATGCCGCTGACTAGTTTGTCAATACCGTATGCTTGGATTAACGAAGTGACCAATGTCAGTCGACCTTCATTTGCAGGTAGTAGGTCAATGATTCGAGATAGATCTAACAGGGAAGTAAGGTATAGTTGTTTGGTCATGGATAGTTTCTGATAACTTCTTGTTATTTTTTTTTTTTGTTTATGTTTTCTGGGCAGCTGCGAAATGCAGCAAATTTCTATGGTTGGTTCTTATCAAATAAATGAAGTATTTCCCTCACGGTAACATACTATGGGAGGTAATACTATCAATGATAAATAACTAGTATCCTTGCAGATCAATAATAAACCGGGTGGGTTTTTGTACTGAGCTGGTTTTCTATAAAGTTAAACACGGATAACTAGTTATTCCTAGTTTGTCGATCCAGAATTCTTCCATCGCAGAGGCTAAAAATTCCCTTTTGAATAAATATCCTTGCATAGGAGAATTTAGCTGCTTTTCCACTCTGTTGAAAAGTCAAGCGATTCCAACTTCATATTTCACATCTTCCTTTAGTTCCTATGATAACCAGGGAATATAACTGAAACCAGTTAATGGACAACAATCGATCTCAGAATAACATATCATAAATGTTTTCATATTCCTAAATTCAAATAATGAAATCAAAAGTCTCAAAATACATTAAATATTGGCATTTTATAGTCATCTACACATTCTTGCTTCCAGATGGAATTCTTGCTAGTGTATTGGATTGTCTTAATCAAATAGACTTTTGTTGTATTTGCTTGGTCGATACCAGATTGTATAAGTCAAAGAATACCAGATTCTACAATTCCATTTATGTCAGCACAGGGAAACGTGCCATTATAAAATATCATCTAATACTTATACTCTATTTTACACGAAATTTGCAATTCTAAATCAAACCACTTTTACATCACTGCGCTATAACAAAAATATCCATTTAATTAGAAAGATTGAATTTAATCTTCTAAGGCAACTATATCCGTGGATTGAAGTTTCCATCGAAGATTGACTTTGTCAATACCAGAATCGCTGTAATGTATTCAGAACAACAATTCCAATCAAGTGGTACTCTGTCACCTTAATAGCATTTCATCATTGGTGGAATTTAATACAATTCCCTAGATGAAGAAAATAATAATATATGCCGATTCTGGGCAAGATTCGAGCTTGCATGAAATTCGATATTTGCTTGGCTTAACGTAATTAGGAATCGATTTCCTTGATTCTAAAAGATTAGATAAATTTCTTTGAATTGACACCAAATAGTTTCTAAGACAACATTTCAGTCTTGCATTCATAGGACATATGCAGGCATGCCCACTTGATGTTGTCAAGCAGAATTTGGGTGTAGGAAGGTGCAGAATAAAAACTGGATGATGCAGCACTACAAGCACAACAACTCAGAAAATTGGTATGCGATTTATCGAGATACTGGTTATTCAATCATGTGATGTTGAATAAAAGCTTTTATTTTTACCAATAGTTTTAATAAGACTTATGTTGTTCCTTGTAATAAAATTTCTACAATTACTCACTTCAAATAGAACGAACTGTATTACACTAGTTTTTGTCCTCGGATAAGGCACATTCATGCCTTTAGATAATTTTATATATATTTCTGTACAATATCTTCGAATAAGGTTCGTGATTAAACAAGTATGGTATTTGTTTATAGGTTATTTGGAACGATGATGCTTCTAACTGGTATCATTTTGGCTGCAAAACACGGATATTCTCCATGTTTTGTAGATGTTGTAGTGTAAGTGGAAATAATGTGCTACAATATGTAACTTAGTCTCCTATATCTGCAAGTTTTGAATATATAATGACAATATCTGAAAATAACGATGTTACAACGAGCAGAAGAGAGGGGGGGGTATATTGCACAACTTATGCTACCAAGTATATTGCGACATTTCCGTAATCATTTCTTTTTCTTACGGTTTGGGGCTGAGGCTCAGATTTTGAACAGAAAAAAAAGAACGGCCAACTTAAAATCGGCAACTTCGCAATTACGATAAACGCAAGTTATCTAGTCGTCTATCTATACAATCATACATAATACATCATCATGGGACTCAAGAAAATGTTTCAAAAGAAAGAGCCAACTGAGGCTGAGTTGAGGGAAGATTTAAACCGGGCTGGGATATCCACTAAATCCACTAATGGACGTCAAGAGAAGTTCGGCGCATTTAAGAACTATGCTCAAGAGCGGGCCCTGATGAAGCCAGGTTTTGCTCCTGTTAACAACCCATATGCTAATATATGTCAGCCAGGTGGTCCTGGTCCAGCAAACCCCTATGCCAACAATGTAGGCACTGATGGTGCTCTGCTGAGTCCATATTCTCAACAACAGCAACAACAGAGTCCATATTCTCAGCAAAGTGCCTATTCCCAGCCACAACAATCAAATCCTTACGGAGCGCAACGTTTGGCAAACCAACAACAAGGAGCTTATGGTGGTAGTTCCCGAGAAGATCCATACTCTCGCCGTTCGAGCAGAACAAGACCAGACGATACCGAGTCGCTTGACTTGAACGCTATCCCCACTCATCCAATGCACGCCAGTCGTAAACCAGTAAGGAAGTATCTCCCGGAAGACGATGATTTAAACCTCGAAGAAGAAGAAGATCTTAATTTGGATATTGAACCGGAACAAGAACAAGTTAATTCTGAAGATGAGGAAATTGAAGCCATTAGACAGGATATCCGATTCACCAAGCAAGAAAGTGTTCAACTGACCAGAAATACTCTTCGTATGGCACAGGAAGCAGATGCATCTGGTACCAATACCCTTGGGATGTTGGGATCACAATCAGAAAGATTGTATAATGCTGAACAAAACTTATTATTGGCAGATACACAAACCAAGATTGCTGATGAAAAAGTTAAACAATTGCACCGATTAAATAGATCAATTTTTATTCCTGCTTCAGGTAATCCCTTCAACAAGAAGGCAAGATTAAGACAGCAGGAGGAGAAAATCAAAGCACAAAAGGCTCAAGAAAAGTATCTTCGTGAATCCCATCGTCTGGAAATGTATGCCAGTGAACAAAGAATTAAACAAGGGATCACCACTAATGCCACTAGTTCCGACGTGTATGCCAAATACCAAGGTGAAAAGGATTTACAGGCAGCTCAAAGATATCAATTTGAAAATGATTCTGAAGATGACGAAATGGAAAAGGAAATTGCTGGCAATTTGGATCAAATTGGTCAGTATACCAAGAAATTGAATCTGATGGCTAAAACCATGGGTAAAGAAGTTGAAAGTCAAAATGTTAGATTAAGAAAGATTGAAGAGGATGCCGATAGATTGGATATTAATGTTCATATGAATAATACTAGATTAAGTAATATTAGATAGGCTCATATTAATTAATTTACGTTGATTAGTTACAATGACAGTATAGAGTCAGTAATAGTGTATCAAGTCGTTAACTGACACACGTGTACATCCTTGAAAGGCTATAATAAAAGTACAGATCTAGCCAACTGATATGTGTGGTCTAATCTGATCGTCTACTTTACTCGTAATCAAATACGAATTGTACCGTGCGGCGCAAAAAAAATACTTCCCCCCTTAGATTATGCGGGTAGAGATTCAAGAGGCTTATGTACGTTAATGCCGGAAGATTGTGCCATCTCGTTTAGCTTACGATAGCTATTGTTGCCGACAGGAAAGTATAAATTCAATTTAGCCAATTATGGTTAAGTCTATTTCTATTTCGCTTAGCGTTTCCATATAGTTACTTATTATATATAGGAAATCCAGATTAGATCTCTTATCAACGGAGTAAATCGGGAGAGGCGTTGCCATCGCGATCACGTGGATAGGTCCCAACGTTTTTCTCTTTGTGTGTCTGTGCGCGATGATTAGTTCCTCGTATAGAAATATTACACGATTTTTTTTTTTTCCCAGGCCAACAAAAAAAATTTTTTGTTGCTTGATCCTTTAGGAAATTTCTTTTTTCCCTGATTGTGCATATTTCAAATTCCGAGGTGAGTGAAACAGATTGATCCTTTTTTTTCTTAACTAGTTGCTCATTGAAATCAAGCGATAAAAAAGCCACAAATGCGAGTGATCAAAAAAAGTCGATCGTTTCCTCCAATTATGGTGCTATGTCAGAGTATGAGAGTAAAATAATTTTTACCATAAACGGAAATCTATCAAAAGTAGAAGTTTATTGTCTGACATTTTTTTTTGGAATTTAGTTTTTCAAACTCCACATACGTCAATTCTATACAGGAGAAACGTTGCAAATTGCCAGTTGCACTAAATATTGTCTTGGAGACACAAGAATATAATTTCTTGTCCCCGCAAGGTTTTTTTGTTAGCCAATCATCTCATCTCATCCCTTAGAACAGGGTGTAGAACCAGATTTGGGTGTGATTGTTAAAAATAATTGCTGATATTTCACATGGGTGTGGAACGAGTACACTTCCTTATCCCTTAAAAAAGAATCGGTTTGTCTAATTCCGGTGTGCTTTGTATAAAATTTCTTTTTGAAAAATATAAAAAAAAAATTCGTAAAAATCGAAAATAAAAAAAAAGTCGTTGTTTTTTCAGCCAACAAATTTTCATATAAATTTGATTAGTTTTGGGCATTAATTTTTGTTTTACCACACATCCCCTTTTTCCTCTGTAAGGAGATTTATACATTCTTTCACCCACAGTCAATATGTCTGCTACCACTGCCTCATCTTCCACTACCAGTGGATTTGCTTCTTCTTCTTCTTCTGCTACCATTGAAAAGAAAGGTAACATTGCAACATTACAAAACACCGTTACTTCAAACATAACTGCCATTGATACCTATGGTAACACATTCAAAGCACCAGATTATACAATTAAGGACATCTTGTCTGTTATTCCAGCCCATTGCTATGAACGTAGGTTATTGACTTCATTCTACTATGTTTTCAGAGATATCTTCTGCATGGTTGCTTTGGGATTTGCTGCCAACAACTATATCCACCTCATTCCTAATGTCTATGCCAGATTTGCTGCTTGGGCTACCTACGTTTGGTTCCAAGGTTTGTTTGGAACTGGTATCTGGGTCTTGGCTCACGAATGTGGTCACCAAGCCTTTTCTGATTACGGTTGGGTTAATGATTTGACTGGTTGGGTTTTACATTCATATTTATTAGTGCCATACTTTTCCTGGAAGTTCAGTCATGGTAAGCATCACAAGGCTACTGGCCACATCACCAGAGATATGGTTTTCGTTCCAAAGACTAAGGAACAATTCTTAGAAGCCAGAGGTGTTACTGATTTAGATGACATTGTTGGTGATTCTCCAATTTACACTTTGGCCCAATTGATTTTCCAACAAACTGTCGGTTGGATTGGATACTTATTCTCCAATGTTTCTGGTCAAAAGTACGCCGGTTACAGTAAATTCGCTGTCAGTCATTTCAATCCAAGTTCTCCAATTTTCGACAAGAAGGATTATTGGTTTGTTATCATGTCTGATATTGGTATTTTGATTCAAGCTACTGTCTTATACATGTGGTACAAGAATTATGGTACTTTCAACTTTGTTGTCAACTACTTTTTGCCATACGTCTTGGTTAACCACTGGTTAGTTTTTATTACCTACTTACAACACTCTGACCCAAGAATGCCACATTACGAAGCCTCCCAATGGAATTTTGCTCGTGGTGCTGCTGCCACTATGGACAGACAATTTGGCTGGGTTGGTCCACACATTTTCCACGATATCATTGAAACTCACGTTTTGCACCATTACGTTTCTAGAATTCCATTTTACAATGCTCGTGAAGCCAGTGAAGCTATTAAGAAGGTCATGGGTGAACACTATCAATTCAGTGATGAAAATATGTGGGTCTCTTTGTGGAAATCCGGTAGATGGTGTCAATTCGTTGTTGGTGATAACGGGGTATTGATGTATAGAAATACCAATGGTTTCGGAGTTGATCCAAGGAAAAAGACTCATTAAGTATTTACCCGTATATATAAAAATAGAAATATAAATATATAAATTATAAATCTTCTAGATCATCATGAACGTTTTTGTATGTTGTTTGTAAGTTATATAATCTTGGCCGAAAAACTTGATGAGGAACCCTTCTTCAAATTCAATCCGAAGCTTGAAGAACTTCCAAAGAATGTATCCCCCAATGAATAATACGGCTATGTTGTTCAAGTACAATTGCAATCCAACAAACCACCAGAAAAACCCAAAATAACTTGGATGTCGTATATACTTGTAAACACCGTGAGTCACCAAGACATGATTGTGAACTTTGTGATTCCGTTGAATGTAGTGGTTGAATGACTCTTGAGCGGTATACATACTAACACTTCGAATGATTTGTCCGCCAATTGCCAAACATAATCCAATGGCACTGGAGAAACTAGAAATATTCCAATAGTTTACATGTATGAAATGTTCTGCAATCAGAAGTACGGTGATTCCATGCATTTCCTTATCTTCAAGTATAAATGAGTCGTCATCTACTTGAGTAATGTTGAATAATACCGTATTGATGAATTCGAATATGTGAAACATTGTTAGGAAAAGAAAGTAAATGTTGAGTCTATAATATTTATAAGTATACTGCTGATACAATATGAGAATATTGAATGCTATGGACATGCCTAGCAAGAGTGACTTGGACATCACTTTAATAAGATCTACTTGGTCTGGATCATACTGAGCATATCTTTCAATTGGGTCTTCTTGTTCTGGAGTAGTAGTCATGTAGCCTGTTGATGTTAGTAGTGGGAAATGTCGGACATTTTTTTCACCTTTGGAATAAAAGTGCACTCTACAAATATGTTTTGTTACATTGATATATCATTTTCTATAGAATACTCTTACAAACTCTTATTCATAAATCTTCTCTTGGTGAATGCTAACCAATGCTTACTAGGCACATCTTCTTCACCTTGGTAAACTCTGGTCAACAACCTTTCACTTAATTCTTGTCTAAATTGTTGTAAATATGCTCTTAACAAGTCAGCTTCATTCTTCCCACTTGGAGGCAAATATAAGTTATTCAATGGGAACCCAATATCACCAGGCAATTTAAAATCATCCAAGGCTAAGTTCATCAATACCCGTTGTGCATCCTTAACAGATGTAGTCTTATTTAACTTGTTCAAACAATCAGAAATAAATAAAATTCCATAAATCAATAATCTATCGGCACCTCCTTTGATTTCAAAGTTACGGAAGAAGGAATTAGCCCTGAATAAGTCAAGGGTTTCTTCAATTATGTCATATTCTTGGTCAGGTGGGAAAGTTGGACCTCGGAACTTGGTATGGAAGGGAAGCAATACTAAATTACCAATGACTCTATTATTAGCTTGTTGTTCTTCGGCTAAAAAGGTGGAATGATATGCTGGCATAATTGACGTAATTGATTGAATGGAATCTGGACTGATGTATTATGTGCTTGGATGATATAAAAGGGGGGGCTATAGTGTTGAACTTTTTGGTGATTGGTAACTTTCGTCGTGGTACACTACCTTCGGCAGTTCAGTTGTTTTCTGGTGCTACCAGCTGATCAGCCGACATTTTTACTTGGATCCAAACTAACATAAACTTTAACTGCAAAGGTTATTAACATTTGTACCAATTTAAGAAGTAAACTTTAATAAAACAGGTTGAACGGAATTTAGTTTAAGTGTTGATAGGATAGGTTCTTGCTTTGGAACGCTGACAATTTATGTTGCCCTTTGTGTGCTCAGAGTGAGTCAATATTTACTTATTATATGTTTTCATCGACATTCGGCAATGATAGCTGTAGCATAGAGAGTTGTAATTATCCGTGTGTTACAATTTATGTTGATGCAACAACCTATAGTTTTTGGTAGGGGGAAGTGTCGTTGTCGATGGCCATGTTTCCGGTGTCTAAATTTTTTTTTAGATAGTTTCGTGTTTTTTCGGAAGAATAATTACCAAAATTATCTAATTTGTAAACTAAATATATGGGGTACATTGCATAAGATATTATGATAAGCTATTTGTAGCATATAAACAGATGTAGTTAACTGTTACAATCACAAAATTTAGTCAGATCACCTAGGCAGTCTAACTATAATTCATACATAACAAACAGGTTTGAAACCACACACGAACATGATGAAACATATTTGATAATCCCCCCCTCTCTCTTTCCCTTTCCTCACTCCTCTCCAACTAACTCAATTTATAACCTTATTCACTTTAACATTATATCATCTAGGTCACCTCCACTTGTTCACTTCCATGACTGCAAAACGTCACGAGATTTTTCCATTGTAGTTGTTGCTACTTTGAAATATTTTTTGTTTTTTCGCAATTTTAATTTAAACACAAATTCCCTAATTGGGGCGAATCGTAAACAAATTTCATTTACGACTAAGGGAGACGGACCTGGACAAACCTTCTTCTCATCACCCACACAACCATTTAATCTTGACCAATTCGTAACTGCTAACACACCGAGTCATTTTTTTAAAAAAAAACTCAAAGAGGAGAAAACAGAAGTTTTATCTTGCTATTTTATTACACATACCTTGACTTGGCGGTTAGGACTTTTTTTTTTGATAGAACCAACCACCATCAAGATGTCCATTCTAGTTCAACAATCACCAACCTCAAAGGACAATCTATTTGAAAATAATTCTTATAATGACATGAAGAAGAAACTACAGAAGTCTCCTGAAGATACCGTCAACCCAGCGCCTTCTTCCCCTTCAAAGAGGGTATTTCTTCATCAAATGAGTCCCAATGTGGCTAAATCAACCTACCTTCATCAGACAGCGACCAAGGACATCCAGACTAAGCCTGCCGTTAAGCCAAGCAAATTTCAACGACCACAGTTCCCCAGTACGTTGAAGCCGCCTATGAATATCCGGTCCAAGACGTTAATGAACTTCACCAGTACTTCTTCGACATCGGCATCTCCCTTCGAGTTAAGAAGGTCAAACAGTTTAATATCCTCCGAATCGACATCGTCGTCTTCTTCCACTGACAGATTCATTCCATCTAGGCATAATTCCACCACGGGGAAATTAGAAACTACTATAAATACACCTTCTCCTAATGCATCTCCCAAGACTCATATCAAAGCACAAACATCCAAGATTTACCAACACCATGTTGCCGAAGCATGCGGTCTTGATGTTAATTCCAAAATATTGTTGTATAAACCATTACCACCTGAACGTAAAAAGCCTGCCAACTTATTCTCCACAAACACAAACAAGTTAAAATTAACCAATGGGTTACCACCGTCAATTGCGTCGGCAAGAGCTAAGAAAATACCTACATGCCCAGATCGTGTCCTTGATGCCCCAGGGTTAGTCGACGATTTCTACTTGAATTTACTCAGTTGGTCTCAGAATAATTTATTAGCCATTGGATTGGATAATTCGGTATATGTCTGGAATGCCAGCACGGGAAGTGTAGGACTCCTTTGCGAATTACCAGTAATGGTAACATCAGTACGTTGGTCAAATGATGGGTCGTACATCAGTATTGGTAAGGACGACGGGATAATTGAGATTTGGGACATTGAAACCAATACAAAATTAAGAAATTTAAATTGTAATAATCATGCCACAAGAATCGCGGCCCAATGTTGGAATCAACATATCTTAACTAGTGGTGATCGATTAGGTAACTTGTACCATTCCGATGTAAGAATCTCCCAACAATATGTCAATATGATGTCATCACATTCTGCCGAGATCTGTGGGATCGAATATAGAAACGACGGTGGACAATTTGCCAGTGGTGGTAACGATAATTTAGTATGTATCTGGGACGTGAGAAACACCACCCCATTATTTAACAAGTCCAATCATAAGGCCGCAGTTAAGGCACTTTCATGGTGTCCTTATCAGCCTTCACTTTTAGCCACTGGAGGTGGATCCAGTGACAAGACAATAAACTTCTGGAATACAACCACAGGATCTCGAGTTAATACCATTGAAACCGGATCACAAATATCAAGTCTAAACTGGGGTTATTCTAATGGTACTGGGTTAGAAATCGTCGCTACCCATGGATTCCCCACCAACTCAATCTCATTATTTAATTATCCTACATTACAAAAGACTGGAGAGATCAACAGTGCTCACGACTCAAGAATCTTGAATGGGTGTATAAGTCCCGATCATTGCACTTTGGCTACTGTTGCAGGTGATGAAAATTTGAAATTTTGGTCCTTGTTTGATTTAGTCAAAAATAAACGTGAGTTTGGTGACGTGACTGATGTTGATGGAGAGGATAAGTCGGAAGTTGAAACTAAACGTATTAAAAAGATGATGAGTTTAAGATAGATTATTTTGACTTTATAGTAATATAAGACGATAAAATTTTAGCAGACAGTATATTCGATGTTAAAATTTTAGTAGCCATGCATCAATAAACAAATTCCAACATTTTCTTTTTTGATGTTAAAAACACAGCCAAACAGGAAAGAAAAATGATGGACTGATTACATTCTTGACATGTGTCTTACCCCTCCGACTTCCGCAAGATATCATACTCAACATTACATATTTCAGGGACAGCATTTGAAGTTCGTAGATATCGAGATTCCACTTATTGTGATTGGTGTGAGCATGTTAATTTGAAAAAGTCTGATCTTTATGGTAACAGGATAATGCACTTAGATTGTTGCGTTCGAGCACTTGATGTTGCTGAAATGGATTTACAGCATATCCAATTACAACATGATCTCAAGAGGGAAAATATCACATTAAAACAAATGTTCCAAGACGTAGGTAGAAATATTCTACATATTTCACAACTCAAATAGACATTATTCTTCTAATATTCTCTAATTTAAGAAATGTATTAGTATCAGTAACGGGGTACTTGTATATATTGCTGCAAAAAACTCCCCTCCCCAAGCCTGGAAGTGTTCAAGTCATTTACCTTCAACAAACTCCTTATTTCTGTAGATATAAAGTTTTACCCACACCATTAAGTATATTAATGTATATTTAGAAACAGATAATTAGACAATGCTAACATCTTTGTGAAGTATTGATCATATCCTCTTGCAACACACAGCCCACGATCTCACAGGCTGAGTCAATCACGTGACCAAATTTTGATCACATATAAACCAAAGCAAATTCCCTCCCCCTTGTCCGACAGCGCAGTCAGCTTCAACAACCAGTTTCCACACCACCATGAGACGCCCAACCAATACATTAATACTTACAAAGTTACCTCATTCATTACTAGTTGATCCCCAAGAACTTCTTGATCAATTACATGGGTATTTAATCGAAGTGATTGTCCTCAGTAGATTCCAGAGAATATTACTCATATGTGAATCAGCCACAATCTCACAATATATCCGAGAGATATTACCAAAGTCATTTCCAGATATCACTATATCATACAGCATTTGTGATAATGCGTTCAAACTAAATAATCACGACAGAACAGTTATAGATACACAGTTTGATGATATGGTGGAAAAGCAGTATTTGGAGTTGCCGAGTGAGAAGGCATCACGGAGATTTCTTATATCTCCACCGTTGTCACCGCCCTCTGGCTGGGATCATTGGGATAAAGTGGAAGAAGGGCCAAACCAACAAACGGTATATTCTTTTGAAGAGTTGTCACATTTATTATGGCAGAGATTAGGTGATCAAGAAGAAGTGGTTACTAAAGTTCAAGGCGTGGACAGGGTTAACGTTAAGAAAGAACCGGAGTTACTATTTAAAGATATTGAACATATCGGTGTACCTGCTATTATATTGGATAGTATAGATGGGGATATAAGTGATGAAACACTTATTCCAAAGACTTCATTACCTCCACCACTAAATATATAGATCAGTATTGTGTAGACAATATGCAGGAAAATGATTTAGTTTTTTTTTTGTCTGTTAAATTTTCAGTAGGTTTATTTTGAGATGAGATTGATGCGATAGATCTTCTTTGTAAATATCAATAGACATGGCCAAGACAAGATCTAAATCAAAGGTATCGCCAGCTGCCAAAGTGACCAAGGTTACCAGGGCCAAGAAACAACAAGAACCAGTACCAGAACCAGTACCAACCACATTGATCTCCAGTGAAATTACTGCCAAAGCCATCGCTGCTTTAGTTAAATGGACTGAAAAGGAAACCAAGCCAAAGAAGGATTCCCTTTTTGAAGAAGATCCAGCCAAGCTTTACATCACTGTCAACACCAAGAAATACATTTCCGCCAAACCTCAATTTAAACCAAAGGTGATCTCTTTACCTCATTCCATCAACTCTGATGTTAAGACTTGTTTGATTATACGTGATGAATTAGTTAAGACCACTGACCAATTAGAATCCCTTGAGAATGCCGATGTCCACATTGATCAAATCTTGCCTGCCACCACATTAAAGAATGATTACAAGAATTTTGAAAAACGTAGAGATTTATTTGCTCAATATGATTTATTCATATTTGATGATGCATTAATGAACTTGATGCCAACTTTCTTGGGAAAAATCTTCTATAAATCAACCAAGATCCCAGTTCCAATCAGAGTAACTGCTACTAAGAACTTGAAGGAGTTGTCCTTGGTCACTTTGAAGAACCAAGTTGAAAAAGTATTGTCAAGCACTTGGTACTTACCACCTATGGGTAACACTGTTTCTATCAGGATCGGTAACTTGACTGATGATAGCGAAAAGTTAGTTTCTAATGCCAACAAAGTGGTTGAAGCATTTGAAGTTAAAGATCTCAAGAATATCATGATCAAGACTGACGTATCACCATCCCTTCCATTGTACTATACCGACAAGTTGTATGATGAAGAAGAAGATGTAGCCAAGGAAGAAAAGAAGGAAGAACAACCAGAAGACGAAGAAGCTATCAAGTTCACCTCTTTCGAAAAGGGATTATTGGAATTGGGTGATGTTGAGACCGTTACCAAGATCATTGGTAAGAAGTTAAACAAGGAATCCACTAAAGATAAAGCAGCCAAATCCAAGGGTAAAATCACAAAGAAGAAAAAGTAAATAAAATTTGTATAGAAAAGTGAGCAACTGCATTTTTTTACATAGAAAAATTATAAACTACGCGAACAACTTCAAAAGTAGCAACCACTTTTTGTATATTCACTCATGTGGATATTACACCATAAGGATGACCCGCTAGGAGGTGTGTATTTACAGTACTACCCAATTAATCTCTTGCTCATACTAACAAATATTCTTAGAAACGCGCATATTAAAACCAAACAGTACATACTTAATAGGACGTGACAAAGATGTTGATATACAATTCACAAGTGGGAAGGCATCAAGACACCAACTTAAACTAGTAGTTGGAAAACGTGCATCCACCGTTACACCTCTTTCAATTGTCGTTCTCAGTCGTGCTAAACTGAAAATCCAGGACAATTGGTATAGGCTCAATAAAGGTGACCCTGAGCAGACTCTCGATTTGACTAACGAGAAGGAAATTGTTATTGAATGTGCCGATGACGGGAATGGAAGTGATTCACCAATTAATATACAGTGGAATGATTTTGATGTATTTTGTGAGGATCGTCAATTAAAAGACAAAATAGGTGATGCTGTCAATATTGTTGAAACTGTTGACGAAGCCAGTTATTACGTGGGCAGTACTGTATCCGATACATTCAAAAAAGCCGTGATTAGAGGAATATCCATATTGAATCAAGAGTGGATACATGCAATTCTTGAAAATAATATCAAGTTTCTTGATGTCAATAGCTTTATCATTCCTGAGTATGCGCCTAGTCCCGATAGAAAACATATGCTTGATGATATCAAAATCTTTTCGAATGAGGATATACCGTGGTTGGATAACATAATCATTGCAGATGCCGACCTTACAAATCAAATCAGGAAAGATGTAAGCACTGAACAACAATTTATCTTGATAGGAACTACTTCACCTGGTTTAGAAACAGAAACAATTGAAAAGTTATGGCAAGCAATCTTATCATGCTCATTAGATACCCTCAAGTTAAACAAATTATCTCAATTGAAACGACCTATATCTGCATCATCATCATCATCATCATCATCTATCAGAAAGCGGAGAAAGTACGAAAAAGTAGATAAATTGCATTTTTTTTCCTTAGCTGAATCTGTGCCAACATCTCAAGTTGCAACATCTCAAGAACAGGAGATTACACCTGCACTTCTCGTGGAAGAGATTAAACCAATTGCATTAAAAGTGGAAGAGATACCTCTGGTTGAAGAACATAAAGATTCACAAGTCAAAGAAACTACAAATGAACTTCCGGAATCAAAAGAACTCGCCAGTTCCATCAATGAAATGGACTCTATTCCAAAAGAAGAATCAACTACACCTACAAAAACACTTAAGAGAAAACCATCAATTGAAATAAAACCAGAACATCCTCATAAAATCGGAAAGTTCATGCCCAAAATATCATTTGTAGACGCTATAAAACAAACAAAGCAGCAGTTGACCGATTCAATAAATCAGGAATTTGGTATATCACAAGATCATGACCTTGAAGCAGACTTGAACTTGTCTAATTTGGCAATTGTGGAAGTTGTCAGTATACCAAAAAGAACCATTCCCAAACCAGCAGCACCTACAGCTGATAACCCTAGAAACCAGAAAAAATTTAAAAAGAACATTCCATTGAAATCTAAATTTCTCCGATCTTATGTTCCCATGAACACAATTGTAATTGATAACAATATCTCCTTCAGTAAACCAGTTACTATAGGTTCTGATTTCAATGGATTAATGAATGACGTCAAGGGTTTTGCACCCGAGGAAGAGCAATTGTTTGTGCCGGACGAAGATTATGAATCTAGTATAACTCAGCCACAAACAAATAGCTATGTGGAACAAGAGGAGTCTGATGACGATGACGATCAACCCAAATTTGGGTTCAGCTAGGAAGTCTTCCGCAAAATCCCATTTTTCTAAAATATGTAATATGGGTTTGTAAATAGTAATGTCTTGATAATGGATTATCAAAAATGTCAAAATCACCAACAATACATTCAGGATTATTTCCAAATATACAATCAACAACTTGTTGTGGTGTAGGATGGGTGTCTGATGAGGAACAATTGACGTAAATCAAGTTGTTGAACTGGGTATAAGATTCGGTAATACTGGTTGATGGAACCACGGTTACAATATCTTTCTTATGTACCACGCGTAAGTACTTTCTGGAATTATCTTGTGCAGGATATGCACTACCCATTACTTGATCCACCCAGTCAACAAATGGCTCATTCCCTAATAACGGCTGGCCCATAGTAATAACCTGTAAGTTCTTACATCCCAAATCAAGATAATGTAATCCTAGAAGTAATGCAACACTGCCTCCTAGAGAATGACCCAAAATTATCAACTCATAATCGTCATCATCTATCTCTTCGGCTATATACTGATGTATAATAGACAATGTTCTCGAGTAATAATCATGGAACCCCTTGTGAACTCGACATTTATGGCCGCAAAATGGCAATTCTTTACCCAAGTTAGAATAACCAATCATATCAATTTTTAAATCAGTATATGTGTCAACTAGATTCTTCGTTCCTCGTAAACTAACAATAATCTTCTTCTTCTTATTGTTGTCTTCTTCCTCCCCTCCACCAAATAGGTTTCGTTGGGTAACTGCAATATAACCAGCAACTGAATCTTCAAAATACCACTGATATACCAACGTCATATTAGGGAATCGACTATCACATTTCAAATTACATTTGAATGGCAGCTCAATACCTCCTTGTGGTGTTATACAATAGGAAATGTCTAGTAGATGAGCATATGTAAATAAGTTCGAGTATACATCCAGGTCGATATGTGAGGGTGTCTGTGAACCAATATATATCGGGTCAATTAGTAGTGCTGTAATAGAATATATTAAGGTTAGTATAACCCAATTCATTATAGTGTACTCCTAAAGAGTGTGGAGAAGTAACGACGTGGTTATTCCTGGTTGATATGTGGTGGGGAAGAATAGTGGAGTAGCAAAGTCATTCGAATTTTTGTTTTTGTCACAAAAATAAAAAATACATTCTTGTTTGGGTCGCAAATTTAGATGACTATAAAATATTTGCAACTTAACGTGATATTAAATGTATTACTAATAAGGCTATGCCAATACCCAATATACTTGAAATTAAGACTAGAATAATTTCACCTTTCAATAAGTTCTTAACAAGTATAATTATTGACAGTACACTAGATATAGGCGACAATAATATGCTGCTAAAGTTAACAATTATCCTCGATATAATAATGATTATTAACAAAGTAACAATCAAGTAGAAATGATTGACTAATATTGAAAATAATCCTGTTATAAAATAAGTTAATTTATTCTTAATGTTAGTTATAACATCAAGCATGTTTGCCAAATGACCCAATTTCAAGCTGATAGAATTTATGATATCATCAGTTGATTTGAGCCTTGTTTCCAAGTTGTATATTGATTCATTTAAGATTAATTCAAAAGAGTCAACCAAATCCTTGGCTCTTATTGTAAAACTCTGGCTAAATTCAAATAGCATGGTTTGAGTCTGATGATTGATAATTGAAGTCTGGGTTAGGATCTCTTGGTTTAGATTTAACAATTCAAATTCAATATGTTTCATAATCGCATCTATGCCCTGACTTGTGCTCTTGGCCGAATTAATGAGTGATCCCTGTTGCTTTATTATGTGTTTATTGTTCAGAATTATACTTTGCTGTTGTTTACTTTGTTTCTCGGTCAAATCATAAATATCCAGCATCTGATTTATGAAATATTCTAAATGCTTGTTAACATGATTGATATTTGTATTAATACCATCATATGTATATTCCAACACAACCAATGTGTTATTCATATTATGTTTCAACTCTTTTTGAAACTTGTTCCACTCTTTCTGAACTTTACTACTCTCTTGTTTATACTGTTTCTGTATTTGATTAAAAATATGATCAATAACATCAAACATTTCTTTGAATTTAATTTTGATCAGTTTTTGTATTTCCTTACTATAATCCTGAGACTTGACCATTTCATCATACAAATCATGGTAAATTCTAGTAATATTCTCATAAATACTCAATATTTGATCTTTCTCAAACGGCAAACTAATTTGATGACATATATTCTTTATATCCTGATAATACCCACTATAAGTTGTCCAATACCGAGCCCGCCTTTCCAAACTCAAAATACATTGTTCAATATCAAGATTATCGCCACGACATTGACTAGGGTATATCACTCCCGAGTCCTCAAATTGACATATGGATAATTGTAAAGCAATACTTTTCTGTTGTGCATTAGTGATTGATTCGATTCCTTGATTTATACACTGAGGAATTAATTCTTTTAATGCTTGTTGGGCACAATCTGATCTCCATGAAATCAAAGATACAAAATTATCCGCAAGTTTGTCCATTGGGATTACCATTTCTTCACAGTTTGCAATTAAAAGAAGTAAAAATATCAATATATTCATTTCAATAGTTAACAACTAAAAGCAAGTAAGCTTGTCTGGATTGGAATAGTTGAAATCAAAAGAGATTGCCAAAGGTTAATATATGAAACATATTTGAAGTATGTGGTAGCGCTTGCAACATCATACCCATTTTCTAGAAAAGTAATACTTCGCTTAAGCGTTTGGTGAAGGGACATTTTTGTATGTTCCTGCTTGGTACAATTTTGCCATGACAAGTTATGAAAAGACGTTGTTTTGTGAATTTAAAGACTGGTATAATTGAGATTGTCGAGATAGAACCGAGAAACTTTTATGGTTCGATGTTAACAGATTACATCTTTTTAGAAAAAAAAACAAGTCTGAATTGGTACTAAATGCAGCATTACAACAGGTTCAGTACAATATATCATTCTCAATAATTATATTAATATTAAAATAAAATTATTCTACACTGACTATGATACTTTATTAATAGATCTTGTAGTACCTTAATTGTAAAAGCTTGAGCCAAACCTTTAAAGAAAATAAATAAATAAAAAAATTTTTTTTTAACTTTTTCAAAATTAACTAACAGTGATTAATAGATCCAACAATGCTAAGAACAAGGTTGTTACAAACAACCAAACGAACATATTCTAAATTCCTGTTTACATCTAATGAGCCACAACGTCACGTATTCGAACAGGAGAAGTTAACTCCAGAACAGAACCGAGCAGCCATACCCACCAAACCCACTTTTGACTCCATACCTAGACGCCATTTAGAGATTATAAACCCGGAAGATGTGTCTGATTTAGTCACTGAGTTGACCCAAGATGATGTCTTAGTCACAGTATTGTCGAAACAAAAGTATTTGTATGGTGATAAGAATCATATCGTGTATGACAAGCAAGGCGCAAGGAGTGTGCAATTACCATTTGCAAATGTTGGGTTAAGTTGGGTTAATCTCTTTAACAAACAAGTAGGAAAGCTTGATGAGTTGAAGGATGAGCAGACTATTTATAGCAGTTTACCTAAGAGCATTGTGAAAAAGTTGGATAATGTGGATACTTCCGATATAAAAAAAGTGTTTGAAATAACCAATGCAAAGGAAAACTCGCAAATGAAAGTTGGTGGGAAATTGACGCCGATGGAATTGCTTAATTGTATAACTATTGAAAGATTGACATTGTATTTACTCGATAAGCCTATAAACTTATCTGACTTGATAACTTATGTTGACGAAACCTCAAACTATTGCACCACAAAGGAATTGACTATAATATTGAGCAAAATGTTTGATGCGCTTGCAAACTCAGATAAAACAGCCGAGCTGAACTTTGTCAAATTTATAATAAAGTGCATTGATACTCAATTTGAATCAATCAAACCACTTGCTTCTTCTCAATTAGATCAATTGGTACACATATTAGCTAAAGCAGGACATATCCCTCAAGCATTAACCATATTGCGCCAACTAGTGGAATCCAAGAAATGCCCATCAGAGCAGACATTAAATGAAATCCTTGCACATTTTAAAGATTCAAATCAAACAGACATTATTCAACAATTGGGGTTTTTGAAACTGGTGTTTTTCGCTACCAAATTGACTGGTAATAAATTTGAACTTTTATTGAGATCAGTTCAAGATATCCATGACTTGAACAAATTGTTGGTGTTGGCACAGTCATATCCTGATATAATTGAACAATACCAAACTAATTTGTTATCTACGTTGTTAGCTGTGAACAAACAATACCCTGACCATGAACGAAGATTACAATTGACTCAATTTATCAGAAACCTTAAAAACAAGGGAGTCAAACTTAACGGAAAGTTTATTGAAGTTTCCAAACACGAGTACGTCAATCTTGGGGATAACATCAACGGCAATAACTTATAGAGTGTATATTATCTTGTATGTAGACTATCTAGAGAATATTCTTCACTAGTATGACTCTGTCGTATATCATGATTATTCCTGGTGTAAAACCCGTCAGTAACTACATAAAACCCATCGTCACTTGCATTATCATTATAGAATCTGTCAATCACATTCTTTCTCATCATTCTCATATCATCATTGGCGTGATATGTTTGTTCATCATTCTCGAAAAACCGTCGAGACACAATGGTTCTTTTAATAAAACATAACATTGTTGTGATTAAAACCATCAGAACTATCGGTATCAATTGCAACCAACCTAAATAACTTAGGTTAGGTGTGAATAGCAAGAGATCAACGAGAAACCCTAGCAAGTTTGTTAAAAACGAAAATAAAGTGGAGATTAACATCAAGTTAATGCCCGCATTTGACCGTCTGGCTTGATTCTTCCTCTTGCGATATACTTGTAACATAATTAATCCAGATATAATAATTATTAACATAGACGTAAAGGAAAATGCCATTACGTGAACAACCAACAATTTGGAAATAGTATAGGTGACACTAGAAGGAAGCACCACTCCCGCACTAGTACTCTCACCCACATCCCCAGTCAAGGAATAAAATGTGCTATTAACAGAAGGATATCCTATTCTAGGATTTGAACAGATATTATTTTGACATATTCCAAATACCCCATAAGTAAAGTTTTGGTACTTGGATAAATAAATATTGGTAGTGGTCGGGGTTATGGGCACTGAGATAACCGGTAGTAGTTGGATGATCCAACATATTAGTGATAGACACAAGAGTATCAATAGGGGTTTAAGCATATTCCGGTCACCTCATCTATGGGATCTGCTACTAGCTATCTTGTCATAAAAGTCTGTAGTGTTTCATACTTTGCTATTTGATGTACCATTTCTTAGGCGAAGTTTCTTTTTTGGGAAATCGCGTTGCACGTGACTTGCATAATTCTAGCGCTACCAGATACAATATCGCACGTGATGTTACATAATCGGGCCGTAAATTTTTTGCTTTAGTGTTGATTAGCCATCACCAATGATCTTCAATCGTTGGAAGTATCTTCTTGTTCTTGTTTTGATTTCATTAGCTTATTTCCGATTGCCCATCTTCACAATTCGCAAGATGGCCACTTCAACTCATCCATATGCTAAAGAATTAGAAATCGCCACGTTGGCCGTGAAACGAGCCTCGATTCTTACCAAGAAATTAAGCGATTCCATCGTTACATTGCAACAATCAGGCACGCTTACCAAGGATGACAAATCACCAGTTACAGTTGGCGATTTTGCATCACAGGCCATTGTTAACCATGCCATCAAATTGAACTTCCCCAACGATGAAATTGTCGGTGAAGAAGACTCTCAAGATTTGCAGGATTCTCCATTAACAAGTCAAATTCTTGACTTGATCAATCAAGTGCAGCAAGAAACCTCCGAATATGATGACAAGATTGGTAAATTATCCAATTTGAAGGAAATCACAACCAGTATTGATTTCGGTGATTCTCAAGGTGGATCCACTGGTAGATTCTGGGCCTTGGATCCTATCGATGGTACCAAGGGGTTCCTTAGAGGTGACCAATTCGCAGTATGTCTTGCTCTTATTGAAAACGGAAAAGTTGTGTTGGGTGTTATTGGATGTCCTAACTTGCCTCAAATCATCCATTCCAATGATAAACATGAAGGAATTGTCGGCGGGTTATACTCAGCTGTGAAGGGTGTTGGATCTTACTATAGTGCCTTATTCACCAAGGGATTCACACCTTTGGATCAGCAACAAAAAATCTCAATGAAATCAACTTCCAACCCAAGTGAATTGAAAGTAGTAGAAGGTGTTGAAAAGGGACACTCGTCCCACTCCACACAAGCACAAATTAAACAAATTTTGGGCATAACTACCCCAGCCATTAACTTAGATTCTCAAGTCAAGTATTGTGTCTTAGCCTCGGGTCAATCGGACATCTATTTAAGATTGCCTGTAAGTGACACTTACCGGGAAAAGATTTGGGATCATGCCGCTGGTAACATTTTAATTTACGAAAGTGGTGGACAAGTAGGTGATATTGAAGGCAATCCTTTGAATTTTGGAACTGGAAGAACCCTTCAATCCAAGGGTGTTATTGCGGGAAACAAGCAAGTGTTTGATTCTGTAATCAAGGCTGTACAACAAGTATTGTAAATGTCTATAGATTCTATAAATTATTCATTAATGTTAATTTTACTGATGATATTGGGTGCAATTTCTTGTAACCATGCTAATTCTATAATTGAACAGTTTCTGGCATAACTCTTCATGGTATAAACGTATTCAATATACATTATGGCATCAATGTTGGCCTTACCGAATAAGGTAGATGATGGATGAATGCTGATTAATTGGCCGGTATTGAATGTTCTAAATGATCTATCGGGCATTCCTACGGCCGTGTTGGTTATGTATCCCTTCAAGAACGATTTCAATATGTTAGGAATATTGATTCCTTCAGTTACACCATCCTCTTCGTCTTCCTTCTCAAATTGTGCTTTCAACTTGCTCAATTCCATATCCTTTTGGTCATTGGTCAAACTGTCGTCCTGTTTGATAGTGGTATACATATACTCTTTCAACTGATTCTTGACTCTAATCACATTCTTAAACCCCTTGTAACTAAACATCATTTCATGACACCACTCCTTGGCCTCGCCAGGACTTAATTTTTGGAAATTGTTAAAAAATTCATACATAGAAATCAAATCACCATATTGAATACCCAAGGGACAGTAATTCCTTCTTTTGAAATTAATCTCATCTCTCGCTTCCTCCGTGACATTCAAAACCAAATTATCTACACTTAGACAAGAGACAATGTCGATGACTTCGGAAACCACACCTAGTTCTACAGCAGTTAACAAAACCACTGATAATTGTGGTGTCAATGGCAAAATGCTCATTTTGTACCCTAAGCTAGTAACCTTCCCCTGGTCATTCAAAGCACCGAGAGTATACAATGAATTCAATGCATTCAAGATCGAGTCTTGCCCCGGGTATTCCAACCATGTCCAGTTCAACAAGTCATCAATGCCCAATTTCTTCAATGTAAGCACTGGTAAAATGATGTCGTTTCTTTTAATTTCTGATTCCTGCTGTTGTGGAAGAGTGGAGAACACTGGTTCAGAATAGAGTCTAAAGACTTTACCAGCGGATTCTCTCCCGGCTCTACCAGCTCTTTGCTTGGCTGATGCTTGCGAAATGGGGGTAGTTAACAATGTGGAAAGACCAAGATTGTGTTTCCATACCTTGACTTTACGCAATCCGGAATCGATAACATATTTGACACCAGATACAGTAATGGAAGTTTCTGCTATATTGGTGGCAAGAATGACTTTTCTTTGATGTTTAGGTAAGGATTCAAAGATTTTTGATTGTTGGTTGGGTGAAAGGGCGGCATATAATGGTAATGGTACAATCAAAGGTGCCTGTTTAGGTAATTGTGGTGCAATATCTTGTAATACTTTTACACAATTGTCAATTTCTTCTTGACCGGCTAAGAAACAAAGAATATCTCCTCCTTCAGGCTCACTAAGATTTACTTGAATGATTGTTCTAATCATGGTGTCGACAATATCGGAAGAATCGTCATCCAAGTAGTATTGACTAACAGGGTACATTTTACCTTCAATAAACAAAACAGGGGCATTATTGAAGAATTTACTAAATAACTCAGCATTCAAGGTAGCCGACATAATCACCACTTTCAAGTCTGGTCTTTCGCCGCTCAACAACAACAGTTTAAGAAACCCCATAATCAAATCAGTCAAAATAGTTCTTTCATGGGCTTCATCTAGAATAATGATTGAATATTTGGTCAACTTATTATCCAACATGATTTCACGTAGCAACATACCGTCAGTAAGATACTTTAACTTTGTCTTGTTCAGAGTCATATTAGTGAAACGAACTTGATAACCTACATCTTGGCCCAATTTACATCCGTGCTCTTCACTGACTCTTGCTGCTAAAGATGCAGCAGCAACTCTTCTTGGTTGAGTAACCCCAATCATCTTCATACTTTCGTTCATTAAGAATTGCGGTATTTGGGTGGATTTACCGGAACCAGTTTCACCAATAACAATAGTGACTTGGTTTGAATTAATACAGGATAAGATCTTGTCATGGTGTTTGTAAATTGGTAATTGTTTTCGAATCTGCAAGAGTTCATTGGCACGTTCAGTTAGTTGTTTTGTAGTGTTGAATGTGAACTTGTTGGAAAAGTCGTCTTCATCGTCTTCTTCTTCTTTTTCGGTGAATTTGACCACTTTTGGTTTATGCTTTTGCTTATGTTTGTGCTCGTGTTTGTGTTCGTGTTGGTGTTCATGTTTATGCTCGTGTTCGACTTCTTCAAGGTGCTTATGCTTGTGTTTGTGAGTGTCAGTTTTCTTGTGAGTGTGTGAGTTATTAAGTTCCTGTATGTGTCCACTTTCTGGTTGTTCCCTCTCTATAGGAGATTCCGAAACAACCACGTCTGTTTCCTCTTCTTCGAACTTTAACTTTTTATTAACTCTTTTCTTGTCTTGTGCTAGATCGTTTTGCTGTGGTTGTGGCGGTTGGACCTGTGGTTCTTCCTGATGAGTTTTCTTTGATCTCTTTCTTTTCCTCTTCTTGAGTCCAGCTGAGTCTGAACTATTGTTCACAGTTCCACTCAACACATCTTTGGTCATGGTATACTGTTTGATCTATTGCAACAATAAGAGATGAGGTGGGTTATAAAAATTTCAGCCAAATCAGCAGCAACCGAAAAAAAAGAAGAAGCCAAACAAGGGGAAGGAAGATTTTGAACCGCCACTAACGAGATCTACAACTACTGCTGTTGTCTATACTACTACAATGTTGTTGCGTACATCACACAGAACACCAAGTGTTCTTCTCAGACACCTTGTCAAACGATACAATTCATCACCGTCTTCAATTGACTTGTCAAAAAGAGATACCGTGACAATTATCCCTAGTGTCTATGAACTAACCCAAGACAAAGCCCACACCCTGGAAACAGACACTTCTCTCGTATCCTACTTACAGGCACGTCATCTAGTTGAATCAATAACCAGTGATGACTTATACGAAATCACAGAGCCTGATGCTGATGTCAAATTCAAATTGTACTGTGGTGCAGACCCAACGGCCGCCAGTTTGCATTTGGGTAACCTTTTGCCATTGATGATCCTTTTGCATTTCCGATTACGTGGAAATGACGTAGTGGGACTTGTCGGTGGTGCCACCGGTAAGGTTGGTGACCCTAGTGGTCGTGAAACCGAAAGAACTCAAATGGAACGTGCGGAACGAGAAACTAACATTATCAAGATTCAATCGCAATTATCTGGATTCTTAAATAAAGGGATTGAATATGCTAAATCGAGACAATTCCCGCAACACGAAGGTGAAGTTCAAGTGGTTAACAATGCCGATTGGTGGAGTGATATTAAGATGTTGGATTTCTTGGCTGATTACGGCAGGTTTATCCGTATATCTTCCATGCTTGCTCGTGAATCCATCCTGGCTCGTTTGCAGGGACAAGCAGGAATTGGGTTCAATGAATTCACATACCAAATCTTGCAAGCTTATGATTTCTGGCATTTGCACAAGCATCATGGAGTGAACATGCAGGTTGGTGGTAATGACCAATGGGGGAACATCACCGCGGGAATTGACTTGATTTCCCGTCTTCAAAGACAAACTAATTCGGAACCTACTCCAGTTTATGGATTGACTGTGCCTTTATTAACCACTCCACTGGGCCAAAAGTTTGGGAAATCTGCTGGTAATGCCATTTTCATTGATGCGAAATTAACCACACCTTATCAGATGTACCAGTACTTTATAAACGTTCCTGATGACATGGTGGAGAAATTACTCAAGATATTCACCCTTTTACCGTTGTCTGTCATTGAATCAGAAATTATCCCTCGTCATGAACAAGAGCCTGGCATTAGATTAGCCCAGAGAATCCTTGCTAGAGAAGTAGTTGATTTAATCCATGGGGTAGGTGTGGGTGATGAAATGGCATACATCACTGGCTTCTTGTATCCAACCCCAGACCAACCCTTCAATGATGTCGTGTCTGCTGACAAATTGATTGAAACGTTCAAGAAATCGGGGATTTTAAAGACATTCAAGTTGTCCGATTTTGAAAACATTGACGACATAAAGTTAAGTTCGGTTTTGGCTAAAGTTACGGGAAATTCTCGTCGTGAAATCAAGAACTTGATCAAATCAGGTGGGGTCTATTTAGGTTTGGAAAGAGATCAATTTGAAGATCCTGATGATGTGGTGTTGTTTGACAGAGAAAATCATTTGATTGAAGGGAAGTTGTTGTTAGTGAGATTGGGGAAACAAAAGTACTTTGTTGTGGAATTTACTGAGTGAGAATTTTGTATGTAAATAGATAATAAACAATATCACCGTATTAATATGTACCTTCTTCTGAAGTTTGTTTGGGTGTTTTTCTGGCAAGATAAACATTTTGTAAAAGAAACAAGGGGGGGGGATCACCTAAACTCTAACTTTGATCTTTCAAACAAATATCACCAAGTTAACACAGAATTAAATCCTTCAATCTGCTCGGTGATAGCAAGTCCCTCTTGTGCCACATTTAACTCTGGCTCATCACGCGGAGCTAGCGTTTACTAGATCAAGAACCCTCGGTATAAACGGCTCCATTGTTCCTTTGGATTCGGCACAGCCTTGTGGAGCACAAAACCCGAGCCTTAATCCCGAAATGGCAGCAACCAGAAAAAAAAAATTATAAATACACAGGAGATCCCTTTTTCGTTAAACAAAACTGGTGATTTGTAATCCAATTGATCATGTCTTCATTCCACGACTTAGCTCCAAAAGATGCCAAGGGTGAACCATACCCATTCTCCCAACTTAAGGGCAAAGTTGTCCTCATTGTCAATGTTGCTTCCAAATGTGGATTCACTCCTCAATACAAACAATTAGAAGAACTTAACCAAAAATATAAAGACAAGGATGTGCAAATATTAGGATTCCCATGTAATCAATTCGGAGGACAAGAACCAGGATCTAATGAACAAATCGCTGAATTCTGTAGTTTGAACTATGGTGTTAGTTTCCCCGTGTTAGACAAGATTGAAGTCAATGGTAAGAATACTGACCCTGTGTATGAATTCCTCAAGTCTAAGAAATCTGGAGTGTTGGGATTGAATAGAATTAAATGGAACTTTGAAAAGTTCTTGGTTGATCAAGATGGTAATGTCATTGAAAGATTCAGTTCTTTGACCAAGCCTTTGGACATTGCTCCAAGAATTGATGCTTTGTTAGCTAAGAAGTAGATGTTTATATAAATTATGCTATTGAGTACTTCTGTAGTGACAGTCTTTATTTGTTCTCTAAATAATTAAATGTTGACTTGCTAGGCTAATCTTCTGAGCCTTGGCAATATACACAAATCTACAAAGTTGTAGATTGTTCGGTTTTTGACCATGAAATTTCATCAACCTAGTCTATAAACATATAACTATATCCGTTTATATCGATACATAAAACACAGCTTCGATGCTTAACTTAGATGGGGGGTTATCTGTAGGGCAAAATCAACTAAAACAATATGCTTTGGTAGTAAATTTTAAAGTTACCACTTTGGCATGGATGTTCATGAATTGATGCATATAACTAGTCCTTCTTTCTATTGTTCAATCAATTACTAATCAGTAACTAGCAAAAGCCCTGAACAGTTTATTCAGGGAATAAGTACTTTTTTTATAATTATCTCTACGAATTTCAATAAGAAGTTACTCACTGAGAATGTATTTGCAAGTTTCCAAACCTATTGTAAAAATATAGTTTACTTTTTATCTTTCCTAGAATAGAATCTGATAGAAATGTATCTCAGAGCTAGGATTTCACTGGTACTTTGAAGTATTACTGTCCTAAATAAGTAGGACTGTAAAATCATAGTTTATGGAACAAAAAAAAATAGTTACTAAAACCACTATTTCATTCTAAGAGGAGAGGAATGTATAATACACGCTTAAACAATTGTGTATATCTTGGCCAATGGCAGTGATTGTGCACTAAATCTCATCCAAGTCAACATAATTATATTTCTAATCTGTCTAATAAAATGTCGAGTAGTTAAACCACCCCACTAGATAAAACCAAGCACGATCTTTAGGATTATTTTCTAGCAAAAATATTTCTTCCTGATAAGAATAATTCATTAATATCCTCTTCCTGAATAGCTGTATTATAATCTACCATAGTTAGTATGTATGAATGTGATATTTTTGGACATTTTTTTTCGCTTAACTCATATCCTTGTATTTTTTGCAACCTAAAACATTTATGTAAATGATTGTTGTCATTTTCCAACGAGGAAACTCCATCCAGTCCCTACAAACTTCTAGGAAACTACAAAGTTCTCAATCCATCTCAACAAACAAATAATAAACTACATTTTATTGGAATGGATACACCGCTGAAAGCACAAACTAAATCCCTTCACACAAATATGGCTAAGCACGATGTAAAACGTGTCCCGGAAGGGAACCTTCAAAATCTTGCTGATATTAGTGTAAGTGCATGGACTAGTACCTCTACTACTTCTGTGACTACTGTGTGTACTGCTACTAGCGCTAATACTGCTACTTCTACTGCTACCGTTGCTGTTTCTGCTGATGGTACTGCTACAGTCACTGTCACTACTAATGATGGTGCTAGTGCAACTGCAAGTGCAAGGGCAAATGCTAGTGCTACTGCTGCTGCTACTGCTCATGCTACAGATATTAACAGTGCTAGTGCTGCTGTTGCTGCTACTGCTGCTGCTAGTGCTAGTGCTAGTGCTGCTGCTAGTGCTTCTGCTAGTGCTGCTGCTAGTGCTGCTGCTACTAATTATGCTACTGCTGCTGCAACTACTGCTGCTACTGCTATTGCTTCTACCCCTATTGATCCTACTGCTACTTCTGCTGCTGCTGGCGAAGCTGCTGGTGCTGCTATTGATGCTTCTATTGATGCTTCTATTGATGCTGCTATTAATGCTGTTGATCCTACTACTATTGTTCCCTCTATTTCTGTTACTTGTGCTCCTACTGTTTCTCCTACCGTTTCTTCTGCTTTTTCTGTTACTACTACTGTTACTACTTCTGCTAATGTTGCACCTGGATCATCTCCTTATGAAAGACAAGGCAATCTTAATCCTAAATGTGATGAAAGTCACGACCTAGGTAATACTGAAACATTTACTACGGCTGAAGAGTTCATGCAAAAATTATATACTGAACTTGATCATATTGTCTGCTTGAGAAACGTTTTGACTATCGAAAGAATCAATACATTCTTGGATTGGCTTGATAAGAAAACTGGTAATTAAGCTTTTACTAGGGTTTGACTTGGTACTTTAATTAGTCACTCAGAGGAAAACAAAAGATTCAAACAGATTTCAGTAGATTTTGCTTTTAAAAGATTGCTGGTTAAGATATTGCGATTATTAAATTTTTTGGAGGATACTGCGATTGAGAATATTAGCTTATTTCCAGTTTTATCGATGTTGTTATTTGTTTGGGGCATCAGTCAAATTTTTCAAGGAAGTATTACTCCTCTTGTTGTGGTGTCCTTTATTAAACATATTTTTCAAATTGGAGATGGTTCATAAATTTACAGAATAGCTATAAAAACACATATATGTGAAACGACATATCCCTATATAATTGACACTATATAAAATAGATATTTCTAAAACTTTAAAAGTATCTTCGTGACAAGTATATTCAACTCTTATTCGTTCAGCGGTTCAAAATATTCGAATAAAACGTCAAGACTAGTCGTTAATTCTTCAACTAAACCTAACCTTTCAGCTTCTGCAAACAACAAGACAATGAAAGCTTTACCAAAATTAAGATAAGCCTCTCTTCTTTCGGTCTCATTCAGGTTTGGTGTAGGATCAACTTCAGGGAAGTCACTTGCATGTTCGCTGTTATCTTTGTCAGTCTTTTTCGGGATATTCAAGACTGCTGCAATATTTTCATCTGTTGTGAAATGTTGCAACTTTGTAAAAAAATCTGATCCAAGAGCAAGCAATTCAATTTGCTGTTCATTCAATGTACTTAATAAATCCTGAACGGTTTTATTAGTGAAGTGCTCTTCGCTATATTTTGGATTAGGTTTATCGCTAGAATCAGTAATATCAGCATCATTGGTGTTCAGCCGATCACCAGAGTTGGCAGAAGTATCACCAGCATTAGCAGAAGTATCACCAGCATCAGTGCTTGCACTAAATGCTAAAGTAGTGTCGGAAAAGCTGGTGGTATCTACAGAATTGTGGGTGTAGGGTCCTTCTCTTCCAGTCTCTTTATTTTGACCTTTTAAATGTTTGTCAGACATATCTAGTAGCACTTTAATTGATCTTATGAGAGTCGAGGCTGGATCTATAGGCTAAACTTATATTATGCAATGGTGTGTTAGCAGGTGCGTTTTGCTATTTACAATCGCCCATTGAATCTGCTGAAGCTTACTTTTAACTATATGTACATTATACGTAAACGATATTACCAATATTCTTTGTAGATTTTGTTTTGAATTCGGAGTACTAAAACGACGGAATTATCTCCCATACTAGAAGAATCGGCGCGTAAGTCAAGTAGTTTAAATTTGAAAGGGGTTTGCTGTCATCTGCATGCAAAATAATGTTGAGTGAATTTATGATTTCGTCTATATGTATTGTTTTCACCGTTATACGGTTGCGTTGTAGGGAACAATTTAGGGGATGAACCATGCACTACTGGGAATCTCAAGAAATATTTACAAACATCATGTTGACTACCAAAGGGGGGTTCTAGTTACACCATTGGTTATAAAATAATTGTGGTGTGGTCTAGTCAGTAGTTTTGATTGCTCTTGCATATCTAATCTGGTCAGATTTAACTATTTCAGGGGTATCTACGGTTCTATTACATTGATATAATAATTGAATGATCTGATATTGTAATCACTAGATGTTGCTACCAACTGATCCATCAAGAGATAAGCGCGGTATCGGAGCAAGCAAAAACAAAAATTACCAGATCTGTACGATAGATTTAAAATGGTCGTTAAGAGTAACCCAACTTCTGAAAGTTAAAAATATTTAATTTTTATTTTTAAACGCAAAAAGGGATAATCAGATCAATTATACAAATAGGTCATTAGGGATTAATTATCAGGCATTTAAGATATATGAGCAAAACAAGAAAAAAAAATCGACAATTGACAAGAAATCCTTTGAGTAATTATTTGTTGTCATGAAATTGGCATTCGACTGATTATGCTCACTGCTGGGATACTAACCATTGAAATGTTTGAAATCTTGCTGTCTAGATTACCAAAGGGGGAGATTATGGTTATGGCACCGGGTATACAAAAAAAAACAGTGGTGGTGGTGGTGGCGGCGGCCGGGCTAACCGTAGTGGTGTTACTTTTATTTTATTTCATTTTTTTTTTTTTAATTTTTAGCAGTTTCAGGTTTATTTTTTTTGTTGGGGGAATCTTGCACCCTCAGGCCGGAAACGGAAAGAGTATTATTTTTTTTTTCCTTCTTTTGGCGTGGTTAACAATCAGTTGAATGTGCCTCGGTAGATTCATGCATAAATCCATTGAGCCGTTTGCTTATCTCTAGCAGATAGGTGCCACAATTGTACAAAGATATGCAAAATATAGTTATCACTAGTATCAACCTAAAACTAGGTCGGTTTTGGTAAAGTTAATTGAGCAAACATCGACATAGCCCAGAATGAAAATGCATACGAGGACAAGTAATATTCTTGTATGCAGTTGAATTCTCTAGTGTGGAGAAATCTTGTGCCCCCCGGAAAACGGTGATTGTATTTATTTGCTGCAAAAGCACACGACTTTCGCTTTTCTTTTTCTTCGGATTAACCCCTCTAGGGAAAAAGCCATGGTAACACCACGGCATTCCCGTAAAAGAGATTTCACGGCTAATTACCTTTAGGAGGGGGGTGTGTGTAATGTGGATAATGGGTTGTGTGCAAGTTATCAGTTGTCAATTGCTGAAAACATTGTTAAAATATAAGGGGATATAGTAAAAGGTTTGTAAAAGTCTTTGATGGTACTGAAAAAGGACAAAAGTTTAAATTGATTTCCGTCTTATCTAACTTCACGTGATGGCTACTCCTATTTCGATTTTTTTTTTTTTTTTTGTTTAGATTATCATTCTTTTCTTTTTTCTTTTGTTTTCCTTTCCTTTCTTTTTGTTTCTTTGATTTCTATGACGCTAGCGCTAATCGCACTTTACCCCTAAGTTTTTTATTTCTATATAAGAACTTTGGCTTTTTCCTGGTCGTCTATTTTTAATTAATCCTACACGTCACTCAGTTTAATGCATTTGTAGATTTATATCTTCACCCAACCTATATTGATATCACACCCCAGTAGACATACTTGAGTTAGTACTAGTGTTCCTACTCACATTTATTACACTTCATACCCTATTCCCATCCATACAACCAATTACCACCACAATTACCACCACATTCATTTTATCTTAATTTTTTTTTTTATTATTTTAGATTTTCTGTAATATAGTTTTCTTACATTCATACAACTACTAGCCAGTAGTCAAAACAAAACATCTATACTGGCGTTACATCCTTCCATTTGCATATATTTATAATTAGAGAGATATCAAAATATTTAAGGAAAGATAGTTCTTGTGGAAATGTCTAAAAGTTACCAACTTTACGAAACCAATCAAATTGATTTGAATGGTAAATACAGATTTGTCAAGCATATTCAAAATGGATCATTTGGAAAAGTGTCGTTGGCCAAGGATATAGCGACCGATGCATTGGTCTCAGTAAAGTCCATGAAAAAGACTAGAAAATCCATTGATATAGCAGAAAATGAAGTTATGATGTTGCAAAAATTGAATCATCCTAATATTTGTCAATTGTTGGATTCATTTGAATTTCATGATGTTGTTGAGAACCAAGATTATATTATCCTTGTATTGGAATACTGTTCCCGTGGGGATTTGTACGATTTAATCCATGAACATTGTTTGACCGATTATGACATTATGACTCTTGCCAATCAAATCGGTGATGCAATTCAATACAGTCATTCCCAGGGGGTTTACCATCGTGATATTAAACCAGAAAACATCTTGATTGATAATGAAGGACAATTTAAGTTGTGTGATTGGGGGTTGGCTACCAATGTCAGATTTAATGATGAATTTGGTGTTGGTACCGAGAAATATATGGCACCGGAATGTTTGTTGAAGAATGAAAGTTTTACCAGTAGTTCTAGCAGTGATCAAAATCCAGTAGATCAACAATATTTGTTTGATAACTACGACTGTAAATATGCTGATTATTGGTCCTTTGGTATTACTATTCTTTCAAGCATCTTTGGAACCAGTCCATTTAAATCTGGCAAGAATAAGTCCATAACTTGTGATTATAACTTTAAGAATTTTGTTCATTTGAACAAATCTCACATTTTGTATGATATCTATCCAAGTATGAACTTTTCTTGTTTTGAGATGATTATGAATTTGTTACGTATGGGTAATGATGAAGACGAATTGGAAATTGTCAAGGAAAAGATTGCCCTGAGAAGTATTGATAGGTTTCTTGATGATATGAATGAAACTTGGAAGTTTGGATTTGTTGAAGAAGTTTTATTTGATATGGAGGATGAAGATGATGATTTTAATGTTAAAGATGAAGAATCTCATGCAACTGCTATTACCACCACCACAGTTGCCACGACTACCATGGGTACCTCCAGTGACAACTCAACCAAGGTTGTCGACACGGTTCGATCAGATTCTAGTAGTCATGAAATCAGTGAGTCTAACCTTGCAGTTATCAATTACGATAGAGCTGATTTGGACCACACCACTACTAAATTGCCATCGTTGATTCAATCTTCATACCAATCTAGCAAATCATGGTGTGATATTATTGACAATGATGACTATACTGTTGAGTATGAATTGGCCGGATTTGAAGGATTACATTTATCTGACAAGAAGAAGGAGAAAGTTACAATTGTAGAACAGGAGATATGGGATGAGTCTGTTGTTTATTAGAAGGAGTAAAAGTCGGTCTTTTTTTTTAATATTATGTTTACTTCTTTTGGGATTATTTTGATTATGTTGTATGAAATTTTATGACTTTTGTTTGCATATAGGAATTGGTTTTGTTTTTGAGTGTTGGCCTCGTTGGTTAATTTATTGCACTTGTTATTATAGCACTTTCATTTTTATTTAATTTTTATAAAACAATATTTAATGAACATATCATGACTAGAATGAAATGAACTTGTAGAATAGTTGTAGACATATGTAAACCCTGTATCGGCGAAACCCTTTTTTTTTGCGCGAAGGTAAACATTTGGACGAACGGCAAGGCATTTTTTTTTTCTGTACTAATGATTTGATTGTTCCAGAGAAGGTGCTAATCGCGTTACACAAACAGAAGCGATAGGAAAGAACCTGTTCAGGCATTTCCCCAGGCGGTCTCTATCGGGACGGTATTAGTCATGAGGGGTAGCAGTGTTGTAGAATGACATCCTGTTTAAAGTAAAAGTATCGGAACTATATGAAAATTTTTCAGAATAAAAATTAGTTAGCTGATGATGTATACATATATTCCTCCGATGAGAGTTGCTTCAATTTTCAAATCTGTTGCAGGAGGTATCAGCGATTGGACCGACTTGAAAACACATCGATTCAGGCCTGCGCGAATCTTCCGTAGTCCCGAATTCATTTGTAATTAATAAATGTGGGTTTGTGATTCGCCCGGTCACCGGCACCGGTGGCCGCTCTACGCTCTGACTTGTGTGCAGGATAGATGAATCATAATTTTCATTTTGTGTCGCAGTTGTTGAGTTTGAAAAATTTCAAGTCAATGCATATAAAGCATCCCCTTTTCTCCTCATCCAGTTTTGAATTTTTTTTTCCCCTTCCTTCTTTTCTTCATCAAACAACAAGAATTATTAATTATTCAATTGACAATGTCTGCTAGAACTGCTTCTATTCGTATGGCTAGATTAGCCACTGCCAGAGCTTCTGCTCAAATTGCTTCCAAGAGAAGTTTATCTGCCCTTGCTGCTACTGCTATTCGTCGTCCAGTCATTGGTTCAATTGCCAAGACCATGATTGCTTCCCGTGGTGTCAAGACCATCAACTTTGGTGGTACTGAAGAAGTTGTCCACGAACGTTCTGACTGGCCAAGAGAAAAATTGTTGGATTACTTCAAGAACGACACCTTAGCTTTAATCGGTTACGGTTCTCAAGGTTATGGTCAAGGTTTGAACTTGAGAGACAATGGTTTAAATGTTATCATTGGTGTTAGAAAGAACGGTGCTTCTTGGAAGGCTGCTATTGAAGACGGTTGGGTTCCAGGTGAAAACTTGTTCGATGTGACTGAAGCCATTGAACGTGGTACTTATGTCATGAACTTGTTATCCGATGCTGCTCAATCTGAAACTTGGAACACCATCAAGCCATTGATCACTGAAGGTAAGACCTTGTACTTCTCCCACGGTTTCTCTCCAGTCTTCAAGGACTTGACTCACGTTGAACCTCCAACCAATGTTGATGTTATCTTGGTTGCTCCAAAGGGTTCCGGTAGAACTGTTAGATCTTTATTCAAGGAAGGTAGAGGTATTAACTCCTCTTATGCCGTCTGGAACGATGTTTCTGGTAAGGCTGAAGAAAAGGCCATTGCTCTTGCTGTTGCCGTTGGTTCTGGTTACGTCTACCAAACCACTTTTGAACGTGAAGTCAACTCTGATCTTTACGGTGAACGTGGTTGTCTTATGGGTGGTATCCACGGTATGTTCTTGGCTCAATACGAAGTCTTGAGAGAAAACGGTCACACTCCATCTGAAGCTTTCAATGAAACTGTCGAAGAAGCTACTCAATCCTTATACCCATTGATTGGTAAGTACGGTATGGACTACATGTACGATGCTTGTTCTACCACTGCCAGAAGAGGTGCTTTGGATTGGTACCCAAGATTTAAGGATGCCTTGAAGCCAGTCTTTGAAGACTTGTACGAATCTGTTAAGAACGGTTCCGAAACCAAGAGATCCTTGGAATTCAACTCTCAAGCTGACTACCGTGAAAAGTTGGAAGCTGAATTGAAGACCATCAGAGACATGGAAATCTGGAGAGTTGGTAAGGAAGTTAGAAAATTACGTCCAGAAAACAACTAAGCCATTTTTAAATGATCTGATTTTACAAATGTCCTAAGGACACACACACAATATATCTAGTCTACAAAAAAAATGGTCGTGAATGACTGACATTAATATTTATTCAATTCTTATTTTTTTTTTTTGTTAATATAACTTATGGGTTTTTTTTATAGCATTTTATTAGGGGAACTATTATGTTTGTTGAATAAACAATTGTTTCGAAAAGTACTTGTAGTGTTTTTGTATTTTATAATATTTTTCCGCCAAAAAGTTGCAAAATTTTAGTGCAAGTAATAATGACAAGGAGATAAACTTTACTCGTATACTACAATAAACTATAGGTGCATTCTTTTCAGGATAAAAGGAAAATACTGTATTGAGCGGTATATTATAGAGCCTGTCTGGTTTAATTTCAATTACATGTATAGCGTTTATAAGATATACTTGTAATGGGCTAAGCCACATTTCGTATTTCAATCTGTACCCCCCAATTTAATTCAGGAGGACAATGACATATGATGCAAGAACTTTCAATAAAGATAACCTTGAATTATACAATATCTAATAAAATCTCTGCAAGATACTAGAAAATGCTATGTATAAAAAGTTAAAGTTTGAAACCCCAGCCCTAATTGATTACACGTGATTGACTTATTTATTTTATTTTATTTTATTTTATTTTTTTTTGATTCCCCAATATTTTTTGACAAATATTTTCTCGAATTTTTTCTATCGGGTATTGTTACTGGCTGCAGATACCAAAAAACAAATCACAAAGTTAAATGGCTGTAGGTAAGAATAAGAGATTATCCAAGGGTAAGAAAGGTGTAAAGAAGAAGATCATTGATCCATTCACCAAAAAAGATTGGTATGACATCAAAGCACCTACCACATTTGAGAATAGAAATGTCGGTAAAACTTTGATCACGAGACCAACGGGTAGAAGGAGTGTCGCTGGTGGGTTGAAAGGCCGAGTTGTCGATGTATGTTTGGCTGACTTACAAGGAACAGAGGACCATTCGTATCGCAAGATTAAGTTAAGAGTTGATGAAGTTCAAGGTAAGAACTTATTGACTAATTTCCATGGTATGGATTTCACTTCCGATAAAATGAGATCTTTGGTTCGTAAATGGCAAACGTTAATTGAAGCCAATGTCACTGTGAAAACCACTGATGATTACGTGTTGCGGGTTTTCGCAATTGGATTCACCAAAAGACAGGCAAATCAAACAAAAAAGGCAACCTATGCTCAAAGTTCCAAGATTAGAGAAATCAGAAAGAAGATGGTTGATGTTATGAAAAAGGAAGTTTCCAATGTGACATTGGCACAATTGACTTCAAAATTGATTCCTGAAGTTATTGGGCGCGAAATCGAAAAATCAACACAAACAATTTATCCCTTGCAAAATGTTCACATTAGAAAAGTCAAATTGTTGAAACAGCCCAAGTTCGACCTTGGTGCTTTGTTGGCTCTTCATGGAGAAGGTGGTGGTGGTGGCGGCGGCGAAGACAAAGGAAAGAAGGTTAATACTGGATTTAAAGATGTGGTTTTGGAATCTGTTTAAGTGGTGTCTGATATTTATTTTGTTGTGAGCTGGCTCATAATATACTTTCTGTTTAAGTTATGATTTATGGTTTTATGTCTTTCTATATAGTTATATGCACAAGTTTTAAGTAAAGAGTAAGCAATTTGTTCTTAGTGCTTCCTCATTGAAATCAGATCAGAAAGTGTCGTATATCGTATATTCCTTTTTTTTTTTTCTTCTGGGTGGGGACTGAAGATGTCACTATCAGCAAACTTGCTGCCCTTAAACGATACTTCACGACCGACATAAAACTACCTCATTTTGCCTGACCGTATAAATACATCGCGATTTGACGTGCCATTATCAACAAAATTATACGCTAGTAATAGATTATAGAACCACAGATGGCCACAGAAACAATCCTTGAAGAGGAGGACGATGCCTGGTCATATAGCTTCCCGCCTTCAACCGAATCATTGACTGACGTCACCAATCAACAACCGCAATTATACAAATCAAATACTCAGAGGGATGTCTCACCAACAAGACCACAAATAATCAAAAACGGATCAGCAGTCTTGATTGAACCCCATGGTAAATTGAAACAAGTAGATCAAGTAGTCTGCCAAGATTCTGGAAGACTACGATCTACAATCTCATTACAATCTAATGCATTGGCAAAAGCAGCACCGCTTGATCCGTTGACCACCAAGGAAGATGCCAATTCAATAATATCAAAGGAAGGAGCCACACAAGGAAATGAGGAAGATCCTGCTGGCCTCGCTTCCCCTCCCAGATTCCTAAAGGAACTACAGGAATTGGACCAGATCACTACTAATGTCGCCAACAATGTTCCTCTGAGTGCCAAGTCTTTAGAATCTAAGAAGGAAAACACCTTACCCACACCATCTCCCAAGATCATCGCTTATAGGAAATCCAAAAGAACAATAAGCGAAGGAAACTTCGATCTGGTTATAGAATCACCACCGGCCACGCCAACCACTCCTAAATACGATACCAGGCTTTACGTTGATGAAACTTTCCGCGACACTAGTTATAGGTATGCCAGTTTGAAGCGGAATGTTGATTTTCACCTGTTGTTTATAAGATTGGACTTGACTGATCGATTATTAGACGATTATGCGTGTGCCTTAAGTCGAGAGATTCTTTTGCAGGGAAGAATTTACATTAGTGAAAGCTATATTTGTTTCAATTCAAACTTGCTTGGTTGGGTGACTTCACTTGTGTTGACTATGGATGAAATTGTCGGGTTTGAAAAGAGAAGCACTGCTGGGTTGTTTCCTAACGGGATTGGGATCGAAACTAACGATGCAAAGCATGTATTTGCCAGTTTTATATCGAGGGATGCAACATTTGAATTAATGACCACTGTATGGCTGAAAGCAACTGGGAGAAAGAATAAGCTAGAAAGCGAAAAGTCTCAGCTGCAAGATCAAGATCAATGCAAGAACGACGGTGATCAGTCGAGCATTAGAAGTTGTGATTCTCATGCATCTTCGAAGATTGAATCATACATAATGACAATTGATGGTGATGACGAGCCTCGGCTGAAATCTCGCCTTACCGAAGAACAAATTCTTTCATCCGATTTTGAAAGCAGCGACGAAGAAGAGGAAGCTGGGGATGAATCTCTGGTTGCTCTGTCTAAAAAGCAAAAGGTCATTGGAGGAACAAAGATATTGAAACTTAAACCAGACTCTCCGTACGAAAATAATGGCCCAGATAGTCACCTTCCAACATTGGCATCATTTGAAAAGTATCCCACCGAAGTAGAAATCCTTGATGAAGTAATTGACGCTCCCTTAGGAATAGTATTTTCCATATTATTTGGCACCAATACAAAATTCCAAGTTTCATTCCTTGAATCTCATGATGGATCAGAAATATCCCCATTTGACAAATTCACACCTTCGGAACAAGATCCATCCATTTTAGAACGAAAATACACTTATCGACGTGCATTAGGATACTCCATAGGACCAAAGTCTACTCGATGCGAAGCAATTGAAACCATTGAACATTTAGATCTTGCTGATTACGTAATTGTTTTAGTAACTACCACCACTCCGGATGTTCCCCTGGGTGGATCTTTCAAAGTTAAGACCAGATATGCTTTTTCGTGGGCTGCTGATAATAAAACTAGCGTAATGATATCGGTCTATATTGAGTGGACGGGTAAATCCTGGGTCAAGGGAATCATTGAAAAACTGTCAATTTCTGGTCTGACATCAACCATTAAAGAGATGCTTGAGGAATTGAGAAAAGAAATCCAAGAACAGACATACACTGTGGAAGGACCACCAGTAATCAAGGCAGTTACTCCCAAGAAACCTAAGAAGATTAAGACAATTGAACCGAAGGTTTCCATTGCTAAGTTTTCCACTAATGAATTCTTCAAGAACAATATTGTTACTGTATGTTATCTTATCCTTTCATTCTTGATCCTTCTTTTAGTGTTGCAATTGCGTTTGTTTGTGATTGTTAATGAAACAAATGAAATTTCAAGGGCACAATTAATGCTCAATTCCCAATTGACATATGCATTACTGAGATTACAACAGGATAAGAATCGCGACGGTTCCATTGATAAGCAAATCAGGGAAATGAGCAATGACGAAAAGAATCCACTTTGGGAATGGACAGTTAAGAAGTTTGGCAAACAGTTGAGTCCCATTGAGAAGGTTGAATTCTTGACTTATCAATTACAAAATGTATATAAAGATGATGGCAGTGCCAGCCAAGATTACAGTTTTAATGATATCAAGCAAAAGATTCGAAATTTTGAATATCCTGAATTTCTTAATATTGAAAACTTACGCAGAAATATCCAAGATTTATTATAACTTCCTGTTTTATAGAATCAAATTTATTCTCAGCTTTATATATATACACATTAATTATTTACAAGTTAATTTAGCATGTCTCTCATTTATCATTCCATCCGGTGGAATCAGCAAGGGGTCAAGCTATCTACATCATCAGGCGCAAATCTCTCAATAATATCCATATCTTCAATTGTATGGACCAACACCTGAGAGTTGTCATCGGTCAACTCAAAGATAAACAATCCTGATATAACCCTCTCCAACTTCTTATTTTCTTTAGTCAATCCAATCAATGTAGCTGGCAATTTTGTCAATGTAGTAGCAAGTGACACTTTTGAATCGACATGATTCTGATTTAGCAATCTCATAGTATCTAGTTTCGACCAACTGTGTGCCCCCAAGTTTGCCTGTGATGTAGAATGACTCTGCTCATCTTCGCCACCTTCCAAATGATAGCACCCTTCGGGACAAGTAGACCACCTAACGATTATTTTTGTGGTGTCATCGAACATCAGTTGTGCATCAGGGCCAGTGTGAATTCGAATAGACTGGATATGGAGTTTAACCTTGGGGCTCAAGATAATTGAACTTACAAACAACTGAAGTGCTTTACAAGTGGCATAGTACGTAACTGGTCCCTTTAAACTGGGCAAGTAATCCTCGTCAAAATGCAGAGGACAAAATCTAAAGAATATATCGGGGGAAATCAATGATTTGTCCAAAGATTTTTCCAAGATGTTGGGTATTGCTGCCTTCAACGTTTCTATCATTGCTCCTAAATTTGCCTTTTTCTCAAGTTCAAATTTATTGATTTCATCAGGTTTATTGTTGATATTATGTCTTGGTGGAACCGCTGTGAATTTCAGTAGGTTGTTTTGACGGAGGGGAGATTTAGTCATCGTGGTTGATTTATAGGGGGTAGCCAGCGCCAAGGAAGCACCGGTAATTACTGGTTGCTGTCCCATGGAAGTCACACTCAGCTTGGCAACTAATTGTGCATTCCTACTTGACTGCTGAACCAATTTCACCAACGATTCTTTGTGAATCAAGGACATATTACTGCTATTTGGAATAAAACTTGCTCTTACTTATCGGAACTTAAGTAAAGTACCAAAGCAAAAAAAAAAAAGAATTCGATTTAATGCGAATAACAGTGGGGCTAATTATGCCTGAATAAGCAAACAAAAAAAAATTTTAAACTATAAAAAGAAGCAAAACTTTCTAAAGAGTTTCATACAACAATTCATGTAATTTGTATTCTTCATTGGCTTCATCAATATCATGCCAGTTTCCAATGAAATCATCTCCACGAACAATACCAGGTAAGGTCTTACCTCCAGCTTGTCTCTTCCAAATCTTTTTAGCCTCTTCATCGGTACCTAAATCACGATATTCAAATTTAATTCCATTGGCATTTAAAATAGTCACCAATCTATTAGTACGGGGCATTATTTGCATCCCACCAGCTAACGAAGTAAAAAGATAAATTGGTAAAGATTCAAGATGTTTACGGAGTTCTTCTGGCGAGATATCCAAATCGTCCAAATCATCATCGACAACAGGAGATTCCTTTGGTGCTGTTGTTTCAACTTCTGGCTCTTCCTTTGGTTCTGATTCGGCTTCTTTTTCAACAGGGGTTACTTCTAATTCCTTTGACTCGGATTTAACTTCTTTCTCAACTGGGAATGGTTCTTCAGTTTTATTTCCAACTGGAGTGATATCATCTTCCTTCGCGACAGGAGCTACTTCTACTTCTTTTGTCTTAGATTCGGTTTCTTCCTCAACGGCAACATTTTCGTGTTCCTTTTCCTTTTCGGAGTCGGTTGGTTTTTCCACGAGAACCGCTTCTTCTTCTACCTCTTTTGATTCAGGTTCAATGACTTTTTCTGCCTCCTTTGATTCAGGTTCAATGACTTTTTCTGCCTCCTTTGATTCAGGTTCAATGACTTCTTCTACCTCCTTTGATTCAGGTTCAATGACTTCTTCTTTTGCTTTTGGTTCTTCGTCTGTCTTTTCTTCTTTTGTTACTTGTTGTTCTTCCTCCTTCTCTGCTTTTACTTTTTCTTTGTCGTTCTCTTCCTTTGCAGGCTCGTCAATAACTACACTGGGAGGTTCTTTGTCATCATCCAAACCGATTCCACCAACTTTATCCAAAATTTCCTTTTTGCTTTCTTCTTCTTCTTCATTGGCAGGCTTTCCATGCAAGACTTCTTCAACCATAGTATCTAACTCGTCAATCGAAGCATATGGATCATCAGAAATTAACGCTCCCTCTTGTTGCAATTGATGAGGATTAGCATCATTCTTATCATCTAAACTAGGTCCATGGGCAATCTCAGTTGTTCTAGCCCTGGATCTAGATCTCGAGATAGACCGGAGATAATTGGTAGAAGAAGCAGATCTGGCACCATACAAGTTTGAAGTTGGGGGTAAGGCGTTTCTAGGAGAATCTACTTCAAAATTAGTATAGTCTCCGGTAGTAACCAAGGACGGATCACGAGTAATTGGTTTTTCATCATAATTTCCCATTCCAAATTGGGTTGCTGGTGGTGCATTAGCCTTGAAAGTAGATGACTCGGCCTTTAATGCAGCGGCAGCAGCTTCAGCAGCAGCAATGGATTCTCCCATAGTAGGTCTCGAATATCTCGTACGTCTATCTTCTTCTTCTTCTTCTTCTACTTCTCCTTCATAACTTTGAACGGACACTGATTCAGAATCGCCTTCTTCTTTTTCCTTTTGTAATGCCAAATCAGGAGGTAATTCATATTTGGAAGGTTCATCGACATTGGTATTCTTGTAAGAATCCCCACGAGCTAAATGGGGTTTTAAAGACGAGGAAGATCTCGAGCTTGATCTGTTACCAGATCTGGAACCAGGTGGGTTTGCTGATCTTGATCTTGATCTTGGACGGTCAGTGTAAAAAAATGGAGAATGAATTCCTTCTCTGGAAACAGCAACTAAGCCTTCAGTACGCTGAGGTACAGCTTGAGGAGTAGTAATTGACTTTTTGGCGGCTGGTGAAAACCCAGCTGAATGTTCACGTGTACTAGCTTCAGAACGAGGTAATTTATTGTGGTCATATGATTTGACGCTTTCCAACAATTGAGAGTGGTCTTTGATTTCATTTTCCAATTGATATTCAGACAAGTTAGGAGTAGAATAGTTTTCATTCTCATATAATGAATTGCCGGTTGTAGAAGTTGGTTCTTGTTCAGCTCCAGTTACAGCTTCACTAACTTGTACAGGAGAAGATGGGATGCCCGATGCTGTATTTGATTCATTTGATTCCTCCACATCATCTGTTTCCTTAGTTTCTGGTTGTTTTACTTTTTCTGTTTCATCTTTGTCGTCACTATTTTCCTCGTCTGCTTTTTCCTCGATTGGTTCAAACTTAATATCTGGCTTAACAGAACCATCGGTGTCTAAATAATTATCAAAATCTTCTTCAGAGGCCAAAAGAGCACCTTCATTAATCAAATCATCCAATGAAGCACTGATTGATTGACTAAACTTGGAACTAGAACTAGACTTAGCAGTGGAGTGATACTTTTCAGGATGAATGTAGTTGTTATGGATGGAATCATCGGCTGATCGTAAAGAAGAACCCACTAAACTAGGGGCATCTAACTGTTCAGCTTCTTCTAACCTTTCTTCAAAGTCCATAATGTTTCAGGGTTTCAATTGGGGGAATGGTTGTAAAAAAAAATTAAGGGTGGAGGTGATTTTTTTGTTGAGATTTATATTGATTTCATGGGTTGGTTGTTTCCCGTAGATAAGGAAACTTTCCAAAAAAAAAAAAAAAAATAACAGAAACACACTTAGAGATTAAGTTGAAATTTGCCAGTCTATTTCTTTTAATAGTTAACATCTAATTTTACTTTTAGAATTGCTATGCAAAGGTGTTGGTATGTCGAATGCGATAATCCTTGAGCTATAAAATGACTGCGGAATACCTTTCCGCATCCAACAGAATAATAGTTCAACGTGGAAAGGCTAGATTCCCCCATAAAGAGAAAATCACAAGCATGTGTAAACAAACCCCTGTTCGTTTTCTTTTCTATTTAAATATTAGCTTATTGACTTACTTTATTTTTCGGAGATTAGAGTAATGGATTAGCTTCTTCTTTGTTTTCTTGTTTTATATCTCTTTTTATTATAACAAGAAAAGCTGGGGTAACGCACTGTCTCATCAGAGCACACAGACAAAACGTGTGAGACGTAATTCTTCTCTAAAATTCTTGCTATCGATTAGATTATCATCATGAATTGCCCTTCTAGGTATTATTTGGGTGATAGAGCAATATTCCATTTCCTTGTTTATCGATTACCTACTGTCTAATAATGATTGGTCAGGACGACATTCATTATCGTTTAATTAATGTCACGTGAGAGATTTCATAATATATCAATAAAGAGAGAGAGAGAGAGAGATCCCCTCCTACCCCATCCTCGATGCTCTAAAAATAACTCAAGGTTGAAATTACTAGTCATTTATAAACGCTTAGAGAATCGTTGTTAACTCCGACTTTGCCACTGCGTGTTCTATTTTTAATTGAAGTTGATGGTTCAGTGAGCGGTTCCTAAATTTCCCTCATCCGAAATAAACTCCGGAACAGAACATTCTAGATGCGAACTTTGTTCAGGTCGTAATTTCGTGACTAAATCTTAACTTCGGAGCCGATCTACGCTAGTTTCCTAAGCTACGTTTATTACATTACTAAGTTGATTCATTGTAACAAAGACAAAAGGTTTGCCTTTAAAATAGTCATTCATTCCGACGGAAGCGGCTAGATATCTCTCTTCCTTTTAGCCCGGGATTTTCCTGCATATTATATCTTTTTAGTGCACGTTCGCCACCTATAAAATTTTTCATATATATATAGAGAGAACCAAAAACGAGGTTTTCATCTTAGATTTAATTATTTTTAATTACTTTCAAACACATAACATTTATAATTTACAACATGGCTAGACAAAGAAGATCCGCTCCAGCTCCAAGACAACAAACTAGATCTGCTCATACTGCTGCTGCTCCAGCTTATCATGCCCCACCACCACCAGCTGCTGCTGCTGCTCACCCAGCTCAAGCTGCTCAACCAAGACAACCAGGTATGTTTGCCCAAATGGCCTCTACTGCTGCTGGTGTAGCTGTTGGTTCTGCTGTTGGTCACACCATTGGTGCTGGTATAACCGGTATGTTTGGTGGTTCTTCTGCTGCTCCTGCTGAAGCTCCTCAACAACAAGTCGCTCCAATTCAACAACAACAACAATATCAAGAACAAGCTAAGCATTGTGATGCCGATGCCAGAAACTTCACCAGATGTTTAGAAGACAACAGTGGTAACATGCAAATCTGTGATTACTACTTGCAACAATTGAAGGCTTGTCAAGAAGCTTCTAGACAATATTAAACATTTTAATATCTATCATAATAGAAATTTAATAGCATAACCTATAGGTATAACTTACCTTTGTATATATATATAGAAACAAAACATATTTATTGAGTAAAAATAATAAACATTGTTGTATACCTATAAATACAAACTAATGACGGAACAAACTGTAGCTAAAAATAAAATCTATAATCTAAGGGACAGCGACTTCAACTTCTCCTTCGTTCAAAACCAGAATGTCACTATTGTTGATTTCAGGATTTATAGAGGAATAAACGTATTTGTCATGATTGACAGATTTTCCTTTGCCCCTTGCGAAACCTGGGGGATAACGAGCATCGACCGGTTTACTGCCACGATCTTCAATCAATTCAACAGCGTCATCCACTGACACACCAGCATGGACAACATTGGCAGAATTGGCCTCAACTTTAATGGAAGAACTTTGTTCCTTGGAGAACATTTCACGTTCAAATGACTTTAACTTCTCATGAGCAATGTCTTGATTAACGGCATCAGCAGTTAATGGAGGTGCTTTGGGGGTAGCCTCCTTAGGGATGAAGTCATACTTGAACTCCCATTCGTTGATTGACGTTTGGGATGGAAGTCTAAAAGAATCAATCGATGATGAGTCCCCTTTCGTAGAACGAACCACGGTTGTGTGGAGTAATCTGAAACGGTTGATGTTGTTGCTAAATCTGTATGCGGATTGTCTAAGGGAATGTTTGTACATAATAAGATTATTTTATAGTAAATGGAATATGGGGAGAAAATGAATAGAAAGGAAGCTACAAAGAAAAGGAAACAAGAGAAATCATACTAAAAGTTAAAGTTGTAGCACACATTTCAGCAAGCAAAAATAAGGGGAACAGAGAATTCCAAGTGTACAATTAAGTGGTGGGGGGGCGGAGAGAACAAATTTAGGTAATGCCAATTTCACGTCATAGGCAAATAATATTTCTAAACCGGAAAAATGGAATTAATTTTAATTTTTTTCTGTGCTTGCCAAGCACGTGATGCGGAAATCTCGGTAATTATTGCAACATATTTATTTAAATAACTAGAATCATGTTCTATATAAATCATACTTGTAGTCAGAACAAGATTTACTTCTTCAATAGGTTGTTGAGATACTGGCTTGGAGGTCTCTGACCCCTACCAGTTGAGTCATCATAACCGTCATAGAATCTATCGGTACCATAGCGTTCGTAATCATAGTATGGCTGTTCAAAAGTTTCGCTCATCATCATTTGGTTTTCAGATCCGTAATACAGATCAGGAGCATAAGAACTTCTTCCGAATGTTGCTGACTGATTGAATTGTGAACTGTTATAAGGTTTTAAAGACAAAGACGCTGTTGATGAATTATCTGGTAGCCTTTCCATGCTAGTTTTGTAGTACAGGGGGATCTTCCTCTTGTTGTTCGCCAATTCCAAAGTTGGACTAACAAACATGGTGCGACGATTGTCACCAGGTTTCTTTTCTGAAGAAGCTACAGCACCACTACTTACACCGCTAACGCAAATACTAGGAGTATGTGCAGCAACAGCACCGCCTCCTGCACCATGGCCAAATAGAGTGTCCCTGTAACTCCTGCCTTGGCTGAAGGAAGATTCATCGGTATTGACTCTAGTATCACTTGATCCGTACGAAGGTGTGAATCGAGGAGCGCCGTAGTAAAAGGAATCGGGAAAACTGGGGTTGGAATCATTTTGGAAAAATCCCTTTTCTCTCTTGGCTACTCTTCTAGAAGCAAGAGAAATGATTAAACCAATACCAGCAAACAGAACAAAAATAAATCCTAAAACTGCCCCAACAATAATAAATACAATGTTGGTAGGTAAATTGGATTGGTATATGTAAGGATTGGATTTACTAGCAACAGGGATTTGAACGTCATAGCTATAGGTTTTTGGTCTATCCTGAATAGGTGGTAGGTCGGAAATTGGTGGCAACAGTTTATCGGGCAATTTTGGTTTAGTGGTATCCGCCTCATTTTCATCATTATCTGGCTTATTTGGTTTGACCGCGGGTTTGTCGTCTTTTTCTTTGTCGTCTTTATCATCTGGCTTCTTTTCGTCGGGTTTGACCTTGGGAGCTTCTGGCTTGTCATCTTTGCTATCTCCATCTTGATCTTCAGGTTTCTTTTCCTCTGACTTATCATCAGATTTGTCATCTTCTGGCTTCTTATCTTCGGGCTTTTCTTCTTCTGGCTTCTTATCTTCAGGTTTTTCCTCGTCAGGTTTCTTGTCTTCAGGTTTGTTTTCTGTTGGCTTGTTGTCTTCGGGCTTATTATCCTGGGGTTTGTTTTGGTTGGGTTGCGTGTTTGTCTGAGTTTGTTGTGGTTTATTGGTTTGAGTCTGCTGTGGTGTAGTTCGTTGCGGTTGGGTTTGTTGTTGTGTAGTCTGCTGTGGTGTAGTTCTCTGTGGTTGGGTCTGCTGTGGTTGAGTTCGTTGTGGTTGGGTTGTTTGTGCCTGAGTTTTAGTAGGGGTTGGTGCTGCCTGGGCTTGTAATTGTTGTTTTTGTGTCTGTGTTCTCACTTGAGTTTGTTTTACTGTTGTTGGTCGCTGAAATAATGTAGTGGTAGCTCTCTTTTGAAAAGGTTCCAAAACTAATTTGCCCTGTTTCTGTAGTCCTTCAGGTTTTTGAAAGTCAAGAAATTCTGCGTGAATAACAGGATCGGCTGCTTCATTCCTTTCTAACACTTCTATAGCAGATTTTGTTGGTTGGACAAGTGTCACACTTTCACCAGGTGTATCCTTGGATGCTGCAAAGGTAGAGGAAAATTCAGTACTTAAGACAATCAACAACAAAAAGTGTTTCATTTTGTTAAACGAACGTGTTGACAATTACTAGAGCAGAAAGAAAGATGTGATAAAAATAAAAATTAAAAACATTTCCAATAACAGAATTAACTGAGAATCTGGCGAGGTTGAAAGATCCAAGAATTACAACCAGAAATCCCCTATTAAAACATAAATCGATCTAAAAATACTAAAAAAAAAAAAGAAAACGAAAATCCAAAACCTTAATTTGTTTCTGGGTCCAGAGATCCTGACCATGCGGGTACTCTTAAAAGTTCTATTTATAGTTACATTCTAGTGGTGCCTTCGTTATTTATCATTAGCACAAAATGTAAAAATTGATATACGACTTCGAACATAGATCGCGCTAAACTAATATTGTTGTAAGTTTTTGCGTCGCCAGGTGATAGTTGTCAGCCGCGTGTTGCAACCAAAGCCTTCTACACAGAAATTGATAGAAATTTATTAATTAACTCATTCGTCTGATTTATAATTTATGACTATCTAATAGTACAGGTATAGGCATTCCAGATGGTGAACATTAGCAAATTTTCCATTGACTGGTGAATTCAAATCGCGTAATGAATTACCGACCCACTTTTTATTTTATGCAAGTCAGTTACAGGCGCATATTTTCTAACTTTTTATTTTTACGCCAAACACGAATTTTTTTTTCTTATTTCATTAAACGAAAATAAACAATGAAATTAAAGAATTGTTCTATGTTTCGTTATGCTCCAAAATGTAATCATTTTAGACATCGCCTTGATTTGACACTATGACACATGTATACTTACAATTACTAGCATATTTAATACATTAATTTACACTCTATATATATAGCAATAAGGGGGGGGGGGAAGAGACGAGGGCAATTTCTATTAAAATCTCCAGTTTTCATCTGCAGATTCAATTGCCCATTTAAACTTATCTCTTAAAGTTTTGGTAAACAATTTCTCAATAGGAACACCATACTTTTTCGAGAACATTACCGTTAATCTTGGATCAATATAATTCATCTTCGACGTACCTAAAGAAACTTCAGAGTTATCTTCCTTATCCTTTAATTGTAAGGAAGTTGTAACATATCTAGCTTCAATGGTTTCAACTTGTTGTTTCAATTTCTCGACAGTCATATTAGATTTGACTTCTGGTTTGCCCTTCTTTAACTCTTGACGATACTCTTTTTCTAATTCGTCGATTTTATCCAATTTATCCTTCACATCCTTTTCAGTAAGCAAGGGTTTCTTTTCTAGTTTCAATTTTTCGTTATCACGTTGCAACTTCTTCATAACTTGCTCCCGTTGTCTGTTGATTATGGTATGGTGAATATGCTCTTCATCTTCTTTCACTAAATCATCAATCTCTTCAAAATAGGCGGGATCTTTCTTTCTTAATTTCGGTTCAAGCACCAAAATCATTCTCTTTAATCTAATCTTTTGCCACATGTATTCTTTCAATTTATCACTAATTTTTTGAACAGAAGTTCCATGATTCTTACTGACGGAACGCTGGTGATTACATAAAATAGCAACAGTTCTATTAGCAGCATTAAATTTAACCACCTTTTCGGCAATTGTACCTTCATTAGGAATCAAATCTAATTGATCTTGCATGGTTTTAGATGCATTGTAAGTACGGAACACTTTAGCAGTCAATCCCTTCATATAATTTTGGAAATGCTTATTTAAAATCAGGGGATTTATACGATCAAACAAATCATCGCCAGGTTGTTTAGGTTCTTTTTTGAATATTCTTAAATTTTTGAATACTTGCTTATCAACTTCAACTTCTTGGTAAAAACGAATAGAATCCTTACCCAAAAAGTCAAAGATAACCTTGTTTGGTGGTTTTAATGTAATGTGTTCAAATCTTAATGAACAACACCCTACTGTGTCAGCTTCATCTTCACCCTTTTCACCACCAGCACGAAGAGCAAACACATCAATAAGATAAGTAGCAGTGGCCATTTGTCGATCTTGCATCTTTTCCGACCTGAGCATTTCGGTATAATCCTTTCGAATTGCATCAATGTGGTTTCTCAAATTCCTTGCAGTTTCGAATTTCTTGAAGTCAGATTGACCCTTGACAGAAGAACTAGCAGCAAATCTAACATACTTGAATGAGTCAGCAATGTTTTCCTTCCACATAGCCAACCAGGTGACTGTGTTGTCGTGACGAATTTCTCCCCATTTGTGACCAGCAGGTGGTTCAGGGACTTTCACATCACGACCAAGATTTAAGGTGACATCTTCTGGTTTAACTCTTCTTTTCAATTTACCAGTTTTAGGATGGGCCCCACGGCCTCGGAACAAACCAGGAGGTTCAATACGGAAGTTACCAACGAGCTCTTTACGTCCATTCAAATAACATGTTTTATATGGTTCTTCGAGGCGTTCCTTTTCTAACTTAATTTGCTTCTTTTCTTCACGGCTCATTAATTTCTTTTCTTCTCGTAATTTTTCAAAATGGGCATACATTTTCGAAAAATCCATCTTGGTGAAATCGTTAATGTCAACACCACAACCTCCACATTCTTTCAAGACTTGACAGAAATCATCAAAGAAATTCTTTTGGAAAACTGGATTCTTGGCATGATCAGTTTCCAACATGGCTGCGTAAAAACCAGCTACTTCTTCGGCTTGGAGTGGTAAATTCACTGGCTTACCGTCATAGTATAATTTAACGTGGGAAGGAAGGGGTTCATATTCTGGAGGAAACATAACACCATTGTGTTCAAGGCTTTCCCACTTTTGCTCACCGTCCAAATCTTGGGCTTCCCACCATTTGTATTTTTCTTCATCCTCTTGTGACAGCATTGGAGTTTCTTGTTTGACTGATTCCTCTTTGATGGCCACTTTACGGGATTTAGGAGTGGCAGAAACAGATTTGGTTTCCTTCTTTGGTGTTGCTTTAGGAGTAGTTTTCTTGTCTGCGGCCTTAGCTTTAGTGGTGGTTGCCTTAGGTGTAGTCGGCGTTTTCTTTGGAGTTTTAGGTTCCTTTTTCACTTTTTTCAAAGCACTGCCATTCGCTTTTTTTGCCTTTTTGACTAATGGAACATCTTCTTCATAGTCGTCATCTTCAGCTATAGTGTTTTTGCGTTTTCCACTATTTTTCAATGGAATATCATCCTCATCAATCGAAGTGGGAGGAGTCATTTCGCTTATTATGTGTCTCTTTTTTGGAATTCTGGAGAGAACAATATCATCTTCCTCGGAGGAACTCATCTTGGGCAATGGTTGATCAATTAGGTTGTTAACGATACGACAGCTGTTTCTATGGTGGAAGATTGACGATGTGAAATTAAACGGAATCCCAGTAGTGAAGGATCTGGGTTGAATGAGTTGTCGTACAACGGAAAAACGAGAACTCTTCAAACAACTGAAATATATCGATATGGCGACACGCGAGAACTTTTCAATGACGTGAGGTTTTTATTGACTTCACTAGGTTTTTGCCGGGTGTGCTGCCACTAAAAAGTTGTAAAGAAGAAAGAACAGAAGTGTGAAGAGGGAGAAAAAAAGAATGCGCTTCCTACAATAAATAAAAAAGGAACGCGCTCCCAAAAAGAAATCTCACCTTCTGTTGATTTATGGATGTTCTTCTTTTTACAGTCACGTGAGTGTGACATATCCCTGAGGCGGGTATCCCAGGTCTCATAGCCGTTGTGAAGTTCATGTTTAACCTTGAATTACCCTTTATTCGATGGAATTAATGATGGAAATCGTCGTTAATCATTGAAAATACGATTGGTAAAATGTCTAGCCATTTGTATAATAGTTAACATCACAATTTATATCTCAAATCGTTTTCCATACAATATATAGCCTGTTTTTTTATTATTATTATTTCTAACTGTAAGGGGCGCGTGTTTCTTTTGCAGCTTGTTAACTGAACTGGCTTTGTTCGTGTTGCTGAAAATATTTGACTGATATCTTCTGTTTATGTCTGAAGTGATAATCCTAAAGATAATTATGCAATTTGGAAGATTCCTGTTGGTTGTTTTAGTAAAAATTTTGCTAATTTTTGAAAAATAAAATAAACACGTGAGTTACTTTACTGCAAATGAAGTGTACACTACACACTTCATACTTCACAATTCAGGACTTAAGGTCAAGATAAAAAAAAACAATCAATTAGTCGCTAAACACTCAAAACGTATTCCTAGACATCCGAAAATTAAGTATTGGGAAAACCTGGGGTAATCATCAACAGGAAAAGTTTAACCTTATTATTTTTTTTAAAAAACAATACCATTCATTGTTGCGTAAACAATTATTTCATTGGATACAGATATTGTACTTGCCTCGGCACAAGCTAAATTCGGGAACTGTCTGATTATGCAAAGGATGTATTATAATTTACACTGACATTAGGGAACATGATAGGTCAAGATTGTATCTCGCCATATACCAGAACTCTTATGTTCACAACCACCGGTACAGGGAACCAAGTTAAAAAAAGAAAAAGCCTGATCAATACGAGACCATTGTGTCCAATCACATACAACTATCTTGTTGTTTTGTGTCAATTATTGATTTTACAGGAAATAAAATCCCCTATTCATAAGCTTATAAGTTTCAAATTACCTTGAAAAAGGTATAATTGGCGACAAAGACCCTACTCAGTGCGGAGATTTGGCCAATGACGTCAAAATAAGATTTTAATCTACCAAAGTTTACATTGCCAGTTCATTTTCGGAAGCAAAGTATATCGCAATCTGCTTTCACAGGCGGCTAGTGTCTAATTTAGTATTTAATCTAATTAATTAAAATACTTGTATTACCCATCAGCTAACGGAAGGAATTGGCGAAAGGTTGCCTTAAAAAATGATTGGGGGCTTATAATTTCCAGTATAATATTGGAAGGTTACAGCTGGCAATTTTCTCCAATAGTTTCACAAAGGGCAAGCAACAACGAGCGTGGCGGATATGAATCCGAGGACGCAACTATGGTAACTGAATGCATTTTCTATTTACGGAACAGAGGGGAGATTGGCGACATTCTTTGGTATTGCACTTCAAGTCTTTATTATCCTGCGACCGCAAAAACAATTTTCCTGAAAAAATATTTTTGTCCGATGAGGCGATTTTTATTTTTTCGTTCAAAAAATGTACGGCATCTGATGGCCTACCATTCGGGATGACATGCCTTTAGAGAAGAGGCACTTCAAATGGCAATACCTGTTTAGCTCAAAACATGCGTAAAATGCCTACGATAGTTATATCTGTTACTATGCGGGGTCTTTAAGGTTACTCAAAACATTGATCTGACATAAATTCTTATCTCAGATCCTTTTCCCCCTCTCAGATGAGAAAATATTCTTTTATGCAGGTGAAATTCTGAGTGCATCATTTTTCTAACAAAAAAGAAAGGTGCTTAAAAAATTGTGCATAATTTTGCCAGTGGTTTATTGTGCGCAAAATGCTTATCAATATTGACTTCGGGCTTTTAATTGATTGTTCAAACTAAATGACTATACAAACGGGAAAAGAAATTTTCCTTTCATAATTTACGATATTTTTGTAAATCCCTGACTTTCTTTTTATAAATATCTTGACTTCTAACCTAAAACAAACCTTGGGATAATTTTTTTTGCAAAGTTTTATCATCGATTCAAAAATGACCATGGACTTTGAAAAATACGCTGGTAGCTCTAGTACAGAAGCTCACCATCGTGATATCCACATAGCTGGTTCTCTGACTGATTCAAAGGGGGAAAAACATACCCTGTTCATTAAAGATTCAGACATTGAACAACCTGAAGATGACGTCAAAGGTGAAATAAAGAGAAACTTAAAACCAAGACATGTGTCTATGATTGCTCTTGGTGGTACCATTGGTACTGGTCTTTTTATTTCTACTGGTGGTGTCATTGCCAATGCCGGTCCTGTTTCATCTTTATTTTCATTTTTATTCATCACAACTTTGGCTTTCTCCGTCACTCAATCCTTAGGAGAAATGGCCACTTTAATCCCAGTGTCCGGTTCTTTCCTTCAATTTGTCACCCGTTGGTGTTCTCCTGCTCTTGGTGCAGCCAATGGTTGGAACTATTGGTTCTCTTGGGCTATTACTTTTGCCTTGGAATTATCTATTGTTGGCCAAGTTATTCAATATTGGACTGATGCTGTACCACTTGCAGCCTGGATTTCAATCTTTTTTGTTTTATTGACCGTGTTCAACTTTTTCCCTGTTAGATTCTATGGTGAGGTTGAATTCTGGGTCGCTTCCATCAAGGTCATTGCTGTTCTTGGCTGGATCATTTATGCCTTCATTATGGTTTGTGGTGCAGGTAAAACCGGACCTGTTGGATTCAGATATTGGAGAAATCCAGGACCTTGGGGACCAGGTATTTTGGTTAAAGGAAACAAAAACACTGCTCAATTCTTAGGTTGGTTATCATCCTTAATCAATGCCGCTTTTACCTTCCAAGGTACTGAATTGGTCGGTGTCTCTGCTGGTGAAACTGCCAATCCTAGAAAGAGTGTTCCTTCAGCCATTAGAAAGGTTTTATTCAGAATCTTAATCTTCTACGTGTTATGTATCTTGTTCCTTGGTTTATTGGTTCCTTATAATGATGACAAGTTAGAAGGTGGTGGTTATACTAAAACTTCTCCATTCATTATTGCTATGAACAATTCCGGTACCAAGATTTTACCTGATATTTTCAATGCCGTCATTTTAACTACAATTATTTCGGCTGCCAATTCTAACATCTACTGTGGATCACGTATTCTTTATGGGTTAGCTCAATCAGGTGTTGCTCCAAAATTCTTCACTATCACCAATAAAGGTGGTGTTCCTTATTATGCAGTTGTGTTTACCTCTGCATTTGGGGCTTTAGGATACTTGGCTGTTTCCGACGAAGGTAACAAAGCATTCGACTGGTTATTGAACATTAGTGCTTGTGCTGGTCTTATTGCTTGGGGTTGGATCTCATTCACTCACATCAGATTTATGAACATTCTTCGTAGCAGAAACATTTCTCGTGATTCATTACCATTCAAAGCTAAGTTTATGCCATGGAGTGCTTACTACGCTACCGTTACTATTTTCATCATTACCTTCGTTCAAGGGTTCCTGGTCTTCTGGGACTTCAATGCTGCTGGTTTCTTCACCGGTTACGTTTCCCTTATTTTATTTGTTGCCTTATGGATCTTTTTCCACGTCTTGTTCAACGGTGTTGGTAAGAGTTCATGGAAATGGAGAAACGTTTTCATTCCATTGGATGAATGTGATATTGACAGTGGAGTCCGTGAAATCGAAGAATTGGAATATGAAGAAGAAGAACCAAAGAACCTCTGGCAAAAGTTCTGGGCTGCTGTCGCTTAGATGCTTCGTTTTATTACTGTATTTATAGTTCGTCTTGTTTTAACACTTTTTTAATCGTTTAGTTTGGTTTTTTAATTTATAATTGTGAATTCGAATTAATTACGTAGTTAGTAAACATACCTACGAGGTGCATCATTTTGAGTTGGTTGCAATTTTGCATTTGCATGCATTGTTCCCGGATGAACCCAAAAAAATAATATTTACAAAACATTTGAAAACAATAGTGGAATTCCAAATTCTCGCGTATGGTGATGTGCGCGCACGTACGCACGCGCTGTTTACATTACAATAAACGACAGGGGGGCGATAACACACAGTTTGAAACCTTTTTTCTAATTTTTAATTTTAATATACACACATAAAACGAAATACTATACATCTCATGACAACACTTTTTAGTCTGGTATACATACATCATAAAAAAAATGTCTTCAAAAAAATGTCGCTTCTAAATCGATTAAATAAGGAAAGTAATTGTAGGGTATTGGATTATCCATCTAATACAAAACGAAATCAGCCTTACCGGAAGTGACACCGACAGTACATCCATCAGCACCATTTCCGTTATATTGACCATTTTCGTAAACACATTGTCCACTAACAGTAGAACCTTCTTCAGCAACAATTTTAACATTGAAATTCAATGAATCACGGTTATTTGGGTTTGGAATCAAAGATAAGTAAGCAATACCATTATCGTAACCAGCACCAAAGTTCAATGGGGCCCAGTTACCTAATCCGGAACCGGAAGAACCCCAAGCACAACCTTCTTGCCAATCAACACCAGCGTTGTTAACGTAGTATTGAGCAGAAGTTAAACCACCTTGCCATCTGTAGTAAGAAGATTGGTCAACAACAGTAATTGGAGAGGATTGACCTCCACCCACAACAGTTGGAATAACCATATTTTCAGTACCTGGGTAATCGGTACGACAAATAGCAACGGTTTGATCTAAATTACTGACAACACTAGCCTTGTCAACACCCCATTCACACAAGTAATTGGAACGAGAGTTGGACTTGTATAACTTACCACCCTTACATAATAAACCACCAACAGAAACACCGTTGGCAGGTTGAGAATCTGGCCATTGGGTCTTGGACATACCACTTTGACAAGCGTAGGAACAGTAAGCACCTTCAGTACAAGAACCACCAGTAGAAGTATCTGAATGGTAAATACCGGACCAACCGCCGAAACCTAATTGATCTAAGGCAATAACACCTTGACCAGCTGGGAATGTGTCACAGGAGTAAACACCATCTGGGAATTCTTCACTAGGGCTTTGGTAAGGGGATAAGTCACCTTGGATGCCGCTATTCACTGGAGCTGGGGCAGAAGAATGTTGAGGAGCTGGGGCAGAAGACGATTCTGGAGCTGGAGCAGCCGAGGAAGAAGCGACAGCAGACGAGGAAGGAGCTGGAGCGCTTGATTCCGGTTGAATAGCATCAGCTGAAGGTGGAACAACAGATGCAACGAGGGTAGAAGTTGGAACATTGATTGGTTTTCCGTTACTGTCGACAGTGACAGTGACATAGGCGTAGTCGTAAACGACGGCTCTCTTGTGTTTGTGGTGACCGTGGAAAGAAGTAGAGGAACAGTCGGTTCCGTCGTCTCTCTTAGCTGCTGGGGCAGCGAGTGCTAAGGCAGCAAATGCCAAAACAGTAGCTTTACTAAACTTCATGGTAATTTAAAAAGGAATGACTAAAGGTGAGTAAGTACGTTAGCGTTTGAACTTGAAAGAGATCAAGAAACAGAACCAAAAAAATTGAAACGGGAAACAATTGGATATAAAAAGGGCAAAAATTTTAAAGTGGAATCACCATGCAATTCTGGGTCAATTGGTAGTGAATGAGAATTGTTTTGTATCTGTTTTCGTATTTATTTTTTTTTGTTTTTAAATTTTATTTTTTTAAAGTTTGACGATAGTATTTTCGTGTTTTTGTGTAACCGTGTTTGAAATATTTTTCTTGTGTTACCCGATTCTTACCCCCGGAAGTTAATATTTTTTTCTTTGTAGTTTGAAATTTGTTAGTGGCTGATTAACAACATCTCCTTTCGGCAAGGCACTAATCCTTTCGTAATATGCCGTGATAACAATCGAGGCTCATTATTATACACCAGGAACGATAGATTTATATTTTTTTTTTTCAAACCGCTCTGACGATGGCTGGATTGACCGGAACTACATTCCATCAACCCAAAATTCGGATTTCATTAAATGTCTCAATTTGGTACAAATTGTCAAAAAGGAAGATTTTTTTTATCACACTGTGCATGTCTTTAACCTTCTTGGCTTTTTTTTTATATTCGACCATTCCATTACTGGGCGTGGTATTACAGTCGATTTGACTTGGTAAATTCAGCGTTTCTGGCTAAATTTTTTTTTCTGGTTGTTTCATAATTGCCCAGCAAAATTTATCCAACAATTCTCACTTGTCGGTTGTATTGACAAACAAAAAAGGAGGTCTACTTTTGCATCAATTGATTTTGTACCTTCGGTACTTTTTCTGATTTATTGCGTTTCCAGGTCTAGATCTTTGGTTTCTTGTAGAAAAAAAAAGTAATACGTACCTATATGAAATATTTTATTGAAATTGTGAGGCTGGAAATTACTTGAATGATGACGCAGGTAATATAGAGATGCTTGGAATGGTATAAATGAGTGACAAACAAAGTTGGGTTTTGCAATTTTTTTTCTAAACTGAACGATAAAGAGTTAAACGTCTACGTTTCACCCGCAAATCAAAGGGTATGTGGCAAATATATACACATATTTCTTCAGTAGCAATCCTATATGAGAAAGCTGGTCTCATTTACTAATATGTTTTCTGAAGCCAGCGTGGTGATGACGATGTGGCTGTTGGGGGAATTCCGAGCACGGAAGAAGATTCGGTCTGCCAGCAAAAATTTTTTTTTCGTGTATCTACCGCTAATCTCTTGTCCCAAATTGAGTTTTTTTTTGCACAGAAAAAGGCCAAGTCTTGAGCTCTGACTAGGATTATGCGACCACTTCACTGTCAGGCTGTATACAGGAACAAAAAGAAATTAAATATTAAAACAAATTTTGCACTGATAACCTTGATAATAAAGTGCAAAATCAAGTTTGTGATCGATTAAATCAATAAGTATATGCCGCAAACGAGGTGATTTATCAATAAAATACTCTCGGATCGAACGTATATTATTTTATTCTCGATCAGAATAACTTATTTCCGTTAATTAATGAGTCTAGACTATTGTATAATAACTAAAAAATGTACGTAAAGTACCCCTATCGGAACATACGCCTCCCTCCCCCCTCGCTAATTAAAATGATCTCGGTAACCATGATCTACTTTGCAACAAACCGATCTGACGTCATATAATGTATATCAGAGCTTTTGGAGTCAAGATTTTTCTCTTCATACGCTACTCTACATCACGGTACCACCAGATCACATAGTCTCTAATTGCGCAATGTAGTGGCCTAAAAATTAAATGCGAGATCCATTTAGCGCTTGGTCAAGAAACATTAACTCTTGGAATAATATTCAAAGCTAGTTTGGTTTTAAAAAATAAAATCTTGGAAGTTTGTTTTAGAGAGTCTAGAACTCTTCTTTAATAATATTATTAACTAGGTTTTGTACCAGACAAATCAGTCAGATGCACATAACAACGATAAAATTATCCGGTCTTACCCAAAAGTATATGGCATGTGATATATCTGGTGTTGCAAACTGCTACCAAACAAACCCCAATTAATGATTCCCTTATTAATTAAATTGCGTTCCATCATTTGGAACGTAACCACTTCAGGTGAAATATAAGAAATGTTGCTAACCAGGAAAAGCATGATTTAATACAATGGTTATATTAAGTTAAAGTCGCATCTTTTGGAAATGAGAAGCTTTAATTTGAATTATGCACCATTTAGCATATCCAGACGGGAATATGCATTTTTCTCAACTTAAATGCATCAAATTGTATTGTTAACAGTAATTAAACACAAATTCATCAATACGCTAATTATTGCTTGTATGTGGTGGAGCTTAATTTCCTGTAACATCTTAATAAATTACAAGCCTGGCTTGTAAAATTCCGGAATAATAATAAAACTGCCCAATGATAATATCCCGAGCTGATAAGCAATGATGGATTTTCAAAATCACGCAATATACAATAACAGGGATGTTAACAACCATGAAAGTTTTTGAGAATCAATCGTTGCAATATGAAATGCATTTAAATTCCGAAATACAAGAAATTAGAAACATTCCTGGTTCTTGACAAGCGAGTAGACCATTTGATATCTGCCTGAAGACAGATTTATGAATTAAAAACGTATTCGGGGGAGAGGGCAATGAACTTCAATGTAGATTCTTTTTCGGCCTTGAAATGCTTTCTTCATATAGTAATAATACAAACATAGCTAGATTTTCCTGAATAACATCCCCAGTAGGAAGTATGCTAGGCAATGAATGGATTGAAGGCATGATTCAAGTTATCCTTTTGTTCTTAGTTCGATTCCTTAGACCTATTAGATAAGAATCCAATCCTCCAACACTGGCAACTAATTTGTATCTTCTCTTTTTCTTTTTTCTTAATTATAACATTCAGCAACTGTATCTCCAATAACACTTCCTAATTGCAATAGCAACTATAATAAATTATATTGTTGTTATAATCAATATTTTCTTGAACCCTTTAGTATAGCAGGTACAAAATTATTGAAATTATTCCTTAAGCCTTCTGTCTTTCTTGACATCATCAAAAAAAAATCCAAATAAATGATCATTCAGGTTTTTGCAGCTTGGATACACTCAAATCCAAATGGAGTATATAGATAACATTTATTTTATAATTGGGATAGACTCTCGTTTGACTGGGAACACACAAATCCGGATATTTGTATTTCTCTATTACTCAAATTTAAAATTTTGTCAACTTCATAGTTAAATCTATTAAAGTGAGCACTTGAATTTCATAAATCTCTGGGATAACTTCTTCATCACTCTTATCTTCTAACTAATGGTTGGATCTGATATTTAGCACTTTGTTTAAACTATGCCTGAATTGTTATACAGCACTTGATTCTGTAGCAAGTAAGTAAAATTCCATGTCTAAGAAGTAGCATATGCCAACAGAACATATCCATATATCAACAAAGTACCTTTAAAACATGGGTTGCAGTATGTTGACAGTATTTAACCAAGTTTAAGCTTTATATGTGGAAAGTTTCTGCTTTAAATGTCAAATTCAGGGACATTGTTGGTCATGTCCACCAACCAGCCAATCAAATTGCTCCTGAGAATTTCTGCTATAATAATCAGAGATAAACAGCTTTTGGGGTTGAATTTAAAGGTTCACAGACATCGGGGATTCAAATATAACAATTTATTAGGAGTACTTGACCAATTCTAGCGTTTAGCAGTTTCAACTTGGACAATATCTCATCAGTGGGCAACAATTACCGACCTGCATATAACACATGGGGCGAGAACATATCTTTTGTTGAGTTTTGACGTGCTTTGGACATATTCCTAGATCTAGCACAACTTCCAAGAGGAAATTCTTGATCCAACAACATGGTCCTGATTATACCTATAAGAATATCAAGACATTTGGAGGACAGCAACAGCAGAAAACAATAAATATGTCAACCTCACTACAACAACTACTATTCCTACATTACCAAACAGACCGTTTGGGAGAGATTGCTTTCCCCAAACTCCCCGAATTCAAATTATTAATGACAAGATTAGTTTCTGACCTAACATTCATGTTATTTATATCCAAAGCCTCTATAGTTGAGCCTATCTTCATTTTCAACCTTGAGGTGTTCAAAATCAATCAATATAGTTATTTCCCTCAAACTTAATGACAACTATTGAAGCATCAAAGATATGAATGCCAAGAACTAATCTTAGCGTTAAGAAAAGAGCAAATTTATTTATTCTTGCATGCAGCTGCAAGCTTATTACATTGCTATAGATATCAACCACCGTGGTTATGCAATTTGGAAGGTCTGATTTGGATCCCCCTAATATACAAATTGAATTTCAGAGAGAAAATACGTCTCTAAGCAGTCGAAAAGGCATGTAAGCATTAACAACATAGGGAATAGAGTCAGCCAGAGTAAAATAGGGAGGCTCCAGCATGATACAAATCACCAAAACAGAACTCCTTTTTTTCCCCTCCCAAATAATGACACAATCTATGGTTGAATAATCGTACCACATTATCAGAAGATAAATATCCGTGGACCATAACAACAGGCTTAGGCTTAAATCTGACTGAGGCTTGCTATTGGTGGATCGATCACGAAGATCAATATTATTTTTACGAATGTGCTTTCATGTGAAATCGCCAATTTCCAGCCCAGAGAGCAAAGTAATAACTCAATATTCGTGATAATAAACTTCAAACTAACAATGAGCTGGATTTAGAAGCAAGTACTATATTCGAACATCGCCTATTTGAAACAATGCACCATTATCAAGTTCTAGTATTCGTGAATATATTCCCAGTTATTAATTGTATTTCAAAGATCGAACATCTTATAATTATAACAGCACGCCTCCAGAAGATTCACCTATCAGAGAAATGAATATATTTTTTGTAGTTTCATGATTTATTATTTCTGAAAATTCCTGTATTTTTGGTTTACGTTGCTATAAGAATTCACCGTCTAGCCATATTTTCTATTTTTAATACGGTCATGACCGGAGGAAAATACACCTCATTTGAAAGATTTTTTTTTTTTGTTAACCTAGCCAACCTGAACCTACTCTCGATTTTATTTATTTCTCGTTTATCTTATCCATTCAATCAAGCTCATGCAAGAACACTAATTGATATTGTGCTTGGCACTTGTTTGGTTCAGTTTTTATTTTGGCACCATTCTGTGATCAATTGAAAAGGTCTGCATGATGGACACGCCCTAGTTTTAGACATGTCAAAAAATATGTTTTCAAAGAAATTCCCCCCTCTAATCCGGATATGTACTGTAAATAATGATGGGTGGATTTACGATTGCAATTTACGGAGAAGACAATGATCAATTAGACAGGTCATGGTTATGAGCCTGAAACATAATTTTCTTTTTCATTGTATCAGTACCTTCGTCAACGTTAATCTAATTGTAACTAATTCTAATTGCTTCCATATCGTCTCATTTAGTTGTTGTCTCAGGGCTAGTATCCCCACATCATCATTATTTTTTCTCCCGGTAGCACTAGAATCTCCGAAATTTGGCTATTTAGTTCCTGGTGTCTCCTTGTTGTATAGTCTACTCAAATTCAAAGCGGGAACGCGGTCAGTTTGAAGTGGCTCGGCTAAAGATGTTATTTTGCTATCCTCGTTGCTCAAACATATTGTTATAATCACGCAACGTCTTTCGCACTCGTACCATGATATCGGTGTTGTATCCGAAAGTGGAACTGTGTGCAATATTTTCTGGTGGTTTGCGCGTGTCCATTCGCCTCGTTGAAATATTTTTTATGCAAGGCAACTTTATCTTCACCTGCACCGAAAGAAAAAATAAATGTGACCTCAAGTTCTCTGCTGATAGATCATTGCAAATTTTCATATCTGGTATTCGTAAATGACTTATTCTCGAATGATGTGTTTACAATTTTCTCGATTCGATAATTAAACAATGATTTGCAGGTACTATTTTTCTAGAAAAAGAAATAGAGGCGGAATTCAATCAGCTGGTTATCCTATATTTTTAATTCCAATAACTTGGCCACGCCTTCTTAATTAGCCACAATACTATGCGGTAAAATAATTTCCAGCTACTTCTTCTCATATCCGTAGAGTGGGGAGGGGGAGTTAACCAATTCGAACTATATCTCCGTCTAGTCCAAATAATTTGCGCTCCCATTCGGAGTGACCTTTTTTTTTTTGATATTGCGTCTGTAAATCTCTAGAGGACGGTAGATACAGTCAGACTAAAGGTGGATTTAGATCTCCGTTCAGAGATCAACATATGCGAAGGTGATAGAACGCATACATACCTAAATGTGGCACTTCAAACTTGGCAAGAGTACCCGATTGAGTATCCGAGGTTGACGTGTACGATAATGCATGCAAATATCTAACGTTTTTTTTTTTCATCCACAAAACGAAATAAGAATACAGTCTGAACAAATTAAAAAGAAGGAATAAAATTCTTCAACAAATTTTAGCTGAGAGACTGGGAGGGGTAATCTGATTAATTAATTAAAAAAATTAGCAATATGTCAGCAGTGGAAATGGTTAGCCACTAGGTTTTAACTGGTTGTACAGCGTGACTCCGGAATTTGAGAAGGTAATTAAAAAAAAATAACGGGTTTCCACAGTTACCATAGACGGGCGATTCTAGAGCGCGTTATATTTTGTATTAGCTCCCAGGAGTTGGACATTGTATTGATGTGGTTTAAGTGTTCAGGTTTAATCTAGCCACTTACAACTAGACCTATCATTCTTGTCAAACTCTTCTGTTTTGTATTTCTAATGCAGTAGAAGGTAAATTCTGGTAGGTTGCAAAACAGTCGTGATCTAGAGTTGAAGATCCGACTGTTTAAGCGAATCTTGCAGTAGAAGCATGACTTTTCTAACATCAATTCAAAGACGAGAGGGGAACTTTGGAGGGGGGGGTGTGTTTTTTTTTTGTCTAGTGAACATCACCAGATCATTAAATGTTTAGACCAGTGAGCTTAAGCTCCTGACATTGGCTTTCACCGGATATAGTTTAAGGTAAAACTTTAAAAAAGAAATACCGAGATGCATTTTGCACCTAAAAAAATAGAAGCGATTGAATATGTGTAATGAAAATAAAAAATATGTGATACAAACATTAAAATTACACTCCTCACATAAAAAATATCTGTAAAAAATATCTATACTGACATGAAACAATAAACTTGCCACAATATTTTTCTTTGCATTTCTTTTTTCTTCTATTTATTTTATAAGCTTGTAGCCCTCTTAAATCAGAAATAAGGGTGTATGCCTTTCAGATTTGCTGTCCCACCTTAGTTTAGGCTTCGGGGAACCAAAATAAGGTTAATTTTTTTTCATTATTTCCATGCATAATTTTTGCGATTAGAAATATATAATTCCACAGAATGCGCTTTACATGTCAAATATAAAATTGTACATAAATATTCTTCATTCGAACTTTGGTAATTATATCCTGTGTAATTACTATTCGTCAACTATTCATCAACTACAACATCAACTGAAACCCAAAAGCAGTACATCATTAAATACATTGAAATTTGATCACACCTTGAAAACACGCTTAAACTTGCAATTTTTTTTTATTGTTTGTTGGTTGTAGCCATTTCATTGAGTATTTTATTTGTCGATAAGTTTCAATTGTGCAAATAAGGTCGTAAACGTCCAGCATATAAATAAAAGGCAACATACCTTATGTCATTTGAATTGGTAGATGTTTACTAGTTTCATACAACTATCAACGCTAATACCAATTTGAATGAAAATTATTAATTATTAAATTTTTGATTTACCTATGAGCAAAACAAATAGTCCTGACGAGTATCGTTCAATACCACCGTCACAACAAATAGTCACCCATGAACAAAAAACAAGACAGGTGTATGAATATCAACAGCCACAAGATGGCTACTCAGAAACCTTGGCACGAATTAACTATAAAGATAGTTATATACAAACAAACAACAATAATCTTACAAATGCAACCAACCCCGTTAATTCCAACAATTATACCACTGCTGCCCAAGGACAAGTATCGAACTATTCAAAACTTCCATATGGACGGCCTCCACCAATTCATGTACATCAACAATCCCTGTCGGTTAACAATCAAACATATTTCTCCGGAACAACAATACCATCTATACCCCCACCCCCGCCATATGATGACCAAGGAAGAGTTAACAATGTAGCATACCAAATATATCCACAACAGCAACTCGAAGTAGCACAGCAACAACAACATCCTTACGGATATCAACTACCGATACTGCAATATCCAGCATTACCCCCACCTTCACAACCACCACCACCGCAACAGCAACAGCAACAGCAGCAACAACAACAACAACAACAACCACAGACAGATTCACTACAAACACCAAATGTTGGATGGCAGGCACCAGTCAATAGTAATGTGCATTTCTCATTAAACGTTGATGTCAATCAATATCCCGATATTACCAGTATGGTAAATTCTAACGTCAATGTTCCCATACCGTTGGTGGAAACACATTTTGTCGATCATCGAACATGCACTGTTTGCGGAAAGAGGATCACTAGAGACATGTCTCGACATATGAGAACTCATCAGAGTGAATCACGCTTCAAATGCAAGTTCCCACGAAGCCAATGCATCCATAAGCTGGGGAAATTCAACCGGCCCTACGATTACAAGAAGCATTTATTAAATAGACATTTTAAATTTGATGATGAATCAGTCAAGAGATTACATAATTTAAACGAAAAACTTGACCATTGGGGAGTATGTCCATGTGGTCTTCGGTTTGTTGCTAAAGATTGGTTAGATCTTCATATTTTGACAGAAGAGGTTCTGAAAATGTGTCCGTTTATAGAACAACGATAGATATAGACGGTGTTGCATGACTTGTTGGCAAAGTCCCGCTTAAAGTTGCCAAAACGCAAGGTGGGTTACATCCTCGCGCCTGAAATTTAAGGGGAAGATCATGAGATTCTAGAAACATGATAAAGATATAAACAGATCAGATGGGTAATATATGAATACTATTTACTTTTAGTTAGAAAAAGACTTCCTTACATATTTTGTATTAATAACATATTAACTATTTAAAGTTTGACCTTGTATCCCTTTCAGTTTGGAAGGTGGTCCAGATTCAACCAGAGCATAACGTTAAAAAGTTCCCACAGACTTTGCCTAGATATCAATGGTAGCAAAAATAATCAGTAACATGAAGGATCTTTAACCGGAATTGGAAAGTGATCATCCGAGCGTCCAGAAAGAGATGATCCTGTTGTGAAATTTTTCATCTTCAACTTTGTGTTCCAGTATAATTTCCATTTCGAAAGCGCAAATCATTTAGAGAACACAGATATATTGATAAAATTAAGGTTAACAGAGACTCTGAAAGGGAGACTCTGGTAATGCATCAGAAATATACATAAAGGAACAATTCCGTTATACCTATTCAAATGAAAGGAATAAACCTAATCAAAATGAAAGGGAGCCACGGAAAACTGCATGTTGCTAAATTCAAATTCACCGCAAGCTAACTTTAATTCAAGGAATTTAAGGTATGATTTACGAAAGGTGGTGTCCTAGTGAAAAATGTAACAACCTTGGCGTCCCTCATTCCGTGATAACACTTTTTGCCCAAATCTTGATGCACTGCATCTTAAAAAGACATAAAGTCTTGGTTTCTGTATTAGTTCATCTTTTCACCATTTGGACCTTGCATTTTCTTCCCTATAATTTCATTCTGATCATATCAAAAGCAAAAAAAAAAAACAATAGTACTTGCAGTAGAAACTACATATTTACTTAATTTGCAGCATTTACGACCAATACAGGATCTTACGTCAAGTTTAAAATAAAATGGTAATTCGGGGTTTGTTGCAACATGTCTCATAACCACTTCGCGTTACATGTTGGTGCATGACGGTTAATTCACTTTCAAAGTTAGATTGACTATCTTCACATGCAGGATTATTAGTCTAGAATTTCCTGTCACATTCATCAAGATATTCAACCACATTTTAGTTTTCTACTATTTCAGATATACTTTTAGAGACACTCTAGTGATGAAATATCCATTTGTTCCGAGGTACATGCTAGTTTCATGTGAGATCTACTACTAATTCTAGATGTTTTGCAAGCATCAAAACGCCAGAGTAGGGTTTGTAGCCCTGTAACAATGCCGCAACAGCTGTATGGGCCAAAACCTAAAGATCCCGGCTTTATTAAATCCGATCTCGACAAAGAATGATTACAATAAATAAGATTCTTCTATCAACTCTATTTGTTGGCGAGATTTCGATCTTAAAGTTGACTTTTTTCCGGGGTTGCTTTCTCCTTGCATCTCCCTAATTTTGTGATCTGATCCACATTTTTCTCCAAATGTATCTTATACAACAAAATGAAACAGTGACACCAAATAATATAACTAAGTCGAAAAGTAAACAGAGTCAAAATAGAAATAAGTAATGATACATACCAATCAGAAAATTTAGGAATCGAACATACGAACGTCACTTATTTCGAGAAATAAAACGAATAGAAATTCCAATTAAATTAAAACTAATATGCACAACAATTTTGTCCAAGAAAATCATATGTTTTAGAGCAGCACTTGCTGCATAAATAATAAATTTAAAAAAGCTTAAGCAACTTAATGAACAAAAAAAATCTCTAAAAAATTCTGGACACAAAGGGCGAGGAAAAACGACCACAGTCTTAAAGTTTTCTTTTTTTTCTTGATAGATTGAGATAAAGAAACAAACAAAAAAAAGGTTGTACACGAGACATACACATACTATACTTATGTCCTATTATTAGACGACCATCACCTACAAGCCACATTATACAGAGCGCATTGCACAAGAACAGTTTCGGCATACTATTTTGACAGATTTATTTTTTTCCTTTTTTTGTAAAAAAAATACAAAACCAACCTATTTTTATTGAGTTTTTTTCCCCCAGCTCCGAATTGTTAACACGCTCACCCCCGACCACCCCTTAGTACCTGATACTTGCATGGGGAAAGATATGACACTGAGTTCAAGGGAAACTCATGATTACTCCAATTTTGGAAACCATGGTCCTCCGTATCAACAGACAGAACCTTATTACCCTCATTTCAATGCTGAATTAAATTTCAAGGAGGAAACCCCTGTGGTATTTCAAAACCAAAACCAATCGCCACATCACACACAGTTCCTGCCACAACAACCACAGCAGCCTCATAATCAAAGAATACATCTGCAAGAGTATCATAGATCGGGAAGCGGCTATTTCGAAGGCGAAGTAAAACCTCAAAATGATGATGAGGACGGGTTAGGTTATTTTTCAAATCGGACGTCGTCATCAGTTCCTTCCTCAAGAATCGACCACTACTATAATGACACATTAATACAACAACAGCTTGCTCAATTATTACAACAACAGCAGAACCAGCAACATCATCAACATCAGCAACTAAATGAGCAAAATCAACAGCAACATCATCAGAATCAAACGTCACAACAACATCTTTCACTCCCGCAACAGCAACCAGCACAACCAGCACAACCAGCACAACCTCTGCAACCACAGCAACAAAATGACCAACAATACTTACTACTGCATCCACATTCCAATCAAAACTACCAAACAACTCCATATAAGCGCTCCCCCCTTTCACGAGAACAGGAATGGACACCAACTAATTCTCAAACCATGGATAATTCCATTGGCAATCCAATCCCATCTCGTGGTACTTCTCAGGATGTAAAAACTTCTTTCCCACCACGTCCTCAGTCCATACGGCAGCAATCACTACCTGTATTCAACAAACAATCCACCAATATGACTCAAGTTCAACCACTGTTAATACGAGAACTTGCTGGTGAGAGTGTTAATTCGTTAATGGGGTTTAATCCACAGACAATATATTATAATAAAGATAATACAATTAGAGTCAACCCTGATCCATCTGGTAATGAAACTATACACGAGAAACCAAGTGATCTTGACGTGAAGCCCAAGGCAAAACGTGGACGACCAAAGAAAAACCCGGGATTTTTCATTAAATTGGATTCAATAAACAAGAGACCAGTCACTAGACAAGTCAAGTCGTCACAATCAGATTCAGGTACTGATTACTGGAATAGATCTTCAAGTGGTGGGTTATTACACAGAGCATTATCGTTTACACCAAGCCAACCTATTGTTCAACAAGGCCAGGAAGATCCTGACCTTCCGTCGGAATTGCAGTTCTTGGAGCAGGATTTACAATTAACTGATGACCCCTACGGGTTAAACATGCCTTCGTTTAATCTAACTCCATCGGCAGAACCACCCAAATCGGTAGGTGCAGTTCCTAGTAATCTTCCGCCTAGTGGATATTTCGAGCTTGAAAATTCTACAACCGCGGTGAATACAGGCCAATTTTTCTCTCCTGGTATTGATGGTCATGAGAATAATATTAACAGTTTCAATCAAACATTTGAAGATTATTTAAAACTGACACAACTTAAGACGGATGATGATGCTAATTCTGGAACTACGAAATCTTTTAGCGAGGAGCAGACCAATCCAATTACAGCAAACTTCACTGAATTTGAATATGGGGCTAGTTTACCACTACCACCACCACCACCACCACCACCACCACCACCACCACAACAACAACAACAACAAGTGCCGCATCAAATGCTACCACAAGTACCATTCTTCTGTGAACCAGTAACTTCAATAGATTCATCACAAGCTTACGGAAGTTCTACGAATGAAAGCTTCTTATCTCCACCAAATGATCATCAAACAAATGTCAGTTCCGGTGAGAACTCCGACCACGACCATGAAGATAATTACTACCTCCAAACCACCAATACACTTCCTAGAAGTGGATCCAACCAAAGTGTCAGCAGTGGTGGTTCTGGCAATTCCGGAGGTGAAGATATTGACATTGCATTTGCAAATACTAGCGGTGCAGGCAATACTTCCAAGCCGAAAAAGAGATTATCTAAAGGGGCGAAATGTTCTATTTGTGGGAAATATATTAGTAGGGATATGACAAGACATATTAGGATCCATAATGAAGTTGGAAGATTTCAATGTGTCTATCCTAAGTATATGTGTAATCACCGAACCCAATATTTCAATCGTCCATATGATTACAAGAAACATTTGTTGCATCTGCATTTCAAGTTTGATGATCCCAAGGGCAAGACTGCTCATACATTAACCGACAAATTGCCAATGTTAGGTGGATGTGCTGCATGTGGTGCGAGATTTACTGCTTCGCAATGGTTAGATTTTCACGTATTGGTGAATGATAGAAATCAACGATGTCCATATATAGAGGAAAAGGATGGATGATTTCTAGATTATTTATGTAGAAATAAACAAGGGTTTAAGTTGAATTGTAGATCAATATCAAGGTAAACGTTTTTAATGCAAATTAGGTTATTTGGCTTAAATTTGACGTATCCATCAGAAAATAAACTGATGGTTTCTACAGAAGCAGAGATGACTATAATATACAAGACATACTTCTCGATCTATGGCTAACATGCAGAAGATTTTCTTTATTTTTTTTTTTATTTTGTTACAACTACCTAATTATTTTCTAGGGTCGAGATTGGGAAAATATTTCTCTGCTTCACCAGTCGGGTAAAGGTGCAGTTTCTCGCATGATGCCAGAGAAGATCCCTCGACATTAATCGGGATCTGAACTGCACCTAAAACAGTGTTAGAAACACCGTTGTGCGATTCCTGCAAAGTCCAACAGAATCCGACTACGGATGCTGATATTTGCGTGCGCCGCATACACTACCCCGATTAGGCAAGAAGAATTTGCGCGCACATCATTTTCGCACTCACCTCTGTCTCAATTAAGTAAGTGAAAATTTGCTCAACCATTACACAATAATAATGATAACCTGATCACTATGTAGCCGTAATTGATATCGCATATGAGCAAATTACTCCCTTTTTCTGGTGTATAGTATTTAAACCACTCCCATTCTCGTCTATTACAACAGACAGCACAATTGTCATATCACTTATACTTGAACTAATATAATATAATAGATAACAATGTCATTTCAAAATAAACATATGATGATGTCAATGGACAGCGACACTGCCACGGCCACTATGGATATGGTCATGGAAACTGCATCATCCGCCATGGATCACATGTCGTCTCACGATGATATGGCTGGTATGCACATGTACTTCACAGCTCAATTTAAGGGATACCCCGTGATATTTAAGAACTTAGTGGCTAATAACAAGGGTCAAGCATTTGGGATATTCTTGTTGTTGTTCTTTGTTGCATTTTTAAACCGTTTGTTGGAGTTTGTGAGGAACTATCTTGAAGAAGTTGTTTGGCAAAATCGTGAATACCAAGAGTTTGAAAGTGGCATTGCCAATGCTCCTGCTAATTTACAAAGTGTAACTTCAGGTGCCAACTGTCACGATACCAATAGTTCTGATGATAGCTTACATAAGGGTGATTCTGTTCAAGTCAGTAAGCCCGTCAAGTCACTTCCGATTGCTTCTACATTGTTCAGAGATGCCATTCGTTTGTTCCTTTGTATTGTTCCTGATTTATTTGGATACGCATTAATGTTGGGAGCCATGACTTTCACATTGACATACTTTTTTGCTATTGTCATTGGATCCGGTGTAGGTAGATTTACATCTGAACGATTAATGGAGAGATTTAGATTAAAGAGAACTCCTCCTCTAAACTGTTGCTAGTTGTACATACATACATATATATATTTATCTAATTTTTAATCTACTAATTCGTCAATCTTCTTTAGAAGATCATTGTACTTACCCTTGTTGAAACTCGAACCTTGACCATCGGCTAATTTTTCACTATAGATCAACCGGGCTAAATTGTTACATGCCGATTTAGTATATCTTTGTTCGTTGGAACGGAATCGGTTAATCAACGTAAATTCATTCAAGGTAAACATCTCAAAATAAACTGATGACTTCGTGAAATCAATCACTTCAGGGTTGGTAGCAACACTTCGTAACATCTGTTGTACAGTTGAAATATTCAACAAAATACGTTTAATACCATTATTGTTTACCTTTTTCAAATTGATTGACCCTTGGATAAACAAATCATTTAAGAATTTAGTCAAGCCAATAAAAACAGTTTCACGTTCAACATTACTCAACATACTGGATAACTTACTATCCACGGCAAATACCTCTTGATTGAAAAGACCGATATAATGATCGGCATCCCCGGGTTCATTGGTGGGAGTCCAATCCACATGTTTGTATGAATTGGTGGTGTAGTAAATAGCCTTACATCTTAAGTCATATCGCAATGCTAGCAACGTACCATCACGGATAGTTTCGAAAGTTTTAACAATTTGATCGAATTTAGAAACCTTATCTGGACCCAAACAAAGGAACACGTTATGATGAATGATGTCAGAGCTGTTGGCGGTGAAATTGATTGGCATTCTTCCATTTTCCAAAAATGACCAATTACTACGTAACTTATCAATCATCGCTATATGTAAATCCGTATCGGAATCACTTTCATCTTTGTTCTTTGTGTTTGTTTCCTTTTTAATTAATGGCAACCAAGAAAGGACCCATGATGTAGTGAGCAACAAGTAAAGTACTTGTGAGTAAGAATCTGGATCTAATAAATCATCTTTTTCGACGGCGTTCAAATCATCATTTCCTTCAAATAACAATACTTGTGATTCTGCGTGGAATAACTCCTCCATTCGTGATCTAGGTACATTTTGTACATGTGCTTGTAAGATTTTCATACTGATTTCTCGTAATGCAGGGATATTCATCCATTTACTAGTTTGCAGAACTGGCCTATTGTTGTTAGCAGTTGAATCACCGGCAGATAATAACTCATGGTACAAGTTATGATATTCCCTTGCGAAATTATCCAATACTTTTAAAACAACATCGGAATAATCTTGACGATAAGTAAGTGAAGTGTTGAACATTAAACATAATTCAAGATACAATTTCTTGAAATTAAAGGCATTTTCATAAATTATTACATTATGAGTACTGTCTGATTTTACATTGGCAATCACGTTAATATCGGAAGCCTGGTTTAATGAAATAAGGTCTAATTTCAATCCAGTTGAATGTAATGGTTTCTCACGCGTAAAAGTCCCACCAACTTGTTCTCCAAATGAAATTTCAATTCCATCCTTGACATAGCCCATGAATGAAATCTTCATGAAATCATTAAAGAACTGTAATGAAGATTTAGAATGAGGGGTAACGTCACTACTATGTTCAAAGTTTGCAAACACTCTTTGTGACCCTTCAATGAATATCAAAAAGAATTCCAAAATCACTCTCATATTAAATAAGTTCTTAGGTACCAACACATCAATCATAGCATTGAATTGCTCCGTCTGGATATATGGTGATGCACTCGAACCCAACAATTCATCCTTGGTCTTTTCAAGCTCCTTGTTATCACCCGACATATTAAACCCAGGGAATACATCAGTGACAATACCAAGAATTTCTGTGGCTGTTCTCGAAGATGTATCATAGGTGACGTCTTCAAAGCGGAACAAATTCTTGCGACTGGTGATAACCTTGTATATTTTGCTTTGATCCTTGGCTCTTGTGGTTGGTTCATTAATAATATTGGCATGGACCAAACTGTCATCGTAAATATAATTCAACATCATTGTTCGCAATTCTTTCTTGATCACGTTCCAAATGCTTAACATCTCGGCATCCAATCTCTTGGAATGTGGTTTTGTACCATTGCCCGTGGGCGATAGTGCCGATGAGAGAACCACTGGTGAAGTTGGAGGAACCAGGGTATTTGAAGTTAAATTCTGACCTTCTTCAATTATACGCACGATTTCATTGACAACTTTGTGACGATGGAAAACAGCAAGACATTTGACAAAGATAGACCCAAACAATTCTTCAAGAACAACCACAGCAGAATCGTTGAAGTTAGAATTGCCCATTATTTCAAGTAATGTTGATTTTTCCAGGTGATGTTTGATATTGGTCAATTTCGACAATGCGGTGCTATTCTTCAGTTTAATTTCCTCGGTGGTTCTATTGATTAACCCATGAAGTTCCAGTTGGTTTGAATCGATAAGAATCTCAGTGACTTGATGCAATCGACTGAGCTTTGAAGCGGTACGTAAGAGCATATAAATATAGTAGAACGAACTGGAGTTTGAATTCATTTTCGTATCAAGTAGGAATTGATAATCATCTTTAACTTCGGTACCTTTGTCAGACATGATACTGTGAGTATGCAATTCTGGCAATTGGTGTAGAATGAACTTCTGAACTGGTTGGGTCAAAAAGTCGACAATTTCAGTAATGTCTAAATTAGCTGCATTGGAAACGTATTGTTCAAGATTCTTCAGGTTTATCAACGACACGAGCGATGCTAGCTGTGGTGCACTTGAATTGAAGATGGATTGCCAAGATATGTTTGCTGTGGTGTCGGTGGTGATTCTTGTTTGTTTGAGGTATATTTCATTCTGCAATTCATCGATAATCATATCAAATAGCTTGTTGGATTGCAGCTCGAGATAACTTTGTATCCCGGCCATAGCAGGCAACGACCATAAATTATACTTTTCCGCTGTTTTGTATCCGTTAGATATCACATCGTAAACTTCATGGATCTTTTTGTCGATTACTAATTGTTCAATCTTGTCCGGTATACTGGTTAGCTCGGCCATGGCATCCAACACATCAATTAGCTCCGAGTACCGAGCTGAAGTTTGGCTTAATTCCGAAAGCAAATCGGATCGATCGTGGATTTCCTTATTGGAGGATTCCAAATATGCTTTAATTTCAGTAGAATCCTCCTGGGACTCCCGTAATGTTGATAATAGCATATGGTACGAACCAATACTGTTGTTGAATATTTCGTGGTGTTCATTAACGACGTTTCTCAATCCAACTTCCGTTTGTTGTTTCAAGTTTTCAAATTCAGGTAATCGATGGGCTAACCCTACAGACAGATCGTCTAGTAAGGAAATTGCTGTTTCTATAGCGTTGGCCCGGTGGTCTAGGATCTGGGGCCAGTCATACCTTATGCTGTCGTAAATCTGTTTCAATTCCAGAATGGCATCATCCATTGCTTGCAGTTTTCGTGAACCTCGATGAGGCATACTAAAGGAAAGTCTTCTTGATGTCATTGTATTGACAGTTGTAGATGGTAGTGGAGGTGGTTGTTGTGGTTGGCTGTGGTTGTCTCTGGTTGTAAGACTTGGGATCTTTTTTTTTTTCCAGACTCACCACCACGCACTATTTACGTTTTGCCTGTGTTTACATTTTTGTTTTACAACCAAATCAACCCCAAGTAGATGGTATGACAGATATTGAAGTGATCTCACTATCACTGGATGAATCCCTGAGTGAGAGCCTAGAAGTGGTGGAAATAGAATCATCCACTATACTCCCAGAAACTTCCGAACTTTTGAAGTCGGCACCTCAGTCTTCTAGTGCAGCTGTGCCGCACACGTCTCCTACTAACTTACCACCCACGCAAGAACGTGTAAATAGCGATGTTCCACCGGCTTTTAGCATAGCATCTTCACCAATAATAGTCCCAAGGGCAAGTCCGGTGAAAGAGCAACCTAAACAGTCTAGAGTTTTGGCCAATGATTCAATTATCGACTCTTCATTTTCATTTCTGAACGAGGTGAACAAACCTCAAGAGAAGGTGCTTGATTTGGTTCACTGGTTGTCTAGCGACTCTGACACTAACCACGACGTGATAAGTCAACACATACCAAAAAAGCATACTCTACGAAAGGAACACATTCAAAACCAGCCTAAACCGAAAGTGAACAACGTTGTGGACTTGCAAATACCGACCCCTGTAGATATAGATCAGGACCTGGATGGTGATGTACCGATCCCTATTGATATAGATCAGGACCTGGATGGTGATATACCGACACTACCTTTACGCAATGATCCCGATCTTGACTTTATACAAAAATGTAAAGAACTATTTACTGGCAAACCAAAGCAGAGCACAACTGAAACTACTAGACCTCAGAAGAAATCAAAGAAAGCCGAACCACTGCTTGACACACCCCAGGTTGACGGATTCAAATATTCACATAAGGAGCTCGTTAATGCTAACAAAGTGACAAAAAAGAAAGAAGAATTATTTGCAGAAATGGAACTAGGAATCGAGTCTTCAGTATATGAACTATTCACTGATACAAGTGATAACTTCCAATGTCGAATTACACTGGAACACTATTCCCAACCAATAATATCTTGGAATAGGCATATTAACTCCAGATATGACTTAATCAGGGATATATTCATTCCATGTCCTCCCACTACTATCACCGAGCCAGTGGTTGTTCTTTACTATACTGCTGATACATTCATAGCGAGACTTAATGATAAAACTTTAACTGGTGATGTCATATCCTCAAAGATAGCATTGGACAATGTTCGAGGAGACGAGACTCCTCATGTGATATTAGTAGTTGAGGCATATGATCACCTACTCAACAAAATCAAAGCTTATGAACAGCGCCAATTCAAGAACCAAGTTCTAGAACGCATGGGATCACCCACTAAACAAACAAAAAGGAAAACACCCAATGATATTGAAAGTTACCCACCCTCCAAAGAAATTGAACAACTAGTTAATCAAATCCAAATTGAGCTAAGCATTAATATATTCATGGTGCGTACTCGACTTGAAGCTATCAACTGGTTGAATTCGTTCACATACACCATTGCATCGTCGTTGTATGATAAATATGAGAGAAATAAAGATTTGGCAAATATTGGCACGGTAAGATCTGGAAGTGATGCCAAATCAACTTTCCTACAGTCAATACAACAGTTTAATTTAATGACCGAATCGAAAGCAGATAGGCTATACGTGCAATACAAGACAATGAATCAAGTGTACACGACATTAAAAGCGCAAGGAACGCTAGGACAAGATAATTTTGGGAGAAATATTGTACCACCATCAGTTGATAGTGCGCTACATAAATTCTTTACGGCTGATGACCCAGATGATATTATTACTTAGCTATAAATCTTTATACACATTATGCCCAAATATTAGTTACAGCGTCAAGATCATCCTTGTTTAAATGTTCAACATTACTGATATCTTGAATAGCAGCTTTGATCGAGCTTATTTCTTCATCGGTGAATTCATACTTGTGATTATGTAATTCAACAATAATATTGATGGCCTTATCAAGAAGGTTGACGTTGGAATCTTTATGCAATACTGATACCAATAACCCTGGTAAACCTTGTTGTTTAATTTGTTGATGAGTGTTTGTATCTATTCCGTTGGACAAGATTGAAGAGACAATCGACAATACTCTGATGATTCGTTTCGAATCGGTAGTATCTGATTGTATGATGTTCCATCCTTGGTATTGTTCAAATTGGGTGTATGCAGGTTTGTAGTTCCTTATGAACGAAGAAATGGCGTATAGGGCCTTTAATTGAATTTGTTTGTTGGTATCGCTATGTGCAAGTTGGATCAAGTGGTTGATTCCTTCGGTGTTTGAGAAATCTTCTTGAGATTTGGGGTTGTTTTGAACTGCCGTACCAATGATGCTACATGCGAGCAATCTTAACGATTCTGGGCTGGTTGGGTCTAATAAATTGACAATGGAAGGCCATAACTTTAAGTTTTCGATATTGTTGGCATTATCCAAGTTTTCAATCAACATTTCAAAGTTCTCAAGTGCGATTTCTTTATTTTCTAAAGTGACTTCGGGATCATTGACTAGGGTTATGGATTGTTTCATCAAGGTGGGTTCATCGGGACCACCAAATAATTGTTGTAACATTTTTTCATCAGGTTGACCGATTCTAGCCATGGCTTCTTGATCACCTGATTGTTGTGCAATCGACCATTGTAAAAGTTTGTCCATTTTTGTAGATGTGTTGGAGTTTGTGATAATAAATTGGTTGTTAGAAGATATATTTAATATATAGTTGTAATTTTTCTGATACCTGTGAGATGGGATTTTTTTTGTCTGGTAGCGTTGGATTTTTCGTTTGTTCTAGAACCTTCCAGTACGTGCGATTGTCGAAGGGGGCGATTTGGAGGTGGAGGGGAGTAACATAATCAAATAATCAGGGCAAATATAGGTCAAATAAGATAGTTATGGCAACTATGTACCAAATCCAGCTGTCTACCGACATGAAGTCGTCTGTATCGTGTCTAGGTTGTTCAACTACCCTGGTAGTCAATCTATAACGAAATACTATGACTTGCCATAGTTCCAGGCCAATATAGTTGTTTCGTCACCTTGATGGTTATACACACCTGTGGGGCTTAAGAGGGCCCATTAACTGCAACTTCCACATTAGTTACTATCACAGTTGTCAAGGTAAAAGGATCCATGCAAAACAGAAAAATGTGTAACATCAGTGGTAGTCACCTGATTCACCGTTTTTCAAATTATATGCAGTATACAAACTTTGCAACCCATTTGGCCAGGGCCCGGAAATTTACCTTCCGCGTTGGCCAATAAATTTGATTGTCCGGAACAGCGGAATGATTGGAATACCGGGATAACCGCAAAGCGAGTTACTTTTGTCGCTTCTATATGTAGACGGGAGCGGGATAAGCGTATAGCGAGTGAGCGCTTAGAAATAGTAGGATTGTAAAGGCTGAGAAAATTTGGTGATAGAGACATACCATGGCTGGCGTCCCCCCCCCCCCCCGTTGTCACATCGGCCTTATCTATGACATTTTCAATTGATTAATTTCTCATTTTAGCTAACCTCTACAATTTTATACTACCAATCGGTAGCAACATACTAAATAGAGATTATAGTCAGCAATTGAGTCAATTGAACATGTCTAATGCATCTAATTTACAGTATTTGGTTTACCCCATGTGGTTATCCCTCGGAGTTTTTCTCAGTTTACACAGAAAAAAAAAAATCAGGTGTTGGGCATAATTAAACGATCAAGTCAAAACTCACACCAATTGCAACTGATCTAACGGTTTGACCCGGTGATGGTAGCGTGTGGTGTGACGTTTTCTTATGTGGTGCAAACCAGGTTTTTTTTCTCTCTATGCATTACCCTGGGTAGTTTAGTTTTCCAGTGAATTCTGTAACCCCCCTTGGCCTGTTCTCTCCCTCTTTCTCTCTCTTTCCCCCCCCTCTCTCTTTAATTGTCGCCGGAAATTTATCATCCTTTTTTTTCAGGAGGTTATTTATTTCAAAAGAATCCCCTTGAAATTTTCACAAACTTTATACTACTTTTCTTTTACTCTTATAATTCTCCACCGAATTAAGTTTATTATCATGTCTTTATCTAACAAATTATCCGTCAAGGACTTAGACGTCACTGGCAAGAGAGTCTTTATCAGAGTTGATTTCAACGTCCCATTGGATGGTAAGACCATCACCAACAACCAAAGAATTGTTGCTGCTTTGCCAACCATTCAATACGTTTTGGAAAAGAAGGCCAAGTCCGTCATCTTGGCTTCCCACTTGGGTAGACCAAACGGTGAACGTAACGAAAAGTACTCTTTAGCTCCAGTTGCTACCGAATTGGAAAAGTTGTTGGGTAAGCCAGTTACTTTCTTGAACGACTGTGTCGGTAAGGAAGTTGAAGATGCTGTTAATGCTGGTAAAGACGGTCAAGTTTTCCTTTTAGAAAACTTGCGTTTCCACATTGAAGAAGAAGGCTCTTCCAAGAAGGATGGTGTCAAGACCAAGGCTGACCCAGAAGCTGTTGCCAAGTTCAGATCTCAATTGACCGCCTTGGCTGATGTCTACGTTAACGACGCTTTTGGTACTGCCCACAGAGCCCACTCTTCTATGGTTGGTTTCGATTTGCCACAAAGAGCCTCTGGTTTCTTGATGGCTAAGGAATTGGAATACTTCGCCAAGGCCTTGGAAAACCCAGCTCGTCCATTCTTAGCTATTTTGGGTGGTGCTAAGGTTTCCGACAAGATTCAATTGATTGACAACTTATTAGACAAGGTTGACTTGTTGATTGTCGGTGGGGGTATGGCTTTCACCTTTAAGAAGGTTTTGGACAATATGCCAATTGGTGACTCTCTTTTCGACGAAGCTGGTGCCAAGAATGTTGAAAACTTGGTTGCTAAGGCCAAGAAGAATGGTGTTGAATTGATTTTACCAGTTGATTTCGTCACTGCTGACAAGTTTGACAAGGATGCCAATGTTGGTACCGCCACCCAAGAAGAAGGTATTCCAGACCACTGGATGGGTCTTGATGCTGGTCCAAAGTCTAGAGAATTGTTTAGCGCTGCTGTTGCCAAGGCCAAGACTATTGTTTGGAATGGTCCACCAGGTGTTTTCGAATTTGACAAATTCGCCGCTGGTACCAAGTCCTTGTTGGATGACGCTGTCAAGTCTGCTGAAGCTGGTAATATTGTTATTATTGGTGGTGGTGATACTGCTACTGTTGCCAAGAAATACGGTGTTGTTGACAAGTTGTCCCACGTTTCTACTGGTGGTGGTGCCTCTTTGGAATTATTGGAAGGTAAGGCCTTACCAGGTGTTGTTGCCTTATCCAACAAGGAATAACTAGTACATTTGTAGAGAGAGAAAGCTTATACTATGATTTTAATAATAAACATTTTTTGTGTATTACAAACAAATTCTATTTAGCACTACAACTTTGCCTTCCCACTACAAATACTAGCCCACGATTGGTCATCCAATTGCTCGTATCTGGTTTTGTTTAACCAATAAATAACTTCTTCACCACTTTCGCCTCGAGGCAACTTCTGCTTCTTGAATTGATTCTTTGAAACTTTATGATTATGGGATGATTCAATTTCATTGTTTCTAGCAATCTTGATGAATTGAGGTTGGGCGTAGTTTGGAAGGGAATGTACTACATGGTCGCGAATCTTGGTCAACACAGTTTGATCATCAATTTCATCCACTGGTTCAACCACGGCAAAGCAAGCACGACCTTCGTGTTGAGGAACTTGGACACCGACAACCACGGATTGTTTAATAGCATTAGAACCCATCAATTCATTTTCAACTTCAGTGGCCGAGACATTTTCGGACTTCCAACGGAAGGTATCACCTAATCTATCGACAAAGAATAACAATCCATCGCTGTCCATCTTTAACAAATCACCACTTCTGAACCAGGCATCACCTTTGCTATAGACATTGGTGATTAATTTACTGCTGGTAGCTTTCTTGTTCCCGTAATAACCTTGGAAAGTTTCTTCGATCTTCTTGGGGTTCAAGATTCTCATCAAGAGTTCACCTGGTTCATCGGGACCGGCTCTAACACAGAACCCCGTCTTTGGGTCCCTCCAAATTTCATTCTCGTCTTCAGGGTCCATCTTGACGATAGTCTGTTGATAGCGCAAGAACAAGTTGATCAAGGACCCGTACTTTCTGCATGCACCAATTCCAAATTCCCCGTATTGGATATTAGTGGTGGCGATTGGTGATTCGGTAGCAGCATAAAACTCACCAATTGCTTCAATGTGGAATCGCTTCTTGAACTGGCCCCAAATGTCCCTTCTTAAACCATTCCCATAGGCAATCTTCACCAGGTGTCTCACTTGGTCCGGGTGGTATTGTGCATGTAACAAGAATCGACACACTTCTCCCACATACTGCACGTGTGTTGCTTTACTAAGTCTAGCCTGGGTCCAGAATGTCGAGGCTGAGAATTTCTGAGATAACGTGACACAAGCACCGGTGATCAACGACGGACAGACTCCAAGCATGGCCGCGGTAGAATGGTACAATGGCATGGCAGTAAGCACATTGGAGTCCTTGTTCACCTTCATGATGTACCCGAAAAAGATGGATGCCATGAACGCTTTACGCCAGGACATGATCCCAGCCTTAGGTAACCCAGTTGTACCTGAGGTGTAAATCAAAGCTGCAGGAGATGAATCCTTGTCTTGGGGTCTTCTGGTTTCATCCTTGGCTCTGTGTTTAGGTGTGGATTTGCGAGATAACCTATCAAACAACTTTTCTTCATCAAGGTAGTTCAATTTGACATTTGGCAACTCCTGTTTGATCTTGTCTTCGGTTTCCCGAATGGGATCAGCACAATCCGGGTCGATGAACACTTGAGATACGTTGGCAATGGAAATACAGTGGATCAATGGCTTATCCTTGGTATTGAAGTTTAAGAAAGCAGGCAAGGCCCCAATGTTCCAAAGAGCAAGCCAAAGGACAAGGAAAAGCGGCTTGTTCATACAATCAATCCCAATGGTGTGTTCGGATGTGATTCCATATTCGTACTTCATAATGTACGACATACGCAACACCATATCGTATAATTGCTTGTAGGTGTATTCTTCGATCTGGAACTGGGTGTCATAAATGGGGAACCCATCGGCATCGAGTGGTGGCTCTTCAGAATTGGCCACAGGACGAGGGAAACACACAGCTTTACGGTTGCCGTATTTCAAGGCTGCCTGTTCGAAATAGTACCAGTAGGAAGCACGACCGTGGTTGGATCTGTATAAGTAGGGAAGAGCGCTGCGAACAACTTTCTGTATAAGCATGATGTCATCCTTAATTAAGTACTTGGATTCTAATAATTGAGTACCTAAGAAGGCTCCAAGTGCAATTTCTAATCCTGACATGATAGCGGTGAAGTACTTGGTAGATAGATAGGAAGTAAGGAAGGAAGGAAAGAAATAACTAGAAAACGAGTGGTATATAAAGCGGTTGAAATTTATTAAATATATTTACATAATGAGATTAGAGCAGATTACCCCAAAAAGGAAACCATGAATTTTTCATATGTTTTTTTTTCCGGTAGTTTCGCCTTGAGATCCCGCGGATTAACTGAACTTAACCCCGATTGTCGCATCAACCGGTGTCAATATATACCGCCACACAATAGACACGAGTAATGTATATGCAAATAACACATTGGATATATCCCGGCCTGGTTCTCAACAATGTTCTCATTGTAATAATTAAGTAAAAGTTACATTTTAGAGCAATGCCGGACTATCACATGATGACCTGGTTTGGAGACGTCATTTGTACAATGTGCCGATGGTTTTTACCCCAACCAGGCTCAGCTTGCATTTTTACCCCAACAAAAAAAAAAAATCAAAAAACCACTGGCTCTTGACAGCAAACTTTTAATTTCCCAAATCTGCAAAACGGATCTCTCTCTCTCTCGCTTGTGAAATTTATTCCCCACTCTGTATGTCACCACCACTATCTATGAAATTGGCATTGGAAACTACCCCAAAATTCCACGAATTCGAAGTAGGTACCGATCCCGATTGGGTATGTGCTGGTTGTGGCACTGGTAATGGAGCTTGGGTATGTAGTGGCACAGCCAGTTGGTGTAGTTTGTATAACGGGGCAGTAAAGAATTTCTCGCCATATCCCGAAGATTGAGCAATGGGTGAACTAACATTTGTAGTTGCAACTTCGGTTTTCCAAGTAGCTACCTTTTTGTCCTGTTGCACCAAGAAATTTAGTATTTCATCGCATTTTGCTGAAATTGCGGCCAGGGGTTGATCTCGATGAAGTCCAAATTGTATAAGTGCTTTGAGTTCAGCTATGGTAGTGTCTTGCAAGTACTCTGGTATGCAACATTTCTGATGTTTTGCCACTAAAACTTTTAAAATCTCGTAAAAGAAACAGCGGTTTCTTTCTAAATTAGTAACGTCGATAGCCTGGGCTAACATGGGGATAAACCCAATAAAATCGTTGCACAAGCTATGTTTGGCCAATTCTCTTATAACCAACCCCAATTTCAAGTCATTTTCACCACAAACTTCCTGGGATTCATACAACACCGTAAACATGCCCAATTGTAAATTACATAATAGTCTGAAAATGGTACATCTAGTTTGAATCACCGGTGGATAGTTTAAATCCCACTTTTGGAAATGTAACTCAATAATCTTTCTCTTTTCCGGATATTCGTAGTATCGATAATGACACCAGCAGTAACTCAACAACATCTCCATTAACAATCGTTGTAATGAAGCATTGCAATCACTGAAAATGGTGAATATCCTGCCATTATCCACAAACTCTTCAATGCAATCATTGAATACTTCCAAGTAGACATTGGGGTTGTCTAACAATTCATTATGAGATTGTCCAACTGCTAGGATCCTTAATAATGCCAATGACTTTTCAACGTTGTCCTCAGTTGAATTCAATACGGTAACTTTCGCTTCTGAAATAGTTCTAGTTGCCTTCCATGCTTGGTCAAAAGTCATTCGGGGAATGGTAATGTTGCATGATAACAACTTTGTCATGGGAATCTTTTGTTTTCTTTTGGTTCCGCCGAACAAGTTATTGGTCTTTATGTTAAGGTTTTGAAGCTGCTTGAATGAATAAACAATCTTGGGAGTTGATGTGGGTAAATTCTTGTTTAAGAACTTTGTGATTGACTTGTCACTAAACCCACTCGAATTGTTCATAATAACATGTAGTCTATTGTTTCCTGAACTCAAAGCTATTGACGAGCTAGGTTCAAACTTGTTGAATTCCCATTGTGAATTTTCATTATTGGTTTTGTTATCTTCAAATTGAGTCATGCCTGATTCTATATGAGGGGATGTACCAGTCGATGGACCACCTCCAGCACCGCCAACACCAACACCACCGCCACCGCCGCCGCCACCTCCACGACCCCCACCATCGTCATCATCACTCTTGGGTTGATCTGCTGAAGTATCTTGAACCGCTGATTCGTCATTCAGCGGCTGTTCCTTGTCATTCCAATTACACAACTTGATAACTTCACTAGTTGAAGAAGTAACCTTGTTCTTAAATGACAAGTAATACTCCCTTACCCCAAACGTAATAGCACCAGCAATAACAACCACTAGAATCAATGTAAGGAATATGTAAAAAGCATTAGTCAACAAAACACAAGTGTCGATGGAATTACCCGCTGAATCAACAACACTGTTATGATGGTGACCAAACTGGTTACTGGTTGGAGACTTGGCTTTGGCTTTGAGTAATGCTACTGTATCTTTGTTACCTAGTTTGAGATAGGAGTCCATGTGATTGTCGAGAATGTAGTAGGGTTCTTGATGGAATTTGCTATGTTTTCTATTATGTTTCGGATGATTTATCTGCTCAAGTGTTGGTTCGTGAAGTGTCATTGTCAAAGTGTACTGTTGTCGAGCTTGTATAAGGCTGAGATCTATGGTCTATATCAGTTTGACGGGGAATACTGGACAACAAACTAAACTCACAAACTAATTCCACAAATTGCTGCTAAAAAAAACACTGGGAATCGCTAAAAAAAAAGTACGGCGGTAATTGTTTCCCAATGCAACATCATCTGATTTGTATGCAGGATCTAAAAAAATCACCTCAGAAATTTTAACAAACCCCCCAGCCAATCCTGGTTGAAAATTTTGTCAGACAACAACTATAAGTATAACTTGAGATCCCACCAGTAATACATCCTTCTTTTGATAAGAACAGGAGTGATTAACCATGCTATCCAAGTCCCGATTCTTCTTTACCAAGAACTCCATTGTGTTGAATACATTGGCCCAGAATAAGGGATGTCGTTTGACCTTGAATCAACTTCAATGCAACACGCCAACTAAAAGTATATTCTCCACTATCAGATCTAGATTTATCCCTGGATTGAAAACCACCAAACGTCCGTTTGGAACCAGATCTTACACAATTGCAACTGCCGACGCAACTACAATTTCCGATATTCCCAAGATCAAATTATCCATTCCTAAACCGGAATCTCCATCAACTTCCCCAAGATCTGTCGGATGGTGGTTGGTTGGAACTTCCGGGCTTGTGTTTGCCATTGTCGTCATTGGTGGACTCACTAGACTCACGGAATCTGGTCTTTCCATCACCGAATGGAAACCAGTTACCGGTGCCCTCCCACCCATGAATCAAGAAGAATGGCTCGCGGAATTTGACAAGTACAAGGAAAGTCCCGAGTTTAAGCAATTAAACTCCCATATTTCATTAGAGCAATTCAAGTTTATCTATAGCATGGAATGGGGACATCGTCAATTAGGTCGATTCATTGGATTGTTCTTTATCTTGCCAGCTGTGTTTTTCTGGAAATCAGGCAGATTCACTCCACATATTACAAAGAGAGTTATTGGACTTACTGGATTATTAGGCTTACAAGGTGCCATTGGTTGGTGGATGGTTAAGTCCGGATTGGATGAAGAACAATTGGCTGAGCGTAACTCAAAACCTACTGTGTCACAATACAGATTGACCACCCATTTAGGTGCCGCATTTGCCATGTATCTTGGTGTCTTGTGGACTGCATTCGAAATCTTAAATGAAAACAAGTATATCAAACAAGCCAAGACCACTCCTGAAGCATTAAAGACCATCTTGGAACAATTGAATAACCCCGTTGTCAAGAAAGCTAAAGTCATTGGAATTGCATTACTTGTATTGACTTATGTTACCGCCATGAGTGGAGGTATGGTAGCCGGGCTTGATGCTGGACTAATTTACAACACCTTCCCACATATGGGTGACGATTGGATTCCAAACAAGGGAGAATTGATGTCACCAGTATACTCCAGAAAACCAGACCAGTCCGATTTATGGTGGAGAAACCTCCTCGAAAACCCAACTACTGTCCAATTGGTTCATCGTATCTTTGCCACCACCACCTTCTTTGCCATTTTAGCCGCACACATGTTTGTCAATAAGAACAAAACTCTGATCCCTAAGAAAGCCAAGATGGTCATGCACACCACCATGGGTCTCGCCTTGCTCCAAGTCTCACTCGGTATCACCACCTTGATTTACTTGGTTCCTATTCCGCTCGCCGCCGCCCATCAAGCCGGTGCGTTGGCATTGTTGACTGCATCATTGGCATTCTCGGCTAAATTAAAGAAGCCAAGACCAGAATTGGTGAGTTACGTCAACAACTACATGAAATCACAGTTATTAAAATCTAAGATTTAATCAGAGTAAACTATAAACCCTGTATATATGTAACCTTGTATAAAAGAAAAAATATATGTTTTACCAGATCCTCTTGCTTGACATTTTGTACCGCATCACCTGTGATAACCCTTCATCACCAGCGTCCTTCTCCAACTTGGATTCATGAAGCGGACCCTTGAGAAGTTTCTTATTCCGAGTTTCCTCAAGCGTGGGTGGGATCTTCTCGTCGGCATCGTACAAATGAGCACGAGTCTTTGAGTTTATCGTGGATGGTTCGGTGTTGGGAGATCCCCGCAAGAATGTTGCACTGATGGATAAATGAGAATATGAGTCGTCGGATGGCGATGGGGTGCGTTCTAAAATTGTTGTCTGTTTGATGGGGGTGGGAACAACAATATCGGGGACTGTCTTCAGTTTAAGTTCTGCTTGATGATGTTTATGTTTGATCACTAAAATACTGGCAGTTTTGAAAATTACAAGTCCAAGAATGACTCTGACCAACAACAATGTCAAATATGTAGCAAGGATAAGTCCCGCGCTTGATAATATACTTGGGCCAATAAAGATTGTTTTAAAATCAACCAATGTCATCTTCAAAAAACATACCACAGTAGCCAACAAGGGTAGCCCAATTCGTCTCGTCAAGGCAAGATAATCAGAAAACTCACGGGAATGGTTTGAATGGTGAAACATTTCCAAGAAGTCCAAACAGGAAACATACAAGAAGTTTCGGTATATTCTTGGTCTAAACCGATTAAACTTGGAAATATAACAATGTTTTAACCAGTCCACAAATACTTCACTACCAATGACAATAAATCCCGGTCCGAATAACGCTCCAAACCAAATGTTCCAATTCTTGGAAAAACTATTGGGAATGAGGGTTCCATTTATGCTCAACTGCAGCAAGTTACGTAAACCAATGATGCTCAACATGAGAGAAAGTTGGAACCGTTCGGACAAATCAGCCATGGTGATTTGGAATAAACCTTCTCGTTCGAACTTTTTGAATACAGAACCTTTCAATTCTGAAAACTGGTTTGAAAGTAAAAGTGTCATTAATGCATTTGAATATGAATTGACAGCCACGTTAAGTGAAACTGTTTGATATATGAGTATGTATGCATGGAATGATAAGTAAAACATTCCTATTATGTAGAAAATGATAAACCTGGGTATAGATTGATTCAGTTGGTACAATATATTAAGGATATCTTGGCCTAATGAAGAACACAACTTTTCAGCCACTTCCAATACTCCAAACATAACATATAATTTAATATCAGTTTGACCTCTAATGTCATGATACATTCTCGAAATATCTAGATTCAATGTAGTTAAGATGTATATTGAAATTGGAATTAGACTGAATGTAATTAAATCCCGTTTGACCAATTGAAATGAGCTCCAGGATGAGGATTTCCTTTTAAAGACAAATCCAAATAATGCTTGGATTGTAACAATGACAATTTTCAAAGGTGCTAATGTGAATAACGTCAAGAACGTGTTTAGGCAGACTAACAATCCAAACAACATGTATCGTTCCAAATAAAAGGGGATCTTACACATGTTGAGCACTTCATCAAATGAATTGGTTGCCAATTGCAATTGTTCCTTGTCGTCTTCATCTTTTGGTTCATTCAGTAAATTCAACTCAAGTAGTAACAATCTATACAAGGAAAATAGTCGTCTTTTGCTTTTAGAAGTGATTGAAACTCTTTTGCGTTCCTTTGATGACGTAATGGGGACAAGAAAGTCCAATAAGGAATTCTTTCTTGAGCGGGAATGATCTTGGGGTAGTGGTGGTGTAGAAGTGGTTGGGGTAGATTGTTTCAGCAGATCGGGGGTTGGAAGCGGTGATGCTTGCAGTGGGGAATCCTGCTTGTTATTTTTATCCATGATGTGTCATTTATAGGTGGGGGATGCAAATAGGAGTATAATTTTTGTAATGGAAACAAGTGAAAAGAAGATACGAATTTTTTGTGGTGACTAAAACCAACCAGATCAAACCAACCAAGTGCTAATTGAAATCCACCGAATCTTCAATCTGAAACAAAAAACTACGTCATCTGAATTTTAGTGAATACATCCAACGTACCACCACAAAAAAGTTTACCTACGAACGACAGCAACCAATTGCGGAGCACATTCTTGTTTTAACCGCCCATACAGAACATTCGCCACATCGTTCACTATCAAAAAATCCGACATAGCCATCACTCTTTTTCACAACACATACACCATGGAATTACTAACTCTTGATCAGTTCATTCATTATCTTGAACCGTATGCCAATAAGGAAACCCTTAACCCTATAGAAGCGTCTAAGCTTCAATTGCTAATCACCGAACTATTGGTTGATTACTATGTTGATTTCCAAGTATTGAAATTCATAAGTCGATTCTTGACTCAGCAATCATACGACGAGATCATTGAAGAACGCAATATAGAACATCAATGTGGATATATAACATGTGATCAATCACCAAAGCAGATGGTTAGGAGAAGAAGCAGCAGTAGCACCAATGGGATATCTATTGTTAGTGAAACTGATACTGCTTATCAATATCAGATATATAATAGAAAGCCAACAATGATTTTACCCAACACATACCTTTCCCAATATTGTTGTAAGGAACATTATCAAGCATCTATCTTTTATCGCAACCAATTAAGTAACGAAGCTATATTTGCGAGAAAGGATATCATGGTTGTCCCTCCATTTTCAGTAACTGGAACTTGGTGGTATGAAAATTCCATAACTTGCTTAGAAGAAGTAATTGCTAAACACAAAGAGTTGAAACAACAGGGAAAGTCCTTATCTCAAGTCATTGCTATGATGAGTGGATTATCGGTAGATGACGGTAACCATGAAGCTGATGAGTCAACGAATCAATTAGTACAATTAATTGAAGATTTTGAAATTGTCGAAAAGGAATCGAATTTAGTGGGTGATGTATTACCAGAAGAAGAGGAAGAGGATGTTAAAGATGGATCAGTCAATAACATCGAAGGGTATGTTACTAATAGCAAAAGCTTTGGTGGTTACGTTGTATAGCATTATGTACTATTCTAATGATTGACGATTATATACAAGTCTTAAAATTTAAATCTATCGGGGAATTTATAACCATAGTGATAATTATAAAACCCTTGCTCTTCAAGAAAGTCTCCCAATGTTTTACCTCTACCGATTCTTTCTTGCCTTGGAAATTCATCTGTTTTCATCTTATTACCTATTCTCTTTTTGAATGTGGTTGTTATCTCAGGAGATACAATTTCACTGTGTTTATGTACGGAATATCTCGACAAATTCTTAGTTAACTTGTCAAAACTTTCTACCTTAGTTCTATACAAGTTATTCATTTTGTCTTGAACATTAGTACGGGTAGTTTCCAACTGATTGCCGCTTACTTGTTTAATCTGACCGACAAGCTGTGAGTAATCCAGATTAACTTTCTCTGATGAAATATCCAAGAATTCAAACCAATCCTGGAATTCATCAAGATTTATGGGTTCATCACTTCCTTGTTTCTCCAACTCATGCATCTTAATAAACAACTCAAAAGTAGCTTCACCCCAGGCCAAATCTTCATAATATTTCCGAGGATACATCAGTTCATGGGGCCAGAATCCTCGACATCCGGGAATAGAATAACTTCCATCATCATTAAGGGTTTCTCCCGACAACTCTTTGGTTCCTGCCTCCCATACTCGTTTCATTCTAAAGAGTAAATACAGTCTTGTTACCAAGTAACCTACTTGTCTCCTGCCTACTTTTCTTCGATATGGGGTCATAAGGTATGGTATTCCTACAGGGCCAGCACGACAAAATTTGGCCCGTACGAGGTATGGTCCTTTCTCATTAACTATTTCTTCAACTTTCTTGAAGTGATGAATATGGTTGATGTCGTATTCCATGCTAGGGATAATTATCGATTGTATGTACTCCTTATCGTATGCCTCCGAAATTGCTCGTTTCGAAACTCCATCTATTATATGATAGTGGGTATGTTGGTTTGTATCAAGTTGTTCTCGCGTATATGGAAGTAAACTGGGTATTGGTATCATTCTCTTTTCTTGTAATTTACTAAGATATCGTCTTAGAGTGTCTCTTCCATGGACTTCACTTGCACTTAGAGACTTTCTAATAAATTCAAGTCTGTGTTCAGGAACATCAACACCTGTACATTCACTGTCATCATTGTTAGTTCTTAATCCTTGAGCAATTCTTCTCTTGTTACGTCCACGGATCTGGTGTGATTCTTTTGTGGTTACTTCTTCCTTCCTCAATAAGTAAGACCCCCGTCTTAGTTGTGCATTAAACTTTTCTCTTCTCCCGTCTTCAATCACTTGGAGAAACTCTTCCCAAGGTCCGCCAGCTAACAACTTATCCAATGATTCATCAAGGGATATTCCAGAGAGAAGAAGCTTAGCAAGTATGTCTGGTCTCGCGGGATTTCGTCTAAACTCTTCAATTATACCTAGACGTAGTTCATATGATATTTGATTAATATATGCAGTGGTGTCTTTTTGCAATAGTGATGCTGGTGGTGGGATGGTTTTTATCTTGGTAGATTTTCGTAGAAGTGATCTATATAGCTGACATATCGACTCTTTGTGAGTGATTTTGTCGGTTATCCGTTTCATCAGTTGACCACTTTGTTGAGATGAAAGTAGCTTTTCACATCTATATATATATACATTTTTTTTTTCACCCAAATCAAAACTTACTTCACACAGCAATTAGCAACACCATAGATACATAATGGTAAGTACATTGAAACACCCTCCGTTCGCGATCATCAACTAACAAAATCTCAGCCACCAAAGAAATCCACTGTGAATTTGATCACTGTTTTGAAATTCAAAAGAAGTCGAATAACATACACCATTCCCTTCACTTCAACAACCTCCCTCCAACACTTGAAGCAACAAGTAGCTGACGCGATAAATAACTCTGGTGGTGTTCAATCAGATGAACCGGAAAGGGAACCGGTTGATGAAGAAGACGATGAAGAAAATATTCCAGTTCCCAAATCTGAATTCATTGAGAATGGTGAAGAGGAACAAGCGGAAGTCTTGGTCACGCCTGAACAATTGAGAATTGCTGTGCCTCAAGACATGTCCTCTCCCTATGATAACCAATGGCTCGAACTTGATGATTCCATGCTTCAAAAGATCAAGTTTAAAGATTACAACATCTTAGCATTTGGTGTGGATGATGAGCCATTCGACATAGTCGAAGCCGCTTACGAAGAGGACGAATAATCTTACAGTTTTATACAAAAATCTATATAAATATAGAAAACGAAACTAATACTTTTTCCCACTGACTTTTCTGATCCCTCCTGAATGAACTCGTACTTGAGTTTGTGATTGAATACCGTTGGCCAGAATCACTCTGTTTTTCGAGGACCGCGCCTTTGGCATCCTGATGCTAGGTGATCCTGCTGGTGAACTAGACAAGGTATGGCTGACTGTTCTTGTGGTGGTTGTAGTTGTAGTTTTGGTGACCAGTAACGGTTGGTTGGTTCTTCTGGCATTGGTAGATATTGATCTTAATATTTTCCATTGGTTAGGGGTGCTTGTAGTAACACCATCCTTCCCAGGAGTACTCTGTATATCTTGCATCATTACAACATTTTCATCATCATCGTCATCGTCTGAATTATTAATAAGTTCAGTTTCGTGCTCCTCGGCAGCTTCCATATACTTTCTGGGTTGACCAGGAGAATCATTGGGCACAGCTAATTGAATCTTGGACGTTAACGCGCCACTGATCTTTCTTCTTCTAATTGGAGTTTGAAATGATGAATCCATTTGACTGAAACTAGAATTGACAGTAAGAGCATTAGCTTCCTGTTCCCTTAATTTCTTCTTTTCAATCTTCATTCTAGTCTTAAACTCTTCGTAACTAATCAACGGATATAATCCATCAATGAAATCACAAGGTCGATTATCCAACACCATGGTATGTCTCCAATCTCTAAAGTCATTCTGGTGCAAATAAAGCCAATGCTGCTGTGGGCCAACAACCATCCCGGGTCTTAGCATCCGCATGTATGCGATACATTCATTAGCGGTGAATCCATGGGTGTATATCAAATGAGCACCAATAAGACAACCGGTACGGCCCAATCCGGCTTTACAATGGACAGCAATCTTCCCTCCTTGGTTTATGATTGTTTCTGCTGCACCTACAAACTTCTGGACATAGTCTAAAGTGGGGCATGTTCCATCATCGAAAATCATATCAATGTGTCTAATGTTTCGTTTGGTAAATTCTTGAGAGTCATATAAGTGAGAGTTCAATCTAACCACCAACTGAACATTGTTTTCCATGAAATAGCTCAATACTTTCCTGAATGGTTCATTAATGACATTACGTTTGGTTTGCTGAGGAGACGCGAATGCAATGAAATCTTTGGAAATAACATTGAAATCACCTTGATCCACACGTTCATACTGTTCATACTCTTCTAAATTAAAACTTGTCAAGTCAATCATCCCCCTCTCCTTGGCTCTCCACATGGCATACACTATGTCTTGAATGGTGATTTCATAATCAGCATGAGAATAACCAGCATCTCTGAACCCTTGGAATGGTGGATCACATTGGGCAATAGGTTGCAACACTTGATGCGGTGACCAAGACTGGATCAAGACCATATAGCAGCATAACAAACATGCAGCATTGGCTCGTTGTTTAGGACAACTGGAACTGTAGAACACGACGGCTTTGCCCTGATTATTCTCTTCATTGAGGATGTTGTGGAGGATAACTGCGAACCGATAAAGAATGGCAATGTTCAACGGTCCAAAATCCAAGTGAAATGAATTGTAAGGAAGGGAGTCTTCTATGGTGAAATACACCAAATCTTTTGTGTTGGGTGGACTATAATCAAAAGCTCCAAGGTAGATACGATCTAGATTAGCGTTAGTAGACGACTTCTATAGGTGTAACATATAGCTAAGACATACTTTTAAGAAACTCAATGAGTGGAACGTCGACGATATTTTTTCCCATGTTGGTTAATCTATCTGGTTATGTTAATTGCTGATAAACAGGAACTGCTAAAGGAAACTTATATAAAACCCGCTGCCCAGTTTCATATTCTTGTGTGATGGGAAATTCGCTTGTTTGTAATTGACTTGTTTTGATTGTCGCCCAAAGGGGAAAATGCTAGATTGAGCCACACGACTTTTTTTTGTTTTTTGTTTTTTAGGCAAAGTCGTAAATATGAAATATCTGCGACTTTTTGAGACAGCAAAGATTGACACACGTACAAGATAGCACACATAACATGGTATGCAAATGATATAGGCTAGCTTTTTTTTTAACTATGAACTAACAAGAACAGTCCACTGCATTGTATTCATTCTCATCCGAGACCTTAGCTGAACTTCGCAAATTTAGATTTGCAAGTGCTAGGGTGGATAAGATGCAAGCAGCAATATGTAAGTAAATGAAAGCATATCCTACAGCAACCAGGTACTAACATATCTAGACGTCATTGACAAAGAATCATATGAAGTCAAAAGAGACGATACTGAAATAATTGATTCTGTTGAAGACTTGATTGAAGAATTACCAGACAACACCCCAAGGTACATTGTTTTATCCTACCCATTCAAATTGGATGATGGAAGATTGAAAACACCCTTGGTTTTACTCTATTGGATTCCTCCTACTAGTGGACAAGAAAGCCGGATGTTGTACGCTGGTGCATTGGAACAATTTAGAGATAAAGCTGGTGTTTCAAAGTATGTAATATTTGCAGCAGATGTGAAAAGTCTGTTTACTAACTGTTTCTAGGTTAATTAAAGTTGAAGATGAGGATGATTTTGAAGACTTACAAGAGCAATTGTTGTAATGGATTTTTATAGATATTAATATATATCAGGTTAACCTGACCTTCTCAATCTATCATATTTGGCTATTTATTCTATTTTTAATCAAACCCTAGAAGAGATCACCAAATTCTTCTTAAGATGTCAATTTTACCTGTTCCTTTGGTATAACTAGCATTTGGAAGCAATAACCAAAGGCATAAAGTAACAAAAAACATCGCAATAAACAGTGGTAAAACCACAAATGCCCCCGCAAATTGAGAAATTAACCCCACCAAAAATGGAAGCATGGCACCACCCGAAGATCCAAATGCTGTCATTACCGTAACTGAAATCACTGCAATTTTTCTTGGGATTAAATCTTCCAGTACTATGTAAGTAATCATTAACGGATATACTGGACCGATCATTATACCTACTAATGTTATAGTAACTATTTCAATGGGTAAACTTGGAATAACCCATGTTAGTAATGCAAATAATATCGATAACGCAATAGCGATGGAGTTCCCTCTTCTTGCTCCAATTAACTTATGAATTAATCTCGTTAATACTAATCTTCCAAAAGTTAACCCAAACCAATAACCAGAAGCAACGTACCCTATTGAAGGGTTTTTATGGTTTCTATAATCTCTCAAATAGGTAGTAATCCACCCACCCAACGATACTTCACCTCCTTGATAAAAGAATATGAATAACGCGGAAAACCATGTTCTTTTGTTTGTCAATGCTTCCTTCATCAACCCAGTACTTTTAACTTGCAATACTGGCTGTTGTTGCTGCTGTTCTTTCTCGTCCCATGGATTGAGATCTTCTTGACCATGAACAAAAGCAAAGTATGTGTTTACAGTACTAATCAAGAATATCCCCAATACAACCAAATAGTAATAGTTCCATTTTAGCCCAGCTTCAACAAATGCAGTTGCAATTAAAGGTGAAGCAGAAGCACCCAATCCATAGCAACCATGGAAATAACCAAGTGCAGTTGAAGACTTTTCCAACCTTCCAATAAATACATTATATTGAGCTACACAAATCCCAGCGCCCATACCATAAAAGAAAAACCCAATCACTATAATTGGATAATACAGGCCAGTCAGCACTAACGTATACATGATTATGCAAGAGACACAACCCCAGAAAATTGATTTCCGGCCAAGCTTCTTCTGAATCACGTCGGAAAGTAATGCAACGAGAATACAACCCGATGCATTACTCAACCATAATATGGATGCAACAGAATATGAAATTCGATATTGAATTTCAATGTAGTTTAACAAAACCCCAACTGATCCATCAGAAAGCCCACTTCCAAATGCCCAAAATAGAGCAGTGAGGAGTCGAAACATATTTTTAGGTGGATTTTGGAATGTCAATGGACCAATTTCTTCAACTATTGTCACTGTTTCAACTTGGGTTTTGCCATTGGAACTGTATATTGGATTGGTACGTATTGGCTGCAATTCAATTGAAGTTATTCCCCTTCGGGAATTCGAAGCAAATGAGTTTTTATTCGCCATTAATACTTAGTGTAAGTACTAAAATCAATAGCAATCCTTAATCCTTCAAAGGTTTTTTACATTTTTTAAATACCCCGGAGTAAGTCATTTCTTTTGCAACGTTTCCTTACCCGTTGTGGAGCACTGATCCATAGATAAGTAAAAAAAAAAAATCTTGCCGAAAATCCTTTTCAGGAAGGGATACCAAAACGGGAAATGGATCCGCAGTAAATTTGCAACTTTATATCAGAATATCCGCTAAGATTTTCGGAACATTTAATTTCTCTGTAGAGCAATAAGGACGATTGATTCTAATAAAACCAAACAAGTTCCTGTGACGGTTGTGATTAGCTGAAACATCGGTTAGAAGGATTTATTGCCACTTCTATTCCTGAAATCGGCTTGTATGCGGTAATAATTTTATAGCCATATCCATGATGTAAATCAGTAAAATAATTCTTTCTAATCTGCAAATGTCCTTAAATATAACACCACCAGCAATGTTGTGTTTCCAACCAAGTAATATCAATTGGTGCATTACCTTCCATATTCCATTAAATTGCAGTTCGAAATGTCTTCACAACTGACATCTTTTGCGGAATTGTTTTCCACATTTGTGGCAAGTGTATGTAAGTTTCTTGTCCCCGTCTGGACCTTTGCAGTATTGATCTGGCCTGTCTTCAACATCATAGAAAAGTTGATTAAGGCGTAGCTTAATGTTATCCTTTGTATGGGATGATTGAACATTTCTGAATTTAGGTGTCATGTAACTTGTTTTATTAATTTTTGGGTGCAATTTTAACAAAATCTAACTGATTTCTACTAAATTAATATATAGAAAGTTACCGCTGTTAACAATACCATTCCACCTAAGATATTCTATAATAATGTTATAATTATAAAACCACTATTACCTTCCAATGTGATTCATTTTACCATTCTTAGTGTTTATGTATGGAATCAAGATCGAGTGGTACAAAATTTACGCACGACTTAAGTAAACCTTAGAACTGATCGAAAAATTCAAACGGTCGTGTACCTAGACAAAATATTTTTTTTTCAGGCATCTGCAGGTTTATAAAAAGAACTAGTTGAAAAAAATTTTTCACTAACAATTCTACTCTTCTTCTTCTTTATCAACTAAACAAAAATCAGTCATCATGGGTCGTATGCATTCATCTGTATGTGAACCGCCAATAACAACAATATAATAATATGCGACTAGCTAATATCTAAGGATCAACTTCAGTTTAGTGCACAATTTGCACCTTTTTGGTGTCACTATTCAAGGTCTCTTCTAGAGTAAACAATTCATATGTTCAAAAATGAACCGAGTTGTTAATATACACTTTAGATGATTGGATACTTGGGTATGTGTTTGTGTGAGTGGGTGATACCACGGCTGGTTGATACCATATTATTTGATTCTGAGTAATCGAATTGAACTTGTACATTGTGAACCCATAAGGATATCTACGGTTCGACTGTATCTGTTTGAAGTTCCACTCAGAAGATTATTGTAGTGAATGAATTTAATACTAACATTTGTTTGCAGGGTAAAGGTATTTCCTCCTCCGCTCTTCCATACTCAAGAAACGCTCCATCTTGGTTCAAGTTAACCTCTGATGAAATTGTTGAACAAGTCATCAAGTATGCCAGAAAGGGTTTAACTCCATCTCAAATTGGTGTTATCTTAAGAGATGCTCACGGTGTTTCCCAATCCAAGGTTGTCACTGGTAACAAGATCTTGAGAATCTTAAAGTCTAACGGTTTAGCTCCAGAAATCCCAGAAGACTTGTACTACTTGATCAAGAAGGCTGTCTCTGTCAGAAAGCACTTGGAAAGAAACAGAAAGGACAAGGACTCTAAGTTCAGATTAATTTTGATTGAATCTAGAATCCACAGATTAGCCAGATACTACAGAACCGTCTCTGTCTTACCTCCAAACTGGAAGTACGAATCTGCTACTGCTTCTGCTTTAGTTGCTTAAGTTAATTAAGTATATAATTTATTTAATATTTGTATTTATAAAACTTTAAGCTTTTTTTAAATCTTGCTCACTTGTAGGTTGAATTTCCAGTGGGAAAACAGGAAAAATATTTTGATGATATTTTGGCAACCCACTTTACAACTACCCTGCTACACATTCCCCCCCTACCACCTACACATACTGATGGAGGCCATATCAGAGAGAGTATTCACAGAACCTACATCATCATCGGAGGCCATATCGGATGAACCTTCTCTTCTCACTATAATCCTTGATATATCTCCCTTGGGATGGTACAAGTTACGCGATCTCATGACACTAGAAGAAATGACCAAGAACTTGCTTGTCTTTCTCAATGCACACTTGGCTCTTAACAACTCCAACCAGGTGGCTTTCATAGCTAGTTCACCTAAGGGATCGCGATTCCTTTACCCAAACCCAGCAAAAAGTTATCAAGAAGTGAAAGTACTGGATGGTGCTACTTCTGCCAGAGATTTTGTTAACAAGGGGATGTATCGACAGTTTAGAATTGTCGACAAGGCCGTCTTGGAAGAATTGAACGAGTTTCTAAATGAGATCAACAAAGACCAAGACGACACTATGCTTGCAGATCCTGCTTCTAAATTATCTGGTGCACTTTCCATGGCACTTACATATACTAATAGAATGTTAACTTTGGATCAAAGTATAACTACCACCACCGCGTCCGCAATTGCATCAACCACAAGCTCCAGTGCATCAGCAGCTAGCTCTACAGCTACGGGAGCTGGTGGAGCTAGTTCAGGCAGCTCGAGCACCTCCATGAAATCAAGGATATTGGTAGTTTCAGCAAATGACGACAATGACGTTAAATATATACCTATTATGAATACAATCTTTGCAGCACAAAAGATGAAATTGTCTATTGATATTATTAAACTAGGGGACGAAGAGAATTCGTCATATTTACAACAACCGTCCGATGCAACCAATGGTATCTATTTACACTTGACTGATCCTCGAGGAATTATTCAAGTATTATCAACTGCATATTTTATAGAACCATCATTAAGACCGTTCATTATCTTACCTACAAACTCCAATGTCAACTATCGCGCCAGTTGTTTCATAACGGGTAAAGCCGTGGATGTGGGATATGTTTGTTCCGTGTGTTTATGTATCATGAGTATTATCCCTGACTCAAAGAAATGTCCAACATGCAATTCCCAATTTGATGAAAGAATAATCCACCAATTGACCAAGGAGCCTGAAGTGGTTAAAAAGAAGAGGAAAATAGACAGCAAGTGATTTATATACCTGTGTTGATTATATCAAACTGGAAATCCAGCGGATAACTATGAGCCCTGATCAAATGCTGCTCTCTCTCCGACAGAGATACAAACATATCAGGACAATTGGCAACTAAGCATCTATATACCGCATTACCTCTTTCATGACTAATTTGAATGAAAGGATTATGATACTCATCAATATGTAGGTTCAAGTAATGATCGTTGGGGAAGTTCCGATGGCACGTAGTGCAAACATTATCATGAAATGTAATTATATGATGTTCATACTCATTGTAGTTTTGAAACTTCTCATCGCAAGGAGGTAACGTACAGGTAATTGCAACATGGTTGCTTCCACCAATGTTGTTGTTGTTGTTGCTGTTCTCCTGCTCCTCCCGAGGTCTCTTTCTTTCCATTAAAGATAAAATTTGCACTACATTTTTTTTTTGGCATAATCATAACTCATTTTTATATGCAACTATACAAGGGGAGGCTTAACTATTCTCCAATATCTTCATTCCATTCTTCTGGTCTTTCATCAATGAACTTCTTCATTAATGCTTTACATTCAGCATCATCTAAATTGACAATTTCAACACCTTCACTCTTCAATACATGTTCAGCACCAACAAAATTAGCATTTTCACCCATCACCACTCTTTTAATACCGTACAATAATACAGCACCAGTACACATATGGCATGGCGATAATGTGGTATACATGGTACAGTCTTTATAAACTTTTCCAGGTAATCTTCCGGCATTTTCAAGGGCTGATGTTTCTCCATGTAACGTAGCTGAACCCTTTTGAATTCTTAAATTGTGTCCACGACCGAGGACAGTGCCATCTGATGAGATTAATGCTGCTCCAATGGGAATTCCACCTTCCTCGTACCCTGGTTTGAGTTAGCATATGCATACCAAATAAGTTAAAGTATCGTACATACCCTTCTTTGCTTCTTCTAAAGCTATTTGTAAACCTTTTTTATCGTCAAATGTCATGATATTCGTAACCAAGGACGGGCAACTCATTTTTTTTTTAAAATTTCCCCCTTTTCTTTTTTTATGGAGGGGGGGATGATAACGGTGATGGAATTTTCCGGAAATTGGTAGCACTCAACTTCACTTGTATAAATTCAACACTCCACTTCTATCACCAGATATAATCATTTCAAAAGGTTCATACAAGTAGTTCAAATCATTGATAATATCTAAATGCGCTTTCGAGGATGCCCCAGACCACGTGGTTTGTTCATGTTCCGATTCAATCATGTCTTTCAATTCTAATTTCTCATCTATTATAACAGTATTCAGGACCGTTCTTGTCACAAATCTTGATTGGAATTGACTGTTGATTGATGTTGAACTACTAATGTTTGATAAATCCCATAGAATTATACGTTTGTCGTATGTTGCACATATTAAATAATGCAATATTGAGCGAACAGCCATGACTTCATTCTGTTTAATTGGTTTATTCACGTCCAAGTCTTTTAATAAATCATCAATATTGGTTTTGTTTGGGGTTCCTTCTACAAAGTACCTTTCAACACTAGAATCACCTTGGTCGACACGAAGGATAGTCTTGACCTCAAAATTAGGAATTTCTAAAAGAACAATTGTATGTGATGTATCACCCCCGATACTTACGGCAATAGTTAATTCACCTTCTTCTTTCTTCACCACCTGGAATGACTTGATAGAACTCACCGAGTACACTGTTTCATTCATCACATATTTCAATTGGTATGACTTGATAAGTAAATTGAATCGTAGATCCCATAAGTTGATTATTCCCAGAGATGTACCGGTAATGATCCAAGTCTCTTCAACAAAAAATGTGTTGATTATTCCATGAACCAATGGATTCTGAACTTCCTTTACTTTATTCATAGTTATAATATCAAACATCAAAATCTTCAGATTTGAATCAACACAAACTAGGAAATTATTACTAAACTTAGCATGTAATATATATCCGTCAATTTTAACCTGTCGTAACAATCTAAACTTGACATATCTTACGATCCTTCTATTCTTATTGCGACTTACTTCCACGGAAAACACCCGCACTTGTCCATCTTTGGTACATGCAACAAATACAAATCGGTCAGGTATGAAACAAATACACGTAATTTCACTCTTGAGATCTATACTCAATTGATAATTCTTACTATTGATAATCTTTTCAATCTTGAAACTATCCCACAATTTGATAATTCCACTTTCATACCCAGTAATAAAAAATTCCGAAGTATTGACAACTTCAATACATTTAATGGCATCAATTTCATCCTTTAAATGTGCCACCAAGCTTCCTCTTGGCTTAAATTCAATCTGTTGCTGTTGCTTGCTTTGACGATGCACGCTTCCAAACTCCGGGAAATCCAGAAGCGTAGGAGTAAGAGTTATTCCATTCAAGTAATTCAAAATATAAGGGTTCAGTCCCAGATAGGTATGTCTTATATGCGTAGTTATTATTTTTGAATTATTAATACTGAATACTCGAGTAGGAACATGTCCATTGACAACTGACGAACTTTTATGGGAATGAGGTAATCCATCTAATTCTCCAAATACATTAGTTTCCATAGTTTGAATGCTGGCTGTGACCTTTGGTGTGAGGAATGACAGTGGTTTGTCAACTTCAATATCAATGCTCAATTGTCGCGTCTTGGAATTAATCATTGGCTCAGACTTGTATGAAATATCAAAGAATATGTTGCGAGGATTGATCAATCCAGGATTATTGAACCTGCTTTCTAATTGTTCGGCAGGATGAGTATGTCGGATATATTCTCGCAACTTTCTAATCTTCCATAGTTCCTTTTCTTCCAATCCAATAGATTTTAGTTTAATCACCCATTGTCTATCTTCATGTGACAATGTTTTTGAGGAATTCCTCCAAAATAACAGTCGTTGACTCCTCGACCAATCTCGACTCATTTCAAAGATCTTGATAGTTAGTGGTCTTGTTAAGCTGGTATACAATGAATTCCAATCAATAATAGTAATGTCATAAGTGAGATATGGTTGCAAAATAGGATATAACCAACAATAACTATCGGCCACATTTGTTAGGTTTTCATTGATTGATATGATTAAATTAATAATTGAATGGCGAATCCATTGGTTTGGGTGTATGATTAGACATATGGAATTATTCAAAATTTCATTGTACACCACCTTGTTGGTTATAAATTTATTTTTGGTAAACGTATGGAAAACTTGTAGTACCTTAAGAATCACCATTTCTTGATTATCATTCAATGTTTGGATTAGTAATGGAAGCAAGTACTGTTCAAATGAGATTATTCCAATAAATGGACCGATTTCAAGTATTGCTGCCAAAAATGTCAATCTTAATTCATGATTTGTATGATCGTTAAGATATGAGATTAAATGAGGTAATATGATATCATTTGTTTTGTCAGCACCGAAAAACTGACATAATGGTAAGATATTGGTAAGAACATTACATTTAACTGTTGATTCTGAATCTGTCAATAATAACAATGTCAAAGTTTTGAACTTATCATATAACTGATCTTTAGAAGGTGGAGTTGCAAATGCTTTTGACATGATCCAAAACTTTTGTGATATGGTTGATAAATATGGTAAGCAAATAGCAATTGAACAATTAATCATTTTTCTGGAATTGGAATCAAGTTTGAGTATGAGTAGATTATAAAGTTTGGGCAACAAATACTCCGGGAATAAAAGGGTGTTAATTGGCGTGATGTAGGTTATAGTCAGTAACAAAGTAGTTATAGCATGAATAGTGTGAGAAACTACTTTACATGAAATATGGCTTTCTTCAGTTTGTGGTTGTTGATAATACTCTACATATTCGTCAATGAATTGAAACAAATAAGGTAAACTTCTATTCAATTTCGATTCATCAGATATCCGTTCACTAAAGGCTAATATCAATTCTATTGCCTTTAATTTTGAATCAACATGAGTCAATGTTTTGCAGAATGAACATATCGCATTAAGAATGATTAATGAAGGTTGTAAATCTGGTTTTCTTGGCTTAATTGAATAATTGTATGGCATTGTAGGAAGGTTTAACTTGGTGGGAATTGGAGAGAGGAATTCACCATTACTTTCGTCTGCGTTTGTGTAATTAAAATGCAAAGCCTTGCTTATCAATTCAAAATTGTCATAGATATATTCAATCTTCTCATCACTCGAATCTCCTTCATTCAATCCTTCCATGAAGTCATACAAGAAAGTGTAAAAATATTCAGGAAAACAAATATCATAAAATTCATCCAATAGTTCTCGTGCTGTAGATCTATCATTAGGATTGACCTTGAGTAACTTCATAACTAGTTTAATAACATTTTCTTCATTGATATATGCTAAATCAAGTTTGTTTGGATCTTCCATATACTTGAACAATTGTGACAATGTAAATGTAGGTTGACCATCAGAATATAATTCAGCTATAATACAACCCAAACTAAACAAATCCATGGCGTCAGTTAGGGTTTCCTTGTTATTGAACAGACCATCATCATTAAAATTGCTATGCTTTTGAAGATGTTGTCCTTTATAAAATCTTTCTGGAGCCAAGTAACAAATTCTCCTATTGGAACTACCGTCAAAGTAGAATGCGTATTGGTTGGGATTATCCATAGGTACAAATGTAGGCTTAATCATATTCGAGAAGTCGCTTAGCAAGATCCAATTCCAACTTGTAATCAAGCAATTCTCTAATCTTAAATCACCATGATGAATGTTTAATGCATGTAATTGACTGACTAACTTTAAAAGTTGGAAGATGATAAAGGACTTTTCTATTGGTTCCAAAAAGGGTCTGATTGACAATCTATCATACAAGTTGGTCTTTATCATTTGTCGGATAAGATATCCTGCTCTGTCGGTTTCAATAATCTTCAGATAACAATTGATATTAATCATGGGTGATATAGCTTTGGATTGCTTGACCAAGAACTCTGTTAGTCCTTGTAGTTGTATGTTGAATGAGCTTGTAGATGGCTTGATAAGGATCTTGATTATAACTAGTCCACCGGTAGTTTTGTCAATTGCTTTGATTGTCTTCAAGAATCGTGAATTACTTAGTAGTTCAAGGTACTGGTAATTGTTGTTCAATGCATCATCAATGTATGACGATATAGCGACCGTAGGGGCTGATGGAGCCAACAAAGACAATCGTTGGCCCATTATTAGTGTGGTAGTATTAGTGGTGGCAGGGTAAAACTGTGTAGTGGCGATTTACAACCAGAAACAAAACAGCGTTAATTTTTGTTGCAAGTATAAAATTTGGCTTAGGGAAAAACTAAACAAAGCCCAACAGTATGTTGGGAAGATAAGCTGACAACTTGGGTGTTGTGTGGGCAAGAGGGAAAATAGGGAAAAAAATTACCATGGATGCAGTTCACGAGTATGGACCATTACAAGTGTTGCCAATTGAAGATCTGAATGAGGATGGGGAGAGCAGTGACGTGTATAAATATTTGTTATCTGTAAGAGATGAAGCATGGAACGGACTGCCAGTGGAATTTATAGATAGAGAAATAAAGTCAGAACCAGAACCAACACAAGAAGAACAAGAGCAAGAACAAGAGAAAGAGCAAGAACAGAGTGCTGAAGTAACTGAAGAAGCACAAGAAGGGGTTACCCTATGGCAACAACAGTTACTTGCTGAATTCAAAGATATAAAACAGCAATTGGCGCAAGTTGATCAACCAGCTACTCTATTAGAAATCCCTGAAGATGCAAGCCATTGGCGAAAGTTTATACTAAACAACGAGCCACCAACTATAGAATACTTTGTACATCAGCTTGACAAACCAACCAAGGTTAAATTACTAGTGTATATAACCAAATGGCTCACTATGTCCAATGCAAGTATAGCAAATCTTTCTCAATGGATATGGAAGATCCTCTTAACTATTGACACAAGGTCTATGCTAACTCCAGATGAAATCTTCGTACTACGGAAGTTGGCCAAAAAGACAATAAAAGTAAAGGAAACATCTACTGAAACATCTTCTGTTGGTAATATGACGATTGATATGATAATAACATTAGTGTGCAGGCATTATGGACAATTGGATTTGCTACAACAATAGCTTGTGAATAGTAATATTAACTGGCCTTACTGTGCAACTAAGGGTATTTATATAAATATATATGTGAATTTCTTGTCGATAGCACGATGTAGTTTGCTTCAGCCCTGCTCTATATAGAAACATGTCGGCGCTACCAGATTTTTCCAAGTGTCACTGAAAAATCAATTGATCGACAAAAGTAATTTCGGTCGACATACTTCACCAGTATTATTCTTGCTATTCACAAATGTCCTCCAAAATCAATAAAGAATTGGTTATTCCATACAAGCACGTTCCAGCCAAACCAAGAAACGACAATGCCACAAGTGTAGTCGCCCAATCACTTCCTATGGCCGCTATGTTTATGCGTAACAAGATCTTATCCTGGTCGTCAGTATTCATAGCCGTACAAGCTTGGTTGAATGAGCCAATCAATGCTCCTAAGTCAGACAACGACAATCCTCAACAACCAGCTCTTTTGAAAATCACTTTTGCTATAGTTGCTTTATTGACTTGTTATATGGATGTTTTCTTCCCTGGTACTAATAACAACTTGAAAAACAGCGCTGCCGCCGTCACTAGTGCTGTTGCTGACGCTGTTTCTTCCACTGTTGAAGCTGCTGCTACTTCTGCTTGATTCATATGATTAATTATATTTCAATTCGTTTGTAATTCTACAATTTATAGTTACTATATATTTACAAAATTATTCCAAGGATACAATTACGCTCTCTATGCCATTGAATGAACCAGAAACATAGGTCGATTCATTGTCCCATTTCAAGTCACAAATACCAACGTTTTCTGTTATGTGACCATTAGACTGCTCTCCTTCCTTTTGTGCTATCTCTGGACTGTACACTCCCAAGCATCTAACCAAATCCTTTGGTCCTTCAAGTGACATATCCCATATGGTTATTCTGCAATAATCATCACCAACGGCGAGGTATTTCTTACTAGGCGATAGCACAACGTTGAATATAAGCACATCTTTAATTAAATCCGCATTCTCTTGTTCAGTTTTAAAATTCTCTTTTCGAAGCAATTGGCAATGTTTCAAGCTCTTGCCAGTGGTGCTATTCCAGATATTCAAGACTCCATCCATGGAAACACTCAATAAATTATCATCTTCAAGCCATTCTAATCCAACTATAGGGGAATTATGTTTGGAATCACCAATGTTTATGTCAAGACTCTCTTCAGCAGATGTAGCTCCAGTGCTTCCTGCTCCTTTACTTCCTCGCCATATCTTAATTGAATAATCAAAATCGGAACACGAAACCAACAATTTGTTATTTTTGTTAAATTTCATCAAGGAAATGCTATGTTCATGTCCTGAAAGCACCCCAATTGGCTGTATTTCAATAGTTCCATAGGCATTTTGGACAATATCGTGGATTTTTATATTGTTTTTACAAGTGGTTAATGCAAATTTATCCTCATGAAGCCAAGCACAGGAGGTTATATAACTCGAAGGTGTAGTTGTGGTTGTAGTGGTGGCAGCAGCAGTGGCAGCAGCAGTGGCAGCAGTTGTATCTGTGATTTGTTTAATTAGGGATAAAGTATTCCCATCCCACAAACATATTTGGTTTCTGGAATCTACGGATATCAAATATTGTCCGGAAGAGCTCCAATATAAACTAACAATAATAGCCCGAGCTTTTGTACTTGTAACATCTTCAGCAACAATATTGGCAATATTTTTCAACTTTCCATCAGGAGACCAAGCTCGCAATTCTCCATTTATTCCACCAGTGACTATCAAGTTTCCTAGAGGGGACCATGATACTATATTGACATCATTATGGCTAGCTTCAAGTAAGTTTGAATGATTAAGAATCACGGATTCGATTATTTGGCCGTCCTTTATGGCATTTATCACGGCACTCCCTTCGTTCTTTCCATAAGCAAACACTTTTGTAATTGGATGCCAGTCACAGGTTAAACTTGGAGAGAACTTAATAACGGGCTGTATTATCTTTGTTGTGAAGTCAATAGCATGTTGTATTGGCTCAGACAATTCTTCCGTGTCGGTCTTCTCTATTCCTTCCATATTATCCTTGTCTTCGCTTCCATTCAACTCAGATCTTAGCATGAATCGTTTATCTTCTGGGTCTACTGCTTTCAAATGGTCATGGACCAATGCGTTCAAAAGGTTTAACTTTCCATTGGGCACTTCTTCTTGCTCGTGCTTGGTTTCACTTTCATGCTTGGCTTCTTCCTCGGCAATACTAAAAAGAATACCCTTCTGTATCAAGTTAACAAGACACCCTGGTGGTATCTTGGTGATTATGTCGTGATTAGTTGAGTTTTCGTACTGCAGACACAAAGAAGCTTGGTCTAATGCATATGCAGAAAGGTCATAGCCAGACTCTTGAAGGTAACGCCACACCAAGTAATTTAATTCTCTGCTAGTTAGCGACATGTGTGTATCTTGATCGATCTATCTATCTGTATGTGATTGAGTAAAGATACAGTGTGTTGCTAGTTAAGGAACGGATGTCTTTTATTGTCTGTGTTGTCTAAATTTTGGCTGTCTAAGTTTTGGCTGCCTAAAATTTTGGTTGTCTGATTGTCTGGTTGTCTCTGTTTCCTCTCTGTTGATGTTTTTTTTTTTCGTTGTAAACTTTTTTTTTTTTGGCTGGCAGAAAATGCCTAAAACGAAACTTGGCCAGTTTTCCCAAACGGTTGCCACTTAGCTAACCAATCAATTGGACAATTGTCACAAATGGATGTTGAAAAAACGCGAAACAGAAAGAGTAGAGCACCATGGCAGTCTTCAACCACTAACAACGCCAAACCTAACCCCTATGCCACTAATACCGTGGCGGCAAACGATACTAACTTGCCACAAGTACCACACCCCTATGCAGACCTTACACGTACCGTCAGTAGGGAAACAATAAGTGGCAACACAAGAAAACATACTCGTCGTATGAGTATACATGTGTCAGCCACTGCACATGCTCATCGTCGTAGTTTTACTGACGCTGCCGCTCCCCCTTTACCTAATCTCAATATCGACAAGAAGGAGGTCACTGCACCAGTACCTCTTACTATTGAAGATAGGATATTTAAAGAGTTGTCAGATGGGTCTGCCGGTGATGTCGATGACTTCTACAAGTCATTGATCAAACAAAAGCAATTGATTGATAAGGATATCAAGAGCAATATTAATTTGAACCAGCGAAATATCTTGGAATTGACCAAAAGTTTAGTGGAAATCCAAGACGAACTAGTAGGATTAAGGGGAAGCACACATGAATTATACCAAGTTCTTGAGTACTTCAAAGAAGCAGCCGAAAGAAGATTGGAACTAGAACAACAAACTCAACAAACTCTGCCTCGGCCACAACACGAACAAAGTTTGGCTATACCCAAACGGAAAGATCGTTCTTCAATCATGGTTCTTGAGAAGATGTGGGCTAGTGAACTTCAATCTCTTTTCAAACATGTCGAAGGGGCCTCCAAGTTCATCCAACCTATACCTGGTCGTCATGTCCTTGCTGAAAGTGGAAGATGGCAAGAGGTTAACGTAGGTACGTGGAAACCAAACAATTTAACTCACATATTTGTATTGAATGATCTTTTGTTAATTGCAAACAAGAAAGCTTCAAATAAGCCAAGTTCTACCCCTTCTGACATAAAGAAATCGAAGTCAGGAAGATTGCAAGCAATTAATTGTTGGCCCTTGACTCAAGTATCCCTTTCCGAGATTAAACCACCTGCAAATGTTCAAACCGATGGCTCCAAAGTATACCTCATCAATGCCAAATCCAAATCGTTCAGTTTTGTCTATCAAACCGACAGATATGATCATTTTCTCAAGATTGTTGATCTGTTCAATAAAGGACGTAACGAAATGGTTCAAAAGGAAAGATTGAACAAGACATCTCCCGCATTCTCTCCATTGATGACTGGAGATACCAGAGATGAGAAACGACAATTGCGAGAATCCCTTCGAAGTTCCGGTAATTACGAAGGTATCCTTGATGAAAAGAGAATGAGTACTCCAAGCAATCGAAACTCGCGCGATTTTGTCCTTCATGATATTTCTGCTCGAGTTCATTCAAGAAATAGATCGCATGATTTTACAACTGTGATGAATGATAAGGATGGGTCCTTTTTCAATGAAATCAAGACTTTGGAAGATCGGTTGGACGATGTTGATGTAGAATTGTCCCACAATCAATATGCTGCTGCCGTGGGACTTATTTGTCATATTGAAACCAAATTGAAATCAATAGAATCTTCATTGACCCAGCAAAAGTCAACCAAAGAAGTACAAGATGAATTCTTCCTTCTTGAAATTTCGAAATTGAAAATCAACAATAGAAAGGAAAATGTTCAAAATTCGTTACAATTCAACCTTACTAACAACATATCTAAATTAACCCCTGAAGAAATTGAATCGATATTAGTATACTATGATAGTTTTGGACATTTGACTGAAGGTATCAAGACTTACCTTGATGCTGTATCTTTATATTTGGCAGCCACTGCTTCTCGTTTAATTGTGGGATTACAAGGCTCGACCAAGATTGACGTGGTTAATTATCTTTCCAACTTGGTGGTTATCAATGTGGCTATTGTCACGAGAACAATCAAGACCTATAACAACAAGATAGTGCCTATTTTGAGCCAACATGATGATGTCGATTCCAGTGAATTGATTAATTGGTGTGTTGAGGAAATTACTAAACTTTCCAAACAAATCAACAAGAATCTTTATGGAACTTTGTTAACTTCAGCCGAAGTGGAGGTTGAAACCAATCAAACGATATACAAGATCAAGGATGAAAAGCTATACAGTGAGTTTATCAATTTAATGATTCCTCAATTGAACGAACTAAAAAAGAATGGTATAAACGTGGACTACATTTTCGACCCAATACTATCGTTGTAATGATGTATTAAATAAATAAGATAACCTATAATTTATCGTAATATTTCCCAATGTCGTAATGTTCCCTAAAATAATCACCTCTTCTTTTTAAATAGATCAAAATTAGCGAACTTACCACGATGATCCCTGTAAGTATCGAAAACAAAACTCCTGGACCAAGAGCACGCAATAAAGGTTCCACAATGAATGTAGCTACTGCTGCCAAGATCATTCTGATTAAATTGTTCAATGCTACTCCGGTAGCACCTTTACCTGGCAATGTATCGACCAAATAAGTAACGGTGGCTCCAATAACCAACATGGTGGAGAACCCAAACAAGGCAGTACCAATCAAAGGAACAACCCAGAATACACCTTTATCCAAGGCCCATCCAAAGATTATACATGCCATAGGGTATAATGCCATGGCAAGAACAATATTCCAGGAGATACGTGATTCAGGAACAGTAGCCCCATTATGGGTCATTTGGTACTTTTTAAACAAATAATCGTTCCATCTTCCTCCCACGAGTGAAGCAATGACATAAGTTACGGAATTCGGAATATAAAGAAGACCAATAATGATTGGATGGAAGTTGTATGGTGGACGAGCAAAGTTATATGTGATTGTCATGTTGAAAAAGTAAAGAATAGCGAACGTGATGGCGGAGAATGCAACGACAAGGGCAACGGGTGGATATTGAAGAAGGACAATTGAATGCATGGGACGAATTGTAAGATCGTACAACGTGGTTTTCCATTGACCCTTATGTGGAGAAGTAGCATTGGTTATAGCTCGAGAAAGTTCCTCTTCTAATCTTTCCTTTTGGGACCGATGGGTTGCTACTGATTTGTTGGTGTTGATTCGAGAAATGGTGGGCATCACAGGATCAACAACTGGTCCTTCTTCTTCTTCACTTTCTTCAAATTCTTGGGATAGTTGACTAAATGCAGAACGTACACTAGGATTACTCATTACTCGTTCCAATGCCGTTTCTTCTGAGCCAGTATTACTTTCATCTGCCAATATCAAGTCTTTATTTTCTCTTAACAAATCCCTAATTGCTTGTAAATTTTCTGATTTCCGAAGTGTTTCAGGCAATAAGAACATTATAGAACAAAAGTTACATCCTGAAAATATAACCAATAACCATTGAGTTGCTCTCCAACCCCATGCTTGTGCGACAATACCACCTAAGATAGGAGCAAGGAATGGTCCCATAAGCGGACCGAGATAATACCAACCCATAGCAACCCCTCTTTCCTGGGGGATAAACAAGTCAGCAATTGTACCTGCACCTACAGCCTGAACACTAGCAGAACATCCACCTTGCAACACTCTGAATATAATCAATCCAGCAATGTTGGGGGATAACGACGTCCCAATAGAAAATGCGAGGAAAAGTCCGAAGGAAATCATATACACTGATCTTCTTCCATACCGTTCACTAAATGCCGACCACCAAAGAGGGAAAATCCCCAATGAAAGTAAATACACCCCCACAGAAACGTTCACGATCGAAGTGGAAGTGTGTAAATCAGTCACAATATCATCTATGGCAGGAAGCATGATAGAGGTTCCCATAGGACCAGTGATGGCCGCAAATGCAATAATGAGTACAATAAGGTACTTGATTTTGGCTGGATAGTCACGGGCATCTTCGTATTCCGGGACTACCACTAATGTAGCTAGAAGACCTCTTTTCTCCATATGAGGAACTCTGTTGGTCTTGTGAGTTGTAGTTCGTGAGATTGGAGTCTCTTCTGGTTGCAGATGTGCAGATTCTTGATGAGACTTTTCCTGATGGAGATGTACTGGGTCATGGTCTTCCATATCTGTTGTTACGATTGATGTTGCGTCATGGTGGGTATATACTGGCGATGTAGTTACATCATGAGCATCCACAGTTTCCCCGGGATTATGTAGCGATGGGGAATTAGTCATTTTTGTTCGTAATAGTCTATAGTCTAGATCTATGTCCTTAACAGTTCCACTAATGTATCTTATAAAGAAGAACGGGGGCAAATATAGAAACACCTAAAATTGTAGTGAGCGGTGTAGGATGAAACTTTGTATTGGTGCTGCTCATTTATACTCACCGGCATTTTTTACCTTCGATCCGACTGAGCGGGATTTTAAATTTTTTACATGAGCGATCGTTTCTTTTCGCATTGTCCATTGTTATCTGCCTAATTCGGTTATTTATTATCCCGCCGCGATTTTAAAACTGGCGGATATACCCAATGGGGAAATGGGATTAGTAATTGGTGCAATCTGATCTGATTTTGCAGACGTTCTAGTGACATGAACATACAGCTTGTATGGCAGCATATCTAAGTGACAGGAAAGTACCCAGTACAATTACAAAAAAAAATAGTCTTGAAAGAATCTGAAGCAATAGGTTGGTGGCTCAGCTAATACCGGGAAACATGCCGAGCTTCGGAACTATTAGGGTTCAACAGAAGAGTCACGGCTGATTTATATCTTTGAACATATATTGGCCGATCAACGTTATCTTAGTTCTATTGCTCATGCATGACAATAGTGTTAAATATTATCATATGTCATGGTATATTGTAATATAATTTTACTATAATTTGATCAAATTATCCACAATTTCCCACCAATAATTACGTCATTCCATTTTAGTCTGTATCCCCATGTGAAATAGCCAAATTAAACTAGATCTGACATAATCTGGAGGTATGCACTATAATGAATCCTGATTACACAAAGCAATCTTCGGAAGTAACGGATGAAAGATATCACTTCTGCATCAATACTATTACGTGTATCTAAGGCTTGCTCCACACCAAGTAAGGATTAAATACCTGATATATTTCATTCGATAACTTACGCATTGGCTTATTGGAATTGACCAGGCGAGAACACGCATCCTCCCCCCTGACTACTAGGAAATAACAAAGAATCATACTAATTCCCTTATCTTTTTTTTTTTTGCAACAAATTGCATACTATTTTCTTTCTGTGTTTGACAACCAATAAGTTTGATTCACAATATTGAAATGAGTATTATCTCAAGTGATCTACCAAACCAAGGCGTCTCCATCAATAGCTAATTAAAAGTTTACAAAAGTCCTTCCGGAAATCTTGCCGAAAGATCAAGCAAGAAGGAGACAGCTCCTGTTAAATCCATCAGACACCAACACTGATTCGAATAATTTCTCAAGAATGCTGGTTTTCAATAGGATATAATGTTTTATATTTAACATGCGCATCTTATACTGTTAAGTAAATCTATGGATATAGTGAAGGCACGGTATCGCAAAAGAGAACCACTCATTTCAAATATCATTTTGTTTTTCATAAAATGGATATTTGTGTTGTCAAGGACCCGTTTGGAAACACCCCTACTATTGGTAATGGTGAAATTTATATAGCACATACGTCGTATATACGGTGGTTTAAATTTGAATACGGTATGCACTCTCACCCTTCTCAATCAGCATAATCTCGAATTCATGCTACAAATACCACTAACGTGGATCTGATTAAGATACTCAAGTATGTTTAGAGGAATATCATCTGGCAAAGACATTCATGTAAGGATGTCTGGCATTATTCACTAAACACTCTGGTCTAGTATGCTATTGTAAAGCGTTATATCCTTCTGTATTTGATGGATGATAGACATAACCTTTATAATGCTATACAGTGCTTAGATTCGTGCCACCTTGGGTCATAAACAAAGCAAGATTGCAGCCTGAGCTGCAGCCGCAGTACGGTTTTATCTGAGACAAATCACAAAGACCTCTACCATGCATTCAAAGGCATATCATGCATTTGGATAGACTAAAAAACTTTTAGTGTCGTGGGTACATAATTTTCCTTGCTGCTATCGTAAATACAAAACTATGATATAACGACAGAACCAGCTATACAAGATTTGCGATTTAGAAGTGGCTGATTTGCAATATCAACTGAACGAGGTGAAGTAACTTTCATCTACATACTGTTGAGAATTTGGCCAAAACCAACCGTGGTTAAAAATAAACACTTTTTGGACCAGGGTTCGCAACGCATACCAATTTATTGATACGATGTTCCATCGCTTTGCTAGACGATACCTTCCAACCGATTCTGATCAGCTAATACGACAAACGAAGCCGCGCTCGTTAATATGCGCTCCACTTTCCCAACAATTTTGCAATTCGTCTATGTACGTCTGGTCTGTCCCCAATATTTTTTTGTCCGCCTCAATTTCATGTATTTTTATATTCGCCACCTCTCTCGAATTTGTACAATCAATGATCATGCTCAACACCTAATTTAAGCACTTTCCCCATTTCAATTAGAGTTTTATTTCCTAAAGATTCTTATAGAGTAACTCATACCAACATGAGTCTTAGACATACGTGGCCTGTGATCATAGTCCGATCCGCCTTTCTTGTACCTACTTTCCTCATTGGCTGTCTCTTTATCGTATTTACCCAGGTTGTGGGTCTTTACGTGTTTCAACACAATGCACCATCACGACAAGCAATGATAAACATCACCAAGACCCACTTTGTCATTCTAATTACATTTATGACCTCGTTGATCAACCCCACCAAAATTGCCATCACGTTGGACAAATCCGTTCCCAACCCCCAACAATTTACCGTCGATAACGGCGGACACTTGCATACTCTGTTCAAGCCCAATTCCATCTTCATTTCCAACCACCAGATATATACCGATTGGTTATTCCTCTGGTTCTTGAATTACACCAGCAGATTGAGTGATTACATATATATCGTCCTCAAGGATTTATCAAGCATTCCAGTGTTGGGGTATGGAATGAAGAATTACAATTTCTTGTTCTTGTCGAGAAAATGGGAAAAGGATAAGATCAAATTGACGAACCAACTTTTGGAAATTGACGCCAACGCAAGAGGAGTTGGACCGGCCAATGGTGTCACTTTGGTTTCCACCACCAACACCAATAAAATCAGGGAATGGCCCAAGACAAACCAACCAAGTAAGATTTGGCCCTATCAATTGATTTTGTTTCCGGAAGGCACTGTTCCTTCAGACAGAACCACTAAAAAGTCTCGGGAATACATTCAAGCAAACGGACACGAGCCCATGAAACACGTGTTGTTGCCTAGAATTCGAGGGTTGTATCTTGCATTAAAGAAGTTGCAAAACACCCTTGAAGTGGTTTATGATATCACCATTGCTTATTCTAATTTGAAAGAGACAGAGTATGGGGAAGATGTGTTTTCATTAAAGAGATACTATTTGAAAGGCTATGGTCCAGAGAGAATAAATTACTATGTGAGATGCTTCAGCATCAAGGATATTCCTTTGGGTGATGAAGAAGATGTCGATGACATAAGTCCCGAAGCTTTGAAAAAGTTTGAACAGTGGTTGTTGAACGTATGGTATGAAAAGGATGAACTCATGTCCAATTTCTATAAATTGGGCCATTGGGATAAACCAAATGATCCTACTGTTGTTGGTGATTTCAAATTGAGAAATCAAATTGAGATTGTTTTACCTTATTTATCGGGTATAACAGCCTTGTTGTTGCTTAGATTAGTCTATAAACTTATCAGGGGTATGTTTTAATAGATAACATTGCATGTAATGCACTTGTTCGTAATTGTCTGAGGTATGTTTTAGGTAGCGCTCGTAAAAAACAATGCTGATGTATGGATGTTTTGCTGGTAATTGTTGCAAAATTGTTTTGCAGTAGACTTGTTTCAGGTATGGAGTGATTCAAATCTTAGGATATATAACGTGAGTGATGGCAATGCCAGGTTGGAAATAGAATCCATGGAATTAAAACCAAAAAAAAATAATCAAAAATCAACATGTTGAACAAAAGTCTTACATTAATTGTTGTGATTATGCAGTTTATAGCCAGCGTGCTTCTTAGTTTCCTAGTTCTTGGGTGTATCGATACTTCCAAGAGGTATTCAGATAACTTTCTACTCCAATACCAATTCAATAATACTTCGCCGTTATTCCAGCACCTTAATACCACAGGCAATTCAACAATCTCAAAAACTGATGCATTTAGGGACATTAAAGTTAGCGTTAGCTACTACGGGGTCTGTCTCAAACTAACCAAGGGCCAATTTAACTGTACCAACTACAACAGTTTGCGTCTGTTTCCAGATTACTCAATTGCAGTAGTGAACAAGACCAAACTTGACTTGGTCCAATTAGCCCATAGGTTCCTGAGTGTCTGTCATCCCAAGGTTCTTCTTGCTACTATTCTCCTTTCACTAGTTGCGCTTCTTCTTCTTTGCTATGTGGTGATTCCATCTTTACCAGGGAAGTTCCAGTTGAAGAAAGGGTTGGTGGGATTAACTGGGTTCACAGCTATGTTTTGGGGCATAGGTGCAATGTTACAACATCAAGCAGTTAGTGCAAGTACTGTTATAATAAGAGAAGGTAGTATGGGGTTAATAAAAACCGAGATAGGCAAACGGGCAGAGTCAATTACATGGGTTTCATTTGGGTTGGATATCTTGGTCTTTGGCGGAGTTATGGTTGACTTTGTGACTGAGTATAAGTCGAGGAGAGTCTCTGGACCACCAGCGATGTTTGCTCCGGGAAAGGTGTAGCGAAACACCCACTCGGTTCCATCCGAACCCCCGACACAGGTTGTCACTAGTTGTCGATATAAACTGTGTAGTGTTTCCGTAGAGTGCCAGTTGAATAGTAGTAGTAGCAATACATGTCTCGCACCAGCCACAGCCGCAGCCGCAGCCGCAGTCGCAGTCGCAGTCGCAGTCGCGCCCTATCCCAAATAGGAAGGAGAGAATATTCCCGCTCACGTGAAACGCACGTGAGCTCGGGGTTTCCAGTCAAATCGAAAATCCGCTTTTTTTTTCCCTGCAAAAAAAAGTTTGGAATTTTTCCAAAGTAAACAAAAAGTTGCCAAAGATTCTTACAACCAAAAGGGCAACACCTCTATTTTACCCATTAAATCAATATACACATCGTTATAGTCCGTAATCAAACGTTACTATGTCATATACTGCGCAACTAGACGCGTTCGTGTCGAGGCTCAATGACAATAACTCCGATTATCGTGCCCAACATCTGATTCTTTCAGAACTTCTAGATACAATTGAGACCTTCAATGGGGCAGCCGAATACGAATATTTCCTCAAGAACTTGATCCCGCTATTCATGACACATTTGCAGCAAGTCCCAATTTCGTTCGTGAGCAGCTCTCCGCAGCATAAGTTGCGTAACTCGATCTTGGAGATTATTCATAGAAGTATTATGAATGAGACTTTCTTGCCCTTTGCAGATGAGATCTTGGAAACGTTGGTCAAAATCTTGAAAGATGAGAATGAAGACAATGGTGTTTTATGCATGAAGATCATCACCAGTCTACACAAGGCATACAAACAGAAACTTGGCGACAGGGTTAAACCGTTTCTTGAGATTATTGGCGAGATTTATGATAATATGGCCAAGACTGTAGGCGAAGTGTTTAATGAAGACGAAAAGAAGGATGACATCAAAGAGGAAGACGACGTCAAGATGGACGACGAAGAAGAAAAAGAAGAAGAAGAAGATGGGCAAGACAAGACCACTACATCCCCATTTGATGAAACCGCAAGCAAAACCCTTAGAAAGGCAATGTTCTCATTCAAAACCTTAGCTGAATGTCCAATAACCATGGTATCCTTATATTCCTCCTACAAGGACATTGTTCATCCCTCACTCAAATTATTCTTACCAAAAATCATTGACATTTTAACCTTGCAAGTGGAACAACAACGTGTCTATAGAGAACAATCAGAAACTAAAGTGGTCACTTCCATCTCCCCCAAAATCACTAATCGTCAAGCATATTCCGATTTCATCTTAGGTCAAGTCAAGGCAGCATCCTTCTTGGCTTATGTTTTCATTAGAGGTTATGCTGACCAATATTTAAACCAAGACCAAGCCAAGACAATCCCAGATGTTATTCTAAGACTTTTGCAGGATTGCCCAGCCGAATTATCTGTGGCCAGAAAGGAATTATTGCATGCCACCAGACACATTTTGTCTACCAAATTCAGGGTCCAATTCATACCACAAATTGAACTTTTGTTTAATGAAAAGATCCTTATTGGTGATGGATTGACTTCTTTTGAAACATTAAGACCATTGGCATATTCCACGGTGGCTGACTTCATTCACAATGTAAGAAATGAATTGACACCTAAACAGATTTGGAGTACTGTAACTATCTACTGTGATTTATTAAAGGACGATTCACTTGCTTTGACTGTACAAATTATGAGTGCCAAGTTGTTGTTGAACTTGGTTGAACGAATTATGAAATTACCAAACAAGTTGGAAGGTAGACAATTATTTTTGATCATCATTGACTCATATGCTAAACGATTTGAAAGTTTGAATCGTAAATACAACTACATCATTGGTAAGCACAACGAGTTTGAAAAGAAAAAGAGTATTAAGGAAAAGGATGCCAAGCTTGCTATTGAAAGATATTCAAGAAAGTCTAAACTGGATGAAATGAATGGTAAAGTGCAAGTGCTTGAAGATAAAATGGATGTGGACGAAGAAGAAGACCACGAACATCATGAAAATAATGAAAAGAAGGACGAGGCGCAAGAGGAAGAGAAGGAATTTGATCCACTTGATATATTCAACATTGACGGTCATTCTCCAATTGCAAGCTATCCTCTGACTAGCAACACTGACTTGTTGAAAGATGCCAGATACTTATTCCGTACTCTAATGACATTTTTGAAATCAGTTATATTTGGATTGAAGAATTGTAATCCTCCAGTCCCACCACAACCAACCTCAACTGATCCAAACAATCCAGGACAAACTGTCAATTATGATAAATGGAACGATTCAGCCAAGTTGATTTCATTTGAAGAAGTGAATATCTTACGAGCATTGTTTAGATGGGGAATAAGTTGTCTCCGATTCTTTTCAGTCCTGAAACCCAAACCAACCATTCTGGCCAAACCATTTGATTTTTCCACTGGTGGAACTAACTTACCAATTACATCATCAAAGGAAGAAAAGGACTTGATGGAAATCTTTGCCACTATTTTTATTCACATCGACCCTGCTTCATTCAATGAAATTGTCAGTTCAGAATTACCATTCATGTTTGAGTCAATGTTGGAAAACGCAGCATTGCTTCATTTACCACAATTCTTCCTTGCTAGTGAAGTTACATCAGCTAATTTCTCCAGTATATTGATTTCTTTCCTTCGTGAAAACTTGGACCAATTGGGCAAAGCCGACAATGTGATCAAGTCTAATATTTTGATTCGTCTTTTCAAGCTTTGTTTCATGTCAGTCAACTTGTTCCCAACCACGAACGAAGCAGTTATCTTACCGCATTTGAATTATTTGATTTTGGAAAGTTTGAAATTGGGAACCAAGGCAGAAGAACCAATTGTATATTCATATTTGGTAAGAATTTTGTTTAGAAGTATCAGCGGAGGGAGGTTTGAAAACTTGTACAAAGAGATTGTTCCTATTTTACCTGTATTATTAGAAAACCTCAACAAGATGATAACCAATGCCAGAAGACCGTACGAAAGAGATATATATGTGGAATTATGTCTTACTGTACCTGTACGTCTTTCGGTTCTTGTTCCACATTTGAATTATTTGACTCGTCCTTTAGTTTATGCCTTGAATGGTTCTCAAGAATTGGTTAGTCAGGGTTTAAGAACATTTGAACTTTGTGTTGACAATTTGACTGCAGAATATTTCGATCCCATGATTGAACCGGTGATTGATGATATCATGGCTGCTTTATGGAAACATTTAGAACCAGTCCCATACCATCATCAACATTCACATACTGCCATTAGAATATTGGGTAAATTAGGTGGACGGAATCATAGAAATTTCAAACCATGTAATGATTTAAAGACACAATCAGAATTAGACCAAGAAGTCAAGGCATTGTTTACGGTTCATGGATTGAATGGTCAAGTTCCAGTAAGTATTACTCCAGGCTTGGAATCTGCAATCAAGTTATTGGAAGAACCTAGATTGAAGGTCCATTATAGGATCAGTGCATTCAAGTATTTGGCAAGTATATTGAAGTTATTCATTAATACTACCCCAATTCCTCAAGATTTTGCAAAGTTTGCCCATGACAGCGTTGAATTTTTGAAGCTGGAAAAGTTGGAAGAAGGCATGGAGTTAGAAGAAAGTGGAATCCAAGATGTGGAGAAGTTAGATCGCCAGCAGAAATTATTTTCTAAGTTGTTGGAAATGTTATACTTTTCTGTATCTATTCCTGAATTGAAGGATGAAGCTAGTCAATTAATTGATGGAATCACCACCCATTTCACCTTGCTTTACTTGAATACATCTGTTATCGACCGTGTCAAGAAGGAAAGAAATTTTTCCGTCAATGATAATGAAGGAAAGGCTTATATTAGTGAAACTGTGTTTTTGAATGCATTGAATTACTCCTTGAGTTTCTGGGATAAAGAAGTTAGACAAAAAGGTATTGATACTATCAAGAATATTTACACCACTACGGTTACTATTTTTGGATCCGACGAAAATGCATTATATTCACCAGTATTCAGATCAATGCTTTATAAGTTTACCCATTGTTGTTATAATGAATACTACCATTCCAAATTAGGTGGGATCTTGGGTCTTCAGACGTTGTTTCGCGATTTGAACATTCCCGCTAGTTGGTTCTATAAGCGTCAATTTGAATTGGTCAGATCAATCTTTTTCATATTGAGAGACACTCCAGAGACTGCACCATTTGAAGTACGAGAATCTGCCAAGAGTCTAGTGTTGGATCTTTTGAAAACATGCAATGCTGGTGTCAATAAGGAAACGATTAGTGAAAAGCCATTACATACTGTTGTGGGAGCTTTAGTTTACGATTTAGCTAGCCCTACATCTATGGTTCGTGAAGTTGCGCAAGAATGCTTGAAAGTATTGTCTGAAACTGCATCTGTTCCGATCACCGCTATTGTTGGCCCTTGTAAGAACTTATTGTTGACTCCTATTTTTGGAAAGCCATTGAGAGCATTGCCATTCCCAATGCAAATCGGTAATATTGATGCTGTTACATTTTGTTTGGGATTACCAGATACATTTTTGACATTTAATGAAGAATTGAACAGATTGTTATTGGAAGCATTAGCTTTAGTTGACGCTGAAGATGAAAGCTTGGCCAATGTTCATCGTCTTTACGAATACCGTACCTCGAAACAATTGATTGAACTTAGAGTTGTTTGTATCAAGTTGCTCAGTTTGGCCCTAACCAAACCTGATTTTTCATTAGGATCATTGGCCGAAGCAAGAATTAGAATCTTGGGTGTATTCTTTAAGGCTCTTTGTAACAAGAGTACCGAGATTATCAATGCTGCCCATCAAGGTTTAGCTTCAAGTCTTCAAGAAAATGCCAAGTTACCCAAGGAATTATTACAGAATGGATTGAGGCCAATGCTTATGAATCTTTCTGATCATAAGAAGTTGACCGTTTCTGGGCTAGAGGCGTTGGCTCGTTTATTAGAATTGTTGATTTCATACTTTAGAATTGAAATTGGTAGGAAATTATTAGATCATTTAATGGCATGGGCACAGATCAACACATTGAGACAAATTGCCGGACAGGACCTTGAAAATAACCACACCGTCCAAATTGTCATGGCCATTTTGAATATTTTCCATTTGTTACCAGCAAAGGCATACACATTTATGGAAGAAATCATCAACACCTTGTTGTATTTGGAAGGACATTTAGACAGACATCAGAACTCACCTTTCAGAAAACCAGTGTCTAAATTCTTGAACAGATTTGCTGAAAACTGTATTGAGTACCTCATTAAGAACTTCAAGAACAGAAAGATGGGAAATATGCTTGCTTCAATTGCCGGTATGGATGGATGTGAACAAATTAGAAAGGTGGCTGAAGAAAAGATCCAAGTATTGGTGGATGATATTAAGGGAGAAACCGATCAAGAAATCAAAGTTATCAAGTTTGTCAATATGATTGATTTATTGGAATCTATAACTAACCACGATACGGAATGGTTTGATGGACAAAAGGAATTGTTGTTGACTCTATCAGAAATTATTGAGGGTATTTCTGATGCCAAACAAGCTCCATTGATTTCAGCTGCTCATTTCCAAAGTGACCAAGGTATTGAGAAGCTCCAATCTATTATTGTTCATTACTTGAAGAGAAATCCTAAAGATTTGGATTTAGTGTTTACCCTGGTGGATCGTCACTCAAGATTGAATTTGAAGGTTTCCAATGATATTGAGGATTTCATTTTCCGCGATATTGTCAGCTCAGAGAGTGTTGAAGATAGAGAAGCATACTTGAACAAGACTGTTGAATTTGTCAGTGGTGATGATCCTTGTCTTAAGGCTAAGATTTTCTTCTTAAAGAAGATTTTCAACCCTATTTTCATTTATGAATCTGTGGTAAATGGTAAAGTTGATAAGTTTTTTGAAAAAGAAGAACCTGAATGGTTGACTAAGTTGAATAATAATATATGGAAATCTACCAATGACATTATCACTGATCACACATCGGGATCAATGGATAGTTACAGATATGCTCTTTTGGAAGTGACTTCGTTGCTTCTTAAATTGGCATCAACGTTTATAAGTGGTTTACGGAAGGACATCATCAAATTCAGTTGGAATTACATCAAGTTGGAAGACAATATCACAAAGCAAGTTGCTTATGTTACTACTTCCTATTTCATCTCGGCATATGAAACTCCTGCTGAATTAGCAACCCAAGTTTTTGTTGCGTTGTTGAGAACACATCAAACTGATTCAAGACATTTGGTAAGACAAGCTTTGGATATATTAGCTCCTGTAATGTCAGAAAGGATGAAACTTGAGTCACCAAACAGTTGGTTGAAATGGCCTCGTCGTATCATTTCTGAAGATGGTTTCAATGTAACTCAAGTATTGAATGTTTATCAATTCATTGTACAACATCCAGATTTATTCTTTGTTGCTAGAGAGCATTTCATATCCAATATCATCACTGCTATGGGTAAATTGACGATTCTTGCCAATCCAGCTATTGAAAATCAAGTTTTGGCAATTGAATTGGCGGAATTAATTTTGTATTGGGAAAGAAAAGCCAACGATGAAAAGAAAGAAAAGAAGGAACTAGGTGAAACCGAAGAGCCAAGAGAAGAAGTTAAAATTGAAGGTGATTTCACCACTGCTGCCGATTATTCTATTCCATTCGGCCAAAGAGAGGCTTGTGTGACATTTTTGATTAGGTATGTCTGTATCAGTCCCCAACGAGCATCCGAAAGTGAATTGGGTCAAAAGGCATTAGGAATTTTGTATGATTTGTTAAGTCCTAACCATTGGCCTGAAGTTTCCGTCAAGTTGACATTCTTTGAAAAGTTTTTACTTTCTAATGATTTGAACTCGAATAATTTGTTAGGTTACTGTTTGAATGCATTGGAAGTTCTTGGTGTTGTTTTGGAATGGAAGAAGGCAGAATGGATCTTATCTAACTTATCCTATCTTCAAAAGTTGCTTGAAAAGTGTATCAAGTCTGATAATCATGACATTCAAGAAGTGTTACAAAGAGTGTTGTCCACTATATTGAAAGCTATTAATGATCAAAAAGAATCAGAAGAAGAAGAAGAGGAAGAGGAAGAAGTCAAAGAGTTTGTAAACTTACTTACTACTACTGTGTCCGAAGATTTGGGAGATATGCCATCTGTTGCAGCTGGAGTTACCTTATCATGGACTTTAGCAAGCTACAGACCATCTACATTAGATCCATTGTTGCCACTGATTATGAAGACATTCAGCAAGCTTTGCAAAGATCATATTACAATCACCCATCAAGGATCACAATCGGCATCTTCCTCCTCCAAGGAAACTACCAGTTCAGAATATGAAGCCAAGATGACTACTAAATTACTTGAAAAGATACTTAATTTATGTTCCATGAGAATTTCAAACTTGGGTGACCAGCGTCGTATTTTCTTGAGTTTATTGGCACAGTTGATTGAAAGAAGTTTGGATAAGGATACTCTTGAAAAAATCATTAAGATTGTTAAGAATTGGGTATTTTCAAGAACAGATTTGTTCCCAACTACCAAGGAGAAGGCAGCTATATTACTGAAGATGATGGTATTTGAAATCAGAGGTGAACCTACATTGTCCAAGGAATTTTACCAGATCATTGTTGATATTTTTGAAGATGATACTTTTAGCTGTACTGAACTTACCGTGAGAATGGAACAACCATTTTTGGTTGGTACCAGAAGTGCTGATGTTTCAATTAGAAAAAAGTTGATGAGTATTTTGAATAATAGTTTGGAAAAGGATGTTAGTAAGAGATTGTATTATGTCATTAGAGAACAGAATTGGGAATACTTGGCTGATTATCCATGGTTGAATCAAGCATTGCAATTGATTTTTGGTGCTATTAGTTACAATAAGAATATTAAACTTGTTGAAGAAGAGAATCAATTGGCACCAGTTCAAGTCTTGCCTTTACCTAAAGGAGAAACAACCATGGATATTGAAGTTGAAGAAAATAAGGAATTGGCTGAATTACTTGAAAAGCATTCGCAGTTTTTGAATTCAGTAGTTGATATTAAGGCTGGTGATATTTTGGAACCATTGATCGATATGTTTTATCAAAGTAGTGAAACTATTCACAAAACTTGGTCTGTTATTTTCCCAATTGTATTTGCATCAATCCCACGTTCTGAACATTTGGATTTCACAAGATTCTTGGTTATTTTGTTATCTAAGGATTACCATACTCGTCAAGTTGACAGTCGTCCAAATGTCATTCAATCATTAATGGAAGGTATTGCTCGTTGTGAAGGGTTACAATTGCCCCCATTCGCCGTGGAATGTCTTGCTCTGAACTTTGATGCTTGGTCTCAAGGTATTCACATTTTGGAAAATGTCGATGAAGAAAGTATCAATGGAAATGCCGAAGTTCGTGAAGTCACTCAAGATGCCTTGGCTAAGTTGTATGCTACCTTGAAAGAAGATGATGTATTTTATGGATTGTGGAGAAGAAGAGCCAAGTATGCTGAAACAATCAGTGCTTTATCATATGAACAAATTGGTCTTTGGGATAAAGCTCAACAACTTTATGAAGCTGCTCAAATCAAGGCAAGAAGCGGAGCTTTACCATATGGCGAATCTGAATACACGCTTTGGGAAGACCATTGGATACTTTGTTCTGAAAAGTTGCAACATTGGGATATTTTGACTGATTTGGCAAGACATGAAGGGTTCTCTGACTTGCTTTTGGAGTGTGGTTGGCGTGTAGCAGATTGGTATAATGATAGAGAAACTTTGAATCAAACTGTCAAGAATGTTATGGATGTACCTACACCTCGTCGTCAAGTGTTTGAAACATTCCTTTGTTTACAAGGATTTGGACAAGAGAAGGAAACTTTACAAGATCTTTCAAGGTTGTGTGATGAAGGAATTCAATTGGCATTACGTAAATGGCATGGATTACCTCAAAGATTCAATAATGCACATATTCCACTTTTGCACACTTTCCAACAATATGTGGAATTCATGGAAGCCAGTCAAGTTTATGCTAGTTTGGTAACCACCAATGCACAGAATTTGGATGTTAAATCTCAAGAATTGAAGAGAGTGTTGCAAGTATGGAGAGAAAGATTGCCTAATGTATGGGATGATATTAATATTTGGAACGATTTAGTCACATGGCGTCAACATGCATTCCAGGTAATTAATAAGGTTTACATGCCATTCATTCCTATTTTACAACAATCTAATTCTGGCGGAAATGCAAATTCTTATGCTTACCGAGGATTCCATGAAATTGCCTGGGTCATTAATAGATTTGCTCATGTTGCTAGAAAACACAACATGCCTGAAGTTTGTATCAAGGAATTGACTCGTATTTATCAATTACCAAACATTGAAATCCAAGAAGCCTTTTTGAAATTAAAGGAACAAGTTAAATGTCATTATCAAAACCCTAATGAAATCAACACTGGTTTGGATGTTATTAGTAACACTAATTTGGTTTATTTTGCTACTCAACAAAAGGCGGAATTCTTCACATTGAAAGGTATGTTCTTGAATAAGTTGAACCAAAAGGATGAAGCCAATAAGGCGTTTGCTACTTCTGTGCAAATTGATTTGAACTTGCCTAAAGCTTGGGCTGAGTGGGGGATCTTTAATGATCGTCGTTTCAAGGAGAATCCTAATGACATGGTTTATGCTAACAATGCAATCAGTTGTTACTTACAAGCTGCTGGGTTGTACAAGAATGGCAAAACCAGGAAATTGTTGGCTAGAATCTTATGGTTGATTAGTTTGGATGATGCATCCGGTACTTTGGCACAAGCATTTGAAAACTTTGGTGGTGAAGTTCCAGTATGGTACTGGATTACATTCATTCCACAATTGTTGACTTCACTTTCTCATAAAGAGGCTAAATTGGCCAAACTGATTTTAGTGAGAATTGCCAAAAATTATCCACAAGCTTTACATTTCCAATTGAGAACCACGAAGGAAGACTTTGCCGCTCAACAGAGACAAGCAATTGAAATTGCCAGACAACAACAAGCTCAACAACAACAACAACAACTGCTGACTGCTGCTGCTGCTGCTGCTGCAACTACCGCATCCCTGAGCAACACACCAGAAAAGACAGAGAATGGAGGAGAGCAAACCGATGGTAAAGCCGAGTCCTCTGAAGGTAAATCGCCAAAGGCTCAATCGCAACCACCACCTACATTCAAACCAAATATCCCCCTTTCAGTTCGTCAACCGTTGGAACATGTCGAGGAAATCATGGGTATTTTGAAAACAGCATATCCATTACTTGCCCTTTCTTTAGAATCATTAGTTGACCAAATTAACCAACGTTTCAAATGTACTGCAGATGAAGATGCTTACAGACTTGGTGTTGCTTTATTAAATGATGGAGTGCAATACTTGAATCGTTTGGGTAATCCTCGTGATGATGCTAAGTTGCCTCCAATCACTGAAGCCAACATTACCAGATTTGCTGAGACAGTATTGCCCAAACAAATTAGAGCCGAATTTGAAAAGGATTTGGTTGTGGGTAAACCAAACTTGGAAACTTATATTATCAAGTTGAGAAAGTGGAGAGATAGATTAGAGGATAAGTTGGATAGAAGATTTAGTGAAGTCAATTTAGAGAACTTGTGCCCCCACTTGAGTGAATTCCATCATCAGAAATTCGAAGAGATTGAAGTTCCAGGGCAATACTTGTTGAATAAAGACAACAATAACCATTTCGTCAAGATTGAAAGATTCTTGCCTACGATTGATTTAGAAAGAGGTACTAATGCCTGTTATAAGAGATTAAGAATTCGTGGACATGATGGAAGTTTGCATACATTCGCCGTGCAATTCCCAGCCGCTAGACATTGTCGTCGAGAAGAATGTGTGTTCCAATTGTTTAGAATATTCAATGATAGCATATCAAGAAAAGTGGAAACCAGAAGAAGAAATATTCAATTCACATTGCCAGTTGCTGTTCCATTATCGCCCCATATTAGAATTGTCAAGGATGATTCAAGAGACATTACATTACAAAAAGTGTATGAAGATTTCTGCAAGAAGAAGGGAGTTAGTCGCGATGAACCATTCATCTACACTGTTAAGAAATTACGGGATGCTTATGATCCAAGATTGCCCAAGCCAGATTTGGCAAGTATTAGAGTGGAAATACTTGGTGCTATTCAAGCTTTGCTTGTTCCATCCACTGTGCTTAAGAACTATTTCGTGGGTCTTTATCCTAACTTTGAAGATTTCTGGCTCTTTAGAAAGCAATTCACGTCACAATATGCCCTGTTTATTTTCATCACGTACATGATGTGTGTCAATGCCCGTCAACCACAAAAGATTCATGTCAACAAGGGATCAGGTAATGTGTGGACTTCAGATATGTTGCCATGCAAATTACCATCCAAGGGAGTCGACACTAGCCAGAAGCCAACGCCAATCTTTGTCAATGCCGAACAAGTACCATTCCGTCTTACACCAAACATTCAGAAACTTATTGGGGAAAGCAACTTGGAAGGTATTCTTCTGGTTTATATTCTCTGTATTGCCAGAGCATTGATGGAGCCAGAATCTGATTTGGAACAATACTTGACTTTGTTTGTCAGGGATGAAGTTGTATCATGGATGAATAACCAAGATGCGCCAAGACTGAGTATTCAATTGAGAGAGATTGTGAGATTGAATGTTGAAAGTATCATGAAGAGAGTCATGACTATGGGTCATGTACTGAGTGGTGGCAGTGGCGTAGCTACACAAAACGTATTGGAATTAATTTCCCAAGCTGTCAATCCTAGAAACTTGGCTGCTGCTGATACATTATGGATGGCTTATTTCTAATTGTATATTATATTTGTATTAAATAAAAAAAAAGAAGTTGTATATTATAAGTTCACACTAAATAGTAGTCCTTCTGACCCTCAACAAACGCCTCAATCGAACTGTTGATTCCTTCGTAAATCTTGTTCCTTTTGATAACTCTTCGATCCACCTTACCGTTGATAAACTCCAATGCTCGAGAACAAATCACAAATAGACAAAACACACTAGCCGTCGCCAATGCCGCAAAACACATGGCGAGAACATGAAATACAATGATATAGGTATCCACTCTCGTCTTTATAGTCGACGTATGCCCGCGCTCCCTCTCGATCTGGAACATTTCACCCGCATTTAAGCACTGAACCACCAGGGTAATGTGCAATACCAACCCAATCAACTCCATAACAAAAGAAACAAACGAGCATCGCAAAGACACAAGTGTCGGTATCGTGCTCGAACACAAAGGGAGCAACGCAGCATTGATGACAAACATAACCAACGTATACATGCATGTAATCACACAGATAGCCGGTCTGTTTTCGATATCCTCCAAGGGAACACACGCATAAATGAGGATGTACTGGACAAGAAGGAATGTGAAATAAACGCGAAACAAGTTTCTGAATAGACGCGGGTTGTAAATGGTGGCTAGGGTGTCAACTATAGTGTCATTCCCGAGATTGATGTGGTGGCCCTCGGGAATTGGTGGGTCAAAGAGGACGTTGTGGACCATTGGTGCGGTCTGGCTGGGAGACGTGGCGGTTGTTTCGGCTGAATGTTGTGTATTGACGCTATATGGTGGGGACTTCTAATTGTGGATGTGGGCTAATGTGTGTAAAAAGAATAAGATGCAAAAAACGACAGCCGCTTGTGAATAGCCGCGAATTCTTCATATAAGGAAAACAGATTTTGGAGGCATATCAAAAGTATACATATGTATAGATGCCTTGGATAGCAGGGGCAACTACTGGTGGCTGTACAGGTTTTTTGGAGCAGGTGGTACAAACGGAGCATCTCTTTTGGTCAACTTGTCGTAAACGGTTCTTTCCAAACTAGGAAACAATTTTGTCGACAACTCTACACCTTCACTTACCCAGACGCCATAACTTCCCATCATGTTTGCCATTAACATGTCGGTGAATAATCGATCACCAACTACGGCAATTTCGTGAGGCTCCACGCCAAGCGTAGCAAAATACGTCTGGATTTCTCCGAAACATCCTGGTTTTTTGGTGGCATGACGAAGAACAGTTACTCCCGTGTCACGTTCCAATTTCTCAGCTTGGACATGGTCTATGTCGTCGTTTGTTCCTGCTGAGTTGCTGACTATGAGAACGTGTTCTTTATTGTAGTGGCTAAGTAATTCCTTCCAGGTGTCCTGGGTTGGGTTAGTATAACTTGAAAACTAAGACAAAATAAACAAACAAACAAACAAACAATCAATCAATCAATCAAACAAACATGAAGTTGTTAGAATGTGTGTACATACTTGGTATGCCGGCCAGACTTTGTCATCGTGATCCTTGGCGAAACAGTTGTCCTTGTCAAGCACGATTCCTTTAATAGTGACTGGTGTTGGCGAGTTGGTTTGATTCGGTATCACCAATGGTATTGGGAGCTGATCAAATGATTTGATACACAAATGTGGAAGACAAAGCGATGGATTGTAGAGAAGTCTACTGACGTTGAGTGTAGCACTGACGTTGAACATTGTGTAGTTGGATGTAGTGTAGTTGTCTACGACGGGACTGCCCTCTCTCTGTCTGTGTCTCTTTGCTGTTGTTGAACAGAAAAAATTTGACAACCAAAATTTCCATGTCAACGAACAGTATCACCAGTATAGATCTATAGAGCAATTAATGTCCGAATCACCAAGCAACACCCCGTCAGACAAGAAACCTAGAGTCTCTCGTGGAGGGCATCACCACAGGGCAAACAGAGGATACAAGAAACGTCCCAATGACTCATCAGCGACAGCTACATCGCATGCTGACAAAGAGGAAGAAATTCCACCAGATGAACAATGTTTAATTTGCGCCGAGCACATTCAATATGCCGCACTAACACCTTGCAACCATACTACCTGTCATAAATGTACATTCAGACAACGGGCCCTTTACGAACGAACCATCTGTCTTATTTGTCGTACTGAGAACCCTCATGTCGTATTCACAGAACAGATTAATAAAGAGTATAGCGAGTTTTCCGACAAGGACATCGTGGCCAAGAATGAAAAGTATGGCATCTGGTTCACCCAATCCTATGTCGAAACAGACACAATGAACCTCCTTGCCAACACTTGTTCCATCTGTAATGAAAAACTTGACAGTTTTAAGGCCTTGGGCAACCACGCCAAAGAGATCCATTCCAAATACTTCTGCCACCTTTGTCAAAAGTTCAAACATGCATTCATATCGGAACTCCCCTTGTACACCGCGCGTCAACTCCAACGACATCAAACTGAAGGTGATGGTGATGACTCGGGATTCAAAGGCCATCCTGCATGTAAGCACTGTCATCACAAGAACAATCGCTACTATTCCGAAGATGAATTGAAGGTGCATATCAGAGACAAGCATGAGCGATGCCACATTTGTGATCAGTTTGATAGAAAGAACGCTGATTATTATAGAAATTACGATGCCTTGTATGCCCATTTCCAAGCCGATCATTTTGTGTGTCGTGCTCCGGCGTGCATAGAGAAGAAGTTTGTCGTGTTTAGAGACGACTTGGATTTGACAGCTCATATGTTGAAAGAACATGGCGGTGTCGGCAGTGGCTCTTCCAATCGAGTGGTTATCGGGTCTAATTCCCACTTTTCGCAATTGTCAACGTTTGCTGATAGAAGACCCGGTGCTACCCCAGTCAACTGGAACGATGACGAACAACAAACACCAGAAATTAAACGGAAAAGATTTGAAGAACGGGCCAAGCACTATCTCAGTTATGACCCGGCCAAATATGATGAATTTGTTAGTTTGAATGCCAGTTTCAAGAACAAGAAAATCAGTGCCAGTGAACTTCTCAGCCTTTACAAGCAAGATTTGTTTCCTGACCAATCCAGCGATGAAATGAATTTGTTGATTCGAGAGTTTGCCGAATTTTTTCCAACTTCTTCTGAATTACGTCGTGACTTGGAATCTGTATCTAAAGATGCGGCCATTACTGAAACACAAAATGAAAGTTTCCCTGTGCTTGGAGGCCGACCAATCGGATCAATGGGACTATGGGTTGGGTCCAGAAGAACACCAAGTCCTAAACCGGACAAGTTTCCAGCATTAGCCAAACCAGTAAAGAAAGCAATTGCGGCGCCACAGCCTATAAAGTACACCAATGTAATCAAAACCACCGTGAAGAAGAAGCCATTGAGTCCAGTGGTAAACACCGGCCCTTCGACTTACAAACCTACGTATTTGGACAACAACTCCTCACCATCACTTCCAGTTCTTGGACAAACTAGCAGAACAAACTCGCCCATGCAAACATCGTCTTCGCTTCTGTCTGCGCCTACGAAATTCCCAGCCTTGGAGAAGAAACAACGGAAAGTAATCCCCACTGTCAAACAATATAATATTGCCGATCCCAGCCTGTGGTCGAAAAACGCGGCTAAACAACCAGTTCGAAACAGTACCACCCCCACGGACGATTGGGGAGGGATTGAGATAATAGACAAACGAAAGGGTAAATTGAAAAAGAAAGGTGGAGTAGTTAGTGATTTAATTTAAAGCCTAAGACAATAATAAACATTAGACGATATACCCCATCGGTACTTAACATTTCGGACCGAGTTTTTATGTAGCTATGCACAAATCCGCCTAACCTGAGAAAAAATAACAGCTAGTGCGAAAAAAATAGAACTAAAATAAAAAAAAAAAAAATAGTCAAGTGCCGAACCAAACTCGGCCGAATTTGTACCCTCAAATTCCAACCTTGGCGCAAAGCAAGTAGCAAGGCTAGATAGACTACTGTTTGAATTGCCGCAGTACTGCAGCACAGTAGACAGTGCTGTCTGAATTAGCACATACCACATAAAAAGGTTAACGTTAAAAGATACAACTGAAACACCTAACATATTATATAGTATTACTAATGTGCTAATGTCCGTTTCGACTCAGTCTGCTCGGCCAACTGCAAAATGCAAAATAACGCAGAGTGTAAACAATTGAGTTGTTTTTTTTTTTGTTAGAGTGAAGAAGAAAAACAAAAAAGTCTGTGCTACCACATCGGAAGGAGCGGCTGCAGCACAACCGGAACCAGAATTAAAGTTATTTCACAAAGCGGGAGATGAAATGCGTTCCTCTTTTGTAATGAATACACTTAATTTCAGTTATGTTGTAATTGTAATTCCAAACTGAGCCCTTTCCGCGAGCTCCGTGACACGGCCTGTATTCTGTAACAAGTAATCTAGATCCTGTCAAGCATTGCAAGATTTATGAAATTGCGTTAAATAATTTTTTAGTTGTTGGAAATTAAGTTTTGTGGTAAAAAATAAAACAATCGAAATAAAAAATAAACCTAGCTTTGGAATTTCTAACCCCAAATTAACCTACGGGTTATGACCAAATGAGCAAAAACAAAGCCGACCCTAGAGTTTATTTTTTAACAACCTTTTTGTTAGTCAGTATTACCAATCTACATATATAAATACATATATAAGTGAAGTCATCGTCCACCCCCTTAAGCTTTTTTTCTTCCTTCTGATTGTCTATTACATCGGTTTTCTTTTAATTATAAATCTGGATAGATATCCGAGATCTTTTCAGTTAAATCCGACTCATCCTTACATATTAGTATTACAAGACTATTCATTTATTCAATTAGTAATGACCCAAATGAAGACATCAATTATTCCCCACAAACTCAAGAGATTATATGACTTATACTACTACTGTAGTCCAATCCCAGTTCTTTCCACTGGCGAAACCATAATCTTTAACCTTATTAATCTAACCATCCTTCTAGTGAGTGCCTACTATGCCGTTTATTTTCTCCCTACCGTACTTACAAGAGCTATAGAGAAGTTGTGGTTTTATATTACTGGTCAAATTGTCATCGTCAATTCCTTCTTCCCATTTGCATTACTGAACAGTTCTCAGATAGTGGGAGCATCGAAGAATTTCACCGGATGAACCAGTAGTACTAGTTATGTGTGATGTGATGAAATAGTTTTCCGTTTTAATTTATGTTTATATGTATTTATTTTCAGTTCTTTTAATATGATTCAATACTACAGTTTTACTTGATTCCTCCTTCCACAGTCAATGTCAATGGGTTGGTACATCCATGTGAGGGCCGGAGTACATCTATCTATCTCCCTGTCACCTTTTTTTTTTTGAAAGATGCAAACTTAAATAATAATTTAAACAATGCGAGGTGTGATAATCTTGGTCTAAATTTTGTAATTCCACAAGCCAGTCAGAATTGAGATTATAATTTCAAAATAGGTTGATTCCCCGCTCCTAGCGAGGGTCATAAGATGATGGTTCTCAGGGCTTACTAACTAAAGTTAAAATGTGGATGCTACCAAGTTTGAATCCCAGGGCTGAAATATTTTTTTTAATTGTAATGCGTATTGTGTAATATTCATTGTGAATGAGCTCCAGTGACACCATTTCAACATGCTAGGTTGTGCTTGCAACCTTAAGACCGCGCGGAATTAAGCTACTATATATATTGATTATAAAGCAAGTCTAAAACTTACACCCGAATTACATTCTTGTTCATCTAGATAATTATACCGAGATAGTTGCCGCCAAGGCAACCAACAGAAGCTTACTCAACCAAACAAACTCCAATCATTCACGGTAAAGCTATCGCCAATTTGTCGTAAAACTCTATAGCTCTCCTTAATCACAGGATCCGCGCTCTTTGTAACATCGATGGCACTGATATCCTCCTTAGTAGGAACATAATACTGTATCAACACATCCGTCTTGACATTTTCTAATCGAATCAAGCAAAACAATCCAAGCACATTAACGCCGTCCTTCTTATCCAACGCCGCATAACTATACCATCTCGTGACACCATTGTCAACATGCTCAATCAACCTGCATTTAACATCCGCGATATCCTCCATATGTTCACTCATCACCGTATCGAAATCGTTGCCACTGACTTGCTCAAGCAAGTCAAATATAAGTGATTGGTCAAAATTGGCATTCTCATCGCCCGATGGTGTTTGGTTCATAAACACCTCCTGGGTATCTGGGACTTGTCTGAACTGAGAAATGTCAATGAATGTGGATGGGAGTTCCACAATTGAGATCGCACCGCCATATAGTTGTGTCATTGTCGTGCTATCCCTGGATGTTTCAGGTCTTTGTTTAAATAGATGAATCTACATCCTAACCTCAATATTAAACGTGGTGCCTGAAAATGTGTAAAAGTCGTGTCCTTTGCACAATCTAATTCCAAAAATTAGAAATTTATTTTTATGTTCAAAAGAGACGTATCTTCGTTAGAACTAACTACAACCAAGACATGGCAAAGTACGGTTCTGGCAGGGGTATAAAACGATCATGGCTAATTGAGCTTGTGGTCCTCGTCGTGACGGGTGGGTTTATTGTGTTTACCGTGTCGCAATCATCGAAGGAGATCTCCGAAGTGTTACCATACATTCCTAATGAAAAGATCTTTAATTTCCTCTCGAACGAAAACGAAAAGAACCAAGATCTATTGTTGGCCAAAATTGAAAAACTCAACAGGAAGCTCTTCCAGGAACAGCAAGCACGTTTGGACGAGCTCGAGAAACAACAACGATTGCTCTTGAAGGAAATCAAGAGCTTGAAATCACCACCGGCCAAGGCCAGCCTCAGAGATAAATTAGTCTACCTTTATCCTTATGATCCACAAGCAAAGTTCCCGGCATACATCTGGCAAACATGGAAACACGGATTGAACGATGAAAGGTTTGATGAGAAGTATAGACAGGGTGAGTCACAATGGGCATGGAAGAATCCAGGTTTTGTCCATGAGTTATTCAACGATGACACTGCACACACCATGATTAGACATTTGTACAAGCAGATCCCTGAAGTTATTGACGCATTTGAAAGCTTGCCTGAAGTTATCTTGCGCATGGATTTCTTTAGATACTTGATTTTGTACGCCAAGGGTGGTGTATATGCTGACATTGACACTTTCCCCTTACAGCCTATTCCTAACTGGACTCCTGAAAACGTCAGCCCTACAGATATAGGTATGATTGTTGCCATAGATATTGATTCCAGTTCACCTAACTGGAGACAAGAGTCTGCCAGACGATTACAATTCGGACAGTTTGTAATCCAGGCCAAGCCAGGCCATCCAGTGCTTCGTGAAGTCATATCCGAAATTGTGGAACAAACCCAATACAAGAAAACACAATTAATGGAAAATGACAAGTTAAAATTAACGGGATCATCCAACCAAAAGTCGCTCCAGATTTCCAAATGGACTGGGGGAGCATTATGGACCGATGTGATCTTGAAGTACTTGAATGACTACATTCAGTCGTCCATCTATCAAACCATAACTTGGCAAGATTTCCACGATTTGGAAATACCAAAGTTGGTGAGTGACATCCTTGTCCTTCCGATCAAATCGTTTGCTTCTGAATTGGAGATCCCTAAGGATGGAAAAATCCAAGATCCGTTAGCATTTGTCAAGCATTACTCGGCCAAGATTTGGAAGACTACGTGAGTTTTTGTGCATATATAATTTGTGTGTTTAATTAATAGAATTTTTTTTTTCGTATTTCGTAACAAAAAAATGTTTGCAACTTAAAAAGTGAGTTTTTTGCAATCATACTTCACATTCTTTTCTGCAACACATTAAGATGTTCTACTCAAAACGTTCTGATAACTTTAAAGAGCCTAATTACTGTTACAAAACATTCATTCCCGTGTATGCAACCCCAATGTTCTTCCATCACACGGTCCACCATTACAAACATGAATTCCCTAGCGTATTTCATCCTGAAGACTTGTTCCGTCCCATGTCTTATAAGAGTGATGAGGAGAGAACAAATAAGTTCCGTCGTGAAGAGCAGAGTTCCAAATTTGAAAGTTGTTCCAAGAAAAGAGATGGTGGGTTTGTTATGGGGTATGTTCCATGGGTTGTACACTATTGTGACCTGGAGGAGTTCAACCATAAAGAGGAGCATTGTGGTAAGGAAAATCGCACAGAACCAGGTGATGAAAAGGAACCATTTGTGATGTCCCTGGATGATGCTACATTCCCAGCTACTGCCGAATCCAATAAATATTCAGTCAGTAACGATGGGCAAATATTATCCGGCACAACATTACAAGAACTGTCGAAACCCAATTTGGACGCCAAGGAAGTCATTGATGATCCTACCGTAAAGAGTGAACTCCGCAATACAGTTTCCAACTTCCTTGCCAAACTTCCAACTGAACCTGATAAAACATGGGCCGAAATGATGTCAGATATCGTTTCTGAGCCAGACACCCAGGAACAACCCCAAGACTCTACAGTTAGAACAAGAATCCGTAACAAGAATAGACGGAAAAACTTACAAAAAAAGAAAAATAAAAAGAAAAAGAATTAAACTATATAGTCTTATAAATTAGCTTCCCTTCTATCGTCGATAACCTTTGGATATCTCTTCTTTTCCACTGCTTCATCATACTTAGTTTCATCTCCGTGATTTCTGTAGGTATTGTATCCCCAGTTACTAGCATCGTAGAAAGTAGCTCTATTATACTTGACTAAAGTAGAAGGATCATTCTTTAACTTGGACACTAAATCAGGATTAGATGTAAAGTAACGGGAGAAACCAACCAAGGTTCTTCCATTAGCAGTATCTTCTCTAATGGACTTGAATTCAGGAGCATCGTAAGTGTAATTACCAGCACGGACAATAATACCCTTCCATACTTGTTCCACAAAATGGTTATCACCCTTGGCTGAGCTGGCATCAACAGTGACAGTACCTTGAACACGAGGTTCCACCACAGAAACATAAGCCAATTTGTTACCCTTGTCGGCTCTTCTTTGCAATTGGTCCAACAAATAGGAGAAAGTAGGGATAGGACTGGCTCTTTCTTCGATACCTTGAACTTCAGCCCATGGGGAAAGACGGATGGCTAATCTGTCGGCACCAACAACACCAATCAAATGATCAATCACTTCCAATGCGAAACGAGCTCTGTTTTCAATAGAGCCCCCATACTTGTCTGTTCTTGTGTTGGAATTCTCGTGTAAGAATTGATCAATGAAGTACCCATGGGCACCGTGTAATTCAATATAATCAAACCCAGCAGCAATGGCGTTCTTGGCGGCGATAGTGTAGTCGTTCAAGATAATATCTTTGATTTCTTCTTCGGTGACGGCTCTGACTTGCACGCCTTGCTTTTCAGCAGCTGCCTTGGCTTCTTCACTTGGATATATAGCTGATGGAGCGATCATATCCAATCCTCTTTCCTTCAACACCTTTGGGTCAGCAACTCTACCAAGGAACCAAAACTGACAGGAAATAAAAGATCCACGTTCATGTACTTTATCTGTGATTTTCTTCCACCCGTCAACTTCTTCCTTGGTGGAAATCTTAGGAACACCTTCATACCCACCCGCTCTGTCCGACACAAGTGTGGCTTCTGTAATCAACAAAGTACCTGGGTATTGAGCTCTGTCGGAGTAGTACTGTTGCATAAGATCCAGAGGAACGTGACGGGTCTTAGGATCTCCTTTAGCAGCACGGAATCTGGTAGTTGGGACATATACGATTCTGTTGGAAAGAGTGTGGTTACCTACTTTAATAGGTTTGAATACGTTACTTTCAGCAAGTGGTGGGAGTTCTTCAGTGGTCATATTGTTTTATTCTTGTTTATTGTTATAATTAGCAAAAAAAAAGAAAAAGTAATAGCAAAGGAAAGGGAGATTTTGCAGCTATTTATAAACGAGGATTTGTAAGCAAAAGTTATTTGTAAGCGCAACACCGGAGTTTATATATGTTGGGTGAAAAATTGAAGCAGACACAAATCGAGATAACCGCGCTGACTGCTGCCCCACTGACATTGTTTTACGAAAAAGCAAAAAAAAAAAAATTAAAAAACAGAAATTCACGGAAAAATACCAGACACATTTTTTTATCCGAGTGAATTTCACCTGGTATCCTCGGGGAATTGGCAATTTACAAAACCGGAGTTGTTGCAGTGTGCTATCTCCGGAGGATTGTTGAGCGGTGGCAACATATCTGACAAATACTACTTACGAGAACTCGTTTGTTAGATTGCATTAGCTTACCTAATCTTGCATCTGACGTTATTGCGTTATGTCAGCAAAAAAGAAACTCATGGAATGTTCCACGGCTATCTATCTTTTTTTGCAATCGTAGCAAAATCTTCAGGTACTACCCTAGTTCTCTACAATTTCATGGTTACATATGTTTAGCGTATCGTACAAGGCTGGTATATATTCTATCTATAAATAAGTCTAGGCAAGGGCCTTACCAACAATCTTAGTTTCCTCTTCTTCGTTCCATTGGTTGTTTTCACCAAATTTGTTCCAAGTATTGAATCCCCAGTTGTCTTGGGTGTAAAAAGTAGCTCTTTCATAAGGAGTCAAGCTCAAACCTTCCTTCAATCTGTGAACTAAATCAGGACAACTGATAAAGTATCTCGAGAATCCAATGAAAGTTCTGTCGTCTTCCAAATCAGTCAAAAGACTCTTGAATTCAGGAGCATCATATGTATAACTACCAGCCTTCATGAATACACCCTTCCAGTACTTGGAAGCAAAAGCATTGGACCCAATTTGATCTTCGGCAGAAACATCCCAACTGGCTTGAACACGGGGCTCAACAAGGGACACATATGCTAATTGGTTTCCTTCATCAGCTCTCTTTTGGAACTCAGTCAAGATATACTTGTGGATTTCTTCACCTTCAGTATCGACGTTTTGAAAACGGGCCCAAGGAGAGAGACGAACGGCTAATCTGTCAGCTCCAACGATAGGAATCAACTTATCGATGATTCTCAATAATAAACGAGCGCGGTTTTCAATAGAACCGCCGTATTGATCAGTACGCTTGTTGGAAGCGGTGTTTAAGAATTGATCAAGCATGTAACCGTGGGCACTGTGGATTTCGACATAGTCGAACCCAGCAGCCAAAGCGTTCTTGGCAGCTTGAGGATAAGTGTTTTCGACAAGGTCGTCAATCTCTTCAAGAGTCAATTCTCTCAATTCATTACCACATTCCTTGGCCTGTTGTTCGGATTCTTCCGACCAGTAAACTGGAGATGGGGCAACAAAAGGCAATCCAGCATTCTTTAAGTGAACAGGATTGGCAACTCGACCCAAATACCATAATTGGACCGAACTCAAAGACTTGGCAGCGTGGATCTCATCATTGATCTTCTTCCAAGCTTTAACTTGTGCATCGTTGAAAATACCAGGAATGTGTGGATTTAATCCACCTTGGGCTGAAGAATAGGTAGCTTCAGTAATGATTAAAGTTCCTGGATATTGTGCTCTTTCCTTGTAGTATTGTAATTGCAAATCGGTAGGAATGTTGTCGAAGGTGGCTCTACAACGGGTTGATGGGGCAAAGGCGATTCTTTGTGGTAATTCATAACGACCAACTTTGAGTGGCTTGAAAAGCTTAGTTTGGCCTAATGGAGCGATAGGAGAAGTAGCAGAGACGGTCATGGCTGTTGTGCATAAAATAGAATGCGAAATGGTATATCAAACGGGATGAGACTGGCTGATTTATATATATAATCAATCAATTAGTAAGCATGGGACGATTTTGTGTAATTTTTCATATATTTTTCCTGCCGATATTTTAAGGCTAATGAGCCACACCACGGCGAGGACTACTAGTACTGCTACTTTAACTATACTAAACTATATAGAAGAAAGCACACGCCTTGCAGAATTTCTTTTTCGTTCTATTGTGTTTACCTGTAAATAATTATCGCTAATCGGAAATGTGCCTTTACTCATTCTTTTTGTTCTCGGACACAACAACATCGTCTTTTCTCGTGATCACCTTTTTAAGGATAACATAAATGATCATCGTGAATCCAATAAGTACAGTGATGGAAGTGATATTGTTGACTCTGTCGAATGTAGTCACCCCATGGGGGATCTTCGCATTGACAGACGAACTTGTATCATGATTGATATGATAAAATACGGTATTGTTGGTGAAATAAACTTCATAATTGCCCCCTAGCACTGACCTACTATCAAAAGGAGATTTGTCCAATAAATGGTCATCTTTTACATTACAGGCCATAAACACTTGTGGAAGTGAACTGTGGATCACGCTGGCATTTGTATGTGAAGCATTAGGCAACTGGTATCGAGAATGCAATGTGAAATCAATTTGTGAAGGTTGAGTATCAAACTCAAACATAACCTCGTTCCCCCATTCATTGATTTTATATTCTGGTAATTCCAAATTCTTGTTACCATTGTTGATCACAAGTGAAGAGTTAATCGGAACCGATTGAAACTGATCGAAAATAAGTGACCTGTTCAAGTTGATGTAGTAATATAACTTACATTCACCAGGAATCACGTCTTCATCTGCAACACTTGAAAGCTCTCCCACTTCTGTTCTGAGAATAGGATGCAATCCCTGATCGACAATCTCAGAATGTATAGTCCCATTCAACAATCTATGTCTTGGTTTGATATGAAACATAGTCTTGAACACATTTTCATCCGAGGTAGATTTTGCATCAAGAATAACCCTAAGACCGCTGAGAACAATATCATCAGCCCCTTTAGCTATGGAATCATCTTTCAAAAACAATCCAATCTCTTTGTATACTCCTCTTTCTGTTTGGAATTGAAGTGCTGGCACATCAGTGACCACTTGTTTAAGTGTGAGCTTATCACCCAACTGAAGTTCATAATCGACATCCAGTTTCCATAACTTAACCCCTTGTAAAAACTTATGATTGGCATTCAAATTCAAAGGAGTAACATTGTGATAATATAACGAATTGATATTGTTGATCCAGTTTGAGCTGTCAATTTTCAATCCCACCAAGTCATAGATCGCTTGTTGAACTTGATCATAGAAGGCCTGCTTGTTTTCGGGATTGTTGATATTTTGAGGGATAGCATATATGTTAATACCTTCACTGAATTCATAAGGGAAGATTAGTTGAGACAATTGTGGCGTGTTCCCCCTGAATTTGGTTTGTATACGTAAATGTTTGATATAGTTGAACTTTTCAGGAGTTCTCGTATACTTGTTCTCAACAATGAAATTGTGTTCTGGTTGTGGAACCAACAGCAAGTGGGTTGTATTTACATTCTGGATAACATCGTTATGATTTGGTCCCAGGTTGATTACGGTTGTTCTTTGTCTAATCATTGCTGCAGACTTATCTGTTGTAAAGAAAAAGAAGGTAGTCCTTTTTTTTTGCCTGGAAATAAACTTGCGAACTGCAAATTTATAAACGTCTATAAATTAACCAAATATATACAAATGCTACATGCTAATGCTACACCATATCCCGCAAGTTCTCTATATAATTCCACCATGCGGCATCCTCAATCACGCCTGTGATCAACACCTCATAAAAATGTTGTAAATCGACCTTGGTCAATTTGTTTGTTTTAAACAATAATGTTTGCTCAATCTTAAATCTCAAATTCTCGATTGTGGCAAAACTAATATCATCCTCCTGCTCGACATAATTGTCATCACTTTCGATTATGTTTTCAACAAAAAGATTGTACTTGTACAATTCCCGCTGTAGTTTCTTCAGTATCTCTTCAATTTCTTCAATAACGAAATTATTAATCAAATAGGTGAATTGGGCCCTCATGGAAAGCAAATTCGTGAATGAAACATCAAACAAATTCACCTTATCAATTAGACTGTTGAACATGGCCAAGCGAGAAATCAACTCCCGTGTAATCTCTTGCAATTTCTTCAACTGGTGAATCATCCGCGAGTGATGAGTTTTATCTTGGGGTATATAGGGATTAAGTATACTTGTATGAGGAAACGAATGGAATTCAGTGTTGCAAAACAGATAACATATCGTGATTAAATTGTTAGCGTGGTAGATTTCATTGGCGAAAAATTGGGCTAGCACGTTGCAGGGCGAGACTGTATGGGTCAATAAAGGAAGTGTAGACTTGAGCTGACTCAAATACGAGTAGAATGTTAGGTCGGAAGGGGACGCTATTCGATTCATGGATTCGCATCCATCCTTTAAGTCGGGAGTAAGGAACGATCTGGCTTCGGAAAGTATGGACTCGTTGTCACCTCCTGGGTACGAAGTGTCCATGCTGGCATCATCAATGAGAAATCCTATTGGAGTTGTTCTCGGGATAGGGGATGGATCATCTGGAAGACGTAAATTGCATTTGAAATTGGGTTTTGAGGGAATGGGTGAGAGTGGAGGACGTGGATGGGGACACACAGGTCTAGTTATCCTCTCTCGTGGTGGATTATCACCTTGATATTCTTGATACAACGACATGATTTAAAAAGAACACAAACAGTGCAAGAAATTGATTACAGGAAATATTTTGAGGAAGATACTCGTTTATTTATGATCATTGAGGAGTTTTTGGTTAAACACTAACCCGAGCTGTTTGTTTCTTTTTCAGAAAATCAAACTGGCATATTAAACATATTGTTGTTTAGGGTTGCCCTGGCCCCTCTCTTTTGTTCCCCAATCTTTGTTGTTTCTTTTTTTAGAGTAAACCATGTACTTGCCTACATTAATAATATACATCAGGTCATTATATAGCCTCAGTTAACCCAAACCATAACCCTAAAATAACGTTTATGGTTAGAAAAAAAAAATAGTTAGGTGGCCATGCAGATCCGCTTAATTAACTTTTGCATCATCTACCATCACCAATAATAATATTTTTTAATTTTTAAATTTAACCAAAAAAAAATAACTTGACTAACAAAAATTCCGTGAAAATCCCTCCACTTTTTTTTTTGGTTAGGTTCCTCTTGGACTTCTAGTGACCATTTCTTTTTACCCCTGGTGTATTCTGCCGCGGTATTATTCTATAACATTTGGTCTGGCCTAGTTATTAAGATGCCAGGGGGGGTTTGAAGGTCAAACGTTTTCTTTAGTTTGCTGCGTTAGATGATCCTGAAATTGCAACTATACATCATATGCACATTTAAAGATATAAACGATGATTACGTTGCATCGTCTACCTCTGCATGCAAGAACATGTCTGTATTACAAATCAACAGTTCTTGTGAAATTACAACCAAACGTTCCGGCGTTATACCGTAAAAGTAGTTAATTCCGTGTAATAATATTTTTTGTTTTTGTTTAGTCACGTTGATGGTGGGGTTTGATACGCAGGGCGGATCCTCTGCATTAATAGCATCATTCACGCTATGAAAATTTTCCAACAGTGCATTTCAAGCCCATCTGAAACGATGTGTCATGTTTACAACTGGTTTCGGTAATGGTTCGAGATATTTCCATGACCCCCTCCCCTGAGAGATCAATTCGGGTATCTATACCCGGAGGTAAGTATAACACGCTTTGCGTCAGTAGCTGAGTAATGATCGTGTGAGGACCCCTAGGTCAGATCTCTTCACATCTCCCCACCTCTACAATAGTTCTATTTTTTATAAGATATTCCGATGATTCCACCGCGCTTCAACCTACAACGGATTTCGCGTTACCTCTTCCGATTAAACGGCATCCATGAATCACCTCACCTTTCGAAATCCCCGGGTACGAGGTCAACTCCATAGATGGTCATTCGAAACTACAAACTTTGAGTTCAACTTCTACCGGGTGATGCTGTATCCCCTCAATAACGCCTATCTTGCTCGTATTCTATCTAGTCATGTGTATTACAAATATTTCTATACTTTTTGTTATTTTTGCAAAATGCTTTCACTTGCTCAACTGGTAGCGCTATAGTTCATCTTTTTCAGTTCTATTGTGATCGCCAGGTATTATAACCTTATATTGAATAAACAAATCACCAAATTGTTCAACTTCATCATGTTCCACCAATACAGGCATACCTTTGCCCTTGATGATTTCAACTTCACCATCAACGATGATTTGACCTTTAGCACGTTTCAAGACAAGAGTATCATCTTCGGCATCCAAAAACTTAATCTTACGTTCCCAACCACCATTCATGGCTTCTTTTAATGTTATAGGTTCAGTACGGTATAAATTATTTTGAACACGTCTATAACCCCAACTCTTGGAGAAATCTTCTCTGATATTAATAATTAAATCTCCTGGAACCCAGTTTGGATTTCTATGACCTTCGCCTTCCAAAATATGATTTGAATCTCTTGGTTGACCTGGTTTTATATATATGTCGTAATGTCTTGGTCCTTCCATTACTCCATGACCTTTACATTTATCACAAGGGTGGGTGATGACTTTACCGACACCACCACATTGGTCACATTGCATTCTTACTTGTTGAACCATGCCTGGACCCAATTGATGTTGAACTGTGATGATTCCTGATCCCTTACATCGATCACAGGTATGTTTTTCCTTATCTTTAGACCCAGTCCCTTCACATGTTGGACAATCATTCATCATTCTCACTTCAAACTCGGTAATCTTACCATTGTAGAAATCACTTAACCCGACATTCAAATTGACTTGGACGTTCTCACCTCGTCTCACGCCACGTTGTCTTTGTCTTCCACCACCACCTCCAAAGAACTGGCCAAACATATCGCCGAAATCAAATTGTTGTCCACCATGTGGGTTACCTTCAGGGTCACCGTATTGGTCGTAATTCTTTCTCTTTTCGGCGTTACTCAATACTTCGTATGCTTCACCAATTTCGATAAACTTGTCGTGGGCCTGTTCATCGCCGGGGTTTTTGTCTGGGTGGTATTTAAGACTTAGTTGTTTGTAAGCAGATCGGATCTGCTTGTCGGTGGCGTCCTTGTCGACTCCCAACACTTGATAGAAGTCATGGTGTTGTTTGGCAAGAACGAGTGTAAGCAATAACCAGAGTGTGCTTAGGAGTGAAAGTTGCATTGCGATAATAGCACTAGATTAGTTAAGTGATAGTTGCAAGTTGTGAACAGCAAAAAGTAAAAAAAAAAAAATAAAAAAAAAAAAGATTTTTGATACACGTCAACATTAATTTTTCAAAGTTGCAGATTGTGCGTATTGGTACCAAGATAGTGTAATAACTGCCAACAACATAACTCTAGGTTCATGCAATGTTAATCAAGGATCATTGTTTAATAAATATGACACATATCTATCTCGAGAGTTGTGTATTTAACAAATTTGCTAACAATGAATGATCAGATACGCCATCAGATTGGAAGTGTGCGGCTTTCACTACTCTAGGAAGACTAAACTATATGGTTTATGTTGCGATAAAAACTGATTAAGGTTGCTAATAAATTGACAACGGTATAGTGTAACTACTAAAATCTAAGCTGGTTGTCATTCTGCAGTATTCCTTTCGCCTTTTTGCTGGCCTTTTTCAAACAGAAGTACGATCATTTAAATCTCACAATGTAGACTGCTGTATTGAGTAATATTATGACAGTTTACTTTCCGTGTGAACTGCATCCAAAAAAATAAATCCCTATCAGCCAGTGCGGGGCCGACCAATTCTGAAAAGTCAACCCATTTCAAGGATACCTTCATCGTCTAGAATAACTCCTCTTTCCCACTTACATATTAGCTACTATGCACTGGGAGTACATTCCTATATCAATACGATGCATCCGCGACAACTCGGAACAGGCAATGTCTGGAGTCCACATCATTATCAAGTCTGAACCCAACAATACTATAATTGATGATTTCATATTAACTATAAACCATATAGACGATGTCTCAGACTACACTCTTTTAGTCAACCATGTCCATGAAGACATAGTCTATTGGTATAAATGCGTAATCATAAGCGAAACTAAAGTGGACACTGATCCATTCCTGTATTTCTTAAATCATGGATTTAATTTGTTTCCCCGGGATCAACTTGGCTCTTCACAAATTACCATCTTGAAATTGGTCCTTGCTTCACGACATGACTATTTCAATGAAGTGGTTCACGCAAAGATGTTACCATTCACACTTGGACAGGTTGGGGTAGGTGATCATGTCAAAATCGTGTCATCGCCATTCAACTTTACTAATCTGTTGATATTTAACCAATTTGTGAGTGTGGGGAATATCAACTATAAATTAGACAAGTTTTTCTTGACGGATGTGAAATACTTGGAAAATATGAATGGCGGGGTAGTGGCAACCAAATCTAACCAATCGCTTGGATTAATATTTGGTAATTTACGCAAACTCAATGGCGATGGAGATTTAACGGTTATCATCCCCTGGAAATATGTCTTTACTTTAATTAAACATTTCCTTCCACCGCCACAATCAGTGCGGCGGGCTGCTAACCCTAAACTAAATCCCAAGCCTAAATTGTCCAGTGCCATTACTTCAGTTATTCCTTTAATTATTATCAGTTCCAAGGGTGTCTCCTCGTGGGCTACATGTATCTATTATAATTACCAAACATTAGTCACTAACAGACATGTAATTGAACCATTTTTAAACGATGGGACTTGTCAAATTATTTTCAATGATCATGCCATACAACTCACGCGGAAAAATCTTGTCATTGTACCCCATGAAGATATCGATCTTGCATTTATCTTTGTAAACACAAGATATCTTGATGATTACACAATTGTTGATCCTAAGTTCGATTTAGATGTTGGTGAAGTGGTGCATACCTTGAGCTATGGACTTTTCTTTAATCCCAACTATATCCATCCTATACAATCTGAAGGCATTGTTAACTGTGTTTACGAACTACCAGTGAAGGAAGATTCAGACTTGCATGTAAACAGTGTGATTATCAGTTCGGCTTCTTCGTGGAACGGCTCATCTGGTGGAGGCCTATTCAACAATACTGGTGAATTTCTTGGTCTCATTTGTTCAAATGCCCAGGTAAAACAGCCAGTGTTACCAGATTCATGTGATATGACTGAGAAGTTGCCCAAGTTTTCCTTTATACTACCCGTTGATATAATTGAATATTTTTACAATGAAATCATAACGCACGGAATAACTACAGTTGATATCAGCGATAAGATATCAGATATTTGGAAATTGAAATCATTTCATCATGATATAATTATTGAACCTGCAAAATTATAAACACATGTACAGTTATATATACATTTCTTATTTTTTTTTATTTTAATCCTTTTTAATATCGGTAACTACATCTCTTGTTCGTAAATCACTAGGAAGAATTGGCGGTAATACCAACAAATCCTTTTGCGTGGGCACATTGTTGTTGCTGGCAGATAATATCGGTGGTGGTGGAGGGTACGTTGAATAACTTGAATAGTTAACCTTGTTCATATTCAGAATCAGCTGTTGCAGTGAGATGGGCGTCATGGACATTTGCGTCAGGTATTGCAGATGTTTCATGCTCGTCATTGAACTTGAATTCGACATCATGATAGGTGATTTTGAACCTTCATTAGGATTCGCCATGGTTTGTCCCAATACCCCAAGCGTAATCGAATTTGAACGCTTCATACGGGTATCGTATTCGTATGGTGGTGGAATAGTATAGTTTAATGAAGGAACCGAAGACATATGATGTTGGCGGGTTTTTTCTTGAATGAATTGCAAACTTTGACTGGAGTGATATTCATTTATAAACTTATTCAAGTTGAGTTTGAATATGGACAAGTTGTTGTTAAAGTTGACATTCTGAGATGTGAATGTCTTGACGAAGTTCAACCAATTTTCCAAAATGGAATCAAACTTCATCTTCAAAATCCAGAACCACTTGGCATTGAATTGGAAAGTGTCCACGTTGGTCGTTTGTGCCTGAGTTTGATCGATTCTCGACAAGATGCTCGATTTGTTGTCAATTAACAAGTAGATTAAGTTCTGCAAGATAAAATTATCATCGAATAATTCCAGATTATTCCAAATTATAATTAAGATCTTATTCATGATCAAGTACCATTCAATAATAAACACATTAATATTTTGCAATTGTAAATAATTATAATTCTTCAACTCAATCAAGTTTAAATTGAGGTAGCTGCTAAAGAATATCAACGGATATGATATGATTGACAAATTATTGTTTATGTCAAATGAATTACTCTTGTAGTTGAAAAAAGACATTAATGAAAGTTCCAAATTTGACATATTCATAGGATCTAAAAGACAGTCGTTTATTTGCTTTGTCAATTGTACACCATTGATTTCTTGCAAGGTCAAATAAAGCAATTCCCAATTGTAATACTTTACCGGAATGAACAAGTAGTTGTTCAATAACTCGTGAAATTTCAACGGACTCGAAATAATGACGTTTTTCTTGAACAATTCAAACAACTTGACTGAAGTATCATCATTATTATTGGTTAAATGTAAATTTATCGACTTGTTGATTAAAATTATCGAATTGTGCAAGACATTTTTGGAATCATATAAAATTGATTTTGAGTCTGTTTGATTATGGTGACATTTTAACTCATTAGCAAAAGTGGCAACAATAATCAGTTTTAAGAAATCATCATTGAAATCAATATTGATAAATGACTTGGAAAACTTGATCATCAACAGTTGTAACGTTTCATTACCTTTTACAATCTTGTTTAAACAGAATTGGTAGATTTTTGGTGATGAGGATTTCATATAGTTTGACAAGATAATATAAATATTCCAGAATAAGTTGATATTTAAATCAATTAAATTGTCATTAGAATTCAAATCTTTAAGGTTGGAGATAATAATAAAACTTATATCGTTCAAATAGTTAAGAATGACATCATTGTTGATATAGATTGACTCGTCGTCTTGCTCTTCTTCCTGCTCAATATTTTCCAAATTATAGTTTAGATAAATAAAAGATAACAAGAATAAGTTGGTTAAGATTTCAATCTGATCAAGTAGGTTATTATTATTGTTGTATTGTGGAATTAACTTCTTGATGAGCAAATTCCAACTCTTTTTGAAGTAGTGGATTGACTTGCTTGGATTATTATTGATAATACAACCTAACGACACAATGGAATATATAATCCCAACTTTAAAATTGTTTAATGGAACATTTTCATTGTTATTGTTATTGTTATTGTTGTATCCATTCAAATAATAAATCAAATCCTTCAACATCTTATCGAATATATTAAACTGGTTAGACTGATTCATAATGTTGATATACCCAATAAGGAAATTGTCATTGACAGAATTATTACTATTGCTCCCATCAAACTTAATCAACATTGTCTCCAACTTCTTGGTAATTGACAATAAATGAATCAAGTCATGATTTCCTGAAGGTTCCAGCACTGACTTCTTACGTTTCTTGTGTTCCATGTTCATATCCTGTTCGTATAATGAATACAGATCAGATACCGAATCATCCATGTGCATATTGGCACTATTGTGAGTCATGTAATTCTCAGCAATGGGACTTTCGTTGGACAGGGTGCTCGATGATTCGACAGTCAAACCAACAGTGGTGGGATTATTCAAGCTTTTGTTTGACGGTAAATTCATATTATGGTTGTTGCTGTTATTGTGAACGGTCCTAACATGACGTTGTAATAAATCTCGTCGAACAAAAGAACTAGTACAGTTTAAACAATGGAATGGCTTCTCGTTGGTATGAGACCGTTCATGACGTTGCTTATGTTCTGATCTTGTAAATGCACGTGCACAAAATGCACATATATATTTCTTTTGAGTGGCCATGGTGAACTATTTCTTGTCCATGGAAAATGGGTGTATTTGGTTTAATTTTTGCAGCAATTGAATTTAGTGAAAATTACCCCCACTTTCTTTTTTTTTCCGCGGGTGGGGACCTGGACGTTCTTGACAGATTTTAAAGTGGGGCAGGCAAATAAAACCAAAGTTCTACAAATAAAAAAGTGTTAGGAGCAAAAGTTGGTACAAAACTTTTAATAAAAGCTTAAAGGGAATTGTTAAAATTATATATATTGAAATTGTTCCCCACTGAGTCCAGGAGGGGGTGTTGTTTTTTTTGTTTTTATTTTATTTTATTTAGCCCAGGTCCAGGAGGAGGAGAGCCTTTTTGTTGTCTAGACACAAATGGGGAAATCCCCGCATGACAATTTTTTCGTCTCCTCTTTATTTTCTTTTTATTTCTTCTGCATTGTTCTCCTCTTACATTCCTCCTATTTTTACTTATTTTTTTTACTTATTTTCAAGTCTAGTTATAGTAATGTTGCCGCTACCAATGGCGTCAGTATGATCCACTAATTGAAATTTTCATTGTTGGAATGAACTGATTTCAAAAAGGAAAATATCTCGGTTCAACTATTGGTTTGGTAAGAGCTGCATAACTAAGTATACAGCTAATGCAACCAATCAACCAACCAACCAGCACCAGATTCGTTGACACAAAAACTACTAAGAATATTCGGTAATTCCCCCTTGAAAAAAAACTTTCTTGTGATAAATGAAAAGAATCTGGATTGTTCAATCGAACAAATTGTCTTAATTGTATCCAGCAATTGTGTGTTCGCCCAAGATTTGCTTTTGTAATTCCATTGTTCCCATTCATCGTAAATATTATTTTTTCTTGTTTTCTACTAACAAAAAAGCTAATTTTGAGGTGGCGGGGGGGAATGAGTGGAGTCCGGTGGGGGTACGCGGTGGGGGTAGGCTAGTAGTGAATGTCCCTTTTTTTTTGTGTGATCCCCTCTTTGACTAAATCCAAAAAAAAATTCAATGATTCACACCCCCACTTGTAGCATAACCCCACCTGTCAAATGTCACCCAAGTTAATTTCTTGAAATTGTGGTTGTTATTATTTTTATGGTGCTAGCCTTATGGAACACTTCATAACCGATCTGACCGAATGAAGCACAAATAGAACAATTGAAGAACAATCATATGTGGTAATGTGGTTAATCTAGAATGTTCTCGTTAATTCGTAATTGTGTTTCCCTTCAAAATTCGAGAAATTGCTTAATTATACATTGTATAATAGCTAAGCACTTATTAGTAATACCCGCAATAAATTATAAAGGCAATTGTAGGCTTGAACGGGAAAACTCTCAGCACGTGACTTCCATCCAAACAATAACCAGTTATTACTGTTTCGGGTATTCTACCTGTTCAGGGCAATTGCGTCCACGTTGAATAAAATGAAAAATTCTTTTCCTGAAACTTGATCTGGTATAAACAATAGTTCAGTTCAGGGGATACTATAAACAATGGGCTAGATAATTCAATCAATTGCCTTTTATAACATTTTATTTCATCAACCAATCACTGCCGAAGAATTACTTTTGGTACGGCTGGAAATCATGACTAGTAAGATTTTTCAACTCAAGAGGGAAAGAAATAGAGGGAGGGGGATTTAGAGAAATTACTGAATTTACTGTCTTATTCAATCTGTGTTGATAACATGTTTTTTATTTAAGTAACTGATTCTGCTTTGTTTCTTGGAACAAGGGTAGTATTAGATCAGCACTTTTTGGAAATTGAACAGAATAAAGCACACTCAACTCCAATTGCAATTACACTAGCTAAACACTAGCTGATCCTATTACTATCATGTCAGCTACGTATATTATTTGCGTACTGTTACCGCCGCCTCAGTTTACCCAACGTATTTGATACCATCTCAAAAAGTATGGTATCGCCAAGAAAAAAAAATTGCTGCAATTTATTTTTCCTCCGTAACCCCAAATCTTAGATCTCTGTTTATATCAGTTGAGGAGTTCCGTAATTGAAACTAGCACAAACTAATCGAATTTCACAATATTTCCAATTCTTTAACACTAAGGCAGCTAGACACATATAAGGTAGAACACCGTAATTATGCAAAGATTATAAAAGCCCACTTTGTTCGAATTTTAGTCCCACATAAGCCCTTTTTTTTGTAATTGATATAGTTATATAATGAGATTATTAATCGTGATAGTTGGCTGGTTCCTTATTGGAATAATTGCTCTTGATGTTAGCTCTAGTTCAACAGTCACTTATACAAACACTAACCTTTACTATCAAAATGTTCTCGTTGAATCTAGTGCAATTTTATCCCTTATCAACACAGCTGCGTTTTATATTCCATCATTTTCAATTCAGAGCTTGGGACAATTTTTTCTCAAGAACTTCTTTTCAAGTTCTATGCAAGTCATAAATATGGATAATAAAGGTTATGTTTTATTTGATTTCCTGGCCTTTTCTTCCATGGGTTCTCCTTTTACTTTTACTACTAGTGCTAAAAATAGTGGTGAGTTTATAGTCTATGGAGTATCTTTGAATGTAGTAATGACTGGAGTAGAAAATACTGGATCAATGACATTTTGGGGAACTGGAGGACAGGTTAACCTTAATAACCCTACCAATACTGGTAATATATGTTTCCATAGTGTACAAGGAACGATGCAGAATCCGAATGGTGCAGGTTGTTATGCTCTTTATCAATCATATGTTTATGCTAACGCGGTACGTTCTGATTTTGAACCATATGTTGTATTTGAAGGTATCAACAATGCGTTCATTGTTCAATATGGTAACTCGGCATTACACTATACTTTAGCTAACTTTGGTTTATCAAATTTTGTGATTATCCCTATTCAAGAATACGCCGGATATACTTATAATCCTAGTGGAGTTCTTACTATTTATCTGGGTCCTAATCTGATCACATTAAATATCGGTACTGGGTATAACCCAAATAGATTCCGTTTTTCTCTTGGTGCCCTGTATATCTATTTTCAATATCTTGATCCTGCTCCGCCTGAAGCAAATCAGGGAGGTTGTTCTTGTGTATTAAATACCAATCCACCTCCTCCTCCAGTTGTATCAACTATTCAATCTTCCTCAAGTGAGGTACAAGAAACTAGTAGTAGTGAAGAAGTTCTCACTACAAATTCCCCAGAAGAGTCGTCTGCTATTGAAATTACGACTGCTGAAGAGACTATGCCAATTGATGGTACTTCTAGTGGAGATGTATTCACTACTAATCCTCCTGAGGTGACTTCCCTGGTAGTTATTACTCCTGAAGAAACTAGTCCGGCTCAAAGTACCTCGATTGAATTAGAATCAACTGTGATTGAATATTCTACAAGTGAAGAAGAAACTACCTCCAGCAATTTAGAGCAAACTTCTTCTTCAAGTGAATTATTAGAAACTTCTTCTTCAAGTGAAATATTAGAAACTACTTCAGTTGAGTCAACAGAAATTGCAAGTAGTTCTGATGACCAAGCAAGTTCTACTGAGATTGAAATTACCTCGAGCCATACGGAATTCTCCTTACTGTTTGAAATTACATCGAGTGTAATAGAATCATCTCCTGAATATTTTAGCACCTCAGATGGACAAGTCGAGTCCACTCCTAGTACCACTCAGATGGAAATAACCACTAGTATGAACGAATATACAGAGTTTTCATCCACATCAATTGAAATAGAGGAGTCTTCTCTGAGTCAAGCAACTACTACCGAGAAAGAAGCCACATCTATTGAGCCAACTGAAATAGTTACTTCTATATCTGAAGTTGAGGAAGTAACCAATTCTGAATCTACAGGGAGTATCACGAACGAAGAATCTTTGGAAATCCAATCATCTACAGCTGATGCGGAAACAACAATTGACTACAGTGAAAGTATTAGAATACATGAAACAACAACAGTTGAATCCACAAGCGAGACCACTTCAAGTGAAATCGAAGAAACTACTACTGTAGCTAGTTCTACGGAATCATCCAGCGTAGCTAGTTCCACAGAAGCATCTAGCATAACTAGTACTTCTAGTAGCAGTACTAGTAATAGTAGCACTAGCATCAGCAGTGTCAAACCAAGTAGTAGCTCCAAACATAGTACCAACAAACATAGTACCAACAAGCACAGTACTGCCAAACATAGCACCACCAAAAACCAGTAGTACCAAAACAAGCAGCAGCTCCAAACATAGTACCAACAAACATAGTACCAACAAGCACAGTACTGCCAAACATAGCACCACCAAAACCAGTAGTACCAAAACAAGCAGCAGCTCCAAACATAGTACCAACAAACATAGCACAACCAAATGCAGCACAACCAAACACAGAATTACCAAAACAAGCAGTACCAGAACAAGCAGTAGCAGCATCAAAACCAGTACTACCAGAACTAGCACTACCAGAACTAGCACTACCAAGACTAGTAGCACCAAGAGTAGCACCAAGCCCAGCAGTGTTAGAACTAGTAGCACCAGAACTAGTAGCACCAAGAGCAGCAGTGTTAGAACTAGCAGTACCAAAACTAGTAGTACCAGAACTAGCAGCACCAGAACTAGTAGCACCAAGAGCAGCAGTGTTAGAACTAGCAGTACCAAGAGCAGTAGTACTCGTAAATCTGCCGCCCCAACACATTGCAGTAAGGATCATGGAGGTTGGGAAGATAATTGTCATGACAATGATAACGGTAATGGTAAAGGTCACAAACGTGACACTGTTCAAAATAATTCTGGTTATTCAAACAATAATCATATTTCCTTCTTACTTGTGGTTGTTTTATTCTTATCGTTGATGTAACTTACAGCTTGAGCTGGTATTTTGTTCACGATTATTTTTATCAAATTATTAATTATTATTTACTTTTATTGACTGTTATGTTGCTGATCACTGAAGATCATTGATCTCAATTTATTTTATTGGCAACCTTTACTTGTCCTATGTAGTGAACTTATCTTTATAGTCTAATTTGATTTCAAAGTTAGAACAATATTGCTAGCGGGTGTAATAGTAACATTGATAAAGTTTTATTTTGTGAGCAAGAACAACCCAAGATTTTTGCACTCTAATGGATGCAAAATTCTCAAAACTTGTAATTTGAGAAGTCTAACATTGCGTTAAAGCCGGTTGTGTTGACAAAAGAACATAATAAATAAAATATTTTTAAACAAAAGAATATGTTTGGAAAATATGACATAAGTACAACTGATATAGAGCGGGGATTAAGATCAGTTACTAGGCTTTGGTGGTGCTTTACGTTACGTTACATTTCATCCATAATAAGTTCATATGGATTACTAACTCCGATTTTCAAAACAAAAAAGAAACGCAGGCATAATGTTCGTAAATTGAAAACTTGCAAGTTTTCAACTTTGCAGATGCGACAACAATGGTATCGCCAAGAAAACTGCTGCAACTTATTTTCTATCGTAACCAAGATTTAGATCTTCACTTATCAAAGGGGGGTTCGTAAGTGCAATTTTAGTCATACAAAGTAGGAAATTTCATCTATGGTAATAATATTTCTCCTTCTTTCATGATAAGTTGCCAATGTGATACACATGTGGTAAATTTTCGTAAAGATTATAAAAAGCCCACTTCTGTTCCAATTAGACTCTCATAAGCCCGTTTTTGTAATTGAAACAATAAGAAATGAGATTAATAATTGCAATTACTACTTGGTTCCTTTCAGGAGCAATTGCTCTTGATGTTAGTTCAACAGTTACTTATACCAGCACTTCTGTTTTCTTTGAGCCCCTTCATGTTTCAGGGATATTGACCCTTTTGGATACAGTTTTATTTGCTGCAATTCCGTTTACAATTGATGCTTTGGCATATTTCTTCCTTAGGAATACCAGCCCTTCAACTATCCGGACTTCAGACATGGTAAACAATGGGTATGCTCTTTTTGATGTACTGGGAACTAACTCCGTATACATTCCATTCCAAAATTCCAATCAAAATAACGGTGAATTTATAGTATATGGTCAGCACCTAGATGTTGCCATGTATGGAGTTGAAAATGATGGGTCGATGACATTTTGGGGTGATACAGGGCTGGTTAGTATCGATGGAATCACTAATGCAGGTAGTATCTGTTTTCATAATCAATTAGGGATGCTATATAGGCCAGGAGGGAAAGGAAGTTATACTCTTTCACAATCCACAGTTTTTGCTAATTCGGTACAATCTGACTTTGACCCCCGTATAACTTTTGAGGGAAGTGGCAATGGGTTTGTTAACCAGAATGGTGATCCAGCTTTACACTATACTTTAGTTAATTTTGGAGGTTCGAATTATGTGTCAGTTCCTAATCAAGGGTATACCAGATATACTTACAGTGAATCTGATGGGATTTTCACTATGTTCATGAGCTCTAATCAAATAGTATTTGACATTGGTTTGGGGTACATTAACGGGTTTAATATAACCATCACTAGTCAGTTCATTTTTTTTTCTGTATTTAGATGCAGCACCTGGAACAGCAAATCAGGGGGGTTCTGTATGTGAATTGAACTTAAATCCATTTGGTGGTGGATCGACTCTGTCAGTGGAAGGATCTTCATCAAGTGAAGCAGTGGAACCTACTCTGGAAGAGTCAACTGAAATTGAAACCACTTCAGATGAAGTAGAAACATCTACTGAGGTTGTAACTAGCACTAGTGATATAGAGGAATCTACTCAGGGTGATACTACAATTGATGAAGCTACATCTGTAGTGACCACCACAGATATTGACACTACTACACCTGTGGTAGAGGAAAGTACTACGCCAGAACCTGCTTCAAGTGAAGAAGAAACGACTTCTGCAGTTAGCTCCGTTACGGATTCTTCTAGCGTCGGTAGCTCTTCCAGCAGCACTCCAAGACCACCTAGTTGTAAAAAGGTTAATGGAAAGTGGAAAGGAAATTGTCCTGGACATGGTCATGATAACGGGAATGGTCATGATCATAGACCTGGTAAAGGCCACGGAAATGATCATAACAACGGACATGGAAATGATCATAATAATGGTCATGGAAATGGTCATAATAATGGTCATGGAAATGATCATAATAATGATCATAACAACGGACATGGAAACGATCATAACAATGGGCACGATAATGGACATGGTAACAACAATAATGGACACAATAATGGACATGGGAATGATCATGGCAACAATAACAACAAAGGTAACAACAAGAATAACAACTACGATAATGGTAATGGACATGGAAATGACCACGACAATAAAAATGGTAATAGTAATGGAAAAGGTAAAGGAAATGATAATAAGGATAATAACGGTCATGGTAAAGGTCACAAGCGGGAAGCTATTCAAGAGAACTCAACTAGCTCGGCCAATAAGCGTATTAGTATGTTGCTTGTAATTGCTTTGTTTTTGACTGTTATTATTTGATTTCAAATCATTTCTATCTTGCAGTTGATCTGCTAAACTACTCTGGTAGTTGGTATAATAACCATATTATGTTTTCGCCTGTTTTTCTTTTGGTATTATAAGTATTTGTAGTGCAGTTGATCTGTATCCACCAATACATAATATGTTCTCGAAATATTTATTTTTGCATTAATGGAGATATACATTGTTGCAAAATTATGCCAAAATAAAATTAATATTTAATAATTCTATGAAATAATAAAAGTATTTTGTACTAGAATAGCACATGTAATATGGCTAAACTAATATAGATTTTTTTGGGTTAATCAAATTTGTACATATCTAATAAAGTCAATTTAACGTGTAACCTTAGAATGGTAAATAAGAACGACCGGAACCGTTTTCCGAAACACCGAAACACCGATCGGAACGGTGCAGGCGAAAACTAAAGTACAAAATAGAACAAAAAAAAATTGCAATATATTTTTACTTTATATAAAGAGCAATTCCAATGCATACAAATAGCTACCCCAATCAACCATACCTAGAATTACTTAATTAACCCCACCAACAACCGTTTGTAAACATATATTTCAAGTTTGTTTTGATAACTACACGTGCATTATTAAATTCATTGTCCACGAAGAACAAGAAAAAAAAAAAGAAACGATGACATAATGTTCGCAAAATCGATCAGGTACCGAGATGTTAAATCGTCAACTTTACAAGTGAGTGTTTTAGTTTAAGATGAAGTAATCTCGTTTCCAAGTTATATCAATTTACACAGTTACGACGTAATTAGGCGTGGATGATTCCATTCACCAAACAATCTGTCGCTGAGTGTGGTGTCATTGTTAATTTAATTCATGACGTGTGCCGGTGCATAAACCACAATTATCCACTCCGAGCCTCATAATCATATATCCGTGACACCGATCGGGGTTATAAAAATTTTTTTCCCTTTAAATATAAACTGTTTTCTTTTCCGTTTTTACTTTTTTTGATTACTTCAGGGACCTAACATCACCATGTCATATAAAGATACGCTAAAGGACTTCCCGGTCCGACAAATGCTTATCATTTGTCTAATAAGATTTTCAGAACCATTAGCATTCACATCATTATTCCCTTATGTTTATTTTATGATTCGAGATTTCCAGATTGCTAAACTGGAACAAGATATCTCAAAGTATAGTGGATATTTAGCATCATCATTTGCATTTTGCCAGTTTATATTTGCAGTGCGATGGGGAAAACTTTCGGATAGAATTGGTAGAAAATTCATCTTGTTGATTGGTCTTGCCGGAACGTCAATTTCACTTTTGTTATTTGGGTTCAGTCAAAATTATTATTGGGCGTTAGCGGCAAGATCACTTGCTGGAGTCCTTAATGGGAATGTTGCCGTTTTGAGAACAGCCATTGGTGAAATTGCAACTGAAAAAAGACATCAACCATTGGCATTTTCTACCTTGCCACTTTTATTCAACTTTGGGGCAATTATTGGTCCTGCTATTGGAGGTTCAAAGTACTTGACACATCCAAATCCAAAGAATCCATATCATCACGATGAAGATACTATGTCGGTATTGCAAGAATCGTTATACCAGCGATTTATCACTAAATACCCCTATGCATTATCAAATATTGTGGTTGCTTTATTTTTATGGTTTAGTCTTATTTGTGGGATTTTATTTTTGGAAGAAACTCATGAAGTTTTCAAATATCGTCATGATTATGGTGTAGATTTGGGTGATTGGTTGTTAAGCAAAGTTGGTATCAGTACTCCTGTTAGACCATGGCAAGCAAATTACAACAGTAACAAGACACCCGAAGTCACCGAAACAACTACATTATTATCCGATTCCGAATCTATCAACAGCCAAGACTTGTCAGATATTGACTCATCAGATATAGCTTCTTCTGAACTGGACCCAGTTGGTGATAGTGTCAAACCATATTTGTCTCGAGAAATGTCAAGAACCATAGTCGATACTTATTCCAGTGACACAAAGCCATACAGACCTTCTTACAAGAATGCATTCACACCAAAAGTTATTCGTGTCATTACAGGTAATTTCATTATTTCCCTCCATAGTGTTACGTATAATGAATTCTTACCTGTGTTTCTTGCATCTAGATTCCAACCAGATAAATTGAAATTCCCATTCAAGATTGTTGGTGGGTTAGGTCTTGATGTCAGTTATATCGGGACACTTTTTTCATCTACAGGTATAATGGGTATGTTAATTGTCCTTTTAGTTTTCCCTATTATTGATGCCAAGTTAGGAACAGTGAATGGTTACAGATTTAGCGTTTCCATATTCCCATTCTTATATTTTGTTGTTCCATTTGCAATTTTCACATTACATGAATACAATCCATTTTTCCCAACTTGGTTCACGCCAATTTTACTTTATTCATTAACTTCAATAAAGACATTGGCTTCCGCAACAGGTATGCCCCAAGTTATGATTTTGAATCACCGGGCAGCAGCAAAGGAACACCGTGCGTATGTTAATAGTGCTACCATGAGTATCATTGCCTTGGCTAGATGTGCTGGTCCAATGATTTTTGGGTATTTGATGTCATTGGGGGATAAATTGAATATGGGTGAATTAATCTGGTGGTCAATGTCGCTTTTGGCATTTGTGGGTATGATTCAATCTTATTGGATGTCAGAGGATGACGAAGAGGAAGATTAGTAGTTTATAGACATATATAGATTTTGCAGTTTTAATTCGTAAATTCTAATTTGAAGCAGGCCTTTATTGCATGAACTATTCTTTTTCGTAGTTGGTATTCACCAAATATTTGTAGTCGATTGAAACTGTTTGATTCTTAGGAATATTTGAACAGTCTGAAAGTTGTTTCCTTAAATAAGTACTTCCTAGAAGTATAGTTGAATTTGCAAAATGTTGCAAATATGACGTATCATGCATATAATTAGGCCACAAAAAAATAATCTGATTTATTTTTTATATATATATATATGCGGTATTTTTCTTGTTGTGTGCCTAACCGGGAAATCCCACACAAAGAAAAAAAAACATGTCATTGGGTCATTTGTCATGACAAAATTATATGCTCATCGATTAAAACTAGGGGTTCCAGTTCGTTCCGGGAACATGATACCGGATAAAGGGGTAACCGATTAAATTAACAATCTCTTGATCTTGTAGATAGAACATGATAACAACATTTTAACTGTTATCAGTTAACATGGAATGCTGGTCAACCAATGAAATATGAATTAGATAAGTCATTAATTCATCGGACAAACCGCACGACTTTGTTAAAAAATATTCGGCGAGATGTATACAATCAAACGTTATGATGATAGTTGTTGTGTTTAAAACGTGTATATGTATTATAAAAACATCAGTATAAAAAAACACTAACTATATAAAAAACAATGTAGTTACAAGCTGAACATCATGTTTAAATAAACGATTCCCCAATCATCTATCCAAGCAATTAATTCAAAGTGTCTTGTTTGTGATGAATCATAATTAGTAATTATATTAATGATAAAATTCCCCAATTTCACCATTAACAAACCAAAATTGTAATTTAAAGTAGCGACATATAACTGCCACAATTAATATAAAAAAAACTGGTAATATTTTCCCTAATTCCCTGTAATAGATAATAATATTAAATTTTGTAGAAAGAATAAACAACGAACACAGCAGAAAGATCAGCAACAATGTCTTTCACTGGTGGTAGTAGAAACAATTAATAAAAAAAACCAAGCAAGATTCGTATTATAGTATAAAAACAAGCAGACACATGGATAGTGTGTTCTCAAGTCAAGTCAAGTTTGATGACCGTTTAAAATCTTTGTTGAGACTTCTTGGCCTTGAGTTTCTTTTGGATGAAAACACCCATGACGGCAACGAAAGCACAGAAGATTAAACAAAACACAAGAATAACACCGGCTGGCAACATTTTTAATTTAAATCTTTGTCAATTAGAAAAGAGATTGAAAAGAAGCAAGAAAAAGAACGGAAAAAAATCAATTGGGAAATCTCAGTAATTTATAACTTTATTTATTTGTTCATCACTAAATTTTTTTGTTCAGATTGAGGTAATTAAAATAAAAACACTTTTCCCAGCGAAGACACTGAGCGGCTTTCTTTTTTTTTCAATTTTTCTGCCCGTTGTGCGAAGTGAAGTAAAAAAATAATTCAACAACAAAGTAAATAAAAAAACGCACATCATGCAAACAAACAGAACTACACATTGAAAAAAAAAATATTTTTGTGAAAAGTGTGTGTGATGACAATATTTCCGACAAAACCGGGGAGAGATATAATTTGTGGAAAACCAAGGTACAAACTGCTATCACCGAGGGATTTTTCAAATTGACTCGGAGTAAATAAACCTACAAAACCATCTCCGCCCGAGAAGTCGTAAAGTCGACCTACAGTAGTGTGCGATTATAGAATGGGAAGGTCTTTATATAGTAACGCCCCATCATCTTCAATCCCATCGCAAAAATATCATCAGATCCCAAGTTATTTTTCGCATGACTTGGCTGGACTCGTGGTTAATGATATCATTTCACCTACATTTTTTTAAAAATTTCTACATTGTAATTATATTGGGCTAACGTGCCGACGACAGATACTTGCTTACATTTAGCAATAGATCGAGATCGGATTATTCAGCATAAATTACCAAGGTTTTTTTTTCCACCTCCACTGAAGTAATTCGTTTAAGGCCCCCTCCTCGCGAGATTGGAAAAAAACGTCCGCAAAAATTTCTATTTTTTTTTGTTGCTGATAATGTTTTGTAAACATATTTAAGTCCGGATTAGCTTGTTTTGTGCGCTGCTGGACGAGTGTCTTCCTAGCCAGCTATTTCATCAGATAAAGCTTAAACTGAAATTACTCATTCCAAGCACATAGAGTCCCTGTAAGTAATATGATAAGCTTTTTAGTAAAAAAAACCCCTTGTCTGTACAATGCCCCACAACGCTATCACCCCTCCAAGAAAACCCATATTACTAAGTCAATATTGATGTTGTGTTTTACCTAGCCGTTTTTGAACCGAACGGCATTAAAAATCACCCGCGCTATGACCAGCGAAAAAAAAAAATAAAGAAAAAAGAAATGGTGGGAAAGGTTTAAGCCGGGCCGGATTCTAACCGTAAACATTTTCTTTTTGTGCTGCGACATTTTTTTTCAATTGCAGTTTCTTGTTCTATTCCTTTTAGTAGATCTAAGCCGTTAACCAAGATATATTAATCTGATAATGTGGCTTGCAGATTTAGGGCTGAAATGATGTTCGTCGTATTAAGCTTTGCCAATGTCACATTTTTTGAGAATATAGTTTTAAAGTTTATTTGGGTACTTAACTTTCTAGTTTAATGATAATGCTGAAAAATTCTTCTGGAGAAAGGCTGTTCTAAGTGATGATGCATAACAATGCCTTGAGTGTTTTTGGGTTTCTAAATTTCCGATGTGGTTGCAGGAATCTGCTGTTTATTCGTAAAGAATCAAACACAAGATCTTAGGTGGCATAACTTAACATGTAGACCTACTGCGTTGGACTTTCTACGATTTGAGACAAGGAGAGGATTGAATTTTGCTTTTTTAATGTGTGCCATTTGCTCCGAAGTTCAGAATGTATAATGGATTAATCCCAACAGGTCAGGATCTGCATGCAAGAAAATACGGACAAACGAGAGTACAGGACCGGTTCTCAACATATCTTCAAATAATAACCAAATTGCGTACTTTGTGATCGCAACCTAATTTCACTAGTGATAATTCAAACTAATAATGTCAAGAATCAGAAAATAAGCTCTGTACGAGGAGATGGAGGATTCTACTCATGAAAACGGGCAGAAAAGTAAGAATTTTGCTAATCACTCCAAGTGACTTTCTTTTGCTTCCTAACGAACTAATCGCGAAGTTGGAGAAAAATGTTGTACTTTACTTTGATAATACAAAACGTTTCTCCGAGTGCTGTTGAATCACGGGAGAGACGAATTTGTTTTCGAGCCGGTTCTTCCCCAGAAGTATCAAAATTGCTCAACTTCATATACAAACTGATTTGTCTTTTACCGGTGATATAGAGGATAATTATTCAATAAATCAATTATTCATTCAAAATATTGGAAACAGGTGTTCTGACCTGATCAGCCTTATTCCTCGTTTAAATAACCTAAGTTGATTTATGTAAAAGACTTTCATACAAGCAATATTCTTAAAGAATTCAAGGAGAGATTACCAATTTAAAACTCAAGTAATTGGAATTGGCGGTCTGAGGATTATCGACCTGAGCAATAGATGATGTCTTTGGTTTGGATGAAATTGATTCTCTACACTTCAATTTAAACGAGGGTGTACCCCTTATGAAGATTTAAAGTGGCTCTCATTTCGGATAAAAACTTTGCAGGATTGAAACCATGCGGAACGGGGCAGGGTTTCAAGGGATTATGGGGTCTGTGCTCAGGTCATGTGCTACATCAAATCAAAGTACACTCCTATGGAGGTCTTAAGCAGTTTCCTTGGTTACGCATTTTACAATTATTAGAAGTTTGTGAACACTCTATACCCCATCTGGATTTATACAGTTATCGTCATAAATACCCAGGAATGTGAAACTCTCATATGGTATTTGAACAAAAATTGACGAACAAGCACGATACGCCAGAAAGATATCCCCCCAAGTCTCGCTATTTGTATTTAAACATTGTTGTGATTAATCAGGATGAAGTCTCTCTTTTGCTGTAATAAAGAGGACCCAGAAACCTTGTTGATAAGCTTATGCGATCTAACTGCATTGTTTTTTTTAGGTACATTTCCATCTTCATTTACGCACAATAAAGTTGCTATTAACAACACACTAAAACAATGATGTTCTAGATTCAGCGAGAGAGAGAAAAAAAGACAATGTACTAACTCAATTAGATACGTTTCCATGGATATTATTTCGTTGACGAGATTGGGGAAATGTGAATTTTGTTATTTTCTTCATCCCTTGAAATCTCGTAAATAATAAATAGAATTATTTTTTCGCACCCAAAAAATTAATCCCCTCTACTCGTTCGTATATTTTCTTCATGTATTTAAAGACATGGACACGTCAATTATTATCTCTTCCTGTCTATTCTTTTCTTTGGCAATATGAAAGGTTTTCAATTATTGCTTCCTGTTTCACTATTTCTTGTTTGCGGTGTTGTCGGTGAAATTGCTGTTGAGGACGGTGATGCAGTAGCTATTTCCAATGAGAACATCTTCTACCCAGAGTACATATTTGTAGATGAGTGGGAGGGACAGATTTACCAGGAACACCAAGTGCAAGAACAAGACCAGAGTGTTGGATTAAGTGATAATGATGTTGGCAACCACGGACAAGAACCTGAGCATGAGCATGAGCATGAGCATGACTCAGACTTGGGAAAAAGACACGAACACCAACCTCACGGCCATCATAACCCCAGTCCTGCTTCTAACAACATGTACCAAAGAAAACCAGAAAAGGAAGCTCAAGATAAGGTTGCATTCATCAAACAGTATACTGACAAGTTGGAAAACAAAAACTTTCAAAATGTAATGAAAATAGTAATCTCGGTATCTATTGTTGGTTGGGTCTGCTACGCTTACGTGTTCAGGAAACGCGAAGCGAAAGCCGTTCCAGGTGTCACTTACAACTATTACCAGAGTAAGGATGTTTGATCTGATTTATACATATATTACATATACCCTAGTAATCATCTATATATTCTATATCGTCAAATATAATCCCAATATAAAAATTCCTCTCATATCTAGAGAGAAGTGTAACACACAAAATCTTAAAATAATAAATTTTCATAGCAATATAAGTTCAATGATTGGATTAGCAAGGTATTAATACACGGCTTGCTTCGCAATCAATTGTTATAATAATAATATCAAAGTATCAATGCTGAAATTACAATTCAGCAATTATTAGTCAATGGTTAAGTCTCAAAATGTGGGGGAAAAAAATCATAGAGAAGGAATTTCAGTGGGAAGAGTGATATTTGGTGGATGAACCGGGATAGACTTATCTATAGTGTGATTTGAATTCGGACGATGGACCGAGGTCCGCTCGTCGAAACGGAGGGTGATGTTGCAGATGTGGATTTCTTGAATATCGATGAGGATCGTCTTCGAAATTTAATTGAGATAGTCGAACCCCAACATCAGAATATTGTATGCTTCTCGCATATAATTCATCAATTGAAGGTTCAAATATAGTCAGCTTAAATTCCACTGGTTCAGCCATAACCTCTAGTACATTGGCTGGAGATTCTGCAAACTCCTCTTTCACGTATTGTCTTCCCGGCTCCATATTCCAGTTTGGATACTTTCTCTTGGTTCTTCCTCCTGTAGTGGTATAACTTTTATCCCTATATTTTCCTTCCCTTTGCTTTTCTGTAACCGCTATTGCTGACATGATATCTTGTCGTTCTCTATATGATAATAGTTCAACTGCAGTATCATTGTTCCTCCCATGGTTTACATTTGTAGTACGGGTCAGTCTCTCTGTGGTTGATGGGTATTCATCGTTAGATCTGCTGGTTTTAGTACGCTTAACTTTGGTAGACTTTTTCTTTGTTTGAGCTGCTTTGCTTCCGCCATTCTTCGTTTCATCTCTGGGATCCTCTTGCTTTAATGCATGACCAAACAAGCGAAGGTTCTTTTTCCATTCGTCTTCGTCCACAGATGTCTGCAATCTAATCTTGGCTATCTTGGCTTTAGTATTCAAGTTACTATCCAACCCGCTGATAATTGGGGTTCTTTCCGAATATAATCCTCTTATTCTTGATCGCCTCACGTTCTCCAAAATCTCTCCATGACCACAGATTTCCAACAACTTTCTAATATCCAATGATTCCCCCTTGGGAATTGGATTCGGGTTCAGTGGAGTAACACAATCCATTCCAACTTCTTTTCGTAATACATGATCAATATCTACTTCCGAGAAGAAGGCACAGGATTGTGGTACTTCTTTAATACCTAATTGTTCACAAAACATAGCTCTTGTCCAAACATTGGCAATTTGCAACAATAACGCCACTTTATACTTATCTTCTTCCTTGACAAGATATCGAAGTTCGTCATGAACAGTAATCATCAATCGGGCATCGACTTTGTATTCCTCGATAAGGTAGTCCATAGCTACAATCAACAAGTGAAGATAATCAACTCCAGAACTTTGAATTGTCCAATTGACCCTCAGAGTCATATAATTGTTCTTCTTCAAATTCTTGGCATTGAGTGCATCAGTAATAGATGCTCCCAATACTGGCGTTCTTGGTTCTTCCTGTTGGGCAATTGCTTCTAGTGCATTAAACATGATCGATTCCGATCCTCCAAAATACAATTTCCCATTGAAATGTTTAGAATATTTTGATTGACCCTTGGTGCTGGCATACAATTTCTTGGCCATGGTTTCAGCATCGTTATCGCTGATATCCTTATTAAATTGCTTTAATAATCGAGTAGCAAATGTCACACCAGCACCGTAAATACGTCCATAATTAAACACTTTAGCATCATTACGTGATATTCCTAATATACTGGCAGTCTTGGAATGCAAATCTGTTTTTTGACTCTTTTCCCCTTCTAAAGTCATCCATCCTAATGCGGTACCCCCATGGGTTTGAAACATAGAGTCTCCTACTAACGAAGCAATCCACAATTCCTCAGAGTCAACATCGGCACCAACAAAACAGTATCCTTGTGGGGCTTCAATCAACGATTTCAATTCTGAGCCAATTCTATTCTTTTTGGCATTGGATGCAGTTAGCCAGGTGTTTTCAGTTGCCCGTCTCGTGATAGTACCCATGGTTGCCAACATGGGGATTATTATTCCCATGTTTTTATGTTCTTTTCTGATTTCCTTATTAGGGAAGAAATTGTTTAATCCTTCCTTGCTAAAAACCACAAATTGCTCCATGATTCTATTTCTATTTCCCATCCAATATGAGGCTTCATTGTTAAGGGTCATAATCTCTCTAGCATATTCAAATTCAGAAGTTAAAGTTCCATTTTCAAAATATTGGATAAAATTCTTGGAAAGAACTGAAGTACATCTCTTACCAGCCCCATCAGGATGTGGGATCTTGAAAAGAACAAATGCTTCACCATTTCCTCCTCGTAATACATCATGGTGTTCTTGAATCTCCTCTTTAGTCAATTTCGCCTCGTGATAGTTCTTTTTGGCCATAGCATCTATAATGTCAGCATTGTAAGGCACTTTGAAACACCAGCCTTGAGAATCAACCCAAAATATAGGATACCCTTCCCATTTCAATCGAAGAAACAATGGAGCAGTTCTGGTACGTAATGTCAAATTCATTTCACGATCTTCATTCCCCTTTTCTTTCTTGAACAAGTCTCGATACCATTCAGGATATCCGGTCATAAACGCTTGCCTTGACCACGGAGTTCCATCTTTCTTCATTCTTGGCTGTTTGATCTCCCAATTCAATTGACTTAACCAAGGATCGCTCTCGTGGTCTGGCATTAAGTTGTCGTCTTGTTTTTCAATATATTCAACCAACTCAACAGCTCGTTGTTTTAAACTTTCAGTCACTTTCTCACGGTTAGCATAATAATGGGAATTTGCTGATTCGATGTACTTGTTCCATTTAGTTGTGGTTGGTAGAATTAAACTTCCCATGTGTCTCAATGCGGCAAAGGATACTGGGTGAGGAACTCTTTGTCGGAATTCCGGGAATAATTTCTTGGTAACAATATAAGTAGCTTCAACATCACGAGCACAATAATCCATTAATTTGTGAAAATTGTCAATTACTTCTTGCGGATCTTCACTGGCAAAATAATCACGATCGGTTTTATCCATCTTGATTCCACAATGAAACTCAGCAACGTTTGCCAAGGAATTTGGTGCTCCTTTCTTTAACCATGGATCTTCGGATTCTTCATCCACGATCAAATTCTTGAGCTCTTCCTCGGTCAATCCCAAATGCTCAAATTCACCATCATCCAGGATTTTCTGATTCTTTCTGTGCTTCTGCCATTTGGGTCTTTGGCGTGAACATATCCCACTGATGGCCACATGTAGTGACATGCCATCAAGATAGAATGCCTTTGTCTGTTTAATATTGTATTCATCTCGTATTCTTGCCCGATCGTAACTCACATTGTATCCAATGATTAATTTACGATGTTTGGCACAATTCATAGGAATCAAGTGCTCCCAGTTGATTTTCCGCTTCTTCTTGTCTTTCTCGGCGATGTCAAGTAGTACTGGTGATACCCATCCATACCATGCTTTGCTAGATGCACAAGTTGCCATGACTGGATATTGTGAAATTTTATACATTACTTCCACATCAAACACTAATTCGTTTTCTAATGGGAAATCCACTGATTCCGGGGGTCCATCTGGAGTATATCTTGTCCATCCAGCTTGGAATAGCCAATTTTTGCTGTCTGGTCGGGGCGGTATGCCTGATCCCTCGGCAGTTAAAAATTCTTCACACATCGAAAGATATGGATTACTAGATCGTTGGGCCAATTTGTGGAAATGTTCGTCTAGTGAGTCTCCCATCAATTCTGGAAAGTTCTTGATTGTGATTGGGTCAGTAATCTGGGTCCTTTTCCCTAAAAGCTCATTATGACTAAGGTGATTCTCTGATATGTCTATTAATTCGGGATATTTTGGTTTAAGGTAGTCTTGTGGAGATGTGGTTGGGAACAATTTCTTGTGTAAGTCATTGGAAAGGTATTGAATGCCTAGTTGGTTGACTCTTGGTTCCTCCTTGGCTGTATCTGATGTTGTGGGTATGGTTTCTTGTTGACACCTTGAAAAAGTGGAGAATGATGTTGTATGTCGTAATTGTGAACATAGTCTGGTGTATTGAGACCGTAGTAGCGGTCGTATAGTACGTATAGGTTTCATTCCTGTGGATTTGTAGCTAGTTCATATGGTATGCAGTCTATAAAAGTCTATCGATCAAGATGTAACGATATGGTGGCAAGAGTGATGATGCAACAGAATGGCTAAGAAAAAACTGTGATATAAAAAACTACTACACCAGAGATGAGAAAGAATTTAGAGTTTGTGCAGTACAATAGACCGATGAGTGACTCTGGTGGTGATATCTGTAAGTTGCAGACAGGAGAAGTTTACATGATGTGTCTACATGTGCTAATTAACTAAAAGTTGCTAAATCTCACATTAACACAGTTCTATAGCATCAGCCTTACTACTAAATCTACAATGACTGGCAACAAAGCTATCCAGATCTCCACACAAAAACATTTGCTTAATCTCAGTGGACACCATCACGTGATGGGTGATCCTCTGTGTTTACAATACATATAGCGATTTGCCCTGGAATGGGTTAAACTTGGGACCGACGATATAGAAGAATTGATGGCTTTGTGTTTGTTTATAAGTTTATACAAACAGACAAACAACAGACAAACAACAAACAAACAAACAAACAAGCTAGCAAACAAAGGCCATCAAGCTCCTAAGAATTGTTGGGGTGGGCCCATTTATTGCCTAATTCGGAAATACATAAACAACAGCCATGTCACTCTGAATTTAGTGCGCAAGTCTAGTGAAAGTTCCTATTCTCGTCCTCTGGGTAATTTCGTGTATCTCTATTGGTCTTGTCCCAGCGGATTATTGATCAGGGTCCAACTGTGTTTACACAGTCCGATGTATATGTGTGCCTTGTGTTGATTGGTTTTCTGAAACTTTTTCCAAAAGCTACCAATTGGAAGTTTAATTTAATACTTTAATTTACACTATTGTAGGAATTGTCTCTAGAAGCACGCCATTATCCTTGTTAGGTGACCAGACCAACGCCTGTTAAGTTTCAACTCTTCTTGCCTCCTTGTCAAAGTTAAAATTTCGCAATTTGAATCGACTAAGCAGTGAAACTAAAACAAATCCAAAACAATACAGTTGGCGTAAAGGAAAAAAAAAAAAAAGAAAATCCGCATTAGAAAAACACAAAATGCACGAAACCAAAACAAAGATCTCAGTGTTTGTTCCTGCTCTTACTCTTTCCATTTTCCACCACCTGCTTTTTTTTGCATCTGTTTCCTTTACCTTTTTCCTGTTTACGTTTCCGTTTTCTGGTACAATTGACTTAATTTAAGCATTACAAATAATTGTAAGATATATTTAGAGGAATCAATAGAGCAATACCTATAGTTGAAACCATGTCTTCATTTACCACTTATAAAAAGGCAGATCTAGTAACTGTCCTCAAAAAATTAGATATCCACACCGTCAGTAAAGACACCAAGAAGGTTTTGGTTGATAAATTGACCGTCTACGCCGAAAAATCCGCTAACGGTGCAGCAACTGTGCAAAAGCTCCTTCAAGAACTTGCTGATGCCCGTGAAGAAGGTGAAGGTGAAGGCGACGAAGACGTCACCGCCGTTGAAGAAGAAGTTGAAGTGATTGAAACCGAAGACGACGATGAGGAAGGTGACGAAGAAGAAGACGAAGAAGAGGGAGAAGAAGATGATCAAGAAGACAAGGACTACAATGCTCCTCCACCTTTGAACTTTAGAGCTGTTTTTGACCCAGTACTTCAATACTACGAACAATTTGTTGACAGAGTTTACGAATGTACTGACAAGATCGGTGTCACTTATACCGACTACAGTGCTCAATTGAGACAACAATTGTCATCCACCGTCACATTGAACTACTTGGAATTGATTCTTGAATTTGCTGTTTACTTGGCCTACTATGTCCCACTTGTTCCATTAAACAAGAATGCTTTAATTCCTCAAGTTGTTCTCGATAATGTCCCATTCCTTGCTACTTCCACCCTCCCATCTGCTCAAGTAACTACCTTATTCGCTTACGACCCACTTATCACTCTTGTTTTCTGGTTATTGACCTCAATTGCCTTCCCATTGGTTTTGTCGTACTTTTTCAACTTTACTAGAAGAATCTTTGAATTTGAAGAAGACACTGTTTTGTTCAGAGTCTACGCTTTTGACCCATTTATCTTTGCCCTTTCCAAGATCTTTGTGTACTATCTCGTTGAACAAAGTGCCTTTGTTAATTACAGTACTGGAACTTGTTGGTTAGCCACCACAACTAACCACATCTTGGCCCACTTGGGTATCTACAACACTTTCACTGCCGTTTTGGGTAACTGGCCATATGTTATTGGCGGGGGCAATGCTTTGATTGCCCTTTATTCTCAATTTGAAGAATACTAAAGAAAAAAAAAACACACCCGATCATGTTTTATGGGACAATAATGTGATTTAGTGTTGACTGTTTTAATCTTGTTTTGTTTAAAAGATATACCCAGTCCTTTTTCTTGTCTTGTTTTATGAATTATTTTCATTTCTTCATTGATTGTGTTACTTTGCCGTTTTAGCTGATTCCCAAACTGACATTTGATTTTCATTTGACTTTCCGTTAGCTTGTGTTTGTATTTGATATTGTTTATAATTCTTTATCTATTCCTACTACTCTGTTTTTCTATTTGTTTAGTTTTATATGTACATCATAAAAAGATTTTATCAAGTTGTCAAAATATAATATATGTATTATACAATCTACATGATGCTACTACTATTACTACTACTTCAGAACCGGCCATCTTGTTTGAATTCCCATCATGTCTAAATCGTTGGTTAATTCATCAGGCATGGCCAGCTGTGGTCCCACGAAATGCTTGGTAATCTTGGATATCAATGCCGCTTCAGAATACTTGACTCCTAAACCATCCCTGGTGTCACTATTCTTACTGGAGCCATTCCCGGTATTTCCACTGGCACCACCAGCTTGTTGTAAAGATTGTGCGCTTCTTCTACCACGTCTCTTGGGTCCAGCTGTGGTACTCCCACTTCCCAGAGCAGCACCACTACTTATATTGGCATCACTGGCATTGGTATCAGAACCGGATGTCATTCGGTCATACAATGAATTCTGGAATATATGGTGTTTCATGTTGGTAGCAGGCTTATTGTCCTTTGCATTATTGGAAAGTTTGGACTTTCTAGGGATATCTCCAGTTATGATGCTGAATTCTTCCGGGGTTATCAACGGCATGAAATCATGAACGAGAACATGGCTGGTATCCGTAGCCAATGTAGTCAAATCATGATCGGGGATTTCCACGGGTTTAAGGTGCTGTTCTTGTTCATTGATGATGGAACTCTTTATTATGTTTTTGATTTCCTGGGAATAATTTCTATTGGATATGCCGTTGAATAGCTTTTGTGATTCCTTACTTTTGATGTCAAAAATATCTTGTTTCCGCTCAAGATATTCCGTGAATAAATCACGTTGATAAACAAAGAAATTCTTCAACTTTTCTAGTTTGTTGATTAGCACAAGGTTTAAATTCTTGTATGCCTTGTTTGAGTCTTCATAGAAAACCAATGACGTCTTCAATAATTCATAATTCTCCAGTAACTTCAATTGAATTAATTGCTCATCTCGTTCAATCTCAGCAAGCTGTCTGAATTGGTCCAATTCTTCATCTTCGGTCTCAACACTGGTGAAGGTGATCTTGGAGTTTCGTAAATTATGTAATCGGTTCAATAATTGGTTCTTCTTCATACGATAGATTTCATCACGATTTTCTTCGTTGAACTCTTCCACGGTATTCATGGACTTGACAAGTTCACTTCTTCTTCGTTCCCGATTACTTCCACTTTGAAGGGTAATATCCTTGCCAGGATTATCTATTATATCAGAAGGAGACAAACTTTCAAGAAACAGCCTAGTCATACCTTGGGCAAACTCGTATTCATTCTCTCTATTCGATTTTGTTTTCTCATGATAATTTGCATCTTTCAACTTGCTCAACTTTTTTGATACTGTTTCATACGCAGGCGATCTCATATTGATTTGAAATACATCACGTCTATTATCATTTTCAAATGGATCCAAGTAATCAGTGGTGTCAATTCGGTTCAAGTATTCCAACTGTTCGCCATCTTCATCATATCCATCTGCATCCTCTTCGTCTGACTCCTCACTTTCATTTTCGTCGTCGTAACTTTGTTCTGATCGCGGATTATTATACCTCCGGGTTCGCTCGAAATCCTCAATATTGAATCCTTCATCATTAGCCTGCTCCCTCATGTCAAACAATGAGCCGGCAGCACTGGCCACGACCATGTCTGTTCTCGGTAATTCTTCACTGGCACTAATGAATGACTGGAACACATCGGCAGGAATTAAAGTAGATTTATTTGCCGATAGAGGATATGCCATATAGTTGGGAGGAGGAAAAGGTAATGGTGGTGCTTGCACGAATATTCCTTCTGATAACGGTGATTTTATTGTTACATCACCTGAATCTTGCTGTTCCTCTTGTTTTTGCCTTTCCAACTGCTCTTGAAGTTTCTTTGTCGGTTTCCTCCCTCGTGTAGGCAAGGTTTGTTCTTGGGCGGGATTACTTACCATGGTTGATTTAACTTGTTCCAACCTAGATTTGAATGATGCAAGAGAATAAGGTAATGTGTCGGGGTTAATTATTGGGGGAGGGGGGTATATAAATGGAACCATTATACCGCCTCGTTCATCGTCGTCAAGTTCATCATCCAGTTGAGGTGATTGGGGAGGAAATGGTGGTAATGGTGGTGGAAACTTTTGGATTATTCCTGTGACTTGATTAGACAATTTCGTATTAGTTAAATCTGTTCTAACATCAGTGAAATAGTCGTTTATGGTCGCGGGTGGATGAATGATAGGTATGATGTTAGATGGAACTGAATTTAGTAATGGAGCTTCAATTTGTTGTCGAGTAAAAGGCAATGGCATACTAGGCGTATTGGGTAGTTTTTCATTACCATTGCTACTATAGGACAGCTTGACAAAGCGACTATTTGTGTCATTGAATAGCCCTGGAAGGGATGATATTTTTTGGCGTTTTGGATTATTAAAAATTGCCGCAAGTGTTTCAGGTGTAGGTATTTCTATTGGTCGTTTCAACGAAGGTAGTCCAGAAAGTTCCATATTGAATGTAGTGTGTATTAGCTGAGGATTTTTATATCGAAGTGTGAGGTGGGTTCTGTGTTTGTGATGGTATTGTTTATGTTGTTACGTGGTTCGTTCAACAAAAGTGGAAGCTTGCAAATGAAAGTAAAGGCTGTAAAAAAAAAGTTGGAAGGGAAAATAAAAAAAAATCGTGCTTTTTCACAACTTTTTTTTCCCTCTGTATTTCGCTTTGCAAAGCAGTTTGGTGATCAAGTTTAAAGTGTAGATGTTACTGCAATGGAAATAAAATGAAATTGAACAGTAGTTCACTCTTTTAATTTGCAGTTCTTGTAACTCCTCCCCTAATGTAATATAACTTTGTTTGAGCTTGGATAGTATCTGAGATTATTGGCAGCAGTTAGTTTCAGATTAGCGTATACTAGTCGGCTACCCGCTGAAGATCAAACAATGGATTCTTAATAACTAACGTAACCTTTCCCACTCGTGAACAGCTCTGGATAATTAGTTGTATGGTGCTGTTCAAGTACTGATCTTGGCAATCAAATAAAATCACCCACTTTTGTAATTTGTGATGTTTGCAACAATGAACAAAAGTATAACTTACGATTACTCAAACTATGTGTCTGTTTGAGTATGAGATAATCTGCTAATCGAAACCGATTCTCTTTCCCTCTTGATGGTTTTGTGGTTGCTCTTGCCTGGATGAATCCGTCTAGGGGAGAGATTGGTTGTAAAAATAAAAATAAAAAAAAAAAAAGATAAAACTCAAATCAATTTGGCAGCGTACTTGATCACCTTTTTTTCCCACCTCCGTAAGACCTAATGACTAAAAGTACCTTCCTTAAACAGTTATCCTGGTACATGTAGACGAATTAACAAATCCAACAATATACAATACAAAACATGTGCCACTATATAAATTGATCTCAAATCCATCATAGACCACATTCAAACAGCAAGAATTACAAACTTTGCAATCATCCCGTGCAAGTTGTACCAGTGTCATATTGTTCATGTGGTAGCGCCATGCACTGATCAGGCAGAGAGGAAGTCAGAGAAGCCTATGGATGTTTGGTGGGTAGCATGGACATGCATTTAATTTGAGAGTAAAACTGCAAATTAGATTTCTTTGTTCTTGTAACATGGAAGTATGTTATAGTTGCGAATTATAGTAATTTTATTGGGGCTAAAATGGTGTCCTGCATACATGAGATCGGAACTTTTGTAATGGATTGTCTGGAAATTTAAACCAAAAAACATGGAAATGTGAACAAAGTTGCAATAATTCAAGAGAGATATTGTTTCACAATGACGGGGGTTGATATATCAACTTCCATTCCCAAACACACCCAAACAAGCAATTAGCAGAGATACGTGACGCTTATTCCCGAATCTTGATTTTTTTTTTCAGATGGATACCCGTAGTTATGTTCTTGATTGTATTTTCGTGATTTCCGTATCTTGAAACTTTACAACCCCCCACATGAAATTGTGTTGAAATTCTAATGTTGCATTGAGATAAATCTTCTTTTACATGACGGACTTTTGATACTACATCATGCATAACAAGAAAAAAAAAGAAAAAGAAAAAGAAAAAGAAGCTTGCCCGATAGAATATAGTTTCCAAACCGTTTTGCTTTGGTACATGTCAAGTGATAACTGGGGTTCAAACCAATCTAATTTTTTTATGCAATTAATTCTTTTTTTTTTATTTTTTGTATTTTCCGAGGATGTGGTGCAATTTTAATTTTTAGTTGCGTTTTTCCTTTCAAACTTTTTTTTTTTTTTTAATTCATTTTTTATTTTTCCCGCGATTCATCTCAACTAATTTCTGATAGTGGTTCTTTTTTTTTGCCCTCCTATTGCTTTGTTACTATTGTTATTTTTATTATTATTGAGCAATTTCATATTTTTGCCTTGCACTTGAGAGAGAGACGAAAGTCAACGAACAACAAGGTGGCCGGCCAGACCGTATCCGCTGTGAAAAAGTAGTCGATAGCGGTGCGAATTGTGCCCATTAAATTTTTTTTCTACTATGGGCAATTTTCTTTTACGTCCCTTTGTTCTCGATCATTCATTGACGTTCTGCTTAAACCACCACATATTTTCTTTTTTTTCTTTTGGGTTCTGAATTTCAATCACTCCCGGTTTTTTTCCTTCTTGCTTTCCTTTCTTCTTTCTTCATTACTTCACACAATTAAAGGAAACTTCAATAGCAAATTAAGTTCATTTGGTTTCATTACCTCCCGCTCTGCTTCCACTCAAATAACCTAGACCGATCACCCTGGAGCATATACTCACTAACTAACTAACAAGAAATCAACGGTCCCATCACAACAAACATCTCATTACAAGTGGTGACGTATAATTTTGACCCAATTACGCGAAGTTCTACACTAGTCGAGTACCATTTCCATTCATTACATTCAAGGTTTGCTTCATCCGAGAATAAGTACTAGATTTGCGGCGGTTTTATATTTTTATAATTGCAGTTAATTTCGGCATCGAGCTCGTCCATCAAAGCAACCCCGCTGTTGAACCACAAGACAATTTAACCAACAACAACACAGGCAGTGTACGCAGCACCAACAATCCTGGGATCAAACAACTCAATCCAATAATAAACAACAATCTTTCAAGATGGCCCCTCCCAGAAAGACTAGCAAGGCTGCTCCGAAGTTCCAGCCGAAACAAATGGTATTCGCCAAAATGTCAGGATATCCCCAATGGCCAGCATTCATAACTCCCGTGGATCTTATCCCTAAGTCTGTGATGAAGGCCAAGAAGAAATCAACCGATTACTGTGTCATGTTCATCCCCGATGGCGATTTCTACTGGGTCACCGACAAGAGTTTAGAACTATTGACGGCTCAAAAATTGGAAAAATCATTGAAAGATGTCCCTGATGAAATCAAGAAACAAGCAAAGTTGTTGAGAGGGAAAAAGAGGGGAAAACTGAGCAATATCAAGGAAGCACTCGCTGCTGCTGATGGCTTGGATTTCAAAACTTTCATCAGAGCCTTTAATGAAGACGCAGAAGACGACGAGGATGAAGAGGAGGAAAGTGAAACAGAAGAAAATGACGAAGTTGGGGATCCATCAGCCGAAGTAGCGCAAGAAGCCGATGACGACCAGACTGGAAACGACGAGGAAGTCGAAGAAGAGGTGAAGGAGGAAGAACAAGAAGAAGTAGAAGAAACAACACAGCGAAAACGAGCAGGTGGCTCACGAAATGGCAAGACCAAACCCATTGCAAAAAAACCAGCCGTTCGAAATGGCAAGAACTTGAAGCGTAAACTCGAGGAAGAGCCGGAACAAGAGCAACAAGAGGCACAACAAGAGGAGCCGGAACCATCTAAACCCACCAACAAACCACAAACCCCTCCAGAAAGCAAAAGAATCAAGCTGGAAACTAGTGATGAAGATTCAAGTACAGGAAAAGCAAAACTTACCGAAGATGAGAAACAGCACCAGTTATGGATATGCCGGATCAAACTTCAACGATCACTAATACAGAGAAATCAACCAACCACCCCCAAAGATACCACTGGATTGAAACCACCCACGGCTGACGAACTCCTGGTGGCTCGATTGATATTGTATCGATTGGGCGACTTCCCTGTCAGTAAAGAACTATTGAAAAAAACCAAAATTCACAAGGTGTTGAAATGCATATTGAGAGATCCAGAATTGGAATATCCTGATAGTTTCAAATTGCATGAAAGATGCGAAGAGTTGTTATTGAAGTGGGATCCAATAGTACAGGCCTTGAAACTAGAAAAGCTGAGCACGCCTCAAAAAGCTGACAACGATGGAAAATCCACCACTGTCAACAATGGAGAGTATAAGAAAACACAGGATGAATCTGAGGGGTCTGGACTTGAACAAACCATTCTGGAAGTTGAAGCAAAGAAGGAAAATGCCACAGTATCGAGCAAATCTGACTTGAGAGGAAGAACCCCAACTTCGGTCGAAAGTTGAAACCGTATTCAAAAACCTCCATTCTTGGTATAGATTCGTCAAAATGGTTGAAAAATTCCCTTGCATAGAAGAAATATTCCAATGTGGATACTCAAGAGTTCTAGAAGTTTGAAATTAGGTCAACAGTGTGGATTTCTTATTTGTATACCTTAAATTATTGTGTCAAGTGTGATTATTGTGTGTTATAACTAAGTATATGTATTATTATTAATAACAAAAATTTTCTATTTTCACAGAAATAATGTCGTTTACCATTTTGGCAAACTTTGTCAAGCAAACCCACCCGTAGTAAGCTGCCACAATTGAAATTTTTCAATGCCAGTTTACGCGTAAATCATTGCTGACTAAACCGAGTTAATTTAGAAGATGCAGAGAATGAAAAATTGTGCGGCGTCGTCCGTCGTAATGCTTCCAAAAAAGCCGGGTAAGAAGCCCCTAATGAAACTTAATTAATGTAGCAGTATACAATTTACTGTGGGGATATCAAATTACATACCGAGTGCATCCAAACATCAATACTGAATTCGTATTTTTCACATCGCTAGTTTTTTTTTTTCCTTTGATTCTCAATGGACACGCCAAATGCGAGCAAAAAAAAAAATCTTTTTCCTACTTTCTATTTCCACTTTCTTTCTTTTCTCTCTCTTTTACTCTATAAGTTTATAATCCAATCTCAAGATGGCTGAAGAAGATGTATGTCTAATTTGATAGTAGATATAGCCATGGAACTGACGAAATTGAAACTGCGTAATCCATATTCATGTGGGAATTGAACCCAGAGAATAGTGTGATGGCAACCCAAAAAAGTTTGATTTCAGGGAGAAGTGAGAATCGAGAGAAAATTTTTTGGTGACTTTTTTGTTGAAAATTTGTAACCATATCTAAAACAAGACGGGCGGCAGCATACAAAAGTTTATTTCAACAACTCAGTTGAGGTCTTCTTTGTGATTGACTTTGAATAGACGAGACGACGGCGAGAATATTTTTGATGTGACTTTTGCAATGGCCATTGTTTGTCTTGGTTTTACTATGGGGTTACACTGGCGAATTTAGATCCAATTTTTTCTTTTCGTTAGCTCAGTGATATAAGTTCTTGGCAGCCATTACGGAATTTTTCAACACATATACTAACAAACTTGCTTTAGCACACCTTTGAAACCGCCGATGCCGGTGCTGCTTTAACCTACCCAATGCAATGTTCTGCTTTAAGAAAGAACGGTCACGTTGTTATCAAGGGTAGACCATGTAAGATTGTTGACATGTCCACCTCTAAGACTGGTAAGCACGGTCACGCCAAGGTCCATTTAGTTGCCATTGATATCTTCACTGGTAAGAAGTTGGAAGATTTATCTCCATCTACCCACAATATGGAAGTTCCAAACGTCTCTAGACAAGAATACCAATTATTGGACATTGACGATGGTTTCTTATCCTTGATGACCCAAGATGGTGACACCAAGGATGATGTCAAGGTTCCAGAAGGTGAATTGGGTGAAAAGATCCAATCTGAATTCGATGAAGGTAAGGATTTATTAGTTACCATCATCTCTGCTATGGGTGAAGAAGCTGCTATTTCTTACAAGGAAGCCCCAAAGGGTAACTAAGTTACTTAGAAGGTTTAGTTATAGTATAAAGAGAAATTCATTTGTAAAATGTTTGCGTAATTTTTTTTTGTATTTAATATATCTTCTATAGTTTGTGATTAATTTAAATCTACAACGATATTACCTATTGTAGAGGAAGCGGTGGGGGGGATGCGCCGGAAGTTGCTCATCTTGCTGAACGATTACTCACACGACCCGAGTCTGCCGAATTTACTTTGGTTTGGTATGCTCTTGTTCGATGTTTCAATAAAATTTTTCACTAGTTGCTCGATGTCAAGAAGACCTTTGTACCATATGCCTCATTGTTCATAAAAAAGTTTTTGGTCAGATTTAGTTGATATATAACCAAGCCATGCTAAAAATGGATATCAAATGAAATATCAAAGAGGCTATGCTCATTAGGAAGTGGGGCATACCAGAGATATGTACAGCCTTGTTGATCCGAGGTCTCAGCGACAAAGGAACTATTGTATTTTGCAATCAGCCGTTAAATCCGTGAAGTCTAATCAGATTAATCCGATGAAAAGGCCTATCTAATCTAAGAAAATAATTTGGGTCATTGAAATTTCATTGAATTTATGTCAAGTTTTAGTTCGATGTTTGGTTTGGCATTGCATGAAAATCTAGAACCGTCGCTTAACCGAGTCTAGCGTCATTGTAATTGGACTTATTTTATATACGTGTGGATCAATTACCAAAGTCAAATTGTAACCGCCATGCCGAGGTTAGAATAGGAGACAATGACGTAATTACAAGAGCGACTAACTCCGAACAAGGCTGAATCTAACATTCTTATTCTGGCTTTTGCATTCCCATTCCAGCTGCTTATTGGCTAATTGCAGATGAACGGATATTTGTTCGGCTGTATCCCCAGCAAAAAAAAAAAAACAACGCCACGTAACTATGGGAACCACAGGGATCGTGATTAAATAATAATGAATCTCTTTGTTGGAGGGCCAGAAAATATATTACGCTATTGAGATTTGGTTATTCGGTATCGATGACAACATGTTGTTCGTAACAAGAAAAACGTAATCCAAATGACGTGATCGGAATGAAGTGGATAAGCCCTATCTCCCCCCACAAAAAAAAAAAAAACTATGTGATTACGTTTGCTCATAACTAAGGGGGATTAAAAAAAAAGGAAAGAGGGTTTTTTCTTTGCTGCCACAATGAAAGACAAGGGCAAATACGGAGGGGACAAACATAGAGTTCTAGTTGAGTAAGTTGAAACGATTCAGACAGAACTATAAAACTAAGCCAAGATCAAATTAGCTTCTGTCGACTAGATAACCCTTGGAACACTCGGGATAAATGGATGACTGCAAACCAAAAAAAAAAACAATGCCGGCATTTCTCCAGGGATAAGAATTGCATCATCTCCTTTTTCGTTTCATCCTGAATTTGCCTTATATGTGAGCTCCCCCCCTCTTTTTAATTAAGGTTTTGGCGCAGCAGTAGTTATTTTTTAATTACTTCAAAATCTTTTACGTTTCTCCTCAACTACCAAGGCATTGCAAAACCATCATTAAGTTGGTTTAGTTGATTCACCTCCTAAAAAATATAAATTAAACTTTTTTTTTATTTTTGAGGGTATATATCGTACATTTGAAACCATCCGGACTATTTAACTCCTGTCGTCTTTCCTGGTTTATAAGCAATTTTTTTTTGACTAATTTGACTTTACAATTTGTGGTGTGATAGTTTTATACAGCATATCCAGAGCCAATACCCACCATGTCTGGGCCATCACTTACAACTACAACGACAGTTACTCATGCCACAGTGGCACCGACTGACGATTCGAGTGAAACCCCCCTTATAGACTCAAGCACCACGGCAAACGGGGTCGGATCTTCCAGCGGGATCCCATCCATTGTGCTATTATACTTAGCAGTAACAGTAGGGGCCGTGATTGCAATGATATTCCTTTTCTTCACGTTCAGGTACTTTGTAAGAGCAAAGTATGGGGTGTATACCATGCCGAGAAGACGATTGCTTGATGGGGCTGTGGTCCACGACTATGATTCATCTAGTGACTCGCAACTTTCTGAAATCCAAGAACAGTTGGATTTCATAAGAAGCAATCGTATTATCCGAGAGCAAGCCTTATTTGGAGCGTTGACCGAAGAAGAAAGACGGAGAAGGAGGCGCATACTACGGGGCCGCAGGCATCGATATTCCAAGATGAAGAAACTTTCTATGCGGGAAGTGGAATTATTATTCCCAGTTAAGACATATTATGATTGGTTGCACGGAGGTAAGGAGCGGGACTCGGAACAACGTGAGGATATGTTGCGAGAGGCAGAAGTTGAGACTAATGTCCCAAGACCAAGTGATGTGAACACTACTGTTCATGTCAACGACGAAGCTGAACTTGTACATACATTGACGAATACCACAACCATTGACCAAGGTACTACCCCAGTGAAGAGGGACATGAAAGAAATTGATATTACTGATGACCAGTCACAAGAAAGTAGTGAGAATGAAAAGGAATTGCATTCGCTACATTTCACTTCTGGTTCCTGTGCTATTTGTTTAGAACAAATTGAGGATGAGGAGTCTGTTCGTGGATTGATATGTGGACATGTCTTCCATTCTGACTGTTTAGATCCTTGGCTTACAAAAAGACGTGCTTGTTGCCCCATGTGCAAGCGAGATTACTTGTTCAAACGGGACTACCACAATAACGAAGACTCTAATGACAACAACAACAACAACAATAATAATAGTACTAATGCAGAAGAAGACGACGACGACGACGAAGAAGACCAATTCTATAATCTTAATGCTGAAGAATTGCGCGATGATCCAACCTTACAAGCCATGTTGCAAGAACTAATCCCCACGTCAGCCAGAGTTCGAATTCTCATGAATGATTCGCGATATGCACATTTGAATCTTGAAGAAAATGCAACTAGGATAGCGAATATGAAATATGGGAAGTTTTTCAAGGTGGTCTGGTGGAAATTGATGGGGATTTCGAAGCGAGATTTTTTTAATTGGGCAGTTTTAACTTTAATTCATCAATATAGACAAGAGCATCCAGAAGATATCAATGAGCGAACAGAAATCCAACCAGGGGAACAGCAGTCAGCTGAACAATCTGAAACTGAAGAGATACAGGCCGCTCAAAACAACGAGTCGCAGGGACATGAGACTGTTGCAACCACTGAACAATCTACTGATGCGGAAGTGGATATAACTGAGGCAAGAAGTATAGTTGAAAATAGGGTGTGAGTTACATCCTAGGATGTTTTTAGAATAGGATATTTCCAACAAACGGGGCTAATTTTACTTTTCATTCACTAGGATACATTTATAATTCATTTTACATTTGCAACTTTGGTTTACTATTATATCGTTTTAATTTACACATGTACACATTTACCAAATCACATGTAGTTGGTGATTAATCTACGCCGTAGTTGATGATAGTCTACCTGCATACAAACCAACCCTTAAACGAACCAAAAAAAATTTTTTTTTCAAAGTGAATAATTTTGATGTAAGAAGTTACACTTTTCAGAGTCATACACTTTGGTTTCAATCAACACATTCTATATAGATAACATCAAATCCTCTTATCAGGCTTTATCTATATACAATCAACACACTTATTGAAACAAAACTCAGGTCATAAAACACCATTTTGCAACTGACGCACCAACGCCAATTAAATCAAATCATTAAAAATGGCACCAAAAAAGGGTATTAAGATGGACATTGGTTCCTTCTTGGCTGACGAATCGCTCGGTGGAAGCTCATGGGCTGACGAAGAAGTCGATTTGACTTCTATCGAAGCCACTTTCAACAAGTCCAGCACTGCTGCACCTATCGGCGGTGGTAGCTCTGCTGCTTCTTCTGGTTGGGGCGCTTCTGAGACTGGATCGTCTGGATTTGAAAAGCGCGAAAGAAAAGAATTCCCTATTCCTGACCAAGCTCCTTTCAGAGCTCGTGTTGGTAATTTACCTTGGGACGGTATTGCCGAAGATGACGTTGTCAGATACTTTGAAGGCAGAATGCAAGCTCAAGATATTATTTCTGATGTTAAGTTGCCAACTGACAGAGAAACTGGTAAATTGAGAGGTTTCGCCTTTGTCACCTTCAATGAACGTGCCATGTTGGAAGAATCCTTAAACTTGAACTTGAGTGAATTCAACGGAAGAAGAATTTTCGTTAACGTGGCTGCTCCTCTTAAGGGTGGTGAAGATGGTGACTGGAAACGTAGTGGCCCATTAGGTGGCAGAAGAGAAGAACCTAACTTAGATTGGGGTTCAGCTAGAAACTCCCAAGCTGCCTTGCCACCAAGAGAAAGATCCTTTAGAGAAAGAGGTGACAGACCAGAAAGAAGTGAAAGACCACCAAGAAAGGAAGAACCAGATTTAGATTGGGGTTCTGCCAGAACCAGCCATGTTTCCTTACCACCAAGAGAAAGATCATTTAGAGGTGAACGCGGGGACAGAGGTGACAGACCAGAAAGAACCCCAAAGAAGGAAGAACCAGATTTGGACTGGGGTGCTGCTAGAACTTCGCATGCCACTTTGCCACCAAGAGAAAGATCCTTCAGAGGTGAAAGATCAGAAAGACCACCAAGAAAAGAAGAACCAGAGTTTGACTGGGGTTCAGCCAGATCCGGTCATGGCACATTACCACCAAGAGAAAGAAGCAATAGACACAAGAAAGAAGAACCAGAATTAGACTGGAAGAGAGGTCAAGCTTTACAACCACGTACTCCAAAATCAAACAAGAAGGCCGAAGAAAAGAAAGCCTCTGATCAACCAAAACCTCAACAATCCTCCTACAGTGTGTTGGCTGGTCTTGAAGGTGATGACGATTCCGAAGAAGAAGAACAACAACAACAACAACAACAACAAAAGCCAGTTGAACAAGAAGTTGCTCAATTGGAATCTGCTACTGCCAACTTGTCTGTGTCCGAAGCCAAGGAAGACGCCGAAGGTTGGGAAGTTGTTGGCAAGTAAATTTAATTTACCTTTGCATTTTGTATAGTACAAGACACAAATACGTTTTACTGTTTATTTTTATAGAAATTTACTCATAGGTTTCCTTCAGTGTGTATGTTTAATTATTGATCGAGTTATAGCATAGAACGTAAGTCAGTTGCATTGTCATAAATACAGATGGCCAACAAAGGACACCCGTCCTTGTGGTACAATTTGTTGCAAACAGGAACGAGACAACCCCAAAGAAAAAAATTTGTGTAGGAAAAAATCGGTTACATTCACAATGTTTCCCTGTGGACTTTTCAAGTATATCGGAAGGTTAGCCAACCACACTTGGTATCGGGAATAATGACGGAAAAACAGATTAACCTAGCGGAGGGAATAGAAAGTTACTATTTAATTGATTCAACACGTATGTACTTAATTCATCTGTCATTTCACAGAGCTGTTACTAACTATCATAGATGTTTATAAACAACCGAAACCTACACCTATAGACAACCTACTCAAGTTGTATGGATTGGAACCAATAGTGAAGTCATTGGCAAGAACAAATCCCGATGGTTCAAAGGGGGTCAAGTTGAGAAAATCTTACAAAAACCATATCCAAGATCTACCGGGGAAACATCAAGTAGCTCCTGCAAAACCAATACCCAGTGGATTGTTAGATCCACTGGCAGCACAAGCGCCGGATATTATAAAAGAGCTAGATCCAGAATTGTTGAGTAAGGCAATGAAGTTTGAAAAAACTCCCATCAATGGAATACCGGGGTTCAATACTGCCGATTTGGCCATTAATGATCAGCAAATGCTAATGAGGGGTGACGACATGTCGGAAAATGACGAATATGGGTCGAAAAAGAGCAAACGTAAAAAGAAGATCCAGAATGGTTCAGATCCAAAAAGGCAGCATATATAGCGGAAAGAGGTTGAGGAAGATGTTTTGTATTATTTGTTGTAATAGTGTCAATTTTAATTAACGATATATGTATTATAAATAAATTGGTCTATCAAAAAAACTCTAACTAGAATGCACACGAGAATCATCAGTTGCATCGGTGTCTGCCAAGTCACGGACGTTTGTAAATTCACGGTACTGTTTGAGCTGCTTCAAATGAGACAAGCTCTTGGTTGGGGTCTTCATACTCAGAAACTTGTTCGAGATAAGTTTACCAACATGGTTAAGTAGCGTCTTTGTGATTTGCTTCTCAAACACCTTAGTTATTTCTAATAATGACATTATTTGATGTTGGATATGAATCTCGGGCATATCAAGATGTAAATCTTGTACGTTGAATAGTCTCTTGTAACCTTTATTCAACTTGAGTGACACTTGCAAGGAAATTGAATTCACCTTTAATGATACAACAGAAAAGTAAGTCTTTGATCTCTCAATCATGGTTTGAATCTGGGTATCTTCAGCTTCATCTTCTTCTGGCATGTTTGTTTTGTTCTTTGAATTACCAGATGACCCCTTGCCTCGTGAACTATCTTCCAGACCTAGTTCAAATTTCACTCCTTTACCATTGCCATTGCCATTGCCGCTTTCCACTTCACAATCCAGCTCATTCTCGATGTTTGTTCGTCTTGAATCATGGGTTATTTCAAGTATAGGACTTTCTTTAGATTGGAAAATGAAATCCATTAATTTTCTACCAGTTTTCTCATCCAATTTGATATTTAACGGCATAGAATTAATTTCAATATTTTCCACAATTTTAATCCCACCAACTGATCTATTCATCGTCCATACAGCATCTATCATATTACCTTGGGTCTTTTCATCAAACTCAAATGGCTGAATGAAATCGGGGTATCGAGCATGTGGAATAAGATTAAACCCTTGCATCATTCCAATTTCAACTCTATTGATGTTTGAGCCACCTTCAAGCTCTTTCCGTTTGTATGTTCCTCTAGCCAAGGCCAAATCCATAATTGGAGTTCTATCATCTTCCAAAATATGTAAAATAATTTCATCAGCTCTAACCAACCAGAATCTCTGCATTGCCTTCAGGGAATCATCACTTAGTAACTCACCAGTTAATAACGTTTTAAACAAGAGATAAATATCACTTGAAATTTCGCCCTTCTCGAGATTAAGCAGCAAATAATTATTCAAGTCTTCATTACTAAGTTCATGTTGACGGAAATTATAATTATGACTAAGCATGTTTAACAACTTGTAATATGTCTGCATTTGAATCAACCTATCACTCAATGAGGCCAAATCTTGAAAATCGATGGAAAACTTCAATTTCTCTAGTTTATGATGGATCACTTTGCTCATTGGTTCACTGTAAAAAAGCAAACTAAGAACAATGACATAAAGGGTGAAATACTGGCTTGATGTAGATGTAATAACCACCGATGGTGCATCAATTCGAAGTTTCTTGGGTGCATCAACGTCTTCATGAGCATCAGCAAAATCTGCCAGTTGTAACTCGGAAAAGTGTGAGGTAGCATCATTGATTTGAGCTAGTTTACCACCCAAGATTTCTGCTTCATGATACAATAACATCACAGAAAGATCTTCGATTAATAGTTCGTTTTGTCCAGCCCATTTACCATTCAAGGTGATTTCTGTTCCTAACCATGGAGGCCAAGCGGACTTTGCACCATAATGCATTTCAGAAATAACCAAATCATCCGAACCAATTATATCCTTTTTGTTCAACACAAACACAGATGCATTTCTAACAACAACCCCATATCTTGTTTCTAGTAATTCTGAAGTAAGTGAATTATCAATGATGGACAAAATCTTACCGTCAATCGAAGGGGCTGAAATTAATACCACAGAATCGGGACAGTCTCCACTTTGTAATTGAATCTGAGGTGAAATGAATTGAATCAAGTAATCCTCAGTGAACTTTTCCGTTATCCGTTTCTTCTTCAATATCTTATCAAAATTATCTAGTCTGAACTGAGAAGTTGATGCTTTGTGTTTGGAAAATTCCGCTGATCTTCTCGATTTGGCAATTCGACTAATAACATCAGATGACACGGATACATCGTCACCTTGTAGGAATTCCTGACTTCTATCTATAATCCTTTCCAAAGTTGCAATAGACTCATGTGATAAAAACTTATACATTGAAGTTCTAAATTGAATGAAGTGAATATACCTCAAGACAAGATTTCGACTCGTGAAATTCCATTTCAATAACATACTGAAAATGGTAAACATATTATGATAATACTCAATATCATCCAACTTTGACGTGATTGATTGTCTCCGTCCAGAACCTTTCCATTCATTCTTCAACTTCTGAATCTCCTTCTCAAGAAACTCTATTCTTTGCTTGAGCTGCTTGGTTGAACTTCCCTTCTTAGTATTTTTCTTTATTTGCTTTTCTAATGCATTTATTCTGGAATTCAAAACTTCAATTTGTGGTTCAAATGGATTAAGTTTACCTAATCTGCAATCGTGAATTTCTTCATCCCCGAAAGGATCAGTCTTGAAATTGTTGTCAGAGTGGGTATCTCTATCATATGTAAATCTATGACAGAATACCAACGGAGCGATTTTCACAGTACGTTCACAATTAGCAAGTGACGGAAGGAACCCTTCTTGGTAATCACGAATGTCAAACCACTTTTTATCGTTGTCAAAAATATCATATTTGGAAGCAGAATCATCATACATGTTCTGTTGTTGTTGTGAATACATGTTTTGAATGAATGACGCCTGAACCACTCTCAAATCAATACCAAACAAGTGTATCTCTCCAATATTGAAGTTCATCTTCATGATACGACTATTCTTAGATAATTCTTCATTATATTCAACTCGAGGTTCTTTCCTCTGATGCAAATCCATCGAGAAAAGATCAACTTTTGCTCTCAACCCCACACATTCAACTTTATCCTCCTTCATATCCATCAATTCATCACGATGTATATGCGAAATAAACAATGACTTTAAATAAAATGAAAACTTATTTGTAACTAAATGTTGGGAAAACTTGACTGACCTTGACGCCTCTTCAAACATAATTCCTTTTCTAATCGGCAACATCATATTTCCAGAAAATAACTTCCACCAACTAAAAAACTGATGAAACACTCCCGGACTTAAATGGACAGTGTTATAACTATGATCGCTACTGGCATTCACAGAATACGACATATGGATAAACTCACTTCGGAATCCTTTATACGAATCATGCTCTGGTTCACAATAATCAGGATTATACAATTCAAGTTTATAATGCGGGATGAACGTATCCGTTCGCATTCCTGATTCATCTCGCCTTTGAAATGAGAATCCTACCCGGTAACTAACTCCACCACTTAGGTTAATCACGGTCTTTCCAATGACTTTCTTGGCGAAGTCGAAATCTACTCGTTTGCCTGTGCTGGGTTCTAAATAGTAGCCGAAGAATGAGCTTATAAGACTTGGTGAATCTGGCAAGTAAATCGAATCCTTGCTTTTTCTTGTCCATGATAATAATGGAGCACCCAAATAATTTGGAATATACCATGCGATGTTTTCAGCATGAATATCAAAGAAACTAGTTGGATCATCCTTCTCATTAATTGTCCATACAACATTCTTTCTAAATGATAAAACAAATCCGGATGCAGTACTGAATAACTGGTAAGGATCCCTTGATCCTTTGAACCCAATTTCCAAACTCTTTCTCGTTTTGATTTTAAACCGCCCATGGAAAATCAACTTTATTTTATCCCAAAAACCCAACTTCTTTGACGGATCAAGTATCGGACTGGAAAACTGATCAAAATTAAGCATAAACTGTTGGATACCAAAGTTATACGACGTACCCCATATAAATCTCGTAGGATAATCTGAATTGAAATGCCAGTTTAAATCCATATATGTCTTGACCTTAGCTATTACTTTCTCTATACTGATAGTATCAAACGGTGACTTGTTTCCCTTGTTTGAGAAAGGAGTCATTTGATAATTTGTAATTTTGAGTTGTTCAGGTGCGGTAGAATATGTCTTTGTGAACACAATATGACCATCCAAGGTCAAACTTGGATTGGATTTGTCTTTGTTTCTAGGAGCATGCCATAATGGTAGTGGATAATCACGTAAATGCATTCGAAGTTCACCTAAACGAAGATCAACAAACATAGGAATTAACAAGGAGTATTTTGTGTCTTTAGGAACCCCCTGCCCCATTTCATATATAAATTTAGGGAGTTTCTTAATATCAAACCTTGGCATGGACAACCTGAGATCAAAGTTATCTAAGTAAAACGACAATAAAGGGGGTTCGTATGAATATGGAATCACATCATCGTTCAAACTGGATTCAAAATCAGCATCCATGCCAAACAAGTATTTCCGATTGTTAAGCACTTCTTGTTTCAACTGGGTTCGGAATACTCTAACTTTCCTAATCCATGACGACGAAACAGTTTTATTTAAATAATCCAATTTGATAAAGTATTCCTCAGAATCAAGTTGCTCTTCTTCAGCTCTAGCTTCAAACAATGAATAGAGTTCTTGTCGCTTGGCCTGTTCCACTTTTCCCAATTGGTAAATCATATTCAATTGCAGTTCAAATGGATCATCTTCCATCATGAATTTTACATGTTTAGACTTGACATTCAACCATGGTAGCCTGAGTGCTTTTTCCAATTTCGGGTGAATCACATTCAGACCTTCTTTTGATCCTCTTTGGTTTAGTATTCTCACTAAATTCTTGGATAACTTCCATAATATAGCAACATTGTCAAAAACTTCGTACATAATAAAATTATGGGGTTGAAGAAATGTAATTGCATAGGTGTTAAGTTCAATCTTCAAATCAGTTAATGATTGAGGGATACCGAAATCTAAACCTAAGGTATCCAAGCAACACAAGCGACACCATTTACCCTTGATGAATGGAGAGTCTGCTAATAATCTTACCAAATCAATTGAAACAGTGACATCTTTGTCAATGACATTTACCATAGTTTGCACAGCTTGTAATTTGATCTTCAAATTATCGGTTAGTCCAAGTACAACATCGACCGACCCTAGTTTTAATTTGTAGGACAAGAGACTCGATAGCGATCTTTCAGGAATCAGGATCTCGGGAGTTAAAGGATTGTTGAATCTGGTCAAATCCATATTCAATTTCAAATGAATCAATTTTAATGGTCGTATCACGTATTCATTCACCAAATAAACAGCACCAATCAACGTGAAAAGTTTATATCTATCATAATTTATACTAACCAGATCAACTTCTGCCTCGACAACCAAGGTATTGTGGTGGTTGGAATCACATACGGCTTTGACAACTTGCTTAGCACAATCAATCACTAATATATTGGAATATTTGGCTCGCCTGGAATCAATATCACTATGAGTGGACACGGAAATGTTTTCCAATTTAGTTCCCACTGACCAATAAACAATATCCCGACCAGCCGAAGTTAATGTATTTAATGATTCAGTAGAACCAGATACCGATGAAGAAGGAGTTGAAAAGTCCGCCTTTTGCAGAGAATTATTCAAGATGTTAATATTACCATGATCCATCTTTAGATTTATTTTTCTTAATTCATGATTGTCACTAAAATCATACATCAACCCGTCTCCTTCGGTCTCCAACAATTCATCCTTTCCAATCAACACTGATCTTGATCCAAGCAGAATGTTCATCCTCGATAAACTTAAATCGATTTCTGTTAGCCAACTGGGCAATGGCTTAAACAATTCATCCTCTATACTTAGATGTCTGAGTTGATTCGCTTTACCTACTTTCTGGCTCAATATTCGCTGTCTGAGTTCATTCAATTGTCTATTCAAGGCAATGTTGATCACACCAATTTCTATATCGGTCTCGGCCATTTTCTTTAAATCAACCGACAAGTAATGAATTCCTTTAAATATGTCAATGTTGGTTAAATCAACTGATAATTCATTCAAATGCATAAACATCTTCACTTTCAAGTTCTTAACCACATCAAACTTCAAATTGAAGTAACTCAAAGTACCAACTTGTTTCCTCATGATTTCGTTATTGAATTCTTCTGCCAATAATCCGGATTTTTCTTGATACTCGACATTAGGAGACAATACTTGACAACTGGCTTCATAGTCTCTAGAAGGCGTAGTGGACATACTGAAATTCAATAATGCATACGAAAATGTTAAAATTTGTATGTTTTGTTTCGGTCCTTCACAATGTCTAAGCACTAATCTTGGTTGTTCAATTACTAATTTTATGTCCAAATGGGGGTAATAATCGTTCAAATATTTCCAAATGATTGCTCGCAAAGGTTCATGTTTACTTGACTCAGTTGAAAATGTAGATGCAGTATCGCCTTCCAAATCTACGTTGGTTATATCGTAGGCATCTTCTAAATCACTAATGTAGTCGTTTGCTCCAACATCTGCTATCAATTGTTTGATTTGCTTTAATCTCATGAATTTTCGAAGGAGGACCAAATTGTAGATCACGGAACTTAGTTGCCTAGTACTTAGGTCTATTATTGGTGTGCTGGCTGAAAAATATACTTCTACAACACAATTCTTGAATCCCTTGGCTTTCACTATTTGATCTAAAATGTTGGTCTTGTAGGTCAATGCATAGTTTGGAATGTTTAAGATTTCATCGTCATCCCTTCCCAAGGATCCATCTGCTAATTTGGTTTGTTGAGAAAAGAATGCCCTAAGCATGTGGACAGAACATGTCAAATGGTACGGTCTATCAACTTTTGGATTGAACAACACTTCAAACCCAGCCGATTCTGTAAATAGTCTGGCAAAATTGAACGAAATAGACTTGGTATGGACCTCAAGTGATGTCTTTGGCGTGTCTGCTTGAAAGTACTCCTTCATATTGATATTATTTTCAAGAGTTGCAAACGGAATATCTGTCACTCGACAGTTTTGCAAATTGACATTGAAATCGGTGACTATGGCATGCACGGTTCTATAAAATACCTCCACTCGTCGTATAGCTCTTCTCTTTTCGTGATCAACTACTTCTGGTGTTCGGGCAGAAACTGACTCGTCATCGTCAATAAAGCTTAAAATTTCGTAATATTTGATGAAATTGAAAACCAGAAGCTTACTTCCGTTTACGTTAATCCTCGTGTTTAATTCTCCGAGCTTACCATCATTGTAATTCACCAGGAATTTAATTTGGAATTTGACCCCACTGATTGAGATTGGGTTGATTACTTCACCAATACTTGTCGTGGTATGAAGAACAACATCATTTATAGTGACTTCATTGTTGATTTTCACCTTGTCGCTATGTCGTTTACTATATCTCGTAAGTAATGTAAATCTCAAGTAGTCAATCGTATATTTATCATTCAGGGACGAATTAAACGTTGAATGCCGTAACTCAATATCAATTGTGGGTAAATGACATATAACTAATCGGGTGATGTATCGGAGTAATCGATTACTGGGGAAGATATTGAGACTGTTGGGAATATCCAACTCTGGTTTGGCGGTGTCTGAACAGTTACCCTTGTTTAGATTGTTTCCTTTGGACAGATGTAATACAACTGCTAGATCATCAATTATAATCATTCTGGTATTGCCCCAAAGTCTAAACCGGAAGGACCGAAGGGTTATGTTGGCCTTCTTTAGTCGTATCGACACGTTGTTGAACAGGAACCCATTGTTTATGCTGATTGATCCTATGTGGAAGCCGGTTATGGTGTAGATCAACTTCCATACTAGGTACCAGCCTAGGAATATTACAAAAAAATAATAGACTATCTGGTCAGAGTGGGGGTAGTCTATGGTCATATTACTGACAGCAAATTCATAAGCGGGTTATCCGTAACTAAAGCGATGGCGGTATATAAAACAAAGGTGAAATCTAGTAGTATTTTTTAACTAGGGAGTAGTATAACCTACTATAAATATGTTTAATGGTAAGTACGAAGTGATTTCTGCTGTTATATTGAACAATAATTCAATTGGTTGTAAAAATGTGGTTACCCTCTGTGGTGTTTTGATGGCAGTATCGGCGGAGATAATTTGGCGGTAGAAAAGAACAAACCAGCCAGCGGGAATAAAGTCGCACAAAAATGGGTGACTCCGCCGGCCCAGAAAGGCTTGCTTCGGTTTTATAGAGTTTACAAGTAGGATTACCAGAGCAATTCCGTGAATCCCGTCGCTTTATCAAACTTAACCGTTATATCCTAGCGGGGTAAGTATCAAGTGGTTGTCAAACGTTGTTAGCAGAATGTGAAACAAATTGCACAAAAGTCAAACGCAAGACTAAAAAAAAAAAAATGTAAATAATAAACTGTCAACAAACCATGTCGGTTACAACTGTTGACGTATGCAGCCGCAACTGTTGCGATTTACCAGGTCAACTAGGTTGCAGCCGTTGGTTGCCATCCGTCGATTTCCCTGCGATTCTCGTAAATATTAACATACAACTGAGTACCATGAGGAAACATCTCGCCCTAATGTTCGAAAACGGGTGCTACTTCTATACGATTTTCTTGTCATGCTAAGCATTTGCAACAACGTTTTTCTAATAATACTCTTGGCTATAATATGTAAGTATAATATAACACGGATACTATAAACTACAATGTGCTCCTGGTATACTATTGACGAGTCTTTGGTTCGCTCATGCAAAAAGATCTCTGCTATTGTTCGTGAACGTTCGTAGAATGATTGTCATCTTTCTAGAATCAGCCCGCCAAGAACTGCGTCTCGCCCTCCCCACAACGGAAATATGTATTGCATGCATCACGTGTATTATGTTAGGGTTATACCCTAATTGTCATTCCTGTACATAATCCGTAGCAACAGAAAAAAGAAACTGTCCATTTCGGCTGTCGCACAGAACTGAACATTTTACACTTTTCTGTCGATTTTGCAGTTTACATGCACCCACCGCCAACTATGTGCGCGCACTCCCAGCAAATCTCACCCATCGTACAGTGCGCAGGCTTTGGCTTCTGCACTCACCAAAATTACTGTGAAAAATTTTTTGTTAGCAGTGAAACTCACTTTTAAAAAAAATTTAGAATTTTACTGTTAGGTCTTTTCTAGTAAACACCAAGATTCAAAAGTATGTTCAAGTGTGATAAAGATATAACAAGATGAAGAGATAGTCGATAGATATGGAACATTAAGAGGATCATCGTTTGAATGACATGGATATCAATAACTGCCGAAGTTCAGATGTCGTCGTCGTCGTCAGCGGACATTTAGTATTCAAGATCAATGAAGCAAGGGATGAGAGTCAACTACAATATCAGCATTAGCAACTGCACTTCAGACGATATAATGCAAGTAAAGGAAAAGATCAAATAGTTTCAGAAACGAAAGTGATGAGATAGTTCTGTACACTATCAGAGCATCAAGAAGTTTCCTAGCAATGGTCTCTCATTGATCAACAACCAGCACCATACATAATGCTCAAAAATCATCCTACTTTGCAAAGTCGCCTTCAAAGAGAACGATTATCCAAACTACCAATAATCTTGTTTTTTTTCTTTTTTATTGATTTGTAAAACCATTTTACTAACATAGTTTTTCTAGTGGCTGCTTCTTTACCACACCCAAAGATTGTCAAGAAATACACCAAGAAGTTCAAGAGACACCACTCTGACAGATACCACAGAGTTGCTGAAAACTGGAGAAAGCAAAAGGGTATTGACTCTTGTGTCAGAAGAAGATTCAGAGGTACCATTCCTCAACCAAACATTGGTTACGGTTCTAACACCAAGACCAAGCACATGACCCCATCTGGTCACAAGGTCTTCTTAGTCAAGAACGTCAAGGACTTAGATGTCTTGTTATTGCACACTAAGACTTATGCTGCTGAAATTGCCCACAACATTTCTGCTAAGAACAGAGTTGAAATTGTTGCCAAGGCTAAGAAGATTGGTGTCAAGGTTACTAATCCAAAGGGTAGAGTTTCTTTACAAGCTTAAATTTAACGTTGAATAATTTATAAAACAACTATCACATTTTAATATTTATATAAATTGTTTTCTATTTCATTCAATCTGGGTTCATAGCTTTACACATAATCAAAAAAAATAAATGTACATTTACGTCTAAATCTTGACACTAGTATTACATAACGGGTGTTGTATAAATCTGATACTCTATCTATGTAAACGTATCATTTATCAAATAAATACAAACCCTATAAACAAAAGCAATAACTAAAGAAGAAAAAAAAATCGTATCACCTTCTCCGAACAGCACCACTGATTTCAGCGCCACTAACACCAGTATGGTTATGCTTCTTTATCTTATAACCAAGATCGCATGTACCGTCTTTATCTAATTGCAAGTCGGGGATACTCTTTAACAACTTGGGCTTCAACTCTGCAAGGGAGCGTGCATCTGCTTTTTCACTATCGGAAAGTTCCTTCTCTTGACTACTAGATTGCTCCACTTGAAGTTGCTTCATTTCCTTCTCTTGACTTGAAATATTTTCAGTCATGGAAGTATCCTTGCGAAGAGATGTCTGTAAATCTGACTGCAAAGTAGAATCATACTGAAGTGATATATCATGATCAAATGAAGTATCATACTGAAGTGACGATGAAGAATGGTCCCGTTTGATCTTGGTGTCATTTCTAGGCAATGGTAAGGGGAAGATAGACTCTTGTTCTCCAATACCGCTGCTTTCAGACTCCTGCAGTGGGCGTTCTTTTATCTTCTCTTCCTTGATTGCTTCTTCGGCTTCTTCCTCAGCTTGTACATTTTCCGGTATCTTGGTCATCTCTTGAACTAAAGGTACATGCTCGTCTTCAGTCTCAGTTACAGCTGGCAAATTGTCACCAGTGGATTCCAAGTTTTCTTCGATTGGAGAGGGGGGTGTAACCGGCATAGGTGTAACTGTCGAACCAGTGTTCTCACTTTTACCAACATCCAACATAGACTTGACTCGACGAACACCCCCGTTTATATCTGGTGTTGATCCAGGAGTAAAATCAGAAGCATGTGATGGTGTTTGTGGTGACATAGGAGTAGCAGCGTTGGATCCGCGTTGTGTAACCTTAATTTCATTGATTTTCTTGGTGACATCGCCAAGATCTAACATACTTCTAAGTGATGAATTAGCAGGCAATTCTCCGGTAGCAATAACACTCTCTTCTTCCAAACGGGGGTTTCTATTGAATGTAGCCCTACGTGATGGTGCTGCAGATCCAGCAACCGAGCCAGCGGATGAGTAAGGAAAGTTGGATTGTCCTGATCCAGGCATGTTTTCTCCGGTTCCTGGTAAAACAAAGGGATTGACTTCTTGGTCTGGATGTTCATAAATACACATCTCCAAAGATTGGAACCAAGGATCATTAAACAACATATCGAGGTTGTATCTTGATTCGGGAGATGGATCGCACAACTTCCAAGCTACTCTTGAAGCACCAGTACTTTCGAATTTAGCCGCCAATTTGAATTCACTTCCAGGACCTTTAGTATACCCGACATTATTTCTAAATGCTTGATGATCAGAACAAAATCGCTTGTGGCTAAACTTATAATCACGGAATGCATGATCATTAGGACTAGCATGTTGGAAAGGAACCCCGCAGTAAACTAAGCAGAAAAGCATCATTCCTAATCCCCAATGATCCATTTTGAATGGATCATAAGCGAAATTTTTGACCTCGGTATGAGATTTTTCCTTTAAAAGCATAACTTCCGGTGGGGAGTAAGGGGGAGAACCAACATAAGAACAGGATAATTTAGCAGGTGATGTTAAGTCACCGGGGATTTCATGACCATATTCACTAACCCCAAAATCACACAATTTAGCCAATCCATTGGCATCAAGCAAAACATTTTCTGGTTTGATATCACGATGAACAATATCATTATCATGAAGAAACTTGATCCCATATGCAATTTGCTTAAATAAACAGAATTTTTCATTCAAGGGAGCCCGTTTCCAACCTGGTTTAACAATCAACGAAAACAAATCACCCCCGCCACAGAATTCCAAAACCATACCCCAACCTCTAGTCAAGTTGGTCTGACTGTGGATTCTGACAATAGCAGTGGTGTCAACCACATGTCTGGATATGGCTGCCTTTTTATGAATCACGTATTCCTTCAGAACACGCTTGTAGAATTCTTCGTCGGTTTCTTTGGATAATAATGTGAATTTCTTTAACGCAAACACAATCTTTTTATTATGGACAGAATTGATAATGCGCACATCGGAGGAACCACCTGCACCCAACTTTTTCGTACCTACATCAATTTCATAGTCTTCGAGCAAGTTTACACTAGCTTGTTTCAAATCTTCTGGCAAGTAGTCATTGGGATCAGCTACTGGGTTGGCGACAACACGCTCGCCATCAGCAACCCCAGAAAGGTAAAAACTGGTGTTTTTTGGCCCTTCTTGGGAAGGATTCTTATTTAACCCATAAGGATTATAAACAATCTTTTCAGCTGAGGTTGGAGTGGCGATATTGTTGTGGTTGGAGGGCAAGCGACTGCTTCTAAGTTGTTGCTGGTGAGCATTCTTGGTGTTCAATTGCTGTAAATGAGCAAACGTTTCTGCCTTGGTAAGTTTCTTTGGCTGGTGGAAAGGAGGATGGCCTTGGCCTGCATGTTGCTGTTGTACTGGCGATGATGATTCCGAATGGGTCGGTATCTTTTCTGAATTGCTTCGTAATCTCCCCGGGTTAGTGTTATGGCGTCTAATTGCAAATGCAGAAGGAACACGACTTGGTGGTTTCAACTCAGGATGGTCATTTTCTGCTTCCTTAGTGTGGTGAAACAATTTGGAAAGTCCCACTGTGGATGAACTGTTTGAAGATGGGGTGTCATCGGGGGACTTTTCCCTTTTGAAAATGTTCTTGATGTGACGATGATGGTGGTGGGTGTTTGTTTGCAGTGATGACCTGGTCAATGGCATTGTAACTTGTGTGTGTATATGCTATATGATCTATCTAAAGTGTTTGGTTGTAAAATGGTGATAAAAAAAAACTAGCGAACAAAGTTCAATAGGTTGCTATAATCTATAAGTCTAACTGGATGACCTTTGTAGTGCGGTATTTTAACTTTTTTTGGTTCAACTTGGTATGATTAAGTTAAAATAGCTCGTGGAGTAAAACTAAGGAATGTTTTTCTGAAATTTATAAAGAATTCTGGAATTTTATCTGATCTATGATAAAGAATGATGATCCCCTTTTCTAGTAGCGGGATGGGGGTGGGAAAACGGGTGGGTGGAATCTCAATAGATTAAGTATGCGAAACCTAATTGAAAAAAAAAAATAATAATAATACAAATAAAAATAAAAATAAAATACAAAAATAATAACGGACTGCGTGGGAAGTGTGTGGATAAAAGAAAAAGCAAAAGCAAAAAATAACTCTAAATTCCACTTTCTTTTCAATAGAAGAAAGTGTATTATTTTACGGTGGTAAACTAATATTTCTTTGCATACTTGCAGTTGATAACGATAATCACCCAATGTCTAAAAAAAAGTGGGCGTTTTTTTGTATCATGTATTAATTTCGATTTGGTTGGCTCATGATGCTCTAACACCGAAGTTGTCTCTCTTTTTTTTTTGTTTTTCTCCTGCTCGTAATTCGTTTTAAATTACCCTTGATCGAAAGAAAACGTCATGGTTTTTTCTTATTTTATTTTTTTTTCAGTTTTAGTAGGAAGAATTCTGTTTGGTCAGTCATTGAAATGATAGTGTAAGGTTTTATTTTTATTGGATCGGATAAATAGTGATATTTTTTACAGTGCCATCCTGGTTGACCCATACAGATATTTGCAATTGCAAATAAAAATAAACATAAAAAAGAAATTGCTTGACTCGAATAAATCCGAGAATGTTAGATCAACGTTTCTTGTCTAACATTTGTTTAGTATTTCTATTAAGTAGGATAGTTACCGCGATACCTCTAGATCTTACACGAGGTATAAACACCGAGTACTCTTTACAACTCCTAAATTTTGCATCATGCTTAAATGCAACTATTATCCCAATTTAGGGGTTATTTCCGTAGTTTCCAATATTACATAATTTACCACTGCAAACCCTAGAAGCAAATACAAAGAAGGTCTAGTACAAAGTGCGGAGATCATAAATGGCGCCAGATACATATAGTTAGAAAATAAAACCTAAAATCAATTGGAGTTGTCTGGGCTATGTATCTCGCTAACCACGCAAGACTTCTTTTGTGGCTCTTTACAACAATACCCAGGAAAAATTTACAATGACCGTTTCAGGTCCAGAAAAAGCTTGGGTACACCTTTTTGAATGTTCTTGAGTTTCTAATTATGCCTTTAAACCGTACCAAACTACATCCTGTCAGGATTTCCTTGGGCGCGATTGACGCATGAATACCTAACCTTGGCATTCATTAGGTGTATGTATTTGAATACTACCAATCACCATCTAATTTAACACCTCAAACATTTTGTTTTACAATTGTCACCCCATATAGAAGCTATGCAAAATGTTTTGTGGATATTTTTAACGCATGGTGGGTTATTTTTTTCGAGGGTACTTTTCCATTGCATTACCCAATGAGGGCTCAATACCCGTTCCATCTGGGGTCATACCTTCTAACAAGAAGTCATTTGTTTATATAAATGTAAAAATAAACATTATTCGGAAAATCCTAACCTGTCACAAACACTTGAAAGGTTGGAGTTTAACTGAGTCAAACAATTATTCACTTCGATCCCATTCCACCTAATTGTCAAATTTCAGGTCTATCCTGCTCGTTTCCCAGATAGGAAAAGGCGTTCCACTAGAAAAATAATGGACTAATCTTTAGTGTCCTTTATAAATTACATGAATGATACTGGTTCTATAACCCGTGGAAGATTGCTGTTCGAATCGTGGGGAAGCCATCAGTTGATTCGGGTTTCTTTTTTTTTACTGTGGTGACGTCATGAGTTTCTCGGCTATTTTGGGTTTCTTTTTTTTTTTCTCGACTTGCCAGTTTTAAAACCTTAAATTCACTCGGGAACGTTTTTCCGGTAACTAGATGCTGTTTCTATTTTTATACTTGTGCTAAATAAATCACAGGAATGTCCTTTTTGCAACCGGATATGCAGCGATCCGAAGAGGTGCAGTATGTTACTTTAGCTCATGCTAATCTTGCTATTACGAATAATAGCCTAATTCTATTTTCTTCTTGGACTTCGTAAGTTTGCTTAGTTTGCTTCCCCGAGAAAGCCTTTGTTTACTTTATTTACATTGCGGCGATGACGAGAAGAGGCTCTAAACTTGAAATTAGACCGTTAGTAGTTGGTAGCTCTGCGAGTACACTTCTGTCAGGCAGAGACATCTTGTCTAGAGAGAACCTCGGTTGAGCTGTGTCAATGGATACCCCTCTGTTTACTCCAGTTAGCTCCATTACCTTCCGTACCCCCTTTTTTTAAGGAGCACACACATATGCAAACAAATCCAAATTATTTTTTTTTTTTTGGCTGTCAACTACTGGCCCTTGCAACTAAAAGGGGGGGCGCCTCATCAAGCTAGCTACATAAGCAGGTGTACATACATGCTAATAATTAATTGTTCCAGTGGGGAAAATTACACAATTACATACATAGATTAACTGTTAATACACATTTATATAAAATAAAATAAAATAAAATAAACAAAATAGAAAAGAGATGGGGTGTTTGATATGATGGATGGGTATTGACATTAATTTGAAAGCTTCTCTTGTATGAATGGATAACGAAACTAAAAAGGTCAAAACGTAAACGAAGTTCGAAATTTCTTTTGCTGTTGTTCTTTTTTTAAAAAAAAAAACAAAATAAAACACATTGGGAAGAGCTTTACAAGGTATGACTATACAGATTCTTCATCAGAAACCTTTTGGTTTCTCTTGATCTTAAAGAATCTGATACCACCAGTGTGATCTTCAGTATCCTTTGGTTCATCTGGTGGGGCAGCTCTGGTAAAAGAAGAGTCGTCAGCAATTGGAGCTTGTGCGGCTTCTCGTTCATGGACTCTGTCTATGTGTTTTCTGTATGATTGAGCGATGTTAGCTGCAAAGGTCAAGAACCAACAGATAACTAAACAAGCAAATGCAGCCCAAGTAACACCCAACAAGGTAGCATTGACATTGGAAGTTCTGCCTCCGTTTCTAAAGGCATTTCTAGCTAAGACAACAACGGCAGTTTGCATAGAGGCGAAACCAGCCATGAAGAAAACACCAAAAGTGATCAAGAAAATGACAACTCTGTCAATCAATTCAAAACAGTAAGCCAAGAATTCAACAATCACGGCTAAACCAGTGAACGCAAGAGCAATAATGGCAAATGCAAACGCAAATCTACTCAAATAAAAGTAGGTGTTTCTGTTGTCAATGAAATCGGTTGGAATGTTTTCAGTGGTACCAAAGTTATCGGTTGGGGAAATTGGGAAGGCAGGGCCTAAGATACAGTTGGTGAAGTTGCTCTTGTCACAAACCCCCCAAAAGGTCCACACACTGGTGTCTGCTGGAGCATTTTGTATACCGGCAACATCAGCTCGTAACCAGTAAAAGTTTCTTAATGAGCTGTTGTTGGTGGTTCCGGAGATTACGGTTAACACCAATAATAATGTAGCACCAACTAAAAAGAATTGGTTTAAAAATGTGTGAATAACTCTCATTGAATATTCAGACTATTTATATTGACGTAGTAGTTGTAATAATTGTAAATGCAATTCAAGTATGCAATATGATAATACTAATTAAGATATTAACAACCAGAAGTAAACCAGAAAGAAGTCCAAAAGAAGAATTGAAATTGAAATTAACAAAAAGGGGGATGGATGAGACTTTTTAAACTATGTTCCTTTGTTTATTTTTTTTTTCTGTCTGTCTGGCAAAAAAGAACAAACAAAAACTTGAAATTTCTTCGATCATCCAATTTTAGGCGGGCTTTTATTTTTACAACTTTAATATTGCTACTTGCGACATGGATTTTTTTAATCCTCCAATTGAAACGGCTGTGTTTAGAGATGAATTCGTGCACGGTTGCTCTCTTTTGGGACATGCCGTGAACTCCGTATGTCACTCTCATAACCTATAAAAGAGAAACATCTGTAACTATATTTCTTGGGTTACGTTTTTTTATTGCCAATTACTTAACCAAATTTGGACAGCCTGGTCATTTTGGTCATCCATCATGAAATTGGCAGTCAAGACTAAAAAAAACAGTAACAATCTTTCGCAATTGAAACTTGTCATGCGTAATAAAGTACTATAATCTAGTCCATGTGCAAATTATACTCGGGCTGTATTGTACTTGATGTCATCTTTGTTAATCTGTTTGTGGTCATTCCTGCAGGCAGACTTGCCTATTTAGGACAAAGTGACAACAAATTCAATTCGGGCATGATTACTTTTGTTTTCGGCACAGCCGCATTGAATTAGGAGGAAAAAAAAATTTTTTTGGTTGGTAGGGCAATTCTGTTCAGGGTTTTTTGAGTTGGGGCTGAGTGAGGATTACAGTGGCTGTACAGACACAAAAATCAAACGGGGATGTTCGCCGAGGATATTGGAATTACCGTTGTATTGTTCACCAGATCCTCTTTCTTTTCGAACATCTACTTATTTTCCACGGGAAAATGTCAACGCAACAACATTAAAAAATCTTTTGATCATTTAATTTATCGATTTTAGTGACATTTTTTTTTTTCAAAAATTAATCAACTTATTTTGCAGAGATATTCCGAAGGGGGGGTGCAAAACTTATTGATCTGCCAACAGTATCGTTGTCTGCGTCCCTGCAGCTAATGCCTCTAAATATAGCAAGTATCTCGTCCCTTGCAGTTTCAAATTGTAAGCCTGGAACAGACATGACACATGAGATATGAAACATGGTTGCAAACACTACTTTTATTCTCTTTGAATTTAGCTTGTCTATAATTGAAAATACGAACGCATATTCTCTGCACAATTTGTGGCTCAACGCATTGATGTCACCCATACTACACTTGACCTTATTCTAATCCTTTTATTCCTATATAAACATAAATAAATAACCTAGTTTCATACTATGTATTTCCCAATTGTAAACATTATTTGTCATTGTCCTCATCGTCTTCATCACCTTCATGTCCCCATTTGACACACCATCCATACCATGTTCTCTTCAAACACTTTTCCGGGGTATCCGTGGGCTCTCCTGATGTTGGCTGGCTGTTAGATTCTGTGTTTGTTGTTCCCGGTGAGCCTGAATTGGTGTTGGTAGGGGCGCTTGTGGTTGATGTTATCATGGTATTTCCCTTTCCCTTGGTAGGACGCGGCTTCAAAGGGTTTGGCAATTCTGGTGGATCATCTTCATCTTGATCATGTGTCACAAACCTCCAATTGAAACAGTCACGACATGGTGGTTGTTCAATGCACTTAGCGGTATCATTGTAGGCAAGAATAACATCGTCAATCACAGTATGGATACGATGGTTCAACAAGTTAACTCTCCACCCTAAATCAGATACCACGTCATAGACACATTGATATCCGGTATGGCAAGCGGTTTCCATGGCATACCCGGCAACATTACAGGTGCTGGATACCCCATTGCAAACACCCATGTAGATAGGATCAGCCGTGTTTCCAATATGCCAAATATTTTCCATAAAATGAGGGATTCCTGGTGGTGAAGGTAAATGCAATCTTGAGCTGGCTAACATTTCTCCTGGAGCTTCGAATGCAACTACTGGCAATCCAAAAGTCCTTCCCAATAACGATGCAAGTGCGCCACCAAGAGAATGGCCAGTTACCCAAATATCATGCTTTTCAGGAGGGTAAAGTTCGGTGATGTTACGATAAAGTTGTAAAACTGCTTGGTAGTATCGATCTTCCTTCAACAATTCCTTTTCAAGACAATCTTGATTACAAGTATACGTGTCTTCGTAACAATCACAAACAGTGGTCCACATATATCCTATTCTTGCACAACAACAGGAGAATAATAAATTGTCATTGGTCTTATCATTGCCACCAGTTTCGTCACTTCCGCCTCCAGGTAACCCTGCACCTGAAGTTCCTTTGATTCCTATAACCACGGTTTTATTGTCGGTGCTTACAAACACATGACCTCTTAATCCAGTTTCTTCCCATCCGAAATTTATTCCGTCATTTTTCTGATCGGGTTCCCAACCACCAATATCGATCCAATCTGTCTTGTTCTTGTCTTCGTCATCCAATGGGAATTTGACATATGCGTTTGAAGATATGGTGGCAAGGGTCACAATCGTGTTTTTATCTGTAATGTTAGGTACTTTGATTTCTTCATCTACCCATTCCAAGTTTATCTTGTTAAGCATACTCGCATCACCTTTGATACTAGTGGCATAAGAGAGATATGATTCAATAAAGTTTGGAGTGGATCTCTCCTTTAATCTTGTTGAAACACTGTGTGATTTCTTTACGGGAAGTTGGATAGTGAATGGATTCTTACCGCGATGAACCTTGGGCCAGTCCATTTGATTATAAACCTCTTCCAAATCGTCGGACTTGACATTTACTTGTATATTCTCTGGTTGTGCAAGCTGCTGAGTGAGCGAAGTGAAGTAAGATGCATGCTTGGCCAAATACTCCTGGGTTATGTCTAACCGGCGGCTTGGTTTCTTGGATGGCCCAGTGCTGTGATGGAAGATATGCTTGAGTTCTAAAGTACCAGACATGTCAAACTCCTTTGTAGAAACATCGTTGCCAAATGACGCATATAACTGGGAGTACTTTTGGTTTATCTTGGACCAGTTTGAAGTGGCGGTGAACAACAATAGTAGGAACATTACGATCAACGGAACAACGTGGGAGTAGATATGCGTCCGTTTCTTCTTGGGACCCTTGGGGTTGGCCTTATGCTCCATGGTGTGTGATTTCTCAAGCGGCATAGACTGTGTATGTTATTAGCTATAAATACGTGTGTGTGTGTTTGTGTGTGTGTATGTGCTAACGTTTCAAGTTGTTGTTGTGGTGGTGGTTGGTTTTCTTATCTAACGGGAGGAGGTGGCGGATAAATGCAACTCAAAAAAAAAAAAAAAAAAAAAAGAAAATCATGCAAATTTTGTTGGGGAGCAACAAAATCTTGTCCTGCTTCTCGGAGATAAAAACTATGGGGGAAATTTATATTGTCTATATGCTGGTCTATAAGTACACAACTTCGTGTAATAATTCGTGGGTATAATCCCTAACTAAGAATTCTTTAGCACCAATAACTCTAATATCTCTCACTAATTTGATAGGTTCGTCTGTACTAGTATGATTTTGCTTTTTGCATTCATCTTCATAACTAAATTCGAGAATCTTGTGTAATTTGGTAACTACATCCGAGATCAACTCGGGAGTTATTGCAAAGTTGTTGTTGTAAAATGCGTTGCTGAGCAATGCGGTGAACAAATCACCACATCCGTTGAAGTTACAGGGAATTTCGCGTATAGGAATCAGAAACAATTTCTTAGTACTAGAAGTATACCCCACACAGTAAAGTTGACCATCTATACTAACTGATGAAATCACAATATTTTCGATCTTGTATGTTTGATCAAATTCATTTATTGCCTCTTTTACGTCTTGCCAACTTTCAAGTTTAACGCCCGTTAATGTTTCAAATTCAAACTGGTTTGGAGTAATTAATGACACATATCCGGTGGAAAATATGTCTTTGTATACGGGAATCACCTTCTCCAGAACATATAATCTTCCATTATCTCCAAGAATGGGATCAACGATCCATCTTGGTCTCTTACCTGTGCCAACTTTCTGAAAAACCTTGATAAGTTCATCCTTGATAGCTTGTAAAACGTCAGCAGTAGTGGCATATCCAGTCAATATAATGTCATAAGTTCGGAAATCGTGGATCTTTTTAAGTCCCTCTATGATTTCCACTAACAGATCCGGTGTTGTAGGTGATCCAGTAAATGAACCATATCCCGGATGATTGGAATAGTTGGTGGTATTCAAAGCGTCTACATCCCACCCGGCATATTGGAGAGGGAATACCATGACTCTATTTCCTACATACCCATGCACTACATGAGACAGGATAGAAAGTAACGATTTGTTATCCATTGTGATCTTAGATGCCGAATGAGTCAGTCGGTAGATTTAGATCTGCTTTTTTTTTTTCGTCACCAAAATTTTGAGATTACGATTTTGACGTATTGTGACATATCGCTGTGTGGCGTTGTATTCGAATTGCAAGCAACGCTACTTGCTGGGAGAAAGAAGAAGTTTAAACTGATGGAGTATCTTTATATATATCTTTAGAATCTATAAGATAAAAAAGATTTGAGGAACACTGATTGCTGCAATCCTCCGTTAGCAGAAAATAGGATGCTGCAAAAAATATATATATATATTGCACTTTTGATATCGGAAATGTCCTAGTCAAACAACTACATAGCTCCATAAAACAAGTAACGGATTTGTAACACGTTCAAGTATCAAAGTTATCCTGTTTGTAAAACTATTTACCTTTATATTCCGGATATTTCTATAAAAGTTAATAATTATGTACGTGACTGGCTCTTAGCAAGTATTTTTTTTAAAAAAAAATAATACCACAAAAGTATTACGAACTTTTAAACATAAAATAGTACACACCCGTGCCAAGACTTCGCCTCTCTCGCATGCAGCTAATATGTTAAAATCTCGTATTTGGCGCGGATGAGTCGGAGAAGGAGAGGCAGTGCACTCCAACCGAGTTCTTGCTTTGGTGGTTTTACGAATTCACGGCTTCACTCTTCCATGCGTGACTGGTGGTGGTGGTACCTCAATTTTTGTGACAACCATGGTTCTGAACCATTTGTCGGACAACTTGGTTCTGTTTCATTTATCCCCCTTTGAGATCTTTCTAAGCCTACATTTCAATTTTTGTTTAAAAGCTGGCTTTGCCCTGGCTTTGGAATTATTTATGTAACTAATTGGAAGATCCGCGCGTCGTAGAGACGAATATTAGTCTAGCGCAGCGTATATTGCAATTTCAACCAAGATATCCTGGTAAATCTTGCAAATATAATTACTTCTATTTAACTTTGCAACTGTGAAAGCGTTGTACCTTCTCTAGAACGCAAACCTAATATTAAACCTGATCAATCAGATGTATTAATCTATACAATGGCAATGGTCAGGTACCCAATGAGGCATGTATCCCTCTCAATACCCTTTTCTTTTTGAGGTGAAAATAGACAATTGATTGCTAAATGAAACCACAATTGGGGCTTAGCCGAATCTTGTTTGGAAACACACTGATTATAAGTTATGAAATTAGAAAAATACTGACGTTGATAGTAGCTAACAAGTAAAGGAGGGGATAAAACTTTAAAACTAAGGTCCAAGTCTGCAGTTACGGTGCATAATATTTTCAGCCTTGTCGTCATAGAAAACGGGTTATTTTTTAATCTGATAGGATTTGTGGCATAAAACCGGTTTGGCGCTTACATAAGCAAAACTGCCTTAACTATGTAGTTTTTATTTTGCGCTTATGTAAGCGCTTCTGAAAAGGGCAAAAAAATAAAAATAAAAAAAAAGAAATAGAAAAGGTGCAAAAAAATATTTTTATAAGTTTTTGCTTTACCCTTGTACATCAAATAACCATCACCCTTCAAACCTGACATCGGCTAAGAATTCATATAAAAAGAAGGTGATTTCACAGATTCCATAATCTCATATCTTTTTCTATCATTATTACTTTATACTAATACAGTAATTGCCTTTAGAGATGTTAGCTTTACCTCAATTCAACCAATGGAAAATTGTCACCATAGTCCAATTGGTGATTTTCTTGATCACTTTTGGTGCTTTTATTACCATCACTGTGTTCCAATATAGAAAGCACGGTGGGTTAAGAAGAGTCTTAATGTTCTGTATCGGAATCACCATTTTCCATACGTTTAAAATTGTTGGTGCTATTCTTGGTTTGGTATTAATTAATCAAGATGAGATCAACACTAGTTTATTTATCCCAACCTACATTTTCGATACTATCAGTTTGGCAATTATTACCAATGCCATTAAATCGTTGGTTCAAGTTATGCTTTTAGACCAACAAAAGCAAAATATGCCACCGCCATCTTACACTCAAAAGGATATTGAAATCGGACAGTATAACACCTCTTCGAACAAGAAAGAAAAAGTCAATTTCCGTCCCTTTAGAATATTGTCGGTTGTGTTATTGGCTGCTATTGTATTAAACATTATTGGTGTCTCGCAATTGAGTGGTGGTGATGTCACAAGCACAACTGAAGCATTGACCAAGGCGTCTTCGGTCTTGTTCTTGGTTGGTGTTTTGTTGTTGATTGGAACTTTGGTATTTGTTCATGCCCTGGGTGATGATTTTAATCTTGTTGCTAAGATATTAATTGCAGCATTAGTTATTCTTATTGTTAGATGTTCATACACTATGGCTTCGGCTTTCAATGGTCTCGATTTCGAACATCCAAATCAATTTATGATCTATTTTGGGCATTTCCAATATTACTGCTTTATGGGAATGTTGATGGAGTTAATTGCTATCTGCATAGTCTTGGGTGCATTTTCAGTTTGGTAGTGTGTTTGCTTTATAGTGTGTTTGCTTTATAGTGTGTTTGCTTTATAGAGTTAGTGTTTGATTTATAGGGTTTTGTATAATAGAAATGAAATGCTAGAAAGAACGCCAAGCTGTAATTGAAAGCTCTATCTAGAAAGAACCAGTAAAATCAGTAATTCTGTTTTACTTTGCCTGTGTTATCTAAGAGACCTGTGTGTATAATTACACAACCCCCTAGTTCAACAATGAGATTGATGTTGTATGATTGCAAATACAATTGCACCATTCCCGGGCTAAGCGCATGGTAGCGCACGGCTCGTTCCCCTCCATTGTTGGTGCGGCGCAGCTTCAAGGTGAAAAAAACTGGCAGGCGAAAAATTAACGACGTGTTCAAGTATTGGACAACCTGCTGCTGCCAATTAAAGCACAACAACCATAACATTCAAACAACGCCAGGGTCTTTGTTGCAACAAGATAAGCAAAGACACACAAACACTCCCTTTAATAATACCATATCAACTCAGCCATTGTGACATCCATTACTAAACTATAACAACAACAACAACAACAACAACAACAACTGTGGGTGGAAGAAAATGTCACTTAAAGAATCAGCAACTATCAATGTTGGATACCCGATAACCGGTGCCAAATTCATCAATAACATAACAGTAATGGCTATTGGTGGTGGAGGCGAAGGCAGAAATGGGATTCCTAACTGTATAACTTCCATCAAGTGCAGTTTTAAGGTCAAAGATCCCAAGATGAGGTTGCAGAAATTTAGAGAAATCACGTTACCAACAAACGAAGACTCGCCTCAGTGTATCGACGCCGTCAAAGTCATCAATGACAATGGTGACAAGGAGTATAATGTGATTTTCGGATGTAATCAAAGTACACAATTGATTAGGTCGATGGGTATTAATTGTAATGTTCGGAAATATGTTGTCAATTCGGACCAGCATATGAAGTTCATTGACGCCGCTCAATTTGAACTGGAGCTTCCAGGCGACGCCGATGACTATCCACGAGCAGTCAAGTTGGCTAATGATAACTTGGTTGGATGTTTCTTGACGACAACTACCCCTTCGTCAATCTATATATTTAACCCTGAATCTCTTGAATTGAAATTCAAATACAAACCAGAAAGAGATATGGAAATTAAAGATATTGGATTAAGTCCTGCCGATGGAAAAGTATTGTGTTATATTAGCTCCAACCTGATTGAGACCGTATCGACCAGTTCTGGACAGTTGATTTCCTCGACCACTAAAAATGCCAGCTTGGACAAGAAATTAAAAGGATACATCCTTTCGAAAATGAAATTCATAAATGAAAATGAAGTATTGATAGGAGCTGGTGTCCGTGGTGGTAAAGGAGCCGCCATAGTCCACTTTAACATCCAATCGCAAAAGATCATCAAGATTAGAAAAGTATCAAACAAATTCAACATGATTGTTGGGCTTGACATCTCGCATAAACAAGACTTGATTGGTGTTGCTGGTAACGACTATTCGTTATCAATCCTCAGGTTATCTACATTCAACGTGATTGGGCGTTTTGAGAAATTGCATCCGTTTGCAATCACCAGTGTCAGTTTCTCCCCCGATGGAACCAAATTGGCCACTGGTAGTGCCGCTAATTTCTTGCATGTTTTCAACATTCCCAAGAATTATGGAAAGGGAAGTTCTGTTATTGGAACCTTATTTGAGTATTTGGTTAGCATCATATTGATTGCTGCCTTTGGTATTTTCCTCCAACGAGTTCATACTCGAGTCCAATTTGACCAATTGATTCTTAATTCCAGGGAATCCTTCACTTTGGAAAACACCAAGGACTTGGCTCAAGTTTATGGAAAGAAATTCATGGGTGCTGCTGTATATTTGAAGGATTATGGATATAAAGGTATAGATTTCATCAAGGGCAAGATGCAAGGTGAAAATATCGATGGTGATGAAGAAACCGGCAAGTATTTCACCATGGATGAATGGGATGATGGAACTACTGTTGCTGGAACCACTACCGAATCCACATTAATTGATAGGGTTACTGAAGTTACCAAAAATATCGATGAATATACTAAACAGCCTGATTTTGATAGTGAAACCTTCTTGAAGGACAAGGACAATTATATTGAAACTTCCATTATTAAGGCAGAACCATCTAGTGCATCTTCTGTGGAACAAGACACTGTGAAACCAACCACTAGTGTTGAATCATCCACTTCAAAAGAACCTGAGTCGTCAGTTGAGTCATCCTCAGTTGAATTATCTGTTAAGCCGGCTGAAGAATCTTCGAAGATACAATCTGCTTCTGCATCATCGGTACCTGTAGCAGTTACTCCATCAGCCCGTGCTGAACCAAAGAGTGTTGTTGAAAATGACACTAGCATTTCTTCTGAATCGATTGTCGAATCATCTCCTGCTTCTGTTGAAAAGCCTGTACAACCAACTTCGTCTGCTGTTAAAAAGGAAGAGCAGCCAATTTCATCTGTTGTGGAACAGAAAGAGCAACCAATTTCATCTATTGAAAAGTCTGAACAACCAAGCTCGTCTGTTGAGAAAGAGACCGAACCAAGTTCATCTGTTCAAGCAAAGAAAGAAACTGTACAATCATCTGTTCCAGAAACGAAGGAAACTATCCAATCATCTGTTCCAGATAAGAAGGAAACTGTACCACCTACTTCAACACCTTCAGAAACGAAGGAAACTGTGCAACCCTCCTCATCTCCCGTGATCTCCGAAAAAGAAAAGACAGCTACTTCTGCTGTTGAACAAAAGATTGAACACTCGTCCGAGGAGATTGAACATTCACCTGTATATGAGGAAGTTTCAGATGAACAAGATTATTACTCTGAAGATGAAGAACATGCAGCTGAAAACCAGTACCATGCTGAAGAAGAAACTCAAGAACATGAAGAAGAAGAATCACCTCTTGTTGAATCCAGAGTCCCACCAGCTAAAGTAATCACTGAAATTCATGAGAAGTCAGACGTCCAATCAAATGTTGAAACTCCTTTAGAACAGGCTGCTAAAACTAACGTTGTCAAACTGTTAGAAAAGTCTCAAGAGTCAACTCAAAGTATTGAAGCTTCATCAGTTGTGTCCTCGAAACCTACACAATCTATCGTTCAATCTCAAGTTGATACTGCTTCTGCCAAGCCAAGTTCCGTTGATACAGTCGTTAAATCAGAACTGACTGTGGAACAAGCATCTGTGGAAACCGCAATCCCTTCCAAAGTTGATGAAGAAGAATCAGCACCTGAAAGGTCCACTGGAGTACCAGTGCCTGTTCAAAAGAGTACAGAAAGCTCTAAACCAAAATCAAGTCCAGTGGTTGAATCAAAACCCCCAGCCCAAAAAGAGCAACTTTCTTCCAAGATTGAAAGCTCCGATACTCCAAAGTCTACTGCATCAGTTGAGGAAGACCCAACTGCTTCACTCCCTCCTCGTGGTCCACGAGTGAGGAAATCATTTAGCAAGAGACCAAAAAGCACAAGACCAAATACCACTCCCGAAGAAAATGATGACAAATCAGTCCCTGAAAAAGATGAATTGTGATTGAGATATGCATAAAAAGCTTTTAGAAGTTTCATTTTAAAACAAATGAAAAGTTGTAGATTTATACCTTTTAAATAATTCTTTTAATTAAGCAAAAGTACATCGAATTCTATGTAGATTTGCAATGGTGGTTGATCTAGTGGCTGCCTTTTTTAGAGGGCAGAGATTTCACGCGTGCGACGTTAAATTTTGAAAATTGTTACTACACGTTAAAGATCAAGTGCTCTTCCTAGACAACCACAGCACACTTATAGACATAGAAAGGCTGGTTGGCAGTCATGAGTATAAACTCGTTTAAAGTTAATGTATCAGACGTGACAGATCCGTCTGATTTTAAATCCACGAAAATCCCAGCCTTGTCGGAATTAGACAATCTTGAACGATGTTATATATGTAAGGAATTCTTTCGGGCACCTGTTATAACCACCTGCAATCACACATTTTGTCTGCAATGTATCCGAGAGTATTTGATCACTAATAATAGTTGCCCGTTGTGTAAGACCGAAGTGTTTGAGAGCACTCTAAAACGTGATGTTTTGTTGGAAGAAGTTGTGTCTTGTTATGTCCTGCTACGACCTTTTCTTTTGAAATTCCTAAAAGGTGAGAAGAGTGAAGAAGCTGACAATAGCAAGACTAATGAAGTTAATAGAAAGCGTGTGTTGCAAGAAGAAGTTATTGAAATCTCAGATAGTGAAGCGGAAGTGGAGCAACTTAAAGATGCTAGCAAACGTAGGAAAAGTGAGTCTCCTGCAGGATCAACGTCACCCCAGAGTGAAGATCTAGTGTGTTGTCCTGTGTGTTCAATGCAGATGTCGGCTGAAATATTACAGACCAGCCATTTGGATGATTGTTTAAGTGGCAAGGTAACGAAGAAATATACTGCCAAACCGAAAAAGAAACAACCTAGAAACTCGATCTCGTCATTCTTCAAACCAAGGAGCTTAGTCAGTTCATCTTCATCGTCGAGTCTGACGCCACCTGAGAAACTAGGTAATGAAGCTTATTATTTCCAGGAAACTTCCAGACATAATTCAGAAGTGAAACGTTTACCAAAGTTGGACTTCCTGTCACTAATTACTCCTAAATTAAAGGAAAAACTCGCAGCTATAAATTTACCGACCCATGGGAATAGAAATCAATTGGAATTAAGATATAATCAATATTTCGTATTGTATAATTCCAATCTCGATAGTAATCGGCCAGTATCGGAGAAGGTCTTGCGACAGAAGTTGAACCAATGGGAGTTATCCCATCGTGAATTTAACAGTTACAACGGGGATTTGTTTTCAAACCACCAACGAGGAATAAGCAATAGATCAATTACTGATAAGAATTTCCTGGTGAGTGAATGGATGCAAGAGTACAAACAAGATTTTAAAGAGTTGGTAAAGATTGCTCGCGCATCAGCTAAGAAAACTGGGACCACTGACACTGCCGATAAGGCGGTGGAGGTGGAGGTGGAAGTGGCGGCAGCAGCGGCGGCGGCGGTGGAAATTGTAGAAAAGAGCGATTCGTACAATTCTGACATCACAGTAGATGAAATGAACGACAATCTAACTGAGCTTCCCCAAGAAACCACTAATGATAGTGCAGATAATAGTGGCACCGCCGCTGTCAGCGCAAAAATTACTGGGGAAGAAGAAATAAAAATCGCCGATCTAGACTTTGCTTCAAGCCCATTATTCAGCGATGCAGTGGGTCAGAAGTAAAATTGACCTTAACAGAAGGGAAATATAAAGGCATATAGTAATATGGTATACAAGTTGAATAAATATCTGTTTAATGCTGCACAAAGCCTGCAATTTGCTGACTGGCCGATTGTTTGTATAAGCCAGGAAAATAGTCCAGAGCGCGGGCCGACTCAGGAGCAATCACCGGCACTACACGAACCAAAATAACTTTTCTTGATAAAGCTTATATTTTCACTTTACCAATCTCTCCATTCTTCGGTAATATCCTCGTTCATGGTATTGTATCCCATTTCATGACCTGCTAAAATGATGATTTCAGCGATTTCTTCTCTTTCGGCGGTTTCTATTAAAGCACAGCCACAATTCTCATTGATGTCGTTCAACTTTAATACTGTTGACTCGACAATTTCCATTGCCTCGTCTCTAGATGTGGTTTCGCGGACCTTTATCGTATAGTCAATTAGTAACGAAATACACGCGTCTACGTCATTTTGGGTATATGGATAATTAGCATGATGCATGAAACTCTCCAAGTGCCTTCTTAAAGCAACAACTAAGCGGTCAATTGCTGGACTTCCTGTTGTTTTCTTATATTCGGTTGTCATTTTGGTTTCTTTTTGTGTAGTCAATACAATGTGGTTCGTATCTATTATTGTATGGCGTGAGAGAAATCTCGCTTGCAACGTTTCACATTTCCGCGCGAATTTTTGTTCCGTGATCAAAAGCCGCAACTTGTGTTGGTTGCCAACACGGCACCTATCTCCGATGAGATTGAATCAGCATCGCTCTGTTACATTGTCAATCCAAGATCAATAGATAATAAAACTGAGTCATATCCCGATGATTTAAAGTTTCGCTAATAACAATCTCAAAGTTTAAAATTACCATTAGTAAAACCTGCATTGTGATCCCAGATCATCCGATTTTAAATTCTATACTATTGCATCTGCATCCTACTTTTGAAATCTCAGCTCAACCTGACCTTCATAAACACCACCACCACCACCACCACACACCATGGATGATAGTCAATACCTAACAACACACGAAGCAGCCCTAGCTGTCGTGGCTACAGCCATGAAGAAAGCTCGTTTGAGAATAGACACACTAATAATCAATGCAATCATGGGGGGAATACTATTCACTACCGGGGGTATGCTTCATGTAACAACACAAGCGTACTTACCCAACATATATCAGGAAAACCCCGGTCTTATCTCCATACTTGCGGGATTGTCTTACCCCATCGGGCTATTCTATGTTGTTATCATGGGGGTTGATTTATTCAATTCAAATATATTGTTTTTCAGCACTGCCATATGTCGAGGGGCAGTTTCGGTGTTTGACTTGTTGATTAGTTGGATAGTGAGTTATTTTTGCAACTTGATTGGGAACATATTTGTCTGTTATGTCATTTGTCATTATTCCGCAATAGCCCAAACCGACATGTGGGTACAGGCAAGTCATGAAATTGCAATCAACAAAGATTCATTCTCGTTTATTGAAAATTTCCTAAAGGGAGTAGCCGGAAACTTTTACGTCTGTTTAGCAATCTACCTTCAGCTCATGGCTAAACCACTACATGTCAAGTTCTTAATGATGGCGCTTCCCGTGTTCACATTTGTCACGATAGGATTCACACATGCAATCGCCGATATGACGGTGTTGATCACAGCATTGATCAACCATGCCCCTGTGTCTGTGGGTGAAGTCGCCTGGAAGATCTTCTTACCAGGAGCATTAGGGAACATAGTTGGGGGGTCATTCTTTGGGATAGTCATAACGTGGTACTTGCACATTTACGTTGTTGAACAAGATCAAGAGAGATTGAAATTACCAAAGTATGAAGTCAGAGATGAACAGCCAGAGTTGAACATTGATTCAAGAGTGGTTAGACAAAGAAGAACGTCGTCGTATGTCGAAGAAGTGGATGATGTTATGGCTGAAAAGCAAAATCAAGATTCTTATGAACCTGTTCCTTACTTCTCCAATCTGCTGGGGTCAGGACTAAGATTGCGTGCTACTAACACCAGAGGAACTACCTTCTCTGTAGCATCTAAAAAGCACAGATCTCCAAAGAATGTGTTTCCCGTTTATGGTATGGGGCCACCTTTAGCCAGAGAGAAAACAATAGCTGGTGGAACACCAGGACTTCCCGAACCAGAAGATACCGACATTGAAGATGAGGATAGTGTTAACCAATATACGGCCGATTATATCGGAGATAAATTGAAAAGAGTAATAACTAACAAACCAAGACGAAAGCTGAAAGCTCAAGATATAGAAGCTGGCTATAAATCATCACCTTCAAGTAAAAAAACGATAGCAGCTAGCAGTTCCCAAACAAGAAAATCAGATGAACGATCACCAAGAGATCTGGTAGAGTCGATACCAACGTCATTAACGTCAATTCGGGGAGAAGATATAACTGACCAAAGATGAATATAAATCCCATGCATTCACCTACTACATTTGTACTATTTATTTATTCAGTATTTAGATTAGAAGGAAAAAATTAATTTAAATATACTATTTGCATAAGCATTCGATGTTACACCCTGTAAATCAAGCTCAAACTCACGAAGTTGACACTTTATGTCTGGATTTTGCAAAAAAAGAAGTTTCGAATTTAATCTGTTATTGGACGAGACAGGAATCGAACCAGTGACCTTTTGCTTGCAAGGCAAACGCGCTACCAACTACGCCACACGCCCATTTCTTTTTCAAAAATTTCTCAAATGTGAGTGGGGTCATGATATTAGCACGTGAGTTTTGGGTGTTTGGAGGTTTCAACATTCTAGTTTTGTTAAATATAACAGTTCAAGATTTATATATCCGTGTTATTCGGAATTACAGCTATCCTTTAAAGTGTACTTCTATCTATTTACCAAACTGAAGTGGTGTATGGTAACGGTCATGTTATTGAGCACGTGAATAACCCTCGGATATTTTTATATAAGGAAACGAAATTTGTCTCTATAAATCCTTCAATTAGGTGTCAACTTGAAACTTTAAGATAAATCTGACACCAATCACTCGCTAAGATTTGCTTGGTGTGGATATATTGTTATAAGCTATGCGATTTCCTAGATTTAAGAATGTTAAAATTTTGATTAAATATTGCTGAAAAATTGTCTAAATATGAGCACACATCTTGTACAAACAGTTATTTTAGAAACCCATGCTAATTGTATTGAGCCAATTTGGCAATACCGGTTTATAAATAAAGAATACACGATATCTCATCTAATAATTACAAAAAGGATATCAACAGATATATAGACTCAGATAATTGTTTAAATTTTGCAGTCAATTTATGAGCCGCACCAGAAAATTCCCAACCTCATCTTGAATCCCATCTGAAAAAAAATTATACATAATAATCTTTTACAAAGCTAGTATCAAGTCTCCACCAACCATGTCCGATTCAGCAGCATCACAAGCATATTTAGACGAAGAAGCCAGCTGGGATTCATTCAATCTTGACCCTAGACTTCTTCAAGCATTAGACCAACTTGGATTTGAGAAGCCCACCTTGATTCAAAGCAGTTCCATCCCGCTTGCTCTTGAAGAAAAACGAGATATTATTGCTAAAGCCAGTACCGGGTCCGGTAAGACTGGTGCATACTGTATTCCTATCGTCAATAACTTATTGACTAGGAGCACTGACGAGCATGAGATCAAGAGTATTATCTTGGTGCCTACCCGTGAGTTATCCAATCAAGTATATGAGTTTTTGGAAAAGTTGTTGGTTTTCAATAATCAAAAGATTAATATTTTGAATCTTTCTTCGAATTACAGTGATCAGGTGTTGAACTCTTTGTTGATTAACAAGCCCGAGATTATCATATCCACCCCTGCCAAGTTGATTCAGACTTTAGAGAAGAATAGCAAGGGATTGATTGATTTGTCCACTGTGTCCAACTTGACTATTGATGAGGTTGATTTAGTGTTGTCATTTGGATATTTGGACGATTTGAAGAAGTTGGAAAGTTATTTACCGATCAAGAAGAATTTGCAAACTTTCTTGATGTCCGCTACCATAAACGAAGAATTGAACGATTTGAAAATGAGATATTGTACTAAACCAGCAATTTTAAAATTAAATGACGAAACCGCCGAAAAGCAAAGTCTTGTACAATACTATGCCAAGACCACCGAGTTTGATAAGTTTTTGCTTTGTTATGTTATATTCAAGTTGAATTTAATCAAGGGAAAGACCATTATATTTGTCAACAATATTGACCGTGGGTACAGATTGAAATTATACTTGGAGCAATTCGGGATAAGATGTTGTATTCTCAATAGTGAATTACCTATAAATTCCCGATTACACATTGTTGAAGAGTTCAATAAGAATGTTTATCATTTGTTGATTGCGACTGATGAAACTAATGATTTCACCGTGGAAAAGGAAGAAGACAGCGAAGGCGAACGCGAACGCGAAGAACAAGAACAAGCACAAGAGGAAAAGAAAGAGTCAAAGAAGTCCAAGAAGAAAGGTGCAAAGAAAGATTCAGAGTATGGTGTATCAAGAGGTGTTGATTTCAGAAATGTTGCATGTGTATTAAACTTTGACTTACCAACCACTTCCAAAGCCTATATTCACAGGATTGGTAGAACTGCCAGAGCAGGCAAATCCGGTATGGCTCTTTCATTCATTATCCCATTAAAAGAATTTGGTAAGCACAAGATTGCAAATTTAGCGACTGCGAAAAAGGACGAAAAGGTTTTGCGTCGTATTATCAAGCAACAATCCCGGAATGGATTTGAAATAAAACCATACCAATTTGATATGAAGCAAGTTGAAGGGTTCAGATATCGTGCTGAAGATGCATTCAGAGCTGTTACTCAAACTTCAGTGAGAGAAGCAAGAGTTAAGGAATTAAAGAATGAGTTGATTAATTCGGAAAAGCTTAAGAGATTTTTTGAAGAAAACCCTCAAGATTTGGCGACATTAAGACACGACAAAGAATTGCATCCAACAAGAATCCAATCGCAATTGAAAAGAGTGCCACAATATTTATTACCTGAAAGTGCCAGACTGGATCCAAAGAATATTGGATTTGTTCCATTCCACAAGAACAAGGTCCACAAAAATAGAAAGAGGAAGTCAACCAAGAAATCTGATCCTCTCAAAACTTTTAGAAAGTAAACTAAGCCTACTTTATAGAACACAATATACAAATGTCATTTATTATTGTTATTATTATTATTATTTTTTTTTTCTATACTCTATAAGATTTCTGAATGTCCGAATCATGCCAATCTACACAAGATCAAATTCCATAACAAATTGGCCAAGCAATTACATGGAAACATCAACGCTTGTGGAATAAACATAAACTCCAAAATGGAAAAAAATGGCCAAAAGCAGTAACTATACTTTAACGATTTAACATAGGCCAATCTTGTGCTGATAGAAAACATTTCGCCATGATCCCAAATACTATTCAACATGTTGAAAATTAACTGAAACATAGGTGCGCCCACTAATTGATCGATAATAATTCTATAAGCAGAATTATCGATTCTCGTAATTAAGATATTGATCCACCCTACGGTGAAATACCCATTTATGCTTCCCCAAAGCATAAACTTGAGGATCTTTTGTAGGGTAAATTTTTTCTTTGCATATTGATTCATGGATTGGGCTAATGCTCCTGATGAACACCCCAACAACAAACCCGCCAACATGGGGTGATATGCCCCTATTGTGTCATAGTTTATGTATATAGCACACGATATGATTGTTTCTATTATTAATGCAGATATCAACTTTTGGTATACTCTTTTAGGAGCAGGATGTAAGTGTGATGAAGAGGATGCTGAAGATATTGGTGATAGGGATGATTTCTCAAGATCATTCCTTTTTTCTGATAATGGGAGCGACATAACTAAGTTGTGTATGAGAAATATGCAAATGTATCAAAATCTTGTTTATCAAAGGTTATATATGTATATGTCTATGATATTTCCTACTTCTTAATGTGAATATTTATCTGTCCTTCCACTTTTCGTCCAGCAACAATGAGAACATAAAATCTACGTGAATATTTTTTTTTTTTCGTGTGTGTTTTTTTTTTTACAGCCGTAGTTAATTTTGTTTTCGTGTGACAAAACTAAAGTAAAACACCAATACTGCAATAGAAAACACTGACCTTCCTCACACGTGCTATGCGCCCCCAAATCAGTTGCAAGATTAACCTGGAGATGTAATTACACAATTGTCACACTAGCGAAAGCAAAGATTAGTTTGTTCAATGGTTATGAGAGAATCACGGATGAATCTTGGCAAACAACTCATCGTAAACTTTCAGAGTCGGACCAGAAAGAGATTAAAATGTACCTATACACCCTGGCAACGATTAACGAAAACAGGATATCGTAGAGTGTTGCCTCATTAACGTATTATCATTTAAACGGGGAAAGTTTTACCTAGTTATGATTTTCAAATATTCACCAGCAGCAAATCAGCATACAAAGAAGGTACTTTAACAAGAAACTGTTCCAACCACAGAGCCTGTTACTTCTATTGAAACATACGTTTTGCAATCTAACCACAACTCGCACTTTGTCTTCTCCTCGGTCACTCTCATGGATCTACCTCCAAAATGCCGTAAAGTCTCAAAGTGTTTCATCTCTAATGCTTTCGCCTTTTGCTCTTGACATTCTACAGAAGTAATTAGTCATCATTGCGGTTCGAACAAGTGGCTGATTACAAATATTGCAAGTCCTGGGAGATTTATCAACCAGACTAGTGGCTTAGCTCTTTATTACATACCATATGGTTGTACTCCGGCAAAACGCAACCCAAGCTGTGAACTGACTTCAACCTCTAACCATTTGATTGGCGATGTTTGTTTCCAGGACAAGTGAATCACACATATGGGGATATTTGCAATCGATACAGCTAAGCCGATTTACGGTTGCATTTCTAACCTATTATAAATAAATACACAAAGAAGGAGGTTACTTTTTGAGGACTTGAGTAGACTTGCAAAATCCATGACATTATTAGTGGGGGAATGAAATTTTTCGGGATCCCGGCCCGCGAGATGTCAACCCCCCACCGATCGTTTGTCCTCCATCGAAAAATAACAGAAAAATATTTTTAATTGCCCTGTTGCCTTATTGCTTACTAAGGCTTTTCATTGTTATTTAACCCAGCAAAAATTCCTCTAAACTTGACGGCTCAGCCCTATCCTTAACCACACCAAACATGGCCGAAGAGTTGGAGTTACAAAAAACCAAAGAAACGCAAGAGAATGTTTCTCTCCATTCTACTGACGTCGTTGAAGAACCAGAACAACAAATAGACAGAATCGAGTCGCAAAAGGAAGATGATCCATTCTTGGTTAAGTTTGATGGAACAGACGACAAGGAAGACGCTTCCAGATTATCCCGATTGCACAAGTGGTCTATTGTCGGTATAATATCCTTTGGTTCCTTATGTGTGACATGCATATCGTCCTCGTGGTCATTGGCATCACCTCAAATCATGAAGCATTTTCATATCAGCCATGAAGTAAGCACACTAGGTATATCGTTGTATATCTGGGGATTAGGAACCGGTGGGATCTTCTTGTCACCTATAAGCGAGTTCCATGGAAGAAGATTGGTGTATATATTTGGGATCTTAATCACCATCTTGTTTGAATTGGTGACCACATTCAGTGATAACATTGGTGCCATGTTGTTTGGAAGATTCATGAGTGGGTTTGCCGGGCTGAGTTTCATGAGTGTTGCCTCAGGGTCTTTTGCTGATTTGTTCAAGGCCAACAAGGCTCATGATGGGAAAAAAGATGCCAATAAGGAATTGGCTCTTGCTATGGTGTTGTATTCTGTGTCTCCATTTGTTGGCCCAGGTTTAGGACCGTTGATTTCTGGGTTCATAAACAGTTCCATGAACTTCATATGGACATTTATTGTGTTGCTACTTTGGTCCGCATTATTGTTAATATTGGTCATCTTCTTTGTTCCCGAAACCTATGAACCAATCAACTTAAAGAGAAAAGCCAAGCGATTGAGAAAACAAACCGGCGATGATAGATACTACGCACCTATTGATAAAACAGAAATCACATTATACCATAGTGTAGTGATATCGTCCAAAAGACCAATCTTGTTAATATTCCGAGACAATATGACCATGGTGTTGTGTTTCTACACGGGGTTCACTTTGGCTGTGGTGTACATGTTTTTTGTGGCATTTCCATTTATTTTCCAAACTGTGTACAATTTCTCGTTAAGCGAACAAGGTATGTCGTTCTTGGGGTTGGTGGTGGGTATGATTCTGACGTGTCTCATCTCGCCGTACTTTATTGATAAATTGTATTTGAAACTACTCCATCGAAACAACGGGGTGTCCAAACCCGAATTTAGGTTCATCCCACTTATGATTGGAGTTTTTATTGTTCCTATTGGGTTATTCATAATTGCGTGGACCGCATACCCCAGTGTCCATTGGATTGCACCCATTATCGGGTCAGCCGTGTACGGATGTGGTACTATCCTCGTGTTTAATGGAATATTCGCATACACAGTTGAGGCATACAGGTTATACGCTGCATCGGCCATGGCCACCAATTCATTCATCAGATCCATCATGTCGGGTGTGTTCCCGTTGTTTGGATTGCAAATGTATAAAGCCATGGGTATTCATTGGGCCACGACGTTGTTGGCCTTGTTTGCTGTGGTATTGATACCTATCCCATTTTTATTTTTCAAATATGGGGAATATTTAAGAAGCAAAAGTCCATATGCTTGGAGTACAGATTAATAGAGTAACGTATATTTAATAAAGTTAGATTTTGCAGTAATTGCTATTTTGACAGATTTGCGACCGATGCGACATTTTCGTACTGTGACATTTTTCCATGGAATTTCATAGAAAAAAAAAAAATAAAAAAAAAAAAACCCACAGGCTTTCAAATGGCAAATGTGAAAAAAAGTAAATTCACCCTATGTCAGCCTTCCCAGACTGTAAGACAACATGGTTGTACATAACCCAAACAACTGGTATGTATATGGCACATGCTCCTAGGGATAAGTCTTTACGTTCAGTCGTTGCTAACTCGCTACAGGCACTGGATAGACAAGAACTGTTTGCCTTGGTCCAAGGACTACTTCAATGAAAACATAATAAATACCAGTTTTGAAAATGAAAAGTACAAATTCATAGTCACCGCTATCGACTCAATCACGGGTGATTGTGATGTCACTCAAAGAAAGGGAAAGGTCTTGTGTATTTACGATTTAAAGGTTCAATTAACCGTTACTGGTGAAGTCAAACAGGAACAGAAAGACGAAGAAGCAGACGAAGAAGCAGACAAAGAAGCAGACGATTCAAAGAAGGTCCATGCCACTATAACCATTCCCGAGTTCGTCCATGACCAGGACGAAGACGAGTATGAATTTGAAATCAATACTGCCTTTTACAAAGACGAACTCAAGAAGTTCTTCATTCCTGTCTTGACTTCAAAGTTGGTCAAGTTCCAACCGGACTTACTTGAAGCTCACGCAAAGGACGTCCAACATGCCTCGGGATAATTGCTGTTTATAGACTGTTTAATAAAAAAAAAAACCCACTATTTAACTATCTATCCGTCAAATCCTTCAGGTACCCCAGCGGCGTGCTTGGTACTACCATCTCTTGAACCCAAGTAAATTTCAACTATTCCAGTATCATTAGTCTCGGGGGTTAAACTTAACCACGGTATTTGTCCTTGTTCAATTAATTTCAATAGTTTGTAAGTTTCAACTGAACTATAAGGTATACCTGTCGAAGGATCAAAATACTTGACTTCAGTACCGGAGATCATACATGTCTTTTTATTACCGTTAGGCAAGTAAATACCCGTAGGTGCCTCGGTAGTGATGTTGATCTCGGCCGATTCTTGTTCGACATCTTCTTCAATTGTTTCAACAACATCTTGCTTGATACCAAGTCGAGGCAATTTCTTTAATTCATCAAATATGGGGTTCTCTTCGGTTAATTTATCCACCAGTTCAAACAAATCATCCGATTCTTGTTTGACATGTGCATAAGGTTCAACCTTTCCGATATGTAAAATTGTCTTGACTTCTTTAAATCTTCTTGATGCCGGTAATAATGATTGTTTACCAAACAAAATAGATTTCAAGTTTTGGAAATTCAATCGTAATTCTCGTTTATCTTCGTTAAAATCAAGGAAGTAGAGGGTGTTACGACATACTCGCTGTGGTGGGCCCTCAAAAGTTTCATTGTTGGATGTATGTAGGGCAATTGGGGTTGGAGTAGGTGTTTCTTCCTTTTCAAGTTCAATTTCATCAGCGAATTTCACTCGCTTTTCTTCCTTAATTTCCGCGGTGGCTTCATCTTTGATTGTTTCATCGGTTTCAGGTTTAGGACTTTCTTTCTCCTTGTCTTGATCTTCGTTTGTAGGTTCTTCTTCATGAATAGTGTCTTTCTCTGTATTGATTTCTTCCTCGGCCTTATTTTGAGTGTCAGGGGAGAATTCTTCTTGTTGAACTTGTTCAGAAATAGGTTCAGGGATGATATCATCTTGTCCCTCTTTACCATCAAGACTAGGCGCTGATACTTGCTCTTTTATGATCTCCTCCTCTACGCCGGTAACTTCATCTGAAAGAAGAATAACTTCTTCTTTTTCGGTTGTAGCATTACCTTCAACCTTTATTTCAGTAGAAACCGACTCATTCTCTTCCATATTATCTATTTCATTTTCTGATTGTTCTGGTTTCACATCTACGTCGACTACCTCACTTTCCACAGGATGATCTACATCCATTTCACTAGGAATTGGTTCTTCCTTACTAGAAACATCCTGGCCATTATTGGCCTCTTCTGTGTCCCCTTCCAAAGCTTTTCTCTTCTCTTCCTCTTCTCGTTCCTTCTCCTCTTGTTCTTTCCGTATTCTTTCCTCTTCTTCCCTTTTCTCTCGTTCTTGCTTCACCAAGGGTAAATCCTGATCAATTTCAAATGGAGGTAAAACTAATAATTCTCCTTCTTCAGCCAATTGAGCCATTTTTTTCTTTCCCAATTTCCTTCTGCCTCTGACATTTCTCTCATACTCTTTTCTAGCCTGTTTAACTTCTTCAATTGGGTATATGAATGTTTCTTTACTTACTAATCGTATAATGTTTTGTAATTTAATTCGTTTCAGCAAGAGCAACTGACGTTGTTTCTCTTTCTTGACAATTTCCTGTTCTCTAAACCTCATTAAGGATTCAACATTGGCCTTCTCTGTTTCCAATGCTTCATCTAATCTTTCTTGCTGGGTCAATTCTCGACTTTTCTTTTTATGGACAGTTCTGGATAAGTACTTGGCTCGTCTTTCTTCACTTTCTTTTAATTTTTCAATCAAGGCATGCTTGCTTTCTACTGCAGCTGCACGAGAAGAAGATCTTCGTTGGGACATAAGCAACGAATCAGAAGTTATTAGAGGGGTTCTTTTTGGTTTCTTCTTGGGTGATTGGGTCTTGACGGTCTTTATTTCAGGAACAATCGCCCTTTTCTTTTTCAATTGTCGTTTCTTGATTCTCTCTTGCCGTTGTAATTCCTTCTCCCCTTCACTTTGATCAGAGTCCGATTCTGATAAATCTGAATCGGAAAACACATCATCTTGATCTTGGTCTTCCTCAGGATGTCGCCTTTTTCTGGAACCAGATTCCTCTTCTTCGTCTGCTTCTTCCTGTTGTTTACCTTCTTCCCCGTCGTCACCCTCTTCCTCCTCCTCCTCTTCTTCTTCTTCTTCCAGTTCTTCTATAAACTCTTCATCCTCACCTTCTACCTGGAATAACAAATTAACATTGTCATCATCTTCGGTTATGAATTGGGACGTATCTTCCAACCCTTGTTGTTCTTGTTCAATCAATTGTTTTAAACGAGACCCAGCATTGGCACGACGGGATCTTGTCGCTATTAGACTTTCTTCGTCCATGGTTGGTTATACTATGTGTATCTGTTGCTGATAGCTTCACAATGTACGACTTGTTGATGTATTGGCTATTGTACTGTGAAGAAAGAGCAAAGTTTTGCTATGTGTTTCTTGGCTGTTTGATTTCGCAAAGGAAAAACACAGAGGAATTTTTTAAGATTGGAATTTTCACCAAGCCGCCAACCATCTATACGACGACTGCAACGACGACAATAGGACAAATGTGGAGCAATCGAATGAAATTGAAACCGGCAATAGCACGCAATGTGCTAAGAACATCCACTAGGAACGTCCATAATGGCAGAACTCTCTCGCAAAAGGTTAATTTTACATCCACTTCCGAATCGGAGATGTCCCATTTCAATGCATTAGCATCAAGTTGGTGGGACGTCAATGGCCCACAACGAATTCTTCACAAAATGAACTTGTTACGTATGGACTTCATACACAGTACAATCCGCGAGAACCTCAAATTGAACCAACACGCTCAGAGCGAAGACGATTTGGTTTACATCCCTCCTTACAACGTCGACTTGTTGCCCAAGCCAATCAGAGACAATATTGTTGGTGAAATCGAAACTAGACGCGACGACTTGTTGAGTAATGCCAAGTACAATGTTCTTGATGTTGGCTGTGGTGGTGGTATACTTTCCGAATCTATGGCCAGATTACCATTCATCGGTCTGGTTAAAGGTATCGATTTATCCACGGATGTATTGGAAGCTGCAAAATTACATAAATTGAAAGACCCAATGTTGGCTACTAAGCTACAATACGAGTTAAGTACTATCGAGGAATTACCCGAGGACAAAAAGTACAATATAATTACGATGTTTGAGGTGTTGGAACATGTAGATTACCCTGCAAGAGTCTTGATTGAAGGATTAAAGAGATTAGACGTGGGGGGCTGGTTATTCATTTCCACGATTAATCGTGATTTCATTAGTTGGTTTACTACAATCTTTATGGGTGAATATTTATTAGGAATTGTCCCCGTTGGTACTCACAATTTAGAAAAGTATATCAATCAAACTGAAATTAAGGAATGGTTAAACGAATCACACGAAAGAAAGGAATCATTCAGAGTCGCTGATACTAAGGGATGTGTATACTTGCCTGCCTACGGTTGGACCTTCACTTCTTGTCCCGATGTTGGTAATTATTTCATGGCTATCCAAAGAGCAAAGTAATGTAAATTGTATATAGAGACACTAATTGGCAATCTTGGATGCTTCTTCTGGCTGCTCATCTATAAATGTAGGCAACTGCTCTGTGGTTGTGTCGGTCAAATAACTTGGCACACCAGCACCGGCTTCGGCCATTTCATTTTCAAACTCAATTTCTTCGCCTAGAGCTTCCAATTCAGCATCCAACTCACTTTCACTAATATCATCAGGCACGTCATAACTAGTCAGCAATGCATCTTGTAGTTCATTGGACTTTTCAATCAAGTCCAACATCTCATCTTGCAAATTTTCCAACTCGTCAATATCAATCTTACCATATGTTTGTTTCAATGCTTTATTTGTTGTCTTCATGGCATTTATAGTAACCATGGTGTTTTGTAAATTCTCAGTAGTCATTGACGCCTGGGTCATGTTCCAAGATTGATTCTCCAATTGATCCTTTTGTCCTTCAATCTGTTTTCTTTGTCGTAAAAGCTTAAGAGCTTTCTGCTTCAACGCTGACTTCCCAGGACCGTCCTTCATGCGCGAGAGTTTCTGTTGATATGTGGACAATTCTGAGTTTATCTTGGTCAATTTGACATCAAGTGAACCCACTCGGTCATCTATTCCCTTGATGGCATCATTTAGCGATGGTTTAGGTGCGGTGTTCTTGGTTCCAAATAATCTGTTCATGGTTTGTTGATGTTGCCAAATTTGCCTCCAGAAGTATCACCGCTTTTTTTTTTAACATTAGTGAGATTTCAACCCCCCATCCTCCAGATCTGTTTCCACTACAAGACAATTCATAAGCGTTGATTGCAATTCCCATTTAAGAATAGCCTAACTCAGAATGCCAGAAGTTGCAGAAGTATGTACATAGTTTCTAATATCCGCATGGTACTATTACTAACGTTGTCAGGTCGCACACGTTTGTGCCCAATTACGAAGAAATATTCTTGGCCATAGAATCAAATCAGTCCTAGCATCAAACGATCCCCTCATATTCCCATTCTTAAAGCTTTCCACTGATCCCGATAAAGAATTGTCCACGTTTCAAAACGCATTGACTGGCTGTTCAGTATCTAGCATTGGTCGACATGGGAAATACTTTTGGATGAGATTGCAACCTCGTGATAAACTGAGTTTGGTGTTGTTGATGCATTTCGGAATGACTGGGATGGTCAAATTACGAAACATAAATTCCCATTTGATTTTTATGGAAAATGGTGGTGATAAGAAACGATTAGACAAGTTGAAACAAACAGAAAAGGAACCAAGTGTTGCAGATGAGGAAGTCACTTGGCCACCTAAATTTACAAAATTTGAAATGACTTTCGAAGATGGTGACAATCAAGTGGAGTTTGCATTTGTTGACCCGAGAAGACTTGCCCGGATTCGACTTCTCACTGGAGATTCCATACAAAATGACTTAGATTTGCTAAACCACCCCCCTCTCGACGTGTTAGGACCCGATTATAGTAAACCGCGAGAACTACTTAAACAAGAGCAATTCACAATGGGAGACCCTGATCCCGACAATCATGGTCGACCACGACTTACACTTGCAGAATTTAACAAATTGATCTTGACCAAGAAAAAACCCATCAAGAGTTTATTACTAGATCAAAATTGTTTTGCTGGGGTGGGGAACTGGGTAGCTGATGAAATCTTATTCAATGCCCGCATACATCCTGCAGAAGTTATATCCAACAAAATAGACAATGTCACTACTATCCATCCAGTTATAGAACGATTATATGAAAATCTTGTATATGTTTGTGAAACAGCAGTCAAAGTCGAAGGAAATGTTGATCATTTCCCCAAGCACTGGCTTATGCTTCATAGATGGGGCAAATCAAGGAAAAAGGAAAAACCAAAAACTAACGACGGCTATCTTTTAGATTATGTCACTGTTGGGGGAAGGACTAGTTGTTATAGCCCCGAATTGCAGAAAATGTTGAAGCAAGATCTGAAAATAAAAGCTACAACTGACAAACAAAAGGTCAAGAAAAGAAAGATAAAGGTTAAAGAAGAAGAAGAAGAAGAACCCTATTAATGTTCAAGATGTTTTTTTTTTTACCAGAAATCTGTTTTGACCAGTAGCTAAAACAAAGACAAACCCCACAGTGCTGTTTCTATTACAGTTTCCCCAAGGTTCTTCAAAAGAATGCTATATTTGGTCATTGGGTAATATTTGAGTTCTCCAGGGAAGGAATCGAGAGCTTGTTTAATTGAAACCAAGAACTGTATATGGCAATATAACTTTAAAAAGCTTAACACCAATTTTAAAATGAATCTCAAGATATAAGCAAAAATCTTGCTCTTATTGTCCTTTTTTTGTTCATGAAAAACGATAGTTTGCACTAGATATTAAGTTTAAATATTATACATATTAGTTAACATCTAGCAAGACTATAAAATTTGTTGGTCAATTCCATGATTCTATAACAAGTTCATCCTTAGAATCAATTTGGAAATGCTTCATTTGAATTCAAATACGTTTAATATTAACCAATCCATTTCCATGATCTAGAAACAGTTCAACCTCCATCCTTTGTTCCTACTCTTCTTCATTGTCTTCCATTTTATAAACGGGCTTGAATTCTTTCAACCCCTTCAATTTTGGAGTGAGATCTATTTGTTTTATTAAGATACACAATAAATTGAACATTAATAAACTGATTATATTCTTTCACGTTGGAATGTATAGATATTGGATTGAACGTATTAAAAGCTTATAACCTTCAATAAAAATTGTTATTGAACATCAATTCAATATGAAAGAGATTAGGAATTTCATAGACAGGAATGAGCTGTATGCTCCTAATAGGACAATCAATATTTCTGAACCAAATTATTCAATTAGAAAATTGATTATTCATTTGACATCCAAGAGCCTGAACAGCTTAAAGATAATTCCAAATTTGGTTAATTTGGAATGATTAGATATTGTTAAAGGAACTCCAGATATGTTTGTTAAATTTAAAAAATGACAGTATGCAAAATCTAAAAGTCAAGACTTTGTCCATAGGGTTAAGGTTTTGGTTACAGAAAAACACTCGATAAAGAGATGATAGAAGCTTTTCAATTAGGGAAGATAACTATACTTGAACTCAAATCCAATGAATTAGATAGGAAATCATACCTATACGAATCATCATTGGTAAGACTTGCTCGTCATCCTGGTAAACTTAACATTTCACTCTCATAATTTTTTAAAAAAAAATTCAATTTAGTACCATGACTGATAACTTCAAACCGAACACTATTGAAGGCTTATACTTGTATATTTATCAATTCCCTTCTGCTTACACCGGATCCGAATAGAGAGAGCTTCTTTATAACAAAGAGTCACTATCTAGATTATCCTGGTTCTTTTCCACTAGTAGAGTTAGATATATCAAATGTGGTTGGAAAGAGTTCTGTTGAGTTTACAAAAAGACAAGCTTTCACATTCTAAGGGGATCAAGAGGTCATAAAAAGAATTATTTACAAAGTAGCCAAGAAGATGATCTTAGAAACAAGAACATTAAAACAATTTGGGGATTGGCTAGAAGATGGAATCAAGTATCTCCAATTGCAACATGTTATTCATGATGTGAAACATTTAGTAATTGAAAAATCCGAAATAGACGTTCTTGAAGTAACAGAGGTAAATTAGAATTGTGTATAGCAAATTGTATCAAATAATTGAGTTTTAAACATATTATCGGAATATAAGAACAAGTCATTTATGGCAACCATTCTTTTATTGAACGATTCAAGCTGGGTGATGACGCAAAAGAACCATGGAACAAATTATGCTCGCCTCCTATTTTTTTTTGCAACATTTATTGTTAATCGAGAATTAATTTCGGTATGGTTATCCGTAGTATTTTTGCGATTATTTATTTTGCATACAATTACTCGCACAGGGTTCATCATTGCTGGTGATACAAGCAAGGCGTTAAATCTATTAATAGCTGACACACCCACACGATATCAACAAAATTCCCCTCCTCATTCTCTCCTGTTGACGCGCATCTCCGAATCTTTTGGGATTTTCCGTTGGGTAAACAATTGACATATTATTTTTTAATTTCTTTTTTTTTGTTCTTGAAACACTGCAGCCGGAAAAATACGCTCACTGGCTAAAATTACCCGACATGATCCGAATTGCGGCGCGTCTAACTTCCAATTTGTTCTAGACTTGCGGCGGTTAGAACCATCAGGGGCCGATAGTTTCACGTTACGCCGTTCTTTTTGTTTTCTTTGCAATATTGATTAGTTTTATTTAGAGGATGGTGGCGAGTACGAGACGATTATATCATGCAAATCCCAAAAAGGTTATCAGGTAAACGAGAATAAACTGTCAAATCCGGATTGTTCCTTAGCGTTCTTTGTTTCAAGCAACACTAAAAATTTCCCCTCCTCATCACCCTGCCTTAGGTCCGCCCCTCATTTCCCCCAAAAGCCCAGTTGAAAACAATAGAAAGAAAAAAATCGCTTTATCGGCACTTTAAATAAATTGCCTTGGGAAAAAAGTGTTGTTTGTGCGACAAATTGCGTGTTAGTGTGGATTTATCCGCCTGTACTTATAAAGTACATACAGTTTTTATTGTTCTTTCCCCTCAAACTTTTTTTTTTATGTTAGGAAAAACACGGAATGACAAGTAATTTCCGAGGGTGTATTTGGCTTGTACTCACGTGAGTGAAATTTTTTTTATATTTCGTCATACCAACAAATGTGTGGGAATATTGATGGAGTAGAGAATGTGGCTATCGGGGAACAGGTGGAGGGGGGGGGAGAGAGAGAGGGGATATAAGGCAATTTTACTACGGATTATTTGTTGGGGTTATTGGCTGCATAAAATGTTGTATGTTGTGTCATTGACACGTCAAAAGATACCAAAAGAAATTAGAAAGAGGAAATATTTTCTTGGTGGGGAACAGTACTTTGTTACATAGTGGTATCTGCTGTGGGTTAACTAATTAACAGCTGGTTTTAATTACTGCGGATACATTGATCCAGGATTATATCGGAAGAGTAGGGTAAAGCCCCAAGTCGGAACTGGTTTTGTACAATGAACTGGCGTGCAAGCGAAGTAACCAAAAAAAAAGTTGCGCAAAACGAATTAACAATTCCGTAATAGGAATTGCGGATATCGGGATCGATATCCTTTATCGAAAAATGTGTTGACAAATATCTAGATGATGCGAGTGCGGGCTTACGGACATGTTTCATAGTTTTATATATAAACTGAAGAAATCCTCCAACTTGAAATTTTTTCAATTGACATAAATTGTCTATTTTAAACTTTGTTTTTGTTGTTGCCTTCCGTTGCAAAGTTTCTTTTTCATCTCCCCCCCTTAATAAAATTTCAACTTAAACGTGTGTGGTGTTACTATACTGACATTTTTTTTTTTGAACCACGCCTTTTGTATTATTTATTCACTTGCATAATAATTTCCATCGAAGAAGTTACCAGAAAGTTTTACCATCGTTTTAATAACATTTCCAAACCAACAACAGACAGACAAATAATTCAATCATGCTAAAATTTAAAGTACAAATCCGGTTAGCTAGTACCGCTGCCTCCGTTGGTAAGCATACTTCAGTTCATACTCATACAATTAAGACCCCAGTTGATATTCGGGCTGCTATCGCTACATTAAAACCTAAAACCACAAGATTGTCAATTGAAGGACCAATTGAGTGTGATTTGCAAGGGTTTTCTCTTTTAAATTCTCCAATTTTCAATAAAGGTTCTGCATTTACTCAAGAAGAAAGAAAAGCCTTTGGATTGGAGGGTTTATTACCAAGACAAATTAACACTTTGGATGAACAAGTTGAAAGAGCTTATCGTCAATTTTGTTTCTTAAAGACTCCATTGGCTAAAAATGATTTTTTAACCAGTATGAGAATACAAAATAAAGTGTTGTACTATGAATTGGTTAGAAATCACATTAGAGAAATGTTACCAATTATTTACACTCCTACTGAAGGGGATGCTATTGCTGCATATTCACATAGATTCAGGAAACCAGAAGGTTGTTTCTTGGATATAAATGATCCAGATAGCATTGATACTAGATTGAGTGCTTATGGTGAAGATAAAGATATTGATTATATTGTTGTTTCTGATGGTGAAGGTATTTTAGGTATCGGAGATCAAGGTGTTGGTGGTATCAGAATCGCTATTGCCAAGTTAGGGTTAATGACTCTTTGTGGTGGTATCCATCCTGGTAGAGTTTTACCAATTGTACTTGATGTTGGTACCAATAATAAGAAATTATTGAATGATGATCTTTATATGGGAAATAAAATGGATAGAGTTAGAGGAGACCAATATTGGGATTTCATTGACAAGTTTATCCAAGCTGTCAAGAAGAGATTCCCAAGTGCCGTTTTACATTATGAAGATTTTGGGGTAAGTACAGGAAGACCAATGTTATACAAATATAGAGAAGAACTTCCTTCATTCAATGATGATATTCAAGGTACTGGTGCCGTTGTTATGGCTTCCATGACTGCTGCTTTACAATTTTCTAATCGTGACTTGCTTGATGCACAAATTGTTATCTATGGTGCTGGTTCTGCTGGTTTAGGTATAGCCGATCAAATTGTTAACCATATGGTTTCTCACGGTTCAACCGTCGAAGAAGCAAGATCAAGAATTCACTGTATGGATAGATATGGTTTAATTTTGGATAATTCCACTACCGGCAGTGAAGCTCAAATGAGATATGCCGACCCTGCATCTGAATGGGAAGGTGTAAATACCGCTAGTTTAGTTGATGTTATTGCTAAAGTTAAGCCTACCACTTTAGTTGGATGTTCAACTCAAGCTGGTGCTTTTGATGAAACTGTTATCAAGGAAATGTATAAGCACAACAAACAGCCAATTGTTTTCCCATTATCAAACCCAACCAGATTACATGAAGCTGTTCCAGTTGATATTATGAGATGGACCGATAACAATGCATTAATTGCTACTGGATCTCCATTTGAACCAGTTGATGGTTACTATATTTCTGAAAATAACAACTGTTTCACATTCCCAGGTATTGGGTTAGGTGCAGTATTGTCAAGATGTACTACTATTAGTGATACTATGGTTTCTGCTGCCGTTGATAAGTTGGCATCATTATCTCCAAAGATGAAAAACCCAAAGAATGGGTTATTACCAAGATTAGAAGAAATCGATGAAGTTAGTGCTCATGTTGCTGCTGCTGTTATTTTGCAAAGTTTAGAAGAAGGTACTGCTAGAGTTGAAAATGAAAGACGTCCAGACGGTGGATTTGTTAGTGTTCCTCGTGAATTCAATGCTTGTCTTAAATGGGTTCAATCACAAATGTGGAAGCCAGTTTATAGACCATTGGTTAAGGTGGAACATGTACCAGAAATCCATACTTATCAATATTAAGTTTATAGACTATAAAATTCAGTGCATAAAGTTTTTTAATACGAAATTTATTTATTAATAGCTAAGCTTATTGTAGTAGAAAACTGTTCTTGTGCATCGGCTTGTTCTTTTAAAATTCATGATTCATTAAGGCACAGGATCAATTGTCTGTGCATGTACAATTTCAGGAACTGTTCAAAGTAGTCAAACGGCAAACTTAGCTCTTGTAACTTTATCAAGTTAAGGACTTTACATGAAAGACTTAGACCCAGTTGCTCTGAGCCCTGACCATTCAACTCGCATACACTTGAAATTTTCTAGGTTATAATATACATAATCTTCAGATAATCGAATTTGAGCAAAAATATACTGATAATTTAACAAGATTGAGCCGGATCTATAACCCGAGTGGTATTTCGATAAAAGAAGTAAAAATGAGGTACAGTCTTGCAAATCAAATTAAAATTTTCAACCGAGTTAGATACGGAACTATTTTTAAAATTGCAATAAAGATGCAAAGTTTTCTAATACAATTACACTTGTTCTAAACTATTTACGATATTTGCAATAATTAAAATATGTTATTTACAAACATTACAGATATGCTTCCTCGGACATTAGAAAGCTTGTTTAAAAAGTAATAGCACGTTTAATCTGGATACCACCAGTAAAAGCTCGGCAATTTGAATTAGAAACGACAAATCTCGGAGTTGGTTCTCGGACATTAAACCTAATCCACAAATAATAATTCTTGCATAAAGCTTTTTTGATGTTGTATTTATTAATGTGGGGTCGATGGTAATTTGGTAGCGCCAAACGCCTTGTTTTGGCCAATGAAAATTGTCTGTTGCAAACAAAATAACTAGAATGCCCCTCGTTGTCTGTTGAGTGTTCCCAAAAAAATAAAAGAATCGGATATTAAAAAATATATTTTTTTTTTTTTAACTCTGATAAAATTTCCAACGATCACTGCGAAACATTTTTGAAAAATCTTGAACCTTCCTTTCTTCCTTCTTCTTTTACTGATTGAATCATCTACAAACATGTCTGTCGAAGAACTCAAACAAACCGTTCACAAATTGCAAGAACGTATCCAACAATTGGAAAAGAAAGCTGGTCTTATCCCAGAAGTTCCAGAATCCATTCGTATGGTTCTTATTGGTCCTCCAGGTGCTGGTAAGGGTACTCAAGCTCCAAACTTGCGTGACAAATTCTGTGCTTGTCATTTAGCCACTGGTGATATGTTACGTGCTCAAGTTGCTGCCAAGACTGCCCTTGGTGTTGAAGCTAAGAAGATTATGGACCAAGGTGGATTAGTCTCTGATGAAATCATGGTCAATATGATCAAGAGTGAATTGGAAAACAACAAGGAATGTTCTCAAGGTTTCATTTTGGATGGTTTCCCAAGAACCATTCCTCAAGCTGAAAAGTTGGATGATATGTTGAAGGAAAGAAAGACTCCTTTACAAAGTGCTGTTGAATTGAAGATTGACGATGAATTATTAGTTGCCAGAATTACTGGTAGATTAGTCCATCCTGCCTCTGGTAGATCCTACCACAAGTTGTTCAACCCACCAAAGAAGGAAATGACTGATGATCTTACTGGTGAACCATTGGTTCAAAGATCTGACGATAACGAAGAAGCTTTAAAGAAGAGATTGATCACTTACCACAAGCAAACCGAACCAATTGTTGACTACTATACCAAGACTGGTATCTGGCATGGTGTTGATGCTTCCCAAAAGCCAGCCAAGGTTTGGGATGACATCTTAAAATGTTTGGGTCAAAAATAAATTAGGTAAATTTTCTTGTATTTAAAAAAAAAATAAAAGGTATATATGTGAATACAGTATATATTATGCTAATTTACCTCGTTTTCTAGTATTACCATCCTCAGTATCTGTTGCTCTCTTTCTATCGTTGAAACAAGTAATATGGACAATCTTTCGTAAGTTCTTGGAGTCATTTGGACTCTTTATACATCCCATCCAACACCACTCCCCAATTTCATCATTATAACTAGCCTTGACTTGTTCTAAACAGATCAAACATTTATTATTCATATTGGTATCGGCTGAAGGAACAACCACATATGGAACAACTCCACTCGGTATATTCGAATTGATTGTTGCAGTTTGAGCCACTTCAGGAGTAGCAAATTCCAACAATTGCTCATCTTTGAAGTTAGCCCAATCGTAATCATCCAAGTACCAGCTTCTGGATTGAACGTTGGATACAACGCCCCCACCAGTTCCAGTTGCACCAGAACCCGTACCTGTTAATTTCTTATTGATTCTAAAATGCCAATCCAAATGAAGACGTTTCTTGGTGGATCCTTCTTGATCAGTACTAAATCTTTTACCACAAATTGAACATTTGCTGGCTTTGGAATTGTACAAAAGTTGAACTGAGGAATGACTAGGTTTATTTGTATTTATGAATTTTTGTAAGCTGTTATCATCACCGCTGATAGCTTTGGAAATTTGAACCAATTCCCCAAATTTCAACTTTTGATATTCAGATCGTTGAATGTTGCTGTTAGGATTAAGGATATCGGCAAGCACATCAACTCCTGGAATTTCTGTTTTAGGAACATATTTAATAGTAGGGAATACTAATGTATAATTAGGTTTTGAACCTGGAATTGGTTCTTGTTCTTTCTTGACTAGACCCGAGAGAATAAGGTCGTTAAATATTTGACTGGCATTTACTATTGGTTGAAGAGGTTGTGGAGGCTGTTGCTGTTGCTGTTGATGTTGTTGGTGGATTACTGGTTTTGGAGGTATAGGAGGTAAGGATGGCGGCGCAGGTGACAATTCTTGTTCCTTAATTGCATTAAGTTGATTCTGAACTGCTTGTAATTCTTGTGGTTTCATTTGTTGGTTAGTCAAGATAATTTTTAATTGGTTTAACGCCCTGAATTTATCATTGAGTTTAGAATCATTAGTACGTTTAAGTTTAGCTTCAAATATTGGAATTAATTGGTTGATATCAGAAATTAACTTACTATTACTAAGCACTGGACCCAGTTGACTCTTTTGCAGTTGTGATTGTGTAGGTGCTGATGTAAGTTTCCCCACTTTCTTTAAAAACCCTTCAACTTTATCCAATTGGTCTCTGGGGAACAACAGCTCACCACCACCTCTAACTTTCAGAATTTTCCAAGTCTCAAATAATGCCACTAATCTAGTTCTTGTAGCTTCATCAACCACTTTCCATACATCAATAAACAAATTATAGACATCATATCCTACAAGAATATTATAAGGATTACCCACGGTTTTGCAAATTGAGTCAAGCAAATATAATGCAAATAGTTTATGTTGAGGAATTGCCCGGCGGATTCTTTGTGTTATTAAGTCTATGATACCATCGGCCACCGTGGGATTCTCCTTGGCTATTGTGGTTAATGTTTCTATTATGGGACGGGAGTTGAATGTGAGCTCACTAAGTGTTTGCTGGTACGATTCGAGGATATCTGACATGATGCTGTAAGTAAGATAGTTTGTACGATGGATTTTTTTATGTTGACTTTTTTTTCTGTGTAGAAATCTTGACTGGTTGTAAAAATGGCTGTCCAAGACAAGGGGCTCTAAGGAAGACAGCATATACTTATTGGTGAAAACCTTTTAATATACAACTGGTAGTATTGCAACTTAAGAAACACTTTAATAAGTTAGGATGTAAATAATTGTGAATGAATAGTTGTTGGGTACTTACCACTACTTCATACGCGGACCCTCCTCTATTTGGGTTTAGAATGTCCATGAAAATGAACAGACTTCATCGCAAAGTTGTTACAAAAAGTCAACTTGGAACAACAATGTAAACAAAGAGATTTCACTAGGGACAATAACACTTGTAGTTACAACACAGCCCCCCTCTACGCTTCATTTATATAAATTTCATCGCTTGCAAAAAAAAAAAAGTTAGAGATTATTCACACTTTTCTTTACATCATGTCCCAAATCACAAATGAACTGCATTATAAACCAGAAGAGCCTCCACAATATAGTCCAGACTCAGAGTCAGATCAGGAATCACAAATACTGAATCTACAACGACAAAGTGGGAACGATAATCAATGCAGTACTGTATGTACCGATTTATGTTGTGGTGGCTGTTTTGGCTGCTGCCTGGAACAAACTTGTATGCGATCAGATAAAGATATGTTTGGCAGTATATTAGCAGTATTATGTTGTGGGACTGCTGCTGGGTTAGCAGTGCCGACGTAGTACGATGACAGATCAGAGTATGTTGTGAACAAGCAGGGCTGTGCTGGTTGCTAGAAAATCGCGTGCAAAAAATCTTACGTCCTTCTACAAGAAAAACTTGTCCATTTTATTATATTATACTATCATGATTATCAACTGGAGCTACATTGTTTCATTATGGTAATTACAATAGGTATGTTATATAAAAGCTTCCATGAAAGAAAATAATAGAGAATCTCGAGACGGCTGGAGATCTTGTCAAGTTAGATCGCTATTTTTTTTCTATTCTTGTAAGACAGAAAGAGATGACAGATAACGTTGAATGACATCCACACGGTAATTAATAAATATAGTAAAACAACAAAATAAATAAATAGAGGAATCCTTTTTATATCAAGGATTTTATTCCCACAAACCATACTCAACTTGTAATAATATTTTAGCATATCCTGTTAAAGCTCACTCCTATGTAAGCTTGAAATTAGTTCTTCCCAAATAGGCAATCGCTCCTATCAAAAATTTTCTTAACCGCGATGTTGACTCACCGAGGTTTTTTTTTTTCCAAACTCCATAAAAAAAATTTTCACACCTGTTTCCTCTTGATCTTGCAAAAACACACAACAAACAATGTCCCCAAGTGCCCACTCCTCTTCTGATAAGAAGCAATCTGGATCTGCTCGTGTTCTCGGTTCTGCTGCTGCCGGGATCTGTGAAATTGCCGTTTTCCATCCTGTTGACACTGTCTCCAAGAGATTAATGTCTAACCATGGTAGTATTAAATCTGCTGCTCATTTAAATCAAGTTATTTTCCGTGACGCTGCCGAACAAGCTTTAGGTAAGAGATTATTTACCTTGTTCCCAGGTTTAGGATACGCTGCTTGTTACAAGATCTTGCAACGTGTTTATAAATACGGTGGTCAACCATTTGCTAATGAATTCTTGAGTAAGAACTTTAAAGATTCTTTTGATGATGCATTTGGTCCAAAGAATGGTAAGGCTTTGATGTCTGCCACTGCTGGTTCTCTTATTGGTATCGGTGAAATCGTCTTGTTACCATTAGATGTCTTGAAGATTAAACGTCAAACAAACCCAGAAGCATTCAAGGGTAGAGGATTTACCAAGATTATTGCTGATGAAGGTTTTGGATTATATAGAGGTTGGGGATGGACTGCTGCCCGTAATGCACCAGGTTCTTTCGCTTTGTTCGGGGGTAACTCCTTTGCCAAGGAATATATCTTTGGATTAAAGGATTATTCTCAAGCTACTTGGACTCAAAACTTCATCACTTCTATCTTTGGTGCTTCCGCTTCTTTGATTGTTAGTGCTCCACTTGATGTTATCAAGACCAGAATTCAAAATAAAAACTTTAACGATGCTCAATCCGGGTTCACCATTTTGAAAAATATGGTTAAGCATGAAGGTTTCAGTGCTTTCTTCAAAGGATTAACCCCAAAGTTGTTGACCACTGGTCCTAAGTTGGTCTTCTCATTTGCATTGGCTCAAAGTTTGATTCCTGCTTTTGATAAGTTGTTGAGTGGAAGTAAATAGATGTTCTTGTATATAAAAAATTTTGTCTATAGAAATAAACTTTAGATTATGTTAAAAATCCTGGCTGCGAAAAACGAAATTTTCACAATTTGAAAAACAATCAATTTCAACAATTAAGACATGACATGTTTCTTCCTATTAGGAAATCAATACATTGACCTTTTTGGATGTACGACAACTGGAACGTAACTAGCAGCAATCACCCAAAGCAATCATCATTTAGCGGTTCTTAAACCAACGTTTGTTGACATCACAACCTGATAGTTTGATTGATTACACGAGGATTAATGGATATTTGGTATGATAATCTTATTACTAATGTCGGACCCAGGAAATCTCTTCCCAAACTTATCCCAATTTCTTGTATAATACCCCGTAGGTTAAAACCACTAAGATTAAAATCCTTTAGGTTAAACCTCCCCCATCATTACAGTCATATCGGAATACACACAGCTAAATCATCCCTTCTTCCGAGATCAAGGTTGCTACCCTGTCACTAGTGCATAAACGAGAGGATGCGCCGTTTATTATTTCAAACTTGCTATCGTACGGCTATGCCAAGTGTCAGCAATGTTCCACGGGTATTGGCGGTTTTTTAGTGCAGGGGGGGAACTAAGCATTGTTGATTGATTGAGTGCCTAGACTTGATTTGAGATGTGTCATTAGAAGTTGACTAATGAATGGAATTGAAGACTTTAGATGGTGAAAATTTGTGAATGTATAATATCTACCGGGGTTTGATATTTATAAACCCGAGCCAGTATCTTCGGAAAATAATGTTAAATATTTTCTGCCTTACTAATCATATGCAACGGTTCGGTAATAGCGCCTACAATGTGTCTTATTATTCATCAAAACCAAGAAATAAACAGTAATACCAGCCACAACCAAGGTAAGACCCTGTCTTAACAATATTCAGTTGTGATATCAAAATAGTATACATGTAAGTTACGCCCCTAGGTAACTGGCCACGGAAACAATTGCCTTACAAGGCACCAAATTCCAATGAAAGTACTCCCCGCATGATCCTTCCCAAATAGGTAATTTAATAGAGTCTGGCCCCGTTAGTGGCTGTGATGTAATCAAAAGAAAAACAAAAAAAAAACGTGGTTGCTACGGGAACCATGCTTAGAAATCATCAATTAATTTTACAAACTATAAAACCCCTTAGCTAAGAGCCGTTTACTTGCATCCAATGTCAACAATATAACAGTAGACAAAAATGAAGATAATACTATGGTTTATATATCTTATCAAGATCAATCTCCTACAAATGATAGTTCATGGGTCAAGAAACCCTTCGCTAACTATACAATATATCGACAGTTCAATATTTGAAGCATCACGATGCACTCCTGAACTGGAAAACTATTCTGCTGATAGAGCTTGGGCTAATAATTTGACTGATGTGCCGGTAATGCCTGAGTTTGTATGATTATTATTTTTAGATATAGATGTTTTATTTATGGTTATTGTGTATAGGATTTTTAAATGTATAATGGTTTTTATTGGTGTAAGTTTTGTACACCGAATTGATTATAATATCCCAACTTCTGGATACCAGGAACCTCTTTAACCCATCGTCTTCTAGTCATGATTTTGTCGAGTTCATCAATGGTAGTTTTATTCTCAACAAGACACAATCTAAATACCGCTTCTGACTTCTTCTTATCCCGTTGCAACTTTTCACTAACCCGTTCACGTAATCCACCATTTGAATTGGCGATATTCATGGCACTCTTTAGTAAGTTCTTGACATTTTGTAAAAGAACATCTCGGTTTCTTTCCGATGCCTCTAAACCTGAAATTGAGCTTCGTTGTAATTCAATATCAGCACGAGCAATCATTATTTCACTTAGTTGACAAATCAACGTTCCCAATCCTTGTTCAATACCTGATGGGACTTTCTTTCTTGCAATATATGTCTCATTCAATATTTCTTGGGCACGTTTTAATAATTGCGATTGTTGGGAAAGACATTTCCAAAATAGTTCCTTGTCTTGGCCAATCGCAATATCGTTTCTTTCAATTATGGTTTGGATATTGTCCGATGCAATCATGTATCGTTCAGCCACATCGGGGAGCTCGGAGTTCAGCCATATTTCAAGCACATGGTTGACATCACTTGATAACCCAACAAGAACAGTTTTATTAAGAACCAATTGATTAATTTGCTCTTGAGATATGTTGGCCAACATTTCATTCTTACTTGGTGAATTATCACTGAATTTTTCAATAAGGCCTTGTGATAATCTATCAGTTGTTTCAAGCAATGGCAATATTATAGTATTTACTTGAATTAAATGTTGCTCGTTGGTAACATTTTCATACAATGCTTCAATAGCCTTGTAGGATGCAATCACAGTTTCGTATAGATCGACCGGTTGGACAATTTCTTCGCTGACTAGTTCTTCTTGCTTTTCTGCTTCGCTTGAAGTATGAGTAACTTGAACAGAAGAAGAAACAGGATTAATCTGGGTCAATTCATTAACAAAGTTTTCCAACTCGGTCACTTGTGCCTCCATTAATGTCAATAAAATCTCCTTAATCTTCAAGAATATGTCAATCAAGTAATTAAAATCACTATCGGGGTTTTCTTGTTCAACTTCCACCAACTCAGTGTATACTACCGCAGTATTAAACAACAAATCAAATGGAATCTTCTTACCTAATGATCTAGCAATTTGCATAGCTTGTTCGTGGGCATTTACAATATTAGGTAATTCTTGAGCCACACTTGGTCGAGCATTGAAGACTTCATCCACATTAGTCAAATCTTCCACATCTATCCCATCGCCATGTTTGAAGTATGTCGAATAAACCAGAAACAATAATCTTGCTGAATTGTAATAAGAGTCAAGCAATGAATCATCTGTGGGAGTTGACAACTCAATTGACTTCAAATACGAACTGTATGCCTTTTGATAAAAGCGTAATGATTTAGATAAGTCAGAACCCAACCAACGATCACCACTTTCTTCATCTATTGAGCCTTGTACGAGAAAATCTTCTGCTGTAACAGGATCAGGCTGTGGCTCTTCACTGTCTCCTTTCAGTAACTGTTGCAGTTTTTTGAGTAAATTTTCCGCTCTTTTCCCGAATTTAGGATTACCTTCTAGGAAGAGAGTTAGTAATTGATTATATCCCTGAGTGATTGACTACAATTTACGTACTTTTCATTTCTTGGCTAGTACCTGTAAAGATATTAAGTTAGAAACTCCAAGCCGGATTTTTTGAAGTTCAATCCGCGCAGACCATAACCCGAGCTACCAAATGAAATGAAGATACAACAACATACATCCAAGTTGTCCCTTCCAAGACGCTAAAATATAAATATTAATATTAGTATGGTTTGATTCAACGGTAAGACTATAGTGGCAAGTAATAGTGTGGGTTTCAGAATTCAGCTGTCAAACGCGAAGAAGCTGTCATTTTATTGTTGCCATATCAAACACGTAATTTCACAACTGTAATTTCAGACTACAGCGGTGAATATTTAAACTATGGTTATTCCCAAGTAAAGGTGGGAGTCGCAAGAGTTATCCCGATTGATTACCATGCACATTCCATTTCATCTTAGAATTGAAATACATGCTTAGGCAAAAACAGTCAAGACAATGAAATAATTTTTTTTTTGGGTACATTTTTAAATCAAATTAATGGTCTAAATTTATCCTAAACACGCGATTGTTTACTTCAATGAACAAATGTTTGTGACAGCTCTAAAAGACCTTCCTTCACCAAGTCAAGCCCGAAAGCAGGAGTTTAAGGCACTCATTACCGCCCTTCTCCTAGGTGTAATACCCACTCCATACAAGGATGAAGCACTACTTGTTATTTCCGATTTAACAACAATCTCGCAGCAGGTTTCCATAAACCAAGGATCAGATCACCAGTACATCGAGAAATTAAACTGTCAGTTCAAAATTGGGAATTTCACAATTCCTAGCAAATCTCTCTTTTCATGCACTATTACCAAGGATAACCGTGACTATATCAAGAAACAACTTCAGAATAGACAATTACCCGGCGAATACATTAATTCACGTAAAAATAAACTTGATGATGATTTCTTGTTTGCACTGATTGGATTAGATATTTTCGAACGGGATGGAGTTATTGCTGCAACATGCAACAAATTGAGAATAGCTACCGATGCCAAGGATGTATACAACATGTTTTATGAAACAGTTGCATTTTATCGTGTAATAAATATACTTAAACAAAAATGCCGTGGACAATATTTCAAGAGTACTACTGAAAGATATGGCTTGAATAAATATTTCATTAACAATCTAGATAAAGATCATGACGTTGAATCTCAACTGAATGGAGCGCCAGCCCTGAAGATCAGGAAAATTACTGCTGGATCTAATTTGTTGTTTAATCACGCCGAGGAAGACTCTCAAGCTCCATTATTTCCAGAAACTCAAAAGAATAAAGAGACTCAATCAGGACTGATTATCGAGTTGGAAGAAGAAGAAGAAGAAGAAATACCAATGTTGCAAATCCCAAGTACGGTGGTCCCTGGTTCCACATCGATTCCATTCGGTAGCTCAACCGGGGCAACCAATTCAACCCTCGCTACGTCAAATTCATCATATGATGGCTCCCCTATTTATCCCGTCTCGTTGACAGAGTTACTCATGGCAGAAGAAGAAGATCCGGGAACGCATTTGGGAAGATTGTATGAAATTCATGCAAAAGTCGTGGGTATGCTTCCGTATAAACCCTTCATTATTAAACCCTATAAACGTACTATGAAAATTGCTCCGTTCAAATTAGTCCTCAAGTCTGGAGAAAACGTCTTATTGATTGACTTGAGAGTGGAAGAAGATTTATGTGGGTTTTTCGGAATTTGCGAAGTTGAAGAAATCTATAGCGACATTCGGAACGTTGAAAAGAAGGTTTACAAGTTATTACATGATGGCAAAACTCGTCGAATAATGGTAAAGAGAAGAGTTAAACATATTGAATCAGACGACACTATGACGTTTGCATATTGGACTATGGAGTCTACCTTAGATAAGCTTTTAGAGTAAATAGAGAGAAACAGATAACAGTTTTCTTAATTTTATGATATATTTATTTTTATTATGATGAAGTTTAGATTTCCCATATGAACCGTTAAAATACAAGTGTAGATGATAATAATAACATTGGTGTTCTTTTCCTTGTTAAGTCGTTTTCAATTATTATATTAACATTAACTAATTTAAATATAACCAATTCTGTTGGCAACATCTAAAGCATCGTGGTCAGCAGTTAATCTAATGTAAGCCTTCTTGGTACCGTTTGGTCTGATCAAGGTGTTAACGTATTGAACATCAACGTTGTATAATTCCTTAACAGCAGCCTTGATTTGGTTCTTGTTGGCCTTGATGTCAACTTGGAAAACCAAGATGTTACCGTCTTCAACCTTCTTCATGGCGGTTTCAGAAGCAATTGGAGCAACAATAATCTTGTAAGCGTCCAATCTGTTGTAGTGAGGAACTGACTTTCTGGCGTATTTTGGACTTCTGGTTAATTGTAAAGTCTTTGGTAATCTGAAAGTGGTGGAAGTTCTAACCTTTAAAGCCTTCTTGGCGTTGGTACCCTTTAAGGCGGCCTTCTTAGCAGCAGTAGCTTTAGTGTTTGCTAAATATTTGTTAGTATAATGAACTTTATTGGATTGAAAGGAGAATATTTGAATTTGAGATGTGCTTGAATATTTCTTGAAGACTTGCCGGATACGAAGTGTATCTCTGCTTTATGTTTGCGCTTAATGAATAAAGTAAATAGCAGTGGTAGTGACAGTGATAGCACTAGTTGCTGTTGTCGTTGTAGTAGTAGTGGTGGTGGTAGTAGATATATGTTTCCTGTCTTTTCTTTTATTACAGTTCTGTTTGCTTGTTTCTTGCACTTTGATATTTCTTGCATCTTCACTTGGTCATTACTTTGACTTTTCTCGATGGACATTCACTGAACTTGACTGATCTGGCAATGTGCCTCTCGACATCATTCATATCATCTTCTCCATTCATATTCATGATCTTTATAACATACGAGCCATTTTTACTGTTGATTATATGCTAATATAAAACAAGAAATGAAATAGAAAAAAAAATTTCACCTAATAAATTCGTGAAAAAAAAATTGCACTAACTGAGAATCCGCCAGTATTGGGTTTGTTAGTGCGACCCCTTCGGTTTACTATGGGACAAAAAACTAAACAGTGCGCATTTGCCTAACAGTGCCACTAACAAAAATTTGTTAGCACCAAAAAAGAAATTACACCAGAAAAAATAAGTAGTACATAATGCCAAACAATATACAGGATGTACACGTGACGATGTTTGCAATTAGGGCTACAGCCCTAACATGTATAATCTATTATAATATGGGCTACACTCTTGGGGATAATTGACATCTAGTAATATCTTCTGGTAGATTAACTATTGTATTATTTACAGGAATATATACAGTCTTGTCAGTCTATATACGACGTTGCTTTTTGGAACGAGAACCACCAAACTTAAGTACAGTGGCATCACTGATTCTAACTATATTCTTTTGAAGTGCTTGACCTTCTTTACCTAATAAAGCAGCAGAAAAGGCTTCTCTACCTTTACCCATTCCATTGACGACAATTTCTACTTTATCGGTAGGACCAAACAAGTTCTTTTCTTGAATGGTCTTGAATAATTTAGAAGACAACTGGAACCCTGCTTCATATTCACTTCTTTGCACACCTCTGAATCCTAATTGACCTGTGCTTAATGAATACACGATTCTGTGAGGCAATTGTAAATAGTAAATAACTTGCTCATTGTGTGATAAGTGTTGATTCTTTTCCAAGAACTTGGTATCTTCAACCACAGCTACTACATTAGCTCTGGTGTTATTACTGGTGAAGGTAGCATAGATCTTCCATCCAACTACTTTTTCATCTGCTTTTAGCCAATTGGATGGTTTTACGCCTTTCTTGTTGGCCCTTCTAGGTGGAGCATTTAAAGTGGAAGTTGTGGAAATGGCTCTGATGGGGTTGATGATGGTATTGCTGATTGGTTGGATAGTAAGTGGCGCTTGGATTCTTGATCCGTTCAATGCAAATCTGGTTATCCTCGAGAACATATTGGTGTATATGACTGTATATGTGGAGGATGGTTGGTGACGACGAGTGTCCTGTTTGGTATGAGATCAAAGGATACAGTAACTGCTAGAACTTTTGATATTGGCTTTCGTCATGTTGAAAATTTTCTAGTGAGCCGAAGATTCGCGACAGCCAAAAAAAAAAAAGTGTATAATTGGATCATACTTTGTCGCGAGCATCAAGATATGACAATTATCCAAGACATTCATATATAGAGTTAATTAGAATTTGAATATTAACCAGCTATTGCGTTGGAGGTGATATTAACTTATATATGTGATTGACCGTTTTGTAATCTTTCAACATAAAAATATAGATGCAATGTAGCATTTGGGGGAATTTTTGAGCCAATTACTGCAAAATTGACGAGAACAACAAAATTGACTAGCATTTGTTAAAGTGCAACCCAACCTTTCTCAATGCAGACCAGAATTCACAGAGGGTATAATCAAAGATCAAACTAACAAGAAAAGGTCTAATATCAAGTTGCATCCATCTACAGAGGGTACTCCAGCATCGTGCCAAAATTCAACATTTACCTAATTCAGTTTCTGTAAAGTGATGTGATATTGTCTGGAAAAACTAGAGGCAGTATCAACTTTAACGATAGCTCGCTTTCTTTATTGATAGCAGTATTTAACCGCTGAATAGTTCTGTAAGCTTCGCTGCGTTGCAACATTCACAATTCACACGTAAACAGTTAGAACCAACTGACATGTAAATCGGTACTTACAAATTAATAACCAATGATTTATCCTCACGGTAATAACCTGCAAAGAAGAATAACTTAAAGAACCAATGCAGTGCTGTATTTTACATCCATTTGAATCAGCCACTCGTAATCAGACTAAATTTATGCCAGCAAAAAAAAAAGGTTGACAACCAAAAAATAACAAAATTAATCTCAAAACAAAACAAAAATTAGTCAACCTTTTAGACAGCTCATAACAACCACTATAAACCGGTCAATTAATCCACTAAACAAATCAGCATTTTGTCTAGTAGTTCCATACCAAGTCCTATTTGATCATTATACTTTGTTTCTCATCACTCCTTTGAACTAACAGCTCCAATTGTAAACGCTCCCGCCACAATTTACAACCACTGACAAAAAAACAAAACGCCATCATTACCCCCTCGACCTGATTGACACGTCCTGACAACCAATCCCCCAACGTACGTCATTCATCTTCACACAAAATTACAACCATATACATACACATTAGCTTTGACAATAGATTTAAGTGTAACTGATTTTTTTTGTTGATATCCATTGCTTCCATTTACATTGACGACACCGCCACTATCACGCGCCCTTATCGTCGACCATATATCATATATTTAAAGCAATTAACCTACCCTATAAATTGATTGATTTTTTTGAAATCTGATTGCATATATCACACCTGCATATACATAAATTAAGATAACATGCCACAGTCAGGAATTATAGAAGAATATACCATGGACCGAGTGGTCAACAATAAAACGTCATCCACCCAGCCCATGACTGTTAGAGAGTATAAAAAAATTGGCGAAGGTGCGTTTGGAACTGTTGTTGAAGCAGTATTGAAATATGTTGATCCAGCCAATAATAAGAGCCATGATGATGATAAGAATAACAGTGAATGGCTAGGTCCATTTGCTATAAAGCGAGTGCCCGCTCAAACCGAATATAAATCAAGAGAATTGGAGATTTTACGACTTGTAGATCATCCCAACATTGTCAGCTTGAGATTCTTTTTCGATAAGGCCAGACCGGATACTCGAGAAGTCTATCAAAATTTGGTTATGGAATGTTTACCATCCAATTTACAAGCAGAAATCAAATATTACCGTCAATCAAAATACACCATACCTTATCCTCATATGAAGGCATACACTTTCCAATTAACTAGAGCCATGCTTTATTTGCACGGGTTTGGGATATCTCATAGAGATATAAAACCCCTGAATATTTTGGTTGATCCTCATACCGTTCAGTTAAAGATTTGTGATTTTGGATCCGCCAAGAAATTAGAACCAAACCAACCATCTGTTAGTTACATATGTTCAAGATATTATAGATCACCGGAATTGATTGTGGGTTGTACATTATACACTACCAAGATTGATATTTGGGGATTGGGATGTGTTGTTGCAGAAATGTTTTTGGGTAAACCAATTTTCCAAGGTCAATCCCCCGAGACTCAACTAAGAGAAATTGCCAAATTGTTGGGTCCTCCACCAAACACCTTTTTCTTCAAGAGTAATCCTCATTACCGTGGTAATATGTATACCACAAGGTTATTTAGTTGCACTGTTGAGGAAAGATTTAAACAAATTTTTAGTAATTCACCACCCGATGCTATTGATTTATTATTGAAGATTTTAGTGTATGATCCTGAATTTAGACCAAGTCCAAGGAGAGTATTAGTCCATCCATTTTTCAATGAGTTGAAGAGTAAAGATTTCAAGGTTTATCCTCGAGGATCGTCTGAACCAATTGTATTAGATTTGTTTAATTTTAGTGAGATGGAATTACAATTATTAGGACCGTTGAAAGATGAGTTGGTTGTAAGGTAATACAGCATTTCACACATTTTGCCTATAGTTCTACTTCAAATTACATGAATCATTGTTTTTTTATTTTCATTTTATAGATGTTTTTTATACCTACTGGTTCGGTTGCTTGCTTACTTTCTTTCTTTCTATGTAGCTGCATGTATATGTTATGACTAACACATTCTATGGTAAAATGTTTATGTAGACAATATACTTACAAAGCTAAACTATAACTATATTCATCTTCAATGTTTTGTGATAGCCACAAGACAATACAACTCAACATGATACATGCATTACAAACAATATTGGAAACACCCATACCTAAAGTAGGAAACGTGTAGTGTTTCAATAAGTATTTTATTATAAATACCATGAAACTACCAGCTAACCCGCCAGCCAATAACGAGAATCCCAAGAATAAAATCACCCGAGCGGCCCAAGCATTGGTATTTCCTCCACTCATGAAATTGGTTGTGTTTGAGTCTTGAAACAAGTTTGATTTTTCAATTGAATTAACAATCAACATCCCCAGAGTAGAGCAGATGAATGGGATCCAATCGATAAATGTGACATGAACATCTGATGCATTCACGGATTTGGAATAAACAGCGGAGTCGATAATGGACCAGAATCCAATTGCGAAGAGAGCACCGGATAAGTACACCCCAAATGCTCTGAGTTTAGCAGATTTAGGTAAACGGAGCATTGAGGCATTGAACCTGAACAAGTGATTGGAGTGGTCCATGATTAATGTTGTTATGGTAGAATTGATGTGGAAGAGTGGGGGGTGCTAACCGAAATTGCCTCTTTTTATCTCAGTTCTCATTTATTCGGGGCTGGTACTTTTTTTTTTTTGGAGGCGGTCTACACTAAGTATGCAAAATATTTATTAACTGTGTATTGTCTATGGCAGTGGATTCTTTTCAAAAGGAGTTCCATCACGAGTGTTTAGTTCTTCAGTAGCGATCTTGTCTTGCTTTATGTACTTTTTATTTAACTCAAACACATTAATGATTCCATCTCTACTGCAACTTACTAATATTCTTCCCTCATCCAATGTATCTACTTCTAATACAGCATCATTACCGTTGTTAAATTGGTATACAATCTCTTTAGTCTGAACATCCCAGAGCAATATTCCCGACTTTTCTGATCCAGATACTATTTTCGGTGTTTCTGTTTTGATGATAAATTTCGCCCCACAATTAAAGTGCTCACTTACTGGTTGTCCATTTATACCCTGGTAGGTTTTGATAACTTTATTACTCATGTAATCCCATAATCTAACCAACCCATCCAAACTTGAACTTAAGATGTATAATCCATTAGGGGAGATTTCCACATTGGAAATGGGGAAATTTAAAACATCAGTAGTGGATGCCGTAGCTGTCCCATGGGATGCATTATACGTCAAAGTTTTCAAACATTGACTGGTTTCCAAGTCAAACAATCTCATCAATCCATCATATGATGCACTTACAATTATAGAATTATCTGGAGTTAAACATAAGGAACTGACTGGATCTGAGTGGGCAGCCAATGTAGTGAGAATTCTGCCCAGGGTTATATCCCATATGGTGATTGTTTCATCGGCCGATCCACTGATAAGAATATTCCCCTTGGAAACAAACTTTATAGTAGTTATATGATATGTATGTTTTCTGAGAATCTTTATACATTTCTTGGTCTTGATTGACCAAAGTCGAATAGTCAAATCATCAGAACACGATGCGATAATGTTTGAGTTTATCGGAGAATAAACAATATCAGAAACACCCTTGGTATGTCCTAGAAGTTCAGCTATCAACGTACCAGTCGTAAGATCATATATTCTGATGATAGTATCCGAAGAACACGTCGCGAATGTTTTACCATCGGGAGAAATACGGATTGAATTAATAGATGAAATTGGTGATGATGATGATTGATTGAGTGAGTATTTCAAAAGGTACAAATCAGGAATTGACGGTTGGGTCGTGTGTTCCACCAGTGGTATTCCCATAATCAATGTGTATGTTTATAAAAAAGAGAATGTGCTATATAAATATTTGTTGTCTATTTTTTCTGGTTGTCTTTCATACCTTCAATCCAAGAATTAAGCAAACTGTTTTCAATTTCATCAAACTCGGTATATACAGGTGCAGCCACAGGCAGCAGTACCAGCGTTTGAGCGAAGGTAGAATGTTGTGGTGATGTTGATGATGATGGTAAGGGAGGTGACACAAGTATACCACTACGTTGTTTAGTCATTGTCGCACCATCAGACTTTGGCGTTACTACGAAATTTGATGGTATGATTAATCTTTGTAGTAATGACAGAATCTTTGAATCATTTTCCTTAGTCAATTCCTTTAACAAATACTTCAAGTACTGGAATATAACTATTTTGTTGTTTCCTTCATCAAGGTCACCCACAAATGTTAGTAGCTTAATAAATTGATCGTTCAATGATACCAACAAATCGTATTGTTCAGTTGATAAATTGTTTCTAGTTTCTAACTTGGTAAAAACTTTAGTCAATACACGCGCAAACTCTGGCTGAACATTTTGCATATATTGGTTTTGCTTGGGTGTAAGTTTAGGTAAGCTAGCATAATTAATTCTCAGTGCAGGAGTCTTTGGTATGGCGGTCCCTGAATCTCGCTTTTTAGGTGAGGGTGTTCTTCCAGGAACAGGAGACGGCAGACTGTCAACTACAGTTTGAGTGTCTTGTAGTAGATCGTCATCTAAACTCCATTTGATTTTGTTGTTCTTGTTATGCACTTCAGTAGGAATATAGAAATGTTGAGTTTTCAAGGCATGATTACTTTGATCCCAAAGTTGTTTCCTAGTTATCAACTTCTTTATTAGCTTCTCTTTATCAGGAATCAGTTGATGTTTAGTGATGAACTTGTGATTAAGTAACCTTGTCGCCGAATATCGTTCTGGACAATTCTCTTTAAAACATTTACTCAAGAAATCTTTGAATTCGGAAGAACATTTTAGCCCCGACAATTGAATCAAATTTACAAAGTCCCTGTCATGTTGACATTTAGAGATCATTCGTAATGCCTTCATAGGAGGATAATCTGTTTGTAATGGTGGTTTTCCCGTGAACAATTCATAAGCACAACATCCCAAGGACCAAATATCTGCTTTGAAACTATGACCTCCGTGATTATTGACAATAACCTCGGGCGCCATCCAATAGGGTGTCCCCACAGTAGTATTCCTCCGGGAGAAATTCGACGACAATTGTGTAGATACTCCGAAATCTGTAAGTTTTACTTGGCCATGTTTTGATAGCAAGATATTCTGAGATTTCAAGTCACGGTGGATCTTCCCTTGGTTATGTAGAAACTGTAATGCTAACAATATCTCTTTTATTATTGCCGATACAACTTTTTCATCGGTGACTGGGCCAGGTTTCAAGATATCAAAAATCGAACCACCATCCACATATTCCATAATCACCCAAAGCTTATAATTTCGAACAAAACTAGCAACGTACTGCGTTATTTGAGGTGATGCTTTACATTCAGATATGATTTGGATCTCCTTCACTATCTCTCCTATATCGCTGGCGTCTTGTTCAAGGTCGATTTGTTTTATAGCAACTTCTTGTTTTGTGTTTTTAATAATACCTCGATACACCACACCAAATCCACCACGACCCACTTCCTCATACACTTCTAAATCTTCAGCCGAGTTAATTGTACTATTCAAACCATCCATAGCAATAGTCTTGATGAACGTTTCTCGATTCTAATAAAAATCTTAACTTTGTGTTTTTGTATATTTGTTAGATGTCGCTACTTTATCTCGGTATTTCCTATTTGGGCAGATTGAAAATATTTCTTAACAACCCTCATCTATACAGCCACACACCAACAATTAATACAACAGTAATGCAAGCAACAAGAGTCATACGACTAGCATTTTGTATTCCCAAACGAGGCATCACTACTGGATTAACTAAGCTAGTGAAAAAAGCCGGAGGCATACCTCCACCCAAAGATCAAGGAGCTCTTCCACCGAAACGTAACACAGAAACATTCCAAGACTTGTTCATTCTGAAAACCCTTTCCCTGACCAAACACACGGAGAGTGAACATATAAGATGCACGATATTTGACCAGCAAGGTAGTATGGTCCAGCATGGTAAAGAAATCCGCAAGTCTGAGTTTATGAAACAGCATAATTTGGTTCCCCGAGATTTCCGGAAATTGTCAAGGCATCAACAGGGGTTAGCCACAAATGTCACTGGGATAAACTTGGATATCGTTCCTTCGATCGTGGCTAGACAAGACAGCATATTGTTAAACATCTTAAACATCCGGGCCATGATCAAACATGATATGGTGGTTGTGTTTGATAGTACCAATGGTGCAAGTTCTCAACGACAAGAATCGTACTCCCATCTGACTTTTCTTAAAGAAATGGACGAGAGATTGAGTGGGAATGATAGTTTACCATACGAATTTCGTGCCCTTGAAGCAATCCTAATTAGTGCTATTTCCAACCTCACTATAGAAATGAAAGTTCATCAGACTGTGTTACTGCATATTCTCTCAGGGTTGGATGATTCAATCGAACGGTATAAACTTCGATACTTGTTGATTCAATCCAAGAAAACAGCCCAGTTTCAAAGAAAAGCGATTTTGATTAGGGATCTACTTGAAGATTTACTCGAACGTGATGACGAATTGAATGATTTGTATCTTACCAACAAGGGACAAGGTCAACCTCGCCAAGGATCAAATCACGCCGAAATAGAAATGTTGTTGGAGTCATATTATAAAACTGCTGATGAAATTGTCCAAACCATGGAAAACTTGAAATCACAAATCAAAACCACTGAAGAAATTATAAACATCGTTCTTGACTCAAATAGAAACGAGTTAATGTTGCTTGGATTGAAATTTAGTACTGGGTTACTTTCAATGGGTATTGCATTGTACATTTCTGCATTATATGGTATGAATTTAGAGAATTTTATTGAAGAATCAAATGGTGGGTTTGAAGTCGTTGTGGTTGTGTCCGTGATTAGTTTGGCTGTTTTACTCCGTTTTGGTGTAAAACAACTCCGTAAATTAGAAAAGATCACCATGGACAGAGCTCCTCATGAACGGTCTAAGAAATTGCATTGAACTTGTATATATACTTGTATATAAAATCTACATTGGGAAGGATATTGACTATTCAATCTTGACTGTAGGAAGTAAAACGCTACCTGATCTAACGGGACTTGATTCCCTACTAATCACCGGAGAACGAGTAGGGGATCCTCGTGGAGAAGGTTGTGGTGTAGCCCTAGTTCTAAACGGACGCAAGGAAAATTCCCCACTAACAGGTCTAGGACTTTTGATGCTTAAAGACATATTTGTGGTTTCCTTCTTTGGTGTAGTTGGTATAGTTGGTTCTGCTTCAGGTACAACTAATGATACTCTCTTCAACAGAAGTCCATTCTTTTCAGTTTCTAACCTCTTACGTTTGATAGTTTGCTCATTATCAATAAGTTTCTTTAACAAATGTGAACGAACTTTCAACTTAAGTAAATCTTGAAGGAACTTGACATATGTTTCAATAGGCGGTTTAAATCCAGATGAATGCTTCACGACCGAGGGTCTCATTATGAGATGTACAAAAGGAACAGCACCTATCTCATCCATTGAATTCAATTTAGCAGCAACTTCTTCTAAGTTGGCTTCATCCTCTCCCTCTTCAATCTCATCAGAAACTTCATACTGAGAAATCACAGACATGTCGAAAACCCGTGAAATATGTTCAAGTACAAATACCAAAGTAGCAAGATTACTTCTGGGAATAGTAGAAAGCTGTTTCAACAATTCATCAACCGTGTTTTCTTTGCTATAGATATGAGCTATTGAATCATACACCACAAATGGGATACAAGAATCACTAATTTCCAATAACCAACTCTTGAGAAAACAAACCACATTTTCGATGCTCTTTCCCTTTAAATATTCCACCACTTTATTTAAAAATTCACCTTGAATTAGTCTCTCATTAGAGATTTCAGCATTTAAGTCTGGGGTGAAATTAGAAATAAGCATGATTATATCTTGTTTAATTTCCCATACTGATTGATAGTCAATTGGGGATAACCAGTATTTACGACATGATTCATGGTCTGTTTCTATTATTTTGATGGCTTGATATAAGATGTATGGAATCGAAGTGATACTTAATAATGATGCTGGGTACAATTGCCCAACTTGCAATTGTAATGGGATATCCTTGTATAAATTAAACTGGTACTTTAGATTTTGATAATGAGCGCCAGATTGTCCTGGTGATTTCTTGACAAGTGCCTCAGGCGAGGTATTACTTGGAAAATAAATACCTGTGGAGTATTTCTTAAGCACGAGTTGTAAATCATGTTGGTAATTAGCTGACCGGTTAATCCGATTAATGAAATCGTTCGAGAAATGTTCAAGGGTTTCAGCTTGCTTGTGTGAAAATCGGTTTAATATCTCCAGTAATCTTGATAGACTCTTGTATACAATTTCAATTTTGTTCTTTTCAAATTCTTGCAAATATTGGGTGATTTGCAAAGTTCCATTCTCAAGCCTAAACTTCAATTCTTCAAGACTTAAATATTCTTGTTCGTACTTTTGTTGTATATCTATTAACATTTCATCATGATTTGTCTTCATGATTGAACTTTTAACCGAATTAAACATGGCATTTAATCTTTTAGTAGTTTCAGCAACTTCACTTTGAAATTTCGTACTGGAAGGGGATGCAGCCAAGGCAGTAGCATGTAGGGTTGGAGTTTCAACATCAGTAGCCTCATCGTCGTATTCACGGACGAAATAAGCTAAATCCAGCCATTCAAACCACATCCCTTCACTTTTGAATTTTTTCAGAGCGAGGAATTGACTGGTTACTATCAAACCCATATCCAACAAACTCTGACCAAATCTTTCTAAATTCATTCGGGAAGGCGTCAACCCTCTAAGTCTCATTTTACTGACTACCCCACATAAAGAGTCGCTACTGAAAATATCTGGTTTATATCCGGGGATTGGAATCTTACGTTTGATTGTGGGCACCTTACTAATTAATTGGTTCATCAAATCACGTAATTCGTCTCGGTTTGAAATCGGAGCTGAACCCAACTTCAATGGGAATTCAAATTCATCAAAACCATTGTCGGCTGCTTTGGTCAGATCAATAATACTAGAGTCTGCTTCAGTGGTGTAACTGTCATCTGAAGCGATACTGTCGTTGACGGAAGTATCTTCTATACTAATCTTAATGCTTGAGTCGTTAAATTCTTTTAATCGAAGTTGCTCTTGATGTCTCAGTTTCAATTTCTCAATCTTGTTGAAACTGGTTAAATATTCAATATAAGCTTCTTGTAATCGTGAAACTTCTCCTTTCAATTTCGGTTCTTCATACTTCAAAAACTGGGTGATTTCTTCTAAAACATCCCGATCTATGATTGAAGCCATTTGTATTAACAATTGACTATCAAATTTCATATGGTTGATATAATTATTGTACGCCATAGACATGGTAATTTCTTCAACCAGATCAGGTTGTGGAGTAACCAGCTCCAGTGCCACTACCAGGGCACTAACCACTCGTCTACGTGACGGACTGGCCTTGTTAACCAGGAATGGACTTGATCTTGGCAACAAGTCATTCAGGGATTTGTCAAGGTATTCTGAATTCCCCGTGAAATAATTTATATAGCTGAATACTAGCTTCCGAAGTTCATGTAATTGTGCGAGAGAAGTTGTGGATTCATTCTGGAGTTGGTCAATGGCGGTTTTATAGTCGGATGACCAATAGGAATTGGCGAAATGAGTCGGTGAAGCCATTAATCTTTGAAGTGGTTGTAAAAGAAGAAGCCCTGTCGACGGTTGTAAATTTATTTGCTGACTTTTGAGTGTATTTTCTCGTAGTGTGCGCGTCACATTTTTTTGTTTCCCTTTAAAATGTAAACACCACATCACATCACAACATAAACACACACACACACAGATCTAAATATGGAAGCAGGTGTTATAACTAAAGAAGTCGAAGATCTACGTCATGATATAACATCATTGAGTGCAGATGTTTCTCTGTTGCAGAAAACTCACAATGAAATCTTACAGGAAATAAAACAATTGGAAGAGGAGGAAGAACGAGAGACAAACAAGAACACAAACCAAACTGTAATTGAAGATTCCACTACTGATATACCAGAGATAATGAAACATAGTCATTTTGATCCAAGTATAAGTGTGTACTTTAAGGAAACGGCTGAGAAAGAAACAGAAAAAGAAGATAATGATGATGATGATGATGATGAAAAAGATACCGAATTTATAGCAGAGCCTACCCATACCAAATCAATCCAAGAAGAACTAGAATTAAAAGAAAATATTCTATATGAAAACATCTTCAGAATGGTGGGAATAACCGCATTCCCCATAAACCAATATGTTTTCAATGCCGATGATGAACTTATGGGAATACGGTTTGACAGGTATGCGTCTTCCACGAATACATTCCAGCCCCCACACTACGTAATTCTTCGGCAAATCAATATATATTCAGAAAAAGAGCAAGAATTGACAATAGAACGCAAGACATGGTCAGTATACAAACATACATTACCTAATTACGTTCCACTACTGGACTATCAGAAACTTCTTGATGAACTGAAAGAATCTATAATTCAATTCACGAGGCATGTACGCGATTTCTTAACAAAAATCCAATACAAACACGATAAGTTAGATCAATTGCTCCAATTGAGGAGGAAACAGTTTGATCTTCCTAATGATAGCCCTATAATACTGAACATCGAGCGTGATTTGTCATGTGAACGCATCCAAATTACGTTTAAACTGAAGAATAAACTTTTTCTAGAGTTGCTACTTTCAACTGACACAATTGAAGTTTGCACATTCAAATCTTCAATAAGCTCTTCTCATAAACAGCAATTGAGGTTTTGTGAAAGCATTCTAAGAGACTGCAATATCAGTGATATAATTAAGAAGACGCGTTCAGTTATCCAAACTTTGGTTTCCCACAACTTAATTGAATAGATCTCAGATAACCAGCAAATTGGAACAATGTGAGGGGGGGGGTACTCGATGAGACAAGTGACATTATATTTTGGGCTATTAATAGTATATGTTTAAGATTCTATGTATAGCATTCAAATACATTCTGAAGCTTGTAAACTTCCCCACCTAATCAGGTATGAGATACCGTTGAAATATCTATCCGCTACTTTAACCCCGGCATCGCTCCCCTCTGTAGCTGATTTGTCTTGTGAGTGACATAAAGTAATATCACATTAGGGAATTAAATACGTGTGTTCCCCTCCTTCCCCGGATAATTTGTCTTGATACATGAGACATTTGCGAAACCTGCCTATTGTGGAACTATTTTGCGTCCAATCTTATTTCACCACCGTGATATCTTGCAACCCAACTTTATAGTTTAACTCCTTTAAGTAGACGTTTCCCAACAAAAAAAAAGTTATTAGTATTATAAAAACCTTAAATATGACCATCTTTTGTACTGCGTGTGTCAATGGTTACAAATCGTTAAAACCTAACTTGCCACCTTTTCAGTTAATATAAATAACAATGGTTGCAACTAATTATTTTTTGGGGGTCCGGATTATCCTATCGTAACCATTTCAACAATGTCGGATTCTACACAGGTATCAAATAGTATAGAAAAGAACAAGGAAGAAACAGAAACTTTTCCAATCTCAACCCTTACCAAAGAACAAGCTTTATTTTCGGATAAATTAACCAATTTGGATGAATTAGCTCATGCTGATGAAGCAAAAAGAGTAAGACTTTTAGAAGATGCCCGGGATAATTTAGAATTCGCCAAAGAAAGTGGGTATAAACCTGAATTAAAACGAGGGTTTAGCTTGATTTCTCTTTTAGGAGTTGGGTTTGGGTTAACGAATAGTTGGTTTGGTGTTTCCGCTTCTTTAATCACTGCCATCAAGAGTGGAGGACCCATGATGATTATCTATGGGGTTGTTATCATGACTTTTATTGGGATGTGTACTGCTTGCACTCTAGGTGAATTGGCCAGCGCATTACCCAATTCAGGTGGTCAATACTATTGGACTCAAAAGCTTGCTCCTAAGAAATATGCCCGGTTTATGTCATATTTATGTGGTTCATTCGCATGGGCTGGAGCTGTTTTCACTTCTGCTTCGGTTACAGTGGCAATTGCAACTGGGGCCGTTGGTATGTATTTGATTAGTTATCCTGAGAAGGAATTTCAGAAATGGCAAGTTTTCATTGCTTATGAATTGGCCAATTTGTTCCTTGTGGGGTTCAATTGTTTTGAAAAACCACTCCCTCATATTTCCAAAGCTTCATTATACATTTCATTATCATCTTTTGTGATTATCACCATAACTGTTTTAGCAATGAATAATGAAGGATTCAGAAGTGCGAAATATGTCTTTGTTGATTTCACCAATGATACTGGCTGGCATGTTGGAGCCATTGCATTCTTTGTGGGCATGATCAATCCCAACTGGAGTTTCCTGTGTTTGGATGCTGCCACTCATATCGCAGAAGAATCTTCTCGTCCTAGAGTGGATGTTCCCAAAGCTGTTATTGGTACTGTAATTATTGGTTTCCTTACTTCCTTCCCTTATTCAATTGCTGTGTTCTTCTGCTTAAAAGATTTACCAGCTATCCAAAACTCAAATACCGGGGTACCCATTATGGATCTTTACTATCAAGCAACTAAGTCTAAGGCAGCAGCTGTTGGATTAGAGTTTCTTGTTTTCTTTACTGCTATTGGTTGCAACATTAATTGTCAAACTTGGGCATCTCGCTTAGCTTGGAGTTTCTCGAGAGATAATGGATTACCTGGTTCTAAATGGTGGTCAAAAGTTAATAAAAAGACTGGTTCTGTTGTTAACGCACAAATAATGTCATGTTGTTGGAGTGGAATTATTGGTTTTATTTATTTGGGTTCAGATACTGCTTTCAATTCCATTTTAGTTTGCTGTTTGCTTTTCTTACAAATTTCATATGTTCTTTGTGTTAGTTGTTTGATCTTTAAGAGAAACCAGATTAAACCTGGTCCATTCTGGTTAGGTAAACTTGGGTTATTCTGTAATGTTGTTGTTATTTGTTGGTTCTTATTCACCTTTACCTTTTATAATTTCCCCGCGGTTGTACCCGTGAATGCTGGGAATATGAATTACTCATGTGTGGTTATTGGACTTTATTTCACTTATTGTGTCTTGGACTGGAATTTAAGAGCCAAAAAATCATTCATTGGAACCGAGGAACAAGAGGGCAATGTAGAACTAACGAATGAACTATCAAGAGAAATGTCTCAGATTGAAGCTGTATTGTCAAATACTGGGGAGAAACGTGTTTAATATTTGTTTGTATTTTACTTAATGGTCTAAAAGAAAAAAACAAAGAAAAATTGCTGCAAATTAGTAACAAATTTGCAATTTCGAAATCTCTTCCTGCAGATAATCTGATTTATCTGCCAGCTCTAGATTGTGTTTCTCTTTTTTATCTCTAAGATCATCAAACTTATTTTTGTCAGCTTTTCAACTTAGTAATTCAAAGTATAATTCGTCTTATTTGGTGATAAATTCGTAGCCAGGGTAAAATGGTGCTTCTATATCTGCCAAGAAGGGGCATTCATCGTTGGTGTTAGCGTGCGTTTTGCATTTTCTTTTCTTCCAGCGCTTTTATGCTTACCTTCTGGATCGATATTAATACGGGTATTTTGCGGGGTCTTCATGTCCCCGTAAGGCTAATCTTAATATTTTCTAATAAGATACGATCCTCTTCTGCCCAAACGAAATGAGAATCTTAAATTTGAAATTTTGTATTTAATGACTAGACAATATTGCTCGTCACATATAGCCCCAACTAAATGTTGAAATAATTCTACTTCCATTAAAATTCGCAATGCAACTGTACACTTTGTACGATATTTTATCAATCTATGGCAAACTTACATTTATTTTAAACGTACAAAACAAAGTAAAAAAAACTAATCTTAAAACAAAAATAAAAATCTTTTTTAAAACTCTACTTAGAAGGCATTTCCAAATCCAGCACCAGTTGGTTGGAATCCCAAACCAGTTCCTTGATAACTGAGACCGGCAGATCCAAGTTGTCCATTAGTGATCATTAATGGTTGAGAAGTTGGTTCGTCTTCTTGCTTCTTTTCGGCATCTTGTCTCTTCTTCAAATCTTTATAAACTTCATTAAGCTTCTTTTGGTTTTCAAATGCGACTGAAATTTCGTATGGCTTGATGAAATTACCCAAGTTATGTAACCAAGATAATTCCAATACGTAATCAAACTCAATCAAATCGTAGGCAATGTATAATAATGCAACAAAACATTCATGGTTTCCAGTTTCAACAAAATAGTCCAATAATTCATGAGAAATCTTGGTAGATTTAGAAACAGCAACAGTTCTTAATAAATCTGGCCATAACTTATCATTCTTCAAGATGGAAATCGCCTTGTTAAACTTACGTTCCTTGGTATACAAAGTAGCAGCAATTTGTCTGAAAAATACAAGTTCGTGGTTTTCCAAACGTTCAGCTAAGTCCAATTTATTAAATCTGTTGTTGCTTTCATTTTCAATGGATGATCTCAATGACTTGTAATCTTCTTCTTCAATCAAAAGATCGTGGTAAGCAGAATTGACCACGGAATTATTCTTATCCAACACACTAATTAAGAATGGTTTGATCATTGGCAAGTTATCAGATTTGACAAAGATACGAACTACACGGGGTAAGTCCAACTTAGGAGTCAACACACTTAATAAATCAACAATCAAAGATGGGTTTTCATTCAAGTAAAATTGAATGGCCTTGTAATAAATTTCCAAGTTAGGAGCCTTGACGATAATTTCCTTGAATGAATTGTGATCAAATGCAACTTCGGAACGCTCAATCATGGTCAAAGCAGCATTATCCCATTCTTCGTAATGACAGTACAAGAAAATTAATTCAGGATACAAGTGAGCAGCTTCACAAGCAGTCAAGACCTTAGGAATGTTTAATCTTGACCAGAACAATTTTAAGTGTTCCATAACCTTTTCAGGACTATACTTACAGTATAATACAGCCAATTCAGTAAACATACCCATATGAGCACGTTCCAAACCTAAACCACTTTCAAAAAGAGCAATTAATTCCTTGAAGTATCCATTGAATTCATAAGTCTTAACCAATTCAGGTAATTCTTCAGCATCAACAATCAAATTCAAACCACAAATTTGAGCCAATCTGAATTCCTTGTTTTCAATACATGCAGAGTTAACTTGCTTCCAGACATTAATGTTAGATGCCTTACGAGCGCAATCAACAGCAGCTTGGTAATCCTCTAAATAAACCAAGGTAGTGGCCAATTTGGCATATTTGGAAACGGTAGAATATAAGATCTTGGCAGCTTTGTAGTTCTTGGCTTCGAATAATTTATCACCAATAGATTCCAAGTCAGCAACGTTAGAACCGGCAACAAACTTTTCCATGTCACCCAACCTATCCAAAGTAGCATAAGCATTGATAATAGCACCATCAACCAAAGGTTCTCTCAAGGTTTCTCTGGCCATATCTAAGAATTGAATCAATTCTTCTTCCTTGCCAGCATGTTCAGCAATTTCAATAACTTGGGCAAAGTTTTCAGGGTTCTTGGACTTGACATACGAGTTGATAGCTTCAGGAATACGTAACCCGTTCAATTGAGCAGTACCTAATTGGTACCATAATTCAGGAGTATCGTACTTTTCAGCATATTGTTCACCTCTGTCCAAGGACATGATATCTTCAACAAGGACTCTCATGGCATCGTTTCTCAATTCAAACTTATCATAAACTTCGAAAGCTTCTTCAAGCAATTGATTATCAATACACAATGGTGCAATTTCTTGTGGGTCATACTTGTCCAACTTTTCAACATAGTTAGAAACCTTGGAAGGATCAGCTTTAATGGCAGTCAAAATCAACAAACCTTGTAATGAAGTATTGTCAGTGAATGGAGATGGTTCCAAAATAATCTTTTCCAATAATTCCATCAATTCAACAGGTAAATCATTTTCCATGAAAGCCTTCACGGTGATTGAAACTGGTGCAGGATCAGTTAATTCTGGAATACCAGTGGAAATAACTTGATCGATCAATTGACGACGATGGATGTTGTCTCCAGTTAAAACCTTGTTCCATAAATCCAAGTCGGACTTGGCTAACAAATAACGAGCTTGGTACTTGTACATCTTATTATCGTTGGTAATAGAAATCAATTCGTCATCATTTCCACCCTTGGAATAGGAAATATAAGCCAAATATGGATCTCTCTTTTCACAGTACTTACCAACAGCTAATGTATCATAATTGTTGTTTTCTTGCAAGAACTTCTCTGGAGAGTTGTTGGAGTCAATATAAATCTTGGCCAAAGTGTTGTAAACTTCTTGATCGTTGGATCCACCTTCTAATGTCTTTTCCAAGAATGGTAACAAGATCTTGAGTCTGTTTCTCTTTTCAACTTCTTCAACCAATTCACCAATTGGAACTCTTCCTAAAACTGACATCAACAAACCCTTGATAATGTTTTCGTCACAATCAACATCTAACAAACCTGCAATAACTTGAGGAGTGTTAGCTGGGTTGACACTTTGAACATAAACTTCAATAAACTTGAAATATTGGTTCTTGTACAAGTATAAAATCAAATCGTGAACAAAATTGAAACGGTCACAAACAATGATAAGTGGTAATTGATCATCTAATGGGAATTCCTTCAAGAAATTCTTAACTCTTTCCCCATTATAAACATTGTTATCTCTAACCACACGTTCAATTTCCTTGGTCTGTTTCATTCTAGCAGCTGCTTGAATATACTTGAAAACAACATCTGGTTCTTGGGTCAAGTTAACAATAGAACTCAAATAATAATACAAACCTTCAGTACACTTGTAATCTTCAAAAATTTTAATTAATTTCAAAGGACCAATCAAATCAGAATACTTGGTAGCAACTTGAATAACAACTTGTAAGTTTTGAGCCATGTTGTTGGCCAATAATTCCTTAATACATTCAATAGATTGATCAACATTCAATTGTCCAAAGTAAGAAACTAACCATTCATTTGGTAAAACATTGGTGTGGACAATAACACGCTTAATGTCCTTCAAGTCATCATAGTGTTCCAACGCTCTTTGGAATAAACCAGACTTTTCACACAATTTACCAATAGTAGGTTTATCGTAATGACTAAACATAGCATTACCTAAAATAGCATCAGCAACCTGAGGAGCATGAAGTAAATTGATTTCCAAAACCTTAGTTTGTAAGTGTCCTTCAGCTGGAGAATCGTTCTTAAGAGCATCCAATAAAAAGGCGGTACCTTGTTGAATATAGTTTTGGGAGAAGAACAAATCAGCAACTGTTTCAATGTTTAATTGGGCATCTGGAGAGTTCAATAATGAAGTGGCAAATTCACTAGCCTTATCTGGATTAACTCTAACCAAGTTTTGAATCAAGTTGGTAAAATCAGGATTGTATCCGACTTGTTGACAATAAGGTAAGATCTTATCAAATTGACCCAATTCAGCCAAACAAGAAACAACCTTGATGTTAACATTAGCACGAATATAAACTGCAAGAGCCAATGCAATATCATTATACGATTTAACAATATCACCCAATTCTTCAGAGGCAGTCAACTTGTCTTCCTTTAACCATTTTTCAAACAAAGGTTTACGGTCTTGTTGCAACACTGGCTTAGCCAATTCAACAGATTCATACTTGTTCAAAGTTCCTCTATCTAATAAAGTAGAAAAATATTGTAAAATTGGAGAAATTTGACCTGGTTGAGGGGTAATATTCTTCAACTTGTTAATAGTGTCTTGAGTTCTCAATTGTTCCGAAGATGCAGCAACTTTAGCAGCATTGGTATAGTCACCTTGGTTCAAGAAGTTTTGGAATTGTTGTTGGAAAAGATTTTCAGCTCCCGGGAAACCACCACGGGAAGCCAAAGATAATGCTAAAGGAACATTTGCCAATTTTTCCAAAACATAAGGTATAATCTTGTCACGGGAAACTTCAACACTCAAGACTTGACCGGATTTGTTAATGGTCAATAACCCAGTGCCGTCATTGAAGCTGGTTGCGGTGAATACAGGATCAGCAGTGATTCTATTGACAAACAAATTGGAACCAGTTTCAATGTCGTACAAATGGATGAACCCATATTTGGTCAAAACATAGATAATTCCGTACTTATCAGAGGTTTGCAAACTGATTGGGAAATCATTAGCAGCATCTGGAGGGAAGAATATATCAACTTGCTTCTTTTGGAAATGTGGATTACCTTCGACGTGGTCAATTTCAATAATGTGCATATTACCTTGACCTTGAGCATTCTTGTTACCAACACAGAAAACCTTGGTTGGTTGATGACCACCTGGTAATAAGATTTGAGCAAACTTACACACATGACCTTCAATTGCTTGAGATACGTTTCTTGTCTTGGAATATAATTGAATGTGACCAGCAATGCGACCATCTTCTTGAGCAATACCAGTTACAGCAAACCAATTCAAATCAGGTTCAGCCACGAAATTTATAATTTGGGCTTGAGACAAAGTGTGGTGTCTTTCAGTTAATCTTATTGGACCATCATTGGTTCCGTCAAAGACATTCCAGTAGTAAACAGATGATGCAGTGACCAACCCTAAGTATTGATCATTGAGCCACTTCCAAAAAATAACTGGTTCATCCATGGTGAAAGCCTTCAATCTTTGCTTGGATCCCAAATTGAAAATCTGTAATGTGGTACCATTTGCCCTAAGAGAAATAACAAACTCCTTTGGATGCATGATAGCATTGTCGGCGGTCATATTCTTTCTGGTTGTTTCCATATTATTCTTCAAATTGATAATGGCAACCGAATTTCCGGCACCGGTGGATTCACGAACACACACATAATGGTCTGATTCCAAAGTGGTGGACTTGAAATCCAATGAGGTTGGTTGGATTCCCAATTGAGTCAACTGAGTCAATTCAGTGAAATCAATGGGGATATCATTAGACATGGTGGTAATTTATTTCTTGTTACTTGCCACTTGGTTGTCTATCTAAACTTCTTCTTTATCTTCTTTACGTCTACTTCTTCTATATGTATTTCTTTCTAATGTCAATTGATTGGTCAATTGAAATCTGATGGCAACAAACAATTGTTGGAGAAAGTAGATGAAATTTTGGTTGTAAGTTTTTTCGGTGTGTGTAGGTGGGAGTGTTGTCTAAACAAAAAAACTCCCCCTTTTTTTCGTCCGATTTGTCCACGCTGTTTTTTGAGCTATGGCCCGGCAAAATACCGAGGTCGTGCATTGCCCGATTCTAGATCAACCATTACATATCTCTGTTGTTAGATCCAGTACAATTGTACTATATATATATACGCTATGTATCATCTACAATGGCGGTCTAACCGAGGTTAGAACATCTTCCACTATCCTATTAGTAAACCCTGTAGGGCTTTCTTTATCAACTTTTGCTCGTGAATGTTTAATGTATTCATTAGCATAAAAGTAATCACTTCCGAACCAGTCACCAGTGAGCATACTTATTTCTAACCGTTTATAATACTCATCGTCGTCATTTTCCTTACAAAACTTCTCGTTGTATTCCCAATCAACTAGCCAATACCCTATTTTTCTCATGGCAATTTTGACATAATCTGGTGTTAGATACATTTCTGGTACTTCCTTGTACACTAATAATGCCTTGCACATGTCCAGTACATAGTCTATCGTCATTGTGGGCACTCGGACCAGCTTAGGTGAGAGAGATGCCAATCTGTGACATCGGATATGGACAATCAAGGAGTATATGTATTTCTTAATATCAGGAGCAATGAATATTTGCTGTAGTTTCTTGCGTGAATCGAGAATATATTGTTGATATGACTCGTGGCGTTTTCCGGCACTATATTCTTGGGTTGAATCAACGTTTATTACGTAATTAATCGAAAACCAGAATTTCTCCTTAAGGTAAATGTACAATTTGTTATGATACAATTTATAATCAAGAATCAAAATTATAGTGAACAATTCTGGTTTGTAGATTTCCAATTCTCTATCTTCAATTGAGATTGAAATAGGATAATTTTCTGAAGGATTTGCTTCATATTGATCCAATTGTAGCATAAGCTTGTATAATGATTTATGTTGAGCTAAGGATAGATGTTGTACATTCTGCCATAGGATGATATTCTTCAAATATGTGTGATTATCACTTGAATCTATATATGTCATTTGCTGAATCAAATCTATAGTAGTGTGCACTTGAGATAGATCTATAATAGCTATTTGTTCCTTAGTAAAGTTACACTGGTTGATAAGAACATTGGTTGTAAAGCTATTACTTACTATACTAGAATAATCAGTGGACAAGTCCTCTGTATCATCATGAATATGGGATATTGCAAAACATTTGTTGCGCGATATTAGGGATAATGTAAGTGCAGTATATAGGTTGTCCATTGCTTACATACGGCATCTGTCGGGGTTCATCTAGCGATTCATCCTCATGGCAATTTCTTAAAGTTTCTAAATAATTTTGTTTTGGTCACGTGTTATAAATTTATGTGGGTTGCAAATATTCACACCATAGTTTACTATGAATTAAACTGTGCGTTGCATGAGGTTGCTTTGACAATTCAAACATCAACAAATACTAAAGATTTTTGTTTACTATTGTGTGTTTACACTTCGTGGTGGTGGAAAATCTTGTCAATTTTTTTTTTTAAATTCAAATTTGAAGATTTTTGGGCTTTTTCCTCGCAAATTAAAGGAGATTACCCATATTGCAGGAATGAACTTCTCTAGAACAACTGTATAGATTTAGCGTGATTACGATGACGTCTGTAAGATTGATTACGTGAATAACTTCTACATTTAATTTTTAGCATTTGCAGGCATGAATTATCGAGTGAGAGCAGAGAGTAAACAAACACCAATTGGATATTGTTACATTTTCGTACATCGGACTTACTTCTTTGATACCATTTTATAATTGCTGCTTAGTATTGTTTGTGGTGTTAGACGTTTCCTAAACAGGCCCGAAACAACAATATTGACGATGTTAACAATTACGAAGCGTTTAGAACTGGTATTCAGCAGTTCTGCCAATTGAGTAAGAGCAGTGAGTGAAAAGAGAATGGCATCAATATTACGCAAGATCATCATCCCAACACCTCGTTCCCATGTCCATATAACTTCGAATCACAATTGCGAATCCAACGCAAGATCTAGGCCCACAGCCTTTAATCTTTGTACCCTTTACAGTTGCGTCGTCGCGCGCCAACTTCCTGGCAAGGACAAAAAAAATAATTTACCTGACAGATTCCTAATCGGGAAAAATTGCAACCTGGAACAGATGGAAATGTATTGTTATGTATTTGTTGCGACTTTTAGTGAAAAAGGTCAAATTAGAACAATGCCAACCCTTAGGTCAACAGAGCAAGATCTGAGCAATTAATAACAACAAATCAAACTAGTGAAACTCGGTTATGAGGATAGTATTTCGAATAGGGTTGTTTTCAAGTGACGGTTAAGGGCCAGAAAATATTGGCGGATCTAACCATTTCCAGACATGTACATATTCGTATCAAAGCAAAAGGAGAATGGGTCTCGTCAGAGATCAAAAAAAAACAAAGATGGCCATACAGTTCATTAATTATAACTAGTCTCCTTCACACGCCTTCAGTAGCTTTAGCCGAGCATATGAATTGGCGTGTTTGGTGTAATTGGCTCATTGTTATGACCAAGACTACGGTTTGTCCTGGTTTAGTTTGGTTTACGCGTATTGCACAAAATAAAACAAAAACAATGCAAGACTAAAAATAAAAATAATAATTTTTTTTTTTACTTGATCACTTTTCTAATAATAACTAAAAATTTTTTGTAACATGACCTAAGCTAGCACAGTTACTTTGACGATTATTACGTAAATTAAAAATAGTTAGCTTGTGCATACCCTTCAATTCTGCCCAGAACATTTAGTAGTTCATAACTATAATTTTTTTTTTTAACTTGTCACTCTTTTCAATTTTTTGTTTTGGTATTGGTTTTCTTTGCTTACCTATTTGAGTCAATTTTAACAAGGCCCTCTAGTTTCGTCTAGGTTTACGCAACTACACATCGATCTATCTTAAAAGAAAAAAGAACGATTAACAACTAATAATACCTTACCATTCTCATCATAGAACACCTTTGATACTTATGGACTGCTACTGCTACTTGAATACTTCCATCACAATATAACCATTGGTATAACACTATGATGTCTTTTCCCCACTTTATTAGAGAAGCCCAACAATCGTCTAAACCGTTGGATTCAGCATTTCCGCCTTTCAAAATAGAACATAGATATAAAGGAGTATACGAACGAGCCGGATTCGATGTTTATAAACCACCCAACGCCGATGACCGTTCAGTTAGATCAGGGGGGTCTTCAGGTTCTAAGAATACCAGCCGTCTGCATCGACAACGACAACAACAAATGACTAGCCATGGACAACTGCCCCAGAAACTGCAACAACATTCCCTGACTGGGAAGCAAAACAATCATCCTCAAGGTTATCATAAATCGTTTGCATCATCGTCAGGCTCGTCACTTTCGTCTCACAAATCGTCGCTGCCATTTAGTTCGTCGACATTCTCCAAAATGAACTACAATAAAAGCACTAGTTCTACAAGCACAAATACCCCCATAAGACCTTCAAACGAATACATGTATTATCAAAGTCAACCAGAACTCAAGTCTTCTACTTATAGATCGGTGTCTGAGACTTACCATAATCGTGGTTCGGCTGACCAGTTGTCCCAGCAACCACACCATTTACATCTTCCATACCAGCAACAGCTGCAACACCAACAGAGAAATCCATCCAAACAGTCACATGCAGAATTTGACGAAAAGCGGGTCCCATCGGCACCATTGCATGATTATGCAGAACACCAAGAAATTTCCTATGCAAGATCAGCTAGTTTACCAACAAATCCATATAATCTGCATAACAACGCATCTTATTCTCAACACCAGCAATACCAACAACCTTACCAAAAACCCATAAAAGAAGAATCGGAACAAGACTTGGTAAAATCCAATTATAGTTCATCCCCTAATAAAAATGTTAAAAATTTAAAGCTTAATTTACACGATCAATCAAATTATCATCCAGTAACACAAAGTCATCAATCCCAAGAAGCTTTACAAAATCCATACCAAACCAACAGCACAGCACATACTCAAACAAAACCAGCCGTTCTGTCACCTTTATCACCAAACGAGTTTCAACAACAACGCCCACCAGCTAAAACTCCAGGTTCGTCAGCAACAAAAATCAGTTCACCCATGACACCTAACTCACAGTACACTGCCGGCTTCCGTTCTACATCCTCCCTGATGGCTTTTGCTGGTTATCATCACCCTCCAGTACATCATGTAGGTTCTCCAAGATTGACTCCAACACAAACAAAGATACATGCCGTACCTGGTTTACCTCTGCTGCCTTCGCATCCTGAGTTACAAGGAGTTTCACGTGATATTAAGTTGAAGAATGCATTAGAAGATTTGCATACCGATAACCCCAGATCCACAACGCCACAAAGTTATGACGATAAGGACGATGGATATTTCAATCAAGTGCATCATCAGCAACAACAACGCAGTCACAACCCATATGCAAGAACAAGAGAATCAGATGAATCAAGTGGTGTGCCAGCACGAGAATTTTCAGCTCAAGAAACCTCGTCATCTTCTCTTTCAACCACAATACCAACCGACTATTCCTATCATGAACCAGGTGCTAGTGTGACCAATGTTCCTTCATTATACTCGTTTGAACAAGGGTCAAGTGGGTATTCACAAGATGAGAGATCTTCTCTTAGTAGAACGATCCATCAGTTTGAACACACAGCCCAAGCCAGTCCTTCATATACATTTGTTAAAGGTGAAGCTTTATCACCCACCAACAATTATGAAGGCTCCCCTTCATCTTCACATTACCTTCGTCAATTGAACCCCGACAGTAGTTCAGGTGTACGGATGAGTCAGTTATCTATGGTTAGTTCAATTATTTCCAATGATTTAGTTTATCAAAGTAATGTAAACCAATCTGAAGACGATGACGACAGGAACGAAGAGGAAGATGAGATTGATAGAGAATTAGAGAGACAATTAGCTAGTTTGAAAATGGGTTCTGCAAATGTGTATGCTCCTGCAAGTGTTAAGCGTAAACCTCCGGTTCCTGAAGTACGTGTTGATTTGATTCACTCACCCGAAAGAAAACCTCCAATTCCTGAAGTACGTGTTGATTTGGTTCAATCGCCCGAAAGAAAACCTCCAATTCCTGAGGTGAGGATTGAATTAGCTGATTCACCTGAAGTAGTTCAAGAACCACAATTCCAACTGCAATTTAATACAGAAGTTGCGAAACATGAATTACCAGAGGAAGAAGATCTTGATGACGACTTGAATTCAATTGAATCGACACCACCACTTTCACTTTCACATTCAAGCAAACATTCGTCAAATGACAAAACCTACGTAGAGCCAGATCCACCAATTAAAATCCCAGAATTAGACGACGCAGTACCTCCGCTTCAGCCTAAAACTCACTCAATTGAAGAAGAGCTTAAGAACATGAACTTTGAAATCAAATCTACTAATGAATCACCTTCAATGTACATTAATCAAACCAATGTTGCTGACAACGTGACGGGACCAACTGATATCTCACCATATACGCCAGCATCTACTTCATCTTCCATTAACCCAGCCCCGGCTGGAACAGGCCCATGTCGTGGTTGTTTTTTTGAAATTGATCCTCATGCTAAAGGTTCCAATAAGGCAATCTTTTCCACAATGGGTGAACTTTCGGGGCAATGGCATAGGAAATGCTTCAAATGTTCATTCCTTAACTGTGATTTGCATTTTACAAAACATATTCCATGTTATGTGCTCAATGATAATCCATATTGTAATCAACATTATCATATGCTCAACCACACCATGTGTGAAAATTGTATGGAGGGAATTGAAGGAGAAGCCATTCAAAATGAAACGGGACAAATGTGGCATTTGGATTGCTTGAGGTGTACAGTTTGTCGTGATGTTATAAACAACGACTATTACTTGATTGACGGTGTAATTGTATGTGAAGCTGATGTTGGAAAGGTTACTAAACATGGAAACAATTCTATAGAGAAAAGAAAGACCAGAATCTTTCATGTATAAAGACAATGTATATTTATTAAGGTGTGTAATTATAATACTGTATCATTTCTATCTATTATAATTTCTCTATATTCAAACATTATTTGGACAGCACATCTTTATTATGTTCTGGTATATGTTCATGTTCATGTTCGAAATCTTCATCTTCGATAATGAAATTGTCTGCATCGAAGTCAGCGGAGTTTAATTCCACCTCAGTAGTATTCTCATTCATCTCTAAATCATCGTCAAAGTTACCAAACACTAATACATCGTCATTAACATAACGACGTTGATGATAACTGGCCAACTTCTTTTGCATCTTGAAATATATGATATATGCTGTGGCACTAGCTGCCGTTAGAGTAATTAATATACTCAACAAATCAACAAATTTTGTTGTTCCACTTCTTGTTTCATCACCCAACAGTTTCAACTTGTGTCCTACAAACAAATGAATCAATAATTTCGGGGAAGTAATAACAGTAGCTATAATGTACGTGCTAGCTGATAGGTTAGGGATCGAGGATAACGCACCATTGGATAAGGAATACGGCAATGGACATAATCGAATCAACACCAATAACACTAAGGAGTTATCATCGGTCATGCACTCTCCCAAGGCTCGGAAAGTTTCATTTTTATTAGTGAATCTTTGTGCATGTGCTTGGAGAATATAACGATATATGAAAAACGAAGCAATGCATCCTAAAACTGAAGCCAGAGCAAGCAAGGGCCACCCTTGAGGGAATCCGTAGATCATACCGGTAAGCATGGACAATGCGGTAAACCCAATAAGTGGAGGGAATCCAACCATGAATACAAGTATGAAAAGTATCACTGAACCGTACTTTAGTGAGTGCCATTGGTCAGAAACATAAATGAGGAATTTGATAATGTCAGCATGGAATATAAGCATAAGAATAAATGCGGTGGTAGCAAGAACCACGAATATACCAAGCGCAACCTGTGTTAACGAGGATTGCTTGGCGTACCATGTACTTGAGTGGTGGGTGAATTGTACGACCGTGTTCATACGTTGTGCTATGAGTCTCTGAAGAGAAGTCATGCCACTCGCTGATGTATTCGTTGGAGATATGAAGTGCACATCTGAGTTGGTATGAAGTCTAGGCATGACTTTGGGAATATGCGTTTCCGTACAGGGTGTTGTTGGTAACGATTACCCCAAGGGGACAAGTTTCTTTTTTTTTTTTTTGGCCTCCGTTAGGGATTAAGACAGGCGCGGTTAATTGCCCGAAAAACATCCGTAATTAAGACGATTCAAAATCTGGTAGTCTTAGTGCATAACGTAGCTAATGATGCTGAAGGATGCATATTATTCATGAGTAAACTACAGATTTTATCCAGAAAAAAAAACGATAGGTCTATTAGAATTTTTGGAGTACTTGCATCAAATTGACAGTTGAAACCAGTAAAGATCATGAGGCGTAAAAGCAATGGAAACAATTGTCACGAATACAGTTTGAACGGACAAAGGAATGACCTAAGATTACACATTAGATAGTCCAACAATGACCAATTCCACATATAATTACATATTTCATTATTCCTCTTTGTTGGTTGGATTGTAGCACTGCGAAAGAAGTAGCAAGAACTCCACGAGGATCAATTTGCATGACACAAAATCAGGGAATCACCACAGTCAAAGCATTTAGTTTGTTTTAGTTATTACTTGTTCACTGCTATAATGTTTTAATTGAATAAATGATGCTGATGTGGATTGTTTATTTGTTGTTTTGTGCACCCCCCCCCTCGTGTCTATTCTAATATTTGGAATTAAAGATATATTATTACCGGTATTACCCATGAGATCAAGGCAAAACGAAAACAATGTATATTGTTGGATATTATTGATTGTAAGGTACGGGAACCCATGCAAGGGACCCCTTGACACTGACCGTTGAAATCCGTTCATTGTCTTTTGCAACAATCGCGTTTTAGATATATTTGGCGCCATGAGCTTGTTATGTTGTTTCCAAGAGACAGAGAGTGGGTTAGGAACAATAGGGGTATAGTTCCTTTACCCAAAAAACTTATTTCTCCATACAATTAGTTTGTTGAGTGCTGTATTGTACATCCTAGACATAATTTATATGTTGAATCCCAATTGGTAATTGCAAAACCCCAGATTTAACAATCCTTCCCCACTTTTCGAATAGCTATTGGCATGATAGCTCAAGCAAACACTAATCCATTCAACACGAAAATATTTTTGAGAGAATAATGGCTCAAAAGTCCGCGTGTTGGTTTTCTTCGAGGTTTTAGTAATTCCGTTAGCTCCCCGTGTCTATTGTTAGTTGCAAAAGAATGGGCCACGCGTTTCAATATTTTTTATTGAAAAATTATTAGCTGCAAATTGCAACTAACCAAATATGAAGAGATATAAAACTTTTTAACTATGTTAATATTAGACAGCATTATTGAATACTACAACTACTCAATTACTTTGAACCCACGTTTTAGACAATTTCAAAAGTATATAAACTTCATCAATTTTCTAAACTCCCCAGATATCATGACCTCTAATTACTTCAGAACCAAACTAGACAAATCATGTACTTGATTCCTCAAATTCTTTTATTGTTGCAAGTTGTTCTTGCTACTTCTCCAACAAACGACTATGCTCCAGGGAGTGTCAGCTGTCCAGGAGGTCTGTTAACTAGAGCTGCTACTGGTATCAATACCCAAGAGGAAAATTACATTACCAACCGTAATCCAATCACCAAGTCTGCTTTGGGTACGTTCCTTTCCAATGCTGGATTAACTGACTTTGACGTCTCATCCTTCTTGAGTCAAGCACAACCTTCTATTGGTTTGGCTTTTAGTGGTGGAGGTTATCGTGCTATGCTTACCGGAGCCGGAGAATTAGCTGCTTTAGATTCCCGTACTTGGTCAAAGGATAAAACTTTGGCCGGTATCTTGCAAGCTTCAAGTTATATCACTGGTTTATCAGGTGGTAGTTGGTTAGTAGGAAGTGTTGCTTCCAATGACAACTTATCAATTGACCAGATTCTTGCTGATGGAAACTTATGGAATATCCAATCCATCTTAGATTACTATGGTATCAATGTCATCGGTGACACTGTCATGTGGAGTCATATTGCTGACCAAGTTAATGATAAGTCCAATGCTGGTTTTGAAACTAGTATCACGGACCCTTGGGGTAGAGCTCTTTCATATCAATTATTAACCAACTTTGATGACAAGGGCGATGCCGTCCTTTGGTCAGATATCACTTCGAGTTCTGCATTTTCCACCTTCCAAATGCCATTTCCAATCTTAGTTGCTGATGGAAGAGCCCCAGGTACTTCCATTATTAACTTGAACTCTACAGTGTTTGAATTAACTCCTTACGAGCTTGGTTCATGGGACCCAAGTTTAAAGTCTTTTGTCCAAACTAAATATCTTGGTACAACTTTGGACAATGGCCAAGCTACTGGTCAATGTTACAATGGTTACGACAATGCTGGTTTCTTTATGGGAACTTCATCTTCCTTGTTTAACGAAGCACTTTTGTCTTTGAACCAATCGGGACTTCCATCATTTATCACTGATCTTATCAACAAGTACGTTGTTGATCCTATTGAAAACTCCAACGTTGATGTTGCTGATTATAATCCTAACCCATTCTACAAGAGTACAAATCAAGATACTACTATCTCTAAGGCTTCCGTGTTAAACTTGGTTGATGGTGGTGAAGATGGTCAGAACATTCCTATTGTACCATTGCTTAACAGAAATGTTGATGTTATTTTTGCTCATGACAACTCAGATAACATCAACAGCTGGCCAGATGGGTCTTCTCTTATCAACACTTTTGAAAGACAATTCGTTCAACAAGGTGAAAATGTGGCTTTCCCATACGTTCCTGATCAAAAGACTTTCCGTAATTTGAACTTGACTTCCAAACCGGTATTCTTTGGTTGCGACGCTCAAAACTTGACTTCCTTAACTGATGATATCTACGATGTTCCTCTTGTGATATACTTACCAAATCGTCCATTCACCTACTGGTCTAATACCTCAACTTTTAAGTTGGACTATTCAGATACTGAACGTAATGGAATGATCCAAAATGGTTACGAAATCTCCACCAGAAAGAATGGTACTTTGGATTCTGAATGGGCTGCTTGTGTTGGATGTGCTATTATTAGAAGAGAACAAGAAAGATTAGGACAATCACAAACCCCTCAATGCCAACAATGTTTCACGAATTATTGTTGGGATGGTACTATTTACGAAGGGGCTGATTTAGGAGACAATTACAGTGATGATGGTTTGACCAAGAGTGCCACTTACTACAACTCCAAGAACGTTGCTGGGTTCGATGATGGTGCCACCAACTTGTTCAAATAGCCTTGGCGTAATATTTAGTTAGTTAGTTATAGTAAACTGATAGCTCTGAATCTGATTTGAGGTTACATTGTGTCTAGATTATTTAGAATATATTATTTGTCCTTTTGTCACGCATCACCATGTACAACTCCGTGAACAGATATCTAGCTTCGGGGAAGAGCGGGGACCTCCTACTGAAGGGATAAGTGAAACAATGTTCGTAGGTATATTTTTTGTTAGAACTCTAGGAAAGAGGCTGAAGTATATAGATTACGAACTTGTTGGATTCCAGGTATATCTGGGTTAACCAAGGCGTGTAACTCCGAGATTTCTTTTTTTTTTTTTTTTTTGCCAGATCATGAGAGAGGGGGGTGGGTGGGTGCGCAACTAAAAAATAAAAATTAGATTCGCAGCAGTTGCAGATCTTGCATATTCCACCCCTCTTTTTTGACATTTCTCTTGGCGTAGATTTGAGTTCCAGAAAATAGTAGAAACAACCTATAAATGACTAAAATGGTAAGCGAGCAACTTGGAAATTAATAGACTAAATAGACTATAGGAAAAGTCAGTTGCATTTAAAATGTTGCTGCTATTTTCAAACAGAACTGAAGAAATAATTAACACTTGCATCGCGTTTCTGAACTAATTTCTCGTATTAACGAACCCACCCCGCCTGGAAACATGAAAGGTAACAAAGAAAATTAGCTGATATCATTAAGTGGTGCAGATATCTTACGAAGGGGCTCAATTATATGTGGCTGCTGTTTTTGAAATTCCATTCATTGTCTTCGATCCTTAATGACATGATGAGCATATTTTGAATATTAAACTTTAACTGACCGGAGATTGGATTAGGGGGAAACATCCCTTTCACGAGTTTAAGACGTGCAAAATTTGTTGAGCTTTGTTCTAAGCCTTCCTTTGTACACAGAAGATAAGAGTTCGCGCCCTCGAATTTAATGTGCACTACAAATACTCCCATACGCCATCCAGCTACTCCCCTAATTTTTAAGTTACACCGGAACGACCCTCCGTTAAACATTAATCCGGTAGAGGTTAAAATAAATTCGTTCACGAATGATACCGGAAGTCCGCGTATTAGTTTTCGTGAAGTTTGGGAATTCAATGACCACCCGCTGTCCATTGTTTCACTAGAAAATTATCCCACATGTTGAAAAAAATATCACAAAAAATATAGCTGCAAACTGTAATTAAAAAATTATCTACCATGAATCGAGCTTCTGGCATATTTTCAATTAGGTTACAATTGGATACCATTAGTAATCCCCAATTAATATTATTTGGCCTCAGTGGACGCCCTCCAATTTTCAATGAATTGTAAACATATAAAAGCTCAATTGATTCCAAGGACATTCAATCTACCCTCGTAATAGCACCACATTCAAAAATACCATGTACTTGATTCCTCAAATCCTATTACTACTACAGGTTGTACTTGCAACTTCTCCTACTAAGGGATATGCACCAGGTGCTGTTAATTGCCCGGGAGGTCTGTTAACTAGAGCTGCTACTGGTATCAACACCCAAGAGGAAAATTACATTACCAACCGTAATCCAATTACCAAGTCTGCTTTGGGTACGTTCCTTTCCAATGCTGGATTAACTGACTTTAATGTAGCTGCCTTCTTAGGTGAAGCCCTGCCATCAATAGGGTTAGCATTCAGTGGTGGTGGATATCGTGCTATGCTCACTGGCGCTGGAGAGTTAGCTGCTTTGGACTCTCGAACTGGTTCCAAAGACAAGACATTAGCTGGTATCTTGCAAGCTTCCAGTTATATCGCTGGTTTATCAGGTGGTAGTTGGTTAGTTGGAAGTGTTGCTTCCAACAATTATTTGTCCATTGACCAAATCCTTGGCAATGGAAACTTATGGAACATTAATTCTATCTTGGATTATTACGGTATTAATATCATTAGTGATGGTCTCATGTGGACCGAAATTGCTGAACAAGTTAATGATAAGTCCAAGGCTGGATTTGAAACTAGTATCACGGATCCTTGGGGTAGAGCTCTTTCATATCAATTGTTGAGCAACTTCAATGATAAAGGTGACGCCGTCCTTTGGTCAGACATTACTACCAATTCAGCTTTCACTTCGTTCCAAATGCCATTTCCCATCTTAATCGCTGATGGAAGAGTAGCAGGTACTTCTATTGTGAGTTCGAATTCTACAGTATTTGAATTGACACCTTATGAGGTTGGTTCGTGGGATCCAACCTTGAAGTCATTTGTTCAGACCAAATATATGGGTACCGCTTTAGATGGTGGAAAGCCTACCGGTAAATGTTACAATGGTTACGACAATGCCGGTTTCTTTATGGGCACTTCCTCATCGTTGTTCAATGAAGCACTTTTATCATTGTCTTCGTCTGGTCTTCCATCGTTCCTTACCAAGCTTATCTCCTCTATAGCCAACTCAGATGCTGATGTTGCAGATTACAAACCTAATCCTTTCTACAAGAGTACCAACCAGGATACCACTATTTCCAAAGCTTCCGTTTTGAACTTGGTGGATGGAGGTGAAGATGGTCAAAATATTCCTATCCTACCATTGCTCAATAGAAATGTCGATGTTATCTTTGCTCATGATAACTCAGATAATATTAACAACTGGCCAGATGGTTCATCTCTTATCAACACTTATGAAAGGCAATTTACTTCACAAGGGCAAAATATCGCATTCCCTTATGTTCCTGGTCAAAGCACGTTCCGAAACTTGAACTTAACCTCTAAACCAGTATTTTTTGGATGTGATGCGCAGAATTTGACCTCGTTAACGGAGAATATTTATGATGTACCTCTCGTTGTTTACTTACCAAATCGTCCATTCACTTACTGGTCAAACACTTCTACCTACAAGTTGGATTATTCAAACGCTGCACGTAATGCAATGATCCAAAATGGTTACGAAATCTCCACCAGAAAGAATGGTACTTTGGATTCTGAGTGGGCTGCGTGTATCGGTTGTGCAATTATCAGAAGAGAGCAAGAAAGGTTGGGTCAGACCCAATCTGCTCAATGTCAACAATGTTTTAAGAATTACTGTTGGGATGGTACTATTTACCAAGGTCCTGATTTAGGTGATAACTACAGCGATAATGGGTTGACCAAGAGTGCCACTTACTACAACTCCAACAATGTTGCTGGTTTCAGTGATGGTGGAACAGACTTGTTCAAGTAGTTCCAGTTAGTTATTTACGAAATCTTTATAGTATTGCCGTGATAACGCGGCTCAGAAAATATTATTTGTATTGTTACTTTAGATCATCATGTAAGGACCCCTTCGTAAGTTTTGTTGGGATCGGGCGGGGTGGGGTGGACCTAATGAAGGAGGAGTGAGTAAAAATTTCTAGAAATATTTTATTATTATTATTATTATTATTATTATTTTGAGATATCACATAAAAACGAGGCTGATGAAGTAAAATTAGAACGCCTTAGATAAAATGTGCTAGGGTGATTGTAGTAAATGGATTATGATATACTTGGATAATTCGGAAATAGTAATTTCCGCACGATCGATATCCATTTAGTCAGACATAATCTGATAAAGTATAAAATATAATAGAGACAACTTTTTTATACCCGTTTAACCATAAAAGTAAACAAACAATAAAATCAACTCATTTTCTTCCATAGTAATGTTGTGAGTGTAACTAAATTATCTTGTGGGATTTTCACAACACAACAATAATCCCACACAATATATCAGACCAATTGATAATTATCACTAACTAATGGTCCTGTAAAAATTAAGATACAGTTGAACTGGGGTAAAGGATATTACGAACTCCCTGATGAAATAACCTGATCGTTCCATTTTCTCGTAAATGAAACAACCAAAATCTCATCACAATCAAAAAAATATTTCGTAATTATAAATCAATTTATGAAAAACACAATTGCGGAGAAAAGCACGTTCATTGTTTAGTAATAATGTAAAAAGGACTATACATCCCCCCCTATTTCCCACTTTTTAGAAATGTTAGAATTGAAAGCCAATCACAATAATGCATGTATTAGCAATCTTGCTTTTGATTCAATTGGCAATTGCTATATCTCCTACGAAAAATTACACCCCGGGGAAAGTCAAATGCCCAGGAGGGAAATTAACACGGGAAGCTAATGGAATTTGTGCATCTGAAGTAGAATATGTTAACAATCGGAAAGACATTGCCAAGACTAATTTGCGCCAGTTCCTTAAACTGGTATCAATGCGTGATTTCGATGTTGATGGGTTCCTTGATAGTGGGGCACCGTTGCCAGTTATTGGTATGGCATTCAGTGGTGGTGGGTACCGGGCTATGCTTTGTGGTGCGGGACAAATATCAGCTTATGATTCAAGGGTGAAATCAAAAGATAAAACCTTGGCTGGTCTTTTACAATCCACTACATACTTATCAGGTCTTTCCGGTGGGAATTGGCTTGTTGGAAGTCTTATTTCAAACAATTTTATTTCTATTGATGAAGTACTTGCTCATAAGAAATTATGGGATATAGACAACGCTTTGCTTGATTATTATGGTGACAATTTCATTGCTAATAAGATCATGTGGGCAGCTATATCAATGCAAGTCTGGAGTAAAGATTTGGCTGGGTTTGAAACTAGTATGACTGATATCTGGGGAAGAGCTCTTTCTTATCCATTATTAGCAGCTACTGAAGACCAAGGAGATGCATTCTTGTTGTCAGACGTTACTTCTTTGCCTGCTTTTAAAAGCTATGATATTCCATTCCCTATTTTAGTGGCCGATGGGAGAGCGCCAAATTCCACAATTATCAATTTGAATTCCACCGTATTTGAGATAACTCCTTATGAAGTTGGATCATTTGATCCTAGTTTGAACACATTTGTTCAAACCAAATATCTTGGAACACAATTAGATGACGGTGTTCCTAAGAAGGACTGTATAAATGGGTACGACAACGCGGGATTCCTTATGGGTACTTCCTCATCATTGTTTAACCAATTTATCTTGCAGTTAGACAAGGCTGGTCTTCCGCCATTTATCAACGATTTGATTAAGAAGTATATTCTTGATCCATTATCTAAATCTAATGAAGACGTCGCCAACTATAATCCAAATCCATTCTACAAATCAACTAACCCAGAAACTACCATCTCAGGATCAAAAATTTTGCATTTGGTAGATGGAGGAGAAGATGGCCAAAATGTGCCATTACTTCCATTACTCAATCGTAAAGTGGATATAATTTTTGCCCATGATAATTCTAATGACCATAAGGGATTTCCAGATGGCACATCTTTGATTGCTACTTATGAAAGACAATTTGTCCAACAGGGTAAGAGCATGGCATTCCCATATGTTCCCGGCCAAAGCTCATTCAGAAACTTGAATTTAACTTCAAAACCTACATTTTTTGGCTGTGATGCTAAAAATCTTTCTACATTAACAGACAACATCTATGATGTTCCACTTGTAGTATATATTGGAAATCGTCCATTTAGCTACTGGTCCAATACTTCTACTTTTAAAATGGAATATAAAGAAAATGAAAGAAGAGGAATGATTAAAAACGGGTATGAAGTAGCTACCAGAAAGAATGGAACTTTAGATTCAGATTGGGCTGCATGTGTTGGTTGTGCTATCATCAGAAGACAACAAGAAAGAACTGGTCAAGAGCAATCTGAACAGTGTAAACAATGCTTCAAAAGATATTGCTGGGACGGTACCATTTATAAGGGTGCTGATATTGGTGAGAATTACGATGATGAAGGACTTACTCTTACTGGCAAGTATTATAACGGGAACAATATTCCAGGTATCAAAGATGGAGGTACTGAGCTCTATTGAGAGGCTAGAGGCTACTGTCTTCTTCATTAAAGATCTTATTTAGAGACAATAATTTTTGTTTTATTTTTAATTTTTTTTTTTTTGCTTTTTCAGAAATGACCAAAATTGTAGTTGACAAAAATCTGTGCAATGGAAAAACCATTGGTATTCGCAGCCATCTCCAAATGTAGATCATTTTTCCACCTGTATAATTAACGTTACCAAACAACAAGAACAATGGAACAATGGGCTTGACATATCAATGCTATGCAGCACATAGTTCCAACAATGTGATTGTACCCTGCCACCTGGATTATTGTTGCGAAAACATTGTTTGGGTCCGGCAACGGTCGCACCCATAGATCTGTGCACTTACAAATTCTGGGACTTGCAACCAAGAAGCCCTTAGTGTGTGATCGAATTCTCCCAAAGTACCATCTTATAAAATGGTTCCAATGATGTACCACCTATTTGCAAGATCAAGTTTATTCAAGAACAAATTGAAAACCAAGATGAACCTAATATTATATTTAACGTTATTGTTGCCAGTTTTTGCAACATCGCCAACTAACGATTATACTCCAGGAAAAGTGAAATGTCCTGGCACCAAACTAACTAGACTAGCTACAGCAATAAACTCTAAGGAGGTTGGATATATTTCAAATAGAGGCAAATTTTCAAAATTGCATCTCACTAACTTTTTACACAACGCTAACATGTCCGATTTCGATATTGACAAATTTTTGGAAACAAACAAACCCATCATTGGTCTAGCATTTAGTGGAGGTGGATATCGGGCAATGTTGAGTGGTGCAGGTCAGTTAGCTGCACTTGATTCTAGAGTAACATCACCAGATAGAACTTTAGCTGGCCTTCTCCAGTCATCATCGTACATCACAGGATTGTCAGGCGGCAGTTGGCTAATAGGCAGCTTAGCATGTATTGACTTCCCCTCCGTTGAACAAGTGATGCGCGATAACATTCTATGGAATTTTGAGCATTCTATTCTTGACTACTATGGATTGAATGTGGCAGCTAACAAATTAATGTGGGCTATGATTTCATTAGATGTGTTAGGAAAACAAATGGCCGGCTTTGCAACTAGCATAACTGATCCTTGGGGACGAGCTCTTTCATACCAGTTACTATCTACACTTAAGGACAACGGAGATGCTATGCTTTGGTCGGATATCACCAATAGCTCAAGCTTTAAGAATTTTCTGATGCCATTTCCTATAATAAGTGCCGTTTGTCGTGAGCATGGAACTTATATTAGGAGCATCAACTCCACTGTTATTGAATTCACTCCGTATGAGATGGGTTCATGGGATCCCTCTTTGAATTCGTTTGTTGACATCAAGTACTTGGGGACAAACCTAGATGATGGGATCCCCAAGGAGGGAACTTGCATGAGTGGATATGATAATGCCGGGTTTATAATGGGAACATCGTCTAGTGTATTCAATGAAGCAATCACAGAATTAGATCAATCTGGGCTACCAAGCTTCCTCATTGAGTTAATCAAGAAATATATTCTTACTCCTATTGAAAGACACAACGGTGACGTAGCCAATTATCATCCAAACCCGTTTTACAACAGTAAAAATCAGAAAACACGTCTCGCCAATTCCGATACCTTGCTCCTTGTCGATGGTGCCGAAGATGGTCAGAATATCCCATTGGTACCTCTTCTCAATCGTAATGTTGATGTTATATTTGCCCACGATAATTCAGCCAATACTGATGGTTGGCCAGACGGGAGATCTTTAATAGCAACTTATGAACGGCAATTCTCTCTTCAAGGCGAAAATTTGGCATTCCCTTATGTTCCCGATCAGTCCACGTTCAGAAACTTAAACCTTACTTCCAAACCTGCGTTTTTTGGATGCGATGCACAAAATTTGACTACGTTAACTGATGATATATATGGGGTTCCAGTCGTGGTATATTTGCCTAACCGACCTTTTTCATATTGGTCAAATACATCTACATTCAAATTAGTCTACTCAGAAAATGAACGACGTTCAATGATTAGAAATGGATATGAAGTATCCACAAGAAAAAACGGGACATTGGATTCCGAATGGGCGGCATGTATGGGTTGTGCAATTATTAGGAGAAGTCAAGAAAGAAATGGCCAAGAACAATCCGAGCAATGTAAGCGATGCTTCAAGAGATATTGTTGGGATGGTACTATTTATAGTGGACCGGATTTGGGTGATAATTTTAGTGATGAGGGGTTGACCAAAAGTGATCAATACTACAACAAGAAGAATACACCGGGGTTTAATAACGGTGCAACCAAGTTTTTCTAATACTTTTGTAGTAGATTGTTGTTTTTATTTTTTTTTTATTTGTCTTGTTTTGCTTTGTTTTGTTATCGCGTGATGGTTCCAGATTACTGCAAAACAATCCAAATTTTTACGAATATGATACTTTAATGCAACCTAGGGTTGTTCGTATGTTTCATCGGGAAACAAAGAGGGGTTGTTGCTACAGAAAATGTAACATCAATGTCTATATTTGAATTAATCTATAAATAATCATAAAAAAAGGAAACCAAAGAATCTATCTATTGTACATGAAATTTCGTGAAGCAGTGTCTAACATACAGAATCATCTTCTAAAAGTCTTGGGAAATCTTCAACACTTCCATCTTCGTAGATAACCTTGTATGTAGCTTCAAATAATGGGAATTGATCTTGTAACAGGAAATTTTCCAATAATTCGTGAACTTCCTTAGCAGTGATTATCCCTTGGGAACTTTGACCCTTCAAGACAATCTTTTCAGCTTCCCAGGCATCAACATTGTTTTCAACCATGTATTTAGTAACCTTAACGTTACGACCACCACTACAGGTAGTGATCAAGTCAGCGACACCAGCACTTTCTTCGGTGAATGTAGAGTGACTTGGTGGAGCTAACCCCTTAATACCAAACTTCTCCCAATGAGAAGCAAAGTTGATGATTTCTCTGATACCAATTCTCATGATGGCAGCACGAGCGTTATCACCCCAACCAGCACCAATGACGAAACCAACGGCACAGGCAACAACGTTTTTCAAGGCACCGGCTATGGAAGCACCAACGACATCTCTGATGACTCTGACGTGGAAGTAAGGTCTGTGGAAACATTGCTTCAATACAAATTCGTCAATATCACGTCCAGCTCCACGGAAATCAGCTGGTAAGGTATATGCGATAGAAGTTTCAGACCATCTTCCTCTAGCGACTTCTGAAGCGATATTGGCACCAGAAAGAACACCACAGTAGATTCCCAACTTTTCAGTGATGGATGTGGATAATAATTTACAACCTTCAGGACCAACTTCCAATCCCTTTAAACAGGAAATGGCTCTGGCGGTAGGCTTGACGTGGCCATCTAGTTGTTTGACGATTCTTCCCAAGAATTGATGAGGAATGTTGAACACAATCAAATCAGCGTCCTTCACTGTATCAACAATATCAGGGTTGGCAATCAAGTTGGCAGGTAACTTAACATCTGGGAGATACTTGACGTTTTCGTGTTCGGTATTGATGATGTCGGTAAGTTTGCGGTCTTCGATCATTTCTTCGTAGACCCACATATTGACTTCCCGTTCGAATATTTCTTGCTTTTCGGCAGTGTTTTCAGCCACGAGTTTGGCAACAGCGGTACCCCAGTTACCGGATCCAATGATGGAAACTTTGAATGGCTTTGCGATATGATAAGGAGTGGATACGGTCATATTGTGTATAGTAGTGTATGTATAAATATTTGTTTTAAAAAAAGTGTAAAGTATAGACTAAATAAACAGCAAGTGATAATACAAGGGGATAAGGATGGTTATTTATACTGATAGGGGGGGAGGGGAGGGGCGAGAACAAAGGCAACGTTACGAGAATCAAAAATAATTTTCTTGTTTGCCTCTCCTGTCTGCAACGAAAATTATTTCAGGTATGGTGAACATTAGCGATGTCTGCGTCTATTTTTGGGCTTAGTGTTTTTTTTGTTGTGCAGTTTTGATAAAAAATAATTTCTTATACTATGAGATCTCTTTAGGTTACATGCAGTCCGATCCAACGTCGTTTCTTTTTTGGTTGTACTTTTGACAGATTTTGTGTCACATTCATTTGTGAGCCTCCAAGTTTTTCCGATAATATGAAACCGTTTTTAAACAAACGTTGTATGATGTAATAATTCCTGGATCTAGAATAGCAAACGCAAGTATAGACAATCTAATAACAATGCAAAGGATGTTATGTGATGTTAATGCATTCTGCGATGAGTTTGATTAAGAATGTGTATTGTGGTAAACCCTGACTACTGTTAGTCACCTATTTTTTTTCAATCATGAGACTGAACTAAACGCATCATGTCTTTTCTTTTTTTAAATTGTTCTTTTTTTCTTTGGTTTTTCCGCAATCAATCATGCACATCACCAGTGGTTCCTGGTCAGCCGTCGCCTCTATTTTAGTTAGTGATGATCCTGACACATGCTAATGTCTCGAGCTAATTGGTTCGATAATTTTCAATGAGTGTAATAATCGTTGATCCGGCATGTGCGGAAATATGCAGTAGTTCTAGAATTGGCATAAACGTTTATCTTGCTTGATACTGGTCTCGACCAGTGTTTGTACAATCTATGACATAACCAGTTGGTACATAATACAAAGAGAATAAGATAAAGACAATCAAACACAATCAAACACAATGGATAAAGGATTTCCGTTTGTGCAATAAACTTATGTGCGATGATGCTCATCATTACGTCACATGTTATGTCCGAGTTCTTAATCAAGTTTTTTTTTATTCTCTTGCTCATCACGTTGATAAAGTGAAGCGCCTCGGCTTAATCCCTTTCTGTTTATTATTTGTCCCAATTAGTGGTTCCTTCTTTGTACTGATTACTAGGTTAACTTTAGTTTGTCTTGTTCATTACTATATAATTATTTGACCGTTTGTTTGACACAAACTATAACATTTCTTAGCCCATGACGTAATTCCTGTACCTCACATGTGTCCCCGATGATACAAATACAACCAATCTACAGGACTATTGTAAGTCATCTTCATGCCGATAATCATCATACAGCTCTTGCATCATACGGTTTATATGTGGTGCAGGAACAGTTTGGTCTAACCAGTCTACATCATCCATCCAATCATTTGCTTGTACTTGGCCACCACTGATGATTCTAGCAGCTGTAAATGGATCATTTATATCCTCCAATTGTCCATCCTTAATATGGGCTAAAGGGTCAGGCAACTTGTTTTCATGAGCTGGATCTTTAACATCAGAGCTCTGGGCCCGTTGTTGTTGGAGGTTTATCTGTCCATCTTGCACCCATCCATCATGATGCACTGGATTGTCGACGATGCAATGGTTATCAAGAGTTCGTGGAGCTGCACTAGCAATGTCTTCTTGGTTTTGTTGTTGTTCGCGAATATCCTGTCCCGAGGCAACATCGACTAGCTTATCTCCTTCCAACTCGACGTGCCTATTACCAATGGAATTCATCAACTTTAAGAAGCTGGAGTTATTAATTTTGTTTTGCATCTCTTCGTCTTGGGAATTGGCACTTAACATCGCCGACTGGACTTTTCTAGCTGTCTGTGCAAACTCCTCTTTATCTTTGGCATTGTTACTATCAGCAATCTCAATCTCAACCGCGTCTGTTTCTGCAGTCCTTGCTTGTGCCATGAGTTCTTGTTCAATCATATCAAATTGACTCTCAAATTGCTTCTGTTGCTGTTCCATCTTGTGAACTTCTTGATGTTCCGATTGTTGTTCATATACAGGGTGAGATTGGACCATGCTATTCATTCCATAATTAAGTCGCCCACTCATGTAACCAGGTGTTATTTGTGATCCTTGTGCTACCTGCGCCTGAGGTTGGGCCTGTTGTTGCTGACGAATTTGCATAAATTGCTGTTGCCAGTCATTTGACTGGATCGGGTGCTGCTGTGTGGATTTGTTAATCGATAAGTTTGAAAAATCATTGACCCACCCGGGTTGACCCATCATTTGGGGTTGTCCTTGTATTTGAGGCAGTTCAGTTTGCAAGCGAACATTATTCATGAAAGCCTGTCCACCAATATCCCCACTTTGATTAAACCTCTGGAAATCATTATTCAACCGTGGATCAATATTCCCGCTGCGGAAACCATGTATTGGGTTGGCTCCGGTTTGAATGTTTCTCGATTGCAGATGCTGGAGTGAGGTGTCTCTTTGCGCATGCTTGGAAAGATTTTGGAGGGCACTGGTAGGTCCACAACTTGCTGAGTCCATGATATAGCGTGTTTCTATTAAATATATATAATCAAAAAGTATACTTTAAAGATGTATTGCTGGAGAAAGAACAGCTGACGATTGCTGATAAATTTAAATTTACAAGTGATAAATTTATTACCCTCGGGATTTATCTTTAGTGGGGAAAAATAAAAAATCGTCACGTGATAGATTGCCCCTCAATTAGGTAAAACTATCCCCCCCTCCTCCTCCCCGAGACATATGTGATATACATGATGATATATTAATATACACTAAATATTTGCTTTTTGGTTACTTTCAAATAGTTCAGCGAATGCAGTAGGTAAGCATTCATGGACGTTTGTAGTCTGCATCGCTCTTCCATGCTTGGCAAACGCCTTGGCCGCTGAACTTCTTACAAGTGAGCATGCAGCATAACATGCAAGAACTTGGGCATCACCCTCCAGAATATCTCCCTTTGTGTCCCATACTTTGTCAAGATAGTTATATGACCAGTTGACAAACGTAGCTAGTGATCCTGTAAGGGTATCGCCTTGTCCGCCAACTCTTCTACTAGATCCTGAGAAGTCATTCACCAAATAAGTATCCTGGTAGGCAATGACTTCTTGTCTTCCCTTCCTGATCACAGTGACTCCTAGTTTCTTGCTCATGGTTTGCGTTTCTTCAATAAGTGTATTGACGTTTTGTTCAGATATGCTTGAGTCAATTCCCAATGTCTTTGCAATACGATCAAACTCGACAACGTTCGGAGTAATTATGGCCTTCTTATAGCCCAGAATAATGTTTGGATAAATGGAAATTAGAAATAATGAATCAGCATCAAGGATGATCGGCAAGTCCATCTGTTTAATTTCATCAATAATGCGAACCAATGATTTCATCATTAATGGATCCCTTCCAAACCCAGGTCCTACAACAACAATGTCGGTTCTGGCAAGCAATCCCTTCACTTTCGGCATAACCAAATCATCAATTATAGAATTTAGTAGGGCTCCATCAGTTATCACATCCTTCAAAGGGGTTTTTCTCAATTGGTCGATTTCCGCTTGTGCCAATTTGATAGCAGGATTATCCAAATCATACAAGTATGGATGAATCATCAAGTCAGGCAGATATGACTTGATAACGGGGGCAGCATGGCGCTCACATATAACATGGGATAAGTCAGCACCTACTAATGCTGCTGAATGGCAAGCAAAGAACGGAGCTCCTGTGTAATCCTCATTGCCTCCTATTACAGTGACCTTGCCTGATTGACCTTTGTGGAAGTGGGGGAGGAGAGGTTGAACCAAGTTTCGTGATATATTGATCAATTCCTTTGGTGATTTATTACGAAGCATTTGTACTAGTAGTTGCTTTAAATGTGTTTTTGGTTTTGGTTTTGAAAGCAACAGATCATATGATTATGAACCAATTTTTGGTAGTGCATATAATGTTTTGCTGCATTGGCCATGGGAGGAGGCGGTTGGGGGGGGAGTTTAAGGGCTGGGGGATATCGGTTATATGCAGTTCGCGGAATGGTTGGAATTCCAACTTTTTTTTTTTAGATTTTAAGTCATAGATTACTAATTATTATGCTGGGGTAATTTGCAATTGATAAGCCAATTAGATGGAGAGAAGGTGTGTATGTGGTGGGTCGAATGGTGCAGCTTTCAATTAGTGCCGGTATAACCGCATTCAACGCCACTATTCCCTCATTTATTGTTCACGTTTTATTATTGTGAACGTTCTCGCCCAATCGGAAAATAACTTTTCCCTTTGGTGGGAACTGCAATGGTTGAAAAATTACAATTCCACAGTTTGGAATTTTACGCCATTTAAGTTCCTTCTTTCGTTCTTTTTCTCGTCACCACTGTGTTTACTTATCTATTTCGTAATCCACAATGTCACTTTCTCATTCTTTCGCCAAACTTTCCCACCCTAAATATTTAATCCCTATTGCTGGAGTCGCTGTTGCTTCTATCGGATTAGCCTACCAATACTCAACTATGTCTACTGCCCCAATCTCCAACGAAGCTAAAGTCACCTTTAAAGGTGACAACGAATGGGTTGACTTAAAGCTTCTCAAATCTGAAGACTTGACTCACAACACCAAGCACTTGACTTTCAAGCTCAATTCCGAAGACGAACTTTCCGGTTTAGTCACTGCTTCTTGTCTCTTGACCAAGTTTGTCACTGCTAAGGGTAACAACGTTATCCGTCCATACACCCCAGTTTCCGACACTGAACAAAAGGGTACCATTGAATTCGTCGTCAAGAAGTACGAAGGTGGTAAGATGTCTAGCCACATCTTTGACTTGAAGGAAAACGAAACCTTATCCTTCAAGGGTCCAGTTGTCAAGTGGAAGTGGGAACCAAACCAATTCAAGTCTATTTCCTTGATTGGTGGTGGTACCGGTATCACTCCATTGTACCAATTGTTGCACGAAATCACCAAGAACCCAACTGACAAGACTAAGGTCAACTTGATTTTTGGTAATGTTTCCACTGATGATATTTTGATCAAGAAGGAAATCGACGCTATTGCCAATGCCCACAAGGACCAAGTCAAGGTCACTTACTTCGTTGACAAGGCCAAAGAAGGTGAAGCCTGGGAAGGTAAGGTTGGTTACATCACCAAGGACTTTTTAGCTTCCGAATTGGACAAGCCTTCTTCTGACACCAAGGTCTTTGTCTGTGGTCCTCCAGGTTTGTACAAGGCTGTCTCTGGTCCAAAGGTTTCTCCAACCGACCAAGGTGAATTGACCGGTGCTTTGGCTGAATTGGGTTACACCAAGGAACAAGTCTTTAAGTTTTAGAGATGTTACATAAATTGTATAAGTTATATATAAAATTTTGGATTCTGATTTTACTTATAGAAATTGTAAACTTAAAACCAGCTTTCAAACTCTTGCTAAAAAAAAAAAATACTGTAGCATTAAACAAATGTCATCTGTCAGAATTGCCATCCAAGGATGTGCCCATGGCGAACTCGAGCAGATCTACGCCAAGATCGATCCTAAAACGGATCTTCTCTTGATTTTAGGTGACTTTCAAGCTCTTCGGAGCACTCAAGACTACCAAGCCCTCAATGTACCCGCTAAATACCGTGCCCTTGGTGATTTCCATTCCTACTATAGTGGCGCGTTAACTGCACCTTGTCTTACGATTTTCATTGGCGGGAATCATGAAAATAGTGCGTATTTGCAAGAACTCAAGTATGGAGGCTGGGTTGCTCCGCGAATGTATTATCTTGGTGAATTTGGTAGTGTATGGTATCGAGGAATTCAGATCGCAGGATGGAGTGGAATTTTCAATAGATCCACGTTCTTGCGCAATAACATGTATGTTGAAAAACCACCGTATCGCAGAGATGAACTCGTGAGCGTTTATCATCAGAAATTGACCGCATTTATAAAGTTGTATATGATGAATCATGACTTGGATGTGGTGATGAGTCATGATTGGCCCGTGGGAATTGAAGATTATGGTGATAAACGAAAACTATTGGCTCTTAAACCGTTTTTTAAGAAGGATATAGAGAATAAGGAGTTGGGGAGTCCGTTGAATAAGTTCTTATTGCATCATTTACGTCCGAGATATTGGTTCTCAGCTCATTTGCATGTGTTATTTGAAGCGAGTGTAAGCTATAAAGGGGAGGTTAACAGTAAAGAACAGTCGAAGTCTTCTAATAATGATGAGATAGCATTGAATATGGATGATGAAACTGAGAAAGAAATTTCCAACAAGGACAAGATAAACTTGGATATGGATGAGGAAGAGTCAAATTCTGTTGTTAATAATGAAAAAATCGAATTAGATATGGATGATGATGATGATGGTAACAATCAAATACACCTTGATATGGATGAAGAAGAACCAATTCCATCACTTGAACTGAGCTTGTATTTAAGTAACCCACAACCAAAGAAGACACCACCTCGAATGTCTCCCTCGGACCACAGTACTAACTTCTTAGCATTGGATAAATGTGGGAAACGTCGTATCCATCTCCGTCATATAACAATCACCCCTGACGAAGCACACCAATCCCACCCTTCATATAAAGATAACAAGCTATATTATAGCAGACGAGCAATTGCGATTAATAAAGTACTCGAAACTTATCTCAAATCACACGAAGATGAATTTCGCGGCATAAACACAAGAAAGATCCTTGAAGACCCTCACAACTTAGTTTTGGTTAATGAGTTGATGCCATTGGTGGAATTGGAATTGAGAAAGTTGAGTGGGATGAAGGATGAATTGTTTATTGTGCCGGAGTCTTTTAAAGTTGTAGCTCCAACCGAAGATGATGGTTCCCAATTGAAGTTTTATCCAAATAATCAAACTGAAGAATATTGTAAAAAGTTTGATGTTGTTTCACCGGATTTAGCATAATATAATTACATAGAATACTTAATCTACCCCTTCATCAGAACTATGACCTAATTGTTCTTATTGTAAAGTTTTACCAATTATGAGTTTCTTAAAGTCTAGAATAGACATTGGTGGCTATGCTTTTTTTTTTGCTAACTCCAAATGTATTACTTGACAGAGCAATTCACGGCCGAACCAAAATCTCCGTAAATGGACTTGCTTATCAACAATAGAAACCATTTTCCACTTGTTAGTATTTCGGACATAACCAAGAATAGCCCCTTTAGGCAATGTCCGTGAAAAAAATTATCGTTAGGGGCGAAAAGAGGGGAAGACCACAATAGAAAATAAACTATGTTTACAATTAACTCTCGGAGCCGATAATCAACTCAGTTAATACCATCGGGTTTCGGAAAATAGATTTAAGTACTATTGAAGAGCAACGGCACGGCTTGCTGCATTAGAATTCCGTCCCGTTCAAGTGTACTATATAATAGGCTGCAAAAAAAAACAAATTATCCTACTCATGTTGACATTATTCAAATACTAAAGAAAAATTCATTATGAATCCAAAAATTCCTTCTAAAACGTGTGCAGATTGGAAACAATTATTCCAGGGCCAATACCCTGGCAAACCAAGCTTTACTGAAGACAAGTATCCAGATTTAAAGGGTAAGGTTGTAATTGTTACTGGTGGTAATTCCGGAGTTGGTTATCAAACAGTTAAATCTTTGGCTGGTAGTACCGAAGCGAGAATTTACATTTTTTCCAGAAATGAACAAAAGAGTTTGGATGCAATTGCCCAAATTCGTAAAGAGGTTGCCCAAGAGTATAAAGTATTCAACCCCGATATCCACTTTGTCAAGGTTGACTTGAGTGATTTGACTACGGTTAAACCTGCAGTTGAAGAATTCTGTAAACGCGAAACTAGATTGGATATTATCATTCACAACGCAGGAGTCTTGATGCCACCTACAGGCAGCAAATCTGCTCAAGGGTATGAATTGCAATTAGGTACAAACGTAATTGGACCCCATTTATTACAAAGACTCTTGGATCCAATCTTTATTAAGACTTCTAAGACGAATAAGCCTGGAGAATCAAGAATCGTTTGGGTATCATCTTCGTTCCATTTTTTTGCTCCACAGGGTGGGTTTTTCTGGGATGACTTAAACTATGAGCAAGTTAAGAGTATGTTTTTGTCGCGATACTATGCCGTAACCTTGTATGGACAAAGCAAGGCCGGTACTGTTATCCAAGCAAGAACGTGGTCACTCAAGCATAATGCTCCTAATGTGATCAGTAGTTCCGTATGCCCAGGTTATTTAAAGACTGGGTTACAAAAGGATTGTACCATGTTTGAGAAAGTGGTCTTTTGGTTGACCCTTCATCCTGCACGCTATGGTGCATATACTGAACTTTTCGCAGCCTTGTCTCCTGATGTGAAGAACAGATCTCATAGTATTGCCTATGGTAGACAAAGCCATGTAAGAAAAGATCTCATGGATGAAAAGACTTGTGATAAAGTTTGGAAGTACCTTGATAAGGTGACTGACACATATGTTTAGTTTTGTGTTTCACTCTATATAGTTGTTTTTATATGTAGTGAATATTAGTTTGATTGCAATATTGGTCCGTACTAGCCCAATTAGAGGATTCACTGGATTAATGTAGGACCTTTTCCATAGCTGTGAAGTGATAGCTTATATCGTGTGCAGTTAAAACATTGCTGGCCAAGTGTTACCAGAATTGACGAATCTTGACTAATGTTTACCTAATGCAAGTTTAGACCATACACATAATCACCTGTCAAAAGCTTAAAAATAGAGCAACCTTACACATCTAGCCAAACAAAACGCGCACAAAGTGCAACGGTCAGAATTAAGAACAATTGACTTACCCCTATGTCTATTATCTTTGTGGTCAACGGCGCAGGCTGGATGTCAGGAACATCCGGCTGAATGAAAATTACATGAAAAAAGAACAATAAGAAAACTGAAATAGGCAGAAAATTCTCTTGTTTAGGGGTTTTATTGTTTCTTTTCATATTTCCGTTATACTATTGGGATCACAAAGACAACCTCGACCCACCAGCGATCCCCACTCACAATCCGCCATACACACTCTCTCTCTCGGCTCGCGCGCATCTGTTTTCCATTTACCAGTTCGTCTCCGATACACGTCTTAAATTTCGTTAACAAAAAAATTTGGAATTCTAATTTATTTTTTTTTGTGCTTGCTTGTGTGTGTGGGAGTGCCATTGTCTGGTTCATATTTTCTTGGACCGTTTTTGGTTGGCCCATATGCAATTTCATCATTCCATTTCATCAATTTAACTAAACCAGTATTTTCCAATCCAAGCAATTTTCACCTCAAGCCATCCTTTATTTGTTCCTGCAAAGTAGTACCTTCCATTAGAGCTTAGTTCAACCAAAGGAACGTCCACTCCATCATACAGCTTGCGGTTTGATTAACTACTACAATCCCAGCCGCGCCTCCCCCCCTAACTCATCCTACTCAGCCATCCACAGTTTGGGTCACACTCATTCCTCCAATAAACTTTACAAATATACAAATATGCCCTATGAACCACATAATCCATTGACGGTGGCCCTACCTTTCAACTTTGGCTCCGACAAGGAGTACCCCACCGAAGTCATGGCTGGACGTTTCCAAGCGTGGCGATCAATCATCAAGGAACTCGTCAACTACTTTCGAGAATACGCTAACGTCCAACAAGAAATAGTCAGACAACAATTACGACTCCAACAAGCATCCGCCACTTTGAATACATCTGCTGCGGTCGTATCTGGTGGCTCTTCTGGTAACTCCAATAATACGGCATCTTCGGTAAGAGAAGAAGCAAGTAATGTTGTCAAATATTTCTTACCGGTTGGAAATGGGTCCATCAGAGACATTCCTGGAGTTCTCACAAAGTATCATCAACAGAATGTAACCAATTCATCAAAGACATTAAAGGATATAAACAACATTATTATCCCCAAATTAGAAGAATTAAGAAAGGATTTGCTCGTCAAGATTAAAGAAATTAAAAACTTGCAAAATGATTTCAAAACTAACTTAGGCAAGGAGTTGACTGAAACAAAGAACTTACTCCACATGTACCATCAAGCCATTGAACATTCGAACAAACTTGATTCGAAATTGCATTCCAACAATTCATCAACTGACCCGGGAGATGTTTCTAGATTTGATCCTTATTTAGTAAAGATGAGATTGGATCGCCAATTGAGAAGGCAAATGCAAGAAGAAGGATACCTTCATGATGCTTACTCTAATTTACAAAATGCCGGTGGAAAATTAGAGTCCATTGTCGTCATGGAAATTCAAAATTACGTCTCGATGTTTTTAAACTTGATAAGCACTGAATCGTCTACATTATCTACATTCTTGGTTCCCAACATTAACAATGGGTTCCTTTCCAAAGAAAGTACGTTTGAATGGGATGCATTCATTTCAAGAAATTTACCATCTACCAATCTCGGAGTATCGGCAGTTTCCAACAATACATCCACCAATATTAAGAATGGAACATTTATTGATATTTCCATACCCCGCAGAAGAATGGCCGACTTGCTGATTCCTGATTTTGACTCTAATTTGAACATTGCTGTAAGGTCAGGATTTCTCGAACGAAGATCTAAATATCTCAAGAATTATTCAACCGCGTGGTTTGTCCTCACTTGTAATTATATCCACGAGTTTAAGTCAAATGATCGTAAAAAGGACCCCATGCCTTCCATTTCACTTCCTTTGGATTCGTGTTCTGTCAGTGAACATTCAAAAGATGATGGGAAATCCACGGGTGTTTACAAGTTCATTTTAGTTTCCAAGCTGACCAACGGTCTCATTCATAGAACTCATAACTGGGTGTTTAGAACTGATACGTATGCAAACATGATTGCTTGGTTTGAAGATATTAAGAAGTTGACAAGTTTACCAACACCAGCAGCAAGAGCTCGCACCATCACAAATGAGCATCCCCCAGTGCGAAGCTCAACTACTAGTCCAGGAATATCACGTTCAGTAAGCAGACGTACTGCAGATGGAGCACGCTCATTAAACTCGTTAACTTCGGGTGATTCAAAGCGTTATTCTAGACAAAGACCTTTATCACAAGCAACTTCCATAGCCAATGCCAACCGCTTATCATCAACTTTCTCCCATAAGAATAACTTGTCTCCTAGGTTGCCAAACATGATAAACAGTGATGGGACAATCATAACTCCAGTTGACTCCTTTGTTGTTTCCAAACGTAATAGTCTTAGTGATAGTTCGGACCACCTTGACCATCATGACCATCACCACCAACATCAAGATCCGAACAATTCTGGGTATCAAGTAGTCGCCAATGAGTCCCAACATTCACTTCCCCATGTACAATCGTCGAACCAACCAAGTCACTATTCTACCCCTCCAGCAGGATACCAATACTATGTTCCTGCCAATCCAATGCAGCCACAACAATATTACGATCCGGTCCAACAACAATATTTCACAATCACACCTAGTATGATACATCCAGGACTGGTTCCCACAATGACACCATCATCATCAAAGCAATCACAACCACCTCCTCCACCACCACCACAACAACAACAACAACAACAACAACAGACAACACAACCACAGCCACAATACTTCCCAGTGTCGCCTTCGCTTGGTAATGCACCTACACCTCCTCAGTTCATCGCGACTGCCGGTTCACCCTTGTTACAATATAGCAATGGTGGTTATTTAGTGCCTGCACAGGCTCCAAGCAATGGTAGTGATAAGTTACCATATCCTCTGAACAATCACCAACTCGAGTTGGAAGAGAGTGAGCGCGAAGCCGAGGGTGAAACCCCCGATGAGATATCTACCATCAAAGAAGCAACGGTAGATGACAAGGATAGTTGATTTTAGTTTTCTTCTTTTACATATATTATATAAATACAATTTGCATGTATGACGATTCTTTCTTTCTTGCAGGAAATATATTATTTTTTAAACTAACTAACTATTGTACATTCTTAAACAACAACACCGGAGTTAGAAGCAATACGTGGCCATAAATCGGCACATTCCTTAGCAACAGGACCGGTGATGGCGGAACCCTTCATTTCACCCTTAGGGTTAACAATGACACCGGCATTGTCTTCAAAGTATAAGTAGACACCGTCCTTTCTTCTCCATGGCTTGGATTGTCTAATGACAATGGCTGGCATAACCTTCTTTCTCAATTCTGGCTTACCCTTCTTAACGGTGGCCATAACCATGTCACCGGCGGAGGCGGCTGGTAATCTGTTTAATCTAGCACCAATACCCTTGACGGCTAAAACGTACAAGTTTCTAGCACCAGAGTTATCAGCACAGTTCATGATAGCACCAACTGGCAAAGCTAACTATAAATAAGTGTTAGTAGATGATCAAGTTATAATTGCAACAAGAGTTTTCATGTGTGTTATCGCTGAACATATAGTTCCTTCTGAAGTGGTTGTAATTATGTGTTTGCCATTTCGGGGGATGTTTCTTCGTACAAGATCTGAGATGGGGACACCACTTTGAAAATTTTATTTAAATTTGAGTATTCTTAATTATTTCTTATTGGTTCATTGTAGTTGGCATTTGTGGTTGATATTTCATGTTATTTCCTTCTGCTCTCTTCTCTTGGCCTTCTTCACTCCCTTCAAGATCTCTTTCACTTTTCATTCACACGATACTTCATGACGACACTCTCGTTCCTGCTGTTACAAGTTCGAAATAGGCACATACAGACATACGGAATTTGTTACCGGAAGCACCTGAACCAGACATTTTGATTTAGTGTGTATATGTATATGGTACTAACAAGAAAGAGAAGTAAAAACGTATATAAAATCTCTTTTTACAAACCCAAGCCCTAGGATGCGACAGTTTGAAAATTTTTTTGTGGTGCGCACCATACAATTCTGCCAGAAAATGTGAAATTAGGGTTGGTGACCTAGTTTGTGTGTATTGCACGTGATTAAATTGCGAAAAAAAAATCTATAGACGAGCAGTTGTTGCAAAATTGTCTAATGCATGAGAGAGTACAACAATTAAGGTATTCTAATGCTTTGCGCTTTAAGATAACAAAGTTGAATGTTGGAAATAATACAAGTATTAAACCATGGTCAAACATGAAATTTCCAATCACATGAACGAGATTTCTACTCGGGGGGAAGGGAGGACGAGGATTAGTTTGATATATTCTTGTGCTATGAAATGGTTATGAACTTGTTTCCATACCCTTTGAACATTTGCCATTGCTGGCTTCTTGAGTTTAAAATAGAATAATTGTCAGAAGTTTAAACCCCTTTCCCTTATTTGCCTCACTTGTCTTTACACACTATTGACATGCCGGTTACATTAGAACTTGACGATTTCCCTACAGTATAATTGAACTTGCCGGCGAATTTATAGGGAAACATCCCACCATCATCGAAATTCAAAATCACATCAATCATTATCTTGGGTATCAACCACTATCCTTGAAATACCGATCGATTTCAGCTCCTTATGATGACAGAAACATTTTACCCCCTAATTAGCTTATAAATTTTAAAAAAACTCATTAGAGATATTGCTCCCGAAATTCCCGGAGTAGACTTGAGTGACAGGCAACGTAGTTGGCAACTAACTTTACGGAAGAGAATGAGGAGTCTGTTCCATTCTCTTTCATCTTTCCGGATTCAGTATCTGGTACAACTCACGATACATTTCCGCATATCTTTAGATAAATATATCATCCATGGGTATGACGATACAGATAAATTTCGAAAACTACTTGAATTACAACGGTATTTCGTCGCTAAGAGGCTCAGATATGATTTATGGTATAAATACCGATGGTTCTACTTGCAAGATATTTACCAGACTAGAACTCATTTGATTCCCAAAAAGGCGGTTTCAGTAGGTGGACTTCGCCATGGCGCTTACACTATGAATCACTCAATTAGGACCTGTCGTAAATATACGAATTGGAGCTTCCAACACTATTTACTTCTTTTGAACTATTTAACAATAACATTAGTGCTAATGCAGCCGGGCTATGTAGGTTGATTTGGCAAATTATGAAATTACTCGATTGGTAATTGTTTCATGTTGTCGCGTACGTTACGATCGCGTGGTCAATTGGTATTGTGTCAATAAAAACAATACATTGACATACATCCGACATTCCCAGGTGAAACAAATCAGATCAATGCTCTTATTATCATATAACGATATAAAATTAATATACACATGCTTATAAAATCGTACATACACATTAAAAATATATGCAGAAACTGCTTTTCTAGCAAAAAAAGATCAAATGAAAATTAACCCACGAAATGAAGAAATAAATATAACGGAATAAAAGAATTTTTTTTTGGTAGCAACTAGTTGTTTACGACTTTCAATGAACCTGGTCGCCTGTCTATCATATCTGGTAAGGACCCCGTACTTAACTTCCTCCTTCCATATTCTGGGTGGTGAGGAGGAGACAAATTACTATCATTGAATGCAAATTCGTCGGAATATATGTGGTCACCATTGCTTGTACCACTACTGCTCTTGTAGTCATGGCCATACACACTGAGGTGTCTAGAATCTCGCTGTGTGTGTTGTTGAGATGGAGCGCGGTTGTTGCTGTATTGGTTGTAGCCTCCTCCTCTCAGGAAAGGATCGGAAGGTGGTCCATTCCTTGGGGACATGTCATTCTTGTTTTCACCTACTGAAAAAATATCATCGAACTCATCCTCTTCCTTCTTCTTTCTATAACGTACGAATAAGAAGATCAAGGCCGCAATTACTCCAACACCGGCAACTGCACCAACTACTGCACCCGCAATGGCACCACCGGAAATTGATTTGGATTGATTTTTATTCTTGTCGTTGTTTTTGTTATTGTTGTCTGCAGCAGCGGTGGTTTCTTCTGCTTCAGTTTCAGTTTCAGTTGGTGTTTCAGATGTTGAAGAATGGCTTGGAGTTTGGACAACGGTTTTGTAAATAACCGAAGGCTCGCCTCCTTCAGAATCAGTAATTGTAGAAACCACGGTGGTGTGTGTTTGAGACGAAGATGTCGTGGATGAAGCTGAGCTGGTCGATGAAGTCTTGTTGCTACTGCTACTTGTACTGGTGCTGCTACTGGTGCTCTTAGTAGTACTGCTCAGATCATCGTCGCTGTCGCCTTCGTTATCAACATCTGAGTTGACGTACACGGTGAAATAATTGGCTCCACCGCACATGTCCAAGCCGTAACCCAGACAAGGTTTATTACAGTATTTCTTATCCACGCTGTCCAGTGGGTCCAGATCACCACAGTAGCATTGGTTACCGTTAATCAAGGCAGCTATTCTTTTTCCACCACATTCTTGTTGACAGTACCCAGAACTTTGGTAGATATACGTCCCAGCAGATGATGCTGATACTGATGATCTGGAAAAACATCCCAATGCCGTCCAATCGTCGGCATATGTGGGTGTTACTAATGCTCCTAGAAGGAGTAAAAGGTAAGCTGGTGTCATTATAGTATTAGTTTTTGTTGTAGTAAAAAAAAATATGCAAATGGGAAGATTGTTCGTATATAGGATGGATGTATCTTAATTAATCATAAATCAAAGGTGATGGGTCAAGGATCGGAGGGGTTCGTCTAGTGATGTTTCAAGATTGAATTTGATGTGTGTGTAGGATTTTCTATGTAAATGTCAGGATGGTTAAATTCGAGATTCCACACAGGTAAAATGCAATCCAAGAGTGGGAAGGTGGTAGGAATTCTTCGAGTTTTCTTGAGTTACTATTTTTTGCAACAGGGAGTGTATGTTTGATCTGCAATTGTAGTAGCTTGATCTAGACTGTTCTGCTGAGTTAATTATACTATCCCTGGTACCACTTGTAAGATTCAATCGTTCAAGGTTTAGGAATATGGTAAAAAGAAAAAGTTTATTAGTTTTACCCTGAAATTTGTTTTTATTTAAATGAAACAAAAAAAAAAACTTGTAATGAACGCACAAAAACAAAATGATTACTAAAAATAAATAAAAAAAAAAAGAAAATTAATTGGAAAGTTAAAAAATAAAAATCGGACGTTCGAGATAATTAACCACACAAAATACGATTGGTATGTAACTAAGCTAGCAGTATTTAAGTCGAGAGAATCTGGGACAAGATAGCACATGTTTCAATGGGTAATACTAACAGTTAATGGACATAACTTGTTCAATCTTCAATATGTTACCCCATTGACTGAAGGTATTCCATCCAATCATGAAAAGGTCTGGGATAGAAGATTAAAAAGAAATTAACTTCCTGTATACTACCATAAATAAGAACATTCCAATTTTTTACCTGGAACCGTAATAAAAACAATTTTGGCTGTCTAGAATATTTCTTGTGACATATAATGTAAACGAAAAAAAAAAATTAATTTCATCAATAGGAAAAAGAAACTTCCGCTCCGATTTGGGATACTCAACACACAAATTAGGTCCCTTGTACTCCTGAAAGAAAAAATTTTCAGACCATTTACTGGGGCAACCATAAAATAATCAAATCACAATAATCTCGGCATAACAACAACTACCACTTACAGGTTATTCCGGAAATATGGCAGGGTGTTTATACTGGACCAGTAGAGGTTACTGCAGGCTTAAAAATCACACTTTTGATAAAATTTTAAAAAAAAGTTTATTTAAGGTTTTTAATCTCCCCTTTTAAACCTTCCGCCATACTTCGCTAGGAACAAGCCATTATGCAATGATTGCTTCGCAACTATTTACTTCTCAACAGGAGTCATTTATACGTAGCTATGGAAATAACTGCTTTAGTATAAATTTTAATTTGCAGTGACTCTCGTTCCACCTGACTACATTACTTTTCCACCGAAAGGGGGGTGGAGGGGGGCACAACATGTGCGGGGCGGCCGGATAGAGGAGGGGTGGGATTTCCACCCCCCATTGACAGAGCGAAAGAACAAACTGAGATTTAAAAAAACGATTTGATCTGACGCCTTGCGCGTGTAAGCTCTTGGGGAGATGTAAACAATCTTCTGAAACATAAACATGAATTTTTTTTTGCGGTAACTTTTCAGAACAATTGAATCAAAAAAGACAATACAAAAAAAAATTAAAAACATAAACAATAATTATTTTTTAGCGTCCACCCAAGGTGTTTGGCTGTCTCAAAAACTGAACTCTAACCCCATATAATTGTAAAACATCACCAGTCATCACTTGATAGTTGTTTCATACGCACTACTCATACGGTTGTTCAGCCAGCAATTCTATGTGGTTGTGCCCCGGTGTCTGTGTCAATGGCTCATAGTAACATTTCCCTAAAAGATGCAACCTGGACTATATACACGAAACATGGAAGGGGAAAAAAAAATAAAACATTTTTTATGCACATCGAGTTCTCTTGCATTTCCACCACAAAAAAATAAATCTTGAGACATTGCCACCTTCTTCTAGGGGTCAACAGCACAGAGCCAAGAAGTTTTGCGTCGCGATTATGTGAAATACGGTTGCTGCTTGTTACTTAGTATCTGACAGGGGTGAACTTAGGAGATAGTTGCCATCTTGTGCGTTATCTCCCCACTTTGTCAAATGTTGCAAATGTGTAAGTTGCAAATGAGTCCAATTTGACGACTGGTTTTACCTAATATATAGTATCACCATTAAAGTGTCTGCTGCAAGTGTATGCAAGAATATGTAACATAATGTGTCATACGCACGATTAAGGAGTGAATTAAATTTCGACTTGACTCAATGGGTAATATTCATTTTATAATTATACTAAAATCTGTTAAAATTTAGGAGAAATTAAGAATTTTTCCAATTGAATCATTTCTAGTTTTGAAACAAACTCCTATTTCAGTAAAGTAAATGGTTGGTTTTTGACACATCTTAGTACTCTTCCACCGATGTTGCAATTTGCAATTGCCAAAATTGATGTCAAATGAATAGCGTGTGCTTACCAAAATGGTTCACCATCGCCATCACCATAAGAAGGAAAAAAAATTTAAACCGTTGAAAGAAACTTTTCACTTCTTTTCCTTATGTCAAATAGGATATAAAGAAGTGAAACACATTAGTCCAGATTCTTTTGGAATCTATGATCGCTTTTAACTTTCTTAAAATCCTTAGATCTAAATTAAGCCTTTTTCGCTAACCACGATCATTTTTAATTAACACCGTAGATCGTTGTTTGATAGTAGTTGGGCTGACATACACTAAACTAGCGTAGACGAATGTAGATATCATCTGACCGAATGTGGTTACTACTACTTGGAAGTAACCTTGATGCGTTTGTTGCTGTGCTTGCTGCTCTGCGTTGTCAACTCTTCTCTATACTACGCTATTCTTGATCCACGCAAACCTAAAAAAAAAGACAACAGGTCCCACACTATAAAGTAACGACTACTCTTCATCCATATGACATCAATACACACAATAGAAACAATAATAGATCAATACTCAACCGAAATAAACTCGTTGAATATACCCACACTTACCCATTTCAATCATGATACAATAATCACGATATCGCCCTACATATCCCAGTTCAAACTCGAGCAAATCAAACATAGTTTATCCAACATCAATCAAGAACTACACAAGTTTAAATCGAACAAGTCATACGCTCAAGTATACGACAAGTTTACCCACTTGTTTGTTGATGTTCTTGATGAGAAAATCTATGTCAATTCGAAATTGATTGATATTTACGAACAGCAAAACAGACCAGTAGAAAAAGTTGAGCAGGAAAGCACCGTTGAGCAAGGGCCGGCCCCAGAAGAAGACTTGCCTTCGTTACGTAAACGGTTATTGGCGGGTGGGAAAACCTCATCGTTGCTTGATTCAAATCAGGACATAACTAAAGTCAATGAATATCATGAATCCATCCAGAACGATATCTTGAACGAATTACTGGGTTTGACGTCCAATTTGAAATCCAGTGCTTTGAAATTCAGCTCCAAGATCCTTGGTGAAGATCTGAACATATTGAGTGAGACCCAAGAGAATATCAGTAAAAATGCAAACTTGTTTCAAGCCACTAATCGAAATTTAAACAATTATCTCGAGAATAAAACAGGAGGAAGAATCGGGCTATGGTTCTTGATAAAAATCACAATTGCTCTCGTGATGATCTTCTTATTCATGATCATCTTCATCAAGATCATCCCCAAGATATAGTAATAGTAATAATAATAATAAAAATAATAATAAAAATGTTTAATAAAAATGCTATAAACAGAAAGAAGTATATAAAGAAATTATTCTAGAAATGTCCAATTTTTTTTTTGTAAATCTTCCAATTTTTTCTATAATGCCAATCGGGCAAGCAAAAAACCCATATAATAATAACAAGCTAAGTGATTTAGATATCCATTTGTTGTTGTGGTTGAGTGAAACTTTGTTGAAGAGAAGTGGTTGGTTCAAGAGAAGTGCTTCTTTCATGAACGTTATTACCATTACCAAACTCGTGATCGGAAAATGATTGCGAAGAGCCATTTTCTAAACTACCCAATTGATTACTGGATTGATTTTGAAATTGCCTTGGTAAATTACCACATCTGTCCTTACCGAAATTGATCTTTAACACTTTGTAATCTTCAAAAGACTTTATACCATCAATGGCTTTGATGGCATTGGCAATATTGACAAAGTTGATGAAAGCACAATTCTTTTCTTCCAAATAGTTGATTTGTTCGATGTCACCAAATTTGGAGAAATCCTGACGCAACTTTTGTGGATTGTAATAATTGAAATCGTTAATGTTTCCAATATAGATGTTTCTTGAGGCACCATTAGAAACAGCCAACGATAACGCATTGGACAATGGACCCGAGTGCTTACCCCATCCAACCTTAATTCTTCTATTGTGAATGGTTAATCCGTGTAATTGACACATGGCAAAGAATTGAGCAGCAGCAATTGGATCAATAAAGGTAATAAAACAAACGTGTCTTTCCTTCAAGAATCTAATACTTTGCAATAATCCACCTCTAACAACATTACAAATTTCTTCAACCGAGGAATCTTGGTGTAAGTTACCCAAGTAGACAGTACGGTTGCCCAAGTTGTTAGCACCACCGGCTTGAGTAGCAATTTGAGCTGCAGCAGCAGACTGTTGCACCAAAGCGCTAGAAATAAATTCACGATCAGCAGCAGTGACAATATGTTCCATACCTGGAGCCAAACCCAAGTATTGAGCAGCATTGTGTTGTTGAGTCTTGGTGATGAAGGCACATCTATCCTTACCGTAAAAGCACTTCTTGTCAGAATACTTTTCCTTCAATGGTAAATTAGCCACACATCTAATGGCACTCAAAATACTCAAGAAATGAACAAATGCAATCCCCTTTTCCGGAATGATTTTAATACAGTCAATAACCCCATAACAAGACAAGTCTTCTCTCAATTCTTCCTCACTGATAACTTCACCACTAATAGGGTTATTTAACTTTCCTAAATAGACATTTCTGGTGGCACCATCACGTTGAATAGCTTCCAACACAGCGGGTAAAATAGGTCCATTCTTACCCCAACCAATTCTGATATCGTGACCTTTAATGTTCAACTTCTTTAAAATGCAATCGGAATGGAATAATAAAGCAGATTGGTGGTCAACAAAGGAAATAAACGCACAGTTTCTTTGTGGAAGAATTCTGACACTTTCAAGAATACCTGATCTAACATAATCCAATAATTCGTTAGGTTGAATGTCTGAAGGAATGTTACCTAAATAGACAGTTCTTGAAGGAGCAACTGAAGAAGATTCCTGTTGTTGAAACATTTCTTGTTGTCCTTGAGTGGTTGGGACGGAATTTCCAACAATTGATTGGTTGTGAGATTGAATACCTTGATTGAATTGTCCTTGATTTTGTTGTTGCTGTTGTTGCTGTTGTTGCTGCTGCTGCTGTTGTTGAGGAGGAACAACTTGATTGATGTAACCGTTACCGTTACCCGAGTTGACAACTTGGTTAGAAACGTAAACGCCATCATCATTATAAAACTCGTTACCAATGGTAACATCACTAGAACCACTTCCATTGACAAAATTGTATTGAGATTCAGGTTGATATTGAGGATATTGGTCATAACTGGCAACTGGCGGTTCCATAGTTGGTTGCTGTTGCTGTTGTTGAATATTCTCTTGACCGTTGACAATACTTTGATCATCCTGTTGAGGATAATACTGGGGATAGTATGGTGGTTGACCGTATTGTTGAGGAGGTAAACCTTGATAAGGATCGTAATAGGACATGCTTGAATAAATATAAAATCAAATTGAAAATTAAATGTGTATGATACGAAATAAACGAAGAAAACCGAATCTCTATGACTTTGTATAATCTTTTATAAATACTCCAATAAACTTAAACAAAACACAAATTGAATGTCCTTGAATTAAAAACTTTGAACTAAAAAAATGGAATGATGATGGATCAGATCAGTGAAATAAATAAAACACCAAAGAATTCAAAAATAAAACACCAAATTAAAAAAAGTGACGAGGAAGTGAAAGGGCAATGCTAGTCTGGTGAAAAAGTGGGAGATGCTTTATATCAACGTTGTTGTAAGTTTGTGAAAAACAGTTTGTTGCAAAGTAAGGATATACAGCGGGTAAGAACTTTTCTATCAGATGGAGCAAAGCTTAAGGTGAATAAACGACACTTGATCCAATAGGGTGGAGTGGGTATGTATGCGGAGTATGTGTAAGGTAAAAGAAAAGGAAGACAATGAAAACTTGTACAAAACTTCCCTAACAATTCAATGTTGAAATACCAAATTAGCTGAATGGAATATCAAGAAAAAGAAGAAACAAGAAGAAAAGAATTTTTTTTGATTTCATTTTTTGATTTAACATGAAAAAAAAAAATTTTTTTTGTCCCACGGGAAACGACATACATGAGGTGGAAAAAAAGAAAGAAAATTGTTCCCAAGATGATTTGGGGTACTATTGCGGTATGGATGTTTGGTGGGGAAATGTCGTTTTCTCTCTCTATATATATACAGAAATTACGAAATAGCCCTACAAGCATATTGAAATAACGATCTAAATTTAGATCTTTAAGTCACGGTTTGCAAATATGTACAAATGAATAACTTTATTCCAAGCTTGAAATATTTTACACTTTTAACTTTCGTAGATGCTTCACTCATGCTGTTGTAAGTAAAGTTATGTCGTATAACACAGGGTCTATTTTATGGGGTTTGTCTACCAATAAATGTCGCATGCTTACTCATCCGAACTATAATCTGTTTCGTCATCAGGTTGGCTCTTACCTTCTTCATTAGGTGGATTCTTCTCATTAGTTTTGGTATTTACTTCCTTCTCTTTCTCCTCCTCTTCCTCATCGTCGTTGTCTTCGGAATAATCTGTTTCTTCTCCTTGTGTAGATTCTTCTATTTTCTTGAATGGTTGCGATGGCTGCGAAGTCTGCGATGCCTGTGATTTTTTCTTTTTACTTTCTTTCAAACTATCTTCAACTACACTTGGAGCCTTACATTTAGCCAAATCAGCGCTTTCCATAGACAGAAGTAGACCTGGCTGTGTTACATTGTTATCCCCGGGTTCTTCTTCTATTTCTTCATCATAATCATCGTCACCTTCATTATAGTCCGACCCATGTTCATCTTCGTCAGCTTTCTCATGTGGGGTATCCACTTGAGCTTCATCCTTTACATCACTTTCTGGTTCTTCATCAAGGGCATCATCCAAGATTTGTCTATCACTTCGATATGGTAATCTGTAACTGATAGACTCAGGCTCGAGTTTAACCTTAATAGAATCCTCGCCTTTGATTTCTGGGGACATTAAAACATCATCTTCTTGTTTTATACTGACATCATCTTCATGTTCTTGCTCAGACTCATTATCATCACTTTCAACCGGTTTCTTTCTTCTTCTTGTACTTTTCGTTTTGGTTCGTTTCGCATCTTCCTCGACGCTCTCTTTAGTATTTTCATCGTCATCCTCATCTTCAGAACTAGTTTCCATTTCGTCGTCACTTTCAACTTTCTTTTTCCTTCCTCTAGTTGTCTTTCTGTTCTTGGCGACTTTCTTAGCTGGTGTCTTCTTTCTCTTCTTTTCATACTTTTTATCAATATCATCAGGAATTTCCTCTCGTTTAATCTCATTCAACTTGCCTTCCTTTTCCAAAAATTCTTGATTTAACCCAACTAATTTTTCCCGAGGAATTTGCTCTCGAGTAAGTTCCCAAATCTTATCCTTCTTGCTATCCAATACTTGATAAAATCTCAGTTCAACATCTTTGATAATGTAATCAAAATCTTTCTTGGCGATACTGCTATTTTTTTCCAATAGATAATTCTCCTGTTTCAAGGTTTCCACCTCGACTTTCGAATCTCGTAGATTGTCAAGTAAAAGTTTATTTTGATGATTGTATAAACTCAACCAGTTGAATAGATCACCCTCTTCCTGCAAGTAGTCATATTTGTCAAATTCAATTCCTGGTAGGTCAATTGATCCTACCGTTACCGTCAACTTCCCTTCTCGTTTAATTGTGATGGTGATTCCCTGTTTATTGGGATCAGAATCACCTAATTCTAAAATATCTTGATTCTCATCATAATCACTAGAACTAGCCACTAGCTTAGCACTCAAGCTGAGTTCTTTATAGCTCTCCTCCAGATTCACCTCAATTAAAGTTTCAAGATCGAGAGGGAATAAACTCGTAATCACGGAATAATAATCCTCCGATTCAATCCCCGATGATTTCCGAAAAATGTTTCCGATGACATCTTTCGTTATCGTCGTGTGGAAATACCCTTCTTGATATACAGCAGTGATGGAAACATTGACGAATTTGGGATCATTACTGGCCTTGTATGTTGCGGGGGATACGTGTAACCATAGCGGACAGCTCTTAATAGTGCCCAGTGTTTCTTTATCTACTACCGATAGCGGAATCCTTACGATTGTTCCTAGTAATGGATCCTCGTCCATAGCGTCACGTCAATTCGAGTTCTACCGAGGATTAAAAGTGGGTGACGTCAAAAGCTAAATTAGTTTGTTATTGTTTTGTAAATAGAACATTTTTCAGGTGCAAAGTTGCGCACCTTGACTACGGGCCTATTACCCTAGAGACGAAAGATTGTAACCAGTCGATTTGAGTCTAAGATGAATATGTGAGAGCTTGTTGATAATATTCAATACAATTCGGAGTTTGGATTGACAAATACAGAGGAATGTTCCCCGAATTATGACAACAATGTCAACCCCACATGAAACAGGCTGAGTAATAAAGAACGCAATTGATGTTGAATGCAGCGCAAATGATGCACTTCTATTGCACATATGCACGGACAGTGGGGGGATCGATAATCGGACTTTAGCCCGATGCATGATTGTCCGCCCATGAAATTTTTACAAAATAGAACATTGTACCAAAAATAAAAACATTAGGCCGTTTCTTTTGGTGATTGTCACAAACAGATGATCATGTCAGCCAAGCAAAAAACAAGGAACAAGCGTGGAAAAATGACCAAACAATGTTTAATTCGGAAAAAGCTTCTATAGAAAAAAATATATGTGCTTTGTTTATTTTCTATGGGGAAATGGGGTGGAATATTTTTTCAGCATCGTTTTGGTCATCTAAGGGAGAGAAAAAACCTGGTGATATACTGTGAGGGTAAGGTTATTATGACGCATGTGTGCATGTCTATATACAAGATGAAATATATGAAATATTAGGGATAATTTTGTTGACAATATGAAAGGATATAAATAATACCAGTATTTCAGGATGTTTTTCTTAAATATCGGTTCAGTAAACTAACTTATATTAACAGATACAACTACAAACCTACTGTTCACAGAATTCAGTTGCAGAAAAAAAAAGAAATTAATTGCAGCCACTATACAGTACACAAAATGTCCTCTTCAAACTCAGTAAATTCCTTCGGGAATGATCTTGACAAGCAAACGCTGGCCGAACCAGCTTCTGAATATCCCACCAATTTATCCACAGTAATAAGTCGGGTCACGATTGGCGATGAACGAGTACCAAAACTGGAATTAAGACCACCATTTGCAGGTACGTTCAATCCGGGTTATGCACGTCCTCCAAAACATGTCTTTGGTAACGCTGCTGCTATCGGACTTTCTGCATTTGCCGGAACAACTTTTGTTCTTGGTTTATACACGGCTGATGCCATGGGTATAACTATTCCCAGCGTTATTATTTCCAGTTGTATGTTTTTCGGTGGTGGTGTTCAATTCTTGAGTGGATGTTGGGAAATGGCTATTGGGAACACATTTGCAGGGACCGTATTTACCAGTTACGGTGCATTTTGGTTGTCTTATGGAGCTTTATTCATTCCTTCATTTGGAATCCTTGAAGCTTACGAAGATGACATGGACCAGTTTGCCAATGGGGTCGGGTTCGTTTTACTTGGATGGGGTATCTATACTTTTATTTTGTTATTCCTTGTTCTTAAGGCTACATATCCATTTTTGCTCTTGTTTATTACATTAGATCTTGGGTTCTTTTTATTGACAGCGGCACAAATGACCGGTAGTTCCCGTTGTGCTAAAGGTGGAGGTATTTCATTGGTTATTAGTGCTCTCTGTGGATGGTACAGTTGTTTTGCCGGTATTTCTACCGAGTACAATAGTTATGTTGTGATTTCACCAATGACATTACCCCAGTTTAAGAAGTTAAATTTCCATCCTAAATAAATGCCAGCCGAAGCTTGAGACATTTTTTTGTTTTTTTTTTGTTTCGCCGGGTTTAACATTGTTTTATAGTTTAATAAATTAATTGCATAACGACCGAACTGATTGTCTCTACTATTGTTCTTACTGTTGTTTATACTACCAAGTGCCTCCAGCCGTGTCAGTTTGGTCCTATTCGGTATATGACGCCGCCTAGAAGAAAATCAGCCGAGAATATGCCGCATTAAACAGAGCAATACAACCGTATCATGCAACTTAAAGCAGGGCGGGTTGCGGATTTTAGGTGGCGCGATAAAAATAGGTACGTAAAAAATTTTAATTTCTGTTGGGTTCCTCAATATGAGTCCATAACGAAGAAACAAATGATCGTTCCCGATTGGTCGTTGCAGTCTTTGCTCATACTGAACCAAGGTTGCATATTGTGGGGTGGTTTTTTTTCGGTGTAGGTTTGTTTACGTTCGTCTCGTTCTAGCCGTTTACTATAAGATATCCGATCATATCGTTTGGTCTTGCAAAAAAAACCCATATAAATAGCTTGGTTTGTAAGTAGATTTTCTGGCTCTTTTTACATTTTCAGTTCTAAAATAAAACCTTCTTCTTTATTGGTAAATATATTTAAAGATGTCTGACACTGAAAATAGATCTAGCGTTGAGGATGTCAAGCGTGTTTCTTCTGACTCATTGCAAAACCACAGTAGCGACCCTCACTGGCCAATACAACCTGCTGTTCATCAATTCGCCGATGCTGGTGCTCTTGGATTATGTGGTTTCTGTATGACTGCCTTTGTCACCGGATGCTACTTTGCCGGAACTAAATCTATCGCCATTCCAAATGTGCTTGTTAGTTTAGCCACTTTCTATGGTGGTACCATTGAAGTTCTTTGTGGTATTTGGGAATTAGCCAAGGGAAACACTTACAACGGTACTTTACACACAAGTCTTGGTTCGCTTTGGTTATCCCTTGCTTCTATCTACATCCCATCCTTTGGTATTATTGAGGCTTATGCTGAAGCACCAGAACAATTAACCAATGCTCTTGGATTCTATTTCCTTGGCTGGTGTGTTTTTGCCGTGGTGATCTTCTTGGCATCATTGAAGTCTACTTACCCAGTGATTGCTACATTAGTTGTCTTATTAACTGCTTTATTGTGTTTGAGTGGTGGGTTCTTGTCGGGAAGTGCTAATGCTCTCAAGGCTGGTGGTATTCTCTTGATTGTCACTTCATTCTTTGGTTGGTACATTGTTTTCGGATTCATTGCCACCAAGCAAAACAGTTATATCAGAACATGGACTCTTCCAGTTCACATCTTTGGAAAGAAAAATTAATTGCTGTATTATAATCGCCAGGGACTCGGGACCAATAATTTCTTTTTTATATTTATTTGTGTAGGTTGTTTTTGCAACCAAAATCTTGTTTTATAATTTTTTACTACTACTATTACTAATTTTACTTTTGGGGGACTTTTACTACTACTATTATTACTTTTAATCCATTACTATTAATTTGAATATATATATATATGCCTTAATTGATAGTACTTATTTGAAATATTATTTTGTAGCAAACTTATGAGAATGTTCATTTTGCAACAGATCCGTATAAATATCGTACGTGAAACTATAATCCGATGTCAAGGTCAACTTCCAGCAATAAAAATAAATAATTATACATTATATCTGTTATTATTCAGTATCGAATAGGTTACAAAATATAATTTTGAAAATGTGTGAAAATCGTCTATTGCCATCGACAGATCTGGTAATTTTTGCAACTTTTTTCCCAAACAGTTGCGAAAAAAATAACAAATTTACACTATAAAAGAGAGCCAAGAAAACAACTCTTCAAAAAATTCAATAAAGGACAAGCCATAAAAATGGAATCAACCAGATACAACTTAGAAGAGAACACTCTAACTCCAAGAGAATCAAAATCTGACTATGTAGATTTGGATGAGTGTACGTGTGCATCATGCAATCATTGGAAGCACTTACACAGGAGACAATCACGATTCTTACTCCTTGGAATAATCATTCCATTGATTTGGCTATACAATATCGCACAAATTGTGTTTGGATTGTATTTCAAAAATCATAATCCTAGGTCTATCAGCCAATTTGTACAAATAGGTAATAGAGAAGAATCATTAATTAGCAATGTGAAGTTAGACCATGGATATATTGACAATCATATGAAAATAAGAAAAGAAATGTATACTGGAATAGGCCATACTTTATTGGCGATTATTATTTATGGATTGCTTGTGTTTATGGCGGTTGCTTGTAGTGCCGATTATATTAGAGTGGGAGAATACTATGGCCAATAAAAACGCCTTGCAGAAATGGTAGTGCGCATACCAAAAGAATCACGAAGTCAAAAGAATTTTTCAGATTTTTCGACTTCTCCCGGAGATTTCCCGCACGAGTCAACAATTTTTGCAAGACTCCATTGTTTTTATTTTTAACTTCGTATCCCTTCATCTCTCCACATAAACGTTTAAATTTTCTTTTTATATATAAAAATATTACAAATTTTCACCATTCTTTCTTTCTTTCTAAAGTGTATTCATCAAGTCAATCATGTTAAGAACCAGTGCTAAAAGATTCTATTCTGCTCCTGCTAATTTATTAAAGACCCCATTACATGAAGCTCATGTTGCCCTTGGAGGTAAGATGGTGCCCTACGCTGGCTTTGAAATGCCAGTATTGTACAACAGTCAATCCCACATAGATTCCCACAATTGGGTCAGATCTAAAGTTGGTTTATTTGATGTCAGTCATATGTTACAACATAAGATCACCGGTAAGGATGCCAAGAGTCTTTTACAAAAGATTACCCCAATTGATTTGAACAGTTTACCAATGAACGAATCTAGTTTATCAGTATTGTTGAATGAAAACGGAGGGATCATTGATGATTGTATTATTACTAAACATGGTGAAGATAGTTTCTATATGGTTACCAATGCTGGTTGTAGAGCTAAGGATGTTGAGTTTATCAAAAAGGAAGCTGAAGCATTTGGATCCCTGGTTAACCACAATACCTTTGAAGGTACTTTATTAGCCATTCAAGGACCAAAGGCTCAAGAACTTTTACAAAAATTCACTAACGAAGATTTATCCAAGATTTACTTTGGCCAAACCAGATTTGTTAAGTTGTCTCCAATTGGAGCTACAGTTCATTTAGCTAGATCTGGATATACTGGGGAAGACGGGTTCGAATTGTCTATTCCTTCATCTAATGCTGCTGAAACCAAGGATTCATTAAACTTTTTCCAACTGTTAATTGCTGAATATCCTGATTTAGTCAAACCAATCGGGTTAGCTGCAAGAGATTCCTTAAGATTAGAAGCAGGTATGTGCCTTTACGGATATGAATTAACCGAGCAAATCACCCCAGTCGAAGCTTCCTTATCATGGTTAATTCCAAAGGCTCGTCGTGATGCCAATGCAGGATTCAATGGTGCTTCTAAGATTTTATCACAAATCAATGACAAGTCTTTGGTCACCCATAGAAGAATTGGTGTTGTTTCTAAGGGACCATCACCAAGAGAGCATTTTAAGATTTTCAGCAATGATGGAAGCCAAGAAATTGGGTATATCACTTCCGGTTCTCCATCACCCACTTTAGGTGGTAATATTGCCCAAGCATATATCGACAAAAAGTTTAAAATTGGCAGTGATATAAAGATCGAAATTAGAGGCAAGTTAAGAGACGGAAAGATTACTAAATTGCCATTTGTTGCAAGTAACTTATATAAGCCTTAAACCTTATTATGTAATTAATTATTCCAAATTGAGTAAACCGCGCGTTCTAGACGTAGGAGGTGTTTAATTGCAAGATAATACGACGCAAGGGGCATCATTCGTAATTAAAAAAACGGATTCTGAATTGAAACAATGACAGATCGAAAAGTGTGACCGATTGGGTTAAATAATGTGAGTGTACCGTTTTCAACTCCCCCCCCCCCTTCCGGGTAGATTTTGCTGTAAGAAGAAACAAGAAATTCTGCGCGCCCGCGACTGATACGAGGCAGTGCTAACACAGCCAAAATGTAATCAATGTCACGTAGCCAAGTTATCAATTGATGTACCAGGGTAGCTAATTGACGTGCTCGACTAGCAGACGTAACTAATTACACACCAATTGAGATCTCACTGCAACTGCCAACTTAAAAATTATAAGTTATACCTTAATTGCCAACGCGTGTGACCCAGCGGAAGAAAAATTTCAGCCACAAAAACAATAACAATAAACAACAACAATAAACTTTAACGAAAGTCACGTCACGTAAAAAAAAAAACCCACAAATAACAAAGAAGGACGAGTTTTCCCATTGTCCTGTACACAGATTCTCCTCTCTCTCTCTCTCATACCTTCCCATTGCAATATATAAACATTTGCATTTTCCCGGAATGGCAAAGGAACTAGTTTGTATTATCAACGCCGCCAACATGTCTACTACTCCTTCACCCACAAAGAGAACACCATTGTCTTCTAAAACGTTTAACATCTCCCCTACTCCTTTGAAGAGACCAAATCCAGTACATTTACCTTCCAGATTGTCACCCACTAAAAGGTTAGCGCCAGCAAGAAACACACCATCTCCGCCAAAGAAGAGCACTGGTTTAAACTTTACTATTTGGGAAGACAAGACTGAAAAGCCCGAATTCCCAGAGCAAGAATACCCTTGTTCAAACAAACAAAATAATCATGACCAAGAAAACATTTTACAACCAAAGAAGAATGATATAATAAGGTCGAGTGTAAGATCACCCTTGGCTGACTTGAGCATTAATGAATACCCTGGCTTTGTAAGCTATGGAGGCCCTGAATTTAAATTAGGTGAATTGTACCAACCACCTAATTTCAATAATGAATTCAAGTCATTACATAAACATCTGAGCTTACCAAACTATTTAACACCCAGTAGAAAACACAGCGGTAGAGATAAGTACTTGGTTGTGTCAGGAACCACTCCAGATATTGATGAAACTGAATTGTTGTTAATTGAAAAGCAACAAAGATTATCCAACAAAGTCATTAGAAAACATACCCGATCATTATCCGTTGGTAAGAACGAGGCAAAGTTAAGCTTAATTAGAAAGAATAATTTTTCAATCTTGTCTAATTAACATTTTTTTGCTACGCATTTCACTTCTCTCCATTGTTTACACACATGCATTTAGAAATACCCTTGTAGTTACGACCTAATATAAATACGCAAGAAAAGTAATCTATATTGTAGTAGTATAAACCTAGTTGAAAGCCTTGTCGAATTCAGTAAAGACAAATCTATATCTGACATCACCAGCAACGCATCTTTCCAATGCCTTGCTACAGTTTTCTTCACTGATTGGAACTTCTTCAATCCATGGCTTGATGTCGTTTTCAGCAGCTAATCTCAACATTTCAGTGACTTCAGTCTTGGATCCTAACAAGGAAGAACCAAAGGCAACACCATTCTTCAAGAAGGTAAATGGAGAAACACCAAATTGTTCCTTAGCTGGTGGTAAACCAACGGAAATGAACTTGGAATCAACCTTTAAAACACTCAAGTAATCAGACAAGTTCAATCCATCAATACCAGAAGCACAGTTCAAGATAAAGTCGAATTCGTCATCATACTTAGAAGTCCAATCCTTTTCTTCACCAGTAGCAACGAATTCATGAGCACCTAATTTCAAAGCTTGTTCCTTTTTGGCGGAAGATCTGGAAAAAGCAACAACCTTGGCACCTAAGGCATTAGCGAATTGAACAGCCAAGTGCCCTAAACCACCAATACCAATGATACCAACAGTCTTACCCTTGGCATCCTTACCCAAGTTACGGATCAATGGAGAGAAAACAGTGATACCGGCACACATTAAAGGAGCAGCGGCAGTAGATGGGAGAGATTCGGGAATAGCAAAGGCAAATTGTTCATCAGCAATAGAGTGAGAACTGTAACCACCTTGGGTAACATACCCGTTTGATCTTGGATCAACATTGTTGTAAGTACCAGCCATCTTCTTACAATATTGTTCATTGTCATGGTTACATCTACCACATTCACGACAAGCAGAGTTACCAGCTCCAATACCAACACGTTGACCGACTTTGAATTGAGTAACTGCAGAACCAACAGCAATGACCTTACCAACGATTTCATGACCAACAACAAGATCGTTTCTGTTGTATGGACCCCAGTTGGATTGCAAAGTGTGGATGTCAGAGTAACATAACCCGCAAGCTTCGTTTTCTAAAACAATGTCATGTGGGTTGATTTGTTTGTGCTTGTATTCAACTAACTTTGGTTTATTCCAATTTTCCTTTTTGTCAACACCGAATCCTTTAAATGTTTCTGGAACTGATTGAGTCATTTTGCTTTTGTTTTAGTGAAAAAAAAAGAAGAATAGGAGAAGAAGAAGAAGAAGAATGAATAAATTGTCTCCTTAAATACTGCTGGAGAGATAACGTGGTCGGTGGAGGGTGGAAAATTCTGGGAAGATCTTCGGATCGCAATAAGAAAAAATATTTTTTTGTGTTTTTGCGACTCGCTGTGACGGACATTGTTTGCTATAATAAAACGGGTAACGAATTTATGACGCCACAGACATCGGGAACACTTCCCAGAGTAGGCAACTCCCTCCATCACGTGCATCCATTCACAGAACCATGCATAATCTGTCAATTACTCAATAACAAGCTTGATTACACGAGTATATCAACTACTAATAACCTTTACATGTTAGATTGAACTAAGCGAATCATTGCGAATTGTCTTATCTCGAGTGTCTCGAATTTCAGAGCAACAATCTTTGTGCTAAACAAAAAAAAATAACGCGGATTTTACCGAGAAAAATTCCGTGTCAAAATGTTTAAGCCTTGCCTATATGTACACAGAGGGGGGAGGGGCGGTCAGAGGAGATTGAACGGGGCCACCTACTCCGAATCCATATAAAGAAACTCCGAATATCTGGAGTTAACTAAATATTCGCCTACAATGCATGCAGGCCTCTGATTTAGCTCAAAAGTGGGGTACTGACTAAAAAAAAACAAAAACAAAAACTACATGATACAATCATCGTTATAAACTAACATTACATTCTATTGATATAGCTACTTCTTTCCCTTCTTCTTCTTTTTCTTGTTAGAACTGGAAGAATGGGTTGCTGCGGGAGTAGACAGTGATACCGAATGTTCCACTGATCCTTGTCCTGTATTTCTCTTCTTATCCTTTTTGGTAGGTTTATAGTAAGATCTTAATTTCAAAGGTAACCATCTTTCCTCATCCACAGTAAACTCGCCTTCTGGCTTCAATACCTTACTTGGACCAAATTTAGGCTCCTTCTTCTTCTTAGTGACCTTATTAACTGTCTTTGTGATTGTTTTGGTTTGGTTTTTGGTTGGAATTAATTCGTTTATATCAACATTTAAAATCTCATCAATTGGTTTACTCGATGATAATTCAGTAATTGGTAATAAATCAACATTGGAGTTGGACAATATCGATTCGATTAAGTGATCATTTCCATCGATAGTACTTAGATATTGGAAAAGTTTCATTGCTTGTTCATGCTGTCCTTGGTTTAATGCCTTGAATGCAATGAATTTAGCACAGTCAAAGTAAAACATGTCAGAATACACTTCTTGGGATGTAGCAATGAACTTATCCGTCAATTTAGTCAATAACTGAGATAATTTGCTGGTGGAATGAGTCTCTTCATACACATTTATTAAGGTACCAACCACCCCTGGTGTGAGTTTCTCTTCAGACAATTCGTCGTCCACCAATGCTTCCAAGAATGGCAATGGTTGATCAAACTTGGATGTGCGGGCATGAACATAAACCAAGAGCAACACAGCAACTTGCTTGTAGTGAGCTTCTGCATCTTTGATATATTTAACAAGTTTCTTACCTATTGATTTCAATTGGGCGCTTGAATGTAAGTCCTTGAAGCTAATGTCCAACTTGAGTAAAATTCTATAAGCCACTGGAAAGAAATCACCAGGAAAATCTTCAAGGTATCTCTTAATGAATAAATTATCTACTTGGGATTTACTCAATGTACCACTGGTGTAATTCAACATTATGTTATTCTTTAAAACTATTTGATATTGCCATTTGGTCAACTTTTGTTGTAATTTTTGTAAATGTGGTTGATAATCCAAGGAGCGTTCAACCAAACCTACCTTGTAGTCATCCTTAAGTGAATACAAGTTATTCTTGATGATGAGTTTGATCATGGCATCATTCACTAAATCAACATCTTGGTTAATTTCATCCAATATGGTCAAACTCTTTTCGGAGTCACCTAATAGTTGATACACATAAGCAATGGTTAACTTAATAGGCAACAATTCTCCCAACAAATCTTGCTTACTCCACTCAGTATTTGAAGAACACAAGTTATGAGCTTGATCCAACAATTGCAAACTCTTGCTCAAGTTATTATTAGACAACTCAACCAAGGCTTGATTAAACAACAAATCATAATTGTCATCTTTGTCGATATTGACCGATCTGCCTGCCCCTAAGATATTTTCTTGAGAAACCACAGCTGCTTGATTGATTATCAAATCTAAAGGGTTATCAAATTTGTTCAGGTCAAGCAATTTTTCATATAATTCGTAAGCTTGTTCGTACTTTCCCACCTTATAATAAGTTTGAGCAAGAATATGATTCCAGCCAATTTGTTCAACTTCGGAATCAGTAGTGTTATCTTTGTACAACTCAAACAATTCATTAGCATGGCCTAATTTGTAATAGACATATCCGACTTCCATTTTAGTAGCGCCAACTAGGTCTTTAGAAACATGCTTGATGATCTCGTAAGCTTTATGATACTTGTCCAAGTTGATTAATGCCACTAAACAATTCTTGAATGCTTTTAAATCCTGGTAGTTTTTGACCTTGGTTAAATATTCATACGAGATTGTGAAGATTTGTTCGTGCTCAGATGGCGATGCATCTGGTGACACATGCAACTTCTTGAATGCATCCGCAATTGAATTGCTCATGATGGTTGAGTGTTTACCTGTGGATGTTGGTCGATTTCTGGCAGCACTTTCGTTGGAATTTTTTTTTTTCATGTTAGAGCGTCAAACGAGAGGTCGTGTGGAAGGTCATTTATTGTGTGGTGGGGAAATCACAGTGTATAATTAGCATGTAAAGTGTGCTGCATATTGATCCTAGCAGATCTGAATGTATATGGAGTAACATAGAGTAGGATACATATATGTCATGTAAATAGTCGGGTTCATATTTATAAGTCTAGAGTATGTTAACGTGTCCCTAAAGATTCAATAAAGTAGAGACATATCACATGACACACATCACATGACGAGATCTTTTGATACTTCAAAAACTTTTTCATCAACCAATATAAGAATGATCTTTACTAATATAAACGTGGTACTGTGAAATGTTGAGACTTAACAAAGCAAACATAGCCCACAGCGCTAGATATTTATCTTCTACACCAAGAGTATGCTTCCAATATAGAAATTCTATCTTGGACAAGTACAAACAGGAGACTGAACAAATAGATGCTCCATCTCAATTGGCCAAGGAATCCAGTTTACCTATCATTGAACAAGATTTAAAAATCAAGCCTCGTCAAGCAAGAATGAAAATGCCTTTATTGTCAGATCATAAAGTTGAATCCCCAGGGTATGAATTATCCGGTTTTGCAAAGACATTTGGTGAGTTATTTGTAAAGATATTTAGAATTGACATGGATATCACTAGATCTGGGTCTGTAGCTGGGTCATTATATTTTGCTGAATGTAAGAAGCAAGGATTATTTTATCCTAATGAACCAATGTCTGAAACTGCCAAGTTCTATTATGAGACTTTGAATTTACCAAAGTCCTTTTCACAACAAGTTCAAATTACTTTGTTACATTATTGGATTTTGTCAGTGAGAATGAGAGCTTTGCCTTTTAAGTATGCTAGAGAGTATCAACAAAAGTTAGTTGATAGAATTTTCAAGGATTTAGAATTAAGAATGTCAAACGAATTAGGAATTAACTCAAACAGAATTATTGAAGGAAACTTAAAAGACTACCACACTCAATTATTAGGGTCAGTGTTGAGTTATGACGAAGCTTTAGTTAGTGACGATATTACATTTGCCAGTGCATTGTGGAGAAACGTTTTCAATGGTAATCCAAATGTTGATATTAGACACGTTGAAGCATTATTAGCCTACGTTAGATCCCAATTATACGTATTGAACAAGATGACCGATAGAGAATTCGGATTTGGTAGATTCAAGTTCATCCCACCTAATGAAGTAGTTAAGCCAATTTCAAAGAGTCAAGAAGAGCAAATGAGACAAAAGGTCAAGGAAGAATTTGAGAAAATGACCTTACCTTCGCAAAAGAGTGTCTTATCAGTTGATGAATAGATTTGTATATACTTGTAAATAGAACTACAATTTTCCTTTCGAAATATTCTCATCCTGAGTCCAATCATGCCCCTTGACTCCTCTAATCATTACATTCATAACTGCGAAATGTTCCCCTTCAACAGCACCATCAGATTTTTCACCCAACACAATATCTTCGACAACTTTAAATCCAAATCTTTCATAGATCGGAATATTATTGGGTGAAGAACTTTCCAAATATGCAAGACTATCATCAGCATCAATATACTTGGTGAACATGTACTCAAACATTTTGCGCAAGTTCCCCTTACCACGAGCACAGTCTCTACTACCAACATAAACCAAAGTGTAAACTCCTTTGTTCTTGAATCGAGAGTCATTATTTATAATCCGTTCACAGGAATCATGCAATAATGGTAACATACCATAGAAAACCTTCTGTCTACCTTCTTCACCAAAAACTTGCCATACTTTATCATAACCAGATTCCATAAGTGTACCAAACGAATCAAGTCCTTGGTGTACACTTTCAGGACATGCCCAAATTGAAACAGTTTCAAAGCCTTCATTGGTTTCGCCTTGTCCTAATACGATTCCATGCTTGATATGTTGACGCAAATATGCTTCATAAAGACAAAGCTCAGCGTATTTACGTTTATTTTCTGGTAAATGACAGACTAATAGCTTAGCCAACAGATCTTCTTTGAATGCCTCAAGCAAACATAATGCAGCTTTTCTAACATCGGCATTGGTCAAATGACGAATAGTGGATGTGTTTGATATCTTTATGGTAGCGCGTGGTGTTGCACTAATAGTATCACTAGTTGTTGTCTTTAGCATGTTAAGTAATAAAAATATATGTTATAAATAAATGTTGTAATAGTAGCGAAATACATTATGGCGAAGTAAATCACGTACTTTTGCAATATTTATAATAGGCATTATGTGTGATGTAAAACTTGATGATATTTGAGGAGAAGCGCATCGGGGAGTTCCCAATTAGGAAAGAATGACTTCTCCGAATTTTCCTGATCTGACATGGATTGCGCCTTCTTTAATAGCACAAACCATTCATCATAATAATGCATGAAATGAATGCGTGCATGAAACGCAGTACTGCACAACAGGCGAAAGCGATTTGTGGGTTACCGCTAATCAAGTGTGGTGCATCTAATTAATATTTAATAAAACAGATGATTCACCTCCTCAGGCGCAACTTATATTACCTTTAAGCTTTACAGAAATCCACAGCAAGCAATGCGTTGATTTACCTTTGGTCACGTTTGCAATACCTGGTATATCTTTGAATAATACGCAACTTAGGTGGGGGGAGTTAGAGATAACTTTGTTTAAAAAGCTTATTGTTTGTTTAAAGTTATCGCGGTCTAGATTAGCTCGGCGCTGACTGCCAAAAACAAACGCAGGAACGAACTTACAGATTAGAAATTTTACAGAATATTTTTTTTTCTACAGTTTATCAAAATCACATCTCCCTACTAAGAGAAGAAGCATCCATCATGTTCAGTACTTTACTATCACGACCTAAAAATTCATCATATGATCCAAACTATCATTTCCGAATAGATACAACCACCAATGACAATAAACAAGTTTTAGTGCTTCCTAGACAAACCGACCTCCAAGCATTGGACTTTTCAAAACCAATCGATGACGAAGAGGTAACTTATGAATCAACCATACCGTTGAAGAAACGATATCCTAACCTAACACATTCCTTTCCACGACCTTCTTTAGATGATCTAGAAGTGAGATCCGTCATTGAAGAAACAAGATCCATAATTGCAAAACTCATTACACCTGACCAACCTGAAGAAAATGTTCAACATATCCAATACAGTAGTAAGAACATAATTGATACCGATGAACGTGTAATTCAAATTAGAAAGTTCCAAGTTGATCCAATGTTACCACCCCAATTCAAATTACGTAAGAATAGACATAAAACCCAAACCGAAGATGTACCAATTGTTAAACCTACAAATCAAGAAAAACTTACCAAGGAAGATCGTCAGAAATGGAACATTCCAGTTGCAGTCTCTAATTGGAAAAACAACCAAGGATTTACTATAGATTTAGATAAGAGAGTCATGGGTCCACGGGAAACGGCGCTGGTTAATGTAGAGAAATTTGGGGAACTTTCAAATGCTTTAGTTGATGCTGAGCAACAAGCTAGAGAAGATATCAAGATTAGGAATGAGTTAAGAAGAAAGCAAGAAGAGCAAGAAGCTATAGAACGTGAACGTAGTTTACGAGATTTAGCTCAGAGATCCAAAAGAAGAAAATATGATAGACGTTAGCATGTACTCTTTGAATATACTCAAAAATTTCCATTCTTGTACTTTAAATTCTCTACCATAATTCTATAAAGGAAGATACCTTAGACAGGCAATCTTTGATTGACAATGTGTTTACTTTTCAAAACATATCTCTGATTATGTGCAAGACTAAATATGATAAATGTTGCAAAAATTAAGGACTGGTCACTCCTTGTATTGAATATCTGATTTACTTCAGAAGGAGTTATTACAAACTATAGCGATGCATATCATTGTTTTGTAATTAATATAATAAGCAATAGATCAATTGATTAATTGCTTGATGTGTTGTTGCAACAGTAATAAATTATATCGCTTGTCGTTGGCAGAGCATACATATTATATTTTCAAAAAATATTGTGCGTATGAATATACTTCCAAACGCTCTCATCAACATTCAGCAGACTAGTCTAGCAACTTCATATCTACAATATCTATTTAGAGTCGTTTGACCCATTGAAAATACAAGGAAATTATTGAACCAACTCTCTACAATAGTTGTTACAGTGTAAAAGCAATTGTTTACCCGATTTTCTGACCATCTCAAGGAACTCCCTACAAATCCAATATCGACGAACTAAACTTCAATTTTATATAGTCTATTAATACATATATCTTACAACTTCTTTCTGGTTACTTTTCTAGTCTTTGACAGCTTATACTTATCACCACCTTCATAGAGCGATTTCCCAAATGAATCCAATGCAATTGAATTAACCCATTCAACAACTCTATTCAAATCACGGTCTTGTCTCTTCTCAGCTAATTCCGAATCGAGCTTCTCAACCATTGATGTTATTTCTTCTTCATTTCCAAATTGTAATGCATCTTCGAGAGTCACTACTTTCTGACGTTTTCTTGGGGTTTGCTTTCTCCTCAAGTTTCTCTTTGCACCCACAACCACGTCATCATCGGTTTCTTCAATCTCATCTTCATCTTCCCCTTTGATTAGTTTTTCTCGTTTGGTCTTTAATTTATTTATGTTATTTTCAATTTCATCTTCTTCAGCCGGGGTTCCATCCATCCATAACGCCTTTCTTCTAGCTTCAATGTTAGAAATAACGACATCTTTAACCAAAGTCAATTCCTTACGTAATGCAGATTCTCTCTTCCCCCACGGATTTAACCATGATAAGATCTTGACTATATCTTCGGGATGATCATAATATCTCCAATTAGTTCCGTTAATTAGAGGATCAGGTAATTCTTCAATTATTTTCCTTTCAAAGGGTGTTAATAGTGCGAGTGGAGACACTAACGAACCTTCATGATCAATAACGATATCAGAATTCTTGTGTACCTCATGCTGGGTGATTTCAATGTGATGAATTGTTTGAACTGTAGATTTATATGCCGGAGATATAGGAATGAAGTCCATTTCACGAATTTGTGATTTCTTTTCATCAACAGGTTCTTGCTTAATTTCTTGTTTGATTCCATTTTCTTCAGGTTTATGAGTAAAGTCAAATTCCTTCCGTCTTAATTCCTGATTAAACTTTTCACTCTCTTCAAAATTACTGTTATATCTTATTCTCAAATCATCATTCAGTGGGCCTTGAACCCAAAGTCTACCCATAAGATAAGTTTCATCACTAACTTCATCCTTCTCATCATCGTCCTCAACGTCTTCCTTGTCCTTCTCTTTTTCATCATCATCGTCATTATCGTCGTCGTCATCATTATTTCCAGCATGTAAATTAGGCAACCCATTGTTCTCAAACCACCAATATCTATTAAATAAACGATCTTTACCAAGAAGCTTAACTCGTTGGCAATCCAATTCGGTTAATTTCTGTTCAATTGAATGCTTTTCTTTCTTGATTTGGTTTAATTTGATCAATGCCTGCTTACGAGCTTCACATTGTTCCGCAAATTCCTTGTCCTTTTCGGCCTTTTGTTGTTCAGCTTCGGTCATTTCAAGGTTTTGGTAGTTTAATCTTGGTTTCTTGTCTTCTTCACCGGGATTCAAGGCATTGCAAATGAATTGATTCGCTTTTTGAGCAATTTCTAAATTCGCTTTGTAATCCTTAATATTATCCAATCTCATACGACGTAATTGTGACGATTGTTCAAGACAATCATCAATATAGTTTCTGACCAACGGAGAAGTAATAATCAAGTCAATTAAGATATTCAAAATTTGTAACTTTAAATCAATGTCCAATTCCTGATAAAATTGATTAACTACAGTACTTGAAGTAGCAGGCTTTTCCTTTGGTGCAAGTTTAAGATAGGCTTGTTCAATAATTGTTTTATAATGAGGAACATGCTCAACAAGTGATAACACACCAAGCAAAATACATTGCCAATTCCCATCTTTGAAATTACGCTTGCGTAAACGTTCATGCCAAGGAATGTTACGATAATTCATACAAATATAGGCATTATGAGGAGTGGAATCATCAGTGTCACTACCTTCACTAGTAATATATTCTGGTGCTTCTTCTTCAGGTTCCTCTTCATTATCAGCCTCATTTTCTTCTTCATCTTCATCATTATCTTCATCTTGATCTTTAACAATGACAACTTCTTTAGTTTCTACAACTCCATTCTCAGTATCCTCTTCATCAGTTTCGGGTTCATCTTTTAACAACTTATCTTCGTCGTCAGTCTCAGAACCAGTGACATCTTCACTCTCGTCACCTTTCTTAGGAGGCAATTGAACATTCAACCCAAAGATTTCACCATCATCTTCAGCTTGTCTTTGTTCTTTTCTGGTTGGTAATTCATTTGACACAATAGCCAGTAAGCAAGCACACCAAATTTCGTCCAACAATTCGCATCTACCTAATTCATCATATTGTTCCCAATTCCACCCCATACAATATATGAAATCGTCAAAGGTAAATGTATCTAAATTTAAAACCTTATGATAGATGTTGATAAATATCCACGATTGTAACGCATCTTGAATTGAGGAGATAGCATTTGTACTTAATCGGAATATTTCTGAAGTATTTGGAATATCCTGATCAGCGTACTTTTCAATTAAACTGTTATTGAGTGATTGAGCATTTGGAGGCAAGTGTAATTGTCTAGGTAATGGTTTTGAATTCTGCAAATCAAATCTCAATTGTAAATCATCGACAATATTACGTTTTGTAGGTTGTAAAGAAGATAACCCAAATGAAGGTTGTTCCTTAAGTTCTTCAAGTTCCAACTCCTTTTGTAATTTTTCGGGAAGATAATGGGTTGGGAACTTCTTACGGAATGGTACCACTGCTGGTGTAGGTGTAGAAACTTCGACTGTAGGAGTAGCAGTTTTGATTTGTTTCTTTCGCTTTTCAGGAACAGGAGTAGCACTTGGTTCATGCGTATCTTCCTTGATTGGCACCCTTCTCTTTTTCTTTTCTGTAACATACAAGATTTCCCCAGTTGGGGTTGAATCAGCATAATGTCTTAAATCTTCAGGATATACTTGTGGAATACCATACTTCTTGGCATATTTGTCCTTGACCACCCATGGAGCACCCACTTTATGAGATCTAGACATGGTTAACTTGATAAATGTCTTGATCAACCATTTAGTGAAATGGTTCCTGTCTCTGGATATATTGTCATTAGTAACTATTGCTTGTTGCATGTCATTAAGTCTAACAACAAGATATTTTGTTTGATTTGATTGTCCATACTGAACTTTCTCCCGGATGATACCGCGCTGTTTCAGCAGCAGCAGCAGCAGCAGAGTCAGTGTGGGTGGCGTCAGTTGCAGTTGTAACTGTTGCTGCTGTTGTTCTTTGGAATCCTCAATACCTTTGATGAAAATAGTCTCACCTGGGAAGTAATCATTCTTAAACACCAGATATACCTTATCCACCAATTGATCCAATCTGGTAATTCTATTAAATTGTAAAAACCGTAAAATATGTTCACGTAATGATTCTGGGAAATTCAGCTCAACACCTTTAATCTCTTTCAACTCACTTTCATAAGCTTCAAAAAAGGTTAGGCATGAATTACCAGTAATTTCACAAACAAATTTTCTCTTGTGGTAGTAATCCATACGAGCCAAATACTCGTCATATGTGATGAACCATTCCTTTGTTTGTGGAATAAACCAAACTTGGGTTGATAGATCAGAGGGTATGGCCGGTGGTGGTATAAACGTCACCTGTTTTCGTTTATATAACACCATGTTTGTGAACGGATAAGAAAAAGGTGTTGTAAAAAAGTAAACAAGAGTGGAAATGAACTTGAAAAGGAAAAAAAATTTTCCCTTGTTGTAAAAAAAAGACAAGGTGCAATATTACGAGGTTATATTAGTTTTTTTTTAACCGGGCGTATTTATCCACTGCGGCTCAGATTGTCAACAGTTTCACTTGGCCTAGATAAGCTGTATCACCCACTTTTTATTAGGAGAAATGCCTATTAAATTGTTGTGTGAACCAGGTGCTTTGTAAATTCCATAGTGAAACAAGTATTACAAAATATATAAGGTAAATATTAGTGATATTTGCCCACAACGTGATTTGTTTTGATTTAGTGATGATGTTGACAGTGAATATTTTCAAACTTCTCCGTTCTGAGGATATATGCAGGAACGAGAGAAGAACAAACACATAAACTACTATGCAGGCAATTCAGCAATTCCATGTAGTCCCTTAAAATAGTACAGAGTGGTATTGTTGATCTTGGGACAGAAAACTCCATACCAGAACTCGACATAGTCTAATCTCACAACAATTTTTATTTTCTTTTCTTTTTTAATTTTTTTTTTAACTTTATGCTTGCAAGTACATTTGAGGTGCTTTTCTATTAACTCTATAAAGCATTTTCACATCTAAAAGATTCCAAACTTTTGCATAGTTTGAAACATCCAAATCACCCATTCGTTAACTTTAATAACCCTTACTTTATTTTCATCAACAATGGAATCATATTGCTTTTCATCATCAGTTAATTTCTTATCGCTACCCATCTTGTGAAATACTTGGAAAATAAAGTAGGAAAACCACTGTTTAAAGGTTAAGCTAGAACGTAATGATTCAGTAGTTGGAGTTAATCTAGTAGTTTCACCCACTTCTTCTAACTCTTCCTTGTGATCAGCATAGCTGACCATGGTATCAGGATGGTCAGAAATAACACCATATTCCACTAACCCTCCAAGTTCCCCAACTTTACACAAGTATTCATATTGGAACTTCTTATTTATAGTCCACGAAAATAATTTAAGACCATGTACTTTTAATAATGGAACAAATTTGGTCAAAAATCCTTGAGACCAAGTAGATATATAAATCAAGGAAACTCCAGTTAATTTGATCTTGACTCGGTCACCACCTAAGGCATCAAGGTAATCATTATAGCTAACATAGAAAATTGCATCTCTCCAGGAGACAGTAATATTGAAGATGTCAAATTGTTGTTCAGCAAACTTATCTTGGAAATAATCATCTTGGTTCAAATATTTCAAGAAATTCAAATCCCAAATCCCAAACTGAATTCTGTTATACCAAAAACCCATATTTGGTTCAACACTCAATAAATCTTCAATAATTTGTTTGAGAATCTTTGGAGGATTGAATCTCTTGATATCTAATTGTAATTTGAATTCCCCTTCGTGATCTACAACGTATGCTTTAAACCACTGTAACACCTCTCTAAAGGTCATCAATGGGTATCCACCCTCGATGGTCTTCAATTGTTTCAAAATTGGGTCATATTCAGTATCTATAATCTTGTAATCAGTTTCGTTGCCTTCAGAATCAACAAAAACACGCTTGGTAGAAGGGTCATGGGAAATAATAATAACATTATCTTTAGCCAACCACAAGTCAGTTTCGATTATGGTGGCTCCAGTTTCAAAACACTTGTTGAATCCAATCATGGTATTCTCAGGGTAGTTCCCCTTGAATCCTCGATGACCAACTATAACAGGAGATACCAGCATTCTTCGATATAATGTGAGATATTTGTATGGAGTAGTAAACGTTGTCCTAAACCTCAGGAACATCCTATTTATAGTATGGGGAATTTTTTTGTTATCACAAAATTACAGAACCACGTTGATCGGATCGAAACCAATTTCTTTTTTATTTCCTATTTTGTAACTTTTTCCATGAATGTCAATTTTTCATTACGATGAAAAATAACCCCAAGTTTTAAAACCGTTGTTATAGCTATTACAACCAGGATTCTGTGAATTATCTCACAATAACATCGAACTGAATTATAATTAGCACAACCTTCATATTCGATGATCTCTTACCTATTTATTTCTCGATTCTAAATCAATGCAACAGGTAGCAACTATAACTTTTGAAATATTTTTACCATCGCTCCTAATTTCTATTGTTGAATTTGTGTAAACTATAAAACCTCGTCTGGATTGTTTAGTAAGTTGCAATAATATGCCTAGACCTGTTTCCGGCACGAGTTTTCAACTCCTCCCCCCGTTTTGCTGGAGGAATTTATTCACGCGGAGAAACCTTTTATCTCCCCGTTTGCGGTAGAAAGTGGCGCGAATATTTTTGTGCACATAATTTTGCAACTTTTTTCTCCTCGTGGTGCCTGCATTAGGTGGTATCTACATTTGAGTGGAGTTGACTAGTCAACAGAAGATTCGCCATTCACCCCATTACAACAAAGTTATGGTTTGTGTATCATATAATTGAGTCTCAGTTGTATAATTTCATTCATGCAACTGAGCAGCAATTATATCAAAGATTTCAAACCTAGTTACATAAATAGGGAGAACCAATCAACAAATATAGGCAACCAATCAACCGACGTCGATGAATTTCCGTTCAATCCTCACTGAAGTCTCAACTATCGTAACGATAATTGTTCACTCTCATGATGATGAAACTAGAATCCACCTTTGTCGGGTAATTTGCTGTCCATATTTGTTTTTGAATAGAATACGAACTATATTTAGTGTTATGAGTTAAAAATGTTGTAAATAAAATAAGGCCCGAGCTTCTTTGAATCAAATAATACTTACATCATAAAAGCTTCTTGTCAATTAATAATAACAGTCGTGTATACCTTTTTAGTATAAGTTTTGTCGAAACTGAATTAAACTATATTTAAAGCTGCCAAATGAAAAAAAAAATAAAATTGAAAACGTTTTCCAAGACATCCTAGGAATTGACCCATATTTATATTCAAACTTCAAAATCAATATTTGCCACCCAAACCCAATATTGCTGAACACGCGTCAGCAATCGTAATATTACCCCACAATTAAGACACCAACCCCTCAAATTATGTAGACATTGAGATAAATTGTCCACATTCCGTCTGTAACTACTTGGCAACCGATAAGAAAATAAAAACAACGACAAAGACAAGTCCCATAAGTCTAGCTTATGTAGTCAATAGAATATTCTACAATCTTCTAACTCAAGCTAATATAGTCCCTATTCTAAATGTTTTTCCACTTTGTTCTTTTTGTACGCTTTCTTTATTTTGCAGGCAAATGGAGTAACCATTTTGTTTGAAGCAAATGTTTTGTGTCAGTATCAACTAGTTCTTACCACAATTAGTAGCAAAGTAAATCACGTGTATATTATACCTAAGTTTCAAATGAGCTGGAATACTGTTTCTATATATTTTTTTACCTAAGAATTCACGGGAATGAATTAAAAGTCCCTGGTATCAGTTTAACTCTATTATTAGGTTGAGGGAAAGTTATTTATGCACTAACAAAAAATAACAAAGACAATCAAGTATTCAATTACTACAAAGGGAATAATATGTCATTATGTTCTAATATTTAATAGTTATAAGATAACATCTGCAAAGTGAATGTTACTGTAGAATATTGCATTGGATTAGTTAGTTGGGGTTAATGTTGTCAAGACTTCAGAGCAATCTCGATATGAGGAACAACCATAACAATACGAACTACGCAAGTCCAACAGCACTTTCAGTGAAGGATTTCGTGTTGGGACTTACCCAAAATACATTGAAAGATACAATTCCAAAATACCGGCAGTGCCAGACATCCTGACCAAATTAAAACCAACAACACAAACATACGCGAAGTGTATAATTCAAAATAAAGTAATAGTAGAATATTTACCTTGGAGCAATTGAACGTGGTGGTACCATTCCTGGTGTCAAAAAGATTTCTTTGAGATTATTTACTAGCCGGCTTGAAGAAGACATCTGCAAGAATATCAGGAGCAACATCATACACATTTGTGTTTTAGAAGATGTTGACAAACAGTTCATCAAGCAAATAATGACTCAGATACATCCCAGACACCAAAAAATTACCCAAGTACGATAATTTGAAGGGTCTTCAAACCAAGTCTTATAAAATCAAGAAATAAAAAAGTAATTTTTACAAAAATAAAACACATGAGAGAATTTCCTATACCTTTTAATAGTTCTTCAGAGAACTGCATGTAAAACAAAAACTTCTAGCGAGTTCTAAGCAATAGCCAATATGTACTGGTGATACAATTAGAACTGTTATTGTCCTTGCATATTCAATTGGACTCTACTTACAGAACAAATTATACTTACTATATAGAAAAACAACTTACTGTATAAGTATTATATATACCTAAGAGATCTACCTAACATACAGATAATAACATAGAATGTCTATAAATCAAATATAAATTACAATTTGTGCTTATTTGTTGCTTCATCAACCACCAATTTAATTAATTGGAATGCAATTGATTCAGGCATAGGTAACATGATTCCCTCTGGGTTAAAATCTTCATCTTCATCTTTACTAGGATATACCAATTGTCTCACAAAGTCAATATCAAACCATCTGGCATCACTTAATTCGTTATCATGACCCAAATGAATTTGTTCATTTTCACCATTGAAATCGACAATACCCATACATCCAATCATTAAATTAGAAGGGAATGGCCATGGCTGGGTCATGATAATATTGATTTCACTACAATTGACCCCAGTTTCTTCCCAAATTTCTCGTTTAGTAGCAACTTCAACTGTTTCCAGCGGTTCCATGAACCCAGCAGTACATGAATACATTTTAGAAAATGCATACCTTTTAGAAAGCAGAAGCAAAATTTTTGTGCTATCACGATTAGCTATGGTGGTTATTATGACCATATCTGTTCTTGGGAATGATACATTGGCAACTGGTGCCGACTTAACAGAACATGTAAACTTGTCTTGACCTTCAGCATCCTTTTCTGTACCAGTATTGGTACAATAAAGTTTACCTCCAGCATGGATTGGAATAACTGGATGTCCACACCCAGGACAAAACTTGTTCTTGTCTAACCAACTGAAAAACATAGCACCTTGAGAGAACAATGATGCCTCTCTGTTTTCAAATCCAAGGTAATGCTTTCTTGAATGAGTGAAAAATACACCATTTTCCTCAGGGGTGTTCACAACACCCTTGGTATAATGATGATTTATATAATCATTAACAAAAGTAACAATGGAATTAGTTAATTCTGGAGAATTGGTTAAATCAACGGCATAATAAGCAATACCTTGGTATCTACCTTGATGGTCCAAAAATTTTTCCTGATCTGAATCATCAAATTTCAAAGTATGCAAATCCAATCCAACACTTTCATCTAACAAACCCAAGAACAAAAACACCGGTTTATTGCTGGCTCTTAAATCCAGAGCTTGGGTTTTATTGTCAGAATTCCAAGTTGTCAAAACTGATTTCCAATTGTCAACCGAATCCAATAATCCAGATTCAACAACTGCATGTTCGCCGGTGAATCCGATTTTGCCTTTCCCCATGGAATCAATCGACAATTGCTTTGATCCATTAGTTAAAATTGTCAATTTGTTGGTGAAATTCTTATGAATCAATGGCTTTTGATCATGATAAAATATGAATCTAGTGGAGGGATGAAATAAAGATTGAGTTATAAATTCAGTATCTTCACGTAGAAACAGAACTCTGTTGACTACTTCTGTACCGAAATACATATCTTGTTGCATGTCGGTGACACTAGTATGACGAGAATGTGACATGTTTGGTGTTTTTATGTAACGTGACTTTCTATGTGGTGTACTAGTACTCCCTATGGTGGTTCCTTGAGTTGTAGCTGTGGATACCGTTCTAATTAAGTTCACACTAAATCTGATTGGTGTAATTATTCGCCTTATCATGAAAAAAAAAGAAAAGATTATTAACTATTTTTCCATTATCCATTATTTTATTTGTTTTTCTTATCCCGAGGAATAAATTATAATTCATACACAAAATCCAAACCCCACAGTTTCCTGTTAAATAAAACGGACCAATACTAAGTCAAGATTAGCGGAAACAGATCCTTGGAACGATACGCAATTTAGACAAAATCTATAAACTAGAACCCAGTCCATAGATATCTGTCTTAATTAAATAGGTGGCCAGGATTAGTTCTACCAATCCTATCAAATTGGACCCTGAAAAAGAAATCACGTTGGTGGTTGTTCTTTTCCAAATGGATAAATCTTTGTTTATGTTTTATCTACAGATGTATCCAAACGTGACCACTAAACACATTATGGACTAAAATGTGAACAGTGACTTATAATCATTTGGAGATATCAATTTTCCTGGGGCGTATAGTCTAATCATACCATAGTGAAAATCGGTAAGTAGATAAAGCGAATTCCCAGGTGTTGGTCTTACAACAATATTAATCTCAAATTATGAAATTAATTCTATGTACAGGTAACCCTAGATTTGTTAGTATTATGAAATTCAAACTCTAAAGCCTTGATTCCTGGTCAGATAAGCAAGATGTTCTCCTCAATGTAATTAGGAAGTCTAACGTCTGAAAAATCTTGAAAAATCATCATATAAAGGAACCATTTGAAAAAGTTAACATACCTTAATAAATATCTATCCAATTGTAGCTCCTTTAGTAATAGCATTTCCTAACCCTTTAATCCAACTCTTTCTTGTTTTTCTATCAACAATAACAAATACTCTTCCATTTTGTTTCATTCTACCAGTTCTACCAATTCGATGAACCAAATCAACCGAATTATGAGGTAAATCAATCATAACCACATTTTTAACACCAATGAAGTTGACACCACGAGCTAAAGCATCAGTACAAACCAACACTTTGTATTTACTTTTATGTTCATCATCTTCAATTAATCCCGCTGGTTGTAAGAAAGGTTTCAACAACTTGTCACGTTCTTCCTTGGATAAATCTTGAGTGATCCCATAGAAATCATGTGGTTTATGATGGAACTTTTCAGTCATTGATTTAACCAACGGTTTAACTTCATCTCTTTTATTGACAAATATAACAATTCTTTTAACATAACCTGGATCAGTACCATCTTTTGCAATCGCATAAAGTGCTTGTGCAAGACATCTAGTTTTAGAACCATTATAAGGAGGTAATTCAGCATCTAAAGTAAAGACCTTGATTCGTCTTGGAATCTTATGTAATTGCGGAGTTTGAACATTGATTAATGATTTTTGATCTGGGAATTTTGCTTTAAGAATCTTTTGGAACTCTTTAGGAATGGTTGCAGATACCAAAATCAAATCAACTAATCGAGGCATATGTTTGAGAACAAACGAAGTATCAGCAATAAAAGATTGATCAAATAATGTATCAGCTTCATCAATAACACAGTATCTAACCAGGTTGAAATACTTCAATGGTCTAGTAAAGTTTCTTAAATTGCTTAATGAAGAAATCTTAGCTGGTGTGGTAACCAATACATCCAAGCGACCTTGCTCACATCTATCAAATAAAGTGGTTGGAGGATCACCTTGCGACCATTTCATGACTGAAAGTCCCAAAGTTTTGTTTTCATCCAATTCCAAGAATGGTTTGAATTGAGGATGAACATTCTTACTGTGATCAAGCTTGATAGTAGTGGCTCTCGCCAATGTATCATAAACTTGTTCAACCAACTGATGAGTAGGAACCAAAATAACCGATCTAATAATAGCATGATCTTTACTTTGTTGATACTTAGCTGGACTTTCTTGCCAAACATTCATGTCATCTTCCTTTAATTTAGATAACACAGAAGCCAAATAAGCCCAAGTTTTACCGGAACCAGTTTCAGCAGCAATCGTGAAAACCTTCAACCTGTTAGCTTGATTTTCCTGCAGTATAGTTAAAGCAATCCTTTCACCTTCTGATAATTCTTCAAAATTTTCAGGAAGCTTGATGTCTCTAGATTGGTTAACTTTTCTGATAGCACTAATTTGAACTGGTGTAGGTTCAAGGTGTAAGTCAGATTCAGTCTTGCCCTTCATGTTGTATTGTGACTTGATTTCTTCAAGCATAGCTTTACGTACAGAAGGAAAGATTCTCAATTGGTCAAACTCATGAATCTTAGCAATTGCTTGAGAAGCCGACTCACGTTCTTTCAAAGAAGGTGTATGTAATTGTGAAAACTTACCAAATGAAAATATACTTTCCGCCTTTTTTTGCGCATCATCATTTTTGTCGACAGCTGACTTCAGCACAGCTTTAGGTCGACTATATTTCTTATGTGCGGGTCTTTTAGAAGCAAATCTCTTTGCCAATGATAGCACGGGACTTACCTGACTATATCGTATTGATTGACATTGTTTGAGTATAGAGATCATTGAGTTGTAACCCAATGGTTATAAAAAGAAAGTGCTGCCAAAATTGGTGAGATGCGAAAGTGCGGAAGAAGAACATTAAAAATTTTTTTCTCTACTGTAGAAACAAAGTCGTGTAGCGATTCAATTCTGACAACGAAAAAAAAAAAATTTCAACAGAATCAAACCCTAGTTAAGAAAGTTTTTTACAACCAATAGACAAGCGAGTCTAACTTGTACATATACTCCAAAAAAATGTTAAGAGCTACAAATAGATTGGTGGTTAGTTCGAAAGCCACAATTGGGCTCAGAGCAATTTCCACAACTCCAGCCTTATTAGCACCAAAAGCTAAGTTAACTGGTCCTAAGAAAGCCCAAGGAACCAAGAAATGGTCAGCCAGTAACCAACCAGCCAAACCAAAGAAATCAGGTATGACCCATCATAAATTCCGTGATGCTGTTTACAACTTGAACTGGGATAAGTATGCCTCTGAATTACCTCCAATTCCAAATTTAAATGTTAAGAATTTGAAAGCAAACAGTCATATGGCCAGATATTCTCCAAGCGTTGAAGCTGCCTTAAGCAAATTTGGTGGATTTAAGAAAGGTCAATATCATGAATTGTTTGAACATCCTGTTACATTAGCTAATGAAAATACTCAAAGGTTGAACCAAGAATTTATTAGCAAATTAGAAGGTAACTCCAAGGACAATCGTGTATATATTACTGGTGATCAAGCTATTGGTAAGTCCACTCTTGTCACTCAAACCCTTGGTTTAGCTTTGGAAAAGTTTGGTCAAGATAAGACACTTATATTACATTTTGATACTCCTAAGGTCATCACCAATGGTACTAGTGATTACATCTTTAACAAAGACTTGGGATTATATCAGCAACCAATGTTAACTAAGAGATGGGTATACAAATTCAGACAAGTTAATGAAGCTACCTTGAAGACATTAAAATTAACTGAAGATGTCAAATTTTCTGTCAAGGGTAAGCCAGTTGCTCTTAAAGCTGGAACTAACACATTATATGAATATCTTGTCCAATGTCATGATTTTGGAAGTTCTACTCCAACTCAAGGTTTCCAATTCTTCATTAACCAATTAAAGGCACATTCTAAAACTGTTCCAGTTGTTGTTACAGTTGATGATTTCAACACTTTGGCTGAGTTCCCAGTGACTGAATATAAACATCCAGATTTCACTTCAATTCACGCAACCCAATTTGAAATGGCTGATTTCTTATTTAAATGTGCCAGTGGTGAATTAAACTTTGCACAAGGTGGTGTTCTTTTAGCCAACACTACCGCTGTAAGCCAACATAGAGAAACTATGGAAGTTGCTCTTGATCAAACTAAATATGATCCATTTGCCAACAAGAAATATTTCGATAGAGAAATTGCCGAAAAGCTCTTGCAAAATGGTGGTGTTAAAGAATTCAAAATGACTCCATTAACCAAAGACGATACCAGACAATTAATGGCATTCTGGAAAGATACTGGAATATTACAAATCCGCCCTGATTTCACCAAGAAAGATTATAACAAGGAAGAGGCATTCTCCATGAGTATTTCTAAACAATTTGAAAACCTTGTTAACTTACAATATGTTTCCACTCAAGGTGTGCCAGGATATTTATTGAGGAAATCAGTCATGCACTATTAGATACTACAGCTTGTAAATAGTTCTATTAATATAACATTAAGTCTACAAACGTTACCTATGTAAATAAAGTATCTTCATCTCTCAAGTATTCACCAATATCACCTTGTCTAAATGCAACAATACCAGTAGGAGCTAAACTTCTAGCTTCATTCGTAGATTTAGCACTTACACCAAACCCTAAAGGAACATCGTTCATGGAGTATACAATAAGTCCAGCATGTTCTGGTATGTCATCACTCATTCTACCAACATGAGCCTTTAATACATGGTTTCCGTACAAGAATGGCATTTCACCATTGGTCTTAATCCATACTTTAAACTTGGCATATTGAGCTAAGTAAGGTAATGCAGTGATGTGTAATCTGAATTTACCAGTCTTGGTAAACTTACCAAAACAAGTTCCCAAGGACATTAAGTTATTACGGGATACACTGGTAGCAAACTTTGCTATTTGATCAGAAACGTAATAAACTCGATCTTTTTGGAGTCGGAATACATGTGGATTTGTTGGGTTATCTATAAGGAAGGAGATGTTTCGTCCTATGTAATTAGCTAACTTTTCAAATACAACTTTGGTTTCTTCTTCTGTTAATGGTCTCATGGTGACTGGCTAGTATGTTGTTGTATTCACTTTCAGTTCAGTCTGATAATCTTGAATAATTTTTTTTTGTTTTAGGTAGTTGTGCGATGAGGGCCGAAAAATCTTTTGCAATAGTGAGGACCAGAATCACCGATAATTAAGCTTCTCAACAACAAACTCACTCGAATGTCTGAAGCAGAAAACCAGCAGAAGTCGGAGACCATCCACTACGACGATCAAGTAGATGATTCGGTATATAAACGCGACCAAAAGAGTAAATGGACCCGTACTCGTACTGGCGATCGGATCGAGAGTGAGGCCAAGAGAACTAGAAAACAACTTGGTGTCGAAAGACGTAAGAAGGAATATGAGGATGGAAAGTACGTATGTTTTACAATTGTTTTCCTAAAATATGGATTTTTATACTAACAGTTGTAGCAACTATGAATTTCCTTTAGACGAACATGGAAACCCTATCAAATCAGAGCGTAAACCTAAACGTAAATGTGCCGTAATGATTGGGTATTGTGGTACTGGGTACAATGGTATGCAATTACAAAATGATCCAACTATCAAGACGATTGAACGTGATCTTTATGATGCCTTTGGTAAAGCGGGCGCTATTTCTCGTGAAAACGCTGAAGATATGAAGAAATCTGGTTTCATGAGAGCTGCAAGAACTGATAAAGGTGTTCATGCTGCCGGTAACGTTGTTTCTTTAAAATTGATTATTGAAGATCCTGATATCGTCAAGAAGATCAATGAACATTTACCTGATCAAATCAGAGTTTGGGGTATTCAAAGAACTACCAAGGGATTCGATTGTCGTAAGTTGTGTAGTTCAAGAATTTACGAATATTTATTACCAACTTATTCCTTGTTACCACCAAAGAAAAACACTGTGTTGAGTGACTTACTTGAAGAAAAACGTGCAAAGTGTCCAGATTTGTTCCACGATGATCCAGAAGGTGCCAAGTGGTGGGAAGAAACCCATCAAAAGATCTTGGATGCAGGTATTACTCAAGAACAATTAGACTCAATTGGAACTACCATTGAATCAACAGGCCCAGAATCTGAGGATGCAACGGATAAACCGGTGGTGTTCGAAGACGGTGAACTTACCGAATTTGGTAAGCTCGTAAAACAAGTTAAGGCTATTGAAAACCAATCAAGAAGATCTTTCAAGATCTCTACTGAACGTCTTAACCAGTTCCGCGAAGCCATGAAGCAATATGAAGGTACCCACAACTTCCATAACTTCACCATTGGTAAACATTTCAAGGATCCAAGTGCATCAAGATTCATGAAGACAACCACTGTTTCTGACCCATTTGTAATTGAAGGTACTGAATGGGTATCTATCAAAATCCATGGTCAATCATTCATGTTGCATCAAATCAGAAAGATGATCGCTATGGCTACCATGGTAGTTAGAATCGGGTGTCCTGTCAATATCATTCAAGACTTCTTTGGTAATAAAAAGATTAATATTCCAAAGGCTCCTGCCTTGGGATTGTTATTGGAAAATCCAGTGTATGAAGCTTACAACCAAACTTTACAAAAATTGGACTACGATCCAATCGATTTCACTAAATTTGATGAAGAAATGGAAGCTTTTAAAATGAAATATATTTATGATAAGATATACGCAGAAGAACATAAAGAAAATGTATTCTATGGATTCTTTGGTTATATCGATACTTTCAAATCAAACTCTGATGAAGAAAGACCGGATGGAACTAGTGTATTTGACTTCATAAAGAATTACACCAACAAGTCTACCGAGCAGCAGGTACCATCTAAGGAAGATCCAAAACAATAATCCTTCTTGTATCTTTCTCTCTCTCTCTTTGACTTTTATAGATAATGTATTAAGTTAAAACCTATAGTATGCAAGGTAAAAAGAATAAACAGAAACAATAAAAAAACATATAGTGACACTGTGAAAACATTGTATGGAACCAAATTGCTCTTTCCTCCCTGTGAAAAACATAAAAAAAAAACTAGTAGAATTAAGTATTATTTTAAAGCCATGCTGGGTTACCTTGTTGTGGTTGTTGCTGTTGTGGAGCTTGAACAACCTTGGGCTTTTCCTGTTGTTGATATCCTGTATAAGCTTGGTAATTACCACCTTCTCCTGTGAGCTTCTGTTGCTGCTGCAATAATGCTCGTTGTTTTTGAAGACGTTGTTGGGTTGAAATTTGGTCTTGAGGTTGTATTTGAGGAGCAGGTGGTGGAATTTGTGCTTGCTGAGGTTGTGTTTGCTGTTGTTGCAGCTGTTGTTGTTGTTGTTGTTGTTGATCTTGTTGTTGTTCCCCTTCAGTTACTTGGCCTTGCGCTCTTTGTTTTTCCTTTTGGAACTTATACAAAGTCCAATCAAATACATAGTCGTAACGGTAGTTTTCCTTTTTGAACAAATCTCTAAACAACTTTCTCAAATAAGGATAATCTGGCTTATCATCGAATCTAAGAGTCTTGATATAATTCATATAATCCAAGAATTCAGTAGGTAATCCCTTACACAAGATATTGTTAGGAGTAGTCATTTTCTTCTCCATAATACGATCATACTTTTGTCTTTTGGTAGCAGCCTTTAAACCTTGCCATGGCAATGAACCACGGCAGAAATAAATCAAAACATAACCCAAACTTTCTAAATCATCTCTTCTACTTTGTTCAATACCTAAATGGGTGTTGACACTAGCATATCTTGCAGTACCGGTTAAATTCTTGTTTTCTCTATAAGGAATGTGCAAATGAGTTCTTGGATCTCTATATTTCTTAGCCAATCCAAAATCAATAACATTAACTTGTGAACCTCTTCTACCAATTCCCATCAAAAAATTATCCGGTTTGATATCTCGATGAATAAAACATCTAGCATGAATATACTCGATACGACAAATTAATTGATCGGCCAATAACAATACGGTCTTGTATGTGAATTTACGATTACAGTAATTGAAAAGATCTTCCAAAGAAGGACCCAACAAGTCAATAACCATAGCATTATAATCGCATTCGGTACCGTACCATCTAACAAATGGAATACCGACACCTCCGCTTAATGCTTTATAGACCTTAGCTTCATATTCTAATTGAGGATGTTTAGCCTTGATGTTTTCTAATTTGATGGCAACTTCTTCCCCTGAAATAATATTGGTACCTAAATAAATATCCCCAAATGAACCTGAACCAATCTTACGACCAATCCGATACTTCTTACCTACTCTTAAATCCATCTTGTTATTCTAACGAACTATGCGGTTTGAGTAGTGAAATGTGGGCAATGCAAAATTTTATATAAGCGGGTTGACTAAAAACGTTGTTTTTTTTATTAAAAAAAAGACACTAGACGCTATCGATGATGAGTTTTGTCAAGTTTTCAAAACAGGCTTGTTGGACGCTATAAGATTTGGTGTGTTTTGAGTTTGGTTCTGGTTTATGTTATGAGACGTCGGGTTGTATTGATTGTAGTCGACAAGTGATGACGTGGTTTTTGAGTTGGTTGGTTGTAAACTTGTGGATGAAGTTTGTTGGTGGTTCTTGTTTCCTCAAAATCTTTTTTTAACCTCTCACTTTTCCGCCACAAACTAAAAAAAAAAAAAAAAAAAATTGTAAGAGCAAAAAAAGAAATTTTGTTTTTTTTTGATTCTTTTTGCCAAGGAGGAGACATTTTTCCTACACACTAACTGTTGATGTCGTGGTGGAATTTGTTATCCATTATTGTTGCTTAATTGGCTGCTATGTGGTATATCATTGTGATATCATTCCTAAGTTGAATATAGATCTGGATAACTCACTTTTGTGCATTTTATTCTATCCGATTTATCCTTTGAACATAGCCCCGGACCTCGGCAATGGTGGAACGGCTGCTACCAACTGGGATCCAGATCTGACTAGTAAATTGGCTTAAAAGTGATAGCCATTTTCTAACCTTACTTTATGGTAACTCAGATTTGGCTTATAATATAAGCGCGATTGTTAAGGTTTATGCTTCTATCAATTAATTTATAATTAAGTTGTTACAATTGAGTTTAGAATATGGAAAACTAAATTGCGTAATTTCACCTCCTGTCCAAGACTCTAATTTGGAATCTTGAACTTTGGCATTAACCTAAATTCTTGTTACAAAACATTAAATTTTTCCCACAATTATTTCAAAACTAATATGGAGGTAAACCTCTACTTGCATACAAATACAGAATGCTCATGTTTTGAAGCACTGCTTGCATTGCTGATAACATTGTCCCATAGTGTGTTTCTCCAGCCATATGCTGTCATTATATTGCATAATCGAGAGAAAAACTTAAGCTGACATTTTTCCGATACATCTAGAAAGTTTTATTCTTCCTTGGTAATCGAATTATAGATTCTAATTTCATTCTTGTTCATCCTAGTTTCCAATCGATCACACTAGTATACTTTCTAAGAAGCTGTAGAGAAAAGTAATTTATAGTTGTTTTTTTTTTTCTTGGAATTACTGCGAAAAATATCAACAATACAAAATTTACTTAATTTATTTAATGACAATTTTCTATAAAAACTACTTCTAATTCCACCTCCAGCTATTCTCGACCAGATCCTCTTATATTTAATCATGCACAGACTAATAAGAATAATACTAAACTTTCTTTTAGTTTGTCCATTCGTAACCGCACATTGTATCGATTCAGACGAGGTCATCCAGCCGTTATTTCTTGGATTTGAAAAAGGTGCCAAAACAGAAGCCCATAAATCAAATGCAAAACATGCATTGCAAGTATTGAAGAAAAAATTAATCCAATACCCCGAACGTGAATCATTTACGATTATCGACGGTGACATTGTTGGCTATGTATGGGTAGGCAATATGGTGCAAAATCTTGGATTTGTTACCAACTCAGCTTGGCAAGTGCTTTACGAAGAAATTGATACTCATGGAATCCCTAATTCAATATATATAGAATATGCAAATGGAGATCCAAGACAGGGGTATGGTGTAATTTTGAACACAGGTGGAATATCCAAGCTAGATGAAGCCCAACAAGCTGTCAAGGCGTGGTCTTCGGGTAAAAACTATGGCAAGTTTACTGGAAGTTATATATACGAGGCAGAATCTGTATGTTATCTAACTTATGCCGAACGCAAAAGAATTGTCAATGATCCAGAAGTTGGTGTTTGTAATTACGTTCGATATTTTGAGGGAGAAGACTTACTGGAGAGTACTGGATTAGACCCAGAGACCATTTTACTCTATAACCCACATCTCAACTTTGACCACTTTCAACATGGGCAACCAATATGCACAAGCATAGGAAAGTTACCTGACTTGAGACCAGTTCCCAAACCTGATGGAACTTGTGAACAATACACAGTGATGAATGGCGATACATGTGAATCAATTGCTATGCATTTCTATCCGCTCAGTATTGATGCCATTGAAACATTTAACCAGAATAGTTTGGTTTGGGAAAGTTGTGATGACTTGAGTGTGGGAGATACAATTTGTGTTTCTGAGGGAACAGTACCGCGACCAAACTCGCACCCCATGGCCGAGTGTGGGCCATATGCTCCTGGAGCATGGACAACCCCACCCGAATGTCCCAATAATGGATGTTGCAGCTTGGCTGGGTTTTGTGGAATTGATGCCCAGTATTGCGACCCACCGTTGTGTTATTCCAATTGTGGATATGGAACATTACCCACGGTTTTTGCATCCAGTTTTAAGAATGTAGCATATTGGATGGATCTCCCCTTTGATATTTTACACATGCATGCATCCGACATTGACACTAATAGATTTGAAATTGTCCATTATTCATTTGCAAGGATTAATGAAGACTTTTCTATTTCTGTTGGTTCTGGATTTAAAGATTTCCTATTGTTATCCCTGAAGAAAATGATTGCAATTGGAGGTTCCAATATGGCTGCTGATGCTTCTTTAAACCAAAGATTCAAACTAGGTGTTTCTGATGAGCACAGAGAGGAGTTAGCCGATAGTATCGTGGCTTTTATTCAGGAACACAATTTGGATGGTGTTCATTTGGATTGGGAATATCCACAAACCATTGAAGAAGGAAAGAATTATAATCTTCTTTTCAAAGCCATTAAATCTAAGATGTCAACCAAGGTTTCAATTGCATTGCCACCAACTTATTTCCACCTTAAGAATTTTCCCTTGCAGGAAATGGATGAAAATATGGATTACTTCATCTTGATGAATTACGATTACTATGGACAATGGAATTATGACACAGGGTCAGGAGTTGGATGTCATGTTGACAAAGAAGAGACTATAGAATCGATTAAGATGATTGTTAAATCAGGAATAAATACTCGAAAATTATACGGAGGTGTAGCTAATTATGCCCGCACGTTTGAACTTGAGGATCCTGGTTGTGATGATTTCGGGTGCCTATTTACAGGTCCCGAGTCAGGAGCTGATCCAGGAGAATTGACATTACTTCCTGGTATATTAAGCGAGAATGAATTGTTGAGTATTCCAGAAGCAGAAAGAACTATGTGGTATGACGCTGATTCCAAGTGCGATATCATGGTTTATAAGAATGGGAGAAATTGGGCTGCTTGGATGGGAGAAGCTGAGAGGAATAATTTAATTCATTGGTACCAGTCAATTGGGTTGGGCGGTACTGCCTTATGGGCCATTAATTACGAATTACCAGTTGACTAGCTAAATATATAGCATATATATATATATAAATATCAACATTTTCATAGTAACCCAATATAATGTAAGTGTGACTCTAAATTGTATTCACAAGGCGCAAATTTACAAGAAAATAAATCAACACATTTAAGATTTCGCCTGACTTTGTAGATTTATTATTGTTTCATGTAAAACTTCTTACCTTTTCATTCCTACACAGCATAGAGGAAACAACTCTACGGTTTATCTATATTTGAAATTTCACAATGCTAATTTCATATGATATAAAGTGAGCACCAAGAATAACTCTAATATTTTTCAGGTCTTATCTAAAACTACTTTCAATTCGCCAGTTGTTGTCCTACAGAAAATAGAGCACGCTGGTCCGCCTTAGCGATGGTGATAACTGTGAGGCGGCATCATCGGTCATTAACATTTGTAGTTAGGGAATTGTGCAGATGCGGGTGACTGTAGTCTTACAAAATATTGCTAAAAAATAATCTGACCTCATTTGTATGTATCGGACATCGCAAGTGAATGACCGTAAAACGGTAAACAATAACGACATATTTTTCGAGAAAATGATATATCAGGCTAGTATATCATCATTCTTTCAATGTTTGTTTGTCAAACCAACTCATCTTTGAATAAAACTAATCATATGCCAAAATGTTACATTTATTTTATATTTTCCAATACGTGCTAGCGGTGGGCGCCATGTCAACTGGTGGAGTACACCGACTAGATTTCGAAGTCGTAACTCGGGATTCATCGGCCCAGCCCGAACCATTAATGAAACAAAACATGTTGAACGATAAGAACATGTATCTTGCTCGATTCTTCATCGGATCAAACCGAGATGAAGTGAAACTTCAAGTTGACACTAGCTGTGCTGATTTTTGGGTAATGGGATCGGGAGTAGATTGCCTACCTCATATACCTAGACGCGCCCAATATGACATTTGGACACGATGCAGTTGTGAAGATATTGCTGCACCCACACAGATGGTGGAGAGCTCATGCATAAGCCAGGGAAGTTTCCGGTTTAACGATTCAACTACATTTGAACGTCACGATAAGGAGTATTATCAAGAAAATCATTTAACTAGAGGAAAGACCGCGCAAGGATTTTGGGGATTAGATGATGTATCGTTTGCCAATAAATCAATAAGAATTCCGTTTGGAGTCGTGAACGAAACCAATTTGGATGAAGGAATACTAGGACTTGGGTTCCCTGAGGAAAACGGCAATTTAAGTTTTCCTTACGAACTAAAGAAAAATGGCTTAATTGACCGTGCGGCATATTCCCTTTACTTTAACTCAACAAATGCATCATTTGGTTCGCTTCTATTCGGAGGTATAGATCATGCAAAATATAGCGGAAATTTAAAGTCAATTGCAGCAGTGCACAACCAAACAATAAGTTATATTGCAGTTGATGTCAACCGAATACTAATGACTATGAATAATACCACTACTGTAGTAATTGGAAACAAGAAAACTACATTCATGTTGGATACTTCTTCCTCATTGTCTCGATTCCCCATGGCAGTGTTAAACACAATGGCTGACGCCCTTGGAGGTAGGGTATACAAGGAAACAAATGATTTAATCGTGCAACGATGTCCTGATACTTTAGAATTCAATATTGACTTTGACGGGCAGCTTATTCTGATTCCTGGTGAAGCATTTATGTATAAAAGTATAGGAGACCATTGTTTAATTAGGATTCAAGTTGATGACTTGACACCAGCAATCGGACAGGACTTATTAAGAAGCATGTATGTTGTTGTGGATTTAGAGCAAGAGGAAGTTTCTGTAGCAGAAGCAAAATTTACCCAAGATTATGAAATTGAATTATTGCCACCTGTTGGTAAAAATAGATCCTATTCGGTCGAGTTCACTGGTACTGAAAGGGAAGAATCAGCAAGTCATTCAAATTCAGTCGAGATTTTAATAGCCGGTTTGATGTGGTTGGCACTATTAGTTGTAATATAGATATTTCCACCAAGTGCTTGCTTTTGGCCAATAAATTAACAATATTCCGAGATATCAATAGAGTTATTGTTCTTATTGCATCCACATTTGCTCCATTTTGGCTTGTGATAATGCATGTTGCAATCCTTTATTACTTGAGTGCTAATTGAGCTTGCATAATGAGCTCTCAAAAAGCAATACTAGTTGTTGAGCCATTGATTCCATATCATTGAACTAATCTCAGTTTGCTTCAACAACAATGGTTGACAACGGCGATCTTTCTCAAAACAATAGTGCTGTTTCAGCAATCATAGCTGAGCCACACTGACACTTATCCAGAAAATAAAATCCAGATACCACTTCAGCATATTCAAATCATCAAAATAGAAAATTCTTTTGTAGTATACAAGCTTTAATCGTTTTTATTTTTAATGTTATAGACCACTAGTGATCTCGGCTAATGATAACGCTTGTAGATGGTTAACAACCAGTCTCTGGGAGGGGAAAAAAAAGCGGCGCGACAACACAACATTTCAATATGCAGGTACAGGGGAGAAAGGGCTGTGCAAAAAATAATAGTTTCAATCATGAATGAAACAATTACTAAAACTCAATTTAAATCGAGAACTTGAAAGGGTCATGTTTCTTTGTGCACGTAATGACAACCATATGGCTTGATTACTTTTCAACACGTCACTGTGTCCGCCATTAACAGGACTTTTTTACAGCCAAGGCCTAAAAAGAGAAGAAGAAAAATAAGGAAATAATTTCCCGATTTGGTATTCCTTGTGAGCTTTTGTATCATGTTAAGCTTATTTTGTAATCCCTCCCCCCTCCTCTCTGCATCATCCCCACGCCTTTTGTGTAAACAAAAGCGAAGCTCTAATTTTTTGTTAGGTTTACAACTACATAGCAAAATAAAAACCATTCCTTCCATGAACTAAAAAGAATTAATCAATTAAAATTTATAAACAATACTAGAAAAAGACCACCACATTAACGATACATATACATATAGAGGCTGTTATCATACCTCTTTGAACTTTATTTGTCCCATCTAATTCTTTGCAGGAGTAGTTTTCTTGAATTTTCCAAATAATTTCTTAAAGAAATCATTCTTCTTGTGTGCCTTGTCAACCTTTTCACTGGCATCTTTAACTTGAGCCTTGGCAGTTTCAGCATCAGTCTTTGCTTCATCAACAGCATCCTTAGTTTCACCTTCGACTTCCTTAGTAGCTTCTTCACCTTCAGCAGCAACTTCTTCAGCTTCAGCTTCAACTTCCTTTGGAGCTTCTTCAGCAGTTTCTTGTGCTTCTTTAGCTTCACCTTCAACCTTGTCGGCTACTTCTTCAACTTGAGCTTCACCATCGGCAGCAATTTCTTCAGCCTTAGTTTCACCTTCAGCAGCAGCTTCTTCAGCTCCGTCTTTGGCGTCTTCTGTAGCGTCCTTAGCAGAAGCTTCCTTGTCTTTGGTTTGTTTGTCTAAGGCTTCCTTGTGTTCATTGGTGAAGATCTTAGAGACTCTCTTAACTCTATCTTTTAAAGCCATTGTGTGTGTATTTTAGTTATGCGATATGAAAATTAGTGTATGAATTGATTCTACAAACTGGGAACAAAAAGAAAAAAAATGAGAAGTTAAAAATTCTCCAACAAGGAAATCTATTCTATTTATATGCTTCCGCCTAACCAAAGGGAATTGGGAAACATACGTAAAACAAAAACATCAGAAATTTTTAAAAAAAAAATAGCCTTCCTTAAAATTATAAGATAGAGAAATAAATAAATAAAGAAAAAAAAAATAATAGTAAGCAAAAAATAATTTCAAGCTAAAGTCACGGTTTGTTTCAATAGTTTATTTTATTTTTGTAGTATAAAAGTTAATTGTGGCCATTGTTTTAAATATTTTTTTAACTTGTTTTGCATTTAATGTATGCCGCTGGTCAGTTAATCTCAAGTGACGACCAAATTAGTCAAAAAACGATATATCTGCATCAACCTCAGATGAACATGTTGATTATGTAGTAATTGCACTATCTATTCGTCAAAGGTAGGACACAGCCAGAAATTATTCAAATTAGTTGCATGTTATTACCTTGCCCCACGTATATACCGAATTTCTAAGAAATCTCGTACGTTTCTATAAAGTACGGCTATACACAAAGTTACACAAAATCATTTTTTTTTTTGAAGCCCTAGTGCATCAAATATTTTTATTTTTTATAAAAAAAATTTTTTTTGATCATTTTATGCTGGTTATTATTTTTTGTTATTGTGTTTATCCCTTGTCGTAGGACTGTTGTAACTTACTGCGGCTAGCTTTGTGGCGCTGAAACTGAACCCATTCCTTCCACCACACCCACTAGGAAGCGCACATCTTTTAAAATCAGAAGGTAAGTATAATGATAGAGTAATTATAAAGAGTATATTCACTATAGTTAATACCGATTCAAATAATGTCTAAAAGCGGAAAAAAATCACCTGCAAATTTATGTAACCATTAATTAACAATCTCCATTGTTATCGAAATTCATATTGAGAAGACGAGAAATACACATTACGCTCTTCTGATCTCTACCATGCAATTCGGGATCTGGGCCGAATGTGATAGAACGTTTTACAATAGTTCTCAGTTGGTAACAGAAATAAAACGCCTGCCATAGACAATAAAAAAATTAGGTTGGTGTCATCCCAATCGGTATGAAATCATCACTTACGAGCAAAATATGTGGGCACGCGGTTTGGGAATAACAGATAACGCGTCGCCTATGACGTATCTGTATGCCTTTGTATATATTACTTCCTTAACTAGGCTTTGTTTATGAAATGACTTGGTCTTTCATTTAGCAAAATGATATGCTTGAAAGCTGGCTGTTCAGAATATATGATTATCCTATAGTATCAGCCGATACTCCCTAGTAGCATCTAAATCTCTGCCATTACTACTTAGGTTAGGAACCAAGATACGCCATCCTGACATAGCAATAAACTTGATTTCAAGGAGGTAGGTTGTGACAGGATGTATACAGCCGCGCAGGATTTTTATTTTTTTGTTTTTTTGCTTTTTTTGCCATTTCACCGTGTAATGCGGTTAAAATTCTTTTTTTTTCTCTTTAATTTCTTTATTTATTTGTTTGTTTTTTTTTTGCTTGTGCTATTTTTGTCTCTGATGACTTGTTTGCATACCACCTCTTTGCTCATCCGGCTAATTTCCGTTTGTTACTAAAGAGAAACAATCAAAATTAAATTTTGACGAGATAACCTGACTTACAGGTCAATCCCGAACCTTATCCTTGGGTATTGTCCGGGCCACTTGCTGTTTATTTATCTCATCGTGCAAATATATAGCAAGTCTCGTCTGCACCTTATTGTCAGAAAAGACAAAGAAAACTATCCCGTGGCATATAAATTGACGACAAAAGCTAGCCCTGTTATAGTTTACCCTACTACCAAAAGAAATTTTAAATCTATTTTTAAAAGCCGTCCCGGAGCTACCGATATCTACTTGGAGACATCGAATATCATGGAGTATGTAAGACCGTATCTACATGCACATGCCTAACTAAGAATCTCTCCACTAGTAAGAATCTGGCCATTTTCTGAGAAAATGATGGTTTCATTACTGGCTTGGTTTTGATCAGGTTATTTATCTCAAATGGCGTGAATTACAATTTCAGAAAGGTATTTCGATAATCCCGAACATGTATCCAACTCGTATTCTCCCCATTGTTCCAGATACGTTGTCTGCACAAAGTAGATCCAACTGTATTTACACGTACTTTCGGTAATCAAGTAGTGTAGGCCCATTTTGAAACACCTTTTTTTCTTTGAACGCGTTTTGGTATGTGCACACGACCTTTGTTTACAAAATCCATCTTTTGTATAACAATAACGCAACCAAACTCACATCAAGAGACGTGTGCAACCGTATAGACTAGGTCCAGTCTAAATTCATCATGGCGTATCCATCATCAATACCAACCTCACTGATAAATCAACACAACTCCATAAATGACAATTTACGGAAATCAGGGATAAATCTAACCAGGAATCCGCTACATAAAATACCTAGTAATACAAATGTGCATCATGAGTTCAAGATTCTAAAACCCAAAACAACAAAGAGTAGAACTACTACCACATCTATAGCCACTAATGCATCACCCACGCCCAATCCATTGCGTCATCAAGTTGTCCAACCGGAAAGCACAAGATTAACAACAGCAAGTAGGTATACCAGTTTAGAATTCAAAACACCAAGCCGATACAGCATGTCCAATTCAACTACATCTTCCACTCCTCTATCATCACCATTTGTCGAATCCCCTGGTTCTGAGAAAAGATTTACGTTGGATGACTTTGAGTTTGGGAAAATCTTGGGCAAAGGGAAACTAGGGCGCGTTTATTGTGTCAAACATAAAGAACTGGGGTTAGTTGTAGCATTAAAAGCCATGAATAAACAAGAGTTGATAGATTTAAGACTAGAGAAGAATTTCAGACGAGAAATTGAAATTCAATCTAAATTACACCATCCCAATATAACACGTTTATATACTTGGTTTCATGATCATGTCAATGTCTATCTTGTGCTTGAATTTAGTCTATATGGTGAATTATATCATCACTTAAAGCAAGCCAAACGCTTTGATAATGCACTTGCTAGTTATTACATTTATCAAGTCACGCAGGCATTGATTTACCTCCATAGAAAGAACATAATTCATCGAGATTTAAAACCAGAAAATATCATGTTAAGTCTTGATAATGTTATCAAATTGAGTGATTTTGGTTGGTCGGTGCAACAGCACCAGGATAAACCCCATTATCAGTCTAACCCTACTAGAAGAATAACCTTGTGTGGGACATTGGATTATTTACCCCCGGAAATGGTTGAAAGTAAACCTCATGACAAAAGTGTCGATATTTGGGCGTTGGGGATATTGACTTATGAGTTTCTCGTAGGTAAACCACCATTTGAAGAAGCATCAAAGGATGCAACTCATCAAAGAATATCCAAGGGTGATATTCGTTTCCCAAACTATGTTGATCATGATGCGGTGGATTTGATCAGAAAGCTATTGCATAAGGTTCCAGAAAAGAGGTTGAGTTTAAAACTGGTTTTGAACCACCGCTGGATCATGAAACACAAGCCAAACTGGCCTACGAAAAAGTAATAGTTACTACTATAGAATAATATTCGGGTTTATAGATATATAAATAGAATTCATGGAGAAAAAATACAAAATAAATGAAGAAAGTAAAAAGCCAAATATAAAATTACAGTTGAACTGATGAACCCTGGGAAGAACTTTGAATTTGCTGCTGTTGCTGTTGTTGTTGTTGCTGCTGCTGCTGTTGTTGTTGCTGTTGTTGCAACTGCCTTTGCTTCATCAACAAAAGCTGTTGCTGTTGTTGCTGTTGTTGTTGCTGATACTTCAACAATTGTTGTTGGAATGCTTGTTGTTGCATGTTATTATGTTGAGATGTCATCAATATAGCCTTTGATGGAGCTCTAACTTGATACATCTCACCCGAAATAGCACTAAAGGTTTGAGTTGGTGAGTCAGTATTGGCAGGAGGCGCAGCGTCAACATTGATAAGAGCACATCTTCCTTGCAACCCACCAATAGAACCTGATATGGCTTGGTTGGCCAAGGTTTGCTCTCCGCCTGCTTGTTGTTGCTGTTGTTGTTGTTGATTATGGTGGTGGTGTGGAGAAATAATCAATGCATTAGCATAGAATTCACGAGCTTGAAGGAAGCGATGACGATACCTGACCGGCATGATAATCTTTCTTTCCAAAGGTATAGGGTTATTCTTGGAAAGACCTTCCAATACCAAATGAGTTTCTTCATCTGGATCCAAGATCTTGTTATAGTTGGCCAGATTTTCATCATGTTCCCCACCATGGAATGCGGCATTTTCTCTCTTTTGAGCAGCAAGGGCGTGTGATTGGGCAATCTTGGCTTGATTTCTTTTTTGATATTGTTGTAATAATACATCGTAAGGTGCACTTCTACCAGGAACTGCACGCTTGGCACCCATTGAATGGGTTTTACATGTTAATGAACGAGCACAGAAGCCGCCTGATGGAAGGGCAACCCCACATTGCTTTTCAACATCAACTGGACCCTTTGCTTTAGGAACTGATTTAGGTTTCGGTTGCTTCTTCTTTTTGGGTTCTCGTTTGGCTTCAGTTGGTGATGACGAGGCAAGTGCTGCGGCACGGGCGGCGGCAGCAGCATTGGCTGCTTCCTTTTCTTTCTGAGTTTGTGACTTCTTGTACTTCTTCTTGGGTTTAGCAGGAGTGGCACTAGTTGCATTGGCGGTAACCCCTGGTGTTGAGTTGTTTGTGGGAATAGGAGTTGAATTTCTAGAACTATCTACTGATGAATCGATATCTATGGCGGCGGCACCTCTTCCTCTTTTCCTCTTTTGAGTCAAGTTATTAATCTCAGGCTGGTCTGCTTGTCTCTTTTGTTTCATCTCCACGCACTTAGTATAATGGACTTTTAAAATCTTGGTACCAATGGGACGTTGACACGAGTTGCAGATCTTGTAGAGGATATTTTGCGACAAGTATGACTTGTCTGGGTATGAACTAGTGATGAATTTATTTAACTCGGTGGAGGTAGCTTCACTCTTGTTGCTGTGGATGGTAATTCTTTTATCTAAGTAAACACCGAAATCTTTCCAAATCAAAGGTTTAGTATTGTCAAGAGGTTCCGATGAAAGTGAGTTGACTTGTGCTAACGTAATTACTTGATTAGAATTGGTGGACATATTCTTGTAAGGGTTAGTGATGAGTAGTAGTGTATCGAGAGTGATGGGATATAATCGGTCTATGTGTAATCTATATCGCACTTCTCTATGAAGTAATAATCTGAAACGGTGGTGATGTGAATCAGATCTAGTGGTATACTTCTGTGGCTATCACTAGTGAAATCTCTCGATTAGCAATGTTTTGCAAAACAGTAAAAATAGGAAAACCTGTAAAAAAAAATTTAAAGTGTAGGTTATAGGTTTGTTGGTTAAGGTTTTGCGGTTTATTGGTGGAATTTGTGTCAGAACACGAACCACAACTGCAAAATGGGTGAACTTGGATGGTTAGTAGTAGTTATTACCTACAGTGTATAATGGTGGGTATGTGGTGGCAACTAACAGCAAGATCTTTGATATCACCAATTGAACCCCTTAGTTTGTTATTGTAGAAAGTCAAGATTAGAAAAAAAAATAAGAAAACTAAAAAAAAAAATCAACGATTTTGACTTTCGGCTTTCGGGTGTACTTTTTTTGTTTTCTATTGTTAGGGAATTTTGACAACCAAATTTATATCCACATCTACTAGTGTACACAACAGAATATAATGTTAAGAAGACCGGCTACAAAGATCAGATTGTCTCCTGAAGATATCTTAGAGTACGATGAATCCTTACAACGACAACAAGAACAGGAACAATTGCAATTGCAACAAAAACAACAACAAGAAGAACAGTATAAACAGCAACAACAAAACAGCTCAAGCATATTACAAGAACAAATCAATACCAATGACTTCTTGAGTGGTATGAACTACAAATCAGGATCCTCCTCCGTTGGAACCAGTTCAAAACAACCCAGCCAATCAAGAGATGAACGAATTGGGGTCCGCAAGAATTAATTGTGGATATATATATACCAGCTATATTTGTTGTTCTAAGCTAGCAATTACCTTAGGGAGCATTCCAGATCTGTTACTTTACATGAATCAAGAAACTCACTTACCATGTCGTCGCTAAGTCCTGGCTGTTGTCATATTTGAACCCTGGCACACGACCACCGATTTCTTTTTTTTTTTTTTTGTTCTTCTCTCAGCATCTCAACCATACATATTGAAAATATTTCAAATACGGCAAAATACATAGAAATAGCTAGTTAACAAGAACTTTCCAATATGGCCAGTGGAAAATTAATTTTAGGGCTCTGTAATGTCCTATACTTGATATCGGGAGGAAGATGGACCTTTGTTCTTGTCACTATAGTTCTTTCTGTATTATACAACATTGAGAAAAATAAGATTCCTATTCAAACCCCTCAGGAATCATCACATATTTATGAAGTTGATTTCACTTCAACTTCATTCACATCTAGTTCATATATACCTACTTCAGATACAACCATTACTAAACGTTCACGTGCTAAGAGATCTCCTAAGTTGATTAAAGTGAAGAAACCAGTGGTCGATTCCCAACCTCAATTAACTAGAACTTTGGTTGATTTGCCTAAACAAGCTCAGATCTTTGTCTTTTATACCACATTAACTGGATCATCTCATAGAGTTGCCAAATCACTTGTTACAAAACTTGAAGGTCTTGGATTAAGTCATGCTCCTAAATTATTAAGTCTTGATGATGACGTTGATGATTTGGAAGAATTCTTTCTCAAGACTCCACAACCTGAAGATAGCGAAGTCAAGAATGTCTATTTATTAGTGTTGCCTTCTTATGAAACTGACTCTCCCATAGATTATTTCTTGGAACATTTACAAGACACATATCAAGATTTCAGAGTTGATAAATACCCATTACGTAGTTTGCTTGGGTTTGCCGTGTTAGGATTGGGTGATTCTGAATCATGGAACGGTGAAAAGTTCTGCTATCAAGCTAAATTGGCCGATAAATGGATGGGTAAGTTAGGTGCAAGAAGATTGTTCCCTGTGGGTACTGTATGTATGAAACATGAGGGGGAATCAAAAGCGGAAGAATGGATTGATAACTTCACTCAGTTGTTGGTTGATGAAGAGCCATTTTATGTCGATGAAAATGACAGTGTTGATGATAGTGATAATGAAGATAGCGACGAAGTAACTGATTCTGAAACCTTGGTTGATGTTGAAGAAATGGGAAACATTATTCGTAAATCGGGGGTAGAAAGTGAAGCCAAACAAATGGTAGCCAAGGACTCTCCTACTTTCAAATCATTAACTAAACAAGGATACACCATTGTCGGATCCCATTCAGGTGTCAAAATCTGTCGTTGGACCAAGAGTGCTCTTCGTGGTCGTGGTTCATGTTATAAATTTGCCTTTTACGGTATTAAATCACATTTATGTATGGAAACTACGCCATCCCTTGCATGTTCCAACAAATGTGTATTTTGCTGGCGACATGGTACCAACCCTGTGGCTAAATCGAATTGGAGGTGGGAAGTTGATCCTCCAGAAAAGATTTTCAATGGGGCATTAGCCGGACACTATCTGAAGATTAAGCAAATGAGAGGTATTCCTGGTATTCAAATGGATCGATTCCAAGAAGCATTCCAAGTGAGACATTGTGCCTTGTCCCTTGTTGGTGAACCGATTTTCTATCCTCATATTAACGAGTTCATTGGCATGTTGCATGGCCAACATATTTCGTCATTCTTGGTTTGTAATGCTCAGCATCCAGATCATTTAGCCAAATTGAACAAAGTTACTCAATTATATCTCAGTATTGATGCTCCTACTAAAACCGATTTGAAGAAGGTTGATCGTCCTTTGAACAGTGATTTCTGGGAAAGATTAATGTCATGTTTGGATATTATTCGTACTACCCAAGCTCATCAGCGTACCGTGTTCAGATTGACTTTAGTCAAGGGGTTCAATATGGGAGATATTGAAAGTTATGCCGATATGGTTGAGCGTGCCATGCCATCGCAGATTGAAATCAAGGGGGCTACTTTCTGTGGTAGTTCTAATGGTAATGGTAATCCATTAACCATGCAGAATATTCCATTTTACGAAGAATGCAAACAATTTGTCATTGCTTTGAATGAAGAGTTGCAGGGAAGAGGATTAGATTACGATATTGCCGCTGAACATGCGCATAGTTGTTGTATATTGATGGCGCAAAGAAAGTTCCAAATCAATGGCAAATGGCATACTCATATTGATTATCCTAAATTCTTCCAATTATTGGAAAGCGGCGAAGATTTTGTGGATACTGATTATATTAAAGAGACTCCAGAATGGGCTGTTTGGGGAAGTGATGGTGCTGGGTTCAATCCTGAAGACACAAAGTATGATAGAAAGGCTGAGAAGTTGAAGAAGAAGATTGAAAGGGAAGAAAAGGCAAAGTTGGAAATTGAAGTGTAAAGCTGTATAGAGATTTTGTAGTGCATATAAAATCATAATATTTTGAAAAAAAAAAATACTGTGACAACCACAACTAGCACAACGTGTAACCAACAGTAACAAATGGCATCATCATCATCATCACCGCCACCTCCTCCTCGTCGTACTAACAAACGAATTGCATTTATACATCCTGATTTGGGTATCGGAGGTGCCGAACGACTTGTGGTCGACGCAGCAATGGGGCTTCAATCCCTCAATAACGATATTCAGATATTTACATCCCACTGCGATCCTACGCATTGCTTTGAAGAGGTGAGTTCTGGACAACTTGCCGTAACCGTGTATGGAGACTTTTTGCCTACAAACTTGTTGAAGCGATTCCATATCTTATTTGCCATTCTTCGTCAATTATATCTTGTTTTCAAGTTGGTGGTCACGGGTGAAATTGGACAGTATGATTACTTTATCATTGATCAGCTCTCCATGTGTGTCCCATTGGTGAGCTGGTTGAGTCGTGACGATTGTCGGGTGTTGTTCTATTGTCATTTCCCGGATCAATTGTTAGCCAAGCGAACCAGTAAAGTCAAATCCTTGTATCGAGTTCCATTCGACATGGTGGAAGAATGGAGTACAGGGTGCAGTGACGTGATTGTGGTCAATTCCAATTTCACCAAGTCGATATTCTACCAGACATTCAAGACATTAGGGCATATCAAACCAGGAGTGATCTATCCCTGTGTGGACACGGTTGAGGAACATAATCAAGCAAGTGATGATGAAGTGCAGCTGTTTTTCAAAGATTGCAATTACTATCTTTCCATCAACCGTTTTGAACGCGCCAAGAACATAGAGTTGGCAATCAGGGCATTCCACAAGCTGAGGAAGCTAATCACGGGGAAGTCAAAAGTGAGATTGGTCATTGCTGGGGGGTGGGATGCTCGTGTTGCTGAGAATGTTCAGTATTTGCAAGAATTAACTGGATTATGTGATTCGCTCAAGTTGACGAATTTCACAATCAGAGGAAAGTTAATTGTCATGCCTCCATCTACTGATGTGTTGTTTTTGCCTTCAATTAGGTCAAACTTAAAGGTTAGTTTGATCAAACGGGCCCAGATGTTGTTGTACACGCCTGAACGAGAACATTTTGGGATTGTCCCCGTGGAAAGCATGTTATATAGAACTCCGGTATTGGCAATTAATTTTGGGGGTCCCTTGGAAACCGTGGTAAATTATGATGGGTCAAACTTGGAGGAAGCTACTGGGTACATTGAAGAATCAAACTATGAAAAATGGGCCAAAGTTATGGTCAAATACTGGAATGAACCTCAAGAAGTCAAAACCAAACTTGGAGACAATGGTCATGATCGAGTTCTTGCCAATTTCTCAAGAGATCAAACAAGCATTGAGTTTATGAACAATTTGACATTGGCCAATGAGCACGACAAGAGGTTTAAAGTCATCACCTGGGAGAGCTGGGGTCGTATAAGTGCTGTGTTTGTATTTGTCATTGCTGTCGTTATTTATGGGTATATACATGTATGAGGATTTACATAGATCTTACTTAAAGATGTTCTTTATCGCCTCCCAGAAGTGCAACTTCGGATCAGCGTTTTTCTCGTGGACTGGTCCTTGATGGACACCTTTGCGTGATTCTTCTTCTCCCCAAAGATTAAGGAACGGGGTGCCTGTTGAAGCTTCGTATTCTAGTCTGGAAACTGGCGGACGTGATTTGTCTTTTAGTTTGTTTTTAACAAACCATGCTTCTATTTCAACAGGGAACTTTTCAAGTGCTCGCCAGTACGAATCCTTGATTTCTTTATCTATATCCAATTTGTGCTTGTGTCCTGATGTGGAAGGACATTTCAAGTTATAATCACGAATCTCCTTATTAAGTATGTTCACTCTCTCTTTAATGTAACTCAACTCCGAATCACGCAAATCCTCTGGTCGGAATACAAACCAACTCACTTTCTTGACAAAAGAATCTTCAATTTGATCAATTGTTTTCGCAGTATGAATAATATGCGACATGTCTGATCTATTAAGTATCCATTGGAACCACATGTCATCTACAGCCAGTCTAAACTTGTCAATCTGGTTGTTTAACCCGCGCTGACTTTCAATCCACGGTGGTAGAACCTGTTGTCTACTCAAAATCTGGTTCATGAAATAATTTGAATCAGTGCAATTTTTCAAATGCTCTTGCGATAAAGGTCTCCCTCTGACATTAACCATTTCCGGATTGTCAAATTGTCCATTACGGTTAATGCTAGCGTTGATTTTATTCGATGCTAAGCTGTCGACAAAATCCACGGATGCCGAATGAGGTGAGAGTAATTGGGTAGGACCAAGAAGTCTTTCTTTATACATTTCCCGGAAATTGTCTTCCTCCTTTGGGTCAACACCGAATTCTTTGTTTAGCTTATAGTCTAACGAGATATCTCTGGCCAGTGTTAATTTATCCTTGAGTGACTTTGTGATTGGTTTGGGGGTCTTGTCAATGATCATACGAAGATTGGCATCAACTTTGGACTCATCGCCTTGCCAGGCTGGTGTATTGTACAAGTCTCGTGCATGTTTGTTATGTTGGAGTAAATGTTCGTTCTTGATATATGACTCTGCTTCTTTGATTTTGGTCGCTTCTGGAGAATATTTTTGGAACACATCATGGACAGTGCTGTCGATTGATTTCATAGCTGATACGTTGGATGTTGTTGATATTTTGTCTTCAAGAATCTGTTTCATTCGTTCCACTATGGCCGAATTGATTTCATCGGGTGGGGGGATGTGTGGAGCAGCATCCTCATTACTATCGTTTACATTTGTTGGATTACCTGAGGTAGGTGACTTGTTAGAGTAGTAACGGATCACTCGTGCCAATTGTGGAGATTGTGGCAATTGTCTGCTTATTGATTTCATTTGGGTGAGTTAAAGAAGGTTGATGACGGGTAGATCGCAATGGATAGCAAAGTTGCGACATTTATAAATCACGTCTATTGTATGTTGGTCACGTGCATGGATGGAGGATTCGGTTAGTGAAGTGCTAATCTTTGGTCGTCTATACAAACTGATTTGGGGTAAACAAGATGATTATCATTCGTCTAATCTATTTCCATTCGAATCAACTGGTTTATATGACAGATACTAGGTTGGCTTAATATGAGTAACTTTTGTTTTCTTGCGTGTGTTATAATACCTCGGTCTTTGGTTGCCACTCGTTAACACAAAAGATTTGTTACACTCTATACATACATCGATTATGAAGTTATAGGAAACAAGCAGCTCTAATACTACGTACTTCTAATTACATGTTTATTAAGCCAAGTCTTCTTCCTTGCAATGCTTTATCACGTGCGTGTTGTGGTTGGTGTAATCAGTTCAGTCGCACCCTCAAACGAAATTGTCGACGTATACCAAAAAAAAAAAAACAACATTGAATCATTTCCATCTTGCTTTCTATACTTCGTAAGCTTATATAAATAGACTATAAACATGTGGTTATTCGACTGGTGTATGTATACCTGCCATATCCGATTTGATAGTTGACCGCTACTAACACCCTGCAGTTCAAGATATCTTATCCTCATTAGGATTATGGAATAAACACGCTAAATTATTATTCCTTGGTTTGGATAACGCTGGTAAGACCACTCTTTTGCACATGTTGAAGAACGACAGACTAGCCACTTTACAACCTACTTTACACCCAACTTCTGAAGAATTAGCCATTGGATCAGTTAGATTCACCACTTTCGACTTGGGTGGACATCAACAAGCTCGTAGATTATGGAAGGACTACTTCCCTGAAGTCAATGGTATTGTGTTTTTAGTCGATGCTGCTGATCCAGAAAGATTTGCTGAATCCAAGGCCGAATTAGAATCTTTGTTCAAGATTGAAGAATTGTCGCAAGTCCCATTTGTTATTTTGGGTAACAAGATTGATGTTCCTTCTGCAGTGGGTGAAATGGAATTGAAGAATGCCTTGGGCTTATACCAAACTACCGGTAAGGAAACTGGTAAGTTGCCTGAAGGTGCTAGACCAATTGAAGTGTTTATGGTTTCTGTTGTTATGAGATCAGGTTACGGTGAAGCCTTCAAGTGGTTATCCCAATATATTTAGATTAGGCCCCCTCCCCCCCTTTTGATATGTATAGATATTGAAGTATTTCCCTATATATGTGGATATTATTAGTATAGGGTAGTTTATATTAGTCACGTGAATCTCCATGTTTAGTTTTATATAGCATCTCTATTGTGATTAAGTTAATTAATAAAGAAATGAATAAGACGTAGACTGTGTGTGCGTGTGGTATTAGTATGCGCATTTGCCACGGGAGTTGGTGAGTGAGAGACTGCTTTGCTGTGCAATGCAATGCAACTTGACAATTACTTGATATAACTGGCAATCAACTCTCGATACCAAGTTTAAGTATTCGTTCGTTAACTACATGTTTCAATCAAAAAGAAAAGGTTCTAGCATTGTGTATTATTTAAGATCATGTACAAGTATATATTTCTGTGGTAATTAGCCGAATAATTGCAGAAACCACATACAAATTCAAACACAAATATTTAAAGTTTTAAAAACCACTTAATATTTAAGCACACCAGTATCAAGAGAGAACCCGTTCTATCCTGATATACCACCACATATTCATTCACTAGATCTTAATGGTTACTATACTCCTGATTTTTGCAGTAATTAGCGTCACGTGACCGTTACTATTTTTTTTTTTGCTTTTCCTGCATTTTTTTCAACCCTCATCCCATAAATATTTTGCCATTATTAATCGTACTTCAGAGCATTTGACCTTAGATAACACATAATGAGCGAATTTGGAAGTAATAAAGGTGCTCTTCACCCAGAACAGAAGAAATGGAAGGCCCCCAAAGGTCCCAAACCAGTCCATCACAAGAACAAGAACATGATTGGTCTTGGTCGATCCATTGCTAATCAACGTCGTCAAGAGAATCAAATCGAATTCTTGCCTGATGGGGAAATGAGATTCACTACTGACAAGAAAGAAGCCGATTGGGTCAAGTTGAGATCTGTTACCCAGGAAAACTCCCTTGACGAGTTTTTAAACACTGCTACTTTAGCAGACACTGATTTCACAGCGGAAAAGGGACAGCAAGTTAGGATCATCAAGGTGGGTAATACGAATATTGTTAACCAAAGTGGGTTGTTGACGAATGACGAAATGTTGGCTGTACGTCAAAGACACATGGTTTTTGAAAACAAGTTGACCATTCCTAGACGTCCCCGCTGGAGCAAAGAACAAAGTAAATTGCAAATTGAACGTCAAGAGAATTTGGCATTTTTAGAATGGAGAAGAGAGTTGGCAGCCTTGACTGAGAATAACGATTTGTTGTTGACCCCATTTGAACGTAACTTGGAAGTTTGGAAACAATTATGGAGAGTCGTGGAAAGATGTGACTTGGTTGTGCAGATTGTAGATGCTAGAAGTCCGTTGTTTTTCAGATCTATTGATTTGGAAAAGTATGTCCATGAGTTGAGTGACCCTGAAAACAACAAGACCAAAAAGAATTTGTTATTGGTGAATAAGGCTGATTTGTTAACCAGAGATCAACGTATTGCCTGGGCTGACTACTTCCACGCCAAAAACATCAACTATGTGTTCTTCTCCGCTGCCAAGGCTAACGAATTATTAGAAAAGGAAAAAGAAGAGTTGGAAAACTTGAGACTTGATCCAAACTACCAACCACAATCAAAAGACGACGACGACGAAGAAGAAGAGATTGTCGAAACAAACGACTCAATCCGTATTCTTAAAATCGAAGAGCTTGAAGAGTTGTTCATGTCAGAAGCCCCTGAATTCGAAATAGATCCAGATTTTCCTGATCGTAAATTACAAATCGGTCTTGTGGGTTACCCTAACGTCGGTAAATCATCCACCATTAACGCCTTGGTTGGATCCAAGAAGGTCTCAGTTTCATCTACCCCAGGTAAAACCAAACATTTCCAAACCATCCACTTGTCCCCTGACGTTTTGTTATGTGATTGTCCCGGTTTAGTGTTCCCTAATTTCGCCTACACCAATGGTGAATTAGTATGTAACGGTGTCTTGCCAATTGATCAACTCCGTGAACATATCCCTTCGGTATCTCTCGTGTGTCAACGTATCCCCAAGTTCTTCTTGGAAGCAGTCTACGGTATCCACATCCCTATTCAAAAAGTGGAAGATGGTGGTAACGGAGAATACCCAACCGCCAGAGAATTACTTAATGCATACGCCAGAGCAAGAGGGTACATGACCCAAGGTTTCGGTTCTGCTGATGAACCAAGAGCATCCAGATACATTTTGAAGGATTACGTCAATGGGAAATTACTTTATGTTAATCCACCACCAAAGAAACAAGATGATGAATGGACATTACCAAAGTTGGAAGAATGTCGAGATTTCAATAAGGAGTTATACACATTGAATCATTTACCTGAATCAAGACAACAGCAAATCATCGCTGCCATGATGAAAAAGAACATCTCCGTCGATGAGTTTGATCTTGCCCAAGATTTAGCCAAATTGAATTTCTCCATGCACATAGGGAAAGACGAAAAGACCAATGATACCGGATCACCCAAGACGTTGTTTTACGGTGGGAAACAAGCCGCGTTGGAAAGTGCTGGTGATGAATTGGATCGTGAGTTTTTCAAAATGAATGGAGTTGAAGGAAAGTTTGTTACCCCATTCCACAAGAAAGAATCTGGCGATGGCAAGGGAAAGAAACATAATAAGAAAAACAAGAAACAAGACAAGAAGATTAGAGTTGTTGGTTATTAGTATTTTGCATTTCTGTACATTAGTTAGGTTAATAAAGGACTAAAGCATGAGCTATACGTAAAAACATTAAACTACATCTGAAAAACAAAATTTGTAAGGTTCAATTATTTTATTATACATGAGATAACTCGTAACTAATTAAATAATCTAGTAGATTCTGAAAGATGGACCCATGGTAGACTTGATGACCAAGGAACCAACGTTTTGCCAGTTCTTCTTCAACAAGGAAACCAAGAAGTTAGCAGCCATCATGATTTGGTTAACCAAGACGTCTTCTTCCATTTCAACGTTACCAACGGCAACAGCCAAACATAAGACCTTCTTCAATTGGAACTTGATGGTGGACTTAACATCTTGAACCTTAGAGTACAAGTCATCGTTGTGGGAAACTGGGGTTGGGAACTTACCAGCCTTGGACAAAGTTGGACCCAACAATCTTGGGATTTGCTTAATCAAGACTTCAGAAGCAATGAAGGCGTTGTACTTCTTGGCCAACTTCTTAATCAACTTCTTGTTCTTGTTCAACTTCTTCAAGTCATCAACAGACATGGCTTCAACACCAACAGACTTGGCTCTGTCAACATCGAAAGCATCACCAAAAATACAGATGGTCATGTTTGGTCTTGGGACTTGAGGTAACTTCAAGGAACCAGAGAAACGCTTGTCTCTTTGAGGGTCATAGTTCTTTAAACCAACTTGTAATTCAACGGTTTCCAAGAAGTTTCTCTTCTTGGTTTCGGTGGAGAATTCCAATAACTTCTTAACGTTTTCACGAACGCCGGAGGAGGTGATCTTAGACATCTTTAATTATAGTTTCGTCTCCCAAAAGGATTTGGTATATATAGATTGATTCGACGAGGATAAAGAAGAAAGGAGAAGGAAAGGAAGGGAAAGGAAACGAGGGAGATGATACTATTGAAATATTTGCCAAACGAAAAATTCTCACTGTGTGCGCAGAGCCAAACAAATTTTTTTTTTTGTGTGTGTTGCAAGGTCACATGCAAAGTATAGCAATCAGGGCTGTAGACCTAATTTTTCTGCTGCTAATATAGGCTACACAGATTGGACTAAATATGGTATGCTTAGAACGATACCATTGCAATCAAACCTTTATCAACTCTTAAGACTTGAAAACTGAAAATGAAGCATGTAATAGCACAGACTTCAGTTCTACTTGGGCAAGTTTTGAGTAGAGTAAACACCGTTTCAGCTTTAAACAAGATTGCATCACATTTTAAAATGACCACAAGGTCAACTATGCTTTGAATGGCAAATATTGTGATTCAGTACACGTGTCAGATGTGAAATCCAAAGCATGTTTGCTGATTTAACATAGAGGCATGTATTCTACACTCTTTTGCCAGAATTACTAGGGCCTGGACATTCGTTACAAGACGACATTATCAGCCGCACGACATGTCGGATTAAGTCGCAAAAGAAAGAAACGCGTGCTCCAGTTTTACTAAGATTCTATATGGCAACCAACTACTTGCTGCAAAATGCTAAGCTTAATTCGCCATCGATTAGTGCGTAATATATCTCCAGTTGTGATACTACGACAGTTTTCAACATGTCGACCATTACTACTAGCACACAGTGCAGATTCAGACGTAGAATTCATACATATTCCCAAACCTCACATCCCTGAGTATAATCGCAACGCCAACAAACGCCACAAGAATGCAATAAAGCGGGTATTAGACAATGAGTATGCGTATAATAGTTTGGAAACTATTGACATGGAAGAACGCATCTTTGACAAATCAGTGACCAAAGTGGTTGATACCGGATATGTTCCTGGGAATTGGATGAGATACACGCTTGAAAGACTATCAGAATTGCATGGTGTCGATGAGGAGAAATTGTACAAGAAATGCTACGTCCTCGGAGTTGATCTTTTGTTCCAGACCCCGCCCAATGGCGTGTCTACTATTCAAGGGAATATCTTTTCCAAACTTACCCACAAATCAGTAATCACTCAACTTAGACAATGGACTGAATTAAACAAGCAGCAGAAACGCAAGAAAGATAATGACGAAGAAATCGATCCGAAATCATACATTACCAAGGAACAAGAAGAACTTAAACTAGAGCATGAAATAACTGGGATTGAAAACAAATTGGAGAATCTTTCCCTTGACGAATACCGAGCTGATGTTGTATTGTCTGACTTGGCGAGACCATTCATGCAATCTACAGGATACTACAACAATAGTATGAACACTCCATATCTTCGCACGTACCAAAATGAACCGTTGAAGCAAGTGTTAACTAAACCAGACAAGGCATGCATAGACTTGGCAGACGCAGCATTGATGCTAGCGTGCCGCGCCTTGAGGCCAGGAGGAACATTGGTCTTGAGATTGGAAACTGTTAGAACGGGTGATCCGGAAACTGATCTACTTCGTAGACGACTAGACATGGTGTTTAATCATGTACACATACGAAGAACTGATAACAGTCGTGGATTCTCTCGGGATGGCGACCACGAATTGTACTATATCTGTAGGAATAAACGAAAAGATGGAGAATACGACATAAGGACCATCTTTAATTTAGAATAGAATCTTGTTCATTTAATATCAATAAAAATTTATATAAACAATTATGTACTTTAAACATCATGGAAAAGATCATCATCATCATCATCTTCCAAAGTGTCTTCATGTAGTGGCTCCTCTTCTTCAAAGTCTGGTTCAGCTATGTGCTTTACTTCTGGTTGTAGTTCTGGCTGTACTTGTGCTGCTGGGGTGTCGAGATCAATCAAAGGAGCAGCAGCAGGAGCAGCAGGAGCAGCAGCAGGAGCAGCAGGAGCAGCAGCAGGAGCAGCAGGAGCAGCAGCAGGAGCAGGAACAGCAGGAGCAGGAACAGCAGGAACAGCAGGAGCAGGAGTAGCAGTTACAGAAGGAGTTGGTTCAGGAACAACTTCTGGTTCAATAACTTCACTAGTTCCATTTGTAGACAAATTGGCAAATTGATCAATTAATCTATCTGCGATCTTGCTCTTATTCTTTTTCTTCAATTCATTCTTCCATGATTCAATAGCTTGATGAACCTTTTCTCCACTAACACCATAATTAGCACCAAATAATGCTGCCTCAGTATATCTTTCACTCTTGACCAATAAATCCAAACATTTATCCTTGGCACCAATCAACCACCATGCTTGCCAAGCAATGTTGTATTTACCCTTTCCTTCACATTCTTGAGCCAATCGAGTCAAATCAGACTTATTGTTACTCGAAGACAAAAGCAAGAGCAAGGATGGGTAATCTTGAGCTAACCAATATGATTCCTGAGCTAATTTGACTTGCCATTTTTCCAAGGCCAAATCTCCCAATTTCTTCCACTTAGCAGCATTGATCAACGCGGTTGATGGGTTTTCGGCCTGATTTTCTGAAAGTAAAGCATATGCTTGTTTCAAGTTTCCTGTGGAAAGAGATATTTGGAATTTGGAATCAAAATCTTGAGATAAGGAATACGAAAGGGACAAGTATCCTAATTTCTCAAAGAATCTTGATAATTGATTCAATTCAGTCTTGGTGAAGCCCGAAATCAATTGAGTGTATTCGGAAGATAAGTTGGACATGGAGATGGTGGACAAATCAGCAACTTCTTCTCCAGTTTCTTCATCGATTTGATGAGAAGTGGCAAATTGATGTAAATCACCTCTCATTACAAGAGTTTGCAATTCCAACATTTCAGAATTGATATACCATGAAATAACAGTAAATGATTTGTCAATCAAGTATAATTTACCATCACTGGCTTTATATCCAATGATGTAGAATTTATGATCAAAATGGCCCAAATTTATCACTTCTCCACCGACAAAATAATTTAATCTGTTGGTAGTGGCGGTGCTATAAACAAACACATCACCAATGAATTTACCAGAAAGAATGGATTCAGAAGTTGGTAAGGAATACAACACATCAAATGCCAATTCTGCACCTTCTTCAACATCCAATTCATTATTATTCAAACTTTCTTGGAAGGTTTCTTGATTGTAACTCAAAAAGTAAGTTTCATCAGTCTTTTTAGCACCAACAACAGATTCTCCATCGCTTGAACTGGTGACAATGGCAACCAATTCTCCATTATCAGACCATACAACATCATTGATATTATTATCTATGTCAATTCTTCTCACCAATTTACCTGATTCCCAATCGTAAAAGGAAATACACCCATCCAGTCTAACTCCTAATAAAGAACCAGCAAAGATCTTATCTGTTTGGTAGATTAAGTCAAGGGTGAGGTACTCTTGGAAGTTCTTAAATATCTTCACTGAAGAGGAGGATTCTCTGATTGCAAATGAACAATTGGCAGAAGTGTCATGGGTGTTCCATACAAAGTCCAATGCTGAACCGTATGCCTTGGATCTCCAAGCCAAAGCTGTATATATGATATATTCACCATCGCCACAAACAGCAGCATATCTTCCGTTAGGGGAGTGGTCCAAGGATTGAGGGAAGATTTCAATAGTACCCAACTCTCTTTGTTGTATGCTCAATGGTTCACCATCTTTTAAACCTTGAGAACTGGATGGTTTGATTATAGATTGGAAAATCTCAGAATTCTTGGAGTAAATTAATTTTTGATTAGAATCCATACTGAACAATGGCTCTTCATTACCCAATTTAATAATGACAAATCCAGAATCAAACCCAGCAGCAATGACGTTAGATTTAGGAAGAATACCAATGCACCAAACACGTTCTAAACTGTAGTTGATTGACTTTTCTAATTTGAAAGTGTTGGAATTCCAGAAACGGATAGTTCCATCCTCAGAACCAGAAACAATCAATGGTAATTCAGGATGGAAAATAGCAAAGGATACATTGGATAAATGTCCTTCCAAAGTGGCAACACATGATTTGGTCTGGTAATCCCAAACCTTGATGGTCTTGTCATCAGACGAAGTAATCAAATAAGGCTTATCAGCTTGAGGATAGTAGTCAACGTAATTAACCCCCTTGGTGTCATGGGCAAATAAGGTAAAGTTCGGAACACTAGATCCCAAAGACCAGATCTTAACTGTTCTGTCCAAACAGGCTGAGGCAAAAGTATTTGGATCCTTGGGGTTGAAATTGACACTCATAACATAGTGCTGGTGACCTTCAAAGGTTTGTTCCAAACGCCAGTTATTATCCCAATTCCACAATTTAACAGTCAAATCGTCAGAGGCAGTTAAAATATAAGGCTTGGAAGGGTGGACTGCAATACTTCTAATGTAATCCGGATGGGCTTCAAATTGGATCACCTTTTCACCGGTGTTGTAGTTATAGACTCTAATTTGGAAATCATCCGACCCAACAACAATCCAATTCTTACGAGCAATGAACTTACCAGTACGCACTGGCAACTCGGTGACTTGAATAGACTTGACTAGCGAATTGGTGGCGTAGGACCAGATCTCAACCTTACCATTGTATAATGTGGTCAAGATCCAAGGTTCACTTGGATGGAAATCGATTCCTTTAACTCGATCTGAACGAGTGGAAAACTGTTTGACAACGTCCAATTTCATATGGATGGATATATTACTTGATGATTATCCAGGGTGTGTAAACAAAAGTTGGACGAATTGCTGTCTGAGCCTTTTCTTTGTTTATGGGAGAGTTGAAAATGCGTTAGGTGTCGGGACTAGAGTCGTGGTGAAAAAAGTTAACACGAAATTGATTTGTTTTGTGCACAGGTGCACGACCGCGTGTTGTTTACTTCTATTATTATCTTCTATACAGATTATCTTCTATACATAATCGACACAGACTTAGTAATAGCGTTGGCCATCGTGTCATCTCTCTTGTCTATACTTTGATTCTAACTGGGCTAGCTTTTCGAGACATGTCTTCCATTTCACATCGAACGCCAGGTTAGAAAACCTTTCTATAACCAGTAGTCTCCCTGCAGTTCTGACTTTGCCCAATCTCTCATCCTTGACCAAGTCAGGGAAACTCAAGTATAGATCTGTCAACATCTGACTAAATGTAGGATACTCTACTACTTGTCCATCTCGTGATTTGAAATTTACACGAGTCCCACTGCCTGACTGAATCAGTGGATCCAAATCCGGATCTTCAAAACACTTGAAAAAGAATCCTACATCATTATACCACACCTTGTTCTCGCCTTCGGCACCGGGATTAGTGACAATATCCAACAACGGTCCTGCAGATGCATGCACTATAGGAATAGCACCATTGGCCATATATTCCACTACACCTATTCCAAAATGCTCATTCCACATGGCATTCAAACCAAATTGACATTTTTGCAACCACATAATCACTTCTTTATAGCTTACATCCACAGCAAACTCAACAAACTTTTGTAAATTCAATTTTTCAACTTGTGTTTTAAGTTTAGTTAATGTAGCTGTATCGTCCAGAGTTCGACACGAACCTACAAACACAATGGTGGGGATTTCTGGTGTGGGTTCAGTTACTTCTGGATAGTTCTTTTTAAGGAACTGATTGTATTCGTTAAGAATCACTTCATGCCTCTTTTCCGGCCTAAATTGCGCCAAGTATACCATTTTATTCTCACGCAAACTAGGATCCAATGTTGTTTCTGTTTCTTCGGTCCCACAAGGTGGGTATAAAATCTGTAATTGATGTCCCAATTTCGGATTATACCAAATCTTCTCCAAATGGTTAAACGTCCAAGTTCCGTTGGCTAAAATGATATCAACCAAACTTCCCAAGTATTTATAAAAATAATACAATCCCGACCAATACATAAATTTTATAGCCAGTTTAACATCACTTAACGATCTGATATCACACACAGTCATATTTGAAAACTTTAACTTACCAAACATATCTTCTTGAATTATAGGATAATGTGTATAGGTTAAAATCGGGATCTTTAAAATATAATAAATCAACAAATAACTACTGGGTAATCCCATAGTGTCAATCCAAACATCAGGCGACAATTCATTAATTGCTTCCCATGTTAATAACATAGTTCCTACTAGTTGGCCCAACAATGTAAAATGTTTCCAATAATTGGAATCAATTAGTGAAGCAAATCTAGACAAGTAAATGAGCACTATTCTTGATTTATCCACCGATATTTTGAACTTGGATTCAACCTTGTCAACAATTGCTTCAGGGGAAGCCTCAACATTCGTAGTGTAAATCACGACTATATTATTCTCACTTTGCTCCAAAGTAGATTTCACTGCTTGCCAAAGTACACGTTCTCCACCACCACCATTATTAGCATATGGGTGAAAGAATCCATAAAGAACACGTCTTTCTTGCTGCCTTGCACTAGGCTCTAATTTGGCAACAAATTTTTCATTTTGATCTGAAGCAGGAATTGTGATTTTGTTAGATAAATGATTTGAATAATGACTTGGTTTGTCACTGGCAATGATCAATCTCCGTCTATAACTTGAACGTCTGAGTCCAGCATCTATGGCCACTGGCGAATTCCCGGTACCTTTGGATATGACATTTTCTATAGTTTGCTTCCAATTCGCTTTTGGTACAATCAAGTACTTGCGTAGTATAGCTAGGAGAAAAAACGACAAAGTCACGCCTAGCACAATGAACAATACGTTAAACCCCATAATGAAGCTGATTTTATCTAGGACTAATGTTATAAGTGTAGTGAACTATTTTGAAGTTTTGACTGTCTCGTCAGGTGTTGAGACTATATGCAGGACTTCCATAATTGAATAGCAGTCGAAGAAACGGGTAACTGATTAGTTTTTGATAAGGTCAGATATTTCGTATAACTGAAGAATTTGATAAGCATTATCAAAAGCCACCGTGAAACTGTATTCTATCTGCGTTCCTTGAAAAACAAAGAACGATAAAGCAAAGTTGTCGTATATCTGATACAGCCCTTATAACTGAACCTAGAATAGAACCTACCAATACACGCTAACACATATATACAATCTAGATAAATGATTTTATAAAAATATACATTATAAGTACTATACATTAATCTAAAGCCTTTAGGGTTTAATTATATAAAACCAGAAAATCCCCAGTTCAAGATTCTCACTGGTTGCAAAAAAATTGTCACCAGAAACTATATCGCTTGAATGAAACATTTCTATAACTACCTAGACAGAATTATCCAACTCAGATCCAATAAGTAATGGAATTATCTCAATACCTTTTTGCATATGCCTCTTAATTAAGTGGTATCTGCCATTCAAAATGACAGTATCCAAGCTAGGAAACCTCCTTCCCTTTCCCAAGATCTGCTCAAGTAGACGTAGTTGTGATTCATCAGAAGTTTTACAACATCCATAATTGTGAAATCTATTTACACATGTATTTTTCATAAAGTGAGGAACAGATCTCAGAACACATAATGTCAGCAATGATTGCTCCTGATTCTCTATAATCTTCGTAAGTTGCTGAAAATCAATGTTACTCTCTTTGCTAGTGTACACGGAATTTCCATGCAAGCATAAATAATGTAAACTATTTGGCTTTAGCTCCATCAAAATTTGACCATAATCATTGATTCCACCTTGAATAAAAATATTTCTAACATTAGTCAATCGAGGAATAATCGACTCCAAATCTCGATACCGCATGTTGTAAAGCATACTGAAGCCAAATGACTTTATACAGTCAAGATTGAAAAGTTCCTCCACTTGGTGAAACAATCTTCCTCCTTCGCAATCGGGTCCACAGTCCTGCAAAAACAATTCTTTAATCTTCAATTTGGAAACACCTGCAAGATCAAGTCCCATGAGTGTTTCTGTAGTTACGGGAGATATATGTAATGACTCCAAGCCCTTTAATTTAGGGATTATATTAAATAAACCATCACCTGATTGCATGGTTAGTTCCTTAATTGAATAGTTGGTATCAGCTACCTTATCTTGAAAAAACCTATAATTATCAATGGTAAGTTCTAGTCCTCTTAAAAGCCGTAGATCAAGGCATGTAAATCTAGCCCAACTCTTTTCGTATTCTAGAACAATATTAACCCAAGGAAATAAGCTTACTATAGACATATAGTCATCTGGTTCGAAATCAGTCGTCACTATTTCTTTGACTAGCTGAGCATTTGAAGTATGTCTTAGTGCTGAAACAAAAACCTTTGCCGATGTTACTATTGTATATTTTGTGTTGAACGCAGTATAGATATGACCAGATACCAATAGCCGAGGAAAGGTGGAACCAATGTATATTGAATGGTATAACTTTCGAAGTCCCAATTGGTAAAGTGTTTTATTAACCAACATGAGCAGAAGCACATCCACTTGATTAAGTATTGCGCAAATTTCGCCAATTATATCATTTGGCAATTCAATTATTGGAAAACAACCACAATATGATGTCATTTGATTAGCAACAAACTTTTTTGGAATTTAGTTTAGGAGATGAGTTGGAATTTAATTCAACTTAAAGGGCTTGAACTGGGGCTTATCTATCATGTCAGATGCGGCTGTCTAGCAAACTTCAATAATATTTTTGTTGCAATTTGTTCTTTGCACGACTAAGGTTTCAAGTAATCAGAATTACTGAAATTTGAATGAATTATTACTGCTAGTGCTTATTTCTAATTGACCAATTGAACTTTCTTACTGATTTGTCACCTTTAATTCAAATTTATATAGCTCGATTGGTGCTCCAAGGGATTACTTCCAAACTTTAAGAGTTGCCACTTATAACTTGTTATAAAAAAAACCCATAGGTTGTATGTTGTAACTCTTCATTGTTTGGAGCATTCACGAAAGAGGGATATACTTTGTTAATTGCACAAGTTCTTTTGTTCGACAACCATTCTAAAGGGAGTTTCGTATCATGATGCGCTTTAAGCATTATCTTAAATATTGCCATTTTCAATTATAGTATATACCCCGCGCCGGCAGAAGAAATAAACAAATGACTGCAAAATATGAAACGAGGGTTTATATCAATATACAGTACGTAGAAAGTAAGATAGTCTTTTCGGGAAAATTCATTATTCCACACCCTGACCATTAAATTATTAAAGGTAACGGCGACATTTTGATATATATATAGAGAACTAATTAAACCATTCAAGACTATAGGTATCACTAAAGTAATCAAGACAAACAATCTCTGGATTTTCTGTCCCGATTCTTTTCACCAAATAGTAAAAGTCTTCTATAACAATGGTGTCCAACTTTGGAAATCGTTTACCCTTTTGCAAAAGCTTTCCAATAAAATTCAAAACTCGAGGATCATTATCCTCCCTTCTAAATTGTCGGTATACCCGATCTATCTCGGCATCACGCTTAAAATTTCTATAGTTATCATTCAGCAAACATATCCTGGTTAATGATCTTTCTTGGTTATAAAGAATTGCAATAATCTCATTCCTAACAAGAATCGAATTTGAACCGTTTGAATAATCATTTAAACACAAGGACGTCAAACTATTCTGAGGAGGAACTAGAGCAGCATAATAGTTCTTGTGATAATAGAGATCTAGGTGTTTGAGATTACGTAACTTCTTCACTATCATCGTTAATGACGGAAATAGCGAATCACATCTCGAACTATAACCGAATGTTTGGATACATTCAAGATCGAATAGTTCATTTACACCAATATAGAACAAATACTCACATGTTGATTCATCGGGGATTTTACAGTTTTTCAAAACCAATTTTTTGAGTTGTAATTTGGAAACACCAAATTCATGGAGGCTATCGAGTACTTCCTGGGTAAATGAAGATATAATCAATATTTCTAATCCCTTTAACTTTGGGATTATATCCAATGAAAAATTTGCAAAGATGTTGTCAGAAATGACTAATTCTTTAATCGAATAATTATTTTCAATAATAGCATCCAGGAAAAAATTGTAGTTATTTCTATCAAGACTGAACTTAGTAGCTAACAGTATATCAATATCTTTGATATATTTCAAAACATAGTTAGCTCCGTCTCCATATTCGATAGAAATTCTAATCTGTGAAAAGTTCATTAAAAATTTATATTGTTCTGGCCGCATAAAGTTAGTCACAATTTCTCTGATTAAGTGCTTATGCGGATTGCACGGAAGGTTGTTTATAAAATACGCAGAACGGTTGGTGATGGTGTACTTTCTATGAAAGGGAGTATAGATAAGGCTCAGAATTGCAAAACGAATTTGACCTATTTCCCTGTTATTAAGATATATGGAATGGTAGAATTTAGTAAGTCCCAACTTATATAGTTTTTTATTGACTAACATGAGCAGAAGTACATCCACTTGGTTAAGGAGAAAGAAGATCTCGGTAACAATCTCATTTGGCAATTCTAATATTAAAGAAAACCCGTCCTTAGGTATAAGATGGCTATCTTTTACTAGTTTTTGCCTTTTGGTGGACATGATGATGGGCATAGATGACTGCATCTGGAGCTTATTTGGCCTTGGAGTAAGTTTTTGGTTTATCTCATTTATAATTTAAGGAGAAATATAAACATGCGTAAAAAAAAGCAACCTAATAACATTGTGTCGCATAACTAGAAATCAAGAGATAGTTTTAGGGCTTGCATATAGAATTAGAGAAATATACGAACTAATTTCTTTTCTTCTGATTATAGCTTGTGTAGTTGAAACCCCATACAAGTTATAGAAAGATTCGTTGTGGAGTACTTACACAAAACCTGGGTTCTAAGCTATAAATGGGATTGCATGATTAATTAAGCCAAGGTTTGACTAACCACAAAATAGGAAGGAGAAAAAGGGGAGGGGGAAAGGAAGTGGAAATAATTTCTTCGGATTATACTATATGACACAAAATAGAAAATAGAAAGTCTTGAACTTCTAATTATACTTTACATTACTAGATTTGACCATCAATATAGAGCACGTGAAACCAATGCGATATCATCTGCAAAATGAAGTGTCCCTCCCCCCTCTCCAGATTTTGCATGCTGATCTCAAGATTGCTTTGCTTGACATGAACCCAATCGCCAATGCAACAGAATTGAAACCGTTACTGTGATGCTGAGGTTGCTGCAATTTAATTTTTCCCAATCGGGATAAATTGACGCATGCAATTTAGGGTTTATTTTTTTAGCAGGTGTTAAATTACACGCGTGTTTTAATTTTTTTTTTTCCTTTCTTTTTGTTCAAGAAGACCTCCTTTCCCATCGAAGGAGCTGAAACAGACCACGCTAAACACGTACACAAATTAAAGTTGTATATAGACAACTCTTTTCCCTTGGTTGCTGCATTTTATTGAAAGGAATACAAGAAATTTTTTTGACTCATATTACTAATTTGTTTCTTTCCTTTTTGCATTTGGTTCATTTTACTCGATTGAGATATAATTCGTTTTCGTTTGTTCTAATTCTCAATCTGCCATTGTTTCACCCGACAAGCCCACCCTTTGAGAAACATTCCAATTTCAATTCCGAATAAAATTGAATTTTGTTCATCCGTTCGTATCTAACAACATACACATTTTTCATCCGGTTTATCCTTCACTTTACCAGTTGTTTGTTTGTATTTTTTTTTAATTCATCTTGTTATAGTTTCATAACTAGTTACATCGTCATATCCTCATAGCCGTCCCCAACTACTACCACCACCACCACCCCCACACTGTTTGATACATTTTAACGAAACATATCCATACATGGAAGTAGAACACCCACTTTACGAAGACAACACCATGACAAACGAAATACCGGCCACATCGACATCAACTACCACGCTCACCAACCATGCCAAACTCAACAAGACACCTTTGAAGAAGGAGGAGTTGGAGAAGATCGCTCGCGAGTTGAAGAAGAAGCTCTCCAAAGCCAGTATAACCGCCAAGCAATCCCTTTCGCCTACTAATATCCGCACCACGCCTCAATCGAAGTTGAACCGATCGTCGCCATTGAAAAAGATAATGTCGTCCACCACCAAAGAGATCTCACCCATCCGTGAAAATTTCCCTTCATCCAGTCCAATCACTTATAACTCGTTGAATAACTCAACTGTAAGCAATTTGTATTCGCCTACTGGTAGAAGTCCCACACATATTAAGACTCCGGCAGCCATGTACCTTGCCTCGTCGCCTTTGAAACATACAAATGGTGACGCAATAGGTTTGGATGATTCACCACTTAAAAGACGCAAAAAGTCAAGCCCTAGTGTTAAGATGGTGTTGCAGGAAATTAGTCCTAAAGAAGCATCTATTCAACATGCATTAAAGCCTTCTCTTGATATGACTAATAACAAGGAAGACGCCGAACAAACGGGAAACCCCGGTACTACCACTCCTACTTTGTCAAAGCAAGAACTTTATAATGGATTGAAAACACCTACTCAACGACATCAAATGTTGTCTCGTAATGGCACTGATGCTGTTTCTCATCAACAACAACAGCAGCAGCATCAACAACAACAGCAAGGACAGCAGGGACAACATCCACAACAACCAGGAGCATACAATGACGCTGAAGGTGCTGACTTATTAATGTATTTGGCAACATCGCCCTCTCCTGCAAAGCCTTACTTTCAATCTAATGCCTTGTCTACTCCTAGAACATCCATGCAGAGACAAGTTCAACCTACTCAACCACCACAATTCCTTGCCCCATTGCCACCAGCATCTGCTGCGTCCACCATTTCCAATCTGAGTACAGCTCCACCTCCACCAGTGACTCCTAAACGCACAGCCAATATTAATAGAGACACCCCATCGCTGAGACTAACACCTGGTGGATTCTTGAGTGCCATGAGTGGAGGACAAGGGTTAGGATTACCATCACAAGGATTGACATTGACCCCTACAGGGTTCAACATGAATGATTATGTCAATTTCTTTACTCCTTCGCCTGGTTCTGCTGCAGCCAGGAATTTGTTGAGAACTCCCGATTTTAATAATTTGATTAATGGAGGCAATGGGACTCCTGGTATGAGGGGCAAGATTGAAGGTAAGATGTTGAATTTTAACAAGGTATTATTCCGCGACAAGGAATAGTCCTTAGACAACCGTGATTTAGACAACCAAGTTTGTGTATTTTTACTCTTGTATAATTATTCTTAATTTCATGATTTGATTTCGAATGTACAATAATAAATTTCAGAGTTTGTCGATTATGTAAGAGTGAAGAATTGAAAAATTTTGACCAGTTACACATTTAATTACTATGCTCCACACTTAAATTTACTATCAACTCTTTATTTATAGACATCTAAGAAAACAAGTGTAAATAATAGCTGCAAAAAAAAAAAAAGAAACAAGAATATTACAATGTAAATACAACTTTCTTTGCAGAAATTTTTCCTTGTCTGAGCAATTCCAAACCTTCGGCAGCACTCTCCAAACCTGGCTTCAAAATCAACAAATGGGAATGTTTGATTTGATGGATATACTTTGGCAAGTACTTTGTCCAAAATTCATCAAACTTGGTTACCATTTCTGGCTCTTGATAAACCTTGATTCCATCACCCAAGATATATTCCTTGTCAAATGCCAAATAAGCAACGGTATGACCATAATGAACAACTCGCTTAGGATCAGTGACAATATGCTTTGCATCCTTGCCCAATAATGAATCCAAAAATACTTCTGGGGCCCCTTCAGTGGCATCATACAACTTTTGGAAAGTTTCATCCAGAGCAATTGTGTCTAACCCGTAGACAATTTTACCCTTGCCTACTTCTTTGATCTTATCAACAACTTCGGCATCTTTATAGTCGAATAAATAATCTGCACCCAACGATTTTAAGAATTCATGGTTCTTAGGGGAGGCGGTAGTAATCACTTGTAAACCATAGATTAGCTTGGCAACTTGAATAGCGAGGATACCAGTAGCAGTAGCACCACTCCAGATCAAAATAAACTTGTCTTTATTCTTAGTTTTGTCATAATCAATTCCTAATTCATACGCAAATGAAAGTGCTACAGTGTCTAATCCCAAGGTAACACTAGCAGCGCCTTCAAATGAATCGATTGTACCTGGTTCGGTATTATCACTATGTTTCAATTCACGGCCATAGTTGATAATAGCCTTATTGTTAGCAATCACGTACTCTCCGAATGCCCCTACGAAATCTTGAGTGTTTCCATGAATGAACGAACTAACATGATCACCCACTTTAAATCCTGTAACTTCTGATCCAACTTCAGCAACAGTTCCACTGACATCGCAACCAGCGATATTACCTGGTTTACTTTTGTGCGACACAATGTGTTTCCAGTCGGTAGGGTTGATTGCGAATGCTTCTGATTTGATAAGCAATTGGTTGGGTTTAATAGGGGGGAGTTCAATATCAGCAACTTTAGTCAATTGATTGGGTTCAAGGGAACCTGAAACAACTGCAACTTTCATAATGTGTTAGAGTTATATTTGAATTTTTTTTTTTATTGTGATGGCAAGTATTTGGGGTGTTGTTTAGAGTTTAGGGGAGTCTCTCCCTCTATAAATAATATTTTGTGGGGCATTTTACGGCCAATCGGCTCAAATAATAACCTCGCTTGATTTGTAATCAATAGGGGAAAAGCAGCAATCGGTTTTGTATATGAGCAATTAAATCACGCGGTAAACGAGTTGATTTAATCGGGTAACTTCATATCAACTGATTAGTAATCAGGGATTTTCAGGGGGGAAGCCACAAGGCAACAAGGGTTATTATTGTGGAAAGAAAAAGAGAACAATCGCCCGCATTCTTCGAAATTCTACTTGTAAACCGAGCAAGGGATGTCAGTAGTCAATTAGTTTATAAAACTCTATATTCTATGGTGTAATTGCTGGAAACCTGGCAATGGTTATGTGTATGGGCACGGGGAAGTTTAATGCGTAATGTCTAATGAATACTTCTTTAAGTCATCTTCAATTAACTTTTCCAATTCTGCAACACACTTTGGAATCACATCATAATCAATAATCTCCAACTCCCTAGTGTCAAATTTTGACAAAACATGATCAACCACACCATCTCGATGGGAGGGTCTGCCTATTCCAATACCAATCTTTATGTAATCATTTTTCAAATAAGAATTGATTGATTTCAACCCATTGTGTCCTCGTGCACTCGTTCCTGGTTTGCGTACTTGATACTTACCCACATCTACTTGTAATTCGTCATGCAATATCACTAAATGAGGGTATTGTTTTCGCACATGGTTAAAATGTTTCGATATTGGTTTTCCTTGTAAATTCATATACAGATCATTTGATTTAAATAATAGTATGTTAGGGTATTTACTTGACTTATAAAGATTGTTACCTTGGATAGATATGTGACTAGTCCAATAAGTCTTGATCAATTGGTTCATCATTCGATGACCTATGTTATGACGCGTGTTTGCATATTGGGGTTCCGGGTTTCCTATGGATGCAATGAATAGTCCTGTGGGTGCAGAGCTACTGGTGTTGAGTGGTCGAATGAATGAGAGTGAGCCAGTTTTGGCCAAGAACTGGATCATAATACTTGGCTAATATATAATTTTATTTTATTTGGCACTTAGTTAAAGAATGAAACTAGAGAACAACAGCAGTCCTGGATGTCATTTGCAATCTCGTATGGTATTCGCTGTAAATGTTGCAACCTCTTCTTTGCTTTGTAGTTGAATGCATTTCTTTTTTTGTTTTTTTTTTTTTTTTGGTTAATCACAGTTTAGTCTCATCTTAAATTTTTCTTTATATACTTCAATCCCTACTACTCCAAGAACATCGCAAAAGATAGTATGAGTGCCGAAGTAGAAGCAGCTACCGCTAATGTAGTCGAACCCAAAGTTGACCAATTGAAAGTAGAAGACTTATCTCTTGAAGATTCTGTTACCCCTGAACCAGAATCCACTGATGCCGCTCCTTCCAAAAAGAAGAAACCCAAGAAGAAAAAGAAGAAGATCACAACCATAGACGCCTCCTACCCAGACCACATTTTCCCAGAAGGTGAATGGCAAGAATATCCACTCGACGTCAACTCCCACCGTACCACTTCTGAAGAGCTTCGATACTTGGACCGTCAATCCAACAACAAATGGGAGGATTTCCGTAAAGGTGCCGAAATCCACCGTCGTGTTCGTCACAAGGCCCAAAGCAGTATTAAACCCGGTATGTCCATGATTGAAATTGCAGACTTGATTGAGAACTCTGTGAGAGCATATTCAGGTAATGTTCATACCAAAGAAGCCGGTATTGGGTTCCCAACTGGGTTGAGTTTAAATCACGTTGCTGCGCACTACACACCAAACACCGGAGATAAAATGGTGTTGCATAAGGATGATATCATGAAAGTGGATATTGGTGTGCACGTAAATGGTCATATTTGTGATTCTGCATTCACAATGACTTTTGAAGATACAGGAAAGTACAATCCATTGTTGCAGGCAGTCAAGGAAGCTACCAACACTGGGATTAAAGAATCAGGTATAGATGTTAGATTGAATGATATTGGTGCTGCCATTCAAGAAGTCATGGAATCTTATGAAGTTGAAGAAAACGGAAAATTTTACCCAGTCAAATGTATAAGAAACTTGAATGGTCACAACATCGGAGATTACGTTATTCATTCCGGTAAGACCGTGCCTATTGTTCCTAATGGAGACATGACCAAGATGGAAGAAGGGGAAACTTTTGCTATTGAAACCTTTGGATCTACTGGTAACGGGTACGTCATTACTGAGGGCGAGTGTTCTCATTATGCTTATATGCCAGAATCAGACTCTATCCGTCCACCATCGGAAAGAGCCAAGGAATTGTTGGATAATATCAAGGCAAATTTTGGTACTTTGCCTTGGTGTAGAAGATACTTGGAACGTGCTGGTGAAGACAAGTATTTGTTTGCTTTGAATCAATTGGTTAGAGCTGGTATCGTCGAAGATTATGCTCCTTTGGTGGATAAGAAGGGAAGTTATACTGCCCAATTCGAACATACCATATTGTTACATCCACACAAGAAGGAAGTGGTTACCAGAGGGGATGACTACTAGGTGAACTATATACATGGCTACTCTATTGTACATATCAATTGGCTTTATATATCAGCAATAAATAACCTTTAAATTGCAACCAACCCACAATCAACAACTGTTTTCTCGCTAGTATCATTGTTGACAAAGGTAACTTGTCTCACATGTACATTTCCTAAATCTGCAAGCCATGAAAACAACACTCGTGTAACTTTCTTTACTTCATTGATAATATCGTAACTAGGTTTCAAGTTTGGATGAAACCACAACGTAACTCTTGTATATACATCCGACTGGGTGAATGAAATCCCCGTTATCCCAGTAGTTGTTTCATAATCATATATTCTATTTGAAACAATAAATAGGGTTAATTTTAGTAATTTGTCAGTAGTGATGTTCTTCAATTCCAAGTTTACAAGGTATCCGTGTTCGTGGTACTTTGTATTTGGAACAAGTCCCCTTTTCATAATGTGAACTTTTTTGGATAATTCCTTTTCTATAAAATTGGTCAATTCGGTTTCAGTTTCTACTACTTTGAAAACACGCTTTATGTTGTCATTGTCATAGTTCCAAACAAGCCATTGTTGTGGAAGTGTTTTATTTACTCCATTCTCGAGGTTGAAGCTGGATAGTTGAAGCTTTGTTGCCCTGTGCTGGGAAGGATTAAAAGAAAGAACAGATCTATTCAGAGGAACACCACAATACTCCCCGAGTGTAATCGTGTAAGGCTCTTTTTCCTCAATTAACTTGACAGTAGCCGTTAAGATCTTGCCAATATTAAAAGCAGAACCAGGTTTATTCTTAATTGTATCTTCTCCAAACTTGTTTTCCTTCTCTTGATCAAAGATGATAGCAAAGTCTTCATCATTGTCAAGCAAACTATTTCCATCTTCATCATGAATGTGAGGAACATCTCTCAAGCTCAACAAATTAGTTGTATTCTGTGTCAGTTTATTCTCCAATGTTAGCTCAGGGAGGGAAATAGTACGAAGACTAAGGTGATAACTTTGTTCTCTCTTCTTTTGCCGTTTTTGCTGAAGTTGTTGGAGGTCTTGAAGTTCGCTATCATCATCGGTGTGCTTGTGCGAAGAAGCTTTGGTTGCTTTTTCTTTGGAGGCGTCTGATTTCCGGAGTGATTCGAATTTTTGCTTGAATGATTTCCAACTTTTTGACCTATTCATTAGATCGGTCAAGGTCGTGGATATGATGATGAATTAGAAGTGGATTAAAGAAGAAGTGATATAGTTGGCGGCAAAAAAAAACCGAATTGATTCAGTTGCGAAAAAAGTGTGTGGGGGGGGGAGGGGGGAACGTTACGGAAAATTTGATCCGAAGCAACTTCATAGTGAATGAGTGCATTTTAGGATTGCCATTGATCAGTTATCATATATAGTTGGTTGGATTATTTTCACTTGATAAATGAATTATTCTGGGAATAGTATTGAATATTGCGGTCTGTATATCTCTAAGTATTTTTATACTTACTGGTTGAATTTGTTGCAAAATTATGAACTTTCAATTTATATCCAAATCGGGACATTAATCACGATAGAAAAATCTTATTTTAGCAAGTAAAAGTGTTATGAGCCGGTCTAAAAGTCGATCACTTATAGATCATTTTTCCACTCAAGATTATCTGAGGTTGTCAGCAAAAAGCCTCTTTTCTACCACCCGACTCCTCCCCGCTTCCCCAACATTCGGTTAGAAGCATGTGCCGCGAACCCTGTGAAGTTGGCACTCCAATTAATTTACAAGCGAGTTACGAAAGAGTAAAGCGTAGACAAATAAATTTACCTGGTTGATATTAACCGTAGCAGACAAATGTAGTATAAGCAAAAGGTTCTATGTTGGTTGTGCAATTTCCTCATATTGAAAAAGTTGAGGTGGGGATTAACCCGTTGTAGTCTCCTATTATAGCTAAGTGTAGTAAACTAAGATATATGTGCGATCATGTGATGATATCCCAATGTGGATGTCACTTTTTATGGGTGGGGGGGGGGGGGGGGAGGGACATGAAACAAATAGACGAGGTCTACATCAAAAACTATCAAGAGAGAGGAGAAGTTATTGTGGCCATGTGAAAAAGCACTTATGTTAGTGCTAACCTAAAAGTGATCTGGTTACTTTAGGTAGCCACTCCAACTTGCAATAAATTCCCCAGAAGGGTAAAAACAATTTCAGGCACGCACCAACAAAAGACAGCACAGGGGACAAAAAATTAAAGAAATCCTCATAAAGGAGAAACTACCAGCTTCAACAACATTTAAAGTGGACTCTTTTTCTCGAATAGGTTTTACTAATTCAATTGATTCGTATATTAATCAACGGGTATAACTACAACCTAGTCAGCTTAGAAAAAAATTATTTAACGATTTTACATTTTTTTTTGTCCAAGAATAGAATTTTAAAACTTATCCCTATTTAACAGAGCACACGTTTCAAGATGGAAATTTCACCAAACACGTTAGAGTTCAAGGGTATGTTAACCATCACATATGGCACTAAGTTATCTATTGATTGATTGATTACTAACACGAGAGTATAGGCTCATTTCAGAAACAAACCACGGAATTTTTAACTTTATATAATTCTTCCCCAACTCCCTTGGCGTTCAAAGTTAAGACCACCGCCCCAAAGTTATACTGTGTTCGTCCAAATGCGTCCTTACTTCGTGCAGGAGAATCCATGAAGATCTCGGTGATTCTTCAAGGCTTTTCCCAACCTTTACCAGCTGACTACAAATGTAAGGACAAGTTCTTGTTGGTGTCCTTACCAGCTCCAGACATACACGATGCCAGTAAAGTTGGTGAATACTGGCCATCTTTGGAAGCCAAGTACAAGTCGCAAATGGTTTCCAAGAAGTTGAGAGTTAACTACCGTATTGGTGAAGATGCCGATGAACTGTTTGATTACACCCAAACTACCGAATCTTCTCTTCCTGAACCAAGTCCAGTGCCCGAATTCAATGGTAACGGTAGTGCTCGCGAAAGATCAGTGTACCATGAACCAGCCTTAAATAACTTCAATAGAGAAGTACACCAACCTCAACAGAGAGAAGTACACGATCCTTCCCCAAGAGAAATCCACCAACCTACATTCCAACCACCAGTTCAACAACAACAGCAAGCACCAGTTGTTGAAAAGAGATCTCCAGTTGCTGCCCAAGCTTCCCCCGAATTACAACGCGAATTGGAAGCTTTGGCTAATCAAGTTCGCAGTTTGTCTTCTAAGTTGGACGACAACGAAAGAGCTACCGCTCAAGCTGTGGCTCAACAAAGAAGAGCCGCGTTTGACAATAATACTGAACCAGTCAATGGTATTTCCATGCCGGTTGCTTTATTGTTAGTTCTTATCTCTTTCCTTATCGGTTGGTTGATATTCTAAGGAGGAGAATACAAGCGTTATACAGAGAAATTACCAGGAATGCCACCAAGTTGACATAATTTTCGTTATTGCAAAAACATCTATTAGGAGAAAGCCTGCATAGTAGTTGAAAAAAATGGGAATATAACTTATTGTGCATGGTTATTCATATGTTTGTCGTTGAATTCTGTTTTTTTTTATCTTTCTATCTTTATATATATATATATATATTTATATTCTAACTGTTTTACTATTTCTATTTGTATTCTAACTTGGTTTGAATTGATTAACATGTAAGTACAGATATAATGTCAGCCATTACGTGAGGCACATTAAAGTCGTGCGCCTGTGCCAAACTCGAAACGCCAAAAAAAAAAAGAAAAGCTCCCCACTTTGGTCCAAGCCACCAGCAGTAGAAAAAAAAAATTACTGTCATTCATAATTTGTGAAATTGAATGATCTAAAGATAACGTCATAGTGTAAACATAAATCAATCAATCAATCAATTCAATTCAATCTTGGAAAAGTGTCAAATGCAATAGCATACATAAGACTACACAGACAGACAGAATAGACATTTGTAACATTTAAGAATTCACATAATATTTCAACCTCCCTCGCTGGCACTAATTACTGCATTTTCTAGACAAACACACACACACCCAACCACCCACACCCACACACACACACGCACGCATTCACTATGGGTAGAGCAACTATAAAATCAGGCACAATAAACTTGTTGAATACTATAGTGGGAGCCGGGATCCTTGCCATGCCATTTGGGCTCAAGGCTAACGGTCTACTCTTTGGATGTATCCTTATCGTATGGTCGAGTTTAACATCAGCATTTGGATTATATTTACAAAATAAAGTGGCCAAGTATACCGATCAAAGAGGAGCAGTTTCATACTTCAGTTTGGCTCAGTTGACATACCCGAAATTATCAATTGTATTTGATTCAGCCATATCCATTAAATGTTTTGGTGTTGGTGTTTCATATCTTGTGGTTATCGGAGATTTAATGCCGAAAATCATGGAATCAGCTAAAGTGAAACCCGAATCGATCTTAATGGCGAGAAATTTCTGGATTTCCGTGTTTATGGTGATTATTGTTCCTTTGTCGTACCTTAAGAAACTTGACAGTTTAAAGTATGCCTCGTTTCTTGCCTTGTTTTCCGTGGTTTACTTGATTTGTTTAGTGTTGGAACATTACTTTGTGCGTGATGTTGACGTACCGGGAAAGCACATCGATTACTTTGGTCCAATTTCCTTGACTTCCACATTATCATCATTCCCCATTTTTGTGTTTGCATACACCTGTCATCAGAATATGTTTGCCATTATCAACGAATTGAAACCTTGCGAAAAGGACGGATCTCAAACAAGACAATCCAACATCATTATCAGAAATTCGATTTGTACTGCATTAGTATCATATTTGATTGTGGGGATATTCGGGTACCTCACATTTGGAAATACCGTGAATGGGAACATTATCACATTGTACCCTAAAAGCTCCATTTCGTCCTTGATTGGAAGATTATGTATTGTTCTTATGGTTAGTTTATCATTCCCATTGCAGTGTCACCCATGTAGAGGATCCATGAATCATGTATACCATTTCATCACCCAAGGTGTGGCCGAGTACAAGGTAAGAAAAGCCGATCGACAAAATGAACGTGAGGGATACACTACCCTTACATCAGACATTGAATCAATGAATGATTCTGAATCAGCTCAAAATGAATCGTTTGTGTCAACTACGCCCATGGAAGGTGCTCAAGATACTGACGGACACGATCCAATAATTGTCCCACTCACATCGAAAAGATTCTATATAATAACTACTATAATTGTGATGTTGTCATATTTGGTGGCCATTACAGTAACGTCATTAGCCCATGTTCTTGCATTTGTTGGATCTACCGGTTCAACTTCCATTTCATTCATCCTTCCCGGTTTATTTGGGTTCTTGTTGATTAAACCATTGGGAGATGCTACTAAATTGGATACATTGGAGAAGTTTTGTAAATATGGTGGGTTGGCGTTGAGTATTTGGGGTGTATTGGTTATGTTTGTATGTTTGGGAGCTACGATATTCCTCGGGGCCACTCATTAAATTAGGTGTGTATTATCTAAGTACTTAATGTAATTCTAGAGAACATTGGTGAAAGTGTATGGATATTGGTTGCAATATCAACAGCACTATTGTTTCCTCTTTTGTAGCGATATACTTGACCCACGGCAACAGCATGCATTTGATAATCTGCCAAGCTTGAAACTGGAATTTGACAGGTTACATTTGCTTTACAATTTGTGACGAAGTTAAAGTATTCCATGGTGAATTGAATGATATCGGTCGAGTCTGAAATAATTTTAATTTGATATTGAACATTTAACATAAACAATTCATGGTCTAAAGTTTTTAACCAGTGATAATTCTTGGTGAAATCATTAAACTTTTCAGTTATAGTTGTTCCTTCGCTTGGTAAATGTAATGCGTATGACAATAATTCTTTATTCTTGAAGTTATTTGACCCCAGCAATGAATATTCAATTTGATTGTTTTTGATATCAAACCTACACTTAATATCTTGATAATAAATAAACTCCCAAACTCCATTGTCTTCGTTGACAAATTGTAGCTTGGTAATTTGTTGTAAAAATTTAAAGGTTAAATGACGTGCAATAACTTCTGATTTATCATTCAATTTCGTCTTTTGTACAACTTGCTGAGCCTGACTTAACTCCAGCACCAATTCCGTTCGCTTATTCCCAATATCCGCCAATTTCACATTAATACGCTCAAGCTCACCCGTCCGATCAACAATCTTATTACCAAGTTCTGCCATTTTCAATTTATGACTCTTTAATTCAATCAGTAACTTTTCCAATTCACCTGCAGGTATCTTGCCAATTTGCAGTGTGACTTGCTTCAAATCAGTCAAGCGTCGTCTCAACTGTTGAAGATATCCATGAAACTTCAACCGTAATTTCTGTAACTGATCGATGTCCAGAATCAAACATTGTCGATCATTCACCAATTCCAGATACCGTTCCCGACTCTTGTCCAACAATGCACTAATCATGTTATACCTCCATTCATACCACTTTTTATGACTCAGTTGGCGCATGTACTCTCTTACTCTTGCGAATCGCTGATTCATCTGTGCTTGAGCCTGCTCGTCCAGCTTATAATACTGGCGGAACATTGTAGGGTTATTCATTTCAATATGAGTATTGAACGCATTGAACAAGTTTCGGGTATCCATTAAATTCTTGTTGAGTTCTGAATTACTGAACTCATATAGTTGAAGCACGGGCAATTTGGGAATGGACGAGATGTAGTCGGTCATAGTGATATTCAGCTGATCAGGGTTGCTGAACCGAGGGAACGAGTTAAGATCAAGCTCACGATCATCATAGAATTGGATTCCTATATCTTGCAAAAATTGTGATAATTTAATTGGTTCGTAATCTTCATCATATTCTTCGTCATCTTCGTCCTGTTCGTATTCCTGAGTGCTTGAAACTTCGGCAAGTGGGATCTTGGAGGTGACTACATGCTCTTCAATGCGGGAACTATCAGCATCGGAAGTCATATCATTGGCCAGTGGATATCTTGCAGTTGCAGATATTGGTTGAGTTATCTCCATTGATTCATCTTGGTCGGGCGTAGACTGGATAATTCTCGATATAGGTTCAGTTATTTCCATAGGCATATCTTCTGGAGATGCCCGCGTGGTTTCTTGTGGTGTAGTCTCCGTAATCTGTGATACTACTTGAGTGAGTTCCATGGGTTGAAAATAATGTGTGGTACTTTCAGTCAATTTTCTTTCCATATTTGCATTGATACTTGAAAACGCCATGGTTGATTCCACAGGTTGTGAAAATGGAGCAGATTCATCCTGTTGTTTAGATTCAATTGTGGAGAAGGCTTGAGTTAATTCCATTGGAGGTCCTTCATCTTCATTTAGATTACTGTTTACTTCTTGATTCTCTTGGTCGAGGTTGTTTACTTGTTCATCCTCGTAGTCTTTGTTCTTTATTGAGTCAATAGACTCTTGATATACAGAAGCGATAGGTTCAGTTATCTCCATATCTTGTGGCGTTTCTTCTTCCTCTTCTTCGTCGCCGTCGTCATGGTCGTCCTCTTCTTCGTCATTTTCAATTGGTGCCAATAAAGGACGAATAATAGTTTGAGTCATCTCCATCTCTGGTTCATTATCTTCTGTTTCAACGGGTTCTTTGTTCTGTTGTGATTGTTGCAGCTCATGATCCTCTTGGCTCCTTTCCAATTCTTGGATATGCTGCATAACCAGTTCCATTTCCTGTGTGATGTCCATTGATCCATTAACATCATCTTCATCGCGAGCAATTGACTTGATTAAAGATTTAACTGATTTCGCTTTTGTGATGTCTAATATTGATTCATTACCTTGTTGCAGTACGGTGAAGCTTCCTGTGAGCTCCATGTCTTCTTCATCTACTGTACCTTCTTCGTCTTTGCGTTGTTGTGGTTCTTCTTGAACTGATTCTACGGGAGCGGGTATAACGTCAAACTTTTCTGTAAGTTCCATATCTTCCTCTTCCTCCTCTTCTTCTTCTTCTGCTTGGTCATGCTGATCTTCTTGCATTTTCTCGGTAGTTTCTTCTTCTCGAACTTTTTGTGCCGGGACAGGTATGGAAATATCGAACTTTCCTGTAAGTTCCATTTCTTCCTCTTCCTCTTCCTCTTCCTCTTCCTTTCCATCTTCAGCTGGAACGGTAACATATCGAGGAGTGTCAACTCGCCCAGTAAGTTCCATATCCTCTTCCTGTTCATGCTCCTGCTCTATGTTATGAACAGTAGGTGGATTGATTGTCCCAGTAAGTTCCATATCCTCCTCTTCAGGATCATGGATAGAAGGAAACTGATTAAACGGAACCAGAAACTGGCCTGTAAGTTCCATGGTCTGTTCCTCATCATTCTCCACGACATTATTTTCCACCTGCCCTTGATTTACATCCTCGTCAGAGCTATCCTCAAGCAACTCATCACCAGCATCAACATCCTGCAAATCAAACTGGGGGAATGTTCCATTGATTGTCTTTCTCCTCTTTCCGACAATATCAATCTTGTGTAGGGTGACTTCAGGTGCAAAAGACACCCTTCGTTTGTTATTTAGAATAGGCAACGTATTATCTCTAAGTATACTCTTGGCGGGATTCATGGCTGATTTGTGGTGTTCACTTCACCTTTCCCAACCTGTTTGTTGTGGTTTGTGTTTTTGTACGCGTTGGAAAATTGACACGCAATCTGGTAGCGCCAGAGGCACATGGTAGCGGCAGCCATAAGCAATAGCGGAATAGTACATTTATTACAATCTATAAATCATCCTAGGTAATCAATTCAATACTCTTACGATTCAACCGCAAGTCCAGCAACTCGATATCATCGTCTACATCGCTAAAACACTCCGGTTCCACCACGGTATCCAGCTCAATCAACTTCGTCAAGATGAACCTGTCTATAAATCCGGCCAATTTTCCATCTTGTAAAATACACATGTAGTTAATATACAACTTTTCAAATTCATGAATAATTAAATTGAGTTGAGTCTTGGGGTTTGCAACTATTATTTGTTTCTGTGGGAACAATTCTAGTTTTGGTGTGCTCATATCGTAGTTTTCAACCTGAGGGACCACGATTTGGATGGGTGTAGATGGAAGGTTATTGAGTGAGTCGAGGAGTTCTTGCTTGCTGACGTAACCAAAATACGTTGGGTCCTCGTAACTTGTGATCACGGGGTACATCTCATGCGTATCCTTGGTGAAGTTGTAAATGCTGGCGACAGTGTACGGAACCTCTGGGTGGATGCATAAGCATTTCATGCGATGTAAAGGAATCATGACATGCTGCACAGTGACATCGGGTAGTTTTGCCTTTTCAGTAGTGGTCAACGTCGAAAATGTAACCAATCCTGTCCCCTTGCCGGAATTGACACCGCCATTTTCATTTCTATTAAACAGTAATAATTCCGTATCGTAAATATTCTTGGTACACAACCAATCATTGGTGAATTTTGATGTCATGACCCCAAACATGATAGGCAACACATACGTTACCGCACCCGTCATTTCAAACATAATCACAACAACACACATGGTCAATTTAGTGATCCCCGTCATGAAACTAGCCGCACCAATGACGGCGTATGAAGAAGGAGAGACTAAACAAGATTTAGCCGTGCATGTAGCCAATGAGTCCCACGAGAAGTGGGATTGGATAACTTGGGCAATTATCCCAAGGGCTCGTCCTGTGGTGGCACCAATGACCAAAGTGGGCATGAGAATACCTCCTGGCAAATCAAGTCCGTAGGAATAGGCCAGGAGGAAGAATCCCTGGAGGGCAATGTACCCGAGTTTTATAATACTTCCTGAAGTAGACGTGTTACATATGAATTGTTCATCTGCTGAATCGGTGCAATCTTGGAATATGAGTTTCAAATAGGTGTTGAGGGAAAGTCTGGCTAATGGGATGGGGAAGTTTAATAAACCGGTAATGACAACAATAATCAGGATTTCAACGTAGGTGCCATATTCCAAGGATACTCGTAACATACTGCACACTCTTCTTCTCACCACATGTCTGAAATTCGCAAAATACCTATTCAACTTGGTGAATGAGTACCCGTACAATCCACCAAGAATACCCAAGATAAGAAAGGGCCCGAGTTCCATAAACAACCAACTAAAGTTCCCAAAGTTGACCTGAAACAAATCCTGTTCGGCAAAGTTCTTCCCGTCAGTAATGAGTTTGAACCCAGTAAGTATAACCACCGCAATGGTAGCACTTACAAACGAATTCCACAAGATCTTCATTGGCATGAAATATGAATTCATGCTTTCAAACACAAACAACACTCCACCAATGGGGGAATCAAAAGCAACGGCTATCCCAGCGGCCACGGCAGCCATTAGGAATTCCCGTCGTACTGCTTCATTAGTCTGGCTGTTTCGTTGGAGCAAGTTGTACACAATGTTGAAGATGCAGCATGACACGTGAACCAAGGGTCCTTCTTTACCCAACCAAAGTCCGGAACTAACCACGAGAATCAAACCAAGAGTTTTGTAGATCAAAGTGGACAATCCGAGATATTCGCTGTCGAGGGTGAACCCAGATATGAACATCTTGATTTCGGGGATACCGGACTGTTTAATTGTTCTATCCTGCCTGGTGCTGATAAACGTAGCAAGAATGCTCCATAAAAGGGCAATCACTATGTATATAGGTAAATTAATAAGGATTGACCCTTCTCCTGACACTTTAAACAAGATTCTCAGCCAATTATACCAATCATTGTCAGGACATGTCAGATAGGGGTTGAGTAACGACCACATATTACTCTTGGTGAAACATATTCCCATCTTGGCATCATTCAAGTTGATTGACATTAGCTGGATGAATGCAGTGGTGTAACCAAGCACAATTGCTGCAAGGATCAAGGTGATCCATTTTCGCAGAATGTGGGCCTGGGAATGTTTGGGGATAAGGAGGGTTTCTAGACTCCAGTCGATAAAGGTATTGACTTGGTACTTTTTGCTTGCGGTTGCTGGGTATGTATCATGCTGAGTCCTTGATGGATTGTATCTCAATCTCGGTATTGACTTGTCAAAGGTGTATGTGCTAGTCATGTTGTTTAGCAATGCAAACGTGTCTGGTTGTAAAATCAAATTTGAGATTCCAAAAATCGAAACAGACAGACAGACAGACAGACAGACAAAAAAAAAAATAAAAACCAAAATCTTCAAGAAGTTCAATCCCATCTGTTAGCAAAGCAAAGCAAAGTAGACACAATCACCATGTCATTTCTTTCAACAGGAACAACATCAGCAGCTACAAATAGTGCTACTGCAAATGGCCAGGAACTTATCAATGATATAACCATAAACAACCCACCTACAGACACCATAACCGACATTGCATTCTCACCACAACAAGAGCTTCTCGCTGTGAGTTCGTGGGATAAGAAAGTCCGAATTTACGAAATTGACTCTAATCTGGGCAACAACCAAGGCCGGGCAATGTTTGAGCACGATGCGCCTGTCTTCAGTGCCAGATGGTCAATTGATGGAACTAAAGTTGTCAGTGGTGGTGGAGATGGCCAAGTCAAAATCTACGATATTGCCAGTGGATCCACCCAGCAAATCGGACAGCACGACAACGTGGTAAGAGCAGTTAGATACGTTGAATGCGGCGCTACAAACACCCCTGTGGTTGTCTCCGGGTCGTGGGACAAGACATTGAGGTATTGGGATATGAGATCGCCCCAACCGATCACCACCATTCAATTGCCAGAGCGAGTTTATTGCATGGATTCGTCCCAGAAATTACTCGTTGTGGGTGGAGCCGACCGCCATATAAGTGTAATTGACTTGAACAACCCTCAACAAATATTCAAGAGCTACCAATCACCATTGAAATGGCAAACCAGAACTGTCTGCTGTTACCCACAAGCCAATGGGTTCGCCATTGGGTCAATCGAAGGGAGATGTGCCATACAATATATTAACGATAATGAACAAAAGAAATTCGGGTTTTCATTCAAGTGCCATAGAAAGAGTGGAAGCAGCAGCACCACCAGCACCACCACACGTACCACCACCAGTAGTTCAGAATCACAAGCATACTCCGTCAATGCCATCTCATTCCACCCAGTTTACGGTACGTTTAGTACCGCTGGCTCCGATGGAACCTTCTGCTTCTGGGACAAGGACGCCAAGCAAAGATTAAAGAGCTTCCCGGTATTGCCTGGTACTATCACTGCTACTGCATTTAACAAGACGGGTAACATTTTTGCCTATGCCGTGAGTTACGATTGGTCTATGGGATACATGGCTAATAGACAAGATTACCCAACCATGATAAAGTTGCATGCTACCAAAGATGATGAAATAAAGCAAAAGAACAAGAGGTGAACAAGTACGAATCTATTATAACTCGATATAGTAATTAGATATTAATTAGATGGTAGGTGATAGTAGTATAGTCGACTAACTCACGAGCGGCGGGTGTAGGCGATATGGTCGTGCGCGTTTCCAAATATTTTGTGTCATTTTGTTTCCAATGAAAAGTGTGACAAAAGTCCAGTTTCTTTTTTTTTATGGTTGAAAAAGTTTATAACCCCAGACAGACAGGGAGACAAACGGACAGACAGACAGACGCAACCCCTAATGATTTATTCCAAAAGATCCATCAACACCGAACCATTCTCATGTCAGTTGGACATGATCGAGAAGACCAAGATCGAAATCAAGAATCAGCCGCCGTTGTATAATAAACGATTCTCTAAACGAACAAGTTACCGTCCACAACAACCGTTGACAACTGCTCCGGTTGTTGACCAGAAAGTTTTCGCACCAATCATCACCACCACTAGTATCAGCCCGGCCAACAAGACACCTGCCATGTTTGATCCATTCAAGCCAGTTGATTTTTCTATTGGGTTAACCAAGGATATTTGGGGTACCACCACCCCAACCAGCGCTGCGCGAACCACCACCACTACTGGCCGTAGCACTGTATGGGGATAAGGATTTTTTTTTGTTTGTTTTCTGTTTTTCAGTTCAAATAGAAAAAGTTATTTATTTAAGGGATTACTTTGAGGAATATGGTTTAATAAATTTTGTATAAATTTTGTATTAGTTCTAGTTTTGGTTATAATATATGCTTGGTTACATTACTCTTGACTACGTATCTATGTCCATGTGCTTGCTTGTCAGCTGAAAAAGATATTTGAACCCGCTCGCACGACCCTTGATTTCTTTTTCTTTTTCTTTTTTTTTTTTTTTTTTTTTTTTTTTTTGGGTGATTTTATTTTTTCTTTTTGCTTGCTAATTAAAACAAATACAACCCACCCACAAGGTCAGACACCAATCAACCCCCAATCACCCCCCAACCAAGGATGACCCATCATAATACACCCCAGGTATATAGCAATCAGCGAACACCAAACTATGATCAGCAGCCTCCGGGTGCACCTACAACCGCAGGGCCGTCGACTATGTTACCGACTAACCAACAACATCTATCTACCACCACCACCCACAACACCCCCAATATCGCACTAGACTCAAATTACACCATAAGTGACAACACAGCAACTTCGTCGCGCCAATTACTCAACGCATACATCTACGACTTCCTCGTCAAGAGCAGATTGTCCCGCACGGCCAAAGCGTTCGTCAACGAGGCCGATGTGCCCCATGTAAACAGCGGTAATGGTAACGATGGTAGCAGCAACAGCAGCAGCGGCAATGGAGACATGCCGAAGCTAAACATGGCAATTGATTCACCCGGGGGATTCTTGTATGAGTGGTGGTTGATTTTCTGGGATGTGTTTCTGGCTAAACATGGTGGGGCCAACCTGAGAAACAACAACCTATCCTTGTCATATTACCAATTGCAAGTGTTGAAACAGCGGCAAATGCAGCAGGAAATAACCATGGCGTTAGCTCCACCCCAGGGCATGCATCCACAGCAAGTAGTACCTCATCCACAACAATTACACATGCAACCACCACCCGGTGCCCCTCCTGGTGCAACCCCAGGTGGTGGGCCCGGTGCACCACCTCCAGGAGCTCCTCCTCCGCCGGGTGTCGCTGGCGGTCCTCCACAATTCAATCAACCCATGGACCAGCGAATGATGATGGGTAACTTCCAACAAGGTCAGCAGCCACCACAAGGTCAACTTCAACAACAACCACCGCAACAGCAACAGCAACCCCAGCAACCACCACCACCACAACAACAACAACAACCACAACCTATGAACATGATGGTTGATCCTATGCAGCAGCAGCAGCAAATGTACATGCAAAGACCAGGTCAGCCACAACAAGCGCAAGCGCAAGCCCAACCCAAGACCCGAATCCAACAGCACGCTCAAACCCAAATGAATAACCTCCGACAACAAGTCCGACAACAAGTCCAACAACAGCAACAACAACCGGTAAACTCGCCGAGGAGTGCCAATGGTGTAGGTGGAAACACCCCGAATGCAACTCGGAAAAGCCCACCTAATAGAAATAACGCCTTACAAGACTATCAACAACAGCTCTTGCTTTTGGAAAAGCAAAACTCGAAACGATTGGAGAGTGCAAGACAGCCGGACACTGTTCCTACTCCTCAAGCGCAACAACCGGGTAAATCTCCCAACATGGGCAAGAAGAAGAAGGAACCCGCCGTGAAACGAGGCAGAAAGGGTTCAGTCACTCAACAAACCACTACACCAGCAGTGTCTCAGCCCAACAGTGCGGGAAATAATCTCGGTGGATCAGTCAACAATACACCCACCATAACAAAAAAGGAGTATTCTATCCCATTAACACCCGTGTCCGAACCCAACGATGCTAATAAACGTAAGCGGAAGAACAGTACGGGTGGCAACGACTCGCCCAAGAAACAAGCGGCCAAGCAGAAGGAGAAGACCATCAAAGAGGAAGAAGTGGAAAAGCCTGTGGAAACCGCTGACGATATCGTCACTTCATCATTCGACGACCCTATGTTCAGCGTTGAGTTACTAGGCGATAGTACAACCAATGATGCCGGACAAAATCTCGAGGATATTGATTTTGATTTCAACCAGTTTTGGGGAAGCAATACCGGTGCTACGGGTGAAGGCGTCGATGACAGTATCCTGGGTTTTAATTGGAGCGGTGTGGATGATTAGTGTTTCTTCTTTTTTTTGTTTCTATTAGTTTATATTATATACTTTCTATACATTTTTTTTAGTTGTATTAGTTTCTTTAATAAACCATGAATTATAGTTGAGCCACGATCCAACAAGAACTGTCAGCAATATGGTTACAAGAATGGCTGAACTGGCGACCGAGCTGGGGAAAACGTTCCATGCGTATTCGTGGGCTGCCCACATTGGCATGCTGATATACCATGGAATACCGGAAATGTAGAGTACGAAAGGCAATTTCCAACAATACCATGACAAGAACTGATAGTGTAAACTTCTTGAACAAACCACACCAATCAAGTTGGTTATACTCATAATTACCATGATTAATTGCGGACCAGTAGTTGAACTAATGAGTTTGTTGGTGGGCGACACAGTAGATACCGGTTTAAAGGCATCCTTGATTAACTGACCAATAGACTTGCCAATTATTCTCGAGTTGAGGAATCGAGTGAATGTGAACCAAAGGAGAAGTGCTATGTGCAACACGAGAAGCACTCGGGAAAACACGGCTGAGGTAAAGATTTCTTCGGGGACAAACCTCCAGTTGACGGTCCATTCATACAAGAATTGACGTTTAAAGTTGAATGCCTGGTTGATATAGCTCCATCTTATATAACTTGCTTCTTCAGTGTTGAATAGCGGAACGAGGAATTTCCATCCGGTGGCCACTTGAATCAACGGTATCACAGCAACGACAACGACAAATTTGATTAAATTTTCATCCACAAGAAAGTAACTGACAAGCAAGAATGCTGGGAGGTACAACAAGGCATTCATTTTGATTGAAATGGCCAAACTGAACAAATCACTTGCAATCACCGTCAACAAGAAACATATGGTCTTGCTAAAGTTATGGGCCATACTAGCCAGTTGAAGAAGTAAAATCACCCCAACCATACACGCGGTAGTCCAACAGTCGTTAAACAACCGCAACACGTAGATGGAAAACAATCGTTTACTCAACACTAACAAGTACATGGGCCATGGAGGCACATCACCACATAGTTCGTAAATGGCACATACGATCAGCAAAGTAAACACAAACAAGTACCCGAATATGCTCTGGGCCGTGGCGATATCTTTCCCATCATCGGTCAACCAGTTTATCCATTGGTAGATTTGGACATGGCCGGCTGGATACACCAATGGACCAGTATCGCCGTAGATTTCCTCGTACACGATTTCTCCTTCATTGACTAGTCTAATCTGTTGCATATATGTCAGGAAGTCAATCTCGGTGTAGTTTACATTTGCAATTATGAGTTTGACCACGACTGAGCTGAGGGACACGATTATGGGGATGATTACTCGACGGACGTCTGGATGGGTGATCAATGACGAGAGGCCGTAGTAGATGTCGGCTAGCACGTTGCCGAGGGTTAGTTGGGGACGTTCCTGTTCCTGTCTCTGTTGTGGTTCCTCTGACGTCATTTGCGAGTTGTGGTCTAGTGGGGCTGGGCTGGTGGCTACAGAAGAAGAACTCTAACTTCGACACTCTTCGACTTGGACCGTAAACTTTTTGCTATTGGTGCTTTAATTTTGTATGCAGGATGCAACCATCATCATCACCTATAGACTCTAATGTATACGTATTACACGAATAACTACCTGTTAGAGTATACTGTGGCTGGTTTTCGTCTTTGCAAATACGTTACTATGTACTGATCTATGCAAAGTATTAATATACATCTTAATATACACATATATCTATCATCTATAACTCTTATAATTGGCTGTTGATATTTACCCTTTTTGCAGTCAAATGAAATTGGCATCACCTACTTCTTCCGCTTGCTCATGATTCTCAACACATCACGTCTCCTACGTTTACACATTCTCGAAATCTCACCACGATTATTCCAAAACCATTTCTCGTACTTGGTCTCTTCGCCTTCGCTCATATCTTCATCTTCCCCAGGCAAGACAATCTTATCATGAACCAGCCCGATCTTGTTTAGTTGAGATTGGGTAGACAAGAACGGAGAGTCCAAGTGGGGCCAGAACAATCCAAACTTGGTGGCTTTGACAGCGTATGTTTCTTGTTTGGCTTGGATTTGTTCGAGAATTTGCTGTTGCGTGGTTTCGTTAGGCAAGGCAGTAGTCTCTTCAATGTCGTCGTCAGAAAGTTCCAATTTGAATGTGGATTGGCTTGGCGCGTTGAATAACGAACGCAATGTGTCCAAGTTGTTGGTGTCTGGTGTTTCAGCGACTGCTGGCTCTTGCGGTCTGTCTTCTTCTGCCTCTGCTTCTGCTTCTTCCTCTGCCACTGGCTCGTACTTTTCTTCGGTTTCTCCTCTTGGAACACTCACTTGGTTTATAGCATCGAAATCAACATCATTCCCCTCGTCGTCTTCATCATAGTACACTTCTTCGACTGGAGCTGCCAATTCTCCTTCAACTGGCCCATCCATCACTTGTCGATTGACATATATTTCTTCCTCCTCCTCCTCTTCACTCACACCATCTTCACCTTCAATCTCAGCCGGCTTGGAAAAGTCAATCAGGGCCAATAACGACTTATTCCTATCGTGCTCTTCAACATCATCCACGGGTGCTTCCTCGCTAAACTTGTCCACCCGCTCAATCAATTCACCATCGCCGTTGATCCATTGTCCCAGCTCATACCTGAAACTCAACTCCTTCAATGGCTTCTTGTCAAATCCCCATAACTTGGTCTTGTAACATTTAATCAACTTCAACTCGTCGTTAATCAACAATCGCAAAGTCTGATGACGAATATCTTTTCTTGGAGTAGTTCTATGTCTGGCCTTTATGACCTCGCCTCTTCCGGAAATATTACTATAAGCTTTATCAAACGAGCTTCTGGCGTTCGTCCAGGCGCCATACGACTTTGAACCAACCAAGTTATGGCTTGGTGGTTTGTTCTTGGTGTTGGCGGACTTGTTTTCAAACGTGTGTGGAGAAACTGACCAAGAGCCAGTGACTAAAGGGGCAGTGCATATCTCGCCACTGGTGGTCTGTTTGTACTGGGTGTGTCCATCTGTGATCCTGGCTTGTCTTATTTGGCTGATTTTGTCCCGAGTGATACGTTCTTGTTTGGTGTGGTCGGGCTTGGATACTTGGTCGAGGTACGATGGTTTGGCAATGGACACACTGAGCTTACGGCCCATGAATGTGACCCCGTTGAGTTGTCCCTTGAGCTTGTCAAAGTTGGCCGAGGTGATGTCTAATGTGACGTAGGCGAAATAATGATCTGCTGTTGGTTTAGTGTGGAATGATAATGGTGTGACTACCTTTCCAAACTTTTCGAGTCTGGTAGTGAGGGAGTCCGGGTTGGACTGGAGGTTGGGGGATATGCTCCCTATGTGTATTCTCGTGGTCATACTGCCTGGCTGTGCTGGGTTTGTATCTTGTGCTAAGTGAAAATTTGAGATGAGAAGACTAAGAATTTTTTTGTGTGTGAGTCGAACCAGCGCAACTTTGGTCAACAAGGCTGGACCAGAACGGTGATGCCACTTGAACACACAATTCAAAGCAAATGGCATCAGCTTCACGAGTCATACGCCAAAGCTAATGGTTTGCCGCTTGATCAAGTAAGAAAAAATCCAATCCAGTTCAACCTATCCCAGGACATACCCACATTAAGCAACCTCATAGAGTCCCAGCCCAACAGCGCAGTCCTATCACAAGAACTCAAAGAACTCGTAATGAAATACTACTGGCTTGGTGTAACTACAGGATACGAACTAACAAACGACAATAAATAAAATCAATATATATATATGTATATGCGTATGTATACATATTGTACAGAATACACTATTACTTCTGATCGTTCCACATGTCACGTAAGCCCATAACCGAAGTAATAACCCCAGCTAAACCAACGTCACCCTCGGTGAAATGTAAAATACCCAACAAGTTGGAAGCAATAAACATATCCAACAAGTCCCACACCAACTTACGTTTAGCAGCACAGAGCTTGTTGTTGAGCGAAGTGGATTCAACCGCGGTCTTTTCCTCAGTGTTTCTGTTCAACGAGTAGATGATACGAAGCGAGTGCGCAACACCAGCAATTAAACTCAACAACCAGAACTTGGCACTGGTTCTAGCAACTGTAGGATACTTCTTCTTGTCGATTATACCCAACATCTTGAAAAACACAACCCCGTCCAAAGTCAAGTAACCAGCAAGAGCCAAGTTTCTCACCACAGTAGTCAACTGTAATATTGGGTCCAACAACTTGTTATCATACGCTTGAGCTGCGGTTTGGACGTGCTTTACTGGCTTGAAGAATCTCAATGCCTTACGAATGAACGACAACTGCGTCTTGAGACTGTTGTACATTTCCACCGTATCCCGCGAGTATCCTTTACGATAAGCATAGTATCCGAGGAATCTCAGGAGATAGGCAAACAATCTAAGGGTTTTTTCCCTTTGTGGGGTGCTGTCCAAGAACTTGGCTAACTTGGTAAGGGTAGGGTGGTAAACAAGAGTATCGGCAACCATATTTGTATTACTTTACTTACTTTCAAGAAAAGAAAATGTACGATTTTTATTCGTTGGGGGGTTTTTTTCTATTTTTTTTTTTGTTGTTTCTATTTAGCCTCGGATTTTTTGCGGGGGAAAAATGGAAAAATTTCGCATATGTTCTTCCGGGGTTAAAACCCAACCTGGCAAACAAAAAACAGACAGACAGACAGAATTTATTTTTCACAGGCGTATATCAATTACTCTTGTGCGTTGTTATCTTTAATATATACAATTTCGTCCTTAACAACGTCATAGCCCGAGATCGCCAAGTCGATATACTTTTGCTGCCATACATTTTGCTCCTCTTTGCTCATTGCATACCACTTCTCCATCAACTCTTTTCTAAGCTTTGCTCGGCATCTGACTGTCACCTTACTGTGCTCTTGGCAATACTGCTGATAATGCCATGCCCAATAATACCCTTTATACTTGAGTCTGGGAACACGTACTCCCTTCGCAGAAGATTCAACTCGGTCATTCGACACAAACTCGACATGCTCGAAATCAATACCTTTCTTTATTGGCACAATGTGGCACCCATAAACCTTATGCCCCAGGGCAAGCATCTGTTCGTATTTCTCCCGGTATGTCGCAAACTTGGTGTCTGGCAACTCATCCCATTGTCGTGAAAATTGTTTCGTAGTCAGAGCGCCTATTGGCTCGCCAGTTTCTTGATATCTGGTGGCAATGTAGAACCGTTTGAGTTGGTATGGAGACGCTGTGCCCAGAACCACCGGTTTGCCACGTTTGAAGCTGATTTTAACCCCATCATGCTCGAGATTAATGAAGCCAACCTTACCATTGTCAATGTATCTTCCTGTCAGTATCACATCGTATAGTTCGTCGCATATTTGCTTGTGTTCATGGTCCAGCTTGTTATCCCATTCAAGTTCAAATGGTGCGGCATCGGCGTTACCTGTGTCGACTAATCTCTTTTGAATATAGTATTTCTTGACATTATCGAAGGGGATTTCTCCATGGATTACAAAATGGTTATTACTATCAACTCCGAGCTTGATCCCGTCGATGGCAGATGTGTCTGTCTTGTCCTTATTTGTTCTCACAGGAATCTTCAACCCGGCAATCAAATCGTATCCAGAATGCAACAACTCAGTATACTCCTCCTTCAATGCATTCTGCTCCACCTGATCAAGCAAACTAAATTCGCGTTGCAACCTTGTTTTTCTTTCCTCGTATTCGGTCTCGTTACTCTCGTTCAAATGCTTATGAAGGTAATAGTTCATGGCGTAAAACTTAGTGATCTTCAGAATACTACGGATCTCACCATTCTTACCAAACTTGATCTTCAACTTGCCCTGCTTGAGGTTCCGTGGCGAGGACAGGCGCTTGGGTTTGGGATTGGCCTTGGGCTTGTCCACCTCTCCCTCTTTCTTCTGGGTGCGTTTCATTTCCATCTGAAACAAGTCCTCCAATTGCAGCTCAGACTCTTCTGGGACTTCCTTTTTCGAAAGATCGGCTATTATTTTTCTATTTTCATTACACCATTTGTCAATGTGCAGTTGAATGTGGTCTCTAGATGTATGTGGATCAAGCTGGGATAACTCCTGGTTGAGAAGATCGATGGAGGCTCGCGAATGATGCGGTTTTAAAGGGGCAGTGAACCAGCCACGTGAGGTGGGTATCCCTGCTAGCAATAGCATGGAATTATCGTTGGACTTATATTTGGCATGTGCCAGATATAGACGTCGTGCTTGGCGTGGTATTATTCGAAGCATGGTGGGTTGATGATCATCGTGAGTGGTTCTTTTTTTTTTTTTTGTTTCAAGAATTTGTTTTTTATAGTTGCAAAATTTAACAAGGGTGACCAAGAAATGTGGACATCCAAGAATGTATAGTTGTATCAAGGATCGTGTTTGTCCAGATGTGGACTAAATGAGGTGTTCTCAATCAATTAATCCTGAATAAATGCTCTAAGTAATTAAGTGTGTAATTTGTCAGTAGATTTTACTAATATTTCGCAGTAAATTTGAGGAAATGACTTGAGTTACATTAAATATCCCCGTTTAAACTAATTTAAAAACAAATATATCGCTATAGCATCCACTTAAACATGATCAACAAAAACCAAAGAAAACAGAAAAAATAATGAACTGGAACAGATCAGAGGGTGAAGATCCCACTTTATTTCCTAACGAAATCAAAGCTTTATCAGCCCACTAATTCCATACAATGATCAACACACAATGGTAGCACAACGAGCTGACAAATTCACGAGATTGACCAGCCTAGAAAAAGGCTAGGGTAAAATTCTAGCATTGAGAATCTAGTCTAATAAATTTACGCCAAATCCAAACATGACTTCTGAGGTAGACTCAATAAACACAATTATCTCTAGTTTAGCTTTTTTCAGTCGTGATATAACATAGGATGCTGTTGCCTTGAAGTAACTATGGTAAGTTTCCTTATGCGCTATATACGTGACAAGCCCGGGACCAGAGAATTGAATACTGAAAAAAAAATTAAGTTTTGCTAAAGCATGATAGAATACAAGGATAACTGGACCACAATGATAGATTTGTAATTACAATTGAAGAGCACCGAAATCGTAAGCAACGCAATAGCTTGGCCAAAACAAGAAGGTTTGTGACAGAAAGAATGTATGAAATTTCCCTGTGGTGGTCGTTGGTAGCGCAGACACACACTTACCTGAGTAGGACAAGGAAGAAAGGTGGTTCAACAGCGCTTGAAATGTATTTGAAATAGATTACTTGTATAAAGTTATGCATAATAATGAATTCACGGAGAGGAGACCAATATTTTAAGTATGCCTTAAAGTGCAGGTGGCAATACCAAATATTGTAAATAAAAGATTGCTGTAACATTCCAAAAATTTTGGCTGTCAAAATATAAGCTCGTTGCACTTGCCACTTGATTTACCCCTTGATATTTATTCTAGTTTCTTTTCAAGAAGATAAAATGGAGGAAATATTAACTACTACACAACCATCAAATAAAAGTCAAGAGAATCTTCAGACTAAGTTTGGTGAACTATCTGTTAAGGATGTAGATCAACACACCGATTTTGAAATGAAGGAGAATGTACAGGAGCACCACCATGAACAAACAGGAATTGACAGCAGGAATAATTTAGAACTGAGTGACCATCAACAGGTTGCTGATAGTACGGATGATGGAAATGACCAAAGCTATGCAAAGAGCGCCACTGGTTCTAGTGCTATTGGAGATAAAGCTGTTGTTTTGAACCAGGTTGATTTTTTTTTCACCAGAAATGATCAAGTAAAGCTTGATGATGCATTGTATATCGGTGGTTGCAGGTATATATGTGCCAACCCTGATCCCAAGGGGTTTGGATATGTGAGATCGTATCTGTACAAGATCCAGGAATTTCCAGGTATTTTCATCTTAAAGATGATTAATGTCCAGCCTAATGAACTAGAGAAGAAAAAACTTGCTGATGGAGACCCAAAGATAGTAATGCCTACTTGTAGCACTTGTGGAAGGTGGTTCCCAAAGGCGTCCACTTGTTTACAGCACGTTATACTCCATACATTCTGCAAAGTTCAAAAGTTAGAAGAACTCACACAAGAGAGATTAGACAGCTACTGGACAAAGACAGAAACTTGGTTTAATTGCATAGTTGGCGATTGCACAGAAGACCACGATGAACTCGCACAAGCGCGTTGGCATGCACTTAGTCATGCAGATCCAGGTAGTAAAATTCGAAACTTGATTCCAGTTCCAAAGCCAGAATTCTTCATGAAGAAAATAAATGATTTGATCCACTGTATTGGTTGCAATCGAGTGTTTGAGTCATCTCGAGATTTTGAGAACCATTATCTCATTCATTTAGGTGATTTTCCATTTGCTTGTAAAGTTTGTTATAAGCCGTTCAACCAGAAAAGTAAGTTGGTTTACCATTTCTGCTATGAATGTAATGAACGCAAGAAGAAACAAAATTTGGAGCCATCCAAGTAGAACCCATTTTCTAAAGATTGGCATCAAATAGCACGTAGAGTCAGGATTATATGAATACCATTTTAGCAAATAGAAGATAGACAATAGTAAAATTTATTTTCGAGCCATACTAGTTGCTGAATATGTAGAAAATCCCGGAATGGTACCGATTTCTTGTACATTTGGAACAGGTTATTATTTTACACCCAGGGTTTGACGAATTGGACAGGGAAAAACAGTATGACGTAATACTAACGCTCATAACCGTGGTATCGAATGATTACTCCAATATTATAACTTTAGTAACCTGCAGTAACCAACGGGGCTAGCGGGGCTAGCGGGACTAGCGGGACCAGTGCCGCAGCACCACTTACTAACTGGCGGTGCCAAGATCTTATCGGCGGAGTCCCTCCGATCTGACTGCATTAAAAATAATCTAGTCATCACTGACTAATCAAAAATGAAATTTGTGATCCCTACATATATGCGTTTGCTAAAAATACCAAAGCTCATGATTGATGATGCAGAACCCCGGGGGGAGGTCATGAGTTGCCTGTATTTGGTAGCATAAGCTTTTCTTTTTTTATTTTTTTGTGTGTGGTTTTTATTTTGACCGCTGGAAGGGTCCGTCGATGTTGAGGTATGAATAACCGATTCGGCAAACGAGCCACATTAACTGGTGATTTTCAAACGTCAGGACAGTTGAATACGCTTGGCTACACATGTGCGAATGTTATTTGTGTCTGTTAGACCATGCAGTGATGTGACATACGATGAGATGCACTATACATCATTCATTTCATTGTTGTAGAAATAGCCGCGGCTTGAAAATAGACCACTTTTTAGACAAGACTCGGATAAACTATATTTTATTTTTTTAGAGAAACTGGTAGCATCGCCCGCAGCGGAACTCTTTTCTTTTTCTTTTTTTTTTTGTTAATTTTTTTTTTTGGTTTTTCTTTTTTGTCACAATTTCAATTGGAGTCTATCAAAAAAGATTACCCCTTATACATCACTCTATATATATTAACACATCACCACCAAGGAGACCAAAAGAATCAAGATGATGAGGCCTAATTCTCCTATATTTCCTCCCCAGCAACTAAGTATAAACTCACCCATGTCGCAGCTAGATCAGGATCTAGATTCGCCAGGTGCACGTCCAGCATCCCCAGCCTTGTTACCACCCCTACCTGACAAACCCACCTGTTCTACATCGTCAATTCAAGTATACATCATACCCACAGAGCAAAACTTATTTGTTGAAGGGTTCGACGCTCAGGAGTATGGGTCCCGACCTCCTACTTTGCTTAGGGGGTGTTTGTATGTGCGAGTGTTGAAACCAACCAAGATCAAAAGCATAACACTTCTGTTTAAAGGAGTACAACGCACGGAATGGCCGGAGGGTATCCCGCCCAAGAAGCAGCTATATGCTGAGATCAACGACGTAATCAGTCATACGTGGCCGTTCTTTACCGGCACCAACAATACGATCAACAACGGCGCCGACTATTTTGTCGAGTTGAACAACCACAGACGATACCTCCTGGCCAGTTTTAACGATTTGAAAAGATTGAATACGAATTCTTCCGACTCTTCATTGTCATCTGCCTCAGTAGCAGATACAACCGCCAGCTCCACTGTGGTGAACTTTTTATCACGGAACTTGTCGCCTAGTTTTATAAGAAGAGGCAAGTCACCATCGGTCAGTTCCATGGATATGCCGGATTTATCTTCAGTGATATCACCCGGGTCGGTCAACGATGCGAATGGACCAACCACTTTTGCTCCTGGTGATTACATCTACAACTTCGAACACCCATTACCACCCCTGATTCCTGAGACCACCAATGTCACATTTGGAAGCACAAACTACAACATGGAAGTGTCTATCATCCGCGCGGGTGCATTCAAGCTGAACTTATCAGGAAAACTCCCCATCAATATCGTGAGAACTCCAGCTGAACTGAATATGGAAGAGAATGAGTCGATTGTGATTACCCGAGACTGGGAAGACCAATTACGGTATGATATTGTCATTGGCTCCAAGTCGATTGTATTGGACTCGTACTTGCCCTTGGCTTTCAGGTTTGTTCCCTTATGGGGGAAAGTGTCTTTGCATAGAATCAGAGTTTACTTGAGTGAAAATCTTGAATATTTCTGTTCCAATAAACGAGTCCATCGCATGGAACCACCCAAGAAGTTTCTCCTTTTAGAACATAAAGCCAAGAAAGGAAGGTCATTACTTTCATCTCGACCCGTCAATGACGACGATGATGCAGAAGACGAAGAGGAGGATAACTTTGATGAAGATATCTTACCTAAAGAGTTGGAATTCCAATTGTACGTTCCACACGACTTGAACAATAGATATTCCGCCAAGATCCACCCAGACACATCGTATGAAAACATTCAAGCACACCACTGGATCAAGATCTGTCTCCGTATTTCCAAACCTGACCCAAACAACCCCGAGAAACGTAAGCATTATGAAATCTCCATTGATTCACCCATGCATGTCCTTTCACCTCTTGCTGCCCATACCAACACCTTGCTTCCTGCTTATGACGACTTTATCCCTCAATTGTCTTCCGAACCGTTATCACCAGGTGTGATTCCTGTTGATGGCACTGCTACCCCAGAAATCGAATTCCATCACATCAGTACCACCACAGATTTGGACGGGGTGGCCAGGGATGCCGATATGCACTTGCTGGCAAACTTGTACCATCCTACGCCGGATGAAGCCACTATTCGCGCCATGAATTCACCCCAAGCGGTACCACACCCGAACATATACTCGTCCCCCTTGGTGCGTCCCATTCACATCTTGCGTAAACCCAGTGTCAATCCACCACCATTTGACGCAGACATTTCTCCACCAGGGATAGACCATCATGTAATGAATGCATTTCCGCCAGCATACGACATGCATGTGTTGGATGACGATATTTCGCCAATCAGAGAGGGCAATCTTGCACCAATTAGGGAACTGTTGGCAAGAAGTGTTGCTGGACAAGTTGATCCTGTGGCTACTAATGGAGCCGCCATGAGTCCAATCAGAGAGCAGTTGACGAGAAGTATCGCTCAGACGCATAGATCTGGATCATACCAGCTGCAGAATTCAAGTTCTTCGGGTAGTTCTCAAGGTAGTTCGATTGTTATTAATGTTCCACATAATCCAAGACCGCAAGTAGCAACTACAGGAAATGATGAATTTGCACAAGACTCAACTGCTAATGGCACGCCTCAAGTGATTGAAACTCCCAGCACACCACAAACCGAGGCTGTTGAAGAGCCAGCTAGATCAACCCCACAAATCATACTCAATAATTCAGAAGATATAACCGATCACCCAAGGTCGCCAATCTTGCCACCACTCTCACCAGCAACTTCCCAAGTTCATGATATCGAAGAAGCAACTAGATCACCCTTGCTTGATCCAGAAGAACACGATATAACCGACGATCCACAATCGCCCATTATCCCACCACACAGATTATCGTCACCCACCACGTCGAGAAACTCGTCATTTGACATTCCGTTGGATCAAACCATGCCGTTGTTGGACCTTTCCAACAGTAATGAGCAACCACCACCAGAGACTCGAGGATCGGTCACGTCGTCTATTTTTGACTTGAGTTATCGGCATCCCCAGCCAACCAAATTGATTGGGTTCATTGATGAAGAGAGCTCGCACGAGTTTCATGAAATGAATCATAGCTTGCATCAATTGAGGAATCCACGGATATCTAGACATTACCAGGAAGAGCAAGAGGAGGAAGATAGAATTGTGCCGCAGGATAGCACGAGGGAAAGATCGGTTGATAGTGATAAGGATGTGACAAATGAGATTCCGGGGTTCAAGATTGGTTTTGTCATTGGTGATCAATAAATAAAAACTACTATAGCATACGGAACACTGGCTATGATTCCTAGATATGACATTATATAATACTTTGCATTACCCTTCTTTTTTGTAACTACATTAAATATGAAAATTTCGCAGCAATAAATATATAATTTGCAACTAACCTACTTTCTCTTCTTGTCAAGTACATGACCTTCGGCATCTTGTTCCAAGTCACCTAACCATTCATACAAGACACCCAAGTCTCTCTTGGCAATGTCATCACGTTCGCAAGCCTTGTCATACCAATATCTTCCGATGTCACCGAGGAACAAAAATCTATTCTGATACTTGGCACAATCAGTAGCTAACACCACATCCTTTCTAGTCAACTTAGTAATGAATCCACCTTGGAAGTTGGATTCACAGGGAAGCTTATTTTCAGGGTATACACCAGAAATAGGACAATTGTCTACACTTGCCCAGGACTTACCGGTACTCACGGCAATTAACTTGGCATAACTTTGCAAGTTTAACCCGAACGACTTGGCAAGCTGGAATGAGTCAGCTGTGGCAAGGTTGGTGATGGCAAGCAAGTAGTTATTAGCGAGTTTTGCGGCAAGACCAGTACCATGTTCATGACCACATGGGAAAATGTTAGCACCCATTTTTAAGAGCAAGTTGGTCAAGTTGGGCGCCATACTTTCGTGGTTGGGACGCGAGAGCATAAACGAGAGGGTTCCATTTCTTGCACCTTTGACACCACCAGATACCGGAGCATCGATAAAGTCGAAATTGGGGATTTCCTTGTGAACAAACTCGTGCACTTCTTTTGAAGTGGGGATGTCAATGGTTGACGAGTCGATAATGGTGGTCAAGTGTTGCGAATAGTCCTTGCCTGACTTCTTGTAGCTTTCAACCAACCCATTAACTATACATTTAACATGTCTACCCTCGGGGACCATAGTGATAATGAAATCCAACTGGGAATCAACATCAGTGACAAACGATTCAAGCGTAGGTAATGGCTTCAATTGGGATGCATTTTGCGGCGTAATCTTGGTGACATCGGCAATAAACTTGGTAGTAGCTTCAGGAACAGTGTCATGAACATACAATTTATCAGTTGGTTCCAACTTGTTGTAAATGTGTCTGGCCATGTGTTGACCCATTTGTCCAAGTCCAATGAATCCGTAATTGGTTAATCTGATGGGGGTGTTTGATAAAAAGCGAACTTGTCTTAACATGATGTGTTTTGTTGAGAGTAGCAAGAAAGGGAATTTTGTATTTTAGAAAAAAAAATAGTTTGGGGGAACAATCGAGTTTATATAATTCGAGGGAGGCGTCGTACGGGGTTGACCCCACTTGATTTACATCCGGTTGGGTATTGATGGAGTTTACCGGGGGGTGGAGGACCAATTTTCGCGGGGTAATTCTAAATTTCAACGGTGTTATATAAATATATACATATATGCCATCTACATTCCGCTAACAATAGCAATAACTAATAATATTGCACGGCATGCTGCCAACTACACCGGTACCTCACCTCTGTTCCTTCCATGGAAATGTGAAATAGCCATGGAAACAAACATTTGCAAATGCGGAGTAACATTTTTTTTTAGTGCCTTTCTCACCTTCCTAATTGGGAATACCCGATAACGCGCGCGCTTCCCTTCAATAACCGATCGGTATAAACATCATCTATTATCTATACAGTTCCGTCGATACACTCACCGATCCAGTCACTTATATCATCATCGAGGACGTATCCAGCCACGTTACTTCCGGTGTATTCTAGTTCATTCTCACTAATATACTTTTCAAGATACTTGAATTTTTCTCGGATCTCATCGCTGTCAGTGGTCAATTCATACTTTTCAATAATCGCCAGTTTATGTACGTGAAACTTGATGGTGAAGTTATGACTCTTGTTTGTCAATTCATGGGTAAACTTTGGAGTCTTGCCAAACTTCCACTGCCATGACCGCAATTCATCAGCAGTATCTTGTATTTGTTGCGGCAAGTCTGTGTCATTATTAACTTCGACTACCTTGACCGACTCATCTAACCCATATTCGTGTTCAAATTGTTGGGAAACACTTTGAATAAATGCACTGGATTCAATTTCCAAGTTTGTCACCTTAGACTTGACCGATGCAACACTGTTCATGGCATCCACCACTCCCAACTTGTCACTTCTCGATAATAGCTTGCTCAACACTTTCAAGTTCAGATTGAGCAACATGGTACCGTGATGGTACGACTTTCCCTTGGATAACTTGTACGCTGATCCACTGACTTTAAACCCATCTGTAGTTACGATATCACCTCTCTCATTAACCTGTACTTGTTTCCCGTTGCAGCCATTAACACCTTTGGAGACTGCATGGGCGAATGTGAACCGATCAAACTTTTCTTTGGTGGTCATAAATGAGAAATTGACATTACCTAGGTCGTGAACCACTGTTCCTCCACCACTATATCTTCTTAACAAGGGAATTCCAAGCATGTTGAGCAAGGGCAAGTTGACCTCTTTCCAGGGGTTTTGGTTCTTGCCCACGACAACACAGGGCGAGTTCACATAGAACAAGAGTCTATTGGTGTTGTTGGCTGCGGGTTTGGGCATCTGGTTGTAAATGTGCTGTTCCAAGGCCAAGTTCATGTACGGATCTGTCAATTTTGAATTGAATATCACTGGTTCGTCGAGAACAGTATAGTCTTCAAACGTGAGAAGTTTTGATTTGTGGGCTAGCACAGATGGTGATTCTTGATAATGTTGAAAGTCACCCAAGTTGAAGTCGTCCAATTCGGCTGGAGTTAAGTCATCTTGGAAGGGAACGTTGATGTTGTGGATGTATCTTCGTGCTATTGCTGGTCTTAGTATTCGTAACATCTTGATGGATCAAACTGGTTGAAAAATAGTTGGCGAAATTTTTTTCCCTCATAGTTTAATATACATCATCACCATCACCATCACTATCATCATCATCTCTACCAACATCACCATCACCACTACCACGATGAACAGCAACGAACTTGAGAAACACCTTCTTACCAGATGTTATGATTCCCAGAATCGAATAGTGGAGCTTCTAGAACAAAGATACGCCACTAACGGAGATCAAAAGTCGTCTATAGTGTTCACTAAGTCTGAGTCTACCACCACAGCCAAGCTATTCTCCAATGACACACCCACCATAAGCAGAGCCCGACTTCAAACCACCAGGAAATCTCTCAAGGCATACATATCAAGTACCCTCGCAAACCAACGCAAACTTAACAAACGAATAAAACAATACAAGCGAAAGTCTCACACCACCAGTCCATTCCCAAGGGACAAACTCATTGAAGAACATCGCATCCCACAAATCACCCAGTTCATCCACATGAATAAACTCTGGCAAAAGTATATGCAAGACTTGCTCTTTCCCAATGGCCAAATACAAGCTTTACCCAACATATTACCCAAGTTGTCGTCGGCAGATTTCAATGGATGTTTGGTAAAAGTTGTTCAGTCGAGGAATAGAAACTGTGTCGGCATGCAGGGGATTGTGGTGTGGGATGCCCAGCATTCATTTGTGGTTTGTGTGCCTGGGACTGATGAAGACATTGGTGGGTTTAAAGTCATACCTAAACAGCATACCTTGTTTGCATTTGACTTGATATTGCCTAGTAAGGAAGAACAGGAAGAGGAAGAGTGTATACCATTTACAATTATAGGTTCACGGTTCGAAGTACGGTCCGTAGATCGTTCTGGTAAAAAGTTCAAGAATCATTCCATTGACGATATTCTATAGACGTTGCTTTAGTTTATTTAATTGTAATTGTAACAATTCATGTTGTGGTAGTTTTTCTATAAGTGAGTCAATCTGACTTGCCACCTTTTCCTTCTCTTGTTCGTCTAGATTGCCTTTAATGTTGAGTAACTGGTTAACTTCGTCCAACACTTTACTGGAAGTGACTTCTTGAGGAACGTCAAGTATCTCCTCAAACGGTCTATTGAACATTTTCGTGTCCTCACTATTGATGAAATCATGCAAGTCAGACAACACGTCATCCATAAACTTTTCTTTACTTTCTTGTTTCTCTTCGTATATTCCCAACCCATTGACTTCATTATGCATGCCTTTAGACAAGTCCGACAACGTTTCGCTCAATTTAATAAGTTCATAATAGTTGTCATAAATGATTGACTTCTTGGCCAGATCTTGACTGTTTAACGTATGGGTAATCCTATTCCTCAACTTGAGGATGTCATTAATGGAGGAATTTTGGATTATATTGTTGAGTTCCTCAGGTGACGGAAGTGAATCCGGGTCGGATTTCTTGGTAGTTGGTTCATCACTGGATATGTTGTAGAAATCTTGTAAGGCCCGACGTCGACTCAGAACTTTTCTTGCACCAGCGTGGTGTTTGACTTTTGGTGAAGCTGATTGTGATTGTGGGTTAGGTGAAGATGCTGGGACTGCAGGAGATGCCGGTGATTCCCGTGATGATGGGCGTTTATACGAGAGAATTGGTTCTGACATCGTTGTCTTGTCTAATGTACAAAGTGTATGTTTATTTTTTTTAGGAGGTTCGTGCGATTTATATCTACTGGTGGGTCCAACTATCTAAATATGCTAAATCTTCAGTCTCCTCTACAGTTTGGTAATGATCAAATATGCTGAATGAAGTGACTACAGCTTTGCGTGTAGCTTCACTAACTCCACTTCCCTGTTCCAAGTACCCACGGCCAAACCCGGCTTCAATTACACTTTGCCAAGTAGCTTTATATGTATCGGTAGTATGGCTCACCAACTCCAACTTGTCATCGAATATCAATACGTCACACAATGACCTGATATCGTTGAGTCCCAACTCTATATTCGTGATCTTGTTGACACTGATAAACTCCATTATTTGGTCCAAATCAACAAACCCGGTATGGGTAGCCGGATATGTCGCCTGAATAGGGTTGACGTTATTAGTAGGCTGTTGAAAAGCACTAGGGAATGTCTTTGAAGCAGCAAATCTCCAAATGACAGTAACCAACGAATCAATGAACTCGGTATCCAATTCGGAATCAGTAAACCACGGACCACCCGTGATTTCGATAGACGGCTGGAGGTTGTATAACATGTAGATTTTTCTGGTTGGATGTTTCACCGACTTGATGGACTTGATGTATCGTTGTCCTTCCAATGATTTCAAACACTTGGCCACGACGTGCTGGTGCAAGTTTGTCCTTGCTTTAATGGTCTTGGTCCATATACCTTCTCTGCCTGAGGCTTCAATGTATGAATACACCATGGCTTCTTCGTCGGTCATCTGGGTGATTTTCAGCGCTTCGGTGACTGACACAGCTTGGAACTTGAGCTCTTCGCCTTGTTTGACTAACTTCACCAACTTGCTGTTGATTAACTCTTGGGCGATGCTCAAGAGCTCCACGGGTTTGGTGATGTGTACTAAATCCTGTAATTCCTGTTGGTTAAAGAGAGTGGATGTGGGCGACTCGCTCATTTTGCCGTGAAGCAAAAGAGCCTTCTCTGATAGCTGGACCGACATGATGCTGTGGTTCTATATACAAAGTTTGTTGGTTGTTATAAAGCTTCTGAGATGATCCGTAATTTTTTTTTTTAAAGTCTATGCGAAAAAGAACATATTCAAAGGTAAACACACCAAATGAAAGTAAGGCTGACATGAGCAATACATCTAAGGTAACATTCAAGAAGGCACCCTTCAAGAAGAAACCAACACATGCTAAATCAAGAATAAAACTTTCTTTTGAACAAGATGAAGATTCCGAAGAAGATACACCACCAATTGTTACTAAACACACAGTATCATTTATAAATAAATCCAACCGTGCAACAGTAGAACCACCTAAACCACGACCCACAGATCTATCCAAATACAAGAAACAGTTTGAGCCACTATCTGAAGCAGTTATACTAAATGCTGATGATCTAGAAGAACTTGATGAAGACCCACTGCCGTCGTCTCCACCACTACCACCACCACAACCACCTAAAAAGTATGTGCCTAAACTAGCAGAGTATGAAGATGAAAACACCTCACTTCGAAAACTAGCCATGGATGTAGGCACAGAATACGATGATGGATTCAACTATGATGATGGAACAGAAAAGCAGAAAGACAACGTTCCAGTTGTAGATGACTACGACTATGATAATGATATAGATATCGAAGAGGAGACAGGTCCTATTGCCATGACATCAACGAACTTTAAGCTCAATCAAGACAAGTACGATTTGGAGATTATTTCTGATCAGGAATCAGAAGACACTTCCAAGAAAGTTGAACCCGTGAAGATACTAACGTTGCAACAACACATGCAAAACTTGATTGAGTCCATGACAAATCTAGAAATTGAGAAACAACAAGTGGAACAGGATATAGCTAGGGTTAAACAGCAACAGGAAGAGGTAATCACACGCAAACAAAAGTTGTTTCAAAAGTTGGGTACTTGGTAATGTCATTTCGTTTTCTCGCTGCCTCTTTCTCTCTCGGTATTCTCCAGTCACAATGACATTTTGAATATCAGGTGGTAATCAAGTCATTAATCAGTGGCATTTACCACTTGAAGTTAAGGTTATTGGGATCAGAGTGTCCTTGGAAATGTAAATGAGAAACCGTGGCTATTTCTTATTTTACCCAGACTCTAAATTGCTTCAATCAACTATTTATTAATATAAAATTTACTTGTATTACTACATGAACTTATCATGTATAGCCTGTTTCTACCTCTAACGCATCTTTGGCGTGGTGCGCAATCAATTGGTAGCGACAACAAAAATCCTAGGTCGTGCAAATCTCAAGTTTACCCAGTATAAAAACAGTATGGATGCAAATTTCTCTTATATTAACCGCTTAGTTCTTTTTCATACACTACAGTTTATCCTACATGCAATAACTTCCAATGGATCAAGTTCAAAAACAACTTTGTGATGCAAAGCTCAAACTCAACGCCTTACACAAGCAGCACACTGAATTAGTTGTTGAAACTAACAAGATCAAGCAACAAGTGACTGCATTGAAGAAGAATCATCGTAAATTCTTGAGAAGCCTTTCAAAACGTACTTGCAATTCAAGAAAGAAGAAAAAAGGGAAGCGCAAACATCTGAACCTGAATTTGACCAATGCTTTAATTAAAGTTGAACCTGTTGATGCTGCAACTTGTTGTGCCGCTGAAGTAACTACTAAACCAAAAGATGAAATGAACCTTAAAATGGATATCTCAGTGAAGCTTGAGAATGATGGCTGTAACGTTACATATGATGTTGGCAAATTACTCTAGGGTGTCGTGTGCTGGTTATATTAATTCTTTTGTATTGTCGCTAGTTGCTGGATAAGTTTAGTTTACCATTGGGTTTTAGAGCTCTGTTCGGTTTATTTAGTTTTTATATGTTAATTACAGATTTTTGGTATTGGAAATATTCACCATAGTCAAAGTATACCGTTGGCATATTTTATGCAAGCTACAATCACCTCTCCCCAATCTGAATGCTTCTTTGGTAGCGCTACTACTGGTTATACTCAGAGTTTATTATATTTCACAGGCTATTAGAATTATAATTCGCTTCAATTGGCTCACAGTTTACTGCTCAACTGACTCATGCGGTATTGTTATGACAATGGAGGGCCATGGTGACGTAAGTGAAAAATTTCACCGGATAAATAAGTCCGGAGTTTGAATTTTTTCGGCTCGAGCTGAAAATTACACGGCATTTTCCAGCGATGCCAGCGTAAATCTGAGTACATCATATTAGATCTTGTACCGCGGTTAGCACTCTCATCCAATTACCGCATTCGTCTGACTCATATCAAGTAAAAAATTTTCCCACTATATAAAAACACCAGTTTTCCTTTTGTTATATTTTTCAGATCATACTTCTTCTTCTCATCAGTGTTTTATATTACCTGCTTTACTTATGATGGCTGTCAGATCCGTTACTTCTAAGATTTCCTCTACATTAAAACCTCGTCATTTGGTGAGCATCTCCCAATTAACCAATGATGAATTCAGCTCCCTTGTTAATAAAGCCCAACATTTCAAACAGATTGTGAAATCGGGTGAAACCAGTGTGGAAAATCACCAAAAGTTATTGGGCAAGTTAGTTGCCTTGTTGTTCAGCAAGAGATCCACCAGAACCAGAATAAGTACCGAGGGTGCTGCTGCTTTCTTTGGTGCCCAACCCATGTTTTTAGGTAAGGATGACATTCAACTTGGTGTTAACGAATCCATGTACGATACTACTAGAGTTATTAGTTCCATGACTTCCTGTATCTTTGCTAGAGTCAACAGACATCAAGATATCTTGGACTTGTGTAAAGACTCCTCGGTGCCTATCATCAACTCCTTATGTGACAAATATCACCCATTACAAGCAATCGCAGACTTGTTAACTATTAAGGAAGTATTTGGAGAAACCAAGGGTTTGAAGTTGACCTGGATCGGTGATGCCAACAACGTCATTAACGATTTAGCCATTGCTTGTCTTAAATTGGGAATAAACGTGTCTGTTTCCATTCCAAAGGATATCAAGTTCGACACCGATGTCCAACAAGTTGCTGAAGAATTAGCCAAGGAACAAGACTTGTCATTTGAAATTGTCAACGACCCAATCGTCGCTTTGAAGAATGCCAATGTTATAGTGACCGACACCTGGATCTCCATGGGAGAAGAAGAACAAAAACAACAAAAGTTACAACAATTTGCTGGTTATCAAATCACCAAGTCTATGATTGAAAAGGGACAAGCTGCTTCCAACTGGCAATTCATGCATTGTTTGCCTAGACACCATGAAGAAGTTGACGATGAAGTTTTTTATAGTGACAAGTCGGTGGTTTTCCAAGAAGCTGAGAATAGATTATATGCAGCCATGGCTGTTATTGATGGATTTGTTATCAACAAGGGTAAATTGGCTTAATTAATGATTGTAAATAATGACATATTTAACTAAAACTATCTTTGTAGTTCTGAATATCCATGGATGAAGACCATTTCTCGGTCCCCTGGTCGCATAACAATTCCCAAAATGGTAACACGCGCCACCACAGCTTGCGCGCGAACAATGAAATTTTTAACCCGCTAAACCACACCGGCAACAACCACCCTGCCACCACCCCCCGCTCCCGCAAGCCTCTCGCTATAAATACGGTGATCTATCCAAGTTCTTCCTCCAATTTTGAGCAATTGAACTAAGTACGATCATGTCTGCTACTGTTTTCGTTTCTGGTGCCACTGGATTCATCGCCCAACACGTCGTCAAGACCCTCTTATCATCAAACTACAAAGTTATTGGATCGGTCAGATCAACAACCAAGGGAGACCACTTGAAATCTTTGCTCAATTCCCCCAACTTCTCTTACGAAATCGTAGAAGATGTTGAAAAGGAAGGTGCATTCGACCAGGCTTTGCAAAAACACCCTGAAGTCACTGTATTCTTACACACTGCCTCCCCTTTCCATTTCAAAGCTACTGATATCGAAAAGGAATTGTTATTGCCTGCTGTAAACGGAACTAAGAACGCATTGAATGCTATCCACAAGTATGGTAGCAATGTCTCTCGTGTGGTTATCACTTCCTCTTATGCAGCTATTTCTACGGCTAGCAAGGAAGTTGACCCTAATGTGGTTGTCACGGAACAATCCTGGAATGAAATTTCATGGGAAGACGCCAAAAAGGATCCAGTTTCTGGTTACAGAGGATCCAAGACCTTTGCAGAAAAGGCAGCCTGGGAATTTGTTAAGGAACACAACCCAAAGTTTGTTGTAAGCACCATTAACCCATCATTTGTGTTTGGTCCACAAGCATATGATTCCGAAGTCAAGGACTCATTAAATACCTCGTCTGAATTTATCAATGCCATTTTGAAGAATGGTCCTGATGCTACAATTGCACCAACCCGTGGTGGTTTCGTTGATGTTAGAGACGTGGCCAAGGCTCATTTGGTTGCGTTTGAAAAGGAAGAAGCCAAGAACCAGAGATTGATTTTGAATGCAGGAAGATTCACCCTTCAATCAATTATTGACATCTTGAATGAAAATATTCCTGAGTTGAAGGGTAAGATCCCAGTGGGTGAACCAGGGACCGATAAGGCTGCTATTGCTGGCTTGTCCACCATTGACAATTCCAAGAGTCTTGCAATTTTGGGATTTGAATTGATTGACTTAAAAAAGTCAGTTGTTGATTCAGTTCAGCAAATTTTACAAGCTAGAAAATGACTAGCAAAATTTTAGGATAGAGTTTGTATGGAAGTAATGTTTATCGTTCTTATAAACAGCATTTTCTATGACATGTTTACCGATTGTAATGATGGTTAAAATAGTGCTTCAAACATGATTGAAGTTATTCACCTTATCAAGTAGATTTTATATTCTTACAAAATAAAGTAAATGTTGTGGGATAGACATAGATTTAGTTGGTTCTTGATAAGGGTTTTTGATTACAACTTCTTTGGCCAAGAATATTCGAATCTACAAATGCTATATTCATTACTAAAAGTGAAGCAAATAACATGATAAATAGCAATTCTAGGGATGATCGTCGAGAACATAACCCTTACAAGATCATTACCGTTAATATATCTGAAATGTATAAATTTACTAAAGAATATGGAAAAGCAATTTATGGCTTATCTTCTCTGTCATCTTCCTTTTGTTGTTGGGTCTTCCAGACACCGGCAAACTTGTGACTGATATATGCTAATGGATCTTCTTCTGGCTTTTGGTCAGCACGCATGGAATTGATTGGCAAGACCATAATGTCACTCAAAATAAATGGAAGTCTAATATTTTCCAAATACTTGTAGTCAATAATGGTTTCAAAGTGATCAAAATCAGTTTGAAGAACATTGTTCAAATACTTGAAAGTCAAGTCAGTAAATCTACCTGGACCAGTCCAATCAAGAACATTATCACCAACACTCTTGAAAATAGCATTTAATTGACCGGTTTTTTCTCTCCATAAGGTGTGTTCAGTGATTTGATTAATCATTTCAGCAATCATAGGATGTCCCTTCTTGGAAAGAATAGTCCAGTTATTAATTCTAGCACCAACATCATTTTCAATACCAACAATGATTCCTGGGTCAAGAGGTCTGTTCAAGTATGTAGTTTGGTTAGTGATCCAAATGTCCATTGGTTTCCATAAAATGGTGTCCAAATCGGAATAAATACCACCATACAAGTATAAAAGCAAGTATCTTGAGAAATCACATTTAAGAATGGTTTGAGGTAAGATATTGTATGCATGGAGAACTTCTGGGATATCAGCGTATAATTCATTTACTAACTTATCGTACTCGGCATTAGTTCTAAAAATGTGTTCGTAATTAGGACTGTTATCAAGCCAAGTTTGATGATACTTTCTGTATTCAGCTGGGAATTCAGGGTGTTCAAGTGGAACTTTCCACATTTGCCAGACCTTTTTAGGAATAGGTTCACTAGGGTCATAGGTGACTTTATTGTGTAATTGTTTAAGCACAGTTGTATTGTAAGGAATACGACCTGGATTTGATGGCTGCAAATTAAATCCAGTTAATCTATATAATGGTTGTTCTTGAATTTCTTTAAGGAACTGTTCCTTTGGTGAGACTGCTTGGGAGTATGACTTTGCTGACACATTTGGTAATTCACCACCAAAATGGAATGCAAAAACGTAAAAGAATAATATAGCACCTGATACAACTGCCAATATTCTGGTGTTTCTAGGACCTATTTGGCCAACTGTTTGCAAAAATTTAACCATATCCACTATGTGGTTTTTTTTTTTTTCAACGAGAGTAAGATGATTAAGCTTTTGGTGGTACTTCTACCAAGACAAAAATGGAAACAACCTTTCCTTTATGTATTAATCACTTGACCCGTTTAAAGTAGCCCCACGTGTATGGTTAGAGGCAAAAAAAAAAAGATACAAGACTATTGTTAGCTAGGGCAGAATAAACTGCTGCCAAAAAAATATAACACATTTCACTGTCCATTGTTGGCCGCTAATGATTAGAGTATTTTTTTTTGCGGATGAGGTAAAATACCTAGAATATTCATGAGTGGTTTCTCCCTGTTCTATATTTAGTTTGTGTCAAGCAGCCCGTACGTCTCAGACAAAAGCTTGTTTTTTTGTTTTTCTAGTAGTGTCTTCAGCTGACAAGCAGTTTGTGTTTCACAATCTTACATAAGCTTATATAATGTGTCTCACGACATTTCATGACAGTTGTGGACTTCATAAGATACACTAAAACGTTCTTCCCCTATTGTTGATAATAACTCATTTTCATTGTTTGCAAATGAAAATTATTATGTGGATTATTTTTAGAAAAAAGTTTTTTTTTATGCGCAAGATCTAATAACAGACTTATCTAATAAACTCTAATTTAAGCCACGTCCACGTTGCACCCATAGATGTAGCTGTTTTCTAAGTTTTTAGTTGCCAAAATAACAAACGCGTTTTTAAGATATTTATGTTATTATTGTTTTATCTCAATCTCTGGTGTAATATCTCACTTCTGAGAAAGATTGATACAAGGAGTTTGAAATATTAAAACCCGTTAGATCACGGTCCCAAACCTTTTTCAATGGAAAAGTTTTTTTTTTGAATAGTTACAAAGCTATTCTTCTTTAAGGGAATAAGCAACAAGTGGAATTTTCGCGTCCCTTATGTAATTTCAGATATCGAAATCTGGAAGGACGCCCCCTTGCAAAGAAATACGAATTTATTTTTATCAGCCACAAGACATCTCCCACGACTACTTCCACTTCCAAAGCCACACATCATATCTGCATGCAATGAACAGTATAAAGATGTAACTATCAAGATTTGCTATGCATTTGTTTTTGGTATTGTCTATACCTTGAAGTGCCATGACAGGTTAAGAATCTTGTGACATTATATTCTGATTACCGACATGCATTCTTCCTCCAAAACAATCCTGTATACCACTACATGGAATTGTAACAAAATAAGGCGGGTTAATAATTTCAATACACTGCGCGTTGTCATGTATTTAATTTCCTCCTGTTTACCCCTTCAATCGATTTGAACCCCCCTTAATTCAGCAAACCGAATGTATTCTACGTACTGTCCAACGTTGAAAATGTTTAATATCTGTTCCAATAAATGATAGCATGATTGGTTGTTTTAAACCTCGATTGTTTCCAACCTTAGAAAACATTAATTGACCCAATGGGAAATTGGGAGCACACAATTCATGACGTAGAACCTTTAATTACAATTTATCACTGATGTAGTTATATAACTCCAATACTTCATCGCCTCTTAAACTTTTTAACTAATACGAACAATAGCTCTATTTATTTACTATTGATAAGTAAGTGCAACATCTATCTAATAGCTGAAGATTAATCTATCCGAGCCAGCGAATTATTAGGACAACTCCAAAGTATAATGTTTCCCAATTCTAATCTACCCCCCCTTTATTGCACATTATGGTGACAAATAAACCCAGGGCACAACTCAGGTTGCATTTCCAGCTGCTTCCTTTTTCTTTTGGTTTTGATCTTTCTTCCATTCTCCTGCAAATCTATGACTTACATATGCAAGCGGGTTATCTATTTTGGCACGCAACGAGTTTCTGGGTAATACCATGATGTCGCCCAAATTGAATGGAAGTTCTATATATGCCAAGAATGTATAATCAACAATAGTTTCAAAATGATTAAAATCGGTTTGAAGGATATTATTCAAATATTTGTATGTCATGTCGGTAAACCTCCCGGGTCCAGTCCAATCAATAACATTATCCTTTGGATTTCTAAAAATTGCTTCTAGTTGACCGGTTTTTTCTCTCCATAAGGTGTGTTCAGTAATTTGGTTAATCATTTCAGCAATCATAGGATGTCCCCTTTTAGAAAGGATTGTCCAATTGTTAATCCTGGCGCCTTTGTCGTTCTCTATTCCGACAATGATCCCTGGATCAAGGGGACGGTTTAAATATTTTCTTTGATTGGTAATCCAAACATCGATTGGTTTCCACAACAAGGTATCCAAGTCGGCATATATCCCACCATGAAAAAACAAGAGTAAGTACCTCGAGAAATCGCACTTTAGGATAGTTTGAGGCATGATATTGTAAGCGTGAAGTACTTCTGGGATATCAGCGTATAATTCATTTATAATTATATCGTACTCGGCGTTGGTTTTTAATGTATATTCATAATTAGGAGCTTTATCGACCCAGGTTTGATGATATTTTTTATAATCGTCGGGGAAATCTTCGTGGTCTAGTGGCACTTTCCACATTTGCCAAATCTTTTTGGGAATTTGTTCAGAAGGATCATAGGGGACTAATTTGTCTAATTGTTTAAGAACAGTGGTGTTGTAAGGAATACGACCTGGGTTTGTTGGTTGGAAATTGAAACCAGTTAGCTTGTATAATGGTTGTTCGTCTAGTTCTTTGAAGAATTCTTGTTTAGGTGATACATATTCAAAATTGAAAACTTGTGGTGAAAATTCAGCTGCAAATTGTTGTAAGAAAAAATAAATCAAGAGTATAACCGTAGACACATAAATCACCAAGCTAATTTTGTTGTTCAAACTACGTTTCTGTGTGAAATTTAACATCATATTGGATTTAAAATCTACATATATTGACGTTAGTGAACGAAGAAAAAAAAACATGGGACGTAACACATTATATAGTCCATTTTCGTAATTAAGGTTTATCATTTATTTCCATAAAATTAGACCATGTCATTATGTGGAGGGGGGAAAAAATAATTTGTTTCTTTTTAATTGTCTAAAGTTAGCACTGTGCTAGAATAAATGTATTTACGGCGTTACAACAGAATATTATTGTACATATAAGGTTATTCTTTGGCTGAAGGTAACAACATTATATTCCCCTTTGTAGTGTTTTTTTAGAGGGGCGGGAGTAGGGTGTATCTGATATTCTCCTAAGTAAGGAAATCCAGTAGAGATTACTCAGGTCGGTAATGCATAGCCAACCAGAATCGGCCGATGTTGGTAAATTGTGATCATAAATGCATGACCAATGACAAAATAACCAACAGGCAGAAATATCTTGTGTACCTCATATATATCAGTATATAAGTACATAATATTACCCCGTGTATAAATTCAAGGGATAGGGTGTTACTTTGATAAAGGTGGATATCTCTCTAGTATAATATCTATCGTTGTAGTACTAAATTATCTTTATGTATCACATGACCTATTTTACTATAATTACAAGGAATAATTAGATGTGTAGAAAACTTCTCTCATTCAATAGGCTTTTAAATGGCTTATGTTGCACCTCCAATTGTTTCATATTTGGTATGAAGATACTTCTGGGGTTTTATAATTCTATTGGAGTTAGCTAGTATATACATATATATATATATATCTTGTTGTAATAATTAAGGTTACTAGTTTGATGTTAACAAGGTTTTATTCTCTTTAATATTCTTAAGTTCTTGGTATTTGATTAAGCAAATAATTATAGCTTGATTCCAAATGGTGTTATGTTTTTGTTAACATATTTGGATGTTGGTTCCATATATTTTTCTTGGCATTAATAATTGATTGAAACTTGGTTAACACTTTTTTTAAAATGGTGTGAGTAGTTCCAAGCCAAGCAATGAGAAGTTATTGCCAATAACAAACAGGAAGATATGGAATTTAATAACATGTTGAGAAACTTATATTTCAGTTGGTTACATTGTTGTTATTTCTGTAGTCTTGGAAATTGTCAGAACTGGGCCATTAATCCAAGAAAGCTTCTTTCTTCAAATTTTATCTTTATTTTGGTCATATTAACTTTAATTTACTTTGACATTTTACTGTTTCTAATTTGATCGACATTGTTTACATATATATAATTATTGCTATAGTGTTACCCTCACACTCTAACTATAAAATATCATAAAAGCTGAGCTGAATGGCACGTACTAACAAAATGAAATATAGAGGATAAATATCTTTGTACGGTGGTAATAGTGGTTCGGTACTAGCTTGGGTATAATAAGTTCATCTAACTATAAACATATTGAAAGAGATGAGTACAGAGAGGTTTCTTATGCCGCACTTCCATCTTTAACATTTTTATTATCATGCTACTTATCTTTTGCTTTTTTCTTCTTCCTCTTTCTTCCTCTCTTCCTCCTTCTTCTTCTCTTCCTCCTTCTTCTTCTCTTCCTCCTTCTTCTCTTCTTCCTCCTTTTTCTTCCTCTCCTCCTCCTTTTTCTTCTCCTCCTCCTTCTTCTTCTCCTCTTCCTCCTTTTTCTTCCTCTCCTCCTCCTTCTTCTTCTCTTCCTCCTCCTCCTTTTTCCTCTCTTCCTCCTTCCTCCTTTCCTCTTCCTCCTTCTTCTTCTGCTCTTCCTCCTTCTTCTTCTGCTCTTCTTTCTTCCTCTCTTCCTTCATCTTTCTATCTTGATCCTTCTTCCAGGCACCTGAAAACTTATGACTAATATATGCTAACGGGTCATCGTCTGGATTATTAGCTGCACGCATAGAGTTCATAGGCAAAACTATAATATCACCCAAACTAAATGGAAGTTTTATATATTCCAAGAATTTATAGTTAATAATAGTTTCAAAGTTATCAAAATCGGTTTGAAGGATATTATTCAAATATTTGTATGTCATGTCGGTAAACCTCCCGGGTCCAGTCCAATCAATAACATTATCTCTTGGGTTTCTGAAAATTGCTTCTAGTTGACCAGTTTCTTCTCTCCATAAAGTATGCTCTGTAATTTGATTAATTATCTCAGCAAGCATAGGATGTCCCCTTTTGGAAATTATTGTCCAGTTGTTAATCCTAGCTCTTCTGTCTTTTTCAATTCCGACAATGATTCCTGGATCGAGCGGCCTGTTCAAATACAGATTTTGGCTAGTAATCCAAACATCCATCAGCTTCCACAAGATTGTATCCAAGTCAGCATAAATTCCACCATTCATATATAGAAGCAAGTACCTCGAGAAATCGCACTTGAGGATAGTTTGAGGCATGATATTGTAAGCATGAAGTACTTCTGGGATATCAGCGTATAATTCATTTATAATTATATCGTACTCGTCATTAGTTTTAAAAATATATTCGTAATTAGGAGCTTTATCAAGCCAGGTTTGATGATACTTTCTATAATCAGCCGGAAAATCATCATGATCTAGTGGAACTTTCCACATCCGCCAAATCTTTCTGGGTATAGGCTCGATGGGATTATATGGGACTTTTTTATGCAATTGTTTAAGTACCGTTGTATTATAAGGGATTACCCCTGCATGACTAGGTTGGAAATTGAATCCTGTTACTTTGTAGAGTGGTTGTTCATGTAATTCTTTGAGAAATTGATCCCTTGGTGAAATATACTCAAAGTATGCTATTTTAGTTTCTGTTGGAAGTATAAAATATAGAGAGAGCACATAAACCACCATAGCAGAAATAGATATATAAAGGAACTTTCGAGGATTCCTAACACTCGATTGACCAATTATCTGGAAAATTTCAAACATTGTCTTTATTTCTAACTATTAATACCTAAGTTGGTATCAAGTTATAAAAGTATATGTTGTTTTTTGTTTGCTTTTTTTTTGAAGCCTGGATCAATTAATGTTTTTGAATAACACGATTGAACTAAAATTGTATTTGTATTAGAATTACTGCAAGATAATGAGTAAACGTGTTCTCTTTAATTATAATCTTAAAATAGACTCGTGTAGAATTTGCACCTATTGCTGCTTTAGGGAAATTTTTTAACACAAGAAAATAGCACGATTTGCAGCTTGCAGTTATTACTTTTTTTTTCTTCTTGCCGCAAGGTGCATAAGTACGTCAGAATTTTTTTTTTTTTTGCTTTCTGCTATCGCTCAAACCACTGGCTCAATGCTAAAAGTTCAAATTCAGGATTGTTCCAAGGTGATCATTGATTTGTTTCTAATAGTCTGTGCAAACTAGTGATGATTTAATTCGATTAGTTTGGAAAAATCATACATATATTGCACAAATTCGGAATTTTTCCGCCCATATTTTAGCTTCTCGTAAATTTCTAAAAAAAAACAAAATTCTTAATAATGCGTCAAGCGAAATAAAAGCTCAAGTCAACAAAAATATAACCGATCTGACTAACTATTAAGATTGTATCCAAGCCATTTCCCGCGTGAGATTGTATCATACTTCTAGTAAAAAGTGTATCCATTTAATCTTGTTCGCTTGAAATTACGGCGTCGTTTCGCTCTTGCATAATTAGAATTGATTAATAATGACTAGTATTCACACTATTCAATTAGAAGTGACACATCACCATTCAGACCAATGAGAAAATAGAAATCATCCTTGCTAAAAGAAAAATACTATGAGAAACATTATTGGATAGACAACCATATGCATAAGTTCATGCATAACCTAAGAAAACTTTCTATCCAAATCGATGAGAAGCAGGGTGTGCAGGTTTTAGTTCTAGATTATACTTCAAGATCATAAGGAAGGCTAAAGCGTACGAAGTTAGACGAGAACTAATTGTAAAAGTGCATAGAATTTAAGGGGCTTCAACTGAAACGAAATAATTAAATGATGAAGAATATTATTATTTTCTTTATACGATTTTAACTGAAATAGCTTCACTTTTCCCTATAATTCCCCCCAACGCCCTGTCTCTCGAACACGCTCATATTCTAGTACCCAAAAAAAGACAAAAGAATAAAGTTTGTTGTTTGCTATTGTTGGGCTTTTCTTTCTCTTTTTCTTTTTCTTCCAACCTCCATGACACTTCATCTTGTAGCGTATGAAATTGTTGTAGTAAAACGGTACTTTTTTTTTACATGAATCGCCTCATCGGACATTGGGCTACAGTTCTGCCTTGCTTAATACCCATAGATTTATTTGCTATAATAATGAGTATAGTTTCTAATACACATCTAAATCCTATATACTTTCCTATATTTAGTGTCCTTTTTTCCATACTCCTCGACTAATATGTTTCACGTATACTAATGGATCACCGGACTTTGCTAATTTCCAACTAGGACTCATGGATTTCTTTGGCAATATCATGGTATCGCCTACAGCTATTGGAAGTTCGACTTTGTCAAGGAAGGGCCATTTAACTAAAGTATCATATTTTCTAAAATCAGTCTGGAGTAGGTTATTCATGTGTTTGAACACAAAATCAGTAAATCTCCCTGGACCAGTCCAATTGTTGACATTATCACCATGATCTCTGCCCAATGTGGCATTTAATTGCCCAGTACTTTCTCTCCATAATGTGTCTTCGGTTATTTTGTTAATTAGTTCAGCAAGCATTGGATGTCCCCTTTTAACCATAAAGGTCCAGGAATTAATTTGAACCCTGCGAGCAGCCCATCTTTGCCAATTGTATGCCCTATCAGATTCCAAACCAACAATAAGCCCTATATCTAGCAGCTTGTTCAAATACTGAGACTCGCTTGATATCCATTCACTGATTGGTTTTAATAGAATGGTGTCGATGTCAGTATATATCCCTCCATAAGCGAATAAGAGTAAATATCGGGAGAAATCGCACTTGAGAATGGTGTACGGCATAGCATTGTATGCGTGGATAATATCTGGAACATTACCATATAGTTCACCCACAAGTTCATCACATTCCGCATTAGTTTTCAATAAATGATCATATTCTGGGCTGTTATCAACCCATGTTTGATGAAATTTTTTGAAATCATCGGGGAACTCTTCATGATCAAGTCCAACTTTCCACATTTGCCAAATTTGTTTTGGGAGAGGCTGTGATGCATCATAGGGAAACAAATAGTTCAATTGCTCAAGTACCGTTGTATTGTAAAGTAAGGAACTTGGATATTTTGGTTTGAAATTTAGCCCTGTGGTCTTGTAATCAGGATGATCTTCTAATTCGAGGCGAAATTGCTCTTTTGGTGCTTGGTAGTCAAAATATGACTTAGTGGATGATAAGGGAGACAATATTGGCGTTCCTGAGTTCAAAGACTTCAAACAAAAGTATGTTGTTGATACAGCTACAAAAAGTGCAAGAACAAAGACAACCTTTGGCCTTCTAAGATTAAAGATCATCTTTATCTCTGGGGAGGAGATTCAAAATATATGATATTCTGAAAGAAAATGAAACATCGAAATTCTGATTTATAAAGGAAACTTAATGATTCAATGTTGTCATTTTCAATATAAAGGTGTTGATCTGTAAATAGATTGAGTGGAAATTGTATATTTTGTAATTACATGTGCATGCTTCGAATATTTTCTGACATTGTCTAATAATAACAATCTTTTTGCACCTTTACGATGCTGATGAAGGCTTCCGATAATTCATGGTTGCTGTGCTGATGAATGCTTTTTATTTATCTGAGACCACAACTCTCTGCAGGGACATGTATTTCTTGATTAGGAATGGTCTTGATTTTTCCGTATAGCGGAATGTTTTATTACAACTTTAACACTTTGTAGGAAAAATGTACTTCTAGATTGGTGATCTGTCTTGATAATCAAAAGTCACGTGATCATATTGAAACGAATGTTAATCAGTTTTGTGTGATCCAAACTAAAAAGAAATAAGAACACCCATTGTGATGATACCATAGTTTATATCAGTTTCTAAATAATAATAATTGTTTTTTTTTCATAAGGCAAGTGCAGCCAGATCGTATCTAACTATTTTAAGTAGGGTTCGAGGCTTGCTAATTATTCCATATGATGAGATGCTTGGCAAATAAGTTATACTTCATGTAAGTTGATGCACAAGTATTGTTTTGCATGAAGGGCTCTGATTAATTTATTAGTTACTTTCTCTAATATAATTTAGCTTATTTTCTATACAATTAATTTGCTGCTGGCCAAAAATAGAATCAAAATTTTAATGAACGTATTGGGTGGGTTTCCCCCGCCCAAGAAAATTGATTCCTGCAGACAAAATGTTGCATTTACGATAGTAGATACGAAGGAACATGTAAGGTGAGTTCATCTGGTTTATGAGATTTAATATATGATCTATAACATTGGTTCCATTTTGGTATTTGGATTCTATGAGTATGTTTCAGTATAGTGGGCTGAGATAAATACACCTCAAGATATAAGAAAACACGCATGGAAATTTGCTGCCAGCAGGAGAGTTTATATGCGTTCTTACACAGAAATAAATTGCTGCATAAAAAATAGACACAAAAAAAAATAAATTTACACAAGCAAAATGCGCTTAGGTGCATGAATTTATAAAAATCAACCCATTAATCATGGTCTATATTTAGTGGTACATTGATTACCTCACGAAGAGCAGAAATGATTTTTTTAAAAAAAACTAAATACAGTAAGATTTTACATAAGGAACTAACACAAGTCGTATTGTGATTATCTTTTAGTTGTTAATTCAAAGCGCCGTACTTTACCATTTAAGTATTCTTGGCCGTTGAATCTGCTTTAGCTTTCTTGTTGGTCTTTTTCTTTTTCTTCCAAACTCCCAGCCCAATGTGTTTGACATATGCTAAGGGGTCATCAACATTTCCTGCTTTCCATTTCAGGTTCTTTTCCGCATGTAAACAGGTCACTGGTAAGACCATTATATCACCAATAACAATTGGAAGCCTGATACTTCCAAAGAAGTAAGCATCAATTAAAGTTTCATAGTTATTGAAATCACTCTGAAGAATATTGTTTAAAGCTTTGTAGACCATATGAGTAAACTTTCCTGGTCCGGTCCAATTTATAATATGAAACACTTCATTAGCTTCCAATATAGTATTCAATGTGCCTGTTTCTTCTCTCCACAAAGTATATTCAGTAATATTACTAATAAGTTCAGCAAGCATGGGATGTCCCTTTTTCGCAGAAATTGTCCAGGTGTTGATCTGAACCCTAGGACCATGATATTTTTCTGAAAGGAATGTTCTGTCAGATTCAACACCCACTATGATTCCTAGATCTAATGGTTTACTCAAATACAGTTTTTGACTTGAGATCCAATCATTCATGGGTTTTAATAACACAGCATCCAAATCTACATAGGTTCCACCATATGCAAACAAGAGTAAGTAAATTGAAAAATCACATTTGAGCATAATTTCTGGTAATATATTATATGCATGAAGAATTTGTGGAATATCCTTGTATAATTCCTCTATCATAACATCAATTTCAGCGTTAGTCCTCATATGGTAATCGTACTCAGGACTCTTGTCACGCCATGTTTGGATATATTGTTTAAATTCCTTTGGAAATTCTTCGTGATCAAGCGGAACTTTCCACATTTGCAAGATTGTCTTGGGTATGGGTTGGCTTGGATCATAATGAACTAACTTGTTCAATTGTTCAAGAATAGGTGTATCGTAAGGAAGAACTCCAGGATTAGTAGGTTGGAAATTGAAACCAGTGATCTTATAAAGTGGTTGATCTTGTAATTCTTGAAGAAACTGTTCCTTTGGTGAAAGATGATCAAAATACAACTCTGTTGATAAATGTCTAAAATCTGTTACAGAATAAACTCCTAAGAAACAAATGAATGCTATAAAAGAATAGATGCAAAACATGGCATACTTTGAGTTTTTATATGCCAAGGAAGTCATTCCCCTAATATATTTAGATATCATTTCCTGTTTTGGTTATAAGGAGTCAATAACAGCAATGTCTGATTAAAAATTTATAAAAATTTAGACAACTCTTCCGTCAATGGGATTATATAAACAACCAATTATCGAGGCCTTGTTAGATGCCGGAGATCTAGATTTCAGATTTAAAAAATAAAAAGTTTTCATCTGCAACCTTAGAAGAGACAAGAATTTGTAAGGCGGAGGTGTTCTTCTTGAACATTTCTTGTTTTAGAACAATTGAGGTGCATGTACATTCATTCTTATGTTTCGATGTTGTAAAAAAAAAAAAACAGCACTGTTTTCTTTCCTATTTTATGGCTTTATATTTTACTTATTATCTACTGTATTGCACAAAATCTAGGTAAATATTGATCAATTCTAAATTATAATTAAATACTAAATAAAGCCGATTTCAATCCTTTTTATAAAACTTTCTTGAAGCCGTCTAAGTTATATAAACCTGCAGAAAAATCACCCAATAATTATTTTTTATACCTTATTTAAGTGTCCATACATGATATGCAATGCATTTCTTGTTTTAACTATTAGTTATAATCAAAGTATAGAACAATTCTAAACTACACAGGCGTATTAGGACGTAAGAAACAGAAGGGGCTTTACTAAGTTGTTATTATTATTATTTAAATAGTCACACCAGTGAGTCCATAAAAAGTTATTGTGCCAAAAATTAGATATAAATAGCTCGAGTCTTCCGGATATTGCCTGTGGGTCTCCGAGAATGAGCTACGCGAAATTGGTAATCCGTCCAAGGAATTGTTTACAAGGACAAAAGAGAAATTTTCTTTCTTCTGGTATATTTCGGTCCATTCCCCAAGTAACAATAGTTGTTATTTTTAGTAAAATTCCCCTTCCCCCTTATAAAGCCACCCTCTATATTTATACGCGAGAAAATATCTACTCACGTACACAATTAGTCAAGTAACACGCCAGGGGCGTTACATTATTGTGTTTATAATTAGAAAATACACGATCAACATTTTGCAAGGTCGATCCTGGATACTCAAAGTTTATTTAAGACATATGCAAGTTCCTGTTGTTTCTAGGATCGCATTCTGGAATTGTTGAAGAATTCTGGCTGAAAATATCTGCAAAAGAGTGGCATAAAAATAGAAACAAGAAAAAAATAACAGGAAAAAAAAAACTCATTACGGAGAACCCATGCAGTTCCATGCAATTACGTTATGAAATTCGATAATATTTTAACAGCAATTGATTACGCCAAGAGTTTTTCTTTTTTTGAATGCATGTTAACATTTTGTTTTCACACACACCCCACGAAAATTTGTAAAGAGCTTACTTCCTTGAAGCCAAGAGCTTGAGTAGAAGTCTTAGCACTGTTACAGAATTTTTATACTGACAATTTCTTTGTTTAGCAGCATGTTACTGTATTAATATAATCAGAATAATACTCGTAATTTATCCGAAGAATGTCTTGACGCCCTTATGGAATTGAACGGCGCAAATTGTGTCTAAACTATGCACTGAATACAATCGGCCACATAGTCTCTCGTAAATCTGTACTAAGAGGAAAAAAAGATTGATCTGACAGCGAAAGATGAAACATTTAATATTCTGCTTCGTTTATGTATTAATTATAGCAATTTCTCATTTTCGTGAATATTAGTATCTCATTAGTGATGATATTGACTAAACTCGCTGTTTACTTTATAAGAAATGTGGGTCTAGACACCTTCCGATCAAAACCTAAAGCCAGGATTTTGCGGTCGGTTTCGATTTTTTTAGCAATTACGGTACTTATCAGCCTTACTTATACCTACAGCATTATTCTTGACAAATATCCTAGGCGTGAAATTATCAATGAGATAAACCTGTTTGCTGCAGATGATAGCTTGGATGTTGTCAATTCCGAGGATTTGAACTTGCATCAGAGCAAAACCGTTAATAGCGATATTATTCAATATGTAAAGGAGTCATCCGGGCTCTCTGCTACCATTTTAAAGGATAACTACAAAGAAACTTCATTTTCCATATTCTTATCTGAAGAAGACTCAGAAGAATGCAGATCCCTTAGAGTGGATGAAACCATATCATTTAATAAATATTCACCATTCAAAGAAGATATAGATGAAGTCATTAAGGTCTTACAACACCAACTAGTGAATGACGAGGCATTCAGAGACATTGCACGTTTATTTGAAGGCCAGATTCCTTTGCTCATCAAGGAAGGAACTGTCACCAACCATTTCTTTCAACTAATGGGAACATCAGTATGGTTAAAGGAGTACGAAGTCCATCTCATGGTTAGTCGAGTATTGTATACCAAAGGAAACAACCGGTCCAAATCCAAAGTGTCATTATTGTATGGACAGATTTTTAATAAGGATTGGGAACATATGAACAATTTCAATTTGAAGGTTCCGTCTAGTTTTGGAGGGAATAGAACAATGAATTTTCCTTCCTTTATACCAATTCCTTTCTTCTACTCAGATAAAGGAATGTTCTTTGGTCCTGAAGACGGCCGTTTACTCCTTGTGCAAAATGAATATGGGTTTGAGGAACCAGTTCTTATTTTCAATTCCATAACCATATTGACAAGCATCAATGATGAAGGAAGAAAAAAAGAACAAGGTCTCAGGGCTATGTTCATCGCTTGGTTATTCCAAACTCAAACCGGGAAAGTGAATACAGATGGAAATAATGATGCAAGATTTGACAATATAACTTATGTTAAAGTACGACGGCTAAGTATCACGGGTGAAAATCAACCTAGAAGGGAAAAGAATTGGACTCCATTTGTTGATCCTCGTGAACGAAATCCACTGGACCGTAATCTTTATCTTGTTTATGATTGGAATAATTTGCAAGTCCTCAAATGCCAATTATCCGACCTCACTCTGGACTATATTAGTCGTTGTGAACGTTACTATGCTCAATCAAAACAATCAAGGATTGGTCCAATACGGGGAGGCACAGAATTGATTCCCCTCAGTACTGTTTTTGAAACTAGAAGTCAAGCTTGGGTGGGATTTGTAAGATCACACTTTGTTCGTTGTGGTTGTGCTAAGGCATGGTACCGTCCACATTTTGTGCTTCTTCAACGAAATGAAGACAAGTTTAGAGTCACACATATGTCAGCTCCAATATCTTTTAATATTCCTGCTAAACCTTTAGATGGAAGTGTTAGGGCATGTGGCGAAAAAGATGCCAATGTTTTAATGGCTAATGGGATTTCACATTGGAAAGTCGATAGTGAAACAGGGAGCGATTATTTAACATTGACTTTCAGTGCTGATGATAAAGGTAATATTCTTCTCCATGTTAAAGATTTTGGAAAGATCATTGAAAGGCTAGATTTAGAAGTTGCTTGGGACACACCAATAAATAGAATGAGAGAGTGTGTTGTCAAAGATTCAAAAGACATTTGCGAAGCAGATGGGATTGAAATGAAAAGATTGGGAATATATTAAATAAGTAGCATACCTATATTGAATTAATTATTCAAAGTATAAGAGTATGCTACGGATTCCATTTAGTATGTCACGATTTTTTTTTTTACCTTGGTATTCTGTAACTGATGTATAGCAATTGAGTAGATTTTACACAAGGTGATAAAAACTATAATGAAGATTCATCTTGTTACATAAAAGCTAAGGATTTGGCAAACTTTATTTTCATGAAAATTTTGCAACAAAAACCGAAAAAAATATACATGGAAGCACGTGGCCATATAAGTTGCAATTACATCCCCTTATCTCGTCAACATTAAAACTTTCCCCTAATACAAGTGACAACAGAGCTGAGCACGCAGAAGCAACAATTCTGCTTTAACTTCAATGAAGGAGGAGATTGCGCTTATGTGAGAACAGGGCTGAGTTATGATACTTTGTTTTTGTGCTGCTTCATACCTTTGTACTAGCTCCACGCGCAAATTTTCACTTCTTCAGAAAACAATGACATGGCAACCTGGGTGAAACTTTCTATCGGAGATCTTTGTAACTTTTAGCAATCATTCTGGATCTTTGTCGCAAATCAGTATGCGTCTACCAGTGCGTTAATCAGTGTATTAATTTTATGCAGGTGCATGTCAACGTGGGACCTTGTATAGACCCTGAATGGGGGGGGGACCGCGAGACCAGATCTAAAGATTTAAACATCAAGAATGAACTGGAAGTTTTTTTTTTGATTTTGTATTACAGAACATGTATGGCTATTGAGCATTTGTAGCAAAATATACCATGATAAGGAGAACTCAGGTAATTGCGCAGCAACGCTAAAATTAGAACTTTACAATATTTTTTAATTAAAAGAATTTTTTTTTTTTAATTTTGCTATTGTTTAAAATATTTTCACTTTGCAGGCGAATCACCAAATAAACCAAAAGTGTACCCATTTTCTGTTTTTTGCTCTCGTGTCTTCTACTTCTCTTTCTGTAGCGTCATCAGCATGGGTCCGGTTCTCTTTAGAGGACTCTGGAAAAGAGTAGTTGTTTTCTTGATAATATTCCTTATATGTGCCCTCCCCATCTTGCTAATCCAGCAGAATGGCCGGATGAAGTCGTTAGTTGAGAAATATGTCCCTCAGACATTCACATTCAAAGTATCAGAGCAAGAACATGGTAAAACTTGCCAATACATCAACGGCACAGGAATACTCCACTGTGATGATCCTTCAGGGTTGTCCAATACTACAGTATATGGGGACTACCACAAACACCCGCTCTCCTTATACTCCTCCTTGCATCAGTTCACGCAGTGCGAAGAAACCAACACACTCTATTCACTCAACATCAGCAAACCCCGGTTGTTCATCGAAGATTTCAACAAAATGGCTGCTGTCCTTGTGGATCAACTTAAAAATGACGATGCATTCAAGGACCTCTCGCCGTTCTTTCAGGGTAAGATCCCGCGGATGATACGGACAGACACGGTCTCTAAGCATTTCTTCAAATTCGCCGCCACTTCAGTATGGCTTGAAGAACATAGGGTACATTTTATGGTTAGCCGTGTGTTGTTTTCCCGGACGGGTGTGAAATGGGTCCCGCAGCTTTCATTATTGTATGCCGAGACGTTCAACCAGAACTGGGAGCCTGTTGATTTCGAGTTGAAAGTGCAGGGAGAAACAATGAAGTTTCCTTCATTCTTGCCTATTCCATTCTATCACAATGTCAAGCATATGAAAAAGAGATGGTATGGGCCTGAGGATGCAAGGATCTTACTTGTCAAGAATGAAGACGGCAAGGATGAACCGTTGGTTATTTTCAATGCCCACCATAGAAGGTTTAACGAAAGTTATATTGAACAACATGGGCCTATTCCCGTAGAACAAGCTGAGAAATTGGATCTTCCTAAACTTAAGAATCAGCCCAGGAAAAGCAAGCGACCTGATGATGACGGGGAAGAGTTCATCCATTATCGATCCATGTTCATTGCCTGGCCATTCCGGTTTGAATTGGGCAAGAAAGCTACTGATTCCATGCCTGATCAGAAATACAACACTACCCGGTTTAATAAAGCGCGAGAGTTGCGTATTGAAGGAAAAGAACGTCAAATTGTGGAAAAGAACTGGACACCTTTTATTGACACTAGTGAACGCACAATACACGATTCCCACCTTCATATAGTCTACGACTGGGAATACCTCCAAGTTCTCAAATGTCAATTGACAAACTTGACCCTGGACTCCATGAGTTACTGCAAAGTGATATTCACCACTCCTGGACAGGGAGATGTGGGTCCGATTAGAGGTGGGACTGAGTTGATTCCACTTAGCCAAGTCAGCACCAGCACTGCACCAGTATGGGTGGGGTTCTTGCGTACGCATATTTTGAAGTGTGGTTGTGGTAGGGAAATGTATCGTCCTCATTTGGTGGTATTTCGTCGTCACGGGGACAATTTCAAGGTTAGCCACTTGTCATCTTCACTTGGTTTGGATGTTCCTATTCAGAGTGCGAGATATATGAGTAGGTTGTGCACTGGTGGTGATCCGAATATCTTGATGCCGAACGGGATCTCCACATGGGTGTATGATAAAAATACCGATACTGATTATTTGACGTTGTCAATGAGTACTGGTGATGTCGATAACCTATTGATTGATTTAAAAAATATTGGTAAGCTTGTGGAAACACAATTGGAGATTGGTCAGGGTTGGAGTAATGATGCTGAGTCATCATTAAATATGAATGCTTGTGTTTTGGAAAGTTCAGTGGAGTTTTGTTGGAATTACGGTGATGAGATCAAAAAGGAGTTCCTTCGGAAAGTCCAAAAACAGGAAAGGAAAAAGAGACCGGCAAAGCAGAAGCAGCAGCAGCAGCAGCAGAAACAGAAGCAGCAGCTGCTGAAGCAACCGGATGTATTAGGTTAGAGTATATTTATAGATTTATTTTGCTAGAGTATGATGATAATTTTGCAACTTGTCGTATAAAGCTGCTTGAGGTATGCATTAGCCACAAAGAAGCATGCAACACTACGATATTTTTTCAATTGCTGTCAACGTGGGCTTTTTTTTTCTTGGTATAATAATAATAGTAATAATAATGGTGATAAAATAATTATTACGTAACCGAGCAGGAAAGTGTACCTGACTCGCCTATACCATCCTAGGCAACGGTCTTTGACAGCTAGTGTCTTGTTTCAGTGTACAAAGATGAATATGGTAGAAAACTTTATAAGATTTGTGGCCAGGACGTTCTAGACAGCATGCAGGAAAACTACCACAATTATAAATGTGAAGATTTAAGACGCGCAGAAACAATGCATCGCAACAAATCTGACAAATCGAGAACAATGTGGGCAACCTTTCTAATAATAAAACAATAAAACAATCGACCGTCCAGTTGAATGGGCTTTTTCGTCTTTTCAAGCCTTCGATATTTTCGTGGCTGTGATATTTTGGGGGAGGTACCTGAAGTATTTTCTATCATATGGAAGCCCTTAATTTATCAAAAACATCTCGTTACTAACAGTACATGAACAAGAGCAATGCTGTATAAACCGCTATTTAACTTGAGCAACCACAACATCTGGAAGAGAATCTCTATCTTTTTAGTAGTATTCATCATATGCGCCTGGCCCTTGTGGGTATTATCGCCCCAGGCCGGGCATATTGACCGATACATTAAACAACCAATCTACAATTTCCACAGCAACATATTTGCCAAGCTTCAGCCGGTATCATCTGTTGGTGATAGACTCGTTGTGTTTCCCAAGAACGGAGCCTCTAGTGCTGCCCTGTTAGCTGCTGAAGAAGGACGGTTTAAGCTTATGTACAGCGGCAACTCATCGGCAGTGACTAATGACCTCATCACTGGTGAGTACAATGACCATCCGTTCCATTTATACACCTCTTTGCAAGATACAGACGAGAACTTCTGTGAGACAACCAAGAGTGACCATACATTCAATGTGAAGAAGTTTCACGTGTTTAGAGAAGACTACGACCAAATGGCAGATGTTTTGATTGACCAGCTTGCCAATGATGAAGCATTTCAGGAGCTAGCAGAGTTCTTTGAGGGTAAAGTTCCCAAGATGATCCAGGACGACAATGTGTACAAATACTTTTACAAATTCGCTGGTACGTCTGTGTGGTTGAAGGATTACGGGGTACATCTTATGGTTAGTCGGGTATCATATTCTAAATTCGGGGTAAGATGGGACGCCCATATGTCGTTGCTTTATGCCCAAGTATACAATGAACATTGGGAACTTTTGCATAACGTTGAGTTGAAGTTGCCCAACTCCGATACCATTCTTCAATTTCCAAGGTTTATGCCCATTCCATTCTACCATAATTTGCAAGGGGTGTGGTTTGGCCCTGAAGACGCCAGACTTCTTTTGGTCAAGAACGAAAATGGTCACGAAGAACCAGTAGTCATTTTCAATGCCCAACATGAACAGGAAATTGTCGTTGATGAGGGCCAACCAGCCAGGTGCCACAACTATCGAGCTATGTTCATGGGATGGTTATTCCAGTTCCAAAAGGGCAAGCAAATAGCTGAGTGTAATCCAGATGAAAAGTATGCCAATGTCACTTATAACAAGATTCGAGAATTGAAGATTGAAGGGCTGGGCAAACCGAAGGACATGGAAAAGAACTGGTCAGCATTTGTTGACCCCGCTGAAAGAAATCCGTACGATACCCACATCTACTTTGTGTACGAATGGCACAATCTTAAGGTTTTAAAATGTGAATTGGCCCATCTTGTCCTGGATACTATTTCCAACTGTGGTGTCGTATTTGAAACCCCCAGCGATACAATTGGTCCTATTCGAGGAGGTACTGAACTCTTGCCCTTGAGCACGATCAGGAAAACCGACAAGTCAATCTGGATTGGGTTTGTGCGTACCCATTTGAAGAAGTGTGGATGCGGTAAGGAAATATACCGTCCCCACTTTTTCGTATTCAGTCGTCAAGGATCCAAGTTCAAAGTCACGCACATGTCGAGTTCGCTTGGGTTTGATGTTCCAATTAGAAGTGAACGTGAAAAACTTGGGCTTTGTGATAAGGAGGATTTGAATATTATCATTCCCAACGGGATTTCCAACTGGGAATACCACAAGGAATCCGGGACTGATTATATGACACTTACTTTGAGTACGGGAGATTCCAACAATCTTTTGTTGCACTTGAAAGATGTGGGGAGAGTGATTGATGGATTGTATACCGGAGAGTGGGATGAGAATATCAAGGACGTTAAGATGAACAAATGTGTCTTGGATAGTGCTATGGACTATTGTAAGGTGTATGGAGAAGAGATGACGAAGTTGGGTCTCACTGAAGCGCAAAGATTGCAAAAGATTAAGGACGAGAAGAAGGATTAATAGACGATTTACAGTATCAGTATGTAGCAATAGAACACAATAGACAATTTCAAATTTCATATCTTCTATTGAAGAATTCAATAACATGTGGGAGATATATTCACACAGGATCATAGATCTGTTGGTATTGACATACAATTTGACATTGTTACTTCCGTAAATTCAATAATAATAATAATAATAATAATAAGAACGTAAAATTACATACATAGCCTGTATAAACTTTCTGAGATAATGCATTGTCGTAGGTCCAGCTCTTCATGAAAAGGGGATGCTGTACCTACCAATCACCTGGCACAACTGGTTCAGCAGGCAATTTGAGGTTTCTTTCGTATTTGGTACCACCTGGTCTGGAAGGAGGAATAACTGGATCTGGGTTTCTCCATTCGTACAATTTAGCTTCGGTCTTTTCAATAATGTCTTGTAATTGTTGAGGGTCATTTACATCTCTATTGGATTCGAATTGTTGACGGATTTGAATGGTGGCAGTTCTGTATGCTTGGAACTTAGTTGTGTGGTCCCAAGCAAGACGGAGGGATCTTCTTAACAAGGCAGAAACCCGCTTTGTATTGGCTTCAGTGAATGGAAGAATTGGAGATGACATTGTATAACCAACTACAGAGCAAGAAACAGAGTAGATTAGTTTTATAGTGAGTAAGTTTTTTTTCACGACATTATTATGTGCCCGTTTTCATTGGCCATGTTGTGTGCAGGACATGCATATGTCGCTGGTGCTACCATGTGAGTTTGCACAGCGACACGAGAAGTAGGTGCCTGTTGCAGATATACTGCCGAGGTCGTGGTAGACTGGTTCGGGGAGTAACAGATACCACAGCTGTACGTTTGCATTGACTGTTTGTGACTAATGTTTGTCTGCAATAGCCGTATGTGCGTGCATGTGCGCGTGCATGTGTGCGTGCGTGTGTGCGTGCGTGTTTGTATAGACCTTGCACAGGAATAGCCAGAGTCAATGGCTGTAAGAACATTTGGCCCACATCTATCTACCGAAAACAGTGCAATTACCACATAACAACTAAATTCTTACCCAACTTACAACTTCCATATCATTCCCATCACTGCCATTGCGAATTTTGCAATCAATAATGTTGCACAACTTCACACCCACTCGAGTCATCTCTTGCGCACGACTAAAAAAATTTCCAACCTCATCACCAAAATCATCGTTAAACAGTACACCAAGCATAATGTCCGGGTTCAACCAAATATCCTCGCTCAATGAAGTCGAGTTTGCCCCGTTGCACCACTATGGACCAGTCACAGCCTTGAAAATCTACAAAAACTACGTGTTGGCCGGGTATGGTCCCATCCTCAAGATCTACCAGATGACCCAAGGTGACTTGTTAGATGTGGCTGAAGTGTTCTGCAAGCAGGTGTTCAGCCGCAATAAGATCCACCATATTGAAATCACTAGCCAGGGGAGACTTTGTCTTAGTGGAGCCCGATCATTCATGGTGCTTGACCTCGAGGAAGTCCTCCAAGGAAAAGGCAACTTCAAGGAGCGGGCGATCAATGAGTGGATCGTTACTTGTGCATTCTACGAGAACTGGTTGTTGATTTTGAACTCGCATAATGTGGTGTACAAAGTCGACCTCGCTCTGTTTGAATTCGACAAGGTGCACTGTCAAGAAAAGTCGATTCTCTATAGTGGATCCATCCAAGTACTTGACAACGGAACAGTATACGTGGCCGCAGGGACAGTCATGAGTGGAGTCATCATCTGGGACTTGCACTCCCGCAAGATTGTGCACAACTTGACCGACCACGAGGGGAGTATATTCGGAGTCAAAGTTGACAAGACTGGAAAGTATATCGTGTCATGCAGTGATGATCGATCAATCAAGTTGTATGATTTCGCTAGTGGTACAGTGTTGGCTACTGGATGGGGTCATGGCTCAAGAATATGGACCCTTGAGTTCTTCAAAGGAGACAATGTGAAAATTATGAGTACCGGGGAAGACTGCAGTTTACGATTATGGCAGTATCAAGAAGGAAACAGCCAATTGGTGCAATTGGAAATGGTAGAGAATTGTCATAGTGGGAAGCACATATGGAGTGGAGACGTGGATGATTTAGAGTATCAAGTTTGTGTCACTGGAGGTGCTGATGGTAGAATTAAATTGCATGATTTGAACAAAGTAAATAGAACAGAGTATTCACTTCAGGAAATTTCTAGCCAGACTGGGCTTGTATTTGGTAAGAAGGATTTCATTCGTGATTACTTTGAATTGAAGGATAGGTTAATAGTGCTTATCTCTAATGGTGATTTGGTTGAATACAGTGATAACTCTTTTAAGACCATTGCCTTCAATGACCAACACAAGCTCAAAGATTTCGCTATAGTGAAGGGGTTCTCCGATATCAATATCGTCATTATTGCAGCCAGAAATGGGGATTTGTTAATTGCTGATTTCACTAGTGATCTTCCACAATTATCTTGGATCCAAGATGAATATCTTGGCAGTAACAAATTGACAAATTTGCTAGTATACTCCACCGACAACAAGTACTACGTGCTCGTAGATGTACCTAACCCCAACATACCATTCATATTACGAGAGTTTGACTCATCCTTCAATTTGGTAAATGTCACACAATTATCCCAACCCAACCAAACTAGTTTCACAACCACGGACATGGTAGTTGACTCTGTCAACAACTGGTTGGTTATTGCTTCTAGATACGTCACCATTGCCGCCTATGACTTGTCCACAACATCCATGGCTCTCTTTAAGAAACTTTCCCCTGGAGACACAATCACTTCAGTGCAGATAATTACCAGCAAGACCAACGAACTTGCATTGTTGATATTAGTCAAGGATGGAAGCTACTTGTACACCACACTCACCTTGTCCACCACGTTCCATCTTGATGTCACCCACGCTAATAAATTAACTAAAGGATTCATCGAAGGAGGATACATCAAATCAAACAAACTAGTGCTCTACGGGTTCAAATCGCTGTATTTCTACATTTGGAACGAGACCTGCCAATTTGAGATCATGAATGAGCTCTGCGGTGGTAGCCATCGCCAATGGAAGCTCGCTCCTTCCAAGTTCATCTACGTCAAGGACAAAACTACTCTTGTGATTAGGAATATCGCACACAGGTTTGTCAATGATGGGTTAATTCATTTGGGCACTCACGGTAGAGAAATCAGAGATGTGGCTGTGTCACCTGATGGGAAGTTGCTCGTTAGTGCTTCAGAGGATGCTACCATTGCAGTAAGTCAGTTGGAAGATGGAGTCAAGGGAATATGGAGTATGAACAACCATATCTCGGGTTTACAACGAGTTAAATTCTTGAATAGCGAATATATGGCTAGTTCAGCTGCCAATGAGGAATTTATCATTTGGAAAGTTACCCAGAGCAATATTCCATTAGTCAAGGAGTTTGTAAGATTAAAGCCATCCGCTGTGGAGAATCCCGATTTGAGAATCATGAACTTTGCATCGATAGAGCTCGAGTCTAATGTGTTTATTCTCGTTACGGTTTACTCCAACTCCAACATCAAAATATGGAGAATTGACTTGAATAAAGAACACTACGGCGATATGGTAAAGTTATTAGTGAACGACTTTTACACTACCTGCTGTATCTTAAACGTGGAGTTACTCCAGAAGGATGATAAGACGTGGTTAATGATTGGTGCTACCGACGGATATGTCACCATCTGGGACGTCACTTCCAAGCTCGACCCGGAAGAGCACAAGTTAGGTGCCCTGATTATTCATCAACAATTGCATCAGAATGGTGTCAAGGCCATGGAGGTTTTTACACATCAGGACGGCTACAGGTTGATTACTGGTGGTGATGACAACGCGTTGGTGGTTTGTGATTTACAAGTGCCTGATTTGAAGTTGGATATCGTGGGATATGAAGAGAGTGCTGCCTCCGCTACCATTACTTCGATATCTGTTGTGGGCGAACATAAATTTGTCACTACTTCCGTTGATCAAATTGTTCGTATATGGGAGTATAACGAGGGCTTGACGTGCTTATCAGCAAGATACACTACAATTGCCGACACAGGATGTTCTGCTTCTATGGGAAGTACGATATACATCGGGGGAGCCGGCTTAAGCTCGTGGAAAGTAAACAATTTATAAATTCTATAGAACATATAACATATCATACAACTTAGATTCTTAACAATCTCAAATTAAACACGGTATCATTAATGGTTTGTTCTTCGTCAGCAATGACTTGGTCTCCAGCAGCAGCTGAGAATTCTTGAATTGGAGTCTTGGTGGACTTGAGCAACAATTCAGCATTGTCAGTGACAACACTCTTCAAATTGATGGTGTCCTTGACCAATTGGTACTCGACTTGAACATCGTCAGTGGTGTTTAATCCAACCTTCTTTCTCAATCTTTGGATACGGTTGATCAACTCTCTTGCCAAACCTTCACTTTCCAATTCAGGATGAGAGTTGACGTCCAAGATGACCAACACGTCTTGGAAAGTTCTGCTTTCCAATCCCTTGGATTCACACACAGATTGTGGCAATCCACGTTGAACTTGTAAATCTTCAGTAACTAAATCAATGCCGTCGACAGTGATCTTACCGGACTCGGCAAAGGCTTGCACTTCGGCTGAGGAAACCTTTGGCAAGGCTTCCTTGACTCTCTTGGCATCCTTCTTCAACTTCTTACCCAATACAGGCCAATCAGCGACACATGAGTATTCAACACCGTACTTGGCTTCGTCAGAGGTGATGGTGATGGTACGTACATTCAATTCATCACTGATGTAGTCCTTCAATCTCTCAATGTCGTTCAAGTATTCCTTGTCCGAATGCAAAATGACAATCTCCTTCAATGGGGTCTTGAGTGAAATCATCTTCTTTTCTCTAATGTTTCTTCCTAATTCGATAACCTTTTGCATTCTGGAAACAGCCAATTCAATTTCAGAGTCAAAAAGCTCTTGTCTGACACTAGGGTAACTCAAGAAATGAACCGATCTCAAATCCTTGTGCTTTGGATTGATGACGATAGATTCTAAGGTTTCTTGCTTGAAATATCCCTTGATTCTTTGATAGATACCATCAGCCAAGTATGGAGTAAATGGTGCCATGGCTCTAGAAAGGATAAGCAAAGCTTCAGCCAAAGTGTTAAGACCCTTCTTGGTGTCTTCGACGTCGTCGGAAGCGTAACCCTTGATTCTACGACGGTTGAAACGGATGTACCAGTTGGTCAAATCGTCAATGAAATGCAATAAACGTGGAACAACAGTGTACAATCTGTATCCATTCATTTCTTCGTGGATGAACTTGATCAATGATTGGATGGAGGCCAATAACCAACGGTCCATGACGTTTTCTGAGCGCAAGTCGTGGTCATAGACAAAGTCAACTCCGTTGTCCTTCTTGAAAATGTCAGCAGCGTCCTTCAAGAACTTGTACGAGTTGTACCATGGCAACATGACACTGGAGATGATTTCACGCACACCTTCTTCCTTAAACTTCAAAGTTTCAGCACGTAAAACAGGCGAGTTGATCAAGTACAAACGCAAAGCGTCGGCACCATAACGTTCCAAAACAATCGATGGATCAGGGTAGTTCTTTAATCTCTTGGACATCTTCTTACCATCGGCGGCCAAGACAATACCAGTAACAATGACGTTTTGGTATGGGGCAGTCTTGAACAAGTGGGTACCCAATACAGTCAAAGTGTAGAACCACCCTCTGGTTTGATCTAAACCTTCAGAAATGAAGTTGGCAGGGAAAGAATTCAAGAATTTATCCTTGTTTTCAAATGGATAGTGCTTGGAGGCATAAGGCATGGATCCGGATTCGAACCAACAATCAAACACTTCTTCGATTCTCTTCAAGTCACCCTTGCCTTGCTTGGATGGGATAGTAATGGAGTCGATGCTTTCACGATGGATGTCGGTGATATCGTCTCTACCGGACAACTCCTTCAATTCTTCAATGGAACCAACACAAACAATTTCTTCGAAATCGTCAGAAACCCACAATGGGATAGGAGTACCCCAGTATCTGTTTCTTGAAATGTTCCAATCACGGGCATTGGCGATCCAGTTGGAGAATCTCTTGTCCTTGATGTTGGAAGGAACCCAGTTGGTCTTTTCGACATTGTCCAACATTTCTGGGATAACTTCACCAATACGGACAAACCAAGCAGGAACGGTACGGTACATCAATGGAGTATCTGATCTCCAACAGAATGGGTACGAGTGCTTGGCTTGGGAGTTGACCAAGATACGGCCTTCTTCGGACAATTTCTTGATAATTAACTTGTCAGCGTCTTTAAAGTAAACCCCTTGGAAATCTGGAACGTTTGGCAACATCTTACCAGTGTCATCAACTACACTAGGAGGAAGCTTCTTTTCGGAAATGACACCATGGGCAGTAGCAGCTTGGAAATCCTCTTCACCATAAGATGGAGCTTGGTGGACAATACCAGTACCGGAATCGTTGGTAACGTAATCACCAGGAATGACTTGGAATCCCTTGTCCTTGAATTCTTCGTAAAAGTAGTTAAACAATGGCTTGTACTTGAGTCCAACTAACGCAGAACCCTTGAGCTTTTCAACAACCTTGTACTTGGCTGCAGCTGGCTTCTTGTATAAACTGGAGAGTAATCCTTCCAACAAGATGAAATGCTTCTTCTTTTCTTCATCGTAAATCTTGACATATTCAAAGTTTGGATTGACAGCAAGGGCAATGTTGGCTGGCAAAGTCCAAGGAGTGGTAGTCCAGGCAACCAACACGGTATCTTCATCGTCAACCAAGGGGAAGGCGATGGTGATGGCTGGATCATTGACGTCCTTATAGTTTTGTTGGGACTCGAAATTGGACAATGGGGTGGTCAAAGCGGTGGAGTAAGGCATGACCTTCAATCCTCTGTACACGGCGTCCTTCTTGTACAATTCCTTGAATGCCCACCATACGGACTCCATGAATTCGGGATACAAGGTCTTGTAATCGTTTTCCATATCGATCCATCTACCCAACTTCTTGATGGTTCTCTTCCATTCGTCGGCATATCTCATGACAATGGAACGACATTCGGCGTTGTACTTGTCGATACCCATGGCGTAAACGTCGTGTTTGGAGGTGATACCCAACTTTTTGTCGATTTCGTGTTCAACGGGTAACCCATGGGTGTCCCAACCAAATCTACGTTCGACGTGGTAACCGTTCATGGTGGCATATCTTGGGATGATATCCTTGACGGTGGATGCCAAGATGTGACCATAGTGGGGGGTACCGGTTGCGAATGGAGGACCATCAAAGAAGGCAAATGGTGGTAAGTCTTCTGTGATTTCTAGAGTACGGTGGAACGCATTGACGTCGTCCCAAAGCTTGCTGACGGTGTTTTCTTCACCTGGAAAGCTGAATCCTTGCTGAGGAGCAGGTGCAGATTCAGACATGTTGTCGTTTGATACTAGAAGAAAGCTGTCTATCGAACAAATCAATTGAAGTTGTAGCTATGACTAATCCTTAAAAAGGGCAGACAGCCAAAAACTTTTGGGTGCTGCACGAAACGTCAACAAAGAAAAATTTTCACGTCACGTGCCGATCGCCATGTGACTCCACCCTCTGGCTTTGGCACCGTCTGGTTTTACAACACTCTCTCCTCCCCTAACCAGGTAGGTAGTAATAAAGACGTGGCGTGGCATAGCTTGGCATGGTATGAAGTGACAGCATGAACCGAATATCACTCGACGCGTTTAGTAATGTACTTCGCAAGTACTTCAACACGGCTGATGTCCTTCCGCGCAGAGTAGCCATAGCTCTCTCAGGGGGTGCTGACTCCATGCTCCTCACATACTTGCTAACCCAGTACAAACACTTGCACTCTCCCCATACCGAGATATACGCCATAACTATTGACCACAAGTATCGGCCTGAGTCTACCGATGAAACAAAACACATCCGTGATATAGTCAAGCAATGGGATGTGCACCACGTAGTGAAAACGCTAAGCTATGACCAAGAGGTCAGCTCAATAGGGAACTTTGAAGAAGTGGCCAGACATAAACGATACCTCAAGTTTGAAAACGTGTGCAAGCTGAAGCAAATAAGCGCATTATTCATGGGCCATCACTTGGATGACCAACTCGAAACGTTTATACAACGGCTCCAGGGAAACAGCTCCCTTTACGGTCTTGCTGGAACGAGAAAAATTACCCGACTTCCAAGAAACGACTTGTCTCCCATAGACAACCACCATTCAGTTTTCGTATACCGACCCTTCTGGCAGTTTGAAAAACGGGATATTGTAGACACCTGTCAGTTCAATGGGGTGAGGTACTTTAACGACCCCACCAATCAAGATATCGACTTGACCAGACGCAATTACTTGCGCCATTTAATTGGTGATGTGATCCCCGCAAAGATAACCAAACACTCTCAATATAGTTGCATATCCAAACAGGCACTCCGTGACAGCCATGAACAGGTGTACAACTTGGCTGAATCGTTTGAAGAAAAGGCAAACAACATCAAGAATATGATTGAGAAGAACGGCTGGATAAGAACAAACGATGCGATGAGCTCACTCAATGTGAAGATCCCTCGAAGATTGTTTGCCAAGCCTAATGAGATTGTGCTAGGGAAGTACTTTTACCAGATCTTGTATCCTTACTCTACCCTCAAGCATTACCACTGGGCGTATGCCAAATTGGAACGACAATTAGTACCGAAAATACAAAGGTTCCTCGACACTGACGACACTACATTCAAAACCACTATGATGAACCTTACGTTTGATATCAATATTATAGAAGAAGACATTCTTGACATTGCCATCAAGAGACAACCAATAGTCACGGGTGATGATGTGAGTTTGCTGGTTGATGTTACCGACAAATGGAGCGAGTATGTGCTCTTTGACAGAAGATTCTGGGTCAGGTTCTGCAGTGCTGAAAACATGCAAGTTAAGGTTATTCCCTACATGCACAAGAAATGTAAGCCCCGGCTTGCGCAAGATCTACTCAAAAGCAAGCAAGTGAACTCCAAACTAAACACATTGCCTGCTGTAATGTACCACCACGAAATAATAGCGTTTCCCAGTATTGGGCTCGTCCTGGAGAAGTATGACTCCTTCCGGATGGAGTGCTCGTTGAAAGAAAACAAATACGGACGATTAGAGCAAGAGCTATAGCAAGAACTAGAGCAAGAACTAGAGCAAGAACTAGAGCTAGAACTAGAGCTAGATTAGATAGACTTCATGGACATAGTTTATACAAATTAGCCAACCGTTTTGCAATCACCCGTGCGCTACCAAAAGAACACCGCTACATGGTAGCGCCAAGCAGAAAACTCTTGTGGTCGATTTTTTTTTCACCAGCCAACACAACTTCACTAGTAAACAAACCAGCAACCAGTTGAATCAACCCCAAACAAACACGAATTGAAAGTCAATCAAACAACTGTCTAAGTCAGGACACCCCCCTATCGCATAATTCCATCATGTCATCGCATGATTTTCATTCAATGTCCCGTTCCGGAACACCAGGAATGGCCCATGCGACTCCCAGGTACGGCCCTCCCAGTGCCATGGCCACCACAACTACCGCCACCACAGGCGCAACTCCCAGATCTCGTATACGGAGCAAATTGTCCAATCTACTGTCACAGCTCTTGAAAGTGGGGCACCAGCGAATAAACATCGATATAGACTTGGCCAATAACTCGATCGATGGATTCACGGAATTGACGATTATCCCCACCAGCAACATGTTAAAGACAGTGAAATTGGACTGTCGTGAGATGGAAATTAGGGATATCTTTGTCAACGGGATTCGATGCGTCAACTACATCCACAAGGATATGCTCTATATCAACGACCCGGCCTATTTTGAAGGATGTTTGGAAGATGGACGGGTTAACTTGTTGGATTTGTATAGCGATCGGTTTGGCATGCATCAACATCATATGATACGACAAAAGTTGAGTTATTTATTCAGAGATACACATACTTCGGCGGATGCAACTACCAGTGCACCACCAACTGTGGGGTTCGCCAGCACAACCAATCTAGCTGCTGCTGGTGCAGCAACCACATCTGTACCTACATCCGATTACACTACCAACACCGAAGAATTAGTCATCATCCTTCCAGAAACGATAAAGTTTGAACTCACAGACATAAACACAGTAACTCCACAATCAGCCATAACTCCGTCATATCTCAAATCCAAACCAACATCCTCGGAAGTGTACACCCCCATCCAGATCAAAATCGACTACCGTCTACAGAATCCCAAGAATGGAATCAATTTCGTCACCAACAGCAATATCGACCGTCGTAACTGGCACGCATACACTGTCAACTCGACATACGGCGTCCTGACATCCAGCTGGGTACCATGCATAGACAACTTGTGGGAAAGATGTACCTGGAGTCTTGAGGTGAATATACCGCGGACAATCAAGGATATAGGTAACCCCAGGATTATCGGAAGTAAAGAAGCAATCCAATATGCTCAAAGCAGGAGAAATACCGCTGTGGATGACGATGATGATCAAGAAGACGATGAACAGCAAGATGATGATGAGAATCTCGATTTGACGGTGTGTTCTGGTGACTTTAACAATGTTAAAGAAACTCCTCATCCTATTGATTTATCCAAGAAAGTTGTATCGTGGTCATTGTTTAATCCAGTATGTGCCCACCATGTCGGATGGGCTGTTGGTTGTTTCTCAAGTTTTGTCTTGGCCAACCAGGAATCCACCGCGAATGAAAGTGAAGAACAGGACTTTGAAGAAGAACAAGATTCCGAGTTTAAACCAGGAAGTACCCCCATCACAGTGTATGCCCTTCCCCAAGACATTGAGCTCGCAAGAAACACCACTGAAGTTACTTCATCTGCATTGGACTATTTCATTAAACAGTTTGGTTCGTTCCCCTTCAGTTCATACTCGCTTGTATTTGTTCAATTCCAACCCAGTTCTGCAGATGGGTATGCTGGACTCTCCATACTATCCAACAATTTGCTATACCCCACCAACATCATCGAACCAATGTTCTCCACCACCCAGACATTATTGAATCTGATTGCACACCAGTGGTCAGGAATAAACATTGTACCGCAAACCGTGCATGATTCATGGTGCACGATTGGTATTTCCCACTTTATGGCGCTGACGTATCTCCGTAAGCTCATGGGAATCAATGAGTACAAGTATCGCATTCGCCAACAAATGCGCGACATTATCAAGCAAGACATCGGGAAACGACCACTTGCGAACCAATACTATCGCTTCCCCATTGTTGAAACTGACCTTGACTTTGTTAAATTGAAAGCACCGATTGTGTTGTTCATTCTTGATAAGCGCATGACGAAAACCGACAAATCATTCGGATTGTCCCGTGTGCTCCCTAAACTCTTTCTCCAGGCCATGTCGGGCGACTTACCCAATGGAACAATCACAACCACGCATTTTCAATACTTGTGTGAGAAAGTCAATCGGAACAAACTAGACGGATTCTTCAAACAATGGGTGTATTCTACAGGAACACCGCATCTCCGAATCCAGCAGAAGTTCAATAAGAAACGAGGTATGATTGAAATGCAGATCCGTCAGGTTCAACATCTCGAGAAACGCCAGGCACGACTTACACCCCGGCTGTTTATCACTGACGCTACTTCATACATTGAAGACGAGCCGGGACATCCTTTACTTCCAGTATTCACTGGCCCCATCACCATTCGTGTCCATGAAGCTGACGGAACACCGTACGAACATATTGTCGAGTTGAAAGAAGGGAACGTCAAGATTGACATTCAGTACAATCTGAAAATGAGAAAACCAAAGAAGAAGGACATTGAAGCTGGGTTGGACATGATGTCGCCCTTCACTTCGCGACTTGGTGACGTTCTTACATCGCCGGCCGATATGTCTCTGTGGGGACTAAGTGAGTTTGAGAAGCGTGACGAGGAAATGATGTTTAATGATCCATTTGAGTGGATCAGAGTCGATGTGGATTACGAGTGGATTGCCGTGATTGATATCAAACAGCCCGATTACATGTTTGCCGCACAGTTGTGCCATGATCGAGACATTGAAGCACAACTTGAGAGTGTAAGGTATTTCCGTGGATTAGACAAGCCCAGCGTGGTGCATTGTACGGTGTTGGTGAGGACTTTGATGGATGATAGGTACTTCTATGGGGTCAGGATCGCTGCTGCTGAGGCGCTCGCCAAGTTTCTGAATTCGAGTAATAATTTCATAGGGTTGGGATATTTGTTGCGGGCATACAAGGAATTGTTTTGTTTTAGAGGTAGCACCATTCCCAAGTCCAATGACTTTGCTGATTTTAGACAATATTTTATCCAAGTCGCTATTCCGAAGATACTCAGTAAAGTGCGTGATCAAGATGGTATTGTTCCTCCTGTAATTCAAGAGTTACTACTTAATCTAGTCAAGTTTAATGACAACACCAATAATTCATTCACGGATGGAATCTACGTGTCGAAACTTATCGAAGCGTTGACCACTACTGCGGTCACTGGCCGCAAAGACGAACCCCACACCAAACAATTTGCCAAGCATGTCAACACGGAAATCGACAGACTCTTGAAGCTCGACCAGTACATGCCATCATACCACAACATCATTGAGATCACATGCATCAAGCAAAAAATACGTCTTGCCGTCGCCAACATCATTGATCTTTCCTTTGAAGACTTGCTTTACTTTACGCTAGACAAGTATCCTATGGAGGCTCGTGTGGAGGCATTCACGGGTTTGTTCCGTTTAGGAGGGTTGCGGAACTCGGCAATCTTGAATTACTTCCTCAAGGTGTGTTTGCTCAACTGGGACAGGCCAATGTATCGTCAGTCCCTTATTTCCTCATTGATTGAATCCATTGCCGTGGCCGCTATCGAAGGAACGCAGTCGTTACTTGATGATGTGGAATTCACTACCTCTCAAGCGGTGCAGGCTTCCAGCAAGACCGGGATGATCATTATTGAAGATGGGTCAGAGATGGAGAAACAGAGAGACTCGTATGCGCGTGCTACCGTGCGCGGGGCGATCGAGTTGCTTAGACGGGACTACAGTATCGGTAATGGATTGCGCGGGTGCCTTTGGGAACTTATCCATCTGAGTTTGGTGAGTGTCAGTGAACGAAGAGACTTGTTTAGCGTGTGTCTGGTGTTGTATCGTGAAGTGGATAAGATGCTTGTCAAGTTGAAGGTTCCAAGCATGGATGTGACCGAGTTTAATCGGAAAATTGTTGCCAAGAACTTGGGTGGTGGGAAAGTGGTGTTTAAGAGAGAAGGCAGGTTTAAGATTCAGTTGGCTACCAGAAAGAGCATCCTGTCTAAGTTGAAGTTGAGCTTGAAGCCGGCTGCTCCGTCTGGGATGGCTGCTGCTGCTGCGGCGGCTGCTGTATCTACGCCTATTGCGTCTGCGCATACGCCAGTGGCAAAGGCCAGTACTGTGGCTCCTCCCGTGCCGAAGGTTACTATCCCAATTGTTGCTCCTGCAAAGAAATCATTGGTTAAAGTGGAAAACACTCGGGTCACGTTCAAGCTTCCTAAAGTGAAGCTTTCGAGGTTTAGGGATGTGTTGGTAAAACATAATGGATCGGTTGTTACTCTTAAGTTCAGTCAACGGAATAGACATAGACTTGAATCATTGAGAGCGGAACCGGTTCATCGATATGTTAAAATTACAAAGTTCAAGACTGTGGAGATATCTAGTAAGCCGTTTGAGTCTAAACCAATTAGAGTTTCCAAGCCAGTTGACACTTTGCCAGTGGAGGTTTCTAAACCAGCACCTAGTTTGAAATTGACGATTCGTCCATTAAAAGAACCAAGAGTATCTGCGGTTGTCACTGAACCAAAAGAGTCACGGGCAGGAGCAATGCAACCAAAGGAATCTGCCAACAATAGCCCAGAAAAGGTTGTACCCAAGGAATCACCCAAAGAGAGCGCCGAGAAAGCAAATGAAGCCAAAGTATCGCCGAAACCAGCCAGCGAATCACCAAAGGAGTCAAAAGAGACGCCGAAATCACGTTCAAAGTCGTCTCTGCCTGAACCTACAAACTCCAACTCGCCGTTTTCCCGTTCGGTCAGTCCATACACCAAGAAGAAAAAGACCAAGATATACATTCATACCAGTAATTAGAAGTTTTGTAATAAATAGGTTTGTAACATTATACCACTATGTAAGCGCTCACGTGACTTTATTCCTGGTTTAGGAAAATGCACCACCCCCAAAAAACCACCCAGTACTAAAACGCCCTTTTTAGTCAAAGCTATATAGACCACTACGTAGACGATACAGCATGTTGCCAGCATTCAACATATCTAAAGCAACACCCACGACGTCTACTACGGAAACAACAACCAGTTATACGCCTCCTTCCAGCGGCAACACCGCGATTGACGTGAATACCAGTGGCAGTGGTGTGAGATCTCCATTGCGGACGACTGGGGATAGTAATGAAGGGTGGAGCTCTTCCGCCGTGGGACTGATTGATGACAGTAGAAGTGGCAAGGGGGCAAGCTTGATTGAATTGTTTGACAAGTTTGATTTGACGAAGGATGGGGCGGACGAACATGTGCACGAAGAACATACAGCGGAGGTTGAAGAGGGGGTTGAAAAGGAGGTTGAAAAGGAGGTCGAAAAGGAGGTTTCCTATGCCGTGGATGGGCAATCGGGTAGTGTGAATGTCGAGAATGGCAATTCCATTGAGAAGCAGGTTGAAAATGAAGAGGAAAAGGTCTTGGAACAGGAGTATGAGAAAGAGGTGTATCCTGAGCAATCCACCAGTGCAAATGCCGAGAATACCAGTAGTAATGAGAAGCATGACGAACCTGAGAAGGTAGTGGATAAGGAAGATCAAGTAGAAGAGGAGCCACTAAGGGAACCGGAAGAGAAGGAAGCGGAAAAGGAAGTAGAAGTGCCAGAACCAGAGCAAGAGCAAGAGCAAGAGCAAGAGCCAGTACCGGAGCCAAAGCCAGAGCCAGAGCCAAAGCCAGAGCCAGAGCCAGAGCCAGAGCCAGAGCCAGAGCCAAAGCCAGAAAATGAACAGCCCCAGGAACACAAGGTAATACAACCGGTAGATTCGGAACCTAAACCAACTCAAGAACGATCAAATATTGTTGCAGAATTGATGACGATGCAACCATACACACCACCTCTCGATAACGGAAGTTCAATAACTAGCATCCATAATAGTGGTAATACCACTAGCAATAACAATAATGATAACTTGATTGACTTGTCAGATTCTGAAAACACACAACAAGAAGGCCAACCACAACCACTGCCACAAGCTGTTCCACAAGTACCTACACAAGCTCCACACCCTGAAGCCACTAGACACGCATCAATACACGTAGATGTTAATCCCCTGGAACAATACCAACAATCCCACCGACCATTTGACTTTCACGTCTTTTTATCACATCTCCGCAAGAAATCAGCCGACCCACTCGTTCGTTACATCCGGTCATTTCTCTCCTCCTATATACGTCAAGGATACACCTTTTCAGCCGAGCAACGTATCAAGATCATCATTGACTTTAAGCAGTTTATGAACGACAAGTTTGCCATGTATGAGCCGTTTGCTAGCATGGACGATATCGACTTGGAGAACTCGCGTGAAGGATTGGAGAAGTTGGTTATGAATCGGTTGTATGACCAGTGCTTCCCTCCGGAAGTAGTCAAGACTAATCCTCAATTCATGCCTGATTCGTACACTCGAGATTTGATTTTGGATAAAGAGTTTGAAACGACATTGGAAAAGTTTAGCTGGATCAATGGGACGCATTTAGATATTGATCTTGACGAATTGGGTACTGACTCGACCAACTTTCTCGACCATGCCATTAATGAATTGAATAAGATTAATCAGTATCGTGCTCCTCGAGACAAGATTATTTGTATATTGAATGCGTGCAAGATCATATTTAGTTTTTTGAAACTGACTAATAAGGAAACCAATGCGGATGCGTTTGTACCGTTGTTGATTCTTGTGATATTCAAGGCCAAGACGAGTAACTTGATTAGTAATATTCATTATATTGAGAACTTTAGGGGTGAAGAGTGGGTTAATAGGGGAGAGACCAGTTATTACTTGTCTAGTATTCAAGGTGCCATTGGGTTTATTAAGAATTTAGGAGTTGATGAGTTGACCATCACCAATGAGGAGTATGATGCCCATATGGAAGCATGGGAAGCTGAACGGAAACAGCGAGAGGTGGAGATTAAAATTAACCAGACCGACAAAACAGATAGTGGTGGTGATGGTCTTCTCGTTCAGCCACAACCACAACATATCCCCAGCACACCCATGCGCCTGGCTGATTATTCCCAACAGGGTCTTTCGCCATCTAGTGTGCTTTTCTCCAGTGCTGAGATGCTTGGCAAGTCCATCTCGAATTTCCTTTCGCCACTGGCTACCCCACCGCTGCAAGACCAACAACAGTCGCAAGCGGTAGTACCGGCGGTGTCGCAGAACATGATTGATGAGTTTCAGAATCTCCCTGATAATCAAGAGTATCAACCGCCACCACCGCCAGAAAATGAAATTAATCATCAACAGTTATCGGAGGCATACGATACTCTTCGGGAGGTGTTTCCTAATTTGGATAAAAATATTCTTAAAGATATCATATATTTAAACCGGGGCGATGTTGACGTATGCATTGATGCATGTTTACAATTAGTTGCTGACGAATAGATAAATAATTGAATAGATAAATAATTGTATAGATAATGAAATAGTTAAAAGAACAAGTGGAGGAGATGGTGGTGGTGGTGGTGGTGGTGGTGGGGGGGAGATCAAGCGGATTGGTTTTCCCGATTTGGTTAGTGGGACCCGACTGATAGCCGCTAATTTTTTTTTTTTGTAATCAATTTTGGGTGCAACAATACGCTTTAGATGTCTATAAATATGGCAGTGAATTTCCCCCCTTCTCCCTCCTGAGTTGGATTGTTCTTGTCAGCTTTATCTTGTTAGCTTTATCAAATCATACTACCAACCATGCCTTTACAAGTTAAACCAGCTGCTCAATTGGTCAAGCCACCTTCCATCCCATCTCCAGGTAACAACTCCTTCCTCGGTGAAGTGTTCACCAGTGACGCTCCAAAGGGACAGGAAATCACTTCTGGATTCTACAGACAAGAAGCCGGTGAACCATTGGTGTACACATACACTTATGACGAAATGAAGATTGTTTTGGAAGTGGAAGGCGAATTCACCATTACTGATGAAACCGGACACAAGATTATTGCTAAGCCTGGGGACGTGTTGTTCTTCCCTAAGGGATCTACCATCACTTTCGCCACTACTGGATATGCTTTGAACTTCTACACTGGTTTGAGAGGAGCTGGTGAAGGTTAAATAGAGTAATTGTACGTCTTTCTGTTTGTATAATGAAATGAATACACACCTTGTTTTAGCAACCGGCGTTGATTGTCCGATTTTCTTTTTTTTTTTTTTTTTTTTTTATTTCTTCTATCAAGTTCTTTAAGTCACTCTTCCTCCAGACCCCCAATATATCGACAATATGCCAATTGATTACTCTAAATGGGACAAGATCGAGCTTTCTGATGACTCAGATATCGAAGTCCATCCTAATGTCGATAAACAGTCGTTCATCCGTTGGAAACAACGTGATATCCACGAAAAGCGAGCCCAACGTAACATTGAAATCAAATCCATCCTCCTCCAATTGACAATGTATCGTGCCTTGAACTTGCGTGTTGACTACCTCTTGGAATCATTATCCGAATCGCAATTGTTGGACCAAAAATTAGTCTTGCAAAAGTTGGACGGCCAATTCGACAAGAATGAGAAGTTTGACTATGAAAAGTTAAAGCAGGAAAAAGGTGACGAATTGAGAAAGGGATTACGTGACTTGACCTTTGATCAAAGTGAAATTGAAAACACTCCTTGCTACAATGAAATGATTGATGATTTGTTCATCCAGATCAAGGATGACCATGCCGATGCCAAGCTGGATGGAGCGAAGTTGAAGGGATACCTCCAGGAACACCGTGCCAAGATCGATGACGTCTTGTCTAAGCAAACTATCAAGTTGGATGACTTGTTGTACCAGAAATCTATGTTAATCAGTAGTGATGATATTCATACCGGGTTTGACCGTTCATTCCTTAACAAGAACGACCAGGATGAAGATGCAGAGGAAGTACCAGCTCCAGCTGTCGCGCCAAAGCAAACCGAAACCGTTACCACGACCGAAACAATCAACGCCTCTTCAGCTACACCTTCTGCTGCTGCTGCTGCTTCTTCTTCTACCCCCGCTGCTGCTTCTGCTACCCCCGCTGCTGCTTCTGCTACCCCTGCTGCTCCTGCCGCTGCTCCTGCTGACGACGAAACAGATCTCCACCTCGAAAAAGCAACTGCCGAATTCGCCAAGATCCCACCAAAAGACCTCACCAAGATTGCAGACTTCCTCATCAAACACACCCATATCATATCGGAACAACAAAAAGACGCGCTTATAATGACCGCTTTTGACCAACAACTCGCCAATGACTCTGCGGGTGCCTTGCAAACCATCCACCAATCTTTACTCCTCCAGTACATCTCCCAACTCGCCGGCCCACACCATAATCGCGACCAAGCTATTCGTGCTGTGAAGTTGTTCATTAGTAAAGTCGCTGATGAAGGGTCCCCAGCCCATACTGGTTTCATGGAAGACGTCAACAATACATTCAAGCACATTCAAACTCGATGTGAGATTATCAAACAAGAACAACAGGAATTGAACCCGGATGAACCAGAGGGGGAAGAGTTGATTCAGTTGAGAGCACTAGATGAAGGCACGGAATTACAAGTGAACATCCCGGCTGAAAACACTCCTCAGTACGAAATCTTCAAGACTAAGTTATCGCCCGAGTTCCAAGCAGCAATCATGACTCAGTCCTTGGATGAAGTCAACAAAGAGTTTGCAAAATTGAAAGTAGATGAAGCTGAAAAAGTGTTGGAAGTGTTTAATGAATGTGGTGTGATTGGTATTACGGGATACTTGGAGGATGAACAGGAATTCGAAGAGTTGAAGAAAGAATACAAGGAAGAAAACGCAGAACCAGTCGAAGATGTTGTAGATTAAGTACAGAAATAAATGCAATAGTAAAGTATAGTATAGTAGCCCCATCTCTTTCTACTTTTCGCTTGCTTCCTACTTTCGTGCCAATCGAGCCAATGTTTCCATAAGTGATTGCGTGCTCGATCCTCCTTGTTGCTGCTGCTGCTGCTGCGATTGTTGTGGCTGTTGAGAAGAATAGGATGATCCCTGTCTGTTTTGCAATTGAGAAAGTAATGCATTTACTTGATTGCCTCCCCCGTAGTTATTACTGTATTGTCCACCATGTCCACCGTATCCACCCTGGTTATAGTGTTGCTGAGGAGGTGTTTGTTGTTGCTGCTGCTGTTGTTGTTGTTGTTGTTGTTGTAACAAGCTAATCATTCCCTGGACTTGGGAAGGATTCAATCCTTGCAATGCCAGCATCAACCCAGCTTGATCCAGTTGGGTGGGAGCAGGTGCGGGGGCGGAGGCTTGCTGTGCAAACCTATATGGTTGCAGGGTAGGTGGTTGGAACTGAGGTTGAGAAGGAACAGGCTGGTTATATTGGTTATATGGAGAAGAACTCGAGCCATAGGGTTGTGACTGAGGCTGTTGATCCCAACCTTGATTGGAATACCCGCTTCTACCTCTGTCACGATGCTTCCGATCTCTTCCACCACGTTTTCCTCGCTTACGATCTCTGTCATAATGGTTACTGTGCATGGGTTCATTATAATATGGGTCAACTCCATAAGGTTGTGGCTGTTGATACGGTGCCGGCTCAGGGGGTGCATTATAACTAACATCTTGAGGGTAATAGGTTGGTGGGTTACCTCCATACCGTTTATTCTTGGCCTTGGCGATCAAATCAGCGCCCACTTCAGGATCAACGTCAGCATATTCATCAAACTTGATTCCTCCATCCGGGGTGCTTTCAAATGTTTGCACGTCAACTTTGAATTCCTTCACAACACAGGCACCAAGCACACCAGAATATGCAGCTTCACTAATGACGTCACTGAGATTACGATGGGTGATATCTTCGGTGTCAATCATCACTTGACAATTTGAAAATGCCTTCTTGACCTGTCTGACAAAAAACACAGACGATTTACCAGTAATGTACACCATACAATCGACATTCATCTTTCTTCGTTTATTCTGGGGAGACAATTCATCCTCTCGGACCCGTTCACGGCCCCTGGAACTCAAATTAGGATTATTTATCTCGGGTCTGCCAGGACGTCTTGACTTTTGTGGTTTGCTGGCATCCAACCTTAAAATCTTATTGTGTAAAGGAACATTGGTCTCTCCCTTAATGCACTCCAAACATGCCTCGGCAGTTCGAAACTGAACAAAGCCATACCCGGCCTTGATGGCGATTTGAATCACATCTCCGTATTGGCTAAAGATCCGGAAAAGATCTTGTTTGGAAATGGTGTTTGCTGGTAAGTTCCCAATAAACAATCTCAGCTTGTCGGGGAACTCGTCCCAGTTCTGCAAGTTCATATAGTATGATTCTTGCTTGATAAACTCTTCATATGCGTGCTCTTCCTCGCGGGACATGGGTGCAGTGATGTTGGGTCGACGACAGTATTCATTAACAGGGACCAATGGAATGGGGTCCTTCAAGTTCTTGAATGGCTTATTGTAAGAATACACTTGGTCATAATTCATGGCTTTGTTGGACGAAGTCAAGGACACGCCTTGTTTGTTGAGCTGGTCTATAATCAACTTCATTTGCTCATCTTGGGGCAAATTGACAAAGTTGGGGTCTTTTGCAATCTCGCTATGCATAACGGCATCATAGGCTTCTTTTAGCTTGTGTTGGGGGTCAGGGATTTGCGTTGTTGCTGGTGTTGGAGAAACGACCTTTTTGTGAGATCCGGCCATTACTGGAGGCTTTGGGGGCAATCCGACTGGTGCGGGTTTACCCTTGAGGTTAGATGGGGGTGGAGGTGGAGGTGGAAGTGTTTGTGATTTGGGCGGCTCTTTATTTGTGTCTTGGTGAGTTGGAAGCGGCAGCTGTTCCAATGCTAATTCCGGATCATAATCATCTTCATCTTCATCTTCCTCGTCGTTCGATTCACCATTGTTGGGTGCTTCAGATGGGACGAACTTGGAGTCGTCACTGGACAATGCAGTTGCTGGGTCATAGTCCACGTCGTTGTGCAATTCAACTTCAACCCCAGCTTCATCTTCATCGTCTTGGTCTGGGGCAGCCCCTTCCTCTTGTTCTTGAATTGCATCCTTAGACTCTTTTTCATCACCTGGAGCACTTTTTTCTTCACCTTCCTGTTGCTCTTGCTCTTGCTCTTGCTCTTCCTCTTCCTGTTGCTCTTCCTGTTGCCCTTCCGCTTCCCCTTCCGCTACCCCTTCCGCTTCCTGTTCGCCTTGCTGCTGCTCTTCAACGTGTTCACTTACACTTTCAGTGCTGCTGCTACTGACGGTGGTGCCATTGCTATTGCTATTCAAATCCTCGTCATTCGGTCTGTGGAGACTGATTGGTTTGACTTCCATCCTACTTCCTATTAGCTTCTGTGTCGTAAGCGGGCAAAAGAGGCAGTAGCCAACGATTAAGGGCGCTTATAGAAAAGTTTGTTAGCAAATGCTACAGGCCAGCGGTCGTGCACCAGCGTCAAATTTACTCGTGACGTAATTCATGTGACCTTCCGCACGTGATTTCCTTTTGTCCCAATTAGGAAACAAAATAAACAACAATGAAATCAGATCAACTAAAATCCCAGTTACTTTATTCAACTACACATCTGTCTTGTTTTGTTTTTGTTTAGATCTAGATTACAGTAGTATCACCATCATGTCCTTCTTGCAAAACTTTAACGCCCACTCGTTGAAATCAACGCGTGGGTTCAAGCTCAAACAATCGTCCCCAATCTCCAGCCCCCAGCCAATTGGGAACTCGGTCGACTCGTCGTACCCGCAAGAATACTCACAATACCAAACCATAAACACCAATCTAAAGCTCAATAATGACGACACCAATACCATGTCGGGCACCGCCGGCGTATCCACTCACAAAGATATCAGAAACTACGCCGAACAGACCCTTGGTTCAGACAATGCCCTTATCCAAGCCGTGAAACTCCCCCGTGATGAAGACCTCAATGAATGGTTGGCCATCCATGTGGTGGACTTCTACAACCAGATAAACATGCTTTACGGTGCCATCACTGAGTTTTGCTCCCCAGCCACCTGTCCCCGTATGATTGCTACTGAAGAATACGAATACCTTTGGCAAGAAACCCCCATGGACCAACATCGTGGAGATAGCAACGCCCCTCCGCTGCTGCCCAGAAGACCAGTGTCGTTGCCTGCGTGCGAGTACATTGAAAACTTGATGAACTGGGTCCAGGGGTTCTTTGACAATGATAACATCTTCCCCAGTAAAATCGGGGCTCCGTTCCCACAACAGTTCCCCAGTCTTGTCAAGACGATTTTCAAGAGATTGTTTAGAATATACGCTCACATCTACTGTCACCATTTCCATGAGATTAGTGAGTTGGGCTTGCAGAGTCATTTAAACACTAGTTTAAAGCATTATGTATTGTTTGCTAACGAGTTTCAGTTGATTAGTAGAAAGGATTACGGGCCGCTTGAAGATTTGGTCGATACCATGTTGAGAAGGTAGTAGGGTTTTTATTACAACAATTGCACCTCTGCCATTATGCAAAGGTGATCGGAGGGGTATTGATAGATTCGTGGTTGGCCATTTGGTTTGGGTCCCATATCCCCAGGCACGGGCAACTTCAATAATCTAAGTAATTTAATATTATACTTGTCAGCAATCTCTTCTGGGGTGTCTACACTATGGGAAAAGTCCTCTGTGTTATCCCAGTCGGTAAGTATGAATATATAGTCCAACATCCCACTCCAGGTGTTGACCCAATTAGTAAACATGGGCTCGTTTCTGTCGTTATTTATCCCTGAGTTTTCCGGGTGGGCTAGTTTGTAACCGACTGAATATAATGATATTGCTCGAACTTTTAAGGTATTGTGAGCATTTTGCATTTGTAGAAGCAACTGATCTTGATCGGGAGTAGGCATGAATACTTCTGGTTCCGGATCGGTAGGGTTCTCTCTTTGTTCGTCGTCAAGTCCGTCATTCTCATCTACTTCGTTTTCTTCAGACAGAGAGCCATCTCTTTGTTCTTCTTCTTCTTCTTCTTCTTCCTCTGCATCTGGTTCCTCCTCGTCATTCTGACTTTCAAGTGATCTAACCTGCGAATAAGTATACGTCAATGAACATCCTAGCACATTCTTGGCTTGGCCCAGGTATTCAATCGGTTTTGCAGTAATTGACAAATATGGAGCATCAAACGGTTCCGAATTCATATCACCAGTAAAGAACGAATAAAACCCCTTGGAGTTTCCAAGTATAACGCTTAAAATCCTTGTAAACTCTTTATACTTGTGTAACATCATATATGTCTGGCGACACCGTTCAAAAGTGCCGAATGGATGCCAAAACAAATGGGTATTCCCCACAATTAACCCATTCTTGTTGCTCAAATGTGGATACTGTTTAAGTAAGAACGGTTGGAATTCTAAATATGTCATAAATCCCACATTTTGGGTGGCTATTCTAGCACTTGGTAGTACCACTTCTCCTTCGTCATGAACAAGATCATGGTCGTACTTTATAAACAGTTGATGCTTGCATGTGAACAACTTTGACTTGAAAATAATGGCAACACCGTGGTTCTTGGTATTATACCGATGATACTTGACGGTATAACCCAACTTGTCAAACTCCTTCATCCAAAACGTCTTCAATTGGAGCTTGTCTAATTCCTGCAAGCATATGATATCGGCATCGTAGTGCTTGATTTCGTCCAAGAGGATGGTGCTTCTGATTGACCACTTCAATATCTTTCCATTGGTAGGAAACAAGTCTCTTCGTATGAGTGTCTGCGCCAAGATGTTGTACGACATAATCTTGATTTTGGGTGCACCCTCATCACCATCACTAACTTTAAGCAAGGGTCGTTTTATATACAATGGCCGTTTGTCTTGTTCATCCTGGGGTATCAACCCCAATGCCTCTTTCTCCTTGCGTTCTTGCTCCTTGCGCAAGTTGCGTAGCCTACGTTGTTCTAGGATATACTCTGGGGTAAGTTTAGCAGGGTCCATTGGTTTCTTAGTGTTGATGCTCTTTCGCCGCTGTAATGAAGCAAGAAGTTGCTCTTTTTCTTCATTAGATAAATCTTCACTCATTCTCGTATGTGTTTATACCTATTAGTTGCGGTGTTCTGCGACAATTGCCAAGTCTGGTAGATCGAATCAAACGGTCATCCCTTTTTGCCTAAGAAAATTCTTTGAATGTTGCCAACCAACAAAGTGCGACAGTTTGCTACGGTAATTTTCATAGTAAAACGTTACACGTATATATCACTAGTGGTTAATTGTGTATAATCACAATCGAGATTTGTATTGGAGTGCATTTTCATCATGTCATCTCACGTATACTACAAGAAGTTGGATAACTTACAACACCAAATATACACGTCACTAGATTCATTGACAACCACCACCCAAGACTTCGATTCAACAGTCAACAAACATTTGCACCAACAACTACTCAAATACAAAGACTACCTCCGCATATGCAAACACAAACTCGCCACAAGTGAAGATTTCCACACGTTTGAACTCTACCAATTGCGATACCTGTCCTTTAAGAAGAAGCTCCGTGAGATCCTCATGGACAACCACAGCCGAGAGGCCCAACTTTCACATGAATTCAGAATCAAGCAGTTTGGATTAGACAAACCTGTTCAATCTGAAAAATCAAACACCAGCTCCGGATTAAGCGACCGAGATCAGCTCTTTGGCGATGCGAAATCAAGAGAGACAAACAAGGCCATCTCTGAACTCTCCATGAATCACCAGATCGCTCACCACAACAAGCAAATCACCCAATCACTCCAAACATCGCGACAATTACTCTCGGCCACGATTCTCCAAAGTGAATTAAACTTGAACTCACTCGATCAACAAACTAAGGACTTGCACAAGTTGAACGAGGGGTTTGTCCAGTTTTCCTCATTGCTCAACCGGTCTCAACAGATTGTCAAGTTTATCGAGAAGCAGGATAAGGCCGATAAGCAGAGGATATACATGTCTGGGGCGTTCTTTTTGTCGTGTTGTTGTTGGGTAATTTATCGAAGAGTGTTGCGTACGCCTATTCGATTAATGTTGTGGTCGTTTTTCAAGATTATTGGGATTTACGGGTGGTTGACTGGTGGTAAAGATACATCGGTTGTGTTGTCTAGTGGTATCATGGAGACTGTAGCCACAGCATTGGAGTCTAGTTTAGAAGAGACTGTCTCGGAGCAAGCAATCACCTCATTAGCTTCATCCGCAATTATCGCAACTACTATCCTATCAAGCTTGCTTGGTAGTTCTTCTGTAATGTCCGTCTTGCATGAAACATATGTATCGTCTGAAACTTCATCCGCTACTGCATTATCAGAATTAATAGATACACCTGAGACAGCTGAGTTATTCAATAATGCACCTGATACTACTACGTTATCCACGGTTGAAGAACAGCTTGAGTACACGGAACCGGCAAACTTGGATGATCCAAATGAGTTAGAAGATGTACCAGATGCTTCTTCATTATCAATCGTGCAAGATCCTGTTACTCATACCACGGAGTCATCTGTCTTGGTTGATTCAAATGATACAGCTGACATAGAAAACTTGGACAATATACCTGATACAGATGAGTTATCAGTGGAGGATACACCAGATGCTCTTGTATCAACCATTGTCATTGATGACTTCTTAGATTCGGAAGTTTACACTGATTCATCTACATATATAGAACCCGAACACGATGAATTATAAATATATATATATATACTATCTATGGAATTTCTACGTTAACACTAGTACCGTTCTTCTTGGAAGATTCCAAAGCAGCAGCAACGATAGCTAAATGGTGGAATGCCTTTCTTGGAGTGACCTTGACCAACTTCTTATCGTTGGCCTTGACGACATCTCTGAAGTTCTTGAATTCTGCTTCAATAGTGTTAATTTCGTCAATTTCAATTGAAGACTTGGCAGAAGCAGTGGATGAAGTAGAACCAGTTTGATAAGTGACGGTTGGCTTGGACAAGCTTGGAGACCAGTCGTAAACAGCTGATCCTTCAGTACCGAAAATTGTGAAACTGGTGGATTTGTCAGTGGCCCCAAAAGCAGAACCATAAGTAAAAGTACCAATAACCCCGCTCTTTAATTTGAAGGTAGAGAATAAGATATCATCAGCACCACTTTGTTCTCTCAATTGCTTAGTTAATCCACTAACACTTTCAACTTCACCCAAGACTTCGGTTAAAAGAGCCAATTGATGGACACCACCATCACTCAAGAACCCACCAATGTGTTCTGGCTTTTGTCTCCATCCAGTGGCCAAGTACTTGGAAGTATCGTGGAATGGACCAGTGGCGTTGTAAGTGAAGGCAACGACTTCACCAATCTTAGGCAAGACTTGGTTCTTCAAGATGTCAATGGCAGACAAGTAAGTCCAGTTTTCCAAGATCATGATTGGGACTTCGGTCTTTTCACTCAATTGGACGATTTCCTTGGCTTGTGTCAAGTTAGCAGCAATTGGCTTTTCAAAAGCTAATGGTTTGTTGTGTTCGATGGCCAATTTGACGGCATCCAAGTTGAATTGGACTGGTAATAATGCATCAACAAAATCAATGGTCTTGTCTTGGAAAGCTTCTTCTAAAGTGTCGTAAACTTTATCTTGTGGGATTCCTGCCTTTGTAGCGAATTGTTCGGCCTTGGATTTGGTACGGTTGTAAGCAGCAGCTGGATTAAGTTCAGGGATCTTTTGGATAGTAGGTAAGTGGGTATCGGTGGCGAAGATACCGGTACCGACAACGGCAAAGTTAATTTTATCAGACATGGTGTATTAGGATGTGTTTATAGTGCTTAGAAAAATATGGAATGAATTTTCAGATAAAATTTCACCTATTTATAATCGTGGCCACACACAGCAAAGAATTCTTCCGAGATGTTAGTGGGGTGGATTTTTCCGAAAATCTGCCACAAACAATAACGCTAGTAAGGCAAACATTCTCCACTTAGGATCTATTCTCGGAGTCCAGTCGTGGCGTGCTTGGTAGGGCTTTTTCTTAGGGATCGACCTTCCTTGCGTTCTGCCATGCGATCCCCCACTGCCAAGACAGACTTTAAATGCCTAAAAAAAAAGAAAATTTTGGGGGATCCATAGGGTATGTTGCTATGATACGTTGATGTTACATCATAAGCTACGATGTGCTTAGTAATACACATGTATATGCTTATGTACTCTGTGACACATATGCCAAAAAACGTTAGTATTGTTCTTTAATTTAGACAAATTAGGTTACTGAATCGAAGCCCAACTCCGAAATGACAGCATTATCAGATCTGGAATCGTAGCCTATTAATAATCTAGAATAGTTAATGCATACGATCCAACAATGTTGCCGCTTCTTTCTGGGATGTGGCCAAACCTAGCTAACTTCCGAGTATGTCTCAACAATACAATGGTTTGATATTTCTCCTTTATGTGTGATTTTAATATCTGTAACACTTTTTCAATGTCCGGTTCGGAATCCCCCAATACTTCACTACGGGTTTTGAGATACCAATGCATGTTGATTTTCACATATTCTCTCCCAACTACTGAAAATACAAATGGATACTTGTCTTCGACTTCCAAGATCCATGAATTGAGTAAATAGTTGAATGATTCAGTGAGATCTTGAATGTTGCAAATGTTTTCTTGTGTTAACCAGTGGAGTGTGATTGACACTTCTTTTAGCTTAGATAAAGATTGATACTGACCAGTATTGAAAATTTGACATTTGAGATCTAGTTTGAATGATGTTTTGTTTTCTGTAGATACATTTGTAGTAGTTTCATATCCCAAGCTGGTAAAGTATGTGGAATTTATTGTAAAATTGGCAAATTCTCTTAGAAAATTACCGTTGTAAGTACTTACTTGTAAAATATGCCCATTAATCACGATATTGAAGTGAATTACAAGCGTGAGACTAGGAACGACCACACTAGCATCACCATCAACATCCACTTCATACTCCAATTTGAAATAGTCTTTGTTCTTTCTTATAGTTAGACTCATTATTGGTGTTGCCAAGTGGCTGTAAAAAAAAATAAAATAAAAGACTCTAAAAATTTTCCATATCTAACAACAGACGATAACACCATGTATAAACCAAAGTTCCAGTTTCGACCAAACACAACTGGTCTCATAATAAACAAACCGACAATAGATCTCACCAAGGTACGAAACCAGATAGTACAAATACCGACATTCAAAAGGAAACTTCTCTACTTGTACAAACAATTCTACAAACTATGCGATTTTCAGTACCATGAGCAACACGATAACATCAACAAATACCAAACCCTTCTCCGTCGAAACTTTTCACATATTTCATTCAACAATAGGCGGAATGTTATACTTTCAACAACTGAAGATTTGAATGAGAAAGAACTAGTAGAAAGAATGTTGAATACACTTGCATTTGTATTCAATGCGACTGTGGCTCGGGATGATCCTCACATATTCGACGAAATTCACAATCACGATGATTTAAAAAAGACGAATATTGAGAATATGGAAGCAAATATATTAAACACTATCCTCCGAATGGATTCTACAAAGCCTGACGTGATAAAGTACGATTTCCAGTATAATTGGTGGGGCAGATTCCGAAATGACGTGAAAAAAGTCCAGGACTGGGAGAAAGTAACTCGGAAACAACTCAGACTGATGAACCTCGAATGGATGACATTCTACCAACATGAAACTACGGTGATGCGATTGAATGAAAACTTAAAATTATGTTTGTAGAAGTTGTTTGCCACTGGTTCAAGGACACAAAAAAAAATTGCTATACAAACATCTTTCTTTTCTTCTTAAGTTTGCTCCATTGAAAAACACACCATGGCTTGGCTTCCATTCGGCAATAAAGACAAGAGTAATGCTAAAGTAGATCTTGTTCAATCACCACAAATTGAACAGAGATCTCATCAACCAATGCCTACTTCAGATATAGATACCACGTTGAACCAAATTTCCACCCCCACATCGTCGATTAAAGTTAAGGATATCCAAGACACCACTGATCCTAAACAGGCCCAAGCTAAGATAACCGAGTTTGTCCAGAAAGATCCGTGGAAAACTTTCATCATTGATGGTGAACATAATGCTGACCAGAGTATAATTTGTACTGATACCAATGATGGCAAAACGTGTTTGAAATTAGGTATCAATTCTGTCAAGATGTTCAAGGTTATGCAAAGTTTGGAATACTTTTGTTCATTGCCTAACGACGTTGATGCTACTTACTTTGAGTGTAGAAAGATAAAATAGTTACCTTTTTGTATATATTTATAACCTATATCATTAAAATTTATCAATTTATAAAAATTTATAAAAATTTATAAAGTAAATATCTATCAAGTTAAACCATGAATGATTCTCCACAACCACAAGTTCCCTTGGAGTTTGGATTCTTGAAAATAAATCTAGAACTCAATTTATCATCCAACCAATCCATTTCCGATCCTACAATACTGAATAATGCCTTGGAATCAATCAACACCTTGACACCATCTTGTTCAATTAATTCATCAAACTTGCCTGCTTCTTCAACGTATTCCAAGTTATATGTCAATCCTGAACATCCTCTATTTCTAACACCAATTCTAATCATCTTTGGGGTTGGTTGATCCAATAACCTCTGGAGATGGCTCACGGCATTGGGTGTCAACGTAATTAATGCCTTACGTGGACGTAAAACTCTCTTCTTCTTTGGGGCTGCTTGTGTCACTGCCGGAGTGGTAGCACTAGATGTAGTAGTAGTAGTAGAAGCTTGAGCTGGTGGAGCGGTGGACTTGGTTGATTCAATGGCAGCCTTGACTTCCGGATCGGTTGTTATTTCAATGACATGGGGTGGGGTTTGTGGGGCAACTACTTTAGGATGCGATGTGGTTATTTCCTTCAAAGTGTTGTTTGTGAATCTGGAAGTTCTGGATCGTCTAACGACTGGGGTGTGTTGTGGAGTAGATGCTTGGTTTGCTTGTTGTGGTTGTTGTTGTTGTTGTTGTGGTTGTTTTTGGATTTGAAGCTTTGAGCTTTCACGGTGACCCACTGGATTCAAGAATGATGCATTGTTTGCTAATGAAGTAGCTCCAAGTGGTATAGTTTGTATGAATCTCTTGTTCTTCTTGGTTTGGCTAGAGATAAATCTCCTCAATGTAACAGTTGATGTCCTAGCAATCATATCTCTATAGGTATATGTATATGATAATAGTTAATAGTAAGCGATGGGTGTAACGCGAAGATATGTCAAAAACTGGAGAAATGATATCAAAATAAAACAAAATTTAAATTGCTTTATAAATAAAAAAAACAGTAGAGTGTAATTAGCAGCAACTTACTAATGTTAAGCGGTCATTTGGTATTTTACAAATTTTTTTTAAGCGGGCCCAACTTTTCCCTTATTCTCCTGAATCTGGCCGGTGCACGACCTCCGCACCACTCCTCCCCAGCATTTCGTTCGCATAAGCAAATTTGAATGAAATGTTATTGGCCAGTTTCTTTTGTGGTGGTTCTCCGACGCTCGGCTCCAGTATCACGTGCGAGAAAATGTCGTTTTTCCAATGCATTCTTGGCGTTTCTATTGTGGTGACTAAAAGTCTTGATAATTCGAGACATTGACTCATACGCAATGTCCCCAATATTAGCTCGGCAGTCAGCAGACTGTTTATTTATTCAATCATCTTAGTTAAAACTTACTGAAGTTTAGACAACTGTTGTGGATTGCTCTTCGTAAGTTAAGATACTAGCTGTTGGCGTGTGTGAGTCTGTCCGTTGTTTCTAGACCTATTCTTGAACCTGGAGAAACTTTAATTCCAATTGAACTTCTTTACCTTTTTTAAAGTATGCTCTGATTGTATGTGATAGTCTTTTGAATCAGAAACCTGCCTCGGTATATATTAGATCATATCCAGATCTTGCTTGGCTTGTTTGGGTAGTTTTCTTATTTTCATTTTATTCTTTTTTTTTTTTGGCAGCCAAACGTTGGTTTTGTGTGCCGTTCACTCTGTATATATGACCGCAAAAAAGATACTTCTTCCTTAACTTTCTTTGGCGGCAATCTCTTCTTTATTTTAGTCAATCACCGTTCATCCATTAAGTTGTTCATTCATCAATTCAAAAATGGCTTCCGATAATGAAGATCCAATCGATACAGCAGATTTGGAGAATCAGTGGTATAATCGACAAATAACTAAAATTAACCTAGCAGAAATTTATATCCACAACTATGACCACAATTTGAACCACATCTATAATGAAACCTGCCATATGAAAGAAATTGAAGAGTTGAACACCGTAGAATTCTGGAAAGACTTTATAGTTGGAGTCGAAGAGTTCTACACTAACATTAGAACCTATTTTAACAACCCCGCTGGTTTCAAAATCACACAGGGATACATCCACAACCTAGAATATGGAAATGGTCCATATGCAATGGATGACCTTAAAATCCAGCTTGTTCTCCTTGATGAAACCGTTGTTGGGTTTATCAAATCCAGATCCCAATTAATTGACGAAATTTGTGCTTTCACTGGTAACAAAACCGCCACTATGAAAGATGTGTATGAATACTTCAACTCCAAACGAACTCTTACTTCAGCAGAAACGTGCTATGAGCCAGAAGAATTGGTCATGAAGGATGCTTTGAGAATTGTCTTTGTTACAGCAATGGGATTCCGTCGGCAAACCTTATTATGGATGCTTGCGTTATCGGATGAAATTAAAAAGAAAAAGTCTGAATGCTTTCAATTCTTAAATTCGATCCCATTTGAATTCATCTTGGCTTATATTTCCATGAAGCAAGATAATGACGCCAGTGGTGGGGTCCTTCGAGGGTATATCCCATTCACAAACTTCCTCGCTAACGAATATATCCTTTATAAAGAAGATAAAGAGGCATACAAGATGAAACCATTTGAAACGGTACAGTACTTGTTAAAAACCGATCCTGAAGTTGACTCGCAACATTTCACCAATCTTGGTAACGTTTATACTGGCAAAAGGGCAACTTTAAGCCAAGCTCTAGCAAGCAAAACTCACGACAAAAGACCAGAAAGATTTACCGAATCGCCTCCTTCATTTGCCAAAAGAAAGTTGCATCTGAGTTTTGAACGAGCAAGCAAAACTAGAAGAATTGAAAGACCTTCATTCAGAGATCGGAGCAATATTCCCTATAGTAGAGTTCATACTCCCCTGGCCGGATGTGATAGGTATATGCCAAGGATTTCGGAAACCAATTTGATTCCCGTGAATGAAAATAGATTTAAACTGCGTCCTGTTGGACCAAGGGACGATACCCCAATAGGTTCATTGAGTCGTCCAACTAGTCCAAGAGAAAATAGTCCACTTGCTCCACCAACTCCGGTGTCTTCTATTGCCAACTTGGACAATATCCGTTGGCCAGAGCGGGATCCTGATACTAAGAAACCAGAGACTGTTGTCACGAGTAGCATTTACCCAAAATCCAACGATGAAAACGAGACTCCTCATCTCCCAATTGCACCAATGGACAGAAGACCTAGTGTTGATGTTAAACCATTAAGTTACAAAGAGATTATCCATAAATATACTCGCACTAGTGATGGAGCTACTATAGGTAGTAATCTTTTAGGATCTTCTTGTGGTAAGAAAAATAAAGAAGTTATAAAGCTGGATAGAGAACAGCCAGAGGAAGACATAAAGGTTATTGGTATATTGGAAGAGCATAAATCAACCAGATCAGAATCTACTCAAAAGGAATAGCCCGAACTGTCATTAGTTGCTAGACTTAGGGATCAGCAAGGAAGCGGTTCCATTAAACAGAAGAAGAAATTGGTTCGTTTTCACAATATGCTGGTTACTATACCATATTAGTTGGTCATGTTTCGGTTAATAATATAATTGGTTAGAATAGTTTTTAATATAATTGCAAAAACTAAATGCTCGCTACCATTTGTATGAAAATTTATAACTGAAATTTTTATAAAGTGGTGAACTAGATCTCTATCAAGCAACTCCACAATACACCATGGCAATAAACTGGAGATCCGCATTTCAAACATCAGCAGCAGTGCTATCCCTTGTAATAATTCTCAAAGAGCTCCATGGACTCCTTACTCGAGACACGACCAAGGACAAACTCACATTACTCCCACCCCGAACCCGCGGTGTTGAATCCCTCATTGGCAACACCCCACTCATCGAAATCAAATCCCTCCTGAAATTCACCGGATGTAAAATCTACGCCAAGTTAGAACTTACTAATCCTGCCGGGAGCGCCAAAGATCGAGTTGCCCTTGCCATTATCCGCAATGCTGAATCTGAAGGGCGACTTGTTCCACACCAGGGAAATATCATATATGAGGGAACTAGTGGATCTACAGGAATTTCCTTTGCAGTATTGGCGAATGCATTGGGATATATTGCTCATATTTGTTTGCCTGATGATACTTCGCCGGAGAAGCTTCTGTTATTGACTGCCTTGGGTGCTGAGATCGAGCCTGTGAAGCCAGCAAGTATAGTTGATCCTAACCAGTATACCAATGCCGCTCGTCGTGGAGCAGACGAAGTCAACGCTAAAGGTGAGAATAAGGCGATTTTTGCGGATCAGTTTGAGAATGATTTCAATTGGAGAATCCATTATAACACCACTGGTCCTGAGATTGTGGAACAAATGGGTGAACATATTGATGTGTTTATTAATGGAAGTGGAACTGGGGGTACGATTGCTGGGGTAGGGAGATACCTTAAGGAAGTCCAAGGACAAGATACCAGGATTATACTTGCCGATCCTCAAGGGTCTGGTTTAGCCAATAGAGTAAACTTTGGGGTTATGTATGATTCAGTAGAAAGGGAAGGGACAAGAAGAAGACACCAAGTGGATACCTTGGTTGAAGGAATTGGTCTTAATAGATTAACCTGGAATTTCAAACAAGGAGAGAAGTTCATTGACGAAGCAATCAGAGTCACAGACAGCCAAGCATTGAAAATGGCGAAATATCTTTGTATAAATGACGGGTTATTCTGGGGAAGTTCGTCAGCCATCAATTGTGTTGCTGCGGTTAAGACAGCTTTGAAGTATGGTCCAGGTCAACGTATAGTTGTTATTGCGTGTGACTCTGGTGCCCGTCATTTATCCAAGTTTTGGAAAGAGGCTACAAAAATACCTAATGACGTTACATTAGATGAAATACTAGCAGAATAGTAAACTTGTATATATATATATATCTATATAATTACTTCTGTTTAGCTAATTCCTTTTCAATCATAGCCTTCTTGGTCTCTCTATACAACTTTATCGTACTCAATACTGAAGCAGTTATACCCATCCATATTTGCCAAGTTGCAAATGGTAAACGAAGTTGGAACACTGTGTATGTGTTGAACCCTAAATCGGCTAAGTTCTTGTATATGTCTAACCAAGCATTATTCTTTTTGAATTGGATTTCTTCAAGAGCTTCCAAGTCATCATTGGCGGAATTACTCGAGAATGATTGACTCATCATGGTTGACCCAGAGCCATTACCCAACAATTGGCGTGAGAGAATCTTGGCTTTATTTCTCACTTGAATCAGAATCTTTAAGTCCATTTCTTGCTGTGATAACTTGTTCAACTTTTCAACGGCATTGTACATCGCTAACCAAGTTTCAGAATACCAACCAAAGGATTCATGACGCAGAGCAAATTTCTTGTATGATGCATTAGATAATAATTTCAACTTGTAAAGCAAGAGTGATTCATCATTAATCCCATAGTAGAGTGATGTGAATTGACCCAAGGTTGCTTTTGTAAATAATTTCTCATAATTTATATCAAGTTCATAATTTGACTTTAAATTGACATTACTGGAGATCTTATTGAAAAGGTTTCTAAGTCTGAATGGCGTTTTCCCAAATCTGAGGAATTGTCGATACAAAGACAATCCATTAACCATACCGGAGAACTTGAGTTTGATATTAGCACAGAGCCAAATAACGATAATCCGAATAAAGTCTTGGGGATGTTTGATGAAATTTTTCAACAAGTTTAATTTTTTAGTGGTATCATTATATCGATCATTTATAACTTTGATGTTCATGGAGTCTGTACTGAGATACAGTTCTGACGTTCCCGCGTGATGTATAAGTAAACGTAACGTATATTGGCCAATCTTGGCAAGTTTGTCTTTCCCCACAATATCATTGAGCATGCTCCAGAAAATATCCCAATCACTGATATGGGGTATGGTTGGCTTGAGAGCTGGGGTGACGGTATTAGCTCTATCGATGTCTATGGCTGGAAGTGAGCCGGATGCTTTGGTCTTGTGGTCATGGTGGTCAGATACTGGGGTGTTTATATAAGCAAAGTTGGTATTTGGTCTTGTTGATTTAATTGGAGTTTCGTATCGGAGGGTGGTTGTGGCAATTTGATGTTGTTGCAAAGTTGCAGTTGCGGTAGAAGACATGTTTGAATTGTACTGATAGTTGCTGTTGAGATTAACTAGCTTTCTATATGGCGACGACTTGTTTGATAACGGTGAATCTATCCACTCTGAATGGTAGTAATGTTGATTCGGCGATGGACTTGGCGATTCTGTTCCAGTCTTATTATTGATTAAATATTCTGATTGAGTGTATGCTATATCTGATATACTCCTTGGACTATGTTGTTGTTGTTGTTGTCTGGAGGGTTGCTGTGGCTGGTACTGTTGCAGATAGATATATTTACTGTTGGTATAGTGGTGTGGTGTGATGTAATTTGTATTTTGTGAATGAAGGTCATTCATGGCAAGAAGAAACAGGAGCTTATAAGTGAAAGTCAAATGAAACGTGGCTTCATTTATATAGGAAACACACAAACCTAGTGAAAATCTATTAGCTTTTTTTGTTTTTCTTTTTATTTTTTGTTTTTTGTTCCTTCCGCCTAACGGAGGGGAAATTAGCACAAGATCAAGAAGTTGCAAACCACAGAATTAAATCAATATCACAACCATATCTTGCTGGCAACTTTACCGTATGGCAATCACCAGATGTACAGGTAGTTAGGAGTCAATCTAGTCACCTATATATCTGAGAATAAGATTTGGACCGTTATACCCGTATTGTTCTTCATGTAATGCGCTAATGTTACATTTTCGGCTGTACAATGTAACATCATGACATTTATTAAGGGCCGCCCATCTCCAGCGTTGACACTAGTCCCGTCTACAGAAATAGTCTTAATCCTCAAAGCCCAAGTGACCATAGTTAAGTCAAGTAAGAAACAGTTTAAATGTCATCTTTACAGAACTCATCGCCGAGCCCTCCTCCCACTCCCCCCCCCCCCTCCTCCAACTAACCGAATGCGGAGATATAAGCATGATTTAAACAATACCTCCCGACGCTCCGTTTTTTCCGTTTCCCCGTATTTTGCTATATTTTAAAACAAATTGGATGACATTGTAATTCCTCCACCTAGTCCAAGTTGGGATTGCTGTGGTTATACGCTATTTCCGTTAATTCCAGACATATTCGGTACAACGTATTTAACCGAGGCCCACATTTTTTTCGGTTGGAAGCTGGGGGACAATACTGACCCCACAACAATAGATTTTCCATTTCCTGGTAGTACTCCTCGTAGTGCTCCTCGTAGTACTCCTAGAGTAAATAGAACTTAATAGTATAACTGCGTCTATTCCCCTCGTAACTAGTACCATCGATTGTAAGATGTTGCAGTTGTCTTTCTAGTTTTTGACATAACACCATGATAGTAGTCTAGGCATGCACTTAGAACAAGTTTTCACCTGTTTATCATTTTCACTGACTATTATACCTATTCCACAAACTACCAAAAGGCTCCAACGATGGAAATACAAATTCCAGTGCTAACATTAGTATTAGTAGTAAGCAACCCCTATTAATACGGTTGCAAAAATTTCCAAGAAAAAAAAAAAAAGTACAAGAAAAAATAGTTGCAATTTATTTTGTTATGATAGATCATCCACTCCATAACAGTATCCTTCCATCGATACAGGATTTATGTTACGTAAGGAAAGTATAAGTCCAACTTTTCTTATGAAGCATACATAAAACAACCGGGTCGTCGAAACCCACACAACGAAAAGAAATTAATAAAAAAAAAATAAAATAAAATTACACCATCACCACACAAATCATAATTTCCTACTGGAAAAACTCCATTGCATTTTCTTCATTTTCATCATTCAACAACATAACCCATTAGCATAAACAGAGAATCTAAAACTCTTGACTAATTGTTCTAGTCATAGAGAAGTTCGAAATTTCATAGAAAAAAAAATAAAACCCAGCATTTTCTTTCCTAAAATATGGCATTAGAAGATAATAGTGATAATGACACTGTCGATGATGAAGTTAAAGAATTAATGTCTGCTGCTTTGACTTATGGTAATGACCAATACTTTAGTCCCGATACCCAACCCACCAGTATGGAAGGCTCGTCTTCTGACTTCTCCACTTTACGTGGCAATGGAGGAAAGAAGTTACAGAAGTTAACGGATGAACATGGGAACGAATACCTTCTTCAGCCAAACGGCTATGTTCATCCTATTAGAAAACCAGAAGAGCTATTCATCCATCCAGACCGGCCCCAAGATCACCAAATAATGTATGGTACTAACAATATGTACACCCCGGATGTTGAGCGTAGACCAACCAGTAGTAGCAAAAGCCTGAGGAAGTTGAAATCATTTATAGATTTGTCTCGAAATGGAAAACATTCCACACCAGACCAGTTGCGAGAATTTCAAATTAAAGTTTTGGATTCAATTCAATATCTGGGCGATTTAGTATTGGGAACTACTAATCGATATGGGGACGTTGATAGTACGGCAAAAATTATACGGAGTGCTACAAATAGTACTAGAAGTAGTAGCATATCCAGCAGTTTTAGAACAGGAACTTTAAGAACTAGTAGTATTAGTTCGCCTTCACAAAATAGCGTGAAGTTTGAAAAGAAAAAGGACGATTAGCTTTAGGCATAAGTATTAAATTCGTATACATTTACTGTATTAATACATGCATATTTATTTGATGGCACGAACTTCACAGTAAACCAGATTTAACGAGAAACTACATGTCACTTATTAATAAATATAGATTCATGAATCTACTATATGTACTGTAATAAATAAGATCAAGAATTGAATGCAAAAAAATAAAAGCCCCCCCTCCTCTTGGCTTATTCGCTATTATTTGAGGCTGGTCCCATAATGAATGCACCAACACTACCTAAATAACCCTCATGTCTTAAGAAATAACTTTGCATATCTCCTTTACTCCAGAAATTAACGGCATAACTTAATGTATGAATAGTCTGCATATGTCCGGATATATAACTACCACCAAAATAAATCCTCTTTAAATTAAATCTGAGAGCTTGCAAGTATGCAATTTGACCAATGTTGTTTGAAATGGAATAAAGTAAACTTCTAGCGATATCTTCTGGTCTAAATTGAGCCAATTTTTCCGCAGGGGTTAACTTCTTGTTGGTAAATCTTAATTTTTTGAACACCTTGGCAAATGACGATGCAATATTATGGGCCTTAAGACCAATTTTGTTATAATTTGTACCATATATATCCCCAACCAATAAATCAATATTTTCATTATTACCACGTTGTGCCATTTCCAACATTTCATTATAATCTTTGGCATCGGTAAGTAATGAAAGCAAACCCCAAAGAGTCCCTCCACCTAAAGTACTACCACCAATTCTTTCATGTTCACCAGGTCCAGTGACTTTAACCATACTAACCCCACTTCCTATATTAACTAGCAAATATGGATATATGCTTGATTCTGATTGCAAATCAGTGAACTTGGTGTGATCAGCAATTAAATCATACGTGAAGATTTCATTGGGGATTTTTGTGATTAACCAATCTAAACCACGAATAAGACATTCCATTTCATCCTTGGCGATAATTTTCATTGGCAATTTGTATTTCCGGAAGGTTTTAGTCATTAAATTGTAAAATTTATGGGCACCACCACCAGTAGCCATGATATATGTAATTGGGGGATTATTGTTCAGTTTATCAATTGATTTTTGAATCAATTTAATGATGAATTTCATGGCTTCATGTTTAAAATTCTCAGTTTGAAAGTCTCGAAAATGTAATTTTCCACCACCCATACCATCGGCATCGCTAGTTAATCTTTGTGAGCGTGAGAAATATACAAGTTTGGTTAAGGTACCACCAATATCAACCGAGATATGAATGACTTCAGAATTATGTTGAGGAAGATTAATGTTGTTCTTACTAATCAGATCTATGTCCTCATCAGTAGGAGGAGGAGCAAGCAACGAAGATGTCCCATTCAATTTGGTCTTTTTTTGCACCTGATTTTCTTCGGAACCGTCACTCAATTCGTCATCGGAACTTGAACTTAATAGTAAAGGAGTTGAAGATTCTGACGAGTTAGGAGATGACGACAATTCATCATCGATAGTTCTTGATTCTCTTAACAAGTCATCATTAGCAATAAATGCACCGGAGCAGTCAATTTTAACCGTGCCTGGGTCGACATTGACCAAATTGACATCTTCACTGGTACCTATGCTCAACCTTCGAATGTGTATATGTTGATGACTGGATTCGGATGTTATCTCGCTGGTGCCGGCTGAACTAGATATGGCGGATGATGCCGTCGTCGATGTCATATGGAGATTATGAATTTTGTTTGAATTCAAATATGGATCCATTCTGCCTGATTGTTGAAGCGTTTCCATTGTATATTATGTGTTGTATGTGCCTGGGAAAAAGCTTGGAATGTATTGGTATTACCTTGAGGTATTATATATATTTGATTGAAAATTTTTTTACTTAGTTTTCGATAAGAACCGGTAGGTTACGATTACCACCCTATTGCTGCAGTTTGAGTTGGATGACCAGGCCAAGAAAAATAAAAATAAACGTGATAGAAAGATTTTGGGAATTAAAAACCAGTTGAAGTAACGTGGAAATGAGTTGAACGTGAAAGTGTAAAAAGGATCAACCTTCTGGCGTGTGAGTGTATGTGAGAAATTTATAATTAAAATCTATACGAGGAATTCGTTTAGATTTATATAAATTGGTAATCTGATTGTTATAGTTGGCGGTAAAAAAAATTTTAACAACACCCAAAAAAAAATTTTTTTTTTTTATTTTATTTCCTGATTGTGCATTCTACAGTGAAAATAAAGAATTAATTTTCGTTGTCAGTAAAACTTGGTGCGGAAAAGAAATAAACTCCGAGGAAATTCACTGTAATAAAAATTTGTTGAACTTAAAGTCGTTCTGAAATTTTGCGGTGTCGTGCGGGTGAATTGGGGGTCTACACGACTTAGACGTCTTTTATCAACTACTATCACCGAAAACTTAAGTACAATCGTAACTCCTATGACACAAGACAAGAAATGCTTCTACAAATCTTGTCATACCGGAGTTTTTACTTGATTTCTATTTTATGATTTAGAAATGGTACCTTATAAAAAATCATCTGATTTGGTATACTTACCCCACAAAACTTTTCTTTTTCGGTAGACGACATTTGTATATCCTATATCGATTGGCGATCGTTTGATTTTTGCTCGGTTTTCGGAGGTTTTTTTTTCCACTGCCCCATCAAAACCCGCGGCATGAACACCCACGACATTTTGTTAGAATGTGTCATTTTGCCTAATTAACAAAAACACTTATTTTTTTTTTTTTACTCTGAAAAATAACCGTTCCGTTTTTTTCCTACGGGGTTTGTTGGGTTAATGAAATCGGGGGACCACTTGCGCGCAATGTGATGCAGGAGCAACTATATGTATTCTACGGAGTTACCGATTATCCATCTAACCCCACAAAACTAAAGATCTTATCAGCAACTTCAATACAATAGGCATGACAAAATAGATATCGGAAAATTCGTTGATTTCCACCTCGGTTTCCGACGTGCGCATAACCTTATTTGTCAGCCCCACCAGCAAGTCTGTAAGGGGAAATCCCAGTCATGTGATTCGCCGCACATGATATGAGTCACATGATGTTTGATCTCAAGATTTGATTTGACCTCCCAATATAGAAAAATTTTCATTCTTTGAAAAGTGTTGCAAAAAGTTCAAACCATTCAATTGGATTTAAAACCAGACAATCATGTCAGAATCATTATTATTGTCGAATCAGGTAATTCCTACTGATTACCATTATAAACTCACCATCAATCATTTGAAACCAAACTTTTCTGGTGAAGCAATAATTCAATGGAAGAATACTCTGGATGATCTGACCGGGTTCTCGCTAACTTTGCATGCATCCAAGTTAGTCATTACTAGTGCCACTATTGGAGATATCAAATTGAAGATTACTTATGATAAACAGAATCAACGTGTTAGTTTCACCACTGAAGAAGCCATCACTGAATCTAATTTGGTTCTCAAATATATGGGACAAATCAAAACCATTAGTACTTACAAAGACGCAACTCAAGGATTATTCAAAACTAATTACTTAGATGATATTTCAGGAAAAGCTAACAATTACATTATTGCCACACATTTCCAACCACACTCGGCTAAGTCTGTTTTCCCCATCATTGATGAAATACAACATAAACCAAATGTTCAATTGGATATAATTACCGATACTAAATTCAAAGTATTAACCAATGGTAAACTCACTAATCAAGAGTATGTCAATGAAAACACCTTGCATCAATTCAAGTACGATTTACCTATTTCTCCTTCAGTTATGGGGTTTGTAATTGGCGATTTGGAGTATATCTCTAGCGAGTCTTTGTCGGTACCTACCAGAATCTACACATGCATTGGTGAGAGTAAGTATGCCAGATTTGCTCTTTCTACAATTGAAAAGTATTTACCTGTTTTAGAACAAAAGTTTCATCATTCATATCCATTATCCAAGCTTGACTTTGTCACTATTCCGTTCTTGAATGATGGAGCCATGGAAAATTGGGGGTTGGTCACGGTTATCCCATCAACTTTACTTGTGGATGAGCTTAATGCTACTGTAGAACAGAAGAAACAAGTCGTGGAATTGGTTGTACATGAATTAGTTCACCAATGGGTAGGTAACTGGGTTACATTTGACGATTGGAACAGTCTTTGGTTCAATGAGCTGTTTGCTACTTGGGCAACTAAGATCGTGGCAGGATATAGCGTTGAATATGAAGAAATGTTGGACAAGGACTGTTTTTATGTTGATGATAAATTCACAATCCAAAGCATTCATGAACATGTTCTGACTGTATATACTGGATTGAACGCAACAACTTCGAGCATATTCGATACAAATGCATATGAAAAGGGGATTATTTTGCTCAATATGATTTATAAAGTATTCAAGAGTGAAGGCAAGGATTTAATTGAATGTTTTGGGAAGTTTGTTATTGACAAATATAAGGGTCAATCTATTAAAGTGTTTGATATTTGGCAACAATTGAACGAATGCGTCAGCATTGATCTTCCTAGTTTCTTCTATTCATGGACTAGACTTCACGGATATCCTTTAGTGAGAGTATCTTACTCTAGAGACCAGTTACATATTGAACAACATACTTATCTTTATAATATTCCTGATTTAGATAAAGTTGGTATTGAAGATGCACCATTCCATATTCCATTGTTAATTCGTGTTGTTGATGATAAAAAGGAAGTCAAAACTTTGAATGTGTTACTTACAGACAGATCTCTTGACTTAGATATTCCAAAGTCTCAATTGATTAATATTAACAGTGGAAGAGGTGGTTACTACCGCGTGTTATATAATGAGTTAACCAATATTAATTTGATGACTTCTTCAGATTTGATTGGTGTTTTGCATGATTTAGGTAAACTCTTGGGTACCCAACACTCAACAAGCAAGGATTTGGCGCATTTCTTTGATATCATGGAATTGTTTGTTCAAAGCAGTTGGAAATGGGATTGGAAAGTTATGAAGGTTGCTTTGACTTACTTAACCAAATTTCAAACTATATTCACAAATTATATTACTTCCCCTAAATTCCAATCTTGGTTAAGCAAGTATGCTAGTGATTTATTCCAAAGAATTAACTGGGATAAAGTAATGACTGGAAATTATTCCCGTGGAGAATTAGATGTCTACTCCACTATTCTCGACATCAACATCAACAACAAACATGCAGTTGAATTTGCAACCCGTCATTTTTCCCAATTCATCAATCCTACTCAAAAGACTACTTACGTCCCTGGAGAACTTCTTGGGTCAATTTTCAACTTGTCCATGAGTGTAGCCACTATGAAACAATACAAACAAGTATTGGCCCTTGTTAAAAATTCCAATACTTCATTACTTAAACATACTAATTTGTTAGAACATGAATTACAAACTGTGGCTATTAGCTCATTGGCATATCCAACCTCTCAAGAATTATTACGCAAGACCTTGAATTTCGTGCATAACAATATTGATTCTAAAATGATTGAACTTGCTGTGGTTGGAATCACAAATTGTACTGATAACGCCCGCGTTCGTATCGTTTTTGATTGGTTCAAATTGAACTACGACAATTGGGTGTTACGATCATTGAGAAAGGGAAGTGATTGGAGTAAACAAATAGGGGTCACTGTTAAAAATTTGGCAACGTTGATTTTGGAATTGATGCATAGAAATCAACAGTTTGAAGTGTTGAGAGTTGAATTTATAGAAAGTAAAAGAGTGGCGTTGCCAGAACATGGATTACATCTGTTGAACGAGGAATTGGAGCATGAACGCGAGGAAAAACTTGTAATTGTCCTGTTCCTTGAGGATATTAAACAAAGGTTGTAAATAGAATGTCATGTAAGTAAAGTTTAAATTAATGTATAAGAAGTAACTCTAATCGATTAATCACCCCCCTCATCCTACCCACACTCTCCTATGTGGTGTTGTGGGGATGGCACTTGGTGCCCACACGATCAAATTATCATTTTACCGATAGTGCATACAAATTAAGCATTGTTTGACATTACGTTATGCAAAGAAGCTAAATAGATAAACTTGCATTTACTAAAGGCCATTAAGGCGATTTAGTTTCCAGAGGCGGCTAGTGTGAAGCTGAGTGTAACACCATTGCTAAAATTTTTGCATTTGTTTACTTCGGGCGTACGCCTTCTTTTGGTTAAATGTTGCAAGATTTTCTTGGTTGATTAGGGCAGTAAATCTATGTCACCCCCGCATAAAAAAGAGCAGCCCCTCCCACCTCCCCTAAGAAGTTGTAAAGTAAGAAGGTGATGGCACCCAAATAGATACAAAATAAGACATTACATACCCAGACTTTAATTCAATCTGATTTAGTCTTTCCCCTCCTCCCCCCAACAAAAACTGTGGGAATGTTGAATAGGTAATGTTTATGTTTTGGTCTTGCACATTTCTGCAAACTTATGCGACCGACAGTACCATGCTACCAGGGTGAAATATGAATAACTCTACATGAATTGCAAATAGCTTGGGTTGTCTATTTTTTCATTAGAACTAAATGAACCAGTCAATATATCTAAAAAAGAACTAAATAAAATCATAAAAAATCTACCCTCCCCTATAATTCGTAAAGTAATCATCATCATAAAAGTCCTTCACAAGTCCCGTTGCTTATGAAGAGCATGTGTTGGGTGGGTGGATGGTCTAAATCCCCCATTGGATATCCTTATCTACATTAACCACCTTCAAAATTGAATTGGCCAACTTGTCAACTTCTTCCTCTCGTGCTTGCTTCTCAGTAACCTCTTTTTCTTGTTCAGATTGTACTATCTCTTTAATGCTTTGTCGTTTGTCACCACTGGTGGAGATGGAAGAAGTTGACGAAGCATAGGACGATCGTACACGTTGAGTAATCTGGAGCAGCTCTTCATCGCCTCCTTCTCCATCATTTTCATCATCACTGAAGCCAGGGTATATGCTAAATACAGAAGATTGGTGGGAGTGGAATGAAAAATCAGTAGGTGGTAGTGGAGGAATCATCATTTCTTCTTCAGGTTGATGATGATTCATAGGAGTGGAAGGACTGCCTATTTGATCAAGAGGGTCTATTTGGTCATATTCATAAGCATCATAAAGAGGTAACGTAGTTGATAAAGAAGCTGAACTTGTTCTAAATCTAGTGGTATGATTCGAGGTAGGGGTAGTTGGTTGAGATTGTGAAATTCCAATGAAATTATTGTTACTGTGAAATGAAGTTGTTTTCAATTCATGCTTTAACAATCTGAGCTTTGATTTGAATTTAGTTGTGGTGCTAGTGGTGGAGCTTATGGTTGATGCAGTAGAAGTTGTTTCTGTGGTTGGAAATTCAAAGTCCATTTAAGTAGTATATAGTTGTATATAATTCAAAGTTTTAATGGCTGCTATTTTTTGCGTATTTTTTTTTTTTCCTTCTTGCTTTTCTTTACTTTCTTGTTAACAAATAAATCGAGGTTAATGAACCAGATATAGAAAAGGGGAATGTGTAAAATAATATAGTAAATACCAATTGACTGTGTGTGAAGATATATATAGAAATAAAGGTAATGTGGTAATCCTGCGTAATTTACATTTTATTTATATGTGAAAATATGAAATATTTTATTTTCCCGTTAATGCTGTGTCTCAAAATATTACGGATTGTCCAGTTCTATGTAACACAAAACCAGGAAGCTTAATTAGGAGAAACCACATTATTATTTTTTTTTCTTAGGTAAGCTACTCCTTCCGAGAATATTATTTAGTTTGTTTTATTTTTTTTTAATTGTAGGTAAAAGTTGCCAGACAGGAAAAGCCTAATCAAACAATCTACTACTATTTTAAACATAAAGGACTTACGCTCCAGCCATTAGCCAAACAATAAGGTAACACCGAGGTAGTTGTTACAATTTGAATGTGAAAGTTTTTTGTAAGGTACTTGCGAACAATTTGGTGCCGTTCGTTTAGACAACATCGCTAGTTCAAAATTGTTGGTGGCAGTCCCAATTTACGAACTATCTGCAGTTTGATCTAACGTACAGAATTTTTCACCCCGTTTCCTGTGAGTGAATTTCATGCAACAATTTCAGTGTCTTGGGATTTTGTCATAAGCGTTGCCAACTGTCCTAAAAAGAAAAGAGAAGACTCAAAGTTTGGTTCTAAAATTTATTTTTTTATGTTTCGGTCTGGATGATTACTCGTTTTGGAACGTCTTTGCTTCTTCGGGAATTGCCCGAAAAAAAAACTGAAGTGTATGCAAAAATAAAAAAAAAATAAGACAACGGAAAAAGAAAACCACCAAACTCCGTTCATTTGCTGAATTCATGAGTAGTAGTTGATTGCATAAGTAGGTTGTTGTAAAGTAATAATCCTTTATTATAATTTGCTGACCTGGGTGACATGCTTGATTAATTTTTGAATTTACACATTTGTTTTTCTTATCATTTTTTTTTACATTACCCGATCTGTGTGTGTTTGCCCTGCATAAAACTTTATACCTAAAAACATGAAACATCCCGAATACCCACCAACCAACATCACGTGGAATAGGCCAAATAGGTATAATTCGCTACCTTGTTAATACACTCTACGGGTAACAGAAAAAGCACAACCTGTTTTTTTCCCCCTGTAGGTCTGGAAGATTCGAAAATCCCCCCCCCCCTCTTTCCTTGTTGCTATTTCAAGAAAAAAAAATAGCTTTTGGAAATAATTCATGTGCACGACTGCAAATAATAAACTACTTTTTTTGGGATCTTGCAATCTAACCTTACTTATACCGTAGGCCAACACTAGTTGTCATATGTGTGTTTGTAATTCGCTTGTTTGTCCTACTTCGCTATCCGTATCTCTTTCACTATAGCCAATATAACACAATGCTAGTACATAGATTTTGAGCCAATGATCGATCACAAAAACCAGACTGGGCTCTGGGCAGCAAAAATAATCTCTTTATGCATGGTCTAGTTTCTTTATTGTCTAATTCATCCATTGTTAACGCAATTTATGCAGTCTTTTAACAATCAGAAGATTACATCCCTCTCGACCTCCCCGAAGTAGGAAAAAATAACTGTTTCCAACTGTCAACTGTTTTCTGAGGGGTATACGAAAAGGGGCAACAATGAACTCTGGACAATAACGTCCGCTAGACTACTGCCCCCCCCGGGCTCATATACATAAAACCCAGCTTGATAATAGTCGTCCTGCCAAGAAAGTATGATTGTATATAGAAGGGTCTAGATTTCGATAGACTATGTTTAGCCCCAGATTTAATATTAGTAATTGTTTAGTAATTGTTATTTAGTTTTTAGCATATATGGTTCTGACTCCATCTTGTGTACTTCGAAGTACATTGCATTTCTTTTTTGTGATTCGTCATTGGGCTTCCAGAAGCCACATTGGATAGGGTTAGGTTCAGGGCTCTTGATTAATTACATGGGGTAGGTTTAGATTCAAATTTACCACACTGTGCATGATGCGCCTCTATCACCAATGTACCGTTGAGGCGTCAACTATCGGTAATGGCAATCAAGTTTCCGGGTAAGGCACTGTGAGATAATCATCCCACAACTAGCAGTTGTTTCCAACTAAGTTTCATCCTTTGGTTGTATTGCGTACGTGCATAGGCAGCCAGAACTTGGTATACTTTTGCGTATGTCTCATTAGCCTCGGAGCTGAGCCATGCCATGGTTGACTAGACTCCTATCCCGTGTTTCCGGTTGCGGTACTGATATCAAAGATAAGATGGATATTTATATCCGTGATGACGTAGGCATCTCCGAGAATGTGTATACCCTGTGGATGCTTTTCTTGCTGGAGAACATTTTGCAACCTTGTATATTACCGCCCAACATTGAAAATAGAAACTTACAGAAAATATTCAGCTTCAAGTTTTTGGAAGAGGTGCACATTAGCTATCCCGGACTTCCATTGACCGGGGGTTTCATTATTTGCTGATTTTTGCAAGTGTGAGATGAAAATCATTCTGTTGGGATAAAGTGTTACACCCCTGGCTAGCTGCTCGGACACATTTATTAGATTTTTAATAGATTACCACCATTTACATTGGAACAATAGGACTAGAGAAAAATCAACAGAAGGGGTCAAAGTACAGTATACTTGAAAGTAGAAACTTCTAAAAGAGAGAACTAGAACCAAGCTAGATTCAATTATGTCAGATCAATTTTAAAGTTCTGGTTGTTATATATATATATATATATATATGTCATTTAATAATGATACATGGTTAGGAGCCCATTTGGTGGATTTAGAAAAGAAGGAGTTGGAAGAGGACATCAAATACCGACATCACCCAAGACCCCTTTTCAATAATATTAATTCCCCTAATAAGTTCACTGTGCTCTAGAACTATCAAATCGGTAGGACCCGGAAGTTTTCAGATCTAGAATTGAAGATTGGGGCAGGCACGACACCGCCTCAATTATCAACACCGATTCTGTACAATGTTTTAATACTAAATTAAACTGTCATAATGTTTAATATGGGGGGACATATATCACTAAACAACAAATACTATATAACAAATACCATCTTTATACCAAAGTAGACATGTCGATGGTTGTAAAATCAAAAACATTTTAACTTGTTTAAGCTTTTGCCTTACCATCACCTTGCTTTGGTGGGTAACCGTTCAATTCAGCACCACTGGCAGATTCACAAGTACACCATTGGTCCTTTGGAGCGGCACTCATAGCAGCTGGGATATGTTGACCACAACCCCACCAGGTCTTACCCTCTAATTTACATTTTGTTAGTATCTTGTTCTATGTCATAGTTCAGTGGGAAGCTATCAATATTTATACATACTACAAACTCCACATTCAGCTGGTTTACACATATTTGATCTTGATTTGATTTACAATTAGTTTGGTTAGTACCAAGGAGTAATACAGAGTAAAGGAAAGATAGAAAGTTCTAGAGGTTTTTTTTTCGGCGAAGCCCAGTGGGTAAAGGGTCGGACAATCGGCCTTAATGGAAGTCAGCGCGGGGATTTACAAAGCCCGACAAGTAAAAATTAAAAATCTATTGTGTTTTATACAAGGTTAAGATTCATATATTTTCTGTTCTCTTTCCTTTTCCTTCTTGATACGCTCTTCTTCTTCCATCTTTAATTCCTTCTCAATGTCTAAATTCTCTTGAATGTTCCACAATTGAGAATACAATGAATGCTCATCACTTAGTAATTGCACATGGGTTCCTTCTTCTTGGACACATCCTTTGTTCAAAACGATAATCTTATCGGAATCAGCAATGGTACGTAATCGGTGGGCAATGGCAATGTTAGTGTTTTTCCTTTCTCGGAAGATACTACGGATGGTCCTCAATAACGACTGCTCTGTGTGGGTGTCCAATGCCGATGTTGCTTCATCAAAGAACGAAATTGGGGCATCCTTTAATAATAATCTTGCCATGGCCAATCTCTGTTTTTCACCTCCAGATATCATCATACCTCGTTCTCCAACAATGGTGTTTGCTCCATTGGGTAATTCTTGGATCAATTTGTCCAATTTGACTAGTTCAGCCATGTGGTTCACTTCGTCATCGCTGGCTGATAATCTCCCATATCGGATATTTTCTAGAATGGTATCATTGAAAAGTGGTGTTTCTTGAGGAACAACCCCGATGTTATGACGTAATGATTCCAATGTAACATCACGAATATCTTGGCCGTCAATTAAGATTCTACCTTCGTTCACGTCATAAAATCGGAACACTAATCGTAAAATTGTAGATTTCCCACTACCTGATGGTCCAACAATAGCCACTTTTTCACCAGCAGGAATGGTGAATGTTGCATTCTTGAGAATTGGTCTATCGGGATGATATGCAAAACTGACATTTTCAAACTTGATTTCACCTTTAGTTAATTGTAAAGGCTTTGCAGTGGGAGAATCTTTAATTTCAATTGGAACCTTTTGAATTTGAAACAAGTTCTCCATATCCAATAATGCCTGTTTTAAATCTCTGTATACAGACCCAAGAAAGTTCAATGGGACACTCAATTGGAACACTAATTGGTTAATCAACACTAAATCACCAACACTGAGAGATCCATCCACAACCCCTTGACAACCCATATACATCATTGCTGTCAATGCTGAACTAAAGATGAAATTCTGACCGGCATTCAAGAATGCTAACGAAGTAGCAACTTTAATACTTGCATTCTGGTACTTGGCCAATGATTTATCATACTTAGCTGCTTGATAACCTTCATTGTTGAAATACTTAACTGCTTCAAAATTGATCAACGAATCTAAAGCCACACTGGCAGCTTGATTGTCGGCATTATTGGCTTGTCTTCTGAATTTAGTTCTCCAACTGGTGGTTCTAATTGTGAACACTGAGTATGTCAACATAGTGAGAAAGGCCAAGGCTGCATATGTCACCCCATACTTATAAGACAAGATCCCACAAACCATACTAATTTCAAATCCCACGGGAATCAAATGGAAAACCAATGCTGACAATACTGAACTGACACCCTTGGTACCTCTATCTATAGCTCTAGTGATCCCACCAGTTTGTGTGGACAAGTGGAACAACAAGTCCATGTTCAAAAGTCTTGTAAAGGTATTGTAAGCAATACGACGAATCGCATCCTGGGATACACTGGCAAACACGGCATTTCTCAATTCTCCAAATAATACAGCACCGAATCTGGCGGCTCCATAACTGAAAATCATAGCTCCGGCCACGGCACTAACTGTACCAACTGATGACAAGTCGACATTCATATCATCAATGATTGATTTGAAGAAGAACGGAACTTGGATATTAAGTAATTTTGAACCCACCAAGAGTGAAAGGGCGAGGATCACTCGAAGTTTGAACGAGGGTTTATCTTTGGGCCAGATCGTTGATAAAAGTGATTTGACCATGAAAAGTTCTGACGTGGTGATCTTCCTTCCAAAGAGACTCCCCACTTCCTTGGCTTCTTCTTTGGGTTTCGGTTTTGCAACCGCTATTGGTTTGGTTGTATTTGGAGCTTTTCCTGGCGTTGTTGGTGCTTTTGCATTGGTTTGCTTAAGTATAGCAGTCCCACTGAACTGTCTGAAGCCACAGTTCCCCAACTTTCTCCATATTGGACTCAGAGGTAGAAAAACCCGCGACGGTCTTTGTCTAGACACATTGATAATCCTAATAACGGAATTTTGAAACATCAATGCGGTATTTAAATAATTTGGGGAAGTCCTGGGGCCAAAAAAAAGAGATACCGTGGTAGTTATATATTTATAACCTATGAGGTAATCGTTGCTTATGGCATCAGAATCGATGCGGTAGATTCACGTGACGTGAAACTTCATTTTGTTCGCACGAGAATTGGCGGAATTTATCTGCAAACACCGCGAGAAAAAAAAAAGCACACACACACTTGATCCCGCAAAATGCACTCATTGGGTTAACTCGCAAAAAGGGCGCATCTCCAATTGACTCACTAATTGATGCAGAAAAATCCGATCTTTCCGATCTATGCATAAATCGGCTTCGGACCGTGAAATATTGAACTATTAAATGTAATAAACTACACATATTATATAGAATATCTACTTAAGTTCTTTTAAAGATTCTTCAAGGGCCTTGGTAAATGCAGGAATATGACCAGCATAAACTGAGTAACCCATATGACCAACTCTGAAATATTTACCGACCAATTGTTTATGAATACCACCAGCAACAGTAAATCCCTTTTGAGCCAACTTCTTCAACAATTCATTACCATCAATCCCTTCGGGGAAGTAAACGGCAGATAATCCATGAGCAGCCACGTCTCTTGACACAGGAAGGATTTGTAATCCCAATTTGTTAACGGCATTCTTGAATTCAGTGGACACTTGTTCATGCTTGGCGAATCTAGCGTCTAATGGCTCGCTCAAGATTTCATCCAAGGAAGCGCGTAAGGCAGTGATGGTCTGAATAGCAGGAGTTGCAAAGTAGGCCCCTTTTCCTGATTCATACAGTTGCATAACGGGGGTCCATCTTTTTAAACTGGCAAAATAAGTAGTTTCCTTCTTGTTCAAAGCGATATCCAATGCTCTTTCGGAAGCATAGAGGATGGACAACCCAGCAGGAACACCAATGGCCTTTTGAGAAGCTGTCAATACGAAATCAATACCCCATTGGTCAAACTCTAAATCTTCAACACCAATGGAACAAACACCATCAACGATAATTAATGTTTCTGGACTGACTTGTTTAACTAGTTTAGAAATAGCTTCAACATCAGAGACAACAGAAGTAGAGGTATCAACATGAGTAATGGTAATGGCCTTGTAAGACTTTTCACTTAATTTAGCTTTGACTTGATCCAATGGAACAACATCTCCGACTTTGGCTGTGACGACGTCAACTTCAGCACCATAGATTCTAAGACAGTCAGCAAACGAGTCTGAGAAGAACCCGGTAGATAAAACCAACACATCATCTCCGGCAGTGAGCAAGTTGGAGGCAGCAATGTCCCATCCAAGAGTACCTGAACCAGACAACACATATGCTTGAGTCTTTGGGTTTGTTGACTTGAATAACTTACGCAAGTTCTTTAATACTGATTGGAAAGTAGCAATAAACTCAGGAGATGTATGTGCTTGACTTGGAGTGGACATGGCGGCGAGAACTGGGTTGGAGAACTCGATTGGCCCCGGGATTAAAGTTAAACGGTGGTCTGGTTGGACAAAGGAAGTGGTGGAAGACATGGTTGATAAGTATTTCTTTATTGTAGATGAAAGTGTATGTGGACGCACAAAGGATCTAGCAAAGCTATTCAACATATATAGATGGTAAAAACACACCAAAAGAAAAAGCTGGAATGACTAATGGAAAAATGGAAGGAGTTTGAAAAACTTTTGTTGTGCCATTTTGGTGTTAACCTGGGGTTTGTGCGTGGGGAGCATTTCGCTTCCGAGGGTATTCCGGAAAAAAATAAAAAAGAAATCGCTCTTGTCAACCTGGGCGTAGCAGGTGAAATGTTGACTGCAAAAATCATAGATCGTTTCCGTAGTATCAAAGCTTGTGAGGAACTGGTCTAATGAGGTTGAGAGATCTTTATTAGCATTCTACTTTTATTACTAGGTTTCATTTATAATTTCATTAAAAGTTCGCAAAAGAGCTAGCGCAATTAAGACGTAAAACCAAGGTTTAGGAAAGAGTAAGAACTATCATGATCAAAAAAAGAATAATTTTGTAAAAGAATGTTAGATTCATTGTCATATATTTGTACTAGGAGGTTCAACTCTTCTTCGAATACAATCACAGAAGAACTTGGCTATACTTCCTTCTATCCGCTTCACAATATTTTGACCATGGACACTACCAATCATTACGTTAATATCTAATACTTACCTATAAGCAGATGTAGCAGTTAAACTAGTAACAAACCATGGTCTGCTAAGTATGCAAGTACTGCTGACCCTATTTACGAAATTGGGAGTTGTCAATTGTTCAAAACGAGTGTATTCCTGATTTTATTATTGTCATGTACTAAAAGCGCATTCCAATTTTTTTTTTTGAAGATATCAGATGTCATCTCGCGTAAAGCTAAACATACAAAGATTACATATACCTGTATTATATAACCCACATCAACCATGGAAGCTCTACAAGAACAGTTTACGAAACTAGTAAACGAAACCACCCATTCAATAAGTCGTTCATTACGAGGCACTTCCCCTAGCATAATAAAAATCACCAAAAATGACTCCATAAAACAGAAGGTCACCAGTATAACCGCACAACTCAAAGAAAACAAGATTGTTCTAATTGCCAGTCTATCTAATTCCATTCCCAAAGCCATTTCAGTGATTGAAATCGCCAAGCTGGCGCTAAAGGAAGAGAACAAGAGCGTAAAGCAATTTAACAAGTTAGCACATCTTGATTCTACCCATAACCCTAACTATAAACCTAATCAGGAGAATCTCGAGGGATCAAAGCACGCAAATGATGATGAAGATGAGCATAAACAGGTTATTGAACGCGACATATTAGAGAGTATCAACGGACCAAAGGTCTATCAACTTCCTATAATGTACGTTATACTATCGCTTGATAACATGATATCGTTAACGGATTGGACCAGCCAGTAGCTTAACTGCTAATATAGTATTATATAGAGATGGTCGGTAGTAATATTGAACATGTCAATCGTAAAAGCAAAGACCGTGCCTCTGGTCACGTGAATTTTTCCAACCAATTAAATTGGTAAAATTAAACATACAATTGTAACAGCGAAAAAAAAAATCTCTTCTGGTTTGGCATCTAAATTGTACGATATAATTATTAACTACATTCTTTCAGTGTATACATTAGATACATATAATCCCACACAATGGCTATCACTCCAGAAAACTTCAAGTTCGAAACTCCACAATTCGACCCAAGATTCCCAAACCAAAACCAATCTAAGCATTGTGCTCAATCTTATGTTGATTACCATAAATGTATCAATGTCAAAGGTGAAGAATTCGAACCATGCAAAATCTTCTTCAAGACCTTCACTTCCTTATGTCCATTAGACTGGGTAGAAAAATGGGATGACCAAAGAGCTGCTGGAAAGTTCCCAATTGACTTGGATGCTTAAACAGACAAGACATTACTACGATAGTGCATTAATAATTATGTTCATGTTTTTATGTTTTACATACACCCAAATATATATACATATGAATTGAACCAGTGTAAGAGGTGTTGATAGGTGTATTACCAAAATTCATCCTCCACCCAATTTTCGTTTCTAAATTCATTGCTATTCTGTTCTAGATTTTCTTTGCTGAACAAATCTCCGTATGGGTCAGTATTAGATTTCTTCTGGGATTCATATTGTTTGGTTAAGTCCTGCTGTTCTTTCTCTTGCTTCTTTCTTTCCAAGACTAACTCTTTAACTAGTTGTTGTTGTTGCTTTATAAACTCTTCAGTAGGTATCTCGGTCTTGGTCTTGTTGAGTTTGTTAACTATAGCATTTTCCTTTTTCGCAACATGCACTCTCTTGACTAATTTACGGTTCTTAAAGGTGACTGTACCTATATCCATAGAACCGTCAGTATGTAAATTCTCAACCGGGGTGTAAATAACAGTTATGTTATTCAACTTGTTCCCCTTGATAGAATTAGCCTTTGTCAACTGAGCGATTTGTTCCAACAAGTTAGGTTCAATAACAAACAGCTCAAACTGTTTGAAATCAAGTATCTGCTTCTTGGTAAGCTGAAGGTAAAGATGGGCTGATGAATAGTTATCAACGTGAAACCAAATATTCTTGGGATGAGAGTGTTTGATTAATGGATCATTCTCAATCTTGTCTCTACCCATGTAGATTACAGCTTCTTCAGACTCGTTGCTTGCGTCTATGGCGAAATCGGAGAGATCGTCTTCCGTGCTGACTTTAGCCTTGAAATAGTAGACCATGGTAGATGTCAGGTGTTGATATTGAGATGGGGGGACCTTGTTCTAACCAGTTCTTGTTGCTGCCAAATTTTTTTCTGTTGTCTACAAATGTACCTTTGTATGGCAACATTTGGCAACTGCTGAGAAATACGAACGAGTACGCCTAAGTAAGCAGATTAGATGCATAATTCATGTACATATAATGGTTTAGAAGCTTTTTGGCTTGTAGTATAGATCTGGTCAGTACCTAAATGTGACGTGCTATTGATTAATTGACGGTAGTAGAGAAGAAATACAATTCCTATATCATTGTATATACTTTGAAGCTTCAAATAAGAAAGTTCTATATGCAACCAATTGATTCATTTAAGGATGTTACAATGCCAGCCTTCGGAGAAAAGGTAAGTCGGGTATTTTTATTCTGAAACCAGATATCAATGTCCAGTAGGATATACAATACAGAAATTACACAAAAGAGACCCCCTGTTGGGGGGAGGAGGGGTCATCCTTTACAGTAAACAATAACCTTGGTCATATCCAATTCGTCTAGTTTAGAGAATCAAAACCCATAGGGGCTGCTAACAACCCTCCCCCTCCCCCTATAATTGACTTGGACTACCCCCACACGATACACGCACCTCAAAAAAGGAACTTTACAACCTTAAATTCATGTTACACTTTTGCCTTACAACTTATGGTCATTGATTAAAGTACGTAAAGCGGAGTTATTTAACCGTTATGTATCCTTTTGCATAAAGGATACTCAAAAGACTTTGAAATATCGATCCTGCACAGAAAACACGTTTTGTTTCATAGTACGCTAAAAAAAATCTGAAACACGAAAAAATAATTCCATGCACAGAAACTTTGTGTGCTTTGGATTTCTGTCACCCTTTCCCCCTTTCGACCTAATTCATGTTGACGCCATAAACATACAGAATATTCCCCAGTGATATAATTGTTGATGCGGTAGTTGCTACAATTTAATCTGATTAGCGAATAATTAAGCTGGTGTCAGGGTGGCGAAGCAATTATTATCCACGGTTAATAATAGAACTCGTGTATGTTTGTTTGTTTTTTTTCCTTTCGTATTCTTTTTTGGTGGGGAGGGTCATCCGCCTTCAGTGACAGCATTATCACACATATCATTTCAAAGGTTATGGAGCTAGTAGTAATATGTCATATAACTTGGTTTAACCCAGGTTTTCCTTTTGCACACTGAATTAGGGAAATTTCATAACCAAAGTTTAGCGCTCCTCACTTTGATACAACATAGTACGCGAATTCGCAACCGGAATAGAAGCAGAAGCTGCAACAATGCTCCCGAGCTTAAAAAAAAATAAATTTATTTCCTAATTTGGATTAGTCTCTGTGAAGGAGGTAAAAAAAAAAAGAATTTCCTTATTTTGGTTGAGGTCAACCATGATATCACGATAACTACATAAATCGGTCATTTATCTTGCTTATCCCTCCTTTTTCGTTCACTAGATCTGGGTTGAAATTACTGGTTTGATATTTAAAAGATATCAGCTCATCGTTATTTTTTAAAATTCCCAATCGTTTTTTGGATTTTTTTGAGCTTTGTGGTAGCCGTTCATTATTTTTTTTGTTATTGTTCAAGCCAAACCAGCCATATATAAATATATCAAGATCTGGCCTCATTTTTTTATTTGGACTTTCATTCAGCAGCACACCGAGACTTATGATTGACTACGATTCATTACTTGAGTTCGAGGAAGCTCTTGCACAATCGTCAACCAGTGACACTATAATCCTATTACGAAATTTAGAATCTAAAATAGACTATGCTAGACATACCAATACTGAAAATGACGAACAACAAGACAACCGAGATTTAGCCCATGAAGATCTCCAGGAAATATTGCATACAGCATTAGCAGAGTACAAGATATGTGAAGATGAGTTTGCCACGTGCAAGACATGTGGAGGATCTTTGACCTGCCCTACGCTATACAAGTCCTGCTGTCACAGTTTTGTTGATCGAGACTGTGTCATTGGATCCAAACTCGAGAAGTCTTTCTGGCTTGCATTCTTGGAGAACCCTACCCGAACCATAAACACTATGCCCAATTACACCGAGTTTCTTTGTTTGAAACAAGGAATACCAAATCCTATAAGATATCTCATCTGGAAGAAAATATTTTTGTTGAATGGAAATATTCCACAAAGCTCGAGATTTGTCTATCAAAACTTTCAACATTCATATTATCTGGAAGTTTCCAAGCAAATATCCAAGGATTTGAGCAGAACTTTCCCCAGTGTAAAATCATTTGGTAAACAAGAAACAATTGATAACTTATCGACTATACTTAACGTCTATGCTAATTATGATGTTAAGTTGGGTTATTGTCAAGGATTGTTGTTTCTTGTCGGGGTCTTATATTTCCATTTGAATAGTGATTGCGAATTGACATTCCATGCCTTAATCACTATCATGGAAACAGAACCGGAATTGCACGATATTTTCACCACTTCAACCATGTCAGAGACTCTTAACTGCTGGTTTTATGAATTCTCGCATATCTTACAGAAATCTGAACCGGAACTATACAATCACTTGACTTCATTTGTGGAAATGAGAACTTTTCTTTATCAATGGTGGTTATCATTTATGTCATCACATTCGCCAGATTTGTTGATTGTTAATCGTATTATGGATTTCTGTTTACTCCAAGGATGGAAAGTCGGATTGTTTAAGATATCATTGGGGTTATTGACAAGCAACAAACCAATATTGATGACATTAAACGAAGGGGACGAAGAGGTGGTTTATCAACATTTATTAAACGAGTCAAAGTGGGGCAATGTCATTAAGGATTTAGATAGGTTCTTTGGCGATGTGTTGTTCTCATGGGATGACAACTTATTCTTACAGAAGCAAGAAGTTGAAGTTAAGCCAGTTGGGTCACCACATAAGTCGATCCTTAACTCATTAAAGACACTTTCGTTGAAACCATTTATCAGCATCAATACGTCATTGAACTCAAACTCGAGCTCATCTTCAAACTCGCCAGACTCAACCTTGGACAAGACGGAATCGATTCATTCATCCAGTTCGCTCTTTTCTACTAACACGCTTGCCCCTTATCAAATGAAGAATGATTTAGAGTCGATCAGCTCAGATGTTAGTGAAGTGAGCCATACGAAGTCATTCTCTGATTACTTGAGATTTCCATATATTCCTCCCAGGAAAGATCTGAAACCAGAGATTGAAGAAGATATAAATGCTGAGCTCATGATTGAAAACGAAACATTACGACAATTATTGAAGAAAGCGTATTCGATGCTTGAAGGTGACGGTGTGGATAAGATGGAGCTCAAGCAAGAGATTGCTAAAGCGGTTGAGGTGTAAATAGGTTTATTTAGGGTATAGGAACATTATTTTATTTATTAACAAAACGCAACCTTGTAGATTATCAGGACAAAAGTAGCCAATAAAAATGGACCAGCATGTTTGCGATGAAAGCTCACATAAGTTCAATTTGAATACCAAAGAGAAAACTCTTCACTGGATGTGTTTACTTCACTTACTCGTTTGTTAGTTTGTGAATCAGGATAAAGCTACATCATCAGTTGAACATGAAACAGATCACAAGGTATGAGAAACAATTGCTACTAAATTCCTGATTGGAGAATTCTGTTCATTGAATAAAGCTTAGAGACCATTATCGACTATGATGAAAAGCTAAACACTTTGAGGGGAGACCTGAATACTTGCTCACCATATCCGAGTACTCAAGTTCAAAATTGAATACTTGAGCACACAAGTCTTGAAATCGAACATGCCAGCTGAAAACCGTATACTCCACCAAATTCGTAGATATGCGAACCGATAATCATGGATTTAGTGTGCTTAGTTCTGAAAACCGATTCTGAACAAAGTACACTAGCGTGTAATTGGAGTCTTCCTGACATTACTAGCTTTAGTCTTGAGATCATCAATTGTTTCAATATATTGGTATTAGCACTATTTACATCCTTTTGGGAAGTTGAATGAGCCATTGTGTAGATGGTAATGGACTTTATTGTGGTTTGACTGTGGATACAGGGGAACTGCTATACATGAGAGCTATGATAATCTGTTGATGAGCGGTACTCATTCCCACTTGCATTAAGAGAACACATTTCCCTTACAAGCTGTATTTGCCCCATTATATAAGCTTGTGGTCTCATACCACACTCTCAACACGTGTGTTACTACCACCCAGTATTGTAGAATTCATTTCGCTTTTTGGCTGCATCGTCTATTCTTTATCATTTGAATCTGTTTTGGGTGTAGAGCAGTTTTTTGGCTATTGGTAAAGTGAACACACAAGCCTAACACAATGCAAAAGGTCAGAACATAACACTCTGGGCAAAAACCTGACCAATCCTACGAAACCGGAATACTGCACTGGAAACCGAACTTTCCCATTTTAGGACAGAATAGTTTAAACAGAATAGAAAGCACACTTTCTTGGAAACCAAATACTCCAGTAGAGTTCTGCATTATCCACTACTCAAAGATACACTGCTGCGATACATGGGCCAAGATTGAAGACTCTACCGAGAAACTAGGCAAGAATACTCGGTGTTCCTTACTTGGTAATTCAAACCCAAGACTCGTGCGTCTGTAATTGTAGGTTGGTGGGCTCTAGTCATCAAAATGGTAGGTGTTTCTTGGCCCACCAAAATGGACGTTACAGGTTGATGAACCCACCGAAACTGGTGGATACGGTAATGGTTGCAAATTTTGAGAACCCCTTGAAATTGTACCATGTGCCAGAAAGTGTACTGCATGCAATGTACGATAAATCCCCCATCTCTAAAAATGACCACTTGACAAGTTCTGTTTCCAATAATACATACCTTACTATAGACCTAGGTTGGTGCGTGTAGAGTTATACGACTATACCTTGTCGTATGTCCTACTTGTATAGTTCACCGTGTAGTCCGGGTAACGAGCTTTTATTTCGCCCACCAAAACGAGAAAATTTTTTAAAGGACAAAAAAACTGACAGCAACAGAATCAACAACCATAAATTTATTACGGACAACACAATTAATTGTTTTAACTTGCATATTCCCATAGTTCCATCAAGGGAAGTCCATAGAGAAAGAAAAAGAAAAGAAAGAGAAAACATACGTGCTTTTAGACTACTGATTAGATCTACTGCATAACCAAACGAACCACAAGTCAATCGCCCCTCATATCCTTATTGACAACCAATCCATCAAGTTACTTATAGAATCAGAAACTGGTGGCATTTGACTTTTATAGAGAGACATCGATACAATTCTTCTATAAATTTACATTATTGCATTTCAATTGTGTAAGCCCTTAATTTCCATAAAATCGTGTCTGCATTAACCAACACTAGCCCAAGGGGCCAACTGCATCATCAACAACAACAACAACAACAACAACCTCAAAGCGTAAAACCACAACAACCATCTTATCAGATCAAGGATCCAGAATTAACCAAGGTAATTATCAACCAATTAGCTATCTTATTAACTACTGTGTCTCCTGCAACTGTTGAATCAACTTATAATCAAATCAGATTCATTTTAGCTAAACAATCCGCTAATCCAATTGTATATACCAATTATCTTGAAAAGTTAATCAACTTAATTCGTGTTTCTAGTTTTTCAACCAAAGAGTTATTACCAATTGAACGGATTTTCCAATTAGAATTATCATTTATCGCTAAGGATTTAACATATTTGGAACTTCTTTTCTACCATTTATCGAAATTATTTGAACAATTAACCAAGGAAGATCCCCAACTTAACGTTCTTGATTTCATTGACAAGTTTGATACTGATTTAATCCTTTCGTATTTCATCTTAATCAAATATCAACCAACGCACACAGAAGCTACCAAGAAGTTTATTCAAGAGAATTCAACCAATTTATTAGCTCAAATTAAAACAAGAAAGTTCCCATCAAATTTTAATTGGACCTTACTTTTAGATTGTGTGTTATTTTCTCCACATTTCCCATTTATTCATAAAGTATTAACTTTAAACTCATTAAAGTTAATAGAATCTTCATTAGAACCTATTAATCGTTTCTATCATACTATATTAAACATGTCATTCAAGGAATTATTAATTGAAATTGGACCCGAACATTTATTACCTGAAAAGCTCTTGCCAAGTTTATTACAGATCAAGCCTCAAGAAATTGACCAAGCCATTGCACTTATTTTGGCTGAAGTATTGATTCCAGGTTCCCAAGGCTTGAACCAAGGATTAACATTTGCTAACAATTTACCGGAATCCAACGCTAAAGGCGCTCAACTCCAAGCAAGTTTTAGAGCTATCGAAGCTGGTGGACAATTGAACATTAATTGGTATGAAGTTTTCAACTATGTCTCACAATATTTATTTGAATCTTCCCAAAGGAATATCCAACCTTCATTAGCAAGCATTACTCAATTCTTATCATCTTTGGATTTTAAACAAGAACCAATTGATATCTTTTTGAATTATGAATGGTGGTTTAACAAGACATTGTTGTATATTTTGCATACTTTAGATTCATCTCAAGGTGGTTATGATATTTCATTACTGAAGAACTTGGCTTATTGTTTCGAAGAAGACAAGAATGAACCACCTCAACAACAACAACAATCACCCCAGCCTCCGCCAAGAAACATCTTGAAGTTTATCAATATTGGCAAATTGGAACTTCAAGTAATCACCAAGATTCAACAACAACAGCAACAACAACAACAATTGAGTGAACAAGATAGAAAGTTAAATGTATTTTTAAATCAGCTTTTCGAACACGATTATAGAGTGTTCCCAGAGTATATTCTTGCTGCCGCATTGACTGTAGTGGAAAAGTCACAATTCATAAATGATTTAATTGATACTTTATTTTCATTATTAATGGACGGTGACAGTGTTGCATTACCCAAAGTTCTCAAATTATTGAAAGAATCAGGATTGGTCCTTGGTAAATTGTGTGATTATTACAAGATTAGAAAGACTGTGGAGGCAGGTGGTAAAATCATGAGACTGGCCTCTAGTATTGGATTAGTTCAAGATATATTGGATGTATTTTGGCAAGCTGATATTAAATTAGCGGTGAAACTTTTAGTGGAAGCCAGCCTTTATGGATATGACTATAAACTGGTTATTGAATCTAAACTTAAGGATAATCAATTAAAGGCTCAATTTTATCAAGCATTATTAGAGGCTGTTGACGAACGTGCCCAAAAGGATTACGAGAAGGGACAACAGCAACAACAGCAACAGGGTCAACCACAGCCGATTCCAACAAACCATGTATTTTTGAAAATCCCAATTGTATATTACTTGTTGGAAAAATTGAAATCTAGTAATGGGTTAATTGATTCTGAAAAATTGAAGAATTTACAATTGTCATTGTTAACTACTTATCCAAGATTGATCAACTTTGGAAATGGTCATGATGAAGCTATTCTTGCCAATGAAGAAAAGTCCCCATTCTTCCCTCAAAATGTTGAACTTGAAATGAAGACTTACTATTCCAAAATGTATAACAAGGAAGTTGAAATTAAGGATATTGTTGATATGTTGGTCAAGATGAAGGTTAGTGATGAACCACATCATCAAGATGTATTTGCATGTATGATTCATTCATTATTGGATGAATACAAGTTCTTTTCCGAGTACCCATTGTCCGCATTGGCTTCTACTTCGTTATTATTTGGTGCATTATTAGAGAAGGATTTAATCCAGGGTACTACATTGACAGTTGCATTGAACTTCATCTGGGAATCATGTAATCAACCACAAGATTCTCATCTTTTCAAGTTCGCGGTTCAATCATTGTACAATTTCAAGTCAAGATTACATGAATATCCTATTTACTGTAAACATTTATTGGAATGTCGTTCATTATCTGCTCATGCTAAGATGTATCAAATTGTCAAGGATGCAGCCAATGGTATCCCATGTGCTGCTGGAACTGGTGGTGCAAGCCAAAGTCAAACTGGTACTCCTGAACCCACTGGTCCAAAATATCAATCAATCACGGTGGTGGATAAGACTATTGGGTACACTAAACAAGAAGAGCCTACTGAAAGTGTTAGAGATAAGTTATTGTTCAGTGTGAACAATATGACAAGTGACGATCTTAGATTGAATGAAATTAAAGAGTTTTTAACTGAAAATTACTTTGCATGGTTTTCTAATTATTTGGTGGTTGATCGTGCCAAGGCTGAACCCAACAATCATGAATTGTATTCGAAATTGGTTAAAGAGTTTGATAATGTCATTTTCTTTGAGTATGTGTTGAATACGTCGTTAAAGGAAGTAGATTACATTGTTCGTAATTTCAAGGATTCTAGAAATGAAAGAAATCAATTGAAGAATTTAGGTGCTTGGTTAGGAAGAATTACATTAGCTGATGATAAACCATTGAGAAGAGATCATATTGTCTTGAAATTTTTGTTAGTTGAATCATATGATTTCAAATCTTTATCGTTGATGATTCCATTTGTCTGCAAAGTGCTTGATCAAGCTCAACACTCAAAGATTTTCAGACCACCCAATCCATGGATTTTGGGTATTCTTAAGGTTTTAGCTGAGCTTTATGAATGTGCCGACTTGAAATTACAATTGAAGTTTGAAATTGAAGTTTTGTTGAATTCTTTCCATATGAAGATCACTGATATTGAACCAAGCACACTAATTAGAAGTCACAATCCAAACCCAACTGCATTGGCTGCTATGTTTGGTATTCATCCAGAAACTGTCACTCTTGCTAATGAAATTTCTCGTTTGAATTTGGAATCTCAACCTTTGGAAAACGTTCAAGTACCATTCCCTCAACCACAGATTGTGGAATCGAAATTCCCAGGTCAAGTTCAAGTTCCATTACCTGCAGAGCAACAGCAACAACCACAGCAGGCACAGGTTCCTGTGTTGGACACCTCATTTAGCACCTTACTTGGTACTTCCATCTTTACTCAACATGCCAATTTGAGAAGAGCATTCCAAGCATCGTTGTCTAGGGCAGTTCGTGAATGCGCCCTTCCTATTCTTAGTCGTGTTTCTGAAGCAGTATTAACTACCACTGAAGCATTGATTAGAAAGGATTTTTCCACTGAACGTGATGTTACTAAGCTTCGTAACAGTTATCAAAAATTGGCCCAGCAATTATCACATAGTATGGTTCTTTGTAGTGGAAGAAAGTTATTGGCTGAAACTATCGAAGCTACTTTATTGCAGTTATTAGGTAACAATCCAAATGAAATTCCTATGGTTGAATTAAACAATGCCATTAATGCCAATGTGGGATTATGTGTGGATATTGTCGATAAAATTGCCAGTGATAACATTGCCGAATTGATTGATGAAAAGATGCAAAAGTACTTGTATGTGCGTGAACATCATCCACCTAGTGAACCATTTGTTGAAGAAGGAACTTCAGAATATTCTCTTAGATTACCTGAGCCTTTAGGATTGAATTCAAATGGATTGAGTGCGCAACAATTGAGAATTTATGAAACTTTTGGCGATAATGCTAATATTAGACCTGCTGAAGTGGCTGGCGCTGCTGCCACTACTGTTGGTGCTGTCGCTGGCACTGCTGCTGCTGCTGCTGTAGCTGTTGATTCTGCAATTCAGCCAGCTGTTGTTCCACCTCCACAACAACAAGTGGTTCCTGAAGAAGCTGGTGTTTCATTTGAACAATTATTTGCGGCAATCACTGCTAATTGTGAAAAGGCTGTTCAATTAGTGTCGGAAGTTACAGAAACCAGATTGAGTGATTTACCACCAACCCATCCAATCATGACTTGTTTGACGCAAGCATTGGCGATTGCCCAACTGAATACTCTCAAGTATCCTGAGTTGTTATTGAAGGCAGCACAATATGCTGTGAATTGTTTATTTACCCAGACTCATGAAAACCCCATGTGCAATGAAATTTATGTAGTTGTTCTTGATAAATTATGTGAATATTCTCCATCCACGGCTAAAGATGTTACTTGGTGGCTTGTTCATTCATCTGATCAACGGAAATTTAATATGCCGGTTATTTTGTCGTTGGTTAAAGTGCAATTGGTTCAACCAACTAAATTGGATACTTCAATTGGTAAATTGATCAATGAGTCTCAAAACCCCGTGGTTGTCAAGTTTGCTGCAGGGTTATTGTATAATATTTTCAGTTCTGAAGAAGTTAGACCAATTGCATTAAGATCAGAGTTTGGGTATACTATTGATGCATTATCTAAATATCACGGGGATGAAACTGAAGAACATAAAGTTGCTCAAGAGGCTGTTAATAAGTTGTTTGCTAAGTTAGACGAAGAGAAGAAGGTGGATGGTGGTGATGTGACTAACCAACTTTACGGACAATTGGGTTATATCTTCAGTGAATGGATTAAATTGTTGAACCATGGTGAGGATTGTCATGAATTACAGGACGAATTTATTCATGGGTTGATTGAGGAAGAAATTTTAACTAATCCAAGATATTTCCAAGTATTTTTTAAGGCTGGTATTGAGATTTCGGTTACTGCCTTTGCTACTGAACATGAGATTAGAAGCAGAACTCAACATGAGACTTATCTTGCTGTTGACAGTTTGGCCAAATTGATTGTTAAGATTGTTTTGAGCATTGAAGGCGAAGGACAAGCTATGGACTATTTCAAGAAGATTCTCAGTGTTATTTTGTTGGTATTGATCAACGATCATGAAGCTGCTAGAAGTGCCAATGTTGGTGCTACCAGTGGTAATTGGAATGAACGGGCTTATTTCCGTTTCTTCTCGTCGCTCTTGTCTATTTGGAGTGATGTTGGCGAGGCTACTTCTCAATTAGATCAAGAATTCTTTGTATTCATTGGTGAAGTGTTTTATTCAATTCAACCTATCATCTTACCAGGATTGACATTTGCTTGGGTTTCTTTGATTTCTCATAGAATGTTTTTGCCTAAATTGTTGGAATTGCCAGAAAAGCAAGGATATCCTACTGTGGTTAAGTTATTGATGGCAGTTTTGAAATTCCAGCTGGTATATGGTAAGGATGCTAATAATCATGATGTGATTAATGTTATTTTCAAAGCGGTTAACCGAGTCTTTATTGGTATTTTACACGATTATCCTGAATTCTTGGTTGAATGTCACTATCAATTAGTTACTGCTATTCCTAGTGGATACACCCAATTGAGAAACATTGTATTATCGGCTGTTCCTGCTAACGTATCAGTTCCTGATCCGTTTACTCAAGGATTGAAGGTTGAGAGGTTGCCTGAGATCAACGACAGTCCTGTGATTAACTATTTGCCTGTGGAAGATTTGGTCAAGGCTGGATTAAAGAAGCCGGTTGAGAATTTCTTGCGTATTCCTTCTTCGGCATTGATTAGAACCATCTACAGTGGGTTTAAGTTGAGTCAACCAAAGGATGGCGATGTGCACTACAATGTCAAGTTGATCAATGCGTTGGTGTTGCATGTTGGTATATCTGCCGTTGACGAAAGAAACACACCAGCCAGTATTGGCGGTGGACGCGGGTTTAATACCAAGAGCAGTCAAGTTACATTGTTGGTTGATTTAATGAACTACGGTCTGGTTGAGTTCAAGTTCCATATGATTAATGCTATTGCCAACCAGTTGAGGTATCCAAACAGTCACACGCATTGGTTTATTGGCATCATTTTGCATTTCTTTAGTTCGAACAGTATTTGGGGAAATGCCAATGTCAAGGTTGAGGTGCAAGAGATCATCACTCGAGTGTTGTTGGAAAGAAGAATTGTGTGCAAGCCACATCCGTGGGGATTGACTATTGTGTTTACGGAGTTGGTCAAGAATGGAGATTACGGGTTCTTTGAATTGCTGTTTGTTAAGAATAGTGTTGAGGAGATTAAGAACATATTTGATGCTTTGGCTATTAATGTCAAGGGCGGCAACCCCGGGGATGTGTAGCGAGTGTATAATTAGATCGTTAACGTTGTTGTTAATTAATATTACGATTATTGCTATTATTAGTAGTAGTAGTATTAGTACTACTACTATTGCCCAATGTATTGATGTACTGATGTTTCTCGCGGTAGACCGTTTGACGGGGACAACTCGATCCTCCGTTTTTTTTCCTTGACTAATTAATTTGATTTAACACACACAAGTAGCAACCAACAGTATCTCTATATATATATATACAGGTGGAGATGTCCCGTGTCAAGAGAATTGCTAAGGAATTAGAAGAGTGTCGTCAGGATTCGCAATCTGGGGTTATTCTTAAGCTCAACAACGAGAATGATTTGACTCATTTGACTGGATATTTCAAAGGACCTCCAGGAACGCCCTACCAGGGGGGAGTGTTTCAAGTAAACATTGATATCCCCAACGAATACCCGTTCAAGCCACCGCAGATGAAGTTCACCACCAAGATCTACCACCCTAATATCTCCAGTGTTACCGGTGCTATCTGTCTTGACATTTTGAAGGACGCATGGACGCCAATTTTGACATTGAAGTCCAGTTTGATCAGTTTGCAAAGTTTATTGCAAAGTCCTGAGCCCAATGACCCACAAGACGCCGAGGTGGCGAAGCACTATTTGAGCAACAAGGCTGGGTTTGAAGAGACGGCTGCGTACTGGACGAAGTTGTATGCCAGCCCTGAGGACGGGGGAGAGTTTGGCAGTGTGCAGGTGAGCGATTCTGCGTTGTACGGCATTGATGATGAGATTGTGGGACAGTTTGAGAATATGGGATTCCCTAGAGATAAGACCATTGAGGTGTTGAGAAGAATGGGGGTCAAGAGTTTCAAGGGTGTAGGCAACAAGCCAGAATTGGAAAATAAGATCTTGGAAGAGTTGTTGAAGGAGTGTCAATAGGTTAGGTTAGTTTAGTTTAGTTATATATCGTATTGTCGTTGCATGCGATGTAGTGGCCACTGCTGGAACACGCCAGGGTGTTGCCAGAGCACACGCCGGTGTGTTGCCAGAAGACGCACTGGGGTGTTGCCAGAACACACGCCAGGATTTTGCGAGAAGACGCACCGGTGTTTTGCCAGAAGACGCACCAGTGTTTCGTCAGAATACACACCAGTGTCTTGCCAGAACACACGCCAGTGTGTTGCTTGACTAGTGCTTGACTAGTGCTTCACTAGTGCTGGTGTAACGTTGTAGCAAACCGACCGACCCAGGCGTCCTGCATACAGCCGCAGGTGGAACGCAGAAGAAAAAAAAATTTTCAGTGCGTTTGACTTTTTAAGAATCCGTACCGACCAACCTACCCACACCCAAATCAATCACAAATCCCATCAATACAATTTTGACCCTTTTAACCCCATTTTTATACATCTATAATTACTTCTATTGCCGTTTTTTGTTTGTTTGATTTTGTTTTAATATTATAAAAAGATATATGCAATATGACTACCTCTCCATCCCCAGCACCTCCAACCACCGCCGGTTCAGCACCAGTTTCTCCGGAAATCGCTAATGAAGCAACTACCGCTGCTGCTGCTACTACTGCTAATGCTGCTGCTACCGCTACCGCTGCTACCACTACTAATAGTGCTCCAGCTAGCTTAACTGAAGAACGTACCACAACCATCGGTTGGTTCTTTATTCAATCCTACTACGATTTCTTTGTCAACAAACTCGACACCATTCATAAGATCTACCACGCCAATGCCGTGCTTTCCCATGATGCATACCCAACCACCTCGCAAGACAAAGTCCCAGCAACCACACACACCGCCAGGGGAATTGATGCCATCAAGTCCAGATTTGCCGTGGAAGAAGAACAGGCCACCACTAACCGTATCGTGATCACCTCCGCTACTTTCCAAACTTCCCTCGATAAGAATATCATCATTGTTGCCTTTGGGGAATGGGCCAAGAGTGACCTGGATGGATTCCGTCAATTCACGCAAACTTTTGTGTTGACCCCAGGTAAGAAGGAAAACACTTTCGACGTTGCCAATGACATCTTGAAGTTTATCGACGTCAATGGCTTTACTGAATTGAATAGTGAGGTCAAGAATAAACCAGCCGGCGAAGTTGAAGAAACCGCCGTGGTTGCCGTGGCCGAAGAAGAATCCAAGGAAGAACAACAGCCAGAAGAAGAAGAACAAGAAGAGGAAGAAGAAGAGCAAGGAGAGCAAGAAGTCAACACTACTGAAGAAACCGCTGTTGATTCTGAACCAGTTTCTGAAGTCAAGGAAGAAGAAACCAACGGAGAAGTCAAAGTCCAAGTTGAACCAGAAGAAGAAGAAGAACAACAACAACAACAATCAGAAGAACCTAAATCCGAGGCTGAAACTTCTGTTTCCACACCAGTTGCTACTGCTGCCACTCCTTCCAAGCCACTTTCTTGGGCTGATTTGGCTTCCCAATCCTCGGCCAAGGCCGCCTCTGCCAAAGCCGCCTCCCCAGCAGCATCTGCCACTGCTAAGCCAGCCGCACCAGCTGCCACCGGTGTCACTCTCAAGAAACAACCACCTACCAGCGCATCTCCAACTGGTTCGTCTCCAACCAGCAATGCTTCAGGAAAATTCAAGAAGGAAGACTGGTTCCCAATCTACATTCGTGGTATCAAACAGCTTGAAGAAAAATCATTAAAGGACCATTTAAGTCGTGAATTTGGGGAATTAAAGTTTTTCAAGGTGATTCAAAACATTGCCCTTTGTGATTTCGTGGCTCAGGATGCCCAACGTAAGGCATTGGAAACTAGAGAAACTACCCTCGACGGGGTCACTTTCCAATTAGAACCAAGAGAACTGAAGACCGGTAATAATTATCATAATGGCAAGTACAAGTATAAGGATGGTAACAATCAGGAAAAGAGAAAGTTTGATAATAAAAAAGTTAATGGCGTTAAAAAGAGAGTCTGAAAAGGTTAATGTAGAGTATATAATAATAGATGTGGTGTAATTAATATCAACCTGATGTAGTGGAGGTGTCGGTAGCAGCAGTGGTAGCAGTAGCAGCAGCAGTGGTAGCAGTAGCAGTAGCAGTAGCAGTACTACTACTACCACCACCACCACCACCACCACCACAGCTGACTTGGTGATATTGGGCGAAAGTGCACGACCTTTCGCTGGTGTATTTTTTTCCCTAAATTTTGGATCAAAGTGTCAGCATAGCCATTAACACCTCCACCTACTACACGCTCTACCCACCCCCCAATGAACTTCCTACGTAAGAGAAGTAGCTATAATAATAGCGATGATGATATATCATCAGGCGACAATGCGTCACCTTCTAATATCCACAAACTGAGAAAACCTCCAAACACAGCCTTTCGACAACAACGTCTTAAAGCCTGGCAACCAATCCTTACCCCCAAGACAGTTATCCCATTACTAATTCTAATTGCAGTTATATTCGCTCCGCTTGGAATTGCCATCCTTTACACCACTTACAACGTTGAAGAACTTAATATAGACTACCTGCAATGCAACAAGTTGAAGGTGGCCACCAGTAACAGTAATGGGTTTGATTCTATTCCCAGCAAGTTTACCGGCTATCACTTCCGGAAAACCAACACAAATCCAGATTTCAAGTGGAAGTTGGTGGAGAGCAAAGACAGCGATGGCGATACTCAGCAAACGTGTGTCATCCAATTCAATCTCCCTCGTGATTTGAAACCTCCGTTGTACTTGTACTATAAGTTGACCAACTTCTTTCAAAACCACAGAAAGTATGTTGATTCGTATGATTTGGGGCAATTGAAGGGACAGGCTGTGTCAGATGGCTCAATCACTGACTCGTGTAAACCTTTGAAACATCGAGTTGTTAATGGAACCCAGAAACTCATCTACCCCTGTGGGTTAATTGCCAACTCCTACTTTAATGACACATTCTCCTCGCCGGTGCTTTTAAATGCAAAGAACGGCCAAGATAACCAAACATATGTGTTTGGCGAAACGGGTATTTCCTGGCCTAGTGATCGAGATCATAAATTCCAGCCAACCCAATACAACCCCGAAGACGTGGTTCCTCCGCCTAATTGGGACAAGATGTTTCCCAACGGATACACCAACGATACCATGCCCAACGTACAGACATGGGAGCATTTGCAGAACTGGATGCGTACTGCGGCCTTGCCTTCATTCTACAAGTTGTATGGTAAGAACACTACGGAAACCATGAGTTCGGGCACGTATGAGATTGAAATTGGGTTGAATTACCCTGTGACCATATTTGGAGGTACGAAATCGGTGGTTATAACTACTAATTCCATCTTTGGGGGAAGAAATGTTAGCATTGGTGTGATTTACATTATTGTTGCTATTGTGTGTTTGGTATTGGGTATTGGGTTCTTGTTGCAATATTTGATTAAACCAAGAAAAGTAGGGGGTGACCATAACTATTTACAGGAGAACCAAAGAGTGACTTTATAGTTTTATAGCAATAAAAGGGCATAATCATCTGATTCTGATCTTGATCTAATTATAGCTTTCCATTTTGGTGGTCGTGCGCCGTGTTCAAGATTTTGCCAGAGGGAAAAAAAATCTGAACACTTCAGGAAGACGTTGGTTGTAAAGGCAGCAGTATTGAATACACAGACTTTAGAGAGACATTCAAGCTAGAGGACGATTATGAACGTAAACCCGCATCTTCAGTACTTACAGCAGCAGCAGCAGCAACAACTGACACCAGGGCAACAACAGCAACAGCAGCCAGGACAAATGTCGGCCGGAGCAGCTACTGCTCCAGGACAATCACCACCAATCTCACAATTACAATTACAACACCAACAACTCCAAAGACAGCAACAGTTGTTGAACCAACACTTACAACAAACCCAAACCCAACAACAGCAACAGCAATTGGGCACGCCAACCGGCCAACACGTCAATCCATTGTTAGCTGGTTTGAACGGGAGTAACACGGCCAGTTCTCAAACAAACGGCAGCGGGTTATTAATGAACAATTCAGTCAACCCATTATTGCAAATGCAATTGCAACAACAACAACAACAACAGCAGCAGCAGCAGCAGCAACAGCAACAACAACAACAGCAAGTCCAACAACAGCAATTTCAACAATTACAAGCTCAACAGTTACAACATCTCCAACAACAACAAGCGCAAGCCCAGGCCCAAGCACAAGCTGCTATGCAACAATCCCAAATCCCAATAATCAAACAAGTATGGTCCCATAATTTGGAACACGAGTTCCAAACATTACGTAGCTACATCAATGATAAGACCTCCAATGTATATATCTCCATTCATCAAGAAATCCCCGGGATTGTCGCTAGACCAATCGGTACATTCAAACTGTCTTCAGATTATCATTTCCAGACCCTTAGATCCAATGCTGATTTACTTAATATTATCCAATTATCATTGTGTATTATAAAAATATCCAAGAATGGCACCAACGTCAGAAATGAACTCAATGCTCAAAGAAGTATTATCTGGCAATTCAATTTCTTTTACGACTTGACCAAGGAAATGTACAACGAAGAGCATTTAGCCATGTTGTCACAAACTTCTCAGATCAACTTCCAGTTGCACATGACTCAAGGTATTCCACACTTGTCGTTTGCGGAATTGATGATCGAAAGTGGTTTGCTTTTGGATCATCTGCATATCAATTGGATTTCATACCATGCCGGATACGATTTGGGATTCTTCATCAGTTTAATGATGAACAGCACTTTACCTATTGATGAGCAAGAGTTTTCTTGGTGGTGCAGCAAATACTTTCCCAATTTCTACGATTTGAAATACATTGGCAATCAGATTTTGTCAAACAAAAACACCAATGATGAATCATCCAAGACTAACAAACCCCTGATTGAATATTTAGCCGAGGAGTTGCACTTGTTGCCGATCTCCCCTGCCATTCGTCAACATTTCAATTCGACAAACTCATTACAACCCACCCAACAGCAACAACAGCAAATGACATCGACGTTGCACGCATATTTGTCCATGGAGTGTTTCAAGGAGTTGGTGAGACAACTGGCGTTTGATATCTCGGTGTTGACAAGATACAAGGGGTTCATATGGGGGTTGGGGACATTATCGGAAACCGCTGAGCAAAATGGCGTTGTTGTTCCCGTGTCTGCGGCTACTCCTACCCCAGGCACTCCTGGTTCTAAGGGGATATATGGAAGAGGTTAATTACTGTTGTTGATTTTATTTTTTTTGACAGTTTTGTATTAGTTTATTTGATAAATTACCTAAATTACTACCCGTATTAATGTACACTAGATATCTATGAAGATTCGGAACTACCTTCAGCTGCTGCTTCTTCCTCCTCTTTATTATATTCTTCAGCTTCAGCTTCGGCCTCGGCTTCGAGTTCAAGCTTTCTCTTCTTTTCATTTCTTTCCTCCACTTCAGCTCTCTTTCTCTTGTATCCTGCCTTCTTGTCTTCACCGGTTCTCTCTTCTTCATCCTGAGGAGGCATAACGAACCACGGTATTTTCCCTCTATTAAAATCATTCAAAATCTGTTTGGAAACCCCGCTTTCATCCGGTTCACCACCCTTGATCAATCTCCCTGACTTTCTGGCAATCAATTCGATGAACTCCGTGCTGGCTTGTTCCAACAATGATGCATCGTCTTCAAACTGACTCCACCCTTTGACTTCATACGTTCGTTCAAGATGCTTTCTTTGACACTTTTGTAAAAGAATAGGAATATACTGTTCGGGATGAGACACATGTTCCACTCTGACGACCCCCCTAAACAAAATATCTGCTTCGGTATCCTTAGAGCTTGGTGGCACAATACCAGGACAATCAATAAGGAAAATACGCTTCATAAGCGTGATATATTGCCAGACCTTGGTCTCACCAGGGATGGGTGCCACGGTACACACCTTCTTCTTTCTCAATGTGTTGATGATGGAGGACTTCCCGGTGTTGGGGTATCCTATGAACCCGACCGATATTTGCTTTCTATCAGAGTGGAGGGTCAGGAATTGTCGAAGAAGTTGGATAAGAGACCCCTTACCGAACGAGTTTGTGATACTTGCGTGGAACGCAAGGGTTGGGTACGACTTGGAAAGATGTTTAACCCATGCTGCCTATAGTCAATGTGTTAGTATAATTGCTAGGTGGATCACCTAAATCAAATGGAGAAGGTAATTGTGTAAGATGTCGGTTTCTATACTAAGAACCAAGTCATGGAGCGGACGAATGAACATCCAGACAAGCTTCAACTCAAAAAAGATTCCGGTACAACTCTAAAGGGTCAAGGATAAGAACTATCCTCGGAGGGGGGTGTGTGAACTACAATCTAATCACCAGAACGGTGATCGGATCCAAGGATTGCTCCTCGGGTTCACAAGGGCGAGAAGTATTATTCTCCCAAAGACGTAACAGGCAATATTTTAGGTAAGTTGTACATGGTGGCGTACGAGTATCACCCTGACTAAATGCTTTGGTGTGTGTGTGTATAAAGGGGGGGGGGGGTTGTTTCTCCATATGATAAAGGTTAGTAAAAATAATAAAGTGTATACATACAGCTACCCAAGTGGGCACTAAATCACATTTGTTCAACACGTAAATCAAATGCTTATGAGGACATTCATCACGGATATATTTCTCAACGGATTCACATCGGGTACCTAAAGGATCTCTGGCATCCAATACATGAATCACGACATCGGAAGAATCAATAACTTTATACAATTCATTCCAAATACGTTTGGATTGGCCCTTGTGGAAAATGGCTTCCTTGGCTTCTTGGGTGAAATCTTCCTTGTCCAAGAACGAGCCACCCATAAGACCTAAAGTAGCATTCAATTCTTGGGTTTCTTGGTACTTGACCGAATCAGATTCGGTCATTTCCGCTAATTCCTCCAAAGAAGATGCAGCGACAACTCTTGGTTTCTTTCTTTGTTGCTTTGGGCCAAAAGTGGATGCAAACAGTTCAGTTTCAACAATTTTGGCAGCAGGAGATTCACTGGTATCTTTCTCGTCCAATAGCGACATTGGCAATTTATTACGTTTAAGCAACACTTGATAACTATCATTCTTTTTATCGCCCATAGCTTCACGGAAATGGGTCAATGCATCTTGACCGATGACACGGGTGTTACCAAACCATTTTCTATTAGGGTCGACTCTAGCGGTTGGAGCGTCGGTGCTTTGCAAGTCAGCGGCCTTGATAATGTCACCACGGGCGTTACGAATGGCTCTACCTTGCTTATACATGTTCAAATGCTTCACCTTCTTGGCATCACGGTAGAAGTTTTCTCCCTTAACACGAAGGTTACCATCACGAGTGTCATTCTGACGAACTCGTCTTTGTTTTTCCTTCTTTTGAGTACCCATTATGTGTATAAGTTTGTATAGAGAAAGAAAGAAATGTGCTGCTAAAAAATTTTTTTTGATTTCTTTTATAGCGAAGAGATGCACGAAAAAAGAAAATCCGATGCAACCTGTAAACTGGGCAAGAACATGCAAGTGGTGCAAACCTGCAAATGGAGCAGAGAACATGCAAATGGAATGTCGCGTTGACAGCCGCAGTGTCTCTAGCAGCCAAGACATAAATTACAGCATGTGTGATATTCCCCACCCCCACGGACAGCACATTCTTCTTCTTCTTCTTCTTCTTCTTCTTCTTCTTCTTCTTCTTCTTCTTCTTCTTCCTCCTCCTCCTCTTCTGGCTCTGCTCCTTCTTCTTCAATTGCCTTCAACCATGACCCAACCTGCTGGCACTCGCACGTCGCTGACTCTCCCACCACTCACCTCAACTCAAGAACACTTTCTCAAGAAGTACTTGATCGAAATTCAGCTCATTAAGGAATTACACACTTTGAATGATCCCAATTGTTGCCAATTTTTGGGTCCCCCCTTTAAAGTCACTTCCAATGTGAAAACCACCCAGCCACTCCCACTTCTTTCGTTCTACTTCCACAACTTCATCACCACATTCCCCTTCATAACTAACAATCCCCCTGAAGACCAACGTAGGTTCTGGCAAGACACGTTGCAACCCTTCATTACCTCCTTCAACGCAAAACCCATAAGTGAATCACAGGACAGAGTTGAACTCACAACCAAAAGAAAACAAGTCAACGCCAAAATACTTTCTGGCTTGCTTGTGTTTTTCAATTCCATGGTTACAACCAAAAATGAATTACTGTATTGGCATGACACCACCCGGTTGAAACCTGCTGATGTGGGTAAGCTCGACGGCATATTGCACGCTAATGCAAAAGACGACCACCAGAAACCAGTGGGGTTGAATGAATATAAGCTGATGAGGTTTGTCAATGATTTGTTTATCAATATCGTGGCCGTTAGACTGGTGGGCGAAACCAAGTCTTCGACATTCACGTGGTTGAGGTCTGACGAAGATAAGCACAACTATGAGTTTGTTATTCAGGTGGTGGGACGGCTGGAGGAGAAACACAGCACATACTTTATTACCCGTCACTACTCCCAATTCGCAACTTTGCATTCACAATTGACTAAACAATTCCCGGGAATTATGAAGACCCAAACTATCAACTTGCCATCAAAGATTAAACATGATGCCGGAACTAATAAATTAACAAGAGAAAAATTGAGGCTTGCATTGAGAGGATACTTGCGGTCATTGATCACCCAGGCTGAAATCATCCATTTTCCAAAGTTTATCACGTTCATTGCTCATAACCGTTTTTACAAACTCTCTGAATCTGATCTCCAGGATTATAAAGATCGTATCCAACATGAATCGACCCTCATTGACACGCAATACGAGTTCCAACAGCAAACCACCAAAGTCATGGTGCAGCTCACGGCCGATTTTGAAAATGTCAAGAATCAACTTATCATGAACCCCAACGCCATCACGGAAATCTTTCAAGATTTAGGCAAGACTTCTGATATTCACAAGTTATCACCAGTGTTGAAGACATTCAATGAATGGTGTAAATTGCAAGTTTCCAGTACGATTTACCAAACGTTTCTCAGCCAGGATAATTCTAATGAATGGTTTTCCAAATGCCGAAAGTTCCACAAGTTGTTCCCATACTCCATTGTGTATACCATTTTGAAATTCACCAACCCGGTGAAGATCATCACCAAGATTGTGGATTTACTTTTGGTAGAATTGCCTAGTTTCTCATGGAGCAGTGACAAGAAACAACTGCATAATTTATTATCGATGATATTCATCATGTTGTTGGATGAAGATTTAAGCGATTATGAGAAGGAATTGAATCAGTTGAAGGGCCAACACTTGAACCAAAAAAAGTTTGAATGTGTATTATCTCGGATTGATCAGTATAATGAGTTGACGTATCTTGAAATCGACCTGATCAAACAAGAATCGATAGAGTTGGGACAAGAAATATTTGTAACAGTATTAACAACCAAACAAATTGAACCCGCATTACCTGAATCAACAGTTGATGAAATCCTATCCACCCCGCATCTCCACCTGTGTGTCAAACAATATTGGCAACTTGAAGTGCGTAAACGTGACAAGAACCTCTTTAAGCAACTTTGGACCGAGCCGGAACTCACCCGACTCATTAAGGAATTCCTTACCATTTTCTACCAACCATTGATGAAGATCTTTGCCAAGAGTGATGTGCACCTTGTTTTTCTGTCGTTTCACAAATTTATGGATGATTTAATGAATTTGTTGACTACGATAACCAACGAAGGAATTTACTACATGACTTCATTTGAGATATACGACTCGTTGAAGTCGTTATTAGACAACCATGAAGAGATACTTTGGGAATTCATGCACAACGTGTATTGCAAAGACGACCAACACTTGTTTCTCAAGCTTATTCAATGGATTGAGAAGTTTATGATTATGATTCGCATGAAGTTTTCCAACCCCGAGGCAGTCACGGTAACATTAACCAGCTCAGTTCCGATTGATGCTGATTTGTTTATGAAACAGTTGACCAGTCGAACTTCAAAAATTGTAGAAAAAAGAAGGTTGTTTAGAGAGTATGCGAAAAAGTCAGCTGAGGCAACCACGGCCCAGGAAAAGATTGACGAGAAATGGAAGGAAATGAATGAAGGTATATTCGGAACGATATCCAGTGAGGAGTTCGGGGTCGGTGGAGAAGATATCCAAGAATTCAATGATTTGACAGAATTGGATAATTTGAAATTGAAATCAGCTCCCAACGCAACTGAGCGGGAATTGATTAATCGACTTGCTAACTTGGATAAACTTGATGATTTTGGAACTAGTGAAGTGGACAAATTGGAGTCGGAATTTGAACAACAATTGATATCGTTGTTCAGTAAAATCAATATGGATTAGCTACGTATAGATTATGCAATGCTAAGCTCTATTGAATTAGATAGTTCTAGTACTCTCCTTTAAAGCAAGTCACGGCTTGACCGCCGACCTCAATAACCAACCCATTTTCATCTTTGCTCAAATTAACACTCAACTTTGCATCTCTACTAATGCGACATCCTTGTGTAATACTAAACTTTCCTTGCTTTCCCTTGGTAGTTCCAAGATAGGCTCCTACGGCACCTGCGCCACTTCCACAAGCAGGATCTTCAGGAACACCAATACTAGGGGCGATATTTCTCATTTCATATCCATTACCCTCCTTAGGACCAAACAAACCTAACCCTGTCCATCCATTAGCTACACTTATCTTACTTAATTCAGTCATATCTAAGTTCACTTCCAATACGTCGGCTCCTGATCCAAACTCAAACACTGCCCATTTAGGACCGTCCTCGATCAATATAGGTTCGCCAACGACATTCTTTCCCAAGCTAGCTTCAACTTGCTTGACAACTTCTGTGGAGATAGGGGTCATTCTAAAATATGGTAACTTAAATGAAAGTTCTCTCAGCGAATCTTCTCCTGTAACGGTAATTTCAACTAATCCAGCATCACATTCCTGGATAACTTTCCCGTCATGAGGGGCGATCCTTCCCTCTTCGAGTAAAGCATATGCTGTACCAAGAGTAGGATGGCCAGCAAATGGTAATTCACAACCTGGGGTGAAAATTCTAACTCGATAATCAGCTCCTTCCTGGGTTGCTTTTACAACGAATGTGGTTTCAGAAAGATTGGTCCACCGGGCAATTGCTTGCATTTCTTCAGTGCTCAAATTATCAGCATCAAAGAGCACGGCAACAGCATTTCCCTTATACTTCACACTAGTAAAAACATCAACTTGTTTGAATATAGGCATGGCTAGTAATTAAGATCAGTTGTAGCAGCAATTCTAGCTTTCCCCGCGACCGGAACTAAAATTGTACACCTGACCCCCGCGATTTTTCCTGGCTGAGAAATTCATGAACAAATGACTCACACCTTTACAATACCTACAGAAAGTTGGTCACCTTTTGCTCTAAAACAAAAAAATACGACGATTATTACAATTACATTAGAACAATAATCAAAAAAATTTTAAACAATTAATGGACGAGACAGGAATCGAACCAGTGACCTTTTGCTTGCAAGGCAAACGCGCTACCAACTACGCCACACGCCCAGAGTTAACTGACTTAAAAATGGCTCAGTTTTTCATACGGTTCTAACTTGCCTGTACTGTATGCAGGGCTCAAATCCATACTGCAATATATTTGGTCACGTGGCTATTGGATGACATTCCGGTTATTGTAAAGAAAGTTGATTGTAAGTCAACGAATTGAAGTGAAAGTTGTTGCCGTGATATATATCTTGTTATTGATATGCAATTCTTTCCATTTTTACAAATTTTTATGGAGAATATGAAATCAAAATGAAAATGGTTGCAAAATTATCTGAAATTTGAACAAAATTTGGTTTAAACATCTTCAGTCATTTCTCATTTGTCGAATCTACAAATAGTTCAGACTTTAAATGATAAGTTTATAGATTATTTTAGTAATAGATATCCTTTCTATCTATAGAGGAAAATTAAGCAAAATTTGTTCTAGCACATTCTTGCATGGATTTGCACATCTCAACAGCTTCTTGTCATGGCTTCTTTTTTTTTTTCTTTCTTTCAATACATTCGAAAAGGAACAAGATAACTAGGTTAGACCTCCTCAACATTGGTTACTGGACTATGGCCATATATAATCTTCAAGGGGCTAATCGTAGACTATTTTGGTGGGTCATCGATTAGCCGGAAACCAAGGTCAAGCGCATTGTCCATTGAGTTTGATTTGCGTACCTAAAAAGAAAAGACAAACGCAAAAAAATAAAAATCTTTAACTCTTAAACAAAGTATACCCCCCTTTCGACTAGAAAGATACGAAACTTAAATAAACAGCCCACATTGATTTCCTCGCTGAAGATCTTTCCGTCAAGAATACTCACCACACGTTTATTCTACAGAAGCAAAATGCCATACTATGCCGTAGCCAAGGGTAACAAAGCAGGAATCTACAATACATGGGATGAATGCAAAGCCCAAACCAATGGGTACTCCGGATCGGTATTCAAGAAATTTCCCACTCAAGAAGCAGCTCAAGAGTTTGTGAATTCGAGGTCGGGGAATAACTCAAGTACACCAGTCCAATCCAAATCATATAGTTCTGGTGGATCTTATAGATCAGGTGGCTCATCTTATAGTTCTGGCGGATCTTATAGATCTCGTGGATCTTATAGTTCAAGTGGCTCTTCTCATCCAACTATTTCTTCCACTAGCTTTACTGTTGGTACCACTCATCCAGCCAAAAAAACTACAAAAGAGAAGATTTACGTGGACGGTGCTTGTCGTGGTAATGGGAAGTTCAAGTCTCCTTCAGCTGGATATGGGGTTTTCTATGGTGATAAAGATCCTCGTAATGCTGCTGTCCCATTAAATAAAGTTTACAAGGGCAAACCTACCAACCAAAGAGCAGAATTGTATGCTATGAACCATGCCTTGGAGAATATTAACCAAGAATTGAAAAACAACAAAGCTTGTCGTCCTAGTGAAATCCATTCTGATTCCAAGTATGCAATTGAGTCTGTCACTAATTGGTCTCGACGTTGGAAACAAGAAGGATGGAAAACTTCCCAAAACAAAGATGTTGCCAATGCGGATTTGATTAAACCAATGGTTGAATTGAAAGAGAAAATTGACACTCAATACAAAGAAAGATCATGGGAACCATTAGGATTCACCCATGTTAGAGGACATGCAGGAAACGAAGGAAATGAGAGGGCTGATCAATTGGCTAATTTGGGTGCAGACGCAATGGAAAACAACAGAAATTAATTTACTATTTAGCAGTATATAGCTTATTTTTATGCTTATTTTATGACAACTTATAGACTATTCATTCTTCTTTTTATAATCTCCTTGTTTAACATTTTTGGCAATGGTTCTAAACACTTGATATTCCTTAAAGTAGATTTGAACAGCCATTTCAAAAAGCCAGAATGGCAAGATTCGACTAGCACAATGCAATAAATAGGCTTTTGCACCATGATAAAGATTGAACCCAGGATCGCATCTGCTTTGAATATCAGCAACAATTTGTTTAGCATATTTCTCAGGAGAGATGTTCAAGTCACGAGACATGGTGGCAGAAGCCTTGAAACTAGCTTCAGCTCCTGGCACATTGTAATAAGAATCTTCAAATTTAGCTGGCAAGTTTGGATCAAAAATAGCAGTATTAACCCCTCCGGTAATGACACTATGAACTCTCACTCCAAATGGCTTCAATTCTCCATGTAATGTCAAAGCGTATTGATCAATTGCTGCTTTGGTTGCATTGTAAGCACTGATCCAAGCAAGTGGAACTCTGGCCGCAACGGAACTAGTGTAAAGAATTGTTCCCTTGGCATTAATAACTTGAGGAGCAAAATACTTGGTCATGTTGATGTGACCAATGACATTGACATTAAACACGTTAGTCAAATCTTCTTCCAGGGTTTCAATACCAGGACCAATAACAGCAATACCAGCATTGTTGTAAAGCACATGTAATTTTCCTCCGGTAATCTCATTGACAGTTAAAGCTGTAGTTTTAATTTCATCAACCTAAGTAATATCAAGAGGAAGAGAAATCAAGTCGTATTCTTCTTCCAACGGCTTTTGAAGGTGGATAACACTGGGAGGAGAACAACCAATCACCTTGTAACCTGCTTTGGATAATTGCAAAGCTAATTGGTATCCAATACCTTGGCAAGCACCAGTAACTAACGCGTATTTAGTTTCAGACATGATAGTATAATCTTATAATAAGAATTGAGGTGATTATAAATATATCTGTAAGAAAATTTTCAAACAACAATATTACCTGGTTTTATATCTACTCCAGAACATAATGCTCGTGATTATCCCAAATCAAGTTCAAAGAGGAATGGTATGATTCTCCATTGCTCTCTTTTTTTTGTGTTATATTGTGAAACGTAAGTACAGTTGATATAACCTAACCGTTGTCAAAGTGATTTTTATTGAACAATTAAATTGACAGTACTTCACTACTCAAACATGTTTACGATGTTCATTAGCAGCTCATCGAATCAACCATATCTAATTTTAGTTCCAGATGCTTAAGCCTCTCTATCTTTCAGATGTATAAGCCTTTTTCGAAGCTTACTAAGCCCTACAAAACTTTAGAAAAGTCTATAGCCCTGTTTGGCTGGTATGGTTATGAAAGTAGATTTAGATTTTTTTTTCATCTCCTGACAGCAATGGCTGCACCTGACAGCACTGAGCTTAAGCTAAAGAAAATCTCTTAGCGATGGTTGGCAGCAAGAAGAGGTAATAAACTACTAGACTAAACCTTTAGTCTTAGTTGGTATGACCCAGCTACCTGTGAAACCCAATAAACTACTAATTTTTTGTTTTTTTGGTTATTGTTACCATTGTGGGCAATATATTTGTTCCCCCCCTCCCCCTGAAAGTGAGGTGACTACTTCCTAACTACAGAAGAGGGTGCCGAGACACAATCTACAGCAGATTACGTCTCCATTAGCTTCTACCATGGAATTCCTTGAAAATTCCAGTTTCCTAACTAGAAGAGGTCAACTTTCAGCTAACCATATTAATTAGTAAGTTTAAAATTTATACTCACAAGGGTTTAACAATAATTCGCTGTTTAGTTCTTCCAATTTAATTGATTTATGATATTTGGTCAATAATGTACCCTTTTTTTTATCCCAAATATCCAAAGATTCTACTATCTTTTGTCTCTCTATTTTTACTTCTTTAAACAATTCATGGCTGCATATCCAATTTCTTTTGCTTAGTTGAATAGTTGAATATCCAATTATTCACTGCCTTTTGCTTGTTCAATTAGCTTCTCTTTCAGTAAGTTTGGCTCGTCGACAGCGGCTGGCAGTTCAAGTGGGTGCTGGAAATCCGGATGAGCGGGAAGCCTTTCGTTGGGGCATCAACAGCATAAATCCTGATGTTTCTGTTGGAATCAAGCAAAATTGACCTTACAAACTTCATACAGACAAAGAATATTGTAGACAAGGATATTTGGCAGGTTTTTACATCTAATTTCAAAGCCTAACTACAAGAACTTCAAGAAGGAATGACAAATTTTTATGTATAAACTATACATGTTCTAATACAGACTCCACTTAGCAACATAAATTTAAATCTCCATTACGGTCAAAAACTCCCCGAAGTCTAACATAAGCGTCCAACTTTGTAAAATTATGACTCAATTGGATACTCAAATTCAATTTATCCTGTAAGTAAAGCTCGGAAACATGAGGATTAGTAGCTTCAATCCACTTGCGAGTAGTTTCAAAAAACCTTAAAAACAACATGTCACGTTCTTTCTTCAATCTTATATATTCCCTATCTTTTTCTTTGGGAGGAGACAAATCTGCAAGAGTTGGAACAGGATACTCTGGTTTATCGGTATTCTCCCCTCCTAAAAGAGCAGGTATATATTTGGGGTCGATAAATCTCGTAAGGTCAGGATATGTCTTGCTGAAGTAGATCTTTGATGCAACAGTAGGGTCCAACCATGGTTTAATTATTTCATAGACCTTATAGGCTGCCCACGGAGCACTGTGGACTATAATAAATTCTAACAGTTCGGGATAATGGGCTTCAAACATCTCCGCAAGGGTTTTTGCTCCAGCCAAGTCGGCATTCTTCATTAGCGAGAATCCAGTCATGTCAAAGAGAACCGTGAATTTATCCTGGGCTTCGCTAACTTCCCGAACAAAAAGTCTAGCCCATTCAATAAAGGTAACAAAGAACTTTTGATTCTGTTCCAGTTCACTCTCTGAAATCAATTGCTTTCTGACTTCAATAATGAACAATGGGTTGTTGTTACGATCGGTTCCCTTGATCCAAGCTTTACACCTTTGCATCCCCTTGACAAACAATTTATCTTTTCCATTGAAATAAGATGGCACATCTCCTTCCTGAAGTAACCTATCAGCTTTGGATATGTTAACTCTCCAATCAAGGGATTTGAAAAACATGGTAATCGCTTTGTCAACATCCCATTTTCTTGCTCGAACAAACCTAAGGACTTGGTTATCACAAAGGTCGTTTCTGGTACCTTTATTGAGTGCCCGATGAATCACTTTAGGATCATAATGTGGGAAACAAGAATGAAGAGTTTTGCATGAGGTGACTTTGACTTTGAAGCCATGTGGTAGGGTCCGTCTATTGCTTGAACAGGAGTAAACGCTACTGCGTTTGTTGTTCTTAGCCACGTGTATTTCCTGACTAGAATTGAACCTTAATTCTTCACTTGCTGTACCATTCTTTGATGGGTTGAAGATATGCGCTGGGTAGTCGTCAAATTGTGATAATGAAGTGCATGCTGTAACAAAAGAACTATTGTCATTGTCAAACAAATCTGGCTCTGGATCAGGATCACTATCTTCAACTAGCGGACGGTTCTTTGACCTTTCTGGTACAACTTCACTTAATTCTGGTTCATCATAACCAAACTTGTTGATCAAATCAGAGTATTCACGAGATCTTTCATAATTAGCCTTATAATGATGAACAAATACATAGTAATACTCATCACTAGGGACCTTAACCTTTTCATATTTTTCTGTACTTGCATGAGTGTCAATGTAAATCCTTCTTTCAGAATCGGATGGAAGAGTTTCAGGATCGTGACCCTTAACTTTTCCCATGAGTGGTTTGGGCGGTGGACATGTACTTAAAGTTACCACAGGCACAAAAACTCGAGATTCATCAAAATTCTCAGTAGATGTGGATGCAATATAGCTTTCGTTGTACCTGACGTCATAATGATTAATGCTAAGCGGATATCCAAGAAATTTGATTATGTATGCCCAAGTTTTCTTTAAAATAATTTCTTCTTGAGCAGTAAGAGTTTGAATTCTTTGTGGAGGATATTTGTCAGCGGCGAAGATAGTCATTGTTGCTTAAGTATCAAAATATTCAAAAATTTATGGACATTATAAAGGCAGAACGAGCTGGTTTTATATAAGAATATTTTTATGGTGAGATGTTTAGATCAAGAGAGATTACCACCGGAAGTTGCAGCAACATACGGAGCCGTTGAAAGGTCTAAATCTGTAGTGAGATGTTTCAGAAGTGTCGAGGGGAATCTGGTGGTTCCATGCCTTAGTTACGCCCAGTTTGGAATGCCAAGGACCTAAATGGACCCGCTTTCGAGGTATATTGCCATGACGACAGGTAAATATTGACGATATAAATCTTATTTCCGTATCCCCTTAACCAATGGCAAATTTAAATATCGATGACACATGCAACGAAGACGCTGTCACATCAAACTATTAGAATTCTCGTCAATCAACTGATTATGGTTGCAAAACACCCCATCTGTTGAAAAATGTGTCCTTGACGCCTTTCGCAAATTTGCTCTCGTGGTTTCATTAATCTATTTCCTGAATAGGGTAGCATCGTTCAGAATAGTACATAAACTCACATTAAGTACCGAGTTCACAAAGCAGAACGGCCTGATCTCGCATAATTTAGCTTAATAATAATAATAATAATTATATCAAGTATTATCTATTTGAAGTTTAATATATATTACAGTAGTATACACCTAGTGTTACAACACGCTGTAAATCCATTTTATCCTCTGACCTTGGTTTATCTTCTCCGTGATCTAGGGACCAACTTGGGACGACCACCAGGAAGCCCAGGAGCAGCACCGCTAAAGGGGACTCCTGGTGCACCAGGAGTCATCGCAGGAGCCTGTCCAAATGCCGCGGCATGTGATTTGAATATACTTGCAGGATCAGGCGTAGTTTCTTTACTACCAACACCAAAATTAAATTGTCCTGGAGCACCATTCTGTTGCATTCCTCCTCCAAAACTAAATGGCGTGGTAGCAGGTTGACTTCCAAATGCAGGCAGAGCTGTTTGTGGAGGCTGGCCAAATGGACTATTGGATGATTGCCCTAATGGTGATTGCCCAAATGAAGTAACAGGTTGTTGTTGTTGTTGTTGTTGTTGCTGCTGATTGAACATAAAATTCGGAGTTGCTGCAGCTGGGGTTGAATTCGTATTCGCGCCAAAAGCAAAGGGTGATTTTATTGATGATGGATTGATTCCAGCAGCAAACTTGAAATCAGGATTGGTGGGCACTGGTGATGGCGTATTGTTAGTGGCCGAAAATGCAAATCCTGACAGTGTATTATTAGTACCTCCAAATGAAAAACCAGGATTAGCTGTTTGTGATTGTGATTGTGATTGGCCAAATGCGAACGGTTTATTACCAGCATCAGGTGAAACCTTCTTGTCAACATTGAATGAAAATGATGGGGTTGTTGAGGTTGCATCTTTCGTTCCAGATGGAGTGGCGGATCCAAATTTAAATGAAGTGTTAGTTGTAGTAGCAGCAGAAGCAGCAGCACTGCCAGATCCAAATTTGAACGTATTTGTACTTTCTGAGCTGGTAGGGTTGGTAGCTTCTGTACCAGCAGGTTTACCAAATGTAAATCCACCCGATTCTTTTGATGCCTGAGAGAAAAGACCAGGCTTTTCAGGTACTTTGGTTTCACCACTTGGTTTATTCAAGGTTGATCCAAATGAAAATGGAGGGGTAGCAGATTTATCAAATATGTTAGTTTTAGTTTGTTCCGGTTTATCGGGCATGAATACACTTGGTTTAGTTTCAGTAAGCTTGGAAGCGGTTGTGGAAGAAGTGGCTCCAAATAGCAGCGGACCTTGTGACTCTTTATTGCCAAATGTAAATGTCGAGGCAGGTTTGCCGGTAGTGTCTTGTTCTTCTTTCTTTCCAAATGAAAAAGTCGAAACCGGTTTGGCGGCGTCTTCCCCTTTCTTACCAAATAATCCAGAGGCAGGTTTTACAGCAGTTTCCTCTTCGTCTTTCTTTCCAAATGCAAAGCTCAAGGCGGGTTTTGTAGTATCATCTTTCTTATTAAACTCAAAAGTCTGTGTAGGTTTGGCTGCAGTTTCATCTTTCTTTCCAAATTCAAAAGTCAGCGTAGGTTTGGCAACAGCATCTGTTTCAACTTTTTTACCAAACAAAAATCCACCACTTTCTTCCTTCTTCTCGCCAAACGAAAAGGCTGGTTTTGGAATTGAAGTATCGGGAAGAGGAGTAGGACTTGCCGTGGCGGAGGTGCCAGCTTCCTCTTTGTTACCAAAGGAAAATAATGGCTTGGCACTAGTTGCAGATCCATTTGATTCCGTCTTGGCTCCAAATGTAAACTTAGGCACCTCTCCATCCAACTTTGGTGTTTCATCTTTCTTACCAAAACTGAATTTTGGAGCTTCAGTAGATTCCTTCCTTTCGGTGAATAAACTTGTTGGTGCTTCTTCTGGTTTCTTGCCAAATGAAAACTTTGGTGCTGATGCAGCGGGTTGGTCATTTTCTGTTTTCTTAAATGCAAACTGTGGTGCTTTAGCTTTTTCGTCAGGCTTGCCAAATGAAAACAATGGAGCTGATCCCTTCTTTTCTTCTTGATCTTCTTCGTCATTCAGTCTCTTTCTAGTCCTCTTTCTTGGCTGTTCTGATTCATCCTTGTTTCCAAACAAACTAGGTGTGGCAGTGGATGTCTTTTGTTGTTTAAGAGCATCATCCTCAGTATTTTCAATAGCAACGGATTTCTTGAGTGTAAAGCTTGGCTTTTGATTAACCAACTTTGAATTTGCAAACAAATCATCGTTATCTTGACGTTGTTTCAAGATATTATTCAAATCATCCTTCTTAATGTCAAATTTAAACCCAGAAGATGGAGCAACTGGAGAAGTTATCTTCCTATTCACTTCGACTGAATCTTTCAACTTGATGATATTGGAAACAGACTCCGACTTCTTCAAGTATTCATCATCCAATTTCAATTCAGTCGGGATAGTAGCAGACTTGGCGAAAAGGTTTTCTCGATCACGCAGAGGACTAGAACGGGCAAACTTTTTCAAGGTTGGGTCCTCATCCTGTTGTGGAATAATTTGGGTCAATGGTGAATGGGCGCGTGGTTCTGATTTTGTAAATTTTGGTTTTGTTATACTGCCTAAATAGCCATTCAATTCACTGCTGACGGAAGGCACAGTTGAAATCATTTTACTTTCTTCAGGAACATCATACTTGAACTCTCCACTAAAGAACCCGCGTCTCTTTTTCAATGGTGGACCAGAAGCAGCATCAGCAACAGCAGCAGCAGCAGAAGCCGGTATCGGAGCTGATTCGACCCTACGCTTAAAATGCAACTTCCTAGACAAGTATTCAACATCGTGTGTTTGAGTAGCACTATCGACCTTATTAATGGTGGTGTTCATAGAACTGATTGTTTCATTGGGATCAACCATGTACCTGATTCTCTTCTGAATAGACTCTTGGGCTTCAATAGTTCGTTTCAATTGAAGTAAATGATGCCTTTCTCTAGGATCCAACTTGATAAACGGAGGACGAACAAGGTTGCCTTGTTCATCAGTGTACAAAGACCCGTAATCAAAGTTTTCAACATTGCTATCGCTTGCCGGAGAGTTAATTCCCATAAAACTATGTGTAGGAAGCGGGAGGACGTTGAGAGGTGACGCATCACGGCTAATTGAGGGGTTGTTGCTAATGGCATCAGCCTTGACGTATTCTTGCTCATACACATTGGATATCCTTCGTTCCAAATCGTTGTTTAATTCCTGCTCATACGTGCGTAAGTTGGTGTATAGGTTCAGATACGAACCCATGGCGAGGTTGGATAGTGATGGCGAACGTGGATTGGTGCCTCTTCTAGGGATGGCCTGAATCGAAAGTCGTTTTTTCTTGTCAGATGTGAAATTGTTCAGTAATGGTTCATCATCAATTAGCTTTGCCACTGACTTTGGAGCTATTGGAGAAGAGGAGTCTATTTCCAATGAATTGTCACCCACATTCTTTGTCTTTCCAGGTGAGGGTTTAAAGATGGAGTTTCGAAGTCGAGTAAAATATGATGAGAAGCTGGTGGATCCTTGTTCATCATCATCATCGTCTAATCTTTCACCGATTTTCGTGTTGGGACTTATAGGTCGTCCGTCTTCTTCCATGGTGATTGTCTATAAACCTGAAGAGTAAACAGTTGGAAACCCAAAAGATGGTTGCCTAAAATTTGTTTTTTTTCTTTTTGATTTTTTTCTTCTTTGGTTTTCTCTGTGCGGCTCACTCAAATATAGCAAGGCTAATAAACCTAACCACCAACCACCAACTACAAACTTATAAGCCTATAAGCCTATAAGCCTATAAGCCTGTAAGCCTGTAAACCTGTAAGCCTGTAAGCATATAAACTACAAACTACAATACACATCTACAACCTACAATCAATTACATAGTATACATTAAATAAATAAAAAACGTTCGTACAAAGTTACATTATTATCTCTGATGTCAGATTACTCTCAAAAGCACCAGAATTATTAAATACCGCATTACCAGAAGGTTGTGCTTGGTTCAACGTCAATGGTTGGCGATCATCAGCAAATACATCATCATCCATGTCTGTATCATAATAACTAAGAGCAGGATTCTTTAATCCCATAACTGGGTCTTCTCTAGCTACAACATCAATATCTTTGATAAGCTTAATCATACTATTCTCACCATAATTGACCCCATAAGATGCACTGAGTGGAATAACCCCTTGAACCCAAGCATCGACAATTCTTGCTCGTTGTTTCGTACCTAATCTGGAGATGGGGAATTCTCCCTTTTTGATAAACGCCACAATATCGATAATAATATGATGCTTACTGAATACCGTATTGACAATCAATGGCACTAAACTTGAATAATATCTTGTCCGTTTAGACTCACAAACAACAATAGTATAATCAGAGCACTTAAACACACACGAGCCATTGTTGTAAATATCCAGGTGACATGACTCAATAGTATTCTCAATGTCAATTGGGAAATGATGCAACCCCATCACTTCAAACGTGTCGGCAATTTTACCCAACACAAATAATGGCTGGAATGAAGTAATGTTACTGGAACGACGACCGCCACCAGCCTCACCGCCTTCTTGACCATTTTCCCCACCGTCATTCTTGGTGATGGAAATATGATGCAAAAATCCCAAATCCCCAGTTCTGGCATACTTCAGCTGTGGATCGCCTCCCACAATCTGAGCATTAAACTGAGCTTGACTTAAACTATCAACTGGGCCCTTGGGTCCATTAGTAAACGAGTTCAAATTTGCATCCGACTTGACCCAAATCTCTCCAAACTCGCCTTCTTTACATACTCGTCTCGTTTCAGGGTTAACAATCGCAATTTCAGTACACACAGGCACCATACCGGAATCCTGAATGTGTAATGCGTTAGGGAAATCAGCCTGATTCACCACAGATACATACCCTTGTCTGAGCGCCAATGGGTCCAAGTACAAATCAACGGGTGCCACAGTCATGTACGATCTTGTTGAAATCATCGGGTTGAAATAATGGTTGTATACGGTTGACATAGCAGCCGCGCTTAACTTAGTGGGACTAAATACCTTGGATATCTTTCGCAAGAAATCAATCTCCACTCGTCTATTCTCCGTACTGATCATCATATTTTTCAAATTACTCAAGTTGAATCCCTTAGGAGAAAACTTGATCGCAGCATACTTAAGCATTTGTTCAGTAACAAAAGCATCTTTGACCTTATATCGGGCAAGGGTAAGGAAGAATTGCAAGGGATTCTCAGCATAACTCACCGGCGAAACCAAATACGTGGTGGTTCCTAAGAAAACGCCTAGCAAACATGCTTGGATGAATCCAATACCCGATGCATGTCTAACACACCCCACAATTGGAGTCTTCGAGTTCAAATTGCAAGTTTCCTTAAACACCTTACACATACCGATAATGTTCAGATGACTCAAAACTGTACCCACACGATAATGATCACTGGTAAAATTCAACCACACCATGGCGGTGGTATGAGAATCCCGGAAATTGACTGCGGCTTGATAGGTGGCAATCTTGGAATTCAACAGGGCGATATTGCTCAACTTGGTTAGTTTCACCGTGTTTTTAATTCGCAATGCCTTGACCTTTTTATGACTAATCTTCTTTAAAGAATCAGCAACAGGACCATTCTTGAGGAACTTCTCAACTTCATCATTAACAAGAATCTCACTGACGTCAAAATCCTTAATGACACCAACAAAAGCAGGGAAGTCTTCACCAATACGATTGGAATCAAACGGCAACATGGGAATTGGAATTATCCCACAGATTAAACAGGCATACACGGCAACAACAAACTCCTCGGAAAGAGAATACATAAGAATCACATATTGGCCCGGTTTAATTGACGCCTTTTCAATCAAGTAATGACAAACCGAGTATGCTCTATGCTCCAATTTCTTCCATGTTAACGGCTTGGATTTACTACTACTACTACCATTGTCCAAATTGTGGAATGCAATCGAATCACCCGATCTAGCCACTCTAAACTTTAAAATATCAATAATGGTTTTGAAATCAGTCAACGGAGCACCCGTTTTATCATCTAATGAACTGTCACGATAATCAACATTTGAGTATTGGTTAGGGAAATTAGCCAAGGCCATAGATCTCAATTCAGACACATAAGGAGACCAAATACCACCAATTATATCTTCACCATGGGGGATCATACTAATGGATTTCCTCACGAAAAATTTCACAAACTCTGCCCGTAGACTACCTTCAAGGAATCGTTTCTTACACAACATATTGGCGATTTCTCTCCCACCACTTCTCATGATTTTGGGTAACGTATCACAATCAACCACAAGCACACAATACAAACGGAGAAAATGACGACGGTACAATGTGTCAAAACATTTCTGGGCAATAGCGTTAAGCACAGGCTCGTTCAATGGCACTGCACTACTACTAACATAATCATCAGCAGCTTCATTAGAATCCTGATTGGAATCTTCAACAGTTTTTCGTATCACCTCGGCTTCCACAATCGCCACCGGCAAGTATTCGTTACCGATGAAAATATCAAATATAGTACAATCATAAACTTGCTTTACTTCACGAGCCAAAGTTGCCAACAAGTGAGACGAGTAATGGTATCTAGATCCATTATTACCAATGATGAGATCTCGGTTTAATTTCTTGTATAGTTTCTGATCGATCCAACTAACTCGTTGTCGAATTCTGTCTTCATATAACCCAAGAACATATACCTTCCCATTATATGTGAATCCTAAAAGTCCTGTCCGTAAAAACTCCATTTCCAAATATCCATATGCTCCTCGACACCTAGCTCTAAAAATCAGCTTTGACTCCTTACGTAAACCGTAGAATCCACCCGAAAGACAAGGAGAGTCAATCCAAATCTCACCCAATTCACCTTTAGATACTAATATTGACAGTTCAGGATTGACCACAGCAAGGGTGGCATCAGGGATAGGATATCCAAAAGCGTCCACCCGCAACAAATCATGACTGATATCATCAAATGCGCTAGGATTAGTTTCGACAATTTTCACGATATTTCGGGAAAGAGCTTCTTTATCAATAAGCACAGATGAAAGGTCGCTAGAATCATCGTCATCTCCCAAGGGAACCCCCAACTTTTCTTGGCTGCCAATCCAATCTCGTAATGAAATAACCATTCCTCCATAATCACTCAATGTCAACATCGGAATAACCGCATTATCTGGACGTTGACACCCCAAAGGTCGTAAATAACGCTGGGAAAGAATCTCGACAAATTCTCCATCGATAGTCAATGCATTGACCAATACCCACTTGACCGAAGAAAAGTCCACTCTTTGGGTCTTGGAGAAATACCGTGTGGCATTGGGTGACTGTTGATAATCATACGTGACTCGCTTTAGACCGATATAATCGGCAAGCAATAACGACGCTTTACATTTGGAGATGATATTGGCATACAACCCTTGAACTTCCATCACTCGTTGTGGGGCCCATATGTGGACATTTCCTGAATACACCGTAAATAGTATCCCCATGATTATCCCGATTGAAAATCTGATATCCAACGTTGCCAAGACAACCTTGCAATTACGTTGATATTGCGTATAACTGCGTTGGAGATTGTCCGAATTAGGCAAGCTCAGAAGGGCAACATTTAGACAATTCATTTGGTGAGATATGGTACGATGACTTAGGGCAATACCTCGTAATTCTCCCAAAGGTGAACGTGAAAATTCCACATAGGCCAAATTTTGATTATTTTGGGTTTGTGTTTGACTGTTTGATCTTTTTCTTTGTGATTGCTTCATTTGCCAGTGGCTTAATTCTGACTTTTTGGCAGAACCAAATTCGGTGGTTCTCCATCTCATTAATTTTGAGGGCCAATTAATCGGTTGGGCTTGTGTATTCAAACGATCCAACTCCTTAGCCACGGTTTCCGAATAAAGCAACAACTTGGTTGAAGTTAATTTAATGATTTCCAACACTTCAGTTAGTGAAATGTCCTGATGAATAGGAATGGCAGTGACCCCAGCCATAAAACAGCCAAATAATGCCACGACAAACTCGGCAACTTCTCCATCCTTATACAACAACACCACGGTATCATTATTAGTCAAGGATAGCTTGTGTAATATTTCGTAACATACCTTGACTGCCTTCAAATATAGCTTCTCCCATGTGATTGAACTCACTTCTTTACCCCGGATATCCAACACCATGAATGCGGTCTCAGACTTGTATATCCTGGCTCTTGATTCCAATATATTAACCAAATCACTAGGACTATCCTGTTGTATGTCAAACAGTCGTCTAGGATTCAATGGAGTTTCCAATTGGTCGGGATCCAACACGGCCCAATCGTCCAGCTGTTGTTGCTGTTGACGTTGGTGCAAACGGGTAATCGACTGCATAATCTCTTCACGACGGTTAATATAGGTCCACTGGTCAATGGTCTTGTCAACCATGAAGTCCTGATCTAGTTTCAGCAATAGTACAGCCATATCAGGAGGGATGTCCACGGCACTGGTGGTGCCACCGGCAACGATATTAGGACTTGCTCCAGTTAGCACCTGAGGTTGGTTATTGATTCCTAGGGAGTCTCCAGGAGCTGAATTGCCTGCACCACCAGCTACACCACCAGAACTGTTTGTGGCCGGATTTTGTCCCGTTCCTAAGTACTGGCGAGAAGAATGGCCACTTCCAGAATGTGACATTGGTGAATAGCGATGTATTTTGTATTGATTATAGCTAGAGTAACTAAACCTTACTGGTGTTGCCAAATTCTTTTTAGTATTTCTCGTCATTTCCGCTTTGGAAAATGTCGTCATTGTTTGTAGCCCAGCGCTACCACACGCGCAACAAATATCGCGCGATGATCGAAAAATGTCGTCGGGCTAAAAAAAAATTTATCAACCTTCTTTTGCAACAAATACCGTTTAAAACAGGCAACAAGACTTGGAATATGCTTCGATGTTTGGGCATAGCGAGAGGTAAACCTGCTACTACGGTTGCAGCCACCCGTGTACTTGTGGTTCCGCAGAGAAATCTCTTTGTTTTGAATGATGACGCAAAGAAACAACGAATAACTCGAAGGCAACAAGAGAAGTTTGCTCAAAAGCAGAAGAAGAACAAACAGGCACAGGCAACACCAAAGAAAAGCGGCAATAGCACCGAGGAAACCGAAGAATACAAACAAAAGAGGTATGAAGAGATACGAAAAGGAAAATTCAGCGAGCTTCGTTCTTTGGTTAGCCATACAGCTGAAGCATTATACAACAAAAGCACCGTTGAAGTCAACGACGATTACATAGACTCCACAGCCAAGGTGATTTATGACCAAGTGAAACCAAAATTTGATCCTGAAAGAGCCACTATTTCCCCAAAACCAATACCCTCACCCAAAGAAGGACAGGCCAGCAAACCCTTGGAGCTTCCAGAACCAATCACCGACAGATTAGGATTAGCACCTTCATTCTTGGTTAACGATACTAACCAGAACTGGCCAGTTTTACTCAACCAGTTGCAACTTGGTGGAGGATTTCAAGATTTACAACCAGGCACCATTCACAAGTTCTTGCGCAAGATCCCAAACTCTACTTTAGTCAACTTAATTCCTAGCGTAGAAGCCATGTATAGCCATGCTGGAATCGAGATCCCCCACAAGACATATTACCTTTTCCTTCGAGCTTTGGCCAGTGGTCATAAAGTCAGCGACGAAAGATTGAAACTAGTCCAACATTATGTCGATTTGATTAAACAACAAGTTACCGACTTGTCAGTCGATCATTATGAAACTTTACTCGTGATCTACAGCAAAAGTGACGATTTCACCAGAGTGAACCAAATATTACAAGAAATGAAACAACGAGGTATCCAAGTGTCCAAACCAGCATTCTCAGCCATCATGCAAGGGTACATCTACAATCAAAGGAATCATACCCAGGCCATGGAAGTCTTTGACGGGATGAAATTCTTTTCGCAAATGACTCAGCCCGGAGAGAAGGAATATACCGAAATCATCGCATCTTGTGTCATGAATGACGAGCTTGAACGTGGGTTGGATTTGTATCAAGAAATGATCAGCAACAAGATCCCCATTAACCAAAAGGTCTTGAGTAACTTAGCCAAGGGATGTTGTCGGAAACCTCAATACCGTCATCGTGCCTGGCAATTATTCTTTGACATATACAAGCATGGATGGGTTCCGGACTTGCCAACATACGAAAGCATGATCTATATTGCCGCCCGTGATGGAGATGTTGATTTGGCCCGAGCATTATTATACAAGATGTTGGAAACCAATTCGGTGACTCCTAAGGCACTTGCATACTTGATCTTGTCATATTCCAAATTTGTGCCTCCAAGTGAACGTACTACGCCATTAGCCATTCTCCACAACGAAAAGGGGCTACAATTCAGACGCAAGATCATTGATGAAATAGACTATTCTACAATTGTGGCTGGCTTCCCATTTTTACCCAATGCGAGATTAACCAACCGTACTCTTATTCTTGCCGAATCTAGTGCGGTATGGGCATACATAACATTGAGTTGTCCCCAATTTATCAGTAGTAAATTGGCAACTTCATATTTGGATATTGCCTTGGAACAAGGTAATTTTGAAGATTTCAAGCATAGATTTGAAAGTGCCACATATTTGGATGCCACTGGATTACCACAAACCAGACAAATCGTAATCGAAGAACCAGAATCTGCCACTGCAACCTCGGAAATCGCAAACAATGACACTACCAAGGATATCGCTAAATCTCCACTTCTTAACGAAGTCGAGCATTTATTTAAAGACAACCGCGCCAAGGCACCTCGTGATTGTATCATGTACATGGTTGCTGTTCGGGCTGCCGGCCGTTTCAAAAACTTTGACTTCCTTGATTCAATAATCAAAGAGCGAGGCCAGTATAGGAAATCCGCTGCATTCCAACAATTACCAGCTAAGACGCGACACAAGTTGGATTTCCTGTTTGCTACGGTTCTCGTGGACAGTTACACCAAGATGAACATGTTGGAAGACGCTTTAGCCGTGGTAATTGCCAGTGAAGACCAATTTTTGTGGGGTAAGAAAGAGTTGGGAAACTTGATGGGGGCTTCTTACAAGATTGAGAACTTCCATGTTATTGACAGACTCCGAGAGGTGATCGGTAAGTCGCAAATAGCCAAGGGGAAAATCACCAGATTAGATCATAAAATTTACGTTAAAAAGAGAGGGTATTAGAAGAGGTTAACAATCAATTGTACATAGCGTTAATCTTGAATGTATTTATAGAACGGGTTTAATATATATATATATATATGTATATACAAGTGTTAAATTTTATACAGGTAGTTTTAAGATACAATACTAATCATCCAAGGCTTGGTAATGACTTTCTTTACAGGACCTTGAATAAATTCTGTAACGTTGATTTCTTTACTGATTTCATCAATGATTTGAGAATGTGGCTGTGTGATTAAATCTTTGGTTGATACAAGAACTCCTCTCATTTTACCATTTATGAAGATGTTATATTGTTGAGTGGTTGATTCAATCGGTTGACATTCAGGATACGATTGGTAAAAGATTGACTCAACTTCGCTACCATTGCTACTGTTGATTATCTCCCAACCTTCTTCAGCAGTGGCTGGAGTTACACTTGACATACAAATCAACAATTTCTTGTATGAATCAACAATCAAATCGGTGCTGTACTCGCTGTCCGACTTGACAGCATCGCCAATTGCATTTGACATTTTCATCATATCAGAAATGATAGTATTGAACGAAAAGTCAATTTCAATTGACTTTGCAATTCGCAGCACATATCCCAGAACGTCATTGTAAAGCGTAAGTTCATTATGGTTGAATTCAGCAAGTTGTACTTTACCATTAAGTTCAAGCTCATGCTGGGACAAGGTACCTTGTTTAGCACCATCATGTACAGGTAATTCCTTGATAGTTTCACCCAATTGCACCACACGATTCAACCATCTGTCAATACCCAGGATCTGCTCCTCGTTCCAGTTGAGAACGTCAGAAATAGGAGCCAGGAACAACATATGGGCACGGGTAGCATCAGCACCGTATTTGGCAATGCATTCACCAGGATCAGCCCCGTTGTACTTGGATTTAGACATTTTTTCATACGTCACTAATGGAGTCTTACCCATCAGCTTCACCACTGGGTTTGCGGGATCAGAGTAGTCTAATTCATCAGGCTTCAAGAATCGGCCATTGTCAGGATCAGAGAAAGTCTTTCCGTGAACCATACCTTGAGTAATCAACTTCAGGAATGGTTCACTCTTGCACTGCTCACCATTCCATAATCCGTAATCATTCAAGAACTTGGAGATAAATCGGGAATATAACAAGTGCAAAATGGCATGTTCGACCCCACCAATGTATAAATCAACCGGCATATCCTTACTGGCTTCTTTACCGATAGGTAATTTCTGGTTATTTGGATCCAAGTAACGGAAAAAGTACCATGATGAATCCATGAACGTGTCCATAGTATCGGTCTCTCTCTTGGATGGCTTACCACATGATGGACATTCGCAATTGACAAAAGAGTCGATATTGGCTAATGGGTTCCCCTTGCCGAAATGTTTACCTTCAGTGGGTGGTAACACTACAGGCAATTGCTCATCAGGCACGGCCACTGGTCCACAATCGTCACAATGGATGATTGGGATAGGAGCACCCCAGTATCTTTGTCTGCTGATTAACCAATCTCTAATTCTGTAGTTTGTGGTTGGTTTACCAAGGGAATGACCTTCAAGGTTCTTGACGATTAACTTCATGGCTTCCTTGACAGATTTACCACGGTAGTTTCCAAGATCAGCAATACCAGTAGGCAAAACCGAGCTATCTTGTAGCGTGCCAGCCTTTTCGGTATATGGGTTAGTCACATCTTGCTTAGTTGGAGCCACCACTTGAATAGCTTGTTTGGTTGGTTCATGTAATTTCCAGAATTCAAAGTCACGGTCATCATGTCCAGGACATCCCATAACAGCACCATGCCCATAGCTTCCAATGACGTAGGGAGCAGCATAAATAGGAATATCATACTTCTCCAGTTTGTTATTATTGACGTCAATAGGAATTGAAGCTTTTATGGGTAATTTATAACCTGCTTTCGAGTTAAGTTCATATGTTCCGTTTATAAACTTGGCCAATTCGCCATCTTGTTTGGCTAATTCAGTAACGATAGGATGGTTCAAGGCCAACGCTAAGAACTGAACACTAAACAATGTATCTGGTCTTGAAGTAAACACCTCCACGTTGGAGTATCCTTCTATAGGAAAACTAATCTCGGCACCATGGGATTCACCAATCCAATTGCGTTGCATGAGCTTCACCTTCTCGGGCCACCCATCCAAAGTTTCCAAATCTCGGTTCAATTCATTGGCGTACTTGGTTATACCAATAAACCACTGTCTCAACAACTTCTTCTCGACAATAGCTCCACTTCTCCATGACTTGCCTTCGGAGTCGACTTGTTCATTAGCAAGCACGGTCATGTCCACGGGGTCCCAATTGATCTCGGCCTCTTGACGATAAGCCAACCCTTTTTCAAACAACATCAAAAAGATCTTTTGCGTCCACTTGTAGTACTCGGGCGAACTGGTATTGACTTCGCGATCCCAGTCGAAATCAGCCAAGAAGTTTGACATTTGTGATTTCATCTTGGCGATGTTCGTCTCGGTCCATTCACTAGGATCAATCCCGCGCTCAATGGCAGCATTCTCGGCTGGTAATCCAAATGCATCCCATCCCATAGGGTGAATCACTTTGTACCCACGCAATCTCTTGAATCGAGCCACGACGTCACTGATGGTGTATACTCGCAAATGGCCCATGTGAAGTACACCAGAAGGGTAGGGAAACATAGAAAGGGAGTAGAATGTTTTCTTGGAGGTGTCGTGGTTGTCAAGATGTTTGGTTGGGTGTAAGGAACCATCTGGGGATTGCTGTTTCCATTTGGCCACCCACTTCGCCTCAAGTTTGGAGAAATCTATACGACCATTGCTTGTCCGTATCGTACGAACAAAATTGAGACGTTTATTCATTGACCGTTGGGAGGGGGGGAAGTTGAGCTTTATGGGTTGGTCTCCAATCCAGGCGAAATTTTTCAGATCTGAAAAAGTCGCACGACATGCGACATTTTTTTCCATATAACCAATGACTAGGGACCCATACCCAATACCTAATACCCAGTATTCTCGTTTAATAAGTTAGAAGTAAAGTAGCAATACAGTTTACCAGACTCTAATGTCAGATAGAATAACATTATATATGTTTATACACGTCCCCTCTTATCAGCCAACGGTTTCAATGAAGTATAAAGCAATTCACAAACTCCATCAGATGCAATCCCATCCAACTTCTCAATAATTTTAACTTTCAAATCATCATAACTCATATTCAACCAATCCAGCTCATTCAATTCAATCACACTTTGTCTCGAAATAGGCCCAGCATGTCGTATTCCCACCTCTTGTTCGTCCTCTAACTTCCACACTATTCGTGTCACAATATAACTCAATGCGGGATTCATGAATATGTTTCCTAACGTAGCCGGTTGCGGTATATCATAATGTGAACTTAGCTTGTCTACTAATGTAGCTGGAAGATACATTCCTCGATTGGCCAGCTTTGCTTCACTGTGCATGAACTTGTCCCGCCAAAGAAAGTTGACTGTATCCATAATATACGAATTCTGCAACTGTTTCAACTCGGGGTTTTTGTATTTGAACTTCCGAGAATTGGCAATGTGGTTGCATATCAGGGATAAATAGACAATATCGCCATCAAGAAGCATCGAATATACTGAGGTGGGTGGTGGAAGCACCGCAGTTTCGGTGAGTTGGTTAATCACACTTGAAGGCAACGACTGGAGATATTGGACAAGTTTATAAGTAAGCGAGTCTTTGCAATTGGCAAGGAGGATCAAATCAAATAGTTTGGGAATGCATTGGTTGAGTGTTTCATGAATAGATTGCTCTTGTTTTAATTTGAACAAGTCTAATATGCCTGTCAAATATTCTTTCACAATGCTGTCGTCTTCGTTACTTTTCTGCTTAAGATAGGAAATATCCCGTTCTATAATATCTACCAATTCCCAAGCTTGCAATTTAGTCGTATACTTGATCAACTTTGATCGATATCCCAACGACTTAAAGTATGGCTCTTGAGGATAAGAAACAAAATGTTTGACCAGAGGAAGCTGAATTGTTCCACCACTATTCTCCAATATATTAACCAACAACGCAAAGAATTGATCATACTCCTCTTGATTCATTAACTTGTCTTCAAGATTAATCTTGACATACCCGTCTATTTTATTGATAAACTTGGTGTCTCCTCGTTGAAACGCTAAACTGATCAATTTGCACTTGTCTTTATCCTGTAAACAACTGCGTAACAACACATATGGGTTTAATTTGTTAATATTATCAATGGTACTAATCAACTCATCAACACCCTCACTACTATTTCTCAAAGCTCGTGCCCGTTTAACACGAGGAACATTCCCAAGTACAACCTTATCAACCGGAATCAACTTGTTTAATATTTGGAAGTTATCCGGGGAATAGACAATATAATCTAAGTCAGGTTTCACTGTTTTGAAAAACGCAAGAAGTTCACGAAGGTACACATCCAACGGGAACTTGCTATACAAATCAGCTACCCATTTGATATGCCATGACATGAGTATATTCACATGATGATATATCTCCCTATTCAAATACGTCTTGATTGTTGACTTCTTTTGTTTAAGTAAAAGCATAATCAATTGGGAGATGTACCCACGCAGGAACTCGTATGACAAACTCTTTATAAGCAATGACAAAACCACACTCCCCGATTGAACGGCAGATTTAGCAAAATGGGGAAAGTTCAGCACAACCCAATCAAGTAGCCGTAATTGTAGATTCAGGGACAAGGTACGCGTCTTGTATCGCTCTCCTCGTTTATAATAGGCCTGGGGCACGCCAACACTACTCAAGATCTTTAGAAACACACCACTTGAGAGGTAAGATTGGACAACGAGACAGTTGTCAAGGATGTCCAATTTGTCGTTTGTTTTAAGGGCATTGGATGTGGTTGTATCTAGTATAACATCTAAAAGACGAGAGATCACTGGTTCGGTAAACCCCTGGATTTTCTGGGAAATTTCTGATAATTGATTGATTAACGATAAATTAAGATCTTGATCCTTTCTATCTAGTTGATTGATTAGTTGCAAAGCTGCATCTTCATTAGTGGACATTTGGTGGTGATTGGTTGTAAAACGATGTTTGTTTACTTTTGATATTATTTTTTATTATGTTTATATTGCACGTTTGGTAGCGTAGGAGAGAATGTCAACGGTTTCTCTACAGCATAGACAAAGAGCTTAGACTCGATACTACAGTGTTGTGCTATATTAATACTTAGATACCTCCAGCTTCTCGGTACCATCTAATACCTCTATCAAAACTAACAACACACAATCCTTCATTGCTATCACCGCCAGCACCACCTCTTACCCCCTTCTTAATAAATCTAACCCCGCTAACAACACTAGTATCATGCTCACCTTGCTCGACATCATCCAAATCACTAGCACTGATATTTATTGTAGCCTCACGCTCACCAGTTTCCAAATTCCATACTCTGACACACTTGTCGAATCCACCACTAGCCAAAAGCTTCCCTTCTTCGTCGAAACTAAGATCCATTATCCATCCTTGGTGGGCAAATCCTCCAATTGTACTCTTGGTGTTATGCGATGGGGTAGTAAGCGTACCTACATTCTCACCGTGGTCCACATCGTATAACGTGATGGATCCCGCTGCTTGATTGTCTCTAGCCACGGCAAGTAAAGTACCTCCAGGCGAGAAGGCAAGCACTCGAGGTATTGAAGTAGTGCTTGACTTGTAGGATTGTTGTAAATCAGGGGAGTGGAATGTATATACAAGTTTCAAATTTTCGAAATCGTAAAGGAGTACATCACCGTTGATATACCCTATAGCAGCCTTTTTGTTCTTGGTAGGACATACAGCCAATGAGTTGGGAAATGACGAGGTTGCAGGGTCTAATTCTCCAGTTTGTTCAATGGCAATGGCGACTTCCCCGTCTTGTTCAGTTATTTTCAAATGGTTGACCGAGGTGGACCCTGTTGTCTTGGTTACTATGAAGTAATCCTGTTTTGACTCAGGATCACGATAGAATTGCGGCACCCAGCAGTTAGACATCTTTGTATCTTCCCAGTCTTTCAATGTGTCGAAATCGTCATTGACATAGTACTTGAACACTACTGATCCGTCAAAACATGCAAATGCCAATAATGTCACTTTGACAGTGGATGAAGGCAAGGTGTTTTCGTAAGCGGCGATATGGTGGATACCTATCTTGTTAATAAAGCACAGCTTGACATATTCCAGGGGATTATGGATTTCATCTTTTTTGTTGTCCCAGAACTTGGCATATCCGTCACTAGATACTGAGATTGTGTATTTGTTGGTGATTGCCACACCTAGGATATCCAGGGTGTGTGCTTGTGATGCATTGACCGTAAAGATGTATTGTTTCCCCATTACCGTGGTGCTTGATTTGCTGTTGCTGTTTGGGCACTGTAATTTGATGATTCGGATTTTTACAACAATTTTTCAACAAAGCTGTGCGACTCAAAAAGGCAGCCACTTTTGGTGATGGTCAGCAAAGCGTGTCATCTATCACATTGTTCACTCATAAGACCGTGTGAAAAGGGTTACCTGTTATATATTGACTGTTGATTGAATCTCTGTGAATTCTGATAGCCGATAAGCTCTACAATAGTGTTGTTTCTGCTCCTGATGTCATTTTGTTCTCCCTTTGGTTAGTAGATATGGTAAGTTCTACACATCTCGTACTAACGATACTCCACCCCCTATTACCCAAACCAGTACCTTCATACACATGGGGTCTTCCACCGCCAGCCTTAGAGATACGTTTAAACCAGAGTCACATCCCCAATCGGACTACATCACGCTGGGCTCAGTAAAAGACGCTGAACTTGGTAGCGTCGCTCTCTTACGCTTTTTAGTTTAAATTTTTTTTTTAGTTTAACCAATGGCATGTTTACAACAAGAAACAGCCCTTAGAAAGATACGACGACATGGGTAATCAATTCACAAGACATCTCAAATCCCAAGATATCTTCAGGAGTTACTTTGATCAGAGGGATATAGCAGTCAATTCGCAGATTCCCATTAATTTGCTAGCCATCCGCAATGATCGAGACTTGTACTACTCGGTGCGTAACATTATGCGATGTTGTGATATCAGCAAGGGGAACACCAATTATCAACTTCTAGCACACGACGTTTCCTCTGCTGGTATGGATGTCATTGCTCTTGAAATGAATTCCAGCGGGACGTTGCTTGCTTTGATTGGTGATGCAGCTCGTCTTGAGGTGCTTGCGTTACCCGATGGGAGCACTAGTAATTCCATATACTTGAAGAGTGCAACTTATCGGATTAGTGGCAGCAATAAAGGAATCACGAAAGTTCTTTGGCAGCTGGTGGTTGCTAATGACAGCATGCTTGTTGTTCTTGACTCCGACGATCAGATTAAAGGGTACGACTTGACGAAATCATTGGAGATCCCCCAGGTTGAAGTGAATATGAAGGAAGTTTTGGCAGCAGATGAGAAAACCACATCGATGTCCTTTGGGTCAGACAAAAGTCTAACCGGTGCATTGACGCTTTATGTGAGTACGTCCAAGGGGAACATTTTCGCCGTATACCCATTCATTTCAAAGACTTGCAATTTGGCAGTGACGCTCGACCAAGTGGACCTTGCGCTTGAAGAAACCAAGCTGGTTATGCAACTAATCCAGGACAGATTCCCACCGGCGGACTTATTAGACACGGCATCTAGCGAGTTAGACACAGCCGCAATCAAACAGTATGAGTATTATCTGGGTTTGAAGACTCAATTGACCAATGGATTGCCTACGGTGAAGGAAGTTCGAGGCATTCATTCACGAGGAGAAGCAATTCACGAATTGGAAATTGTTCTGCCTAGATTGAGTGATTCTTGGCAAGGCTCCAAGGTCCAAGGACCAGTTGCCACAGTTGATACTGGCATCGATGATCTTATTCAATTTGCCAATAATGACCATGTGAGTTTTATTAGTGCCGTGGGAAGGAATGACAATTCGACATCTGTTTCTTATTTTGTTCAAGTTTCACCATTATTGATGAAGTACAAGTCTGCCACCGATGATAAAAAAGTATTAGTTGCTGTTCCTAAAGTCGAGAAATACGCTAAGCCCAAGGTAGGTTTCGGATACATTGAAGAAGAAGACCAGGATGATTCTGAAACTCGTCGTGTCCAAGAAACTGAATTTTGGAAGAAGGACTTGTCCATATTGGACAAATTGCATAGTGACGTGATTCAAACTAAAGGAGCCGGATCACGTTTTGTCAAGTTGAGTGATGCCCGATTTGCCGTGGTTATCGACACTGACGTGGTTGTGGTGGAACATCCTTGGACTGATTCAATAATTTCTCAAATGAAACAAGAACTGAATGAAGATGTCGTGGTTGACAGCTCATATTTCCTTGCTAGTGCCGACAAGGAGCCTATTACATCAGTAGGTTATATCAAGGATACACTTACCGATACTGGGGAATATTTAGTGGTGATTCGATTTAGAGAAGATAAGAATTTGACTATTATTCCTATAGTTGACAACACTCCAAAACAAGATCTTGTGCAAGTTAAAGAGAAGGATGAGACGCGGGCAATATTTAAACCCGTGGGACGACACAGTGAACCACCGTTGGCAGAAATCACAGAAGAGCTTAATCGATTACTGGTTTCCGAGCAGGTGAAATCTTTGAGCAAAGAACAAGCTGACATGTTGGATGAATTGAATCAGGTTTCTATGGGCACTATAGGGAAAGTTGTCCAGTTTAGTGGGGTTTCCATTAAATTACAAGCAAAGATTATAGGTATACTTGAATCGTTGAAATTGCAAGCCAAGTCACTTGGACACATTGAAGAAAAATCTAAAGAAGTTAATTTGAAGCAACAACAAGAACGTATTGACAAGTTATTAAAGAAGCAAACCAAATTGGACGACAAGATGTACGCATTACAAAAGAAGATCATTACTGGTATTCAGAAATATTCAAGCAGTATTAGTTTGCCTATAAGCGAAGCCGAACGCAGCTGGTTCCGCGAAATCAATTCTATAAATGGACAAGTCAATTTGAATTCTCAATTGGGCGACTGTTTAACTGAGGCGGTGGAGAAATTGGCCAAACAAGTGGAAGTTATTGTTGATGAAGCCAAGGGAAGAAGGAAACAGGACCAGGCGGATCAAGTTGACCATTTGAAACAGTTGGAGTTACAGCAACGATTGAACAAATTGTCCTCGTGGTTGAAGGACGAAGATGGCATGATTAGCGAGATGAAGCAACGATTGGTTCTGTTGACTACTGCTGTAAACTAGCGGCGACTTTCAACCCATCATACCATCGATCATTAAAACATTGGATGCATATCTCAGCTAGTTGTTGTTTGGTGAATTTGATATGAATTTCTTCAGTTTCTGGCATGAATTGTATCGAGTGGATATCATCATTGTTTATATCAAGTTTGGCACATTCATCATTTATATCGAGTATTATATCTTGTTGTAGCGTTTCATCGTAGTCTGACTTGCGAAACATTCCTGTTAGTATGACCACGGCTGGATGGCGCAGTTTGAGTTTTTGTTTAATTGACTCTATTTCATTGGAGTAGTCTTTCTTTGGCTTTTCACTGAATGTAGCTGGTTCAACTTTGATTGTCGTGTCTTTGACGGTTGTTCCATCCATCATATCAATAGCCATAGTTACACTCTCTGGTTTGTTGTATATGACCAAAGCCTGACCATTGAACTCGTGCGTATTTGTAGCAGTATATAACTTGACACGGGGATTCCCTTGTTTGTCAAGAGCAATCAGACCGTATTTACTAAACAAATCGGCTATCTCTTGCGAAGTGATGGTTACTGGAAGGTTCGATATAAATGCAGCTGTAGTGGTGGTTTTCTTTTGCTTGAGTTCAGATAGTTTCTGCTTAAGTTTAGACATTTGTTCAGTACGTGCTTTTTTGATGTGTGATTTGTTGACTTGTTCATCGTCATCGTCATCGTCGTTGTCGTTGTCGTTGTCGTTGTCGTCTTCTAGCTCATCTAGTTGTCGTTTTCGAGGGATCCATTTGTCTTTGGAGTAGTCATAGGTGTACTCTTTCGAGTCATGTTCGAATATCCAATTGCTTTGTTCAAGGTGAATTCTTTCATCTATTGTAGACACGTCAACTGACGAGAGATCTGTTGGCAGTGGTGGTCTTTCTGGGAAGTTCATTGGTGATGACTTAACTTTAGTTAGTGTATAAAATTATATTGCGACTTTTTTGAAGGGTATTTCCTCGGCAAAAGGGGAAAAAAACGCGACATTTTTCTCCGACATTTTTCCAACATAAAAATATGAAACGAAATTGACCGTTTTGAAAACAAGAGGGCCAAAGTCCCACATTTCACCAATACACCTTAGATCAATGGCTGCAGTTGCTACACCCAACGACTACATTCTTAGTCTAACACGAGAACAAATAGAACACGATCAAAAAATCGGAATAAAGGCCATTCGTCTTTTTCTTCAGCTGAAGACATCGTACGATGTGTTGCCTGTGAGTTACCGGTTGATTGTGCTTGATACATCGCTATTGGTCAAGAAATCGTTGACTATCTTGTTACAGAATAATATCGTCAGTGCACCATTGTGGAACAACCAAACATCGAGGTTCGCTGGGTTGCTTACTGCGTCTGACTTCATCAATGTTATCCAATACTATTTCCAATTCCCAGAAAAATTTGAGTTTGTTGAGCAATTGACTCTTGATGGGTTGCGCGACGTGGAACGCGCAATTGGATGTGATCAGATTGAAACGGCGTCGATCCATCCTTTCAAGTCGCTCTACGAGGCCTGCGTGAAGATGTTGGAGTCGAAAGCAAGAAGAATTCCTTTGATTGACGAAGACGAAAAGACCCATCGTGAAATTGTGGTGTCTGTGCTTACTCAATATAGAATTTTGAAATTTGTGGCGTTGAATTGTAAGGAAACCAAGATGTTGCTTAAACCAATCAAGGATTTGAAAGGGTTGGGCACAATCAAGGATATTTCTACATGTACGTTACAAACCCCTGTTATTGAGGTGATTCATTTGCTTGCACACAAATCCGTGTCATCCGTGCCTATAGTTGATGACCAGGGCAAGCTTATCAATGTGTATGAGGCTGTCGATATATTGGCGTTGGTTAAAGGAGGGATGTATACTGATTTAGATTTGAGTGTGGGAGATGCATTATTGAGAAGACCTGAGGATTTTGAAGGGGTTCATACGTGTACTATGAATGACAGATTGAGTACTATTATGGATACCATTAGAAAGTCAAGATTACATAGATTGTTTATTGTTGATGACGAAGGTAAATTGGTGTCTGTGATTACATTGAGTGATATCTTGAATTATATCTTGTTTGGCGAGGACTAGCTTAGTTTATATATATATAGTAATATAAAGTAATTGAATGAAACACGGCGGTTAGGTTGTCAAGTAGTGTGCCTCGATCTGCGGTTTGTGCGACGATGCTTACCACACAATGGGTAGCACATAGGAATCCAGACAGTATTTTCCACACGAGCATTCAGGTCTAGGGTGCTGTTGCTACATATTAATACCTTTCTTCAATATAGAGTTTACATTTTAGAGTGTGGAGTTTAGAGTTTACAGTCTAGGGTTTAGACTCCAGAGTTTAGACTCCAGAGTTTAGACTCCAGAGTTTAGACTCCACAGTTTAGAGCCCAGAGTTTATTTGGTTAGTACCCAGCTCATCCGGGTACCGTTCTACACAGGGCACACAATCGCGTTAAATTTCCAACCAACACAGCCGAAAGGTAAGCTGTTATTACCCATGACTTTGTATACTGTGTTGGGCCCGCTATGACTCAGGATATCTCTGCCCAATACGGCAATCTTTCCCCGTTTGAAGCCGCACGTCATTTTGACAATCAAAAGCGTCTTGCGAAAAAAGAAAAAGAAATTTGTTCATCTGCACCCTTTTTGATTAGTAATAAATTCCACCAGCCACAGTGACGATATATATATAAACAGCAACCGTTCTTTTCAAAACGGTTTCTACTAGCTAACCACTCATCCCATACACTCACACACAGGCTAATGCTACAGATTAGCACTAGCAATAGCACTACTGACCAAGTGCTGCTATCCAAATCCCCAACTTATGCCGATAAACTCGCGCTACCACAGATCACGATCCGATCAACGGTAATTGGATTGTTTATCGGAACGATCGTCCTTATATCCAACTTCCAATTTGGTTTACAAACAGGATGGGTGTCTATGATGTCATTACCGTCTGCATTACTTGGGTTTGCCATTTTTAAAGCGACAAACTGGAGCAAGTCCTTTAGTGATGTGGAAAACGTATATATCCAAAGTATTGCCGTGGCCGTGGGAACAGGACCCTTGTGTTATGGATTCATTGGGATTATACCGGCAATTGAAAAGTTCTTGGACATTGACGAGTCAGGAGGATTGGGCAAATTGCACTTCAGTTTACCCCAGCTAATGATTTGGTCATTGGGGTTGGGGTTATTTGGCGTGTTTTTCGCCATACCGTTGAGACAGCAGGTTATCGTCAAGGAGAAGTTGCCCTTCCCCAGTGGAAGTGCCACTGCTACCTTGATTTCCGTGCTACACAAGAGCGAAATCTTTGAAGAGAAAGACAGCGTGAAAGAACAAGAGATTGAGTTGGAGAATCAAGAGTTGCTGCAGTCAACTCTGACAGAATCAACCGAATCAACGTCTCCATCAACACAGTCCCACATACGATCCCTCTTGATTACATTCACCATTTCCGCAACATATACCTTGACTTCCTACTTTATTCCCATTCTTAAAAACATCCCGATATTCGGTAGTTACCTTGCCCATTCATACCAGTGGACCCTTCAACCATCACCAGCATACATTGGTCAGGGGATAATTATGGGTTTGCCAACAGTGTCATACATGTTATTTGGGGCTATATTAGGATGGGGGATACTCGCACCGTTGTCAAAGTACATGGGCTGGGCTCCTGGAGAAATTAATGACTGGATTAATGGAGGTCAAGGGTGGATCTTGTGGATAAGTTTAAGCGTAATGATTAGTGACTCGCTCGTTTCTTTTATTATCGTCAGTGGGAGATCTTTAATTGGTGCATATCGTTTGATTAACAACAATAACGGTGTAATAGGCACTACCACAGCAACAACAACAACAACAACAACAACAACAGCAGCAACTTATTATCCTTTGCTACCAGCCACGTCTGGCCTGATTGGCTCAAATGATGATCCTACATCCAGCGCATATGAATACAAGGAAAATGTCAATTTAATCACACCAGTGGCAGACAAGTACCTTATTTCCAACACCACCGCCGTAATTGGAATCATTGCATCAACACTACTTTGTGTACTCTGTCTTCATCTTGTCTTTGGCACCATCGTGCCACTTTATGCATCATTCGTGGCCATCATTCTCGCCATGCTCTTCCTGGTCCTCGGTGTTCGCGCCCTTGGAGAAACAGATTTGAATCCGGTAAGTGGAATAGGGAAACTCCTGCAGTTGATATTCGCGGTGGTGATCCCACCCTCGCACCCAGCCCGTGTCCTCATCAACTTAGTTGCTGGTGGAATTGCTGAAGCTGGTGCCCAACAAGCAGGAGACTTGATGCAAGATTTGAAAACTGGTCATCTTATAGGTGCATCTCCTCGAGCACAATTCACGGCTCAGGTAATCGGAACAATCTACTCCGTGTTCCTCAGTTCCATAGTCTACAAGCTCTACAATTCAGTATACACCATCCCCAACGAAACATTCCGGATCCCTACGGCAATCATCTGGATCGATTGCTCAAGATTAGTCACAGGCAAAGGACTCCCACCGCACGCCTACGAGTTCTCGATTGTGTTTGGGGTGATATTCGCCATAATCTCACTCTTGAAAAATACGGTACCGAAAGAGTCAAAGTATCACAAGTACTTGGTGTACTTGCCCAGTGGTGTCGCTGTGGGTATCGGGATATACAATACCCCCAATTTCACCTTGGCTAGATTCATTGGTGGTGTGGTTAATCATTGGTGGACTAATAAAGGTATGGATCGGATTAGTATGATTATTTTCAGTTCGGGATTGGTTTTAGGAGAAGGGTTATTGAGTGTGGTTACCATGGGATTAGCCAGTATGGGTATATAGTAGGCATATTGGCAAGCAAAGCGAGCCATACCCAGTATACATCAAATAGTGTCTTTTGCACAACCACAGGTGCATTTCTCAGAAGAATCAGAGTTCAAAAACTCCTAGAATAAGTTCCAATATAGAATCATAACGATAGGAAAAGATAGACTTTTAGAATTTATATCAGAATACATAAAACAAAAAAAAAAAGTTATATAGAAAACCAAGTAGTAGAAACCAAATTGTTAGAGCCAAATATTGGAACCGGAATGATGATAAGACAGTAGTAGTAACATCAGAATAACACTTGAAAGAAGTTTGAGGTTTCACCTAGTGATGAGGGGCATTTCTTTCCTTATCCTGATTAATTCTCTGATTAATCAAGTAGATTGCCATTTGGATGGAATTAAGCAGTCCTGTCAATGTCAATTTTCTGATATTGGTTAAACCTTTCCCACCACCCAACATAATCGATTGTCCGCGATCAGGTTCAATCTTGACATAACTGCATCCACTGTTTTCTCGGATATGCTTGATATTGTTCCCACCTTTCCCAATAACACTACCAATATTGGCATTGGCAACAAACACATCTTGGTTGAATTTATCTGGTGATGGACCAGCTTGAATTGGTGGGTTGGTGATGACATCACCAACAATTGTATTTCCATGTTCATCAATATATTGGTTTTGCGGTGGTATACTGGCACCACCCATACCACCGGCAGCGCCACCCATATTCATCCCCATATTCCCATATGAACTAGACATTCCATACTGGGTTTGTGGTTGTAGTTGTGGTTGGTGTTGTTGTGGATAAATAGCGGGTTGGAACATGGTTTGGAAATTGTACGGACTGGCTGATTGTTGTGGTGGCTTTGGCATCGATTGTTGGCCATATGGCATGCCATACGGATCATTGCGGTGTTGCTGTGGTGGAGGCTGTTGCATATTGTTGGCACCTCCCAATGCCATCATATTACTGGAAATGTTTCCATGGTGGTAGTTACTTGGATTATAGTAAACAATTTTGTTCTTCTTCAAGCAATCCTTGTGTTCAATCATAACTTGAGCAATATAATACACGGCAATGTGAATAGCATCAGCGACACCGGTCACAGATAAAACTCTATCAGTAGAATAAGGCAATGGTTGTTCAGCTGCTCGTAACTTGGCAGCCGAGCTTTCTTCAATTTCACGGAATTTCAATCCTTGCTTTCCGATAATAAACCCAATCATAGGATGAGGCACTAATAATTTAAGGTTATATTGTTGACTCATCATTGATGCTGGTTCATCTTCCGGCTCGTCCAAAATTGTCCTAGTGATTAACCCAAAGGCACGAGCAACATTTTCCGACAGACCTTTAACCAGGACAATACGTTCGGGAACGCCCTTGATATTATCACTGATGTTGATACGAACATTGGCTTTTTCACGGAGGTAGTTAATTTTTTCTCCCTTCTTACCCACAATACAACTGGCTTCTTTAACGGGACAATACATTCGGAATTGAACATAGGTAGGATCCAGGTCACGATGGTTGGACAGGGAAACTGGTTTAGAAGATGCGTGTTCAGAGGTGGACTCGGCAGCATGATCGTAGTGTTCGTCTTCTTCATGATGTGGTTGTTCTGGTTCTAGTTGCGGTTGCGGTTGTGGTTCAGCCTCGTGTTGATTTTCTGTTGGAGTAGGTTCTGGTTGGTCTTCATCAGCTTCCTCTTGTTGTTGTTGTTGTTGTTGTTGTTCCACGCTTTCGTCTTCTTCATCTTCAGGCTGTTCTTCACCGCCACCAATTGCTGGTGCGGTAATGCTCTCTTCCTCTTGCCTATCAACTTGGTCTAGTTGTTCGCTATCCAACGCCACTCGCTTGGTAAGTTCACTAGTAGATTCTTCGTCATCTTCGTTCTTTCTCTTAAGAGCATTGTTGCTGCTGAAACTGCTGCTTGTATTGCTAGCCGTATCTGACATTGTTACTTGAATTGTTTAAATTGAATTGATTAGAATTGCTTCTACACCAGCTTTTTTGTATATGGTTGGTTGTCTTTTTTTTTTTTTTGGGAATTTAAAAAAAACTTTTACGTGGCTTTTACATGTTGGCTATTTTACAGGTTACATAATACTTATACAATCCATAACACGAAACAAAGGAGTTATGCCACCTGGGGGGGGTTCTATTGCTTCTTTCGTGCTGCTAACGCTGCTGCTTCTTTGGCCTCAACATATTTTTCGTCTCGTTTAACATCTACTCTACCCAAGAAAGCTTGTTTATCCAAGTACCCTGCTTTATTATATCTCTTTAATTCATCACCAATCTTACGTTTATCAACAAAACTAGCCCAGTCAAGTCTCAGCTTTTCCAATGTAGACAACAGCTTCTTATTCCTACCATTGAATCTGTCGATCAAACTAGGTCGTTTTAATTTGATCCTTAGTTGTACCATTTCTCCAGTCATCACATCCTTACGTACCACAGGAACTTCAGACCGATTCTTCCCATCATCAGAACTTAGTACCGAACTGGTACTATTAAGGTACGCCTTGGCCTCTTCGGAATCTGCATCAACGAGTTTGGTTTCTGTGATTAACTTGCCCGCATATGTGTAACTAGTTTGGATCTTGATTTGCTTAGCATCGGTCTTGTTCTTGTGCAACTCCTGTTCCTGTTCTCGCTCTCGTTCGCGTTCTTCTGTCTCGCTGTGGCCTGTCTCCTTAGCCTCGCCTCGTTTCATATCATCAAATATAGAATCTATGTCAAGTGAAGTGGAATTCTTAACTAGTCCACTCTCATCGGTGATGAATCGGCCAATGTGTAAACTCAGCGCCGGTCGTCCAGGTACTACCTCATCATCCTCAGAATCCTCTTCGTCATCGCTTGCGGCTTTGGTAGGATCATAATCTTCATCTAGTTCTTCATCGTAGTCGTCTTCGGGTTCTTCTACTGGTTGTTCTTTTATCTTGGCCATTGGATTGATGTCACAAGAATGGTTGTTTGGTTGGTTGGTTGTAAAATAAAATGTTCCAACAAACAAAAAAATGGTTGCTTCTATATTTTGTATTTGGTAGCGCGTTTGTTGTCGGAGATGGACCACGGTTTTATCTGTTCCCCCAGACAATGGTTTGAATGTTTATTCGGAGACCACATTTCATACATGATCCAATAGGAGAGCGATTTGTCTGACACATGGTCACGGATGGGAATTACATTGATTTGGGATTCGGTGATTTAGACCACCCCATCCAGGTGTCTGATCGCGATCTAGACCTAGTCCTAGTCCTAGTCCTAGTCCAAAACCAAGTCAAAGTCCAAAACCAAGTCCAAGATATCAATGAGGATTCCTACATAATTTAGTCCACTGACAGGATTGTTCCAAAGAACAAACCAGCAAATTGATAATCTGGCAACATCACAACTTTGTATGGTTTGGTCACGTGCTGGTTGCTAAACTTTGTTCACAATTTAGCCATTGAATTGAATGTTGGCAGTAGATTTCAGACTAACAAGCGGAATAGCGTAATTTCGCTATTGTGACGTTTTATCCACTTGCGATAATGAAGCTCGGCCCGAACCAGGCAAGTTTTCGCTTAAAATATTACCGCAATGCATGAATGTTCACCTTACATGTCAAAGGGGCCGCCATTTATTTGTATGGCTCGGAGGACACACTCACAATTTCACCATTTAATTTTTCGCCACTGATTGCCACGGCGATTTCTCCACATATTTTGACTCGTATATAAATTACAATTACCCTCCATCCACAACACAACACCCTTCACTACTGCTCAATTAATCAAAAATGTCTGCCATTTCTGACTTTTACGCTGATACAGAAGGTCCAATTGTGTTTCTCTCCGCTAAGAAGCATTTCGACGCGTTAACCACCACCAATGCCAAACTTTATGCTCACCATTTGAGTAGAGCAAGTTTCTATGGTACCAGAGCCGTGTTGAGATCTGTGTCCCCAGAAAGTGAAGACATTTACGATTTAATTTTATTAATTCATGAATTGTTAAACACTCCTAAAACTAATGAAGAATATGTTAAGTTGCTTGGTGATAAAGTGTCTGAGCAAACCATTACCTACTACTTGGAATATGCTTCTCAATTCTTGGGCAATGTAGGAAATTACAAGTCCTTTGGTGATAAGAAGTTTATTCCAAGACTTTCTCCTCAAGAATTTGATGAATTTGTCAAGGCAGTAGGCGAAGAAAAAGTTTCTGAAAAGTATAACAAGGTCCGTGAAGCAATTTTCAGTGTTGACCAACCTTTGTTAGGTTACCCTGAAAGTGGTCATTTGTCCAACTATTACCCTGATTCTCCAAAGATCACTAAAACTGAAATTGATGCCGTTAACAAGGCATTGGCCAAAGCAGGAATCATGCCAGAAAATACCAGAGTTGTCAAGAACGACCATGAATTCCAAGTGTATGTTGCTTCTGCAGTTGGTGACAACACTACCGATTACTATCCTAAGGAATTGGCCACTGAAGATGGTGCCAAAATCACCTTTAAATTTGGTGATCACGCTAGCGAGTTTGTTCACATTGTCAAACATTTGGAAGAAGCTTTGAAATATGTTGCCAATGATACCCAGGCTGCTATGGTTAAATACTATATTGAATCATTCAAGACTGGTTCAATGAATGCTCATAAGAAGTCACAAATTGAATGGGTTAAAGATATCAAACCAGAAGTTGAATCAAATATTGGGTTCATTGAAACTTATCGTGATCCTTCTGGTGTGAGAGGGGAATGGGAAGGTTTGGTTGCCATGGTCAACCATGAACGTACCGCCAAGTTCTCTCAATTGGTTAACAATGCTGGTTTTTTCATTAAAGAATTACCTTGGGATAAGATTTACGAAAAGGATGAATTCACTCCACCTGATTTTACTTCTTTGGAAGTGTTGACCTTTGCTGGATCTGGTATTCCTGCCGGGATCAATATTCCAAACTATGACGATGTCAGGTTGAACTATGGGTTCAAGAATGTTTCCTTGGGTAATGTTTTATCTGCCAATCCAAAGAACCCAAAGAAGAAAGAGGAAATTACCTTTATTGATGAATCGCTCCAAGAATTATTCAAGAAGTGGAGAGATGATTCATTTGAAGTTCAAGTTGGATTGCACGAATTATTAGGTCATGGAACTGGTAAATTGTTGCAAGAAACTTCTCCAGGTAAGTTTAACTTTGATAAACTGGATAAGAGAATTACTTCATGGTATGGACCAAACGATACTTGGGGATCATTATTCGGGCTTACTGCTGGTTCATTTGAAGAATGTAGAGCTGAATTGGTTGCCTTGTACCTTATTCTTAAGAAGCCATTGGAAGTTTTGCCAATCTTTGACATTAAAACTCCAGAAGACCAAAAGAGTGTCAAGTTCATTGCTACTTTACTCATGGTTCGTGCTGGTTTACTTGGTTTGGAATTCTGGGATCCACAATCAAAGAAATGGGGTCAACCACATATGCAAGCCAGATTTGGTATCTTCAAGCAATTGCACAAGGCTGGTGTATTCAGCTTGGATTACTCGGATGATTCATTTGATGACTTGAAGATTACCTTGGACGAATCTACCTTGGATAACAAAGCTGTTGACGCATTGGGTGATTTCTTATCTCATTTACACATTTACAAGACCACTGCCAATGTCAAGGAAGGTGTTCAGTATTATGTTGACAAGACTACTGTTGACCCAGAATACGCCAGATTTAGAGATGTTGTTCTTAAGAAGAAACAACCAAGAAGAAAGATTATTCAAGGTAACACCTTTATCAATGCTTCTGGAGAAGTTGAAGTTGAAGAATACGAAGAATCCGAAGCTGGTATGATCAACAGTTACAGTGATAGACTCGTATAACCTGGATATATATATATATATATATAGTGTAGAATACATAAACTATGTGTTGTTGTATGCAGGAAGTGGACTTTATGCTCCGAACCGGTGAGCGAGCGTGAGAGATTAAAATTTTATTTTACAACCACTGGTGGAATTCTAGACAACCAAAAAGACCAACAACTTACAAAACAACCTTCATGTTTAGTTTTCGAACGGCAGTAGGTGTATTGGGGTTACCCAGGCCTAGTACGAGATTGATATTGCCCTCAATGAGGAATTTACACACATTTAATGGCATAATACCGTTGACATCCAGGAGGATACTTCCTCCTGCGGTGAAACCGGTGCTGTTACTGTTGCTGTTCCAGCGATATAACAGTAGTGACTCTAATAATGAAGATCTAGCACAACAACTCAAAGCATCATCATTAGTCAAGAACCATTTACAATTGGCCAAGCTTAAGCAATCCGAAGCGGCCCAAATTGAAAAGAAGCAAATACAAGAAAAGACCAATCGAACATTTAAACAAAACATAAAGACGGTGGGAAGAATTCTTCAATTAGGTAAGCCCGATATCAAGCTTTTCCTATTAGCTATGGCATTCATCCTATGTGCTGTTTTATACCCCACCACTGCTGTTAAGTTAGTTGGATCGGCACTTGATGCATATAACCTAAACACAGTTGATGATGAGGGATACTTGCTTATATGGGGATATAGATACACTACCGTATTCCAATTCATGGTTCCATTCATGTGTTTATCTGCAGTTTGTTTCTGGGCCAGAATTTGGGTATTGAAAATACTTGGAGAAAGATTAGTGGCAAGGTTACGGTTTAGAGTAATGAAATCCTTGCTTCGTCACGATTCCAAATTTTACGACAATGAAAAGAATAAAGTTGGTGATTTGATTTCAAGATTGTCAAGTGATGCATACATTGTCTCGCGATCCATAACTAGTAATTTACCTGATGGGTTAAAGAACTTATTATTTGGGGTTATAAGTGCATATATGATGTATCTGATCAACCCTATTCTTTTTGGAGTCATGTGTTTGATTTCACCTCCGATTACATTTGGATCAGTATGGTATGGAGAAAAGATTCGTAAGCTTTCGACAAGGTTGCAAAATGCCACGGCAGGAATGACTAAAATAAGTGAAGAAACTTTGAATGCGATAAAGTTAGTCAAGGCATTTACAGGTGAGCTGAAAGAGCTTGATAAATATAGTGCCAAGATTAGACAAACGGTCAATGTTGCCAAACAAGAAGCTCTAGCCCAGTCTAATTACCTGGTTTCAATCTACTCGTTATACCATACCGGTTATTTATCATGTGTGGCTCTTGGTCTTTATCTTATCATGAATGGACAAATGACTACCGGTGATGTCGTTGCATTTACCATGTACCTGGAATTCTTCAATGCGTCATTATACAGTTTAACCACGACATATTTGGAATTAATGAAAGGTGCCGGTGCTGGGGTCAAGCTTTTTGAATTGATGGACTATAAAAGTGAAGTTCCACCAGTTGTAGGTGAGAAGAAACCAGCTCATATCAGAAATGACATTGAATTCAAAGATGTGGTTTTCAGTTATCCTACTCGTTCACAAGACTTGATATTCAATGGATGTAATTTTAAAATTAGAGCAGGAACAAGTACTTGTATTGTTGCCCCTTCAGGTTGTGGTAAATCCACTGTGGCTGCATTATTACTCCGATCTTATAATTTACAGAGTGGACAAATCTTGATTGGTGGTAAAGATATAACTGAATTACAGGTTCGTGATTTGAGAAGGGATATAATTGGGATTGTTCAACAGGAGCCATTATTACTTCTGGGTACTATTCTTGAGAACATTGTGTATGGATTAACATCAGCAGAAGTAAAAGACATGTCCATGGACGAGATAATTGAAGTTTGTAAACAAGCACATTGTCACGAATTTATCATGAGTTTACCTGATGGATATGATACTGTGATTGGTGGATCAGGCGGAGTTGCCCTTTCTGGGGGTCAGAAACAACGAGTGGCCATTGCCAGAGCATTGATTAAAAAGCCAAGCGTATTAATATTGGATGAGGCTACTTCTGCATTAGATTCCAAATCAGAATCGTTAATTAACGAAACGTTGAAGGAATTAACCAGCGAAGGTAAAATGACAATCATTTCAATTGCACATAGATTAAGTACAATTTCCAAATCAGAGTATGTTGTGGTGTTGGGAAGAAGACCGGGAGTTTCTGGTTCGCAAGTTGTTGAAGAAGGTAGGTTTGTGGAATTATTTGCTAATCCAAACTCGGAACTTTCCAAATTGTTGGATGAATCTGCACATACGGAACCTGCTGATTCGATTGAAGAAATTGAGCATATTAATCGAGAAGCAAAAGAGATTGAACAAGAGCAGAAATTAAGCCAATTAGACCACGTACGAAGCTTGGTAGATCAATTGTCGCCTGAGTTGCGTGAACAATTAATCAGTGAGGTAAACCAGGAAGCCCCAGTTGAACCCACCGAGAGAGTACGCGATAGATAATCCTCCCCCACTCCCCCCCCCTCGCCTCCATTTGTATATAGATTTGTATTTATTAATAGATTCCCAAAATGTATATTAACACGTATCTAAAATATATCAGTATGCGGCTAGCAGCTTAGTTGCCTAAAGGTCTTGGTTCAGATTGAACACCTTTTTCAAAGTTGATAACTTTAACTTCAGTGTGGCCTCTTCTTTCAGCAGCAACCTTAAATTCTGGCTTTAAGGAAGCACGTAAGGTTCTAGCAGCAATTGCAATTGCTCTGTTCAAGGAAATACCAGCTTGTTTGTAGGCGGACATGTTGTATTGCTAGGTTTCTACTGTTAGAGCTTGCAATATCGAAGTTTTTTTTTCAATGTATGTTCGGCCTGGTGGTGGTTCGCTAGTAGATTTTTCGGCGTTAATGCACGACCTCGGAGAATGTTCACCATTCAAGCTCTTTGTTTTTCTATTGGTTGTGCCGTTTTGTTAGTGCTGAGATATACTGTGCTTTAGCGTATAATACATAATTATATATACAGATCTATGTATGCAGTGTTAAATAGATGACTTCTTGGAGTTTATCCAGTTTATAAAATCAAAGAATAATGATGGTTGTAATTTGCTGTCTGAGCTTAATGTCCATGATTTGAGCGAATCAGAGTAGATATCAACAATCGATTCAAGCAAAGTTGGATCCAAGTTGATTATGTTTTTGGAAATTGTAATACTGCCCTGGCTATAGCTCGATACCACGGATTGATTGGAGATTTTGGTGGCATTGGCTTGTGATTGAAGCGTTTTGACCAATTCAACGAGCGAGTCAAGGTACGCTTTTGGTTCAGCATACAATTCGACTTCTTCCCTTGTAATCTTCGTCTTGGAAATTCTAGTTTTGAGTAATTTGTGAGCTTTTAATCCAAGATTCTTATCCAAGGTTAGGTTGATTAACTTGATCAATGGTTCGATGAAATACAAATTGAAGTGGGAGTTTGGTTGGACCTTGACGAAAATCTCCAACAAGTCCAATACTCTATGTTTGAAGAAAATCATGCGCTCTTTTGCTTCCAACACTTCCAACTTTCTTTTGTTTCCAGATTGTAAATTGCTCAATTGATCATGACGATCTTTAAAGATCTTACTCAATTGGTCATCCATAGCCATCATTTGTTCGTCGTCCATGGAGTCAGATTCGTATTCTTCGTCTTCAGACGAGTCCAACTCGTCGAATTTAACCTCGCCAGATTCTCCAGTGGGGATTCCTAATGCTTCTGCAAGTTTTAAGTTGGTTTGCTTGTCAACTTCAGACATGTCATCATCCTTATCGTCGGAATCTGACTCTGAATCTTCGGACTCCTCTTCCTCGTCCTCTTCCTCGTCTTCATCTCCGTTTTCCTCCTCGTATTCACCTTCACCTTCAAACAACTTTTGCTCACCTTCTTTGTTCTCCCTTGCGACCAACACATCAAACAACAATTTCAAACTTTCTAAAGTCAATCTCGACTTTCCTTCTTCGTCCTTACCACAAAGAAAATGTTCCCAAACTAAATTAGACAATTTTTTCAAAAGGGACGATTTTCTTGAGATAAAACTAAGAATAACTTCTGTCAACACCATGCCTGAATCGATATCCTCTGACTTATCAAACTGACTCTCGTAACACAATTTTAATTCGTTAATCACTTGAATTGTTTCTTCATCCATCATGTACAACTCCATTAATACCATTGAAAAGAGTAATTCAAAACAATAAAGTTGTTGGGAAGGAGCCTTGGCTTCTAATTCAAGAATATCATTCAAAATAGTCATGGTGTCGCTCTTGACGCTGGTCAATTCCTCATCCAATTCAACAATGCATTTTTCAGACTTTTCCAACTTTTGAATCAACTGTAAACAGAAAGTAGACCACGATCTGCCATCGTCTCGTTTAACACTGATGACTTCGCCAAGAATCAGTCTTAATCTTTCTTGGCAGATGTCCCTGATATTATCCGACACTTCAGATTCAAAGAATGAATACTTGATCAACATTTTAAAGACTTCTTCAATCGGTTGTTTATTCTTTCTTATCAAATTAACAATCTTATCAAGACACCACTTGAGAATGTTGTCGTGAGATTTCTTGGAATTGGTACCTTCTTGGGTAGATAATGCCGATTCGAATTTTTCCAAGAGTATGTTAATATATTCTGCTATGTCTGACTTGGAAGCGTTGGCAAACAACTCGTCGATGGTATGAGATTTAGTAACTAAATCAAAATTCCAACATCCTCCTTTTGTCTCGTCTAATAAACACTTCAACACAATAGGTGTAAGTTCTGGCTTCTGTTGGCAGTGCTTGACTATAAGTTGCAAAGTATTGACTGAAATCTTGTTTAAAAATCTATTCAGTTGTGAACTTTGGTTGATCAAACATCTCATCAAGTTAGGAGTGAACAAGTATTCAATAGATGAGGTGTCTGCGAGTAGGGTGAAAAACTTTTGAAATATTTCAAATCCCCAATACTTACGTTCATGGGAAGATTTGTCTGAGAATAAGGATTCATCAACGACTACTTTGAAGAATTCCTTGGCTGAAATATAGGGAGATTCAACGGTGGTCTTCTTGGACTTCTTTTTCTTCTTGGATGGTTGGTCGGAACCTTCATTAATTTGGTTAAAGTTGGCAAGTATAAGGTCCCAAACGAATGGAATTCTCGTTGACCAATTCCCCTTTTGTTTCTTGGTATCTTCATCTTCAACGACTTCCACATCTTTTAAAACCTTGGCCAACAAAGGCAAGTTTCCTTTCTTTAATGGATCTCCAAATTTCCAATTAGCCTTGACATTGACCAACTGTTGGGTCAACTGTTCCCTCAATTCTGGCTCTATGGACAAGTATACGGCAATACCTTCTGTTGACAAGTTTAATCCGGCGTTATTTATACTTTGTAATATTCTCAACAATATCTCGTTCTTGTGGTCTTCGCCCTCGACGGTCTTTATAAACTGGCATAATGTGAATATAGTAGTCTCTCTCAACCACGACTTAACCCCAGCCAAGTGAACCAAGGCATCAATAAAATCAAAAACAGTGTCGGTTTGTTCTTTCAATAACAACCCGGAGTTAATCAACACTTGCAATCCAAATAATCTACCAAACAACACTCCTCGTTCGTCCTTCCCCTTCATATTACTCCTGACTTCAGTAGTATCCAACACCAATTTCAAATAGTCTTTCACGGTGAGGACATTACGTTTGATTAATTCGGTGACCACTTCAGTTAATGCCATACTGAATCCAAATCTTGCGCTTTGTCTGGTTGTGATTAAACCCTTGACCAATCTGTTCAAGGCATAATCCCATTCTGACTGGCTGTCTTCAGAAGTTAATTCCGAGATTAAGGAAGTAGCTGCTGAGATACGCTCTTTAGGTAACTCAGATGCTAACTTATAGTAATGGTCTTTCAGAACTGGCATAGTAAGTGGGAGGTGGTTGGGGTGGAGGGCTTATTGTCGGCTGTTGTTGTTGTTGTTGTTGATGTTGCAAGTGCTGTCAAATTTTTCCAGAGTTATTTTTCGATGGCTGCGTATTTGGGGGAGGCTAATTTTTTTTTTTTTTTTTTTCAATCTTACTGCAAAACTCTTAATTTGTAGAATGTTGAATTTCTATACATTTATATATAAACTATAGTGAACTAGCCCATTTGAAATAAATCAAGTATTGTTTTTAAAAATTAGTAAATAATATAATATCCCATGTTGAAGTGAATATGCAAAAATATAATATAAAGACTTGAACGTCAATCAAGTGAAACTATCTAGTTCTTGGAGTAGGTTTGCTTAGGGAATGGGAAAGTTGGTCCAACTTGTTGGATACTCAACTTAGCAGCCCATTGACCAACATCAACAGCTTCAACCAAAGACTTACCTTCGACTAAAGAAGCAACGAAACCAGCAGCAAACGCATCACCAGCACCGTTGGTATCAACAACCTTTTCGGCATCTAACTTCTTAACTGGGAAAGCCTTGACTTCGAAATCTTCAGTGGTTGGGTCATAAGTGACGGTAATGGTTGGGTCTAAACCTTGAGTGAAAATAACGGTTCTTGGTCTGGCAGTGTTGACCTTTGGTAACTTGGCAACTTCCTTGGCAATTTCAACAATGTCAGTGGTCTTTAAATCGTGAGATTCAGCATAGGCAGCAGCTTCGGATTCATTGGCAATAACGTAATCAACATAAGGTAAAGAGGCATCCAATGGGTCCTTGAAAAATTGACAAATGAATGGAGCAGAAAAGTTTAAAGCCAATGGTTTGTTGGTTTCGGCAGCATGTTCACCCAACTTCTTGATGGCTTCTGGAGAAACTGTCAAGTGGAAACCACCAATGTAGAAGTGGCTGGCGTTTTCAACTAACTTCCAGTTTTCTGGCTTTTCCAAATGGGTTGGCTTGAAATGGTTAGCGGCAGCTAAATCAGTAACTAAACTTCTGTGAGCACCGTAAATCAAAGCGGCACACTTACCAGTAGCAATATCGTCTTGGATTTGATATTCAGTTCTTAATCCGTACTGAGCATTAGCTTCATTCAACTTTTCAGCGTAGACATCCTTACCAACAGATCCAAAGTAAACGACAGAGTGAGGAGGTAAGATATATTGGGCACCTCTAGCAGTGTTTTGAGCAGCACCACCAGCAACCAAGATCAAGTCATCACGCTTTAAAAGTTCCTCATAAATTGGCATGTGCTTTGGTTCAGCTAAAATGGCATCATTGTCTTTTAAATCGTATTTTTTCAAGTATTCTTGGTCGACATTGGTTTGTAAATCCAATAATGGATTACCTAAACAGACTAATTGGTAGGACATGGTAATTGATCTAAAGAATTGTTTGTGAATTGACCTTTGAACAACTTGACGAAAAACGTTCATTATTTTTTTTTTTTAAGGTTTGAAAATTTTTGTTGGAAAATGTGAAAAATTTGGGTGTTATTTTTGCAGGTTAACCCCGTGGTAGTTGTTGTATAGATAATAACGACGACTTGCAAAGTTAGGTTCAATAATGGCTTGCGTTAGTTACCTGATAAAGAGCTGTGAATTTGAATCACGTAACAGATCTCTAAACTTTAATTATGACGATCTTGTTAAGGGTTTGTATGTTTGATCACACTAAACTTTAATGTATCAGGGGGTAGATGTGTCAGATTAAAGTTATCCCTTAGACGTAACTAGTCTTCTCTTCAATCTGTATCTAGAACAATATCAAAAGCTCTTCAAGCCTATAAACTTTGTAATTGTAGTAACCCCTAATGCCAAGCTTGAATTGAATGTTTCCAGTTGAGTTAGCATGACCATCTGATAACGTCATGTGCATTTCAAATTAAGATGCAAAAATATTTACGAGGCTCTAACTTTTGTTTTTTACACTTTATTGGGAGCTACCACTTGGAGATACGGATCGATTCTATAGATTTATTACCTTGTAATGAGATGTCGACACAAACTTGCATATAAACTTAAGAGGAACGCGACGTTAAAATGAATAAAGTTCCCCTGTTAGAATCCATCACTTGTACTACCATGAAAAGTTTGATGAGTCAATTTTTTATACGATGGTAATGGCCCTTATTTAGTTCAGAGTTCTAAATTATAGAATAATTGATTTGTAGAGAAATTTAGCTGAATTACAAACTAGAATTGGTTCAATATAATGAAACTTCTATTTAATTCTTAAATGCTAAAAATTATTTACCTTAATTGGAGCTTTGAATTCGGTAGTCACATTTGGGGGGGGGGGGTTAATTTCATTGTTGAAGCTATGTAACTAGTTGATAATACTTAATTCCCGCCCTTAACCTTCAGAAGGTAAATCACAGACCAAATGTTGTTCTTTTTGATGAATTGTTAATGAAATATGTTTTTCTTTTTTTTTTTGGCCTGGGATTTAGTTGGTCTTTCAATATTTACTCGCATCTATTAGTGAACTGCCTTGTGTTTTAACATATGGTGATTTTGAGAAGAATCCAATCCAACCATTTCCTGTAACTGCTTTGTCTCTAGGTGTTAAGCTCTACAGTTAGTTAGGAGTAAGTTTTCAAGTTACGAATTAAATGGTAGAAGGTTATAACTAATAATAATTACCCTTGTGGAAGTATAGCAAGTGCCTCCATGATTTAAAATGTGAGAGAATGCTATTATAGATTGAAGTTGGCAGTATAGGTATAACATATCAGCAGGTTGAAATTTTCATCATGTGGAGAAAAAGAATCATCTAAGTGGATGAAGATTTATAAGACAGATGAAGTAAGAAGGGCAAAAACCCCATATATTTATACATCTTAGTATACATATTAGTTTTCCACCTAAATATAATTTGAGAATCTTTTTGTCGGCATGTGTGAATCTGCAAAAGTTATTTTAAGCAAGATTATTTTTTGGTGGTTTTTTTTTGGAGCATTGTTTTAAATGGGTGCAAAAAAAAAATAAAGTACACTGGTCCGACATTGACATACATAACACAACATATCTTTAATCATACTTTGTGACAAATTACAGTTAAGTCAAGCGATATAACTATTTAAAAGTATTTGAAATAACTTTTATAAACTCCTATGGTAAATTAAGGTGATCATAAGAGCAGAATTTGCTCTGTGAAAATTTGTCTGCTGCTAACATACTTCAAAATGTCTGTTACCATGGTTGTAATTGGTGATGAGAAAAATTAATTAGAAGATGTCCTTCTTTTCTAGCGTAGAAGTTTAGAAATGTTGGCAAACAAATCTGCTGGAGCATTACTACCTCTTGAGGCAGATATATCTTCCAGAGCAATAAACCCAACAAATAGAAATGTGTGACCTGAATTTTGTGTCTGTATATTCTATAATTAAACATACACCTAGAACCTTTGTTGGATTAAGTTAAATGTCTTGGAAATTCTAGGCAAAGAGTCTTTGGAAGGGCTTTTGACCTTATCGATTCTGAATTAGTCAATATCGGTTCCATAAAATGTACGCAAAAGATGCCGCAAAAAATGCAAAGATTTCTTGTTTGGTGACACGATTAGGGTGCTACCAGTCTATTTTGCGTTGTCAAACATGTGGATAAAACCTATAATTTTACCAATAGAGTCGATCTATATATTAAGGAATATAGTATTATATAGAAAAAGTTTCTCAGATTCAATTCGGTTCCTTCAGCATTGTCAATGTGTATATAACACCTTCATAAAGCCTGACTTTCCAACGAAGGAGTTTTAAATCGTCTTGATCAATATAATCTGGGGCACTTCCATTATTGGAAGCTTGATCTGAAGATGCAACCTCAGCATCATTGCTTCTATTTTCGATATCCGATTGGAAATAAGGGACTATCTCTTTATTGTAGGATCTTTGCCGCTGTGCCATGATGTCCTCCAACATGTTTTTGTCTTCATCTGCAAGGAACTCTATTGTTGTTAATCCGACTGTTGACAATTTTGATGTATATGTCCCAATTAGAACAAGAGCTTTACAATATTTGGTAATTTCAGTAGCATTTTGGTGCAAGATTAATCTGTGCAAATTGATGTCAGGAATTTGATCTGGGTTGTTCAATGTATTTTGAAAATGATTTGCTAGTATCATTTCAAGAATACGGATTTGACTGATGATGTTATGTGATCCAACTTGGTTGAATTGATTGGCAAAACTATAGGGCAATTCACAATATGGCAATTGAAATAGTTCATCTAACAGCATTTCAAAGGGGACATTAAAATCAACTTCATTAAATAGAAACTTAAATAAATTGTAGATCATAAAAGGGGTAACAAATTGACTTAAATTGCAGTCAGCAGAAACCACACTTTTTGGAAATTCAGATAACCAATGTATTATTGCAGTCACCAACTTCATGTTAAGAGTAGTAGAGTTGCTGTTGTTGTGGTGGTGGTGGTGGTGGTTGATAACCGCAGTAAAGAAAAAGGGGTGCAAAAAAAAAAAATCCTTGTGTTTCGCATGAGATAGCCTCCAATTTTGCCAAGTTGCTGTTACATAATCCAATACTAAGCAGAAGAGGATACTTGGATGCCCTTTTTTGGCTCTGGGTCTATTTTAACCTAGCTCTAGCTATTGAATGGTCATTTCTTGAACGGTTCATTCGTAAAATTAGATTTTCCCCCGATGGTTGTAGTCAGAAAAACAGTGCCAGTATATAATAAACAAGCAATTTTATTTCTTGCCTAGCTATAATCGGTGCTTTCCAGTGAAAATTTAAAGATCGTTGTTTATTTAATTACCTAGCCATTTATATCATATATACTACCGGGGGGAGAACTCAGTGGCAATGCTTCTGTCCCTGGATCTCGCTCTCTTGATATCCAAATATTTTCCCCAGCTTACTACTTTAGAAAGTGGCGAACCGTTTGATTCTGGAGTGAATTCATACTCTATATCTTCGTCTGAAATCTTTTCGTCATCATTTGCTTCATCAGTATGCTTATTTTTTTCATTCCACTTAAACCCGCTCATAAGTTTGTTTTTTAAAATAATTCCATTGATTCTAATCCTTTGATTCCGTTCGTCTTTCTTCAAGTTGTTTATTTTCTCCTTCAATGGGCAGTTTGTGCCAAATAAGTGAGGATCAGGGAAATGTCTTAATCTTTCAATTACTGCTTGTTCTAGTTCTTGAATATCGCTCTGTATTTGGAGAAACTCGCCCCTGCTCTTTTCGTCTAAATTCATTAACTGTTCATGATTGAATACAAAAGCCATGACACTACCTAAGACTATATGCTTTTTTCGTTAGTAAGGACCAAAATCGAAATGGACATTTCAATTTCCAATAATTTCATGAAATTGTTCACCCTATTTGTACTCTTGGCAACTGTCTAAACTTGGGGATGTTTGCTAGCTAAACCGCCCTTTGCAAAAGAAAGTCTTAAAATAATAATCCAAACGATAAACCACGATGAGGATCTATTTTTGCCATGACTGCATAATATTCGTCTTATCAACTCGCATGATCACAAATTTAATTATTATAATAATAGCCGAAACTTAATCGAGAAGTGAAGATCGCTCAAAAAATAAATAGCTTGGTGTTGGCATTTCAACTTTTCCTTTAGGACGAAAGTGAATTAATAGCACCATTTAGTTCCTAATTTCACGAAAACTGGTATAATTAAGAACGATCCTTCTTGCTGGTTTTGGAAATATCTGTGGAAACTCAACCTGTCTACGTCCTCTTTTAGGACATTTAGCATAAAAACGATCAGGATTGTGCGCTAATATCTACATCTATAAGTCAGCCATTTTTTTTTTGTGGGAGTTGTAATTATGAATCTGTAAATTTTTCCAGCTGGTGTAAAACTGCCTTCTGTAAATACGATTTCTCCTGATATTGGCAACAAATATCAGGGACCTCTTCCCAAAACATACTTGGTAACGAGTTAGAGGAGTATACTTAGAAAAAATTGAGTGTCAACCTGCATACTCCTGTTTTTACAACCAATTTTGGGAAAGGGGGGAGGGGAAGTTGTTTCAGTAGAAAGTTATGCAAGGGAACTGTTATCTGCTTATTTGCCAAAATAAGAGGAGTTAGTGGTCCATTTAAATCCTAATTATCAATGTATTAAACAGAGGTTTATGTTTCCCTGTGGATATGTTATATTGTTGAATTGGGTGTATGGAATCATGTAAAATATTATCCTTGCAGTCAATTTATACTTTTAAATACTATTACAGGGGGGGATATACTATACCAGCTCAATCTTGGTTTAAAAAAAAAAATCATAAATAATTGAATATTTAAACAAGTTTATTCTGATAAAGGGTAGAGTTGTAAGTAGATTAGCATATGGCTGTGTAAGATCAAGGGGTCCTTTTTCCCCTGACATAATCTGCAAAATATTTCCGAATCTGTAAAAGCAAACAACTATAACTATAACCAAAACATAAACACAACATGAGTGAACAGCGAGATACATTGGTGAAAGAATCAATTGCTAAAATAGATTCAATTAATAAGTGGCATCCAAGTAAAACCTTCAATTATTCACTTGAATCTGGGGGGACTGTCCAAGTGAAAACTTTTAAAACCACCATGAATAATCAAACATGGTTTGCTAGAACTTCCACGGTACCAAAAGCTTATCATGATTCACTTGCCAAGTACATTGCGGGAGATTCTGAATACGGTAAAACACATTCTGATTACGAAAAAGAATACATTCATGAAATTACCTCGGTTCAATGTACTTCCTTGAAGCAATATTCCGACGGCTGGAATTATCAAGTTAAAGCAGAGTATGATTTTGGAGCCTTTATTAAGAAAAGAGTATTTTATGAATTAGTAGATATCTATAAAGGCGACGGGTTCATTTATGTAATATCACTGGCAGCCAAACCTGGTAGTGATGAGACAAGTCTGGTTGTTGGAACGTACGACTCGATAGAAAAGGTATCATGGGAAGGTGACAATTTAATGTGGACTATGGCAACAACATCTAATCCAGGTGGACTAATACCTGGTTGGTTAACAAACTTATCCATGCCAGGTGCAATTTCAAAGGATGTTCCAAGCGTCTTGAATTGGATTGGTGGTAAGAATTAGCTTTCAGCAACTTCTTTTCCTAACCAATACTTGACATCATCACCCAAACTATCCAAGAATCCTAAATCCAATACTCCATTAAGTTTGCCTAATAATGACTGTTCCACCTTGGATTCACTATGGCTAGTTTTGTTCTTGTTTTTAATTATTATGATAAACTTGTTATTCTTGTGAATATAATAAAACATCCAATCATTTAACTTGTTGCCTGTAAACTTGTGGAAATATTCATTTAGTTTGTTTGCTTGCATGAAGAATTCCAGTTGCTGAATCAAGAATAAATTAGTCAATTGGTCATGTAAATAGCACATGGCAATTTGGTATCGCGGCGTATCACTAGTTATAGTTGGCAAGTATGGCAAAGAAGTTTGAAAGGAGCCTTCTTGAGGATCTAAAATAACATAAAAGAAATCTTGATCGACTTCAGGAGCAACCTTGTTGGATAATAATCCACGTAAAGAAGATAAACTAGTTTGAATTATGCTTCCACCTTCAGTATTAATATCTTCAATTATAGGATTCAAGTCAAGTTTCAAACCATCATAAAATTCAGTGGTTCCAATATCGGTACTTGGTTCATAGACAAGCATAATATAAATATCACCTTTGCCATATATTATTAGTTGAAATTCTCGTCCTTGTAGGTATACCAGTTTTTTAATGATGGTTCCATTTTCTGTTAATCCTATGATATAATGACCTGCCGGTTCTATCGGATCTTGTTGTTGTTCTTCTTCTTGGATAATGTTGTTAGCAGGGCCAGCATCTCTCATTGAAAAATTTCTCATAAATTGAGGTAAGGATAGCCAAGATACTTCCTCGGTATGTTGCCCTTGTTGTACTTGGTCATTGTTTGATAATGGTGCTTCATTTCCAATAATAGATCTCATCCCATTCATGGTATAATTTAAGGGCAGTACCACTAAACTATTTGTAATATTTACCGGATTCAAAACTTGTAATAATCCCAGAGAATAATCGCTATTATGACTGGCATTATCGCATTCAAAATTTAAGTTCGACATGAATATATTTGTATTGCTAACCTCGTCACTTTTGCCTAATTTATCATGATATTGGTTGAACTCTAGCCAGTTATAAATATCAACTAACGAGTCTTTCGAGACATTTTTGTTAGTCTTGGAATATATCACTCCGTATCTCTTTGTATTTATTCTATCGAAATTGCATACAATCAAACCAGATGCCTTATTCGACAATCTATCTATTTCAAATTCAAGTGCAGGATTTAATGTGATTGACGATTTCTTGAACGTTGCCGAAGGAAGTAACCCCAAAAAACCACGATAATTCAAACTATTAAACCATTCTAATCCCTTAGGAACCTTATACATTTGTTCATTATAATTCAGGACAAATCCATTCCAAAATTCACCAAGTGATTCCTTCAAAGTTCCAATATCTTCATAGTGACGCAACGACTTGTTAAACAAAGTAAATTTTGAATGCGCCTGAGTTATTAGTTCAACTAATTGTTTATTAATGAAATTGGACTTTTTCTCAACAAGTGTAACCGAGCAAGCAAGATAGTACAGGGGTTCTAGTTGAATAACCAATATTGAAGACGCTGAAGATTTAATAATTGTAGGTTCATTCAGTTGACCAAAGGTCTTGGCAAACGAATCAATACCACGAATTAGTCCAATCAATTTAATGTATTCCAAATTTGACTCTTCATGTTTCGGAGCAACGGTTAATACTTGTTTGTATAGTTCTTGATTTGTAGCTGTTGGTTTATCGGGACTTAAAGTTGGGTTGAAAAATAGGAGGTATTTAATATGACCTTGATTTGTATGGTTATGGGAATCAATGTTGTTAATTAGTGGTTGACTTGACCCAATGTTTGGCATATATTGGGAAAAATAACTGGTCATTATATCATAATTTCTACCCAGCTGATTGCTTTGGTGTAAAAGGAGTATTGTTTAGCTTGGTATTTCCCATTTTTCTGTTGTCTGATATTGCGTGTGTGAGCTTGGCACAGTTCGCGCTACCATGTATGGGTATAATCTAGGAGAGAGTAATTCTAAAGCACAGGCTCTATAAAGATTATTAGATGTTTGGTGGTCTCTATAAATCTTTTTTTGGTCATGCTTACAAAGCATCAAGTCTATGAGCCGTGTGAAGTGAGACTTTAGTCTTACTACAATAAACTTTGAGAGAAACTGAGTATGATTCAGGTAGAAAACGTTTGTTGTGTATACAGAGCTAGAACAGGGTAGATGAATAGATTGGTTAAATATATTCAAGAAACCAATAGATCAAGAGGCAAAGATATTTGGATTACCCTATAATCTTTATGATAATTTTATACAATTTTGTTGTTTTTTTGCAACCAAACTATGAAAATATTAATAACCAACAGTCAAAAGTTATCAAAAGAGATGATCTTGACAACTATGTTCCAAACTTATTACATTCAAATATAGAAAATATACACATATCTACTTAATGCAATTACTAAATCATCAGACCAAATTACAAGTAAAGTTAACTACACGAGTAATTTTCATACCGAAATAGTAAATTCCATCATGAAAAGATCCATCAAAAAAAAAAAAAAATGCTAGCATAATTTTCCCCCAAACCAAAACATAACTAGTATAAAGCAGGGTAACACCAATAACCCATACAAAAAAATAGATTAAAGCTGCAAAAAAATGGATGGTAGACAACAAGAGATTGGGGGCGCCCAGGCATTACTTCAGCTTGGATCAAAGGCTGCAGAAGAAGATGAATCAACTTCTTCCATCCCTCCTTTATCAAAGGACTCCTTAGTAACTTCAGCTCAAGGTGGTGAGTCAGATGAGGAATCAAGTAAACATCAGCAACCTCTGAATATTAATGATGCCGTTGAAGCTGCAGTTATGAGATATGTTGGGGGAACTTTGGAGAATTCTGGTTATAGTTCTAAGAAGCAAAAACGTAAACTTACTAACGATGACTATGATTTTAATCAATGGACAGGATTCTTATCTGACAATTTAACTCAAGAGGAATTCACATATACTCCAACCAATAAACCGAAGAAGAAGAAAAAATCAAAAAAGAATCGTGGCATTGATCCTGAACTTGATACTTTAGGTTCAGATCATGACCGGATGGTGGAGGAAGCTTTAAAGGATGCCCGAGAGTTAGCAGAACATGACCAGTTAGTCGAAGATGCTGCCCGAGATTTAGAAAGACACGATCAATTATTACAAGAGGATACAGCAAGCATACCTGCACATCAGGCCCAACAAATATTAGCTGCTGCCAATGCAGTTGTTCAAGAGTCGGATTCTTCCCAAGCTACCAAGAACAAGACATTTGATAGTAATAAGTTCAACCATTTAACTTCAGTTGAGACCTTGGTTGAAGAAGCTAGCTCCCAAGTTATGTCGTGGTATAATTCATTAGAAGGGAAAGCAAGCGGTCCAAGGAGATTTTCCCCTGAAGAACAAAAAGCCGTTGATCATTTCATTGCCGGTTATTGCCATATGAATAAATGGAATAGACAGGATGTATGTAATAGAGTTTGGTCCAATGACCGTAAGAAGGATAACTTTTGGGAGTCGTTAACAAGAATCTTACCTTATAGATCCAGATCTTCTGTATACAAGCATGTTAGACGACAATATCATGTTTTTGATATTAGAGCTCAGTGGAATAAGGCCGATGATGAACTATTACGAAAATTAGCTTTGACGAATGAAGGTAAATGGAAACAAATTGGAGAAATTATGGGGAGAATGCCTGAAGATTGTCGTGATAGATGGAGAAACTATGTTAAATGTGGTGAAGCAAGATCAGCAAATAAATGGACAGAGCAAGAAGAAGAACAATTGAAAGAAGTGGTTAACGAGATCTTAACTAGTGAAACTAGTGATAATATCAATTGGACAATCGTTAGTGAAAGAATGAAAGGTACCAGATCAAGAATCCAATGTAGATATAAGTGGGCAAAATTAATCAGACGTGAAGCAGGCATGAGAAGTTCATACATGTCAGAAAAGACTAAAGCGTGGTTAATTGGTAAGATTCAGCAGTTAAATGTGGAAAGCATTGATCATATTACTTGGGATTATATTACTAAAGCATACGAGAAGGATATATCCAGAGAAGTATTACCAAAGGATAAGTATGATTGGCAAGCAATTGATTTTCAAGTTGTGTTTGAAAAGCTAAAAATGGGGGTAAAGGATCATAAACGTATGAAGTTTAATGATTTATTAGATAAACTAGGAGAGAGATATAATTTGGAAAGACTGACGGTACAACCGACACAAGAAGATCATGAATTACCGAAAAGTATAGGCAAGACCAAAAAATCAAAGCACAAGTCACGCATGGATAATAATAATTTTGATGACCCTGCCTCAATTGCAACTGCAGCTGTTGCTGCTGTTTCTGCAGGCGTAGACGAAGAAGATGCGAAGCAACAAGAATATAGCTTATGGAGGTAAGCCGCGCAAGTATTTAGACTTACATAGAAGCGACTTAAATACAAATTATGCACTTGTTCTTAACACCGTAGGACTCTAAATAGATCTTATTTATACTGTCAAACAATTATGAATTAGTCTCGGGTCATGTTGCAAAAATGGGAACTTTTTGGGCACGACTTCGTATTTCGGAGGATTGTCTGAAAAAAAAAAAAATGAAGTCAATTACATATTACTAACAACTGTTCTATGTTATCACAAGTATTCTCACTAAGAGGCCACTCTAGTTCAATCACATATATCTTGCCACTAGCAAATGAATTAATATCAGCGGATTCAAATGGTCAATTAATACGTTGGAGCTTGTCAACAAGACGACCAATTAATTCCTGGAAAGCTCATAATGATAGCATACTTACCCTAATTAAATTACCCAATGGCCACATTCTTAGTCATTCGAGAGATTCACACATAAAAATATGGAATGACACAACCGAAGTGTTTAATATGCCTGTGAATTCATTAAATTTTTCCAATGTTGTAATGTTGAAGAATTATTTGATAACTCCTGCTACTACTGATGCCAACAATTTTGATGTGTATCAGTTGGACCATAAGGACAGTTATGAAATCACCCGAGTCATTACAAGCTTCAATGGGTACAAACTAGTAAATAACAATGGTATCACTGATGATTACGGTGGCAGGAACGATCTTGGTATAATTATGAAAATGTTGGTCATTGATAACATACTATACGTTGGTTATGAATCGGGCGATTTACTAGCATTAAACATTGACTTCGAACCGCCAATTATTATAACGAAAGCAAATGACGCACCCAGTACTGGAAAGCTTTCAGCTTTCTTAAAACAATCAAAGACAGTAATTAACAGGGACCCCAAAATAACACTTGTTGATCATATAAATATCCATGCCCCAAATCCAATTATTTCATTGTCGCATAGTAATAACCACATAATTGCTGGATCAACTACAAATAAACTATCATTAGATCATGATATATTAAAGTTGAATAACTCGGGTATTCAATCGATATTACCAACTCATAAAGTATTGCTAATTGGGTATTGGAATGGAATAATTGAAGGGTATAGCGATAACCAGTGTGTGTTTACAAACAAGAGACAACTACCAAGAGTCAATATTTTGGATTCAAATAAAGGCAATGCTAAACAGGAAAACTCTCTTTTAGTTAAATTAACATTTATGGTGAGTAGAGATAAAATAGAACTGAAGGCAGTGTCTAAATATTCAATCAAACAAAAGTTTACTGATCAAGAATTAGTATTTGTTGGTTTTGAAGATGGAACTATATATGTTTATATAGTGAGTTGATATTCCTGGTAATATTAATTGGTATATCATTACCAGACGTACCTCATAGACTGATAGACTACTACGTTACTATACTGTCGCTCCCTCTCTCTCTTTATTTGTGTGTTTGTTTGTTTTTTATTTATTTATTTATTATCTATAAATACTTAAAAAATAATGAGGTTAGCTATATGTAACTCCTTCTTCAAAAAAACCTGAATTTCTCTTATTGTTATAATAAGATCTTCTTTTTTGTTTACTATTAGCCCCATTAGAAGAACCACCACTTGGAGTTCTGCGAGAATTATTGGAATAATTATTATTATTATTATTATTGTTGTTGTTGTTATTGTAATGCCCATTGTTGTTTCCTCCCAGGTTATTACGTTGGTCTCGTCTATTATCATAGCTATTCATACGACGATGTCCTTGACCTTGGTTATTGTCAAACCCATTCATATGACGATGGCCTTGACCTTGGCCTTGACCTGGACCTTGGTTATTATCATAACTAATCATACGACGATGCCCTTGTCCTTGTCCACCACGGTTATTATTTTCAAAGTCATTTCCAAAATTTCTTGATAAAGGTCTTTGTTTAACATCAGTTGGTTTTGGCAAATTTGCAATGTTATTATTAACCTGTGGTTTCTTAGGTAATGATATTGGATTTGAAACAAATTCTCCTGAATCAATTCTTATGGAGTTACGTTTGTTTCTGTTATTGTTCCGTCTCTTCAGAGCATTTCTGGATAACTGACTTTCTTCTTGGTGCAATTCTGGAGAGTGCACTAAAGTTACATCATCATCAAATGAGGTACTATCGTCATGTAAAACTTCATGCGCTTGACCTAAAATTTCATCCAAATCGACTAAAATGTTTTCTTTTTCTTCAATCTTTTCTTGTAAATCAGGATGTTTTGCAACCAATTCAGTAATAACTTCAGTTGTTTGAGTCAACACTTGCTTGCTCTCTTGCCCGTGTAACTTGGCAACCTTACTTAAATTGGTTAAAATCGTTAATATTCGGTTATTCTTATTAACGTAGATATTATCAATGTGCTGTCTCTTGTTGGATAATGAATCAAGCAAAGTATCGAAATCTTTTTCGTTGGAACTCAAACTTTCCAGTAAATTCTTGAAATTGGCTTCATTACTCAATTTATATTGTTCCAATTGTGAAGTTAATTTGTTAATTTCTTGTTGGAAATGATTCTTGTATTCCTTTTGCAGGGAAATTAAAGCATCGTAACTAATTTTTAATCGTTCGTATTCTGCAGTAGAAACATTACTTGATTCAGTAAGGTTTTCACATCTGATTTTTAAATTCTTGTTATTTAAATTCAAGGAATCGTTTGCACTTGCCAATTCATTATATTGATCTTCTAAATCAGCAATTCTTCGCTCCTTACGTTTAAGCAACGCACTCAACATATCATTTTCGTGTTTATTATTAGCTAATTGGTCAACAAATGAATCATTTTTTTGAGATACAATAGAAAACTTCTTTGTTAACTCTTCATGCGATTGTTTAAGTGTAGTCAATTCTTCTGTTAACTTGTCAATGGTTTGATGTAATGAATCAATCACTTTGGTGGAAGTGCTCGAAACATTGATGTTAGGGTCAACCATGGTAACGTATACGTGTCGTTAAAATGTGGCTATTTCAAGGAGGTTAAATAGAATGTGGTCTGTGTATATATCTGTTTAAAAGTATAGTGCCGGGAAAAACGGTTCGTGGTTATGAATGGTGTTGTTACCAAGAATTATCCCCCCTTGAACTTCCTTAAATAGAATTAGTTACACTCGTTGAAAATTTGGGAGAAAGGCAACAAAAAAATTTTGATTTGTTTTTGTTTACGTTTTCGTTAATTAAACGACTGCTTTTTGCACGTGATACAATACTTAAATCGGATGCACAACAAATCATCAACAGAAACACTCATTAACTAGTGAGGGCATACTTACTTTGCTCGTTTATTAAGTTGTGGTTCGATTATTGTTATGCGTTGTATTAGTATAATCTTTGATTCACGTACATATGGAGTAAAAGTCTCTCCAGCTCTGCCTCTCTTACACGGATTTATTACGCGTTTGGTAAATTGATAAAGTCCGAGGTGCTAACGGCAAATACGGTTCCCAAATAATATCTACACTAGTACAGATTTACTGGTACAAAATTCCTAGAACTTTTCTTAAATATTAGTAAAAGGTTTCTGGATTTATTTATTGGTTGGCTAAATTGACTTTAGATTCTGAAATGTAAACCCAGATTTTCAAAGGAATTTGCAATTTTTCTAGTAAATGTCAATAACTATGAACAATCAAATATGGTTCTCCTTTTTTTTTGCTTGAACAAAGTAAAGTTCACAACGCTTACCTAATTTATGACATTCGATTCAAGCTCAATTAAATAAGCGCGAGAGTAACTTGTACCTATCGAATTTAGTACAGATCACCTTAATTCCTTTGCCTATTCATCCCAGAGCCACATGTGCCACCACACCAAATAATATTAGTTAGAAGAGATCTATATCAACTAACCAAGATTGCTACCATATATATATATATATATATATAGCAAAATATTTGTATTGTGGCATGAGCGGAGATTCGCTAACACTTTTCTTTTTTTTTATTTTGCATTTTTGCATATTCAACTCCGCATGGTCGTAATTCGACTCGAATTTGTTGGGTGCGTGAAATGTTACAGCGTGCATTGTAGTGGAACGGAGGGGATAGTGTGTTATATCAAGATTTGACCGTTTTTATATAATTAGTAGCCTAACAACGCGGCTTAGCCCGGATATGTACGGAATTATAAAATGTGTCAATAAGAAATGCGGAAAAAAAGAGGGGAAGAACGAATATTCAACTAGGCGGAAATCGGTTGTTGTTTATTTCTGCGGATCACGTTTCCGTGTTCTACCGGGAAAAATAAATTTTCCGTGTGTAGTTCTAAACATCACCATTGACAGCAGGAGGGGGGAAAGGACGCGCGAATGAGATGGGACGAAGATGTCATAATAGATAAGAAACCTTTCGGTAGTATCAATCACACTTATAATTGACCTTTCAATCCTGTGCAATTAGTAAATCATGATAGTTGCGTGCCCCCCCCTGCATGGACATGTATAATGCATGTAAGACATTTTAAAACTTTGAATAGTAATTGGTTCATTTCGTAAATCAGAAAATTCCACAAAGTTAAATTTTTTTTTTTCAAATCTTTTTATATTTAAGGTTTATCAAAGAACCTTCTTTTTTAGTCAGAACTCAATTAGCTTGTTTCCTCTGTGAACGATAAGTTTGTATTTATTTCTTCATATTTCCTAGCATTATGTCATCGTCAAAAGTTCAATATCCGTATGTATTTGTTTCTCCTTACCTTGGCCCCAATATGCCAAAATACTCAAACAATAGATTACTAACCAAATCTCGCTAGATTCTGGTATGGTGGTGCATCAAGTATGGCTGCATGTATGGTAACTCATCCTCTAGACTTGGCAAAGGTTCGATTACAAACTGCTTCTGAACGTGGTCAAGGATTAGTCAGTATGATTTACCAAATAATAACCAAAGAAGGACCAACAAAAATTTATTCTGGATTAACTGCTTCATTGTTAAGACAAGCCACTTACTCAACTGCAAGATTTGGGATCTATGAATGGTTAAAAGACCAATATATTGAAAGTACCAATAATACCAAACCTGGAACTATGATTTTATTACCAATGTCAATGCTTGCTGGTGGTTTAGGTGGTTTGATTGGTAATCCAGCTGATGTTGTTAACATTAGAATGCAAAATGATAACACATTACCCGTGGAACAAAGAAGAAACTACCGTAATGCATTTGACGGTCTTTATAAGATTTGTCGTGATGAAAGCCCAGCTTCATTGTTTAGAGGGTTAATGCCAAATTTAGTTAGAGGTGTATTAATGACCGCATCCCAAGTTGCAACCTATGATATTGCCAAAACTTTCTTGGTTGACCAATTAAATCTTGATCCAACCAAGAAAACAACTCATTTTGGTGCTTCTTTAATTGCCGGATTGGTTGCAACCACTGTATGTTCTCCTGCCGATGTTGTGAAGACCAGAATCATGAACAGTAAAGGGTCCGGTGGAAGTGCTGTTACTATTTTAACCACTGCCGTCAAAAATGAAGGTGTTGGTTTCATGTTCAGAGGTTGGTTACCTTCGTTCATTAGATTGGGACCTCACACGATTGTTACCTTCCTTGTGTTGGAACAATTGAGAAAATACAGAGTTGGGATGTAATAATTATCACTAGTGTAATTTTTTTCTTTCTTCAATTATATAGAGGTTTTAATATGGATATTTATTAAGCATTACACTGTCATTGTAAGATAAAATCGTATATTATATTATTTTTTGCTATGTATAGATTTATGGATTAATAAAATTGAGCCGGTTCTAATATGTTATTGAACTTGCATAAACTGTTTCTATGCCAAGTTTGAAGACTGGCTTAAACTTCAATATTATCCAATTCAGCCTTTTCAAATGCTTCAGCTTCAGCTTCCAAGATGTATGGAATCAAGTAATGATCATCTTCTTCTGGCTTAACAGCCTTGTCAGCTGGTAATAATTGATGGGTCAAAGCAAGTTGATGGGCAGTAAGAATTCTGTAGTTTCTAGCGTAACTTAAGTCTTCTGGCAATCTACGGATAGCAGTTTGCATAACAGGAGTTTCTTCCATAAGTAAATCGTTATATCTAAACATACAAGTTAGTACAAGTTTCAATGGTAAGTTCTCATATGTTTTGAACATACTTTAATCCCATTTGTCTGTAACCAGAGAATGAGGTGAAAAGTTGGGAAAGAGGAATGAGGACTCTTGACAAGACAGGTCTTGACCTGATAAAATCACAGGTCTTAACAATGGATGTAATAGAAGCCATGTTGTTGTTAATAACTGATGTGTAATCTTAACAGAACTTGCTAACTAATATTTCAACTTAATTTTAAGTGAGAGAAAAAAAAAAAGGTCAGTAAAGACAAATTCTGAGGGTTCTATTGGCTAAGTTCAACTTCCTAATCCGGCAATATGAGGAAACGCGATAAAACACGAAAAAAAAACACAAATATCTACTATATTATTTTCTATGAACTATTTCTATGAACTTTGCAAACTAATAATCATATTCATTAGAAGCCTTACCGCTTGTATTTGGAAAACCAACCTTTTCCAAAATACTCAATGCACCGTCAGTTTTAACCAATTCCAATAATTCTTCATTCTTACATAAAAGCAAACCTTGAACACCGCAAGAGTTAATACCTAACTTATCCTTATATTTTCCGGATGAACGTGGAACCATTAACATATACTGTGGAGTAAATATGAAATTATAGGAAATATGATCTTGTTTATGCTCTCTTGATACTGTCAATGATCTTTGTAAAAGGGACACAAAATATAACGAAAGGTCATCCTCTGTAATGTCTTCAGATTGACCTGGTAATCTAGCAACAAAATGGGCAAATGGTAAATCAGAATTTTGTAATGGTTCTTCACGCACATTAGGAATAAAGGCATGGGAAGTACTGGATAATATATCACTATATGCCTTAAAATTTTGACTTGGTGGCAAGGTCATGAATTGAATATGCTTATGAGGTTGAGAAGCTCCACTTTCTGGACCACAATTGTAGAATGCAAACCAATCTTCTGTTGGTTTCAATTTCCGTAATTGAAGTAAAATGTTATAAGTAGACAATAATTCAGTACCTGTTAAGGGAGAATTCTGTGATTTGAATTCACGAGTAATCAACATAAAATGTTTAGGAACAACTGGAAATTTGTTAAATACTAGTCTGAATTCATCTTTAGCTCCAAACTTTTCAACTATTGTCAATTCTGGCTCGGGTTTAGCAAAAGGATTAGATTTTTCAGATCCCTGTTCAGGTCTATGCATGAGCGATTTTAACAAGGTGGTTTGGATATCAACCGTTGAGTTCCCGACCTTAATGTGTTCGATTTCATCAACTGCAGAATCACCATTGAATAATATGTGTCCATTATTAATTGCTTCCTCGTACTTAGAAGAAAGGATATCGTAGAAATCGTCCTTTATGTTGTAGTTTGACATTGTTTGTTGGTAGACTTGATTGGTGAGTAAAATAGGTTGCTTAGTCAATGTTCTAGTTTTTTTTTATTTTTTTTTATTTTTCACCGCCGCCACACCGCATACTTCCCTTACATAATTTTTCAGTACAATTACATCAATTAGAACTAGAACAGAGGGAAATTTCCCATCACTTGCATGTTCGCAACTTGCAATGACTTAAATGCAATATTAAGAGGTAAGTCTATAAAACCAAGAGAGTTGTCTTTATTATCACTTGACATTAATGGCTTTTAATGTTATTATTACTCATTTTGCAGCAACTTTTTATAGTCTTTTTGAATCCCCATGTTTATTTCTTTATCTATTCTATAAAATAGGCAAATCTATAATTCCCCAACTATAGGGATCTTCCACTTTAAGCCCTCCTTGTCATAAGAACATCTACGAACATGAGTCAAAGCTTCTGGACTTTTACTATCACCCTCCTCCTCATTAGAATCATTCCAATCCATTTCAAAATCACCAAACCTGTTTATAAATTGGCGACGTTGATATATAGTAGTAAATTTAAAGTATCTCTTCTTAAATTTGCTATTATAATAAAAATCAGCATACTTCATTAGTAACTTTTCGTCGTACCCTGAAAAAGTTCCCGGGAGCAGAACACTGTCCTGCAGCAACTCCAGGTCACCTGTGCAATCTTGTAGCTTATGATACCGATTGCTGATTACGAAGGGATCCCCTCCTCCGTAATAGTTTGGAACACACTGAATATTTGGATCATCGGGGCAACCACCATTTTGAACAAAATTCAATGCTTTGTATAAATTCTTGAGCAAAATATTTACAAAGTATTTGTAATTAGTTTCCTTTACCGTGTAGTACATCAAGTCATAATCATTGTAAAGTAGTGTTGGTTGTGAAATATCAATAAAATAGATCAGAAATCCAGATTTAAGGTACAACCCAATTTCTTCCATAGTAAGTTGAACTTTCCTTAACTTAGGTAGTAGTTGAACCCTACCTTCTAAATCTGCTCTCTTGGGTTGAATGGGCGGAACTTTAAATTCACCAATTTTAAGAAAACAAAACTGATTCTTGGGCAATATCTCATTGATATTAGTAGGTGGATAAAATGTTTGAACAACAACTTTCCCGTCTTCATTTGCATATTTGATCTCAAATTTAGTTGTTCCCAAACCACTTCCGTGCTTCACAGCCAATCCTATATTCAAGTTATAATTTCCTGGTGGTAACCAAATTGCTTTTGAATATGACAACAAATATGTTCTATTTATTTCAACAAAGTGGTTGTACACATAGTTTGAAGGTTCATCAATTCTATAGTCCGAATATTCTGCATATAACCTCTTATTCTTCAATACAGAATAGACATATTTCCATGAATCCTTAACAAACATGCAATTCAATGGGTTACCAACTTCACTAACTCCATTATCAACTAGTCCTAACCGTGATGCTACCACCATTCTTGCATCATACCTAAATGTGTCTAAACTTTTAATGTAAGGTTTGAGCCAAGGAAGAATTTTAACGAGAATGCCAATGATATCCTCTCCAAAAACTGAAATAATTTTATTGTAAAACAAATCATTGTAAAGGAGATAAAAGTGGGAGTTAACATATTTCAAGGACGAAGTTGGCTCCATTTGGAGCAACTTAATCTGTATTTCTAGTGGCAAATTAGAAAGCATTATCAGATTATCTTCGTAACAGCTCCACCCTTAATTCTTCAAGTACTTCAGACCAATTATACAATAAATGAAAGAGGGCAAGCTAATATTTTAATAGAATGAAGTTATGACTGGTTGCTTGCTATCATAAATGTTGCATGCTTTGGCAAAACTTATCTGAACTTTATTTTTAGTGAAATAGATCCGGCATATTGAAAAAGCGCGGCTCGAAGTGGTTCTGCCTCGGCAAAAAAACCCCACATAAAAAGTTTCATTGAAATTGCTACAATGTTCTTCTCTGTTAAGTAAAATCATAATTCAAACGGCAAGTTGATGGAGAAGCAGACAGATATATTTTAGAGCTTCTTATTACAGCTATTGCAATAGCAGTTGCGGAATGTAAGCCTTCATAGAGTTTATTAAGACATATAGTAGTGCAACATAAACGAAACTAAGTCTCATTTATATATAGCATTTCCTTATAAACATGCTAAATAATAAAGATTAGAGTTAATTCAGTTTTGGCCTGACCGAATATATAGTACCAGGTGATCTGTTTTACACTGTTCCGTTGTGCTCTATATACTGGAATATTATACAAATTGAATGAAAAATATTTAACCACGTGACGTCGAATATTCGAGAATAAACTTTCGTAGCAGCAAACCCAACATGGAGGGCGAAAAAAAAACCCATGCCCAACCGCTACGTTCATACATAATTCTATTTCATTTCATTCAACTCAATTAAAACAAAAACACACCCATTGAACTTGTTAAATCGAAATGAGCACCCAAACTCCTAGTGTATTATGGGCACAGCGTTCCAGCGCTGACGAAGCCTCCAAGAACATTTTATATGTCACTATTGAAGTTCTTGACCCAATTGATGTTAAATATGACTTAACTTCAAGCAATTTGAAATTCGAGGCCAATTCTTCTGATAAGAAGATCCACTACAATTTAAACATAGATTTCTTTGATGAAGTAGATCCCGAGAATTCCCATGTTAATGTAACTGGTTCTCATTATTTCATGGTAATTAGAAAGAAAACTGCCAAGGAAGAATACTGGCCAAGATTAACCAAAGAAAAATTAAAGTATCACTATATTCACACTGATTTTGAAAAGTGGGTCGATGAAGATGAACAAGATGAAGCCCCAGAACCAAATGAAGACGTAGGTGGCCTCGATTTCGCTCAAATGTTGCAAGGAGCTGGTGGAGCTGGAGGAGCTGGAGGAGCTGGCCTTCCAGCTGGCCTTCCAGCTGGTTTCGACATAAACAGTTTGGCCAGCCAATTAGGTCAAGCAGGAGGTGCTGGTTTCGATAGTCATGATCAAGAAGACTATGATGATGAAGAAGAAGATGATGATGAGAACGCTGAGGCAGAAATCGCCAAATAAGGTCCGTTAATGTTTTTGGGCGATAGGGAGGCTGAAGTTTTGCCCTTTGTATAGCTATCTAGAGTAATTATTTCGACCCATTTCATAAATATATACTGCAATTGGATTTTAGACTCTTCAGATATTAAACTCATTGCAGGGCTTGAATCATTCACTTTGTTGATCATTGCTCGCCAAAGAATAGGAATTGAAGTTGTTTCAGGTACACCAGTTGAATCATTAATAATAACCCTAAAACCATACACCACATGATTTTTGAACCAGTAATGACACAATTCATTTAATTTTCTTGCAGATTCACATTGACCAATCGTCAATTGCATTGACTCACTGTCATTACCATGTTTTATAAAGTGGTTGAATAGTCCATATAGTGCCACTGTTATGCTGCCTAGTTTCAAGCAGTCATGATGCAAATCTTCCAACAATACCTCGACAAATGCATACATGTCAGACCATTTATCGATTTTAACCAACTTTATTTTATCAATCCAGTTGATGATTTTTGGAGTAAGATAACTATTATTAAATTGAAGTTCAGCTGTCACTGCGTCTGGTACTAGAACATACCTTAACGACGGAGCTTCAATTGGCGAACTTTGATCACATTCCAATAGTTTAATAATAAATTCTTCTAATGTGACATTTTCGTTGTAATAGGATAGCATTAGCTCTAGCTAACATGAACCTATTTGCTATGGGGGGTTTATCCTTGTCTGTTATTTAAGTCAAAAGGGTTTCGATAAAATGGTCGTGCATAAACGCTAATTTTCTAACATGGTCGGAAAAAAAAATTGGTGAAAAATTCTTCATCTTTCTAAGTTGATTTCTTGACGACAGGGAAGTAGTTAGAAATGATAAGGCAAGTCAGGTCATGCATCCGAGCACCACGGAGTAGAATAAGCATTAATGCTAAAAGAAACTACTCTGATGGGGAAGCTCAAACTATGTCTCAAAAAGAGCTTCGGAATAAGGAGATCCAAGAAGCTTTGGCTTTAGAAGAGGAAGCATTTCAAAGATCCAAAGAAATCAGAGAATTAAAGTTCCAAACTGTGGAAATGATTTCCAGCTTGAATAAGACCCCTAGCACTTTAATAAACTCACGTTTGCAAAAGTTGCAACAAGATTTGGATAATTTGCCTGCGGATAAAGTCAAACAATTAGATGAAGAATTGCAAGAGTTTATGAATTCACAAGTAGCTTTACCAACAATTGATCTGATTAATAGACCTTGGGTTTCAAAAAATTCCAGTGACGATAGTTCTAGTAGATTGGTTCCAACCCAATCTAAGTTTGGTTCTTATCCTAATTTGAGAACTACTCCTGATTATAAAGGTTACTCTGATCAGGAATTATACCTTAGGCAATTAAATCATGCTCGACTTTGCGGTAAAGCTGGATCCAAACTAAGTAACGTATATCGTCCACATCATGACATTAGATACCCTCCTAGTGTCAACGATACCACTATTGCAAATTTGATGGCCGCCGGGTGTCACTTTGGTACTTCTAAGCAGTCATGGAGAGAAAGCACCCAACCATTCATTTATGGTGAGTATAATGGTATTCACTTGATTGACTTAAATGTAACCATCGAGAGACTCAAGTATGCTTGTAATGTCATCAAAGGGGTTGCTGAAAAAGGGGGTATCATTGTTTATGTTGGTACCCATAAGAATACATCTGTTCAAAATGCTTTGATTGCCGCCGCTAAGAAATCTAAAGGTTATTACGTTTCCAAAAGATGGATTCCAGGTATTATTTCCAATTTTATTGAAGTCACTGGACAAATTAAGAAGGAAATCATGGTTGAAGTTGACATGGAAGATAACTTAACTGGTAACAACGATTTGAGATTCCACGGAAAAGTATTGAAGCCTGATTTAGTTGTATTATTAAATCCTCTTGAAAACAGAAATTGTGTTAATGAATGTGCTGCTTCAAATATTCCGACTGTTGGTCTATGCGATACTGATATGGAGCCTTCATTATTAACTTATCCTATTCCATGTAATGATGACTCAATTAGAGCGGTGACTTTAATGTTAGGTATATTGTCAAGAGCTGCTGAAGACGGTATGAATGCAAGATTGAATGCCATCAATGAACATAAAGAAGCTCAAGCAGAGATCGCAAAAGCTATTAATTCTAGTGAAAAGGCTGCTATTCAATAAAGAGAAATATAATTACATGCATCTGTACATAGTTCGTATATTATAATTTAAAGAATATTTTAGACTATTTATTCAATAATTCATAAATGTCCCGCTACTATCTTTGCTTTCCTTGCTTGATTCTGATCTATCAATTGCATGTCTTAAAGACAAACCTTTTTCCTTAATTTCTTTAAGGAATGTCAATCGGTGCAATTTCTGCTCCTCTGTGAACCGTTTAGCTACAGCTTCATCAACACCGGACAGGAGTGTATTTGCCACATGTGATAAAAAGGCATCCTCATCAACTATAATATCATTGATATCGACCGTCTCGAATTCTTCACTTTCCTCAGATATTCCTCCCAGGTTAGTTTCGATCCGAGATAGTATTTGCTCAATCTTGCTCGAGATCAATAACTCATTGTTGATAAGATCTTCAGGAAGTTTCGTTGAAGAAGAATGCGAAAATGAATTCAAATAGTAGTCTAGTAGTTCATTCGAATTTATATATATCATTCAGGCCACAGCTCAATGATAGGTATTGCACAAATTCCTGAATGTAAGTTGAATTTTACGGATCTGGATCAAATTTGTTGGTCGTGCACAACTTACCAAACAATCAAAACATGGATTCTCGGCACAAGTTTGAAGTTCTATAACTCCATTTGGTTACCTCAGTATTGCATAGCACTGTCGAACTGAATATACGTCTACCTGGAGTATATACTTCAGAAAGAGAACATAATAAAGCAGGATTTCTAAAACGAGGAGAAAACTGTCTGAATTCCTTCGGCAACCAAAAATATGGACAATATTGGGAAAACTAGTAAGTAATCATTATTGGCCATGTGCTTTTATCGAAACATAGTATTCTAAAATCATATACAGACCATATCACAAATTAATATTTGTCTTAAACACTGGCCAGCCCAGTTAACTCATTAAACGATACATCGAAAGAAATTCAAAGTCGTATTCTATCTCTCTCTCGAAACGCCTCTTAGTATATCAGTAGTAGTAAGATCTTCCAATATATTGACTTATTCGACTTTACTCATACCTGACCAATATTGCGAGCTATTCTGCAACGAACAATCATCTTCTTTCACGTTTCCTTCAACTCTAAACCAGACCCCTATCTCTAGAAGCTTTGTACATACCAACAATTCTAACAGGTCTTTACAGCATTTGATAGATCCTGAATATGAATAGCAACTGCAAAATAATCAAAACAAAACAAAACAATTTTAATCGTAGTCAAACATTCAAATTCTAAGCCTGAATATGAATCGTGTGCCAGTAAAACTCTACATACACATCTATATCATCTCTCTATACATTTCCGTTCTTTATATATCAAAAATCCAAGAATCTCCGACCGGGTATAGGAAGACTCGAATTCAAATCTGTTTGACCACCACTATGCAATTCAAACCAGGAATTCAAACGTACTAGATGCCTCATGAACGCTACACAACTACATCCACTCACCTATAAATAGTAATTTCAATACTATATCTAAACAATTGACGAAGAAACTGGTATAGCAATAGCATTCGGGCGTGTAATTAAATTCAATTTTACCACTACGATACCATTCTACTCCATCTGAATTAAAAATATAACAAGATATCATTCTGTCTATTACATTCAGCTCTAACTCAGGATCCATGCTTATCCATCAACATATGTCGATTGTAACGATGAAGCCAGGGCGAACAAGAGTAAAACAAGATTACGATCCATCCTATAGTTCAAACCACAAAGATAAGTCATGGGACCGCACTAACCTATCTCAAATAATCTACACACAGCACAAACTAGTTTAGCAAATGACATAACTAACTAAGCTTCCACTACTCACAAGGCAAAAGAGCTGTTCAAACAACTATGATCAACTACACATCACCACCTCTAAATCACTCTGAACAACTAATTTCATGCTCCTTCTTAAAATCATAGTAGGATTTCTTTCCTCCTTATCTTGCGGTATCACAGACATTTAAATCCTATAAAACAAGAAACAACATAAAGAACCCACTAGTGAGAAGGATAACCGTCCTTTACCTGTTACCGAACCTTTAGGTTATAAATATCTGTAGAATTATACATACCGCTAGATAAACGTGAACAAATCATTCTTATTATCGAACTTTATGCCAACGAACCACAACATGAAATATTGCAAACAAATACACTCTCAAAGATCACAAAGAGCTACAGTTGTATCCAAGTACTAGAACATATCGCAACTAATGATATCCCCCTTTTTACTTGGTACAATCGATGTAAAGTTAATACGAGGCATTACTAATACTTCTCCCGCTGTACATCAATAAAAAAATAACTATGGAACTAAACTTACATTTACATCAATCTATAGTGTTAATCACATCCCTGTCCAAGATCTAAAGAGGTTCATGGAAACGTAACTTGAATCGCATTCACAACTTGAAACAAAGCAAAGAAATCACTTATAATAACATATGCTTCCAAGCTTTGGCGAGTGTGTAATATAAACCAAGTGTATTGATATCTTTGTAGTTCGATCAAAAAATTGCAATGCTGGAATAATCAAATATGTATTTGCTACCAGGTTGAAATCATTAGGGGTTAGCTACAATTTGTTCTCATACAGCTTTCGTTTTCGAAATAGGAAGCGTTCCAAACTTGAGTATACCATTACAGGATTATTCCTTCTTATCCATAGTCCATGTTAATTAAAATATACGTTGATAAAAGAAAGCTACCTAAGTCTTGACGCTTGCATAATGTAGTAAAACGAAAGCAATTAGTTCGTCATATTTTATGTACTATATTAAACTCGAAGCATTTTTATATCATTCGTTTGTAAGTTGTTACAATAATTCTCCTTTGAACTGCTATACATACAGGATACTTGATGGTTTTAGTATACTTCTTATTAATTGCACCCGGGGCTAGTTAGGAAGTCTAGTAAAGTATTCCAAGATAAGCTTTTAAAATGTTAGGGAAATGGAATAGTTTAATTTTAAGATAACTTGGTGTAGCAGAGAGTATATCAGACCATAATTAATTGATCATGCTAAAAGGTTATTATGTAGCAAGCACGTTTTATTTAAGCATGAAACATCGAAGAGTCTCTTTTAGAATGTAATATTTATGGTCAGAGACTTAGTTTTATTTTTGTTTACGATGTCCTTTCGCATAGGTAATCATTAAGCTTGAAGATAAGTATTCTAATAGGAACTAAATATACCATTTGAATATTGCAAAAACGACTGACTGAAGAGGTTTAGAACAAGAAAGTATTACTCTCAGCTCAGAGTTCGAGAACAATTTATAATTAGGGTTAATTATAGTCATTGTTAAAATGGAACTGCTTGTGTTTTACACGAAGTATAGTTATAAGCATTGGTGATAGATAGTTGTGCTTAGATCACCGTTAATTATTTGATGTATTAAGTATACATTTTGGAATGATTACTCTAAATGTTTTTGGTTATTACATTTAGTTGAGGAATCAAGAGTGATGTTACGTAGTTAATGGTTAAATGTGTGCTAGTTTCTCAAGCAGGGGTCTTCATTTTGAGTTCAATCGAGAGTGCAGTATTTGAATCTTTAAAACAACTACTGGTTGTCATATCAGATAAGTAGTTCTTCATAGCAAATTAAGTTATTGCATTTGCTTTATTTGTATCGTTCATTTATAGTGTTCATATGTTATTGGTGCACAATCATGTATTGTTTTGTAAAAGAAGGTTTGGTTCAACATATCTAGGGTGTTTGGGAAATTAGTGTAAGTTGTCATTTTAAGCAAACCGGGTTTCAAAATCGGAAGCTAATACTCGGTTAAGATAACTGATGTTGCTGGTTGTTGTACAGATTAGAATTGATGTGCCGTAGGTGTTTAATAAGTAGACCAGTGGGAAAGAAGAGCTTATTTATTTTGCAGCTAGGGAGTGGTATTTTTAGCGAATCTAGGTTGAATTAGACTAAGTACTGTTAGTGCTCAATGCGAGCTTTTGCAGTCATGAGTTTTTCTGCTTGTGTTTCAAGCTTAAATTTTATTATTACATATTAGAATCCCTGGATGGTTTATGAGGTAGTTAGTCAAGTTGATTGGAGTCTAGTTTTGTAGCTTATGTATATTAGCCTAATTGAGTAATTTTGGTTGAAATAGTTCAACGAGTTAAGTTCACTCTTGTTTCTCTATAGTATTAGTCAGTTATCGTATAGGGATTTGTTTTATTGGTTTCTTAGCTGAGATGTATTTGATTATTTCTAATTTTAAGTAATATGGCACCTCTCTATTTAACAGTTTGAGAATTTAAGCAATTTTGCAGACTATTTTAATCCAAAGCGGCTTCCACTAGATCTTGTTGGTGGTATAGAATCTACTACATTATCACACAGAAATGCTAATGTTGGACTACTTTGTGACGTATACTATATATTATTATACAATATAGAATTTTTTAGATGCAAGGGGAGATGTAAGAATAACCCCACAATATTCTCCTTCAGGCACTCTTTTGATCCAGGCAGTACTTCTTGAATAGTTATTATGAGGACATAGTTTCATGCAGAAGGTTTTCTTAAGCGTCATTATTGCATTATTTTATCATTTTGGATCTTCATTTGTTAAGTAATCTTCTTGCTCTTGAGTAATTTCTTTTGCTTCCCCTCCAATGTTTTGGACTAACTCTTCCACTATTTGTTGCAATTCTGCATTGCTGATATCACTTCCAATAATGCTAATTGTATTTATACGCCAATTCATGTGGGGGTAGCTTCCGAGTTTAACAACCTCTGTACCATATCGAGCATTACATCTGTCTTGAAGAGAAGATAAGAACGGAGCTAGTTCGCTTTCACTGGTTGTTGTTTGTACATACTTCCGTGTATAAGCGCTTGGTTTTATCCTTGATTTTAGGTAGGGCTCCATCTCATTGATTAATCTAGTAAATAACTGAGGTATACCTGGGAGGACATACACTTGCTCGTTCAAGGCAACTAGTGGAAACCACAAATCTTCCCCAACGAAGTACTTCTCAACCTTTGTCGACGATTGGTTTTTCTCTATTGGCAAAGTTGCCATTTTATAAAATGCTGATAATTGATCTGGTTTGAGTTTATCAAGGTGATCTCCTCTCACTCTATGCATTCTGTCTACAACTTCTTGATCAATGCCATAATCTAAATTGAAATAATCGGAAATAACCTTATAAGTGATATCGTCGTGAGTACTACCTAATCCCCCGGAGGTAACAACAAAATCAAGTTTATCTTGTTTGAGAAGAATATTTAAAGAATCTATTATATCTTTTTCGCTATCGCCACATACAATTGTTCGTTTCAATGGAATTGATAGGTTGTTAAAGCAATACCGGGCGAAATTGTAGGAGTTTGTGTCCAAGATTTTTCCATTCAAGATTTCATCACCGATTATCAAACACCCTGCAGTTCTAATTGGTTTGGTTTGTTGTGAATATTGTGCCATTTTAGAAATTGTGTGATAAAGTTTCGTCAAGGTTTTGACCTGATATTTCATTTGGGGAATAACCTATCTTGTGGGCTGACATGGAGTTTTTCGTACTATAGAAGCCATAGCAATCAGATTCTGTATTTGGGTGTCGCACGACCCCACCAGCCACTATCATAAGTTTGGACCAGTTTATTACTTCCAATAGGACATCCTCCAAATTTGATACTTAGTGTCTAAGCTGTTTTCTGTTTATATGGAAGATCTAAAACCATCAAGGTTAATAGCCATTGAAAACTACAGCTAGCAGAAGGTAAGAATACCTCAACAACTCTTTCGTTTTTCCTTCTAATTCCGGGTATTTTTGAGCTATTCACTTTGAGATCGAGTCTTTTGGCATAGAGCTAACAGTCATAGTGATTGCAAGTTAGATAGTGTTCATATATCAACTCTAGAATATTTTACTCATATGTCGATCTAGCCACTCACGTGAGCTTTCCTAATAAGGAACAATTTTTTTTCTCGTGTCCGAGAAACGGATGCTATCTAAATTCGCTCCAGCTATACCCCCACGTGGTTAACAATCAATTAATCTCGAGGATGTGTATTGTAGTACAATGTAGTAGTCATATAGAACAATAGTTTTACTTCAAAAGTTGTTACTTTGTAATCACCTAAGGAGTATTATAAAGACATTTTTGCCGTTTTGGATAATAAGCTTCCTGTCTTGTACTGCATATAAAGGTCTGTTGTTGCTTGGAATTCCAAAAGAAATTCAAAAAAACAATTTTTTTTTTCCAGTGACGACTAGCGTGAGCTCTCTTGCCTTCTCTCCCCTTTTTTTTTGTCTATTACAACTCTTGGTTCCAAAGAGCTTCCTTATTCAATACAACATTTTCATTACACTACCCTTTCAGCCGTTCATTTAGATTCAACCATCTATCACTTAGTACTAGTATTCCTTTTCTTTGCACTATCTGTTGCTAGTTCCTGATTAATATATATTACGATATATATTAGTAATCCTCCCCAATCATAGTTTTTAATTCGACTTCTTTTTAGATTTTATAAAAAAGGCGTTTAACAAATGGGAAATAGCCCGTCCAGAGACGACAATGATCCCCTACCGAAGTCCTCAACCAATTCATCATCATCAACAAGTGGAGGTTCAACTGGTAATACCGACTTAGAGTCTGATGAGAAAACTCGTCCTCCGCTATCGCAATCAAATCATCGTCCTAAACGATTAACGACTACTAATGAATCAGGTAAAGAGAGTAATCATAATGTTTCTACTTACTCTACTAGCCCTGCCATTAATATTGGTAACGTTACTGATCAAAAAAGTACTAAACAAAGTCACAACTATTTAGAGCTTCCAAAGAAGCAAAACAGAAAGCAAGGATTGCCGGGTTCACCAAACCTGGATTATGACTTGGATTTAGAAATTGGTATGTCCATGGCTATGCTCTTAAAAAGTCAACAAGATGAAGATAGTTACGGTCCCTCGTCATTCTCTTCTAATGAAAGCAAAAGCTCGCTGACATTATGTCTGTCTGGTAATAAGGATGAAGATACCCTGGTACTGTCGCTTAATTCATCCCCTTCTCTAGCCAATAAATTTTATCTCAAAGAAGAATCCAAAGAAACGGTTTCATTGAATAAGTTGGATGCAATTGCCGAGATGAACTCGTTGGAATCAACACCGGAGCCAAGAAGGGGTGTTTCTTCTTCGGTAAATGGTCTGGAAAGCATAGGTTTGTCTCATGAGAACTTGAAGAAACATAGTAAAGCAGGCTCAACCCGTCAATTAACAAAGAATGTATCATCAAGCTCGTCTAGTGTTTCCAACTCACCACCCATGGTTCATACATCTCGAAAGTTAGAAATCGACATTGATGAAATTATCGATCGTTTACTTAGGATTGGAATTAAAAAATCATCCAGTAAAAAAGATAAATTGCCAGTTGTGGAGCACGAAATAAAATATATTTTAAGCAAGAGTAGACTGATCTTTTTAGAGCAACCTACGTTGTTAAGGTTATCTCCCCCGGTCAAGGTTGTTGGAGATGTTCATGGGCAATTTCACGATTTAATTCGAATTTTCAATTGTTGTGGTTACCCTCCGTACTCAAACTATCTTTTCCTTGGTGACTATGTCGATCGTGGATATAAATCTTTAGAGACTATCTTATTGTTACTCTGTTATAAGATTAAGTATCCAGAAAATTTTTTCATGCTTCGTGGAAACCACGAGTCTGCAAATATAACCAAGATTTATGGTTTCTATGATGAATGCAAACGGAGATTGACCAACCGAAAGTTATGGAAGAACTTCATTGATGTGTTTAACACTCTTCCTATTGCTGCCACTATCAATGACAAGATCTTCTGTGTTCATGGGGGCCTCTCACCTGATCTTCAAGACCTCAAGAATATTGAGCAAATCAAGCGTCCTACCGATGTTCCTGATCGTGGTCTACTTGCTGATTTGCTTTGGTCCGATCCTGATCCATCAATCAAGAACTTCTCTCTCACCTGGCCGAAGAATGACAGAGGAGTGTCATACTGTTTTGGGCGTAAACATGTAGATTACTTCTGCCAACAGTTTAGAATGGACTTAGTTGTCAGGGGGCACATGGTTGTGGAAGATGGGTATGAATTCTTCAATAAGAGAAGGTTGGTGACAATATTCAGTGCACCAAATTATTGTGGAGAATTTAACAATTTTGGAGCCATTATGAGTGTGGACAAGAATCTCTACTGCTCGTTTGAGTTGATCAAACCAAACTGAGAAATATTCGTTTGTTGGTGAACATATTTTATGCATTATTTTTGTATCGTCTGTTCCTTCACATTAGTTGTGATAAGTATTATATTTGGCCTTGTAACATTGCCTATGGCTTAACGAGATTATGTTAATGAATGCTTTTTATTATACTATCAGTTATTTTTATACTATTATATACCTTTGTTTTTATATTATTGTATTTGCTAAACCAGAATTTCAACGTGGGTTGTAATGATTCTATGTAATGATATATATACATAGCAAATAAATAAACATTAAAATAAAATGAAATAGATCGGTGTCAACTAATCTTTCTTTCGCTTAAATACATTCAATGGATTGCCCATATTATTGAAAATCTTTCTGTATCTCATTAAATAATAAAGCAGCAAACAGGCACTGATGTTGAAAATAATGTATGCAACGAAAAAACCAACATTTCTCCATCTGTAGGAATATTTGGCTCTAATAGTCCATAAATATTGATCCGCGTTACTGAGACTGCAATATCCACATTGATTTGTAGCATTTTCATCAACAAGGTATCCACCATGGGCTTGTACGAATGGTCCAGCAAATTGTCCACATGTTTCACCAGCGGGTGGGTTGAAGAAAGACAACTCTTGGTCACTGCAATGGATTGGGCGACCATGAAGGAATGAAGTCACTAAATTTTGGATGAAATAGGTATAGGGTGATACCTTGTACATAAAAGTCCAAAATCCTGGCATAAGGGTCACTGGTTGGACTACACCTGAAAAGGATACAATAAATGAATAGAAGAAAGACACAAGAACAGCTGCACTTTCTAAGTCGGGAGCAATATAAAGAAGCATCAAACCAAAACTAGCAGCAAAACCTTGAAGGAAAATACCATGTGTAAAATAAAACATACCGGAATGAGATGGACTGGTGTCCACTTGAGTTGGGAAGTAGACTGAAACAAACATGATTGCTGCACCAATAAAAAGATAAGGTAATTCGTTAATGAATTGAGTAATGATTAACAAGGACCAGTGGTATGTATTTGAAAGCTTTTCTCTAACTTCAAACAATTCTCTACCAGCATAAGCCTTTTCTTGAATTTGATTAATGACAGGGGCAGAAACAACGACGGACAAGAAGGCACAGAACATACCATTTTGGGCACCAGCTCGTGTATGCTTCAATCCAAAGAAAGTGAACCCAATGAACAAACCGGAAATTGTCATTAAGAAAGTTTTAGCTGCAATATATTCAGGGTCTCTGAAGAAGGTCATTGCATTTCTATGCCAGACATATCTGAATTGATAGAAATATCCAGTGGCATACTTTCTTTGTAAATCTTTGCTATCTGAAGATGTATGGTTGGAGCTTTCAGCTTTGGCTAAAATCAATTGATCACGCTTGGCATCTGCTTCCCTCTTTTCGGGTGATTGGGTCCATATCTTAAACCAATCATACTCGGTCACGGCGGTAGCACCGGCTCCAATAGCTTCCAAAATATACTCAGCGGGGTTTTCATGATCATCACAAGTTCTTGCTCCATTTTTTTCAAAGTAACTCAAGATTGTTCTGGAACGAGGTCCAATGTCTCCAAAGTAAACTGTTTGTCCACCCTTTCTCAACAACAATAACCTGTCAAACTCCTCGAACAATGTAGCAGAAGGTTGATGGATTGTACAAAGAATAGACTGTCCAGCATTGGCCAAATCACGTAATAACTTAACAATAGCCCATGCTGATTGAGAATCTAAACCAGAGGTGGGCTCATCCAAGAACAACAACAATGTTGGTTTAGCAACCAACTCAACACCAATGGATAATTTCTTACGCTGTTCAACATTCAACCCATTACCCGGTCTTCCAACAACGGCATCGGCATAATCATTCATGTCCAAAACATCAATAATCTTTTCAACGTAATTCAACTTTTCTTCGTCGCTGACATCTTGAGGACGTCTTAATCTTGCTGCAAATTGTAATGACTCTCTCACAGTCACCTCAGTGACATGGATATCCTGTTGTTGAACATAACCAGTTCTACGACTGAATGACGAATCCAATGGCTTACCATTGACAAGCATATCTCCAGTAACAACCCCAAAGTCAATTCTTTGAGCCAATGTGTTTAACAACGTAGTTTTACCAGCACCAGATTCTCCCATCAATGCTGTTAAAGTTCCAGGGACACAGAATCCACTAACTTGGTCCAACAATTTTCTTTCAGCACCGTCATATGGAATCACATAGTCGACATCCTTCCAAACAAATATATCGTCAACTTTCAAATCATCTAAATCAGAATCATTGGCTTGCCCAGGAACCTTTTCAAGATCACCAACAGCAGGACCACCTTCTAAATCACGCTGTTGTTTGTCAGATGCGTTAGCTAAATGATCAGGGACCTTTCCTCTTAAGTATAACAACTTGTCACCACCACCACTGATTGGTTTCACGTACTCTGTTCCCAAAGCATTGATAGCAAGGAAGAAAAATAAGAACCCGAATAAAATCCCCAAATTTCTCCAAACATGAGAAAACTCGTATGTAAAGGCAATTCTCAAGTATTGGTCACCCAAAACCCAACTTTGACCTGGAACAGATCCAATGAATGAACAAACCTGTTCCCCAGGACCCAAATTTTCAAATCCTGGACCCGATGGAGTAAGGTATTGACCAGCACATTCCATGTGTCTACCATGGAATTCACTTGCAATAATAGCTTCGAATGCGTAAAGCACAGGGTTAATATAGGAAATCCATTTGAACCAAGGGTGCATTGAAGGACGTTGAATCATAAAGGATGAATACATCAACGAAGCAAGAACCATCACACCAGCAAATGCGTTAGCAGCAGAAATAGTCTTATTCAATGAAGCAATTGCTTGGAAAAAACTACCCATAGTTAGATGCAACATGATGATAAACAAATAAGCGATAAAGAACTTCCCAGCATCTCTTGCTAAGTTGGATAAAAAGTAAAGGATAATGACAAACATGGTGTTAATAAGAATACTCAAGGGAATAGAAATAATGAAATTACCCAAAGCATCAGCAGATGGATGGTACAATGTGTAGTTTTTATGTTTCATCAAAATAGGTCTGGCACCAAAGGAGGCAGAAATTTCCGCCAACCCCATTAACGACATATAAAGGACGGCAAAGAAAATAACACCACCACGACTGAAAGCTCCGGAAACGTCATCTGGAGTATTGTAATAAAGTGAACCTATGATAAATGCTTGAGCAACAGCGGCCAATATAAGGGTAATAGTGTATGCTTTATCACCCCATGTTCTGTCAAATGTTCTCATGGTACATAATTTTAATTGTTCAAAGAATGACACAGTATAAATTGAGTTTAATCTAGCTCCCTTCAGCTTTTCTTGCTTCAAGGACTCGTAGTAGTTCTTACGGGTTTCATCTTCATTGGTTTCTGCATTGTATTCGTCAATATCGTTAATGAGTTGTTTATATTCAGGAGACTTTAACCAATATGCTTCAAATTCTTCAGCAGTTTGTGGAACTTTGTTTTCATAGCCTTGTCTTGGGTATCTTCCAATTGGATCAGTGACGGCGGTCAAAAATTCAGCAGTAGTTTGTCTTTGAGGACATTCCCAACCCATATTTTCAAAATATCTCTTAGCCTTATCTCTAGGACCAAAGTAAATTTGCTTACCATGATACAACACTGTAACCTTGTCAAACTTTTCATAAATGTTTTCACCTGCTTGGTAAATAGTGATAAAGGCAGTGGTACGTAATAACTTGGTAGAGGTTCTGATAGCTTGGGTAAATTCTAATGCTGTGGATGCATCCAATCCTCTAGTGGCATTATCCCAACAGTACAAGGAACCACTACAAGCCAATGCTTCAGCAATGGAAACCCTCTTTCTTTCACCTCCAGAAACACCTCTGACGAAATCATTACCAACCTTGGTATGGAATGTATGTTTCAAACCAAAGACTGTGGCCAAGATAATCTTTTGAGCTTCAATAAATTGACTTCTGCTAACTCCATTAATTCTAAGGTTAGGAGTCTTACAACTAAGGGCAAATGTAAGCGTCTGATCAACAGTTAAATGAGGGAAATGACAGTCCAATTCAGGGTTATAGATCAAGTCATTCTTAAACGACTTCAACATTTCGCTTTGGTGAATACCGTCATAGAGTACTTCACCTTCCACACCTTTATACAAATCGAAATCGGTACCGGAAATAGCTTTCAAAAAAGTGGTACAACCAGCACCTGGTCTTCCTAAAACCAAAACCATTTCACCTGGTCTAGCAAACCCATTCAAATTATGTAAGAGATTTCTATTAGGAGTTCTGATCTTTGCCATAATCCCTTGAACAGCACCAACTGGACCCTTCAAAATATCCAAAGCAGTAGGTACAACAGCAAATGATTCATCGATACCGTAAACATTCAAATCCCTGATGGTGATACCACTACTACGCATCTTGATACCTTGCTTCTTGGCGAAATAACTAAAGTTGGCTAAGATCTTTCCCAAATTGAACTCATCCAACTGTAACAGGAATTCACCATCCTTATGGGAAATTTGACGAGAAATTTCTCTGGAAAGAGTATTCAACTTGTCATCATAGTCTTTTTGGTGCATGGAGGTAATGGTACGGATAAGACTCATACGTCTGCTTTCATCGTCATGTTCATCATAATCGTCCTCAGGTTCAAATACACTCTTTACGGGTCTGAACTCTTCGAGTGATTGAATATCACTTGTGATAGATAACCTCAGTGACAGCGAAGACATTTTTTCACTGGTTCTGTAATTAACTATTTGGTTTGTTCAAAAATATGTCTATTTGCTTTTAAGAACAAAACTCGTGGTATAAATATTCGTAAGTAAATACAGCTCATTGAACAATAATAAACACCACATATTTTTTAACCTGCATGGTGTCGGCTTTTGTCCGATGTTTTTTTCGGCGATGGCTGAACTTGGCAACTTTGGATTACTAAGAATTACTAAAGCAAAATCAAGATTTCATTTAGGTGGAGATGTGTTATTTGTGCTATTTGTGCTACAAGTGGAATACAGAGGAGATAAAGATCCGCACAGCCCTCTGATACCTGAACACGGAATATCGTAACCGTGTTATCTCCGTCCTCTAGTTTTGCAAATAGAAAACCTTATTACACTGATATTTCTTTTTTTTTGTTAAGAACACACTATCTCCGATGATAACATACAGCCACTTAATTGTGGAGAGGGGATGTTAAAGCAATGCTATACCAGTGGTACTTTACTAGTTAATTAGAGTATTAGTTAGGATATGTTAATTGAAAATTCGTATCTAGTGTAACTTAGTTCGGGTCTAGAGACTAAAACGGTCGGATCGGATGCTTCTAGACGGGGTTCTTTTTTTTCTAATTCCGATTATCGGTACTTATTTCCGTCTTAACTATGAAGAAAAAAACATAGAATAAATCCGCATTCAGCGACGAACCTTGTTTCGTAAACGGGTACTAAGTGGTGGTCGATCAGATCCTTTAAGAACAAGCGGGCGGCTCCCTTTAGAGGTTCGCAGAGTATCTAGCTAATGAGGGGTAAGTGTTGAAGCTTCTGTGAAACATTTCCGGGAGGGTTTCCTCATTGCCAGAAAGATAAAATTCATCGTGAACTGTGGTTGCAAAATCACAAAATCTAAATACCAATATGATTCGTGATTCTAGACCTTGGAAACCTTTATAATTTCTTTTTCTCTAATCGAAGGGGGATGGTTGAAAAGACCTCGTGCCTCTATTGTATGACGTTTTGTATTGCACAGTAGTACTCCAACCAGCTTTGTGATTTTATGTAGGATTACTAATCTGGACTACGAAAAATAAAACAGCAACAATCCTAATCCCTTGGCATTTTTCTACATAATCCAGTTTTTATGAACGCAATAGCAAAATGTGCTAGCAATATAGTATATGGATCTAAATCCACGATGCAGTATATATGCTGGACTTACCCTTATATAATGTAAGTGGTACTAGGAAAAAAGGAATTAGCAATTGGTTATTCAACCTTTTGATACGAACGTGTAATTTCATTGCATCTAAACTATGAGCTGCTCCGATTTACTTTAATATAGGCTTCATGTGGTCATTAATTGTGTATCAGTTGCCGGTGAAACTTGATCTGGTCTGATTTTGCATGAACAATTTTGCAGATTTTTTGCGCAATATTTACAACATTTTAATACAAACTCTATTATACGAAATAAGTAAAGATTCATTAAACTCACAGATACAATTGATGCCTGATACGGAGATAGTCGCACAGTCAACAATTTTCGAATGTGTCTTTAAAGAGTAAGATCTTTATCACAAGCACATTAACCTACGTGTCAAAAATTGTACTCTAATAATTACATTAATTTTGATGAAGCACGGCTTCTATATATATATATATGGAACGAAATGTATACCCAGTATACTTTTTTTTATAATATTTACCCAATAATCCGCTTATAAACCCAATTAATCCTATAATAAGTGGATTTTACCTAAATCCTAAAATAGGATAGAAGAACTTCTCTTATATTTTTCAGTCTTCAAATTTTCTCTTGAGATGTCTAGATGAAGCATTATCGTATTTGTACTCGTCGTCACAATCATTAATTTCTTCATCTTCATCCTCACTATCATAGTAATCACTTTCTTCATCAAAGACAATGTCTTCAGTGTCATCTCCGTTTTCAAATTCTTCGTCATCATCATCATCATCTTCAAACTCATCTTCCTTTTCTGCCACGGGAGTCTTCAAATAATGAACCAATTTTTCTTCACTTAATTTAGTATTTTTCCCCATCAATTCAATCAATTGTACATAATACAAATTAAGAACATCCTTAGCATATTTAATTTGTGAATAATTTCCAGCATTTTCACCTTCCTGACTGAGTCTTCCTGGGATACATCTCCAATCAATACGATTCAAGAAATCCAATTCCAAACAATTCAATTCTCCAATATTGACCCCACCAACCTTTGCATAATGATCATTAGTGTAAAAGAAATCTTCCATAGATTTCTGGGCAACCATGGAGGCAACAAGGAGAAATCTATGCACAGTCCATGAATTTAATGTGAAATAGGGTTGATATTGATGTGAAAGTAAATCTATATAGTAAATGGTGGTTAAAAGTGTTGCTGGATTAAAGTTATTGAATTTCGTCAAACGTGTGAGATATGTGTGTGTGGAAATAGATGGCGGAGTTCGGGAATGGTATCTAGTGAGGAGGTTGTTTTTAGATGTGCTGGAACTGGTGGTGGATGATGATGATGATGATGGTGGATTTGAAATTGATGTTGGTACTGACTTGTCATTCAAGGTTATTAAAGAATGAAACATTCTTGATATTAAATTTATTATGTCATCTATAGGACAGTCCATGAAATCCTCAGGAAGAAATTTCTCAGATATTTCTGGTGTTATTTGTTGTGGAAGTTCCTTCTTCACTTGAGGTACTATTTTTGGAGATGGTTCGACCTTTGCCGGAGCAGCCCTGGACACATTTGGTGCTATTTTAAGGTACTGACTGAAATACTGTTTATAGTTCTTATTATGATAATGATTAATTTGTTGTAAACGTACATTTGTTGTCTTTATAGGTACCAAATATTTTTGATAAATGTCCAACAGTTTTATTTTTCGATACTTATCAAGGGAACTAAAGTATATGCGATGGTCTCGGGTGACAGATCTGACATTTGGTGAGTTGATATATTGTGCAAGGAAGGGATCGGTTGAAGTATTAGGTGAACTCTTTTTACTTTGGGAACTTGTTGGGCTTTGTAACGAAGAATGGTTATTACCATTGCTGTTAGGGTTTGGAGACCCCACAAGAGACAAGGATCCATGTGTCGGACTCATTTTGGGGGTTGTCTGTGTTGAAGTAGCAGACATTTTAGGTGACAAAGTATCGAATATTATATCATTCGGTAATGGGAACGAAGACGTAATGGCATGTAATAAACTCATCTAGAAAAGTTTTTTTATGCCTCAATTTTCCACGGTTTTATGATTTTTTTTTTTGGTGTCGAGACAATAACCGTTTTACGACAAAAGAAAGTATAAGCGACAATGAGGTGTTCTCAGTAAAATGTAAACGGTAAATTCCAAATTGGTGATGATGATGATTCTTGTTCAGTTAGGGTATCCAGAAGTAATTAGGAATGTACTAGATAGATTGTTATGGTTGCTAGTTTCTGTATAGTTGGTTGCGATTGCTGTATGGAATAATGGTGGTGAAAAATTATACCCCAAATTGTCAGAAAATATGTTTATACCCTGTAGTGAGGTGGATATGATCTACTCGGGATGATGAATGACCTTTATCTAAATGAAAGATCCAACGCTCTTGATTGGAAAAGTCCAGAAGAAGTGTTCTTTTGCTTTGCTTTGTTTTCTTTAGTTTCCTTTCTTTTTATTGTTTGTCTAATTTATAAATTTGGTTGTAAAATATTAAGCTTGATCAAAAAGCTTGGCTAGAATATATATGTGCTATATAAAAGCTATATCAACCTTACCGAGGTTTAAATTAGTCCGAAGAAAACAAAAGTCTGGAGTATATATTGCTGAATCTGAGTCAGAGTGGTGAGACGAGGGGGGGGGGGACTCATATGGGTATATATAAACAAATAATTAGTATTTTGGCGGAAAACATGGAGTAAAGTTGAAAATGCCACTCGGAGCTATCCTGCAGGAACTCCTGCGTGTCCCAATTACAATATAAACGTGGGTCACACTAAAAATGGATGATCATCATATTTCATTCTGCCACGTGTAAGCCCACACACGGGCGGCGTCATTATATGCAGGCAAACTACCCGATTGGGAATAAGCGCATAGTAAAATTTCTCTTTATTGTTGGAAAAAGCCATAGTCGTGGAATTGACCTTTGACACATCCAATTCCGCAATCGCCAAGAAGATGGGGCGTGGTAAGTTTCAGGGCACAACTCTTCAGCTACGATTTCCATTACCCACATGGTTACATCAAAGATGGAATTCGTTACTAAGTCCATCTAGACATTCATGTTCATGCAATGGTCGTTGAGCTTGCAACATATTCTAATTTAGAGGACACGTCAATCTTATTGTATATTGGTGAGCAACAATAAGCATTAATTATAACCCCACTCACCCCACTTTCTATTATTGCTTTTTAATTTTATGCCACAAGTATTTTGAGTCAATACAAATAAGGAACATCTTCTTTAATTTCAGTATAACCACAAAAGTTCATTATCATTAGCATTTTTAAATTAAGTTTATTCAGAAGCCTTCATTTATGAAATTGTACTTCGGATTAATTGGTTGTATCAATAAACTTTAATTTTTAATAAAAAAAATAAAATAAATTAGACATCAAAACTAGTTGCAAAAATTTTCGACCTAATTTCGCGACAATCAGAACAAAGAAAACGTGCCCCTTGTTCCAAGTGCCAAAGACATTGTTAAGAACAATTAATTTATCTCATTGATGTCGTAAGACACTTTGACGTTTTATGACACTGACTCAAAAGTAAACAACAATGCAAATGTATTTACAGGCGGAAGCTCCCCGAAGGGCTTCGATTAATCTCGCAATTATTCTTATCAAACATCAAACAAGTGTTAAATTAACCCACGCGACATTCTTACTCTAGTTGCATATCTCCATTGTTTGGCCAGAGCCTCATGCACGGAGTGAAAAAAAAAAAACAACAAAGTTGTGAGAAAATGCTTTATCTGTTTTGATCGGCACCAACAGGAATACTCCCGGATGTCTCAGAGTTGAAAACCAACCTCATACGGCAAAACAATTACCCTAGACAAACTTTGCCCTTGTTGGTACCAATAATTATATATTTACTAAACCATTTTCAAATCCAGTGCCTTTCTTGAAAATGTCAAACTTCAAAGAGCAACAATTTGGGAGTAGCAACCATAAAGAAAAGTATTGCTATCGCCTGGTGCTTTCCAAAAATACACTTTCAAGAACATACCATTTCACTTCTATAACTCGATACTAGTGTAAATGTTTCCTATTTTGCTTGATAATTCCTACATAGTAAGTTTTTTAATTCCGTAATTTTTTTTGGCCATTATTACCAATTCATTCTTTAAGATCTTTTACGAGGGAAGGATCAGTTCACGTGACCACATCTTCAAAAATTTTGGCTTGACGTCAGAAAAGGTAAACAAAAAAAAAAAAAGCCAACTACTAAAAACCTTTCCCCAGTATATGAATAGAGTTCACGGCGAATCAAAAGCGACATGTCTTATTTGGAAGAAGGTAAGTTTGAATAACATAATCTATCAAATACCTAATTGAAAATACTAACTAGCTAATAGGATTCGATCCTAAGAAACTCAAGGTTGCTGAGTTGAGAAATATTCTCAATCGACATGGAGTAGAGTATGCCTCCAATGCCAGAAAGACACAACTAGTAGAGCTATTTCAAGATAACATAACAACCAAAAGAGATGAGTTAATAAAGGAGTTAAATGTGAAAGGAAGTGATGAAGGAATTGTTCTGGTTGATTTAGATTCTAGTACTACTGCTGAAGAAAATAGCGGCGGCAATATGGACGAGGCTGGGGGTGCAGTGGTACTTGAGAAAATAGAAGATTCAAGGCAAGAAGTTTTTTCACCTAATTCAGTTAAAATTCCAAATTTTTCTCCAACAACAAAGACTTCTCCAAAAGTATCATCAGAAACTAAAAAGAGAAAACTTGAAGAAGACGAAGATAAACCAGATGCAAGTGTTGAAGAAGAAACACCACTGAAGAAAATTCCAAAACGCTTGAAACCTATTAAGCATGAAATACCCAAAAGAACCATCTTTGATGATACTGAAAGTGATATTGACATGGAAGTGTTTCCTAAGGTTAGCCCAGCTACAACCAAGCATGAAAAACGCACGCCAAAATCATCATCAAAAGCCACTCCAAACAGTTCCAAGGGTTCCCATAATATCAGTCCAAAGACCACTCCTTCTAAAGTGAGCAAACCTTCCTCCAAAAAGACAACTCCTCACAAAGCATCTTCTTCAAAATCAGCCAATACTTCTGTTAATGAATCATTCCAATCTATAGCTGAAGAAGAACATCATTTTGACCAGGAATTGTCAAAAATAAAAGAGAAAGCCGCTTCTCCATCTGCTGACGAAGTGGAATTTGCAAAGCTGTTGGGAATTACCATTGAAGGATTTCAACCACCACAACCTCCATTTGCAGAACCAGCATCCCATTTGGTGTTTGAATCAGAACCATTACCACGTCCTGTTGCAGCTGAAGCTGCAGCAGTGGAAAAGATTTCTACACCCAAACTTCAAAGAATTATCTCTGTAAGTTCTGACAAGCTGTCTACTAGAAAGTCAACCCCAAAATCAAACAAATCCACACCTTCTAAAGTTTCTATTCAGGAAACACCAAAGAAATCCCCTGTGTTTGATAGATCATTCTTGACACCCAAACCTAGATTGATTCCTATTCTGACAAAAGATACGGATGAGTCCGATGATGATGATGACGACGACGACGAAGAAGAAGAAAAGACAGAAGTACAGAAAGTAGTAGTAGAAGAAAAGCAAGGAAAAGTACAAACTACAACCACCAGTGAGTTACCAGAGTTATCTCAAGAACATTCACAGAGCCTCTCTCGCAGATCTTTAACTCAGGCATTAATGACATTCTTTATCTGGGCAATAATTGTTGCAAGTGGACTTTTCTTTTATTGGTATATAGAGCAACTGTACATGGTGGGTTACTGTGGCCAAGAAATTCACAACGAGACCTTTGGCAATATCGAAAATCCTATTTTGCGTCAAGTTGGTAAATTTCTTGATGATAACGCTAAACCTAGTTGTGTTCCATGTCCACCTCATGGTAGATGCTTCCCCAACTTAGAATTGGCATGCTATGAGGACTTTATCGAATATAGACCTTGGAACAACTTTATTAAACCTGGAAATAAGAAATGTATTCCTGATACCAAGAAGGCAGAAAAGTTGGAGATTATGATGGAAGTTGCATTAGACTTGATTCGAAGCAAGAATGCACAAGTACAATGCGGAAGAGGTGTTGATGACTTTGAAAGTGGAATTAGTGTACAAGATTTGCATGATTTGCTTTTAGAGATGAAAGCTCCGTATATCACATTGGAAGAATTTGAAGAATTATGGGAAAGATCAGTAGTTGAATTGGAAAAAGAACCTGAAATTATTGTAAGGCAAGTATGAACTTTTATTACTCATTTGTGATTATCATAGAATTTATGTTACTAACTTTTGTTTCTAGAAGAAATCTCCAAATTTCCCAAAAGAATTCTCTAACATTAACGACTCGAACAGTCACGAAGAAACGGACAAAGTTCTTCGATCAACGTCCTTATCGAACATTAGCTTGAATTGCCAGATTTCCAACAGTTTAATGGGTGGATTAGCTCAATACAAACCTCACCTATTTATTTGCACTGCTTTATTCATTTTATTCAAGTATGTACAATACCAGTATAACCAGTATCGATTGCAATTACTAAAAGTAGACATTCTCCATCGAGAAGTGGTGAGCAAGTTGGTGAATCAGATGAAACAGTTCCAATCAGGGGAAGCTGGATTTGGGTATATTGGAGCTAATCAATTACGGGATTTGATTTTAGCTCTGGAGGATAATTTGAAGCTGAGAATTAAATTGTGGGGATTGGTGAGTGAAAAGGTTGAGAAAAATACCAATGTCAAAGTGGAAGTAATTGAACACCATGGAGAGATGATGAAAATTTGGAAATGGATTGGTGTTTAAGATACAGTCTTATATTTCCATAGACATACCTGGTAATTCAAAATATCGCTATAATGAACAACTTTGTAGATTATATAGATGTAAATATATCATAATTTATTTTTTTTAAAAAAAATCCTAGCATATCCCTATAATTGTATCGGACAGGTCTACAGTAGGAATTGATCGTGCCGTTTGAATAGCAATTTTCCAACTGAATAGTTCAGTATATATTTGGTATTTTATATACTCCACCTAATTTTAAATTCTCTAATGAAGCAGCATTATTCATAAAAGGGATAGGTTAGCCTCTAGGTAACAATATCTAACTCGCAATAGTACTATCTAAAAACAACCAAATTGGTTACTTGAATCTTGTAAATTTTGCTTCAAAACTTGATCAAATTCTTGTTTTGAATACTGATACAATGCATGGCCTTCTTGGTATTTTTCTTCAATAGTATTCAATAAAATTTGTACCAATTTATAGGTTGATTCATTAAACCTTAACAATTTCGATTTTTCAAAAACTTGCAACACAAAATTCACATCCAACTTTAAATTAACCAAACCCAAGGAACTAACTTCAAAATTTCTTATATTATCCAAGATATTCTTTAACAAGTTTAACTGTAATTCATTAATTATATCAATAAATATTTCAACCACAGTCAAAGGTTTTAATTTATTTATCAATTTAACAAAATGAATTAAAATTTCGTAAATAAATCCATCAACTTTTAATTTCTTGGCTTGCTTAGAACTCTTAAAGAAAAGATTGACCCTTGAACTAATGTATAATTTTTCATTATTCAAAATATCTTCAATAATTGTAAGATTCGCCTTGTCGATATCGACAAACAATTTCAAATTTTGTTTCAGTAAATCCTTGTCGAACAATTCATCAAATCTGCGTAATAATTTCGGATAAATTTCTCTTGATAATTTATCCAAATTATTCATTGTTAATATTTTAAATGTGTCAACTGTAGATATAGTTCTCTCTATGTGATATTTCTTCATTATTGAATCAACTAAAATTGTTAAACTTCTCATGAACTGAATTTCAATACTAACAAGGATTCTTTTACCTGGATAAACACTTACTATCTGGAATTCAGACTTTTCTTTAGCAAAAATTAAATTTGAAATTTGGCTGACCATGTAAGTTTGGTAGTATTGAATAATATTGACAAGGTTGGTAGTGGTACTTTGTTCTCCCTTTTCGCATTTCCAATCTTCAATATCATAAAATTGGGTAACATCATTTATCCAAACTGAACATATAGCTTCAATTATCTTTTGGTTTATATTTGTTGATGATGTTTTTAAACTTTTTATAACCTTGTTAGTGTCAGGATATTTACTTGCATTCCCAATTTTACCAATAAATTCACCAAACTTAGTAAGTAATCTATTGACTTTCAAGTTAGCTTTTGTTAAGTAATAGACCGTGGAAAGTGAGTTCGCATAATATGGAACAAATTGCTTATATACTCTTGGTGATAATTCAATAGCAGTATTAGCTTCTGTTGTTTCTTCCTTGACACTATCAAATAAAGTAACCAACAATAATACAACTTGATTAATCACTTCGACATAGGCGTCTCTTATCTTACCATCGGAGTCAATGGTATTATAATGTAGATAATTATTCAAAATCTTTTGTAAAGTATTGATCAATGTGGTATCCAAATATTCCATGAAATTCAATAACACTAACCAAGTTTCATTAATTAAAGAATAATCTAACGAATCAGAACTATCAAATATTTCCTCATTAGGTATAATATGATTGTATTTTTCGGCAATGTAATTTATATGGGAACCAATTTGTCTGTCTTGTTTTAATCCGCTTATATAATCAAGTAATTTCTCTTGATGTAATAAGAACTTGTTATCAAATTTATTAATATGATATTCAAAATCTTTATTAATCATATTAAGTTGGTTGGATATAAAATCTGCAATTGGATGAGAAGCACTTGTATCCAATTCATTTAATTTCATCAAATTGTCAATTATACTGATGATTTTATTCCTTTCATCAGTATTTGTTCTAGAGACAATATCAGTGTCCAACGACAACAATTCCTTGATTAATTTTTGACGATATTGCAAAGTGATTGAATCAATTGGGCTGAAGACCTTACTAACAGTAGAATGTTTCAACAGAATATCTGCATCAATTTCCTTGACAGCTTCTGAAGTCTTTGCTTGGTTAAGTTTGTCTTCTCTTTCCTTTTGAAGATTGGTATAAAACTTGTTCTTCTCTACCAAAAACTTGTTGTAATTTGTAAGAAACTTTTCATTGTCATTTAGAGATAAGGCTTCAATTAAAACACTCGGTAAATCAAAGAAAAACAGATTTTCTTTAACGATTTCAATCATCTTCATTAACTTAACTTCTTTAGCCTTTAGTTCAGATATTGGTCTAATCATTAATGAAGTTGTTGTATTCATATTATTTATAGCCAGATCCAATTCAGAACACAAGTCCTGTTGTACATCAAGACGTTGCTTAGTTGGATTAAATACTTTGGATGATTCCTTATCCGCTTGGGCTTTTGATTTTTGTTGTTTAAATTCAACCAAAACATCATCAATCGACTTCTTTGAATTGATTACTTTTAAAAAGTTATCATCAATAGCCCGTTTTAATTCGGATGTATGTGAATGAATATCAGTTTCAAGAAGAGCCAACGCATGTGTTAATTCTTCTATGGGAGTATCTTTGTGGATAGTTGTAAGATACTTTTGACTATTGAACGTTTGACTACTAATTAAGTAGTTGTATACCAAAGGGTCATTCTTACTGGAGATAATGTGTTTATCAAGTAATTCACTAACAATATTACTATTGGGTCCCTTTAATGGATCTTGTAAATCAAAGCTTCTACTAGTGGTGGATTGTTCACCTATTAATTGTTTCAACAAGTTAAATTGATCTTCTTTACTCCAGGTGCTAGTAACTTCATCAGGATCAAGATCAGCAAGTGGATTATAATTCAATTGATCCTTGTTGGTTAGATGTAAGGTATTTACACCATAATATCGTTTAATCTCTTCTTCTGTGGGTCTGATATTCATGGTGTCGTTGTTGACGTGCTGAATAGAAAGTGTTGTCAAAAGTTGGGATTGTTTTTTTTTTTTTTGACCACAGTTTACCTGGTATATCAACATAAACAAATAGATGCTACCTTTAATGTTTATGTAAGTTTTTATGGATGGGTCATTAATAAGACCAATTGGGTTGATTGATTTGTTCCAAGAGATCAAATTTAATAGGTTTGCTTACATTCAAGCTCCCAATAACTAAGGTTCTAGTATAGGAAGATTAATTTGGTGAAGGTCATACCTAGGATACCTTTCACCAAAATAAATCTGATTTTTAGCCAAAGTATTTTCTGTATGTTTAGGTTATTTGTAGGCCATGATTTTAGTATCATTAAGGGGTCAATTCTGGGTCTGGAGGGCTCTAATGCGGACATAGGATAATTTCACCCCATGGGAACTTGCGGAAGGCAAATGGAATCAATACACCAGGACCTAATGTATGTAAAGTAGATTGTCTTAATGGGGTATTTGATCTGCAAACACACTTGTGTTGAGGGAATTAAATGCAGACATTAGAGTTTTAGGGAAGAATTAATATTTGTCTATAAAAAGGGACGAATTTCCCACTTCGATATCCGTCATGTTACTTTTCTGTTTGAATCAATATAGCTTTCTAGTAAGTAACTAATTAATCAAATGAGCATTAGTACAGAACACCCAAATACTACTTCACTAAAACAATCTATTACCTTTATATGTTCGTAAATGACGAACTGGAATGCTCCTAGAACAAATAAATAACTTATCAGCAAAGTATCTATTATGATGATAGTGAACTTTGTAGTACTGAATGTCCAATTATCGAACCAACATTTCCTAAAGCAATGCAATTAACAGCCAACTTTAACTAGGTACTTTCTGATTATGAAGAGCTTTATAATCAGACCATGCACAGTTAATATTTGGCTCTTGTAGTATACGTAGCTGCACTAGCCATTTGATGATCATGAATAACCTCATGATTAGCCAGTATTTAGCTGGAGTAGAGAAGAGATATTGAAGATTGTTACCGCGTAATAGTAGTATAGTATAGGGGGTGTAGATACAGTTCATCACAATCAATATAGTAACCTCTATATCAACTATAGATCAACAAAAAGTTTCTAATTTATAGCTTATCTATTACTTGTATTTACGTACTATATATAATATGGTTGTAAATCACATCTCGTTGTACAGTTAACCCATACAACCAAATCAAGCCATATTAAATCTATTCTGGTAAATGATTGGCAACAATATTAGGCATACCCCAACACTGATATCCCAAAGGTTTAGCCATGTAACAAATACCCAGGGTTTCAATCCCATCATATCCCTCGAGTCTATCCCAACTAGTTCCTACTACACTACTGGTTGGGAAAACTACACCTTGTTTAAACACCACTGACTTAACAAAAAGAACAAGATTCCCCACTGAATCCAACTCTACAGCATAGTTCAAATCCTTATGTGAATCTCTTTCACCATTATCATTAGTCACAAAATTCTTGAAATGGTATGTATCTGAAATATCACCAGGAACATAATCCAACAGTTCCCATTTGTTTTCATCCATTAAAGTTAATTGTTCCTTTGTTGGTTTAGTGCGATTTCCCCTCCATGTGTTCTTATCATAATCTAAGTCATTACCTTGCTGGATACGAGGGACGACAATGTCCTTTTTATCTTTGATGAAAGTGGAAATGACTAATTTTGGATGATCAAATGCCGCAATTCCAGAATCAATGAACATAGTGTATTGCTCCAAATCTAAGGCATGCGAGATGAGAAAGTTCTTAGATCTTGCAGATAACCTATTTTGCAACCTGTAGGCCGTACCACTGCTCTGATCTGGATTGATGCCTGAATTGCTATTCAAGAAAGGAGCCGAGATCAAGGTGATTTTCTTGAATGATTTAGATAGTAATATTGCATGGGATTCAATATACTTGACAATGTTCTTGAATTCAGATGCTTCATTACACAAAAACCCAAGCGATGCTTGATATGGATGGTCCTGATGCTCAAGCAATGAGAAAATTGAAATCATGAAATGTTTAAGTTCTCTTTGGTTCCCATAAGATTTACCATTGTCAATTGTTGATAATATCAAGATACTCGGCTCTTCGTCAGTGGCTCCAAAATGAGAATTTGCTTTGATTTGATAAACATATTTGGTGAAATCAAACAACGATTCGGTGTGAACGGTTTTGGTGTATGATTCAGCTTTAACCGACGGGGACTCAGCATATGATGCTGAAATAGTATAATTTCTGGAACGAAAAGGATTAAGGGGTTGTATAAACAATAAACCACTTATGAAAATAGCAAATAATAACAACGTGCTTCTCCTTTTGGCCACATCTGGAAGAAGTGACAGAACCTGCTTGGATATGGTAGCAATCATAGTGAATAATAAATGTACTAATGAAGGACCAGAATACTTCGAAGTCAAAACAGAAACTAGATGAGGGAATAAGAATTCCCTTAAAGTTCTTGACACTTATTTTTCGAATTTAGAATACACCTGGTACCTATCCTTGTGGGTTTAGTGCTAGCTAAACAATACGATATTATGTACAGGAGCCGTTGTTTCATGCGTGTTAATGTGGCTTTAGCTACACATACTTTTCTTATCACTTAGAAGGCTTTGTAGAATATATGCAGCCTAGGCACTGATTAGCTGGACCTTTTATCTGCCTCATTTCATATATTCTATCAACCATAGATAGATAAGGTGACTTGACAGTGAATTAGAGTCAACTGAACGTGTGTGTGTGTATGTGTGTACTCATGTCGTGTACTCAACCATATTTCTTTACTAAACTTATCACATTGCTACACAACATATACCTTAAGGGACATGTGCAAGATCAGATGGCGACCCAATGAGTTCCCATGATTGTCAGTACAAAAGTGCACTATTTGATTATGATTTTGTTGAGTTGAAATTGTATTCGGTTATTCACATCCTTATCACAATCTCACTGGCCAACGATCGCAACCAACAAAAAAAAAGGGAGATATCAAGGGCAAATCTTCTCTAACGCCTTCATACATCACACTTATCACCAATGGCATTAACAATTCTTGACCTAGGTGAAGATATCTTAACTTCAGAGATACCTAAGTATCTATCTCCAGAAGACATATTCAATTTGTCCCTAGTTAACAAATATATCTATAATCTTTACCATTGTTCCATCTTATCAACCCGATTATATCAGATCTTGTATAATAAGAAATTCACCAACAATGAAAACAATTATACTATTTCCCTCAAAAATAAACTCAACTGGAAACAATTATTTCAATTGAGATGTTCTCGCGATCAGAAAGTTTACACTTGGGGAGAACCCCAGAGTGGACGATTAGGTTTCTTGCCTAGTCGAGTTGATCATTCGCATGTTTCATTTGGTGGCTGGGCAGTGCATACACCTACCAACATTTCTGAATTCAATGACCATTTAATTATAGATATTGTTGCTAATGGATTTAGTTTCATTATCTTGACCAATGCGGGCGAATTATGGTTTACCGGGATCACTTGGAAAGGTATGGCTAATCGTCAGCAATTGTCCACCCCTGGTCCAATACTGAACCCCGACTATAGACCTTCTCCAGGAGAATTGGCATTGGATACTTTACATAGTCAAACTGGTAACGGTAATGTTGCTTCAAGAAGAAGTATTAGAGGGGTGATGCCGATTCCATTGATGAATAGAAGATACCGAGATGATGATGCTGACGATAGCGGGTCTAACACCGGCAGCAACAGTCCTACGCCACCTCCAGGTCCCACCAATGTTGGCTTACCTCAATCAAGAAGAAGATTACAACCTCAACCAGTAGAAACAGGTGAACCCGATCTCAGTTCAATTCCTGATCTCAACCATCCACCTTCTAAAATCCAAGAGACTAATTTCTTGACTAGATTGTATTTACCACCGATTGCAGATATACAACAACAAAAGACAAGAAAAATCGTGTCTATTTCAACTGGACGAGAACATATTATTGCCTTGGATAATCATAATAACGTTTACAGTTGGGATACTGGATGTAGCACTAATATGGGAGTTCATGTCACATTCCCTGGAATTGATAAAGGGGCTTTAGTTACCAAAATTGTCGCTGGATGGAATTTATCAGCATGTACAATTGCAGGATATGGCCTAGTTATTTGGTATTCTCGAATGCCATTATCTAAATCCCAGTATGACCAAAGTATTTTTGAGTCACAGGCTCGTTACTTTATCGTTCCATTTACTAAGGATGATATTGTAGATTTCACAGTTGGGTCGGATTATGTGTTGTATATTAAACAATCAGAGGACAAGTTATATCAATTTAGAATGGATGCCCATGATTTTGCCCAGAGAAACGTAGATAGTGTCATTAGTAATGACGAGTTATTCAATTGCATTTCCCCCATGGATAATTTTAATAATTGGAAATTAAACTATGAAAATCAAGGCATGGAAAATATAAAATTCACAAAATTGAATAGTTGCTATACTAATTTTGTGGTGTTTACGAATCATGATCAAGTGTTAGTTGGTTCCAGAAAACATTTGGTGTATGAAAATGAAGATGGTGACGGTGATGCTGATCAAGGGGAACAGGATGAACAAACCTTACAAGAGAAAGGTGCAAAACCCAAGATTATTCCCGAATTACAGGGACAAAATATCAAGAAGTTAGTTATCGGAGACTATCATTATTTAGCACTTACTAACGACGGAGACATTTTAAGTTGGGGACGCGAATCTGGCAGATGTGGGTGCTTAGGGTTAGGAGATACCGAATCGGTAGCAAATGAACACCCGGAGCTGGCTAGAGTGGATGGAACGGCATTAGAAGTTACTAAGCCGTTACGGGTGAAGAATCCACCATACCCCGGCAAATGGGTGGCACTTACTGCCAGTGGCTGGCATTCTGGGGGGATCTACGTCCCGGTAGATCCGTAAAAATAAGACCGAAGAAAAAATTTTTAAAAAAGAGTATAACATCATATGAGTCACTATGTAGTGTAGATTTAATTTTAAGGGATAAAACAACAATGGAAGCGAGATAAACGATGTATACGACAGCTTGTAGAGATCTCTATATCGGGAGAGAGTTTTGTACTTCAAAGATAACAAAAGAGTCTATCCTACCAATCACACGACACGTCGTATGGAGTTTTATACGATGAGGGGCTGTGCTGTGTGATTGAGGCTCAAATCGGCTCTAAAAATGTGTATATCATTAAAGTTGGTGTAAGAGATCAAAACAAACAAAAGCTAAATCTAGACGGCAAAAATAGAGTCACAACGGGAGACCAGGGAATTGCACATCACGTGCGCTTCTTTTCTTTCTTTTGGTTTCTTTTCCTTACGACAGATAGAAAAAAAAAGAAGGTATCACGAAAAGGAGGCAGAGGAAAATCTTTTTCCTTTTTGGAGAATCAGTTTAAACCCACACATTTGGTAACGTCCACGTCATCACATTACAACATCCATTATTAATCATTCAATTTAAAGTCATTCACACAAGCTTTACATTGTATTGAGATATATATACCAAAAATAATAATCAATCATTTGTAATCACCAAGAAAATTATAATCCACTACGCTGGTACGACACATCCCACCCGCATTTTCTGGTCTAGACTTTCAACAAACCTAGCCCGATTCTCAGATATATAAATACATCAAGATCTTATAAGCCGATAGTTCCATCCAATCGATCTTAAAGTTTCAACAAAGTTAATAATATTTACTAATTTATTTTTGCCTTGCCACACACACACACACACACTATATCAACTGACTATGCCTATATTAAATAATAGATCTCCAGCCGAAGTTAACCACTTGGGTCCAAACGACAATCTTTCCAGTCCATCGACACCTTCATCAGCATCTTCTTTGTCTCCTCACCAAGTAAACAACTTTAGTGGTCATAAAAGACAATTGTCATTTGATGTTTCTCCCAGTCGCCACAGAAGTAACTCCAACACGCTATCTCCATCAACTTCCCACCAAAGTGCACATATAACCAGACAAAGAAGATCTTCGTCCATAATCCAACATTTAGAGCCAGACACTTTAGATACTAAAGTCGACCAAGCATTAAACCCTAATGTCAATGCCAATTGGGTTCATCAAAAGGGAGCCTGGATCATACACATTGTTCTTATAATATTCTTGAAGATTTTCTTTAATTTCATTAGTGTGTTGGATAATGATTGGAAATGGACCTTGACCAATTTGACTTATAACATTGGGTCATACATTATGTTCCATCAAGTCAAGGGGACTCCGTTTGAATTCAATTCAGGGGCCTACGATAATTTGACCATGTGGGAACAAATAGATAATGGTGACCAATACACACCAAGTAAGAAGTTCTTGATGTTGGTGCCAATTTGCTTGTTTTTGATTAGTACCCATTATTCCAGATATAATTTGAACTTGTTTATCTTGAATGGTATCAGTTGTCTTTGTGTAGTTGTTCCGAAGATGGCAATTGCCCATAGATTGAGAGTTACTTTGTATTAAGACACGATAAAAACACGAGCAATAGAAAGAAGAGATTCATAATTGGGGCTAGTTAGTCGTTTTGAGTGTTGTAAAATCATATGGACTACGGAAGAGAAAGAATGAATGAGTGAAGATTCTGTAAAACAGAATGATCAAATTGAAGAAAAAGAATGGGATTTGGTATCAATTGCGATAGAAAAATATGTAATCAAGGTTATCGTTTTAAGTGTGAATTTTTTTTTGTTGTTAAGTATTTAGAAGTTTATAGCCTGTTCTTCTTTTTTTTTATATGTAGTTTTCGTTATTTGGTTGGTCAATGGCACCAAATGTATACAAATTTAAGAATTTGATGTTACCCTTTGTAGTTTCAATGCCTGGTGAGTAACCTTGCCAAGATACACCATCGCCATCGCTTAATGTTGGGTCATGAAAAACGGAATCACATGACCAGGGTTGGTTTTGTGTTTTCTTATTTATCTTGGGCATGCACAATTTGACTCTGGTCTGATTAGCCCGCAATTCTTTTTTTTTTATTTTTGGGTATGTCCCCCATAAAATTTGTTTGACTGATTGACTCTCGCGGGAATTGGAAAACGTGAATGAAAAATTTCATATATAAATAATACTCATCACCTTTTTTTATAAAATTTTTTTCCATTTCAGTTTTCTCTTCTTTCTTTAGTTTTACTGTATACTCTCAATTGATACATCTATCAACAACAATGACTTACGCTTTATCTGCTACTCACAGACAATTGACCGAAGGTTCCTTAAAGGAAACCGATCCTGAAGTTGCTTCCATCATCAAGGATGAAATTGACAGACAACAACACTCCATTGTCTTGATTGCTTCTGAAAACTTCACCACCAGAGCTGTTTTCGACGCATTGGGAACTCCAATGTGTAACAAGTACTCTGAAGGTTACCCAGGTGCTAGATACTACGGTGGTAACGAACACATTGACAGAATTGAAACCTTGTGTCAAGAAAGAGCCTTGAAGGCCTTTGGTCTTACTGCTGATAAGTGGGGTGTCAATGTCCAAACTCTTTCTGGTTCTCCAGCTAACTTGCAAGTCTACCAAGCTATCATGAAGCCTCATGAAAGATTGATGGGTTTGGATTTACCTCACGGTGGTCATTTGTCCCACGGTTACCAAACTGACTCCAGAAAGATTTCTGCTGTTTCTACTTATTTCGAAACCATGCCATACCGTGTTGATTTAGAAACCGGTTTAATTGACTACGATATGTTGGAAAAGACTGCCGTTTTATTCAGACCAAAGGTTTTGGTTGCTGGTACTTCTGCTTACTGTAGATTGATTGACTACAAGAGAATGAGAGAAATTGCCGACAAGGTTGGTGCTTACCTCGTTGTTGACATGGCTCACATTTCCGGTTTGATTGCCGCTGGTGTTATCCCATCTCCATTTGAATATGCTGATATCGTTACCACCACCACCCACAAGTCCTTGAGAGGTCCAAGAGGTGCCATGATCTTCTTCAGAAGAGGTGTCAGATCTGTTAACCCAAAGACCGGTCAAGAAATCCTTTACGATTTAGAAAACCCAATTAACTTTTCCGTTTTCCCAGGTCACCAAGGTGGTCCACACAACCATACCATTACTGCTTTGGCCACTGCTTTGAAGCAAGCTTCCACTCCAGAATTCAAGGAATACCAAACCCAAGTGTTGAAGAACGCCAAGGCTTTAGAATCCGAATTCATCAACAAGGGTTACAAGTTAGTTTCTGATGGTACTGATTCCCATATGGTTTTGGTTTCTCTTAAGGACAAGCAAATTGATGGTGCCAGAGTTGAAACTGTGTGTGAAAACATCAACATTGCCTTGAACAAGAACTCTATCCCAGGGGACAAGTCTGCTTTAGTTCCAGGTGGTGTTAGAATTGGTGCTCCAGCCATGACCACCAGAGGTTTGGGTGAAGAAGACTTCAAGAAGATTGTTCACTACATTGACTTTGCTGTCAACTATGCCAAGGAACTTCAAGCCAGCTTACCAAAGGAAGCTAACAAGTTGAAGGACTTCAAGAACGCTGTCATCAACGGTCATGATGAAAAGTTACAAGCCATTAAAGATGAAATCTATGCTTGGGCTGGTTCTTTCCCATTGGCTGTTTAAGCGTTGCTGTTTATTATTATTATTATTATTATTATCATTATCATTTTTTTTGTTTTGTATATGAGACTTACGTTCAACACCGTTTTCACTTCTAGTTTACAGGATGTTCTAGTTTATCAATTCAACCGATAGATCATGGACGTCTATTTTTACATTTCTATATTTACTTAACAGGAACAAAATATAAATTTATTATTAAATCAATTTTTCATTCTTGAAAATTTCATCCAATTTATCTTCGCTATCCCATTTCTTCAAATCAGCTTCGGTACCTAATCTCTTACCATTGAAGAATATAGTAGGCACCCATTTTCTACCAGATATTTCAGTGAATGCCTTTTCTAATTCGGTGGCTTCATTTTGATCAGCAAACTTGTCCAATTCAATAATGTGGACTTTGTCAGCGACGTGATACCTATCCCAAATTCTATAAGTATAATGACAATCAGGACACCATGACTTGGAAAGCATAAGGTATGGATGAGTGTTGATCAACTCTTGTGCTCTTTCGAGGTATTTCTTACTGGCCATGGTATTAGTTGTAAGCTGTGGAAGGGGGATTGCTAGAACACGGGTTTTGCATTGAGCAAAATTTTTGGTTGGAGAAATAGCGGAAGGGTTGAGCCGCACAAATTGTGGTTGCAATACTGCACAGAACATTCTAATGCAGGTGTTGCTAGCAGTGTTGCAAGAAAGTCGTAAATTACTTGTATTTCCAGAATGTTCATAGAAACTATATATACATAAATCATAACCAATGTCAGCTTCTGCTGGTAAACTATCTCGTGATATTAATATCCTTGAACATCTCCATAACACAACTATAATGTCCCACTATTCCCAACACGACAAAGATATGCCAAATATTATGGCTGGCCAAGAAATAGTCTACCCACCAAAGCGATTTTAAATCATTACGATATGGAGTATAGATAGGCTCCTTTTTGAAATGCTTATCAATGATTTGTTTAAACTTCTCATCGTACTGCTTCTCGTTGGTTTCCACCACTTCTTCCAATTCTTCTCCCATTTGTCCAATTTCTTCGAACCCAGAATTTTCCACATTGTCAAGCAAGACATCACGCGTGGAATACGTATGGGCCACGGCGGCGGTATTAAATTGATCAATTAAGACATCGTATCTCCAGCGTTCAGGAATCAACCCACCGTAGAAAATGACCCCGATCCAGTACATGGAAAAACTCTTGTATACCAAGGGGAACACAAATAATAATGATGGCAATACTCCGTCATATACCATTTTCCATAATACTGCAGTGGCTCCCAAAAATGCCAATCCCATGAAAAACCAAATTCTTAACGATCGGCACTCTGGCTTATCGAAGTATGGCGACCAATTGAAAATGAACCCGGTGGTACCACATATGGTGGAAAATATAATATACGTGGTCAACAATTTGGGGAAATTGTACAAGGCACAGTATTCAACAGAAATAACTGAACAGGTAATAAGCACAGTAATACCAGTGTAATCGACACAGGCAAATGTTTGTCTGGTGGGGAAATGGGCAAAACAGGAATAGGTATGCCATATACTGGAACTGATCAAACATTTGCAGGCAGCAGCCAAGAAAATGTACATAATAACATTCCCATTGAAGGTGTTTTGGTAAAATTGTTCCGACAGAGGGAAATGCCAAATACATAAATACAACACAAACATAAGCCCTATGATATGCGTCCAAATATTCATCGTTTCATTATGGTTAAATTGGAAAATAGATTTCCACATGGTAGCGTGACTCAAGGAAAATCTATACCCCTGAATAATATATTTGTTCTCTCTCCAACTCAAGGGTAATTCGTAATAATGTAAAAGGCGATTACCCTTTTCGGCCTTGTGAAGAGCTCGATGGAAGTTAAAGAAGCGGAGTTTATTAAATATCGAATCATGGTTTTCGTCCATATCATCGTAAAACTCGTTAGTATTTGGGATGTTACTCTTGATAAAATCATCAATCTGCAAGAGCTTCTCATCAAAGTATTGGATGGTTTGGATTATCTTCTTGGATAATACCTCTGTTTTGTTGGAATGGTCGTCACACGTGCTTATGGTTGGGTAAATCTCCTCTTCCGAAGACGTAAACAAGTTCTTATATTGTTCATCCAAGGTCTTGTAAAGATATTCCAAGTTTGTGAATGAGGTAGTCAACACTTGTTTTTTGATCAACAACAATCTCTGGTGTATAGTGTTTAATTGGTTAACTGAGAAGGTCTTGATATGATGAAACGATCCTGTTCTTGATCTTGTGGGCACTTCCAATAATTCAATTTGCTGTTCGTGAGTATTGTCATGACAATCCAACTTGTTCTTCAGATCAAGTGTATCGAAAAGTTCATCTTCACAACTGACTTTAAAGTATTGTTCGAAATTGTCTAATCTGGATTCCAAGGACGAAATAAACTTGTCCAACTTCTCTACTAATATTTCTTCTGTTGATGCTGAGACTGAAGGTGATCTTGACCTTGAGTGGGAAGGAGTAAATCTGTTCCTCAAGTCAGTAGTACTAACTTCTAACCTGGACATGTGTGTGTGTAGTATTAGGTGTGAATGTATATGGGAAAAAAAAATAGATAGCGATGGCAGGGGTAAAAGTAGTAGCAGCAGCAGTGAGTTACCTTATAAATTACTCCCGGACAAAGAAATAAAGAATCAAACAAATGAACGTGGGGGGTTCCAGGGGGGTGGTGAGATATTTTATATACGAAAAAAACCGTTGTTGTGTCTTCTCCCTAACCTGGTGAACTAGGCTCCACTTTCTCTTTGTTCTTTTTTTTTTTTTGCCTTGTGAAAAAAAAAAGACCGCAACAGGTTGATGATAAAAATAACAATGGAAAACTCTCCGACATTGTGCGACATATACCAGCCCAAGAAAAATAGAAATAGGGGGAAAGTTTATAAACCGTCTGACCATGTTTAATTGCAGTTTATAGTGTACAATTTATCACTTTTTACACATGCATACTTACACAATCTAGCACAAAAGCTTGTCAAAAGCTTATTATACTTAAATACCTCAGCCATTAGCATTGCTTGAAAATTTTATAATATTTTCTTGAATATTATTTGAAAAATGCAACAATCCAAAACTCGCGACATTTCTTTTTTTTTTTTCTAAAAAAAATAAGCATTAATAAATTCTACCGATTATTCTCCATCTACACGACCTCGGTAGTTAATTTAAATTAAATTAGTTACACATTCGGTAATTACACTTCTATATCAAACTCTAAACTATGACCTACCCCTTATGATACTTTACTCTTTCTATGCTCTCGTAATCGTATAATGCTTTTCTTAATGGCTTGTTCAACTTGAACTGCTTTGTCAATTCACTATATTGTTGAAATGTAGATTCGGACATCTTTCTCGAGATATCTCTGCCAGTTTCATCAAATAAAAACTTCAGTTCTTGTTCATGTAAATCGGTCAAGCTCTTGGTCAAGTAGTATTCCACTAATAAGTCATCATTTGATTCTAGTAATTGATATACTTCCTTATCCGACATGTTCTTGACCTTGTCTAGCAATTTCAGTTTGTCAATTCCTCCATTCTCATCAGCAATATCTCGGCTGTCATAGATTGCAGCCACAGTATTTTCATGAACCCATAAATTCAACTTGGTGACAAAATACCACCCATTGAACTCAAACCAATTCAACCCTTCTTGATACTCAAACATCAATCTTGGTGTAATCACTGAGGGAATGAAAACAGGCACTCCTTGCAACATAGAGTATCTCAAGGGTGATAATTCTTCAAAAGTGTAAAAATGCTTACGACGATCGTTATATTTATCTCCCTTCTTATGATGTAAATCCACCAACTTGTCTTCGTCATAATCAGGAGGCGGTTGGGCATTGGATTTACTCAATGCTGTGATATCAATATAAATCCCCGAGTCAACATCAATAAATCTCGCGTCAATATGATTGGATCCTTCGGAAATACCACGATTATGCATATATGGATTAACATCAATTAAGTATTTCCCATATCCTTCTTGTGGGTCTTCAACAATCAAGGTATTGTTAAACTCTCTAGCTAATCGAATTAAATCAACCATAGGCATTTGGATATCAATATCAACATCAAATGGAAACATTAACCCATCCCAGTACCACGACAATAAAGGCCCATGCATTATCCAACTGATGATTCCCTTCTGTTGCGCAAATCTATTCCAATTACGCAACAATCTATCCAAGATGATATTGGTTCTATGACCCAATTCCTGAACAGTCCATCCATCACGATCATAATTAAGGGCCCCATTGAAGAATCTCCAATCATAATGCCACCCCCATTCTTGATCACGGTTTCTAGGATCGTCCATTCTAATAACGGCCATTCGGAAATATCTTGGTTCATTGGCATCAGTATATTGTTTACACTCAACCAAAGAATTATAATACGACTGTTCATGATCAGTCAATTGTCGACTTAATCCCTTTCTACCAATTTCTTGTAATTGTGAATCAATGCTTGGAGGATGGTTAAACATATCCTTAGATAACTTCAATTGTCGTGATCTAGGCTGGTTAGTCATAAGATTGTGAATGTCGTATCGAGGATCTTGGGTGGATAATTGACGAGGCACAACTCTGTCTTGTAATTGCTTCAACACTGACAAGTGATTGATAGTAACCTTGTGGGTGTCCAGTTTCAACCGGATATTATCAGCGACAAAATTATCAACAATCTTACTTCCGGCTAATCTAGCATTACTCTTGATATCAACATTAAATTCATAAGTCCCCGCATCACCATTCAAAATAATCACCTTCAAAGGTTTGGGCATATGTGTCATGGCATACGACCTTCCTTCGAGAATTCTATAGTCGTTTAAAGGACGATCGTCATGGGTGGAATGATCATGGATTATAGCCCCTGGTAATTGACTTCTGCTTTTATATCCAAGTTCTTGAAACTTTTCTTGAGACAAGGCGGCATTGTCAATACAGAAATATGAGGTATCGGGGTCATTGTTAGTGACTTGACGAATATCATGACAGTTAATTCTCTCCTCCATGGGTTTTGACAAGTCTCCATTCAAGATTGCCATATCCATCCAATCAACCCAGTTAAAAGGCAAGGTAATTTCTTCAACTCTATTAGAATCAACCTTCTTAGAATTGCCCCCAGCTTTAACATACCTATGTTTGATTTCATTTAAATACATGGCAATTGTGAATCTTGGATCATAGTAAAGCATATCTTGATTGGTCAAAGATTCGGGTTCATTTTCGAACTTGTTCATGAATTTCTTAATTGGCACCTTGATATCAACTTCGGTAAGCCCAGTGTTGGCCATATGGAATCTATCTGGATCCTGGGTGATCTTGGTGAACAAGCGCGCAATGTAGTCTTGATATTTTTGGCGTGGATTTGTGTTTAACAACACCGGACCGCTTTGTTTGAACAAGGAAAAGTATATCACATTAATGACGAGAAACACCATCAAAGCTAATCTGATCAATCGGATAGCTTGACGAGTTCTCAATACCGCCGGTACCTGTATTTGTTTTATTCGTTTAAGATCGTACATGATAAATGTGCTTGTAAGTTAGAATTTCGGAAACGAATGTGAGTAAGTAAAAACGTATTAAAAAAAAGGTATTTTCCCAAACAAAAATGATCTTGTATCAGTAATCAAGTCTATTAGAAACACTCTTTGCTGCCCTATCTATGCTATATTATCACTATTTAACCTCTTGGCAACAAGTGGTTTTGACGTGTAGTTGGACAACCAAAAAAAAATTGAAATCAAGAAAAAAAAAGAAAGAAAAAAAAAAAACATAATTTTCGATCGTTTTTTTTTGTGTTTCACAACAAAGAAGAAATCGTGCAACGTGATACAGTTTTTCGCAGCTTCTACTACATCAACCTAAGCTGAAAGTTTCATGTTTAATGTTCCACCTTCTGCATTCATGTCTTTGGAAAATCTGATCACTATCCTATACTACACTCTGATAACACCTTTTATTCCCATAAATTTATATGGTTCCCTGCCCCGTTCGTTATTTTTCGTGCCTGTCAAACCGGTCGCGTGACAGTTATCTCTTTTTTTTTGTACCTTACTTACAATGGGGCGTTACCCGGCAGAATTCAGTGGGGCTCATCGCTCACACCACAGTAAACATGTGGGTCAAAGATATGAATGACACCGTTTTATTAAGTTTAACAACTAGGTTATTCATTCAAAGCACGTTTTCAATAGTCATATGTTTAAAACTTGAACAAAATTCAACTAAATATTTCCCGTTGCTAGATATTCGAAAGCATCTTTGAAGAAGTGGTTTTGTGATACTTTCTATCAGATGTCTTCATTCGCATCAAGACTACGACTTCTTAGCAAACGAATTAGAATGCCTAAAAAAGAAAAATCACCGCCAAACATACCGTCTCATCCAGTATATCGACCACCACCTGTGGTTTTCCATGCCACAAACTTAGTTAAGCCAACTCCACTTCATATGATATCTTTTATAAAGCCGCCTAGTCCGGAACTAAGCTGTGTGTTTTGTCATCAGGAAATGAACGGTGATATAATGATCAAGTTGACTTGTGATCATTTTGCCCACAAAAGTTGTTTAAGTTTGATGTTTGATACTGATGATCGAACAAAACTACCAGTTTGTGGGGTTTGTCAACAAGTTACAAGGTGCATGGATGATAATTTGCATGATCATATGGTGGAAGAGTTGGAAGATAATATGATACTGCTACCTCCATTTGCAGTTATTTGACCTTATTTGTGGGGTATTTATCAGTAGCCACCTGTCACATTTACTGAGTTATGTGGTGGAATTGTGATAGTACTATATTCTATATAGGTATTTTCAAGATAATAGTTAAATACCCCACCACAAGCACTTGATACGTTACATCTCCATTAAGGTAATCCATCATTTCTAGTCAACTAGTATAATATAATTATTCTTGAATGTCTGCTACATTTGAATCACATTACGTTTGGTGCTGTGAATTTAATGGTTTGTCAATTTGTATGAGTGATTTTACCTTTGGATTTTATAATTTATTTCTTTTTAACTCTCACCAGTCAAATCTGTCAACAATGGCGAGATCTAATCCCACCACTCCTGAAGAGCCTTTCCAAAAGCCATCATGTACAATGAGTGCTAACCTAAGAAGAAAACTAAAACATTACTATGATAATTACAATCCAGATGTTGACTTCTTTGGTTTGAATGATATTTTAGTTCCTATAGAAACATATGTGGTTACCAATCATCCAAACGAAAATGGCGGTGCACTTACCAATCAATCCAATGAAACTATTGATAAACAAGAAGCTGTTTCCAGTTCCATTAGGTTTGATAATATCCTTCTGGGACTTATTTCTTTCCCAGCAAAATCCCTCCCTGAAGATGCAACCACAATGGAGAATATGTTCTCAACTAAATAGGATATGGGTTTGGATATGCCATTTGCTAACTATTAACTGTTGTGAGATCGTCTAATCTCGGGATTGCTACTTGACTTACAACTATAGTTTCTATTCAAATAATTACAAAATGCCAAAAGAACAGGGCGAGAAATTTAAATAGTTTGTTTATATAATTGAAACAATTAAAAACCTAATAATAAGTCAAGAGATTAGTTCAAATACTACTCGGGGAACATTATAATCTGGCAGCTTACTAATATATTCGGAGTCCAGAATAACAAAGATATTAGGATTTGATATCATCAAGATGCTGCCAAATTGAAGTTCACCTCAAAAAATTAAAACCAAAACAAAAAGGAAAAAGAAAAAGACAATCAGAGACAAATGGAGAAAAATGTCTGTCAAAAAAAAATTTTTTTTTTGTTTTTGCAGCCAATTTTGAACATAACGCGCTTGCTATTTAAAAAATATATAACATAAAAATGTTGAGCAAAATTCAGAGAATCAATTCACGAATAAGAAAGTGAGGAATCAATTGTGATATAGCAGATATATGAATCATTTTCAATTCAATATGTTGACAAACATAAATATCAAAGAGTTTGATCATGCTTAATTTTGTTAAATTTAGAAGAAATTTTAGAAGAATACACACTCATTGATTAATACCAGAAACTTCAGTTTTAAGTTCTTTTTGCAACCGCAATAACTCAAACAGTGGAAGAATATCAAGATGATGAACTATAACATTTGCTCTTCTTCATTTTTCCCGTCACAATGAATCCACCTTATTTGTTCCTTCATTTTTTTTTCAGGATAGAAATTTGTTAAATAATTGGTGTTTGAAGACATTAAGATTTCCAACAACATGATTAAAGCAAATAGCAAATACCAGAAAGACAAAAAATATCATTCTGCAAAGAAATATATATTCGTGCCATTTATTCAAACAATATTTGTACCACTTATTCTACTACAACATTAGATTCCTCGGGTTCAAAAAATCCACATGGATTACTATAAGTATATCAAGTTTTCCTTACGTTATGTTTTATGTTTTGACGCCCACTATTGAATTTAATGAAACTTTTTTTTTGAAAAGTGAAAATATTAATAAATGAACCATTTGGAATTTATGTCTTTCCTATTCTATACTAGTCTTATAATTATGTCTTAATCTAATACTTCAAAAAATAAAGTAAGTACTCTATCTCAGCGATATAAAGAAAATGTACCTATGTTGCTTTGTGCAGGGCTATTCTTGAGGTTACCCTTTAGTATCCAATACCAATGTATGAACAGGAAAGGGTATTGTCAAGAACAAGCAAAAGTGTGCCCAAAACAATCTCAGAAGGAATAACTTGGTGGAGTGTAACGGTTGTTTCCAATTTAATACCGATTGTTATTAGAAATATTGTATACCACAACTAATTTTTCTAGGGATACTTTGTTATGGAAAGTCTAAGTTTGCAGGTATAAAAGTAGGATCAAACTTTGCTCCATGAAATTATTAAATATTCCTTAAGCAAATGTTGCTCCCAATATTATGTAATTGTGTTATCGTTCTGCTCTTAATAATTATCATTCAACAAACAGACAAGCCATGTAGAATTAAACGAAAACAGAACCTGGAGTTGAAGCTGAAGTTGGAACAATTGGCTAACGAAGTATGTCAAATTAGACAAGAGATTGAAGAAACCAGAGTAAAGAAGCCCAAGCTGGCTATAGAAAAAACTAAGATCACGATCATGTCACTAATGGATGATATCCTCCTTAATATACTAGGATATCTCAATCAGGTACATGTGTGTCGTATTTGCACGATCAATTCTCGGCTCTATAATTTGGGAAAGATCAAGTTGTATAGATGCATTTATTTCCACATTCGAAGTTTAAATACTATACATATCTCGGCTAATACTTATACATCGTTCTATACCAACTTTACTATTGTTAACAAATGGAATACGTTCCCTTGGGTTTCGGAAAATTCAAATATCACCCTTGTCAAAAAAATGGTTTTTAGAGTGAATGGATTACTATTTGATATAGTAAAGACACAGTATCCTTGGATAGAAGTCATAGCAGAAGACCAGAATGGTTATTACCACTCGCAATACCCTTTGCAAGAATACCATTACACTCAACTAATATTATCAAGGAGAGCTAGAATTCCTTTCCTTAATGGATGTCAAGAAATGCCATGGGTGAAGAAACTTACAATATATCTATACTTTGTATCAGAACAGAGTTTAAATGAAATTAAATATTTATCTGGGTTGGAAGATCTTGGAATTGATATCGGAGATATAGACCTATTACAAGAGCTATGTAAAATTGGACTTGGAGATATACCTATCAAAAAATTAAGGATTCTGGTTTTGGAATTGATTCACGTGGAAGAACTACAAAAAATAATTGAGATATTTGATTTGGAAAAGATCACCGCGTTTCAGTTACATTTATGGGACGTAGATACATATCCAGAAAACTTCAGCCTAGGTATACAAGAGTTGCTTTCTGCCTTGGTAAATGTCACCAGTCTTTCGATAATATGCCAAAACATTGATTTTGGGAAAGTTCTTGAACTGGTGAAACCAAATTCATTACATACATTGCATTTAAAGATTGTTCAGGTTGGTGATGATATACAAAACTTCCAATTAGAGAACCTTTTCAACAACCAGGAACATTCATTACAGCAGTTTTACTTGAGTAATAAGAAACCGCAAGGTGGAGGAAGATTTTATGGCCTACAAGAGTTTGAAAGAATATATAAAAAAGAGACCAAACCCCTCATACCCAACCAACAACCCGTTGGAATTTTTGAAATCAGAAGGATGATAGATGATGGGAAGTTCCAGAAGTTGAATCGGGTGTTGATTAATGAGAGCTGCTATTTTATTAAAAGACTTTCAAATGGTATGATTCATCTTGTTCCATGTAATTCTCTTATTCCTGATAATCCTTAAGCAGAACTTCGTTGTGTAGGAGAACCTGTTATAAGAAGCTGGATCTGCTTGACTAAAAGGAGAGATATAATACTTGGCATTTTTATATCATTATTACCGTTATAAATTCTGAGAATGCTATTTGAATTCAAAATTGTCGAAAGAAGGTGTTTATTGGAATTATAAACTACTTAATAGCAAAATTGTAATAAGACTAAATTTAATAAAACTTTATTGGCAACTACTACCATTATTATTTATAAGAGCCAATGAACATAGTGGAATGGGGCTGGTTAAGTTCTTTTCAAATCAACATTTTACTTCTCACAAAAGAAATATCGGTCACCTAACCTAGAAGCAGGTTTGATGTAAACTAAGGAAGTAAAAAGGGTTGTTTTACAATTTGAATCAGTATGATTAAAGTGCATATCTAATTTCCTATTTCGTTTTGGTGATGCTCCTTCTATCCCTATTAATCTAACCAAAAGTGGGGTCTCTGTTCCACCAACCATCAATTTGTAACTTTCCAAATAAGTTCAAACCTTTTTTTTGTCAACCTCGATCTTACGTATTGGATATGATACCCTAGCAGTTGAAAAGTATCTGTCGAAATCTATAATTTTTTATTTTTTATTTTTTTTTTTTCGCAGCCAAGTACAATAGTAGCTTCTTCAATACCATTAAGAATAGCCACACCAGGGGTACTTTGGACTCTTATTTAAGTTTCTTGAAGTCAGAATAAAAGATTTCAACACCAAATTTTAATCAATTAGATCTCTTTTATTTGCCGTTACATTCTATATAAAACAATCAATTTTCTGTTACTCGTATAAATTAACTTAGTCTTCCTGATGATCTCTACAATCAAAATCTATCCCTTATATAATCTTTTTATCCAAATATAATGTTAAATCACTCCCAACAGTCAGAAAATATTTCTTGACTCTTATTAAACAAAAATAAGGTACTCTCTATACTAAGATCCATATCCTCTCTATTATTTCGTGCCAAAGTAGGAGCAAACACCGTAGCCAAATTCCCGAACCCCATACGGTTTACTTTCAGCTTGGAGTTGACTAAATTGAGGTGGTTACACAATAGCTTTAATGTGTGTTTATTGGCACTTGGTAGCTTATTGACTAGTGTTCGTAACTCCAGTATTCTTCTCTCTCGTGGAGAACATGACACTCGAATGAAATCATGGTAAAGATCCGACGTTATTATTGGTTCTGTTATATTATTCAAGTATCTTTTCAAAACCGAAGCCACGGAGTGGATATCCCCTGACATCAAATGGTCTAATTTCTCCGTGTCATTATTTTGGAATGCAACCTGAATTGCCACTATTTCTGAGTTGGGTCCTGCTGTTCGATATATTCCATCGCATTCAAGACCGCGATATTCCACTTCCCCTATACATCTTGTGATAATTAATGGAACTTGTCTGCCTTCGTAATCGGCTCTTGATTGGATGGTTGATGCAAAGAGATTATGGTCTGGGTTTAACTTGAAGAACCGGGTGAATAATTTGGTTCTTTTCATGTTGGAGGCTGGATTGATGCTCAAACGTTTCGCCTGGGTGAAAAGATTGGATATTGTACTTGAAGCGTTTGATATGATTGATTCTGAAGATGTAGTAATCAGGGCGTTATCGGAGGACTTTAAACCAGACTTCATGTGTTTGATGTGTGGCCAGGGCCATTTCCTCCTTGTTTTATCTTCGTCTTCTTCTTGTTCGTCTTCTTCCATGCAAGTCTCGCTAACTGAATCTAGTGGCATAAATCTGTCTCTCAGAGAGTTGTCACTTTCTGTCTCTTGGTCTAACTTCTTCGTTATACTGGTTACTGGCAGCTTAGGTGGTTTTAAAAATGGATATTTGGTATTGATATCGTGGGTACTGAGTGGTCTTGATCGAGTTTTCTTCAAATTACGAAGTATGACCTCATCATCATCAGCAGAATTCCCGAGACTGTTCAAGAAAGTAGTGGTCTCACTTCTATGGATCTCCCGCGAACTTCGATTATTTGTCTTGGAATGGTCCACCGCCACCGTTTGGTAGCTTATTGGAGTAGTAAGTTCGTTCATTCTTGGTGGCTTGGCAAAATGAAATTCTTCATAATGTGTGGGGAAAATTTGTTGTTTATAGTAGTGGTGATGGTGGTGGTGGTGGTGGCGGTGGTTCTGCTGCTGCTGCTGCTGCTGCAAGGAGTCACTCATTTGTTGGTTATCAGTAACATTGTCAACAGATTCTATGTAACTATGACGACGTGGGTCAAGGCTTGTCCTTCCTCCCCCTGCTGAATATTGGTTATTCATGATGGGACCTTTCTCAAGTATATGAAATGAGAATATGTGTCGAGAATTAATTATTGATCAATGCAAAAATTGGCAGCCGTTTTCTATTTTACTTTTTTGGGGAAATTGTTTCACCAGTTAAAGCTAAAAAGACGCGGGGCAAAGTTTAAACTTTTTTTATTTACATAGACGAAGAAAAAAGAAATAATCCGAAACAAATCATAGCCAAGTTTTGTTGTAAGCAAAGGTCCATGACTGAACAGACACCCAATCAATCAATTCTCTCACCAGCAAACTACTATTTTTTGCTCAAGACAGAAAATATCCAACCGTTGTTGGAAACCGTTGATCAGTTACAACACGAAATCAACGAGAATCATGCCACGATCAAACGGTTGTCCCAGATCATAGACTATAAGTTGAATGGGTTTCCGGAATTGAAACTCGATGAAGATGTTATACGATTGGCTGACAGTTATTCAGGTAATAGTAATGACAATGGTCATGTAAGTGTCGATGAAGCAACTGCTGGTCGTCAACGAGAATTATACTCCATGAACGAAGATCAGGAAAACGAGGAAGAGGAGGAGGAGGAGGAAGAAGAAGATAATGAAAAAGACACAGAACCCGAATCCATTGATCCACTTCGATATTTGCTAGAGCAAAAGTACCAACTTCCTCCGCCTATACCTGAAAGTTCTGCAACTGACCCTACAAAACTCAGGATGCAACAACTACTAGCAGACATATCCCACTTGTCGAAACTTCAACGAGGAAAAGTGTACAGAAACTCACAGCTTCTTGAAATAATTCAAGAATATGAAGAATTCATAATGACAAATCTACTCCCACAACTTCGTGAACAACTTCATGGGTTAGTTTATGACCAAGAAATCTCAAATATTAAACATATGGTGGATAAGAAACACGAGTGCGTCGAAAAGATATATAAAAAGTATTTGAATAATGTGCAAGGTTTATGCAAAATTATAGACTTGAATAAAGCGGTGATCAAGTTTATGGATGTTGAGGATGGGTTTAATGATAAGTTGAGCCATCAATTGGCCAGTTTAGAGGCATTGAAACTGAATTTGATAGGGAAACTGGATACATGAGCCGGTCTCAGTATAATCATTATAGAATAGAAATGTTTACTTCGTCACGCGTAGGATCATATCCCAACACATACGCATCTCAAACATTAACATTAAGCGCATCTCTAAATTTTATTTATGTCCTGCATATAGAAACACGCCCTCAACCCGACCCCTCCTCGTCCCTCCTCTCTCTCGTTGTTTTTCAAAGTTCCCGCCTTTCTTGAAAATTCCAGTTTGTGTTTTTAATTCCTTATCACAGCAACCTTTAATCAGAGACCATACCATAAGCATCTAATCATTCACTCAATCGTAGAAGACGTCATCATATTTTCTTTTACACGTTCATTAGAGTCATCATATAGAATAACAGAAATATGTCACGTAGATCAGGAAGGAAAACATACACAGCAGAACAACCTTCCACAGCTGCCCCTGCTCAAACATTCCCGGAAGAAGAGGAGCTCGAGGATCTCGAAGAAGATTCTCTTGAAGAAGGAGATGAAGTTACCAGATGTGTATGTGGAAACGACGAACTCCAAACCGATACTATCAACAAAGAACTCGAAGACTTACTTGCAAAAGAGTACAAGATTAAAATCGACCACGGATTATTCATCCAATGTGACAAATGTGGTGTATGGCAGCATGGGTATTGTGTTGGATTATTTGACAATAATGACGTTCCTGAGAAGTATTGGTGTGAATTGTGTAAACCTGAGGTTCATATTTTCATTGATAAACGTACGTTATATAAACCAGTAAATGATAGACGGAGGAAAGTGGAACAAATCTCAATGATCAAGAAGAAGAATTCTGGATCCAGTCTGGGGTCTTCCAGAAATTCTCCTCCTACTGGTGGTAAGAGAAAAAGACATCATCACGAGGAAGATGAATACGATTATGAAGTGGCTTTACAAAAGGCATTAAGAGAAAGTGCAAAAGAGTCAGGAGTTCCTGTGGATGAAGCCAACCAAGAGGTTAAACAAAGTGAATCTGAACAACGACATAATTCACCCAGAAGGCGTGGGCGTGGGAACACTACTCCACCCTCCCCCCCACACCTTAAACAAGAAGAAGAAGAGGAGGAAGAGGAAGAGGAAGATCATATTGAAGAAGAAACCGATTCCAAACGTCCCAAGATTGAGGTTGAAGGTGTCACTGATTCAGAACTTAATGACCATGATACTTCGAATGTTGATGAAGAAAATGACGTATCAAACAGTGATGCTGGTTCAAAACGAGCAGCCAGGTCAAGAGGTGGAAGGGCTGCCAAATCGAAAAAGAAAAAGAAGAAGGATGCAACAAGTTTGTCCTCTTCTTCTTCAACCTCAAATGCCAACTCGGGAAATACCAACACCGGCGTGACTAAAGAAGAACTAATCAATCAACCTTCAAAACCTCGATTTGTTTCAAGTAAATCGTCAATCTACGAATTGAGAAAACGTACCGGAGCAATTCTTGAATGGTTAGGACGCTCACAAATCGAATTGGAAGATGAAAAAGTCCGCAAATTGGAATTGTTTAATTTTACACCCAACTCTGATGATTTACAAGTCAAACAAGATGTGGAAAATGTTCAAACTAAATTCAATGAAAATTTGGAATTAATGGAAAAATTAACTGAACAAATTCTAATATGGGAACAACGATTTGGTAAGTATGCTCCATAGCATATGTGTGTATGTGTATTTTTCTAACTATGTATAACTATAATATTTCCCTTAATTGTGATTGTCTATCTATTCTTTCACTAGCAACTGCTGGCAGTTCTTCATTAACCATATCATAAAGGTTGTTCAACCATATATCACTATTTAATACTTTATCACCACCGATAATCAAATTTATCTTTGAGCTAGTGGTGCTACTTTCACATAATTCATATATTAACCTTGATTCTTCATAAGTGACACCACCTTTAATGTAGATAATTATATCTTGTACTTGGGCAGATGAAGTCGCTACGGAATTTCCATACTGTTGTTTCACCTTATCGGGAACCAATGTGGATAATCCCTGTATTGAAGCAGGAATAGAGTCCAGAACTGGATTAATTAATCCGGAAAGAAGTTCATTCAATCTGGGAGTGTATTGCAAGTAAACATTATCATTATGCTGAGCCGAATTATCTCTATTGAATAAGGTTTTAAAATTGATTTTCTTATTGAAAATGTTGGTTAGTTGGTTATCTGAGGAACTAGTTGCTGCTGACGTTATATTGGAATTAAACAAAGTCTTGAATCTTTTTAATAATTCATTTTGGGAATATGTAGGTGTTGGGTTGGTCAAACTAGGATCATTTAGTTTCGTTATAAAGTCTGATAATTCCAGAGGATTATGAAATCTGATTGAATAAAGGAGGACTAATTTGATCTTATTGATTGTAGTTGTGCTATGTGGGTTATCAAGTACTTCCAATAATCTTGTTTTGACAGCTTGATGATTTTCTAATCCACAAATTATAACTTGTTGTAATTCTCCAATTTCCCAGAGATTCTGAGCCAGGATTTGTTTATCAATTTCAGATAATAAATTCAAATGCTTCAAGATATTCGAGGAGAGTTTCTTGAATTCAGGGAATTTAGTCAACATTTTCTTTAAATCAGAGAGATTGGTGTTTTGTAAATTATCCAAACTGGTAGATTTAGTTTGTGTTTTATATTCTTCGACATATTTTTGGAACTTTTCAGTGAGGTCTCCGTAGTTCAAGTACATAGCCTCTTTGAAGAACTTGTCAAATTGAGAATCAAGTATAACTGTTTCACCCGATACATCAACAATATTCTTATTGATATGGATAAACTCATGAATCATAGATTGGTAAGTCCAAGGGGCAATCAAGGGAGTTATAGGATCATTCTTTCTATCGAGCAATAACAAGATCGGAGCCACATCTGAATTCTTATTCAAGTCATCAAACAAGTTGTTATTGGAGTTTGTGTTTATATTATACAAGATTTCCGAAGATAATCGTTTCAAATCGAGAGAATTTGATTCATATTTAATCACAGGAGTCTTTTTCAATGAAAGCAACAAACTAACGAGTTTATTGCTTTCTTCAATTGCCGGGTTGACTTGTTTCACCAGGTCAGACAAATCAATACTGAACAAATTCTCATTGACGATCAAATAATCCTGGAAGATCTCTACCACTTTCTCAATGACTTCAAACTCATCAGCTTCGGCAATCAGCTCCAACTGATTCTTTGAAACGGTATTATTTAAAAACAACTGATAGTTTTGAAAATGGGGCGAATGCAATTCCCGCACCAAATGGTTGATGGATTGGGCGCATGGATGAATGTAGACAATACAATTCAAATGTCTCATTGTAGACAATTGCTCTTGATCCTCAATCAATTCAACAAGGATCACATCATTGGATAACAACTGGGACTGAGTAAAACATATGGAGATTATGGGGGTGGTGTATTTATCCACAAGGAGAACTTTTGGTGAGGAAGCCGTAGCGGTTGATTTATCTTTGGGTGAAAAGAGCTTATTAAAGTAGAACTCCTTGACTTTGGATAAATTTAGTGTCATATTGGCACGGGAATTGAATTGGCTGTAAGTTTGCTGAACGTGTTGTCTGAAATTGACTAGTGTGCGTAATCTGTTTGATTACGAAAAAGAAAAAAAAAACAGATAGTGCTACCATGTTACCAACACAATCAATAATACAAAGTTTCTACCACATAGAGGAATACTGATAAAAAAAAATATAAGACGTTCTATTATAGGATTAAGTCTATTACTCTATAAATGAGATTGGTCATAATAAAACCTTGATATAGGAACCACCGGTTGCGCTTGACCTCCTTTTTCACGACCAATTCTAAATGATTCAGTAGTAGTATATAATTTACCAGTTGGATAATTTGCAGGAACTGGTTGGTCCACTAAAGTTGTAACTGCTGAAGCGATCGATTCAACTGTTAATCCAGTTACATCATTGGATTCATGAGATTTGATTTCTTGTAATAGGTTATTGGCCAATTCAGTGAGGTTGTCTTGATTCTTATTTTCTTTAACCAAAGTTTCAATCTTGTCATGGTCAACTTCCACTCCAATACTGAAAACATAATTTGTAATTGCACTTTCAATTCGTTTGGTCTTGGTGAATTCACTAACCAGCTGAGATTTCAAATGAACAATAATCTTACCAGTTTCACCGTTCTTGTTGAATATGTAATCATTAAAGAATTTTGTAAACTCTTGTTTGGAAATATCTTCCAAAATGGCAACATGTTTAGTTCTTGATTCAAAATCATAATATCCATCAGCAATATTGTTCCAAAGTCTATCAGTTTCTTCATTCAAGTGCTTCAACTTGGTAAGTTTCAAATCCTTTAGCGCTTGTTTAAATTTGTCAAAATCTTCATTAGTTAATTTTTCATTAACATATTTCCCGAAATGAGTCAAAAATTCATCAATTCTATATTCAAGATAATCACTACTTCTTTCTGATTGAACCAAGATTCTAAATCCCAAAGAAGTACGACCGAGCCTAACTCCAGAAAACACAACATATCCCAATTGTTCCTTGGTTCTTAATTGATTGAAACAAGGTTCCTTGATGATAACTGATAATAAATCAGTTAAAACTCGGAGCTTAGAATTGGTTGAGGATGGACTTATTTGAATATAATATTCGATACAAGAGTTGATGTTTTTAGCATCTTGTAAATCCAATTCATACCTAACAACTTCATTAGGTTCAACAATAAAGTTTTCTAATCTGTATGTCTTTTGAATTTGAGCCAAATCATTGGAAATTGGTGCGATATGCTTAGTAGCATCGAGAATGGTCTGTTTGATATCATTCACTTTAGCAATATCAAAATTACCATGGACTAAACTTTCAATGAATAATCCCGATTCCCAAACGTTCTTGGTGCAAAATTCTACCAATTCTTCAAACTTCATACTATCCAATACTGCTAATTTTTCTGCACATGAATAAGTTTTTTCATTGACTAATTGTAAGAAATATGTTCCAATTTGTCCATATGGTACTCCATACCCGAAATTCTTGAACTCCTTTTCCAATTTAAACTTGATAATTTCGAACTTGTCCTTGGTTGGTTTGAAGTTGACAAATTTATCAAGCACTTGCTGCAACAAAATTGGTAGTTTATGGTTGTATCCTGAAATCTTAAAACTGAATCCATCTCTCCAACAATAAATTCTAACCTTTAATCCAACCAATGATGCATAGTAGGTAATTTGATTCAATTCTTCAGTTAACAATTCGGAAAATAATGACGAGAAAGTGCTTGATTTAACATCAGTGTTTGAATTTGGCAAATGGAATGCAAGTTCAATTGTACCCTTAGGCACTTCAAATTGATCGTCTTGCTTATACCATAAATCGATTCTCTCGTTATTTTCAAGTAAATAGGGACATACTTGAGGAGTAGCTGATTTCCTTTTAGATATTTCAAAATCAGTTGGAATGAAATCATTCGGAGTAGGATAGTGGAATACTGGATTTACCCTGGAAGACTTAATCTTGGTTAAAAGGTCCTGGGGAATTGATTCGTATTCGTATTTTGTGCCATACCATTTTTCACTCTTAGTCAATCCTTGCAATAATTGTGACACCAAAAAGACTCTAAAATTATCAGCATTTAAATATTGTCCATACTTTTTAATCAATTCAGGATCAAATTTCCGATAAACGCTCGAACTCAACAAGTGGTTTGGTGGGATAAATTCATCAAATTGATACAAGTGGTTACTTAACTTGGAAACCGTACTTGAAGGATCCATCTTTTGTCTGAATTTAAAGTTTACTTCACTCATTTCTTGTAACTCTTTCCATATCCATTCCTTGGGTTCATCATTGACCACCATATGTAAATAATCAAATGTCAACTTGACAATTTCTTGCCAATTGGCAAATCCTAATGGAGTCAAGGTAAATTCAATTATAAAGAATGAGTTTCCTTGAGATACTTTCAGGTTTCCCAGTGCCAATTCTGTAGCCCAACCTTTAGATTTTAAGTAGTAAAGGATCGACCCTTCAGATTCATGACCAATTAAATGGGAAAAATACCCCATTGGCTTGGTATCCCATTTATCTTCAAAATCATCGGGGATCATAAACTCAAGTTCTAATTGATGATTATCCATGATTGGATTAGCCTTGATTAACTTGCCCAAGTGTTCTTGTTTTAAAATAACTTCACCATTGTAATTTGGTCGAGGTAAGCTTTTATTAGGTATAGCACTGAATTTTTCAATTGCCCATGAAGTTAAAGTATCAAGGTCTTCTTTACCAAGAATAACCAAACTCATTAAATTTGAACTGTAGTGATTCTTGTGGAAATCCATCAACACTTCACGCACATCAACGCCTCGTGAAACTGGCTCTTCATGTAAAGTCTGGTAATTACCCGTGGAGAACCCATTATATGGATGTTCACCGTTTGTGTTCAACTTATCTAACTGATATAATCTCCAATCATCATTCTGCAAGTTTTTTTTATTTTCCGAATCAACAGCATTGATTTCTCGATCCTTACAACTGGAACTAAACAAGGGAGCTATGAAAAATTGAGCAAATCTATCTAATGCTCCTTCTAAATGGTTGGACCCAACTTGGAAATAGTAATTAGTATGTTCACTACTAGTGTAAGCGTTTGAATTACCGGAATGTTTAGACAAGTAGCTGGAATATTCATTTTCAAGAGGGTATTTTTCCGTTCCCATAAATAATAAATGCTCGCAAAAATGTGCCAATCCAGGAATGCCAAATTTTGAATCAGTAAATGAACCAACATTAACATCTAATGATGCAGCTGATTTATCTGCCTGGGGATCATTTATCACAAGCACTCTAAGATCATTGGAATCTAACTTGAAAAGACGGTAGGAACGATCATCAGTGATCGGCTTGGCAATGGTGGTATCGTCGGATAACACCTTGTAAGAGTGTGGTTGCATATTGACAGTAGAATTGAGCACTGTCAGATTGTGGAGGTTTTTAACTTGGTGATAATTTTGAGGAGAAATTGTCGTGGAAAAAACTAGTGGCGAATTTTGGTGATAAACAAAAAATCGGTTGACAACAAAGAAATTCCGTAGTAAATGTCGAGCAAGTGTATGCAGTTGGGATAAGGAATGTGGGTAACTAATTACACTTGTTAACATCAATAAAAGAAAAACAAATGTACTTAACATGGAATGTAGCACATACAAACGATAACGTGAAATTTGTGGCCAACATTTGTCCTCCTCTCCCCGCCAACCCGCCCCCAACTCGCGCTAAATTTTGCCGAGAGTCGTCTCGTATAAATGTGAAATATTTCCCTAATAGTGAGAGAGAGAGAAAAAAAAAAAGTAAACATGGCAACTTTGCAAGAACTATGGTAAGAATTGGAGAATATTTGGCTGAAAGCTTTAACAAAATAAACATTCTGATTACAACTTTGAGCCGAATCTTCTAAATCGTTGAGAAGTTTTCAAGAATAGCTTCTAATGATTTAGTGAAGCTTGCTACAAACATAGTGTCGCGTGGTTGTAAAAAATAACTGTTATCTCAATTCATTAACTTATTTAAACAATCTAAATAACTACTAATTAAATATTCCACACTGTCAAGTTTAGTAAATGCACTAACCAACACTGGATCAGGCGATGAAACTTCAACTTTCTTACTAACCATAACCACCATGGAATTGTAAGTAATACATTTGGTGATATAATCAATTGGATCGTGCTTGGGACCTAATTGTAAACGACTCATAACCTTACCTAGATTGAAACCACTGGTATTTTCTGTGTGTTCAGTAGTAGAAGCCGCTGCTGTCATTTCATGTAACCTTTTTTCAATATCAGCTACATTTAATGGTGGACTAGGTGGAATATGCGTGGAAGTTTCCACAGGTGGATCAGGCTTTGGTGGCACTTGTTGCGATGAAAATGATCCAGCATAGGTTTGTATTGAAGGTGTTCTTGAAATGATTGAGCTTTGTGAATTTGGTAATTTCATTTCGTCTCTGATCTTATCAATGTATGATCTCCCGGTAGATTTCTCAATTTCTCCCCATGGCTTCTCTTTAACTCGATGAAGAGACTTTAAATCTATACACATTTCAGCTTGACTGATATAGAAATCAATGGCAATAGAAGGAACTAATTCTGGTTCAAATGTATCTGGTGGTGTTATATTCAAGGGAAACACCAAATTTGGATCAATGGGAATTTGTAGGCTGGTTTTAGAAATTTGAATCTTTTCAAGGAGGTTTATAAATAGTCTTACTAACCTTTCGTCATCCTCGTGTATTTCACTTTTAAACAAGTCTAATAGTTGGTTTATAATATCAATAGAGTCTTCAATTGATTCCTTTGCAGTTATAATTTGTGGCAATAAAATGGGTTTAACTAGGTTTAGCTTGTGGATATACTTGTTTAAATGAGGCTCATGAATACTGACCTGGAATTGGGAGATATTCTCACCATCTCGTACGACAATTCCCTTTAATACTTCCGATTTACCCAGAGACACGGGTAATTTTATTGCTGGTCCCCTTTCAATTCGGTTCTTGGGATCTGGCTGTTGTGGAGAATTGTACATTAATAAGTTACGACATATTTCTAATGTTTCGATAATTTGAGGAAACTCAGGACTAATTATTTGAGCAATTAACCAATGTAGTTCCTTGTCATCTTGGCTCTGCTGAATTGTAGTGATGTATGAAGAAAGTGGATCAGGAACAGCTATGGTTGTCATTTGAATAGCACTAACTAGCGAAGTAACTCGAATGGTTTCATAATAAGATTTAAGATAATGACGTTATGTAACATGTAAAAACATCAATGCATGTTACAAAACAGTAACCAGTAATTCAAGTTAATCTGCAAAAATCCAAATTCCACTCCTGCACACTAACCAATGAGAGCAAGCTTCACAAAAAAAAAAAGCGACAGCGACAAAAATTTTCCCTAAAATATAAACACCCACACATAACAACTTTTCCAAAAACTAAACTATCAACTGTGCAGGACAACCTTATATCCACTCCCACAATATTACAAGAACAAAACTAAACTTTAAATCATGGTTACGTCTAACGAAAGATCAACAGTGGGCGCTAATGGTCACTTGCTGCATGAAGATGCAATCAAGGGTGAGTTTGATGTTCAGCCAGTTCAAGACGCAGTTGGTTATGCTACTAGTTTAACTGGGGATGATCAGCAATATCATGGGCACCAACCACAACAACAGCAGCAACAACAGCAGCAGCAACAGCAACAGCAACAGCAACAACTTCAACATCACCATCACACAAATGCATATGCTGCTAGTGCAGCTGCCGCTGCTGCAGAGTTGCAACATCGTGCTGAACTTCAAAGAAGACAACAGCAATTGCAACAACAAGAGTTACATCACCAACAACAACAATTACAACAATATCACCAACAACAACAGCGTGAGCAACAACAGCAAGTGGCTCAACAACAAGCTGTACAACAACAACAGCAACAACAGCTTCACCAACAACAGTTGCAACACCAACAATTACAACAACAACAACAACAGCAGCAGCAGCAGCAAATACAAGTTCAAAGTTCACGTCAAACACGCCACCATCAACAACAACCACTGCAACATATCCAACAACAACCTTCTGACGATATCCATGTTGGTGACCTTCGTTCTCAATACGAAGATAACGCTGTCATTAACACCTTTTCAAGCAAACAAGAGCTTGTCAAGTATGTGAAATATGTATTAGGTCCCGAAGAAAATTGTAAAATTGTCATTAACTCCTCCAAACCAAAAGCAGTATACTTTCAATGCGAAAGATCAGGTACTTTTAGAACCACTGTCAAGGACATCTCCAAAAGACAAAGAGTTGCTTATACAAAGAGAAACAAGTGTGGTTATAGACTTGTTGCTAACTTGTACCCTCCAGAAAAGGACAAGAAAAAGAAAGCTGGCGATGATGGACTTGATGGTGAAACCAACGAAATGTGGATCTTAAGAATGATTAACCCTCAACATAACCACTTACCGGATCCAATCAATAACAAACAAAAGAAAAAACTGAAGTTCTCAAAAACTTTGGTGGAAAAACCATTGCATAAACATAATGTGCCAGCTCAATCTGCCACGGGTGTTGCTGCTCCTGGTGGTGGTCCTGGCGTTGGTGCCGGCGCTACCAACTTCAATGAACTTATTGGACAACCAGTTCATAATGCTGGACTTCAACATATCCCAACCGCAGCATCTATACCACAACACCATCTTGATCCCCATCATCATCATCATCATCAACATGGTGGTCCTTCAGTGCAAGACGCTGCTGTGTTGGCGGCATTTGAAGCATCTCAAGCCACCCATTCTTCATCCAATGTGGCTGCAGCTGCTGTAGCTGCAGCATTACATTCTCATAATGTTGTTGATTCCAATATTGATCCAAATGTTGATCCAAACGTCCAAGCTCATGACCATTCCCATGGTCATAGAGGTATGCACGTGAACAGATAAACCTTGTTGTGCTGGCTTATATATATATAAACCTTTGTATTTCTATGTATGTGTTAAACTTTGTATTTTTTTTGGCTTTTTATATAAACGTTTTTTTGTATTATTAAACTTATCTTTGTAGTACACCATTTCTTATCTTCTTCGTCTACATCGTGATATTGTGCATGATGCACGACCACCAAAAATGAGTCTTTTTGGCGACCAGAAAAAATTTCCTTTTTTTGCCTGCAAGAACTTCTTCATTCTAGACACGCTATTAAAGGGCATTTGGAAGCTGGTTTATGCTTAGGATATTCAAACGCATAATGTCTACAAATACCACAAACTCAGTAGTTGCTAACGAATGGACTGCCTCTAAAGTCAGATCCACCTTTTTGGACTTCTTTACCAAGAAAAAGGGCCACACATATGTCCCATCATCATCGGTGGTTCCTCACAATGATCCAACTCTTTTATTCGCCAATGCTGGTATGAATCAATATAAACCTATTTTCTTGGGTACTGTTGATCCAGCTAGTGATTTTGCCAGTTTGAAAAGAGCTGCCAATTCCCAAAAGTGTATTAGAGCCGGGGGTAAACATAACGATTTGGAAGATGTTGGTAGAGATTCTTACCATCACACTTTCTTCGAAATGCTTGGTAACTGGTCATTTGGCGACTATTTCAAGAAGGAAGCCATTGACTGGTCCTGGGAATTATTAACTCAAGTTTACGGGTTAGACAAGGATAGATTGTATGTCACCTATTTTGGTGGTGACGAAAAACAAGGCTTGCAACCAGATTTGGAAGCCAAACAATTTTGGTTGAATGTTGGTGTTGCTGAAGACCATATTTTACCAGGTAGTGCCAAGGACAATTTCTGGGAAATGGGTGATCAAGGGCCATGTGGTCCATGTTCGGAAATTCATTATGACAGAATTGGTGGTGGTAGAAACGCTGCTGATTTGGTTAATATGGATGATCCAAATGTTTTGGAAGTTTGGAACGTTGTCTTTATTCAATATAACCGTGAACCAGATTCAAGCTTGAGAACTTTACCAAATAAACATATTGACACTGGTATGGGTTTTGAAAGATTGGTTTCTATTTTACAAGATAAATCTTCCAATTATGACACTGACGTTTTTGGACCAATCTTTGACAAGATCACTCAAATTACCGGTGTTAGACCATATGCTGGTAGATTCGGTGCTGAAGACAAGGACGGTATTGATACTGCTTATAGAGTCATTGCTGATCACGTTAGAACTTTAACATTTGCCATTTGTGATGGTGGTGTCCCAAATAATGAAGGTAGAGGTTACGTCTTGAGACGTATCTTGAGAAGAGGATCTCGTTATGTTCGTAAGTATATGAACTATCCAATTGGTTCATTCTTCCAACAATTGGTTGATGTTGTTATTGAACAAAACAAGGAAATCTTCCCAGAAATCGTTCATGGTGCTTCTGACTTGAAGGAAATCTTGAATGAAGAAGAAGTTTCCTTTGCCAAGACTTTAGACCGTGGTGAAAAGTTGTTTGAACAATATGCCATCATTGCTTCCAAGACCCCAGAACAAACCTTGTCTGGTAAGGATGTTTGGAGATTATACGACACTTATGGTTTCCCAGTTGATTTAACCAGATTAATGGCTGAAGAAGCTGGATTAAAGATTGATGAACCAGGTTTTGAACGTGCCAAAGAAGAATCTCGTGAAGCTTCTAAAGGTACCGGTACCAAGAACGGTACTACTTTGATCAAATTGGATGTCCATGCTTTGTCCAGCTTGGAAACTGAACTAGTTCCAAAGACTGATGATGAATACAAATATGGTACTGAAAATATTGAAGCCAAGATTGTTTCTATTTATGATGGTGCTGAATTTGTTACCAAGATCAATGATTCTACCAAGCAATATGGTATCTTATTAGACAAGACTCCATTCTATGCTGAACAAGGTGGTCAAGAATATGATACCGGTAAGTTAGTCATTGACGGTAAGAGTGAATTCACCGTTGACAATGTTCAAGTTTATGGTGGGTACGTTTTACATACTGGTACCATCACTGAAGGTGAGTTATCTGTTGGTGATTCCATCATTGCTTCATATGACGAGTTGAGAAGATGGCCAATCAGAAACAACCATACTGGTACCCATGTTTTGAATTATGCTTTACGTGAAGTTCTTGGTGACTCCGTTGACCAAAAGGGTTCCTTGGTTGCTCCAGAAAAGTTGAGATTTGATTTCAGTCATAAGCAAGCTTTATCTACTGCTGAATTAGAAAAGGTTGAAGCCATCTCTAACAAGTATATTAAAGACAACAAGACTGTTTACTACCAGGATGTTTCCTTGAGTCAAGCTAGAGAAATCAATGGTTTAAGAGCTGTTTTCGGTGAAACTTACCCAGATCCAGTTAGAGTTGTTTCTATTGGTGTTCCAGTTGACACTTTATTATCCAATCCTAAGAACCCAGAATGGCACGAAGTTTCCATTGAATTCTGTGGTGGTACCCATGTTGGTGAAACCGGAGAAATCAAGGATTTGGTTGTCATTGAAGAATCTGGTATTGCCAAGGGTATTAGAAGAATTGTTGCTGTTACTGGCCACGATGCTAGAAACGTTCAACGTTTAGCTTCTGAATTTGACCAAGAATTAGATCTTGCTGACAAGTTGCCATTTGGTCAAGATAAGGAAGCCAGAGCCAAGGAATTAGGTGTTAGATTGAAGCAATTGTCAATTTCCGTATTGGAAAAGCAAAAATTGAATGCCAAATTCAACAAGTTGGACAAGTCCATCAAAGACAATCTCAAGGCCATTCAAAAGGAAGAACTGAAGAAAACATTGGATGTTGTTAAACAATGGTTAGACCAAGAAAAGCCTGCTGATTTCCTTGTTAGCCATGTTCCAATCAATGCCAACGCCAAGGCTATAACCGAAGCTTTCAACTTAATCAAGAAACAAGACAAGACCAAGTCTGTTTACTTGATTACTGGTACTTCTGGTAAAGTTGCTCATGGTTGTTATATTTCTGATGAAGCAATTGCTAAAGGTGTTGATGCCACTGTTTTAGCCAAGGCTGTTAGTGACAAGATTGGTGGTAAAGCTGGTGGTAAGGGTAACATTGTTCAAGGTATGGGTGATAAGCCAGAAGGAATCAACACCGCTGTTGAAGAAGTTACCAAGTTATTAGCTGAGAAGTTGTAATTGTGTATATAAAATAATATTTAATTAAACCTATATGTCATAGAGCTTTGTTGTAGAAGCTTACCTGTAGTAATGTATTTTATAGTAGATATTTACATTTTGAGTTGATCAAACATACATTATTGTGTTATATTATGAATGAATGTTACATGATCATGCTATGCTAAAAGAAATAATTATTAACAGTATTTAAATCAATTCTATTTTCATCACCACCACTATACTCAGAATACAATTTCAAATCTTGGGCATTGAATATTTGATTATCCTCATCAGCATTGGTCAAGCTATATTTGTATAAATCTAAATCATCAAGACTTGTCTTGATGTTTCTTAAATTGATATCATATTCTTGGTGGTGGATATTAAACGAGTAGTCCCATTGTGATTTATATAATTTTTCATCAGCAGTATCTAGTTGAGGATTGGTTACCACTGGGTAGTTTTCATTAGAATCTTCAGATATTGTCGATAAGGTAGTTTCTGTTTCTATTGGTTGCTGAGAAGTCTCTTTATATCCCAATTTGTTTGATATGAATTTCTTAATTTTCTTTTGGTGGTACTTAACATTATTGGGTAAATCCTTAAGCTCAATATTAGTTTCATCTGGCTTATGTTTTCTCAGTTCAAATGGACTATAATCAAACACTAAATCTTGATTGGAAGGAAAATACCGAGAATTGCTATTCATATTAAATTGAAACATGCGGTTTAAAGATTGGAACTTTCTAGGTAAATAACATTCATTAAACCATCTATCGTTGTAATCGGCTGGGGGATCAGACTTTGCATCACTTTTTATTTCAAATCTAGAACTCGATAAGTAATCTTCATTAAACCAATGAATATAACTTGGTTTAAGCCGTAAGTTTTCAACATCTCGTTCATTATGGAGTGAAAAATCATTCAGTAATTCCCATAGTTTGGGTTTACTGGCAGAATATACATAGTTACCTAAAAATAGGTTGATTGCATCCTGCCTAATTTGATCCATGAACGAGTTTGAGTACATTCGTTTAATACTATTCAACATATCTCTTGTATGGGAAGACCATTGGTTTATACGTCGATAGGAATCCATAGTATTCACAAGATTCGATCCTCCGTATTGTATGGCAATTGTATCACCATGATCATGGAATATTTCTGTTAATATGTTAATTAAATCAGAATCATAGTCCAAGGTCTTATGTGGAGGAATAATCTTTAAAGCTTGTAATTGATATACCAAAGCTTCTTTGCAAATAATGAATTGGGCTGCATTAGTACGATCCAAACAATCAATACAGTTTGTACGTATTATACCGTGCTGCAATTTAGTTGTTTGTAAATCCACACCATTATGAAAGAATCCAATTTGACTTATCGACTTTTGCGCAATTCTTTGTAACGGGGTTATAACATCAAGATTTTTCTTTGAATGCTTTGACATATCAAACAGATAATACTGTAATTTATGTTCTTCTGGTAAAAACTGATCAAGATACCTTATACAATTCATGAAATGGACATTTAATTTCAGCTCTCGAGGTTGTCTTTCCTTTTGTTTAATCAAGTTCAAGATTATTATAGGCAGCCCATACCTATGAAACAAATTATTGAAATGTTTAGCTGAACTTTGGTAATAAGGATCTATCAAATTGATTTCGATTGGTGGTTTGGGTAATTTATTTAAATCTTGAGTCCAATACAAAGGAATCGAGCCTCGATGTTGGACAAAACTGGTATATCTTGGATTATTATAAAAGCCATACTTGCAATCATGGAAACTTGAAGTTAGCATATCTGAGACAATTTGTTCAGTTTCAATTTCATTAGCTACATTCCCAGTGTCATTGACACCTCGTTTAAGGAATCTTGCTCCAGCAAAATGATGGGATCTTCGGGCAATTATGGTAATATACAACTTTCTTCCATAAATGCTTATGTTTGCTTGATCGATGAATCCATGGATTATTGGTTGGAACCATTCGTATGTTGTGATTTCATGATTGTTTTCTATAATTGGTTTTAATAACAAGTTATTCCATACAAATCGTTCATTGTGATCAAAAGAATTAAACAAGTCGTTTTCAGTATAGGCTTGTTTATTTCTCATAAAGTTTGTCTGTAACGAGTTTGTAATATCATAAGCATAACTGAAATAAAAAGTCTTGCTTAAATCCAAATATTTGAAGATGGAGAGGAGCCTTTCTTCGTCACTATACTTTTCTGGCTTCTTGTAATTGATTTCGATGGGGATTAACTTTGTTTCGTCAATGTGGTAGATAAAGTGACCACCTAGTATTGCTACTTGAGAGCATTTGGTGATTATACTCAAGTAGTAACATTTTGTGAATCTGATCAAACCCAATAATCCAAACCCATGGACAATTTTATGAATTCCACCTTCTATAGACTCATTCAACCCATTCAACAATTCAACCATGTCTTTACGAGTATAGAAATAGTTCTTATCTTCAATAATTACCAACTTTGATTCGTCTTCTTCTTCAATGCCAATTTCCATGATTCTAAAAAGACTTTCTTTGGCATTACTTCCCACAATGTACATGGTGGTCTTGGAATTGTATACTGTAAATCTCTGAAGAATAATACGTTTATTGTTAGCTTGATCTTCTGGTTCTTCTTCTTCTTCTTCTTCTTGATCTTCATCTTCGTCTTGATCTTGCCCCTCTTCTTCGGACTCCAACTCCCCTTCTATAATTTCGTTTGTAGGTGGAGGCACTTCCTCAGGAATTGTTGCATTTGAATCAGTTTTGATCACCTCAGTATCCTGTGGTCTGATCATTGTCAGTGGGGTGTTTTTTTCATGCACAGGGTGTAGTGGTACTTTCTTGTGGAGTAAAACTGCTTTAGGTGTTTTTGTTTGTTGTTGAAGTTGTGCATGTGCACGACTATCTTGTGTTTGAGCCATTTTAACCTGCAAAACGTCATTACGTACTGGAAAACTGATTTCCAATCGTCAAAAATGCTAGTATAGTTGAAACTCCATTGTTCTTTTTTTTTGACGAAACGAGTGTTTTCGGAAAAGTTTAAATAATAAATTGCAATGGTTGAATCGACAACTGACGTATTATATAGCCTCAGTATACTGGTTTTCGGTTTGCTGCAACTTCAAATAAAATAAATTTAGCCGCGCTACCACATCTTCCTAATTGGGAAGTTTTATGAGATTCCATTTATACCAGTTCTGGGAATTTGCATCAGCAAAGCATCCCGGCTAATAACAGGATTGCAACCAAGCCATTTGGCCATTGCAACCAATCCATTTGGTTATTTGCAATTGATGGACACGGGAAGTCTCAAATGGTATATATAAATACCCAAGCGGTTGCCCTTCTCTACAAGTAAATGTAACTCAGTAGCTCACCAAAAAAAAATGAAAGTACTCTGTTCTTTAATATCCTTCTTTTTCGCAACCTTTGTTGTCACTGCTGCTGCTATCAAGGGTGATGCTTTCCAACAAGAGTTCAATGAGTTACTTACCGTGCTTGAGTCATACAACGACACTCTGGTGCTCAAAAGAGATTATGCGCCACTTACTTCAGCTTTAACAGCATTGAACAAATCTGGACAAGGCGTTCAAATTGCACATACGATGTATAGTAGTAAAGCCACCCAATCAACAGTTATCAATGTAGTAGAGGACTACATTAAGGCAACCACTTTAACCCAAATTTTGAAAGATTCTGATGATTCCGACATGTCCGTGGATATAGTCATGATCCTTTTCACCAATTCTAATATGATTCCTGGTTTAACTAAAATCATTAAGACTCTCCATGATAATGGCGTTTTATCATTTTCGTTAAAGAAAAGAGGGCTACTAGATGGTATCCTTGGAAAATTAAATAACATATTCACTTCTATTCAAAACGAGTCCATCCAAACTATTGTGAAGTTAATGAATGCCGTGACCGACTCGGAAGATATTTATGAATCGTTGGAAAAATCAGGGCTTTTTATTTCCTTGTTTGAAGATATTGTCACTACCACCGATGGTCAAGCTTTTTCAGTCAATTTAGTTACTGATATAATCAATAAGGATGTTATTACTTGGTCCCTGTTGATGAGTGCCGTGAACAGTTCTGCAATTATTGCAAACACAACTTCCAAATTATTCACCAACGCTACTAATAGACAGATTATTTTCCATTGGATCTCAACTAATGGTCTTAGTGTTCTTCTTGAAATTTTAAAAGCATTATTTTAATTAAATATGTAAGTGTTTATGCCATAATTTTATATATATATGAAAATCCATATAAAGTCATTCAACGTGACAACATCAAATCCCTTGCTGGATGCATAAGCATAATTTCCTTCCAAAAAAAACATACAACCAGAAAAAGGACTCCTACTCTGTATAAAAAGTAAAAATTGGTATAACTTGGCAGGATTCATCTACAAAAGTTATCTAAATCAAGGTTAACTTTTTAGATTATTTCATATAGATGTTGCAATTTTTTAAACACTTCAAACTTTGTATGAAATTTTAATGTCTCATGCAATTAATATCTTACCAGTTATTATCCTTTTCAATGGTTTTTTGTTCATTTATAGCACCATACTCTAGTATCAAGTTGGTAGCGATATTTTTGTTTCGGTTTTTTTTTTTATTTTATCCGAGGCGTTTAATTCAGAGCGGCTATTTTTGATCTGTTTTTCTTGCAACCAAAAGCACCTGGAATGTTGAGAGCAAGCAAATCAATTCAACAAGCAAGTAAATTGAGGTCCTGGTCATCTGATATAACAACTAGTGTATCAGATAAGCAGTTACCAAACAGAGATAATGCAATGATTAGTGTTGCAAATTCTAGTGATGCTGAAAACTTAAACACCTCAAGTGAAGTTGAAAGTGACCTTGACAAACTTAGAATAGAAAACCAGAAATTGAAACTTCAAAACAGTAAGCTTCTCCAGGATTTGAAAGATAACAATATAGAACTAACTAATTTGAAAGAAACCTTAAAACTTCATGTTAAACTCGGACAGGAAAAGGATAATAAGATTTCCAGATTGAAGGCAGAAATTACAATGCAAAAAGATTGTTTAAACTGGGAAACTTATCAAATTAAAAAGTTAAGGGCAGAAGTTACAAATATTAGAGGAACCTTTCGTGTTAAAGATTTACTTATTCAGCTGTTAACAAACCAATGGGAATCCTGCAAAAAGAGTTCTGAGAAGAAACTCGAGGAATTTGGAAAGAAAGTAAATACCCAAGAAAAGGTGATAAAGAAGTTTAAGGATAAGATAAAGGAGTTGTATAAGACTGTTGATGAACAGGAGGATAAAATTGAAGAGCAGGAAGAAACCTTTGGCAGAATAATTGATGAAATTACACTGGCAAATCTTACGTGGGCCCTAATGTGTTATTCATTGTTTCAGTTAAACCTCAGCTTCTTTCAAAATTTCCTTACTTATGAATCTATTCATGAATATAACTCAATCCTTGATAATTTCCATTTCCCAAGCAAACTCGACCCTGAAGAAATGGAATGGATTAAGAATTTGTTTCTACGTAATGAGGAAATGTTTGAATCTTTGACTGGGTCTATTTGGAGAGATATACCAAATATTTAACTGGATTGAGAAGAATAATGGTTTAACTTGCTCGAAATCTCATGACATTACTACTTAGATCTATAAAATCATGGTATGTACATCAAATAATTGAATATATATAATGTTTTGTTGTTTCTACAAAGTGTGAAACAAGTTGTTCATCCCAAAGACAATAAGTAGAGATTGTTTTCAAATATTTACTCGTATAATTTCACAGTTGCAGGAAGTGTGATTTAGTGTTGGGACTTATACCACGTTAAGGTTATAGCCAGCTAGAGCTGGGATAAGTTCCAATTTTGTTGAAAATAAAGATTAAATCTGAGGATAGTTAAAGTGTAGGTGTTTTAACTTGTGCTTAAGCATCTGATCTGAACTTCTACATATACCTAAGGGATATAAAAGGGAATAAGGTATAATATTAAAACTATTTAAACACAAAAGTAAAACGCAGGGATTGTTGTACTAAAAAGACCCAATAGCAAATTAGCAAAATCAACGCCCTAAAAAAAAGCACTAACCAGACATTAACAAATACTACACGCTTAATATTTCAAAGCTTAATATCTTTTATAACCATCTTCTTGACCAGTTTGGTCAAATTTCCGCTTTTGTCCTGCCTGGCATTCTCCTATTTCTATTGCTTCAAGTATTGTTTTACCGCCATTGCCTAAAGGCATTTTTATTCTAGGTTCCCAAATCTTATGTGTCTTCTTATATTCATAAAAAGTTTCCTTAAGTTTATTGTATTCAATTCTCAAATGTAATAGTTCTCCTTTGAGCTTGATAATTTCAAGCTGGTTTCTTGTTTGTCTCATAAGGTACAACACGTGTAATTATATTACTGGACCAGAAGCTTGTTAATAAAGCTGTCTTCAGTATCGATCAAGTTGAGATTATAAGCGACACGACAGAGTATGAGATTCAAATATCGGTATTTTGAGGATTGTTCAAAGAAGTTGGAGAAAACAAGCTTAGCGCCAATGAAAGCATTATTCCTGTTTCGCACCCAATTTATATACCAAGATAAATTGCAAAAGTCAATGCTACCAATTAACCAGTATGAATTTATAACAAAAACGATACTTCTAACCCAACATAGATGATCTGTTTAGGAGAAGTTGTAAGAGATTCGAAAAGTTAGTACCTTATTATTTACCATTGAAGTTTGTCACAGTAACAAAATCTAAATTAAGATATAAAAATGAAATATAAAGATCCGATGACAACAGAAAACAAGATTGTAAAGAAACCAACAACCAGTAAATAGTATTTCTAATGACAAAAATTAACTTTATTAAGGATTTATATATGCTTTCACTTATTAAGTAACATTTCAAGCGCAATCTTCATCAGCACCACTATCATTCAATTTCAACTTCTTGAAGCTTCTTCTTTCTTGTTCTTGAAACTTGGCCCTATAACTAACAAAATATAGGAGCAACTCATCATATTCCTTTCTCATTTCCAGAATTTCTTGATTAAGTCTATCTTTGTCATCATGCAAAACAGAATTATGGTGGTGTAAAGAGCCATCTTGGTCCAGAATTTCACTAATATGGCTGTGGATTTCGTCCATGTTACCAATAAAATAACAAAGTAATAACTGAAACGAACTTATTGGGGAAAGTTTAGTACTGGAAGAAATCGAATTTTGAAAAGAATGTAAGCGCCAATTTTGGTTGCCAGAAAACAGTTGCATCCAAATTCTTATACTAAGATAAATTGTGATTTTACACGACTTTATCAAATATGGTGCTACCACTTGACATTCTAACAATTCTATGGTTGGTATATTTTGATATGTCTAAACGTTAATACATAGTAGAACAAAAGGTCTTTATGAGATTAAACTACAATGAATCTCTTTGTTATACTTTTACTTCTAGTCTTGGTTAACCCGGTCGAGATTATTGACTTGGATAAACCAAAAATCAACAAGAAAGAAATAAAAATAATCACGATAGACAAACCCAAACATAACGCTTTGCTACGTATCTGGAACAAGAATGTGAAAACGATAATTTATATTAATGATACAAATACAACTATAGTACCTACATTTCTTACTATACCTGCCAGTGAACTATCCACCTGGACTACATTCAAGTATGTTGAGATTGAAAATGATGCAAAATATACGCGATTAGCCCATGCTATCCCCTTTTCGCCATGCATAACAAATATGAGACAAGATGAGACGTCGTCGGTGCATCGAAGCAGTCGAATAATCCTTGAGGCGATGGTAGATGCTTCGTTTGGAGTTGAGTTTGGGTTTGGAAGTATTCTCGATGATAATATTGTTGAGTATACCCTTCGGTACCGGAACGTATTCAAGGTGTTTAAACTGAGGTACGTGGAAAGTTCCATGGGTTGTAGCACAAATAAGAAAGGGCATGCTGCACGAGTGTTTGGATTCATTCCTATAATTCACAACAAGATGCGGGTTCGTAAGATTGAATATGATGCCGAAGAAGGGACAATTAGTAAAGACGACGAGTTTAAATCCCTTCCTCCCGTTCGTAAGTTAAGTAATGGGGTATTAAAAACCGTATGCAAGGTTGGTACAAGGGACCAATTGAGGTGTCATGAAAATTCAGGGAAATTTATTGACGAATACAAGAACCAATTTTCATTCAATGTCGTTTAAACCAATATTTAACTTTTCTGAATGAATGTTCATCCTTTTCCTTGAGTTCTCGCTTATTCATGTATTGAGGAGGGTGATTAGTTTCATCAAAGATGGAAAATTCTTGCTTTATTGGCGTTGATGGTTTCAGTTTTGGTTTATACTTGGGGATTTGGGTGGTTTTAAGAATGTTACATTCAGCGAGTGATTCGGGACGACGAGGAGATTTCAATTTCAGTTTGGAAGTAGTGTCGGTTAATATTGAATTACTTGGACTTGATACTTGCCAACTTATTGGACTGGTTGGTTTGCTTGCATTGACATTCATGCTTATGGGGCTGGTTGATTTCTCTGAACTTATTGGACTTGAAGATTTTGGTGAGCTTATAGGACTGTTGGATTCAGGTTTTGTATTTTCATCCAGCAATGAAGTGCTAGTAGTTGTGGCTGGTGTTGAGATTGGAAGGGCAAGTACTTGTGTATTAGTTGATATTGGGGATGAAGTACTTGATTCAAGCTTTAACGGCAGGGACACCGCTCGTGGTGGATACCGTATGGAAGATCTCTTGGTTTTCAAATTAGATAATGAGGATGAATGATAAATTAGGTTAGAAGAAGCTGAGCTTAAACTTTCATTTGATTTTAATGCATTGGAAATTTTGTTTGATTGGTCGTAAAATATTTGATACCTAGTGGCAGTTGCTCCCGACCGTTTTGAAGAACATTCATTCTTGGATGATATGATTGAACTTGGAGAAGAATCATCCTGATTATCATAAAATATGTTTGATGGTGGTTGGAGCATTTCTTCTTCTTCGCTGGTTTCATCCTCTTCTTCTAGTATATTAACCTCGGGGTTTTCTACCTCGGTGTATTTGATAAAGGGCGACCCTAATAGTTCATGGTTATACATGGCTGGAGCCAGTTCCATTCGTTTATGACGTATAAACCGTGGAGGAGTATTATTCGTCCCAATATGTAAGTTTGCATTTAGTATTTCATCAAGGTCAATCATTGCTTCGGGGATGTTTTCATTATTAAGGGTTGTTTCTTCGGTGAGGAATAATCTTGGTGGTGGTGGTATTAGGGTAGGTTGTGTGGGTTTTGGGTTTGGCTTTTTAAACCTTATTGGTGAATTCAAGCTATTTGTTGAAGAATGCATAAATTTTCTTGGTAACGAGGTTGAGATCTGGGGAGGTGGGGGTAAATCTAGCTTGTTTGGAAATGAAAAGTGCTCAGTATCAGCAGTATTTGAAAAATCTTCCTCATTATTGAAGTTGAAGTGACGATTTAGTTCTTCATCTGACAAATCTTTTGTTGGAGATGCGATGTCGTTAGGTAGTAGTAGCTGAGAGTTGGTGTCGTGATGAGTTGGGCTGAATGGTGGTGGTGGTTGTGCATTACTTGGACTATGAGGAAATGGCGCATATAAGCCCAAGCCTATGGCATCAAAGTCTCCGCTTATAGCTTGAGATCTTCGATGTCTATGAGTCCTTTTAGTGGTGGTTGACATGTCATGGACCGATGCTTGCAACTAGTGTGAACAAGGGGAAGATATAACAAATGAATGAAGGAATAGGAAACGATTAACGAATGAACAGATCGGTGATAGTGTTTTCCACCCAGCTAAAGGTGTATCTGTTGAGTGATAAGATCTGATGAGTAAGTATCCGAAGGTTCCACAGTGTGTGTAGCAGCAACCAGAGAAAAAATGAGAAAAAAAAAAATTTAAACGAGGATTGTGCGAAGGCAATAACGCGTGGGTTGGGAATTTAAGTTTGATGGGCTGGGGAATGCAGATGTATGGTGGATTATATTAAGTAGATCAAGGTTTTATCTAGTAATTAAGGTCACGCAACAATAGATGGGATAAAGGAATGGACGTCACGATTGGTGGTGGTAGTGGCAGTGGTTGTGGTTGTGGAGTGATAGTGCTATGTAGCGGCCAATAGTATGTGGTAGTGTAGACCAAAAGTAACACGTAAATAAATGAGCGAATATCAATAAATGTAGTGAGTGGGACGCAGTGAACGATTGTGAGAACGATTGGTCAATTGATTGAACGAATGAACGATTATACGAGAATATACAAGTGGCAACCTGTTATCTCTAACTAATAGGAAAATAAGAAGAAAAGATTGTAGTCAAGGTAAAGGAGTGTGGTAATTTATTGGCACATTCGCAGTTTGTTCAAGACAAGTAACCCGCTGGAATATATTCAACAACTGTTGCTGGTGATGGGGCGTATGGTTAGAAGCACTGGAATTGATACCTTCGACACGTAACTGTTTTAGACTTTAAACTTTGTAAAGCAAATCGGTTTGTTATTTTTAATTAAATCCCAAAACGGAAATATGTGAATTGCTTTTTTCTTGTTTGGTTTCATTTTGCCCAATCAAGAAAAATACTTTGCATTTTTGCAGTCAAATTTAACAAAGGTGATTGTTCAAACATTTGGTGCTGATACCAACAATATTTGGACAATATGACGTGTTTACAAAGGTTAAATTGTAATTTTTTTTTGTCAATAATCTAGTATTACTCTATTATGTACTTACGAAATAACTATTGTGCATTGGTTTTGCTCTCTCTCTCTCCCCCCCCAAAAAAATAAATGCTTTACTTTTTATGCTTCTTGGCAATTCTTCTCAATGCTCTTTGTTCATTCTTCATAACACCATCAACCATCTTATATTTACCCTTAACACCCTTTGGTCTACCACTTAATCCCTTATTGGCACCCCTGGCAACAACAACACTAATCTTTGGTTTTTGTTTTTGTTTCTTAGTCAACTTCTTCATCAACTTTTGGATTTCTTCTGCCTTGTCTCGTTCGGATTTACCACTGTCTTCATTAATTAAATCAGACTTCTTCTTCAATTTCTCTAATCTACGCAAAGCTCTCATCTTCTTTCTACCTTGAGCTTCCAACACCTTCTTGATTGGTCTGGCATTCAATTGTTTTTGCTTTTCCTTAATGGCCATTGCTGCTTCCTTGGTGATTGGTTTTATAAGTTTAGAATGCTTATTTTCATCATCCAAGAACCAATCAGGCAAGTTATCCTTATCTCTGAATGAATATCTGTGGAACCCTTCGTTGACCAAGTCGTTCTTGTTCATTTGGCCAAGAGCAACTTGATGAGCCAAAGTCATGGCTTCGACAGTGACAAGATCAAGATTCTTCTGGTGAGTCTTGGTCTTGGTTTCAGTATCACTATCTGAATCATCATAGTCGGATTCTTCATTTGGAACAACTTCAAAGTCATCATTTTCTGAATCACTCGAGTCGCTAGAATCGTCAGCCGGTTGTACTGGTTTTTGTGGTTGCGGCTTAGTAGACCCATTGGTTTCAGTTGGCTTTGTCATCTCTTCTAACAACGCATCATCGCCAAGTTCCTTGAAGATAGAGTCGGAACTAAAGAAGGCCTTGGCGTTTTTAGATAACTCGTTGGCTTTTCTAGCTTCGATAATCTTGTTAATTTGTTCGTCGTCATCGGAATCACTTTCAGAATCTTCTTCCATTTCGTAATCATTTTCCAGCTCGACTTCTTCTGGTTCATCATCTATTCCGTCCCATGGTTCATCATTTTCTCTCAACTTCTTGGCTCTGTAATTAACATCCTTCTCAGCTTTTCTGGCTTGATAATTTTGATACATATCTTCCAATTGATTTTCCAATTCATCGGCCGAGTTGATATCTTCTGCTTCTTCATCTATATGGATTTCATTATCTTTAGCTAATTCTTGTTCAGTAAATACCATTCTCTTTTTACCCTTGGCTAATTTGTCCAATTGCCCAGTTTTCTCGGCAGTCTTCAAATTAAATAAGGATTCAGCACCGATATTTGAAGCTTCAATACCGATATTCATATCAGTAATCATATTCATTTGATTACGTACAATTTCCTTTTGTTTCAACTCGTTAGCTTGTTTCTTAAGACGTTTTTGCTTTTGCTTTTGTTTATCCATAAGTTCTTGTAATTCTTTATCAATCTTTTGTTCTTCAGTGAGTTCTTCAACTTCGATTTCTGGTTTTTCTTCTGGAAGATCAAGCTGAAGGAGTTCTCTGGCTTGTTTCCTGAATTTCAAGATCAATTTGAATTCTTTTCTACCAAGGGTCTTCAAATCTTTCAAACATTCAAGAAGTTCAGGAGTACAACTTCTCAATTTAGACACTACCTTCCATTCATGATCATCAGTAGGAACTTCCAACTTGTTAAGTCTACCCAACTGATTTATAGGATCTTCGTCTTTTATGAATTCGAGTATAGGCATGGTGTGATATAATGTATAATCTCCTTCTTCATAACCAGTTCTGTGTCTTGTTTTCTTTTCTGGATTAAACACCTTCGCTTCATTATTAGTTTCCACACGGTCGATTTCTTCAAAGACTTCCTTAGGATCAAGTAATCTAGGATCCAACTTCTTTGGAGCCTTGAATCCCTTACACACCACGAAAATTTCTGCAGATACATTACGGGAGGCTGGTGGTTTAGTAGCCTCCACTTTTTCGAATAATTGTTGGAAAACCCAAAGTAAATTATTATAATCTCTTGATCTGAAAATCTTGGTGATAAAGTTCCCGTTGGGGGCCAAATGTTCCACGGCTAGTCTTAAGGCTTGTAAAGTTAATTGAGATTGGGTGAATGCATCTTGAACCCAACCTAACCCGACATTAGGAGCACCATCATGCATCACGGTGTCCACTTTAAAAGTTTTCAAGTACCCTCTAAGCTTACTTCTACAATCTTCAGTAGTGATGTCAGACTGGAAAGTAATCACATTGGGCATAGGCTTGATAGGAACAATATCAACACCCACAATAAGGGAATTCACAGGACATAACTGCGAAGCGACTTGACACCACGAACCTGGGGCACAACATAAATCAACTACGACTTTGGATTTTTCAAGGAAATGACCAAATTTTTCATTGATTTGAATGATCTTGAACGAAGATCTCGCACGGTATCCCTTTTCCTTAGCTAAGTAATAGTACCTATCTAAACGACCTTTACTATTCTTCTTTTGTGTTTTACCCATGGCGTTGTAATTGTATAAAGAAGAGAGACTTTAAAAAAAAAAATATATAAGATTTTCTTTTTTTCTTATAGAGATGAGATAAAGTAGGTGGTACTGCACAAAGTGATAATAGTCTATTCCTGCACATGAGACCCAGTTTAATCTTCTGGTTTAAATGGTATCTATTACACGGCTTGCGGTTTATTGTAGGGAGTAAACTTAATAATCTGTAATGGTGGCTCTGATTCGGTCGTGGGTAGTCGCGCTTTTCAACCATAGGAGCAACAATATCAGCATAGTGTCTTAAGACAAACCATATAATTTAAATGTAAAGGGAATTTGATAAGAAACACATACTAGTTATAGAAATCAGAGTAAGAAAGAGTACCAAGTCTAAGACTTGATTGGAAGTAGGTTTCATGTAGCTTGGGTTCTTATAAACTCGTACAGCTAAAATACCATTTGTGCGAATGTGGAGTCAAGACCTAGAATTCCCTGGTTATAGGTAATTGGTTGTTTGAGATCCAAAAGCAATTGCACGGGGATCTTTGGTTATCTTTTGGTACTAAGGAAACTATTACAAACTAGTCGTTTCCTGAAAAAAAGAAAAACATCTATAAACTATTATATCTTCTAAACTTTCTCTAAGCAATCAAAAGGTGCTGCATTACCACTTTTGCGTTTGAGATAATCACTTGGATATAGGTCAGCTTTAAATCCTATGATTTTCTCTGTCACAAATATCAATAATGGGAAATATCATCCATAGGTAACATATTCTGTTTGAGTAAATGATGAGCTTGAATCAGAGGTTCAATAGAAACATTACCATCTTTTGAGCCATAATTTGCTTAATTCCAATGCAAACTTGACTAATGTGTGTTCTTTTACCATGGTCCTGTATCGGACTATTACTCAACCCTAGAACTAAATGCATGTGCTTATGTCACTCATTTGGGGGAAAAACTTTTTACAGCCGTGTTCCTTACTTTAATGCTATTTATTATGAGACATCTTATCCCAGTTTGAAATTAATGCTACTGAATTGTAGACCATTCCTTGGTGCATCTGGTTGAATATCCAATTGGTAGCGCTTCACCTTTCGTAATAAATGTTGGATGTATAGTCAACTGCTATTCCCAAAACCCTTCCCGGCAATGTAATGTTTTAATTGTAGTTGCATTATTGCATTAAGTTTAAGTTTGTTGAATATGAGTATATCTGTGTTGGTCAACCCAATAAGGTGATGTATGGTTAGGACAGGGTTCTTTATTGGTTGTAAGAAAAAAAATGTCGTCATTAGATATAAAGACCAGAGTTTTGCTTTCACATAAACACGACATTTCTCATAAAATTTTACCACCGACTTTTCCAAAGGTCATTTGCGACATTTCTCGTCAGGTTGGTTGGCTGTGTTGGTTTTCCGCGCCGCCATTCCAAATTTCACGCTCCACATCCCTACCCCCTTTTCCTTTTACAACATTAAAGCACATAATGAACGTGTTAAAACTTCAAAAGAAATTTCCCAATTTGCAACAATCGGACTTGTTCACCATAATTGATGATTTCCGGGCCATTGACTTGGAAGACAAGGGATATGTCGAAAAACAAGATGTCTACAACTCAATCTCCAAACAAGGAGTATATACTTATGATCAAGCCAGAGAAACTTTGAAAAAAGTCGATGTGGATGCTTCTGGTCATGTTGAATTGGATGACTATGTCGAATTGGTTGCTAAATTAAAGGAATCCACTTTAGCTCCAGAAGCTCCCGCTCCTGGTTCTGTGTCTCCTAGAATTAGTAAGAAACAACCACCTCCAGTTCCTACTGCCAGTTCTAAGAACAAGACATTTATTACTGGTAAATCGGAAGGTACCACCCATACCATTAACGATGACGAAAGAATTGAATTCACCAGGCACATAAACTCCGTATTGGCTGGTGATGCCGATATTGGCAAGAGATTGCCTATTGATCCAAACACTTTCCAAATTTTTGATGAATGTAGAGATGGGTTAGTTTTGTCTAAATTGATTAACGATTCTGTTCCTGACACCATTGATACTAGAGTTTTGAACTTGCCAAAGGCCAAGAAATTGAACAATTTCCAAATGTCGGAAAATGCCAATATTGTTATCAATTCAGCCAAGGCCATTGGATGTATTGTTGTCAATGTTCATTCTGAGGATATAATTGATGGTAAAGAACATTTAATTTTGGGTTTAATTTGGCAAATCATTAGACGTGGTTTGTTGTCTAAAGTTGATATTAAGTACCACCCTGAATTATACAGATTATTGGAAGATGATGAAACTTTGGAACAATTCTTGAGATTACCACCTGAACAAATCTTACTTAGATGGTTCAATTACCATTTAAAGAATGCTGGTTCAAACAACAGAGTGTCCAACTTCTCTAAGGACATTGCTGATGGTGAAAATTACACTATTTTACTCAACCAATTAGTCCCAGAACAATGTGATTTATCCCCATTGAAAGAATCAAACTTGATTGCTCGTGCTGAAAAGATCTTGGACCATGCCGACAGAATTGGATGTAGAAAGTATCTTACAGCCAGCTCTTTAGTAGCAGGTAATCCTAAGTTGAATTTAGCATTTGTGGCCAATTTGTTTAACAATTACCCAGGGTTACAACCAATTGAACCACACGAACAAATTGAGATTGAAGAATTTGATGCCGAAGGAGAAAGAGAAGCCAGAGTATTCACTCTTTGGTTGAATTCCTTGGATGTTGAACCACCAGTCATTTCTCTTTTCGAAGACTTGAAAGATGGGTTGGTCTTGTTACAAGCTTACGACAAGGTCTTGCCTGGATCTGTCCTGTTCAAACATGTTAACAAAAAACCAGCAAATGGAGAAGTTTCAAGATTTAAAGCTCTTGAAAACACAAACTATTCCGTTGAAATTGGTAAAGCCAATGGTTTCTCTCTTGTTGGTATTGAAGGTTCCGATATTGTTGATGGTAACAAACTTTTAACTTTAGGTTTAGTTTGGCAATTAATGAGAAGAAACATAATCAATACCTTATCTGAGTTGGGTAAAGGTGCCAACTTGAGTGATTCGGATATTCTTAAGTGGGCTAATGCTCAAGTTGCAAAAGGTGGCAAATCATCTAAGATCAGAAGCTTCAAGGATGAATCATTGTCTACTGGTGAATTCTTATTGGATGTTCTTAACGGATTGAAACCAGGTTATGTTGATTATGATTTGGTACATAAGGGAACTAACTTGTCTGATGATGAGAAGTATGCCAACGCTAAGTTGGCCATTTCTATTGCTAGAAAGTTGGGTGCTTTAATCTGGTTGGTTCCTGAGGATATTAACGAAGTCAGAAGTAGATTAATTTTATCATTTGTTGGTAGTTTGATGGCGGTTGCTGAAACCTTATGAGTCTGTTTATATTACTAGCTATTTGATTTTGTAGTTTTAAAATAAATGTTTTGTTTAGAAGATATGTAATCCTGATTACTCTCATCGAGGAAGTATCTACCATGTTTACACGTTTTAATTATACTACCATATTAGTCCTAGTCTGTTCAATTTTTGCTATTGATGTAAGATAAGGGGTGGTTTTGGTCATATCAGGATATGTGGTAGCGTTATGCTACATCGTTTACTGAAGATAAAATTTCAAAATAGTATGGTTTAAGGGAAGTTTATATTCCTTCAATGGGTAAGAGCATTAAGACAATCGTGAGGTAGAGAATCCACAAGAGTCTAGAGTCACTTGTAACAATCTCAAGTCTCTCAATTTACTTCCCCACTAGAAAGCTTCATACACTATAAACTCTCCCACTAAAAAAAAAAAAAATTCAGAAATTTTCCAACCTCATCTCATCCGAGTCCTAAAAAAAATTATAAAATCAATATTTATATACTACACTTTATTGAAATAACCAAATAAAATGCCTAGATCCAAACGTTCCAAGCTTGTGACATTAGCTCAAACTGATAAGAAAACCAAAGAAAACAAGACTCGTATTTTCGATGAAGTGAGATCTGCCTTGGATGAACACCAATATGTTTGGGTATTACAATTACAAGATATTAGAACACCAGTATTACAAGACATCAGATCAGATTGGGCCGGTTCAAAATTATTATTGGGTAAACGAAAAGTATTGATCAAAGCCTTGGGTGAGACTCCAGCCGATGAATACCGTGATAACTTACATGAATTATCCAAGACCTGTGAAGATGGATTAATCGGATTATTGTTTACTGATGAAAAACCAGATGTTGTTGATGGATACTTCAAGGCATATGTTAAACAAGATTATTCTCGTGCAAAGACCAAGTCTCCAATAGATTTCACCATCCCTGAAGGTATAGTTTACTCTCGTGGTGGTCAAATACCTATTGAAGAAGATGTCCCAATGTCCCACTCGTTAGAAGAAACTTTAAGAAATAAATTAAAAGTACCAACCAAGATCAAATCAGGTAAGATTGTTCTTGAAGCACCATACACTGTTTGTCACAAGGGTGATGTGTTAGATGTTAGACAAGCTTTATTATTGAAACAATTTGGGGTTGCTGGTTCAGAATTCAAAGTTGCTACTATTGCTTACTATGATAGAGATAGTTCTAAAGTTATTAAATTGTAATGCATACAGCTGCTCCTTATGGAAATAGTTAATAATACATAGCATGATAAATTAGACAAACCTTTGTAATGTTCCTTGATTCTAATCCTGCCAAGAATCATCAAGTTCCTCTTCTATAACCATTGGTTTTCTAACTTGCATGAATAATAGTTTACTATCGGTTTCTCCAATGTTTGTAATTGAATACAGGTTGTTATAGGGAATTTGAAATGAACAGCCACTATTTGCTAAAAAGGTGGTTTTATTTATAGTAACCTGATTCAATCCCAGTATCACGTGGAATATAAATAAGCTTGATCCGGTTAATTTGGTTGATTTTAAACCTTCGGGTGGTATTTCAATTACCCCAGTAGAACAAAAATCTCGGTCGACATCAAAAAGCTTGGTCACTTTGATATTTTCATCGGTATCTTGAACCTCTCCTCCATCTATAGTGTATGCAATGTTCTCCTCCTTGGGATTACCGTTTTCATCATTGACGGACATAGTCAAATACTTATCGTCAAACCATTCAGCTCCAGGGACATCCGCATCAACCGAGTATTCCTTGGGAGACCTAGTTTTAGGAGACTTGCTCTTGGGCTTGGGTTTCTTTCTTTGTTCCACAGGCGCTACTTCTGGCATATGTACTACTTCTTTTATTTCTTGTAAGGGGATTTTCCTGATATCTTGAACCAAGGTTGTGTCTCCATCCACATTGCCCGCGCGGGTGTATATTATTCGCTCGTTTCTCCAGAATGCCAATGGGGCAATTCTAGTACGTTTCAGTCGACGTAACCCATCTGGTGGCGGCGAAGGCAATGGACTGGGTTTAGTTATTAGTGGTTTCTGAACGGGTTTGGTTCTTGGTTTGGATGCTTGTCTCGCTGGTTTCTTTAATGTAGGTGGTGGTGATAGCAATCTATCTGATTGTGTAGTGTCATCGAGGATGTACGAATCTTCGGCATCGTCACTCTCACTTTCCACTTGCATCTTTCGTTTACTGGATTTACCAAGAGCCATATTTTTGGTCAATCTCGATGCACCTTTTGATTGACGAGGACGTTTACGTACTTCTATTTCCTGCTGCTGCTCTTCTTCCTCTTCCACATCGAATTGTGTGGGATCTTGCTCAAACAGATCCATATCTTGATCAAATTGAGCCGGATCTTGTTCAAATCTATCAGAATCGCTGTCACTTCTAGTAAACAAGGCAGCTCCTTGATGTTCGTGTAATGGACTTCTCAATGGAGATTTCTTATTTTTGACATTGCCACCGGTAGTCCCGGTTGCTGTTGTAGATTTATCCCCAGTTTTAGTAGGTCCAATCATTTGTATAGCCGGGGAAATATTGGTGAAATCTATCTTTCGCGCAACATCAGTGAACTCCTTTCTTGAGCCCAACAGTGTTTCCTGGTATAGTTTCCTTGATGTTGAAGTAGAAGGTGGTTCTCTAACCCGACTGATCCCTCTGTTGGAGGTGACGCCAACATCAGAATCATTAAAGAAATCATTGAGATCTTCCATTCCATTTTCATCCTTGTTTATATTTGAAGGTAACTCTAGCTGAGTTTTACGTCCTCGGGTACCAAGATCAAGCAAGTCCATTTTGTCGTGCTGTTGGTGGTCTGTAGAAAGTATTTAGCTGATGTTTGTTTTGTTATTAAAAGTTTAATTTCACACAAAACGCGAAAATTTCAAGTAGGGCGTGCGGCTCCTCTTGAATTGTATAACGCTTTATAAAGAAACTCTACACAGTGGGTAAACCTGTATGACACTCTCTATCTAGTAGATATAAGCCTGGAACTTTCTAATTTCAGGGATAGTGTTTGCAGACGTACCTAGCTAGGAAAATTGCATCACTGTGTGTTTTTGTTTTCCAGCAAATCTGAGATCTGACTAAAAATTATTTTCAGGGCAACGTGTACTGAGTGAATTAATCCACTCAGGAAAGAACTGCTAGGATCTCAACCTCTTTGAAATATGTGGGTGTATTTATACTATAGTCAATAATCTTCTATCGGTGAATAATTTTCTTTTCTTTTTTAATGGCAACATTGACCATTATCCTTGAGTATCACTAAGTACCGTTTTATTTTTGCAGCAAATCTACAAAATTATACCAAAATTCTATAATATAATTATTAAAAGTTCCCATATTTATCACTATTTATATAACCTCTATGTCAATATCATCAATATCATTCAAAGTCAATTGATACCCAACAATAATCCCATCACTATAGCTTAAATAAATTAAAAATCTAGGGGTGCTTCCCAAAGATTTATCTCTGATAGCCAACCCCGTAATTGTTCTATATCCATGATACCCCAATGCAAGACTTAATGCATTAGGAAATAAATATTCTTGTCTCATACCATAAACTCCATTATGACAACATAACCTCATAATAGTGACTAATCCTTGCTGAGAAACAGCTATCAAACACAGCAACTTAGGAATAACCTCCGTGATTGAAATTCGATTGGAGAATTTACTCCGTTCATGAAATGGAATGGGCAAGTCGAATATTCTCCTAGTTGCACAATTACAATATAGCGAAGGGTAATGCAACATTCCTAATTTCTTACTGGTGGAAATTACAAGGAACTTATTAGGTGGTTGCTTGGAGACATATTCTTTATGAATTCTTCGATATTCATCGTCAATCAATGTTAGCTTAACCGAATCAACTGAAACATCATGTGGTGGCTTGGGTGCAAGACTGGCCACTTTACTTTCAAAGAATTGAAAGTTGGATGCGATGCCTAAATTACTAGATAATGTACCATCGTAAGATGTTCCCAATAGCTTCGATTCATGCAGTATGTTGTTGTTTTGTTGGTGTTCATTAATCGATTCGTCACCAAATACAGCAGCAAATGAAACAACGGGCAAAAACCATTTCTTGTCCACTGGTTTAATAGTCCAACAATCTTCATTTAGCACACACCTGGAAATAACTGTTGGAGTCGACCATATAATTCGATTAAACCGTTTCGACTTTAGGTGTTGAAATTGTAAACTATCCGGATCAATCCCGTTTCTATTCTCCAATTGCTCCATCTTTGAGTCAACATAATATAACTGCTCATTCTTGAAATATTCAAATTCGTCCTGGTCAAGGGGTCCATGACAAAGTTTAAACATAAATTCGAAAACAATTAGTTCACCTGATATCAGGGCGCACGCTACATCAACTATATGGGTTGTACCATCAAATTTCACATCGACAAATGATACCTCTGGTATATTATGCAAAATATGATGACTCTTGACATGGTAAAGCCTTTCATCTTGTGCATGATAATAAAACAAACCAATACTTTGAGAATTATCCGAGGCAACAATTAAATTATGAGATTCCCCTTGCTCATCTTTATAATTTATAAAATCCAATCCCCAAAGACTTGCCTCCATTTTTATCTTGAAATCAGGTTTAACTTTTAGCCCATGGAATCGGTTCTCATCTCGATATGTATCATCCAAATCAACCGATTTCACATCTTTGAATTTGTTGATATATGCAATAATTGTATCGGTATACCATATTAGCAAGGTTCCGTCATCAGAACATGCACTTAGAATTTGTTTCCCATTAAAATTGTCAAAAGTCTTGATGAAATTTAAACTATGAGGAAAATATGGCCATGTTGATATTAATCTATCGGTACTTGACGTGTATGAAGGTTTGGTATCAAATAGTATAACTGCACGTTTATCGGGCAATTGACTAACATGATCGAACTGAAATATAACCAACTCAGAATTTGAGCCAGCTACAAGATATTCATAACCAGTATGGCCATCTTTGATTATTGATGTTAAGTTATTCTTGTATTTGGACATAATTTCAACCGTGTATAGTTTCTTTATACCTAAATATTTCAAATTCAATGCATTGTAAAACTTTTCCGCTGGAGCATTTTGAACTAAAGTAGAAGGGTCTGAACTTTCAATTGTCGAGAAATTGATATTGTTCAGTTTGACCCCATAGCTTGGTTGAGTTGGATCTTTATCTCTGATATATTCAGGCTGAAATTCGTACTTAAAGAAGTTAATATGTTCAGTAGTGGCTTGCTGCTGGCCCTCTTTTATAAGAACATATTCATAGTCGCGGTCAATCTGCATAACTTGCGGTTCAGCCCTTTCATCCAAATACTCCCGCTCTTCAATGTGATCATTAAAACTGTCTCTTCGTATAGTATAAAATAAATCAGCATCGATGTCATCATCAGGTTCATTGCCAAGAAAATCAATTCTCGTCTGTTCATCGATTGAACTTTCTCCATCCGATCTTTGTTCTTCCTCTTCATCCTCCTCCAGGATTTGTCTAATCAATGAAATAAACCGCAATGGTTCGTCTTCTATAACATCGCTAAATGCATCAACAATATCATCCAAAAGTTCGTCATCCACTTGCTCCACATCCTCCTCTCTAACGTCATCGACCAGCGATAACGTATTGGCTGATTCAGGACTAACTGTATCATCAGGGGTACTCCTCCTTCGTTGTGGACTAGCTGTAGTAGCTGTAGTGATTCGTATATTCCCCTCACTTAAAGCACGACTTCGTATAGGAACTGTAGCAACATTGAATGAGTTGTTGTCTGCATCATTATTTTCTTCTGAGTTTTGAGGGGTAGCGGTGGGTGACTTACTTGAAGAGGACGAAGAGGTACGATGTCGGTGAACTCTTCGTATAGATCGGTGCTGTAAGAATGCTTGGAATGATTTTAATTGAATGCTTTCCATTGTTGCATTTAGATAACAGCAAGATACAAAATTTTGGTTGTAAAAATATGACGATTTCAAAGGGTATGATTTATATCACACTTTTTTTGTTTTTTTTTCTGTTGCTATGATAAGATATAGTGGGGGGGGAGGGGGGAGGAGGTCAAGGGACCATAATGCAAAAAAAAAAAAAGAATTAAAACTATAAATAATCGCCAGATCTTTTCTTTATCTGATTTGCAATTTTTATAATTAGAAAATGTCACAGAAGACGTTGTAGAGCAGACTCGTTACAATTTGTCTTGGCTGATACTTCCAGATTTAACAAAAGGAGAAGATGTTGCAATTGTAACTCATGCTATCACAGCCACACTTGGATCATCGCACGAGATCTGTCTACGCCCGCCACCTCCATAGTGTATATTTTTTTCTTCACGTAAAACTTTTTCTACTAGGAAATACCACCACTAGAAATCAGCAACAATGGGAGAAGATAAACATCACGCAGATTACGCTAATATTAGTTCTTCTTTATCCAAAGAGGAAACCCTTCAGCATATCCTTGATTCATACTCGGCCTTGGCGTCTGATACCACCAACTGGGTAGCCAATTTATCTAATTGCTCGTCATTATTATGGCATGCATACCACTCGCTTAACACTCCAGTCAATTGGGCTGGGTTCTACGTTCGTTCTAAACCCGAAGAATTAATTTTAGCTCCATTCCAAGGGAAAGTTGCCTGTCAAATTATAAAATTCGGTAGTGGTGTATGTGGAACAGCTGCTCTGTCTCAAAAAACACAATTGGTGCCTGATGTTGAAAAATTCCCTGGTCATATTGCCTGTGATGGCGAAACCAAGTCAGAAATTGTCGTGCCTATAGTCAAGGATGGCCAAACTTTAGGTGTTTTGGATTTAGACTGTTTGGATTTAAACGGTTTTGACAAAGTTGATCAAGAGTATTTGGAAAAATTAGCTGAGTTGATTAGTGAAACTTGCGATTGGACTAAATTGTAATACAATCGTACTAGTAACTGAGACATACTTTAATAGAAAAATCATTAGACTCAACTTCTTCTACTCGAATAGTACTAATTAAACAATATAATATCAAACCAAAATTACAAACATATATAAAGACAAACGAAATTATCCAGTATACAAGCCAGACACATTCATATTGGTACAAGTTATAAAAAAAAACAACAACAAAACAAAACACACAGTGACATCATTTACTCACTCTTTTCAGCTTCAGCTCTTCTTTGCTCTTCTCTTTGTAAGTTATGATACAATAATCCCTTGGCCTTTTCAACAGCATGTGGACTACCACTAATGGTGAAAATACGTTCATTTTTACCTTCAACTTCTTCAGAAATTCCAATGGTGGCACCACTTACTTTTCTAACACCTTGGATTCTTGATCCATTCTTACCAATCAAGGCCCCCACAATGTCATTAGGGAATGAAAGGGAAGTAGTGGCGATATGAGAGGATTTTCTGGCGAAATTTCTTCCATTGGTTGGGGTTGTTGAAGAAACTCCGTTAGTAGTATTGACTCCATTATATTGACTATGGTGACCCCTTGGAACATAATAGTTGGTATTACCAAGGGCAGAGATATCTTCAATAAGACATCTAGCAATAATTCTCAATGCATCGTATAAGTCATTCACAGTACCTTGTAATTCAACCAATCTTTCATTTGAACCAGGCAAGAAAGATTTAGAAGCAATCATGGAAATGTGATAATTTGATTGAATTTGTTGAATTCTCAACCCTTTGCTTCCGATTAAAGTCCCCATTTGAGCATTTGGAACTAATAATCTTAAAATAGTGGTTTCATTTTCAATACATGGATTGGCTGACAATTGCTTCAATGGGAAATAATTGTAAGTTTCAATGGTGGAGTCACATAAAGCTTGAGCAAAATAACTCAATGCTTTAGCACAGTTATCTAATTTTCCAGAAACGGTTAAAATACGTTCATGAGAACCTGGTTGTAATCGGGATATTCCTGCCTTAGTATTAGTTTCATCTCTAATTCCATCAATGACTTTCCCATTTTGGCCAATTAAACATCCAGCTTCTTTGGCAGAAACCAAGACTCTGACATTTATCACTGCATCGCCGTTAGATTTGTCATTTAATGACGGCAAAGTGGTGGATTGATCGTGGTTGGTGGAGGATGAAGCACTGACAGGGACTTCTTCAGCTTGTTCACTTGATTCGGAATTGGAAGGTTGAGATTCAGTGGAAACAGAAGTAGGTTGTTCGTCGGTGGTTGGTTGGACTTGTTCGTCTACTGGTTTAGGTTCGTTTTCAGAAGTGAAATTGGTGTCAAATAATGATTCAGTCATTGTGATTATGTTGGATGGGGTATGTAATTAAGTTGTATTTATTTTATTGGTGGACCATACGTTGAAACGATTGTAAGGTACTACTGGAATGTTGCCTTTTAAAAAAGTGGTTTTTTTTTTGTTGGTTGGGTAGCGTTGTTTGATGATGATGTTGCTGATGTTGTTGGTCAAAAGTTATTGTTGATGATTGTATGAATATGAATTGAATATGATTCTACAACTATAACTTGATTGATTGATGATCGGTTCTTTCACTTTAATGTGCAATTGTACAATTAGTTCGTTAAGTCCTTAAGTAAAAAAAAAAAGAGGAGAGAAGAGTGAGACAGCAAATTGATTGAAGAAAAAAAAATTTTTTTTTGGGAATTATTTGTCGAATTTTCTTTGTTGGCGGTATGGACTGATAGCGAAAAAGGTGGAGTTTGGAAAAAATTTATACCTGATGGCGGTGGCACCTTGGGGCGAACAAATACTTGTAATACGAATTTAAATTATACCGCGACAAAAGATTGGCAAGGAAATGAGCTAAAAATTTCTCGTAAATGGCCTCATATGGATTAAACTTCCTGTCACATGTCTTGCACATTTCAAATTGTAGGTAAAGAACAATGGATTTCAAATGCCTCTCGTCAATGCTGGCTGTCATTAATATTATTCACAGACAAAGGACAATTTTTAGGCCCCAAAAAATTTTTGTCTCTACAATAAACGCGTAATTTTGTGTCGCAAAAATTGGACTAATATGGAACACGTTTATTATGGACCAAGGGCCAAGTTTAGGGTGACCATATTAAGATAGCGCGTTATATCAATTCTGAATTGTATAGGGAGTGGACCATGTACACTGGGAGTTTATCGTTATTGTTGTTGTTGTAGTAGTGATTCAATGGTGGATTGGGGTGGTACTATTTCTTTTCTCGCATGAGTTGTTTTTTTTATTGTAACTATGGAGATCAATGTACCTTTGATCCGGACCAGATTTGACCGTACTTTAAACTGGAATCTTAATATTCAGATTAGCCTCGATTATTGGAATAACTCTTGATTCAAGCCACCAAACTATATCAAGCAGTTGAAGTTGCAAAAGCCTTTCCAACGCAGATCGTACTAATGGGTTGTCCGGAGAATGTGTTCTAGCTTGTCTTAATAATCAGGGGCTGAGCCCTGCGTCAAGGGTTTTACATAAAGTGTTACCTAACAAAGTAATGCAATCAGTAAAAATATTTCAACCGTGTTAGCCGAAATATAAACACTTTGTTTCTATTAATAATCTAGTAGTTAGTCGTACTAAATCTCTCCCAAACAACTAGGTAACTGGTGATATGATATTCCTATCCGATCCGGCGATAACAGGTGATAACCCCAAATAGGAAATATTTTTGCAGGACTGCAAATTTCACAAATAAATCTGGTTACGTGAACTCCCCCATTGTTTGGGCTTATCGTTCTCCGCTTATGGTGTGATAAAGCTACATATAGTATAAACAACTGAATTAGCAACTCTACACTATTTCTTTTTTATCTGTTGTCTTTGCTACGATATTGCTTTTCCTAAACTTGCGTCAGTCAAAATTCAGATTTAACCGATTTTTAACCCCGCTCCCGTTTCTCCCCCCACCCCTCTCTACCCCTTACTGGATTCGACTGGATCAAGCGAGTATCAAATCGGGAACAGTGCTACAATGATAACTACTTTCAGTTTATACATAGCTTCTTCTTCTTTTTTTTTTTTTTTTTACTAAGCTTTAAATAAATATAAAACAGACTAAACTAAACAGGAAAGGCAATTTTTCATTTAGGGTTACTACCTTACAATGAAAAAAAGATCTATAGAACACCAATATAATCCTTTGCAGATATGGTAGTATAGCTACTTCTTCTAAATGGCATTTCCATCAACGCACCATCTGAACGGAAGCCATTAGTGGCAGTATTTGCTCTTCTGAAAGTAGGTGATGATGATTCAATATCAAACTCTTGCTCTTCTTCTTCTGGAAAATACAAATCTTCATGATTGATCATATCTGCAAATGAGTAAAACTCTATTGTAGGAGCATTTGGATCATCTTTTACTCGCAGACGAGTATGTTTTGTAGAGCCAGCAAAGCTAAGCAGTCTTCTATTTAACTTTGGTATTATCGAATGATTATGGTGGCGACTCATAGTAGAATAGCTAGGTTGAATAGTTGAAGCAGATTTCGTCATTCTTCCTTTGGAATTATCCAAAGTAGATATTAATGTTTGAGAAATTATACTTCTGGCTCTAGGTCTCACTGGTGTTTCATTACTGCTCATGGTAGTTTCAATGGTGGCAGTTGGCATTGATCTTAAGCTTGAAGTGGTGGGAGTTAAATTGGTATCGCTGCTGCAACTACTAGCATTCAGCATCCGGAACGATTGTGGGGGTAGTGGAAGCTCATAGGTGTCTTGTTCAGTATCCACTTCAGTTGCATCTTGATCAACTTCAATCAAGTCTTCGTCATCACAGAAGCAGTTTAATTGAACTTCTTCAAGTTTTATCTTTGGGTTGGTTAATATTTCTGTTGTTGTATCCAATATTGGACTGGTGAAGTTTTCTAAATTGTAGTGTAATGGTGTTTCCGGATTGGTAATAAATGTGCGGGGGTTGTTATTAGTTTCTAAAGATCTTTCAAATATATCACTGGATGTAGAAGCAGTCGATATTATTGAATTGTTCATACTGGTTGAGTTGTGACAACACACAGGACTAAAGGATAATTCATTCAATGTCTTTTTAACAAACCGATGATTCTTGGGATCTTCGATTTTAATAGTATCTCTAACAAACTGGGGTTGCTCATCGCCATGGTAAAAGTCAAGGTTGTGGTGTTGATGGTGGTAATTGTGGCGTATGTTGGGGAGGGTGTGGGCACGACGTGGTGTTTGATCTTGAGCTCTTTGGGAATATTCTGATGATGTTGATGACAGACTATCGGATATAGTAAACATCTTGTTGTTGGTATCTACTCCGTCCTGAGGAGATAGGAATACATCAGCATCTTTGTTATGTGTAGTGGTGGACATGAGACTGATGCTTATAAAATAGATTTATATATTATATAGTAAAGTTTAAAATTTAAATCTTCATTCAAATGAATAGTTTGGCAAATAATGCTTTGATGAGGGGTCTATCGAATATAAGGGAACGAAAATAAGAAAACACAATTAAGTTTGAAAATGTAAAATTGAATTCAAGGTGAATAATTGAAATTGACCGTTGGTGAAGATTTGATATATGTCGCCAGATATATATATCACCCAAGAAATCAAATATTGCAAAAGAGGAAACTCAATAGAAAAAAAGCAAGGGAAACTATGCACAAAATTAAAAAAAAAAATAAATAAATAAATAAAAATTTGGTGATTAAATTATTATTAGGGTGAATTAATACATGAAATAAACTAATAAAAAGGAATTGCTGATGATGGGAAATGCATCATCCATATGATAGGCACAGAGACAATAACCTAGTATAGAAATCACTACAGTTCGACACATAATATAAACAGTTTCAAAAACGTTTCTTTATTTTCAATAAAAAATTGGTCATTTGATCATTCATTTTTTTATTTTAACTGAAAATGTTTCCTGGGTGTGACTTTATTTTACGTTTTTTAACTTTTCTTTTTTTTTATTATCAGTCTGTCTGTTCACAAACACCAAAAAGGCGTGAATAATTAATTACTTCGATGACTTTAGATGGTAACAGGGGTCAAGTATTTACCTTTGGTGTAAAGGTACTTAAATCTAGGTTAGCATATCGGTGGGGTTAATAAAGGTCTCACCACTTACGAAAAAGGGGATTCCGATACTAAACTTCCATGCAGGTTAACCTGTAATTTTAAATTTCTATTTTGCATTCTTTACATTTCACAAAACTCCATGGAACAAACCACAAAACCAAGAACCAACTTGTTGACAATGAAAGGATACATATTCTGGTTATTTTTTATGTATTTAGTCGAAGACGTGAAAAAAAAAGAAAATATTATATTTTTCCAACCGTGGAACACAGTTCCCGCAACTATTTCATTTAAAACAACTAATATATCGGCTTCTTGTACCATATTCCTACTCTCCACTTTTTTAATTGAATCTGCGATACGATTACACAAAAAAACTTTTTTAAATTCTATTTGCTTGCAAAGTAACCCAAATTCCAAATTGAGTAATCCCCCACCCCCAATTTTTTTTTTTTTTTGCTTCACCCACCCCCCCTTACGGCTTGTATCAAATGCGTATGCTCATAGTTAAGATTCCCTATATTTTCTTTGCATCCGTTTTGGTCCGGAATCACCTTTTTTACGCCCAGCCTAACAACCACCCGCGGTTATCTCAACAAGCATCCTGATGCATCCCCTTATCGTATTTCTTTATCAAACTCAATCTTTCCTTTTGCAAGAATGATTCGCGCTCCTAATCCTGGTCACACTTCTTGTAAAAGAGGAGAACATTAATAGCTTGGTACTACGTCATACTAAGGTTCAGTATCAAATCTAGGCACTTTGCCTTGGCATGCTAGATTTTGATCCGGACATAGTACAAGAACGCCTCACCTCCCAAGAGATGTTGTAATTTACAACGAATATTTCCTTGTGCCATATGTCTCGATCCAACGAAACAGGCTGTCATTGATTTTTTTTTTTAGTCACAACGACTAGAAAATGAATGATGTAAATATCCCTGCATAACCTTTTTTTTTCAAAGACTGGCCGTGTTCTTTGTTTTTACTGAAATGGGTGCGAAAAAAATAAAAGAGATGATTTATAATTCTAAAGTAACACCACTTTCAAAATATTTCTAACAGATTATTTAGTCATCCAGGGTTATGAGGGAATTCTTTTGGCATATTAAAAAAAAAAATTCAATCTGATACTGTGAGTTAGAAATTATAGTCGGTATTAAACGGAGTAAACCTTTGTCAACGTATGTTTTAGTCATATGTTGTGGTCACGTTCAGAGATCTTTCTTGTGGTGTTACATTTATTATTCTGCAACAAGTTCTTACATGATTTTACGCGTGTACCTTCATTTTTGAAGTATTCCTAAACTACCTTGAAGCATTACAGTTTCCTATTCTAGTTACAGTTTTGTTTTTTTTTTGACCTTGAAGTATTTTTGAGATTCTTTGGTTAAAAGCATACTGGTATTCTCAGTTCCGAGTTTTTCCTAAAATAAAAAAAAAAAAGGTTTTCTCACGTGATTGTTTATTTTGTTTTCCCCTCGATTTGTGTGTTCCAACAATGTCAAAAATTAAATTCGACCAAGAATAAATTTAATCACACGTCATTGCTAACTGCAAAATTTAAGTTAGAGACTTGTAAATATGAATAGCACTAACCATACTGAAATCTGCAGCAATCATGTGTCTCCAGACAACATCTATCCTATTTATTTTGAATTATCAACTTCGTTCTCCCTTTTGTTAGTGGCGGTAACTACAATAATTATTGGTTCATATGCTTCAGTATCCAAACCCAGAAATGCACGTGATCCTCGTACTGATAAAGATACCAACCCCAACTACGATCCAAGTGATATGGATAATTGTCGATTCTATATAACTTCCAAAGATGATTTGTTGGTGGATGATCAAGTATCTGTGACAAGTGTTGTATTAATGCCAATAGTAGGGGGTATTGTCCTTGTTGGTTTGTATTATGCACTCAAGAACTATGATGTCAATTACTATTTGAAAATCTATCTTTGGATAGCTGCTCCCCTTAGCGTTTATAAGAGCAATTTACTGATCTTGACTATGGTGAGTAGGAGATTTACTCATTGGTGGGGTAGGAACTCTAGTTTGTTCTTTTCCAGGTACAGATTATGTGTTGTTCCAGATGAAGATGATTTCCCCTTGGGAAGATTGGAACACATTGAAACACAAGTGGATCGATCCAAATTTAATGAGTATATCGAGAAGGAGCAATTGGTTATTCTTGAACCAACTCCAGTGCCTTCCAATCCAGATGCTGTCAATTTCATTTTTGATATGAAGTTTGTGGCATCTTTTGTTGTTACCTCGGTGGTGATGGGATTACACTATCACTTCCCAAATAATTGGATAATTGGTAACATATTGGGTGTGAGTTTTGTAATTTCTACATTGTCCCAAATCAAACTCAATCAATTCAAATTGGTGTATCTTTTATTATCAGGATTATTTTTCTATGACATCTACTTTGTTTTTGGAACTGATATTATGGAAACAGTTGCAACTGGACTTGAGGTTCCTATGAAGTTGCTTATGCCAAGAATAGGATCTCAATTCAGCTTATTAGGACTTGGTGATGTAGTTGTACCAGGATTCCTCATCAGTTTATGTTTAAGGTTTGATATCTATCAATATTACGCCCGAAATGATGTTAGTTTCCACCATTTGAACAACTATGCACAACCTTACTTCAAGGCTAGTTTGGTGAGTTATGTACTAGGGTTATTATTGACCTTTAGCATGTTGCATATATTCCAAGTTGGTCAACCAGCATTGCTCTACATAGTTCCTTGTTTGTTAATTGGCGTTACTGGATTGAGTTTATTTAGACAGGAATTTACCGAATTCTGGAGTTTCTCCGAAGATATTAGTGAGTTTGTTGATGAAAAGGATAAAGAAGAAGGTGAAGACTACCAAGTAAAAGAGGAAGGGGACAACGTAGAGGCAAATTTAGTTGATGATGTATATGAGGATGGCGATGGCAGCAATGACGGAGAGTATTCCAATAATGACTCAGAAAAAGATGATGATGAAGAAGAAGACGCCACATATTTTGAAGGGTCAGATAGTGATGATGAAATTGAAAGCGAAGAAGAAGACGTGATGGCAGATGATGAAATCGAGAGCCCTTATCAGCTCAGACTTTTGCAATCGGAAAAAAATAAGCCTCTCGAAGAATTGTTAGTGCCAGAAGAATATAATCCCAAGAGTTTTATCAATGAATTGATTGCCGAATCCGAATCCGAACCCGAAATCGAAGAGAAGCCTCATACTTAGCTTGTATAGATAACCATCTTAATAAAAATAAAAAATTTTTGTTTTTTTCGCATAGTGCGTCCGGATTAGGCAAAGATTGTCAGAAAACAATGTAGAAGGCTCCAATCTGGAAACAAAAAGAAGCCAGAAGAAACATACACAATCAAAAAGAAGCAATAGGGGAAATATGGCTTATTAGATTACAACATCAATTTTTTTTTGGCAACAATAATTGCGATATCTATGAAATTGTGGGAGGCACAATTGTAATGGATCATGCCAGTTGCGATTACCTGCACATAAATAGTGATGGAACAACTGATGGCACGTTTCTAAAGCTAAAACTAGTTAATTATCATGTCTATTTGACAAGAAGAAAGGTTATTAAAATCTAGCAACGTTACTAATGTTACATTGAAAAATGTCAAAACAAATGTAAACAAACCTTTCTTATCTTGAGGTAATAAAAATTAGACTAATGATTTCTTTTTTGGGGCCGTGCGGCTTTTTGATACGGTTGTGGTGGTGGTGGTGGTGGTAGTAGTGGTGCAATTAATTAATTCTGTGGGGTTTGAGCACAAAGAGAGGAGAAGACAAAAAAAAAAATAAAGAAGTGCGTGATGAAACGCAAGTTCCATACTATTATAGCCTTTAGTTAGTGAGATTTAATTATACTCCCCTCTCGTAGTTCCCCTCCCCCAAACTTTCTCAACTTAGCCAGTATACACATACCACTCAAGGAGATTGATCATTCAAACGGCGTTTAAGCCAGATATATGAAACAACCGGGATATAATTTAGCGCATGTTCCAGGTCCGGACATTAACTCCGCTAGGTTGGAGTGACACGATTTGTATGTACTAATTTAAAACAGCCGAGCAAAAATTTGATGCCCATTTTTTTTTTCCGGCAATGCCATACAGATCTAAACAAGTTACAAAAAAGAAATAATTATTATCGGAAATACTCCCATAGTGTTTCATTAGCGACAATGAGCATGTGTGGGTTTACAAAAGAGAAAAAGGAGTAGAATAAATTCGTGTACTTAAAAAAATGTGGAGAATTTTTGATAAGATATAGAGTGGGATTAACTTGAGAAAAAGATAAACATATCATAACCCTTCCCCCACCGCCGCCAAAATATCGATGGGAGATTAAAAAAAAAAAAGAAATACGGTAACGTTGACAAGAATTAATTAAATCAGCAGGTTCTAAGAATCTTATGATTTCAGCATTTAAGGCAAACCGTGCATCATGGTTCCTAATCAATGAAGCTGCTAATTAATGTAGCAATAAACTCAATATCAGTTTACAAATAATGCCATATGGTACGACATTTCCGACGGAATATTTCCGCGTGGATTTCATGTTTACTACATGTGTGGCAAGCACATTAATTACAATTTCCTTATTGTTTTTTATGTGTGAAATTTGCAATAAAACTCGAAATCAGTCAAAAAAAAAAAAAAAATTAAAATTAGAATTAATCTTTGCGAAGCCACCCCTGCTAATAATCTGATTAACAATATACGGGATTTGTAATTTGAAATGGAGCATAAATATTGACATATATAAACAATTAAGGTCCTGTATTATCTCTCCGCACTAAAATTTTAATTCGTCATTCCCTCTTTACTGTTTTTTTATTTTTGTTAACACTATTATGAAGAGATCAAGCAACGATTCATCGTCCTTCACATCTAAATCTTCTAAAAGACTTAAATTAGAGCATGAAATATTTTCCAAATCTATCAGAGATATAGAGCATATGTTTAGCGGAAGTGATTCCGTCACTACCGTTTCAAATACACAAGACGAATTCAGACCCAAGCTACAACCAAGAACAAGACAGCGAACATTATATCCACCACCACCACCACCACCACCACCATCTGCACCTGTCGCATTCCACTATCTCAATACTGATATCATTGCATCTAATCCTTCTTTCAATTACGATTTTGTAAATCCTTCGTTTTTGGAAGAACGCCAGGTAAATATACCACGAGCTCCATCAACCACATGTTATTTCAAGAACAATATACCTATACTCCCATCGCAGAAGCATGTTTCACAGCAACAAGAGCAATTTAATTCAGAAGGTTCCGGGTTTTCTAAGGATTACATAGACTTAATTATTAATAACGATGACTACGACGATGAAAATGACGATTTATTAAATTTCAAATCTTCATTCACACAGGATGTTCTGCTTATAGATCAATTAATAATGATGAACTAGGGAAAAAAAATATGGGGTGATTAATATATAGAACGCTTTTTCTCAGCTGGTATGATTAAAAAAAAAGTTTGTACTATTAATATATTATCATGCAATTGTATAGTTGTAGAAACTCGCAGGTCGCATGCGTCAAAGCGCTTTGTTTACATAATTTGTTAAGAACATGAATGATTGTGTTGATTGCGCCTACAGCACGGTTCCAAGATAAGAAACTAGATAAGGAATTACACACAATGAATACAAGAAAAATATCGAACTGCGCATATCGCCTGGTTACAACTTTAGAGGCATCTGCATTCAAATAACTGTACATACTTACAATCTTTGTTCGAGAATTAGAACCAAAAATAGATCAAAAGTGATAACCTGAAAGTAACCTGCTAGTATCTAGAATGAAAGGCTCTAATGCTATTATGGAAAACTTTAGCTTATTCGATAAGATCCACAATTATAGATTACACTTCCCAAGCTAGTAACAGATTTGTTTATATAATGCTGGGAGTTGGTTTAATCCCAACCCAGTTCAAGCAACAACAGTGGTTAGTTATATATCATTGAAACGTACGTGTGTTTACCTTGGTTGTGATGCTAGAAAGGAAAATATAAGGGGTACCACGCATGACAAACTCACTTTAGAATCTAGCATTACCAAAGTTACACTTTTTAACATATTAACTTCTGGAAGCAATAGTTGCTAACAACATAATTAAGTAGAGACCTGTAGAATTTTCCAAGCTAGAGGGATTTTTCTGAGTTTAAATAGTGCTCCGTCAAATGCTCCTGAAGCCTAACAAATTCAGTGTGTAACAAATATGCAAGATATGAGTGAGATTAGATAAACAATGGAATCTCCTGGAATCCGATAGAAAAGCCAGTTAGGTCGTAAGTTGCAACCATTAGATATTAGTTGGGGGGGAGGAAGAGGAGGATATCGCTCAAGAAGGTAGTGCGCCTGCACAGAAAAAGAAAACAAACACACTGGGCAAAGAAATTTTCAGATTGTTAAAGTTGGACTAGCAAGTCTGAGGGGAGGTTAAACAAAGATCAATCAACAATGTCATCAGGAGGGAATACAACTACAGTGTATGGAGGTGATGAAATCAGTGCAATTATCTTGGATCCAGGCTCATACAATACTAGAATTGGGTATGCTGGTGACGATTTTCCTAAAGTAACAACATCGTCATTTTATGGACAAGTTGGAAACGGGAAGAGGATATTTGGTGAAGATATAAATGTTCCTAGAGAAAATTGTGAAATCAAACCAATATTAAAAGATTCAATAATTACTGATTGGGATGCCGCAATTGATCAATATAAATATTATTTTGAAGATACATTAAAAGTGGATTACAAAGATCAACCAGTTTTGATAACCGAACCAATTTGGACTGAATTACCATATAGACAAAAGTTGATTGAAACTTTTTATGAAACTTTTGATTTTGCAGGATTATATCTAGCTAAAGCTCCAACTTGTATATCATTTCAACAAGGTAGACCCAATTGTTTAGTGGTTGACTTAGGTCATGACACAGTTAGCGTTACACCAGTTATTGATGGTATTTGTTTAATTAAGAATTCAATGAGAACCAATTATGGTGGAAGGTTCTTGAATGATGAAATCAAAGATTTTGTAAAGTCAAGAGATCCAAAGATAGCAGTAGAACCAACGTACAAGATCAAGACCAAAACTCCTACGGTTTACCCAGATCCAGCGGAATATACAGTCAAGAAAACAATTCCAACTACTACTGAATCATTTAACAAATTCCAACAGCAAAGAATATGGCATGAGTTTAAAGAAACGGCATTGGAAGTACCTGAACGTAAATTAAACTCAACCAACCCACAACAAGCGTTATCAATCAAGGAATTTTATTCCCAAGATTCTCAAAAGAGATTATTTGAATTCCCTACTGGACAATCAATAACTCTTGGACTTGAAAGATTTCAATTTGCTGAATCTATTTTTGATCCAAAGATTTATAAATTTTCTGATGAAAACATTGCCAAGGCATATCCTCCTAACAACGGTGAAATTAAAATATCGTCCCATTATAATGAATATCGTCCATTGAAAAGAATTCGTAAACCGGAGTCTAACCAATCTACCCCAGCCCCGGGTGAGGGTGACGACAGTTCAGAAAAGATTCGTGGGTTATCACATTTAATCACACATACATTATCTACAATTGATATTGATTTACGAGCTTCTGTTGCTCATAACATCATTGTTACTGGTGGTGTCTCACTTATACCACAATTAATTGAACGTCTTTACAACGAATTATCAAATAGCAATCCAGGATTGAAAATCAGATTACATGCTGTGGGTAATTCCAGTGAACGTGTAAATCAAGCATGGATTGGAGGTAGTGTCTTGGCATCTTTAGGTACATTCCATCAAATGTGGGTCACTAAACATGAATACAACGAAGCTGGGGCTGATAGAATCTTGAATCAAAGATTTAGATAGAATAGAACTGCAACTTCGAAAAAGTTTATTTAGCTAAATATATGTAACATTTATAATTTCAAACAATAGAAGCTAAACAGTAAAAAAAAAAAATACAAGGATTAAAAAATAAACAGAAAAAAAGAAAACTTGATAAAGTGCAAAAATAGAATTGAAAAAAAAACGGGGAACTCGATGGGAAACCGCAAAAAACCGTTCGATTTAACCAATATGAAACAGCAATGACAAAATATGAAATTGTATTGGAAAGGTGGGTAAAAGTTTGTTTTTTTATACCTCATACAGTGTGTGTATTTGTATCCCTTTGTCAGGTACAACGGTAATTAAAACCACCACCTTTCTCTCTCCCCCCTGTGTGTATCTGCTGGCGAAAATTTCTTTGTGCATTATTTTTTAATTAATTTTTTTTTCTGTCGTTTTTTTTTTTTTTTGGTTGTGATCGTTTGGCTGCCTTTTTTGTTAAATGTGTAATTTCTCAATTTCTCGCTTTAACACACATGTACTTTTAATTGGAACAATAACAACGTACACATTGAACAGGTTAAAAACGTATTCCCCTATCACTATAAATTCAATTGCTAATTTCCAGTTTTTTCCTAAAATTCTCATCTTTTTCAATTCTTTCTTTTTTCAATTCACTTTTATTATATTCAATTGATTAATCCACAATGGCTTCCAACGACTCAGACAGAGCCTTAATCAAAGGCGCTTTAGACTTAGATCCTTGGTTAGAACCATTCTCACAAGGATTGATTTACCGTCAAAAGGAATTCAGAAGATGGTATAAAGATTTACAAAATTCCGAAGGTTCATTACTTAAGTTTGCTGATTCTTACAAGACTTATGGTATTCACGGAAATCACCAAACTAAGGAAATTGTTATTACTCAATATATCCCTGAAGTCGAAGAAGTCTCCTTGGTTGGTGATTTCAACAATTGGAACACTGAAACTCACAAATTGAACAAAGTTAACAATTTTGGACTTTGGTCTCTTACCATTCCTCCAGTCAATGGTCAATTTGCCATTGCTCATGATTCTAGATACAAAATTGCCATGAAACTTTCTTCTGGTGAACACATCTATAGATTAGATCCTTGGGCTCACCGTGCTACTCCAAATGACACTCATACAGTTTATGAAGGTAGATTCTGGAATCCTGAAACTGAATATCAATTCAAAAACAAGAGACCTCAAATTCACCTGCCACAAGGTATTAGAGTTTATGAAGCCCATGTTGGTATTTCTACCCCAGAACCAAAGATTGGATCTTACAAGAATTTCACTCAAAACATCTTACCAAAAATCCATGAATTGGGTTACAACACCATTCAATTGATGGCTGTTATGGAACATGCTTATTATGCTTCTTTTGGTTACCAAATTACTAGTTTCTTTGCTATTTCTTCCAGATATGGATCGCCAGAAGACTTGAAAGAATTAATTGACACTGCCCATGGATTGGGTATTCGTGTTTTACTTGATGTTGTTCATTCTCATGCTTCTAAGAATGTTGAAGATGGTTTAAATAACTTCAATGGTACTGACCATTACTTGTTCCATGGTGGTGCTAGAGGTAACCACGATTTATGGGATTCTCGTTTATTCAACTATACCAACCATGAAACCTTAAGATTCTTATTATCTAACTTGAAATTCTTCATTGATGTTTATCAATTTGATGGTTTCAGATTTGATGGGGTCACCAGTATGCTTTACAAGCACCATGGTTTAAGTTTTGGTTTCAGCGGTGATTACAATGAATATTTCAACCCCGACTGGGTTGATGTTGAAGCTATTGTCTACTTGATGTTGGCTCATCAAATGATGGATGAAATAAGCTCTCAACAAAGTATTGAATTCACTACTATTGCTGAAGATGTCTCTGGTATGCCAACTTTATGTTTACCAATTTCCGCTGGTGGGGTTGGTTTCAACTACCGTTTGTCCATGGCTATCCCAGATATGTGGATTAAGATTTTGAAACATTTATCTGATGACCAATGGGATCTCCACAATATTGTCCACACATTAACCAACAGACGTCATGGTGAAAAGTGTATTGCTTATGCCGAATCTCATGATCAAGCTTTGGTTGGTGACAAGACCATTGCTTTCTGGTTAATGGATAAAGAAATGTATACTAATATGTCTACTTTAACCGAATTGACTCCTATCGTCGACAGAGGTTTATCTTTACATAAGATGATTAGATTGCTTACTTTTGGTCTTGGTGGTGAAGGATACCTTAACTTTGAAGGTAATGAATTTGGTCATCCTGAATGGTTGGATTTCCCTAGAGTTGGTAATGGTGAATCATACCATTATGCTAGAAGACAATTTAACTTGATTGACGATGATTTATTGCGTTATAAGTTTTTGTTTAGATTTGATGGTGCTATGCAACATCTTGATGAAAAATACGGTGTCTTGGATACCCCACAAGCTTATGTTTCCTTGAAGCATGAAGGTGATAAGGTTGTTGTTTTTGAAAGAAATGGTTTATTGTTTATTTTCAACTTCCATCCAACCCAATCCTTCCCAGATTACAAGGTTGGTGTTGAAGCTGCTGGTACTTACCAAATAGTTTTGAATTCTGATGCTGAAGAATTTGGTGGTCATTCAAGAATTCAAGAACTTGATGCTAATGGTAAGCCACAACAATACTTTACCAATAAGGAATACTGGAACCACAGAGCTAACTCTTTGTTTGTTTATATTCCTTGCAGAACAGCCATTGTTTTACAATTGCAACAAAAGGTTTAAAATAGTTTTCCAAAATAGTTTAGACAAAAAAAAATTTTTTAGATGACGTTAACTTAGGTGTAGTTGTATTGTCGATTCATTAGTAGGCATGAAACAATGTGCTTGTAGCGTGTTAAAAATTCTATTTTTCAAAGTGTTACATCATAGTACGAATTCGGTAAATTACGACAAATCAAGAAAAAAAAAATTATTAGCAACATCAACAAAACTTAGAAGTGGTGCATAAACTAACAGGGATGCTGGTTATCACTTCCAACTGGTCAATTTTTACTTCTAATATCGTCTAAACTGAATAACCGAAAGCTAATCAGTTATAGTCTTGGAAAGACGTTTTGATTTATATCCAGCCACCTATGTGTAAATATGTACGGGTTGCTTTTACGAAATTACATTATACCAGCAATACTAGTATCGTATTGAGACTTTTCTGAATTCACACATATCTATATAAACCCCCCAGTAAATCCCTTTGTACTTGATAAGTGAGTTTGACAATCATACTTATAATGTTGTTAACAATCAATGTGCTTTTACTTTTATCCAATGTTGTGTCAAGTTTGATAGTTGGTGAGGAATTTGTTAGTCGGGGGGAAGAATTGGACCCTAATGAAGATTTACAAATTGATAATGGTGCCACCTTATCACTTGTGGATCCCAAAAATGACTTCACAAACAATATAATCGTGGACCCAAAATGTGATTTCTTCTTTACAACTACTTTTGGAAATGTTACTCGTGGCTTTGAAACTATAATCAATCATGGAACTACGAATTTCCAAATTTATGGTGATAGCTCTGATTCAGTTTATTCTTCTATCTATGTTGCAAGTATCCACAACTTGAATCAATTTGATTCCAAAGGAACTTTGTATGACATGAGAATAGGTACCCTTGTGAATTCAGGATCAATGCAATTTCTGGGTGTTTCATCATATGTCAAAATAGGTGATCGTGTACAAAACTCGGGAGTTATTTGTTTAGTGGACATTTTTTCTGAGTTTACCGATATCTATGGTGATGGTTGTGTTGTTGTTGATGATCTGGAGTTTGTGTTTGAAGGTACAGAGATTGAATCTACGATTGTCCTTAAACAAGCAGGTGAATTTACTGCTGCAGGTATAAGAGAAGATGCCTCTTTTAAAATTGCAAACTTTGGGAATGATGGTTCGATTGAAGTTGGCAGTGCTGATGATTATAAACTGAGTGGTTACGACCCTGAGAAAGGTATCTTAACTATTCACTTTTCAAGTTATAATGTTAAGCTTGATATTGGTTTGGGATATGTTGCTGCCAAATTCGATCTCAGTGATGAAGCAGGAGTGATTGTGAAATACAACGGGGCTCCACCTAAAGACTCCAATCCTATTCCAAAAGGATGCTCTTGTTCTCTAAACACTGCGGTTGCACTTGGTGCTGAACCTACTCTTGTTGTCAGTACATACACTACCGAGGATGAAACTGATATTGATACAATATTGATTACTAAACACGATAATGAGTGGACCACAATGACATTAGGCGGGTATGAAAATACCACCCAAACAGTACTAACCACTGAGACTGTCTCGGATGCTACCACAGTTACCGTTACCTACGACTATACCATTAGTTCTACCATTATTAGTACAATAACAGACTGTACCCGAGAACTTTGGCCAACTACAAATTGTTCTACATCTTTAACAACTACATATCGTGCTTCTCCAAGCACTTTCGCAGTACCTGAAATATATGAAGGGTTATCTTACAAGCTTCGATTACCTGACTTTGTAATTTTTACTGCACTTTTAATATTCCTGGTTGTTTTGCTTTAGATTTTACATAGAATATGTTTAAAATGTATAATTTTCGTGTAAACATTTTTGCAACAATTTTTTTTCAAATTTTTACCAAAAAAAAAAATTACAAATGTAGATTTATGTTGATATACTCACAAATACCACAAGAATCACTTTCAAAACAAACATATCTATAATAATACCTTATAAAAAACTACTTTCTCTGTATATAATCGCGATAGACTCCTCGGAGAACCTTAGCAGTACTATGTCTACCACTTATTATTGGCATTATACCAATTACAACCAAAGTTCCATATAACCACATTAACCCGACTGTAACATAACCCTTGAAATAAGCTCTAGTGAAGATCCAATCTCTGTATAATGGCATTGGCCATAAGACCCAGGTAATTAACAATACAAATATAGCGGCACCACTAGAAACCTTGATCCAGAAATCAAGTTGTTTTTCAGACAATTGGTCTTTCTTGGCAACCTTACTACTTTCAATGTCACTGATTTCAACTTCAAATTCATTTTCTTGCACCTTGACATCAGATTCAGTCTTTTCTAAAGATTCAATAGCAGAGGAAGAATCTTCATCATCCTTAACCAAGATATCAGCTTCTTGCAATTGTTTCCAATCAAAGTTACTTGGACGAATCAAAGAAATAACAAGAGAAAGAATACCTGGGAGCAACAAGGCAGTTAAAGAACCAAAAAGAGCTGGGAATTGACCACCAAGAGCATCAATAGTAACAACACCATAGTAGTGCTTAGCAGTACCAACCCAGACACTAAGACCAGCAGCCATACCAATAACTGGAGAAACAACAGCAGCGAGCCAACTTTGCTTACTCCAAGTAATAGTGAAGATCAATGGAATAACACCAGGACAAATAAGTAATGGAATAAAGTAACCAAACCATGTCATGTTAACACCAACATAATGTAACATAAGACTGAAACCAGCAGAACCAAATGAGAAGAAAACACAACCAATATGGGAAATTCTAATCATAGACTTGTTTCTTGCTTGTGGGTTAATGTATTTCTTGTAAATGTCAAAGGAAAGAATGGACGAAACTGAAATCATTTGGGCCGAGACAGTAGAGGTGACAGCCATGTAAATAACCAATAACAAAGCACCAACAGCACCGTTACCCAAAAGAGCCTTCAAGACATATGGCAAGACATAACCGGAATCAATTTCATATTGAGTCATGGCACGAGGATAAGTTGGGAAGGCACTGGTGTGTTCCAAAACAATGGAAGAAGAACCGATAATGGCACCCAATGGCCAAGTGTTGGCAAAAATACAGAAAGCAGCAATCAAATAAGCTGGAACGGTAGCTCTTGGAGAAGCAGAGAATGTCTTTTGCCAGAAGGAGGAATCCAATACAGTAAGACCGAAGTTACCACAAGTTAAAATCAAACCAAAGAAAAGAGCACCCAGTGACTTACCAGTAAGCATAGACCCTTGATAGTTACCTTCAATATATCTGGCACCAGTGGCTTCGAAATTGACAAGCATATCATACAATGAATCTAAACCACCAACTTTTTCTGAAGTCAAGACTGAAGTGTTCAAGTAACATAAAATGGTCAACAAAATTAAAGAATGGACAAAATCAGTCAAGAAAGTAGCCTTTAAACCACCAACAATGGTGTATAACAAAACACCAAATGGAATCAACATTGCCGAAGCAACAATGTGTAAGTTACCAGCAATAATGGAGATGGCACCAGAAGCAGCTAAAATCATGGAAGAACATGAAATTAAGTTATTAGTTAAACCAAGGAATAAATACAAGATATGAGCAGCCTTACCATATCTTAATTCAACAATTTCTAAAGAAGTATGAGCTTTAGGGGCCTTTTTTTTAGCATGAATACCAATACAAGACATAACAGCAATTTGAACAGCCAAACCAGCACCATAATAGTAAGAAGCTTGAATACCGTAGTTGTAAACCATAGTACAAGACCATAATAATTCATCTGCCCAAGACCAAGAAGAATACACAGCGGAAGCAGAGAGGAAAGTACCAACATTTCTATCAGCAACTGAGAAAGTTTCAGTATTGTTGGAGTTTTCATTTAAATATTTCTTTAATAAGAAGGTAGTTAAGATCATACCTGCAGCAAAGACTGCACCGACCCCAAGTAAAACCCCATACCCGGCACCTTGAGGTAACAAATTAACAGGTGAAGCTTCGTCTGACATTATATTTAGTTACTGTTTTACAGAGAAGTAGAGCTTATTGAACATTGGTGATTGTCGTTTCTATTTATATTTGCATCAAGTGGGGGGGGGGGAGGGTCAAGGGAGATGCCAGATACAAGGGCTTCACGTGCAATTACAATATATGCAAAAGAATAATATTCGCATAAGTGATGCACGATTTCCGTTACAGGAGTTTTCATTGTTGTAGTGACTCAAAAATTATTGTTGATATTAAAAAAATTGTGGATTTCGTGGTGTAATAATTGCAGTTAATTAAGTGCACCAGAAAAAAACACATACAAATTTTATTGATGCGAAAACTGTGGCAAGTAATAAACAATAGGCATCGCAATAATTCAGGACAAGAAATGAACTTTGGAATGGGGAAAATTAAACAAGGAGGTGGTGACTGATGCAGGAAGGATCGGCTTAATACAATGAGCTATCACTTTTTTCGATGCTTCTATATTTGAATTATTTTCTCGTTTATTTGTATCATGGTCACAAAATATCTTCTATCTTTGGGGAAAAAGATCTTATCAGTGGTATATACTAGATACGAAAATTTCTGACAGGGAAAATGGTGGTTTCCATAATAATCTGAAACGAAATTGAAAAAAATTGAAGAATTAAACTGTGGATTCGCAATTAATTATATATTACCAAGATCGATGTCCAATTCTGAGGGTAGACTTTCCTAATTGGGAAAGTTGTTGCGGAGGCTTAACTGCCTTTCCACCACAGGCTAAACTTTCCGGATTGGGAAGCAAGAATAGCCAGTTGGGGAATTGCAACCGTTCCCAATTCAGTAACCCTTTGCGTCAACCATAATTTTTTTTTTTCACGATGGCTGCAAGTATTCAGGGATGACCTAGCAACAGTTGTGGCTTACATGCCGTTGTGACACCTTACAAGCCCATCCTGATTGCCCCTCTCCCCACTTGGTAAATTAGAATTTGGTTAAAAAGAAATGCCGTTTAGAAATATTTGATAATTGTGATAAAAGAACGAAGAGGTTCAATAGAGAAAAGTTACTATTAAATATCGATGTGAAGAATTGGTTGCAGTTTTATTTGAACAATTGCACAACCTAGATTTTGTGATAGTGTTTTAGTTATAACGTTGCCACAAAATTTTTTTGATAAGCACGGAATAAGATCTAACAAAGAAGTGCAACACCATGCTCGAATTTCTAGACTAATTTTATATTGAATGGGCTCTTTGTAGCCGTTAATAATTTCTTGGCGCATATTAAGTTTCTGGGGTTTAATCATGGGAACCAATTTCCTTACTAAGCAAATTTTCATGCATAAAGAATACAAAAACAGCTTGATTCCATGGACTAAGTACATCACTGCATTGTTTTCAATTTTCGTTTCATGCACGGCTAATCTGAGGCGTCTTACGATTATGGCTCTTTCTCGTGTATTGTTGCAGCAATTGCCTTTCTCCAGTTTTGTGGTGTTATTATCTTACAATGAAGGATATATCAATTGCTAAAATGATCTATTTTAGCAGTACCAATCCATTACTAATCAACAGTGCCCAGTAAACCTTCTTCAGACTTCCATAAAGTTTTAAGTTCGTCATATAACGCAACATTTCAAACCCCGCATAAAAAAAAATCTTGACATCATCTGAGAGAGATACGGGCTCTGAATGGAAGAAAACTTTTTTTTTTTCGGTGTCAACGTTTTGCCCGCAATTTTTTTTCCCTATAAATAATCATGCAATTGCGTGATTGATGCCACAGTTCTTGTTGCTGCACGGCATTGGAATATTTGCAACAATAACAACAGTTTAGTTTAATTTAATGTCTTCTAAAGCACAAGTACTTAGTTGGTCTAACATCAACTTGCAGTTGACCAATGGAACCAAACAAGTACTTATTGATAATGTAAGTGGGTCAGTTAGTGCTGGTCAAATGCTAGCCATCATGGGGCCATCAGGTTCTGGGAAGTCTACGCTTTTAAATATCTTAGCTCATAGATCTAAACCTGGATCTTCTATTCAATCCGGGGAAATCAAAATCAACAATGAGCATGCAAATCTTGCAAAAATAAAACAATTGTCAAGTTACGTTGAGCAGGAAGACCACTTAATTGGGTCACTTACGGTATTGGAAACTGTAGATTATAGTGCTAGATTTGCTGGTGTTGATAAGAATTTTAGAAAGCAGTTGGTTGACAAAACGATATCTTTGTTGGGTTTGGAAAACCAACGAGATGTGAAAATTGGTAGTCCTATCCAAAAGGGTATTTCTGGTGGACAAAAGAGAAGAGTTAGTATTGCATCTCAAATGATTACTACACCTTCGATTTTGTTTCTTGATGAACCAACTTCTGGTTTGGATTCTGTTGCTTCTAGAGAGGTTATCAGCACAATCAAAAGAATTGCCAGTGAAGAGAACATGATTGTTATCTGTTCTATTCACCAACCTTCAACATACACATTTGAATTGTTTGATGATGTTCTATTTTTATCTAGAGGGAAAACTGTGTATCATGGGAAGGTGGAAAAAGTTGTCAAATACTTTGACTCCGTTGGATACACTATTCCTCCATATATTAATCCTTCAGAATACGTTTTAGATTTAATCAATACCGATTTCACAGTTGATCAAGACGCAGACGAGAAAATGGAGGTTTTGAGTGATTTGGTGAACAAATGGAAATCAACTCATGTTGCAGCTGCCAAACCAGAAAGTGAAATTAATGAAATTGAACTTGACAAGTTTGACGCAAAGACTGAAGTTAAGAACACTTTTATTCTTGTAAGTAGAGTCTTGATCAAGGCTAGAAGAGATATATTGACATATTATGTGAGAATGGTAATGTACCTTTGTTTAGCCATATTAATGGGTACTGTTTGGTTAAGATTAGGAAAAGGTCAACAAAATATTCAACCATTTATCAATGCAATTTTTTTTTCTGGTGCTTTTATGTCGTTTATGTCTGTTGCTTATATCCCATCATACATTGAGGATTTGTTAAGTTACAAAAAGGAAAGATTGAATGGGTTATATGGGCCATTTGCATTCACGATATCAAACTTTTTAGTTGGTTTGCCATTTATATTTTTGATTGCAACCTTGTTCAGTGTGATCACATTCTTTATGGTTAATTTTAATTCCACTGCCACGGGATTTTTCTATTATCTTATGTGGTTATTCTTGGATTTAGTTGCTGCTGAATCAATGACGATATTTATTGCTTCCATTTTCCCTAATTTCGTTATTGCATTAGCACTCACTGCTTTTGCCAATGGGTTGTGGATGGCAGTTGGTGGATTTTTAGTTCCCTCGAACATTTTGAATGTATTTTGGTATTACACCTTCTATTGGGTTGATTATCAAAGATACGTGTTTCAAGGAATGATGTTTAACGAGTTTGATAATAGAAACTTTGATTGTGATAACAATTGTTTTTGTATGTATGATTCACCATTGGCATCACAATGTATGATTAAAGGTTCAGCAGTGTTGGACCATTTGGGCTACGGAAAATATGATAAGGGACTTTGGATTGGAGTTTTGATTGCAATTATCTTCTTTTATAGAGTGGCAAGTTATCTTGTCTTACGATTTAAAAAGTAAATGTGAATATTTACTTGATTAATTTTAATTTTGTTTAAATATCTATGCCTTATATAATATATGCCCGTTCAGCAAGAAAGTGAATATTTTCATCTATGATATTACTATGCAATCTTGTCAACTCTATTTAAAGGTATTGACAACCTTAACCAAACTCTTGTCAAGGTTACCCTTTTTAACCATACTAGTCATAATTTCGTAAGCAATTTGTGCCCCATTGGTGGCAGTAACCTCAGCAGTATCAAATGCAGGGGAAACCTCAACAATATCAGCACCAACAACTGTTAATTCTTCAATTTCTCGTAAAATATGAATCAATTCACGAGGTAACCAACCACCAGGTTCTTGGGTTCCAGTACCAGCAGCAAAACCTGGATCTAATACATCAATATCAACAGAAATATAAGTAGCAGTATGCTTTGGAACAGTATCCATAATCTTCTTGACAACATAATCCACTCCCTTTAACCAAATGTCATCAGCCTCAATTCTAAGGAAATCTTGAGAATCATCGTCTTGTAAATCTTCAATACCAGAAAGTTTAGTTCTAATACCAGCATGAACATTATGTTTTGTGGTTAATCCCTCTTCATGGGCTTTCCATAACATTGACCCATGGTTTAATTCCGATTGTTCCGAATGCCAATAGGATGGATATTTATCAGGACTCCAAGTGTCTAAATGTGCATCAAAATGAATAATATTGACTAGACCATATATTTTATTCAAAGCACGAATATGTGGCAACAATACCGAATGGTCACCACCCAAGACAACAAGTCTAGGAGGAACTTTCAGATCATGATTCGACTTTCTTCTCAATAACAATTCTTCAAAGGCCAGATCCATTTGTTTAAAGGCAAGTGTGTTATCCATGGGAGTGATTGGCATATCTCCACAATCAATAACTTTAGCCCAGGATTTATATGGATTAAACATAGCACGAGGATTAAACCCACGTAAACTGGTTTGTCTTTGTGAAGCAGCCCTTATTGCTCGAGGACCAAATCTTGCTCCAGGACGATATGAGACTGCTGTGTCAAATGGAACACCAATAATCCCCACATCAAATTGTTGATCCTTATCAGTTAAACAAGTGAAATGTTCCAAGTGAGCAAAAGTGTTGATTCCTTGGAATGGCCAAAGATCACCCCAAATTTCAACTAGTTTTGGATCTTCCTTGCCATTGACTAAGGATAAGGCAGCAGCAACAACTAGTAAGTTGGAAAAGAGTTTCATTATGGTTAATGTAATTTCAAATCATTGTTAATCTGTGGAGATTGACGTACTTTATATAATGCGCTCCGGAAATAAGATAGCGGAATGTATTCCCAATTAGGAAGGTCCGCTACAGCTTCAGTTGACACCTTGCAACAAAATTGTTCCGTTAATTCAGTGAAAAGTCCGTACATGGCAACAATCTAATATCAGCGGAATTAACACGCTTTAACTAAGCGGTTACAAGGGGAAAACATATATTGATGCCGTATTGACAAGTGTTTTGTTGATTTTGTATACTCTTTTGGCCATTGCACGAATGCTCGGTTGAATCACAATAGAAATTGAACTGAAATTTCTCATAGAGCAAACCATTCAACTAACCCAAAAAACAACCAAGATGGGGGTCAAAGACTTGAAGCACATGTTTGATCGATTAGATTTGCATCATAAAAAACCCGAGAAATACTCTAGACCAAAGTTTCCAACTCCTAAAGATAACAATGACAACATATTTGCCAAACCAATAGCCACCGGGCAACCCCCTGAAATATTCAGACGAGTCCAACACAACCAATTGCCAGTAGGGTGTTGCTGTCAAGAATCAGATTGTCCTATTCAAACCAATAACTTTTATAACAACTTGACATTGGGTGATCAAACTTGTCCAATTTGGACCTTACCTTATTCTCTTTGGTATACCACTGACCCTGGACAAGTGCCGGGATTGGCATTTAATCATACTGAGGCATCCCAAAGAGTTTTTGGACCCGATCCTGATGCAAAGACTGCTCAATATTATTTTAATCCTCCCAAGATTAAATCGTTTGTATTATCAGGTGAAAATTTCACAGATATAAAGTTGAGTTTGGAGAACCATAACAAGTTTTCCGTTACTGCATTGCTTTCAAATTCTTCAGGAGGAAGGGTTATAATTCCATTAGTTCAAGGAATGGGCTATATTACTTCAATTTATCAAAATGTAAAGCCTTTAATTAGTTCACAGGTTGGGTTTCAAGAGTTTAGTAAATGCAATAATGTTGGAGATCTCAAGAAATACAAAGTCATGCTATTTAATCAGGTAACATGGTCAATCTATGTACAAGGTGATGTGGAATTATCTCTCAAAGATCCAAATACTATAGTTGGTGATAGACCAGGTAATAATACCTTAATTCAAATTGCCCGTGGTTTATCCCAAGATTATGATGATAGTGCTGGTTGTTATCAAGAAAGAGCAGATATTTCAGCAAATGTATCTGGTAGCAAAGGTACATACAAATTATCATACACAACCAAAGGAAATTCCAAGTGTGGATCAGGATTAGTATGGTGTCTTCCTCATCATCAAGAGGTATTGATTGAAAAAACCAAAGAATCAATAACGGAACTAGTTTTGGACTCTCCCACAAAAGGAGAAATGAAATCATACAAGACAAACGAGCTAGTAATGGAAGAACAACTTCCAGTAGATATCACTTGGGAGCCATGGTCTTCATTCTCTACAAATAATGGATACTCTGACCATGCCAAGGATTTGATCAGACGAGCAGCGCAAGAGGAAGCTAACCAAGATATTGTTGGAATGGCTAATATTGATTCCATGTATACTTCTGGAAAAATTCTTGATAAATTTGCTTATATTGCCTATGTTTGTCATTATATATTACAAGATTCCGATTTAACAGAAAAAGTTCTTCCCCGAGTTAAGCAAGCAATTGAAATATTTGCTAAAAATACTCAACAATTTCCTTTGGTTTATGACCGTTCATGGAAGGGGTTAATTTCAAGTGCCGAACCAGGAGCAGATTTTGGAAATTCAAATTATAACGATCATCATTTCCATTATGGTTACCATATTCATGCAATTGCACTTGCTGCCCATATTGATCCAGATTGGTTACACAGTAATGATGATTTAGTTTTCAATTATGCCAATACTCTTTTGCGAGACACAGCCAGTCCCTTTGCCGATGAGTTCTTTCCTGAATCTCGGTCATTTGACTGGTTCCATGGCCATTCATTTGCCCATGGGATATTTGCATCTGGTGATGGGAAAGATGAAGAATCTTCTTCAGAAGATTATCATTTTGCCTATGGGATGAAACTTTATGGTATTATAGTTGGTGATAAGTCTATGGAGCATCGTGCCAATTTAATGCTCGCCATTATGAAACGGGCAATGAATATGTACATGCTTTACACCAACGACAACAAAATCCAACCTGCTAAGTTAATTGGAAATAAGGTTTCAGGAATCCTATTTGAAAACAAAATCGATTTTGCAACTTACTTTGGTAGAGGCACAATTGGTGATGAATGGATCCATGGAATTCACATGTTACCAATTACTCCAATTTCCTCATTTATAAGAAGCCCCAAATTTGTGAAGGAAGAATGGGAGCAGAAATTATCAGGTATAGTGGAACAAATTCCAGATGGATGGAAAGGTATTTTGATGCTTAACAAAGCTCTTTTCGATCCAAAGTCAGCCTGGGATTGGTTTTCGTCTGATAACTGGAACCCAGCTTTGATAGACAATGGAATGTCCAGAACCTGGTCATTAGCATATATTGCAGGAGTAGGAGGATATTAGGAGATTTCATAGAGAGTATAAGTTTTAGTGATAAAGTTAGTGGTAATAAACATAGAAATTATCTTGCCAATTCCAGAAGTATTCAACATCTGAACCATATACAAATATGGATTGTTAACACAGGATTTTCTATTGGTAAATACAACTAACATTCAAATATTGTATAGAGTTGTCATATTTTATTCAGATTGAGAGAGTCTATGTGATCAGCACACTACTGTATCAAGTTGAATATTTGTTGCAACATGTATTTTTTTTTTTCTTGGCCAAAAGCAAATCGCGCAACATTTCCAAATTTATAGTTGAAAAGATACGAATCATCAGCCAACTTTATTCTTAATAGAAATACAACAACCAAAGGACAAGCTTAATTCTTATAAAAAGTTTAGATATTGATCAATAAAGTGCACTGGAATTAGTTATATCTTTTCATATCATCTCAATGGTTAATTCCTGAAAGTTGGAGTTTTAAAACAGCAATGTCTTGGTTAATGTGGACTGATAAATTTTACGAAAAGTTTCTGATTGTTTCAGATGTGAAAACCTTGGAATACTCCATAAAACTTTAAAAAAAGGGGCAGGGTTTAATAACATCGTGCGGCATCTTGTGATTATGCTTGGCAAGAAAATTGTGAAAAGCCTATTGGTTTTAGTTTTCTTGATATATTCGTCTATAATTAAGGTTAATGATGTTATTTCCGAATTTTCATCCTTAAAGCTTATGATGAGCTAGGTCATCATATAAGCATTCATTTTCAAATTTCTTAAAGAAGAATTAGATGGTCGAACGCGCGCCTGAAATTTATCAACACACATACAAACTTTAAATTGAAAAGTCTTGAATGAGAGAAAAATCTTATACTGCCGTCGTAACAAGATACAAAAGCTCTATTGAAAAGTATTACTTTAGGATTGAATCCATTGTATTCTCCCCATTTATCGTGATGGATAGACTTTTTTTTTTTCAGCAACAGATTTACCTGTTTTGATAGTATTAGCTATTTTGATAAAGTACATGTTTAATCTTGAACCAGGACAATCAGGGCACAACAGGATCTTGGCATTAATTTTATGAGATTTTTATTGATCCGGTGGATTTATTGCCCAATTAGGCTCTGATTTCTCAGAAACCAGAGACGCCAAATTCTGGGAAACCTTATTTTTTGCAACTATTTCTGGGCATATGCAACCACACACAAAAAAGAGCTGCAAAATTTGCTACAAATATTGTATATACCTAATATTTTCACAACACCAAATTGAGTTATTCCGATTATACTACTAAACGATAACAAACACGGGAATAAGCTTTTGAATTCCCACTTGTCACAACTTGGCATATGTTTTGCACCTAGTTATAGAATTGATTGGCATAATCATCATGGCAGTTTGTAAAAACCATTACTATTTTGAAATGAGCTGATGTTATTACCAAGAGAAAACCATAAGGATGATGGTGAAACAAAATATTTAACACATTACTTGATTTTTTTTTGATTTCCATTGAACTATATAAACTCGGTAAAAGACATTGAAAGTTTCTAAATTATTTTGTTTTTCATCATTATTCAACAACATGTGGAAATTGTGGAATTTGTGGATTTTTTTGGTGCTTCCAACATTCCTGGCAGCCACTTTCATACCATTCGTTTCATCTGTTATAGATTTTGGAATTAATCTTGGAGGTTCAATTGTTCTTCAAAGTTCTTTGTTATTCAAAAAGGAGTTTGTTAGTGACAAAAGCTATGTTATTGAAGCCAACAAAGAATTGGAGGTAAATTTCAATTCAGATTTCAAACTCCCATTTATAAACAAACATGGCTTTACAGTTAACAAAGTAGCCAAGTTTCTGATTTCGAATTCATTATTTCAAAATACCAATGTGATGACTATTAATGCCTTGCTTGGAGGTCAATGTATTATCAAAGCACCAGTTTGGGAAAACACTGGTACAATTAAATTTATCGGCTCATCGAACAAGAAAGGAACCGTTTCCTTGATAGGAGGTTTACATGGCTCTACAGACATTAAAAATGGTGGATTAATTGAATTTTTCTCCCAAATCTACATCCAACACTCTGGTAATATTCTTGGGTTAGGATGTATGTTTCTTAATATTGGTACTCAGGTTACACTTGATTCAAGCTTCTCAGCCCCAGACCAAACTTTTGTGTTGGGAGCAAATGCTTTGCTCCATATTAAGGGTCATGGATCTAAACATCCTTACAAGATTATGAATTTTGGTGCTGGTGCAAAAATCCAATTAGATTTTATCCCTGATGCTATCTCATATAACGCCCAAACTGGTATCTTACTTGCAAAGTCTGCAAGTTTATCTCAATCATTTTTCCTAGGATTGGGTTATGACGCTACCAAGTTTATAAAAACTATACTGGGTAAAAGCTTTTTTATTGGTTACCAGGGTGAATTTTCTTTCGGTATTGGTTTTAATTGCAAGGATTTTAAACCACCAATTGCCCCTCCAGTACCAATTGATCCACCCGAGCCAACTATTCCAAGTGAATCTGAGCCATCTAAGACTGGTGAGGGAGACGTCGAACCATCTAAGTCTGCAGCAAGTGAATCTGAGCCATCTAAGACTGGTGAGGGAGACGTTGAACCATCTAAGTCTGTTGAAAGAGAGGTCGAACCATCTAAGTCGGTTGAAGGAGAGCCAGAACCATCCAAGTCTGTTGCAAGTGAATCCGAGCCATCTAAGACTAATGAGGGAGAGGTCGAACCATCTAAGTCTATTGAAGAAGAAACTGAATCATCTAAATCCACCGAATCAAGTCAAATGGGATCAAGCGAAGCTGAAATTTCTAGCTTTACTAAACCAAGTACAACAGAATCTTCCGACCCAAGTGGACCTGAAGTAACTAGCCCAAGTGAAACAACAGAGATAGAAACAGTGCCCACAGAAGCAAGTGAACAAACTGAGCCATTTAAAACAGAAACTATTGAATCCAGTGAACCAACTAATTCAAATGAAAAAAGTGAGCCAGAAACTACCGAATCTAGTGATTTTAGTGAATCTGAATCAACTATACCTATTGTAACAACCGAAACCCAGACAACTGAACAAGAGAGATCCGAACCAACCAATACAAGTCAAGAAAATGTACCAAGTGATACAACTGGACCAAGTGATCCAAAGAAGCCAAGTGGACCAAGTGATCCAAATAAGCCAAGTGGACCAAGTGGATCCGAAACAAGCCTGGTGAATCAAGTGATCCAACAAGCCTGGTGAATCAAGTGACACAAAGAAGCCAAGTGGACCAAGTGATCCAAAGAAAGAACATGGTGAACAATCAAATGGATCATCAAACAATAAAGAAGGTGAATTACCAAAGAACCAAATTGTACCACCAAAAGGACCAGCTGGAGGTCAAGGTAGTGGATCTGCAACTGAACAAGAAAATGTATCGAAAGCTTCACCTATTGTAGATGCAGATGGTAAATGGAAGGTTGAATACTCAAATGGATCAAATTTAATGACAGTTAGGGCCCCTCTTTTGTTGATTACTATGTTGGCCACTTTAGTTATAGGTGTATGAGGTTAAGCTACTTCAGTTCGATGTTAAAATTACCTTTTGATTAGAATTCAGTTTTCTTTTATATATTTATAGTATGCCTCTAAATTTTAAATATTGTTTTATGAGCAAAACTTTTTTTGTATTAGCTCTAAAAATGTAAGGTAAAGAAGTTTATTATTATAAAGATATCCTAGTATTAAAAATATAATAGAGCAAACCACAAATATAATTAAAGTTGTAACTGTTCAGCCTCACCTCCTCAAAACTTGAGCTGCTGACAAAACCCGGTTCATTGTAATTGATTAAACGGGAACACACTTTGACTTGTATTTTACGTAAGCCAACTAAATGAATTTATGTTGGTTCATTTTCAAGGTACCAAAAATATAGTACTAATAAGAGTATTTGTCCATATCAATTATGATAGTAACATTAATGTGATCAAATAACCATCTGGGTTATATAATTGCAATAGAAAATAAATAAATTTTGTTTAGTTAAGAAATCTTTTCATTTCTAACTCGCACCAAATCGGACACAAATCATAATCAATTGATATAGAAGATTTAGAACACAGACCCATTTTTAATAATTTTGATTGGGTTTCTGGTAAGGTTAATGTTTAACATGGATTCAGTCTCAAAAATTTTTTAGCCAGGAGATGTACTTGTTGGGAAAGCTATAAGGTCTTTCTTTCAACTTCCAGCTAACCGAATTTAAGCATATATATGATATTTTTGCAATAGATAAAACTAGCGTTTTATTGAGTGTATAAATACTAGTATAATAGTACTAAAAAACATTTGATGTCGAGAGGTTGTTTGACTTGATAAACAACCATCATCGAGAAAGTAATTTACGGCAGAGCTAAAAAAACAAAATAGTAGAGAGTAAAAATAAGCAAACAGCAACAATATTGCTTCTAAGAGCGGCTGCAGAACCTTCAAAATCATTTGGCAATCTTGGGTAGTCTGTATTATTTGGAATACCAGTTCCTGGAGCAGTAGTGGGGTAGACCACTGTAGATTGTGAATCTTGCCCAGCTGAAACAGAACTAGATGGATTAACTCCGGAGGATATACCATTAGTACCTTGATCCAAATAGTCACCACCTTCTTGAACAAGATCATCTGGGTCAGTATCATTGTTGCTTGAACCACTACCAGAAGTACCAGAATTGTTAGAGCCATTCGAGTTATTGTCTGAATTAGGTTTGGCTGTTTCGTAGGAGGATCGTGTAGAATATGTGAGTGTACTGACAAAAGTAGTATCTGGTTTTGTGACTATCGTAGTTCTAACAGTTGGAGCCGAAATAGCAGCTAAAGAAGTTTGTACTTGACTTAAAGGAGTATTTGTAATTCTAGAGTTTCCCGAACCACCTGAAGGATTAACTGGAACAGCCGTGTTTTCAACGAAGTCCAGTTTAGCCGGTGTTGTTGATACAGGAATATTTGAACCGGAGTTTCCAACATCAGTTGAAGTGTTTTGAGAAGGGGAATTATCTGTTATTACTTTAGTAGGTGCCTGATTAACTGGACTAACGGGGACATTAGTAGTGGAACTGGATGGAATCTTAGTACTTGAAATATTAGAACCTGCATTGCTACTACCGAGGAAACTTCTGGTATTAACATTAGAAGTTGAATAAGTTGCGGTACCTGATGCAAGTGAAGTTACAGATTTAGGACTGCTAGGATTACCATTCAGATCGGTTCTAGTAATGCTGTTAGTTTCTTGTCCAGCAGGAGAATCAATATTAGTGTTGGTACTAACAGGATCTTGTGTAGAAACACCAGAAGTAATAGGTACAACAGCTGAACCGGAAGAAGGAGCAATTGTAGTATCGGTATCAAATTTAGATGAGTCGGCACTGAAAGCAACAGATGTAGAAGAAGCAGGTGTAGTAGAATTGTCAGGGTCATCAATACTAAAAGTCTCCTCGGTATTTCTGGCAGATGTTTCTGGATCTTCAACACCGCCTTCATTACTTGTAAAGGAAATGGTGAAAAATTGAGCCGATGTCTCCAAAGACTCATTTATAGATAAAGTTTCGAATATTTGAGTTGTTTCATCATTAACTTCAGTTAAATCTTCAAGTGGTTTCGTGGTTTCAACTGCTGCATCATTACTTGTTGTAAGTGGCAAACTTTCTATAACTTGAGAACTGGAAGTATCCTGCTCATCGGGTTGTACAGGCTCATTTGTTTGGAGTGATTCAGTTTGCTGGGGACCCGAAGTTTCATTCAGTGTATCTTGTTGAGGTTCTTCAGCAGGGGTGCCAGTTCCAGTTATAGATGCGGATGGTTCAATCAATGGGCCCTTGGAACTCGTATTGTCTAATGCGGTAGTTTGGTCGAATGGAACTTTACTTGATTCATTTGGTTCTTCGGGGAGTATACTCGAGGCATCAGAGCTTGGATCTACCATGGTAATAAAAGTATCAGATGGTGATGTAGTGGTTGTATCAGCAGCAGTAGATTGGTCATTCACTTCAGTACCTTTATCAACTGGTTCTGCACTGGTTTCGGAGCCAGTGGTGTTCCCACCTTCAGTAATTTCACCTTGACTAGTACTTTCATTAAGGTCGTATGTAGTTTCAGCAGCTTCAGTAGTGTTTTCATCCACTTCAGTAGTTGATTCATCAACATCAGTAGTGGGTTCGTCAACTTCAGTACTAGCTTCATTAACTTCAGTAGTAGGTTCTACAGCTTGAGAGGTTGCCTCATCTGATACAGTTTCAGGTACAGTGGTTATCTCTTCCAGATCAATAGTTCCATCACCTTGAGTAGATTTAATTATACTTTGATCTTCTACGTCAGAGGTAGTATTGATGTCACTGGGTTCAATTGAGGTTTGAACCTCTAAGTCGGTAGTGGTATCAGAATAGGAAGGTTCAATTATAGTTTGCTCTGTACTAATAACAGCTTCAGTGGTTGATTCATCTAATTCGGTAGTGGATTCTTCCGGTGGGCATATCTCCTGCCAACATTGCAATGGCAAATCTGTTCCACCGGTATCACAACCGTGCTTATAAGTATACGCACCGTTTGTAAAATAAAAATAAAAAACAAACGGAGTAGTACATGTAAGATCACCAATAGTTTGTGAAGGTTGTTGCCAAAGCAAGTAAAAATGGAAAGGTGAACCACCACTATAATCAAAGGAATTTTTTTGAAAAACATTAGCCTGTGGAGATGCACCATTGTTATGTGATATAAAATTCACTGCATAAGCCAGATTCAAATCACCTTCCAGTCCAGTTGGGTTTATCTTGAATTCGATAACCCATTCGTACAAACCATCTTCTATATACCTAATAGATTTAAACTCGAAAATTTCAAGTGGAGGTGCCCCATTAGAACTTGAATATGAGCCGAATGGGTCATCACAAACACTATCCCCATTCCATTCTAAAGGACAATTAATTGGGGTTGGTAATGGATTGATATCTGTAACCAGGATAGTTACCGGGGTTTGGTCATAATCAACGACGGTAGTAGTTTCAGGGACATCTTCAGAACATTCCAAAGACCAACATTGAAGAGGATAATCTCCCGGGGCATCACCAGTAATACAATCATGATAGTAGTAGTAGTAGTCGGGATTCCACACATCGTCTATCACTATTAGTTGAATTGAAAATGGAGTTGTACAAATCTGGTCACCATCACTTTGAATTTGCATTGGCCATGTAATAAGGAAATGATTAGCCAGGTTACCATTATAAATATATTGTACATTATAACCGGTTAAACCAGGACCTTGGGCATTTTGCAAAGTTAGCATTCTTTCAACTGATGGATCAGTATCTTCGACTTTAAATTCAAGCGTAACTGCATAAAGGTTATCACTCCCAACTATGGGCCGAATGGATTTGTATTCAAAAATTTCCAATTCTAGACTACCAGGTACTTGCAGGGAAGTCTCACCAAAAGGATAGTCACACATGTTTGAAAATTGAACAGCACAATCTTCTATTTTATAGGGGCGGAAATTCCAATTTACATTATTAATGTAATCAGCCTCTACTACAGATAAAAGTAGTAGGAATAAATAGCAAAAGTAAATTTGTTTCATTGCAAATAGATTTTCTTGAAAACGAATATTGATAAAGGTAATTTAAATATTGAGAAAACCAGAAAGAAAAGTATGTACTTATATACACAAAATTTTAATCCAGAAAACACTAGATTTTAAATTGGTTGTGTATGATTGCGATATCATAAGATATCTAAAATACTTCGTATGTTTATTTTTTAATATTTTGCGTCCATGAGAATTAATTCAATAAGGCGGAATCTGCTTTTGTAACATATTCATGTAGGTGGTGTCATTCAATCATATGCGTAAATATATTATTTCGGCATAAAACTAATATAATATTGCAAAATTGTTGCTGTAATTTTCTCCAACTATTAGCATGGCTTGAAACTAAAACAAAAACTTTGAACAATATTACTGTCTACTTCTGGGATTTTTTACAAGAGAGCAAGATCCAGTGATGCGAGTCTCAATACAATGGTTCCTCCTCGGTTTAGGTCAATCCAAGTTGTGCGAGCGATAAAACATGCTCAAAGGCACATCAGTTATATTTCAAATTAATTATAATATGTCAAGGCAATAAAAAGAAACCTCTATCCAAAATGAGATCCATATTACCGTCATTCTTAATTTACCATCATCTAGATTTCTGTTGCCTCATAGGTAAATATCTCAGGCGGATATCAACTAATTCTGTTTACTTTCATAGAAATTGATCTTTCCAAACAACAGTAAAAGGATGCAATTCATAAAAGGATGATCTAATTAAATGAAAAATAAAAAAAATTGGAACTATGTGACCAAATAATCGCGTTACAAACAAGTATGTCTAACTATATTCCTAAAATAAAGAGTTGCAAAAAAACAAAAAATAAATATTTCACAAAATTAGAAATATTATTTTTTAAATTGTGGCGGTCCCAAATAGATGAATTTAAAAATATCAAGATTCGAACATTATTTTATTGCGCTTATAATTAACAGTCAGACTGCATTAGCACTGACATTCAGTCGGCGTTAAAAAAAAAATTGGTCAGTATTGCTTGCAATATATGCGATGGAATATAATCGTTATTCAAGCGTTATACGTCAAGAGAAATTGAACTATCAATAGCAAGACTCTAACAAGTATTTTTTTTTTTGAATGGTAATTGATAATAGATACCCAAGTCATAGTGACAAAGGTATAAATTGAGTAGTTATAATTAACAATATTATAATATTGATATTTGCGTCACGCAGAATAGTTATTTAATTTCGGCAACTATCGAGTCTAGTGGCTAACGCCTTACCAAGATATACATTTAATAATCAAAGATTTGAAATTGCGCCTATTGGTAATATGACTAGTAGTATTTTCAAGCTCAAAATTAACATTGATATAACAATGGGAGGTGTTTACACTAAACCAACAAAAGTTTGTTTGTTCTGTAGTCTATGATCAAATGTAAATCTCGAAAAAAATACACCAATAGTGACTAATGACTGGAGGAAGTATTGTGGTCAGATGGAGAAAAAAAAAGTTGAATCATTTTAGCAGATTTGCTAAATAATTAATTTCAGTTCTAAAAATAAAAAGTATTTTTTTTTTCGTATCTGCTATGCAAGAAATTCAAATCAGCAAAAGAAAAGATGATTTTATTACCTGCATGGCCTGGTTCCAAATCGAGAGAAGATCATATGCTGAATCAAGGCTGGCATATTTTGTGGCGTTAACGATGATTAAATCATGACCAACACAAGAGATTATTTATCATAGATGTTCAATTTTAACCGAATAAACTAAATAATATATCCGATCAGTAGATGAATTGTCCTAAATAAACCAGAAAAAAATATTTTAGTTGAAATTTCTTGGCAATAACTGAAAAGATATTGCAAGGTATTGTAATAAGGTAAAAAATAATATATCATAAATATCACCATTTCACTAGACGGGAGAACACACTGAACTTACTTGTGTTGCAACTGGGATGAAATGGCTTTTATTGAAGGTATTGGGGACAGGTAGATCTTAGAATGCTAGTACCTTAATGTGGTTTACATAAAAATAATATTTAAGTAAATAAGCCTCTTGTAACATGGAAGTTTGACCGAAACTTCAAGATAATAGTATCAAATATACATAAAATTTTATCTATTTTTATTAAAAAAACCATCAGAAATTAATGAAAAACTAGTATCTTTTTTATTCCATAATATTTTGTTGAACTTTTTTTTCTACCACCTACCTTCTCTAAAATACCCAAACACAGTGTTAGAAGATGAGTGATATTAATGTGCAAGTGATTTCTCTACTTCGTTACGAGATATTTTCCAGCTCCTTTACAATTTGTTACTGGTTCCATTTCAATCCATTCAATTTCCATTGTACTAATAATCTGAATACGCTTGAACACAAGAAAAATTCATGGACTATTTAAATCACGTTAATAGCATCATTATTCCATACTTTTCAAAATGTTTACTTTGCAATAATCTATGAGTTGGGTATACCAAGCAATTACTCAAGAAGCAAGAAAGAACACGAGTTCAATAAAACTTGCAATTACTAGATAGAACACAAATCCAATAAGCATAATAGATCGATTTCCAACAAATAATATAGGAGAGAAAAACAACATATGATTACATTAGACAACAGCATACTGAATTAAATGTGAATTTAGTCCCTGCCTTGATAAGTGCAATCATGGAACATGGTGTTTAAGCACCCTTATTTTATTAAGCCAGAGAAAGTTACAGGAATAACTATTGCACCATACTGGTGGATACATTTCAGTCCCAACAAACCTCTTGTTTCTAGTCCGCATAATAGTGAGCTACTTAACTATAGTGTTTATTCAAGACTACAATTGACTAACAATGATTATATAATCACTAAAATATTACTATCTCCATTAGGTAAACATTGTAAAACTTTCTCAACAGAAAGCAGTACAAGAATGATCTTCTTCTTGTGTTAACTCAGTCATCTATCCCAATCATTACTACTTACTCGACTGATCCAAGAAAATTTTGGTATAAACTAAATTTATTGGAAGATGAAATTTTATGAAAAGCACCAATTATAAAAAAGCCTTAATTGTTGTAACTTGTGGGTTATTGTAAATGCATCCAAAAACAATATAGTATTCGATCAATACAATTTATTTTATTCTTCATTAACTGAAGATACATATTGCTTTTTTTCAACCGCCTCCGGCTAATAAGATGGAAACGAAGCTAAATTGACTGACTACTACCAGAATACTAATATATTGGAACTAATGCATGGCAAGTGATTGCATGATTAAAAAAATAATTTTCAAGGCAATTATGTGCAGTGTTGCTCTTACCAGTTGGAGCATAAATATGCAAAAAGCTTTGATCACCTGGCATGAAAACTTGTAAGCTTCCAATAATAAGGTATTTGGCTAACCCAACGTGTATTTAAGCGGTGGTAGACATGATCCCAATGTATTTAGATAATGCGCAATAAACATTTTTGTAATCGCACTACTTGATAAAGGTTAAATTAAATTTGAAAAATGAAAAAAAAAATAGCTATCGCCTTAGTAGTAACAGATGAATAATTTTTTATTCCAAATATCACTCAGTGATTACGATCATGCCAAATAAATGGTTCGATGTCATTGCTAGAATTAGAGTTACTGGAAACAAGAAAATATTATGGTACAATTGATTGTTGATTTTCGTGTATCTTTATCCCTCAATAAAATAAAATAAAAATAATAACCATCATGATAACCAAAGCTATGCATTTTGGCTGACACAAAAGCTCCGATGGCTTGAGTTTTTAATGCTCCAATTCGCCTTATATAATATTAATTAACGTCCAGCTAATACATTCTCATATGTACAGATACTATAACTGACCCGAATAATATTTTTAATGCACTAATCGTGCCCAAGTATGGTTTGTTCGGAATGTAGTATCCGCCAAATTCAAACATCAATTGGATACAACATATGATTAGTTTTACAAGAATGAATTGCATAAGCATTATCTCTCCTGATCGCACTTACAATGATATTCTACAATCAAAGTTAATCATTGCTGATTATTTACCTTATAGAGAAGTATTTAAAGCTGTATGAAGCACTCACTAGGCCGTAAAGTTCTTGTGGGAATTTCAGCAACACTTTTAGAATCAACATCCGAAAATAATTGTCAAAGACTAAAAAAAATATGCAGTTTTAGGGCAGTAACAGGTACAACTATTGATCAAACAAATCTAACCTTAAACATCTAAATAAAAACATTAATATCCGATGAATTGATTGAGTATGATTTACGGTTGTCTAAATCTCAACAGTAGTGTGTATGGGAAAACTAAAGCTGGAAATATTCAGATCTTTCAAAACAAACTACACCTGTCACTTGAAGCTCATTCTCTATATAGATAAGATATCGTCACGTTCTTGAAAAACAAATGCGAAATAAATATGCAGCAGAAACATACCCAAACTAGCACAATTATCAGAAACCTTTGAATGTCGTTTTCAGTTGTTTAGTGACTAATTAATAAGTTAAAAAAAAACTAAAGTGAATAGACTAAAACTCATGAAGTAATTGGTAAAGGGACTGAAAAATAATTTTGAAATTTATTTTATAAAAACTACAGGGTAAAACTGTGTTTGGCACATTTTAAAAGTCTACCACATTGCTCTAGAGTGCTTTTTCTAAGAGGAGACTGTGTATTGAAGAAGTTACATATAATTTAGGGCGAATTTAATAAACTTACGACAGTTTAGACAATAACTAGTCGCATTCTACGATTGGACTCACCGTTTTACTTTTCTTTTACAATGACTTTTGGTAGTAGTTTTTGCAGAACTGGTAGCTGATTCCTCCGTTATCGTGGCAGATTCCTCCGGTGGACATATCTCTTTCCAACATTGCAATGGCAAATCAGTTCCATCGGCATCACATCCGTGCTTATAAGTATACATTCCATTTGTGAAATAATAAAGAATAGTAAATGGAGTAGTGCAGGTAAGATCACCAATAGTTTGTGAAGGTTGTTGCCAAAGCAAGTAAAAATGGAAGGGCGAACCACCACTGTAATCAAAGTCATTCACCTGTATTATTTGTGGTTGTGGAGTTGCACCATTGTTATGTGATATAAAGTTCTGAACATAAGCCATATTCAAATCACCTTCCAGTCCAGTTGGGTTTATCTTGAATTCAAAAACCCATTCGTACAAACCATCTTTTATATACCTAATAGATTTAAACCTAAAAATTTCAACGGGTGGAGCCCCTGTAGAACTTGCATACGAACCGATTGGGACATCACAAACACTATCTCCATTCCATTCTAAAGGACAATTAATTGGGGTTGGTAATGGATTGATATCTGTTGCAACATTAGTTATTGGTTGATCGATGTACAGAGTTGCAGTGGTGGGTTCTGGTTGAGATTGTTCCGTACATTCGGACCAACATTGAAGAGGATAATCACCCTGAGAAACACCAGTAGCACAATCGTGATAATAGTAATAGTAATCGGGGTTCCAAATATCACGAATCATTAAAAGTTCAATGGAAAATGGAGTTGTACATAATTGATTACCATCCCCATGTTGAATTACCATTGGCCACTTGATAATAAAATGGTTAGCTGCATTACCATTATAGTCAAATCTCATGTTCATCGAAGATACCCAAGAAGGAATCTGAGGGTTTTGGAAAATGATTGATCTTTGGACTGACGGATCAGTATCTTCTACTTTAAATTCGAGCGTGACTTCGTAAAGATTATCACTCCCAGCAATAGGTTTAATAGACTTGTATTCAAAAATTTCTAATTTCGGGGTACCAGACACTTGCAGCGAAGTTTCTCCAAAAGGGTAGTTACACATGTTTGAAAATTGAGTAGCACAGTTTTCCACCTGGTAGTCGCGGCGAAACCAATTCACATTAATAATGTAATCACCTTCTACTGCAGATAAAAGAAGTAGTAATAAATAGCAAAAGTAAATCTGTTTCATTGCAATATTTTTCTTGAAATAGATAAGGTATGAGTAGTGAAAGAGTTGAAATACTTGAAGAAAATTGAGAGCTTATATAGTTCAAGAGGAAAACTGCCGAACCCTAGGATTCGATATAACCATGCAATATCAGAGAGTATTTGAAACTGGTATTTTCTTAATATCACGCACCCATAATGTAATGTAATACCAAATCTATTTTTGTGAAACCTATGAAATTTAAACGGTGGTATCGATGCATTGACCCACATGATTTAGCATATTCCTTTCGAAATAAAATTGATTGCAAAATTTATTTTTTTGGCCCATTAACGAGAGTTCACATTTCAAATTCTCGGCTAATTGCTATTCTTTGTGTCTACTATTATCAGCAGCTTGTGATTGTGTCATATAGTGGAGACAGATACTTTGATAGCCTTTAAAAATAATGACTTGCTCAAAATAAAAACTATCTTTATCTGCAATAATCTAGTTCAAAAAAATTTCTGAGGCGATTACACAGTAATTTTCGGTTTATTTGAATTAAAGTTGCTACAACAAAAAAGAAGAGATAAACAAGTATTGAAAGTTGGAATAAATTCAATAAAATGAAAATTTCATATAACCAGTTAATTAGGCCCCAAGGAATGGTGTCACTATTACCCACCTCCACTCAATTAGAATAAAAAATATTTCAGAATGGAAGTATAAGATCTGGACTTGGCGTAGATATGAGATTGCATGAGGTTTCTGAAGCTAAGAAATAGTTTGCATAGATTTATTGAAGTTTAGATTCAACTTTCCAGAAATTAATTTAGACGAGCAACCCTTGTAAAGTCAACTTTATTATTTTTGCAGGTATATTCAAATTAATAAATTTGAATTTATTAGTATCAGGAGAATAAAATCAGTAGAACTAAAAAACGTGCCATATAACTAATGTGAACACAATCAAGGCGGACATGCAGCAAAGTAATTTATTTTATTTTTTTGGAAACCTATTTTTGTTTGAGGCTCAAAACGAGTAAATTTCATTTTCCGACGCGAGCATTACACAAAGTAGATGGATAGTACTAGACGATAAACCATGAGCCCCCGAAAGGTTGTTCTGTTTTATCGCAAATGTTATTGGATGAACCTAATCCAGAATGTTTTTCTACCTTATGCTACATAAATGTATTGAATATTCTTTTAAGGAGTGGGACACGCAATATGTTGAACAGGTTTGCATAGTGCGAAATTTTTTGTACAGGTTAATTTTTTCGCGTGATTTGCGGTTGAACAGATTAGCGCGGTTTTGGGTCCCATAGTTAAGCCAAGAAATGCGACTCGCAATCCAATTGTCAACCTGCCTAACTAAACGAGCTATTTGTCAACCCTGGATTTTGGTGTGAATGTACTAGTTGTTAACCCTTACAGGTTACGCTCCCATAGTAAAAGAGCTTGAGTTGTCAACCCTCATACAAAATTGACCTGACTTTACAGTTTGGAAAAGACATACTTTACAGGTTGTACTTCTAACTCGTAAAATATTTCAGATTCTTTTTCGGGTGCTACCAGTAACTCTCGCGTATTTTTATAGAATAACCCAGTGCCCAAAAATATGTAGATAAGCCGAAAAGGGACATATTGTTTACTAGCGTAGCATGGCTGGAACCATTTTGCACTGATACCACAAACAATAATACTTCATATATAACAGGGGCGCAAAGACTTAGTTGTAATTTACATAGTAAAACATTATTTTTTGAAATTCGTTGCTATAGCTAAACCGGTAGTTGTGTTTTTCAGGCACGATTAGTTGTGGTTTGAGAGACTTCAAACATCAACGGTAATATATAGCGCATAATAGATATTCTTTTTGTAGATCAGAGGATGATAGCTATTATTACATTGGATTACACGAGCAGACTTCATTACGAATCTCTTTTTACTTGACAATAGGATAAGGAACTCATCGGTTAGATAGTAGGCGGATGCAGGTCGGTTAGGGCATTGTGGAACATTACTAGTGACCAATTAAGTGTTTTTTCATCGTCTAGAATGTGAATAGGCGAGCCAGCAAGACACCAGTACATCACTAGTGAACCATAGCTCAGCTACAGGAAGCAATGGATCTCAATAGACAACACAACTGCCGATGAATACATCAATAGTGACCAAACATACATCTGCAAGGTTTAGGATGCAAATATACATGACAAGCATAAACTAGTGCAACATTATTGGCCGAGAGTGGATGACCGTCTGGTATATAATGTAAATAGACCAGAAAGTCACAGATCAGAACATCACTTGTAGCGTACACAGTGTGGCGGTATGGTATATGATGTAAATAGACATGATAAGCGCAGCTCAATACATCACTTAAACAGCATATAGTGCTTCATGATGCAATGGATGTAGATAGACATGACAACCATAGATCAGTACATGAGCATAGATTAGGAAGTTATGCAATTGGGGATGATTTATGAGAACCGTAGTTTGGCGAGCTATACCAGAGCACTGTTTAGATGTGAGCAGTAGTCGTAGACATTGTATGGAGATTGATATATGTAGAACAGATTGGATGAAACATGGCAGACAAGAATAATAGATAAGGAAAAGTGGAGGAGATGACAACACCAATGCCAGAGCAACCAGCCGCAGAGCCAGAAAGCGCAAACCGGAGATACCAGATCGCGGAAGCCGTGGACATGGTAGAAATCGAGGGTAAATATAGCTAAGGAGTGTGAGATGGAGTTTGTTCAGATGTGATACAAGCTGATCAAGGGAACAACAGCAATGAGTCGACAAGGGAGTTGCTTGAGCAGAGAGCACAGTGTAGCAACCCATACAACATGAATGGGCGGGACGGATGTACAAGGTAGCAGGAAGGGCTATTTTGATTTGGGAGCTAGGAACATACAATTGACTGGAAATAGTCGCAGTATGAGCTAATACTGCAATAGTACTGCTATTAAATACCATTTACTAACATGATACTTCAGGGAGAATTAAGTTGAGAAAATACTAGTATATATTTTGTAGCAAGATTAGTAAATTTTATAGAAATATAGGTATGCTAATATATATATTAGATATAATTTGTAGGAAAGTGAGAATAAACAGAGGAGACATTGTGTGCAGGACAGTGCTGGTAGCGCGAGTAATATTATATGCAGGACACCAAGGTCAGTCATGGAGACGGGAGTCAATGAGAGGAAAATGGAGAGAGAACACTAGTTTCTAATGCTCATGGTGATGAGTGCATAGATGCAATATGTCAACAATAGTAATATAGGTTATTTCAGCAAAGTAAATCGGTGATAGTCGACCCATTTTTTATAGTAGATGCTAGTTTCATTCGACCAACCGAGCACCGGAAGTTGATGATGTTAATGGACACATTAGCACTTTGGGTTACAGATAAGTGGTAGTAGTGTGTCTTGTGCCAGTAGTGGACAATGAGTAGTGGAAGCCAAGCAGTGGAAGTGGATCTTGTTATAGAATACATTCAAGTCTTGCGCTGCAGGCAGATAGGATAGTATAGAGTAAGACAAGGAGAGGATAGATCGCATAGGTGAAGGAGTTTACATTTCTGCAATGGAGAGAATAAGAATGAGACATTGTAACAAGGACTAGACCAGTACACTCACCAATGCGGATACAGTTATTATGTCACAAGCATTAAGAGAGAGACAGATTGTCAAGGAGAGCAGAGATGATAGTAGCAATATCAACTCAGCCAGATCAGAGTAGAAACAAGTGCGTACGACAAGTAATAGATACAGATAGGATGTGGATAGAATAGGTCACGGAAGGAGATTAATATGTAGAGCAACAAGCAAGCAGGAAAGTAGAGAATAAGATAACGGGAGGATATTAGAACGTGTAATGGAAGGAAACATTGATATAGTAGAGCAGGTAGATTCGAGTGGCAACATGAGAATAAATCGAACTGAGTACGACAGCCGTTAAATACAGATCGGATGTTGTTAGATTGAATGAAGTGGGATAATTAAAATGGTAAGACAGCAGCAAGGAGAAAGACAGCAGTTGACACAAGCACAGGATAAATTGATTGGAGGAAGTTATTTGGAATAGAACATAGTAAGAACGACATGATCAGAACCAAGTATATGGAACCGAGCAGGCACATTAGCGTAGGAAGGATACAGTAACAACATTAGCGTAGGTATATTCGAGTTGTGAAATGAGAGTATGTACAAGAGCGCGGCAACATTAGCATAGCCAAGACTAGAGTAACAACAACAGTGCAGGGAGATTAGAGTAGTAAGATCAGAGTAGTCAGAGAAGCAAGAATAGAATAGCAAGATCAGAGTAGGTAGATGAGAGTAGGCGGAACATAGTGGCGCCGTAGGCGCATTCAATAAAAACTGGACATAGGAGTGGCCAGATGAGAGTAGGCCCGAATTAGTTACGGACCGGATGTTGATGGATATTTTGGCGGAAGGCAAATACATTGTTGGGCCGAAGGCGAGAGGCATAGAGATTAGATTGTAGAGCCGCAGGCGAGAGGCATCGGCAAATACAATCTGTAGCCGCAGGCTAGAAGCATAGGAAACATCAGTGGACACCCCCATACAGGATGGGGAACAGGGGGTACTCTCTTATGTTGCGGGTAGGATGTTCTGGGGTACTCTCTTATGTTGCGGGTAGGATGTTCTGGGGTACTCTCTTATGTTGCGGGTAGGATGTTCTGGGGTACTCTCTTATGTTGCGGGTAGGATGTTCTGGGGTACTCTCTTATGTTGCGGGTAGGATGTTCTGGGGTACTCTCTTATGTTGCGGGTAGGATGTTCTGGGGTACTCTCTTATGTTGCGGGTAGGATGTTCTGGGGTACTCTCTTATGTTGCGGGTAGGATGTTCTGGGGTACTCTCTTAT